TACCTATAAGTCATAGTTAGCTATAGATAGATAAGAAATAGCAATAGGGGTAAGTTAGAACTAAGTTAGAGGGGAGTTAGTTCTAGATAGCTATAGATATATCTAAGGCTTAACTTAGAATTAAGCTAGAGCTAAGTTAGAGGTTATTTAAGTTAGGTAGTATCTTATTTATAAGATTTAAGATTTTAGTAGTTAATTCTTATACTATGTATAAGAAGACTAATAAAGAAACTAGGTAAAGTTAAAGTTAGACTATTTTTTATTTTAGAAAAAATTAGCCTAGTTAACTATTAACTTAAGCTACTAAAAGATCTAAAAATATACTCTATATTCTATATTACTTTATTAGAACTAGCTAATGCTAGTATACTAACTTAAAAAGACTTCTATTACTAAAATAATAGTAATAATAGATAGGAAGTTAAGAAAATAATAAAACATTAAGAAACTAGACTAGATAAAGAATACCTAGTTAAATAGTTAAGATACCTAAACTTAGAAAATATATAGGAACTAGAGACATACCTTACAAACTACTAGATACTACTTTACTAGTACTAAGGTTTGCAAACTTATTAAGATACTTAAGAGTAGACTATATAGTAGAAGAAAAGGCAACCTATATATTAGTAGTAGGATAGGCAATCTCCTTAGCCTAAACATCTTTACTCTCTATATCTATCTTATTTACTAAACACTTAGCCTTCTTTATAGCCCTATCTTTTACTTATATAAGAATCTTCTTATTTTATAGTAGGTATAATATTACCTCTACTAGCAACTTTTTATCTTCTTTAACCTTCTTCTTATATTTAGCCCTAGTCTTATCTAAGGACTCCTAAGATAAGTTAATGCATAGACAACTAATATATATATACTTAGAATATTTTAGGTAGTTATTAGTAGAAGGCATAATAAAATGATTATAACTAGAAGCAAAGTAATAATTATAGGTGTAAAGAAAGTAGGGGGAGGACTAGTCTACTTTCTCCCTAGTCTAGTAGACCTAGACTTACTAGACTAGTAATTTCCTAATAGGGAAGCGTATAGCCTAAAGAGATAACAAAGATATAAAAAAGAGTAGATAATAAAGATATATAATAGTATATATAGCTTATACTCTTAGTTGCTAGGTATAGGATAATATAGGGGGGAATAGAAGTATTTATACTTTCTTCCTCCCTACTATATTACTAAGCAGAATATTCTAGATAATACTAGACTATTCTTATTAGTAATATACTAATAGAATTTCTAAGTAGATTACGCATCTATACACGTAATCTCTATTAATAATAGTAGTATATATTTGTAAGCTTATTCTAGAAGCTTCTCTATACTACTAAGAATAGGATAATTAATATCTCTAGAGCTAGTAGAGCTATAGGCTTAGTAGGCACAGGAAAATACTCTATAGAGTTAGGAGATTCTATATTGTGATTACCTAAGCACTATACCTAACTAGGAATTTACTAGAGTAAAGAGTATTCTAAGTTATCTTAATAACTTTATAATAGGAAATAGGAGTAATAGTATTATGTTAATAGATTTTAATACTTAAGTAGAGTTACTTTTAGGAAGTAGAAGATATAATACTACTATAGACACTAGAGTAGTAGCAGGGTAAGCTTATAAAGAATAGCTAACAGATTTAGAATAAATCTAGAAGAGAGAAGAGCAAGTATTATAATCTACCTTTTATAGCTAAATAGCTACTAATACTTAATAAGTGCTAATATACTTAGTGCAATATTATATAGGCTCTCCTATATAGCATAGTTTTATTATAAGTTATATAATAAGCTTACTCCTTAGTAGTTAAGCTAAAGTAGGTCCTATATAGAGCTTATATAGCTTATGTTAAGCTTAGTAAGCTACTACACTCTCTATAGTATATAGTAAGTAGGAATATAACCCTTATAGTTTGTGTTTAACCTAAGTATTAATCTATAATATTAGATCTTAACCCTAACCTTTAAGCTAGATAGTCTACTCTATACTACTTATTATTACCTCTTACCCTTAAGATAGATAGATTATATCTCTACTCCTTAGTGTAAGACCTCTTTAGTTTCCCTAATAGTATTTATCTCTAAGAACTAATTAAATAGTGCTTATAAGCTTTGCTTAAAGTATAACCTTAATAGTCTAGTTTAGTTAGAAGGTAGTATAGGCTTGCACACCTGCTCTTACTATATAAGAGAGAGTAAGTATAAACTAGCAAATTTAAATTATTTAAGACAAGATTACTAAAGGTAGGGCAGTTAGGCCTAAGTATAATTAGCTAGTAAACAAGGCATGCATAGAGTAGCTTAGGTTGCTACTTATATAAGAGGTAGAAGGAAAGGCGTCTGCTTTATATATATTAAGCTTAAGAGGCAGCGCTTAGTAATTTAGTCCTTAGGATTATAGCTAAAACAATTAGCATAAGGTTCTAGGCATTTAGTAGACCTATAGTATAACTAGATTTACTTAGTTAGTAGATAACTATAATGTGTTAATAGAGAACGTGTGTAAAGCTGCTAAATAGCTGCTTAAACAGCTGCCTAAGTAGTGCTTAATTGTTATAGTGTTGGTGTTGTCTCTATTACTTAGCTATATTGGCTGCTGCTAGTGTACTTAGCAAAATTCGTCTCAAAATCTAAGGGGGGGGGGGGGGGGGGGGTTCACAAAATCGGAACACAAAATTCGACCTGGGGTGGATTAGGCCCTAGGCCGACAAAATTAATATAAGTAAAATAAATTAGCCTTTATATTTTCTAAAAAAAATAGAGTTAAAACTTTAGCCTTTATATTAGAAGTATTAGATACTAGTTATTATCTTAATACTTAAAACTCTACTTAACTATTATTAGCTTAATAATATATAAAATATTAAAAGATCTTAATTTATAGTAGGTAGTATATATTAATATAACTATTAAAACTTTAAGCTTTATAGCTAGAGTATATAAAAAGTTATACTAGATATAGGATTTGCTAGGCATGCACTGACTTTCTGCGCGCATTAGGTGACGGACACTGTAGCCGCTTTCTGTTCGTTATCGTGGATTTGCAAACTTCGAGAGGGGCTTGCGAAGACATTTTTGTAAATGGTGCAGTCCGGTATCTGCATAGAATTGCCAGGGTAGCGGCAGTAAACACAACATTCTTAATACACGTGAGAGGAACTGTCTCAAGAAGCTCTTTCTTCATCAATCATACAAGTAGCTTCTTTGCTCTCCCCTCCTCTCCTTCCCTCTGCTCTCTCTCCAACTATGGACAAAAGTACATAACGAAATCGTCGTCAGTTGGGACAAGACTGTTGGCTACACACCGCGTGACGCAGTAGATATTCAACAACTTTAAACACCCCAGCTCTTCCGCCACTGCCAATGAACCAATTCCGAGCTTTGCACTCAGCGTGGGCCTCAATCCTATGTGGAAATATGAACTGGGGACGCATTCATGGTTAGAGTTTCCACGAATCGCCAAATGGCCGAATGGCAGAAGTTCCAGTTCGCAGTTTGGATCTTGTATGGAGAGGTGTACGTGAACGCGTATGGCAGCATATTTTGTGTTGGCTAACTTTTGAACCCGATTTCAAGTTCATCTGCTCGCATAGCTTGAGCCTATGTGTCGCGTTCGTATCTGATGTGAATTTGATGGGTATAGAGACTCGCGTCTAGAGGTGCGGCCGCGGGATTCTGTGTGCGAGTTGACCTCCAACTAAATGATGAACTGGGCGGCGATGTCCAGTGGTATGCGCAGGTATTCAAGTGCAATAGCATTGGTTCGTTCTATGGGGAAAGCTAATGGGTGAGACGATCCAGAGTAACGTGGATACTGGTGCTGGTTCGATTTGTCCTAGTAAGAATGACCAGCACAGTCTGCGTGCGCTCCACTTCGTGCAGACTAACGAAACTGTCTGATTCAGACTCGTCTGTTGCGTCGTCGTGGTCGCATACAAGGGGAATAGCAGAAGGAAGAGGATGCACCAGATAGTTATCCGTATCTACTGAGATTTCCTAGAGCGATGGACCCGCATTCAGGATCTGGGGTAGGCCCGACAGTTCTGTGCCTGTAATCTGAAGAGGCGCTGTGAAGAAATGGTCAAACTCGGCATTAAGGTTAACAGACCTTCAATGCCATTCTTCGTATATAGTGGCAAAGGTCCTACTAGCTATTCAAGACTTCTTGAGGGCATAGGGAGCACCTGTCTGCGCGGACTGAAGCCAACAGAATGTCGCAGGCATATTGCACATCTTCCTTGCTATGTCGCCTACCTTGCCTTTAGCATTAGGAAGGCCAACACAAGAGCTGTTAGTTGCGGTCCAGATAACATGTTGCATCTAGCAGAACTCCGCCTCTCTCTAGAAGTGCTACAATTGCTTGAGGTCTTTAAGGATAAGCAACTCTAGCAGCTCTTCAAACACCATTGCGGGATTACGCTATAAAATGCTCGCTGGTAAATTTTAAATAAACAGTGTATTTATACTGCAAGATAAAAGCACAATAAAGTGCTTCAACAAATTAGATGAGCGCTAAGCTTGATCTTCACTTTGGTACGCCAATTATAACAACCCAGAAGAGTACTATAGCACGCGGCTGAAAGAGTTCCTCGCACACCAATATGACACCGTATTTTCGGGTGAATTAGCAATGCCGTACTGTCTAAGTTCTCGGTCCCAGTCCCAGTCCCAGTCCCCTTCCCATTCCCACTTTCCAGTCCTATACTCACTCCCAGTCTCTTGGCCTAGAGCTCTAGAGCCTAATCGCGGTTCCTAAGCCCAGAGACTAGGTAGGTACGTGTATGTCCGCAAGTAGAGGCAGCTCGACGCTACGGGTCCTGCGTCTCAGTGCTTGGTAACAAATAGCGCGGGATCGATATCACGCACTGGCGGACAGCACGGCTCGCGGCTGTATCATGATGACGAGAACGCCGCAAACCCGGACTGTTGTATGTAACATGTAATATGTAGAATACCAGGTGAGTTAGAAGCTTCAGCTCAAAGTACAATTCTTTTGAATTTGTTGTATCTTATGAATGTGGGTATTGATTACAGACCTAAGATTTGAACGTTATTGTAAGCGTACACCGGCGGTCTTTAATTTCTTCGCTTGCTGATCGTGAGCACTGCCAACACCACCTGCTCTGGTAACCTCCAACGAGCTTTCAGCCATCTTCTTCTTTTCTTGAGCCACCTTGTCGAGATGCTTCTTCGTCTTCGTGTTCCCGCTTCCTTTTCCGTGGAACTGATGTGACAGCTGCTTGAATGCCTCTTTCTGATTCATTTGGCGGCCGTGTTCGTCTACATAGTTCAGTTCGACGTTGGGCTTGTACTCCTTGTTGAAGATCTCCGCTAGCCTGCGACTTTCACTGGCGTCGGCATTGGTGTTCTGCTTACGTGCCCATTCCTCGCGTTCGCGAGGTGTCATGGTATTCCAGCGGGCAGAGTTGCGCTCACGCTCACGAGCCATCTTGCGCTGGCGTTCAGCATCGCCTTCGGCTCGCTGCTTGTCCGCAAGAAACTTTTGGCGTTCGCGGTAGAGCGCATTCTTTGTGCTTGCATCATTTTCCGCAGCTACAAGACCCCGCTGTCGCAGAAGTGCAAGTGTGGCACCCATGCCTCCATCGACAGTCTTCTCGGCTTCAAGGCCGGTATTGAAATCTTCAGGTGATTTCGCACGGGACTGGCTGCGTTGCTGTGCATCTTCAGCTTCTGCGACTTCAGCATAAGACTGATCCATGGCGAGGTCACCGTCCTCGTCGATGGGTCGTTCAATCTTGACGCCTTCAAGCACATGGCTCGATTTCCCTCGCCGCCTCCTCGCTTCTTCCTCATCATCGTCTGCATTTGCACCAAGATTCTGCACAAACTCAGTTGTCTCATCGATGACCAGACCCTCCACATCGCCTTCTTCAGGAGTTTTTTCCTCCGAATCCGGAGTCGGTTGTGCGGAGGCCTCTTCCCTCATTTGACGAGCTATGTCTTCTGGTCGCATCTTCTTTCGTTTCCTGAGTGCTTTTTGTCGCTGTGCGGCAAGGTTAGCCTGTAAGTCGTCATCATCGATGAAAGACTGGTCAAACACGCTTTTCTTCTTTGGCTTGGGTGCGCTTGATTCGGTGGCATCGAGCTCCATGTGTTCACCAGGATCTTCGACCGCCAATAGCATCATCTCCTCGTCATCTTCAACCCGTTCTCGCTTCGCACTCTTAGATTTCTTCTTCTTTGGCTTCTTCATCTTCGTCTTGGACAAATCCAGGTAGTCATTGAGCGGCGCATCGTCTTGAAGGATGTCGAGACTGATCGCGACTCTCTTCGGCTGCCCAGCCCTTGCAGCTACTGCCTGTACGTCTTCGACGGTTCGTCCTTTGCCATCCAATGTAAAAGCATTACTTTTCTTGCCATCGATCTCTTCGTCATATTGGGCAAGAATGGACTTTTGGCCGCTCTCGTCATTGGGATCATACGCGCGCTTTCGCTTTTTTGAGTCCAGTCGCTCTTGTAGACGCTCTCTCTCTTTCAGGGCCACTGCTTCCAATTCGTCGTCGTCTTCAGCATCGACTGCAGTATCTTTGAGCACTAGAATCTGATCCTCGCCATCATCGAATTGATCGACTTCATGGCCAACTCTGACGCCTGCAAGATCTGTTTCTGTGTACTGCATGGCCTCACGAGCCTGCCGTTCCCGCTCCTCGAGTTCCTTCTGCATCTGCTCGGCCTTGAGGATCTTCTTCTGGCGCTTCTTGCTGCTCTTCAGCCAGGCCATATCGTCATCGTCGTCGTTGTCGTCGGCAAGCCCCTTGCCTTCGAGCTTCGCGGTGCGGGCAGCCTTCTCGCGCTCCCTCTTGATCGCAGCCGCGCGCTCCTCGCGCTTCTTCTTGGCTTCTTGTTCGGCATTGAGCTTCAACCAGTTATCGTGAGCGGCAGCCTGGCGCGTGTCGATCGTGCTTGCTGGTTCCTCGTCTGAGTCGTCGGCTGCGTTCGCGGACTTGAAAGTTGGACCTTCGGGAGCAGCACTGGCGGAGCCGCCTGGAAGCGCGGGCAGGCCCATGGAAAGGCGAATCTTGTTCGCCTCATCGATGCTGAGATCCGCCATCGCTGCGGCGTCTGTTGGAGGTAGGTGCGATGGTGGTGTGCAGAATCCGACCAAGGAGTAGAGTTTAGGCTACACGAGCTACACGAGCTGTTGGCTCAGTGAGAAGAGGTAGGCACTGGCTTGGTATGTCATGGTCGAGGCGCGAAATCGCGCCAAGCGCCACTATTACTAGCGCGCCCGGACCCTGCGCGCGCAGCTACAAAATAAATTTCTACGGCGCGTGGACGTTCTCTTCATCAACAGCCTGTGCCAGTTTTCCCGTCCACCCCTAGGGGTGTGTTCGGTCGAGAGCTGGCAGTTCGTTCGTGACCATGGAGCCGTCTTGATCAGTGGGCGTCAATTTCCGAACGACAGGCTGGAGAGCAAGTCGGTGCGTTGCTGTACATCTGAGCTTGCCGCAAGGTTTGAGCTCGGTGGAAGGTGCGCGCCAGGCAGACTGATTCCTGTTCCCTTTTGCTAGACCGTCGGTCCATGATGCTTGGGACAAACCCAGTTGGCTACATACTTTAAAGCGCGTTCGCGCTGTTACTGGTGACAGTGTGCCGTGGTACCTCTTCACAAGAGCTTCAGGTGGCCAGTTACCTGGTCAATGACTCCCTTCGGCGCAGGCCCAATGCCCAAGACAGTCGCACTCCCACTCGCGATTTGCGTACGGCCGGCGTCATGGATAATGTGCGCAACCAGCCCCAGACTCACAGCCTGAGCCTGCAAGATCTCCAGCTCCTCCTCGCCCTTGACCTGCAACGCTACCTTGGCCTGGCCCATTCGTTCCCAGCGGCTGAGAATAGTCGAGTTTGGTGCGTGTCGTAGGAAGTGCTTGTAGCATGCCAGCGTTGCGTGACCGCACTGTGCACCAATCTTACCTGCGAGGTGGTCAGCATCCACGGGGCCCTCTGTTTTTTCTAGTTTGTATGTAGAGGAATACCAACCCTTTGTCATTCCCAGGTCTGTTCGGACTACCAGCACCATCTTGCACTCTTCACTGTGACCCGGAAACTCAGCAGGTGCAGTGTCGTCATCCTCGTCCTCGTCCTCGTCGTCGCTGGACTCTGCCTCAGACTCGTGTGCCTTCCCGCTCTTTCCCCGTGGCGGCGCAGAGATTGGACTGCCTCCAAACAGGCCGAGTGACTTTGCGGTGCCAAGGAAGTAGCCAGTGACGCCGGCGAGTATTGCACACGCGAGCGCGATGTTCGCCGTCGAGGGTTGCGTGCTGTCCTGCATGGTGTGTGGGAGTGGCGGCTCCTGGGTCTCGGTGCACCAGCTGCGCAAAGTCGAGGGGGCGGCGAGCAGACAGCGGCCGTCTGGATGGTTTGGAACGTGCGACCAGGGTGGTTTGCGCAGAGTCGTCGAGTGCCCGCGCACGCGCGGTGGTCCGCACCGCACCGCGCTATTCCCCGTCTAAGCTCGAAAGATTTCAAGCGACGGACCTCCGCGTCGCTGCCATCGACCCCAACGCCGTGGCCACATCACCGCCGCCGGCCGCCGTATCCATCATGCATCCCCGCTGCCAATTGCTGTCGGGGCACCTGGCCACCGTCGTCCGCCCCGCGTCGTCGGCCCAGCGAGCCTTTAGCACCTCCGCGTCTCTCGCCATCAAGAACCCGCTGCAGCGACGCAAAGGCGGCGACCTCGGCTCCCACCTGCCCAAGCACGTTATATCGCGAGATCGCCACATCCCCGACTACCCGCACGGCGATCATGCGCTGTTCAAGCAGGCCGACAGAGGCCTCTACGGCGAGAAAATGATCCAATTCGGCAACAACGTCTCGCGCAAGACCGAGACGAAGACACGGAGGAAGTGGACGCCCAATGTACTGTCCAAGAGCCTGTATTCGGTTGCGCTGAGAAAGCGGATAAAGCTGCGCGTCACCGCAAATGTGATGAAGACCATTGACCGTGAAGGCGGCCTCGATGAGTACCTGCTCAAGGGTAGTGCTCAGCGTATCAAAGAGCTGGGCCCAATCGGCTGGGCGCTGAGGTGGACCTTGATGCAAAGGCCAGAAGTCATCGATCGACTGCGCGCCGAGGCCGCTGCGTTGGGCATTGACCAGGCCACCATCGACAAGCAGTGGCCGACACCTGCAATGCTCGCTCAACAGAGTTATGCCGAACGGGTATTGGCCCGCGAGCAAGCTCGCGCTCAGCAATCGGAGGTCGAGGGTGTTGACCAGGGCATGTGGGCCGGGGAAGAGGGCGCAGAGGATGTCGTCGACGGCACTGAAGCAACAATCAAAGACGCACTCACCACCCAGGAGGTGGAGGCTCGCAAGAAGGCATATGGCGAGTACGTCTCTGCGACCAAAGCTGCAAGACGGTACGTGGAAAGAGGCCTCGTCGATAGTGAAGAAGAAGGATTGAAGCTCGCCTTCGTCCGCGAGAGAGAGCGTATTGATGCCAGATTGAAGCTTCACGCCCAATTTACCGAGAAAGCCAAGGACATGTTCAGCTCCCAGGATATCAAAGAAATTCAAAAGCGGTTTGGGACACCCAACATGCACATCTCCCAGTTGCGGCGAATTGCATACAGGGAGCATTTGAGCGCCCAGGCAAAGGAAGCTGGTGGCTGGAAAGCATACAATGAAGCCAAACAGGAAGCAAACGCAGAGAAGCTTGCCCAGATCAAGGCCAAAATCGACGTGCTCGGTGGTCCTGAGGCATTGAAGGCCAGCAGAAAGGCTGAGTTTGCAAAGGCTGTTGCGGAGGCCGAGACCGCATCCACGAACCAGGCACTTGACGAGAACAGACGACAGTACCTCGAAAGCGCAATCAACAAGGCGGACATGGCGATCAAAGCCAAGGCTTCCGGTGGTGTTCAGGAGTACGTGGAAATGTCAGTGGAGCAAATCAAGAAAGCGAGCAGCCCAGGCCTTGATGCAATTTTCCGAGCATCGAACAAAGACAAGAATGCTGGTGGTGATGCATGGGCTGCGCTTGTCAACTCGGCGAAGAAACCAGCAGAGAGCAGGCCGAACGCGTAAGGTGGGTTCGCCGATTGTGGGTTTGCTTGTATAACTCTGTTGGAATCTCTTGTACAATTACAGTATCAGTCGGAATAGCGCACTGCCAGACTCCGATAATTTTCCAAATTCTTCGCGCACCAACGTGATAACATACACCAGGTGTGCCCACTATGCTTGCTCTCAGTCCTCGCTCATCTTTGAAAGCGACAAATGTGTCTAGGCAGCCAGTACCCCCTATCTTGTCTACAAGTGTTTGAGCACAAACAGTATGCTGCAAAAAACCGCATGTGATCCCGTCGCTATCATTGCTGCGTCAGCCTATTCGCATATAACTGTGCAAAGCCCCATCACTTCAGCCCAATGTCAAATTCCGTACATCATCCGCAACGTCATTAACGTTGTCGACGAACCAAGGGGCGACTCTTTCTCCGCTTTTCAGCAGTGAGGAGCCCACCCCTCAATGTCACATGGAGGTCAATTCACTCTGTATGATCTGATCGACCAGTCTGACTATGTGCTATCATTTGGAACTGTTCACACAGAACACATCACGTGTAGCCGTGAAGCTTGTGGCATGACATGTAGAAGACATGCTGTCACTTTCGACGGAGGAGATGTTTAAAGGGTGCAGTTCGTCTGTCAATTAACAAACATATTCAGCGTGCTCCACATACTGAGATAAACAAGGGGAGGTGAAGTCGTAAAATCTTGAATTCCGTATAAAGCCATCCAAAACACACCTCTCATGTGCAAACCGTGATGCTTTTCCTATGCACCAACGCGCATCGCAACAGCGCACCCACGCAAGCATACCGTAATGTACAAGAAGTGATTATATAACTCAGGTTGTGAGCAGCGAGGATATGCGCACAGGATGCCTTTGACGCCAAAGGAAGATGGATGACAACAGGGTTGATAAATTAACGGCAACAGATATTCCGCCCAATGGTAAGTTGACAGGTGCGCCAAATGAGATGGTGTATGGAATAATAAGACTGAAAGTCGAAACGCCGCGCTGAACATGATCAAAGACGTGATGCTGTGCAGATGGATGGGAGGGAAGAGACAAGCAGGGCTTGGGCGATGTGGGCTCGACACCTCCAGTCGTGGTCTCCGTGGTACAATTCGCGATCCAGGTCCGTAGTCATGGCTGATGAAGGCGGCTACTGGCACCAATGTCGGGCTGCTTGCACAGTCCGAGGCACACCAGTCAATACATAGTCCAGCCAAAGACCACGGTGGGACCTAGATAGAGTGTCGAACCCGAATGAATTTCAAAGCCGCTGGATGGTGTCTAGTTGGCTCCTTTCATTCTCTTTCCGCCTCCCACTCGCGGACTCTGCTTGATTTTGGGCCCGTCGTCATCTTGGTCTATCTTGACAGTACTCCGCCTTCGCTTCCCTGTGACATTAGGCGAGGTATTAACACTAGCCGTGTGGGAGTTCTGGCTTTGTTGCTTGACCATTTGATGGGACGCGGGTGACGGCGTGTGCATCAAGTGAGGTGATCCATTCATGGCTCCATTGGGCAGTAATTGGTTGGCCATGGCTGGTGACATGAACATGGGTTGACCGGGCTGGCCTGGACCCTGTGGCCCGCGTACCCCAGGCGGCATATTTCCTTGTTGCTGTCCAGAATTCTGCTGTCCTTGCAGTTGGGGGTTCTGTTGTATCATGGCGCCAGAAGTCGTCTGCATCATGTTGTTCCACGATTCCAGCGCTTCGCTAGGCTTCATATTGGAATTTTCGAGATAGTGAGTCATTAAGCTTGACATGTTATTCATCGTTTCGTAGATCTGGTCCGGTCAGTGTCGGTACACACGTAAAGACTGGTGAGAGATGCTGACCTCGAGATAATGCTGGAGCGCGGGAGGTATTCCCAGGTCCGTTACACCAGTACTAAGCAATTTGGACAGAGGTAAGTAAGGTTCTGGCGGTTCTAGTGCGTTGCGTTGTTGCTGTTGCTTGTTCTTGGCCGCGTTTTTATTCATGCGTGGCGACTGATTTGGATTCATCGGATTCGGCGACGGCTGTTGGAACAGGTGTTCGAGAGCATTTCGTGGGATGTACTGTTGATGTCCTGTCCCTTCAAACTGTAGCCATTCCATTTTATCAGAGCCTGACCAGAAAGCTGTTAACTTTCCCGTGTAGACGACCTGTGGTGTTGATTAGTACAAAGACAGATGTGAGCGGCTCAAGAAAACATACCTGGCACTGGTTCTCGTACGTGTAAATGAACTTTGCACGGTCGCAGGTAACTTTGTTCTCCGAGGGTCCCGTGTTCTCCTTAGCTCCGTCCAGTGTGATCTGGATATTCTGGATGTCTGTGTTGAAGACGGTGTAGAAATAGCGTGGCAATGCGGCACAGACGATCTCAAACTGCTTTGTCCGTTCTGCAGACATGGAGTATAGCACGTGGATAAAAGATCCACTCTCGTTGAAGAACTTGTCCACAAAGCTTTGCCATAAAGACACCTGATTTTGCTCTCCACGAGCAGACTAGATCTGTTAGCCACGGCCACGAAATGAGAGCATAGTACTTACAGTGAATTTGCCGAGCTGATCTACAAAGTTCATCAGTTTCAGCGTCCCCTGCCCACTAGGCTGTGCCTGGCTTTGCTTCATCAGGGCAATAGACCGAGCTTGCGCTTGTGCTTGAGCCGCCTGAGCCTGCGCTTGGCTTTGTGCTTGTGCTTGAACCTGTTGTGCCATTGCAGCGTTGCGCTGCTGCATTTGGGCTTGATTCTGGGGCTGCTGGCCGGGTTGCTGGGGAAGGCTAGGAGGCTGAGCCGGCGCTGGTGTTTGCTGCTGAGGTTGAGGTGCCGACTGTTGCGGCTGCGGCTGCTGTTGCGGTTGCTGCTGCTGCTGCTGCTGCGGCTGTGGCTGTTGCGGAGGTTGAGGTTGGGCAGCCGGCGAAGCTTGTCCTTGGTGGCTCATTGCAGACGGCGGGCGCAACGGGCCTTGTGGCGGCTGCGAAGTTGTCGGCGGTCCTTGATTTCCAGACTGGCTGTGATTACTTGACTGTGACTGCGCGTGCTGCATAGCAATTGCTTGCTGTTGATGTAAGTGATGTTGCTGCTGCTGCTGTTGTTGTTGTTGCTGTTGCTGCTGCTGCTGTTGCTGTTGTTGCTGCTGCTGTTGCTGCTGCTGCTGCGCCTGGGCTTGTTGGGCTTGATGCGCGGCTTGGGCTTGGGCTTGTGCCATAGCGACCTGTTGCTGAGGATTGCCTCCCTGTTGGCTTGCCATCTGCTGCTGCTGCTGCAACTGCTGCAGATGTGGCGGTAGCTGCACAAACGATTGACCCATTTGCTGCGCTCGCAGCTGATGCATCTGCTGCGGGGTCATGCCGCCCATGGCATTCGGGAATCCCATGCCCATCCCACCTTGCTGCTGAGCCTGCATTTGCTGGGACTGTTGCTGTCGCATGAAGGCTTGCTGTTGAAGCGCCTGCTGTTGTCGCTGCATCATAGCGGGGTTCACTACGGAGCACTGTTAGCAGATGAGTGGAACACACGCGAGCGGGACTCACTCATTCCGGGGTGCTGCGGCTGCTGCTGCTGGAACATCTGCGCCTGCTGCGGCTGCAGGTGGGAGAGGGCGTGAGCATTGGGCTGCATGCCGGGCTGCATGCCCATCATCGGCCCTGCCTGGCTCACGGGGCCGTTGGGACCCGAGACGCCGGGGTGCATGCCTGGGGGCATGTGCTGGCCGGGGTTGGGGCCTCCGCCGGCCATGGGGTGCCCGGGCGGGAGGCCTTGGGGGTGCATGCCGCCGTTGTGCGGGGGATAGCTCGTCGTCATCATCTTGGGGGCTCACGGTGTGCAGAGGGCGCGTTGCTGGGCGGCGTGCTGGGCGGCTTGCTGGGCGGTGTGCTGGACGGCGCGCTGGACGGCGTGCAGGCGGGGGTCGCGGCTGTGGCTGTGGCCAGCGGCGTCGCGGCCTCAACGGCGGCAGGAGCGGCGGCGGCGGCGGGCGGCAGCGACGCAACGGCGCGTCAAGACAGCGGGCGGGCGGCGGGCGACGGTGCGAGCACGAGACGCGAGCGCGCAGCGGCGGCGAGACGTGGGCTAGGCGCGCAAGCGTCGCGCTGGGCGTGCCGACGGCGGGCGGCGGGCAGACAGGCGGCGACGCAAACAGGAACGGGCGGCGTGCGGGCGCGCTGATGGGCGGCGCGGGCGCAGGCGCGGTGGTGGTGTCGCGGTCGGGGTGCGGGTGCTGGCGCGATGCGTCGGACGGGGCGTGCGGGCGTCGTGGAGAGAACTCGCCCCGAAAACAGGAGAGCGGCCGCAATGGGCGCCGGCGGGTCGTCGGTCGGCGGCGACGATGCGACAATGCGTCCGCCGTGCGCAGAGGGGGCGGGGCCTGAGGGTGCTGGAGACGCGGCGCTCGATGGTGGTGGTGTCGAGGGGATCTGCGAAGCGGCCCAGCGGTGGCTGGACTGCACTGGCTGGACGGGGACGGACGGGGTCGCGCACTCGCTGCACGCTTCCGCGACCACTCGGAGGCTGCGCGGCCGGCTCTGCGATCTCGTCGCGTCTGGGGCGGCAGCTGCGGCGGCGTCTGCTCTGCTCTGCGTCTCCGTCTGCGGCGGCGGCGTCTGCGTCTGCGTCTGCGGCGATGCTCGATGCTCGTCTCGTGTAGCCAGGATCCTCTCCTCCGCCAGCCTGCTGGACGAGTGCAGCGCAGCCCGAGCGCTGCCACTTGGCGCCCACGCTAGCGCGAGCCCTCACTTTTCTCGACCGCTGCACTTTTTCGCCGCCAGCACTTCCCTCTGCCCAACACCGCGCTGCCCGCCGCCGCTGTGCTCGCCGCCGCTCGTGTTGGGCCCTGCGCGCCACACTCACAGGTACGTCGCCGTCTGGCTTCTCTGCTCGTCGCTCCCTTGGCGAGATGATACTCATGCAACTTCTTTTCCAATCCGATTCGACCTTGAAGAAACCAGCGCTGTTCGGTTGCCCTTCGCCGGGCGACTGCTACTTGCCAGTACTGTTGTCTGACCTCCATGTTCACCCTGCGCTTTTGCCCGTTATTTGCTTTGTGCGCTGCTAACGGCCAAGCCTAGATCCCCAACACGTCGAAATGAAACTCAGAATCCGGCGCGCCTAACACTGAGGACGGCGCCCAGCAGCGTCTAGCGAGATTTGCCTGAGCGCTGCAAGTGTGGCTAGCTGCTCTATTTCTACTGACTTCACCCTCTACCAGCCAGCATCGTCTGGTCTCTGGAACCTTTGCTGCAGCCTGCTTGTCTGGTCGCATCCTCACGATGAAAACTTCACAATTCACAGTTTCCACGCTAGCCTCATATGAGAACCTTGTTGGTGGATGATGAGCCTTCATCCTTCCTTGCTGTCTCGTCTTGGGGACTCGACATGCATCGCGTTGCATTTTGCGCCGTGGAAGCTTGTGCTAATAAGCATGATGGACGAGTGGTCTTCACTGCCTTCCTGCCTCAAATGCCTTCGAGATATCATGACAACTCATACACTGACTGCGTACACTGACTGCATACACTGACTATGCGTGCCCTCAAGGGACGGAGTAGCTAAGCAGCGCTGCTGGACGTAATATTATATCAACTACACCGTCTTCCAACGTTCAATTTCACTGCGTGATTGCATCTGTAAATACAAGACAATCCTGTTCCATGCAACCTGCCAACATTTCCAAAACAAACGCGTATCAGGACCTCGATGTACACATGGGCGAATGCCTGGGTCATAGATAGACATGCTTGGTAGACGCGACACTCCAGCCGCCGAGCGCGTGTGGAGTGCATATCCGCTGTCGTGCCCTAATTCAATTTGCTTCGGACCTGCAGTGCTGCAGGCTGGTGGTTATCTCGTGAACGGCAACGGCGTCATTGCGCCAAGCTCCACACTAGCTCCGCCCACCACATCCAACTTCGTCACCTACCAGCGAGTACCACCGCCTATTGCGCCCGCCGAACACTCTGCCTTGAGCGACACGCCCCTCTCCACATCGCTCATCAACACCGCCAGCATGGCCACTCTCGACCCCCGTATGATGTCCGTCCAGCCACGGATACGGTACAACACGATTGGCGGCGTGAACGGCCCTCTCGTCATCCTCGAGAACGTACGCAGCCAGTCAAGGTCCAGCGCAGCGCGACACACGCTTACACGCTTGGTGGATAGGTCAAATTCCCCCGTTTCAATGAGATCGTCTCTCTCACGCTGCCTGATGGTACCGAGCGCTCTGGACAGGTCCTCGAAGCACGAGGTAAGCTGGCGCAACCCTGCATCGGCACCCAGAAGCTAAACTCAACGTATAGGTGATCGCGCCGTCGTCCAGGTACATATAGTCATAGCGATCGGCGCCATACACGTTCCTAATTGCGCTGCAGGTTTTCGAAGGCACATCTGGTATCGATGTCAAGAAGGTACACATCGAAGCCCAGCTAGCAGAAGACGGATCTGACAGACGCAGACCAAAGTCGAGTTCACAGGGCACAGCTTGAAGCTTGGTGTCTCCGAGGATATGCTGGGTCGCATCTTCGATGGATCTGGCAAGGCTATCGACAAGGGACCCAAGGTACTTGCTGAGGACTACCTGGATATCAATGGTAGCCCTATCAACCCATACTCCCGAGTAAGATGACACCATCCAGCCAATACTTGCTCGGAATTGACGCATCTAGGTGTACCCCGAGGAAATGATCTCTACTGGTATCTCCGCCATCGACACCATGAATTCGATTGCTCGTGGCCAAAAGATTCCCATCTTTTCCTCGTCTGGTCTTCCTCACAACGAGATCGCCGCTCAGATTTGCCGACAGGCTAGTCTGGTCAGTGGACCTACCAAGGTCGATAAGGGCGTACATGACGGACATGCGGACAACTTCTCCATCGTGTTCGGCGCCATGGGTGTCAACTTGGAGACGAGCCGTTTCTTTACCAGGGATTTCGAGGAGAACGGTAGCATGGAGCGTGTCACCCTGTTCTTGAACTTGGCAAACGACCCTACGTGAGTGGATTTCTTAGATCTAAATCGACTTTACTGACGCATCACAGCATCGAGCGTATCATTACTCCTCGCCTCGCCCTGACCACTGCCGAGTACTACGCTTACCAGCTCGAAAAGCACGTCCTGGTCATTTTGACTGACTTGTCCTCCTACTGCGATGCCCTCCGTGAGGTGTCTGCCGCCCGTGAAGAAGTCCCCGGTCGTCGTGGATACCCCGGCTACATGTACACGGATTTGTCTACCATCTACGAGCGGGCTGGTCGTGTCGAGGGCAGAAACGGCTCTATCACCCAGATCCCTATTCTGACCATGCCTAACGACGGTGAGCACGCCTTCCATTCTTCCAAATGGCACACTAGCTAACTCCATCCAGATATCACACATCCCATTCCCGATTTGACAGGTTACATTACCGAAGGCCAGATCTTCATTGATCGTCAGCTGTATAACAAGGGTATCTACCCGCCGATTAACGTCCTGCCCTCTCTCTCTCGTCTCATGAAGTCTGCCATTGGCGAGGGCCGAACACGAAAGGACCATGGCGACGTTTCCAACCAGCTGTACGCCAAGTACGCCATCGGTCGCGACGCCGCCGCCATGAAGGCAGTTGTCGGTGAAGAGGCTTTGTCGTCGGAGGATAAGCTGTCCCTCGAGTTCCTCGAGAAATTTGAGCGCTCTTTCATTGCACAGGGTGCGTACGAGTCCCGTAGTATCTTCGAGTCACTTGACCTCGCGTGGTCCCTGCTCCGTATTTTCCCCAAGGAGCTCCTCAACCGTATCCCCGCCAAGGTTCTTGATCAGTACTATCAGAGAAGTCGCGGCCAGGGTGACAACAAGAAGACTGCGGCTGCAAAGGATGCGCGGGACGATGCCGCCCAGAACGAAGGCCAGAACGGACAACAGGATGAGAACCTCATTGATGTATAAAGTTTGAGGGGTGTACAGTCGATCATCAAGTCATAGTCAGCGAAATAGATGTTTTTGGTTCCCTTGAGTAATTACGAGCAATTGTCCAGCACGTTTCGCACACTTGCAGACTGGTGCGGGAACATGAGCGATGACCACAGACGAAAAACATGATCCGTTCATGACCTTACACTATAGTCCTCGCGACTCGTCCCTTGACTCTCGATCACCCTCGCAATCTCGTCCGCCTTTCGCATCTCCAAGCTTCAATAGATCATTTTCAATCCCATAGTCTCATGTCCCCTGAGCTTACAACAGCACCCGCACCTTGATTTGGTGTGTTCGATTATGCACAATCTCGTTTACCTGTTGTTACATCCCAAAACGCCTGTCGCTAACATGCAGTATTACGGCCCCCAATTCCCAGATTCACCTTGCCTTGGGACTCGAATCGTCGAATTCCTCTATGCCAGCCCGAGGGCTACCCATTGGTTCCACCCTTCGCGCTCCTCGATCTGGCACGCTAATCGCAGATGGTTGCTGCGTGTAGAAATTGCCCAGTACCGCCCACATTTTGTCTCGCAGTCCCTGGAACGGTTGCTTGCCGGGTGTGGGATTCATTGGGTCCTGGGCGAAATCGTAGAAGAAGACGCCGTGCACGATAACAAAGCTGATCATGCTCCACTGCACGATTTTGGTCCACTTGTTCCACGTTGGCTTGATCGACTTTAGCCGCGTACGGCGCTTGAATTTGCGCTCGAAGTGGAATTGTTGCTTCTCGGTCAGCTCGCGGAGGTTCGGTGGCCATTTCTTCTTCGCGTGGAATCGGTTACGAGCGAAGTCGAAGGGCGGCAGCTGGCTCTGCTTCCGGCCCAGCAGGCGGTTGATGAAGCCCATCGCCGACATGGCGCTGGCTATGTAGAAGATGACTGGCGAAGATGAGGTTCTGAATGCGACACTGCGGTCCCTCAATTAACGATGTCCGAACAAAGCTCCCGGCAGCTCGTGCAGGGCTCGCGCTAGCTTGCCTTGGCATCGCACTTTTGCTGGAGAGGCGGCCAAAGCGCTACCCAGTCATTCAGTGTCCCGCTTTGACACATCAAACAACCCGCTTTCTTCTTACGCTCCCTTTCACCGCTTCAGACACTCGAAAAGATGGCGGAGACTGCAATCCCGAAAGATGTCCCCAAGGATGCTGTGACTGCGACGATTGACTTGCTCAAGCCGCAAGAATCGCAGGACAAGACGCTCAAGATCGAAAACACTGAGAAGAGAGACACCTTGATTGAGGCCGAAAAGAAGTATCAGAAGTCTTGGGAAGAACAAGGAGTTTTCCAGCCGGATGCACCGTCTCTCGAGGAAGTACCATTTGACACCAACCCGGAGGAGCTACGCGCACAACATCCAAAATGGTTCGGTAACTTTGCCTATCCATACATGAACGGAACTCTCCACGCCGGCCATGGTTTCACTGCGTCGAAAGTTGAGTTCACTGCCGGTTTCCAGAGAATGACTGGCAAGCGGACCTTGTTCCCTCTTGGTTACCACGTGACCGGCATGCCTATCAAAGTGAGCCTTACTGCTCACGCAATATTGTACTAAATTTGCTGACTACGTAGGCCTGCGCAGACAAGCTTGTGAGAGAAGTGGAGCAGTTCGGCAAGAACTTTGAGCGATGCCCTGTTGAGGATGTTACAGAGGCGCCCCAAGAACCGCCTGCACCCACACAGGCAGAGACCAAGACTGACCTCTCCAAATTCAAGGCCACCAAAGGTAAAGCAGCGGCCAAGACAATCAAGACCAAGTATCAGTTCCAGATCATGCTCGCACAAGGCATCCCTGTGGAAGAGATTCACAAATTCGCGGATCCGTACCACTGGATCCAGTTCTTCCCTCCCCTTGCCAAGCGCGACCTTACAAACTTTGGTGCCAGAATAGACTGGCGACGACAGTTCGTCACTACAGATGCCAACCCATACTACGACTCGTTTGTTGCATGGCAGATGCGCAAGCTTAAGGAGCTTGGCAAGATCATATTCGCCAAGAGGTACACAATCTACAGTCCCAAAGATGGCCAGGCATGTATGGACCACGACAGACAATCTGGTGAGGGCGTTGGCGTACAGGAGTACACAGCTTTGAAAATGAAGGCAGTGAAATGGTCGGACGCGGCGAAGGCTATCATCGATGGAAAGCTTCCCGAGGGCGCTAATGCATACTTCGTCCCCGCTACGCTGAGGCCCGAGACTATGTACGGCCAGACCTCGTGTTTTGTCGGACCCACCATCGAGTACGGACTGTTCCATGTCAAAGATAACGACTACTTCGTCTGCAGTCAGCGTGCAGCTCGCAACATGAGCTACCAACCTGGCACACCCGGTACTTTCTCTGAAGAGGGCAAGATTAATCAAATTGCGAGCTTCAAGGGCAAGGATCTTGTCGGTACCATTGTGAACGCACCTCTCTCTGTTCACAAGGAGGTCTACATCCTGCCTATGGAAACCGTCAAGGACACCAAGGGAACTGCCGTCGTCACTTGCGTTCCTTCCGACTCGCCCGATGATTACATCACGTCGTTTGACTTGGCGAAGAAGGCCGAGTACTACGGTATTCAGAAGGATTGGGTCAAGTTCGACGACATCCTTCCCATCATCGACACCCCGACCTACGGCAACCTTTGCGCCAAGAAGCTTGTAGAGGACCTGAAGATTCAGTCGCCCAAAGACTCCGCTAAGCTTGCAGAAGCGAAGGACAAGGCGTACAAGGAAGGCTTCTACAAGGGTACCATGGTGTACGGTGAGCTGAAGGGCAAGTCTGTCGAGGAAGCCAAGCCTCTGGTTCGCAAGCAGCTTATCGACGCTGGTGATGCTTTCCCCTACGCCGAGCCCGATGGCAAGGTCATAAGCCGCAGTGGCGATGACTGCGTTGCTGCTTTGCTCGATCAGTGGTATATGAACTATGGTACTGCAGAAAATGGTGGTGATGGGGAGTGGGCCGAGAAGGTCCGCGCTCACATTGAGAATGAGCTCAACCTCTACTATCCTGAGGCGAAGAACCAGTTTTTGCGTGTTGTCGACTGGCTGGGTAACTGGGCCTGCGCGCGTTCGTACGGTCTTGGCTCGAAAGTTCCTTGGGACGAGGCTGTCATGGTCGAGTCTCTTTCGGACTCCACAATCTACCAGGCTTACTATTCCTTCGCTCATCTTCTGCACAAGGACATGTTTGGCAAGGAGCCCGGCCCTCTCAATATCAAGCCAGAGCAGTTTACTGACGATGTCTGGGACTACGCCTTCGGCCGCCGCGAGCGCATGAACATTCCTGATTCGGACATTCCGAAGGAGGCTCTGCAAACTTTGAGGAGGCATTTCGACTACTGGTACCCGCTCGATATGCGTACAAGTGGTAAGGACTTGATCCAGAACCACTTGACCTTCAACCTCTATGTCCACATCGCCATCTTCAATCAGGAGAACTGGCCACGCAGTTTCCGTGTAAACGGTCATCTGCTTTTGAATGGCGAGAAAATGAGCAAGTCGACTGGTAACTTCCTCACCATCGCCGGTGCTGTAGAAAAGTTCGGCGCGGACGCTACGCGTCTGGCCCTCGCTGATGCTGGAGATGACATGAATGATGCCAACTTTGAAGAAACGGTCGCCAACGCTAACATCTTGAAGCTGTACGAGCTGCGCAAATGGTGCGAGGAGCTTGTTCGCGAGAAAATCACCATTGCAGACGGTTCCAAGTACACGGAGACCAAGGAGAAGGAGCGCGTGAGAAATCCCGACGTCATTCAGCGTCAGAGCGGAAGCGAACGTGTTCTTCTCGACGAGATGTTCGACAACGAGATGAATGCGCTCGTCGCCGAGACATATGGTCATTACTCAAGCACCATGTACAAGGCAGCTCTCAAATCGGGTTACCATGACTTCACATCCGCTCGTGACTTCTATCGCGAGGCCACCAAGGCTGCTGGTATCGGTATGCATGAGGACCTCGTTAAGAAGTTTATCGAACTACAGGCTTTGATGATCGTTCCCATTGCCTCTCACTGGGCTGAGCACATCTGGCTTGAGGTGCTCAAGAAGGATGAAACCGTACAGAAGGCGCAGTGGCCCAAGGTTCCTGAGGCGGATGCGCGCCTCTCTGCTGCCCGTGACTTTGTTCGCACTACACAGTCAAACATCACGTCTGCTGAAGGCGCAGCTGTCAAGCGTCTAAGCAAGGGCAAGGCCGCAAGTTTCGATCCTAAAAAGGAAAAGAAGATCACCATCTTCGCAGCGCAGGAGTTCCCTACTTGGCAGAAGAAGTAAGCAACAACAATGTGCAGATTCAGCTTGCACGGTCTGACATTATTTCCAGGTACATTCAGTTGATTCGCGACAACTACCCGAACCTCGATATCAAGGTCCTTAGCAAGCAGATTGATAAGTCTGAGTCAAAGAAGGCCATGCCTTTTATCAATGCCCTCAAGCGTCGTCTTGACGCTGGGGAGCCCATTGACATCGTTCTCAACCGTGAGCTCGCCTTCAACGAGCTTGATACTCTGCGCTCTATGGTCCCCGGTCTCAAGCAGATAATTCAGAAGTGTGTGGATGTTGAGATCATCTCTGTTGCGGATGGTGGCAAGGAGAGTGTCGTCATCAAGGAGGACGGAAGCAAGGGCGAGCAGAGGAAGGAGCTACCCCCACAGGCGGGTAGCGCAGAGCCCGGCAGCCCGAGCTTTGCGTTTGAGAATATCGAGAGTCTACCACTGAGGTAGATGGACTTCCAATCATGGAGTTATGGCCGGAGTATGAAACATACGATCATCTACGAAGCATACAATTCGTGCTGGACCCTAACTAGGGGGAGGAAGCTTGCTGGACGGGGTAGATTCTACGAAAAACCATTTCATTGGGTATGCCATACTTTCACCTCACGAAGCCTTAGTACGTGAAAGAGAAAAGGCGCCATCGTCTTACGAATCCAGTCACCCAACTCAGTCGCAAATCCTAATTCTGGTGCACGAAGCTTACGATTTACTCCGCCTTACGTGAACCGAATACCCTCGTGCTATTTGTTTGTCTGTAATGGCGTGTTGGAGGATCGAGCTCACTTTGCAACCCTAAGGTGGTATTGTTCGGACGGACCGGTGCATCAGAGTAGAGCCATTGATGTGCTATTCGGTTTAGTTCGTTGACTGCTGTAATCAATGTGTAAGCGCGATTGCTAAACGCTTCGAATGGGCGAGCTAAACATTGTTGCACGCGAGCGACGTGTGACCGGCTCTTTATTGCGAGCATACACGATGTCTTGCACTAGAATCAGGCGACTCATCGAGCCTTCTCTGCTCAGTCCTGTCTATGGACGGCGGTGAAGTACGTCACTTGCACACTGCAGAGCTATTAGCTGACAGCTCCGTGCACTAGCTGCAGATAGTACAGCGTTGATACTTCTCCCCATTACTCTCGAAATCGTTGGATGGGTCGCACCTGCACCTTGCACAATCCGGTCACTCGCCGACACGACAAATCAAAAATAGCTCGATGATTAGTGAGAAGGAAGAATTCAAGTTCATTTACGGGCCTCTTGGCACACCGTATCGCTATGTAACATTATCAAAATACGCAAATATGTAAATCGGGTGGCAACTACCACTTAATCTTTTTATCCTTGCCAATGTACTCGTCGATGATGTCGAGGTAGTACTCTTTGAGCTCGCTGACCTTAGGTACTTCGTCGGACTTGCTGTACAGATCGTAAGGGTTGAACGCCCTGACGGCCTCCAGCATTTTGTGGTCCTTCTCGTTCATCATCCAGCGGTATGCATTCTCCTTGTGCCAGGGATAGAAAGAGTGGTATCGGATCATGGCCAAACCCTCGTCGGGGATAGTCGACTGCTCCTTCATGATGTGGTAGAGGTACTCATCGTGACCCCATGACAGCATGACATTATCAAGACCACAGCCGGGAACGTAGATTCCGTGCTCTGTGCTGTAGATAGCGTCGTTATAGTCGGGGTTGTTCTTGAACGTGTCGGGATAAATGACACGGTTGTCAAAAGCGCAGCCAACGGGGAATGTGTCACCGACAACATCCCACTGACCCTGAGCATCGTAGAAGAAAAGGAGTTTGCCAAGGTCGTGAATCAGACCGACAAGCTGGAACCAACGAGGCTTTCCGTCACGGCGGATGGCCTCGGCGGACTGGAGCAGATGGTCGATCTGTGAAAGGGAAGTGTCAGGATCAGACTCGTCAATCAGTGTGTTGAGCTTCTCCATGGCTTCCCAGATGGTCATCTCAGCACGCGTCTTGCCGTAGAAATGGTTTCGGGCCTTTAGATTGTAGGCAACAGTTTGCTTCTCGTGCTGCTCGCGATAGAAGTTCTTGACACGGTCGCATGCCTCCTCGTATTGGCGAAATTGTGTCTTGTCCTTCTCGGAGTCGAACTGGGACTGGGCGTATATGTCCTTCTCCTCTTGCGTAGCAGTACCCTGTTTGACCTTTATGGCGGCTTTGAGAACATTGACATCGTCTACTGCGTCTGATGTAGCCTCAAGGGCAAGTCCATCGCGATGGTCGTTGAAGTTTTCAGCCACGTTGGGCTCTTCGTAGATGGCGCCCGGTGCCATTGTGATGTATGATGTGTGGTCGTGGGTTGTTAGGCGTGTGCTCTCGCCGAAGTCTTCAATGAATTATGATGAAATCTGAGATCGTAGTGAACTGGTAAGTCTCGGATGAAGTGTTGTTGATACTAAGATGGTGGTGCGCAGGATGAAGGTACTTATCCTCTGTTACCCCAGCCCACGCCAACGTATGCTTTCTAAGTTCAGTAACCTCACCATGTCCAGAAACGCCTTTCTGTGGACAGAGAATTCTCGCTCTCCATCTGAGGTCCACTGAAACGAGGACTCTCCGCGATGGAGGGCTCAATGTGGATTGCGGGGAAATTCTGCCCGCCCGTTAGACCGCAGATGAGAGATCTGGGGTTTTGCAGGCCAGCGCTGACCACAGCACCGCAGGATTATGCGGCAGGTGGTTGGTTCGCCCGTCTTAGACTTCACATCGTCGGGCGTTAGTGGCGTAGAGTAGCCAGTTTGAGATCGGAAAGAGTAATTCTCGCCGCTGCTCCGATCGTGTAGCCGCTAGCGCCGGTTGTTGAGCGGGCGTTGATCATGCGGAAGTGTATGATGACGAAGCTTGGAGCACTTTCCCAGCCAGCCAATATCACGTGACTATCAAATGCGCCTCGGTCGTGACTTCCCCGACAGATACGAATAAGGCAAGGACGACCACTTGGCACGCTTCAGCCTCCTGAAAACTTTTCCGTTGCTGGAGCGGAGAGGCTTGCAGCGGCGCGCATCAACGTTTGTCCAGCATCGAGCGGCTCAGCTCTGCTCGCATTGCCCCGCCATTGCCCCGCCGTCGGCATTCGGAAGAATTAATCTCATCAATCACAAGTGACGTCGGCCCCAGAATGGAGTAGGGCAGCTATGGCGTGGGTATGCTGAGCCATGGGCCCCCATACTGCATCCCACCATACTAAATACATATAATCGGTGCCGCCATGAACCCCGCCCTCTCGAAGTTCATTCTCAAAGCCACCCCTGAATCTATTCTCAACCCACAGCCCGACATGAATACCGCAATCCCACTCAACACTGGCGCAACAATCCCGGCCCTCGGCCTGGGTACGTGGCAGTCTGCGCCGGGTGAAGTCAAGAAGGCCGTCGTCCACGCCATTGAGGCCGGCTACAGGCACATTGACTGCGCTTTTTGCTACCAGAACGAGGATGAGGTTGGCGAGGCCCTTCAAGACGTCATCTCGCGTGGTATCGTAAAGCGTGAGGATCTGTTCATTACAAGCAAGCTGTGGTGTACGTTCCACACTCGTGCCGAGGAAGGACTTCAGAAGAGCTTGGATCTGCTCAAGACACCCTACGTCGACCTCTTCCTTATGCATTGGCCAGTGCCCATGAACCCTAATGGTGAGCACCATCATGTATCTGGTACTGCCTCTGTTAACGACCGCAGGAAACCACCCCCTCTTTCCCAAACTCGAGGACGGCAGCCGTGACATCGATCACTCTATCACACACATCGACGCGTGGAAGAACCTTGAGAAGCTGATTCAGACACACCCCGAAAAGGTCAAGGCGATCGGCGTCGCCAACTACTCTGTGAAGTACCTCGAGAAGCTCCTCGCGAAGGCCTCCATTGTACCCGCTGCCAATCAGATCGAGAACCACCCTCTTCTGCCCCAGCAGGAGATTGTCGACTTCTGCAAGGAGAAGGGTATTCATATCACCGCCTACAGCCCGCTTGGCAGCACAGGCTCACCCTTGTTCAAGGATGAGGGTGTTATCGCTGTTGCAAAGAAGCATGACGTTGCTCCTGCCACGGTCCTTCTCTCCTACCACCTTGCCCGTAACTCTTCCGTCCTGGCTAAATCCGTGACGCCGTCGCGCATTGACGAGAACCGCAAGCTCATCTCGCTCGACAAGGAGGATATCGAGAACCTCGAGGCTGTCCAGAAGAAGAACGGCCCAACAAGATACGTCTACCCGCCGTTTGGCGTTGATGTTGGGTTTGCCGACAAGCCCGGCGGCATCGACCTTTCTGGTTGACTCTCCAAGCTGTGAGGAGTACATTTGAGCTAGACAAAATATCATGATTTCAATGAACATATATTACGCTACGTTAATCGCCCTTCGATGCTATTTGTGAAACGGCAATGTGTTTCCATACATTCGCTCAACAGTATATAGCTCCAAGTCGTCTCAGTGATGATAGTTCGTATCCAATCAGCGATTTCAACTGATACATGCAGGTAACTACTGCCCTTCGGTGGTAGAATTGTGTCTATCTGCCCATCCATCCACCGTCGACAGTTAGAATTTCTCCAGATACATATGCACTTGCAGCACTGCCCAAGAACACCACGGCGCCCTTGAAGTCCTCAGGACTGCCCCACCTGCCGGCAGGGATTCTGCTCAGTATGCTCTCAGCACGCTTCTCGTCCTTGATCAGAGCCTCATTCATGTCTGTCGCAATATAACCCGGGGCGATAGCATTGACGCTGATTCCCTTACTCGTCCACTCATTGCTCAAGGCCTTGGTGAGCTGACCAACCCCACCTTTAGATGCTGCATATGCAGGGACTGTAATGCCGCCCTGAAAGGTGAGGAGGGAGGCTACATTGATGATGGAGCCTCGACGGTTGAGAGGCAGGTCTGCAGGCTGCTCGAGCATGTGGGCACCGACATCGCGACACAGGGTGAACACGCTGGTGAGGTTGACTTGTAGCACAGCGTTCCAGTCATTTTCTGGGAACTGGTGCGCGGGGTGCCGCTTTTGGATGCCGCCACAATTGAGCAGGATATGGATGCGGTGTCCGTCGGCGAGGATTCTAGGGGTAAGCTGAGTGACGGAGTCGTTGGAAGACAAATCGGCGGTGTAGATGGTTGCCTTGCGACCGAGTTTCTCAATCGCTTCTTTTGTCTGCTGATTCGACTCGTCGCGCTAGGAATTGTCAGCGAATTGTCGGAAGGGCTAGAAGTCCGGATTTACCTGGACAAGGAGGATGTCTGCTCCTGCTTCGGCGAGGGCAATCGCCATAGATTGACCAATTCCTCGTGTGCCTCCTGTTACGAGGGCGGTTTGCCCCTCGAGAGAGTAGAGCTGCTGTACAGTGGCCATCGTGTGTGCTAAATCTCCAGTGGTGATTCGGAATGACGCAGTTGTAGGCAGAGTTGAGTAACAAGATGAATAATGGCTTCGGCAGGCTACAATATCAATAGAGACTGAACAGTCAGACACACGTATCGACGAGGTAATTCTCTGGCAGAAGAAGCTTGCGGCACTTCAATTCCAGCGCATCATGCTGCAAGCTTGGTTGACGCTCGGAAGGTGTTCGGAAAGCGACCCCACATTTTCAAACGCCGACGCGCGACAATGATGCGGGACAGCAAACGCCGAAGTGGGAAGCTGTCTCCACGATCGTGTGTTTCTGGGTAAGGTTTGCCGCATGCGCGTAATAGTTTTCCGTGGGATTGGCAAGACCAATCCGGGCGTGGACTCTTCTTCTCCATCATACCTTCACGACAGACGCTATTCTCAAGCCCTGAAGAAGTAACATCGCATTGATCACTTAACTCAACGCAACCGAACCATCATGTGCGCAACACACGCCCAGACTGCGACAGAAAGCAGGCCAGATGCCTCAAGCCAAACCCAGATCCGCGCGTCTGTCTTGCATGGCGCAAAAGACCTGAGAATCGTAAGCACTGGATCCGAGTGTCGCAACAATTAAGGCCTAACAAACAGTTAGGAATCACGCTCAATCTTTCCTCCAGGCCCAACAGAGCTGCAAGTCAGCATTCGTTCCACAGGACTCTGTGGCTCGGACCTTCACTACTACAGGCATAATCGTAACGGCGACATCATCGTACAAGAACCGCTCTCTCTTGGCCACGAATCTGCAGGTGTTGTTGTTGGTGTTGGCTCAGAGGTCAAGAACTTCAGTGTTGGTGACAAGGTAGCACTAGAAGTTGGCCAACCTTGCGAGATTTGCGAGAGGTGTAAAGAGGGGAGGTATAACATTTGCAAGAGCATGAGGTTCAGGAGTAGTGCGAAAAGCTTCCCACATGCACAAGGAACGCTGCAGGACAGGATCAATCACCCTGCAGCCTGGTGCCACAAGTCAGTTCGATAGTTGCACCCAGATGGATATTTGCTAATTGGTGTAGACTGCCTGAAGATATGTCACTCGATCTCGGTGCGCTACTAGAGCCATTGAGTGTGGCTATTCAAGCAGCGAAAAGAGCGCAGTTGCAAGCCGGTGCGACAGTGTTGGTCTTTGGTGCAGGTGCCGTGGGTCTGCTGGTTGCCGCAATGGCCAAAATTTCAGGCGCTGGCACAGTGGTCATTGCAGACATTGACCAAGGACGAGTGGATTTTGCTGTCAAGAATCATTTCGCCGATCACGCCTTTACAGTACCGATGAAGCGTGGCAACACGATCGAAGAACAGCTTGATATTGCAAAAGAGACAGCTGCAGCGATCGGGAAATCTCCAAAGGGTAGTGCTGGAGAGATTGGTGAGGTTGATGCTACATTTGAGTGCACAGGTGTGCCCTCATGTGTGCAGGCGTCGATATACGTAAGCGGCTTCTTTCGTAGCCACAGACAGACACTAACACAAGAAAGGCTACTCGACCAGGAGGTAAGATGCTACTTATCGGTATGGGAACACCAATTCAGACTCTGCCGATCTCTGCTGCAGCCCTTCGCGAGGTCGACATTCTCGGCGTGTTCAGGTATGCGAATACGTATCCAACTGGCATTGAGGTTGTTTCCAAGAAGGGGCCAGAGTACCCCGATTTCTCGAAGCTTGTCACACACAAGTACAAAGGCCTTGAGGCCGCCGACGAAGCGTTCGACATGGCCGGCAGGACAAAAGATGACAGTGGTAATCTGGTCATTAAGGTTGTACTAGAGACTGGCGAAGAGAAGGCGAGCTTGTAAGTATCATGTATGGTGTTGCTATTCGCGTCTGAAGAGCTCGTTGTACATACGGAGTAGACCACTTTAAACCAAAGCAATGACGTATGCGGAACAGTCGCTTGTCTGCAAGTCAACCCGTGACACATATGCTGATTATTGCAGATCATCTCGACTGTCACCATAGAGACAATGCGCTGCCAATTTGCTGAGCATATTCGCTTTCTTCCCGTGCCTTCAAGAAGCCGAAGGGCACTTGTTGTGGTGGAGTTTTGCGGGGTGACCGTTCTTGAAGGAGAAGATTTCCCCGTTCGGCCCGGTCCCACCGGCGACCGGCGCGCCACAACTCCACAAAAATGCTTCACGCCGATAGCCCTTGTATCCAGCATCTGCAAGCGAACATCATGGTGTCTGGTTGATCGTTTTCAGCTGGTGTTTCGAAGGCCGGATCTTTCCACGTGGGAACAGCCGTCCCATCGCATATCGACAATTGGGACAGAGTCTACATGAACGTTGCACACGCTTATGGAAGGTGTGGGCGAGATTACTCGATGGAGTGCTCGGTTTCTTGAACGTAGAATCTGCGGCTCATGGTGGCTGTCCGGGTGTCAAAGGTAGTGCAACAGACCCTGAAAGCTATGGCCCATAAACTTTTAGGCGGTGACCTCGCAGCAAGTGAACAAGACATAACTTTGTCTTCGCCCACTCTCTGCACTAAACATCTCACCACGCTCTTCTCTTAGACTTCCCCTTCCAAGTTTCTTCCTCGCAAAACAATTCTTCGGTACAATGGTTGAGCTCTGTAGACTCAAGGTTGCTTGCTCCGGCCTCGGTCGCATGGGCGCGCGTCACGCCCTTCACTTCCTGCATCGCACACCCAAGGCCGAGCTTGTTGCAGCTTTCACACCAGACTCCAAGGAGGCAGCGTGGGCAAGAGAGCACCTTGAGCCATTCGGCGTCAAGATCTACAGCAACTATGACCAGATGCTGAAGCACGAGGGTCTTCAGGCAGTTGTCGTTGCAACCGTTACCACAGCGCACGTTGAGCAGTCTATCAAGGCCATACAGTCCGGTAAACACGTTTTGTGCGAGAAGCCTTTCAGCACAAAGCTCTCCGCTGTATGTACCTGCCATGTAATCCTGAATTGAGCGCGTAACTGATCCCTTACAGTGCGAGGACCTCCTCAAGACCGCCGCTGCCCATCCCAACGTTAAGGTCATGTGTGGCTTCTCCCGCCGTTTCGACGCCTCATACCGCAATGCATACGCTCTTGTCAAATCGGGCGATGTGGGACGACCTTCGATCCTCCGATCCCAGACCTGCGACAAGTACGATCCCTCGGGCTTCTTCGTCGAATACGCGAAGTTCTCTGGCGGTATCTTTGTCGATTGCAACATACACGACATCGATCTCGCATTGTGGTACTTTAGTGCCGACTCTGACGGCAAAACCCTGCCCAAGGTCAAATCCGTTGTTGCCTTTGGTATCACAGCTCTCGAGCCTGATCTCGCCAAATATGGAGATGTGGACAACGGAGTAGGCATCGTTGAGTTCTACGATGGCCAGATTGCATACTTCTACAGTTCGCGCATGAACGCACCAGGCCAACACGACATGACCGAGATCATCGGTACAAAGGGCAAGCTCGCTGTCAACTCCAACCCCATGACGGACCTTATGGAGGCACACCTGCCCAACGGCGTCCAGCGCGCTATCCCCCAAAACTACTACGAGCGCTTCGAACAGGCTTTCGTCACCGAGGCCAACGAATTCACAGACATCGTTCTCAACAATAAGGACACCCCCGTCAGCCTTGAGAGCTCGTACCAAGCCGTCAGGATTGGCGTTGCGCTGCAGGAGAGTCTAAGGAGCGAGAAGAAGATTTGGTTCGACCGTAATGGCAACCAGACAGGCAAGCCACAGACGAAGTCCAATCTGTAGATTCTAAAAGCTCTTTTCATTATTGCGTAGCGTGTCATGAACCATGGGATCATATCAGCTAGAGTCATCGATGCCTGAATCAGATCCGTTGATCGGGTTCAAGGACTACGGGCACTTAGACTTCCTAATGCACACCATTTTTCAACGTTTTTTCTTATTGTTACTAGGTGCGACGCGCATTGATCCGAACACCGGGCACCAGGCTATGAGCATCTTGCGTGTTCTCGATCTTTCACCTTGCCAGCCTAGCCATTCCTATCAGGTTTTATTGTCCTGCGTGTGAGGGCACTGTGATCTTAGTCGCGTCTGTCCACATAGGAATATAGAGCAAAATCGCTTCAGCACAGATCCAGTCGGATGCAAGATGATTACTTCGTAAGATATGTCTAGGGTCAGACAGATTGCTTGGAATTGCTTTAAACTACCCCGGTATGATGTTCAGCCATGTCTGTCGCCCTAGTTCCACCAACATTTAGTTGCATCTACGTTGCTTCGTTCTGTTTAGCATCTGGTTCCGGACAACAGCATTTGATGCGTCGAAAGTCCTGCGTTGATTGCTTGATGAGCGAACGAGACTTGTGAAAGTCATGATATGGGACGATGCAACCACCTTAGTCATCGTCGTCACAGGCTTGGCGATCCTAGGCCTAAGTGTGAAATGTTCCATGATACGTCGGTAACGGGTGTACTACCACGCCCGTGGACGCTCTATACTCCCACCCTTCCCGACACTGCCCCTCATACATCCCGAGTGCACCACACTCCCGTCGGGCCAGACCCTGATAGCACTTCCACCAAAGCGCTTATGACAAACCGCACAGTGTCTATCTTCATCCACCACCACCCTCCTGTTCAGCCCGCCCGGCTGCCCTGGATTCTTCTCATACTGGTCGCCCAGATGCAGCGCCATTTCCACACCCACTTTCTCAACACCTCGCAGCCTCGCTACGATCCTCTCTTCGTTTAGCACCGAATTGGCTGCGCGAATGCGGCCCTTGAAGTAGCTTTCAAGGTCTTTGACGGGCAGCGAGGGCGGGACGAGATCCAGTGTTGTCGCTGCAGGTAGACGCGCGCCGTGTTTGCTTAAGAGATCGAGTGCGGGCGGCCAGTTCGGCGCGTGCGGTGGTGGGGGTGTGAGGTACAAGGAAAGAAGATTGTGGTAGATGGAGGGTTCTTGGGTGTCAGGGATGCCCTTTTCAGATTGAGATTGTGGGTGCGGTGATGTGACAGGTGCATTCGTGGAGAGGAAGATGGTATTGCAGTACCTACGATTGTTAGTTGACTACCATAGAGAAAGAGTTGTGTCGGAGAAGGGCTCACTCTTCAGCTTTTACATAGTCTTTCAATTGGAAAACGTATATCTGCAACGCTTGTTTATGCTGACCCATCTTGCTAAGAACGATGGCACGAGATTCGAAGAAGTCCGGATCTATCAACATTAGCTGTCTTTCAGTATCACAGAGCATAGAAGTGTCTCACCATCAGGGCTCAACTGCTTAAACACGCGGTAATTGTTATAGTTTCCGCTCGTTTTCAGAAATGTCTGCAGCCGTTCACGCCACGTTACCTTTTCATCATCCTCGAAGGTCCCCGACCGCAACCGCTCGAGGAACAGATCTACCAGCTTCTGGTGGAAATCGGGCGTGAGATCATTCAGCTCCTCGATGATGTGTTCGAGATACTTGACTGCGAGCTTGAGGTCCAGCTTCTCCAGAAACTCAAGCACACGCTGGCGCGGGAGGGTTTCGGCGTTCTCTGTATCTGCGAGAAATACGTCCATACCCAGACTCGGGTCGGTCCGCAGGGGCCATTCGGCAAACTCGAGGATCAGGTCGATCATCTCGGGTGGAAGCTGCTGTAAGTACCCCACCGTGCGCTGTGGCCCCTGCAGAGCTGGAGCCACCTCCTCATCTGCCTCGTTCTTGCCGAATTTCTCTAGTAGTTCGAGCGCTTGGCGATGCAGTCTTTTGCCGTGCAGGAAGTCGATGAGATCTGCGTAGCGACCTGTTTCGTAGAGCTTCTCTTGTACGACGTCAGGCTCGCAAAAATTGGGCAGGCGGAAGAGAGAGCCTGCAAGCGAGGACTTGGTGAGCATGTATGCGCGAAAGAGGGTGGTGTCGACTAGCTGCGCGACATCGAGTAGCTTCTCCTTCCAGTCGATCTCGCCTGAGGTATCTTGAATGAAGTAGTGGAAGGGTGGTTTGAATGGTTCGGGTTGGCTGTCGTTGGGTGCAGGGAGTGGCTCCTTGAGGTTACCGTCGGTGTCGATGTAGCGCTTGATTTGTACGCGACACTGTGCGAGGTAAGACTGTAAAGCTCGAAGAGCGTTACTGAAGTCCAGCTGCTTGTCGGGCTGTGTCGTCTCGGTGACCTTCTTGGCTGGCCTGATGCTCGCTGTCTCAGCGGCGTCGTCTCGGATTGAGGAGCGTATGGATGCGGTATCTGAGTCGACCTTCTTATGGCCGCCGACCAGTCTGCCCATCATGGATCGTCCAATGGTTGTGGCGGGGTTGAAGGTGCTCTCCCGGCTAATCTTCTTGATTTCTTCGCTCTCGTCTACGTGTTTCTCGCTGCCGAGCTCGTCGTCGTCTGCTACACTGCCGTCCCCTTTCACGCTCTCCTCCTGGGACAGATGGCCGGCGACTGCTCGCGGGAACAGCGCTATGACACGCTCAGGCGGGGCCTGGGCATCGATGAAAAGGTCCATGGAGTCGTGCCACTTCTTGTCGTGGAACAGGGCCTCGGCCTTGAGCGTCTTGATCTCGCGGACGCGGCCATCCTTGTCGCGCAGCAGGGTATCCTCGAGCATGGCCAGCAGACTCAGGGCCTCGTCGTAGCGGCCGCTCGCCGCCAGCTGGTCTATCTGCTTCTCGTAGCTCTCGGCGCCCATGCGCCAGATGCAGCGGTCGCTGGCGACCAGGAAGCCCTTGCCGGCGTGGGCCAGGCTGATGTTGGGCTGCGGCACGTGGAGGAAGGTGGCGTTGGGCAGGGCGATGTTCTGCAGCAGGCTCAGGGTGTCGGGGTTGCGGACCTCGAGGCTGCCCTTGGCGGGGGCCTGCAGGGCCAGCATGTAGGGGTACGAGTAGGCGAGCATCTCGGGCGCGAAGGCCCACGGCACCTGGCGCTTGTCGAGGGCGGTGCCGTCGGCGTCGATGAAGAGGCTGTTGACGTCCTTGGCGAGCAGCATCTGGCCCTCGCGCAGGCGCGTGGCCAGCGGCTTCGGCACCCAGCTGCCCATGCCCATATAGCCCATGCCCGACGACGAGACGGCGCCGAAGCGCGCGCCGCCCTGGCCGGCGGCGTCGCCCATAGGGCCTGGCTTGACGATGTCGTGCACGGCGAGCGTGTCCATGTCGACCAGCACAAAGCCAGGGTCCATGCCGGCGACCAGCTTCGTGCCCGAGGCCCAGGTTAGGCTCTTGACCGAGGCGGCCAGGGCCAGCTCGACGGCGTCGCCGCTCAGCTCCGTGTCCTGCCAGGTCCACAGGATGATCTTGCGCTTGACGGCGACGGCGAGGCGGCTCACGATAGACGGGATGCCCGTGGCCGGGTCCTTGACGATGTTGCTGGCGGCGGCAAAGGTGGTGGCGCCGCGCGTCTTCTCGAGGCGCTCCTGCAGCTGGTACGTGTGCAGGTCGTGGATGGACACGTGATTGTCCGACAGCGAGATCAGGATGTTGGTCTCCTTGAGGAAGCCGAGCTGCTGCACGGGGCGCCGCGAGAACTTGTCCTCCTCGCGCAGCAGGTCCGCCGCGCGCGGCTTCGCGGGCGCGCTCGCCGGGTCGGGGCCATCGCTGGCGGCGGGCGCGTGGGCGTGGGCGTGGGCGTGGGCGTGGGCGTGGGCGTCGCCGTTGGCAGTGCCGTTCGCCGTGGGCTCCGTCTCCTCGTTGACGCGGTAGATGCGCAGCGCGCCGGTGCTGAGCCCGACGAGCACGCGGTCTCCTGCGCAGCTGTCAGCGTCGTCTGCGCCGGCCGCGCGCGCTGCGTACCGTACGCGAGGATCGACTCGATCCGGGACTTGTCGCGCGCCTTCAGCTCGACAATCGGCTTGGCGCTGAAGGCAGAGAGCATGCTGGGCGGGTCGGGGCGCGGCCGCTCACGGAGAATGGGGCCTGTCGCGGGGCCTGTCGCGGGGCCTGTCGCGGTCGCGGTGCCAGTTGCGCTCGTTGTGGCACGCGTGGACCGCCCATCGACGCCCGGCCGCCATGTCATTGCGGTCCAGGCGCACGTGCCGCAAGCAGCCGTCCGTCACCTCCGTCACGGGCCGCCACACAGCGCCACACGTCACAGCACCAGAACGAGGCTGACGGAACGAGAGTGTATTTATTGTAAGGAGCGGACGTGGCAGCATACAGGAGGGGCAATTGGCATTGGCTAGCTACGGTCCTCAGCGGACCCAGACCGTCTCCCTCGCATTTTCTCCACTGCAGGTGTGTGCCAGGACGCCCTCGCGCCTCCCAGAGCCATCTGGCACCACACCGCACCCCCCGCCGCCGTTCATACAGGTCGGGCAAAAGCCACGAATCAACTCAAGTGGCGGCGCAAAGCGCACGCAAAACCAACCCCACATCCGAGGGACGGGGACAGCTTTTACTTGATGAACAAAACCAGCCGTACACAGGCGCAAAAATGTCGACTTTCAACAACATCTACCCTCCACCTCCCGGCGCCCCTCGCAAGGCGCCGGACGTGGGTGGGTAGGAGGAAAGACATAACGCTCGTTACCAGTCAGCACGCCCTCTCCGAGTTCCCCCAGCGACAGCCACAAAGGGTCTTGCGATACAACCAGAGGGCCGGTGGTATGGGAAACGGACGTGTCGAAACTTCGAAAGGGCGGCGAATGAGCGAATCATATCCACATATTGCCGGTTCGTGCACAGCGCACAACCTGCGTCTCTACACTGCCTCCGTGCCACACGCGCGCGAGGGGCCGGGTCCAACGGGCAAGCCACAGGAGGAGCGGGCGCGTCGGGCGCGCAAGCGGGAGCAGTGCACAGTTCCAGGGCACGCTGGAGAGGATCAGGCGTAAGGGACCTCGGGGACAGACTGACCGAAGAAAAATTCAACGCATGCGTCGCAACCACTCCACACAACTCGCCTTACGATGAAGAAAAAGGGAGGGGGAGTGTGGTCGCATAACTCCAGATCGACTCCTGCAAAGAAATACATGGCTTCTCGTGCGTACATGTGAGAGAGAGGAAAAATTATCTTGCATTCTGAACAGGGGATACAGGAGGGGTTTCTCAACGACGCGCAAAAAGCAGAGCAGTAACAGCACAAAATGAACCAAACGCAAATCGGGTATTGAGAATAAAATGCATGCACCAATTCACACAGCACGGAGAAGAGCAAAGCTCATTCAATCCGCCCGTCTCCGCGTCAGAGAGCGTATTCGCATCACCTGACACTTCATTGAAAACGTGAAATGAAACTTTAGTGAACCAACAATGGTCTGAGCAATTACGGCTGCAGTCGCAATGTCACATGACAACCTGACCGTCTGGTATAGACACAGAAGCAGAAGCGGCGGTCAGTGGTAGACGATCAGGCTGTCGACAATGGAGTCTTGGACGACCTCAGCGCCGCTCGGCGAAAGGGTTGTACTTCTCGTCGAGGGGCGAAGGGTTGGCAAGTGTACCGTGGCTGCTCATGCGTACGTGGCCAGGACGAGCCGAATCAGTGACAACACGCGCGTCTACTTGCCCAATCTTCTCTGTCTCGGGCTCGACAGTCTGGAAGGGTCGGGGTGTAATTGTGTAGGGCGCAGTCTTGTTGACTTGGTAGTCGTTGGCGACGTATTGCGGTGGAGCGGAATCACCAGAGACAGGGGCTTTGGAGGCGTCCATGGATGGGTCGTTGTAGTAGGCGGTGCCTGATTCAGGGTCGCGGCGAAAGAGATGGGACGAGGCGTACACGAGGCCACCGATGGCGATGAAGAGCCAGACAAGTATAAGTGCGCCGGAAATGAGCGCTTCGGTTTGAATACCACTCATGAGTTTCTCGATGACGCGATTGACTGCTTCGGTGATCTCATCACTCGCCTGACCGTTAGGGTCGGACAGAAGATTGGCAGCAGAGTCCGACTCGCTAGCTTCAGCAGCGGCGCCAAGGGATAGGGTATCATTTGACACGCCGGGGAAGTTGACGTGGGCGTGCTCTTGGACCCAAGTCAGGCCGTTCTGGAAAGAAGCGATCTTCAGGCCGATCAGGCAGTTCAAAACTTCCTTAATAGGTTCGTAGAGAACAGTGCCGCCAAATGTCGAGTTGAGGGTCTTGCTCATCTCATCCACGAAGACGTTCAGAGTATCGTTGACTGCGGTGGTGCTGGTGTTCACCCAGCCCAGGATATCGTTGTTGATCTCATCGTCCAGCTCAGCGACGACGCCATTGACGCCCTCAGACCAAGACATGGACGCATTTTGGAGAGAAGCAACAACCTTGCCAGCAAAGTCAGCGACCTGCTCCGTGAGCTCGGGAGTCTTGTCTTGAATAGCCTTCAACAAGAGATATTGACAGAAGCAGGCGAAGAGGCCTGCGATACCGAGAGCCAGCAGAAAGAGCATGGGGACGGAGGTGGCGTAAGCCCAAGCCCATCGCACAATTGCTTGACGACGAACTGAGCCAAAGCGCCTGCCGATCCACAGACCGAACCCCGAAGAAGTGGGGCGCGAGGCCAGGTAGACAACGTCCATGCCTTCGTGGCCTTCCGCGAAGAGGGCGGCACGTTCTTGCATCCTGCGGTACCGACGGACTTCCATCCATGCCATGGGAACACAGACAAGGATGGCGAGGACAATCAACACGCCAAGAGCGATCTTGCGCGCATCGTAAGCCATCTTAATGAGGTCGTCGAAGAACTCATTGATGGAATTGCCCTCAGAGCAGAAATCCAGCTTCTCCTTCTGGGGGATCGGGAGTGTATCACGGTCGACCGTGAAGTTGTTGGTAGCCCGGATCAGTTTCTTGACCTCTTCGAAAGGCAGGCGGATGATATTGTCGGTGAAGTTCTGCACCTGTTCGAATGTGGGAATCGAGTTGTTCAACTCCTGGAGGCCTTTCTGGAGTTCGGGCGGTACTTCAAGTCCCTTAAGCTTAGCGATCTGCGAGTCCAGGTTGATCTCCGGTTTGTCAAAGCCGGGCAGGTTGAAGTTGATCTTGTCAAGGACCGAGTTGATGCCGTCAGAGACAGTCTTGACTGCGTTGCCCATGTCGTCGGTAACCGAGTCGATGGTTTGATTGAGGGTCTTGCTGATCTCGTTGCCGATCTCTACGGCAGCCTGAAGGCTGCCGCGAACAGCCAGGGTAATCAGGCAGAGGTAAGTGCTTGTCATCATGTGGATGACAAAGAGAACAATCTCCTCGACGCCAGTAACGCTCATCTCCAACATGGACATGAGGCCACTGACAGCCTTCTCAACCCCGGAGGCGGTCATCTCGTTGACGCCTCTCGCCATGTAGTGAGGCATGGAAGCCATGGAGCTACCAATGTTCTCTACCTGTGTGCAAGCACTAAGTGCTTCGCGACGTGCAGAAGCAAGGCTTGAGTCTGTACTTGCGATGGCGATGAGCAGGCGAACGAGCACTAGGAGGAGGAGAATCGTCCAGCGGTTGATCCATATTTGCGAGAGCCTAGCTCGAAGGCCAAGATATGGTTTAAAGTTTGGTGTTTGGTTCATTGGGGGTCGTGTTGCAATTTGCGGTGCGTAGTAGTCTCGCATCTCATGATCGCCAGCGGACATAGATGGAGGCACAGCTGGGAAGGATTGCTGTTGGTTCACTGAGGAAGCCATAGCGAAGTTGGATGGTTGTAAAACGGGTCTGCAAGGTGTATTAGGGTCGTGCGTCTTCAAAGTCGTAGGTTCGTTGAGAAAGCGAAGGCGAGTATAGTCCAGCTATATTGTATATCTCCCAGAGATAGGTGGCAAGGGAAGAAAGGTATTAAGAAGTTAAGAAGAAAAGCAAGACAATAGGAACAATAGGAACCCCAACGCTCCACACAATGCGAGAAGTGTGTGGAAGAGGATGTGAGGTGAAGGGAAGTACACAGTGTGAATGGAAATAGCGTGAATATCAATCTTCACAACGCGGTATGGAAGCGAGCTACGTACCGCGAGAGGCGAGGACCAGCTGCAGGCGGCCCACATGGTACCAATAGTACCTCATGGACGTGGCCTGCTCGACCACTGTGTTTCAGCGCGCATCCAGCTCAGTGAGGCTCAAGTTAGAACAGGTGGATCCAGGAAGCGGTGGTGGCCCAAATAGGCGCCCTCGGAGGCTGAGCCAGCCACTGCTGACCAGTCATTTGCTTGTCAGACTGTCAGTCTGGGGAAGACCAGAATAACGCGCTAGAACGATATTGCGCGGCTGCATTCTGGGGCCTCTTTGTCCTTGGGTGGCTGGCGCAATTTGTCTGAGCGGGCGTCCTTTGTTCCACGACTTGCGCTCATTGGTGGCCTGCGACAGTCGTACCGGCGCGAGAGAGTCAGATCTGGCGGCCTGCGCAATCTCGTGACGTGTAGCCCATCACAGGTGGAGTCGTTGTCGAGCGCAAGGGAACACGACCTCCGGGCATCAGTCGTCAGCAGAGGAGGTGCTCGGAGTGTAGAAAATGCAGGCACGGCATGCTTTGTAGGTTCTCGCCGCACGGCCGCGTCAAAGGCGTAGTGGCGCCCATATCCCGGTTTTATGCAGGTTTAAGCAGACGTCATCCACGATTTCGCAGGTGGAACACGGTTTTCCTTTGACAGTGTGCCAGCAATGTTGTATTCCAAGTCGCAGTCACTGTATCTACCTGTGCGATCACCACAGCTTCCCTTGCGCGAATTGATGCCTGACAGCGCTTGCGGTGTGTTTTCGTGAACACATCAGTCGGTGCGGATCAACAGCTGGCTGAGGCGTAGCGCCCGCTGTGGGCCAAGTCAATCCGCCCTCGATCACTCTTGTCCAATCATCGCCCCGGCGGTCGCAAAGACCTCAAACGTGGCGGATTGCCAACACCCCAACCTTCCATCGTCACTGCCGTCAAGATTCGAGTCTGCTCTGCCCAGGTGCCACGAGACATCCCAACACTTACGCCTCACTTCAGTGCGCATCCCACAAAATTGAAGTATCACGTGCGGTGGCTTTGCGTCTTCCTGAGGTCGAGACCAGCCGCTCCACCTCCACTTGCACAGTGGCACAGCCCCTGACAGCAGAGTTGCATGCTACGTGCGTGATCGAATTCTCAATGACCTTAGTCATATGTGCATTATGTAGGTTGACGTAGCGGCACGTGCTCGAGAGTCCACCGTCTTAGGTACCTAGGTAGTTCTACAAGCTACGAACAGGCAACTATGCTCTATACTGTGCAGGTGGTCCGTACACATGGTCAGTGTTCTGTATTCTCAACTACACGTTCAGGATCTGCGCAAGTGTTCTTTCCAATGTGTGGGTTCTTCAGTCTTTTCCTATCTGAGATCAAGGTTGACAGTTGTACTTGTGCAGCGCCGCGACCTTCTCGCGAGCATCGAGGTCGTGATGTACTCTCCATGCTACCCCTGCTCTCCTTCATATTATCTGCAATGTCATGGATCATTTCTAACTCTCGTTTTGGTGTGGTGCTGGATGCTAACAGCGATCGAGCATATGCATTCACTGTAGGTACTGAACGCGACTTGGTACCTTGCCCTCAAGTGGAATCTCTGAGTCAACTATATCCATGACCTTACGGTAGGCTTCACTTTCACTTATTTCGTCGCCGCGCTCGCTTAACAAAACTTTTCTTCCGTCCACTTTGACAGTCGATACCGCGAACTACAATGTTTGTAATTCTTGTCGCACAACCATTCGCTTTCAAGCTTGCTCCAGGTCAATCATGCGCAGAGCTTTTCTTGTTCTCATCTCCACAGCACAGTTATATCCCAATCGACCAGATTTAGACTCAGTGTGGACCACTTAGATACGCGGAGATTGAACGAGGCTCGTGATCACTCAGCAAAGCATTATCGGAGGCTTCCTTTTCTACGCTGTGTACATACACCGCTTCTTCCTCGAAGCGGGCCTCTCACCTTGACCCTCGACCAGTCCTCAGGCATCAGCCGCAAGTCTTACAAGAACGATCCTATTGTGAACGTCTCTCAACCATCAAACACCTCCCAACTTCGGGAAAGCGATCCGGACGCCAGCACTAACTACAACCTTATTCGTTCTCGACACATACCTTGGACAAAGTCAGACTGCCTTCCGATCAAACTGCCCTTCTCCGCACCCCACGTCCATACTGTAAGTGCAGCTCGGCGAGTTGCAGTATCTGCAATACTCATTTGCATGCTAGCATCGCTTCTGGGTTTCAAACCTCCGGCTTGCACGACTTCCATTTCACAAGAGTAATTTCATTTAACCACGCCGCAAATCATAGTGCGACACAGTAAAAGGTACGCGCAGCCCCGCGTTTGACGTGTACTCAAGGCAGCCATTGAGAGTCGAGGCGGTGACTACCTGTTCTTGGATGTCTTTTGCCCGACCAAGTATCACGAGAAGCCCTACACCGACTTCTGAATCAAGTACTGGCACTACCGTTTTTTGCTTCTCGTGCGTCTCAAGAGGACGCTTCAAAACGCCGAGTTGACTCTCACTGAACTCCTACGAAGAGACACTAACCGGAAAGTCAACATCTCACAGGCATCAATAGCGCATAGGAACCATTAGTACGCCCCTCGTACACGAAGCCCTTGATACGTAAGCACAAGAGTCATCGTTGTCCAGCCCAGCTTCCTGCAAGCAGGTGTCAAGCTATCAACAGATTTCGCCTTTATTCCGTAGGCGCTAGGTCAGCCCGTAGGCGCTAGCTTTCTAATTAAGGCCGCACAATGGCAGAATCTGTTAGAACTTTCGGTAGGAACACAAGCGCCCTAGACAGTCTGGATGTCAAGGCCGACGCTGTGTCTTCCCCGCCTTCAGGAAACAGCAGTGATACCCTCCATGACAGCGAGTGCTTCGAGGAAGAGATCAAGTTCATCAGTACAAGCCCACTAAGCACTGCGACTCTCAACTTTGAAGAGTTGAGCATCCGAGATGAAGACCTCTCCTCACATCCGTCGAAGCATACCGACCGTCTCACTGGCACCTTCTTCAACCCTGGACAAGACCCTACGCCCACGCCCGCGCCCGCGCCCGCGCCTACCTATGGTCGCCACTCGCAGTTTCGCCGTTATAACGACCGCTTTCATCAAGGCCCTGTTTTCGTAAGAGGAGGCAGCAGTCATCGTAATACTCGTGCATGGGTGTCCGAAGAGACTCGCATTGCTCAAGAGTTTCTCACTATCCGGAATTCGATGAGAAGGGTATTCAAGAACGCCGATGTCGCCAAGTGGAAAGTTTCAGATTACATTGCGCATCGAGAGGCAATGATGGCGTCTGCAACCAAGAAGCTTGCACAGCAAGCGCAGGATCGAGAGGAGGGAGTGAACTTGTACAGTCTCCCCATTCCTCCAAAGACGCAAGACATGATGAGGCTTTGCGGTCTCTCTGGTAATTTCGAACAAATCGGCAACTACAGTCGAGCCCTGGGCGAAAAGACAATCTGGTGTGCGGACTGGCAGAGCGGAAAGGACGAAATTTCCCCATGGCCCTGCTTGGCAGAAATGAAGTGGGAAGGGGATGACCGTGCGAAGACAGGTGTCGGTCGCTATCCACCCCTCCCTCGCGAGCAGGGTCCGATCGGACTTCCTTGGAATCAGCTTCAGGCCGTCGACCAGTATCCTCTTGACCAGATTGCCCGCATTCCCACCATGGAGGATGTCTATCTTCCTGTTGACGAAATTGATGATAGTGTCAAGTACGATCTCCTCAACAAGGATCTCGAAGACGCCATGGACGTCTATCTTGAGTCTTGAGTAAGGATCTAAGGAACCCTTGCGGTGCCATATTTCCTTTCGTTTAGAAAGCTTCCAGTCCAACACCCCCTTCGCAGATGTTCCAAGTTCGCGACGATTTGGCTCACCTTTCAGAACCAATGTGACCACTGATCAACCGTACAACACTGTCACCGACAATCACTCACCAGATCTGAGCGATCTTTTTGTTCAAATACCAAGGGAGGGCTGCGTTGTTTCCCTGCCTTTTTCAGTTCCCTCTACTTGTTTGTCCGTTCACTGATCATATTTCTTTATTCTGGACACACCCACTATGACTCGATCCGTGATCGCTGGTCATGATGGACAATGCTGCGACCTCACAGAGCGATATGCTCGGATATATTGCAAGGTTACGGCCTGCACTGTGTCGACGAGCGACCTCACGATGCTTTTGATTTGAACCCCCTGCGAGACACGAAAACATGGGTCCTCTGATTTTGAACACATTTGATTGACTTGAAGGACTTGGGATTGACGATCCCGATGAACTCGGAGTCTTGCGCTCCGTGTGTCAGGTTGATCACACAACCATGAGCGGAAGACACAATGGATGACCTGTTCAGTGTGAATCTGGAATTAGGCGCTTGCAACTCATTGAACACATTGATTTTCTCATACACTGATCCTATTCAAGTACATATCAAATTCAAAAATTGCTTTCATATGCTGGTCTCCACGTGTAGCTACACTGATCCCCGAGGCAGCCACTTATTTCGTCTGCGGACTGGTTGTCATACTCAACCTGGAGCCTTAATCGTCGGTCAGTCGGAGTCTTCCATCAGGCAACCAGCTGCAACACCCGATTGACATCACCGATCCGCGACCAATCTCGCAACCCCAGACACGACAGCGCCCATCGCTCAACGTACAACACGGCGTTCGCGGTGAGTTCACTTGCGAAATTGAGGGCTATTAAGCCAGAAATATCACTTGACCTAGCAAGCGCTGTTGCAAAGATAAGAGCTAAGAGACTACATACTTGACCCCGCTTTGACCCGTCCAATGTACCTGGTTTGCACCATCTACTACCGAAAATTGCGACAACTATTCGCAAAGTACAACATTTCAGCACTTGAGGGCCAAGGTTGTAAATTCTGAATTTTGCCGCTTATTTAACGAACTCGGGTAGGTTAGGGGTAGGTACGATGTCAAAAGTGGCTGCCTGATGATCGTTGTCAGCTCAAGCCACCGTCAGAATACATATTTTGGAATGCTACAAGACGCTGCGATATTGTCTTTCCCAGTCCTTATTTTCCTTTGACATCATTCTCAGCGAGCTGAAAATGGCTATCTTCACGCTGACCAGCATCACCGTCACCCTCCTCAGTCTGTACATTACGAGGCGAGTTTATTGGGAAGTAACTGTTGGCTCGCGGCTTCGCAACTTCGCAAAGCAACATGGCTGCCTCCCGGCGAAAATGCGTCAAACGCCATTCACTTTCGGCGCGGCCTTCTGGTGGGGCCAGATCAAAGCCATCCAAGAGCATCGTCTCCTCCCCTTCTGGGACCAGAGTTTCAAAGAAGTCGACGCACATACGCGCCGGCACTACGTCCTAGGTACCGACTTCTTCGCTACAGATGATCCGGAAAACGTCAAGGCAATCCTGGCAACTAACTTCAGCGCTTGGGGTCTCGGTCAGGACCGCATCAGTGAGATGTCGAGCTACCTCGGATACGGAATCTTTGTCAACGAGGGTGCTGCGTGGAAGCACTCGCGCGAGATTCTGAGGCCTTGTTTTGAGAAGAGTTTGGTTGCGGATGTGGAGCTGCTGGAGCGGCATGTACAGCGACTTCTCGAGCTGGTGCCAAAGGACGGGACAATGGTGGATTTGCAGCCTTTGTTGCATGATCTAAGCATGGACATCGCAACTGAGCTACTGTTTGGGAGAAGTACAGATGCTTTGGGCCGGAAGGACGGTGATGATGAGGTCAGAGAGTTCTGTGACGCGTTTGACTACGCTTCCAACCCTTTCGAGCGAGCGGCATTTAAAAAATGGGGTTTTATCACGCTGTTCTTACCGGATAGATTCAACTCGGCGAAGAAGAAGCATGTCAAAGTTATGCAAGGTACCTTTCCCCTCTACAAGCTCTTAGACATCGACTGACACAAGCAGATTTTGTCGATCGCATAATCGCTGCCCACATATCCGATTCCAAAACCTCCGACAAGGAAAAGCACCGCTACAATTTCATATCCGCCCTCCTCGAGTCCACCTCTAATCACGCCACCATTCGCAGTGAGCTCCTCAACATCCTCTTGGCGGGTCGTGACACCGTCGCCGCACTACTCAGCAACATCCTCTGGGAGCTCCCGCGCCACCCATCGATATTGTCCACTCTGCGTGCCGAAATTGCTGCCACTGCGGGCACCAATCCGCCTTCCTACGACGATCTCAAGGCAATGAAGTACCTTCGCGCCATCACAAACGAGGCCCAGCGCCTCTACCCTATTGTGCCCATGAACGGCCGCGAGGCGCGCGTCGACACGGTGCTGCCGCGCGGTGGGGGCGCTGACGGAGCCAGCCCTGTAATGGTGCCCAAGGGCAGCCAAGTTGGCTGGATCTCGTACAGCATGCAGCGACGCAGCGACTTGTTTGGAGACGATGCAGATACGTTTCGGCCGGAGCGGTGGCTAGAGCCTGGGTTCCGGCCTGGGTGGGCATTTGTGCCCTTTTCGGGAGGGCCGAGGGTGTGTATCGGGCAAAATTTTGCTTTGACGGAGACAATGTATGTGGTTGCGAGGATAGTGCAGGGGTTCGAATTGCTGCGCAGGGATGATGAGGAGTGGAGGGAGAAAATTAATATTACATGTACAGGGCTAGGTGGGTGTAAGGTTGGGCTAACGCCGAGAGTGGAGTGAGATGATGGTATTGCCAATGGAAGCCATGTGTTTACGGCCTTGTTCCTCTGATAGTATATGTAGATAGCACAACTCTACTCCTCCACACTAAGCCTCGCTATCCTAGCGGCCCTCCGCAGCCCAGTCCCAGGCTGAACACGACCCTTAAACATCCCTTCTCTATCACTCTCAACTCCCATCCTCGCCTTCTCGAACGCCTTCTCAACCCTCTCGACCCCCTCGTTCGTACCCCACATGCCCAACGCGCGCTCAAACGCGCCAGCAGCAAAAAGATACTCGCCCAGCGAAGTATGCACAACGCCAAGTGCGTACCAGGTCTGCGCCCTCTCGCCCTCGCTGAACCACGTCTGCTTATTCGGCGGAATTAGCTCAACCGGCAACGACAAGAACCATGGGTTCTCCGCCGGGCTGGGCGAGTCCGTCGCCAGACTCAGCGCCTTGGAGACACTCTTCTCGGCGAGTAGGAGATCGCGGGCTGCCAGTTTACGCGTCTTCAGGTCTAGGTCTACGTTATTGAGCCAATCCTTGTGCGTGTCGAGCGCGCGGTGCTGCAGCGACAGCGCGATGCCCAGGCCTAGCTCGACTCGCCAGCGTAGTCGCTGGATGGCTTTGAATATGTCTTCTGCATGCGAGGGGCCATGGATTGCTTCTGCAGAGGTGAGGAACCCGTAGGTAAGCGCCACGATGACGGCCTGGGAGTACTCGATGCTCAGGGCGAGGTTGGCGACGCCGTTTTCTGTGGTCTCGCGTGCGGCGTCGCTGAGGTCGGCAAGCTCGGTGATGGTGTCAACCCAGTGCTGGGCATCGAATTCTTTGCTTGTCATAGAAGCGCTGAGGCCGGCTGCGTAGTGTGGCAGTGTGTGCTGCGCGTCGATTGTGACGGCCGAAAAGCCCTTGAGCACACGGAACGGCTCTAGGAGATCGCCCTGCAGACGCGAGGTCGGGAAAGAGTAGCTGTTGAGCAGCGAAAGATGCAGGCGGCGGGTGCTGCCCCATGACTTCGTTACTTCGCCGGCCTCGCGCAGGAAGTTGATGAGTCGAGGGAGGTATTGTGCCGGAAACATAACTACTGCTCGTTTCTTGTCGCTTTCTTTCTCGACGAGTGAGATATCCAGAGCGTGGTGCGTGCCAGTAGCGAGCTCTGAAGATGTTGTAGCGAAAAGAATGCCAGAGTCAATAAGCATTGTTTTCGCATGGCGTGCGTCGGGGGTGAAGATACTGAAGCGGACGAAGAGGTTTGAAGAGTAGAAGAAGCGAAGAGCCTCTCTGCTGATGAGCTGGTCTACGCTAAACAGACCGGTATCCACTGGGAAAGGCGGTCTTGACGCTTTGAACTTCAACATTCCTGTGTTGTTGTTGAAAGTATGCGTGTATGACACATTGGCCAGACCGGTGTTGACGAGTTCGGTGTCGAGTGCATACCTGTAAATCGTGTTGCGAATGGAGGGAGGCAGGGTAACGAGGCTCAATGGCGTTCTGTTCTGAACGGTGTCCGGACGGGGACTCGAAGGCTTCGTGGAAAGTGGTGTTTCTACACTAGCTTCCATTGAGTCTCTCTTACGCAGTGTGGCTGCCATGATGATAGTTGACTACACAAAGAGGATTAGCAACATCACCTTGTGATTGGGCATATAGTGCCTACGTCTGCAATTTGTTTGGCGGTGCTCCTTGAAGGTCTGTCTGTCTCGGCTTGATTTTGGCGACTCGTGTTGAGTCAATGGCGTGAGTCGAATCGGATAAAGAGCTGCTTGTCGATTAAGAAGAGCACAGTCCGTAAACAAACACATGTCAACTGCATCGCTGGTTTTATAGCTCTTACGCGGGGCATCCGGAACGAGCTGGGGATGCATGCATGTAGTGCGGGGAGAGCAAGGATTATGTGGGGGACGGCAACACCGGATCCGCATTGCCGACTGTGGAATCTCGAAGTTGTAAGTCGATGTCTTGAACAAGTTACATCAGGACTCATTCAGTTCTACTACGTGCGGAGATAGTCTTGGTAGTCGCAAATCCTCCAATCAACATCATGTCCGTGAGACAGTTTCAGCCTCATCTCGTTTTTTACTCCGCGTGGGCCGTGAACGCCTTTAGCTTTTTCGTTGCAGAGAACTCCAGCTCAGTTCCTTGTCCCACAAAGAAGATATAACCAGCGCTCAGCTTGTGCTCTTTGCCCTCTGCCTTGAGCGTGCCCTCGCCCTCGGTCACGATCATGATGCTGGGCCCGCCAATTGCGCGAACTGTGTCGCTCTCTCCATCTTCCAGGGTAGTCAACAGCATGTTGAACTCGCTCATCGGTGGCGCGTATATTTGAGTGTTGCCATTCTTACTGCCGTCGAATTCGCGAGGCTTGAGGAGCGCCTCGCTTGTGTCGTGCGGATTGAAGGTCAGGCATCCAACAAAGGTGTCAACATTGTTACGGTCAGCACGAGGGCAGAAGCCAGTGTTGAGAACATTGTCGGATCGTGCCATGCACTCGATGATGTCACCAGAGAGATAAGCGTGGATGCCATCGGCAGGGATGTAGATGCTGTCGCCCTCGTTGAGCTGCATGTAGTTCATCGTGACCAGTGCCACAAGAGTACCATTGTCTTCGACATCGTACTGCTTCGAAAGACGAGGGATGAGCTCGGGAATGAATGTCTCCTTGCCGAACTTTTCTTTGGGCAGCTTTAGTAGCGCCTCATTAGTCTTCCGTACGTCGTCTTCAGATGCTTTCAGCAGAGCCTCAACAACATGCTTGAGGACCTGGTCGTCAAATACTGGCTTCTGGACTTTGGGTAGGAATTGCTGGAGAGGCTCCAGCTCCATCAACTTTTGAATGTCCTCGAGCGGCTTGAAACCAACGAAGGCCTCAAAAGGCCCAAGGGCCAGAGCAATCTCGGGCTTGTGGTTCGAGTCGGTGAACTGATCCGGATCCTTCGCATGAAGTTTCGAGGCGAGGTCCTTATTCTATGGATACGTTAGTTGTGTGCTGAGCTGATGTCAGAGGACTTGACGTACAGGGTGCAACTGCAGAGGTAAGGCCTTTGCTATCGATAGAACCTTAGGTAAGTAAGGCAAGTTTGTGTGACCAAACTTCTTGATAACATGTTGACCAATGAGCTCGTCTGAGTGCTTGTCAAGTACTTCTTGGAGGTCTTCACCCGTTTCTAATACTTTTGACGGCAAAGTCGGGTATGTGCCCATCCACCTGGATTTGTTAGGACACGAAGACGGTGTTGGTGAGGCCGGACTCACATTTCGGCGTAGGATTTGCTTTCATCCAGCTTGAAGCCATTGCCCGGTGTCTTCTCGCACAATGTTGCTGAGATGGACTCGCGACCCTTTTTCCCCCATGGGTACTGGTTGCACTCGCACTTCAGTTGAAAAACCTTGTTAACCATTGTGATAATAGTGATAGTTTAGAATGGGACGTTGAGCAGCGGCACGGCGGCGCCCATATGCACTTTTCGTCCAGAGCGCATCGTGACAACGCTGCGACGTCATAGCGGACCCTCTGCTATTTCTAAGCTGCGAAGGAGCTACGACGGACTACTAGGAGAAAGGTGACGTTGAGACGAAGACTCTGAAGCATGGTCATCCGGCTACCCACCGAGGGTGTGTGGGCCGTATGAAGACGTCTTGCTAGAGGCGTGAACATGTCCAGTCTTGGCGGTGCCATCCACTGCCCGGGACTCGCTGACGGATTGAGCTGACAAAGGGGCAGTCAGCACCTAATCGTGCTTATTGCGCCAGCGTCGCTTGGAGTCGTATTGTAGGGCTGAAGGCTGACGGTCCATGGAGTTGTGTTTGGGGAGGATGCACGCATCGAGGGCCTGTCTACTGTCCCTACTCTGTACATGGTCAGCGCACCATGCTCAGCGGGCGCTAGTGACGGCCGCGGCAAGGGGTCCTGCCAAGTCTCCGCGCTGCGTGTACCTGTAATTTGAGATTTGTCCCTAATCGGGCGACACATGTCACTTTGGCGGCTCCGAGACACTTGGTCGCTGCTTCCTCTCGTTGACCTGCTGCGCCAGACATGAAGCCGTAGGCCCGTCCACGCCCCGCCGACTCTCCACCGACTCCAACTGCGCCGCTCGTTCCCCCCGACCGCTCACACCTGGCCTCCTGGCCCCACGCTCCACGATGCACTTCGCCATGCCTCCGCGCAAGACGTCGAGGCCGCCGCCATACGCTGCGCGCAACAACCCATCCACATCGTTTGCGCCGCCGGCGCTGCGCAATCTGCTGCGGAGCAAGCCGCGCGCAATTGCCGGCGCCGTGCTGGGCTTCGTCACGCTGCTGTGGCTGGTGGGCGCGATAGGCGGGCGCTCGCGCTCGGCGCCGCTGGCCAACATCCCCAAGGTGGCCGTGGGGAGCGGCGCGCCCGTCGTCATTGTCACGGTGCTGGACCCCCAGGCCGACGCGGCGTGGGTGCAGCGCATCAAGACCAACCGCGAGGATTACGCCCGGCGGCACGGTACGCCTCCCCCCGTGCAGACGCTGCGGCAGCACTGACGCCCGCAGGCTACCTGACGCACTTCCCCGCGCCCTCGCAGTACCCGCTGAACAACGCGCCGCCGAGCTGGGCCCGCGTGCCCGCCGTCCGCCACGCCATGACGCTGCACCCCGGCGCGACCTTCTTCTGGTACCTCGACGCGACGGCGCTGATCATGTCGCCCGAGATCAGCCTCGAGGCCCACCTGCTGCGGCCGGCCGTCATCGAGAAGCACATGATCACCAACGCGCCCGTCGTGCCGCCCGACAGCGTCATCCGCACCTTTAGCAACCTCAAGGGCGACCGCATCGACTTCGTCATTGCCCAGGACAAGGACGGGCTGGCGCCCAGCTCCTTCATTGTGCGCAACGGCGAGTGGGCCAAGTTCTTCCTCGACGCCTGGTTCGACCCCATCTACCGCAGCTACAACTTCCAGAAGGCCGAGAGCCACGCCTTGGAGCACATCGTGCAGTGAGTCTGCCACAAACCGCCTTGGAGCGCAGCTAATCGTGTAAACAGGTGGCACGGCACCATTCTGGCCAAGCTCGCCATGGTCCCGCAGTCGCTGCTCAACGCATACGTCTCGGGCCCGCACGCCGACAAGGGCATGTACGCCGAGGGCGCCCTGGTGGCCACGTTCCCCGGCTGCGACAAGAACGGCCACGACTGCGCCAAGGAGCAGCAGCCGTTCTTCGAGGTCCTGGAGCGTAAGAAGCAAGGCTACAACTGAGGGAGGAGACCATGCATTTTCGGCTCCGCGGAAGAGAGCCGTGTGAAAGTTGGATTGTTATTTACATACTGAGACACGGCGTTTGGCGTCAGGAAACACCCGCGAGGTGCGTTGGCAGAATTGGATGGACGCAGTACAGTAGACATATGATTGATCAATAACTATTACAAGCTCCATCCTTCGCCATGCTACCCAAACACCAGCAATGCCTCATTCTACATATCATACAACATGCTCCACCGCGCGGCCACTTTACCATCCTCTGCGTCTACTCTACATATTTTCGTTACTCCCCCTTCCCTGCCGGCTGTCGCTGCCGCTTCACCGACTTCATGCTCCGGCGCGGCCGCGCAATCCGCTCCCGACTGCTCACGCTGCGCGGCCCCATGACGGTACTCGCGCACATGGGCCGTCTGACGCCGACATAGCGCCCCAGAGGCGAGAAGACCTCGATCTCGGGGTACGACTCCTGCCACTCTGCCATGGCATCGCCGTCGCCGTAACGGTCATCCTGCATCTGCCTGCTCGGCGCCTGCCTGCTCGGCGCAAACGCCCGGCTCAGCGCATCGTCGACGCCGTTTTCCCTATCCGCCGCCTCGGCCGCGGCCAGCGCCGCAAACTTGCGGTCCTTGCGGTCCTTCTCCTGGCGCATGCGCGCCTCGCGCTCGTGCCGCGCGTGGTTGGGGTCCTTCTTCTTCATGCCCACGGGCGCCCAGCCCTGCGGACGGCGAGTCTGGGCGGAGATCTCGAGCCAGCCGACGCCCTCGAGCAGAACGTCTGTGCTCCACACGCGGAAGGGCAGGTTCTCGGGCTTCATTTTGCCGGCGACGGAGCTCGTCAGCGGGCCCGCGAGTTTCTTGGTCACGTCCCATTTGAGGGCAAAGCGGCCGGCGCTGTGCATTTGCGAGCCGACGTTGGGGACGAGGATGGGCGGGACTTGCAGTTGGCGGTCTGAGGTCTGCGATTGGTAGGCTTCGGCTTTCTCGGTGCGGGTGACGTGGGCGTGGAGGGGCACGAAGGGGTGAACGAGGAAGACGAGGTCTTCGGTAACGGGCGTGATGCGCAGTAGGCCGCCGCCGAGGATCAGGGATTGGCCGGGCTTGAGCGTGAGGCGTTCTGCGTTGAGGCGCGAGGTCATGATCAGATCCTGCTGGTGCGCCCGCTGCACGAATGTCTCCAGGCCGGGCGTTGTGCGTGCGAGACCGGGCAGGTCGACGAGCTCGCCGCGGTTCTTCCCGAAAGGAATTCGGATGGGCGAGGCGGTAGTGCCGGGGAGAGAGGACGCAATGGGGAGCACGGGGTAGGGTGTGTACGGTTGGGGTGGTGGGAGCAGCGCGTCGGGGTCTTCCTCGTCATCCTCCTCTTCTTCTGGCTCGCGTTCGAGGGCTCTTGGAGGCTGGTGGACGTGCTGGACCGGTCTCTTGTTGTAGCGTTCGGCCTCGGCGTCCTCGTCGGCGAGCTGCTTTTGCACCCTGGTCATGTCCTCGAGCGTTGTGGTGGCGTTCAGCATGGCCTCGCGCTCGGCGGCGCTGCGAATCTTGCGCACGTCCTGGTAGTCGGCGCCCCGGCCCTTGGGGAAGACGGCTTCGAAGAGATTGGACTTGCCGACGTTGACCTTGCCGACCATCCAGCCTGCGCCGCCGCGGTCCCAGATGTCGTCCTTGACCTCCTTGGTCCACCAGCCGCGCTTCGCGCTGACCAGGCGCACGTTGCCCAGACGGGCCTTGTTGTTGTCGCGGCCGAGGGCGTCGCGCAGGACGTCGGTGATGTAGGGCATGAGCGCGTCGACCTGCTCCTTCTTGGGGGCCAGCAGGTCGGCGCGCGTGATGATGAAGCTGACCTCGGCGATGCGGTCGTTGGCGACCCAGCCCTTGTGCTTGGCGCGGCGGTTCTGGGTGCGCAGCTTGGGGATGCGCAGCGAGGACTGCAGGTTGGGCACAATGGACAGCGGGAAGTCGGCGGCGTCGACGACGTGGTAGATGTGGTTGCGGCGGTGCGGCGACTCAGCGATGGTCTGCTGGATCGAGTCGACGGTCGGGTGGGCAATAGGCGTGCCGACGCTGTGGTGAACGAGGTTGTGGCAGCGGTCGCATACGGGCGTGTCGGGCTGCAGCGCCGCCGTGGTCGCGACGGGGTCCAGCACGCCCAGCTCGGCCAGCAGCTCTGGGCGGGCGTCCTTGAGCGCGCGGGCGTAGACGTCGTCCTCGTTGGAGGCGGCGTGGGCGTGGCGCGGGTCCCAGTGCAGGTACGCGCGCACGGCGCCGCGGTCGACGTTGTAGTAGCCGGCCTCGCGCTTGTCGAACAGCTGCGACGGCGCCCCGCAGCCTGGACAGCCGCGGGGCAGCGACCGTCGCTCGGGCTGGAGCGGGGGCGTCTCGGGGGCGCTCGTCGCGGGGGGGCTCGTCGCGGGGGGGCTCGTCGCGGGCGCACTCAGCGGCGGGCGCTCGCTGCCCTCAGGCACGGCCGGGGCGTCCTGCTGGGCGTCCTGCTGGGCGCGGGCAAAGGTCGCGAAGCGCTGTGTGGGCGCGGCATAGCGGCGAGGGCGCGCGGCGGGCCTCAGCAGCGCCGGGCAGAGCAAGGTCGGGAGCGAGGCCTGCAGCGCATCATGGTTCAGCAGCGTCCGGGCCTGGCGCAGCGCAGGGCGCATGCTGGCGGGCGGCTTACGGGTGCGGCGGGGACGGGGGGAGTGTCGACGGCTGAGTCATGCGTCCGGCAACAGTGGCTCGTGGTCGGGCGCGGCAGCGGGCGGTCTGCTGTCGGGGCCGCTGTCGTTGCTGTCGTCGCTGTGGTGCTGTCGTCGCTGCTGTCAACGCGGCGCGCGATGCTCACTCCCGCGGCCCAAAAAATTATCGCGGCGGCCGGAGCTCAGCGCGGCGGCCAATCACGGCCGTCCGCCGGCGTCGGCAGCTCTCCGATGTAGCTCTCGCCGCAAAACTACCCCAGACTCTCAGCCCACCGTCGCGCCAGTCACAGCTCCGACTCACAGCATTGCATCGCTGCCGCCCATTGCTCTTCCTCCATTGCTCCTGCTCCATCTGCCTACTTTCCCCATCACACCTGCCGCCACAATGCTGTCCACCTCGCGAACCGCCCTGCGCCAGGCTGCGCAGAAGCACTTCTCCGTCCAGGCCGGCGTCCGCGCTGCCTCTGCGTGGGCCAAGGTCGCGCAAGGACCTCCCGTGAGTCAATTGCATCGAGCGCCATAACACTGAGCGCTGCTAACACCACGGCAGGATGTAAGAGCCGCCTGAGAGCATCCAGATGACCGCAGCTCACCACTGACCGCCAGGCCATCCTCGGCATCACAGAGGCCTTCAAGGCCGACTCCAACCCCAAGAAAATCAACCTCGGTCAGTCACGAGCGACACAATTCCTTCGGCATGCAGCTGACATGTGCAGGTGTTGGTGCCTACCGCGATGACAAGGGCAAGCCCTACGTCCTGCCGTCCGTGAAGCAGGCCGAGAAGAAGGTCGTCGACTCCAACCTCGACAAAGAGTACGCCGGCATCACCGGTGTTCCCAAGTTCACCAAGGCTGCTCTCGAGCTCGCCTACGGCAAGGACTCCAAGCCGCTCTCCGAGGACCGCGTCGTCGTTACCCAGACCATCTCCGGCACCGGCGCCCTCCGCATTGGCGGCGCCTTCCTCGAGCGCCACTACCCTCACGCAAAGTCCATCTACATCCCCAACCCCTCGTGGGCCAACCACGCCGCCGTCTTCAAGGACTCTGGCCTCAAGGTCGAGAAGTACAGGTACTACAACAAGGACACCATCGGCCTCGACTTCGATGGCATGGTCGCCGACATCAAGGCCATGCCCAAGAACAGCATCGTCCTGCTCCACGCATGCGCCCACAACCCTACAGGCGTTGACCCTACCGAGGAGCAGTGGCTGAAGATTGCTGAAGCCGTCAAGGAGGGCGACCACTACCCCTTCTTCGACATGGCCTACCAGGGCTTTGCCTCAGGTGACACCAACAAGGATGCCTTTGCGCTCCGCCACTTCATCAAGGAGGGTCTCCGCCCTTGCCTTGCTCAGTCGTTCGCGAAGAACATGGTACGTTGCTAGTCAGTAAGGAAAATTATTGTCGTTACTAACCGTTTCAGGGTCTCTACGGCGAGCGTGTCGGTGCCTTCTCCATCGTCTGCGAGTCTGCCGAGGAGAAGAAGCGTGTCGACTCCCAGGTCAAGATCCTTGTGCGTCCGTTGTACTCTAACCCTCCTGTCCACGGTGCCCGCATTGCTTCGGAGATCTTGAACGACTCTGCCCTCAACCAGCAATGGCTCGGTGAGGTCAAGGGCATGGCCGACCGCATCATCACCATGCGCGCAGCCCTCAAGGACAACCTCGAGAAGCTTGGCAGCAAGCACGACTGGAGCCACATCACATCCCAGATTGGCATGTTCGCATACACCGGTCTGACTGCTGAGCAGATGACCAAGCTCGCTGAGGAGGTTAGTAGTCCAGGCTCTTACACACGACTTCTTACTGACAGCTACAGCACTCTGTCTACGCTACCAAGGACGGACGTATCTCGGTTGCCGGTATCACTAGCGAGAATGTCGGACGCCTCGCTGAGGCCATCTACAAGGTCAAGGGCTAAATGCCCGGCCTGGCGCACTTTCTTGCTTCAGGGTTCTCGGATGTTCGGCATAGCATGGCGTGAATGGTACAATGTACTTTACAGTAGGCACTAGACTACATTGCGTAGCGCATGACCAAATTTACCTTCAACTTCGTCTATACCTACAGTAACAATGATGCACGAGTTGACCTACTCGGTAACGCTCTTGCCTGCTACTGGCTCACCCCCACTCTCTACGGCCTTCGGCCTGTGCAAACTCCTATCGATCGGCATGTGCTGTTGCCCTGTCCCATGCACGACACCCCACCTGTCCATGGCCTGACGCGCCCACCAGTAGGGCGCAGATCTTGTCCTACAGCGGTATGGCTTCTTCCTCGCCGCGAATGTGGTGTGAGGAGCAATTCGGTTAGCTGTAGTAATTGCCATGAAATGGTGTGTAACAGTAATGATTATGAGAGCAGTCGCAGTACTGTGTACAAATCACTGAATCACCCAACTGGTGCTGACTCGGAGGGGACCGGATAGGCAGAGTCAACCCGCGCCTAAAACTTCGCTTCTCAGGTTTTACGAGCCGAAAGAGGGGGACTGTGGAGATTCGCGTCGGTTTTGCTGGGCGGGCCACGGCTTGGTGTCTCGATTATCACCAGCGTGGGAATCCGTGTTTGACAGCAGGTTTCGCTGAGCCCACCGCACCTCGAAATAGAAGCCAGCTGAGACTCCAAGCTGGCGAGGCATCGCTGCCACAGTGCAGTGCAATATAAAGGTGAGGCTAGGCGGCTTCGGGAAGATGCAGGGTCACAATGCACAATGACGAACAGAGGTGACGTCGTCTTGGAATCTTACATCCATCCGCAACGCTTCTCTCTTTAAATGCCCGCGTTTGGCAGCCCTCCTGGACGGCCTTCTCCAGCCGGGCTCAGCGTACCCGACCACATCTAGATCTCTTGGCGCTCAACTTGTCACCATACGCAATGAAGCAGAACGAGGTAGCTCGACGTCAGCCGCACGCGTCTATGAACAGACGAGCCATGGCGCTCAGTTGATACGCCTGGGTGGGACGCTCGCAAGCACGTTGCCGTGCAGTGGTCACGAGGGAGGGATGTCCTGGCTTCAGGTTGCGGTCAACGTCGCCAGAAGCTGGCAGAAGGGTCGTGGAAGGGTCAGCGAAGACTGCGCGCGACGATCAACGGCGAGGGCGCGGTTCAGGGCTGCTCATTGACGTCGGGTACCCACCCACGGCGAGCCTACTCTCATGCCCATCACTGCATGCCCCTCTTCACGGTGATGCAACCAGTCCCCTTTCGCACAGATTAGACCGCGGCGTGATTCGATATATGAGCGTTGCTCCCGTGACAGCCCGCTGCCATAATTGCTTCTTCCTGCCTCTCTAGAGCCGTACGTCGTCTCTCCTACCGTGAACAGAATAGCTGCCGCCGCACTTCTCGGCACCCTGACTCCGAGGAATCTGCAAGCCCAAAGCGAACCAGAGGGGGTTAACGCTGAGCTTTTAGGCTTCAGACTGCCGAGAGACAAGCATCCTGCCCTTTGACGTTTTTTCACTCACCGCAGCACCTCCCGCGCGCTCTCGCCGCAGACCCCCCCCCAGTCTCTTCACACACACTGACAACGGCGCTCAAAATTCGGCGGGCCGACCCTACACCTTCGTCATAAACTAAACCCAACTCGAGGATTGCCAGTGCATCGGTCGCGCACGTTCACGCTCGGGTCACTCAATACATCGTTGCACGTTCCTGCGATTCGTAAAAATTATCCGCCACGCCCAGCCTCATCTCTGGACTGCACCGCCGCGCCTGCGACACTGAAAAGCGGTGTTGCTGTGTCTCACTCGTATCGGCTGATTTGGGTCGTTCGCGGGCTGTCGCGAGTTTCTAATCGAGATGGCGCCTAGCTCAGTAAAGGATGAAGACAGGGTTGGTGTGCCCCTCCATCACGTTGCTCCTTCTCCATGCCCCTCTCGCCACGCTCGCGCATTCCTCGAGTCTCGTTGCATGCACTCAACCGCCCTCCGCCCCGCCTCTGCCTGCTGCACTGCACCTACGAACCCCACTCTAACCTGAACAGAGCGTGAACGGCGGCGAGGGCATCATGTCGATCCCCGGCGCCGAGGACACCATCGACCCCTCGACCTTCGAGCAGATCCTCGAGATGGACGAGGACGAGGCCGAGCGCGAGTTCTCCCGCAGCATCGTCTACGACTTCTTCACCCAGGCCGAGGGCACCTTTGTGAAGATGGACACCAGCCTGTGCGTGCTCCTGCCCTGCATCGCACCCTGCATCGTCCGTGCTGACTGTGTCCAGCGAAAAGAAGGAGCTTAAGACGCTCAGCGAGCTGGGCCACTTCCTCAAGGGGTCGTCTGCGACGCTCGGCCTGACCAAGGTCAAGGACTCGTGCGAGAAGATCCAGAACTACGGCCAGCTGAAGGACGTGACGGGCATAAAAGACATCAAAGAGGATGAGGCCCTGAAGAGCCTCGACAAGATCATCAAGCAGGCCAAGGACGAGTTCCACGAGGTCGAGAAGGTGCTCAAGAAGTTCTACGACGACGAGGAATGAGCGCTGCCCCTCGCCCCGTGCCCCTCCGACGCCGGGCACGCCATGCGCTGGCTGGCGGCTGGCGCGCAGCAAGGCAGCACCGCACCCTGTTTGCTCGCCCTCGCTCGCCACAGCGCCCTGTACCTGCGTCGAGACCGCTAGGGACCGTCGTTGCATGGCCGTGTCGTCATCAGGGTGTGCTTGTCTCCTCCATAGCCAGCCTCTGAATTCTGCCACGACTCGGTACTTTGGATACCATAGACTTACAGCGTTTTGAAAAGCATTGAACTATTTTCCGTTTCCCTTTATCCCAATGCTACGGCGTCCACCAGCCCTGCAGACGCAAATGCGCCGAAAGACGGTCCGAGGCAACGTGCTAGGTGGGGTGACAGGCCTACGTCATGCTGCTGATGTTGTGATTGGTCACTGCGTCTTCAACACCAGAGACCAGCATCGCTGAGCTTCAAGATCGCGTGCCGCGCTCCCGTTCTTGAAGTTGGTGCTCCGTGATCGCTCTGCTACTTGACTACCACACTCGTTTCTGACGCTGTGACTCCATGCTACGCACACCAATCCTTCACGCAGCACAGCACTCTCATATCATCAGGCCCTCGTTCATTATGGGTAGAAAAAAAGCCAAAGGCGAATACAACGACTTCCTCGACGACACGCGGCACCAAAACAACAATGACATCCACACTACACTGCAGACCGCATCTACACTGACCCGCACCATCTCGCCACCAACCTCAACGCAGCCATCTCAGCACCGCAATAATACGCCCAAACTCAAGAAGCCCCCCTTGACGCACTTCCTCAGCCTGCCCATCACCGCCCCACAGCTCCCCACGGCCCTGACTAAGTTGCGTCAAGATCTCGAAACCCACACGCCCGTGCCCCCCGCCGCCGTCCGGCCCCCAGGCTCCCTCCACCTCACCCTCGGCGTCATGGCGCTCAGCCCCACACAGCTCTCAGAAGCGACCCGGCACCTCGAGACCCTCGATCTCGCACTACTACTACGCGGCATCACGACGCAGACGCGCGCAGCCCTGGCGCAGGACTCGGCCGCCGTGGGCGAGAACGCGGGGGCCGTCGCGCATTTCTCGGAGGCGAGCGAGGCGGTCGAGGCGGCGGAGGGCGCGTTGAAGGTCAGTCTGTACGGGCTGGTGCCGATGCAGAGTGCGGCATCCACGAGCGTGTTGTATGCGCAGCCGAAGGACGTGGGGGGCCGGTTGGAGCGGTTTGTGGAGAGTGTGAAGGGCGGGTTTGAGGAGGGCGGGTGGGTTGTGAGGGATGGAAGGGCGGTGAGGTTGCATGTCACGCTTGTGAACACGGTGTATGCGAAGGGGCGGAGGGGGAGGGGTGGGGCGGGTAAAGATGGGGAGATTGGGGAGATTGGGGAGATTGGGGAGGGAGAGGGCGCGGATGGAGGAAAGGCCCGTAGACGGGACTCGAAGAGCTGGATGCGTTTTGACGCCACAGGGTTGATTGAGGCGTATAAGGACTTTGCTTGGGCGGACGACGTGCTGATTGACAGAGTGCAGATCTGTAAGATGGGCGCGCGGAAGATCCTGAATGAAGAGACGGGCGAGATCGTGGACGAAAAGTATGAGGTCGTTGCTGAGAAGAGGATATAACTTGTCCTTCCTAGAGATTCGTACAGATAGATACAACGCTTCACCGCATCACCGCTCACCTCCCGCGCTCCAGAGCCTCGATCTCATCCTCCATCCTCCCCGTCTCAGCATCAAGATACGCCTTCCGCTTCGCTAACTCCCGAACCCCCTTCTCACCCGCCTGCTCATACAGCTTCAGACTCTGCCTAGCCAGGGCCTCGCGATCCCTCAATGCCCGCTCCCCGCTGCCCTGACTCTTCCTAAACTCCTTCAACGCGCTGACAAACTCCGCAGGCGGCGGGTGCCCGAACGTGTAGCAGCGCGCCTGTAGCCCGAGCAGCGTGGCGCGCGAGTGCAGCAGCTCGGCGCGCGCTTTGGTGTGCCGTGCGAGCGAGCCGTGCTGCGTCTGCTCCAGGATGCGGACCGAGGTCTCAAGGATCTGCCTGTGCAGAGAGAGCAGAGACGTCAGGGCGTTGGTGAGCTGGGTGCGTGCTGACGCGAGGGCACGCGGGAGGTCGAGGGTGGCGGCGCTGAGGAGATTTTCTGCTGTTATAGAGAGGGATGCTGGGGTGGGAGGAGATAGGGGGGCGGCGATCGTGCACAGGTGGGCGGTGAGGGTTTCGAGCTGCGAGGAGACTGCTGCGGCGACGATGTCGATGTTGTCAAGGAAGGCGGTTGTGTCGCCTGAAAGGATCTCGCGATCTGAGGGGTCCGGAATCTGGCCTAAGAGGAGGGCGGTGACGAGGTCGATGCAGGCGTGCAGCTCGTCTGGAAGGGTTGGTGCGCGGGAAGGTAATGTGGTCAAAGTGTCGATTAAGATTTGTGACGATAAAAGTGTTGATCGGGCGGTTGTTAGACTCTATGAGGTCGTTAATGCAATGCCGATGTTGGGATCAGGAACTTGATGTGTGAGTGAATGTATAGAAAGGACCTTTAAATTGATAATGGAGCCTTCAATGCTGGCAAGAAATACGTAAGACTGTCTGGAAACAGTAACATCATGTACAATAAAAAAAAGACTCACTCGTCGTATTTCATCGTGCATGCGCTGCTTCTTCGTATCTCGTGTCGACCCATCAGCGTTCAGTTTCCGCGCGCAAAGGTCTTTATACAGTGCTTCGAAGTTCGAGTTGCGCTGCAATGTCGTCGGATCTACAGGTGGCAACATGTCTAATTGCAAAAGGTTGTGAATGTTGCAGCGCAGGAAGCTAGTGCTTGTTTGGTGTTTACAGTGAAGCGGCTGCAATAGGCCGAAAAAGGTTAGAAGCGGGGCTGTCCTTCGACTCGTCATCCTTTCGCGACAGAAGTCACTCCTTGTGAACAGCAAAGACATTTATCCATCTTTGAACCTAGTGATAAGGAAACAAACATAGTATCATAGGCGAGTATGAAGCGAAATACAGGGGGCGACGGTAGTCAAAGTCGTATTCAGAATCTACGTACACCACTACTACTCGCTGTGAGCAGAGTTGACAACGAGTCTGCTCGATGTGGGAGCGATTGATAATTTGGTAGGTTTCCAGATACAAGATCCTTGATCTACCTTTTTTCGCAGCACATTTCTCGCAGAAATAGTGTTGAGCATACAGCTGGATCTCTTCGGCTATTCAGACTCTCCTCTCGGACTATTGTGAAAGGAGAAGCTATCTTAGTACCATAGCCAAATACATGTTCTCACTTCGTGTGTCTTCGAATCTATGCTCGCCTCCAACCGACAAAAGTCTCGAAGCAGCCTCCTTCATGCATTCCACAGAACGTCGATCTGGTGTTTCCTCTGCTCACTTCAAGGTCAAAACTATCTCAGATATTTGTGTTTCTGGCATGTACCTGTGTTTCGTATGACGGAGGCTGCGTATCCGGTGTCTATGACGTTGGGTTGCAGCTGGTCCAATGCGCGCGCCATGTTTTCGACAATGGTCCAAGTAGAGGGATCTATGTCACTGTTAAGAATAATGTAAGCGTACATGATCAACACTCGGCCAGTTGGCATCGAGTAGTCGTGTCGTCGATTATGACCAGGAGACCGTAATGTAGATCTCAGCTGCTCAGCATTTTCAGTCAAGCTGCCAGTCATACGAAAAAGCGATGACATTGACCATCCGATCCTTGTAAGAAATCAGCAACACGCTACTTGAATAGTCCTGGCCGAATGACGTTTCTACTAAGTACCTTAGCATACTCTAAGCCGTTTTTCGCCCATCAACACTTTACAGTGCGTACCTTTCAATGGATGAGTCTCACGGCTTGTCTAATGCATACGGGTACGATGCTGATAACGTGTTCAAGGTACAAAAACATAACGATCCTGCTAGTACAGCTAACGGTACCAGGCGTGCAAAAAGACAAGCGCGAAATCCTCAAGGGCGACACCGTATTCACACCGCCAAAGTCCATCAAGAACCCGGCTCCACTGTGTGCGTGAGTAAGATACAAACTTGACCATTGTAGCATGCCAGGTCATCGTGTGGGGTTTGTGGAGTGCAGTGGGTCCGGGGCTCCGCGCCACGGAGGACATATCTCTTCGCAACCATCTTTTTAATGCCTCAGGCGAACTCTCCTGAAAGATCAGTGAATTAGACGTAGCCGTGCCCCTCTATCTAGGCGATTTTGTTCGTCGTTGTGTACTTTGCGAATTTGAAGGTTGAAAGTGGTTGCTTCTACGTTCCTTTGGAGCACGAGAAGCCTCATGATGGTTTGTTCGTTGGTGGCAAACCCCACCTCCTTCGCTCAAAAATCTCCGACGATGCTTCCTACACCACACATTCGACATTCCGACACATTCTGATTGGACCTCCATTCACCATGCTCCGTAACGTCCACGAAAGAAGTTTCACAGACGATTGAAGACGCTGTGACCTGCTGCAACTATCATCGCTTTTGCGCAGCCACCCATGGAAGTCTTCAAACACGCACGAGAGGCCCACTCAAGCACACCTATCTCTAACCATTCCATGGAGTGCTGGATGACATGCTGTGATCATGGAAAATGTTGGCAAAGTGTAAGTGCCGTCAACAACTCAAGAGCTTGGGCTTCGAGGTTGCAATGCCACCATACGGAAGATGTTCGGAGCGTGTATGAGTGGATGAGCCCTGTCGAGGTCACCCAAGAACCTCATGCTTGATTATCAGGCCTCTGAATTAGATCAGATCCCTTGAACGTTACGTGGGATGAAGCATTGCCGGCCGATAGCACGCTGACGGGCCAATGCGCATCGGGTTGTTTCGCACAACTGACCTTGCCCAGCCACTATGGCTGGTGTATCCACCTGGATGCCACCGACTTTGAAGTAGCAGATGCATCACCCAAATCCGCGCCGGTACGTGCTTACGAACAGAGAGCCTCGTCTCGGTGACAAACAAGTGCCAAGGTGGTCCTGAATCCAACCACAACCTTTCTCTTAGCGTAATCACGTAGCAGACTCTGCTTGCTAGTAACGGTCCATATGTTTGTGGCGAATGGACACATTTTCGACATTGCGGCTCTGCTTTTCCACAATCATCCTGACTCGCGCCTCCATCGTGCAGCCGTTGCTCGGCACCGCAACCGGCTTGGCCTACCCAAAACTCTCGGCTGACCGACCAACACCAAGAACCCACTCCACAAGAATGCCGGATCTGATCTAAGATAGTTAAGTACCGACTCTTGTCGTCTCCTGGGCGAGGATTCGGCGGGTGGCCTCATGTAGCCCAGTCGTCACTTTCACAGAATAGCAACATCCCTAGATGACTTCAACGGCTCCGAGGCGCAATACGGAGACCAAGCATGCATGCCACGCTGCCAATGCGAAGAGGCAAACGACTCTTGTGTTAGCATCCGAAAGCTGGCCTTTACGAGTGATCATCTCCGACTATCAGAAATGTGGAGCAGTGTATCGGACGTGGGGTAGTAGGCCGGAGATCAAACTGGGGTAGTCTCGGAAGCATGTCGTATAAAGATCAGTTGCTCGTTCTACCATCAGCAGTCATCCATTCTTGTCTTCTCATTATTCCTCAGAAACTCTCAATGGCAGGCGTACCTGACAGATCAAACTCGGGGCCAACTGTGCACAGCAGCACGATGGGATCAGCTGCACCGCACATTGTTATAGAGGAGAGCAAGGATAGAGATGCCGACTACCTTGAGATAGTACCCACAAACCGCTCTGAAGAGCGCCCAGAATCCAAAAGGCAGGGTGCAGTGGAAGCCCTTGGTATCGAAGACTGGCAAGCGAAGGAGAAACAGATCGTCCGAAGACTCGACCTGACGTTGATGCCACAATTGTGGATTCTGTACAGTACGTATTTGACCGCAAAGTCTTTCCAGAAACATTGTATTCTAATCCCAGATTCAGTGTTCAATTACCTCAATCGAAACAACCTGGCGTGAGTTAATCCTGAACATGATCCAACGTATTATCATTAATGTTGCGAGACAGGCAAGCTCGTTTAGATGAAGACTTTGAGGCAACCCTCAATTTGGGCAACACCGATTACAGTACAGCGGTAGCTTTACTTACAGTTGGGTAGATTACTTTGTGTCCTGCTGTACGTCCAACAACACTGACACCTCACAGTTACATGCTTGCGCAGCTGCCATCTAACATGTAAGCATTCCATATGCAAAACACTTGAGAGTACCATACTAACATTCTGGCAGGCTGATCACACGTGTCCGCCCACAACTCTACCTACCCATTTGCGCGATCGTATGGTCTGGTGTATCAGCCGCAACTGCTGCTGTTAGTAGCCCTGGCGAATTATTTGCAGTCCAGATTGTGTTGGGTATCGTGGAAGCCCCTCTTTTCCCTGGAGTAAGTCGCTCTGTTTCAGAGTGGATAGTCTAAGCTCATCTAAACAGGCTGTATTTCTCATGTCTTGTTGGTACACTCGTCGCGAGCTTGCTCTCCGTACTGCTCTCCTCTACTCTGGGCTAGTCCTTGCCCAAGCCTTCTCTGGACTGATCGCTGCGGGAGTTCTGTCTGGCATGGTTGGAGTAGCCGGCCTCAAAGGCTGGCAGGTAAGTCCCCATCTTTTCGTGGCCTTTCACTACAACGCTGACTTCACTCAGTGGCTCTTCGTTCTGGAGGGTGCGCTAAGCGCATTCTTCGCATTGACAGCCTTTTTCATTCTCCCTAACTACCCACACACCAACTCTGGAGGCCAAATGTGGATAATGACTGAGGACATGCGAAGAATCGCAGTTACTCGCATCGAAGCCGATCGGGTCGAGTCACACACCGAATCTACCGTGTGGCAAGGCTTGCGCCTGGCCCTCACCGATGTTAAGACATACGTAAGTGCAACCCCCGCAGAGTTTGCCATAAACAACCATCTGGTGGCAGAAACATCAGCAAGAGGCATGAATATGCTTGGTTCGCTCACCATCAAATGCTTGTTTGTCGCTTTCTCTGGACCCTGCTTCCATCCCATCTCCCATCCAACTTCCATCCCATCTTTCATGCAACTTCCATCCCATCTTTCATGCAACTTCCAACCCATCTTTTGCTTGAAATTCCATGCCATCTTTGCTAAAACAGACAGATTTTCATCTTTATGAACATTTTTATGACAAATTCTTACGGCTTCAATAATTTTATGCCGACCATGGTGAATGGCTTTGGTATTGGCAATAGGACCATATCTCTTGTCCTGACTGCGCCGCCCTACATTGTTGGGACAGCGGTGTCTTTCTTTGTAGCGTGGTCTTCAGACCGCTCAAAGGAACGTGGTTTTCACATTATGGCCAACAATTGCTGTGCCATTGTTGGCTTCATAATCTCGGTCGCTACACTTAACACAGCTGCGCGCTATACTGCAGCCTTCTTATACACTTCAGGCAGTTTTTCAGCAAACGCCTTGGTGTATACATGGGCAGTTAGTTCATTAGGGCAGACACCAGAGAAGCGAGCTGCTGGAGGCGCTATTGTGAACATTTGCGGTCATCTAGGCAACGTAGTAGGTGTTCCTTTCACGAACTTAGATAACTGTTACCTGACACTGGATTCAGATGTCGCCGTACTTCTTCCCCGATAGCGACGCGCCACGATACACAATGGCCATGATTCTGCAAATTGTCTTCGCAGGTCTCACACTCTGCATGGCGTTTACATCGAAGACGTACCTCAAGAGACAGAACAAGAAGTTGAAGGCGGTCTCAGACCAAACAGGAAACCTTTACAATCCCTTCACAACGTAGTCGTATAAATTTAATGCTCATACGCATATCAGACACTGCGTCTACGTGCGCATGATCTGCCATGATGGATGGCTCTCACAAGGCAGACCTTAATTCCATTCAGCACAACCCGCAGAATCAAGCTCAGCCAGAAACTTTTGACAGTGTGATTGTTAGCCTTCTTGCCCAATGCAGCGTCTTGCTAGTTGACTGTTCGGATGCGCCTGGATGCAATCTGTGTCCTGAACTGCTCCAATACCTAGGTACAGGCACACCGCCTTCCAGATCACTGTGCATCTTACGGTGTTATCCCCCCTAAACATAAGTCACGAGTATAATTTCGCCGTTACCATGGCTGGACTATACATAGGTCTTCTGTCGATCTCGAGAAAGGGGTGCATCGCGATGACATCAGTGGCCCAGGCTAACGGAAACCAGCTACCACGTGAGGTGTACACTCATCTTCGTCCGGCCTACTGAATGTAACCAGCCGGCTCTTTTCTCATGAGGCTGATACATCAGTCGAATAGTCTCGGGTCATCTCTGTCTGAATGCTGAGCAATCTCTAGTCTGCAGCTCCATCTAGTGAGACTGTAATCTCGGTGCACAGTCCGATGCAGCTGGGTACTCGGCGATTCGTGGCTCTCTTGATTTGTACCTATTGGGTTTCACCCTACAGGTACGTAGAACCACATAGAGGCTGACCTTTGGTCTCAATGTAATTTGACCAACGGGTTCTTGCAATGTAGGTACTCCATCCACGCAGCCCGCTCTGCCAAGCTGGCCAAGGAAGCGGGTCGCTCTTAGGCTGCATAAGGTCGTATGGATATCTTCCCGTTGGATCTCCATCCATGTCAAGCACATGAAGCTGCTCTTGTCATATTGCATCTGCCAATCAGGGCACGCATGCTGTCCACATGCTCACGCTACGATGTAACTGCAAATTATGGAATTGAATGGCTACCACTTATAGGTTTGAAGCGTAGTACATATTCCCTTACAACGATCCGAGCATCACTGGTTTTCTTCTCTACCATTCACTGTGCCTGAACTACCTTGACACCGCGATCATGCTATCTCACGGGCTTATCCTCTCAGCCTGTGCAGCCATTACAGCTGCAAGCTGGGATCATAATATCAATTACGGCAGTCCATCCTTGAAACATGCATCTCTGGGTATCAATACCAGAAAGATTCAAAAGCGGATGCTCCAGAAACGAGACGGATCCTACCATCACAACGAGGACGTCAAATTCACCCATGGTGTCGCATCCGTAAGCCTGTTCCCCTTCGACATGAGCATGGAGACTGACCGCTGCAGGGTGATCCGTTTGCACAATCAGTCATCTTGTGGACAAGAGCTTCACCAGTTCTCGAAAATGATGCCTCGAACGTGACAGTGGAGGGGACAGTGCCTTACTTCAGCCACGAAACTGAGCAGTACATCAAGCTCTCCAAGGCCCCAATCTGTGTCGATTGGAAGACATCGTCCAGCCCTAGAATGGATGGGTCACCTGTCTCTCGGGGCAGGGCTTACACTACATCCGATATTGATTATACTGTCAAGGTGAAATCTCTCGATGCTTGCTGCGTCATACACAGTATGTGCTGATTCAACACAGATTGAGGCTGGTGGTCTGAGCCCTTTCACTACTTATTACTACCAATTCACAGTATGTGGTACGAATATTACTTCGCCGATTGGTCGAACGAAGACTGCACCCGCCCCAGATGATGATGTTTCATCGCTAAGTTTGGGCGTCTTCTCGTGTGCGAACTATCCTCTTGGTTACTTTAACGCGTATGGTAACATTGCTCGTAAAGACAGCGTTGACTTTGTGTTGCAACTTGGCGACTATATCTACGAGGATGAGGTTGGAGTCCCCGGCGTAGACGAGCGCGCTACTGTGTCCGTGCACCCAACGATCGGAGTCAGGCAACGATCGGGGAACAACAATTACACCCAATTTTGACGCGTAATAATTCAACCACCATGCCAGGTATTAATGATGCGCTTGCAGAGATTCGTAAATTGAACCCTGGCGATAAACCTGTCTATACAAAAATTGCGCTTAAGCATGGTGTTGATCGCAATACTCTATCGCGCGCGCACCGTGGTGTGCAGGTCCCTCGACGCGTCGCCAACGAACACCTACACAAGCTCACTCCACAACAAGAAGAGGACCTTGTGAAGTATATAGAGCTGCTAAGTACCCGTCATATAGCACCTACAAGGACCATGATACAAAATTTCGCGTCTAAGGTCGCTCAAGAACCTTGCTCCGAGAGCTGGGTTACACGCTTCCAACACCGTCACCACGACCGACTTGTAGCCAAATGGACGACCGGCATGGACTCTAGTCGCCACAAAGCTGAGTCTGGGTATAAGTACAAGCTGTACTTTGACATCCTACACAAGAAGATCACCGAATACTCTATTGAGCCTGAGCACACGTACAATATGGATGAGAAGGGCTTCGCGATCGGAGTACTAGGAAGGACAAAGCGCATATTTAGTAGGCGTCAATATGAGAAGAAGGAGGTTCGACAGGCTCGTCAAGATGGCTCACGTGAGTGGGTGAGCTTATTGGCAGCAGTCTGCGCAGATGGTACTGCACTGCCGCCAGGCATCATATTTGCGTCGAAAAACTCCACAATCCAGAGTCATTGGGTGGCCGATATAGAGGCAGAAAACCACCTAATTCACGTGGCTTCTTCGCCCTCTGGGTGGACGAACAATGACATTGGATTAGCCTGGCTTGAACAGGTATTTGATCGTTATACAAAGGCAAAGGCGCGTCGGAGCTATAGGCTTTTGATAGTAGATGGCCATGGCAGTCACCTAACGCAGGACTTCATCGACTACTGCGATAAGAATCGGATTATACTGGCCGTGTTACCCCCTCACAGTACCCAGACGCTGCAGCCGTTGGACGTAGTCTGCTTCAAGCCACTCTCCTCCGCGTACGCCTCCGAGCTGGATGACTACCTCCAGAAGTCTCAAGGCCTATCCCCGTTGACAAAAGGTGACTTTTGTAGCTTATTTTGGCCTGCCTGGGTGGCTACATTCACGGCCGAGCTCGTACAAAACGCCTTCACAGCCACGGGGATAAGCCCACCAAACCCCAACGTTATACTCGATAGATTCCGCCACACAACACCTACTGACTCAGGCTCAGTTGCCTCTGGTTCTACAGCTTATTCAGCAGAAGACTGGCTTAAAGCTTGCACTACTTTGCATGCAGAGGTGAAGGATCCTCGCAGTGTAGGTGCCCGGAAGCTCGGCCAAACTATCCACCACCTATCAACCCAGGTTGAACTCCTTCACCACGAACTAGATAGCTTGCGGCAGACGCTACACAAAAAGCAGAAGCGTCAGAAGCAACCTAGCAGGCAATTAGACCTGCAACAGCATCAGGAGTATCACGGCGGAGCTATGATGTGGTCTCCTCGGGCTATCCGGGAGGCACGGGTCCGCATAGCAGTTACTGAGCGAGAGAAGGAGGAAGAAGAGCTAAGAAAGGCAGAGATGAAGGAGTTAGCAGCTGCTAATAAGCTATACAAGCAGAAGATTGAGGAAGAGAAGCGTCAAAAGCGGGCAAGGGAGAAGGAAGAGCGTGTCAGGATGAAGGCAGAGGAACGCCGAGCAATAGACGCCCGGAAGGCAGCCAGGGCAGCCAGCAAACAGGCTCGTGACTCTACAAAAGCTATACAACAGTCCCAAAGAAGCAAGACTACAACCTCAAAAGCTTCTGCAGTCAAAGTAAAGCCTGCGCGTCGTGCTGTGGGTGCTCGTAGTCACCCAAAGCCTGCCACGCCTCCCCCAGCTCCGCGCACTCACACGACCCGCAGCGGCCGCACAGCCACATTATATAGATAGATTGTATAGAGAATAATGATCTGCTAGGCCTATAGAACAAACCGCCAAATTATTTGACAATAATAGCTATTATATGCGGCTCTACAGCTTCATTTTTGTAGTAGGCCTCAGGGATCGGAGCGATCGTTGCCTGACTCCGATCGTTGGGTGCACGGACACAGTATGGTCCCTGCAAGGGAGATTGTGACGCTTTACGACTACAGGACCAGACTTGCACAGTATCGCAGTGACATGGATCTACAGACAGCGCATGGAAAGTTTCCATTTATCACAGTCTGGGTGAGTCTGTTCCCTATAGTGGCACGAATGATAATCTCATGTGATCTACAGGATGACCACGAGATCGCCAACAACAATTGGCGGGATGGTTCCAGCACAATGAACAACACCGAGGAGTCATTCAATGAGTTTGGTGGCATCTCATTCGACCAGCGAAAAATGAATGCGGTTCGAGCTTATTTTGAGTGGATGCCTCTACGCCAAATTGACATGGACGACAATCTTCGCATCTGGCGAAGCTTCCAGCTGGGTAAGTTACTTGATCTTGTCATGCTCGATACGCGCAGCTATGACCGAAGCATCACTCGTGTTGGATGGTAGGTACTTTTCCCGTGTCATGATTTCACACTGACTGAGGGAAAGGAATGACGAATACGTATACAAGATCTCTAACGATGCTGGCCGTTCGATAATGGGTTCACATCAAGAGAACTGGTTCTTCCGCCAACTATCTGAGTCCAAAGCTCGAGGCGCGGCATGGCGTGTCATCGGCAACCAAATGATCTTTTCCCACATCAACAGGACCGGGGAAGGTGAACGCGACATTCCTGTTGACGTAGATGCCTGGGACGGATACGTTGCAAGCCGAAACCGCACACTTCAACACCTTTACAGTAATAATATCGACAATACCATCATGCTGGCTGGTGACTCTCACCAAAACTGGGTGTCTGATCTAGTTTGGCTTGATAGCATCGAGTACAATCCTGCAACAGGCGCTGGAGCTATTGGTGTCGAGTTCGCAGTGACCGGGACGACCAGTAATGGGCTCGATGGGCCTATTGCAGAGACTGAACGGATTAGCGAGGCTTTCGTGCGCGACAACGAAGAACTCCTTTGGCAAGAAGGATACTATCGTGGATACACTGAGTTGCACATTTCCCCTGAAAAGATCGAATCTCAGTATTGGGGCTGTCCAACGATCGCAAATCGTAACGCGTTTGAGATCTCCCTGGCAAACTTCACGGTTAATGCTGGAGACAATCACGTCGCGCGTCCCGTTGCCGATGGTGTAGTCGAAGCGGGAGCTATTGCAGAAGGCCACGGTGAGGTCCGGGCTACCAATCTAACCAAGGATCTAGAGACCGGCGAGTGGTCGATCCATGCTTTCGACACCATGTTCTTGGAGTGGGCGTTGGAGTGGTGAGGGGTACATTGATGTTGGAGCAGCTAAAATAATACGTGCGATGGAGTTCCTGGCTCGATTATCGTGTTGGGCAAAAACGATTGAACGTTGGTTGGGTGCTTCATGCAGCGACACCAACCTCTCACATCCTTCACCCTTCCCCTTACCCCCCACCCCCCCAGCACAACCACCATCACAGGGGCAAAAACGAAGGGCTTGCATCGGCCGGGAATCGAACCCGGGGCTAGCCGAAACTGTGCAGTCACTGTGAAGTGAAATGGCAACGGCTAATTTTACCACTAAACCACCGATGCGGTCAGTCTGGTTATAACTTATATGAGAAGAATCAAATTTGAGTGTTTATATCAGAGAATTTAAATGATCGTTTGTCTTCTCACGAAATGGCGGTTCTCAAGCCTCGGACATGTGCGGGTTTTAACAGTGACGCTATTTATTGTGCGCACAGTATGGCCCCACTCTTCGGTTACAGCCCGCAAACAGACTAAGGATGGCACACATCACATTGATGTCTAAACCTTTTAATGACATGTAATCCAGAGTGCAGTCTTCAGCATTCACGTACCCTAGCTAACGCATTTTGAAAATCCAATCAGCGGAGCACCCGAGTACTTTACACTGGCATAGCACATGACACGCCTTTCATGGTATCTAACGATTGTAACAGACGGAACCATATCTACACAAACAAGATAGGTCCACGGGTATGTGCGACACCATTACTCTCCATCCGATCTTCTCTGAGCTCGCAGCCCACACCCGCTGCCCCCACTGATCCCCTACTTCAGACACGCTTGTCTCAACGATGAGATAGTTCCCAGATCCGTCTTAACCCTCGGGGGCAACTTCTCAAAGTTGGTGCTACTGAATCCTCTCCTCGCTGTCGCTGCGTCGCGGAATGGCTGCCTCGACACGCCTCCGCCCAGGAGGAATCCGAAAATAGTGCCCAACGCATCTGAAGGGTTCTCCACAAGCTCATATACAGAATACCCCACGTTACCCAGTTCGCCAGCCATGAGAATGATCGAGCGCATTGTGGCACCGCCCAGCGCGCCCACCGCCTCGCCCACAAATGGAATGATCATAAAAATGGCTGTGATGAAGTCAGCAATACTTTCTTTGCGCTCCTGCTCGAGCACCTTATTTGCTGTGTCGACTACATTCTTCATGTTAGCCACGGCCTCGGACATTAGGAGCGATGGCATCCCGAGTGCATCCACAATATCCGAGTTGCGGCTGCTCGTGAAATCGTGCGGCGCGTATCTCCTCGCACTGACCGACGAGTCGAGCAGTGTCTTCGTCTTGTCATATGCCCCGCCGATAATGTCCTTGGGATTGGGGATCACAAGCTTGGCCGCATCGATATTGGGGAATCCGTGCCAGTACGTTGACCCGGCCTTGATGCATTCGTTAACCTGAGTACCGGCGTTGGCGCAGTTGGCGAGATGGACCATATAATCCCCAAACGAAATCCAGTCCTTAGAAATGCCGTACTGCTCACTGATCTGCGAGAAGAACGCGTCCGAATTGGTCAAAGTGAACGTAATCTCCTGCTGATGCGAAAAATAGTCCGTATCGATGCTTGGAACTTCAGTTGGACAATCAATCGTAACGGCGACGTTGCCGCCCGTACAGTCCTTGGCCGATGAGCAACCGTTAGGACATTGATAGACGTTCAGACAGTTTTTACAGCACTGCTTGTACTGTTGTATAGTACACTTGAAGTTACCAGACTTCTGGGCTCCAGACATATACTTGGCCACCGAAACAGGAGCTTGCTCCTTCGTGTATCGCTCGTAAACGTCAAACTTGCCGTCGTAGCCGTTGTTCAACATATTGTTGTAGTCGCTCAAGGCACTGTTCAGAATCTGGATTTCAACATCGGCAATGTACGAATCAAAGCAGTGAGCCGGCACCGAAGAGCCAGCGTCCTTGATCTGGTCCAGTGTATTGAATTTGGCGTTACAAGGCGCATAGTCTGTTGCAGTCATGGTTTCGGGTAGATCGTCGATATCGTAATCACCATCTTCGGTGATGGGGATTCTTCCCCTGCATTTGTATTAGCAACGACATAGAACTAAGCACGATTCAGAACTTACTCGCCAGTGGATGCTACCAACCAAGCATTTATGATGGAAGTGAATGGATGTTCGTTCGTGTTTGTATTGTCCTTGGCTGTAATAGGATCACTTCCCTTCAAATTGAGCATTTCGACTGTGCCGATGGTGTACAGGTTGTACATCCAGATATTTCCGCTCTCTTTGACATCTACAACGCGTCTTTGACAGTTCTGTGCATCAACACAGGGCTGAATGTACGCTTGGAACCAATTGTAGAGGCCGGCGCCCAGAATGTGCACGTTGGTGGCACCGTTTATCATGAGGCCGTACGAAGCTGCGCAATGATTATCGCCCGCTGGGCAATCTTTGAAGTCTGGATCTCCTGGGAACTGTCCTACTTGCGCAGTGAAAGGTGCGGGTGCTTGGGGATTGGGGAAAAAGTAAGGGCTTTCCTATAGGTTGCAGTTCGAGTCAGTCCATGTCTCGTGTACAGCTTGCACACATGTTACGTACCGTTTGGATCATGCCCATAAAGACATCTTTCGCGCCGTAGAGCTGAAATTGGTAGAAGATAGAATGCTCCGAGGCGGTACCGTACATCCAGACAGGGCCACCCTGACTCTCAATTAGAACGCCACGTGCGCAATATATGTCAATCTGGGTTTGACTGGGACCAGAGTCCATATCGTGATCAGCTACCCATGCCCACACGTTTTCGAGATAGGCCGAAGAGGTGACGGTCATGTGTATCATCATACTGGCAGCAATACAATTGTTGTTGACGCTTCCAGTAAGCTTGGGGCAATCAGAAGCAGTCAGTCGCGAACCTTGGGCTCCACCAACGCGGAAATGGCTATCCCAGATGGCAGCAGAGCCTTGCAAGCCTTGGGCCATGTTCCATTGCAATAGGATTGCCCCCGCTGTAGGACCTTCCGTGGTGAACATGATATCCTGGATTTCTACCGATCCTGTATCGCCAGCTTCACCGACCTGGAATAGCACTTGAGGGTTGTTCACATCGGAAAAGTAGGCGCCTTTGGCTACAATCTGAGCCCAGCACTCGCCGACGATGACAGCTCCCACGGGTACTCTGAGCGTTCCAGTGACAATGTAGGATCCAAAAGGTATGTAGAGTGGACGTGCCAGAGCGGTCGATAGAGATATCATCAGAGCGAGCGCAAAGCTATCATCTGTTGAACCATCGCCCTTGGCAATGAGACGGGCGTTCATGAAGGTATTGGCATCCAGAAGTTCATACTGCGGCTTACTTCGCTCATAGTATCCATTCTTTCCCATGAGCGAAGCTGTTTTGGGATGAGTAGAAGACAGAGGGCCGGACTGGAATTTTCCCTTTGGATTGGCCTGATCGTACACCTTCCCTAAAGTCCATGAATCAATTGTCCTGCTACCACCAGCAAGTGTAACGCCGGCATTCTGGTGGCTGACTGCTGTACCAACGCTGGTAAGTTTGAGATTATCAATGTTGATAGTGAACATCTCGTTCGATGTTGCGCCCTTGGGGGTGGAAATAGAGATACCCGTAGTCGTGCTACTGATTGCCGAATCCAAGAACATGAGAGACCCGCCACGGAACGTACCCGTCATGCGGAACCCGATGTTGGCGCCGGAAATGATCATAGACTTCCATGTCCATCCCCAATCCCAGAGCAGATCAATGGCTGTACGACAGCCAGAGAAGACAAAGTTACGGACCGTGAACTGCTGGTTACTGTGGTATAATGTCAGTCTTATCGGATCACCGTCCTGGTCACAATACGAACTCACCCACACCTGATTCCTGTATCACCACCAAAAAAGATGAGGTCAGACATGAACCCACCGCTTCCGTTCTCTGCAAAAATACCCTTGTGTGTCTTGCCGGCAGCGTCTGACTGATAGAAGACAACGTTTTGGATGCTAGTGGCTTGCGCGACCTGCCAGTGTACACCAGCAATATCAGTCATGTCGGCGCTCCTGACATCGATGATGAAGTTGCGTAACTGTCTAAGGAAATTGTTCTGGTTGATAAACCATTGTTCTTCACCTCCATTGCCTCCAGTGTACTCATCCGATGATATAACGCCTAATCCAACAAAACTAGCAGCAGCTTTGATGATAGGCAAGTTGTTAGCATTTCCAATCATCTGTGTGTTGTAGTACGCTGGAATGGTGGAGCTGACGAGATAGGTTCCGGCAGGGAAGTAAACAATAGCCGGCTTAATGGTGGAAGCTCCACAGTTCTTACCACACCGCTTGCCGTCTGTCATGGCTTTGTTGATGGCTGCCGTATCATCTGTCTTGCCATCACCAACAGCACCATAATCTTTGACATTGCGAAATACAACGTATCCACTGTCTCCGCCATACGGAACCCTGCCTTGGTGTGCAATGTTTTCCATCCACCAGGAACCTCCAGTGGCTCGTTTGTTCAGTCCCTCGGCCCCTACAGCAGGCGGACCGTGGAGCTCATCTTTGAGCTGTTGCAACTCAGCGGGAAGACCAGGGTAGGTGTCAGGCTGTAGATTCTCTGCGTCTGCCTCAGCAACTACTGCGGCTGCAGCCTTGACGGTTTCATTTGGTGTAATAGCAGCGGCATCATCAGCACGAGCTTTTAGTGCGGCTGGCTTGCTGAAGCTAGCATAGTAGTTATTAAGACGAGGGTTTTCGAAGCGCTCCCGGTTACGAGCGTTGGCTTCATGCTGGGCTTGACGAACAATCTCCCTGGCCTCCTCTATCGTCGTCGAATTGCCACTAGTCAAAGTGGAATTGACTATCTGCCGACTATGGAAAGAGGCGTGGCTGAGCGGATGAGACAAAGCTGAGGGGCTGTAGTCCCTCCTGGTGTTATTTGAGTCCGAATTCGGGTTCAACAGTGCGACCTTGACAGTGTTGGCCGAATTATGGATGTGTTCAAGTTCTGAGACTGCAAGGTCTGGGTTGTCCTTTTTCCATGCATTTACGAAATCGTCAACCAAGGACGATATGTCGGAAGGACTCGATCCAATAAGCTTTGGGGCAGATTCGTTGCGCGGTACGAAGATATTTCGCAGCGTGTCACCTCTGGCCAGAAGAGGGAGGGCCAACAGGCACGCTCCAAAAGAAGAAAACAACATAGTGAGTGACGTGTGCCGAGGCACTTAGAACGAGTGACGATAAAGAAAAAAGAGTGTCTTGGAGCTGTAGAAGCCACGAAGAGACGATGAAAGCAAGTAATAAGTGTTGAAGCATTTGGCGGAGGTAATTCAGCATGGTGTGAGCTAGACTGCCCTGCATTGCCTGCTACCCCCTACATTCGGTGTATACTTCCAGGACTAGGTACCTATTGGTACGCCTAATAGGTGGCTTGCTGCACCTGCACAACTACACAATGCAGGGGGTGCGCAGAAATGGAGCACATATCCTGGTAGAAGTCCATGGTAAGGCGCGCGCTAATCCTATGCTACTCGATTAGCCGGCAGATGCACCTACTAAAATAAGGCGGAGCGCCGCGCTAAACACAAGATGGTGGCTGGCCTGAGCCGCCGCCAAGACATGCTTGTCACAGTCAAGGCTCACCGGCCGAGGCTTGCTTACTTCTAAGATTGATCGCTCTTCCTTCATTTCTCACACCTGCCGCCTTACATTCACAAGGACTGCAACACTGAGACATTACGAAGTTCGAGGCGCTTATCTGGCCATGGATTCACCCGCTGTCGCTGCCGCTAGCATGTCAGAGTTCCATCTCTTTTCTAGCCTACCCTCGGAGTTGCGCCTACGAATCTGGGAGCTGGCTATGGAACCTCGCGAAGTTGCCGTTGGTCGAGGACTATCCCGTCGCCGCCGCTCAGACACAGCCCTCCCGGCGATAATGCTTTCCTGTACTGAATCTTGGGCTCATCTCCGGCCGTTTTACAAGAAAAGCTTTCCAACAGGCACACCTCCACAGTTCTCTTGGGTTAATTTCGACATCGATACTGTGTACTGCAGTTTTGAGGAGCTCATCTACTGTAACGATGAGATCCCCCTGATACAACGCCTGGTTGTAGAATGTCAAGACTCTGAGCTATTCTACTCCAAGTACGGCCGTCGCTTGTATCTCGCCAGAGCTTTAGATACACTTACTATCTTGCATTTTGGCTATGATGCAGTACACGAAAGTTGGTGGCGGGAGTGGGACGATATCTTGCAAGAGTGGTATTACCGAGACGACCCTGTCAGATTCTACACTAAGGTTGTTAGTGTGGACGACCCTTCCAGTTTTGAGGTGAATAGCAAGAACTTCCTGAAAATTGAGCGTGAGTGGCGCAGGAACAACCCACCGCCTCCGGAAGAATGGCCAGACTATCAAGTGTCAGATTCGGACGACGATGTGGATGCAGAGTGGAGATATCGCACGGGTTACCATCATGTAGATGGCTGCAGTTGTCCTTCTCGGCGTACATAGCTAGTTCCCTTGCTCTGCCGTGTCGGCCTTATATGTCACTAAAGATACAAAGTAATTTACCTCCAATCAACTGAGCTTGATAAGGAAGCGAATGAGTTTCCAAGGTCTAGTCAAAAATACACATTTGACATATTCGGGACAAATCGTTAGAGCACCATTCATAGACCTAGTTCCCTGTAGGTGTATACGAACTCCACCATATCTTGCGCGTGCAATTAAATCCGAAATGAGAGCCCGGCATAGATGGTGGAGATTTGCCAAACAAGGGACGGGTATCTGAACTGGTTTTGTCTTGGATACGGGACCATTCCTCTTGAAGCTGCATACAGGCTAGGCCTCTCTACTTCGTACCTGCATTAGGTGGCCTCGCCTTGGCGTTGTTCATGGCTTCAGCGTTGGTCAGCTTCTTAAAACAGTACGCAAAAATCGTCTTCATCTAATACCATCTGCTTGCATGCTTTAGAAGTTGGGCATCTTTCTCTCCATCCTTCGTTACCAAGTTTCGCGATCCCCTTCGCAGTCACTCCTTTCAAGAACGCTTTACTTCAACCTTCACTCATTACTCTTTTATCTTACGCAGCTAAAAATGAAGCTGACAATCGCTCTTTTCTATTCCTTGCTAGTGGCAGGCGTCTCTGCAAGAGGTCTTCGTGTTGGCTGGGAGAAGGTTTTCCTCTATCTCGCATACCGCATCGACCAGCTGGAACCTGATGAAACCAAACGTACCATGGGCTTTAAATGCGCAAACTTTCTCTTGACCGCATCTGGTGCTCCCTATTGTAGAGACAATGCATGGGTCAAATGCGAGGTGCTCGAATATAATCCAGCAACTCGGGCAAGAGAGAACCGAAACTGCATCGGCATCAAGGAATGGATGGCATTTACCGACGACCAACGATGGACACGTTTCCCAGTCAACGAAGGTACCACAAATGCGGAGAAAGCCAAAGCGCCTATTAATCTCGACTTCGACATGAGAGCTGCTGTCAAGAACCTGAACGATATGCGGATGGATCAGAACAGGTACGCCCCGGCTCGTGTATATAAAACACCAGCCAACGGCGCCCCCGTAGCATTTAATACCATGATTGAGGATGTTGGCCAGACCGTCAAGAACTACATCACAAGAGTGGGCACTCTTGTCGATCACCCAGAAATTCAGCAACTCAGGACTGCGCTAGACGAAGTTCAGCGAGCGCGTGTTGTTGATCACTCGCCCAGACTAGTTGAGCACCTTCAGACCGTCTTACCTGGAGGTATCTACCATACTAAGAAGGTCGGAACTGACGTTCAAGGGAGGGATCAAATGGTATTTGACCCCGATGAGACGGTCAGAAGTACGACGCCAATGGTTTCAAACTTTGAGGAAGAGCTCTACAAAGCCATTGGGGAATATTACGATAACAGCGACATTGCCAGAGATCACATCAGCGTTATGCATAGTATCGAGACGACTAGGAACCAGATCAGTAGTATTTCTTGTGGAATCTAATCGTAGGATGGAGCACTACAGAGAAGGGATTTGAAAGTCTTTCTTCTTGTTTTAGCAGAATTTTCCATGTAGTCACAAGTCAGTTGTGAAGTAGCAGAAGTTCATTAATCACTAAGTCGGCGAAGAGCAAACGTCCATGACTCCAGCGCCCAAATTCACGCTCCCAGGTTGAGAGTTGTCTTTTTGCTCGAATCGAATGTTCCTGTTTACTTCCCATGCTACTGTCAACTCACCCTTGGCCACAAAGATATCTGAAGAAATTGCAACCAGACCTAACTCGTCTCATGTACACTATAAGTCTAGACGCCAAAGTGAAGACATACTCCGATAACTCCGTACTCAAACAGATTGTCAAGTTCTTGCACAACAGTTCGAAAATTGGCAGAGGGTCAACTGATCAAGTCATCCCGTGCCGGTTTTGCTCCAATCTAGACTCTGCATGAAGTTCATATCACAATCTCTCACATGCTTGTCGAGATTTCTCAATGCAGAACGCTACGACGCACGAAGAATACATGAAGCTGGCCTTACGAGAGCTACTTGCTAGAGTTGTGCAGGGTGTGTAGGGTGTCGCCGATCCAAAGGAACCTCCAAGCCTCACAGCCACTGGCCGAGACCGACGCAAAGGGGCGGAACATGTCACTAACGTTAGGCGGACTGCCTTCATTAGCGCTGAAGAGGCAGGTAAGAATTAAGCTCTTCTTGGCAGGGTCAGATAAGTCGGACGGTTGCTTGTTTTCGCTTAGCAGGGTGTGGCTCCTACCGGTTCCCTGCCGAGTATCTAGTTTATGCGGGTGCACGGCCCAAAGGACAGGGATACTAACAACTCAGAGGATTTTGACGCCACCAACTTACTTTACAAGAGATGTAATACAGACCCTGTACACACTAAACTGGTGAACTAAGACTACTAGGCAACATACCCAAACTCGAAGTAGAGCCGATAGACCCTGGATCTAAGGGCTCGAATTGGAAACAGCCCGAGTCAGGCGGAAATTGGTACAGGTGTAGTAATGAGCTGTACGACGTGTTCATCTTCACGCTCATTTGTCTTCTCAGAAGTTTGTCTTTCAGTTCACTCGCTCACACACTCATTTTTGGGGGTCGACTCTCCGCTCAGTTTCCATCGTGGACTTCTTTCCAAACAATTCTTCCATTCATTCATCATTTTCATCGTCAATAAATATCTGATACACAAGTGCCTCGCAATGAGAAGCATATTTGTCTCCTGGGCAGCTCTTGGCCTCGCTACAGTCGTATCTGGCGATGTCCAACCGAACATGCAGTACGACCCCAAGACCATCAGCACTTGTACCTGGTGGTACGACAACTATGAAGGCCAAACCTGCCAGGCGATTCGCGACTGGCGCTACGGCATCAGTGCGGCCGACTTTAGTCGTTGGAACCCTTCAGTGAGATCCGATTGCACCAACTGGCAGCCGCTTTCGTATTGTGTCGAGGTGGCCAGCGAAATAAAAAGTAGCAGTATCGCTCCGACTTCGACAACGCCAGTGAGCAGCAAGACCTCCGCAATCCCAACGCAGACCGCAGTACTCACAGGTTGGAATGCTCTGGGTTGCTATGTTGATAGTAATACGCTCTCCAACAAGACGACCAAGGCGGGAGGCACGAGCTTGACGGTGGAAAAGTGCGAAGTCGCATGTTTCGGCGACAAGTACAAATATGCCGGTGTGAAAGCTGGCACTGACTGTTGGTGTGGTTCCTACGTGGGAAACTCGTGGACATCGAATCAAGCTGATTGCAACGTTCCATGCGCTGGTAACTCTGCTCAAGTCTGCGGCGGCAAGAGTGTCTTCAATGTTTTTGAGGCTCAAACCAAAACTGAGCTGCCGCCAGCTGGGTCTCAGACTGCATGGCCTTCCGTCTCTACTCCCATAACCACCTCCACAAGTGCTACCTCTCACGTCCCAACTGCCTCAGTGCAACCTACCTGGCAGGCTGTAGGATGCTACAAGGACTTATATCCGTCGACTAACCGCACCCTGAAGACCCTCTCTAGCGCCTCTGACACCACTCAAACGCCGCAAAACTGCCAGGCTGCTTGCCTGAAAACAGGAAGCATCTACGCCGGTCTCGAGAACGGACGCGAATGTTGGTGCGGGAACGAAATCCAGTCTCCCGCGAGTAATACCCCCGTCGCAGAATCCGACTGCAACAAGCCCTGCACTGGTGTGTGACCCTCACTTCTCCCTACACTCAAGACCATGCACTGATATGTTGTCAACCTCTAGGCAACAAATCCCTCCAATGCGGTGCCGGCGCCCGTGCCTACCTGTACAAGTACGTCGTACCGTCCGTCCCCTGGGTTGGTCTGGGCTGCTACGGCGAAGCGAGCCCACGCATCCTGCGCAACATCATCAGCGTCGTGGGTGGTCAGGCGAATAACACGCGTCAAAATTGTATTACAGGGTGTGACAACCTCGGGTACGGCTATGCAGGAGTGGAAAATGCGGGAGAGTGCTGGTGCGATAATCAGATTACTGGACAGCTGGCTACTGATGGAACAACCTCGTGGTATGTCTGCTCTTTGATGACTTTGCGATCATTCAAAAAATGTTACCTCATTGCTAATGCTACGATTGTAGTAACAAGGCCTGTCCGGGTAAGAAGGACGAGACATGCGGTGGTTTGTCGAGGTTGGATGTGTTCGTCAAGTCATCTATTCTGGCATAGGGTATCCTGGTTGATACGCACGAGATCCCTAGCTGCGGGTGCTCTTCATGGTAATGGCTATAATATTTTCAATTCTTCTGGTATAAGTCATTTACGATACTACTTCCACATACAATCAGCATTTGTTTATCTTCATCTTAGCAAGCCGAAGCTGAGTTAAGACGCTTGACAGCATCTACTTGTACAAGTAACCCACCGATGCTATTGTGATTCGATGAAGGATCAATGAATTAGGGTTTTGTTATTTGCTCCCTAGGAGCCAGGAGACGTTACTGTCGAGTCTTGGCCACTGTTTCCCCGGGCTGTGAAGCGCTTATCTGAGTACAGCCGAAGTTTAGACCCTACTTCTTGACGAAGACAAAAGCCAGCTCTTTTGTGGACTTCAGCGTAACATGCCTTCTCAGAAGGACGGAAAAATTCGGTCCCTTCTCTCTCCTACAACGTCCTACCCCTCTTATACGCGTCTCCGAGTGTCGGACTTAACCACCATCTAAGATCGAATGCATCCATCCAAGTCTCGTCCTTTGTGGCAATGCTTTCCCGTACATAATTCTTCTTCTCCCAGTGTCGATGAAAGTCCAGACTCATACAGAGCGCAACTCTATTCGGCCATGATTCGTCCCACTCTTCACGAGGCGGATATGGTGATGTTTTAAATGATATCTGACTGCGGTATCGATATGGCGCAAAGCGATTTGTCCCATAGTTCTTCACTTGGAAGAGAGGGTAGGGAACCTTGATGAAGTACTGGAAAGGCTGCACAAAGCTACCACGCGATAGTGTAAAAGAGTAGGTCTTAGGACGGAAGGCCACGCTCTGCAGTGGTAACCAAGGAAATGGTGCCTGGCTTGCAGGTGGAGGATTCTTGAGGTGTTCCTCAAGTGCAGCGCCCTTGAGCCATGGGTTTCGGTCGTGGTACCAGGGAGCAATGCGGGTGGTAAAGGTCAACTGAATAGAGAATTCCCGGGTGTTACTGTTTACCCTGATTGGATCTGTAGTGAGCGACCATTCCGTCTCAATGGCAAACCAGTCCCTTTGGTTCTCTCCGCAACTGATCTAAGGCGTATTAGCTTTTGTGACCCAAAGGAATAGACCCAATGTATGATAGGGAAGGTAAACCCACTGTCCCTGTCCCGCCTCTTTCGAACGTGAAATAACATGAAGCAGCATCGCCTCCCCAGGTCCACGGGTCTTCGCCTCCACACAGTAAGGTAAGCGCTTGCTCTTTGCTATCATCAGCTATCGTGGTCATCGTGTGAAGTCAAGAAACACCGAGGCTTTACGATTGAGAAGCAAGACTTGTGGGTTGCATATGGTACGCACTTTGGTCTTGCAATGTAGGTGGAGGGAAGTGGACTCGAAAAGTAGCATGAGGTGCGGTCAGCCTGGTGCCTGGAGACAACCGCACGGACGGCAGTTGACGTGCCCAACCAATCCTGCATCTTACCACTGCAACATCACAACCGTTGTGGCTGCGATAGACCGCAACATCAAAATGATTGTGCAGACGATGAAAGCTGTATGGAAGGATTGTTCGATAAGATGAAGTCTCAATGCGAACAAGTTTGAGCCTGTTGGCACTGATCTTGGAGGAAACTCTGTCTACTTCATCAGCAATGGCCTCGGTGACTGGTCGGCCGGTGGCTCAAAAGTTCAAAGAGTACCAAGCATAAAGGCTATGATCTATTTACCATGCTAATGCTGATGCAGCTGGTACGCTGCCTATGTAGACACCAGTGAGCTGAAGTCTGCCAAAAAAAAAAGTCTAGTTTCCCGTTAACCCAAGGCTACCTAGGTAGAGACATGTCATCGCTTCAGTGACAGCAACGTGAACACGTACATCAATCTTACCTCCAAAAACTTATTCACGCCAGGCACCGCACTCCGTTCCTTGGCGCTGCAAGGATATCAACAATTGGCCATCCTATTCGCGTTGCTCGACACTATGGAAGTTTACGGGCAATAATGACCAAAGGCAAAGGCTCAGGCGAATAGGGCCTTGTTCCCGCGAGTGAAATGGAAATCTACTCGATACACGGGAGCGATTACGAAAACAAGACGCAACGGACTTGATGTCAGGGCCACTCCTGCATCTTGTCCGCTTCCTAAGCCTTGAGTATAAGTAATCTTATTACTAAGTAACACGGGAAATTTTCTGACACGCGCTGTTGAGACAGGGGATCAAGGCGCACTAGGTGGGTAGTGATGAAAGCACTGAGAAGAATTGCACTTGCAGCTGCATTCGTGAGCATGGATTTGCTCACAGAATTGTGGGTATTGATCAAAAATATTCGCTCTGCGGCGCTTTGATGCTCGTAATGATTGGGGTATTTACATAATATGGTTGATTCCCTACGCAGCCCTGAACATGCTGAGGACACCAGCCCATGTCTCCCTGACAGTTGGCTGGATCTGGTTCGCGGGCAGCGAGAAGCCGTACGTGCCCTTGTCGCGGAGCTCGTAGGTGTAGGAGTAAGTAGCGTTACCAGTGACATCTGTGTAGTCCGTTGAAGAGCCAGTAGTGGCATACAGAGTGGAACAGCTAGGGCCAATTGTGTAAGCAGTACCCGAGACCGCGCGGATAGCAGACGCGGCGTTTGTAGCCAGTGTGCGGTGCGCTGCATCGTTCTCGGGGCGGGCGCTGCAGTCGTAGCCGTATGGCCTGGGGAAATGTTAGCTCTTGTTAACAAGGTTTGAATTATTGACATCGCTTACCAGAGGATGTACTGTCCGTATGAGTGGACGTCAAGATACAGGCGAATACCTCGCGAGTTCTTGAGTGACTGAACCTGAGCCGTAAGACCACGGTTCTCTGGTGTATCGCCGGCAGCCTGGCCCTTGTATGTCTCGGAGCAAGGGTTGGTGCTAGCTCCGTTTGTAAGCTCCCACTTGTATGGCCAGTTGCGGTTGATATCGGTGCCGACACAGCTGTTTCCGCTGATGGTCTTGCGGTTCTTGCGCCAGAGGCGATCGTTCGTCTGGGAGTAGGCGAAACCATCAGGGTTGACGATGGGCATGATGTAGAAATCAAACTTGTCGACGACAGCCTTGATGTTCGCATCCGAGGCGTACTTGGTAAGCAGCTGCCAGGCCATGTACTCTGTGCTCATAGTGGTGATCCATTCGCGGGCGTGGACTGTGCCGTGGATGAGCACAGCAGGCTTCGATCCTTTGCCACCGGAACCCCAGATGTGGATACCGGTGATGACACGGCCCTGTACCGAAGAACCCGAGGTGATGATCTCAGAGTTGCCTGTGTAACCGGCCTGAAGGTCTCGGAGGAATGTCAAATGATCCGCGTAAGTGTGGTATGCAGTGAACCAGCTCTCACTAGGAACTGTGAGAAGTTAGTATCGCACGAGAAGAAGCTGGGTGCGACTTGCCGGCATAGACGCTCATCTCGCCCTCCTCAGCCAGGATAGCGCCAACGTCATCGTTAATGACCTTGCTCTTCGCCAGCGAGGTTATCGCAGCGATGTTATCGGGCGACACAACGACATCGAGCTCAGCGGACTTTCCGGGGTTGAGCACATGGGCCGAAAGCTCTTCGATCTTAGCCTCAAGGCCTGCAGTGTTTTCCAAGCGAAGAAGCTTGAAGCCACTGTAGTCGACCTTCTTATTGTCTCTTGGGACGACCGAGGCGAAGACAGAAGAGGCGAGCAACGCGGAGGTAAGAATGTACTTCATCTTGGGCGATGTAGTTGAAGGATGCGCTGTTGCACGATAGTCACAGTGACCTGTCCTACCTTATATGCTGATCGTACCCACCCTGTGTACTTTCCACCTGCCCATCGCGTCTCCGCGTCCGAGGTTTTGTAAACAGCCATCACAGTGCACACCAATTAGGCAGGTGTGTGCGTTCTCCAGTTGTATGATGATCTGCTAACAAGCGCCGGGAGGGCACGATAGAAGGAAGTCGGAAGAGAAACAACTGCTCTGGATGGTTGGTTCATCTAGTCAAGGGTGCTTGTTCCTGCTTGGCAGTTTAGCGTGTTTCCGCGCGGGCAAAAGACGATTGGCTCGGAAGGGTCTTGGCTGGTCGAATGAGGAAGGAGGTGGGAATGGCGGAGCTTGGCTATGCGGAAGGACCGATTCGAGGCTCAGCCAGACTACAAACGCATGTCTCGTGATGTTGCTGCAGCATGGCGTGCTGCAATTCGCTATCTGACATGGTCGAAGCGAGGTTCTCTTCAGGAAGGTCAGGTTGACAGCCATGAAAGCCACAATATATTTGCATTGAAGTCTGCCAAGCCATGATACCTACTGCGCAATACATGCAGCGCATCATCAACGATATCGTGTGTAAAGCTGGCGGTTCTGTTCAGGACCTCTGTCTCTCTCACATCAAAGCTCTCGAGTGTACTGCTTTCTTAGCTTCGTCGGATTGGCAGCCTCCCAGTCAGTGAGGTTCATCACTTGAACGCCTACACGGATATCAGTTATACGTCCAGGTTCCGACTCAAGTCGAACAAGCACTCACCCCAGCCCTCTAGTTCCAGAATAGCCGCTGCTTTGATTTCCGCCGAGATCGTCTCCGTGGCATCCTCGATTAGTATGACCTCGTACCCCAGCTTTATACCGTCAATCGACGTCCCGCGAACACACGCATTTGTGATGAGACCAGTGACGATCAAGGTTTCGATGCCGTGAAGCGTCAGTTCCGAGTTCAGCGTTGTGAACTGATGGTACTGGTTGTCTGCAAATGCCGAGTAAGAGTCGACGGAGTGATTCTGCGCTTTCTTGATGTAGTTAACAGTGGTACGGAACCCCTCAAGATATTGCAGCCGTGTCTTCACTCCATCTTCTATCTCTGCACCCCATGTTCCAGGAATGCAGTGGTCTGCATAGACGCCTTGCGTTTCTTGCTTTAGCGGGCTGTCGGCGAAGGTAATGTTGATAGCATCGCCTGGTTCAGCGCCAGGGTGTGCAGAAGCGAAAGATACATGGCCTTCAGGATGCCAGTCCTGCGAAGCGGCGATGAACGGCCATTGGTGATCGTCAAGCAGGTCATAGACTTTTGGCAGGATCGCAGATGCACGAGGGCTACCGAGCGAACCGTTGATGAAGTCGTTCTGAATATCGATCAAAACAAGTGCAGTGTGTTTGTGTAGCTTGCTCGAGAACTTTGTGAATGCATGTTAGTGAGGTGTAGAGTTTGAGGTGAGGACGCGCTCACGGGAACCGCCCCCACTGTTGCTGCTAGCGCAGTCGTGATTGCGAGCAATGAACCCAACATGATGTAGATGAATTTGGGAACGTTCTTGTTTGACTTCGTACGCACAAAAGAAGATGTTGCAGGATTTATCAAGTGTGCTTGATCATAGCCCTCAATAATATGACATAGCAGCAAAAGTGGAGTGCAGCAACGGCAAGCAATCGGCAAGTGTGAGATCGGATAACACTAACGGCAAGAGGTTAGATGGGCAGATTCACAGCTCTCCCATTCGCTGCACTTCAGTACAGGACTCAGATGGATTGCTAAAGCTATCTGCTTTTCTCCGATGACGGCCGTAAACATCCCAGATATGATCTCGAAGATTACCCAAAATCCACAAACAACCTCGAATAACTCTATAGAACACCGACAAAGCCCACCATGCCATACGCCTCCCACAGTCCACCCTTCACCACATCCTCCTCGGCAGACTCATCCCCATCCTTCCCCCCTCAACCTCCATTTCATCCTCCTCAACCCTCACCCCATCCTTCTCCATCGCAAAGCTCTCCCCGCTCCTGCCCTCGCTCCCAACCGAGCCCCTCCCCGCCTCTCCCTCCACCTTCCGCAACGCCCTCGCCTTCCTCCTCCTCAAAACAAGAGCTTCTAACACGGCATACGCCGCCAGCACAACCACAACAGCAATCCCGACACACAACCCCGCTATCGCCGCGGTCGAGAGCCCCGGGCCTGCAGACGAAGCAGACGGCGCAACGGGGATCGCGGACTCGAATACCGTTGCGACTTCACTTGAACCCCCTCTCTCATTATCATTGTTACTGCCTGTTGAGACCACAGGCGTTGCGGACAGCGCAGGCGCGGACGCAGTATCGAGCACCAGACTCGGCATCGGGGCGCTGGATCTGGCGATGTTTGGAGACTGGAGTCCGTGTTAGTCCACCCAGGTCTTGAGTGAGTGCTCTCTGGGGTTGACGTACTAGACTGCGCATCTCGAAAGTCTCAGCGCGCGCGGCTTTGATTCCGTAGGCGGCCCAGATGGTGTTTGAGAAAAACATGGCTGATAGGAGATGGGAGATGGGTGAGTAGAGAGTTGGGTAGGATTGAGCTTGGTGATCCTTGAAGAAGGGTTACAAGATAAGAGCGGAGAGAGAAATATGAAGATGTCAAGTCAATGGATGCACGATTTGGAGGCTGGAAAACAAACAATCCCGGACCGTTCAACAGCATGTCGTGCAGCCCACCTGCCGTGTATCGATGCTAGGATCTGGAGGTTTAACGTCCCATGTCATCCATGCACGTCCTCTGACAGAAAGTGTACAACGAGATGTTCCGCAACAGACTTCCGTCGAACACAATACATATGTTCGCAAGTTTTGCAAGTGCTTTCATCATCACGAGAAGTTGAATATCGCATTGATTTTTTCATGATTTTCGTGTTCTCCTCAAAGCGTTGGAACACATTGCCTCCCTCTAATGCACGTACGCCTGCTGTGCGACCTCATAATACAGGAGGAGCAAAAGTAAAACCTGTTTCACCTAGCGACGAGAGTCAACAAACAACGGCTGGGTCCCACTTAATTAGCCACCGGCGACCCTGGATCGGGTCATTTTCAGTACACTCAAGATGTGGCTAGGATTGCGCTTCAGTCCAAACGGGTGCCACGATCTGCAAATCCTTGTGATTGCTCATCGGCCCATGGAGCTTGCAGCGCAATCCGTCAAATGGTGCTCCTAGTAAGCAGGTGAGGTAGCTCGTGGGCTCCCTCGGATCGTTCACAGTGATCGCGACCTTGCCCGTGGTTACAACGTGCTTTCCGCTGCAATCCAAACTGCATCAGCATCTGCATTCTAATCATAAGACATACTCATTAGGAACTTACGCAACCGTTTCTAACTTAAACACCTCGAGCACGAAGCTGAGTTCTTTCCTCCTCGGTCCCAGCGCTGCATATTCGGAGAGCCTGAAGATCACTTTGCTCATCTCGCCGGTACAGACTGCGGGATCGCTCGGTAGCGTACCATTAGCAAACTCGATATAGCAGTGTGTACTTTGATTGTTGGGCATGATGATATCGAAGTCCATAGTCGAGGGAAACTTGGTGCTCTCGGGCCAGCCACCGCCGCCTGGCAAACCGGAATGGCGAGTCATCATGTGTAGCTCCATTGTGGGGATATGCCATATTTCGATACCCGGGCGAGGTATGGGAGCGATAGACCCGGATGTTGGAAGAGCGACGATCGATTCAGTGAGAATGGCGAGGGCGAATATCGCGAGGCGGGAGAACAACATCGTACGGATCGGGATGGCAACAATTGATTGTGTGCTGAGTGGGTCAAAAGAGCTTTTGCAACACGAGACGAGGGAAAGAGGCAGTCATCATATAGAAGAACCCGCCTACCCTTTCTTTGCTCTGCGTTCTGGGAAGGAGCTGTGATGTCATACCGATCTGCAGTCATAACACTGCAGTCTCATGTGCTCTTGATAACCATTGGTACTTGTCTGTCACTTTCACGACACCTTCTGAGCCGTTTCCCGTTGTACCCCAATTACCAGTGAACGAGTAGCACGAAATATTGAGGTTGTAGTGGTACGCGGAAACGGCGAGGACCGGAGAGCCTCGTGTGCAGAACGGAGAATGAAAGCATGCTTCCCGAGCAAGCATGCCTTCAAGTTCGTATACGCTACCTGTCGTAGCACCGCTACGTTTAACAAAGTGATTCTCATGTCGCATGAGTTGTCGTACTAACAATACTCGGAGTCCGTCACCAACCAAAACGCCTGAAACTTGGTATCTGTGCTCGACGAAAATGCAGAAGTATCCTCCTAATGATATCACGCCATTACCAAACATCGAGCACTGCTGGTACTACTGTCTAAGCAGCAACACCAACGCGGCCTCTGACTGTAAGCGCAACCTTCGCCATATCCTTGAGGTTCCATTCATCCTTGTTTGACGTACTCTTCGGAACGTGCTCACCGCTGTTGATGACATGAACTTTCATCTTGGGATGAAATTTGAGACCCGTCAACAACTTTGGTGTGATGAGGAAATATTGACTCGTGTGCTCTTGGCATGCGATATCGACCATTCGCTCGTGTACCTTGCGCTCGTTACGCGGATCCATACCCTGATTGATCTCATCAACAACGCGAAACGGTGCCTGTGCGAGGTCTTGCATAGCCATCAGATAGAAGACGGTCGAAACTGCTCGCTCACCACCAGACTGGCGGCGTTCATCAAGGACAGACATGGTTTCACCCTCGCTGTATGAATGTCAGTGCGTACCAGAAACATTACGGACTGTCGAGCTTACCGGAAACGGACCATAATCTGAATGGACCAGGCTTGAAAGTCATCGGCATCCTTGTACACCTCAACTTCACCAGCGCAACCGATTTGCGCGAAGTTATGTGAAAACGCAGCGCTGATTTTCGCAACAAGCTCATCTAAGCCTGTCTCGAACGGACCCTTGATTTCTGCGATGCTGTTTTGGGCTTGCTCCAGGGCTGCGACGTGCTTTTCGAGGGACTCTTGTGTCTTTCGAATCTCCATTTCGCGGTTTTCGTAGGTCCTAACTACGGAACCGTCTCCTGTAGACATCATCTCGAGTCTGGCATTGGCCGATTGGATCTCATCATCGAGTTCTGCGACGGTTCGAAGTTCCTTGTATAATACAATGATCTGGTTCTCCTCCTGCGTGCAACTGCTGATCATTCCTTGGGCTTTGTGGTGTTCATCTCTGACGGCAGCTTTCATAGTTCTCCTAGCGGCTGCCAGCTGCTCCAATCGTGCTTGCATGGTCCGGAGGCGTTCAAGAGCAAATTTGTTGTCTTTCTCAAACGCCCTGACTTCTGATGCAGCCTCAAGAAGGCGAATCTCAGCTTCAACTACGTTCTCGTGAAGACGGCGGAACTCAGTCACAGATTTCTGTTGTCATCAGCAATGGTATATCGTAAAGAGAAGGGTGCATACAGCGTATTCCAGTGTGAGGCTAGCAATCTTTAAGGAGCATTGTCGTGCCTGAGCCTTGATTTCCCGAATGCGATTACTCGTTTGCGCATTCGAGTCAAGGTATTGCTGTAGATCGGTCTTGTTTTGATCTGTACATCATTAGCAATCGCCACAGAACCATAGCACATGCCGTTATATACCTATTATGCGGGGAAGAGCCTCCCACTCGGCCCTGGCTTTCTTGATCTGGTTCTCCTCTTTCACTATCTCATCCTATAACAATTAGCACTGCTGTTAAAGGTGTGATGGAGTAGATGTACTCTTTGCTCTCTCACAACTCTGCTCTCTTCTAGGAGTCCCTGGACTTCAGACTTGGCCGAGTTGTGCTCAACTATCATCTCGTTGGCCTCACGATCGAGTTCACGTAGTTGTTCATCGAGTTGCCTTTTCTCGTCTGAGTTGACAGGTTGGTCAACAAAGAACTGTGCCCGCTTGAGATGGTTCACGGAGGTAGACGATACGCCGTACTCCCTTCGCGTGGTGATCTTGCACGTTTCTCTGCCACTCACCCATGCCTGTATTGGACTGCTTGACGCAGCTGCATGCTGCTGATCGGTAATGGACTTGGAGGCAAATGCAACTCTGTTCAATCTTGCATTGTCGCAAAGCATAGCAACGACCGGGTCGGGCCCCTTGATGTAATCGCGAAGGTACCCTTCAAACCCAAAGCGCGCGAGTTCCGCGGCGGGTACGGGGGCAGGGAAGGCAGATAGTGGCTTAGGCGAAGTCCTGAGGTAGATGCCATGTAACCCAAGCTTATCCCTCCCCGTAAATTCACCGAGGAGGAGTCTCTGGTCTTCGTTGTACGTGCATGTAATTGCGACAACATCGCCGAATCTTATCTGACTTTCCAAGGCATCCGCATACTTGGGATCTGTCAATGAACATGTCAATATAGGAGGTCCATAAACTTCGCCTTTGAGAGGCAGCTGTGCCTTATTCGCCTCAAACCATTCCCACGCCTTCGCTGTGTCTGGAGACACCTTCTGGAGCAGGCTAATTTGCTTGCCGCTTTGTGTGTCGAGGAGATCGCGTTGGTTCTTAGCCGCATTCTTCTGGACTCTGAAATCTTGGATTCGAGCTTGGATGGATGACATGGTGTTCCTCAGCTCGCCTATTCGACGGTCGGCCGATGACAACTCTTGACGTAGCTCCTCCTTTCGTTGGCGGTACCCCTCTTGATCGTATTCAACGGGCTGTTCCTGGTGCTTCCGCTCGAGATCTGCAATCCTTTTGGTGGTGCGGGCTATGTCCTGCTGGCGACCTTGCTTGTCTCGCATCTCGCTAACGACCTGACCCCTCCGTTCCTCGGCGATCTTGTTCTCCTCGCTGATCGCGCGGGCTTTCTTGTCTGCCTGCAGCTTCACCATGTCCATCATCTGCGTCCTCCGCAGCACAACTTGATTGACTTGATCATGATAGGTCTGGGCATCCACTCCAGCTTGTCTGACAGGCTCAATTTCTTCGCTGAGTTGAGCCAACTCTTGCACTGCGGCATCATGATCTTTTTTGACTTGGTCAAACTCCTCTTTATGTATCCTTAATTGAATGAGTGGCCGAACTTTTTCAAGAGTCGCTGCTTTAAAAGCAAGTTCTTGGCGTTGATTCCACCTTTCCACATCACCTCGTGTGGTGTTCTGTAGAGCCTCCAGCTGCTTGAGGTGCTCTTCATCAGTATGTCGTTTATCCACCAATATTTTCTCTTCACCGCGCAGAGCCATGAGCTGATCATGCCACTCGCTCATATATGGAGGTGCGGCAGCACCGAGAGTCGCTCGCAGTCGCTCCGTGTCTTTCATCTTCGCAAATTCGACGACTCGGTCCTGTGGCAAGAACTGGCACAGATTGTCAATCTGGATCGAGAAGCGTTTACACATGTCCATAACTGCGCGATTCGTCGCGTGCTTCCCATTGATAAAGAAGACCGTCTTGTTGTCCTCTTTACGCAGGACCCGTCTCACCACAGGATTTGTCCGCTCGCCGTCCGCTTTGGCAAGCTCTATCTCAATCTCAGCTTCAGCGGCGCCGTGCTTGACGAATGCACTCAATTCCTTCGATCTTCCCAAGTTGTCTGTCGCCCATCCAAGCCCTATACAAATCGCACAAACGAGAGTGCTCTTTCCCGTGCCGTTCGGCCCAATGATCATGTTCAGACTCGGTCCTAGGTGAAATTCGGCGGCGGTATATGTGACGAAGTTCGTAAGTTTGACTCGTACAATCGAGCCGGGTTGGAAGACATCTTCGTTATGCGACCCAATGGCTGTGCGGTTCCGGACGCCGTTCGTGGCAGTGGGACTGTCAGACGCGTCGCGAGCATAGCGAGCGCGTTTGCCTTGCACAGATATGGGTGTCGGGAGGTCTGAGTCGGAGGAGTCCTCGGGCACTTCTGGCGAAGCACGCTTCCGTCCATTCCGGACGAAGCCAGGCATCGTCACAGCGTATGTGTGTGGGGTAGACAGTGTATAGAGTCGTTGTGTATCTGGGGTTGGGTTCCGCTGCTCGTAATTAGTTCCGCGCTAAGTCGATGCGCACGTGATAACGCGAAGGCGTGTTGCATGTGCATTCGCGGCGTAAGATATGGGCAACTCCAAAGCGAATGATGTGGACATATATGGAAGAAATACTGGGTATATTTGACTGAAGAATCACCTCAAGCTCTACTAATACATGGCAGCGTCCTCGCGATAAGAACACTTACCGAACCACCCTCCGTAGTCCACTCATGGTATGCAGTAACGCCAAATCCAAACGCAGTAATTCCGCATGTTAAAACCATCCACCTATGCACTTTGCTCATTACACGTGCCAACGTCAAATTTTGTATGCTTCAAATGTTGCCTCGCTGGGCGCAGAATGGAAAGACACCGGTGCGGCCAGTGTCAGAAAAGTACGTAGCCGTCAACGGCACTAGAAAATAGTGCCGAAGTTCTCTTCAACTGCGCTGAGAGGCTTCCTCGGGCTCGCCGGGTTTCCATTCTCATCTGCTGTCTTCTTGTGACGGAAGGTGACTGTATTACCATTAGCAATGCATGTTGTCGGAGGGGAAAATCTGCACTTACATCCAACGAAGAGTCCCTTGTTCATCTTCTCATCACGCTCTGCCATAGCTTCCAACGCTGCCTGTTTGTCATGAACCTCCTTGTATTTGGCCATGTCCGATTCGTTACCGAAGTCGTCGAAGTACCCCGCGTCTGTGTCGCTGTCAAGCTCTGGGACGAATGGTGCCTTTTGCTCTCTCAGCTTTGCCCAATCTACTTCTGCGAAGTATTGATGCGCGTGAATCTCTGAGATACCACGGAAACGTGTTGACTTCGAAGCAACAAGACGAATGATGAGGTCCCAGGTACGCTTCGACAGGAAGTATGACGGGTCTTCGTACACCGGCTTGCGTAGAACTTTCTTCCACTGCTTCAGGTTCTGCCACGTCTCATCCACAGTGGCGCCCGCAAATGGTGGGTATCCGGCCAAGGCTTCGAACAGCATACAACCCAGGCTCCAGTAATCTACCGTGAAGTCGTACTCATCTCCTTTGAGGACCTCGGGCGCCATGTAGTCAGGACTGCCAACGATACTCTTCGCATAATTGACATCTCGCTCGCGAAGGGATCGGTAGTTATCTCGGCGCTGAGCAGCGCTTCGTTCTTCTACAGGACGACCAAAAGGCGCGACCACATCGCTCACTGATTGCAGCTTGATGCGCATAGACTCGATCTTGATAGGAGCAAGCATACCAGCTGCCAGGCCAAAGTCGGTAAGCTTGACATGGCCGGTACTGTCGATGAGGAAGTTCTCGGGCTTCAGGTCACGGTGGATGTACCCAAGCTGATGCAACGAATCGACACAAGAGAACATCTCTGCAATATAGAACCGCGCGTGCCGGTTATGCAAGACCCCGGTGTTGTTCAACAACGTACGGAAGTCGCCTCCAGGTACATATTCCTATATCGTGTTAGTTGATCTCTTGGTTCGAAACAACCAATTTAGACGTACCATCGCAAGATAGATGCTCTTCTCATCTTGGAAGGCATAAAGCAGTCGAACAAGCCACTCGCTCTTCGCTGTGGTCAAAATATCACGCTCCGTCAGAACGTGGCGCACTTCATCCAGCTTGAACAAGAGTGTCTTGCTCATGACCTTCAAGGCGCACACTTCCTTAGTGTCCTTCTTTTGCGCCAAGAACACCTGGCCATAGCCTCCCTGGCCAACTTGTGTGAGAATCTGGAAATCACCCTGCCTCAATCGTGTGCGACGCTTGCGGAGGTTGGCGCGCTCCCGGCCCAGGTAACGTGTAAGAGCTTCAGTATACTCGGGTTCGGGTGTGTCGGGCGGCGGAGGGTTCTGTTCTTTGAACTGGTTGAGGCGGTTCTGACGAGTGTGCACATAAGTGAGGAGATCGAAGTAGTAGTCGAGGAAGTCTGATATTGTATGAGTACTGCAACTTGACCTGATAATTGATACTTACATAGCTGGGTGACATTCGCAAGACGCTTCACGGCTGGCTTCCTGGCCTTCTCGAGTTCCTCAGCTGAGAGACGCGGTGGCGCAGGATAGTACCGCTGTGAACCCTCCGCCTCTCGTGATCGGTACGGCTCTTGACGCGATTGCGCAGCCTGTGTGAGAAAGCCGGGCTCCTTGTGTGTGCCTGGTCGGACGCTAGGCGGCGTATTCTCCAGGTTCGACTTACGAGTCGGACTTCCCGCCGAGAGCGCTGTGCTATCTCCTGCAGAGTGGTCTATGTTGGTTCCAATCTTCAGCCTGCTGGGCGAACCGGGTGTATCTGGCTTCTGCTTGGCAGGCGCGCCCATGGTCGGGAAAAGCTTCATAGCATTTTCGAAGACGTGGGGCAGATCGAATGCGCCGGGTGGATGGTGGCTTTTGCTTGGACTTCCCAGAGGTGTCTGGCGCGGGCTGATGAAGGGGTCCCGAGAGGGCGTGCTTGGGCAATCCATCTCACTGGAGCGAGTGTGGAGCGGCGGGGGTGCCATGGGCAGATGTGCGCTGTGCCCGCTGGTTTCTGAGGCCATGTCGCCTACGAGTTGTGTGGCGTCAACAAGTAAACACGCAATGGCCGCGGGGAAGGCACGTCGGTGGTTTCGATGGTCGCAGCTGTGAAGAAACACGTGGAAAGCAGCGAGGCGAGACGGCAGGCACGCGTGAAAGTTCCAAGGCTGGATGAGACGATACAACGAGCAGCGTCAGATTTCGATGTTTGAGCTGAGAGCATGTAGTGATGATGTTGCTACCAGCTCTGTTGGTGGTTGCGGGGTTGGTTTGTTTTGTGCTACTGCTGCTCATGGCAACCAATGGCATTCCAGGATCTAGCCTGAGCATTACCTCAACACGGCTCGACCACGACATACTGGCACCTTGCTGCTGTTGCTTGCGTCATAACTCCTTTCTTTACAAAGAATTCAAATATTATTCCAGCCTTGACCAAATACAATCCAGGTGGATTCAAACGTGAATGTGCATGACAAGACTCCGTTACCACCTGCAGTTCCCCTGCAACGCCGAGAGGGACCACCGATAAGCTTTGATAGATACCAGGATGCACAACAATGATATCATAACCACTGTCGCATCAACACTAACGCCGAGACCAGGCGTCCTGCTGCGTGACTGACTGACACACCCACCCGCATTCGTCCATGGAAGACCTCGCATAAAAACTCGTGCAATCTCGATCTAAGGAATTCTCCACTCAGCCACTCTCTCCCTTTCTCGTCACGCACGCGCGTAGTGCGCCTGAAGCTCGTTGGCCAGCAAGTCCCGAAATGATTGTGAGTTGCGGGCGGCCTGCAAATATACGGTCGAGTTGAACATCGTTGCATCAAGGCGATCTGTTGAGAATGGCGACCGTGGAGACTCGATTAGTTGCTTGCGACACATGGGACACGTCACCTTGTTCTTGTGTGTTTTGCAGGTATCGAACTGAGCACATATCAGCTCGGAATTCTTGGGGGAGAACGTACGTACCCATTGGCCGATGCAGAATTCGCCAAAGATGTGACCACAAGGGAGCTTCAAAGCGATCTCCTCCTCCTCCGAAGGATGTACGTGGTTCGCAGCGTAGTCTTTCGCGCAAATGTCACAAGTCGGCGACACGTCCTGTGGCAGATTACCAAGGAGGAATTTAGGCATATTTGCTTTCAGAGCATGCAACTGACACTCCGTGGTCATGTTGGGATCGTAGACTTGTCTGAAGAAACGAAGCCGGCGTTCCCTTGATTGATGCCTGATGCGATCAGAGGGTGGCGATCGAGCTGCGGCCTCTTCCACATCAGAGGAGGTGCTAGAATGTGATAGATCTGCTGAGTACCTGTTGAAATTTCGACGAGTTGAGGTGCGCGGAGATGAGCTGCGGTCCGGGCGACGAGCCTGCGTGGTAAGATTACGAGGTATCCGTGATTCTGTATGCTCGACGTGACGGGTTCCAGCATTGCGATCAGCAAGTCTCCGTTGACTGGGGTCTGGTCTTTGGGGTTGGTCTATTCCGTAGGGCCCAGGATGCAACGGAAGAGTCTGAGAAAACTGATGTTCGGTTCCTCCACCACTCGTTCCTTGCATCGATGGGTTTATTTCGAAAAATCCATCCGATGTGCTGTTTACTGGCACATTTGATTGTGGGGGCACTGAATCGTTGAAAAAGCTCTGGTGACCTGGGTAGTATCCATAGTTCGCGGCTGCTTCAGGATACCCTTCGTAGCCAGACCTGTTTGGGTGCATAAGTGCATCCACATGACCACTTCGTATAGCCGGAGGAGGCCTTGGCTGATGCGATGAGAAGGGTAATGTCGATGGCGGGTGCATTTGCATGGGATGTCCACCATGTACGGTGTACGGTGCGTACGGACTCTGCGGGTAGCTCGGTTGAGGATATGGACTGTTTCTGTATTGTTGTGGAATCGGATAGAGGCCACTATCGGCTTGTTGGCTAAAGGCCCCTTCTAAATCATGCCATCGTTGACGCTGTTGTACCGGCAATACAGCGGGAGGCCACGGACCAGAGACGTCTGCACCCTGCCCTCGGCCAGCCGACATCGCAATGTACTGATAAGGTGGACTGAGATCAGACGCCGCCATGAAGTCTCGACATACACGATAAGCAAACTCTCTCCCCTTTGACGTGTTCCGGTGTGGGTGGACCTCGAGGTCAGCCGCCTGTTATCTCTGCCTACGGGCCTCAAGCCCGGAAAATATTGGTGTTGGATCGAAGAAAGTCGATCTTAAAAAGTAAAGTTGAACAACAGCCTCTGAATTGCGGTACCGAGATTAGTTGAAGACAGAGGAGGAAGAGGGTCAGGTTCGAAGGTGGAGAGGGTCTTGTCTTCCCGTCATGCGGCTGTATGCAGGAGGGGCAGGCGGTGGGTGTTTGATACAGCGATTCACAGGCGGAGCACGGGTAGCAGAGTGACCTGCAAGGGCAAAAGGCAGGAAGGCAAGACCGTTTGTCGTCAGCGAGGTTGTTAGATTTGAGTGAAATCGTAAGCGGGGTTGAGTGACGCTGGCACCATGTATGGACAACGGGCGGTGAAATCATGTGGTCAAGTCCACCTACGAAACTTGCTGAGAAGAGCGGCCAGCTGCTCCTCGCGCCACTTTGCTCGGGGGTGACTTGCGCAAGGAGCGGCCGTCTGGCGGCGGCAAGCTGGATCCGAGCACTGCACAGGGTACTCTGGTAGGCGCTACGAAGCGTGCAGCGCCCCATTCCGCCTGCAGTTTGTCCCTCGGACGCGGCTTGCCTCAAAGTTACTTCTGTGCTGGGACAGCGAATAAGAGATCAGCAGGCTACCGTGCATACGGGCCTGCGAATGGATTAGTGAGTGCCTCAGCCATCACGACGACCGTTCAGCAGCATCACACGGCCAAGACCAAAGCCAGCGGAGCGGGAGGGGAAGCCTTGGAGGGTTTCACTCTGTGATTGCCGATGAGGAAGCCTGGCCGATTGGAGACAAAGAATATGCCGCCGAATATCGATTCAGTGCCTGGAGGGACCTTAGAGGGCCGGGCTAGAGTGGTGCAACTCTGCGCACCGACGCATTGCTGATGCAAACGAGCGAGGAAACGCCAGAGAAATAGCGAACACGGCGCATGGGAACAAACCCATGAATCGCTTATCAGGGCGGTGCCCAAGCAAAGCATGGAACGTGACTGCTGCGAGCAGGGGCCGAGGTATATGAAAGCAGTCGATGGTACGGTCTATGATGAAGTCGGATCTCGTTCATGAAGAGCGCCTTTCGGCAAGTCCATTTCTTCATGATTTTGGTTCATTTTCCCCGGACTGGCGAGCCGGCCTTCGTGGTGGGGAGAGATCACGTGCGAGGCGCGCTCGGGCGGGAAAGCGAATATCCAAGCTCCGACTTCTTCCGTGCGAGGCTCTGTCTGAACTGTCTAAAGTTTGAGGTTTGTGTCCATCGTTACTTCTTCTTGTAGAGCATAGCAGGCATCGCATCGTCAATTGGCACGCCTCACATCGCCCGTCGCCCCCCGTACATCTCGCTCGATATCACTCCATCTCGCGAATCACTGCCATGTTCAGAAGCGCGCGCACACAGCTCCGCGCTGCCGAGGCCGGGTGCATGCGCTCACTGGCACATGCGAGGGCCAACCCCTCCATGCTCCGCACGGCGCGTCCTCTCTCCACCGCGACCCGCCAGACCGTCAATTACACGCCATCGATTGCGCAGCGCCGCCTGTTCAGCGCAACCTCCACCATGGCCAACACCCGCACCGAGAGCGACGCCTTTGGCGAGCTCCAGGTGCCCAACGACAAGTACTGGGGCGCTCAGACTGAGCGCTCGCTGGAGAACTTCAAGATCAACCAGCCCCAGGACCGCATGCCGCCGCCCATTGTGCGCGCCTTCGGCATCCTCAAGGGCGCCGCCGCCACGGTCAACATGAAGTTCGGGCTGGGTGCGTCATGAGCTGGAGCTGCAGCCGACCGCTGGAGCTACCTTCATCAGCAGGACTAACGGTGATCAGACCCCAAGCTCGGAAAGGCCATCCAGCAGGCTGCCGAGGAGGTTGCCTCCCTCAAGCTCGTCGACCACTTCCCCCTCGTCGTCTGGCAGACCGGCTCCGGCACCCAGTCCAACATGAACGCCAACGAGGTCATCTCCAACCGCGCGATTGAGATCCTCGGCGGCACAATGGGCTCCAAGAAGCCTGTCCACCCCAACGACCACGTCAACATGTCCGCGTCCTCCAACGATACCTTCCCCACCGTCATGCATATCGCCGCCGTCCTCGACTTCGAGGAGTCGCTCCTCCCCGCCCTCACCAGCCTGCGCGACGCGCTGAAGAAGAAGTCCGACCAGTGGGAGAAGCTCATCAAGATCGGCCGCACGCACTTGCAGGATGCCACACCCCTGACTCTCGGCCAGGAATTCTCTGGCTACGTCACACAGCTCGACTACGGCATTGAGCGCGTCAAGTCTTCGCTGCCCCGCCTCAGGATGCTTGCTCAAGGAGGAACTGCAGTTGGAACTGGTATCAACACCTTCAAGGGCTTCGCCGAGGACATCGCTTCTGAGGTCTCCAAGATGACCGGCCACGAGTTCGTCACCGCCCCCAACAAGTTCGAGGCTCTCGCCGCCCACGATGCTATCGTCGAAGCCCACGGTCAGCTCAACACCCTGGCCGCCTCCCTCTTCAAGATCGCTCAGGACATTCGTTTCCTCGGCTCCGGTCCCCGCTGCGGTCTCGGTGAGCTGAAGCTGCCCGAGAACGAGCCCGGCTCCTCCATCATGCCTGGCAAGGTCAACCCCACACAGTGCGAGTCCCTCACCATGATCTGCGCACAGGTCTTTGGCAACCACGTCGCAACCACCTTTGCCGGCTCGCAGGGTAACTTCGAGCTGAACGTCTTCAAGCCCGTCATGATCCGCAACCTGCTGCACAGCTCGCGCCTGCTGGCCGATGGCATGAAGAGCTTCGAGAAGAACCTTGTTGTTGGTCTCGAGGCAGACGAGAAGCGTATTGGCTCGCTGCTGTCCGAATCGTAAGTACCCTGATGGCCCTTCCTCCCAGGGTTCGGTCCCTGCGTCCCTAAACCCCTACCCCCGGGTTTCTGAGCCACGTTGCCGGGTCCACCACCAATGGTCCCTTCCCAAAATCTTGTAACTCTTGCTAACAAAACCCAGTCTCATGCTGGTCACTTGCCTGAACCCCGTCATCGGCTACGACGCCGCGTCCAAGACCGCGAAGCACGCACACAAGAACGGCCTGACGCTGAAGCAGGCCGCTATGGAGCTCAAGGTCATCAGTGAGGAGGACTTCGATAAGCACGTCCGCCCCGAGCTCATGATTGCGCCCAAAGAGGCTAAGCTATAGATGCATGAGCATGGTGGAAAAGCAAAAGATCTTTGTATATCTCTGTAATATGAAAGCGTAGCGAGCGCTGTTTGGATGTCTGAGCTAGTGTGTTTGAGCTGCGTCAATTGTGAAAGCATAAGTGCCAAGTTCCACGTTTGGTAGGGAGGTTCTTGCATTGCGAGTATGGAACAGCGTCAAGACTTGACAATGAAGTCGGTGAAAGACAGCTCACGTGAAGTCGTCATCGGGCATGACTATATAAGTCTTTTGTATTCTTCTACATAAGAGACGTAACGCGTCGCGTGTCGCTTCGCATGCGATCCATTCCGCTGCTAGAATTCGCGTTGAACGCAGCCATATTCCAACACTGTCAGAAAGCAGCCCGGTGACCGACGACACTCCCCTGGAAAACCAGCGCAGTCTGTCTAAGCCAGCCTTCCACCAAGGACCAAACAGACGGCAAAGCCATCAACCGCGGCAACCTCGTGTCCCCGATTTAGCGCCTAAGCCCTCCCATCGCCTCGCGGAAAGTCTCCATGCCCTTCTCCAGCATCACCCGCCTGTTCTCGAGGTGGTCGCGCTGCTGCGTGATCTCGGGGGCTCGGCGGCAACGAACTCGATTTCCTCGTCGGTCATCTGGGTGACGGCGACGGGCGAGAGGATGATGTCGGGTAGCGGCTCGACCAGGTGGCGCTCGATGACGGTTTTGGCAACCGCGTTGACGAAGTACTTGAGCTCGTCTTTGTAGTAGGCGCGTTGCGTGTCGAGGGCTTCTTGGGCGGAAAACTTGTCCATGTCTTTCTCGATGGACGCGTTCACGGCAGCTTCGAGTTTGCCTTTGTCAGCGTAGGTCTTAGGGGCCCTGGTGTGGAACTCCGTCACTGAAACTTCAGAAGCTTCCTCTGCATCTTTGTATGTCTTCTGGTGCTTGCGCTGGCGAGTCTTCTGGATGGTATCGGTGAAATAATGGTTGTACGTGCTAGGATGACGAGCCTTGTCCTTGAGGACTTTGCTCAACTCCTTCTTTGCCTTCTTCAGAGACTTGGCGAGAGCAGCATCGATATTGATGACAGCAAGACGGCCTTGAAACTCGGCGGGCGCGGTGTGCTTCAGGACCTCGAAAACGAATGCCTTGCAATCACGAGCAACCTTGCTGATGTGGTCCGATGCGATTTCCTCCCAAGGGGCTGACTGTTCCCAGAAGAGCTGGGAGATCAACATGGGCTGGAACGTGCCAGGCAGTTCATAGCCACGAGTCCGTTCCAGGGTCTTTTGAACCCACTGGACAGCCTCCTCACGGCTAAGTTGCTTAGGCTTTGGAGAAACCAAGACATCGTTAAGCTCGAGACGCTCAATTTCCTTCAATGCTTCTAGCTCTTCTTCTGTATCGCGCTCGTCATCACCAGGTCCTTGACTGAATGCAAACTTGTGGCCTTTCAAACGCATGTCCTCTGCGAAGGTGATGTTTGAGTGCTGAACGACCGCCCGGAATCGTCGGATGTTCTCGTGAGAATCGACAGCAGCATCCATATCCACAGGACCAAAGAAAGACGAGTCGTAGTAACCTTTGGTAGCTGACGTGAGAACGTCGTTGACATGCATGCTAATCTTCATGAGCACCATCTGTTGCTCCTTGGTGGTCTTGCGGCTTTCACCAAGCTTCTCAATCTCGTCGACCGTGGCATCGAGCTTCCTAGCGATTTCGTCCTTGAGTGATGGGAGTTCCCTGATGAGATGGTTGAGCAGCAGCCTGCTCAGTCGCTCACGGAGGGTGTCAATGCCAACATTATCACGTGGCACGTCAACGTAACGGCCCTTGCTAAAGAAGACTTTCTCGGCTTCGTTGCGCTGTTCGAAAGAAAAGCTCATCTGGTCGTCGCCTCTGTTCTTAAGCATGTGCCATCCGCGCTCAAGAAAGATGTCTTTGTTCTGTGCGAGATCAATCCAGCTCTGCTCGTTGTCTGTGCCTTCACGAAGATAATCAGGTTTGGTGATGATGCCGAGCGTGCGGCGACCTTGCTCATCGATCTTGCGACAATGTTCCAGGATAACTTGGTTGGCAAAGTCGTTCTTGGCACTGATCACAGCAAGGATGATAGTGCGAGGGTTCGTCATGTACTCTTTCACAAGGTTAAGAATGAGCTCTTTGTCAGCTTCGGTCTGGGACTTGTTGGTTGCGTGGATGAGGCCGGGAAGATCAACAAGCGTACTGATGGCGTTAGCGATATGTTTGACATACTAGGTGAAAGCTTACAGTTGAGGTCGATCAGGACCGGTTATCTCGACGGATAGGACATCGCGAGAAAACGCTCGTGAGTTGATGCCACCAACAACGCCCAAGCCCATCTCTTGCGTCGCTTCATCGATGATGTCGGGCAGCTGACTGAAGTCCTCGATAGATTTGCGAAACTTCTTCAGCTTTGCTTGCTCTTCGCTTGGGCGAAGCTTGTCTGGCGTGATTGTAATAGAGATAGTAGCTGCAGGCGATCGTCGAAGAATGATCTGGCTTGGTTAGTAAACATTCACTGTAGGCTCCAGGAGACAGTACCTCAGTAGCAAATCTAGTGCAAAGATTCTCCTTCCGCGGGAAAGGGATCTCGGTGATAGCCTCGAGAACAGAACTCTTGCCGGATGACTGGTCGCCGCAAACTACAAGCTGAGGTAGCTCCACAATACCGCTGAGACCGGTGCGGCGCAACTTATCGACGATGTCCATAACCTTACGCTGATCCGCTGACTGAAGAGCCTTGAGGGAGCTCGTGGTGACAGCATTTAGATCGGTGGGTGTGAGAGGCCTATCCTTCTCACTGTCAGTGCTGCTGGGCGCCATATTTGCCGGTGCTGTTTTTTTGATCTTCTTTGCCATGCAACGAGGTGTACCCGCAGAAGATGAGAGTAGTTACGAGTAAGTGGGGGTGAGAGTAAGTGATAGGAAAACTGCGTGTGATCAAGCGAGCTTAGGTAATCTGTGGCGCGCGTAGGCAGCGGTGAAGTGAAGTGAAGATGAAGATGAAAAGGCTGGCACGTTAGCAAACAAACGCGGGTGCCTGCATGTCTCACCGCTGACTTTGAAGCTTTGTACATCGGCTGAATGCACGGATGCCTTGAACTCACTTTGTAGTGTATTCTTGTTCTTTTGATTTCTGAATCCTGATTTCTCTTGATCCATCTGTGTTGGTTAACCAGACGCGCTCAAATGTCGCTAGAACGATCAACACACTATTGTCAGCCACCCTAGAACCGCACACACTTACTGCAGTCTAATAAAATCATCCATTGTACATTGAACACGCTAAGCGACACGAAATCTACAGAACAAACCAGCAGAAGGCAAGCTTACAGCTTCGCCACTGCGCCTTCCGCACTCGCCCTCAGCTGATCCCAGTCCTCCAGCGTAAACACAACATACCCTCTATCCTCTTTGGGTGACCCGCCGCGCACCCCAAGTGACGCAGGATGCCAGTACAACGTATCATACTCGACATTCTGCTCACCCTTCTCCGCCGCCTCCTTATCCGCGCGCTCCTGGAGCTTGCGCAGATCAATACCATCGTTGCGCAGCGGGACCTTGTTCTGCTTGTTGTTGTGCATGCTAGTCTGCTGCTTGAGGACTCTCAGGAATACCGGGACCGCGTACTTGGGCAGTTTCTTCATGGCGTGCTGCAGCAAGCCCTGGAAGTCGAAGGGCTCAGTGATGTTGATCGCGGCGCAGCCGGCGCGGCCGTCGTTGCCGGGTACTTCAACGCCGTAGACGTTGGCTTCGCTGATGCCAGGGAAGGAACCCAGGGCTTCGGAGACTTCTGCGGTCGACACGTTTTCGCTCTTCCAGCGGAACGTGTCGCCAAGGCGGTCCATGAAGAACCATCGGCCGTCGCTGTCGCGCCGCAGCGCGTCGCCCGTGCGGTAGTACAGGTCGCCCTTTTTGAAGACGTTGCGCTCGAAGCGCTTCTGTGTGGCTTCGGGGTTGTTGTAGTACCCGACGAATGCGGACTCGTGGGGCATGTGGATGAAGATCTCGCTTCCCTCCTCGTAAGACTTGCGTTTGCAGAAACCTGTCTTCGGGTCGCGGACCGGCTCGCCAGTCACCATGTCAATAGCGACAGGGACATAGGTGTTGTGGAAGCGCCAGCGCTCGATCAGACCCTGGTGGCCGACAGATGTGGCGGTGAAAGGCCCCCGGGACCCGTTGAAGAGCGTCATGACGCCTTCCGTGCTGTTGAAGAATTCGCCTACAATCTCAATACCGAAGCGATCTACGAATCGCTGCCACACGTCTGGGCGCAGACCGTTCCCGAACATGGCGCGAACATTGTGTTTCTTGTCAAGTGGGCTGGGAGGCGTGTTGACGAGGTAGCGGGCGGTCTCACCGACATAGACGATAGCTGTAGAGCGGGAATCGCGGACGTCGGTCCAGAAGCGCGAGGTTGAGAACTTGGTGCCTATGCAGCATGTGATACCGGTGACCATGCAAACAAGTCCTGTCGTGCCTCCTGTGCCGTGGTAGAGCGGCATGCAGACATACCATCTGTCACCATCGGGCCCGGTTTTCAGCCCCATGGCACCAACTCTGCCTGTTAGGGCTGCTCCTCGTTGTGTCTCAAATGGACATGCTTTTGGGTGTCCGGTAGTACCACTGCGCGAGTTAGTCGAACGCTCTCCGATGACATACCACATTCACTGACCTTGTGTAGAACAAAAACAAAGGAAACTTCCCCTTCGCGCCAATCCTCAGCTCGTCGCCAGGCCTCTTCGGCTCCAGTCTCGAGATCTCGCCCTTCTGCGCCGGATCCAGCACCACAATCTTCATGCCCAGCTCGCCCTCGAGCCTGTCCCTAACCTCCTCTATCCGCCTCCCACACTCCGCGTCCTCATCAACAACAATAACCTTCGCCTTGGCCACCCTGAGACAATGCACAAGCGCATCCCCCGCCAAGTTGTAGTTGATCCATGCCGGCGCACTCCCAATCGCCCAGCTCCCCAAATGCGTAAACAAGAACTCAGGCCGGTTCATCATGTACATCGCCACCAGGGTATTAGGCTGCACGCCCTGCTGCAGCATAAACTGCCCATAGCGGCACGAATTCGCATACGTCTCAGCCCAGGTGTAGCAGCCGTTGCGGCTCCAGATGGCCTCAGCGTCAGCCGGCAGCCGATGCACCTGCGCCTCGAACTGGTACCACATTGACTGGCCCTTGGAGGCATTGGCGTCGATCGCGCGCTGATTGGCGCGCGCACCCAAATATCCACTCACGTCCTTACTCAGGTGGAACTTCGCATCGATATACGCAGCGGCGGCAGCGGTGCCGGCGATGGCGCCTGCGACAGGGACTGGCGCGCGTTAGTAAGGCTGAAGTCATGTTACGCTGGAAGGAAGCTGGGCAAGCCAGCGCGGGAGAGCGCACGAACCGAAAGCCATGGCAATTGCGATGTCGAGTTGTGCTACGTGGTAATTCGGTACGCAGACAATGGAAAGTCAACAATTGCTCGCGCACGCTATAATACTTCTGGGCGTTTCAGCTCTTAATCAATCTCCAGCTGCATTGCAACGTGACTGATTACCGACATCCCCTCGGTCTGTAGCCACGGCCGCTTGACTACATTAGGTTGGACGCTAGACCCTGCTTAACGCACTATCCGGCACTTGAACGTGGGTCGTCGGTTACGGTCCGGAATGACGGAACGGGGATTCCATTCCTGCTCACAAGATGTTTCATCTGAAGCGAACGTTTTGTTTCGCATCATGCATACTAATTCAAAGACGCTCGTATTTTATGAGGTACCGCTAAAACCACCCTTTAAACTTCCACCTACTACTGCTTCTCACCACAGCTAGATAAATTTTCTAAACTCCTGCAGAAGTAAAGCGCAGAATGAAATTTTTATCTGGCAGTACGTTGACTGCCTTTCGTGTGCTATTATGGTAACTTATGCATCAGGGCGAGTCAACGCTTTGTTCTTACTATTTCGTAGGTTGCGACGCTTACTCGTATTCGGAAGTCACTCAGCACGTAAGATAGATATTTACACAACAATAATTACATCACATACATTATTCATATGGCTCATATTATATTTACACAGCCAGATAATCACGCTTAAGCGTAAGCCAGCCTCTTCTCAGTCCACCCAGGCCTGAGGTACTCAGAATCGAACCTCGACTGCCAGCTGCTCTCCACAGCGTACTCCTGGACCATCTTGATGTCGATCTTAGCACCGTCGCCGGACTGCGACCACACAGACAGGCCAATGACGTTGTCACCACCGTAGTTGAGCACGCCAGCGGGGACAGGGAACTTGATCTCGTTGCCGACCCACGGGTTGAAGCGACCGTACTGGTAACCGTTGACGAACAGATGAACACGGACCTGCTTGGAAGCCGGGGCGTTGAGGACGAAAGCAAAGGAAGCATCAACATTGGCGGGGACATCAAGCGGGACCACGGTGCGGTAGAAGTTGATGGTCGCACCGCTGAAGCCGGTGGATGGCGAGCTGGTGTTCCACTTCGAGTCATCGAAGCCGGGAAGGTGCCAGCCGAGACGCTCGGCGACAAGACCGCCCTCGGCCAGAGGACCACGGACGGGGTCGAGCTGGATGTTCTCGCCACCAGCCTCACCTGCAATCTTCCACTTGGTGAAGTTGCCGCCACCAACGAGGCTGGCACCGAGGATACCGCGGGGGTCGGTAGCTCCGCCGCGGAGATCGTGACCGGAGTTATCTTGGGCAACGAGCAGAACGTTGGTACCATTGGCGTTCAACGTGGCGTTGTTGAACGAGAGAGTCTGGTTGCCTTGGCCGGCAGTCGTGTTACCGTACCACGAGCCGATGAACTCGCCGTTGAGCCACGCGGTCCAACCGAAAGCAAGACCACCAGAGAGAGCAAGGTTGACACCGGTAGCGGGGCCGTTGAAGTATCCACGGAACAGGTGGAAGCTGTTGTGGAAACCGTACTCATCAACGTAGAGGACAGGGAGAGTAGCAGGCTTAGTCGGGTTAGGAGTGGTGACGTGGTTAGCTTCGACCCAAGCGGCACCGGAGTCGTCGTAGCTGGGTTGCTTCTCAGGAAGACCGTCGGCGACCTTCCAGCTGGACAGATCCGGGAGCTTGATGGAACCGCTGAAGGCCTTGACGCTGGCCTTCAGACTGTTGTGAGCAGTGCGGTGAGTCTTCAGCTCCTGACCGTTCCAGGAAAGCTTCTTGAAATCCTTGGAAGCGAAGACTTCAATGTCAGTGGACTTCATGATGTCACCCTTCAGAGCCAAGACACCGTTCTCGTTGGCGACGTGACGGACAAGGTAAGGGCCTCCAACAATGATAGACTGGTCGACAGGAGCAAAGGGGTCCTTGGACAGGTTAGGCGCCCAGTAGAGGTAGCCAGTAGGCTTATCGACAACAATGACCCTGACGCCGTTGTTGAACTCGTAGACGCTCTGGCCGCTGACTGCGGGAACGTTGACCAAGACACCAAAGCTGTCGGCCTTGATGGTGGCGTTTGCGGCCTTTCCGTTCTGGGCAGCAGAGCCCTTCTTCGCACCCTTGATGTGGAATTCAGCAGATTCACCAGCACCAGTCCAGAGAACTACGACAGGCTTGCCATCGACAATAGAGTATGTAAGAACTTCGGCAGTTGAGTAGGTAATGGTGTTGTTGCCAATGGCAAAGTCTGTCACAAGGATCTTGGATTGATGACCATTAAGAACGATGGAGCCAGTCTGAGGAATGGTCAGGTCACCAATGGAGGTGCTAACGTGGAGCTTAAATTCCTCCTTGGTGCCGGATGGCGAGTAGTCGTGAACAGTGACATAGAAGGCACTCTTCGTCTCGGGGTTACGAAGCTCGCTAGCCGAGATAGCGGAGTTGGTGGAGTATTTGGTTGAGGCAGCGACGCGGTCTGTGACAGTCAAGTCCTCGGCGATACGGGTGAACAAGGCCAAGTTCTTGGTCTCGTAGAACTTGCTGTCGATCTTACGGTTCTCGCTGATGGGCGAGCTGTAATCGTAGGATGTGGCAACAACAGGGCAGGCCAATGCACCCCAGTTTGTACCACCGTACATCATGTAAAGTGAAAGTGCAGTAGAACGCTGCGCAATCAGGTTACGGTAGAAAATGTTCGCAAAGTCGGCGCCAATGTCACCGGGGCAGCCACCCTCGGGCCCACCCCAGGGGTTGTAGCTACCACCCTGGAACTCGGGGAAGAAGCTGGGCTGTGTCGGCGAGAACTCAGTAAAGAAGTCGTAGTAGTTGATAGTCTGGTAAGCGACGTATTCGCCGTTGGTACCAGTGCATTCGTCCAAGTTGCAAGACCAGCAAGATGGGTAGCTGTCAAGTCCAGCAACATCAACGTTGCCGAGAAGACCGGGAGCGTAGTCTTTCGACCAACTCTTGGTGTTCATGTTGGGGTCGTTATGGATGACAGGGATGTCAACACCGTTGGCGCGGGCCATCTTCTGCAGACTATCCATGTAGCGAGCGGAAGGAAGATCAGGAATTCTCTTGGTCCTGTCCTTCCATTGTTGGCCATATTCGTTCTCCAGTTGGAATACCAGGTTAGAACCACCCTTAGTCACGTCGTGCTCGGAGGCGCGCTTCGCGAATTCAGAGAAGTAAGGCTCCAGAGCCGACAGGTAACGTGGGTCGTCATCACGAAGCTTTCCGTACGCTCCAGTCGTCAACCAGAGAGGAAATCCGCCTGCAATTGTGTCAGTGTAAAATTCGCAAACGCTGTGAGGTGACGGGTGACCAGATTTGGATTCAAACAGCGTGCTCGGGAACTCAAACTACTTACCGGCGTTCGCCTCGGCATTGACGTAAGGCCCAGGTCGTGTAATAACGTAAAGTCCGACTCGTTCAGCGATTTCGTAGAGCTTGGTGAAGTCATGGGCGGGGCTGTCGAAGTCGACAGTCTGGTTGTTCGCGCTGTGGTAACCCCAGTTACCGTAGAACGCGAACGCGGTAAAACCAGCGGCCTTGATCTTCTCGAGAAGATCCTCCCAGATCTCGGGCACAGGGATACGCCAGTAGTGAATCTCTCCGGAGAAGACGAACAGCCTCTTGCCGTTGACCTTGAAGCTGTAGTGATCCCACTGGACAACGTCATTCAAGCCGTTGTCGTGCAGCGGCCATTGCCCGACCGAGTTGTTTTGAGCGTTGATGGCAGGGATGGAAGTAGTAAGGGATGCCAGAACAGACAGCCATGAAAGGCTGTTTATGGACCTCATCTTTGCCGGTGGTTGAAACGTTCAAAGTCGGAGCTCAGAGACGATGCTGTTGAATGATCGGCCATTGTGGTGCCTTTGTACCTGGCGAAAGTACCACGGCGACGGCCTGCGCAAATTGCACAGCATACACTAACGTGAGGCGATGATGTCGAGCATTTCGGCTCTTGGAGCTCTCGGCGTCATTGGGTCCTCATGTTGGTGGAATTGCGATACTCCATGGGCGAACGTCAACCGAGAGTCGGGTGCTAAGATTAGTGGAGACTGACAGGGTGGAAGGAATTCCCAAGAGAGCTAGCCATGCGGGGATTGCCCAGGCACAGTAACGTCCGGAGGCATGAAAACAGGCGGGCGGGAGAACGGCCTGCGGAGAACATGGGGATGACAGGGGCACAGACGGGATGGGATGGGGAATGCATGGGTAGTCTGGTGGTCGAGTGGCGGTCACGAGGCTGCAGCGCTAACCAGAGACGGCAGCGCCGACGTGAAGGGCCGGAGGAATCTTGAGGGTCCCGGAGGAATCCCGAGGTCCTTCTTTGCACCGCGGATTTCGGAGAGGACGTATTGTGCAAGGCTTGTCATGGGCTTACACTCTGCCGATGTGCGTAAGCGTATGCCTTTGAGGTACCTAGGTATCAAAACATAGAGCTGGAAAAGGGCTATTCACCTAGGTAAGAGATCTGCTTTCCTGTTCATTTGATGGCATTTTGGAGTTCCTTGCGGCAGAACAGCCTTTACGTTGGCCAATCAGTTGGCCCCACCACTTCTTAATGCAGCCTAGGATACCCCGTCTTTCAAAGCATGTTCTTCCACTCGCCGTGACAAAACATCAGAAGAGCCGCACGGTCATAGGAAAAAGTCGTATGACACGTGAACTTCATACTACTACCAGGCACGTCCAACCAGCCACTCAGCATTATTGTGGGATCCAGTCCATTCTTGTCGCAGCCAATGAGCTGCACAGCTACAACCTGGTGACATCATAAGCGCATGCGTTCCAACTTGGATGAGCTCTACAAATAGTTTGCTAAACATGTAATCGTCAATTCGGACACGATCGGAGTCGTTGGGTCGATCAAGCCGCGGTCGTCCATCTCCGTTACCGTGTCCCGCAAGCGATCGCTCACCTTTCCTCCATGGCGGTGTCTGAGAGCGGGGCAGAGCTATTGCTAGTCGAAGCTCCATACCGGTATTGTACCTACCTAGGTATACGCGAGGTCGATACGAAAGCACGCGCGGACCCACTCCGAAAGGCATGTATCCGGCCTTCTGCTCCGACAAGAGCTTTCATTTGCCCATGAGGTGGTTGCGGTCAAAGCTGTGGAGACATGTTAAAGACACGTGGGTATCTCCGAATACGGGACCGAAATGAAGCAGCCGAAGCGGCTCTTAGAGGACCCTAGGTAGAGACCCAGTGGAGTGTGTAATACATCCTGGTACATCTGGCCAGCGAGATATCGAAGTACCCATGGTATGCACTGAGGGAAACTCGTCGTGGAGAACCTACCTGCACCTTCAAGTAGCTCTACCTGTAACAACATAGGGTACCTGCTTCCAAGGTTAGCATCATCATCTCACACACGTACCTATGTGTAAGGTGACCCACTTGGTCTTGCTCAAGCGTACCAAAGCCGCACGCGCTCAGATGTGGAATCGCATCCGTCGTCACGAGCGTCTACTAGGTACCTATGTTCAAAATGACGGCTCACTTACCCAGCTGGGACGTAGCGTCTCCTGTTTGACTACTTGGAGCAAGCCTTACTTCTAGTCCGATCTCGGTTGCACCAATCCCTTCAAGCTCGACTTACTGGGGGTGCAGGCGAGGAGGTTCCGCAGAGCGGTGTGATCGTACAGATTATGCACAACGAACATTCCAGGCTCACGGGTCGGAGTGAGATTTGTCCAGAATTCGGGTCCGATCTCGTAGATCTGGGATAGGTACGCAGACGATGTCTGCAAAGCGAGCTCGTTTGATGCAATTTTGGAAAGATCTTCAGATGTTCAGTGGGGTTCATCTACATGCATGGAAGATCCGACGGCCCGACAAGAGGTGAAAATGCAGGGCAAGGTCAGGGGATTTGGGGTACCATATGCCAGGTAACTCGAATATGGACGATCTCCGAGCTTCCAGAAAAAACTAGAAGCAATATTGATGTTAGGTAGTCGAAATCGTACGTGTGTGCTGTGCGAACCTTCATTATGTAGTCAATAGCAGCAAAAGTTACCGCATCAAGGCCTTTGGTACACTGGCAGCATGTTGATCGAACGATCGCTCAGAGGAGGATCGTATGTCGCTTACCGTAGTAGCCAGAACATGGAGTACGGAAAGCCAGGTCAGGGGCTACTTGTACAGAGTCGGTATGTGAAGTGACATCCAGATATTGTGTTGGAAACGTATCGCTGGTAAGATCTAGAATCCTTACATCTCAGTACGAAGGATATCTAGGGATATGCTTGTAATGCTTCGATTGGATGTCTACCCCGAACTCTTGCCATGATACCTATTAGGGTTTACTCACAAGTCATTCTGGTATGCGTCTGTTTGCTTCAGACCATCTGTTCGTCCTGGCACCATGCATATCAAAAATAAGAGAAGTAGTCAATCCACCTAGGGACGATCTTAAGTGCAGATGAAGGGATTCAATCCAGTCGAACGGCATGCTGCACCCAGGCACTTCTGAGCAATGCTATAGGATCAGGCTCTTCCCCGATCAGTCGCGCGACTGTAAACCAATGAATTGAGGTAAGGGCATAAGAGGAAAATTGTTCACAAGATGATTGGTACTTTGTGCCGCTTAATGCTGCTTTTTGCCAAATGGCTGCTCAGATGTGCATGCAGTGAGACGGGGTTCATGCTCCCCCGCATTGTACGAAACGCTAGCCCTCATTGGGCGCACTAACGGTCTACAACACCCCCGCATCCGTACGTCGTACAGAGAGAAACGTCGTCTCTCGACAACGACATTCCACTTACAGCAACGCATATCCATCTCAGCGATGACCTAGGACGATTTCAAGATACAATGTCTACAAAGTCGCATCGCTTCAAGATGATGAACGGCGACACGGTCACAGCGCTCTTTGGAGAGGCGACCGTTGATCAACAAATCGCATGTTACACACTTGCGTCAACTGCCTGGGGATCATATTTAGACGAAGATGAGGTCATTGCACGAGAGAAATATCTGGCAGCGGAAGCTCTGGCTCGCGATGGTGGCTGTCGCATATGGTGCCTGTATCGCCAGGACGATCACGACCAAATACTTTCAACCTGCAGGACGATACGCAGGAGCTTCCTCTTCAGGGAAGCAGGGAATACTCGGCAACTAGAAGGGTGCTGCATCTCTTCAGTTTATACGGCCTTGCTATATCAAGGTCATGGCCTTGCCTCATACATGCTCCACAACGTTGCACAATGGCTCGACGGTCCAGGCGAGGCTTTCGTAAGTATGCTTTACAGCGGTATGCCACGGTTTTACGAAAATCTGGGGTGGACCACGCTGTCTAACATCGAGGTCATTTTAGATGTTAGCCCATGGCTTCAAGATACTTTGGGTCATTATGCCGATCTTAACATGCAAGCTGTGGGGGATACAGACATAGAAGAGTTATGTGCACGCAGTGTCACATTAATCAAAGAGCGCCCCGATTGCTCAGAACTCGCGGCCGAGGAAGCTACACTAACTGTTCTACCAACGGCAGATCTGATAAGATATCAACATGCGCTAAGCAGTTACATGGGCGACCTCTGGCATCAGGAAGATCCAGAAATTCGTGGTGCTGCGTACAACAACCAAGCATGGATCTACTGGTTTCATGACTTTCGAGGCCGATGTCTTCGCATCCAGCACGTTCACAATGCTATCCAAACCGGAGAAGATAGAGTGGAAATTCTAGCAGCGCTCTTTCTATGCGCGATTCGAGAAGCCAAAGAGTGGAATTTCACCACAATAGCCACCTGGAACATGAGTTCCCATGTCCGGTCTGCACTGGAAACACTAGCTCAGGCGAGTGTCTTCTCGAGGTCTGTCGGTGAGACTTCTAGGACGCAAAGGGTATCTGTTCGCCTTCGAGGTGGCGAAACGAAGCCTAGCAGCATAATGATGGACAACGGGGTCTACGCCTGGAACTTGCGGTACTGATCGAGTTCATCAGCCGGCACAGAGTGTAAGTGTCAGCTCAAGTGACATCAACAACCATGACTTGCCCACCAAATGGAGCTGTACCAGTAACCGGATGACAAAGTTGTTCCCGATAAACTCTTCACTTTGATATACTGCATCTGAGGGTTGCCGACGAGCTATTTTACAGAGTACACCGATCACAAGGGGAAGTAAAGCAACGGTTGTTGTTTAGCATCATTGGATCATATCCTACAAAGATAAGTGAACGAATATCAGAAAGCTTATCGGAGATGCTCTGGTGAAGTACGGAGATGTAGATGTCCAGGCCATCCCACTCTTTCCGTCGGAAAGCTTCGGATGGAAAGGGCCGATTCACCCGGTATCGCACTCCAACACCGAGGCCTGTTCTCGAATAAAACGTGGGGGAACACACCGGACATCCTGGGCATCTCAATAACGAAAAGCCACCTTTAACCTACATTCAATCAATACTCTTCCGCTACGTGAGATTAGAGGTGAACCTTACACTTCATACCGATCATGAGCCACCACGATCCAATTGCGGACGCTAAAGCGCAAGAGGCGACCCACAAATACACTTTCCGGCCAGCGACTATGGAAGACATACCCGCCTTGCAGCAGATGATTGGAGAATCGTTGCGAGCACTTGGAAAAGGATACTACTCAGAAGCCGAACTCGAAGGGTCGATAGGTTTCTTGTTTGGCCCTGATACGGTGTTGATAATTGACCAGTAAGTGCTTGAAACTCTCAGTACATTGGAGCATGGTGACTCCGGGTAAAAGAATATCCCATCCAAGTACGTAGACAAGGAGGCAGTGCCTACTCTCAATCAAGCAACGCAACCTTAAAAAGCAAGACTAGTGGACCGGAAAGCACGGTCCTTGATCAGCAAGAGCAAGGATGACGGAGATGGGAGCAAACGCACATCTTTCACATCACAGCATATCACAACCCCTAACAACATCTAGAACTTATTACATCCTCCACCCCCTCACTTCTCCTAAAACAATCGCCGCTTGTGGCGGCTGGTCCTTCCGCCAAACCTTATATGGCGGCAACAATGCCCCTTCGACCTTGCGCATGCCTGCAAAGCGCAACCCGTCGACAGACCGCGCCAGTATTCGCGCGATATTCACGCACCCCTCGTTCGCGCGCCAGGGTCTTGGGACTATGATGATGCGGTACTGCGAGGCCAGCGCAGCAAAAGGAAATGATGAGACGGACGGTTTCAAGAGACTGGAGATGGGCGCGACGCTCAGTGGGGTCGCGCTGTATGAGAAGTGCGGTTACGTCAGGAGCGGGAGGGAGGATGTGGTGGATTGCCCGAACGGCGAGGGAATCAGGATCTGCCATATGATCAAAGATTTGCAGAGCGAGGCGCCATGAGGATGTGAGTATCGCATGTTGTTGATGGGTCGATGGTTGCAGGAAAGACTTTGATGCGTCACCTGGTAAGCTGCTGGAAGACAGCAAACCATCTCCAACATTCACAAGTCCTTACGAAGAAATTATGAACTGTGCTTTGCAGAGTTCAATTCAGACAAGAGGATGCCTGTGAATTCATGGTTGTGAAGAGAACTAGATCGTTGAGCGTTACTACTTTTGCAGAATCTACATGCAATGATCGAGTGAACATGGATAAGAAGAATAACCAAGTTGTGCCCTGCCGTACCATCTCGCTGCTGCCTAAGTGAGCCAATAGAAACGACTGGGTATCGAAAACGCTTTGATACTGATGCCCCTCCCAGAAAGCGATGGTACTAACCAAACAGTACTTTTATGAAAGACGCTGGCGATGCAATTTCAAGTCCTTGTACCAAACCCAGTCTGGTGCGTCTGGTGTGCTGTCCCAATTTTACATTTCCCGAAGAAGCCCCAAAGCAAATGAAATGATGTGTAACTTTTAGCGAAGTAGGAAACTCGCTTGCAACCAGACATGTGTCGACGGTCGATGCGGCGCTATTTCCCTTTACAGCGTAGCGTTTGGCGCCGCGGCTGCGGCAGATGCATGCTGCCAGCTACTAACGCCAAGGTTGGGTGTTGCCAAATCCTCCGGCTTAATACCCGCATGCCCGACGTTGGTGGCAGCGGGGATTTGTGTGAGCCGGGGGGGCTGAATGAATTGTTTTTTTCGACGATAGTCTGATTCTGAGAGAGGTATGGAAGGGCCCTGTTTCGGGATGGTGGGGCTGGTGAGCTGTTGCAACGGCATATCTTGCTCAGACGCTTGCTCCTGCTTCTGATCGTGACGAAGCTCTTCGGTAATGACATGCTTCTCGGACGCTTGATCAAGCTTCTGCTCCTGACGAAGCTCTTCGGCAATGTCATGCTTCTCGGGCTTCGGGTCGTGATAAGTGTATATCATTTGACCTTTTACCCCTGGCAGACCGGGAGCCTTGTATGTTGCAACGCCTGTGTCTGGGTCGTATTCATCATATGTACTCACAAGTCGCTTGCCACCTCCACCAGGAAGATCAATAACGAAGGCTGGCATCATAAATCCCGAAAGTGTGCCGCGCAATTTCAGGTCCAGATCGAGGATCGTTTGCAGAGGCGTGCGAAGGTCTTCAATGCCGCGTACCATGTCGCACTGGTAAATGTAGTACTGTGCATGTCAGTCAGCATGCTGAAATTAACTTTTCTCGCTTGAAGCTAGGGACGAAAACAGGAACTTACCGGCTGAATGTTCATGCTAGCAAGCGTCCCAATAAGATCTGACAGAGCTTCTTCCGTGTCGTTCACGCCCTTTAGCAGTACTGACTGGTTGCGAACAATGACACCGTGTTTGAACAAGCGATTGGCTGCTTCGCGGGTAACCCAAGTTATCTCATTGGCATGGTTGATGTGCGTATGTAGGCAAACCTGCTTGCCCATGTCGCGGCCTTTGTTGGAAAGCTCAATGAGCGTACTAGTCCATGTATCAGTGTTGTCTGTTATGCGGCATGGAGCCACGGCAAGACCTTTCGACGCAAATCGAACACGTTGGATGTGGGGAATGTTGAGTAACCTTCTAGTAATTAGCAATTGTGTATCAACTAACTTGTGCTGACCAACCGTTCGCCAATCTCCCTGAGGTCGTCAGGTTGAAGGTAATAAGCATCACCGCCTGAGACTACGATGTCGTGAAGGCTTGGATCACTCTCGATGTGTTGGAACACAACCTCCCAACGCTTACGACTGGGCTTTTGCGGTAGTTTCGAGACTGTTTCTGTGTTGGCACCGACTGCATACGAGCGCGTACAGAAACGACAGTACACAGGGCAGATTGAAGTTGCTACAATTGTCAATGGAGAGCTCAAAGTACACTGCAAGCAGCCGAAAACACACATACCCAGAAACAAAGCTCTTCCAGGATAACGGTGGACCAGACCAGGCACAGCTGTTGACAATTAGCCGATGTATCTTTCGTGAGATCTCTAGAACATACGAGAGTCTTCCTGCTCGTTTAGCGAATCCAGTGTCAACTTCTGGTGATCTGCAACAATCCCACTTGCCAAGGGCAAAAACTGCAGACGGACAGGATCATCCAGTGGATTTTCCCAGTCAATGGCTGATAGCAGATGTGGGGTAAGTCGAATCGCCATAGGAGCCATTTTCAACGCAGCAGAAGCATCGTCGATGAAATGTTGCTTGGTCGTAATGTGCTTAAGCAGACGATTCGTGGTTTTACCAATCGTTGGTGGCAAAACATTTTCAAGGAAACGTTGCAGTCTTCGTGCATCAGGAACAGTATTTGCGAGCTACATGACAAGTCAGCGGGACAGCCTGAAGCTACATCTAAGCGGATCTGAACTCACCTGCCATCGATACGTCTTGAACTCAGCTGCAGTGACATCCTTCCATGGCTTTATCTTTTGCCAGTATGGCTCCTGATCAGCAATTGTCGAAAGTGATCTATGCATTGAGAGTATTGAGATAATATTCTGAGGCTTTGACTGCCACGCCGGGCGCTGTACCCTCATAGTGAGGCCGAGCATCATGTAGACTGTTTAATAATGTAGCGCCCCAAAAGTAGGGTTGGATGAAAGGATGAAGGGGAATTGTATGCGGACGAAGAGGACAAGCTATTCTATATCTCAGAATCTGAAAGCAAGCGGATAGTCAATTTCGCACACCCGTCTGGCCGGCTCCGTGCCCGATGCAGACCCACCCTGGTGCGATATCAGTGAATGAGAACAACTCGCTGCCAACCTGGTACCAATACGAAGGGCCTTGCTAGCTGCGTCACACTGCATCTTCGGGTGACTGGGCAAACCTAGTTCAAATTTGTGTTGATTCTACATTCAGTTTATGCTAGCTCGCGGTGGCTAGACACCGTTGCGATATGACAGGCTAGCAGTTTGCTCTGGAACCGCCAGTTCACTTTAGACGCTTTGGCAGATGTACGAACCCGTGGATCCAACTGCGACGAGCTGGAGCCTCTCTAATGATCTCGTCCACGCGAGATAGTGAGCTAGTTTGAACGCGTCTCAGATAGGAGCATCGACGGTGGTTCTTCGGCAGGTGTGTCGTCAGACCGCATCCATGTAGCGTTACTGTCGGAGCGAGCTTGTAGTGAGAAACAAAGCAATTGCTCTGAGCCTGGCTCGTACAAGACAAGCCTTCCAACAGTGCATTGTCGATTGTCCTCTGTAACGGCGAATATGGAGTTACGGGAGCAAAGCCATTGGTCTTGCGTGGAGGCCTCAATCCCAGGACCATGGCAGTGAATTCCCGTGTATCACTTTGTACACTGTATCACAGCGGCCCATTCTCGTGACTACCCACATCGGGCATTTGAGCGTTACACAGCTCCAAGGAGTTACGCTCAGATATGCGGTGTGTGCCGGCTAGAGCCGTTGGATTGTGTAAGCGATTTTTGCAACGCAGTATTCGTTTGCGATTCGTCGGGTACCTTCATCGGTAAGGCGGCAGCAGCAGCGGCAGTCATGCAGCCGCTTTGTCAAGTAATTCCTGAGAAAACGGAGTTGAGAGGACAGTTGCACTGATTGGGTGCTCATGACTAGGTCCCTGTCACGCTAGCGCGTGTCGCTTCCCGATGACATACCTAGGCTAGGGCCCCGCAATTTACCACCTACAACCTAACAATCCAGACATCCATCCATTCCCGATCCACAGCGACACCCACCTCGCGCCACACAACGGCAAATCATGGCTGACTCACCCATTGCCACTCCAGGGTCCGCTGGAGCAGAGACGCCTGCGCAGCAGAAGGCACGGCTCCGTAGAGAGCGCCTCGCTGCGAAGAGCGGCGCCTCGCGGCTGCAACAGATCTCGGCGCTGCAGGGCGGCCCGCCTAAAGATCTCAGTGAAATCGCAAAAGATGTTCCCAGTATGTACAGCTTGTGTTTTTCGACGCATATGGGCGTGCTTGCATCACCCTACCTGTAACCTCCAACTGCACTGCACCAGCACACACGGCTAACTGCGTCCGTAGTGCAGCCTTCACCAGCCCCAACAACTCGAGCATTGTCCGGAACGGTAACGCCAGATCCCGATATGGTAGACATCTCGCAGCATCACTACACACCCGCATCTCAACCACGTCTGCCTTCCCCGTTTGCGTTCGAGGGCAGCGCCACGGGCGCCTTTCCTCAATTTCCTCCGGCGCAAGGCGACTCGTCGCAGGATCCGATGATGGCTATGCTCCAGCAAATGATGGGCGCAGGTGCAGGCGGTATACCGGGCGCTCAAGGCCAGCCAGGTGGCCCAAATGATCTCCCTCCGGGTCTCGCCAACATTTTCTCGGCCATGGGCGGTGGTGCTGGAGCGCCAGAACCGTTGCCAGAGCAGTCCTCGGCCTGGATATGGCGATTGGTGCACGCTCTGTTTTCCCTTGGTCTTGCAGTCTACCTTGTATTGCAAACGCCCTTCTCTGGGTCTAAGTTGTCACGCAACACTGCCCTGGCCGCTGTCGACGACGACTGGACTGTCGAAAGCACGAATGCGCAGCACTTTGCGCACTTCTTTTATCTCTTTGCTACCTTTGAAGTCATCATGCAATCGTCACGGTACTTCATCGAAAGGGGTCAACTGCAAGGGAAGGGGATTCTAAACACAATAGCGGGCTTCCTGCCACCGCCCTATAGCGGCTACATCAGGACCGTCTCCCGTTATGGTATTATCTACACGACTGTCGCTAGTGACGCTATGGTTATCGTCTTCGTACTGGGCGCTGCTGTCTGGTGGAATGGCGCTGGCGTTGCGTGAGCGTGTACGAGGCATGTACTATGGTCGACTAATGTTATCAACGTCGGCCAATCAATTGTGCAGCTCTGACCGTCAGTCATTGGTCTCTCCGATTGCTACCTGCCCATATGTTGTGTACCACGGCCCAAAAACCCGGTTCTGCCTGACTGCAGTTTCTCTCAGGCTACACATGTGAGCGTCAAACTGTTTCACTCGTCAACTATTGCTGGACCGTCAACATCGACTTTTGCGCAGATAGGGCGGGACGAATTCCAAACATGAGCGCGTAGCAAACACAACATCAAAATCCTGATATTGTCAATCGGTCAATGTAGTGATGATATGATTACGGGCAGTACAGCTTACGTCAACCCGTTCTACCCGTTAGGCGGACGCTTTGTACAACTATCTTTGATGATGTACAAGTTACAAGCAAGCCACCCGGTCGCTTAGGTATCTTTGCTGTATCAACAACAAATTTGGTCACACGCACGACGACATGAACACAAAATACAATCGATAAGTTTCCAGAGAACAGAGCATTCAATGGCAATCTCCGGCATGCGGGCAATTCTCACGATGACACGATGCTCTCACACCGCTCTTCTAGCAGCGCCAGCTCGACGACGTTCACTCTCTTGGCTTACTCAATTAGGCTATCCGCCTCGGTCCTGCCATGCAACAGCCGTTCGCATCCCCACTGGCCCCTACCCCACCCAAAACCACAACAGGGGCGTGCACATACAGCCAGGCAGCTGCAGAACGCACCGAGACCAACAAAGTGCACGCAGCCCGTCCCCGTCGGCATGTCTGCATCCAATCCGCAGAGTTTGGGGGCTGTACCACCCCGGTCGCCGCTGGGGGCTTGCATGCTTCCGAGGCCCGCTCCAGGGCCCAGGGGCCAGATCTCTTATGTCAACAAGGGCATCACAGCATCGACCACAGCCGCAGCGATATGTTTGGTTCACGGCCCTATGCGCCGTCCTGCGCACCGAGCGATGTACAGTACCCCGTATCCGTGCAGGGCGTCGTGCTAGGTCGCCCCGCGGGCACAGATGACTCGTTGCAGCCCGTTGTACCACGCGTGTTGTTCACGCTGTAACATATGCTGCCAATCTCTGTGCCATGCAGTGGCGTCGAGAGGGTTCGCGGCGCGGATGTCCGATTGCAGGGGTGCGATTGGCTTGGGAACTGGGACCCGCAAAGGCTTAGTATGGAGGCGTCGTCATAGCGTACCGGGCGCCGTGTTGCTGCTAAGGTGCAGGTGGCTGAACGTTGGTCTGGACAGGCTGGTTTGTGGGGTACTGCGACGCTGGATGTGCAGGCGCTCGTGCAAAGGGACAATGTCTTTGTCCAATCCGCCGGAGCGGCATGTAGCCCGTGGCCTTTTTTTCTTCCCTTGATGTTTTTGTTGTCGTCACGACTTTTTTGTTCTCGGGCCTCATTCCTTCACCTCCCCTGCGCACGTGGGCATCCGTTCCATACATTGCAACTCTCCGGCTATCGAGACAGGGTAAAATTCGTGTTATGACTGACTGCGTATTCCTTTGAACCACATACTGTTACAGCTCTCATCCAATGCCAGACTCCAAGCCATGCTATTCCACACGTGCTACTCGTACAGTCCCTCTGCTCTTTCACAGTACAGTACTACTGAGCAGAAGGAGCAGTTATCTCACCTCTCGCCAGCTTCAGCAACTCCTCCTCCCGCCTCTGCTTCAAAAACACCTCCTTGACCATCGCTCGGTCCGCCTCGCTCCTCTCATCCATCTGAGCCATCTCGGCCATCTTTTCCTCATCCTCGGGAGTCGGGCGGATAATCTGGCTCTCTGGCAGTTTCGCGAGCAGCGCATCCAGGATCTCAGTGTGATGTTGATCGCGGATGTCAATGGAGTAAGTTGGAGCGGCGGCTCCATGAGGTGGAGTTGCGTCGCTTGTGGCGGCCATAGAGGGAACGGAGGTGTTGGATGAGCCGTCCGGGGTGTTGGGCGTGCTCCCCATGAAGATGTGCAGTGCCGAAGCTCCTTCGGGGGAATTGTGCCGCTTGACCTCTACGGGAATCGAGGGGTTGTAGTATTTTATCCGCGGTAGCATGTTGCGCCAGAATTTTCTGAAGAAGGCGAGGTCAGCGGTTATACTGGTGTGATTGTGCTGCCTTGCGCCAAACGACCAGACAGGGTGTTCATAGAATGACCGTAGATAGTCGACTTTGTTCCATCTTTTTGCGGATTGTTTATCGTGAGGGCGAATGCAAATATTACACGTACCTCGCGCCCCAGTGCCCGCCATGGATCTTAGTGTTGAGCTCCAGGCTGATCTTCGACACCTCCTTGGGCAGCACCACAGCGCCTGGCCCATTTCTTATCCATAGCAACTATCAATACAGTCAGCGGTTGACCAAGTATGTCTTATTGCATTCGTAGCGAGTCGGAAGGTTGAGGGAGGTGTGATAAGTCTTTCGAGGTGAAGGCGGTGGTGCGATTCGTACCTGCTGCAACGGGAGTCAGTAGCGTTCAATTGGCGTAGATATATATAATTCGGATTATTAGCGCACCTTCTGCAGCTTCCGCGCGCGCGATATTATGTTGACCATGTTGTGCTGTGATGATGTCGAAACGCCTACTCTAAGAAATCTCGCTGGTCGCGCTCACTCCGCAGCCGAATATCTGCCGAGCGCCCGTGCACATCATCGAGCCAGACAAGTAGTGTTGGTAGTGCACTTTGCCAGGATACGCTGGTGTCATTGTTCTAACTTGTTCCAATGCTGCATACTAGTCTCTTCATTGTCATATTATCCAGGCTACATTCAACGTCATTCACATCGAGAATTTTGATCCAACCTCTTGCGTATGCCACTCTTGCCAACGAACAAGTTGAAGCCACGACAGACCTCAAAAGTACAGAATGATATCTAACACCCCAAATTCGTTCGTTCATATAGATTACAGTGATCCAATTGCATCACCACTGCGCTTGCCCAGACATGTCCAGGTTTAACGAGCAGCTGCCGGTGCAGCGCCACCGGGCGCAGCAGCAGCTCCAGGATTCAAGCGCTTGCTCCTACACACTCGTTAGCAGATTCGTCACTTGGCTGGAGACGTCCGACTTACATGAAAGTCCTGCTGAAGAATGAGATGAGGATCATGGGCAACCAGGAAGGCATCTTGGAGAAGCCCCAGGTGAAGTATCCGAAGGGGATAGCGAGGCCGTACTGCTGGAGCAGACCGTTGAAGGGGTGGAAAGGACCCTCGTAGGGAGCAACCTCGTCAAGCTTGTTATCAACGACAAGCTCCTTGAAGGTCTCGGTGGTGGTGGAAGTGCGGTTCAAAGGCTTGTAACGGTACTCAGGAACGGGCGCAGACTGGTCAGCCAAAGGCTTGGGAATGCGGAACTGGATCAGAGCCGGCGCACCGACAGACCACGAGTTGCAGAGGATGTTCTCCCTTTCGCAATCAAGGAAACCGAGCTTAGGCGACGACGGCTGAGCGGCAATGACGGGGGTTGATGCCTGCACGTGTTAGTTACGCGTTTTCTAAAGATTCGCGCAGATACGTACGTTCCATGCCTTCTCAGCAGGTCCACAGAAGCCGTAACATGTGCTGTTGCCACCAGTAACGAAGATCAGCCAGTCCTGTGTCGCGGGCGCGCTGACGGTGGGATCGACGGTCAGGAGCTCCTTCCAGTTCTCGAGAGTGAGATCGTGCTGGACCACCTCGGCAATCTTGGCTGCTGCTGCCTCTACGGGCGCAGAGGGCACAGACGGCGCAGAGGGAATGACAGAGGCCACCGACGCTGTCGCCTGGTTGAAGAAACCCTTGACCTTCTCGAGGAGGGGAATCTGCTGCTCGGCAAGGGCGAGCGCCGGCAGGGCAAGGACAGCGGTTGTCGAGAAACGCATGTTGTGGATGTGGGTGTGGTGTTGAACGTTACGCGTTGGACCGAACGATACTGGGTCGCTGCCTGTGCTTCAGGACCCTGATGACGTTTGCGGGGCGGGGGCGTGGCTGATAATGATAAACGGCAACAATCTGCAATGAAGCGAATATCTGGCGCGAATGAACGAAATGAAAACCGGCAATGCTTGGATTGAGAAACAACGAGAAGGAGATGGAAACGTCAGCCAGGACACGATGCCTACCACACGCTCGAGGTCTAGCGGGCCAGAGCCGCGAAATTGCCAGAGCTTGGACGTTGTGGAGCCCTGTCCATCAGCCCACACCTCGTCCCCAAACTCCGATTCGCCGTTGCAACAACAACGGAGGACGGTGAGTTTGATCGACTCCCCGTCGACTTTGAATGATACATTAGCACTGAAGAGCAGGACATGTACACTATGCACGAAAACGTCTCCATCTGCAGCACGGCAATACGTCGGCTTATCTTGAGGTAAACACGACAACACACTATCGTCAACGTCTCCTGAAGCCACTTGGTTCGCCATTGTCGTCTGTCGGCACATTGCTAAAATCCCAGCTTGGTCCAGCCATGTTCGCAGCCAGATTTGCGAACACATCAGGCGCAGGAGATTCCGCTCTTGAGTAAGCAGTCGTTGCTGCTGTCAGTATTAGCTTCTTTTCTGCGACAGCAAAATCTAAACGTACCTGTTGGCGGTCGTGAAGGCGCTCCTGCTGACAGTCTGTCTCCCAAGTCTCGTCTGAAATGCCGATCTGGCATCATGTTCTCTTCCTCTTGCTCCATGTCGACGGTCCTCCACGTTTCATTGGAAGCACGAGGCCTGAGATGTGGTTCATCGAGCTCAGCTTCTGCTGCGTCGCGTGTATGCTCGCTCAACCTCATCCTGCCCACCTTTGCTGCAAGTTCGTCCTGGAAATTTGTAGGCATTTTCCTTCTCGCCTGTGGTGCGGTGAAAGGCGTTTTGATACGAGCGGCAAGCTCTTCATCTTGTCTACGTTCTCTGTCTTCTACAGCTTGAGCGTGCTCGAGTGCTTCGACATCATGGCTGTGCGGTGTCTCTGTATATACCGGTGGTCCTTTAAATGCTGTGCTCGCGTCTCTCTTGTCTTCCTCACATACTTTCTTGAGCTTGACGCCAGTTCGAATGTTGGCAAACAAAGCACCACGACATGGATCGTTCGGAGATTGTGCGGTAGCAGGAGGCGGTGGTGGTGGTGGCGGCGGCGGGGGAGGAGGGGGAGGTGGCGATGGGGCATGAACTATAGGTATTGGTATAAGAGGTGCATTGGGCGCTGGTATACGTTCCCGCTTCGCAGAAGTTCGTGGTTTCGGACTCCCATGTTGCTCATCAGATGCTCTACCGGCCTCGCTGACTGGCAGAGCAACAGGACTATGACCGCTTTCCTTCGACGGCCGTTCCTCTTTCCGTTTCCGTGAATGGCGGCGTCTACTTTGCTTCTGGTCTTTTCCATGCTTCTCTTCATGCTCAGGGTTAGCATCCCCTTTCTCAATCAGCGGCTCTGCATCGCCACCTTTCCGGACACCTTTTACGTCTGTTCTCTTCCGCCGAAATGCACCGACATGCTTCTCAACAAATCCCCTACTCCTGTGTCCAGCATCCTGCTCCGCTTTGATGTGTCGGTACACGCTCTTCGCGTGTGAGAGGAGTCCTACTCCTTTGCCTTTGGTCGGAAGAGACCCAAATGGAGTGCCGTCAGGACCCAGAACTGCTTTGGTGACATTAAGAGCGCCCGACATTAGATGTGTTGCTGGATCGGCTCCTAGCGCAGATCGACTTGATTGAACATGACTTTGCTCGTGATTCGTATGATCTTTAAGCTTCTGGTCGCTATGTGCTTCTGCTGATCTATGACGACGGTGCCGCCTACGAACATGCTTGCCTTCGTTATCAACAGAGCTATGGTGATGTTGTCGCCGAGTTTGAAGGCTGCCATCCTTGTCCCGCCCATGCGATCGGTGCCGACGATGTTTATGGCCATCCTTGTCTCGCTCATGTGACTGCCTTCGATGAGATGGATGGTGATGCTCCCTCTCACGAGAACGACTTCTCCTACCATGTCTTCTCTTCCTCTGCGTCTTCTTCTGCTCTTCCTCCATTTTCCTAGCGTCCTTCGTCTCTCTCGCTTTATCCTGCTTGTACAGTCTATAAATCCGCAGATTTTCCACAACTCCCTCAATGATCAACCTGCCAGTGCTCGCACCACCTAATTCGCTATTTCTTGGCCGATGACCGGACATAAGATCTTGGATACTTGCTACAACCGCTTGTCTGTACTCGTCCGGATGTGCGCGCGGATCAGGGTGAATTGAGTCGGTGCTGCTCGCCATCAGCAGCAGGGCAGCTGCGAGGGAGAGCCATACTCTTTTCATATTGCAAGTGGCAGATATTGTGAATGTTAGATGTTAGTGATAGGGAGATTCTGTGACGAAATACGTGATAGGGCAAACGAATGTAATGACAGCACGAATTACCGTCAACATGACATTGACATCGTACATGCCACGTCAACTGGAATCCTACATATATCTCAAAAAACAGTGAATCAGGACATAGCTCTGTTTGGCGCAAAACATAATTCATTAATCATAACGCGAGACATATCACGCAAAGTATCTAAACTAAACACAAACCTCTGTCCCAGCCATCGGTACCCACCCAAAAACGTTAACCATACGTCATTCGATTTCCCCTCCTTGCTTTTGCATAACATCAAAATCAGGTTGAGTCATCCATCGTTAGTCGCTCGTTGACATCTATACCGCACCTCCCTCCGCAAGCTCCTCAGCAGGCACGTCGTTCGTGAGGACCGGTCCAGGCCCCAAGAAAAACGGCAGCGCATCAGCAATAGTCTCCAGCGTACTGGGATCGATCAGCGTGGGCTCCTGCTCTACCGTGACACCTTCCTCGGCCTGATCAACCGCCTCCTGCAAAGAGTTTGCTTCGTCTTCTCCCTGCACCTCATCGTCTGGACTAGCGACCAGCTCCGGGTTTCCCATGATCTCGCTGACTAGCTCGCCGAGTGTCTTGTTTTGGTACGGTAGTAGATCCACTGGCAGCGGCGTATCCTGTTCTGGAACTATCTCCTCGACGATAGGAACGGGGGCAGTCTCGGTGGTCGTGTTGGAGGGAAAGGGGCTGGTGAAGTTATCGGGACGCGGGTACGGGATCATCGGGACTGGCCGAGGACGGCGACCACTTGCGTCTTCAGCCTCCGACTGGGATTCGTCAGAGTCGTCAGTACCGTGCCAAATACCGTGCGAGGGCGAAGAGGAGATTCCATCTACAGCCTGCGTCGCGAGACATTCTTCGAACTCAGCCTGCTGCTTTGCGAACTCCTCTAGGTAGGTTTCGTGCGCAGCAATTTCTTCAGCGGTGTGGTTGCATCCACCGAGGCAAGAGTTGAAGCCGATCTGTGGGATGGGCTCCGTGCAGGTCAACAAGACAGGAACATCTTCACCTGGAAAGACTGTGGAGTTTGAACCATCAGTCGAATCGACGATGCTTGGCTCCTCGGTATCTGCAAGCGGGTCAGGGCCTTCGCCAACCCAGATCGGTCCATTAGGCCCCTCTTCGTAGCCAGGTAAGAGTTGAGGGACTGGCGGTTCAGGTGCCGAGATTTGGGGTCCGAACGTGTAGTGGCCATCGAGATCCGGGATATCGAAGTCTGGGAAGTCAGGCTGTCCACTGTAGAGATCTGGCTCGCCCAACACCAATGGTATGTCCTCAATGGTAGGAGCTGGCTCAAAATCTGTTGTGGGTGCATCATCGAAATTGCCGAACAACTTCCAGAAGCCGGCCGCCAATACATCGAAGAAGTTGACACTATCACCAGCATCGGCACTAGCCTCACTCGTCACTGGGTCAACCAGTTGTCGTTTCGTCACTAAACCTTGCACAAGATGGGGAAACCACAGTTTGAAGCCGTCTTCGGCATCCGTGGCATCGCCAGGGTCGCTGATGCTACCAACGCTAGGTCCAGGATAGATTTGAGCAACCGAACGAGCAGACGAGATCACACCTCGAATAGCGAGCCTGTGGACTGCAGTAGTGTCTTGTGTAGTTCCGTTAGTGGACGCTGGGGTTCGGTCGTATGTGGACGCAGGAGGGTACCAGGGAATGTTAACGGTCGAAGCAGCAGCATACTTGACAAGCGAAGCCATGTTGCTGCTAAGCTCGACTATCCGCCGAAGGAATGCCTCAAACTTCTCGGCTTCGGTCATATCAGTCCAGATTTTTTGCACTACAGCTTCGTTGGGCGTCTGCGTCTCTGCCTGCGTCTCTGCCTGTGTAGATTCTTCTGTGTATGCTTGCTCGATGACTTCTGTGGACGGTTGGTCGGATGTCTCTGCGGACACCTCTTTAGGTGCTTCTGCAGATGCTTGATAAGCACTCGGATTGGGACGATAGTATCTAGTCGGTGCGCGTGGACCATCGTCGCGCTTGTCGTACGATGTCCATCTCTTTTGGCGAGCCACGCGTTTGCTCACCAAGTCTGAGTCTTCATAGTAATGTGATTCTTGGCTGTCGTAGACATGCTTGTTGGAGTAATCATCACCTCCTTTAGGGTATGAGTTGACATTCTCAGTATCATAGTGCGAGTCCTGTGGGTAGCCAGAATTCTTGTGCTTGCAGTCTTCTCCATGACGGTGCGTGTGCGATGATGCTGAATATCCTTGCTTTTGACTATGGGTCTGGACATAGTCAGATGCGGGCGCTGTGGCTCTACGAGCGAGGCCGCCTCGACCGTACAGCGTTGCCAGATACGCATCGAGGTCCTGCTGCACTTTCGGATTTGGTCCCGTTGCACTCGGTCTCTTCGGCGCGGCCTGTTTGGGTTCCTGGGGCTGCTGAGGCTGCTGAGGCTGTTGCTGGGCTGGCTGTTGCTCTTGCTGGTGCATGCGAGCATTGCCGCCGAAACACTCAGGATAGTATTTTCCAGAACGGTTCTTGGCCGCACAGTCATTTGGCTTTGATGAGCTTTGAGCGGGTGCAGTCCATTGGCCTCCACCGCCGCCACCATAGTTGCTCGACGGCGCGTCTTTGCTTCCGGCGTTCTTGGATGGCTTTCCAGTACATTGACCTCTGCGAAAGCTGGGCTGGCTGGAAGCACTTTTCCCGTTGGCATAGATGACACTCTTTCCAGGGTTATCAAATACGACTTCGGTAGTCTCTTGAATCTTGCAATTGTTGATGTTGGCCAGGTTTGCGACAAACAACTCAGGATATTTCGACAAAGCGTTCGAAGCCGCGGCCTGACTATCACGCTTACTCCTTCTTTTGTTCGTAATATCGATGACGGCACAGTTCATGTACATCTCTCTGTTACCAATTTTGTTGAACCTGCACGCTGTGAGCCAGTATCTCGCCTGACATGGCACAGAAAGTGATATGAAAAAGAGGGTCTTACCATGTCCAGGCCAGCAGACATTTCTTCGCGGCCGGGATTTCGCTGGGAATCGTGAAGTCGTAGTTCTTACGCAAAGGGCAACCGCCCATTATGCTTTCAATGACGTAGAAGTCGTCTCCGCCATTGCAGCTCAAACTGATCTGACAACTACCACCACTATGCGTGGTATCTCCTCTCAATCTCAGTGTCTGCTTGCTACCAGCTGGATAAGTTGCGACTGTCGTCAAGGGCGTATTCAGATGATAACCTTTGCAGGCGAAATTGCTACCGTCCGCGTTCAGAGGGCTGAGAATATTGTAGTCTTTGGGTTCGTCCGGACGATCTGTTGCGTGTGGGTCTCTCAGGGGAGATGGTGACGACATCTGCATGTGTGCAAGAGCGAGGGGAAGGACGCTCAAGGCGCCGATGATGGATAGAGGAGCCATGGTGAGTATGGCCAGCATACGGCAGAGTGCGAAGATGCGCTGAAGAGCAGAACACCGTGTCGACCTGTCATGGTGGTTATATGGTCACAAGCAAGGGAGGTAGTAGCTGGGCCAGTTGCGCGTCGAATTCCTGGTTGTCGCGTGGATCTAGTCAGGCCTGGATGGGACCCAGATCGAACGTAGGAGAAGAAAAGGAAGAAATCGCGACAAGGGAGTGGACACAGGCGAAAGTAGCCAAAGGTTGTATATTAGAGAAAATAGGGCTGTGAGGGCATTTCTGTTCGGTCTCATCCACAGTGTTTCAGTAGAGCTGTGGTACTTGGCTCCGACGTCTGCTGTCATCTTGTCTCAGTCAACACAGCGTCTGCATCAAAGAATGGATCGAGCATGCTCGTGCAGATGCTGCAGCTCCCAGCTCCTTTGTCGCATTCCATTAGGTATTTGTGTATCCCCAAAAGCTTCGTAAAGCTTGTCGCAAACCCAGTAACGCCGCGGAATGCATGCCCGGTGGGCCCACCCCTCATCTCAGCGTCGATCGCTGCGCCAGACCCTCGCCCTTTTTGTTCTTTTTCCCGCCGCGGAAGTCGTTGGCCGACAGCTCAGTCTCAACATCGAGGCCCAGCTCTGCGGCATCCTTGGCCTCGCGCGCCTTCCGGCTACGTTCGGCGTGCGAAAGTAGGTAGGGACGAATGAGCATGTAAGCACCAACTATGCCAACGATACGAAGCCAGCGTTGTGCGCTCATCTCCTCCCAAGACTGGACCGAGTTGTTGACGAGGCGGTCCTTCCATTCGAGTACGTTGGCGACGAGCGCATTCCAGGAAATTTCTTCGGCCATGATCGCTGCGGTGTTGCACGGTAGTTATGATAGCGCAGATGAGGCGAAAGGTGCAGGAAGGCGTAGAAGGTGCCGGTGGATTGGATGAGGAACGTGGAGCGGTGTGCAGCAAAATAAAGATCTCGGTGAGGATGAGAAGGCCGTGTCAGGATCATCCAGGGTCTGAACCAGGGCTCCGATCTCCCCCGCTATTGGCTACCCACGACGCGTCGCGTCATTGTTCAGCCGTCCCCCATCCGTTGAAGGGTCTGAACCATACATCAGCACGGCGTTATGGCCTCAGTGGATGGTGAAGCCGCTGAGCGAGAAGAGGTGAGAAGGTCTGATGAACATGGAAACCTTGTGTTGCTGACGACGCCTCCTGCAGCGCCTCAAGTCCGCACTGTGGTACTCGATCGGCCAGTTCGTCGACGATGCTCTCCTCGCCGACGACATGAATGCAACACCGCAGTTCATTGGTGCTTTGACTGAGCTGGTCTACACACAGATTGGTGCGTCTTTGCTACTTATCAAATCAACTGCAGTACAGCTGCTAGACATAACCATCTGCCTTCAATTTACGTCAACTGACACGAGTCAGCCAATACGTCTCGCGACCTCGAAACCTTCTCCCGTCATGCCGGCCGCAAAGCTGTCAATAACGACGATGTAATGCTACTCACGCGGCGCAACGAAGCCCTTGAAGACATCCTTCGGCGGGAGCTGGACCAAATGAAGGCTGCTGAAGGACGGGGAGAGCAACAACAAACCGTTACTACAGGGAAGAAACGAGGCAGGCCTTCTGGCGGCGGCAAAGGGAAGGGGAAAGCCTAAGACAACGTCTGAACTAGTTCTCGATACGCTGTGTTTTGGGCGTTGATTTGACATGATACCCGTGGGCAGGCGCAGCTCACACACGGACCTAGAAGCAATGATGCACTTTGAAAGTCAAACAATAGAATGCAGAGAGTGCAGAGAGTGCAGAGAGTGCATGTATCCAAGCATCCACTCAGCATGATAAAGCCCCTGCGTCCTGTGCTGTTCCGTGTGCAAGTCACCCACCAGCTGAAGGGACTCACAGCACAAACATTGCTCACCAAGCCTTCTCAAACATAGGTATCGTTGCACCCTAGTATTTCTCTCTCGTTGCATTCGCCATTTCGTTAGGTACTCCAGCTTCCACCGCTCACGTGCATTTTGCCCCCCGCTTCCGGCCGCAATAAGCAAGTGGGGCCCTTGGCCTTTGGCCCCTCCTCAAGTCGGCCATCGGCGAGCTCCTGCACGCGACCTAGAACGCGCCGCGGCCTGGCACCACGATAACGAGATTTCCAGACCTTCTGATTCGCTAAGAGGTTTGCCAAAACTAAGAGGTGACATCTGAATGGACCAGTGCCAGCGCGGTTTGGGGTTGGATCACGGCGCTCTCCACATCTCGTTTGGAGCTGTATCTAGAAGATGAATGCTAACTTTTGCCATCTTTCAGCTCCTTGACTTCTGATACCCCTCCTTCGGTTTTCATTTCCTCGTTTTGCTTGCTCACTCTATACTGTGATTGTGACGAGGCAAGATCATGGCGCCCGGACTTATCGACACAGAATCAGCGCCTGCAGCGCCTGCAGATGCGCTGCGTCAGCTCAACGAGGTCACAGCTAACTTTGACGACACGCTGAGGTTCTATCTGAACGGCACAAAGGTCACACTTGACAATGCGGACCCAGAAGTCACAGTGTTGGAGTACCTGAGAGGTATTGGCCTTACTGGAACGAAGTTAGGGTGTGCAGAAGGAGGATGTGGCGCTTGCACAGTGGTAAGTTCCCAGTCTGTTTATATAGTAGGACCGTTATTGAAGTGCACTTCGGAGCTCTTGGAATTTCCAGCAAGGAGGCGAATTGCTAACATGCTTCGTAGGTCGTTTCACAGCTCAACCCCACAACAAACAAGATATACCACGCTTCCGTCAATGCGTGTCTGGCACCGCTGGTCAGTGTAGACGGCAAGCACGTCATAACAGTCGAGGGGATAGGCAACGTCAAGAGACCGCATCCAGCACAAGAGAGAATAGCAAAGGGAAATGGCAGCCAGTGTGGTTTCTGCACTCCCGGAATTGTCATGAGCTTGTATGCTCTCCTCCGTAACACCGATGCGCCCACCGAACACGACGTCGAAGAAGCCTTCGACGGCAACCTGTGCAGATGTACAGGCTACAGGCCGATTCTGGATGCCGCACAAAGCTTCAGTGTCAAGACTGGTTGTGGCAAGGCAAAGGCAAACGGCGGAGGTGGATGCTGTATGGAAAAGAATGGCGCAAAGGAAGCCAACGGCGGTGGATGCTGCAAGACTGAAGGCGCAAATGGCGATGACCAACCCATTAAGCGCTTCACGCCTCCAGGTTTCATCGAGTACAAGCCAGATACCGAGTTGATCTTCCCGCCACAACTTCACAAGCATGAGTTCAGACCGCTGGCTTTTGGCAACAAGAAGAAGAGGTGGTACAGACCCACAACGTTGCAGCAGTTGCTTGAGATCAAGAACGCCCATCCTTCTGCAAAGCTCATCGGAGGATCTACAGAGACGCAAATCGAGATCAAGTTCAAGGGTATGAACTACAGTGCTTCCGTCTTTGTCGGCGACATTCCTGAGCTGCGTCAGTTCAGCTTCAAGGACGATCACTTGGAGATTGGCGGAAACGTCGTGCTCACAGATCTTGAGCGGATATGTGAAGACGCTATGGAACACTACGGAAAAGACAGGGGCCAGCCATTCGCCACGATCTTGAAACAGATCCGTTACTTCGCCGGACGACAGATCAGGAATGTGGGCACCCCTGCAGGCAACCTTGCAACAGCCAGTCCTATCTCGGATCTCAACCCTGTCTTTGTTGCTCTCAATGCGACGTTGGTAGCTAAGAGTCTAAAGGAGACGACAGAGATTCCGATGTCGACATTCTTCAAGGGGTATAGGCAGACTGCTCTGGCTCCCGACGCGATCATCGCGGCTCTCAGGATCCCTGTGGCGAAGGAGAAGGGTGAATACATCCGTGCATACAAGCAATCAAAGCGGAAGGACGATGACATTGCTATTGTCAACGCAGCTTTAAGGGTGGTGCTTGACGATGAGCACACTGTCACGGATGTCAGCCTCGTCTATGGTGGCATGGCACCAACAACAATCGTCGCAAAAAAGGCAACAGAATTCCTGCAAGATAGGAAATTCTCAGATCTTCAAACCTTGGAGGGGGTCATGGCTAAACTTGAGGAGGATTTCGACTTGCGATTTGGTGTGCCCGGTGGCATGGCAACATACAGGAAGACGCTTGCCCTGGGCTTCTTTTACAAATTCTACCACGAAGTGCTCGCTGGTCTGAACGCTGAAGAGGCTGAGGTCGACACACAGGCAATTGGCGAAATTGAGCGAGACATCAGCAGCGGCTGGAAAGATGGCAAGGCGGCTGAGGCATACAAGCAGAGCGAAGTTGGACAATCAAAGAACCACGTCGCTGCTATGCAACAGACAACGGGCGAAGCCCAGTATACCGACGACATTCCTCTTCAGCGGAATGAGCTGTACGGCTGCATGGTTCTGTCAACAAAGGCTCATGCCAAGCTAGTCAGTGTGGACGCGGAGGCAGCACTAGACCTACCAGGTGTTGCTGCTTACGTAGATCACAAAGATCTAGCAACACCAGAATCGAACTGGTGGGGAGCGCCTTCTTGCGACGAAGTCTTCTTTGCCGTTGATGAAGTGTTCTCTGCAGGCCAACCTATTGGTATGATTCTTGCGGACACACCAAAACATGCGGAACAAGCAGCTAGGGCCGTCAAGATCGAATACGAGGAGCTACCAGCAATTTTCACGATCGAGGAGGCTATTCAACAAGATTCTTTCTTCCAACACTTCCGTCACATCCAGAAGGGAGACACAGAGAAGGCTTTCAAGGAAGCTGATCACGTCTTCACTGGAACAGCACGCATGGGGGGGCAGGAACACTTCTACCTGGAGACCCAAGCATGTGTGGCAGTGCCAAAGCCTGAGTTTGGCGAGATGGAAATCTTCAGCGGCACTCAGAACCCGGCAGAAACACAGGCATACGTAGCAAAGGTCCTCGGTGTCTCTGCTAACAAGATCAATGCCCGTGTCAAGCGTATGGGTGGTGGTTTTGGTGGTAAAGAGACACGATCGGTCCAGCTCGCCGCCATTGTAGCGGTCGCAGCCAACAAGGTCCGCAGACCGGTTCGTTGCATGCTCAACCGAGACGAAGACATTATGACATCTGGGCAACGTCATCCTTTCCTTGCTCGCTGGAAGGTTGCCGTGAATAAAGACGGAAAGCTACAAGCACTCGACGCGGATGTTTTCAACAACGGCGGCTGGAGCCAAGATCTTTCCGGTGCTGTTGTTGAGCGTGCTCTCTCCCACATCGACGGTGTCTACTCCATCCCCAATGTCCATGTTCGTGGCAGAGTAGCAAAGACAAACACCGTCTCTAACACTGCCTTCCGCGGCTTTGGTGGGCCACAGGGTATGTTTATCTGCGAGACTTTCATGGAAGAGATTGCAGACCACCTCAACATCCCTGCTGAGAAGCTGCGCGAGATCAACATGTATTCGCCTGAGGGGAACATGATCACACATTTCAACCAAGAAATCAAGGACTGGTATGTGCCGCTCATGTACAAGCAGGTCCAGGAAGAGTCGGAATATTCTCGCAGGCGTGCAGAGATTGAAGAGTACAACAAGACTCATAAGTGGAACAAACGTGGCCTCGCGATCATTCCAACAAAGTTCGGTATCTCCTTCACAGCATTGTTCCTCAACCAAGCTGGTGCACTTGTGCACATCTACCATGATGGCTCGATTCTCGTTGCCCACGGTGGAACTGAGATGGGCCAAGGTTTGCACACCAAGATGACACAGATTGCAGCCGAAGCGCTTCAGGTGCCACTCGAAAGCGTTTTCATCAGTGATACAGCAACAAACACAGTCGCAAACTCGTCCTCCACCGCTGCATCTGCCTCGTCGGATCTGAATGGTTACGCCATCTACAATGCCTGCGAGCAGCTCAACGAGCGCCTGAAGCCGTATCGCGAGAAGCTCGGCCCCGGCGCCTCAATGAAAGACCTCGCGCATATGGCTTACTTCGATCGTTGCAACCTTAGCGCCCAGGGCTTCTACAAGACGCCTGACATTGGCTATGTCTGGGGTGCCAACACGGGGCAGATGTTTTTCTACTTCACACAGGGCGTTTCTGCCGCTGAGGTCGAGATCGACACGTTGACAGGCGATTGGACGGTACGACGCGCAGACATCAAGATGGATGTTGGCAGGAGTATCAACCCTGCGATTGACTACGGTCAAATCGAGGGCGCCTTCGTACAAGGCCAGGGTCTGTTTACAACGGAGGAGAGTCTGTGGCAGAGGAGCACGGGAGGCATTTTCACAAAGGGCCCGGGCAACTACAAGATTCCTGGCTTCAGAGATATTCCGCAGGTGTTCAATGTTAGCCTGCTGAAGGATGTGCAGTGGGAGAACCTGCGTACTATTCAGCGGTCGAGGGGTATCGGTAAGTCTTCCACCATTTCCCATTATGGTACGAGATGGTCCTAACGTCTGACAGGTGAACCACCCCTATTCATGGGAAGCTGTGTCTTCTTCGCAATCCGTGATGCCCTGAAGGCAGCGAGGAAGGAGTTCGGCGAGACGAGCGTGCTGCATCTACAGAGTCCTGCGACGCCGGAAAGGATTCGCATCTCTTGTGCGGATCCAATCCTGAAGAGGGCTTGGGTTGAGCCAAAGGAAGGTGAAAAGAGCTTCTTCATCAGCATCTAAATTGAGGATGCAAGGCGTCAGTGTCAGTCTATGTATGTCTAGCAAATGAGTATGCAAGTCAAATCATTCTTAAGGTGCGCTCGTCTCAACCCTTATTGTGCATGCTAAGTGACGCGGACCAGAACACAGTTTGCATCTCTTCCAGTGCTCAGTTCACATTATGCTGAGTTGAGATATTCCTTCGCGGTGCGCGATATGTTCATGGTGTTGAGGTGTGAATGGTTCCTAACGCCTCGCTTATCGTAAGATCGATCGAAGCCGTCGTCGATCTAACTACATCTGAACAATCTTTTAGCATGACATCACTGTCTGTCGCGAAGCGCTCAGAGCTTGACGCGTACCTCGTTCAACATGGCTCGCGAAAGCAATCGCACGACTCTACACCTTGTTCCTTCGAACTCATATCGCCTCTGTCTCCTTGCCAATCCCAACTGCTTCTTTTGATGATACGTTCAGTGCATAGGGTTAGCTCCATCGTTGCATATCGAACAGCACAGCGAGTGCCACTTGTCTTGCATAGCGTTTGCGTAACCCCTTATCTTCCAGTCATGCCTCCAAAACGGAAGGCATCAACTGTAGCTGCATCGCCTGCTGCCACTGAAGCGCCCGTCCATCGTTCGAAGATCCGCCGTTCTGAAGTGCCTTTGCCTCCGAATGCTGCAGGAAAGGACAAGAAGCTACCACGCCGACAATCATCCCGTGGGGGTACCGCAGTCACAAACCCAAACGTCAACCCTGAAGTCCTCGATGCGCCCAATGCTCTACGCGCTTCACCTGATGGGCATGAATGCGCCGAAAGTGAGGCCCACCTGCATCAGCACGACATCAACGCCGGCAATGCAGTGAACGGCGTCAATGCGGCCTCAGCTAAGCCTTCAAACTCGCAAAATGCAACCACGGAGGTCAAGGCAGTTCCATCGACGGGTACCGAGGGCATTGACGAAGCTGGAGCCACTTCTGTAGCGCCAACGGCCGGCAGGGCCAAGAGGAAGAAGGCTGGCGCTACACATGTGAAGACAGAAGGCGGAGACCTCGATACGGCACCCACAAATGGCGCTGTGGAGAACGGCACGGCCCCTGCAGAAGATGCAGATGTCACTGGCGATCCTGAAGCCGAAGCTGTAGACGGCGAGGAGGGGGATGAAGTGGAGCTCAAGCAAGCCCTGGCACGGCCTCCTCCTGTCAACTCTGAATACCTTCCTCTTCCGTGGAAGGGGCGGCTAGGATATGTATGTCCCCTGCATGACCCCACGCACCTTTTCTGACTAACACGCATTTCAGGCTTGTCTCAACACCTACCTTCGAAACGCCAATCCTCCCGTGTTCAGCTCCAGAACGTGTCGGATCGCGAGCATCATCGAACATCGCCACCCTTTGAAAGACCCCTCTCAGCCGGAACATGCCACCAAGAACCGCCCTGATAAGGAGCAGCCGGCTGATCATGCACGAGGACAGAAGTATGTTGAGGAGCTGGGCCTTGCCAACGTTCGAGATATCAGCAAGATGATTCGATGGAACGACAAGTACGGCATTAAGTTCATGAGATTGAGCAGCGAGATTTTCCCGTTTGCGAGTCATGAGCAGTATGGCTACAAGCTTGAGCCTTTTGCTGCAGAAGCGCTGGCGGAAGCTGGCAAAGTCATTGCTGAGCTGGGCCACCGAGTCACTACACATCCTGGCCAGTTCACGCAGTTGGGTTCGCCACGGCAATCTGTCATTGAGAATGCTATCCGTGATCTTGAGTATCACGCTGAGATGTTGTCGCTGCTCAAATTGCCACCGCAACAAGACCGCGACGCTGTCATGATCATGCATCTAGGTGGGGCTTTTGGTGACAGACCAGCAGCCCTCGAGAGATTCCGTGAGAATTACGCAAGGCTTTCGGATGGTGTCAAGAAACGACTTGTTCTCGAGAATGATGATGTGGTGTGGAACGCTCATGAACTTCTGCCAATGTGCCAGGAACTCAACATACCGTTCGTGCTTGACTTCCATCACCATAACATTTTGTTCGACAGCACCAAGCTTCGGGAAGGCACAAAAGATGTCATGGACATGTATCCTGCGATCCTCGAAACATGGTCAAGGAAGAACATCACACCGAAGATGCACTATTCTGAGCCTTGTCCAGGTGCCATCACAGGGAGGGACCGAAGGAAGCATTCGCCTCGTGTGATGACCTTCCCTCCGTGCCCAGATACGATGGACTTGATGATCGAGGCGAAGGACAAAGAACAAGCCGTCTTCGAGCTTATGCGGACTTTCAAGTTGCCAGGCTTTGAGCGGATCAACGACATTGTCCCTTACCAACGACCAGATGAGAACAGGCCGTGGAAGCCCAAGCCAAAGGCAAAGCCCAAGAAGAGCAAAAAGAAGACCGATGATCTTGAGGAGGTCGATGCGAAGCTTGAGGAAGCGGAAGAGGAGGATGTCCCCCCTCCCCACGTTCCTGACGAAGAGTTGGGCATGGGTGGGCCTGAGGGGCGAGTGTATTGGCCGCCCACAATGGAGGAATGGCTTCGGCCACCGAAGCGCGTTATCAAGAAGAAAGAGGAGGGCGCCGCTACGCCGGCTAAGAAGAAGCAGAAGGCTGCAGCCACCGACAATGCCTCCGTTGCTAGTGAAACCGCAGGCCTTGACCAAGTCAAGACCCCAGCTAAGAAGGCGGCGCCCAAACGGGCTGCTAGTTCGACAAAGAAGAAGGCACCGAGAGCTGTCCCTACACCCTCTCCGTCTGATGACGAGGATGGTCTTAGCTCGCCACCGCTCAGCGACTTGGACGATGAGGACAAGGCTCCTGCCGTGCGGAAGCGAGCTGCACGACCCACGCCTACGCGGAAAAAGTCTGGTAGAGCTGCGGCGAGTAAGGTTAGCTACAACGAGGAAGACGCCGACGAGATGAGCTTGTAACAACAACCGACATCTGCGGTAGTTTGAAGCCGGTAATTGAATCTTGGGCCGTCATTTGCATCATCGTTGCTCTGTTGTGAGCCGTCTGAGATTGTGAACTGGTATGGAATGTCACTGATACACACACAAATGTTCCTATTTTCCTAACTACACCCTAGCTCCCATCGCTTACTCTCCCGTACCGTTGTTAACCAGGGTTTCCCAGCCTCCTCCGCAGCACACCGCCTCTAACCTTCTCAAAGCTAGATACATCTCATACACAATCCACCTTCCTAATACGGATAGCTCCGGCCTCCATCCCACACTTCGACACCTGAGCATCATACCTCACTCAGACTGATGCCCCCTCAACAAACAGCAGAGCAATCTGCATGACCGTGTGGTCACAAGCACCCACAATCACAAGCCAAAGCCACCGCATAACACGGGGGTTCGATTAACGCCTTCGTGGTCCAGGGCTGGCACAGCCCTGCTCTTCGAGAACGTCGTAGAAGCACGGCTCGTCTACCGGCCCCAGATTCCGACGGCAGCCGAGGCATTCCGCATCCTTCCCTCTCACCTTCCATTGCATATCCCACTGGTTCTCACCAATGATTTCTCGCGTAAGAGAGACTATTGAAACATGCACGACATTTGAACAAGCTATTGATGCATCAACATGTACCTGTCACAGTACAGTACGTGTTGTGACCTGCACAATTTGTCACTGCCAACGTGCGGAGAGATAGGTTAATGTGTTTTGGCTACTGCTCGAGCGCTCTGGAAGCTTGCTCGTCGCAGTTAGTTCCACATGAGACTGAGGATCTGCTTTGTGCTTCACAACTAACGGGCTGAACGGCACCACAATTCGGTCGCATCATTTCTGGGCACTCAACAGCCAGTCGGACTCATGCTCGAACAGGCCACATGCCCGTCCGTTTACTGAAACGAGGGGTCCAGGGACGGACGGAAGTATCCATCCTCGTAACGGACGCGGATGATGGAGAACGGAACTTCCATTACGAAGAGTAAAGAGGTCTCCACTGGATACGAGGCTGCGATCTGCCTCAACGCTCTTTACCTAAAGCATCGCGAATCATATCCACCAATAAGGCAAGAAGCACGCAATCAGCAATACTCTGTACCTTCAAGCTGGAAACAGACAACTGTGCACGGTGGAAGTGTCGTCTCCACTGCGCCTCTGGACTTACATCTCGATCAACAGCCATCTAGGCGCTTCTGCATGGTCCCTGCAAGCGAGCTGCAAGAGCGGGAAGAGCACTCCATCACGCTGACCTGCTCGTGCCAGCCACAGCGTTTGCTGGCATGTCGCACACGCTGCCACAAAGCAGGAACAAGGTCGAGCGCCGAAGCTAGGTATCTGCACGCCTGCACCGAATCTTCCACGCCATTTCCAGAACACAACTCAGCACACCTTATCGCGATGCAAGGCATCACATGCGGTTTGATATGTACGCGCGGGATCTAGGCCATCTGCGCGCTAGAGCTGGATGCATTCGAGAAGCGAGGCGCAAGCCTAGCGCGCAGGGGTCGCGGGAAGGCCTCTGCAACGACATGTGTAGCCTGCGGGCATCGCCTGATGAGCACGAGCGGGGCAGAGCGCAACAGGGCGGGCATATCACATAGTGGGTGTATTAAGGCCGGAATTGCGGTCGTGAGGTTTGCCATTTTGGGAGTCCGGTAAGGCTGGCAAGGGAACGGAGGTGTGGAAACAAGACAGCGGGACGCGCGAAGCGCTGATCAAGAAATTGGTCAAGAGTTTTGTGCTTTGCTAAATTATGGTTGGGATGCGGAAATGCTCGTATCGTGGCCGGATACACAGGAAGAGTGGGTGACTCGTAATGAAGTCATTGCGAAGTAGAGGCATGATCCGCAGGGCGAGCAGAGTGGCTCGCGAAGGATTTCGGACTCTGACGCAACAGGGACGGAGTCTTGATGCAAGAAGGGATCCATACGATGTGTTAAACAGTGGCCGAGATAACGACATCAAGCTCCATGTATCAGTGCGTTGTGGATCTCGTGAAGGATTCCAGATACCGTTGCGGTACCTATGCACATTATGTGGAGCAGTTGGTGTGGATCAGACCCACTGGCTGCTTCAGTCTGAGTTGTTTTGAGAGGATTCATGTCCATTAGCAACGTCACGTCAGTGGCATTCATTTGTCCTCTTTTTGTCTCAGTCAAAGAGTGAAGGAAGATGAGACAAACAGACACTTGGCGATAGTGACTGAACATGGCACAAACGAAGACTGAATGAAAGAAAACCATGTATCATGTGTCTCTCGTCTCACGTTGAGCAATCGCTCTGTGCTTCAAGACCTGAAATCGGTGCTTTGCCCTACTAAAGGTAACGACCACCTCGACAAGACCGGTGTAATCAGATCACGCCAATGCAACCGATCAAACGATCGCAATCCAGTAGGACGGCTTCCGGTATTGGATATCTCTTGCAGAAAATGAAGAAGAAAAACGAAGTGCTCAAGCACTGTGTTCCCGAGAGCCATAACGGTAATGACCCTCTTGAGCAGCAACTCGTAGCGCCCTCAACTGAGAATAACAATAATTTCACAAACCTTCCACACCGCAAAGACATTGTAGATCTAGAGGGAGGCGTTGCCACAAGAGAAGTTTTCCGCACGAAGGCCTTGTGTAGGCGAGACGTCAGTGACGAACTACAAAACAACGACGTTACCGATTTGAAATGTGACAGACTGGACCTCATCACTGCGCTAGCTGAAGCGTGTAGAGAGTGTAGACAAGGGTTTGCGACAAGCAAAGGCACTGTTGAAGATACAAGCCGCCAAACACAGACCGAGAACGATCGAAGCACAGAGTACATCACACTGACATGTACACCACCAGGATCACCGCCCCTTACTCATCACGCTTTATCTTCCGAGATACCAGCTGGGTACGATTTTTACGCCCTTGATGCTTACCACTCGGATCCTGTACCCTTCGGACGGATGTGTCCACAGGTTCGAGAAATTGCTGCTCTCCAGCTGTACCACTACGACCTCAGCAACTTGAATGGGCAGCGATGTCTTCAACAGCACTATCTTGGGCTCCGAACCTATCGATGGTATATGGAGTCAAACTCAGATAAGTTCGCATGTGAAGACTGCTCTATGAGCAAAACGAGTGTGTGCATGCGGTGGTTGGGTGGGAATGCGTTTCTTATACTCCCGCTGATTCCGAAGTTCAGGACACTAGGGCTTGCATCAGAGGACCTGGGCTATTGGATTTGGGATGGAGTAGAGGCTTAGGTATCGGGGGATTATTTTCGGGACATTGTACTCGTGCTAAAGATTAGGGGCTATAGCAGAAGACGGCGTCAAGTAGTTCTCGAGAAAAGGTCACAGAGCATTCTGTCTCATAAGACGATTACGAATGCAGTGATGTACGATAACCTACGTTGTAAACTTGTGCGCGTGAGCTGTCGTGTGCACTTTGACAATTTCGATCACTATAGTGCGTCACCAGAGCCGCAGAGCCAATCGCCGAATGGCAAGCCGAGCTTGGCCACGGCGGCACCTCCGGCCTACAGCTTTCCCCGAAGCAGCAAGCTCATCCGAAACTCTTTCTCATTGAATCAGCGCACAAAAGCACTGCACCGCGCAAAAGCTATTTTATCAGCGGCGGACCTCCACAACGGAAATGACGAGCATCCGCCCCACTGCCACTCTGTCGCCCCTGGAATCACGGCGTGACTCCAGCTTCGTCCTTAAATCTGACAAGGCAGTCAGGGCGTTCGTGGTTTCTGCTGTTTACGTACATAATTCCTTCCCCGCATAATCACATGTACAAGATCGACAAGCATCAGGGTTGCCTCATTCGGTAATGTAGGCGACATATAGGGAAAACGGTGTTATGAACCTCATCTGCAGAAATGTACCTGCATCACGGACCGACTTCAATATTTGATATCGAATCATTGGTGCCGCGTGTCTGAAAACCAAGTGCGTGCTCGTGGGCAATGACGGTCTGGTGTCTTTCATGCAGAGATAGAGGCGGAAAACACAGCCCCTGAGATCACTTGACGAAACAGTGGCTTTTTCGTATCGAGAGACCGTGGGGTAAGCTATCGTTCCGTTCCCGTGCCGCAATCTCTGTTCTCCAGAAGTGATCCCGACCACCATAGCGGATGCAGTTGCACCAGAGCATCCGGCGGTTCGAATCGGCAGCTGCTGAAGTCCCGGCAGCAAATACAAGCCGGCACCTTGCGTCTCCAGCGGAGCGCACAGGTACACATGTGCAGCCGGGAGGCAGGCGAAACCGGGAACCGTCCAGCTCTACATACGATGTACCTGGCAGAGATCTGCGACGATCCCTTGAGCGGCACGCCGGACGGCGCCGGGCCAAGCGCCTCACGCACCCAACCACCGCGCGCATCTCGTCCAAGACTGCAAAGCCACGATATCGCAAACCCTTCACAGCCACAGATCTCAGCGCTCTTGGTAACCGTTGATCTCAGGAGGCGAGGCAGGAAGAGCGCGCGTCGTGCGAACGCTGCTCACGGCGTCTCCGAACGCTGTGCTTACACATCTTATTTCCGCCCTTGCCGGACCAACCACGGCGCGCGCACTTGGCAGGGCACGCAATGCTGTGCCACTTCGCTGGGGACTTTGTCGCAACGCCGTTGCGTGTGAGGTACCTAGTGGCTAAGGGGCAGGCGCAGGGGATCTGCAAACGTCGAGTCGTGCGTGCAATGTGCACATGGTGACTGGCTGAAGTATATTCCACTCCAGATTAGGTGACGCTGCGAACCAACGAGTAAAGGACATGAGCGAGGAGGCTGAAGGTGGGCGATACCGTGGTGTGGTGCACAAGGTCGTTGTTGTGGGACGCCAGTTCACCGGTGGGTGGAGCCTGTGCGACAGATTCGGGGTCTGGAGGACGTCCTCCAAGGTTCAAACAGAATAGATCTGCTGGTCACGAATGGTGGAGGGGTGGACTATCACATGGAATGAGGCGTGAATTGGTAGAGTAGAATAGTGGCGCTTTCATGACTTCGTTATTCGATCGCAGATCATGCTGCGTCGTCTCTCAGGGTATCGATGCCCATAACATCTCGCGATATATACAAACGAACAATTAAACGTTATCGCTTCAACGCATCACCACTTTTGGCTTAGCCAATACAATCCCCGGCCTTCATGCATGTTCCCAACAGATGCAAGATCCCGCTGCATCCTGGCAAAAAGATCAGATGACAATATACTCCCCATCAATACGATCCATTGCTTTTCTCCACCGAAACGCCTGTTGTGATGTACCAAAAGGACCATGTCGTGAGCTCTGCATGTCGCCATCAAGCCACTCATCGTCGTCCTGCCAGACGCGCTCAAGCACCTCGAGACCACTGAGATTGTTGAAAAATCCGCTCTCGCGTTGAATCTCAACGCAGCGCTGTCGCACGACAGCGCGGTGCTCAGCGTCTACGCACTCCGTGCCGACGATGAAGAGCGGCCAGAGTAAAAACTTGTTAACGCAGCTCGTTATGCCGATCTGTGAAATGTGGTAGAGACCTTGTGCGACAAGATTCTGGAAGTTGAGGGCACCAGCAGGTACCGTGGGGTGGGCGAGACGCTCTATGTAGAGCAACGCTGCATAACGAAAGCTCTCACTGATGTGGAGAAGTGCTGCATCGTTGGGTGTCATGGCAAGCATCGATGATGTTGCTTCGCAAGAATCTACAGAGTTCTCGCCAGGCACACCAAACTCCCACTCCTGAAGGCGCACACGTACATCGTTCCACTCGACCCAGAATGGAGAGCGGGGGTCTTCTCGCGCTGAGGCGAAAGGATCCTGAAACTCAATGATGGGCGTGCCCCAGCCGTTGCCGTCAATTTGGTCAAAGTTGAAAGAGTAAAAGTCGTTCATTTTCTTAGGTCGTGGAGAAGATTGGGGCGTGTCGTCGTTTTCGCGTACAGGCCTATTTTGACTCAATAGGTTGAGCCTTCCGAGTCGGGCAATAAGCTTGAAAAGGCGTCCTTCGCAACCGGAGTGGTGCTCCAGTGCGCCAAGGTTGGCAGTCAAGTTCATCATGTCTAAAGAATCACCGCGGACTTCGATTTCGCGGTCGTTGACAGCGGCCGTCATGACATCGAACCAGGTGAAGAACAACTCGATCCAGCCAACAAATTCTGATTGTACTGTTCTGTCCCGCATAGCAAGAAGCTTCTGAACTCCTGCTAGCTGCGTCTTAAATTTTGTGAATCCTGAATCGCAGACATGGAAAAGGCAAAGGATAAGGAGAGTGGCCAACACGGAATCGTCCTGCGAGCCGTTGATATCCACTAGTTTCCTGTTCAATAATGCGATAGACTGGGCCTTGTAGTGCTTCTCTTCGCTAGTAGGCTCTCCGTGCATTTCTCTCAACTCCTGCGCAGTCATTTGCGAATACGCATGCTGCGGGATGAGGCGGTAGTCGCCAGGGGCACTCAATCGCCGTCCTTCTAGGCCTCCGCGCATACGCATGTTGTTCGTCGCCAACGCGGCGATAGCGTTTTGGAGTTCGTCGTTTTGCATGGCCAGATGGATGATATGCATGCGGTATGGGTTCGAAGGGCCATCAAAAGCCACCAGTACCGGGCATATAAATTTGTCGTAATAGTCCATGAGGGATAGCATCCGATGGGAAAGGGGCGAAGCGATAGCAAGACTCTGAGGAATAGATGTGGTGAGCGCGAGTACGTCGAGAGACAGGGGGCCGGAACCGTAAGAAGACATTGACGTACCCTCCGAAGGAAGAAAGGAGAAAGCTGGCTGAGACAACGCAGTATAACTCGAGCTTGCATCCCCCTCCACAAAAACCGCATCGTGGAACACGGCCTGACCCATGTTTTGCTGTGCCGAGCTCACCTCGACGTAGTCCTGTAGGCTTTGATCTGAGCTGACGCTGGAGCTCATGTCGTCGGCCATGGGTAATGACCGGGGAGCTTCATGGTAGAAGCTGTCGATGGAGCCAATCTGCGCTTGGTCATAGGAGTGGATCGGCGAATACCGTGGGATGGACGGATCCGCAAAGGGAAACTCGTCTGCAGGGGTGTGCGGGTACTCTCCAGGTGACGGGAAGTCGCTGTCGCTATATGTTCCGAGAGATGCAGTCGAGGCTGACAGACCGCCTTCGTCGAAAGGCAGGTGTATCGAGGTATGTAATCTCTGGAGAGGACCTCTGCTGAGTTGCGACGGTCGCCTCATCTTGGAGGCGAGCGGGTGCATCATTTCGAAGTGCTCTCTCGGGGACTGCATAGGATATCCGAGCGGTGTGGATGGGGAGGGAATGGGGATTGGGCTGGTAGGGCCGAAGTACTGGTATTCCTGTGGGGCGGAGTAGATGCTGCCCGGGCTCATAGGACTTGTGGGTGAGTGGATACCGAAGTCAACGCTGGCTCGGCTGTTGAAGCTAGACGAATGTTGGCTAGCACTGCTGGAAGCATTGTTACCAGAGGTCGACGCTGAGGACTCTTTCCGTGTGGCAGTAGTGGCAGTGGCAGGTGGCGATTTGGCGATGGGTAACGACATGCCCCGAAGCTTTCCACGGCTGGCAACTCCGACGCCCCAGGTTAGGGTTGTTCGGTATCCAGTGCAGTCCTTTCCAATCTCGACACACTGGCCACAGTAGGGTCGTCTCCGGTCACATTTTATTGATCGCTTCTTGCAAGAGAAGCAGTCCTCGGTGGCTCCAGTGGCGGGTGCTCTTCTTCTCCTCTTCTTGGGTGCGGCAGCTGCGTTGTTGCTGTCATCGACCTTCTTGACCTCAATGGGCTGCGTGGTGGTAGGCGAAGCGACAGCCATGTTGGTTGGTATGTGAACGTTGGTTACAAGTGCTAGCAATGTTGCATCTGTAGGCGAGTATCGTGCAAGGTGCGTGTGTGTAAGAAAGATAGACAAATGGACGAGGGGCAATTCTCAATGGAGCATAGAGAGGCGCATCAAGGTGGGTAAGTATTATTTGGCCCTCGACGGGTAAGGGTAGGAGCTTGGTCCCCCAGTGTGATAAGGTCAGGGCTCTAGCAAGCAGGGGTTGTCGGTGTGCCAAGTAGTAGGATGCAAAATACCGCGGCAAACTAGACGCTAGGTTGTTATGGGCGGAGAGAGGTCATCTTGAGATGTGCATGAGGGTTGAAGCCTGCAGCGAGTCGGCCAGGTGCCCGCATGTTCGAAGCAGCCGCTACGAGGCTTCGGTCTATGGCCACCCCTGCCGCACCCCACACACGGACGGCGAATTGCAGACCCGAGTGGGTTGTTGGTCGGGTTACATCGCGGAAAAGGTGTTGCACCCCGGTCAGAAGCTTGGCTGGTGGATGGCGACAGTGGTTCGCCTGCAGGACGGAGAAGGCTGGACGCCACGGAACATCCACCAATCAATACTCATGCTAGGTACGATCTGCTACCGGCTACTAGCGTCGGAGCAACCTGCGGCAGCAGCCATTCACAGAGCTCGTGTCGAGTACGCTGGTGAGAAGCGCCAGGGCCTGCTCGGCTGTCAGGCTTCTGCAAAGCCACCGCTGATAGCGTCAGGGCCGCTACGGACGGCGTGAGCGCACTGACGAATGACCTGCTTGCATGCTCACAACGGAGCCGACCGAGTCGCCGTTTCGAAGCTGCACCGAAGCTGTGTAGAAGATAGCAGCGCCAGGCGCTCACCACTGGGAGAGCACAGCGAACGCCGCCCGCTGTAAAGCATCTGCCAAGCTGAAAGCCTTCCGGGCACGGAAAGCAAGGTTAAATCAGCGGCTGCCTCTTCACCGTCATCATCCCGCAACAAAGCACGGCCGCCAAATGTTGCGAGCCAGGCATCTCTGCAGCGCAGTTGGCCGTGGTTGCGGGCGTGATGCAATCTGCGCGAGGATGCACGCGAGCGGCCGCCCGCGCGAACAGACGTTGGCGATGCAGCGCAGATCCAGATGAGGATATTGCGATGACATCGAGGCGCCCGCGGGACGAAGCTGGAATCATGCAGAGACGCAAGCCCGGCCTAGGGTGGCAGTCCCTCTGCCAACGATGTCAGTCGCCCGGCCCTGCGTGCGCTGTTCTTGCTCCGCAAAACCTCTTGGCGAACCGTCCCCATGGGCGTCGCTGACTGTGATAACAGCCAGCGGGCCTGATGTGAACAAGATATGACCGTAGTGACTCGTGCAAGCCAGCCGTGCCCCCACTCGCAACTGGCGCCTGCAGTGGCTGCGCAGCATCGCTGTCAGTGACTGCAGCAGCGCAGCTGGTGGCGTCCATGCTGGCTCTTTGCAGTGCCCGTACTCCTGAATTGTCTCAAATCCCCTAAGCGGTTTGCGACTGCCATGACACGCGCTTCCGCCTGGCGATCTTTGATCAAGCAGCCAATGCCTGATTACCGCTCCGCCGCTACTTGTGGTCGGCGCACATCTGTGTGGAGAGCAGCTGATTCGAAGCAACCAGCACTGGCGCATAGCGGCCCTGACTGGATCCAATCTCCATCTCAACGGCGTGCTTTGATGCGCCGTCCTAGAAGTTTACTTTGACGGCTCGCCCTTCTGGCCGATGATTGAACCGTTGGTTTTCCGCTTTGGTGTTTGTGCACGTGCCGGCAGAGCCAAGAGACACAGGCATCGGCCAGAGGTACTACTTTGGCGCCTCGTGTATGCTCGAGTGTTGCTCCACCCACTCAGCAGTTTTTCTGAGGTAACAAGCACTCGACACAGCCCGTCAGGAGGCACTCTATGTCAACTAGACCAGGTGCCTTCCCGAGATGTCCTGCTGCTAGCCGTATGTACCTGGAGATGAGTATCACCTAACGGCACTGGCGCACTCAGGCTCGGGCGGGGTAGAGATGCAGAGTCTGGGGAAACGCCCTTGTGCGAGTGGGCGGCGAAGCCCGCGGACGTCTTCTCGAAGCAGCCTGTAAATTTAGACGTGCTGTGCCTTGCGGTCCTGCATTGCCCTGCCGGGAAGGAATCACCCTTCCTCGAAGCCTAGCCCATGGCTGAACTTCGCAGAGCTTGACTCGATGTGAGCCTCACGGGGTCATGTCGGCAGCCGCTCTGAACCTGGGATGCCGAAGACATGGAATCCGCAACGATGTGGAGCGTTCGCCGTCGCCGTCGCCGTTATCCCTTATCGTGGTCTGGACGATGATCCTGGACGCTCATTTAGATTACAGAGACCTGACGATCAGATGCTATTTCAACCACGATCGAGAACGTTAGACAGATTACTAAAATCATGCTGTGGGGACAGACGCAAATATCTCGTAGCGAGCAGGCAGAATGCGCCGCGGGGCTCCCAAATCCGACCGAACCAATTTTGCCGGTATTACTCAGGACCAACTCGAATGTCGCTGCGCGGAGCCTCCATCCCTTACCGCTACACATCCGACTGAGGATCATAACGAACCCTCCTATACCGAGGCAAAACCCTATAGAGCATGCGATCCGCAGCCAAAATGAAGTCTCACAAGGTTGTCGCAACCTGGCAGTCGTATACATTATTGAAACTTGAAAGGCCGAAATGCCGTGCAGCTATCACAAGCGGCTCTCCGGAAGGGAGAGTTATTTTTGCACCCCACACATGTTCTGGGAGTTAAAGTGGCACCACCGACAGCCTTGTGCTTAGCGTCCAAGAAATGGACCAGAGTCGAGCGCATCTGGTGGTTGGACACGAGGGCAATCGCGCGACAAGCTCGCAGTTTAGTTTCCTCCACCAAAGAGCGGTCAACGCGCCTTGTGGCATACTGTTCCTGACGATGACGGTTGAAGTCTGTGCTGCCGGACCGGCAGAATTAAACGGATGTCGACATGCAAAGAAGCCATTGAGTGATTCGACAAGCACATGCAAAAAGCCATCCATCACCAAAGTTTGCGCCAACCTCATCTAGGCTAAGTTCTGACTTTGTGGCTTATGTAAACTTAAGCTTCAATTGACAGCAAGTTGTCGTCAAGCACGCTGAAAAGTTTGCTTCCTTGGCTCAATCTTCTTGCGAGCAACCTCTGGTCGACTATCGTGCGAGCCCTGAGGTCGCAAATGCCAAGGACTGTCTTTTGTCCACGACATTGGTACGCGGTACCGAATGCTTAGCTTGCGACTGTGTGTACGTGCGTTGCACGACACTGCCGGAATCTGGGGAACCCAGGAAGCATTGTTGAATTTCCTGTTCCAATCAGCCAGATTCCATTGTGTAACAGTTTGGATGGATCTGTGTTGATGCTGTTCGGCTGTCGAAGGTTCAAGCCTGGCGAACGCGTCCAAGCTCCCTCGGCTCAAGGCGCCCTTCCCCACATCCAGCTCTGTGGCAGCTCTCACCAACACGCTATTACCCCATACTCTTCCCGCATCCGAACATCAATTGCCCTGCCTGCGGCGTAGCCACTCCGGATTATGTCGTCGAAGTTTAATTGTCTACGCGCCGCGCGTCTCGCTGCGCGCCATCCGTGTCATCGAAGGACCCTTGCCTCGGCCGCCTCTAGCCGTGACACTGTTCGAATTGTCGAAGTTGGGCCAAGAGATGGACTTCAGAACGAGAAGAAAGCCATTTCTGTGGCTACGAAGATAGAGCTATTAGAGAGACTGGCCAGGACTGGTCTGCGGACCATCGAGGCAGGCTCATTTGTGTCACCGAAATGGACACCACAGGTAAGACTCGAGCTTTTGAGATGCCGTGGCGTGATGCTGATTCACCCTTAGATGGCAAATTCGTCCGAAATCCTCGAATACGTCCTCCGTAATACGCCTCAGTCCCCCACGCCTATAACATACCAATGGCTGCTTCCGAATGTGAAGGGGTTCGACAACTTTCTGAAATTGTGGAATACTCAGTTGTCCTCGGGGCAAGATGCGTATCCTACGCCTCCGCCTTCGCCAGTTTCAGAAGGTGGTCCAGCGTTGAATACATCGTCAGAAGATCCCAACGCCATGCCCTCCGCAACTTCAGGTGCTGAAGCTATGGGTAAAGAGCGGAGCGCAACAGGTTCAGCTGCGCCGATACACGAGATTTCCATATTCACTGCGGCAACCGAGGCTTTTACACAAAAGAACACCAACTGCTCGATAGCAGAGTCGCTGAAACGATTCGAGCCTGTCATGTCGAAGGCCAAGGAGATGGATTTGAAGGTTCGAGCATACATCTCAGTCGCACTCGGGTGCCCATACGAGGGACCGGACGTGGATCCTCACAAGGTGGCAGAGCTAGCAGTCAATCTCCTGGAGATGGGCGCAGACGAAATCTCAGTCGCAGACACGACGGGCATGGGCACCGCGCCGAAGACTGCAGAGCTTCTGAAGACTCTGAATTCCGCTGGTATTGATAAGCACGACCTGGCGTTACACTTCCACGACACATACGGAATGGCCTTGGTAAATTCGGTGGTCGCTCTCGAGCACGGTATCCGCACATTTGACGCTGCAGTAGGTGGGCTTGGAGGCTGTCCATACAGCCCGGGTGCGACTGGCAACGTGGCCACCGAAGATCTGGTTCACCTTTTCCATAGCTTAGGTATGCCCACTGGAGTGAACATGGAGGAGCTTTCGGAGATTGGCGAATGGATCTCGGCAGAGCTTGGGAAGTCTAACGAGAGTAGTGCCGGAAAGGCTACATTGGCGCAGAGGCGGAAGTAAAATAAGACCACCGTAGGGTCAGATTACAGAGTAATAGATGATCAGTATCAAAGCAAGCGTTTGGTGTTTGTCGGCCTACATGTACAGCTTCTCTTGTGTCCAGCGAGGGCTAGACTGCCTCTACGTCGAGACCCTGAGTGGTATGCGCATCCTTCTTCAGGATCCAGGACTACGGGCTCAGTAGTCTTGGTGAGAGTGGTCCGTCTTGACATGTGTCAGAATCGTGCCTTCCTTCGCTGCCGCCGTAAGGCCAGCACGCTTTCGAAGATTACCTTTCTTACTCCAGACTCGCTGACCCTCATTCTTTCAACCACATATTGCACCATAACCCAATTGGTCGTATGTCTGCCTTATATTGCCATCCAGGGCTCGCTAACTTCGGTGTCGGTGTTATTAGTATGGCGCCATCCTTGCCCGATCTGCCGGCAGAGCTGCTCCTCCACATCGTGGAGCTGTCTAACGAATCATCCGAGTTCCGTTGCGATGAAGAAGAAACGTGGAAGAATTTGCGCGCCACTCATCCCCAGATTAACGAGAAGATCGTGCTCAGATTTGGCATCAAGTATTTCAGCCAGGTACTCGTCGAACTCCACCGTGATGTACTCTTACGTTTCCGGTGCGTCGTCGATGGACATCTTGGGATGCATGTACGCTCCCTGACCATATGCGCTTCGACTCTCATCAAGGAGGAGAGACTGTATGAATCCTCAGACTCGACGGACGAAGAGTCGAATTCATTGCATACCAGCACAGAATGGGTCAAGTGTCATGAGCCAGTAGCCATGCGTCACGACTTCGATGACACCGCAGCCGAACTAGTCACGGACGGTACTTGTGCGACGCTTCTTGGCGAGATACTGGTACGACTACCCAGCCTGGCTTCTATCACAATCCGGCCACCTGAAGCGCCCCGAGGTATCAAAGCGAAGAAGATTGGAGAGATTCAAGTTCGTTGGGCTATGGCGTTGAAAGCGATTCTGTCCGCCACGTTCCAAAAAGGCCCACTACTGAAAACTCTTGTCGTCGAAGCAGGCTTCCCTTTGGTTACTGTTCCTCTCTCGGCCCTCGACCTTTTCGAGATTCCAACCGATCGATTGGTTTCGCTTCATACATTGGCTATTGAATTGGACATCGATGTCCCGACCAGTAAGCCAGTCATGGCGTGCACGTACGTCGGGACCTTGCTAATCCTGTGTAGATTCGCAAGACTTGCATGCTCAAATACTTGCTCACTTCTTTCGAAACGCTACAGCCTTGACCAAGCTACATATCGCTTGCCATAATTGTTCAGATGCATTTTTCAAAACGCTAGCGACCACAATGCCACCCATGTGTCTCACGACATTGTACATGTCACATGTGAAAACTCGGTACAAGCACTGGGCTGCTTTCCTAAGAGCGTTCAAAGAGACCCTGAGGAGCCTCGTGATGGAACACATCACCTTCACGAAGCCAGGTGAGCACCATTTCGTGATCCATTTCCTCCGAGGTTTGTCCTTGCAGCAATGCTTACTCCGGAATATCTACGTGGGAGGCCAGAAGATCAGATTTACCAGACTGCACAGGTATATGCCGACTACAAAGAGGAAGATACTCAAGGGACCTAATCGCGGACTCACGGATGTGCGCTGGGTTGAAGTCCCCAGAAACTGCCAGAGGCATGAGCTTTCACTCTCTGACGACGACGACCATAGTGTGGCGTATTGGTTGTCAACCTTACTTCAACTTGCTGCGGAAGGTGACTGGTGATCGACCACTCGTGTGTGGTGAAGATGCGGAATAGACTTCGGTCTTCGGGAAAGGTCACAAGGAAAGGCAACATGTCGTCGCGCAGAAGACAACGGGATTATGACCAGGAGTGTTTATTGTTAAGTCAGTATTAATGTTGGCACTGATATGCTATATTTTCGTGTTCCATAATCCCAGCACCTCACTTGCCGCGTTCCATAATTCAAGAGCGTTGTCTGATACCCTATGTATGATCGATGTGCACCGCGTATCGAGCGACGATGCTTCCAATGTGCAAAGCTCCACAATATCGATACTTTCGAAGATAGTGCCTGCAATAGTAATAAGTGTCGTGTCAAGACGCTTGGCTATAATCAAAGCGTCCTGTCTTCCTGGCCTTGTCACAAAACATTCGGGCACATGCACTACACAAGTGTCAAGGGAGAAGATTGATTTGAGTAACGTATTTGACATTTTCTACACTCGAGTAAGGCCGACCAGCACGCATCCCTGCGTCTATTCCGCTGTCAAGAGACTTCCAGAGAACCATCTACCAGACTACTGGAAGCTTCCGCCAGCCCAAGACAGCCCAGGGGCATACAGTGAAGCCCGCCCAGCAAAGGCAGTGGAACGAAAAAGGCTTTTGGCGATAGGTATCGAGAAGAAATAAGTCGGATATAGCGGTCGACGGGTAGCTGGCGCGGAGATTACAATGGTACAGTCTAGGCGCTGATACAGCCCCGAATGACGAGACGGGCACGCGACGACAAGGTTCAGCACGGCATTTGCAGCATCGCCATGAGATCGGGGGTCGGGGGTGCACACTCAAGCGCGAGGGTCAACCAGAGCGGAGACAGAGCTCCAACGGGGTTCAGCAGAACACGCGAACTAGGTGACGAAGATCCGGGGTTGAGAGCAGGCAGCGAGGTCAAGCACGCCACGTACGAGATCGAGGTTGGCGTGATCAGCGTGTAAGCATCTCATCGCATCGCAGAAGTCATTGACGATTACAGCGGTGTCGGGTCCGCATAAGAAGACAGTCGAGAAAAAATCCAGAAAGGTCGGGTATAATCATGCCACGTAAAGCAAGTCCAGACGCGGTCATGCAAGCAAGCAAGCATCAAGCGGCAGCGTTCAGCGGCGGTCTCAGCATCATGTACATGATCACGGACAGGCTAGGCACCAGGAGGGCCAGGTGGTGCACCCCCTTGCTGCTGCTGTTGAGCAAACGATGCGTACCACATCGCCAAGTAGTTCTGGTAGCCGCCGTAAATGGCGTATGGGTCAGCACCAGTTGGGGAACCTGCCGCAGGTGCAGGAGGCTGGCCCTGAGGGGCGGCCTGACCATAGGACTGTGGAGGCTGCTGCTGCTGTGAGTAATTGTTATCCTGGCCACCTTGGTCACGACGTCTTGTGTTGTTCTTTTCCTTCTGCGTCATATTAGCACAGAATTTGAACAGGAAATGAATAAAACTGACCACTTGATCAACCTTGTCCCAAATGGCTTGTTTAGCATCATCAATGGCTTGACGGGTTCCAACAAGACCGATCTCACGTTCGATATCGGCACCAGAAGCTTGTGAGACGTTGATCTTGCAACCAGTCTCTGACTGCATCTGTTTAATAGTCTCACCGCCTGCAGCATGTTAGCCTTCGGAGCAGCCGAAGCTGGTACAAGCCATACCTTTGCCAATGATCATGCCAACAGCATCTGAAGGAACCATGATGCTGTCATTGATCTTGTTGCCGCCACTAGCTCCACCAGCGTAGGGGTCGAATTCACGCTTGTTCTGCTGCTGGTGTTGCGGTTGGTGGTTAGGACCATCCATCTGCTTGGTGTCACTATCGACAATCTCCATGATCAGCTCCTTAGCATGGGCAGCAGCAGCGGGGCTTCCAATGAGGTTTACAGGGCGAAGACCGTTCACGCTCTTGTTTTCACCGACAATGTTGACATGGCAGCCACTGCGCTCTTGCAAGTCACGGATGGTCTCGCCGCCACGACCGATAATTAGACCGACAGTACGATCAGGAACCATGATTTGAGACGACTGTTCACCTTCACGAAGAGCTGGCTGTTGAGCCGCTGCCTTCTGCGGAGCGCGAGCGTTGCGGCCAGTCTCACGAGCAGGGTTGCCACCGTTCTCCTCAATAATTCGGTTGATCTCGCGCTTTGCACTGATACGAGCACTTGGGGGTCCTGTAATGCGACACTGGCGCTGCGGTCCGGCCTCAGGGCCGTTGATAAACTGGATCCTAGTGCCTGACTCTTGTTCAATGCGACGCAGACTCTCACCTTGGCGTCCAATGACAAGACCAACAAGCGAAGAATCAATGAGAATCACCTCGGAGTTATCATTAGGGGGCGTGGCACGGTCATTTCCGCCATACTGTTGGCGGGGTGGTGAAAACGTGTTACGTCTAGAAGGGGAACGAGAGCGCTCACGACCATAGCCGGCAGGCGCGCCACGACGCTCGTCGCGGCGCTCGTCTCGGTAAGGGTTGTAGCTATCACGGGGGTTGTCTCGACGCTGAGGAGACCTCGAGCGCGATCGCGAGCGTCGGTAAGGGCGTCCGCTTAGTCGCGGATCCTCCTGATGAGCTGGCATGGCATAAGCCTGCGGAGGTCCGCCCATACCGGACCACTGGTTCTCCATTCCCGGACGCGCATCAAAGGCAAGCCCTTTCTGGGCTGCAAAGCCTCGCGCTTTCGCTAGCGCATCCTGAATGCTGACGGAGCCAGAACTGACGGGTTTGATTGCGCTAAGATCGAGGCTGCCGGAGCTGGTGGGCTGTGGGAAGTTGAAGCCAGGGATCTGGGGCGGCGTCGCGGAGGGCATCGCACCAGGGAAGCCTGCAGGGAGACCTGGGGGCGGGGGCTGGTGTGGAATTTGCTGTTGCGGCGTCTGCGATGGGGTAGTAGATGGGCCGCGTCCAGCAGCTTTTTGAGTGGTCAGCGTGTGCCTGCACAGAGAGGTAAAGTCTGCTTACCGAGAGCCGCCAGGATGGCATTCAGATCTGGGGGAGGTGCTGCCATGGCCTCGTGTTGATGTCGCAGAGATGTAATCTGGTTTTAAACTTGGTCGCGCGTACTCTGACAGTAATAGAGGAAGAGAACAGTAGCACTGCGATGGGCTTGGCTGCGCAGTGGTGAGGTTGTGATGCGACCGTGTTGGACGCGAGTGGAAAAGAGAAAGAGTCGAGGGTTGATGCGCTAAACTTTACCTAATCCTGGCTAGCGGCATCTGGCACGTGTGATCACTCACCTCACCACTCGCACGAGCATTGAGAGTGAACGCGGTTCGGCATCACACTTCGAAGGCTCTAGCAAAGTTTAGTGTCTGCGCTTCTATTGATACATTAACACTATGATGCTGTGGCACGGTTTCTCAATGAGTTGTAAGGATGTCTTGGTATCCAATCTCCCAAGTGCCACAAACCTCGGTCCCGTGTAAAGACCGTCCAACAAGCGAGCACAAGCTGATACAAAATGCAAAGACAAGTCGATTGATCGATCCGTGGGTATACATTGAGATACGAGCTAGTCGTAGTTGAGCTGCCAAAGCATGTGTGCTGAAAACGAAACGCCCGCTCTTAAGGAGTCTCGGCGACTGAGGCGAACATGGACACATTGAATCGAATTAAGGCGCGTTCGACGCGACAAGACAGCTCGCAGTTAGATCTGATGGCGCCGATGTGCTATATGCAGGTCAAACCAAACGCCTGCAATGACAAATCACAAATCAGATGCTGAGATTACCTCATCATCTGGGAAATATTGTTCCACTTCTGCTTGAGGGTTTCGTGTTCTTCGTTGATCTAAAACAAGTCAGCAATGCATGGCTTTCTCAACTGTGTAGACTTACTGTTGCCCATTTCATCTTGGTATCCACTAGCTCCTGCTCCATTTCGGCCATCTGCTCTTCAAGAGCCCGATTCTCGTTGTGAACGACGATATTTTTGTGCATGACAGTTTCCATCTCATGTTTCAGCCTCTTTTCGACCTCATCAGGCTGAGTGTCTACGATTTTCTGAAGCTCCTCCACTTTCGTCTTCAGAGTCTCATTCTCCTCAGCAAACTGCTCGTTCTCAACCTTAGTCTTGATAAGGTCCGACGCCATCTCGACATGCTCCCTATCCGACTGCTCGGCGCGGTTTTCCAATGACCTGACCTTGGTCTCCAGTGTGGCTGTCCTCTCTTTCAGACATTGCAGTTCAGTCTCGCGGTCTTTCTCTACCCGCTGTTGCTCTTTCCATTCAGCGGTATACTGCTTGAGCATCTCCGGTGTAACCTGGACTGCTACAGCGTCCTTGACCAGCTGGTCTGCGCGGTAGATTTCTTTGTCGACCCCACTTGTTGAGCCAAAGAAACCATTCTCGAGGATGGAGTTGGCTGAGGGGGCTTTGTCGATGTAAACGTCAAACAGCTTCTCCTTCAAGAAGTTTGTCAAAGTCGACATGTCCTTCATTCCTAGCAATGTCTCGGCGTTCTTTTGCATCAGTACAAGACCAAACTTCAGAATCGCAGCTTCGAGACCGTCAGAGAAGATCAAGTCATACACGCGGACGACGAGCTGCAGCGGAAACCGGTACGCGAAAAGGGTAAGGAACCACTGTGTAGCGTAAAGCTGAGGCTTGACCTCTCGGCGGCGTAGATGACAGTAAAGAGCAGGCTCGAAATCTTCCAATAACCGCTCGAACTGGTACAAGTGCAGGTGAAGACCAGCCATGTCCGCGACGAAGAGATCGCGCAGACTGTACTTGTTCATCAGGGTGACGAACATGCTGAATGCTTCTTCTTCTGGCATATTAAACAGTAGCGGCATAGCAATGAAGTTCATACCCTGAGCATATCCCACGGCTTCGTCGTAGAGAGCGTACGCTTTGCAGATCCCGAAAAGGCCGTCTTGTAACCCGGCTGCCATGAGGTACTTCGAATAGCTCGTGCGTGCACCAAGGTCACGCTTGATAGTCCTTTCCAACTTGAGGATTGCTGCAGTCTTGTCTTTTTTATCAGCGGCCACTTTAGCCTGAAGCTTGATGGGATCCTCGGTAGTTTCTGAAGAGATTGATGGTGACTTCAGGGGGGCGTTTGCGCTGCCAGTGGTAGTAGCTGGAGTTGAACAGTCCGATTGAATTGAGGATGCGGACGATGCAACGGAATCTCTCTCCTTGCCGTTGCCGTTCATTTGCGAATGGCCCTGAACCGACATGTGCTCTTTGTCTGTCCCTCGCGCAACAAGCTCCCTGTATTGTTGCTCTAGTGCTTCGTTCTTGCTTTGCGCCAGAACCTGCCAAATCACACCACGGATGACCTGGGGAATGCCGTTGGCGACAGCGCGGTTCAGTTCTTCGGGACTTGTTTGTGCAATGACGGTGGGGCCCTCGTTCACGACGGACTGCCACAGGTCCCAATCAACAGCTTCTGCTTCCCCCACTGATGGTCCAGTCGCGAATCCAGCCGCGGTCCCTGGCGCCAGTGCGAGGTTGACGGTTGACTGTCGGGCAACCGCTCCAGAACCAGGGCTTGTCACAGCCTCTTTCTCAACCACACTTCCAGGACTTGCTATTCCAAGACCTCCCTCGCTGGTCATCTCCTCGCTTATCGTAATTCCAGCCTCTTCCCTCATTCTCAGTGCCTTGAAACGGTCACGTAGACTCCCCTGGCTCGACCGGTTGTTGCCTTTCAACTCATCTTCATCGTCAATTTTGCTCAGGGTGAGCTCGGGGTTGCTACCGAGCGATTGGATTGATGCGTTCGTGTTTCGGCGATCGCTAAGAGGCAGGGGAGGGGATCCGGGTTTTTTGCTCGAACTGTTTCGTGAAAGCCATGCGAAGGGGCTGGTGAGTTTCCTGGTAACAGGGGCTGGGGGCGGGGGAAGCTTCTCCTGAACTACCGGGGGAGGTGGCGGGGGTGGAAATTTGACAGGAGACATCTGTCCAGAGAGGCCCTGCAGCCCACTTGCAGAAGCTGTCGAGTCTCTCGAATCTCGTAGGGGCAGCTGAGGTAGCTCCTTGGTGCCCTCTGTCGCAGGTCAGCCGAGTTCAGCTCTGCAACACGATAGGTATACTAGCCTTCTTCGAGCGACACATCATCCATATCTGATGTCACTGATATTCTGTGTGCCGTGAGCAAGGGCGACTTGGCAGGTAGTGCGTCTTCGGTGGATGTCTCGGTAGCCTCCACTTCGCCCTTGGTGTGCTGTGCCTCATCATCGACCTGCGTTGACACTTCCGGTACTTCGAGCGTAGGTGATCCGACCTTTGGCGATTGGATTGCAGGTTGGCTTGACTCGCGCTTGCTTATAAGGGATCGTGATCGTGATTGTGAGCGTTCTGAGTGTGATTCTGGGCGAGGGGTAATCTCAGAGGCATCCTCGAAGCTGTCCTGTCACGACGCACATATGTTAGCTCAAGCCCTTGGAAGCTACCTGCTTGCATTCCACGGATCCCACTCACTCTTCCCCTATCAGAACTGTGTGCGCTTGTGGGCCTCTCGGGCTTCTTGTCCTCTTCCATGTTGCCAGGGTCGCGTAGAGCCAGATGTCAAGTCGAAAGAAGGCGCACTTGGTGCAGCAGGTCGAAGGGTCGAAAGGTGTTGCAAAATAGGAATTAAGGTATGGCGGAGAGCAGGTGTACAGCCCTTGCAGTGCTCGTCACGCACGTTTGGCAGTGATGTCGAAGTGAATGGTCGAGAGGAGCTGGAATTAAAGATCGGTGGATCCCTACTCCCTAGTCGGGGCCTCGACTAGCGCAGCGGGTCAGCCACACCTTCCTAAATATATCCAACGGTCATCCACCAAAGGGACTTATAAATCGCCGTTGGGCTCAGCAACGGCTAAGGGCGCTGGATGTCTATTCCATTAGAGGATGTGGTGGCGCACGAGCTCAATTCACGAAATGCAGGTCACCAGCTGCCTTCAGGTTCGGTGGGGTAAGCGGCTCAACATTGCGGTCAACGTGAAACACGTATGTACCTAGCTGGGCCCGGCCGGACTACGGATCACCCTATACACCTGTGTACTATGTACATAGCCGTAATACCTACCTAGTCTACCTACGTTGCGCTTTTACATTTGCGACGAATTATTTGATTTTGCTGCTGCTTGTTTTAGGGCATTCCACCGCGATTGAGCGCTTCACTCTGGTTTGAAGAGCGCTGCATTGCATTGGAACGACGTTCTGCATCGTGCCGACGGCCAAGCAAGGGAGCCTGCACGTCATTTGCGGAATTTAGATTGCTTTATCAGACGGGCTACATAGTTGTTATCGTTGCCTGTAGTGTGGGGTCCTTTTCTGCTTTGAACCATATGCGAGGGTGTGAACCCAAAACAATGATGAGAATGCATACTGAAGGCGACATTCAGGTGGCAAACGATCTACTGCTGAAGATAGAGCGCAGCGAGCCTTGCTGCTCAACACACGCTTTGCAGGGTTTCTCTCGAGCATTTTCGTAGCTGCGATGCGAAAGTATTCACGTCAAAATTTCGTTCGCAAACGTACTGTGCCATTGACATTGAACCCAAAATTAGTGGATATCGATAAAGTGATTAAGATAATTGAACGTGTGACTATCGCGCTCTGTAATGTCAAGAGTTTAGGAAAAGAGTCGCACAGACTACTTGGGGTATTTCAACGCTGCGTTCGAGCAAGCAGGGCTGGTGGTAGTATTCAAGACAATGTGCGCCATCGCTATGCAATTCGTAGCTTCGTGATCAGTACCTGTGAAGGCGTGGTGGTATCCTGTAAGTAAACGCCCCCCAATGCCGTGGCCAGGCAGTTCCCTAATGAAGGTGACCCAAAAGACTGGGTGAAATCCAAGAACGAAATATGGAAAAGGGTATAAGAGCAAAGGAAAGGCCGACGAGTGGTGGGAAAGCATCAGCGCTCGTGTAGATCATCGCTGAAGCCATCCAGCGCCTCACAGAGAGCGATCCAAAATCCACGTCTCATGGGCGGCGCAGGCTGTGCAGGCTTGCGAGCAGGAACGAGCTTCTTACGTTCATCGGTCTGTGTGCCGGACTCGACCATTGCTGGTCTGAGTGGTGTGGTGGCCTTGGGGTTGTATGCCTCGACGTCGTCGACTGCAGTATCCATGGACTCCCAGCTGCTGCCAACATCTCTAGAGCCCGACTTAGAGGGAGAAATGTCCAGTGATTCTTGCATGTTCTGCTTCACTGCGTTCGCATTCTTTCGCAACCCGTCGATAATGGCGAGTTGGATCTCGTTCAAAGCTTTTGCTTCCTCGAAGCGCCGTTTCAGGTCCGCGGTGTAGATTTGTACATCGTTGATATACTTCCCGACCTGGGCCATATAGTTACTGTTATCTTCGATGACGTGCGCCGTGGGCTTGGGGCTTGCAGGACGCGGTGAATCTCCACCAGAAAACAGATCGTCGGCGCCCTTCTTCGTCTGCGCATCCGGGGCAGCAAGGAAGGAGGTCATGTTCTCGAACTGTCCAACAATGTACTCCATCTGATCGTCGGTGAGCTCGCGCTCCGCCGTGAGGTTTTCAAAGTGCGCGATACATGATGAGAGGGCGCTCTGCACAGGTGAAGCCGATGAACGCGATCCGGTATCCCATGGAATCGGCGATAGCGAGCCCTCTGTGCTTGGGTGTAATATACGCGAGCTCTCGGGCGTGTACGGATAGCGCAACGCGCCAGGCGCGTGTTCCAGCAGACTGGAGGTTTTCGTTGGTGTGTACGGCGCAGGCTCGGTGACTGTGTGGTGAGGCTTCGGCCTGGAGATGCTGAGCGGCTCGTTGGATGTATCGCATCGTTTGCTCTTCCTGCCAGGGGAGCCGGACCGCGGCTGTCGAAGCGGCCAACGGTGTTCGTCCATGTCTGATGCGCAGCTCGATGCTCGTCGGAAGGGGTCTGAAAAATAGGCGGATTCAGGGCTGCCACGCGCTTCGGTCTCGGGCGGCGTCCACGGTCGTACGGAATGCGTCGGTGGGGAGTCCATGGCGCGGCTGTAAGTCGAGGGGTCTTGTGGTCCAAAAACGGGGTGCGTGCGCGTTTATATGCGCCGGGCGATTATGCGCGAGAAAAGGTTGCAGTGCGCGCAGTGCGGGACGGTGAAGGACATGCGACAAACGCGCAAGTGCTGCGAAGATGGTTGGCGACTGTGACGTCTCGGGCGCTGCGACACGCTCTAGTGGTCTGGCTAACAAAGCCATTGGCTGGCCGCTGGGGGGTGGCTGCGAGCGGGGCAGTCTTGTTCGAAAATCACTGTGAGGGCGGACCAACGAGGAGCCCGATTGGCTCGTCGATAAGGCTGGAGATCACCGTCGTGGGTCTGAATAGGAAGAGCCTCGACATTGTCTGACTCTGACTGACTCTGACATTGACTCCGGAGCTCCCTCTACACAACCAGCAGTATAGCATAGCTGCATTTGCTGCACCTGCAAAACATGGCGCAACAGGTACGTAGCATCGCGGCCCGCCACGTTTAGCGGCACAAGAGCTGAGCGCATGACCACAATAGCTAGGCGTTCAGCCATCTCTCGACACGGTGCGGGAGGTGTTGGCTGCGGCAGTCAACTCTCCGAACCCGCCCAACCTCGTCCCCGTCTTTTCCTCAATCTCCGCCGAGTTCCTGACGCCGTCGAGCATATACCTCAAAGTCTCCGCGAAGTGAGTGCGTGACTCATTTGGTGCGCTTCAGCTAGGGTTGACACGGCGGCAGGTCGAAGTCTAAGCTCTCATTCCTGTTCGAGAGCGCAGCAACGACAGAGACTATTGGGCGATACAGTTTCGTTGGTGCAGACCCTCGTAAGGTTATCAAAACCGGCCCCGGCCATGGCGAAGAGACGGACCCTCTGCCCAATCTCGAGAAGGAGCTCGCGAAGAGCAGAGTCGCAACCATTCCCTCGATACAGCTTCCTCCCATGACTGGTGGTGCTGTTGGTTATGTTGGATACGACTGCGTCAAGTACTTCGAGCCCAAGACACGGCGCGATGATGTGAAGGACATTCTGGAAGTTCCGGAGAGTCTTTTCATGCTCTTTGATACAATTGTGGCACTTGACCACTTCGCACAGGTCGTGAAGGTCATCACCTACGTCAAGGTTCCGGATAGCCTCGACGACCTGGAGCAGGCTTACGAAGAGGCGAAGGCCACATTGAAGAGATACGTGACGATACTCAAGGACAAAGAAGTGCCGATGCCTGAACAGGGCCCGATTACTCTGGGCAACGAATACAAGTCGAACATCGGTCAGGAAGGGTACGAGGGTCACGTTAAAGAGCTCAAGAAGCACATCAGCGTAGGCGACATTATCCAGGCTGTTCCTTCACAGCGTTTCGCACGACCCACCTCGCTGCATCCATTCAACATTTACAGGAACCTGCGTAATGTCAACCCATCGCCCTATCTCTTCTTCGTAGACTGCGAGGATTTTCAGATTGTTGGCGCCAGTCCCGAATTGCTGGTAAAGGAAGAACAGGGCAGAATCATCACACACCCCATTGCCGGGACTGTCAAGAGGGGAAAGACTCTGCAGGAGGATGCAGCCCTGGCCGAAGAGCTCTCTACCTCACTGAAGGACCGAGCTGAGCATGTTGGTTTAACCATTCTACGTCAAGCTCAAAGTTGACTGATTTCACAGGTGATGTTGGTGGACCTCGCGCGGAATGACGTAAATCGCGTCTGCGACCCACTCTCCACTCGCGTGGACAAGCTGATGGTCGTGCAAAAGGTTGGACCACCAATTTCGTCATCGCATTCGTGCGCATTGCGACCTCATCGGAAGCAATTTGCTAATCCATACAGTTTTCGCATGTGCAGCATCTAGTCTCCGAGGTCTCAGGCGTGCTGCGACCTGGCAAAACACGATTCGATGCGTTCCGATCTATTTTCCCTGCAGGTACGTCAAGTGCTCCATAACATGGTCTGATATTGAAACGCAAACCAGGGACTGTGAGTGGCGCGCCCAAGGTGCGAGCGATGGAATTGATTGCAGAGTTGGAGAAAGAGAAGCGTGGTGTCTATGCTGGCGCTGTGGGGTACTTCGGCTACGGCAGCGTCGATGGTGATAAGCAGATCGAGGGTGCTATGGACGTGAGTTGGCCCCTGAGGTGCACGGTTGTACCATGACTGATCTTCCACAGACGTGCATCGCGCTACGGACCATGCTTGTCAAAGATGGTATCGCGTATCTCCAAGCTGGGGTAAGTTCGAGAAATTCTTGCTGCTCACACTCTCGCTGACCATTGGCCAAGGGAGGAATTGTGTTCGATTCAGATCCATACGATGAGTGGATGGAGACGATCAATAAACTAGGTACGTTCGCTCCTGCTTCACCGTCAAACTGCCCCGTCAAATCGCCGTGTGCTAATCGCAGTCTGGCATGTAGGTGCGAATACACACTGCATCACTTCAGCTGAGGAGAAGCATCTGGCCGAGCAAAATGAAGACAGTGTCGACGCAGACACGCCGCAATCGCTTGAGGGTGATGCGAAGCCACGCATCAGTGTGGCTGCGTAGATAGCGAACGCTTGACTGCGCCACACGAGGCTGGCGACTGCAGGGAGGGGCTGGCGATGCCAGCTCAGATGCACAGGGTCTGGCCCACAATCGAAGCCATCTCCGTCCAGGTTTGATTAGACGAGATGGCTACCAGATTATCGTCGGTGGTCACAGAAGGTCCAGAGGCTACGAGACGTCACATCGATAGGCGCTCCTTGATCAAACAAGGTTCGATGGTAATTTCACAATTTATCCTGCCGCCGAAGTTTGCAAAGCAAGATTATCCAACCGTACAGGGGCGACTCGTTCTGACCGTGACACGGCGTCTTGAATCGACGGTGTTGCAGCAGGTTCAACGTGATGTTGGTGTGGCAGGTTACTTGGACAACAAGCCTTGATCGTGAGCTGTACATGCAGGTCGAGCTCATCTGTGCACGGCACTGCAAGCAAGGCCGTTTGGCGACATCATAAAACTGGATAGTTAGCGCAGCTAACCCCAAGCAGATCTGGGCTCGGCAAGCTCGATCCATTGGCCAATCAACGCGTGCTTCGTGAATCCTGTTCCTTTGTCCAAGATGATCGTGCCTGCCACATCCCTGCATGATCCGAGTAAGGCGCGGCTGCTCCGTCACCGCACCAGCCATTGTAATTGCGGAGCGACCAGCCGGGCAAGCTAACAGGGTAGGAGCTTCACTCACTTACCAGCCACGACCTTCGCACCGTTTGCAGGCCTCAGAAGGATAAAGCCTGCTCCTCCCTCTCGTCCAAGGTTCTTTACTCACTCATCTTCAACCAAGCATCCCACAGGACTAGCATCTCTTCTTCTTCACAACACCTTTCCCTGCAAGCCTAGCAACCTTTGCTCCTACCCGTCACCACCGTCAAGATGAAGCAGTCCATGATCCTCCTCGCTGCCGTTGCTGGCGCTGTCACCGCCCAGAACCTCGGTTCTTGCGCAGTACGTGTTTGCTCTAGCTACCATTGTCGCAAACAATGCTAACCTCTTCCAGCAAATGTGTGTCAACAACATGAACCTGATCGCCAACACTGAGTTCAGCTGCGCCGCCGGCGACACTGCCTGCTTCTGCTCGCAGTCCAACTGGGCCTACGGTGTCCGCGACTGCTCTCGCCAGGCTTGCTCTGGTGAGGAGTCCGCTCAGGCTGTTAGCTACGCTGCCGGTCTCTGCCAGGGTAAGTTCACTTTATAACAATGCCTCCAAACTGTTCCTAACCCCACGCCAGGTGTCGCCTCTTCCATCACTGACGGAGCCTCTGCCTCTCCTTCCGCGGCCCTGTCCATCCTGAACCCGGCTCTGTCCAGCGCTTCAGGTGTCACTGGTACCGCATCAGGTGAGGCTACTGCCACCGGCAGCGCTTCCCAGTCCGCTATTACTACCGTGCCCCTTGTTGCTACCGTCACCAACTCTGACGGCAGTGTCCAAACCACTACCTCTGGTTTCAGCACTGTTTACAGCTCAGGAGCACTAACAGAGTCTGCAGCAAGCGCGGCCTCAAGCGCAGCTTCCTCGATCGCTTCCGAGCTCAGCTCCGGTTTGTCTTCGATCGCTGAGTCTGCCTCGTCTGCTCTTGCATCTGCCACAGAGTCCTTGGGCTCTGCTGCTTCCTCTGCCACCGATGCTGCTGGCTCTGCCCTGTCTTCTGCCACTGGAGCCATCGGCTCTGCCGCCTCTTCTGCTACCGGCGCTGCTGGCTCTGCCGCTTCCAGCGTTGTTCCTGGTGCCGCCGCCAGGATCACCGGTGTCCCCGTCGCTGCTGGCTTCGCTGCTGCCGCCTGGCTCCTCATCTAAGCGCCTCACGCTGTCCAAGGTCCTACCTCAACGGAGTAATGTGCATAATGGATAGAGGTGGAACGGTAATACGAGGAGGGCTTGGATATATCGCCGTGTACTCGGTGATGGATTGAATACATACCCTGGTATTCGATTCGAGTCGCAGGACTCGGTTTTTTACGACACGTACACGATGGCTTGATGACTACGACTCATTATGCCTATGACTCTTTCATGTATTCGCGCTTTGGCGCTTTGATACCCTCACACTCGGCCTGGGGGCAAGCGATCCGGTGTTCGGACGCTGGTAGATAGCAAATACCTTAATTCAAAGAAATTCAATAATCAACTCACCATGAAAGTTACTTGAACCTCGTCTCAACTGATCTCCTTCAACGCCCTCACAATGCTTGCGTTCCCACATGTAGTGGACGGTCCTTGACCATTGGCGCAGAACAGTCGTACCGCCTGTGTCGCAAAGTCTGCATGCGGTACCCACGACCTGCAGTGGCGCCTTGTGGAAGCCACGTTGAGCGGCTAGACGTTGTGTTACAGAGCACGAGCGCTCCGAGACATTTGCGCCGCAGAACTTGCAGAATAGCTAAGATGAAAACTTTTGTGGTTTCACAGATGATGTATCGCTGTGAAGAGACTTGGAGCAGTGAGGTTGACATAAACCTCCTCAGCCACAATACGAGCATCACTTCGGATCCACATGGCTGCTCACAGGTCCGTCCCAGTCCGTCCCGGCCCGCTGCGGATGTCCGTTCACTCACCCTGGAAAACGAGTCTCTGGGATGCATGCTGCGGCCATACTGTGGCTGATGAGCCGTGCATAGCGGTCCAGGATGCAAGGAGGTTGGGAACGGTGCTGGAAACTGCGGGGTCTCGCGTGTGCAGTGCGTGTTGAGGCGTTGGTGCGTATGCAAGGCGGTGGGTTCGCCTGCCTCGTGAGTTCTCGTGCGCTGATGCAAGGGCACGTCTCATTTTGTTCTTTTCTCGAACACTAGTTCCTGAGCTGACTACACGGGATTCTCGTCTTGTTATTGTTCAACGAGATGCTGTGTTCGGTTTGTTGACATGATGCTAGTGCAGGGATGGCTCGCGTCAGTAGGCCTCAGCCGCAAGGCCGAATTGCTGCCTGTTGGGCGCCTGATTGCTGCCTACATCACCGGAGCTCCTCGAAGTTTGGCATATTTAACAAAAGTAACTAACTATCGCTCGAACCTTCTATCATCTCCTCATCAACCATCTCAACCTCGATCTTTCATTCACTTCTCACCATATAAGCCCAGCCTTAGTCCTTCACTTACGTAGTTGGATCGCGTTCTTGGCACGTCTGTGATTTTCAGCCCAGTTCCATCGAACACTGCCACTTACTTGCACCTATTATCTATGCGTAGAGAAGTACCACTGGTAACCATGGCCGAGAAAAGGGTTAAGGAGTCCTTTCAGCCAACGCAGCCGGATGTGACTGAACATCAGCGGAGTGACAATATTGCCGGTTTTGCAAAACACCTTCATGCAACTGCCAACAGTGTCGCGCAGGCTTTGCTCCCTGTCATTCACCTGTGTAGCGTTCCATCTGTTACTCAAGCCACAAGAGAGTTACTGCAGAAGACGTTCGCTCTTGCTGCAATCTTGTCGACTCTCGTCGAAGACCTAGCGCTAGAACGTGTGTCGAGGGGTAAGAGTCAAGACAAGGACATGTGGACCACCGCGCATTATATCAATGTCTTGCAGTCCATGAGTCAATGTGATTGTGTCTTTGAAGCCATCTCCCGTGCGGTGCGAACAGCAGACGAAGACTTTCACGTGAAAGTATCGGGCGCAGAGAAAATTCATGACTTCGTTCTGAGTGACGAACGTCAGGAGCTGGATATGATTGATCGCTGCTTCTACCACATGGCTCAAACAAGACTGATAGTGAGGCACACAGTTCTGACTCGAGTTCAAAATCCGTAAGTCAAGCTTGGAATTCTTCATCAGCCGAACCAGAACTAATTTCGTGAACAGTAATGATGAGGAGATCCAGAACACCTTCCTTCTCACGAAAGCACTTCAGCAACAGGATCCAGATGCGCTTAGAAACGAGCCACTCGAAACTAAGCAACTAAGTGCAACCTCAACGGCGACACCACCGAATGCTACACCCGCGGCCAGTCCTCCTCAAGTCGACCTTGAGCCGAATTCACAGAACTTGACCCTGTAAGTCAATATCTTATATCAGCCAAGAAGACCATCTAACTTGTCTTCAACAGAGCCGACCATTCCAAATCCGTCCAAGCTTTCAGCAGTGCTCAGCATCTCACATATATTGCTGCGTCAGCGCGAGAAAACAAGCACGGCCAAAATACTGACACGCGTTACGTCGATCCGCCTATGGCACTGCATGGTTCAACCTCGAAAGAGACAGCAGGATCTACTGAGGCCAACAGGCCAACGGATAACACGCCGAAAGCAGAACCGGGATCTGTGACATTCGGGCAGCCCAGTATCATCAAGCCTCTTTATTCCGCGAACCCGCTTTTCGGAAGGAACACTTCGAAGGACCCGATATCTACCTGCAAGTCGTCAGGCTTCAACTTCAACACAGTCACACCCATACCACATTTGGAGGCTTACATCGTTCGTCCAATGATGCAATCTACCGATGCTGCCTGCACATTGTCCTTTGGAATTGAGTCTTTGCGGATCAGCGAACATGCCTTGCAAGCCAAGGTGCAAAATCTAGGGCCGGATTACTCTATAATGGACGAACTCCTCGACTTGCAGCCCCAGATGTTGAATCTGATACAGTCTCGCACAGCACAACGTCAAGGAAACATAGTTTCTGTAGAATATGGAAAATCTGTCGAACTCACTACGTTGATAGGATCCCTGCAGTTCAAGCCTGCAGTATTCATCATCTCAACAACGACAGTACTTCCGCAGAACCCTCTCCCGAATCCAACTCCGACGTGTACACCTTCGAAGTTCGAGTCAAAGCAGAATGGAAATCCAAGTCTCTTTGATAAGGTTGCACCAGCGTTCGGGTTTGCATCCACCAACCTCAGCCCAGCGACAGTTTCTAGACACCACCCATCTGCAGCGGAAGCGTACTCGACACGCCTACAGGAACAAGGAGAGTCATGTACGCATGTGGAAAGCTCTGAGGGTATGGGTCTTGCTCATTACCAGACCATGACGACAAACAAGAGCTGGCACGACAAGGACCGTTCGCTCGAAGAGATTCGGCTTGCTGATTACGAAGCTGGACGTGATAGACCCATGAAGACTAACGGTATATCGTACCCCTGGGATGCCGCCCCAGCTCGATTTGCACCACCAACCAAAGTCGAGTTCTCCAAAACCGGGTGGTTCCCCGTCAACATAGTCGCCTCAAACCCTGGCTATGGTTTTGCGCCTGCAGCATCGAAGGTCGAGAAGTCGACACAGAATGGCAAAGCCTCACCCTACCTTCCATCCGACATGGCTCCTTCCAAACCTAGCTCGTTCCAGGAGTTGTGGCCAGCTCTGCCACCATTTGTGCCGCCACAGAGCGACAAATCTTCCTCTAAACTTCCATCGGGCATGGCTACTTCTGGACCCGGCCTATTCCAGAGGTTGGGCGGCCCACCGTCTGTGCCACCAAGGGAGCCGTTCTCAAACACAGTCTGCACACTCCAGCATCAACATGGTCTTTTCTGTCGTACCTCAACATCGCAGGGTAAGACGTCTGCTTCTACTACAGCAGATACAATGCCTTCGCCATTCGCCTCTCTTGCAACAGTAACTCCAAAACAATGTCACTTTGACAGCGCAGCGACGAATCAAACGGCCAAATCCCCCTTTGCGAAGCGCCCAGATATTCCAAACATCCAGTTTGGGGGATCAGCACCTGTTCCCTCTGGCGCCAGCATGTTTCCGAACAACAACGATGCAAATAGCAACATCAAGCATCCCAGCGGCCGACCTACCGGATGCTCCTCCTGTAGCCCTACACCATCTTGTGCTTTGTTCGGAGGGAACACAAGCCAGCCAGTCACTCAGCAACGCAGCCTCTTTGAGACCTCAGGAACGGCACCTGCTTCTCCACCGCGACAGGCTTTGTTCGGAGGCACCACAGGCCAGCCAATCACTCAGCAACGCGCTCTCTTCGAGAACTCGACAACAGCACCTGCTCCTCCGCCATTTGGCGGTATGGCTGCAAAATCCGGCCCAGCGGGACCACCTGCATAATTATGGAAGGTAGTTGAGGAGACTTGGGGCCGAGATAGGGCGGCAATGACGGCTAAGGTGGCGGTTGAAAGCGGTCCGTCCGACGGTGCGCGCGAGGTGTTGCTAGTCCGCAGGACAGACTGCAGCTGAGGTGAATCAGAGTGATATCAATCTATCGAAAGAGCAGGCGCCAGTTGAGGTACTCGTTGGGTACTGGAGGGAGAGAATGATGAGACCGTTTCACTCTTTTATCTGATAACTAGGAGGGAAATAGTTCACATTAGCAGAATTTCTATCGAATCGATCTCATGCCGCCGTGACCGCAAAGCTTACTTATGCAAGACAGACTGTTCGACGGTTCCGCATCACACTGACTTTCCAGTCACATAAGGCCAAATCCCTGTTCTCCAGCTTCCTAAGAGATGAACACATATATGTAAAAAGAATGAAACTTACATACGACAAACCAGTGTCAGCTACGTGAAGAAAGTGACAAAATGTACTAGTCCCGATTTAGCTACGACAACACACGTGCCGCATATGGCGCCCACTCACACCAGACAAAATTCCAACCGGGCAAAAGCAGCAAAAAAAGAGTTTACATACAACAGTGGGGATTCCCCAGTGGTCACCCACCTGAGTACTAATCCACCGGTACGTTGCTTAAATAGGGCTGAGCGAACGGGAAGCCTTGTTTTCAACGTCCTATGGTCGTATGTGAAAGATCAGGTACGTTACCCAAATATAAAGCACATCTAAAAAAAAAACATCAGTACGCCTGCAGACCTGGGCGATCAAAATGCTAAGGTAGTGGAGCCGACAAACGCCTCTCACGGATTATCCGGTCGGGGACTGACGTGATCGATTCTTGCTTGTAGAGCTGCCAGCCTCAGCGCTTCAGCTACAGCGACTTTTCGGTGAGACTCGGTGTGTTCTCAAATGAGTGGAAGAAGTTTTCGAACTAATACTGTACCCGTACAGATATCACCGTACCGGACTCGAGGTGATCCGCCACTCATCGACGCAAGTCTGCCTGACGTGGCACGCTACTATCATCACTTCTGCAGGATGGGTTTGCCCCGGTGATCTAGGGAAGCATGGAGTGACGTGAAAGTAGGCAACCTTCCTTGGGTTTCTGGAAGCCACGAATCATGGACAACGAACTTGTGAGGCTCCAAGAAGGTGCCAATGTGTCTAGTGCAGATCCCTTCACGAAAACAAACATCTGCTGATCTCGACATTCGGCATTGCCTACAGATGGGAGCAATCATACCTGAATGATCGTCATGTGGCTCTCTGCCACCAGCTTTACACTACAATGTAGCAAAGGGGTCGTATAACCCCGGCCCTAGTTCAGGTTCTAGGTGCACGCGTGATGCACGATGTCGAGATGTTTCTCTTGTCAGGTTGCTGACCTGTGCCACAAGACTCCCGCGAAGCCGGATCGACATTGTCAAGAAGATCAATGTGTTATTTGTAGTCTAAGGAGTTTGAGTGGAACACGCTCCGGTGATGAGTAGACCATCCTATCGTAGCGCTGGTAGAGTGAGACAAAATAGATTGCTACTCACATGGCTGCGGCTAGTGGACGAACTTCTTTAGCACGATCGAATGAACGTTTACGATGACTTGCACTTGGTGTTGAAAGGCATATTGAACAAATCCGAGATTCCATTGAGGCGTAGCGGTCGTGACGGTCGTACAGAAACATGCAAGTAAAGAACTAAATATGACAAGTTGGGTATAAGATGCAAAGAACAAGCAACGACAGGGTAACACAGCAGTGTGCTCCCGAGTCCGAATCCGCCACCATTCCCATTAGGAGGAAGTCCGATGGACAATCCCTTGTGATGTCCACAACACCTTGTAAAAAGCAACGATTCGACTTCTGAGACACCATCGTCATGGTTCTCAAGTCGAAGCTTGTAGAGCAGCGACCAGCACATCGATACCTGCCGCGTGGCTCGCCGCGCCGGAGCCATCCGAGCCACCCTGCCAGCGATCTCTAATGACACCATCGCCATTCTTAGCGTTTGCCAGTGCCGAATCGGCGTTCTTCTTCAGGAAATCAGTGAAGGTCTGCTGGCCCTCGTTCTCATTGAGGGTAGACAGGCCTCTGACGTATGGTCCCTTGAACATGGCGCCCTGCTCATCCAGAGGGTGGTTGACTGGCTCGGTCAGAATACCGTTGTCGCTCAGTCTGCTCATCGAGGTGCTAGCGAGCTCGTTGGCGTGGGCGATGAGTCCACCATCGCTCTTTGCTTTGGCCAGTTCAGAGAGACCGGTAAGTACGACACCTTGGTTGTAGGTGAACGTTGTTTTCCCGTCGTTTTGGCAAGTAATGTTGTCGACGCCGTCGTTGATGAGACCGTCACGGATGACTCCAGAGTTCCAGAACCAGTCCCATTCCATCTGCGCCCAGTCTTGGTAGTGGGATTTTTCCTCAGCCGAAACACGGTTAGCTAGTGATGCGCCGACCGCAAGGAAGAGCTCATTGGAGATAGAGGCGATGGACGTCTTCGGTTTGTTCCACCAGATGCCACCTTTACATGGCGTGGTCCAACCGCCGGTCATGTCTTCAAAGAGATCTTTCGCGGTGTTGAGGTATTTCTGATCGCCAGTCAAGTCAAACGAGGCGATCCATCCCATGGCCCACCAGCCTTCATCGTCATAGAAGTCATTCTTCCAGTTATTGTAGCCTTTCTGATTCGGTGACTTGTCGTATGTATTGGAGACAATATCGATTGCTGCTTGCTTGAAGTCTGCATCCTGTATGCCGAATCTTGCAATGGTCTCTACAATATTGCCCGACTGCCACCACATATCGCTCCTTGAGAATAATGTCAGCCGGGGAAACAGAGGAGGTCGCAGAAGCCTACCATAAGCCAGTCTCAGCGTTGTACCACTTATCTTGGAGCAGCTTGATAGCAGACTCGGCATCGCGTGCATAGTCCGCATATGCTGTGTTTAGCAACAGATACGCAACGCTCAGTGACAAGATATAGTTCATGTTGCAGTGATGCGTGACAGGGACAGATAATCGACAGTAAGGTGATGCTGTGAGGAGATAGCGTCACTTGATGCCTGTGAAGTAGTCAGACCTGAGGGACCACCTGCGTTTTATGTTCCTAGGAAACGCCAGGAGCGTGCCAAAACGAAACTGGGGCCATAGGGCTAGGCAGTTTGCGCCCAGAAACATGATCAGTGCCAGCATTTGACGTGTGTGTTGGATGACAGCGTTGGCTGTGTACATCGCCCAGCACGAGGCCTATACAAACAACTCTATATCCTTGGCGATGATGCATCTTGTCACCTTCAATACTACAGCATGCTCGAATCTCCGATGCCTGCCCTGGTGTACTCCTGCATCGTGATACTGCTAGTAAAGCGGTCTTGCCGCAAGGCCATACTGAGCATCATGCGAGCGCTGATCATGATTGCAATTGTCTTAGCCATACTGCTTATTGACAGCGGTAATTGCCCCGTCGTGGTAGCGGTTAGGAAGATTCGTGATGTTGGAGCCTGACCAACGTGGATCCTATCGTAGACAACGATGCACATATTGTCAAGGATTGGCTTCACATGATGTTCTGAAACATATGTCAAAAGCAGTCTATGGTACGGAGATAAGTCGATAGTGGACCCTGATTGGCGTGGACGTTTGACGGGCCGGAAAATCACTGGATCGGGCGTACATTAGGCACGAAACGGCATGGTCCAGGCACCCTGGAACGTGGCTTACGAAAAGATATCGCCTGTGCCTCCACAGCCTCATGTTGGAGGCCCCAAGGCGAGACGAGGAGGTCTCAGCTAAGCGCCAGCCCGAACAACAAGGCCTTATCAACTGTTGGCGCCAAAAATATCGTGCGAAATGAAGGGATGGGTCTTCGGAGAGTTGAAAAGGCTGAGCACTAGGCTATTGTGTCCTCGATTCCCAAGAGCACAATCAGGGAAAGGGCAGGCTCAGACACAACACTGGTCTGTGAAGCTCATTTGCGCAAGCATACAGGTCTCGGTCCATTCTGATGAGTTCATTTTTCTGTGCATGCATCGTGCATGTCGGACCAAGGGTCAAGGATCGTGGTGAGGCATATGACTGCAGTGGTCGCCTGGGGCAATGTTGCGAAGGACAGAGGTTGTACCGTTGATGGCCTTTCAAGGCGAACTGCGGGGAGCCGTATCATCTCCGTAGCATCTTCCTATAGAATGTAATATCAGAGAACACAAAGCTAATCTCCTCTTACTTGACTCGACTTTGAGCCTGGCAATAATACATTGCGTTGATTACGCTCTAAGATACAGCGCCAGGTCACGTAGGTAACGTGATGATCTGCAAAGGAATCAACTGTTACAGCATTGCGTTGCGGATTGTACTGTCATAATGAGACAGAAAGCGGGCGTCAACGGAAGGGATTGATCGTGCACTGATTATGAAATGTGGAGAGGAACAGGCTGTTGCGTCTTGCTCCGCAAGGCGGATGGCGAAGGTTAAGCCAAAGCCGAGTGCAAGCGCTGGAGCTCGTGCAACAGGTTCGCATCACCAGAACACGCCGCTGCTGTGATCTTGTGTTCCTTTGCCACGTTAAGGTTCAGCTGCTTCCGTGTGGAGCGATGGTCCATAATGACGCGTTGCAGCAGTCGCGAATCCCAGACCGCGGTGCGCGACTTCTTGTTTGCGTGACGTAGGTGCCCCGCGTAAACAGGTGGGGTTCGTGAGTACGCAACATATGCAACAGCGGGCCATAACCGAACATGTGCCTCGCAATGACGGAACCGCCATGGAATTTGTACAAATCCCATCAATCACGCTAATGCTTGCTCCAGGATCGACCAATCGTGGCCTTCGTGAGAGGTGTGGCTGAGAGACATCCTTACAAGTGAGCTCGACTGCTGCCTTGTTACGCGCAACCCTGTTGTGATCACGGGCGGCAGGGATGGTTAGGTCGAATTGCACCTTCTCTCACTGTGGTTCAGAGCAGTGACGTGCGAATTTCGTAAGTGGTCCAGGAGCAGGAGGAGCACCTACTTAAGACCTCCGCTGCGCTGCTCGAGTTGTCTTTCATCAACGAACAACACTTCGATTACAAGCACAAACTACAACTCCTTCAACTTCAAACAAACAACCACACACAATCGACATGTCTGACAACCTCCGCAAGGGTCTCGGCGAGCAGGCGTCTGAGAAGCGTGAGCCTTCCCGCTTGACTACCACTCAAAGCGAGACACTGACCACCTTGTAGTCACCCCTGACTCCCAGAAGTCCACCACCGACAAGATCGGCGAGAACGTCTCTGGCGCTGGTGACCGCATTGCCGGCGCTGTCCAGCCTGGTCAGTACCATCCATCACTACCTCTCCTCCATCACATGCTAACACCACCGCAGAGGGCCAGAAATCTACCTCCCAGAAGGTCGGTGACACGGTCCGCGGTGGATCCGACGACGCCTCCCAGCAAGGTGAGGGTGTCCTCAAGCAGGCTCAGGATGGACTCAGCAACGCTGCATCCTCCGTCCAGAACGCCCTCGGTGGCAACAAGCAGTAGACTACCTCACGGTAGCTCTGTCTTGATCCGAACTTTCCACATGGCTTAGATTGCCCAGCGGATATCATTATACCCTATGATACGAATGTAATGAATACTTGACTCAACTTATCCTGCATAATTGTTCGTGACTGCGCTTGTGATAGGCCCTTGAGATCATGCTGCTCGTTGGCCGCACATCAGTATCTCGCCGTGCATAACTTCTTATCAGTGCTCGAATCAAATTCACTCTTCGCCCAAGGACTAACGCATGTTGTGTTACACAGGTGAAGCTCACCAAATCGATTGCTTGTAGTTCTAGCGTGCAGTGTATTGGGTATCTTGCGCTCAAGAGATGGCTTTTGCCATCTCAAATGTCCTCATCTTCGACCTCTTCCATTTCAACATGCCGCAGGGTATTCTCGGCCACCGCTGCCTCTGACTGTATGCTGACGATTTTGCCTTGTGCCTCTGCTGCCATCATGTTGTATTCAGCCTCCTCAATCATAGCCTCTGCTGCCTGTTCAGCAGCCTCACTAGTTGTCGTCTTCAAGAACGCATCCAGCTCTGGATCAGCTTCAGGTACAGGCGCAGGTGCAGGCGCAGGCTCGTCCTGTTCTTTGCCCATGTACCCGTCTTCCCGCAATTTGTCGAACTCTTCCGGCTCCAGCAGCCTCCCTTCGCCCTTCGCCAGCTTCATCTTCTGCGCAACTGCTGCAGGCATGAACTTTGTAGCCTCCTTGAGGAAGTCGCGCTTCTGCGGTGCCGCCTCGTAGACAATCTGTGCTTTCTTGGGCTCTGGCGCAGGCTCCTCGTCTTGTGCGTTGCGCTGGCGGTGGCGCTGTCGCGGTATCGGCGGTGGCGTGTCTCGTGGCATGGGGATATTCGCTACGTCCGCATCTGTGTCGCTGCTATCGTCCTCTTTCCTCTGCCCGTCCCTTGTCCGCTTGCCCAGTACGCCACCTCCCCGTCCTCTCCCCGCCTCTCGACCGCCTCGATCCCCAAAATCGTCATGTCGCCGCTCAGGCTTGAACTGCGGTGCCTTGTCGCCAAGCGCTGTGCGTGCCTTGTTGACTGCTGCGAGGTCTTTCTCCAGCTCTGTGAGGCGCTGGCGCTCATGTGGTCGTAGCGCGCCGCTTTGATCGAGGTCTTTGAGCTGGTCGATGTCGCGCTGGATGCGTGCGGGATTGCGGCGTGCAAGTTTCTCATTGCGCTGGGCTTGGACGGTCGCTTTCTGTTTGCGGAGAGCTTTCGCTTTATCGGCTTTCTTTTGCTCCTGCACGGGGTTGTAATTCTTCTCCTTCGCCATGTTGACGGTTGATTGGCGGAAGCGTTATGATATAGGCTGAAGATTTTGGGGGCGTGGAGCGTGAAATCAGAGGTAGAGGCTTGCCTTTGGCGGTGGTGTTGGACGATGGTTGATGATCAAAAGTTGAGATTGACGTAGTTCCTGAGTCTGTGCGCGCAGGGTGTACGCGCCGCGTCTGCCTCCACACCTGCACTCCTCTCCACACGATCTGGGGTGTCCTTCAAGATGTTTGTCCCAAGAGCAGTCAGGCTCAAGGGCGTGAAGGAGCCTCAAAGACCGAAGGTGGCAAAGTCGCCAGTGACACCGTCACTTAGCAAGAATGAAGCTAACAGCAAAGATGCGCTCGTCCAAGCAATGGGCGAGACAGGCATGAACTCACCTGCTCCACAACAGAATATAGCTTCAGATGTACCAGCTCCGACCCGCGGCCCTCGATTTACTACCAAGCCTGTCACCGCTGACTATGTTGCTCAACTGGCTGCTGGCATTGAGTTGATCTTCACAGACTATGCACATCAAGAGGAACAGCGCTCACGATGGTTGAGGGATCGGTATAGAGTAGTCGACGGCGAGAAGGACTGTAAGCGATGCACTTGCAAAACGCGCTCACCCAAGTTAATTTCTGACAGATATCCATCTCACAGCGATCTTAGAGCACCCCAACATCTCGAAGCTGAAGCCAGAAGCTACCCAGATCCTCCTCAAGCGAGCGCTACACGACCATCCCTCTGCAACGCTCGAGTTATCACAAAACGAATACTACGTCCGTCGCCAGCCCTCCACCAACCCTCTCTCCTTCGTCCCAGCCAAGTCCTTTGAGATCGTAGATGACGATGGTCTCAGCTTCTGGGATCAAAGAACGATCTACGTGGAACCGCACCTACGAAATATCTGTCCAACGCCGGCACGAGTAGCGCAATGGTTAAAAGAGCACGGCGAGCTGAGGCCAAAGTGGCTCCCCGTCCAAGCAGTGCATACGCTCTGGAATAGCTGCGCTTTCGTTGTTCTGAGCGGGAACGTAATGCATGAAGGCACGTGGAACAAGTGGAGAGAAACTGGAAAGCCAGACGACTGGAAGGTTATGACTAAGGTCGAACATACAAGACGCACTGCCGAGTATCTTGCCTTGCTGAAGAAAGAGAACCCTGGAGGTATGCGCAAGGTCATCGAAGACACAAGCCAGCTGCCGCCAGTCGCACGACCTGCAGCATTACCTATGGCATTTAAGCCACTGCCCGAGGACGGACCTATCAAGGCGGACAGCAAGAAGAAGCGCAAAAGGCGCAAGCCCGCAAAGTCTGGTGATGCTGAAAGAGTGAAAGAGCAGGCTGAATACGTGGCGAGCCATGGAACAGCACCCACGTCAGACGTAGACATGGTGGATATGCTACAGGACATTCAGTCAGATGTCGCTGCACCAGCCACAAGTAAGAAAAAGCGCAAGAGGCGGAAGAGCGCCAAATCAAATGACAATGTCGACAATATTACGGATGATGCAGTAAATTCACAAGATGACGAGGAGCCGGATAAGAGGCTGCGTCGCTGATTTGGCTTCCTATGGCCTCGCAGCTACAAACAGAGTTACATATTGGAGTAGGAGCATGAGAACCATAACACGGTTCCTTACTTCCGCCGAGCCTCAACGAGGCGTGCGCTAACCCCAACTTTACCCCGCTTACTCGACAGCACCGACTTGTTCAGAGTTACCGAAGATCGCCGGTAGAGCTTCCGCACATGGGTAATGCGTCGACAGCTCCAGAGCTAGGAAGCCGAGGAACCTCGCGTCTGCGCGAGGGGATGTCGTACCGCGGTTCTGCACCACATTAGACCTTATAGATAGGTATTTCACAATCGAAAATCCGTTTCGTGAAGTTTAAAGTCTGATTTGACTGGCTCTATCTCTGATTTCTCCCGCAGCTTGCAGCAGTCGAGGTTTAGATTCACAAGATGACGACGATAGTCGAAAGAACTCCAGAAGGCATTTTCTACCGCGCCTCAAAGACCTACCCAGTTCCCAATCTCGACATCTTGACCTTGCTCTTCGGTAAGTTCAACCAAAATCTGTGCGATCGCATATGTGCCATTGGAGGCATTCACAAAGCTCAGCTCGTTCAATCCTAACACTACACAGACTCTAAGCACAGTCAAGCGAAAGAAGACACACCGATCCATATTTCTGCCGCGGACCCATCTTGGGTCCTAACTCTCTCGCGCGCACGAAAGCTCACCCAAGCTACCTCAGCAGCCCTACGCAAACATTTCGGCATTGGGAAAGATGGACCAGGCAAAGACATATGCTCGGTAATCTCTACAGGGCATTACCTCCTCCCAACGCTCTTTTACGGTGTCATTGGCGGAGGTGGCGTTTTCAGCGCTGCATCTGCGGCAAGTACTGCCAGTGAGCTGTCAAAGCAAATAGTAAGTGCTGGCAGTAAGATACTGGTGACGTGCGAGACGACCCGGGACGTAGCTGTTCGAGCAGCGGAGGACGCGGGCTGGGGACGCAATGGTGGCGGCAGGGTGGTGGTGATGAGCGAGGGCGCAGAGTGGGAATTAAGAATCGTACAAGAGGGCGGTGGAGAAAGTGAGAACCTGATTGACGAGGGTGAGAGACTGGACTGGGAGCGAATCACGGACCCACAAGTACTGGAGAACAGTCTTGTGGTGCTGATCTACAGCAGCGGAACGACTGGCCTGCCAAAAGGTGAACTCTCTTTCTACCCTAGCATTTGAATGGAAGACGAAATGGCTGACCTAGCAGGCGTCAAACTTTCACACACCAATCTAGTAGCAGAAGCGGTCATCCCCGGCGACATGTTCAAGTCCTGGCTCACGACACGAAACTCTCGCACTGACCTACCACCCTTCGAGTATCGCACCATCGCACATCTACCCGTCGCTCATATCGCTGGAATCCAAGGATACTTGATCAACCCTTTCTACATGGGCGGGCCAGTGTATTGGATGCCGCGCTTTGACTTTGTACAATTCCTCGAGTACAACCAGAAATATCGCATCTCATTCTTCTTCACCGTGCCGCCAATCTACCTGCTGATAGCAAAGAGCCCGAACGTTACGAATCAGTTCAAGACGCTAGAGATAGCAATCAGCGGCGCAGCACCCTTAGGAAAAGATCTCCAGCACGCCGCAAGCCAGAAACTCGGCGGACCGGACTGCTTCATAAGCCAGACTTGGGGACTCAGCGAGACCACAGGCAGTGCGACCGTCATGCCAATGGATATGAGTGACGATACGGGTTCGGTATCCCCTCTGATCCCTTCCATGTTGGCGCGCATTGTCGACGACGATGGCAAAGACGTAGAGCCTGGCAAACCTGGTGAGGTGCTGGTCAAGGGCCCTGTAGTCTGCAAAGGGTACTATCAAAACGAGGCTGCAAACAAGGAGGCTTTTGTCGACGGTTGGTTCCAAACGGGCGACATCGCTGAATTCCGGAACGGCCTGTTCTACATCGTGGATCGCAAGAAGGAACTCATCAAGTACAAGGGTCTGCAGGTAGCACCAGCAGAGCTCGAAGCACTACTGCTGAACCATGAGGACATTCTCGATGCGGCCGTTATTGGTGTTGATGCGGATGGAGGCACCAATGAAGTACCACGGGCATATGTTGTTGCCGACAAGACGAAGATCAGCGGGCAGCAGATTGCCGAGTATGTGAAGAAGAATGTTGCGAGCCATAAGCAGCTGAGAGGCGGTGTGATTTTCATGGACGTGATTCCTAAGAGTCCGAGTGGAAAGATCTTGAGGAAGGATCTGAGACTATTGGCAAAGAGGGAGCAGGGCGCCAAGCTATGAGTATCGGACGTCAGTCCAGCAAAGTGTCAGCATCCAAGCTCAAGATTACGGCGTATAAAGAACACAAACTTTTCTTCGTCGACATAGTAGATAAGAAAATTCGTGTGTTCATGTGACAAGCTCAAATTCTACTCTGCAGCCACCACAGTCATCCCAAGCTCGAATAGTGTCGAATATTCCCACGTAGTCACATCAACCGCAAAACCCTTCTTGTCTCGAAGTGCAATTCCAGTAGTCAGGTGGAGCGGTGTATCCAGGCCAAACTTCATTCGATGAAAGCCTATCATGACTGAAGGGGCCATTGTCCAGTCCATATATGTCTCTGGCCTGGCCCAAAACCGCGACTTGATCTGTGGATCGGGCATCTGCAGCATGGAGCAGGTGGAGCCACTACCCAAGGCAAAGTGTGTTTCTGGTCCTGATGGTAATTGTGGGCCTCGGTAAACGAAGTTGTTAGAGTCATATGCCTTCTCCCAGGACGTGATTCGCTTGGGACCGTCTGCTTCCTTGGAGTACACGATAGTGATTCTGGTGACATTGGAGAGTGGGCCTTCGACCAGTGAAATGCTCATCTTCTTTGCGGCGGCGTCGAAGTCTGTGATACTCAGACTGATATCGATCATGCCTTTGTACTCCGCGGCCATGAATGATTTGATCCAGACTGCGTAACAAGCGTCCTCGGAGAAATCGGTTGTCAATTCAGCCCCGACCTTGGTGTTACCACTGTCATCCATGTCATTGTTGTCCAACTTAAGCTCACCAATTTCGTAGCTAGGGTATCCCGCGAAAGAAGGAAAGGCGATCCAGTTCGTCTGCGACCATAAAAGCTCACCACCCGCATCGGCACCCAGGTAGGGTATCTTCTTGTCCTCAGTTAAGCTATTTCGGAGACCGACGAAGACATCATGAACACCAATATCAAATCCACTTATTGCCTGGATGAACTTTTCAGTTGGTGGCCGTATTCCACTCACATGCGTACACAACAGGAATTTCGGAATTTCCTCCCGAGCTCCTTAACTCGTCTCCAACTGATACGTCCAAGCACGTTGCTCGTGCGGATAGTCCGCCGCCCAGATTTCGCCGTACATAAGTCGCACTACAGCATGTCATGGATGACAGAATGAAATCAGAGGCAAATCGACAGATATCATCTACGAAAGCGATAGTTAATACATCAATGGAAACGGTCTTCCATATCGGGTGGAGGGAACTCGCGGTACCATATGGACGAATCTCTCTCTCTGTGCCTCCTGGAGAAACACTAAAGGTAGAAAGTCAGTTTTATCGGATGCGTATGGCTGGTGTCTGGTACTTATGTCAGAGGTGATAGAACAGTCATGTGTACTGATGAGTATTGATTGACAGGGTTCACGTCATTGTAGCCAAGAAGCAGGTCCCTGGTATCGACTTCCGCATCACTGTCGGTCCGTTGATGCACACCAGAAACGGCACGCGGCAAATTGCGAATTACTACTCGTCTCCGAGGTGGCTGCGAGGTACAAGCAGCTCGAAAGATAGCGTGGCTTGATTTAAACAGACCGAGTTCATTGAGCCAGCACTACTCTCTGATATAATCATGGACCTCGAACCGGCAGATGTAGTCAAAGCGATTCTGCCACAGTCAGCGCGTCCGGACATACCGATTGCAAGCAAGACAACGCAAGAGCCAAAGACCACAACAAGCACTGAAAAAAAAGGAGGACCTGTTCAAGCAGATGACTGCCGCGATTGCCAAAATCGATGAGATCCAGGTTGAATTCGAGTTCGAAGGCATCGCGTTTTAATAGAGATGTCTGCCAATGACACAATTCTTTTGCTTCCTGCAGATCGTGTACTGTCACAATGAGTCGGCGCGTACATACAAAATCCTGCCCTTCTCAAACTTCTCGTTGGCATCGCGTGGGTCGTACAAGGTGATGTTTACATCGTCCGTTGAGAATCCATTATCTGCTTTCTCCAGTCGAGTGTTGGCGTACCTAATCGACAGCTGACTGACAGGGTGCTGTCACCGATGAGCATCCTCATGTGTCTTTCCTGCCTTCATAGTACCTACGCCGCAACACAAGGTGTTTCTGGTCTGCTGTTGTGTCTTGCTCGTTGTTCGCAACAGAATATAGAACCTTTCAGACCGACGGTTGCGTGAGGTCGACGCTATAATCGGCGAACAAGTCAGACTCAACAAATGTAAATAGATCGAATACTGAGTCGAGTAAGAAATTGCCGTGATCGACTGCAGGGTCTAGGCTGCTTGCGGCGTCATTCTCAGAGCTTGTCTGGTCATTGGGAATATGCGTTTCAGCTGTTTGCTCTGAGGGCGATAAGATGGGATCGTCAACAGGCTGGCCTCCAGATCTCTGGCGGAGTATGTTCTGACGAAGAGTATGAAGGGTAGCCAGACAGCCCTTGACAGACTTATATTGGGGCAGGCTCTCTGTGAGAATTCCGACGCAGCTCGCCCAAGCCTGCTGCCATTGCTCATCCCCAAGAGCATCACAGATCGGAGGGCAAATACCGGACAACAGTACCACCATTCCAGCGGTACGCGTATAGAAGACGTTATACCACCATGCACCTGTCAAATCTGTTGCGGAGTAGATCTTGACAGAGTCAATCAGCTCAAGTGCTGTGCGTACACAGGTCAGAGCACACTGAAGATGGAATGGGCCGGCAACTGTTAGCTCTGGATCTACCGCTGGCGATGTGGTGCCGTGGCTAGAAACGTTTTCTCGGCAGAATTGTAGAAACAAGGGGCGAAGAAGCAGAATATGCGCGTGTAAAAATCGGACGTGCAGTACGTGCGATTGGCGCACCGCCGTGTCGTTCGACGGGTCAGGTCGATGCGGCTCCGGAGGCGATCTCCACATAAGGTTTGTCGGAATCTTTTGAGCGAAAAGAGCCAGTTCGTGTTCGAAGTCTCGTACGATCTCATCTTTCTTGGCATCCTCTGTATGTTCTGGTCTTTCTTGGGAGTCGTCATCAATCTTGTAGATACTCAGCAGTATCCGGCCCACGATTCGGTACAACTTCACGGTTTCTGTGAAAAAATCGATAGAGAACAGCGTATCGTCTCCTTCCACTACCAGTACTTCGTTGCAGGTATCGACTGGCTGTGGGAGACTACAAGCTGAAGATCCTACAAGCATCGCAGGCCTGCCAAGGGTCATGCTCACAATGATGTCCATTGTAACACAACCGTGCCACACGCGCCTCCTCATCTCAAGTTCACCAATCTCGAACTTCTGATTTGATTGGCTTTCTTCGATATGCAAGCCAAGTCCCTGCGCGAGTCGGCAGGCTAGACCAATCGAGGTCCAACACTTGCTTGGCCAGTTCGTAGACTGGAAATACTGTGTCAATAATAGAAGTGTCTGGACCAGTGCTATGCTGCCGTCATCGAAAAGATCGAATCTTAGAAGATCTTTAGACTTAGCCAGACACGCAGATGACAGACGCTCCCTCTCGCTCAACGGCAGGTCAGAGAATTGCATTCCAAGAGCTAGAGCAGCATTGAAAGCACAATGGAAGACGATCGAAGATGGTCCCGAGTCTTTTGAAGCGCCAAGTCCCAATCCTGGCCTAGTTCGGGGCTGATGGTCTACTGAAGGCTTCCAGAGATCTTCGTATGCCTGATTGAACGAATCTTGGTGCAGAAATGGGTAGAGAGTATGAACACGATCCCAGTACAAGGAAAGAAGGCGGTCTGACAATTCCCTGGGAAGGAGTGAGAAATTTTCTGGTGGCACGTTGGCTACCGTCGACGAGCTGGGCAAGTGTTGGGCAGAAGACGTGACCTCTGAGGCTTTCAATTCCGGCGCAATTTTATCTTTCTGGAGGATAGATCCGTATAGCTGACGGGTAAACCCGAGTGCTGATGAGCTGCCGTAGAAAGTCTGACTGTCGTCTGGAGACACGAGTCCTGCATCACCACCCATTGCATCGACTGAACCATTCTCTGCGGCCGCTCTCTCATCCTCGGGAAGTAACCTGGGGTCGATATTACTGAGGGGTTGATGATGTTGATGATGATGTTGCTGTTGTGTTGGCTCTGTGGGAATGCTTGGGTTGGTAGACAACTGCAAGATAGCCGCGCGTGCATTGGTTAACTCTTGCTCTAGTTGAGCTACGCGATTGACCAATGAGTCGACGTAGGCATTAGAACTTGTGGTATCCGGAGCTACTTGATAGATGCATTGTTGCGAGCGCTTCGAACATGCTTCACAGCTTGGCTTGTTACCATCGCAGCGAATCTTGCGGTTTCGACATGGCTCACACGCAGTTGTGGTGAGCTTCTGTCTCTTTCGTCGTAGGCTTGGGATTGCAAATGTGGTTGGATCCATTCAATGCGAGTGTAAGCTCAGATGATCGTGGTGTTGTGATGATGTCGCGTTCGTGAGGTCTGCTCTTTCTTAGGTCAACACACGCTAGCGTTGTACACAATAATGACAGGAGGAAAGCACCATCGAGCAGAGGAATGAGCGAAGTCACACCACGCAAGGCATATGATAGATTGACAACACAGTACATGCAATTCTTACATTCATGATGGTTCCAACCATCTATCGTAGCATCTCGGTCCGTCATGACTAATATTACAGTGTACAACAGCAGCTCTTCGTAGCTGCCAAGCTTTTTAAATGCGTGAGAGGGGAATATACAGAGACGTGCTGTGGAGAAAAGCACAAGCCGTGCTACATGACATACACAACAACGCCGTGCCCAATGTACCATGCCCAAATATAACCATCCAGGTGCAGCCGTACCGAGCCAGACAAATACTCATACAGATACGCGTCCACAAGCCCCCCAAACATGGGAGCTGTAAAAATTGCAACACGAAAGATGTAGGGTTTAGGCATTCTTAACAACGCCGACCTTGGCGGGCCTCAGCACGCGGCCGTTCAAGTAGAAGCCCTTCTGCTGGGTGAAGAAGACGGTGCCTTCCTCCTTGCCAGGCTGTGGTGCCATGAAGACAGCCTCGTGAACGTTGGGATCGAACTTCTCGCTTGTCTCGGAGGGGTCGAAGCGCTCGAGGCCGTGCTTCTTCAGTGTGCTGATGAGGATGCCGTCGGTCATCTTGACACCCTCGTGTAGGGAGCTTAGATCTTGGTTGTCGCCCTTGAGCTTCTCGGGCGCAACGGTGGAAAGGGCGCGGTCGAGGTTGTCAACGGACTCGACAAGATCGCGGGCGAAGCGCTGGATGGCAAAGTCCTTGGCGGCCTTGGTCTCTCGCGCTGTGCGCTCTTGGAGGTTGCGGAAGTCGGCGACTGAGCGGAGGTACTTGTCCTGCGATTGCTGTCAGTGCGTGCGCGCGATGGTACAATCAGGGCCGCCGTACCTTCAGATCGACAATCTCCTTGTCCTTCTTCTCGATCTGCTCCTTGAGTTGCGCAGACTCGTCCTTGGGCGCATCCTCCTTCTTCTCAGCGGCTTCGCCCTCCTTGGCTGCAGGCGCATCCGAGTACCATCTGATGGCGGGCGCGGCGGCTCGTGTGCTTGCGACTTGCTGTCTGATGGGCGCAAAGGCGGCAGGGCGCACGGCAGCCTGTCTCGAGGCGCGGAGGAGGCTTCTTTGGAACATTGTGATGGGTGCGGTGCAAAGAGAGATGGAGCAGGTGTGGCAGGAGCTTTGGCGCAGACACAGGATAAGATGGAGTGGTGATGCAGGCCGCAGAAGCTCCCAGAAACAAAAATTCGGAGCTCGTCACCGAGGGGCCGTGCCACCAGCCGCGTTCCGCACGCGCCTCCACCCGAAGCTTCACCAGGGCATGACGCGCGATGAGACCCTCAGCGTCGCTTTCTCTGCGCATTAAAACCTACACCACCCACAAAGATACGCCCAAGCCCAAGGCCGCCGCTGTTCAAGCCCCGATCCCAGCCGCGTACTACAGGGGCGGCACCTCGCGCGCCGTATTCTTTCAACCCCAGCACCTTCCGCCAGATCGTGCACAATGGCCTGGTATCTTCCGGCAAACAATGGGCAGCGGCGACCTTTATGGGCGTCAGTTAGACGGTATGGGCGCTGGCATCTCCAGCCTCAGTAAGATCTGTCTAGTCGAGCCCTATGGCGGAAGGAAGGTTGTGTCCAAGCAAGCAATTGCCGATAGGGTGCAGTACCAGAGCCTCGACGGAGCGCGCGATCTTCTCCAGAATGTTTTGGCCAGAGGTGACGCTGTAGACGGCATCGACGTTGATTATACATTCGTGGGACTGGGCATCGAGAGCGACGAGGTGGACGTAGCAGGCAATTGCGGCAACATGAGCAGCGCCATTGGCCCGTATGCCTATAATGCCGGCCTGCTGCCGCCGCGTATATATGCAAAAGGCAACGGCGAAGTCACGGTCAGGATCCGCAACACAAACACCGGCAAGCTCATAAGCGCGACTTTCCATGTCGATGGCGGACAAGCAACTGTCGCGGGCGATTACACAATCGACGGCGTGACGGGGCCTGGCTCCAGGATCACGCTGGACTTCGAGCGGCCGTATGGTAGCAAGACTGGCAAGGTGCTACCTACTGGCAACAAGGTTGATCGCATTCTCGACTACAAAGTGACCTGTGTGGACGGCGCGAACCCTTGCATCTTCATACGCGCAAGTGATGTCGGCGTGGATGGCACTGTCCTGCCCAGCGACTTCAACAAGCTGCCGGAAAAGCTCGCTCTACTCGAATCAATACGCAAAGCGGCCGCGGTGGCCATGGGCATTGCCCCGACTGAAGACACTGTCCCTCGCACGATTCCTAAGATTGGTATCGTTTCCATGTCTTCCGAACATCCTGTGCTCTCTGGTCAGACGCTCCTCACCTCACAGACCGATCTTGTAGTCCGCTTCCTCTCCGACACGCAACCGCACCGCGCTATCCCGCTCACGGCGGCGTTGACCACAGCTGTAGCAGCACGCATACCTGGTACTATCGTCGAACAGTTGCTGGCGCCTGATCCCGTCGTGGATGGTGTCATCACCATCGGTCATGCGAGCGGAAGGTTGCAAGTTGATGCCACAATGGACAAGAACGATGAACTTACGCCTGTCAACGCAACAGTTTATAGGACGGCGAAGCGTCTTTTCGAAGGGACAACATTCTGGGTAGATAACGTCGCGAACACGCCCAAAGAGGGAGCGCTGCGAAGCGTGCACGGGATGCATGGCACACACTCACTGGGCATGGCATTCGTACTAGAAAGTCGCGGACAGTCCACAAAGGAGCTGTATGCTGGAGAAGAGGAGGTGGTCGCTGAACATGTGGAAAGAAAACCTGACCCTCTCGAAGAACTTGGATTTACGAGAGTACGAATGTACTCGTCGACTCACAAAGTTTCTCCCAAAAGCTCCACTGACCCCATCACTGAAAAGCCTGACCCGGCCGAGATAAAGATAAGATACAGGACGGACGAGCAGCGCCCGTCGGACAGGGAAGGCATAGAAACGTACGTCAACGAGGGCGGAAACACGCAAGAACAGCCTGATACCGGTGTGGACCATATGGCACGTTCCAGAACTGGTCCGAACAAACACAAACTCAGTCACAGACCCATCGCGACTGGGAAAGCGCGAAGCCTCAAGCTGAATGTGCGAAAAGAAAAGCTGAAAGTCGCAAAATCGCTCAAGAAAAGGCGCGACAACAACGAAAACAAAACCACAGAAGCACATGAAAGGAGTGAGAGCGAGAAAACAGCAATGAGGGAGATGATCGACCGCGACCGCGCGCGCGAAGCTCGATGGGCCCAAATGTCGTCCACTAAGGACGACTCGTCGTAGTAAAATCACATACACCACACCGTCAAGCCGCCCTCGCGCATGCTGACTCGGCCCTAACTCCCCCCCTCCATCTCCATGTCTGTCTACGATACACAGCCCTAGTGCTATGAATACTCGCACTCGATGCCTCGTGCCTCGTGCTGGATGCACCGGTGGAACTGACCCTCGACTCGAATCGCCAAGCACCCCGTACCTAAACTCCACCCTACGCCCCCAGCCCCGTAAGAAGACAAAACGCAGTAGACGACCGACGGTGTATCACGTACAGCACGGGGTCGGCGCGGCGCGGTGCCATACTTCGCACCGCTCGTCGGCCGCCGAGAGCAGCATGCAGCATGCAGGGCGCGCGTACAAGGGCCGTTACCGGGCGATCAGGTTGCCTGCAGCCGCTAGGATACAGGCTGTGTGGGCTGCGGTGTGTGGGAGGGGTGGTCTGGCATGCAAGGGCGGGCGTGCAGGTTCCACGGACTGCGGGCGTGGGAGGTGTGCATGGAGATGCTGGTTGCATATGCAGGTGAGATGCAGTGGGTGCGATGTGTGTTTGTGGTTGGAAGCCTTGCGTGTTCTACGCGGGTTTGTGGCGTAGCAACTTGCTGTGCAGCATGCAGGTGTTGGATTTAGATGGGGGCTTTTGTGAGTATATAGGGATTTGTACGTTTATGTGTTGTCTATATTGCATGTGCTACATATATGTCGATGTTCTCACTACTAGGGCATCGCCAATTTTCAGATCGAGAATGGGTCATTTTCATGCCATGTACATAGGCACTGTCACCTAGTGTAAGCTCGATTATGCCTCTTGTGCTGCGCATGTAGCTATGTGTTCTGCTGCTGATCTACAGATGTTAATATGTCGCGCATGTGGGTTCGGCGTCACATATCATCCAAAGCTTACGTACGTCTTACTTGCATGCGCCCCTCAAGACCTAACTATGTCCTTGGTGATCCCCTCCTCTTGGCGAAAGTATGCTCAACATACCATCAACATGTCACCAGTCCTACCCTGCTGAACTATCGCTACATAAGGTAGTACGTGCAGAAGCGATAACCCGTAAGTAGACGTGCAATCTCGTCTGTCCTTCCCTCCCCACGATCCATTTTCGGAGCTTTCCGGTCAAGAGTGATGCAAGATCAGTTATGCATTGGTCGCGCCAACGCATTACTTGGTGTGAATCTCGTGCATATGCGGCTCTTCTGCGCCGAAAGCTTGTCACATTGACAATGATGCGCAGTCGAAGGCGGAATCGGAGGTAGTTTTTGAGTTTTCACCATTCCCATTACCCGTCAGCGCGAACTTAATGCACATCATCTACCATGAGGCTTAACGCAGGGTCTGTTAAGTCCTTTCCATACACACTGCGGGCGTTGTTCTATCGGTCCTGCTCAAAGGTTTATATCCTGTCCTCGTAACGTGGTACACGCTGGTGAGATATTTGACACGTGCGCGGTATACTCCATCCTGTGTGCCGGATACGGACTAGCCAGCGCTTTTCAGGCGGATTAGGCGCAGTTGGCGCGGCCTGCATTTCCAAGATGGGAGCTTACCAAGCGGATCATCACGAGCAAGGTTTCGCAAAGGCAGAATATTGAAGGATCCGTACCAGTGAGACCGACGTTGAGCACGGTTGTTACGTTTTCGACTTCAAAGATCGTTGAGAGAAGGCGTTTGCCGCGTTTCTAGTTGCTAGTCGAATTCGACGGCGCCTGATCATTTACTTCTGGAAACACCTAGTTTGCGGCGTACGGTGATATGCAGCTGCTTGCTTCGGTGCAGCATCTACTGGTGTTGTCGCGACTCCGCCTGCAGTTTCGACATGGATGCTGTATTGTTAAGCCTCATCTCGGTGGCTTATTGATTCAGCCTGCCTAGTGACGGCAAGAGTCCATGACTAAGTCGGAACCATGAGTCGAATTGCATGGGATTTCTGCGGCAATCGCAAAGAGGGAGTGACTCGCAGACGAGCAATCTACATATGAATGGCGTACGTCTGTCGAAACGCCAATTGCATTAGCACATATCTGATGTCGAGTCAGTCATCAATGCAGCAGTTGCGCAAGCGTAGCCGAGTCCATAAAAGCTTGGATGAAGAGCTCTGATCAGCAACATGGGCCTTCCTGGACCCTGAGACCCTGAAAAGTTGTCGCGCAGATATCACACGATTGCTACCTCATTGAGGGTGGCTGGAGATGGAGACCCGAAGCTGAGGCGGTTACGAAACCACGTGGCAATGGAAGTAACCGGAGGCTAGCGATTATGCTTTCCATCACTGTCCGAGACCTCAAAACGTGAGGAGGCCCGAGATGTGGAGCTCCCGTATAGGAGATTACTCAGACCCGGAGCAGGGGCGACGGAGGGATACACCGACCAATGTGGGAATAAGTTATTTGACAACGTCGGAGCCTTGAACGTCTGGCGCCTCCGCAATGCCATTACTCGCACAGGTGATCGTCGATCAGTTCGCAGATCTCGGTGAAGCATACCGTTGCGGATAATCAGACCAAGAGCTTCCCTAGTGTACCAAAGTGCGAAAGAAAGGGCACCAGCGCGGGAACGAAGGGGTACCGAAGCACAGCTAGCGGTCCGAAATGAACGCGAGAGACTCCCAAATCCACTTGCGAATAGCAACTCAGCACGCATCGTGGGCGGTCAGAATGTCGGAAAAGCTGCACCATTAGGAGACTTGTCCAATAAGCTTGAATTGGAGCTGGCTGGTTTGACGACAATATAAAGTTTGGCCGGTGCGGCCTACGCTGTGCTAGTCGCGTTAGTGCAATGCACTGCTGCAAGAAATGCGTCCACTCGCCACGGAACGTCAGACTCTCTGACAGCGGGTATGTATTCTGCCACAGCCTAACAAAAGATAGCATCTGGAAGGTGATGATCATTCATGCGGGTGTAGTGCGACGGCGTTCTCATCTCCTTGACAGCAGTGGCTTCACCATGTGGCGAAGATCGGGATCTGCGAGTTTGAAATAACTCGTTGGACTGATCAAAATAGCCCGAGAATCGGCAAAGGCCCAATCTAGTTTTGACCCATACTCCTGAACACCAATAACAAAAGAAAGCATGTGCTCTTGAGGGGTATATCAGACTTAATCAACGGGCGCATGCTTGAAGAGGAAAGACACGCTCTCGCCATTGTGGGTACGTCTGCAAGCCTCGGCAAGCTGTACAGTAGTCAGCGATCGCATGCTCATCAGACGTTGTTCACATGGTCACTTACTGTGGGACTGATGTCGATCGTTTCGATACGGTCACAAACCTCCTTCTTCGCCTCATGTGGTACCGTGTTGGTCACAACGATCTTCTTGAGGCGACTACCGTTTAGGGCTTCGATGGCATTTCCACTCAAGATACCGTGGGTGACGATAGCGATAGCGTCCTTTGCTCCGCCCTGGTCGATCAGAACACTTGCGGCTTTAACGAGGGTACCACAGGTGTCCGCCATGTCGTCGACAAGAATAGCTGTCTTGCCAGCTACCTCTCCGACAAGCGTCATTCTAGAGACCTCGTTCGGCCGAGTGCGCTCTTTGTGGATAAGCGCAAAGGGCAAGTTGAGACCATCTGCGATAGACGTTGCCCTATTTCATCGTTAGCATTGCACGTTCGGAAATGGCGCACACAACGTCCGAAGCTTTTCGGACATCTATGGCCTGTTGTCACAAGGGTGATCCGGTCATGTACAGTGCCAGATAAGCACGTTCCGCGGGAGATTGTCTCATGGGTGGGACCTCACCTCTTTGCACCTCCAGCATCCGGACTAACGATGACACAATTCTTCACATCCAGGTTTTCGCGAATCCATCTCAGTGTGCTAGGCTCGGCGTAGAGGTTGTCCACCGGAACGTTGAAAAAGCCCTGAATCTGACTGGCATGTAGATCCATAGTAATCACATGGTTGCATCCGGCGGTCTGAAGCATGTTGGCCATCAACTTGGCTGTGATGGGTGCACGGGACTTGTCCTTCTTGTCCTGGCGGGCGTAGGGGAAGTTTGGAAGAACGGCAGTGATACGGCGTGCGGACGCAGTCTTACACGCGTTGATCATGATCAATAGCTCCATGAGAGCATCGTTGATATCGCCGGGTGGGGTAGATTGCAGGATGAACACTGTCGGACAATGAGCTACCGTAGATCACATGATCTGCAATAATGGATGCATACCATCCTCATCTCGAACAGATTCACCGATAGTAACAGAGGTTTCCTGGTTCGAGTACTGAAGGACTAGGATTTTAGTAAGCTCGATACCAAGCCTGTTTTTGGCTGTCAGTATTTTCCTGATGAAAGGCTAAAGCGTGGCAAAATGCTCGCTTTCCAGACCCGCTCGAGATTACTTGACGTTGCAAGTGGGAGTAATAGCTTCACATCGATGCCGCCAACACAAGATTATTGGAGAGCACGACCGCTGCGAGGTTGACGCAGGAACAGGGTGCCAAGGAGCGCTTGTTCGGAGAAGGCAGAACATACCTGTCAGCAACTAGCTGAGCAAGCTGAGGGTAGCTGTTGCCCGTAAGCAACTTGATGCTGTTTGTCGCCATGATGATAATATGTGGTGGGTGTGTGATACAGTCAATCATTGTGTGTCGTCCAGTCGAAACTTTTTGAGGTGGCCTGTGCGCAACCCCCGCTAAGGCCGAAGCGGAGACCCTGCATGCCGTGGTTGCGGAAGGGATGGCGAGCTGGCGAGCCCGAGCCTCGCTCACTCATCCCTCATGACTGCATTCGGGTTGGGCCAAATATTGTCCGATACTGTGTGGCACATTGGCGATTATTGCAAGCTGGGAAGATCCGATGCTCTGCGCCTCGGTGAGAGCAGATTTTCTTGTGACGACATGTTCTGAAACACGAATCTGATTGTGCCCAGAACACATTATCGCCGTGTTTTCCAGGCCGTAACATGTTCTGTATCCACCAAGCGGTGTTTCTATCCGCATGCGAGGCATCATCCGGACAGGCGGCGGTTGCGTATCATCATGACGCCTGTGTTGACATTCTTGTCGTTTTTCCACAGTCCCAGCAAGGGTGAGATACGGATTGTGTTTGAACTAGGCCACAATAGCCCTGAAAACTTAACGTGGGGCTGGTAAACGTCCCGGTGCCGTTGAAACAGACTATAGCTGTAATTATATACCTCTAGTCTCACGATTACCTCAACGAATACTGCTTTAGCCGACCACAACAGGGAACTTCTGAAAGCGGCGGAAGCAAGGTTCCGTGTAGCCTCACACACCCTCTGGCACGGACATCGACAGTCAAACCCACTGCTGGTCGTACTGAGCCCCTGAGAGTGGATAACGATCGAGACTGAGCTGTCTTCCGACGAGCCCAGTAACATGGTGCGGGGTTCATGTGGCTGACAGCCGGTTACCATATCATTTACTTGAAACAGAGAGGTTGTTTTGGTAATGGGGAAAGGCTCGGAATTCTCTAAGACCCCTGTGGGGCGGCATCGATCTATACTACATCATATCGCAGTATCCCTGCCAATCATGGACTGAATCCGTCGTGTCTGAAACGCCCCAAGATGTCATCACCAGCAACCCAGCAATGAAGAGAAATGTGAAATACTGGAACCAAGTGCGGCCCGGGTATCGGATGAACTAAGGAGAGAATGTGCCGCGTTGCGTTGGAAGACAAAGTGACCCCTACAAATGTTGAACCAGGAGCAGCGGTAAAGTATGATACAGGCCGTAAGAGTGTCGTAGAAAGCCTCTGAATAGAGGGTGATTCGATATTAGTAATATGCCATATAAGACGGGAGACGAGGAAGAAGCGTCGACACCCAGATGATTAGCTCCATGCTCAGCATGGTTGCTCGCACATCTGGCCGATTGCTTTCTCGATATCGGAGAATAGGTTGAGAACGTGGCCGTCAGCGTAGATCCTGATCGACTCTGTGTCCTTTCTTTCGGTACGCGAAGGACTGTCCTCTGCCTTCACAGGACTTCGTGGAGGTGTACTCTCCGCAGCGTCAGCGCGGACTGTCGGTGTGAGCACCAAGGCAGCAGCTACGTGCTCGAGCAGCTTCTGACGAAGCCGTAAGCGTCGGTTCTCAGACTGCTCTAACTTGGCGATGAATTCGTCAATGGAGTTGTCCAATTCTGCGAGGGCCTCCTCCTGCTTGAGAAGAGATTCGCGCGAGAAGATGTTGGTTTCCCCGCGCTTCAGGTATGAAATCATGCGGCTGTGAAGCTTCTGACGTCCAGCTCGTAGAGACTTATAAGTCTTGCGGAGATAGTCACAGCGTTCATCGAGTGCACGAAGCTCCTGAGGATATTGTTAATATAGTTGAATGAACTGTGATTCGGACAACACTTACTCTTGATAGAGAGGCAACGTCTGATTTGTTCAGTACTTCAAAGTTCCCAGCCTGCTCGTATGCTTGCTTGTGGAGTGACTGCTGATCAACACTATTCATACGTCTCGATGCCTCAGGCACGCGCATGCCTTGAGGAAGAGACCAGTTGTCGGCAGCCGGGACAGTAGGACCAGTAGATTCTGAGCAAGTTCGACTGTGAGATCTCTTGGTACGCTGTGTTGGGCGACCACGGTCCATGATCGAAGATTCTGACATATTCCGGTTATGTGAGCCTGCAGTGGCGATAGGGTCTTGCTTCTCTGTCCTTGGCGAACTACGTGGCGATGCTGTCCGGAATGTGTGTAACTGTGCGGATGATGGAGTGTGCAAGAGTGCCCCAGTCTTCGGTGAGCGTCTGACGTCATATGTACTGAGAGGGCTGACTCCGCCCGAGGTTGCGGATGCCGGTGTCGTAAGTTGAGATTTGCTAGACTTGGAGCTGAGCTTAAGAGGAGCTGGTGAAGTCTTGCGTTCAATGCTTGGTGACTTGGGCGGTACCTCCGGTGGCAACGTGGGATTGATGGTTGTGACTTTGAGATTTGGCTTCAGACCAGGGCTCAAGATTGGTGACAGTGGTCGGTTTGACATGCTAGGTGATGCTTGCGTAAAAGTAGGGGTAGTTCCCTGCGTCAGAACAGGTGAAGGTCCAGTAATGCAAGAGGTCATCGCATCACCGAACGGGCCAGTTCTCCAAGCTGTGCCGGGGGCACTGTTGGATCTCTCATGGCCGAAAGCCTCATACGAGGGCCTGCGAAGGGGCGGTCTGCCTGGAATGGTTGCTTTAGATATGTCAGCAACGTCAGCTGAGCGTGCTCCCAATAATACTTACGAGAATCGACAGGCATCTCTTGGACGGTTGTCATTGTGCCCGACAATTCGGGGACACTGACTTTCCTTCTTCTCGACATTGAGCCTGCACGTTGCCAGAACGGTGCGGTTTCTGTAGGGATGGCTGTGTCACTAAGTGATGTAGCGGAACGGCCGACAGATAGAGCAGCTAGCTTTTCAGATGAAGTTCCCACGGGGCTCTTTGCCGCTGGCCAGAGTTGATATCGGGAAGCAGCTTGAGGAATATCGGTTGTGGATGGACTCTTAAGTAAGGGCGCACTTGAAACGTTCAAGTCTCTTGGGGTCTGAAGATCTTTTAGCGACCAGGAACGGCGAGGCAGGCGATAGTTCATCAGAAGGATTTGTCTGCTCCTGGGCACGTACGCTCATTCTGTAGGATGTTTCTTGGGTTATATAAACGGATGTCTTGACAGCATCGGGCCGTATGCAGCTGGCGATGTGTGTCATGGTCGTCGTTTGAGGTTCCCGTGGCTCGCTGAAGTGCAAGGTAGGTGAGACTCGGAAAGCGGGTTTGTCAAACATGAGGGCGTTCCCTGCATGGCATCAGGCGAAAGGCAATGCAGCACCTTAAGAGTAGCTCCTCCAAACTGCTATTGATACATGCAGCGACGAGGATCCCCCTGCTATGGCGAAGTACCTTAACAGCGGTGCGTCTAGGCTGTCGGAGGCGCATCCCAATGCGGACATGGTGTGAAACAAGAGCCTAACCTCGCATGTCTGGCGAGTTCTGGGGAACGTCCAGGGATATAACATGCGTATTAATGGCTAGGTCGATCTGCACATTGCGAATAACGGCACCTTCTTAGCTCAATCCACTTCTGGCACGTTCAGGTATGGATGGCGCGCTTTTGTCAGTCGCATGGTGTTGATCTGCAAGTAGCGAGCGCCGTCGAGAGTTTGCTCTAGCGCGTCACGTTGCTGATGGGAACATTCCTGTGAGCACATGACGCAATAGAGATTAACCGACTATTTCGACGACGCCAACGCTGCGCACAGCAAATCTTTCATCAGAGTCGGAGCAAACTTGCCAATGTGGTAGGAATCCCGGTCAATCTCACGTAGCCGCACGTGGACGGGTACGCGGGAAGAGCACAGCTCATGCTGAGGTTGGTTTCACCTTGCGAGAGCAACCAGAGGGCGAGCGAGATAATGGGACTAGGTAATCTACACGATTGCTCTTGTCCGGTTTGCCAGCTATCGAGACTTCGTCGAGATGATATTAAGATGAGCGTTGGTGATATTGCACATTTGTGCACGATGCTCTCAGTGGATCAACAAAGTTCGAAGCGAACGTTAGCTCAATCCCGGCTCTCATCCTGTAATTGCCACGCGAGAAGCTGCCCCGGAACAAGGTTGGACTACGGCACGGCTGAACCTCGAACTCGCCAACGCGACCTGTGCTTTCATTTTTCATCTTTCATCGCTATCTCTCGAAAATCACTGCGGGGCTGCGACGGGCATATACTGCGCAAATCGACGGCATTCCGCAGGGACAAGACAAAGATAACCGGGATTTGAAGTATCGAAGCCTGCAGCAAGCAGCGCATGCATGTTGATTGTTTTACAGGTTGCAGATCAGGCACATGTGGGTTTATATCGCCTTCATTACGTCGTCTTGCAGCCACTGTGAGCGCTGCTCAAGATTCAACCCTAGGTGTTCTTCAAGCATCAGCGGCACACGCTCCTCTCGCTTCAGCCCGTGTGGCGGCTTGGTTCAGGGTAGCCACGTTTGAAGTGGCCTAGATGGCCGGGTTCCACGCATGATGAATGGCAGGCTCTCGAGTACCGTACCTAGTCTATCCGCCTTATACTGTCTGGCCTCGGAGACTCTGTTGCGCTTCCAGCTTCCCCGCTTCGGAATTCAACCACGATTCCACTGCGCGAGTCTGACAGACCCGAATCCCCCAAGGCCAGGGTGGGATAAGAATTGCCAAGCTTTTACAGGGTTTGTCCCGTGTTGTTCCTTTTTCTTTGCACCTGCTGGCTCATCACAAATAGTGCGCAGTAGTTGTACCTGCAGTTGCTCACAGGCCAAGCAACGGCAAGAAGGTTTTTTATTCTGATCACTTTGCAGCCACTCCCTCAAAAGGAAGAATCCTTCAAGAGGAGTTCGCAGGAGGAGCATGCTCTGTGGCTGCCCGAGCCGTTTCATAAAACTATCCTTGTCTTTTGTGGCTTCGAGCAGCATCCTACCGGCAAGTTCTATGCAACGTCCAGAGCATACAGGCGCTGTTTTGAAACCACTGCGATTGGTCACACACCCAGCATGAGCACACTACGATTGACACCAGCACCCTCCTTGACGGAAATGCAACCTACATCGCTGAAGAACTTACTTGAAGACTCGATTCGCAATCCGTCGGCATCGTTCCCCGCCTGCAAGTCACCATCCGAAGTCACGCCAAGCGATGCGGTGACGAGCAGGGGGGTCACCAGCACGAGCCTCTTTTCTTCCCAAAATCATTCGATGTGGCCCACATACGGCTACCTCCTTTCCTGTTCCTCTTTTCAAAATCGATTGTGATTGTGCTTTCTTTCGCAGCAGAACAAGCAACCGGATTTCTGCACCAAAAACAGGTGACACTTGCCCTGAATCGATGAACTTTTTTGGCCGTGTGTATGTTTAACCGTGATCTGTAATCAATCACCCGGTGACGTTGCCGTATCCGCCTTGGACTTTGTGCCAACAATACAGAGATTGCGCTCTTTACGCAATGTTAACGCCTCGTCAGGTTTGCTCAAGACTCAATCAAAGCGTGACGTTTTCGAGTCGTGGAACTGTTCGGCTGTATGTTAAGCGTGCCGCCGCGGCGTATAGCTTCTATCTTATGAACTAGGGTTGCCCTTCGGCCATATCTGCACTCACCTTACATAACATGTAGGAGAGTTAGACTTACCGGGCAGGGATTGGATCCCGACAAGCGATGAGGCATCAATACAGATGCCGACCTTCAAGCACCTATCGAACACCTTGGCTTGCATGGCATGACAAAGGTGCTGTCGTCACTGCGACGACAACAGAATCCGGCAAGGATGCGATCGATAGTTCGTGTGCAAACTTGCCACTGTGCGCACTGCGTAGCGATACGAGATGCTAGCCATCTTTGCATCGTGAGCCCGGATACAGACATCCGGACTACACATATACCCACCCACGATCACATCGTACGATAAAGTCATATATCATCGCGTGGACCATGACAATCGCCGGTCACTTAACGTCGACAATGTACAAACGGCTGGCGTCTCGAACCTAACTTCAGCAGCACGCCCCTTATAATTACCATTAAAGTGGCACATCTTAAATCTAGCTGTTGCAGACTCGGCAAGATACATGCCGTTTGGCAAGTAGAGTATTCGTCAGCATCCATGGTTACTGATAGGCAGCATCTGAGGATCTCAACATGAGAGTTCGCTACGCATCATAGCGACAAAGACATTCGCTCAAACTGTTGAGCATTCTGGCCAGGTTTCAGTTGTTACTGATGTTGTAGCTGTGACTTGAATGTTGGGTTTATTAGGCTTGTGATCGCTTATTCACCGTTGTGTCCTGAGTCGTGGGGAAGTAGGCAGCGGCATGCCGTTGAGGGAATGCCGAAACCGTTCACTCCCTGACCTTCTGTGCATGCCTGTTCTTACTGCCATTATGTGCGTCTTCGTTGTCGCAATACCTGCACCATGATCACGTATTGCCGACGACCGATACTATCTCTGGTTAGTACTCAGGCCTCGTGTCGAGGAAGCACCGATACCTGCGCCTGTGGTAATCCATCGCGTGTTGAGAGCTACTCTTTTCGCCTCCATGGCTATAACGATACCCAATTCAATACACGACTCGACGACAGGACAACCTTTTCGGGCGGGCTAAGGCAGTAATTATCTATACCAATCACTAGTTAGGATGTGTTACGAAGTATTGGCATGCATCCTCCGACTCCACCAACGCAAAAAGCTCCGAGATCCACACGTTTATATTGCCATTTGTCGATCATAGCAAGGACCAGGTCCTGAGAGCCATGCTAAACCATCAGTCCCTCACGCTGTTCACCGGAATCTCAGCCCCGATAACTCAGACGCAATACTCCCCCTCGGTGGACTGTGGCACGGTCCGGTACGCAATGCATACATCAGAGTTTGGCCTATTTTGACAGCATTACGTCTCCCGAAGGTTCCGCTATGTTGTCCTATACTGTGGCACGGTCCCGGTACACGATGCAGACATCAGAGTTTGACCATTCAACAGCGTTACATCTCCCAAAGGTTCTGCTGTATTGTCTGCATGCCGCGTCGGCACCGTGCTAGCCCGATGTTGATAGATTTTGTGTTCGATTGACCACAATGATAAGGTTTCCAGATGCGTGCAACAGACCTCCATGGTGTTCAGAGCCAAATTCTCAGAGTCGATCGAGAACATAGGGGATTGATCGCGTAGCTTCGTCGACTCGCCCAATTTGAAGATCGCGTAGATGCGAGAATGTCGTGAAGGACTTGACGAAGTATCTTATGTCACTCGACGCAACCACCCGTTCGTTGTCCTAATCGTCCATTGGATGCACCCGAGTGCAGTCGCATGGCTGCTTTAGCATTGACTGCGCCCGCTATATCCGTCCCCACCGCTCTGCCATCAACCGTCAATGCTGCAACTCGAAGGTCTAATTTGCCTTCAGCTGCTTTCCCCGCTCCGCAGACACTGATCACACGAAGTGGCTGAACACGAGGACTGTGTAGGAGCGTGCCGCACTCTTGACAACTCACCCTACACCAATCCAACACAGCCCTCAGATCCAACGGCCATGTGGATCCGACTTCATTGCAGATCCAACGGCCTCACAGATCGAACAGCCTCACAGATCGACCAGCCTTGATGCTGACAAAAGACTGACCACAGAACAAGCCCACATGCCGCACTTCACCGCATCCACCTACGCTACTCCTCATTTTGCAACCCCTCCCCCTCATCCGCAGACCACGGCCTCGCCCTGCTACAGCAACCGTCACACGTCCGCCCCGCGCCGACAGCAATCTCCGATGCCTGACGAGGCAAGTACAGCCTGTTCGGGCTAGAACAGGATAGCGGCACACAAATGAGACGTGCTGAGTATGTCACGGACCGCCGGGGTCCAGACAAGCAGTCTAGAGACTATGAGCCACGGGATCGGTGGGCCGTGTGGCGCTCTTGCTTAGCACTTCTGCGCTGCTGTGGCGCCGTGCGGGTTCCACACGGGTGAGCGGCGCGCACGGCGGGTCAAGAAACGCGTGTCTCAGGGCACGGCATGGGGGTGTTGGACAGTGGATAGGGGGAGAGGGGTGGTGGTGCAAGTAGGTGTGTTGCTTTACATATAGTACAGTGCGTTTAGGCTGGGGTTACACTTAGTCTTACAGAATGTGTACATGATATATCGCTCCTGGCGGAGGGAGGGCTTGGGACAGGCGCAGTATGCGCTCGCGATGCATCGGAGGTCTACTGCAGATCCTGGGTCCTTAGATGTGATTGGTATCCTCCAAAGCTGCCGCTGCAGCCGAGATGCTAAGCTTCTTGGTGGCATGCGCAAGGCTGTCTCAATGCCGCAGCTGCAAGCAGTAGGGCGAGCACTATCGCAACTCTACGCCCAGTCTGCCGACAAGAAGCGAGCACAGCTTTTCGTGCAACTTGTTCGTCTCCTCATTCTTGAGCGTGCGCTCTAGACTGCGGTAGTTGATGCGGTAGCACATGCTCTTGCGGCCAGTCTTGGGGTGCTCGAATTCATCCACTAGCCTAACGTCCTCGACCAGATCGCCGCAGACCTCGCGCGCAATCTCCATAACGTCGTTCTCGTGGAATGACGGGGTCGGAGGCGCAGGAGCAGCGGGCGGCACAATCGAGCTAGGTGCAGTTTTCGAGGGTGTTGTTGCCGGTGGTTGATTGTCGTGTGAAGCGGCGGCGCCCGCACCACCAGCCGCGTTCTTCTTAGCCTGCAGCCAAAAACTGACATCCTTGAAACACGCGGGGTATTTGCTGAATGGCACGAAGGTCTTGATGGGCCCTTGTTCGCTGAACTGGTTCAGAAACCTGCTGTCTTTGGACCAGAAGAGGCGAATGTCAGGAATAGAGTAGAGCAGCATGGCGATGCGCTCTAGACCAATGCCGAACGCCCAACCCACACGGTCCGGGACGGATGCATTGTTGAGAATCGGCTGGGACACAATGCCAGACCCTAGCACTTCAAGCCACTCACCTTGCCACCAGACCTCGAGTTCCCAGGATGGCGAGGTGAAGGGAAAGTACGCCTCGACCCAACGGATCTTTAAAGGCTCAGAGGACGCTTCTGGAGCGTCTGTAGCGGACTTCGCAGCGTTGAAAATCGTGATCACCATGTCTTCCAGACTGCGCTTTAGATGCGCGGCCATCGCCTCGACCTCGTCTGCTGAATGCGTCGCCTGGAGAGGATTGCGCTCAGCGTGAATGGTGGGATTCGGGTCTTCAACTACAACATCGTGCTTTGGGATCTTCTCAACGTCGGCCCAGATAATCTCTGCGAGGGACTTCCCTTCTTTTTCGGCCTGAGAGCGGTCCCATGTACGTGCACCTTCCATCTGATGGAACACGGGGTAGTGGGAACGGTCGACGGCATCGCGACGGTAGACATCTGCACTGATCAGGTAACCTTCTGATTCGTTTGCGCGAAAGGTGTCGGCCTGATGGGCTGAAGTGTGGGTGCGTAATACCGTCTCCTTGTTCAGATAGTAGGTATCAGTTCGATTCCGGCCAACGTGATCTGCGGGAAATCCTAAAGAGTCGAAGTTCTGGGCTGTGGAGACAATCGGGAATAGATCGTTGTGGGTTTTGTAGCCAGGAAAACGAGACTCGATGAGCTTGCGGGTGATGGTGAGGGGATGATTCGTTTGGAGATGTAGCTTTCGAGGTACGGCGTCAAGTATCGATGTTGGTGTGTTCATCCATTCATCAGTTTTGTAGGCCCTCCCTTCAACCGAGATCTCTTTGGGTGTTGCTAGCTCTTCTTAGAAATGTATCTTGCAGCCTCAATTTGACAGTACATGAAGAAAACAATCGAGTTGGAAAGGCCAGGACAACAACGGAGCCAGAAGTTGACCGAGAAGAGTGGACGTGAATGTCGGCACAGGTGGTGCCGAATGGGGCATCACATGACAGTTCACTCACCAGAAGAATTGCATCTTGTCAACTGCGCCTGCTGTGGACTAAATCGCGACGTCCGTATTCTCAATGGCGCACCTCGACTCCCATGGCGACACAACGCCCTCGACAGCCCAGCTATATACATTGTGCTGATGAACACCGCGGTTGGAGTTGGTCTTTCTTGCTCGGAAAACAGCAACATACGAGTGCGAGGCCCGACGCCAAGCGGGACCCGTGCCTGCATGGGCCATGGGTCGCGTACTCGGCTATGTCGCCGCGACTTAGCTGCACGTTTTTCCGGATGACGTGAATCCCTCGGCTGCACAACAACCACCGATATCAACACATTCTCCACTCTTCGTGCGCATTCCTCGGTGATAAGGTCGCGGGACCCATACGAAGCTACATGCAGTATTTGCGCAAGCTCTCTGTACAATGTCGGCCCTTAAATCGCAAAGAAGCAGCGCTGAGGTGAGGAAGAGCGAGGATGTAGTGAGCAAAGCAGTACACTATCCGTTCTGGTTTGGAGGGAGCGCGAGTTGCTGTGCGACGCTGTTTACACATCCGCTGGATCTTGGTAAGACCAATTTGTTCTGTTTAGTTGGAGCTCCACTGACTATTGCGCAGTAAAGGTATGAACGCCAGCCGCCGCACAAATGACGTCTAGCTCACAATCCCAGGTTCGGTTACAAACACAAGCGCCTGGCGGCGTGAAATTGAACATGTCGCAAATGTTTGCGCATATTGCAAAGACCGACGGCATGGGCGGTTTGTACCGCGGCGTACGTACCTCAATGGCTGTCTTCACGCGAGCCGTATTAACAATGTCGCCCAGCTCTCCGCCGCCCAGCTCCGCCAAATAACATACTCCATGACACGATTTGGCGTGTACGAAACGCTCAAAGACCGCTTCACCACCTCTGACACCAAACCCTCCTTCCTGACCCTCGTCGGCATGGCCTCGATATCCGGCTTCCTGGGCGGCTTCGCAGGCAACCCGGGTGACATTCTCAACGTACGAATGCAGCACGACTCAGCGCTGCCGCCCGAGAAGCGACGCAACTACAAGCACGCGCTCAACGGCGTGGTGCGCATGGCGCGCGAAGAAGGCGTCGCGTCGCTGTGGAAAGGCGTGTGGCCAAACAGCGCGCGCGCGGTGCTAATGACGGTGGGCCAGCTGGCGACCTACGATGGGTTCAAGGGCATGCTGCTGGCGCACACGCCGCTGCAAGATAACCTGACAACGCACTTCACGGCGTCGTTCATGGCGGGCTTTGTCGCGACGACGATCTGCAGCCCCGTCGATGTCATCAAGACGCGCGTCATGAGCTCACATGTGAAGGAGGGCGTTGTCAAGCTGGTCACGGATATCACGCGGCAAGAGGGCCTGCGGTGGATGTTCAAGGGCTGGGTGCCGAGTTTCATACGGGTTGGGCCACATACGGTGCTCACCTTCCTTTTCCTCGAGCAGCATAAAAAATATTACAGGCAGTTCAAGGGTATGGAGTAAGGAATTGCATTGGGATGACTGGTTTGAAGACAAAAGGAGAGATGTTTGCTTTCGAGTATACATATTATCAGATATCAGTGCGCAGGTGCGCATATAGCATATGCTGGCGTTTGGCGAGGTTTGTTAGCGAGCATTTGATCAAACGAGATCAGTTGATACAAAAAATGAAGGAGAAGATGCCTCATCATGTTCGTGCCTACGACATGGTGTATGATGTTGACTGCGCAGGATATCAAGGCCAAATACCGACTCGTGCACAAATATTGCCTGCCGCTGCGCAAGCATGTATCAGTTGGCATAGCGATCAGAGCAAGAATATGGGAATTCAGAAAGTGATCTTTTCGTGTTCTAGAGGACAATTATGTGCTGAACTAGAGTATGAACAACTAAGAAAACGGGCATCAAAAAGATGCTAAGAGAGATGGGCCCATGCCAAGGGAGAGGCTGTATAGAGCCTGAAACCATCAACGCCGTTACATGCAATGCTTCGTCCCATCCTATGCTACTTTGAACGCCCAAACAATAACCAAGAAAACAAACTACGCCTGCTCAGTGCATGAGCTCCACCGGCGGCCGCGAAGTACTGGTGTTCCTCCCCATGGCCTTTTCTGTCGCGATAGAACCCTCAACACCCTCCATCGCATCGGGAGTCAGCAACTCGGGGGTTTCTGTTGTGTCCTCGACCGAGATGGCGGGCAGCTCTGGCGAGTCACCGTGGTCCTCTGGGTGGTAGACAACCAGTGTGCTGCCCGTCCGCCGCCTGGTGATGGGCGAGTACCCAGCATCTGAAATGGGCGAGTCGAGGTCGTTGTTGGGCCTTGCGTGTAGCTTTGCAAGTGCTTCTGCAAGGTCCTCGGGGTGCACAAGCGTGTTTGGCGCGTCCTCATTCCTCATTTCCCAGCCCATGGGCGGGCTGGGCGGCGGGCTGATGAAGAAAAGCTTATCGCTCTTGGGCAGAGGCAAATGTTGGTCGGTAGGGTTCATGGGTGTATTGATGCCGAAGTAGACGCGGATGCGGTATCCCATAAGAGTCTCGCCGTCGAGCGTTTGGCGGATAGTGATGGCATCGGAGGTGTTGAAAAAGGAGACGACGATGCGCTTGAAGGACTTCAACGGCGCCCATGTGTGGACTTTTGCGTGTGCGTCGATGGTCTGGCGGATTTCTGTGAGGGTGGCGGGTTGGAAGATCTCGGGCGCAAGGAGGTTCTGGTACGGTCAGTTTTGTTTCTGGGGAGGTCAAAGAATATACATACTGTGATAATCAAGGTATTTGAAGGTGGCGAAGGCTGCACGAGAGGCGGCAGATCTGAGAAGTCGAGGGAGAGTGGCGACTTGCTCCGCGACGATGCGCGTGAGCGCGAGGGTGAAGGAAGGGTAGCTTGCATGTTTGTGGAGTACAGATGTTCTGTGGTGGTTGCAGTGGTGAGTGGAAGAGCGAGGCAGACTATCGGACTTATATCACCAGAGCAGTGGCGTGGAGACGTTCCAGCGCCCGCATCCGTCGTGCGCGGTCGACTTGCTTCTGCGATGGGGCAGTGCAGTCAACTGCCAAGACCGTGCAAAGCGTCCGAATTCTGGAACCCCCCGCGGACTGCTTTGCTCTTCGTCCGCTGGTCTGGGCTGTTTGCATAGCCTAGCAGCACTTTCCCAACGCTATTACTGCCGTCGAGTCGGCTGCTACGCGGCGATGTTTGACGCGCCGCTGGCCGAGATGCTGACGCAGGTGCACCAGCATTGCCTCGCTGAGGATATGGATCACGGACTCACAACTGAGCCCCGCACATTGGTCGACTGCTGCCCAGAGCAGCCTTGTAAGTCGCTGAATCAAGCATTGTCCTCAGGTCTCTAGTCTGGCGTCGGCTTACCCCGGATGCTGCACAGCATCTGCTCACGGGAGTCGTTCTCTTCATCGTGTCTTGTGTACTGGGCAGGCAGATTTGTGAGTGAGTGTATCATGACGATGGAAGCCGTGCCGCGTGCATGTATTGGGCTACCGCGTGCGATACGGTGGCTGCGCGCTCCCCCCACGTGTAGATCTTACAGGCGCATTTGTACATAGCCAAGGCGCTCTTCGCATACTCGTTCGCAGCACTCAGGTCAAACCCAGACAGGCAGGTCTGGAGTCTGTAAGTGATACTCGGTCTAGTCAGGGCTGTTTGGCAGCACCTGCTCGTGACAAATGCTTGTCGGCGAGGCTATCATCAACTCCTATGGCAGCTCTTGACTGCAGACTCGACGATCACCACACTGTGTCTCGAGCACCTTGTTTGACCCCGGAATCGGCTACCACGTTGTTGTGAATAGCTCCAAGCGATCATAGGAACTTTTCTCCGGAAAAGACATTGTGTGTGGATCAGAGACATAAAACAACGTAGTTCTGCCAGACTCGTACCACACACACGTCTCAGGAGCATTGTGTTTTACCATGCCACGGCAACGGAGAGACATACCGAGAGCACAGCAGGGTCCAGCCGAAGTGCAAAAGGCCGGGCAGGCATTTTGCGAGACCCCGATAAATGTTCACTTGAAGTTGACAGAAAGACCGCAAGACAGGGGATGAGGCTGAGTGTGGCGCACGTGGCACGGGCCTTGCCCTTTGAGCTCTATCACTTCAAAGACAACCGCAGATCCTAGCTGCACCACGTACCCACTTACCCACATACACGCTGCTCTCCACCGCCCGCCGCAGTCGCGTCGACACTCTGCCACCTCCTTAATACCCCTCTCTTCCACGTCGACGCGTCAATACCAGCCTGCGATGGATTACGACACCGAGGGCGGCGCAATCAACGTGCGCTTCTTACAGGTACACCGCCCGCTTTGCCACGCCAGCGGAGTCACGGCTAATACAGTCATGTGTAGGCCGACAACCAGCGCGCGCAGTTCATCGTGCAAAATTTCAACCTCGAGACCGCCAACTCGCTGCGGCGAGTGATGCTCGCTGAGATCCCGACCATCGCCATCGACGTCGTCGAAGTCCTCGACAACACCTCCGTCCTCGCCGATGAGTTCGTCTGTCACCGCCTTGGCCTTGTTCCCCTGTCATCGAGGGGCGTGGAGGACCTGTTATATTCGCGCGACTGCGACTGCGAAGGCTACTGCGACAACTGCTCGGTCATCTTGACGTTGAACGCAAAATGCACGGGTAGCGAAATCATGAAGGTGTATGCGCGGGATTTGGTGATCGAGAGCAACAGACCCAACGACGAAGTTGGGCGGCCAGTGATCGTGGATCAGGAGGGCACAGGCAGCTGTATAGTGAAACTGCGGAGAGGGCAGGCCATTCACATGCGCTGTATTGCGAAGAAGGGTATCGCAAAGGAGCACGCGAAATGGGCGCCGTCTTCAGCCATAGGCTTTGAGTACGACCCGGCGAACAAGCTGCACCACCTCGACTACTGGCACGAAGAGGACCCTGAAACAGAATGGTATGGCATACTCCTTCTTTTGACTATGTTCGCGCATCCTAACCAAGTGTAGGCCCAAGGACGAAGAGCGCATAAACCTCGACGGCGGTCCAGCCAACCCCGACGAACCGTTCGATTACAACGCTGTACCATCCCGCTTCTTCTACGATGTTGAGACTGTAGGCGGCCTCGACCCAGATCAGATTGTCACAAAGGGCATCTCAGTACTCCAGACAAAGCTGGCAGAGGTGATTCGAGAGTTACAAGGAGGCGTAGGGCCGGAGGGCGCAGGCTTCGAAGGCGCGCAAAGCCCCACAATGAACGGAGGCTATGGCGGTGGACCAGACGCGGGATACACAACACCCGGGTATGGTGGCGCGAGTCAGTGGGGAGGCGCAGGCGGTGCGCAGGGCGGAACGACACCATACGGTGCGACGCCTTACGGAGGGTCTGGCTGGTAGAACGTCGATATACGACATTGCATGGGCGGCGTTAAAAAAGGATCAAAGTTGGTGGAGTGCTGGCCGTAGGACATGGGGATGGACATGGGATGCTATCTCCTTGAATAAGACTGAGCAGCGCATCTATATGTAGTACAATAGACTTGCGCCAACAAACATTCTTGAACTACGAAGTCGCTATCTTTGCAGCATGAGTCGACAGCACGACAGTGAACTTGACAATAGACATCGAGCGACACACAGCATTCATCTCAATTTAAAGATCTACTGGAATCACTCAACGCGTTGTTCCTGAGCTCGAGGATTTTCGTGACGCGCTAGCGATGGACCCACCCTCCTTATCCCTGGTCGCTGACAATTGGCTCGCTTACTGACTAAGCATTGCACCTGTGAATATTGAACTCCAAAGTTTCTCCCGACCTCAGCACGACCAGCCTACTAACGTTGCAGCACATCGCCGTCCCGCGACACCGCCGTCAAGATGAAGCTCAACATCTCCTACCCCAACAATGGCACCCAGAAGCTGATCGAGATTGAAGACGACCGCAAGCTTCGCGTCTTCATGGACCGTCGCATGGGTCACGAAGTCCCCGGCGACTCCGTCGGCGACGAGTTCAAGGGCTACATCTTCCGCATCACCGGTGGAAACGACAAGCAGGGTTTCCCGATGAAGCAGGGTGTCATGCACCCCACCCGTGTCAGGCTCCTGCTCGCCGACGGTCACTCGTGCTACCGCCCCCGCCGCACCGGCGAGCGCAAGCGCAAGTCCGTCCGCGGCTGCATCGTCGCCATGGACCTGTCCGTCATCGCCCTCTCCATCGTCAAGAAGGGTGACGCCGACATTCCCGGCCTGACCGATGTCGTCCACCCCAAGCGCCTCGGCCCCAAGCGCGCCACCAAGATCCGCCGCTTCTTCGGTCTCAGCAAGGAAGATGATGTGAGTTCTCTCATAGCTTCTTCGCCAGCCGGTGTCCCCCTGCTGCGAGTCTGGGTTCTGCGCGCGCTCGCGAGCAGACTCGTTCTCGCGGCGGTGACCGGCTGAGTCTGGGCTACACGTTAGGTCTGCATGCATGTGTACTAATCGAGCGTAACTAGGTCCGCAAGTTCGTCATCCGCCGCGAGGTCCAGCCCAAGAAGGAGGGCGCGAAGCCCTACACCAAGGCCCCCAAGATCCAGCGTCTGGTCACTCCCCAGCGTCTGCAGCACAAGCGCCACCGTGTCGCACTCAAGCGCCGCCGCGCAGAGGCTTCCAAGGACGCCGCCGTACGTTTCTCCATATTTGCGACTATACACATCAGAGCACTAACGATACACAGAGCGAGTACGCCCAGATTCTGTCCAAGCGCATCTCCGAGGCCAAGGTCTCCCACGAGGAGGCCCGCAAGAGGCGTGCCTCTTCCATGCGCCACTAGATTTCTACTACTGGAGGTGTCATGATAAATGATGAAAAGTCGTGAATGTTTACTTTGGCGTCGGCACGAGAACAGGGTGCAGACTTCGTGCTTCTGGAAGCATGCTCCGGGATTTTAGGCATGGGCGTCTCATACCACTGACTGCACAAGGCAGTTGTCTTCAATGATACAATTGCATTACTTCACGATTTGAACCCCCCTTACTGTGTGCTGTGGACTGTGCTCGTACTAAGCATCCCACTGATTAATGCTTTACCCATGGTCCAACCTACCGCAAAGTCTTACCGAATAGTCGTACCCGGTCTCTCGATCCCATGCTGCACATCCAGGATGTCGCTTCCAAGCAATCCTGTTTTATCTCCTAACAGCCCTCCAATACTATTACCAACACGTCCCCCAGTCCAAATCTCATGGAACCTAATCGCCATGTCGCTCGCTGCAACAACTAGACACCCATCCTCTGATCTGTGTCGACCCCACAATTCGTCTTCGCCTGCTGCCCTCTCCCCACTCCCCACACCAGGCATACTCATCGGTCCACCTGGGAACGCCACCGCACACAGCGCACGGTTCTCATCCCACCACGGCACGGCAACGACTTGCTCGCAACTCGGCCATGCAAATACTGCGATGCGATACGGATGCTCTGGCTGCGCAAAGCCGAAAGTAGCCGCGATTTCACGCCTTGTCTGACTCCACACAAGACTTGTGACTTGGGCAGCGCAGTCAATCGTCGCAAGACATGCGCCTGAGCGTGTATGGTAAAAGTGAATGCAGCGATCATTTGAACCGCCGCCGACGGCAACAAGACCGCTATGCCAAGGACAAAAGGCTATCGCTTTGACAGCAGCGTTCAGGACCCATTTCTGTTTTGATGCTGTGTGAGGAAGGTGGAGAACAGGGCTTGAGCGGTTGGTGACTGTGTAAATAGACTCACCGGTTGGGCCCTCCCGGACGTCGAGGATTGCGGAGGTATCTGAGTTGGTAGGCGACTGGAGCATTCGTTTGGATTCGAAGAGAAAACAGTTGTTGTCGTTACCTCCGCTAGCAAACATGTCGCCGGTTGCAGACCATGCCAGTCCGCAGATCTGCTGGGTGTGTATGGTCATACGGGCGAGTAATGTCATGGCTCCGTGCCAGCCGAAAAGCGCGCTCTGTGTTTCTGATGGCCATTCGATACTGTATAGATAGATGTGCCCAACTTCATCCCCGACTAGTAGTTCCTCCGTTGCCACAGTGATCGCCCTATCTCGAAGCGATGGGCGCTGTACGGTAGTCGGTCTGAATGAGACACATGATACTGGTTTTGGCTGTGTAGCATTGAACCTGGGCTCGAAACCGAAAGGGCTCCAGAGCCCGATGCGACCATCTGCTCGCCCCACGGCGAGGATTGCTTGTCCACCTTGTGTGGATGAAAAATCGAGAGAAGTGATGTGATGAGTGTCTGGTTCTGAGTCTGTGGGAACAGAGTTGATCGATTCAGGGGTCTTTACGCCGTCTCGTTCGGACCACAGATGTACGAAATTTCCAAGTCCCACCGCGAGATATTTGGCGGTAGAAGAGTACGCAAGCAAGGTGCAGTAGTAGTCGTCCCGCAATTGAGGCGCGTCGAGAACTGTAGGCTATGTCAATACGTTTACTGTCCCTGATGTGCGCATGACATATCTGAAAGGCAAGATCGGCACAGGTCTACGGGTCTTTTGACGAGGCCGTCGCGAAGCTTAGGGTTTTTGTCAGCAGTCAGCTTCATGAGACATAGCGAGGTAAAGAACCGACGCGGCTGGATATCATCGTGGGCCCAAGCGCTATCTCTCCATACATGCGGATTCGGGAACTGTGTTACGTTGGATCGTGTGCCGGGTCGGTCGAATCGTAACGGCGTATGGTAAAGAATTCGATCTGTCTGATCAACGTCCAGAGCCAATGCCAGGCGCCTCTCGTATGCCTCTAGTTCAGCCTCAGGATCCGCTCGGTTGAGAAATGTTGATGTGTAGAGGGGTGCCATGGTACCACTTCCAAGCATACCCCCATTGCCTGTAGAAACTGCCGCTACCGTGTCGCTCACCGCGGAAGATCCGCCGACGTTCCACACAGCACCAGCGCTGATCTGGCGTGCAGTTGTTGTAGGAGAGCTGCTCCTCAACCTGGAGTATGGACTCGGGCGACTCCCAATAGTCCTTCTTGCGATAACTGTATAAGCCTCTCTCAACCCTCGAAGTTCAGCGCTGAGGCGATCGCTCCTGCGCACTCGACGGCTGAAGGGATCACCACCAGCACGGTGTCCGCGATGGGAGATTTGTTCACGCTCGATCGGTTTGTTCAGCTCGAAGCTCTCGCGTGTGACTGCGGGCGGACGCCGGCAATGGATGAAGCGATCCGGAGTACTTACCTGTGACTTGCGTGGGGAGGATAGCAAGCCACCACGCGAAACCCATTGACTGGGTCTTAGGGGAGAGCTCGATGATCTAAGCGGGGTCCCAACAACCCTCGCAGGGGGTCTGGAATCTTTCACGAGCTGATCAGAACAGTGACTGGCATTAATCTCGGTCGGTGTCGTTGGTGGAGTCGCGTACCGTGCAACGAGAGCGTCTATGGAGCTATCGGATGAGCTACGATAGCTTCTTCTTCGCTTGTTGCGACCATCGAGAGGTGAAGAGGGTCTCGAGAAATCAAGCGAAGGTATACAGGAAGGCTTTACAGTTTCAGTGTGGTCGACCGCGGCGGGTGAAGAGCGATTGGTGAGACGAGCAGCGGTCAATGACCGTTGAGAAGGTAAGCTATCGAACAAAGGTAGAGTTCGTTTCGCAGGTGATTCCTCGATCAAGGCTGAAGAGATAGGGTCGCGCGTGGGCGAGAGAATTTCTGGTATTGAAAGTGTGCCGAGTTGAGACGCGAATTTCAGCTTTGTAGGAGAAGGTGGGGGAGTGAAGAAAGCATCGTCATGCTCAGGTCCAACATTTCGAAAGAACAAACAGCTTCGAATTTTGCGGGGTGACCCTGGGGTCCTAGGTGACGACCAGCCTTCTGTACTGATAGTTTTGGCCGGCGACAGAGGCGGTGTGGTGTAGCCAGACTCGGACGGAGTCAATTCATCATCCGTGGTGTACATATCGAGAGTCACTGAGGGTTAGTATTCGAACGCACCGGTGTCGGTCAGCACATATCGAACCAGCGATGTTCTGATATTTTGACGTATGAATGGTGGCGGAGAGGAGTGGTGCGACTGGTCGTAGCGTCCACCTGGACGACCTTTCGATTCGTCGTTAATGCTGCTCGGTTAGTCGTATAGCAATGATTGATGATCTTATAGGATTGTGCGAGTGCTAGGTTGATGTTGTCTTGGGGATTGCAGCCTTCCAGGAAAGTGTTGTGGGGGAAGGCATGGTGGGGCACATGATTTCGCGCCATCGCAGTTCGAGGCAGCCGCATTCACAACACCGATCTGAAGACGTGATGGCAAGTGTGAGTTTGATCCTGCAAGAAGGATGGGGCGACTAAGCTTATCGTTTTCTAGCATGGGATATCGCGTGGCTCAGGTCCTGTAGTCCGCTCGGAGGAAGCGCGGCAGAAAGAGCTGCAGCAAATCGAGGCGTACAAGGATCTGTCCGATCTTGTGAACACGAAGGTAAATCGCGCTGCAGACTGATCAAAACTCCTTTCTGACTTACCATGCTATCAAGGTGATAGAGAAGCAACACACAACTGAAGTTCTGGGACACATCACGAAGCTCCTAAATGAGAATCCCGAGTACTACACAGTCTGGAACCACCGAAGGCGGGTATTGATCACGTTGGTCACTGAGGAAACACAGTCACCAGATGACTTGCTGCAGGGAGACTTGCAACTGACCTTTGTGCTGTTGCGTAAGTTTCCCAAATGCTACTGGATCTGGAATCACAGGGACTGGCTGTTACAGAAGACGGAATCATTGCTGGGGGCAGATGCAGCATACAAGCTCTGGACCGGAGAGTTACAATTGGTGAACAAGATGCTACATGCTGACAGCCGCAACTTCCACGCCTGGGGCTATCGACGCATTGTTGTCTCGAAGATTGAGCGGTTGGTGCCCTCCACGAATGAGTGTGCAGACACAAGCTCAAGCCTTGCGCAATCTGAGTTTGACTACACCACCAAGATGATCAAATCCAATCTGTCCAATTTCTCTGCCTGGCACAATCGCGGCCAGCTCATCCCTCGAATCCTCCGCGAGCGCAATGCAGACGCAAAGGCACGCCGCACTTTCTTAGCATCAGAGCTGGAGCTCATTTGCGAAGCGATCAACACCGACCCTTTTGATCAATCTATATGGTTTTACCACCAGTATCTGATGACAGCTATTTCTCCTCTCTGTCCTCCAGACAGACTCATTGTCCAAGATTTGACCAACGGCGAGCGGCAGAAGTATTACGAGAATGAGATGGAGTACATCACAGAGATTCTGGAGGACGAAACAGACTGCAAATGGATATACGAGGGTCTGCTCGGGCTTGCGGAAGCGTATCTGGAGGTCGATGCGGGGACTGGAGGAGTTACGACGAAGGACATGAGGAGATGGCTGGCGGAGTTGAGGCGCTTGGATAGCTTGCGGCGGGGTCGCTGGGAGGATCTGGAGAGAAGGCTGCGCCTGTGAACGCACATGACCGCGCATCGCTTATCAAGGCTTCTTGGTGTGCTCCGGTGCTTCATGTGCGACAGCTGGAGCAGCGGGCACTGAATCCTGTTGTGGGCTCTTCTTCCAAGCCCAGAAACCCAAAGCATCGGACCATGAGCTGGCAGCTGGTTTTGTCTCTTCCTTGACTGGGGATTGCACCGGAGCGGACGGTGGCGTGACGGTCGTCGCAGCGGACGCGATTGCTGTTGGACTCTTACTGCTTGCAGCTGCAGCAGCAGCTACTTCTCTGCATATGTTGATTAGACGAAGTCGGACAACATATATTACACAAGTAGCTTACCGGTTGTACTCCTCTGTGAGCCTGTTCATCCTCTGCGCTTTGAGCTCCTCGCCAAAGGTCGCCATGCCAATTGCAATGCCGGAGACGGTTGCTAAGGCGATTGGAAGTATGCGTCCTGCCATTTTTGCTCTTTCGTGTTGCTCATGCAAATGTCTGATGTTGCTGATCAACGGGAATGGATGACGAAACCAGCCAGCAAAAAGTTCGGCGGTCCCTCACCGACACGCTAGCCGACGCGTCGAGCTCCCAGCATGGGCGCCTGCCTTGACCCCACATTACAACCCCAAACGACATGCAGACGTGGCCAAATGTCCGAATGGCGCCAGAGAGGATTTGTCCAGGATTCAGATGAAGAGGACGAAGGGTCCCAGCTTGAGAGCCAACACTCAAAGCAAGATGTACGCTTAAACGGACGCGTCGAACGCGTTCGTGAGCTTTCAGAAGCGCAGTATTTGGATGAGGATGTGGTTGCACAGGCTTCGACAGACGCAGGAAGGGTTACTGCAGCTGTGAACCAGCTATTCGGAGCGTACAGAGAACCTTCGATCAATCACACACCTCAAAGACACGCCTTACCCAGGCCGCCATCGCTCTCCCCGTTCACGCCTCTGGAAAAGCCGAGCCTGCGAGCAGAGTGCTCCGAGAGCCCAGATCCGCTTCAGAGTTCGCCGAGTGTGAAACGTCGGTCACAGACATCTGCTGTATCGCCGCAATCGCATCGTTCGCCGACTCATCAGCGGAGCTCTCAAGAGGAGATACAGCTTCGCGCTTACGCCCCGCCCTCCCAGCTTCTTGGCGAGAACGAGAGGCGAATATACAAGGAGGCGAATGCAGTTGCGATTCTCGGTGAGTTTGGGGTTGAAACTCTTTCAGAAAACTCGGAGGATGAGTTGAACATACATCGAGAGTCGGACGAGGAATCATGTTTATCCGACTATCCTTCAGATCTGTCAGATACAGAACCCCGGCCAGTAGTCGCATATGCTGCGCCCCATCGACGGACTGCTGTTCAAGTGGTAATTCCATCCTCGACAGCTCTCCAACAGCAGCTAGCACAGGAAGAAGCCCGGCAACGCCAGTTTCGACAACGGAAGCCGATCCAGCTGCATCCGTATGTGCTGGAGGGCGAGCGCTATCGCAGAGAGGTGCAGAGTCGAGGCCTCAAGCCCGTCCCACGCCAGCGGTCTCCGCTGCGGAGACAGGATCACAATGACGCCGAGATGCAAGCAGAAGAGTTCGATCCGTTTGAAAACGGTCCAAGTAGTTCTCTCGATCCTGAAATCTTTGTCTCCACTCCTATTGCCCAACAAACAGGGAACGATCAGCGGAATAGCTCGATTAGACGGCCAAGACCAACCCAGGTCCAACGTGGGTCTCCGGCTATCCAGCTACGTGTGCCAAAGCCGGCTAAGAAGAGGAGGCTCAATGGGTCTCTCTCTCAGGCTTTAGCAACACCAACAAGGGCATCTGAGCGTAGCATTGCTCCTGTAGATATCTGGTCGATCCCTCCTAACTCTCCGCCATACTCCAGTAGTCCACCCTTGAATGCACTCTTAGACAAGCTGATCTCAACAAGAAACGTCGACAACTTACCTACGCCGTCCAATTCTTCAACGTTCCACGACGAACCTCCACCACTCCCTGATTCAGACTCTGACGCTGTGCCCCGCAGCGCACAGAGATCTGGAGGGGGGTTGCGCCGGCCAATCAGGGTTATACTCAGTGATGAACCGTCGTCCGACTCAGACGCGGCTAGTAGTGCATCTGAGCAAGCAGATGGCGAGCTACAGAAAGTCGGCAAGAAAATCAAAGGAGTTCTTCCAGCATCTTGGCTTCGGATTGACCGACAGGCCCAGGAACGACGACAATCGCTCGCTCGCCAACGAGTGCGACAGAGTGCCACTCATTCTCCTGAGCCAACAGAACCTCAGCGTGGCGTAGCAAAAAGAGTCGTTAAACCGTCTAGACGTCCTTCCGGACTTGCTCGAACGTTTCCATCCCCGGACGACGTCGTGGTCATCTCCGACGAGTCAGACCAGGAACCCGAAGCTACTGTTCATCGTCCGGCCAACAATGCGCAAGACTTGACTGAAGACGCAACCTCCCTGGCTGCTATGTTTGACGATCGCTATGCCGAGGCTTTCGATGATCTCGCAAGTATGGAGCATGATCGATTGCCTTTACCGACTCTTGGAGGTTCTGCGGCTAAGCGAAAGCGACAGCCAAAGATCACAGACGTCTTGGGAAACGCAAAGAGATCAAAAACCTCGAGATCGACCGTGCTACCTAAGAGTATTCGTCCTTCGAAGCTCACATCTGGCTCCTCTACGCGGAAAAAGCAGGTCGGTCCGAGAAGAGCACGTACCCCCCTACCAGCTCTCAGTATTGTGGACGTCGAGCTACCTCGAGACGTGCCCCAATTTCTCAAGCTTGCAATGCGAGCTGCACGCCGAGATGTCGACCAAGCTCGTCAAAGCCCCCATCGAAAGCATATCCTGCTACATACAGCACAGGATACGAGAGACGCGACTGCTACTCTTCAGCAGTGGCAGCAGGGTCTACTGCAACCTGCAGTCACGCCTAACACCAATCAAAGATGTGGAAATCGCCTTCCCTTGGCAGACACAACAGAAAATCGGCAGCGAGGATCACGATCGAACAATCCCAGCAAGGATAGTGGAGCCAACGCCACTATCGACCTTGTATCATCGACGTCGAAGTCACGGCCACATGTGCGCAAGACGGTGGCTTCCGCTCTCCAGGTGCTCCAGAGGTCCTCGAATGTTGCTAGCAAGCCACGTCGACTGGAACATGTAGCAAAGCCCCATAAAAGGTCGGAAGAGGTGGTCCGACATGGTGGAGCTCCTTTAAGGACCGCGCAGCTTGAGGGCGACGAGAGAAATTTTGGTCGTAGTCATCGCAAGATAGCGTTCCAGAAGGGTCTACACCGTGTGAATCTGCAGTCTGGTATCCATCAAGATCCCAAACAGCGCTTTCTGAACCCACAGCTGGCGCGATTCCTTGCTGATGATGATGCTGTACTCCCGCCACTACCAACGGCCGCAGAAGCAGGAGAGTATCGGAGTGACAGCCCTACAGGCGTCAACACTGCGATAACTGTACCTCCGATGCGTCTCAAGCAGAAGCTTCAAGCTACACGTATTGACATCGACGCGCGAGAATATCGACAACCAAGTGAGCCGGAGTTTGAGCCTACCTCTGTAGTTCCGACTGTGGTTCTGAGTGAAAGTGCACCCACAGAGAGGAGCGGAGATCAACTGCTCGGACTTGGGCTTTTCGGCACACGTTATCCGATTACCTTCGACATAGCGCCACTGAAGAGTGATACCTACTTTCATTCAGATACTTTCGTCGGCTCGGAGGATCTGCGACGAGCATTGTCAATTATCGACACTCGCGATATGGACGACCCTACAGGGTATTGCGTAGTCTCGCATGGCCCGACGACCATCAGGTGCGGGCCGTGGAGCGACGAAACTTACTCGCAACTGTCCGAGCTACTGACGACAATTCTGCCAGCACTGGTCGACGGTGGTGACAAAGTCTTGAGTGGAGCGTCTGCAATCGATGCCTTGACGTCTATAACGATAGTCTTGCGAGCGTTAGCTGCCTACATCAGCGGCCATCTGAGCTTTTCGGACCCAATCGACCGAAAGGATTTCGCGATAAAGATGCAGTACCTTTTGCAAGCTACATTCAATCGGCTCTCCATCATACACACGTCTGAACGCGAAACCCAAGCATTACCAGAGCAAACGGAGATCATCTGTCGCGTACTGAGTTACTTACTCGTCATTGGCACGCAAGTTCACCATATCGCAAAGCATGTTGTGGTGCCCGACCTCGATAAAGCAAGACTCTTAGACACCATCAGGGACATCTCCAGACTTTTGGTCAAAGGCATGACTATGAGAACCAAAAGGTTGTTCGACTTCCATGAAAAGAACAGGCTCCACAGAGAGCGTGAAAATGGTATCCAAGGTCAGGACATCCTTGTTGAGAGTATCGTCATATCTATGCATGCACTCGAGCTGCTCAACACGCCTTCCCTGGGTTTCTGGGACTTGGTCAGCCATGAGCTCTCGTCAGAGCTCTCTTCTGCGTACCAAGTGCAAGCCTTCGACAACGTTTGGGCGACACTCATGTCGCTGCTCCCCTTCATCGAGTTTGATCTGTCCGGTATTCCTGATCGTTCTCGTCTTAGGGCTTTCGACAAGGACAACTGGGGTTGTGTATGCATCCTTTTGAAACGAATCCTAGCATTGTACTCAAGCACATCCTCGCACGGTACTTCCCTCAACGAGTACATCCGCGCCAACCTTACAAGATGCTACGTACTCATCAACGACTGGCATTGGAAACGCCCCGAGCAGATTCTCAATGTTATCTTTGATTTCTTTGGTAAGCATGGGTTGAAGTCACTCCGACGCGAGCCTGTCACTGGCTCAGCAGCTTTCTTGCGTAATTTTGTAGCGGCAGGCAGCATGACCCTCGCATCCAACGAGACCTCTTTCCACATCGCGCTCAAGTGTCTGGCTACGGGCTTGCAAGGCATGGCCAATGCATATCCGGAAAAGAAGTTGCTCAGCTTCGTATTTAGACGCATACCCAATCATGGCCGTACATACCCAAAGGACCAGCCACTCGATGAGGAAAGCTTGACCGCCTTGCGCAACCACCACGACCTGTTGTCTACGCTTTACTGTGCAGTTCCACCATCGTGCCGTCCAAGGCTAGATCTTTGTCGCGACCTGGTAAGCCATGAGACTTCCCACCGCGAAGCATGCAGGGTTAGCGTGCGTGCATGGGCGAACTTGACAACTTTCCAATTGTCAACGGACGAGACGTATGCAGTTGCAAAACCGTTTGCCCTCTGGTACAAGGACATCATGCACCAAACATTGAAGCAGTATCGACTAGCCAAGACCGAAGCTGAAGAGTATCTCAAGTCTGCAGTGCTGGATGATAAATCTGGAGTTGTAGCCAAAATGGTAAAGCAGACGATGGAAAAAAACCAGGAACAGGTCATCGCCACGTTGCGCGATAGTATTGCAGGCATGAAGCACGCTGTCCAATGTGCCACGGATTCATCAAGCCTTGCGTCATTCCTAGCCGACTCCGACATGATACAGCTGCTGGAGCTCCCGCACTTGGAGGATCTCCGGCTTCTCAACGTTATCCGGGATACTCTATCAGTCCTTAGACAATATGCATTGATGCAAAGAGCCCAGGTCCGGCAGCCGGAAAGCCAACCAAGGAGCGAGGAGAGTCAAGACTACGGCGATTTCCCAGACCTGGACGATCTGGACGATGTTGATGAATTGCAAACTATCCAGACAGCGTCTGTAGCTCAGTCTTCGTGCCTCGACTTCGTTCAAGGGCCTCTATGGCATCTGATTTCCAATGCTTTTGGCGCCGAACGTTCACCAGACGACAATCTTCTCTTAGACTGCATCGACGTATGGGTTCTTATTGCGGGCGATCAAGTCTCAGGTGGTGGTAAAGACTGGTCAGCTTACATTGCTTCCTTTAGCCAGGTCTCCTGGCAACAGTTGCGTCCTACCGAGCAGACGAGGAAGTTCGGTCCTTACTTCATGGCAGCTTTGATCGCTCGTGACCCTGCCGTTTATCACGAGCATCGACAAGAGTTTTTGACTGCTCTACTGCTTTGCTTGGCAGATCGAGAATCGATGCTCAGATTTCAGCATCGACTTCTGAGTGCTATTGTAACTGCAGATGGCGGCCACCCCCTGTTGAAGAACCTTCCATTCTTCAAAACCGAGGAAACTGGACTCTGGGACATTACGGCCGACACTCTACGATTGAGGCGCCTCGCACTCATCTCAAGCCTGCTTTCGAACATGCGAGAGCACGTATATACTACGACTGTGCGAGAGCCGGCATACGCTTCCCAATTGAAGACCCAATACGCGGCGATGCTGCAGGAATTTATGACCAGGCTACGAAGCAATTATCAACAGTTGCAACAAGGAGGCGAAGTAGCCGGAGCATACGTTGATTTCGTCCAAAAGATTGTTCGGTTTCTGAAACAGTATACGAGCGATATCTGTCCCGTTCTGAACTTCTTCACCGACTCGGTGGCCTTCCCGTTGCCATCCACAGATCCCTCGTATGTCGTTGGTCGGCTCTGCGGATACGCGCCAAAGGCACAAGACTTGGGCACTGCCAAACAGTTGTCGTGTTTCATACAGACTGTCGCGCAACAAGCCGCAGCCGACAATCAACAAGTTTACCTTAGGAGCCAGCTTACCACAGCACTATGCACCGACGAAGCGCCCATTACTGACCGAGTGGCATTACGGACCGTGCTGCTCCAGGGCATCTTCCCAGCTTACATTGAAGGCGCATTTGCCTCACGCGTTGGTCACCTCATCGCCAGACCCATTCTGCAATGTTTGCCAACCGTGCTCGATGAGTCGATATATGACCTGCGGGTCCATCAGATCGAGTCCTTGTCAATGACCATCGGAAACATTCGTTCGATTGCGCATGCCTTCATTCGCGGCACAGAACATTTGAAAGGCGATGCCTCCCTCCTACAGCAGCCAAGTATTCTGAACGGCTTGGTATACATGTTCGAAACCGCAATGTCAATAGTTCGGCTGTTGGACTACATGATGGACCGGACCGTGAGGACCGCGGAATACAAGAGGCCGCCATTGATCACCTACCTATGCGATTTAAGTGTGTATATCGCGCAGATGGTCACAGGCACAATTCCACTCGTCGTGCCTTCGTTCCGCGGAGATGCAGATGCAGCATTGTCCAGTGCACAATACTCCGATGTTTTGTCATTCTGCACAAGGGACCTGCAAAGCAAGATGGGGTCTGTATGGGGCGATGACCAAGACTCGATTTGGTTTGGCCATGGGCGAGCTAGGAAAGAAATCGTGTGCGATGTGGAATCGGCTGAGAATGGAAAGGCGAGACTGTTGAATACTCTTCAAAGGTTTCAGGAGACGCTCGGTGACGGGCCTGTGGGACTAAGTATCGAGGATGACATGATTGTTTAGCATGTAGACATCAGCGCATTTAGCGGCATTCGGGGCGTTACTGCATGGTATGATAATGACCAATGATTACACCACGACTTCTGATCATTACCACACTATCCTCAATCGCAATGTCTTGATCACGAGAACTCGCGTCTTAGCCGTGTAACCCGGGGAGCTATGTGTCAATCAGCTATCCTATCTTTCTTAAAACCCCCGCTTTCTCAGTCCATACCTATCCAAAGTATCAATTGATCATCTATCTTGCGATTCATCACAAACAATGCCTCCGAAAAAGAAGCAAAGAACGGGTAAGGACACGAGCGTGGCAACGCAGCAAAACGAGAATCAAGAAGAGCCACGTGAAACCGAAAGCTCAGCGGCTCAAGAATATGCCACCAGTGACAAGGGTAGTGACGAAGGTGGCTCCAGTCCAAAACTTCGTGACGCAGGTTCTCCGTAGCCATTGTGTGGAATGCGTCTAACTATTGCAGACAAAAACTATCCTCGATTATGAGTACATCGGAATGCACTGCCCACGCTTCGACGTTGAAGCCGAAGCGCGCTCTCGTGGCGAGACGACAACGAAGACGACGAGGACGAGGATGAGGACGACGAAGATGACTTGTACGGGAAGGGGTTTGATGCTGAGGAAAAGGCTGGTGTAGTACTGGAGCCTTCCAGAGACCACCCGGAACACAAATGGTGCATCATGTGGGAAGGGTTCAAGATGTGCATGGATTACGTCAGGAGGAGCAAGTACTGTTGCCCTGATCTTTTTGACATGTACATCACGAACGATTTCGAGGGGTACGGGTACCAGGAGCTGATTGAGAACTTTATGGGTGTTCGCTGCGCTTATAATCTTGATGGGATGAGAATTTTGACATTGAACAGGTTGTCGCTTTTGATGGATCACTAAAGAAAAAGGATGAGGACGCTCTGAAGCGCACCTGGGCCATCGTCAGCGCACTCAGCCTCTGGTTGAATGAGGTTAATCAGCGCCCGCTCATGGGTCAGTACTCGTCCAGACCTTGCTCGGCAGAACAAACAGCTCACAGTACACAGGCAACGAAAATGGCGAGAAGACCCAAGCAATCATCGAACTGATTGGCTACACACTCCTGCGCGGCCTCGCAGCTCTGGACTTCGAGGGGCAGGTAAAGCCAGACACCGACTTCCTCGATGTTCCAATTGTGATCACCTCCCTCCTCGAGTTTTCTGACAGCCTCGAAGACTACGGCATCGACGCTGAGGCACTTGAGTGGCGCCCCCACGCTGCGGCTTATTTCAAGAAGGGTGGGTTTGCGATTGAAAAAGGCGTTTTCGCTGCGAAAAAGGTCCTTGAATCGGCGAACGGCGGATCTGAGGCCAGTCTCGCCAAAAAGGGAAAGGATCCATGGGGCTGGGATAAGTTGGTAAAGAAGTACACGCGCACGTTTTGTACAGGAAAGATGGGGGGTACCAAGTACGATATCACGAAGATGAGCAGGAAAGAGAGGGCAGGCCATGCCTTCGACCACAAGAACCCCCTGGCAGATATTAGTGACAAGGACTTGAAGGAAGGAGTTTTGGACTTCGCGTAGATGGTTAGCTTTCGACAGCTCTTTGAAAATTACCAAATGGATCGTGATGAGAGCGCACATGAACCGGTGCTGATCGTTGAAACACTGTTCAACCCTGTTTTCTAGACATGGTTACCACCAATCGCACCTTGGGCGCAATGACATAGCAGTATGATGGCAACTGGGTAGAGAACATTCCAAAATATTTGTTGTCTGCTCCAAGTTTCGGTTCGATCCGAACAATAACGCTACGCGCTGCTCCAGGTCACGTCAGGCGATTGCCCGTCATGATCCCCAGCTCATCACAGCATTCAACATTGTGACTGAGCACGTGCGGAGTACACCCCGGGGCTTACTAGCGGTTCGATGCGCACTATGTTGAGTTTGTCGTCAAACCTGCTTCAAGGATCAAACTCAACATCGCACAGCGGCTACGAGCCTTTCCTCCGAGGCTACAGAATCCTGCTCAGATGGCACGCTCAGGTGGCTAGTGGTGTTCTGGACTTTGACCGTCGATTTTGGCTCTAGAGCTACGGGGCTCAACGCTCGACCCTGTGGCTTCTGCAGGTGACGCGGAGGGAACGAACGATGCAAGGGCAAGGGTGTGGCGCACGCTTGACATCACCGAAGGCGCATTTCGTGGCGTCGGCCCGAGAGCCAATCACAGGGCCCAAACTAGCACCCGCATGACGTCTGCCGTGGGAATAGCTTGGTGTGACGGAGCCCTGATCGACAGCCATGCTACTTCGATCGGAGGAACAACAAGGCAGGATGGGTCAGGGTCTGCAGGGCTTGCGAATGATGTGGAGGCTTGTGAAACTGGAATACAAGGCTGTCGTCATTGGGAGCGACGAACATAAATGGCGCCTGCTCTGCGACTGCAAAATCAGGCACTTCATTACACCACTATTATTGGCATTTTACCTACCAGTCGACCTTCAACACCTACCAGTCCCTCCCCTCCTCTCTAGGACAACACCTGAGCATTCACAATGGCTTTCGGTGGTGCTGCCCTGAAGTTCATTGCTACGGCTTTGTACGCCCTGGAGTTTGGCTGTGCTGCAGTCATTCTTGGAATCTACTCATACTTCCTCTCCGTCCAGGCTGATCGCAATGTTACTATTCCCCGCTGGCAGCAAGCCGTAGAGGGTATCTCTGGTGCGGCAGTCCTCTACACCATCCTCGCCATTGTCTTCACGTGTTGCCTGGGCGGCAAGACCTTCTTCGCGCTGCTCGGCTTGATCCTCAACGCCCTGTTCTGCGGTGGTATGATCGCTATCGCCGTTCTTACCCGCGACGGAGCCTCTAGCTGTACTGGTTACGTCGAGACTCCTCTTGGCAACGGCGCCAGCTCTTCCAAGGAGGGCTTTGGCAGCACCGACCAGGGCAACCAGATTACCTACGCTGCCTCGCTCGGTACTACTTGCAGGCTCAACACCGCCTGCTTCGCCGTCGCCATCATCGGAGCGTAAGTCTACCACCGCCAGTTTCCACGTAATATGAACTAACATTCATCAGCTTCCTCTTCCTCTTGTCCATTCCCGTGCAGCTCTTCTTGGGCCGTCACCACAAGAAGGAGAAGCGCTTCGGCCCTGGCCCCACCAACAACTACACTGGTGGTTCCGGCCGCAAGTTCTGGCAGCGCAAGCAGCGCAACAATGCGCTCCGCGATCCTGAGGTCGCCGCCGTTCCGGTCACCAACAACGGTCACGCTGCTCTTGCTCCTGGTGCCCGTGATTACCGCCCAAGCCATGACACCCACATGACTGGCTCCACTGTTGCTGCTCCTCACGGCACTGCTACCACCGGCCCGCTCGACAACCACGGCTACAACAAGCCTGTCTCCGGTGGATTCCACACTGCGCCTCACGCTACTCCTGCTACCAACTACTAGATGGTAGCTTGTGCAGCAGAGCTATCAGGCTCTCACATCCTGATGGGTGTTGAAGGTTGACTGAATCTTCAAACTGTACTATTATGACAAATTAGCGATTGATACCAATGAATGGCTCAATTTGGGCCTGTGGAGGACACAGATTGGTGTACATATGACCTTACGAACCTAATACTTAATGAACAAACCTCAAACAATTGACATGCCAAACGTATACGCCGTGATCGTTCAGTTCGTGTCGGTAAAATGTGATCCATGATTGGCTGCAGACAAATCCTCGGCTTTGCTGCTGATTAATCTAACGTCATTCTGCCGACCCCGAATCTTTGTCCACCAAACAGTCAAACATCGCCATTGCGAAACCTCGAAACTTCGTTCACACCCAAAGCTCACATACCCCACATAATGGCCTCTATAACAATGCCCCGCGCTGCCATGCGCAGTCTCTCGCGAGCAACACCCTCTCTCCGCTCCACAGCGCCGCGCATCGCCACAAGATGTCTGCACCAAAAGTCGTCACCCATCACAGCCTCCTCAACACAGTACCGACCGCGAGCGCAGCCCTGGAGCCAAGGTGCCATCTCACCGTCTGCGACTATCACACGACGAACGATGTTCATCCAGACTGAACCCACACCAAACGCTGACGTACGTTCACCACCTGTCCCACCTGTATCACACTGACATTTCCAGGCCCTGAAATTCAACCCCAACATGCGCGTCCTCCCCGAAACCATACAATCGCCCTTCCTTGAATACGTCTCGCCGCGCAGCACCCTCGCGCCACCGCACCCATCGCCGCTCGCCGCGCAACTCATGAACATCGACGGCGTGACAAGCGTCTTCTTCGGCGTCGACTACATCACCGTGACCAAAGACTCGTCCACGCCCTGGGCGCACATCAAGCCCGAAGTCTTCGCCGTCATCAACGAAACCCTGACCTCCGGCTCGCCTGTCGTCAACACCGTCGAGGCCAAGGCCGGCGAAGAGGGCCAGGGCGGCTCCGAAGTCGACACCCTGGCGTACGACGAGAACGACGACGAGGTCGTCGGCATGATCAAAGAACTCCTCGAGACGCGCATTCGGCCCGCGATCCAGGAAGACGGCGGCGACATCGACTTCCGTGGCTTTGTCGACGGCCAGGTGCTGTTGAAGCTGCGCGGCGCGTGCAGGACGTGCGACAGCAGTACGGTGACGCTGAAGAACGGCATCGAGAGCATGCTGATGCACTACATCGAGGAGGTCAAGGGCGTGCAGCAGGTGCTGGACCAGGAGGAGGAGGTCGCGCTGAAGGAGTTTGAGAAGTTCGAGGAGAAACTGAGGCAGCAGAAGGGTAATGCACCGCCGTCTACGGTCGGGAAGGGCAGTCTTGATACAGTTGAGTAAGATATCGAGAAGGGGGTTGGACGCTGTAGAGATACCACTATTACGCTCGCTCTTCGTTTGGGAAGCGAGGCTGTACAAAATTACGGATATACTTAAAACAAACGAGCGTGTGAGACTCGGCAGCCTATGTCGATATTAGCGTACAATTCCGGACGAGACTTTCATATGCCACGGTATAAACGCCATATATGAGCTATCTGGTATTAGGGGTCAAGAACATTTCATCGCATCTTGTCTGCGAGCCAGAGGTTGTGATCGATGAGAGAAACAGACAACACCGAGAAACGCCGCGAAACCAAGCCATAAAGTGCCAAGGTCAACGAAAATCGTACGATGATGGCCTGATCGATCCTTAGTATCAACATCACAGCACCACACGAGCAAGCTTGGAACAGTTATAGAACAGTCAATGAAGTTTTACAATCCAACTAAGGTATATACAAGAAGATGTCTCAATCAACATCACATCCATCATTCCATCGTGCGTTCAGCGCAGGCGTCTAAGCCTGCTGCTTGAGCCACGCAATGAAAGTCTCGAGGGTGAACTCCTCGGGCAGCGCACTGCCGGACGCGGGGGCAGACGCAGACGCAGCGGGGGCCTCGGCGCCGGAGGTAGCAGCCGCGGTGGGAGTGGCAACGGCGGTGGCAGAGGCGGTGGCAGTGGCGGACGCAACAGGGGTCTCCTCAACGGGGGTCTCCTCGGCGGCAGCGCTGGTGGCAACGGCAGACGAGGCGGCGGTGGGCGTGGCGACGGCAGTGCCGTTGGAAGCGGCAGAGGAGGCAGGGGCAGGTGTGGAGGGTGCGGAGCCGTCGCAGCTGGCAATGGGGCCACCGGGGGCGGTGTAGGTGGAGGCATCGAAGCCGTTGTAGACGTTGGGGATGTAGATGTTGGGGTCCTCAGCCTTGTACGCGCCGGGGAGGGAGATGGTGGGGCCGCAGGCGCCCTTGGTACCAGTACCGGTGATCTTGAGCTGGGCGCAGCCGACTGTGCGGTGTTAGTGTTGGTCGATTGGGGTAGACGTGGAGGAACTTACTGTAGAACTGGCCACCGCCAACAGTCTGGGCGCCGTGGAGAGCAAGCATCTCCGAGCGGAGGAGGTACTCTCCGCTGGCGAGGCCGGTGGGGAGCTTGAACTCGCGGGTCATGTTGTTGGCGCCCATGATCTCGTTGGCCCACTTGCCATCAACCTGGTCCTGCTCGTCGATCTTGAACCAGCCGGCACCGATACCAGTGGCCTGGCTGGCGTCATCGACGGGTCCGAAGAGGAAGTGAGTGATGGGGCCGGGGTGACCGGACTGGTCCCACTGGACCTTGATGGTGTCACCCTCAGCAGCAGGGACAGTCTCAACACCGGAGGGGACCTTGGAGCCACCAACGTTGCAAGCCATGTCGTTGGATGTAACATCAGTGACGGGGCTGTTGGAGGGAGGCATGCGGATACCAGTCTGGTAGCCGGGTGTCTCGTCGTTGACCCAGAACTGGTGCATGTTCTGGTGAGCGGAGGCCGCGCCGAGAAGGGCGGTAGCGATAATAGCCTTGCAGAACATCTTGAAGTTGTTGTTGGAAAGTTGTGTAAGTGTATGTACAACAATTGACTTAGTGATACCGGATCACGAAAAGAAGGTGTAGTGAGTAAATGAAAAGAATGAATGGACTGTTGCAAGCAACTGAAGGAAGGACTGGCCGTTGGAATGATCAAGCAGAGTAGAGCTGGGCTCGCAGCGCCTTTAAACCTCTATCCCGTCCCACAACCGGCCAAGATGAGCGTTCTTTGATCCTGCACCGCAACAATTAATTCCGATATCCAGGGTTGTCGCATGAATCCTTCACAGAACCCGTTGCCGCTGTCCTTGTTTGGGGGTTCAAGCGAGACGCCCTGGCGGGAACCATGTTCCTGACACTCTGGACGAGGCAGCGGCTTGACCTAGATCGGAGTAGTCGCGATGTAAGTCATGCAGGACCGCGGTGTTTAGCCTCGAAATGGCCAGCCGAGATTGGGTGGATTTCATGGTGGAGAGGTCAGTGTTTTGAAACCCGCTACATGGGGCTTAGCGAGCTGGCATTGCATTGTCTAGCGCTCCGTGCTGTTTCAAAACTTCTGTGGCAGGCGGCAACCAGGATCGTGTTCCTGCAGCGCTTCGAAGCCCGAGTCCGTAGCCAGGTCTTGACGTTGGTGATGATGTCTGCGCTCGCAGTTGCATAAAGGAGACAAAGTCAAGCGCGCAACCACTGGAGCTTGCAACGGCTGCCAGAATGTTTGCAAGTACGGTTGGTCATCTCTGAGCCGCATGGCGAGAAATTGAACATGTGTAATTGTGTTTCGAGGAATATTGCTTCATGACACGCACAGCGCTTCGCTCTCCCACGCGCCGGAGGTGCGTCCGTTTAACCGTCCGCTAAACCGTCCTGACCACTGTGACGAATCCAGTGGGGCTTGACTTCAAGTCTCTCGGTGCTGGGGCAGTCGCTGTGAAGTCTTCAAGTGGGTCGCTATTTGGCATAGGCGCCCTATCCAGTGTCCCGGTAGATGTGGGTTCAGTGGTTCCATCATTTGTCGACGTCGGTGCGCTTACTATCGCTGTAGCCCTCGCCGCATTTACAGATACCGTGACGACTGAGGTGTATGCTGATGCACTGCCGCGAAACATGTCTTCAGTGATCAAGACTCGAATCTCCTGTACAGGTGGGCTGGCGGACTCCGGCTGCATGACGATGAACATGCGCACGCCGAGCGCAATGGAGGTGAACCAAAGAGCTATCAGAAAGAACACTGCTGCAATGATCCAAGGTATCAGGATGGCTTTTTTTGGCCACCGTCGACGCTGAGGCCGTGGTGGCAGGGGAATGTTATCGAATCTTGGCATAGGAGCCGGATATTGCTGGTAGCTGGGGTAGAATGGCTCGGGCTTCTCTTCGAAGGCCTTTTGGTCTTCGAAAGCGCTCTTGCTGGTCCATCGCGGCAACTGCTGCGAATAATATGTGGGTAACGGGGTGGGGTGTGCATTGGATGTAATGTCCTTGGAGACTCCGCGCTTGTGGTGGGCCATTTTAGTTTATTAAGGTAATGATTAGCAGCAAAACTCCAGACGAGAACCAGCTCAGATTGTTGAAGGAGAACGATGAGGACATCGTTTGCAGGTACGGTGTACATATGTACAAGTCAACACGCATCGCGGCCGGCGGGAACAGTTGCACCATCAACAGATCGCGCCGATTGCTCACATCCACTCAGTCGCGTTGCGGGGTCAGCCATACTCTGTTCGCTGCAGCCATCTGTGTGTGTTTGCTGAGCGGTGATGTTAGCGGCGCGGTGTGTTGACAAAAGCGCTGCAAATTCTTAGTGATTGGATGAGCGTTTCCCAGAGCTGCGAGGCGGGATCGTGCACGGGCCGGTCAACACCGCTCTCCCGACCACCTCGTAAACGCTTTCATCGTCATTGATGGCTTGAGGCTCCCAAAATCGACTTCTTTTCTTGATTCTACCACTAGTTGCTCAGTTCCTATCTATAGACCCACCTCCGCACCATCCTTTCTAGTCCAAGTCAAGGCTACCAACGTCGCGGCTGCCGAGCGCTACCGAAGGACGAGAGAGATCACGCGTGATGCAGAACGATAAACCCAATCATTGAGATCGAGATGTTGATCCTCTGGCAAATGAACACTTTCCACGATGTTCGTGGGCCGGCGTGTACGCCTACGAATCAGAGGCCTGCACGCAGCTTTCTGCCAGATGCATCCCCTAAAACCACCGCCCTGATATCGCCTCTACCGAATCATCGCAACTCGATTATTCGTCTTGTGATCGTATCTGTTGGTGATTGGGGATCACGAACAACTGAATTGACCGATAGAAATGGAACAAGTAATTGAGTGAATTGATCAGGTTCTCTATCTTCTCTAAGGCGTTGCAACTACTCAAATATATACCTTGTTCCGGAGCTTGATCAGGCCGAAATACCGAGCCGATCGGAGATTACTGTAGCTTGGGCTCATCGTGCACTCAAAGTAAGCAAGATCATGTGATCTGGACCTTCTCTGTGATCCCAGAGGGTCACCGATCAGTGACTTGCTGCGACAGTATCACATCTCCGACTGGCTGGTGGCTGTAAGTCTTACAAGTGACGGACCCGCACATAGCGAAGAAGGTAATCAATAGTCGCAAATGACCCGCTCCGGGACTGTAAGCACTCCAAGAATATATCATTGATGTAGCACTGGGTTTGGCATTAGTATACAGGCCTTGATCGGAGGTCAAAGGACTCAGCCTGTATACTGTAGGTCAGAAGTTAGCGTAAGAAAGCATGCTAACGCGGTGGTGGGAGAGGTAAATTTCATATGTGTATTTATTTGACAGCCTGCAAGCTAGGTGATAACGTATCGTGCGGCTGAAGTGAAAGCGAAGATGATAAGAACATAACAGCATGACTCGATTCCTTTCGATAATTGCTGTAGCTTCTACACACGGACATCCAATTTGTATTCTGAGTTTACACATGCTCAGCGCCAACACCAGCCTGTTCTTCCAGCAACCGAAAACCCCTCACCCAACCCAAACTCCACTTCTTACCAAGGTCGACATGTGCCATCGAGGCTTCAAAGGCTGAGCGAAACCGCAGTCCTACCAACCTGGGGAGATGCAGGCAGCTGGGAACCCATGCGGTGCTTACGGCAGGCGGCTTCAAGGTTATCAACACGGATTTTCACTTTCGCACGGTTTTCCTCCAAGCTGACAATCCTTGTGTTCTGATTCTCCAAGTCATCTGCCACGCAATCCTTGAGGCGGTCGAAGTTTGTTCCAAGGTTTCCACTGGAGGTGGAGGCCTGGTCCATACTTGTAGACAGCTGGCGCACTTGTTCTGTGAGAGCCGCTAGCTCCTCGCTTTGGTGGGCGACCAGATGGGGCGTGTGGGCTAGTGTTCGGGGTGGAGACTCAACACTGTCGGTCGAGTTGGGGGTGTTAAAGAGAACTTCCCGGAGGACAAGCTGGTCCTGGATATGCATTTTGAGCTCCCTCTTAGTTGCGTCTGTGTACACCTTTGCAGTTTCCAGCTGCTCTTGCTTCTGTGCCTCGTAGTTGGCGATGTGGTCGCTGAGCTGGCCTTGCAGGCTGGCGATGTCTGTCGACATGGGCACTATTCTGTCGATATGCTTGCTGACGCTGTTCATGGTCTTGCCAGAGCTGATGATGTTGGCTTCGAGGAGCCCAATCCGCGCTTCGATAATGTGCACCTTTGAGGTCAGGCCTGCAGGGGCTTGTGAGGGCATGCGCTCTAGCTGCTCCAACCGATTGCACAGGTTGGCTGGAATACTCGTGTTGTGAAGCGTTTCCAAGTGGCTCATGATGTCGCTCTTCTGCTGGTCTATCTTGGTCTGAACATCTTGGTCTATCTTGGTTTGAACATCTCGAGCAACGGTAGTAGCATCAATTTCTGCCTTTTGAGTATGAGCCGAAAGCTGTTCTACCAGGTTGCGGATGGCTGTGTCCTGTTCTATGTTTTTGGCAGCTGTATGGGCCGCGATCTTATCCAGCCTCCCACTCAAGGTATCATGCGCCTGGGTTGCAACTTTAAGATCCTTCTCCACACTCTCGAGTCTCTGGAGGACGGCCTTGGTCTCTTTCTGCGCTTCTTCGCGCTCTTTCTGCGCTTCTTTGCGCTCTTCTTTGCGCTCTTTCCGTTCAGTACATAGCCCATCGCGTAGGTCACCAATCAGCTTCTCTGTGACTTCCAGGCGATCCTGCGCTTGCTGGCGCTCTTCCCGTTCAGTGTTTAGCTCTGTCCGCAGTTGACCAACATCTTTCCTCAAATCTGCGTTCTCGCGACGCTCAGCTTCGACAATCTTCACCAAGTCCTGAATCTTCGTATCCATTTCACCCAGTGCTTTGGTCTGAGAATCTTTCATCGTCTGCTCAAGGGTCTTGCAGCGCTCATCGTGAGCTCGCTCGTGCTCCTTCTGTTGGTAGCTCACGACCTGGACAAGTGATGTAGCCGAGTCCACGGCTTTGTTGACCTCTTCGATCCGGTCGCTGAGCGGGGTGATGAACACCGTGCTGAAGCCAGAGGTAAGCTGCTCGGCTTGGGTCCTGAGCTGCTCTTCCATCTCCTGCGTCAACAGCTTGTGGCTTTCATCAAAGCGTGTTTGCAATGCTTGCAGGTCAGGGAGTTCTTTCACTTGCTCTTTCAGCTCTCCAAAAGTCTTCGAGACCGTATTCAACGACTGGCCGTAGTTTTCGATTTGCGTCTCTAGGGGCGTCAACAGCTTGGCCAGAGCATGCTCCTTAACAGTATCCAGAAACTTTTGGTCGGTATCACTGGCGTTCTCGGTGATAGTCTTTTGTAAATCGGTAACGTGTTTCATAGTGAACACCTCTGCGCTGTGCTTGGCGTCGCTCAACAAGGACTCTATCTTTTCCGAAGTTGGCACTACGTTGACCTTCGAGAGAAGGGTACTGTAGTTATCACCTTGGGTCTTCACTTCTGTGCTGAGCTTCTCGACGCTCTTTACAGTTCCTTCGAACCGCTGGCCAAGACGCTCCACCTTTTCCACCACTGTGTGGAGTGTCTCATCGCGGCGATCCTCATCGGAAGCCAGGAACTCTCTCGCTGCTCTCCGCTGCTCCTCGATACTGTTGGCGGCTTTGGAAACACGCGCACGCTTTCGAGGATTTTTCGGGGACGTGGTGTCCGGCGAGGCGGGTGAAGGTGCGGCATCCTGGGCTCCATGGTCGTCGGCTTGCGCAGGCATGTTGGTGGCGGAGGTCTTGGCCCTCGTTTCCATCGTGAAGGAAGCCAGGTGAGTGGGTGTCAATGGCTAGCCTGATACGCAGGTACGCAGGTACGCAGGTGATAGTGGGTTGAGACTAGTAGTTCCGAGGGCGGCAAGTGAAGGTGAACGATCGACGGGGAGTCAACGATACTTGTTTGCTAGCCACCCTTGTCATGATCTGCAGGTACCGACCGCCATGGTCAGATGTTTGTTCACGGGAAATGTAAGTGGGGAGTCAGACCACACGACCCTATGGGAGCTCATCAACGTCGACGCGCATGTCAACGCATCAGGCTTGCGGCCGATGGCCTGTAGGCAATAGACCTCCAGCGGCGCAGCCAGACAAAACGAGACGCCTGTAGGAGCACGGCGGCGATCCTACACCAGGACCTACATGCATGCGTGTTCTGGTTGGCGGGCGACGAAAAAGTGACAGGTCGCGTCGCACAAGGATGTCTGAGGACTGCAAAGCGTCCGGTGAGCTACCAGATATCGTGGAGATTGAGGGGTGCTTGAATGCTGCAGGAGTCAACACCTTCTTTAACGTGACGCTCCATTTACTGCATCCACTGGCTTTGTAGGACCCACACGATCATTATCGTGGCCAATAGCCGCCAAAACATGAATGAATACAACCCAACAAGAAAGACTCCGACAATTCATCGTTCTTGCCTGATGCTGTGTTCTGCCAAGTGGCTGGTCGGACGTGCTTGGTGGCCGAATCACATGTTGTCAAACGTGATGAGCAATGATGGTGTTGCCATGCATCGAGGTGTTGAGATGGCGTTGCGCTAGTTAGCGCGCTTCTCCACGTCCCCGTCTACTTCACGACCACTTCTCGTCCCACGCAGCAACAAATCAACTTTCATCGTCCCCGTGTCTAACGATGGCAAAAATACAATCCCTTCGCATGTAGCCTTGTAGTTGCCACCCTTTGATACGAGTTCGCCCTTCCCGGTCTCTCTCCCCTGTCACCCTCGAGCCTGCCACGACCAACTGCGCGACGTAGTGGACAGGATCCTGATGGATGCAAAAAGGGACCGACATGCCAGGCAGATGCAAAAAGAAACTAACATACAACAGTGGGGATTCCCCAGTGGTCACCCACCTGAGTACTAATCCACCGGTACGTTGCTTAAATAGGGCTGAGCGAACGGGAAGCCTTGTTTTCAACGTCCTATGGTCGTATGTATCAATTTCTCACTGTAAGACGTTTATATTGTGGTCAAAATCGCGGCTGCTACTACACGCATCTCCTCCTCCAGCGCCTTAGTCGCGTATCTCACTCCCAAACGCAAGACGCAGACGCGTAAGCATCAGTGACATACGAGTATTGCACGCAGACCCGCCAAACAGCGCCGGATACCTCCAGCCCTCTACCTACACTTAACTTGTGTCCAGGAAACCACTCTGTGCCCACGGACTCTCTATCCCCTATCTCCACCCCACCACTCCTTCCAGCACACACGACAGCCCTGCACCCACCTCACCACCAACGCTGCTACCACACTGAAACAAGGATGAACACCACCACCAAAAAGCCGTGCGGTGCAGCAGCGCCGAAGCAGAAGCACCAGGCACCTTCGCGACCCAGACCCCCAATCTCTGCACCCCCAGCCCTCCGGTCTGTTGGCCTGACAAGAGGCACCATCCCGCGCCCCGGCCCGTCGCAGTCTGCACGCCGAAGCACTCCCTCGAAGGCTCGGCGCGCGTGGCAGTGTGCTCATCCAGATGGATGCGCGTGCCTCCGCTGGCCCGGGGACCCGGTGGATGAGCGGCGTCCAAGCGCACTGATTTTAGCATGGGAGGTGTGGCTATTGCGATACTGGAAGTTGTAGTTATTGCAATGCTGGAAGCCGCACTCTACTACGGACTACTTGTATTGGGGTGCGAAAGCGGGGTGTAGAGGGTCTCTGCTTGCGCCTGCTTTGCAGTGGCGTGGGACATGGGTTGCGTGGGTGATATGCCGTTTGTGCTGCTGCTGCAGCGTGGGAGGCAGGGTGCTGGGGTGCGACGGGGGCGTCACTGTGGCGTTGCGGCATGGCATAGCATGGCATAGCATGGCGTGGTGAATTTAAGTTTGTATTCGCGTGCGCAGGAGACCTGATATCGAATTCACATTCACATTGACGAACTCCCTGGATGTATGTATGTATGTATGTATGTATGTATGTAAGTATGTATTACCCCCCCCCCCCCCCCCCCCCCCCCCCCCCACGTCTCCAGCCCTCTCTCGTCCCCCTCCCATCTCCCTCCCGTCTCCCGATCCCTCCCCGTTTTTGATCCCAAAGCACCCAAGCCTCTCCTACCCAGTACCTAGCTACTCTCCTTGAAGCAGTGGTACGACAACAACCGATCATTCAAGTTCCCCTTATCCGTCTGGATCAGATTCGCACTACCCGGGTGGTGCAGGGTGAGCGCGTCGGAGCCGTCGGAGGCGAGGGGCTGGCAGAAGGCGTTGCTGTGTTGGATTAGCTTTTGTGTGCGTTGAGACTCATACTGGCGATTTTGACGGCACAGTGTAAGTGTTATGTATGGGGACAACTATGTGTAGGGCAGTGAATGGGGCCATGAATGGGGTTATGAATGATATGGGAACATGGGAGTGACAAGGGTGAAAGGATACGCACGTATAAAACACACACCAACTCCCCTCATCCGGCCCAACACTACTCGTCTTCGAGTCCATGGCCACGCAGCTCGCGGGCCCGCTGCCGAGCGGGACGAAGTCGTGGGCGCAGGCGCCGCCCCAGCCGACGTCTTCGCAGAGGTAGACCTGCGTGTTGTTAGTACGATACACATTCGTACAATGCACATTCGAGTATGCATTTGCTTTTCTTGGTACATGAGATTACTTGGGAAGGGATGGTGGATGGAGGAAGGTATGGATGGAGAAGAGAGAAGGGGAGGAAGACTCACGCCCGCCTTGTCGTCAGGCACCGGTTCGCGCCGCTCGACTCCCGCGCTGGTGTGGGGTGCTGGCAGGGCTGTGGAGAGTGCCGCGAAGAGAGCGAGGAGGGCGATGGGTGAGGTGAGGTTGAGCATCGTGGTTCCCGGACCGTTGAAGGAGAGAGGAAGTATGGGTGCTGGAGCCGGGGGGCTGCAGGACTCGCAGAGCGTGAGTGTTGTAGCGCGTCGGTACCGCTTCTGCAAACTGAGTTCTCGATGTGAATGTAGATATGAATCTTGATATGAATCTCGATATGAGTCTTGATATGAGTTTTGATACAAATCTCAATACAAATCTCAAATCTCAAGCACCTCGAGCAATGAACCCGCCCTCCGACCCGCCGCGCGCCCCCTCTTTATACAAAACCCCCCCTACACAAAAACACTCACACCAACAACCCCTATCCAAACAAAACCCTAAACAACCCCTCGCTACTAGACACCAGACACCAGACACCAGACACCAGCTACAAGCGCAAAGCAAGGCAACACCCCGTCACCACCGTGCTCATTGTTTATAGTGTGTTTATAGTGCAGGGTTGCTAGGCAGAGTGCCGCGGGTCGCACGTGTTGCGTGTTGGGGGGCGCACGGTGTATGTGTATGCGTATAGCGCCGTGCTGTGCGAGGTGGCACGGCGTGGTGCCGTGCATGCGCTTTTGCCGTGCGTCGGGGGGCGCGCACAAGACCATCAACAACGCAGAAGCAAGTCCAGAAACAAGGCCAGAAACAAGTGCGCGTTGCAATACAGAAACACGGTGTAGCCGGCCTTGACTCTGGTGCGTTGCAGCGTTGCATGTTGCAGGCGTAGTGTAGACACGGCGGGGGGATACGCGGGGCCACAGATCGGTGGTGCATGCGCGGAGTGCGAGGAGCACGTGAGTGTCTGCGCGCGTCTGCGTGGGTGGCAGCTGTCACTTGGTGCTGCAGGTGATTTCGCGTGCGCGACGGCGTGCGTGCAGGGCGACGAGTGGTATACTCTATGGACGGGGTACGGATGTACATACACAACGCGAGGGTATGTTCGCGCATTGGAATTAACTGCTTTTTCTGGTCTGGTGTTGTTTTCCAACTCTGATCGGACTATTGTCTGCCAACTGTGATCACTCGTCTGCCAACTGTGATCGCTCTTGTCTGCGAATTGTGATCACTCGTTTGCGAAATGTGATCACCCTTTTCTTCCAATTGTGATCAGACTCTTGTCCAATTGTGATCAGACTCTTGTGTCCCAATCGCCAGGCTCTGTCTCCCAATCGCCAGGCTCTGTCTTCCAATCGCCAGGCTGTCTCCCTATACAATTCTATCTTGTACTCGGTCAGGACGCCGCCTGTCTCCCAATACATCCTATCTTGTACTCGGTCAGGACGCAGCCTGTATCGGGTCTGGGCGCTCCGGCTCGAAGGTGGTCTCGCCCAGGGCATTCGCGGGCTCGGACACAGACGGCGCGGCGGTGCGCGCAGCAGCGGCGTGCAGGCGCTGGTCGAGTGCTTTGAGGGCCAGGGCGCGGCGGCGCTCGGCCTCTGCACGGGTGGCGCCGCCGCGGCCGCGGCTGGTAGGGTTCATGATGCTGGGCAGGCCGCCCTCGGCGCGCGCCGTGGCCTGGTCGTTGCCGGCGTCGATGTCGGCGTCGGAAAAGGGCGTGCACACGCCCAGCGAGGTCAGGACGTTGTAGATGCCGTCGGCAAAGTGGCCCAGCGGGGTCTGCAGCGGCTCAGGGAAGAAGTGGGCAAAGGCGAAGGTGTCGGAGGCGTCGCCCTTGATGACGGCGCCGTCACCGGTGGCGGACGAGGAGAGGGCGGGGCTGGCGCGGTAGAAGCGCAGGTAGACCCAGGCGGTGAAGAAGCCGAAGTAGGCCAGGAACATGGCGGTCTCGGTGCCGAGGACGACGGCGGAGATGGTGTTGGCGAGCAGGAAGATGGCGGGGAAGTGCTTGACGCGCATGCGCACAAGGCCCTTGGCAATGGCGACGGTGTGCTCGGGCACGAGCTGCTTGAAGGCGACGAGGAAGCCGGCCTGGATGGCGATGCCGCCGGAGATGGTGGTGCGGCTGGACGCGTTAGTGAGGGATGGGTGCAGCGGGGGATATGTACGCACAGCAGCGACATCTTGGAGGTGAGACAGTAGCCGGCCAGATACAGGGCGCAGGCCAGCAGGTTGGGCACGACGGCGACGCCCAGCAGGAACTTGGCGTAGGGGCGCTCGCCCCAGGCACGCTCGAGGTAGCGGCCGCCGTAGAAGAGCGTGGCGCCGTTGACGAGCAGGCCGGCGACGTTCTGCTCGACGACGGTGGCCAGGGCGAAGACCCACGGGTAGAAGAGGGCCTGGCCGGGCACGACGGTCAGGTAGGGCACGCCGTTGCCGACGCCGACCAGCGGCTTCTCGACCTTCTCGACCCAGTCGGCGTTGGGGCGCAGGGCGAAGTTGAGCAGGGTGCAGAGCAGCGTGGCGGCGAGCAGGCCGCGCGTGACGGGCGGGAGGTTGAGGCGGGCCATGGTGGGCGGGCAGCGCAGGCGCAGGCAGCGCGGTGGGTAGCGCAGGGGGTGCCTATAGACGTGGCCGACGGAAGCTGTGCCCTCGGCGGTGGCCTGCGGAGTGCCTGTGAGGCGTGGGCGGGTGTCGTCCGGTGGTTGTTGCGGGCGCGGATGTCCAACGGCTCAGGCTGGTCGTCGGCGTCCGAGCTCCACCGGCCAGGGTGCCTGTGGCGGCTGCGGGCCTCTCGGTAGCGCGGCCCCGGTCGATGCTGGCCTTAGCGCGGCGAATGGCAGGCCGCAGCGCGCCCAGGGCTGATGCACCTCCACACTCGACTCTTCCTTCACCAGCACCGCGCCGACCGCGCCGCCCGCTGCCACCGCCGCACTCCCCCCGCGACCCTCCCCGCAATCGGCCCCCCCCGCCCGCCGGCCCAGAATGCGCCATGGCCCTCAGCAGCAACGTCGTAAACTACCTAGGTACGCCGCGCCCGCGAGCGAGCCCGGCTCTGGCTGACGACTGCAGTCTGGCGCTACCTGCAGGAGGCCGGCTTCGGCAATGCCGCCCTGCAGCTGTCGCGGTGCTGGCTGCGCGACCCCGACGGCCTGCCCTTTGCCAAGCACGTGTCGGCCCACGCCCTCATTAGGATCCTGCAGGACGGCATCGAGTTCGACAAGCTGCGCGCCGAGGCCTCCGACGTGCGCCGCCCGTGCCTGTGCCTTCCGTGCGATCGCTGACCGTGCCAGACCCCCCTCCTCTACCACTTCGGGCCCGACCACGGCCGCCCGTACTCGGCGCGCAATGGCGAGCTGCTGACCCTCGACAAGGGCATCCCCGCCCACGAGCTGGCCACCGAGGCCGCCAATGGCCAGCCGCCCGACCCGCCGCCCAAGAAGGGCGTCAAGCGCAAGAAGCAGCCCAAGCCGAACGGCCTGCCCGCAGAGCCGCGCCCTGAGCCCTCCGAGCCTGAACTCAACGGCGACCAGATGGACCTCGACCACGCCGCCGCGCCCGCCGCCAGCGTCAACAGCGTGCGCGCCGAGTCCGAGCTGGCGCCCTCGGAGCCCGAGTCGCCGTCCGTCGTCGACATCCCTCTCTCCACCCTGCGCATTGGCGCCGACGCCCTGATCCAGACCGACGACATCGCCGACCTCGCCGCCGCCACCACCTTCGTCCCCGTCCCGCGCGACCCCCAGAAGCTGATCGAGCACACCTCGTGGGGGCCCGAGGACGCCCCGCTGCTGCTCTCCGCTGGCAAGTCCATCCTGCAGCTGCACAACGTCGCCCCGCCCGGCGCCGAGCACCCCGTTGTCACCATGGACCTGCCCATCCCCGTCGACAACTTCGACATCACCGCCCTGTGCTGGCAGTCCGAGGGCGAGGTCACCATCTCCGCCCGCGAGCAGTGCGTGAACGAGGTCGGCGAGAAGATGACCATGGACAAGCTGATCAAGGTCGCCGGCGACACCTCGCACGCCATTTCTTCTACTGCCGGCCTCGTCACCACCCTGCGCTGGAACCCGGGCAAGGAGCTGCTGCTGTCTATATCCACCGACGGCGAAAAGGGCTCCATCAAGATCTGGACCAACGACCACGACTCGATACCCGCCTGGACCGACTTCACCAGCACCCAGATCTACGACGCCTACTGGATCAGCGACTCCGCCTTTGTCGTGTGCGGCTCGGAGCTGTTCAAGATCTACGAGGTCGCCGACGACGCCCTCACCACACAGCGCACCCTCGACACAAACATCACCTGGGAAACCATCAAATACGACCCCGCCTCCGGCATCATCGCCGCCCTCGGCGTCCGCGAGCAGGAATACTTCCTCGGCATCCTGCACCCCAACGACTCCATCAACCTCCAGGTCCACGCCTACCCCGACCGCTACCCCTCCGACCTCGACTTCCGCCCGCCCGCCCCCGCCCCCGCCCTCGCCAACGGCACATCCCTCCCCACCACCCTCCTCGCCACCTGCTCGCTCTCCGGCCACGCCCGCATCTGGGACGCCGCCGCCCCATTTACCTGCGTGCGGCGCCTGTCGACCACCGACGCGAGCCAGGCCTTCAAAACCGCCTTTTCGCCCGACGGCACGCTGCTCGCCGCCGCCGGCCCAGACGCAGTCACCATCTGGGACCTGGAGCGCCGCGAGGTGCCGGTCGCGTGCTGGCGCGCAAAGGTGCACGAGCCGAGCAAGTGGAATCCCGCCGTCGACGGCGAGTTCAATCTCGGCTGGGACTGGGACAGTTCGCGGTTGTCGGTTGCGCTGGGGAATCAGGTATGTTTTGAGATGAGATGAGGGGTGGTGTGCTATGCTAATCAAGGCAGATCGCTATTATACCCGTGCCGCGGTAGCGGAACGTTGAAGAGGAAGTAGAGGGGGAGACGAAGTGCAAGACGAAGTGCAAGAAGTGGCAAGAAGAAGCGGTAAGAAGAAGTGCAAGACAAAGCGGCAAGACGAAGTGGCAAGAAGTGGCAAGACGAAGCGGCAAGAAAAAGTAGCAAGACGAAGCAGCAAGAAAAAGTAGCAAGACGAAGTGGCGTGAAGTCGTGGAGCAAAGTCGCAAAACCACGCAACACCCTCGACCCGCGCGTCCGGCCCGGGACTCCCCCACGCCACAAGTCAGCACCGAGGCCCCGAGGCAGTAGCAGTGACGAGCGCGGACGCCACACTGCCCCGCCCAGGGCGAGGACAGCAGATGTCGCTGCGTTGCCCACGCACGTCCTCACGCGGCGCTGTTGAACAGTTGGATAGCATAGTGCAGCAGTATACCATACTATACCATACCATATAATATACCCCTCTCACAAGCAACAGTAGAGTGCGAATGCAAGTGTGCTGTTGCGTGCTAAGTGACATGGGCCGTGGGTCGTGGACTACATTCTGAGATGCGTGGTGCTGCGTGGTGTGCGATATATCCGAGCCGTGAGTGCGTGAGGGCGTGGCTCGCGGGCTCCTCGCCAGCGGAATCTGACGTGGAATTGGAAGTGGAAGTGGAAGTGGTAGGTGTCGTGATACTGGGAGATGGGGGTGGAGGTAAGCATTACATGTATTCTGGGCAAAAGTACTCTTTAGAAGGGTTGTATGTTTTTTCCTAGCGTGGTTGCGGGTCGTGGACTGGCTTACAAGCCTATGCTAGTCTGTCCATCGTGCTCAAACAGAGGAGACCGCGTCTTGGTCTTTGAGCTAGCGGACTTGGTCGCGCAACCCACAGCTCTCAGGCCCGTCGAAGCTGAAGCTTAGTTAAACACTACTTATACTATAGATAGCAAAGCTTCTATAGACGTTTCCTATGTTTCCTTGTTTTACTATAGCATAGTAGGATGCTTGGCGTGTATATGTATAGTATTCTGTCAATTACCCCAAGACTCGCGAGACTATCTCTTGGTCTTCAAGCTGGCTGACTTCGACACGGGACTGACAGCTCCCAGGCCCCTCGAAGCCGGCGCCGGAGCCTAGTCAAGCACCGCCTATACCGCCTACGCCGTACGCACCAAAGTCCTCTACACGGATCCCCTGCACACCTCTACCCTACTACACAGTACACCGCAGTACAACGCCCGGCTCCCGCTTCCCCCGCCCACCATCCCGCAACGCGAGAGCTTGTCCGCGCCCCCTCGGCTCTGCAGGTCGTGAAAACGCCCAGTGCCTTCCACGATCAACCGGCGGACACCACCCGCGAACACTACCCGCGAACCAGACCTAGAAACGAGCTCATAGACACGGGCTGGTTGGGCCGAGAGAAGTCGACGAGGCGTGTGCACAACCGGCGGCCCGTCTGCCTGGCGGTGAGACGTATATCTCGCTTTTGCACCACGCTTCGGACGCTACTGATCATACACACTACCAATGCGCCCTGCGGTGTTCTGACAGCATACTTACATTACACTTCTACACCCTCCCCGTGCCTACCGCTGCGATGCCGGAAAGATGAAAAACGGGCGAACCACCGCGCCGACGACATGCCGTGCGTTCCCCAGTTCCTCTGCGGCGACCGGCCTCACTACCTACCTACCCATGATTCCAGCCGTGGACTGCGAGCCGATGCTGGTTGAGGCGGTGGCGCCTGTTCTGCGCACTACGGGGCACGCGCTACGGCCGCGACGGTCGAGCGCAGGGCCGGGCGTGGAGATGCGTGTGTTGCAGAGAGTGGGTGTGCATCCGACGCTCGTTCGGTGGGCGTGCTCGTCGCTCGAGAGGACACTGCGGTGTCAGCTTCGGGTGGGTACTTACAAGTGATCCCGTCACTCAGTCGTCCCTGCGAAGAATGGCTGCAAGCGTGATATATGGAGCGGGCGGGCGCGGTCACTCGGTCGACGTTATCTCGTGGTGCATCTCTAGTACTTCTTAAGACGCACGCTGCATCGCGGCCCACCGCCCACCACGTCTTGGACGGACGCGAAGCTCAGAACCCAAGAATAAGACTGTTATTGTGGCGCGATGCTGGATTCTGTACCCAACCCCGACCTATCTGCTAGCGCATCTCTTCCTAAGAGGCCTTACCTCGTCTGCAGTCCCAAATCCAGCTTGTATCGCTGCAGTCTCTTCTGCCTTGGTGAACTCAACACCCGAGGCCAACCCTGCGCTCTCATCTGCACTGCTGTTGTCGTGTGAAAGTGGCTCCAGGCTCTCTGTGCGCCCCGCGTGCGTACTACAGACCGAGTCCCGCACCTCCACACGCCCGCCGTCGGCGACGAGTTCGCCGAATCTGATGCTCGCCTCTTTCAACGCGTCGGAGACATTCTCCTGTCCCCCCATTGTGCCAGAGCCCTTCACAATGATGTCGTCGAGCGATCTGCGTCCCGTCGTCGTCATGAGGATCTGCAGAAACCCGCCCGTGATGGCTGAAACGCGTTGGTTGCGGGTGTAGAACGCGGCAAGCCCGAGAGCGATGATGGGAATGCCCAGGCCCAGAGCGAGCCCGTAAGGCAGGAAGAAAGCCTGCTTGTCCTGGAACGAATAGACGTTGAAAACACGCGTCGTGTTCCCGAGCACAACATCAAATCGTTCTCCGAGAGATAGGGCGTTGATCGTAGTGTTGATCAGGAGATCCCTTGCCATAGTGGGGTCGAATATGAGACAATCATTTGAATCAGTGTGGAGCCGCCGTGCAAACACCGACAACTTCCAGATCGCTGAATCATAGTCCTGACTTCTTAGAATTACAGCCGAGCCTATCGGCGTCAGATTACACGTCTCGATTGCAGTTCCATTTTCCAAGGTAAGTATTGAGGATGCCTCAGATGCGTTTGGGTACTGGAAGACCGTGGACCATGATGCAGCCTCGGATCTGTTGAAGTTTCTCGCGAACTCATAATATATAGTCCATGCATCAGACAGCTGCACCCATTGCTCGAAGCTACCAGAAAAGTGTCTGAAAGATCTTGAATAAGCTGGCACTGGTCCTTCGTCCCGTATATCATAGTTCACTGTCTGAATTCCACCACTGTAAGATATCGAGACCGAAAATCTGCGTATCTGAGGGCGACAGACTGTCTCCGAAAATGGCACGTAGGAGTTAATCCCACCTGCAGGTAGATTACTAATTCCGGACATGGGCTGGGGCATTGATGACGTTACATTACCCACGCAAGGGTGATAACGATATGTAGGCATCGAAAAGTCGGTAATCTTCAGATCAATGATCTTAGGATCTCCCAGTATCTCTGTGTCATCTGGGCTGCTTCGCAGTATGCATCCCTCGGTATAGCCATATACATTGAATGAGTCATGGGCGCGAATTCCATCACTGTCGGGTTTTATTCCGGTATCGTTGGTCTGTATCGTCCTGACTACGGTCCTGTTGTGGGTTTCGCAGCTCAGATCAGGGCCCCAAAACTCTATAGTGTAGGAAGCATTATCTCCACCCGACTGGGGCAAGGGTGCCAGCTCCCCAGATATCAGACTCGAAGCTGCCAGATATGGGATACCGAACGAGAGACCCCTGATGTCGAAGCATCCACTGCATATAGTCAGCTTAAAATCTGCATATGCTGTTGTTAAAGGCTGCCTGCAATTGCCATCGATTTACGCATACATTGATCGCGAGCCGGGCCAACAAGACCAGCATGTGCTGAGATAGGACGCGTTCTGCGCTTGCTCTGGGAATCGAGGCACCTCTCTGTGGTCCCCGCATCGGATCGTAGATAGCGAGCTCCAATTGGAATGCATAATATCATTTGTATGCAGTACGGATACGTTGAATTTGGCCGCAATGGTGGAGATTTGCAGTGTAACAATCAGAGCCCCAATCAGAGCCCCAGGAGGATACACTGTCGCAATGGGTACAAGCCAGCAAAACAAAGCTACAGCTGCGAGTACTGGCGTTTTGATGTATAACCCAAGGCTTGCAAAGTGCATTGCATTTGTTTGCACTTGGAAAAGGTCCTCAATAAGTCCGACCTGCACTCCATCAGCGGTAATCAAACGCATAGACCTACCGGCCGTTTACCTTTAGTACTTTTTCTCTCAACGTCGCCCATAGATGTTGGGTATAACAGACTCCCACGCTTGCTACTAAAGATGCGCGGAAAGCGGTAACAAGCAGGAAAGATATAGTTGTCACATAGCCTTGCGGGATTGTAGTGGTCTTTGCGGCAAGCTCGATGTCTGGGGATAGGATCCGACCGTTGAGGTAGACGAAGAACCAGCAGTGGGCTGCAGCGCAAAGCAAAGCTACCGGCATTAGCCATTCTGCCACTCGCAATTCTTTAATTTCCGCCTACCTAGGACATAGAAACCTACGATGACTGTTTGGAGTCTCCAGGTAGTCTTCCATGTCGCATAGCCGCTCTTTAGATGCTGCACCATTTTTCCTTTCCTCGGACTAGGTGCTGCGTTGGTTTGAGGTAATGCTGCTATTTGAGTAGACTGGTCGTGCGTTGATGGAGGCGTCGAGACATGAGGATCTTCTGGATATCTCAGGCTGAGATCCAAACTCGACCGGACGGAGACATCGTTATAGCTGTATTCTGTACCGTGCAGTCTCTCTCCATCACCCGAGATAGATATGTGTTCTCCGCTGTTGTCTAAATCTCGATCGCGCTCGCGTGGTGGACAAGCAGCATAGTCTTCCATGGTGGAAGTGGGTCTGGACGGATAGGACTGCAAGACTGACACTCGAATCGGAGTTGGGAGTAAGCACGGATTAATACGAGTAGCAATAGCGTGTAAGGCTAAGACGTAGTATTTCGAGGAGGTCACATCCAAGACTCGGAGAGCAATCAACGCGACGGTGTGCGGCTTGTGTTAACAGAAGAGATAAGGACAGCTGGCGCGCCCATGTGGGTAAGCATGCACATAGTCCGCCCTTCTCTATAAATACCCGCATATTAGATACAACATTGCGCTCTCCCGTTTGTGTGTGACGTTGACAAGGCTGAGGCAGTGGCGTCATCCTCGAGCATGATGAGGGCGACTTCAGTGGTCTTACGCTGCGGGGCTTCGATGTTGGTGTGCCTATGCTGCGGTTCTGATTGGCTCAGCTTGGAGCTGACCCCAATCCTCCTCCTTCACCAGATACGTACTTCGTGCTCACCATTCGCATCTAATAGAGGGACGTCTGTTTCCTTAGCTAGATCCTTGCCTGCTGCGATCAGCTCGTACCACAGTTCTTCACCGTCCAAGTAACCCATAGTTTGATTAGCCAGGTCGCTGCCTTGCTATCTCTGCACTTGCTCGTACGACATCGTCCACGTTGTTAGCACGCTGCGATTGTTGTACTCCTCTGGTAGATACAAGTGTTGTTTCCGCATTATTCAGCCTCGTGTCTGCTTAGCACGTACTCTGATACAGACAGGTTCTGCGGTCCACTGTGAATCGCAAGGTCGCGTCCGCTGAGCCGGCGTGGAAGTGTCCGGGCGACGACTGCTCTGTCGGCGGAGGAAGAGTGGTTCTGGGTTCTCCAGCCCCTCGCCGGAATACGGTGGGCGTGCTCGTCGCTCGAGAGGACACTGCGGTGTCAGTGGGGTACTTACAAGCGATCTCGCCACTCATTCGTCCCCACGAAGACTGACTGCGAGCGTGATATATGGAGCGCGCGGGCGCGGTCACTTGGTCAACGTTGACGTCAAGCAGCTCTGCGTGGTGCGGTAGTTTCGATTTCCTCCTTCTTGCTGCAGCGTAAGATGCATGATCTTCACTCACCGTATAGTACACTGTAGGATCAGCTTCACTTACCCACAAAGCGACTCATCCATCTCCCACAACCCCCGACTGCGTGCTCCATCCGCCCATCTCCCCCCGAGACAGTAGCCAGAATCTTCGCCATCCTTCCGTCGCAGATAGAATGCTCCGCGGAGCCTCGCGTACGCACACCGTGTAGCAGCCGCGATTAGACTTTGCGTGTGCATGCTGCCGCCCACAGACGTGAGCGCGCCGTTGCCGACGTGTCAGCACCCGCGCAGAAGAAAGCAGGATTTGGAATGCGCATGATTCGGTGCTGGTGGGGGCGTGGGAGTGGAAGTTTAAAGTGTCGAGGTGCGAGACGGGCATGCGCTGCGAGGCGTGCACAAGGTTTGCGGGTGCTGCTGGAGGCTTGTCGCTGACGTCTGGCGCGGACCGGGGTCGTGAGGTCCTCTTGCTGCTTGGGGTGCCGCGAGCTGGGTTGGATGCGAGTCGAGTCGGGGCGTCGGACGGAGAGGCACTCGGGGTTGGGGTACGGGGTGCTGGCAGCTACTCCATGTGTACTGATACTCGATATCTACTCGCTTGCCAGGTCCAAGAGCGGTATGCTGGCATTGAGACTGCGCGGTGGCACCGTTGGGGACGTTGCGTCGCCACGCAGCAGGGTTGATGACACCTCAAACCGCGCCGCGGAGATACTGTGGTTCCCCGCATCCTGCTCGTATCTGTCCTCGAACCGTCTATGCAGAATGCTTCCTTGTCCATCCAGACCGCTTCCTTGTCCACCCAGACTGCCGCTGAGTCACGGCCATGGCGCAACGGGGCGGGCGGCACAACGTGCGGCCCCTGTCACGGCCCATTGACATGGTAACAGCGGACTTTCCGTGCTCTATGCTCCATGCGGTGAACCACGAGTCGCGAGCCTACTCACCGATCGGTCGACCGCTACGTGGAAACCATCAGAATCCGTACAATACTGCGTCAGTGAGCGCTGGTCTGCGCATACGGCATGGAGGTGCGAGGCTAGCAGATCCGAGTGATCAGGTTGCGAGAGCGTGCCACGTAGGGGTGATCCGGCCATCTCGCTGGCTATTCGTTGCGGACATGGGCTCGCGCTGGAGATGCTCGTGCAATCTGGTCTCCACCGCCTGTGTCAGGCGAAGCCTCCGTCGCCGGCAGAGCACCTTCTGACCGCGGAGATGGCACGCGCGCGAGGTGTCCAAGGTGTACATAGTTCCTTTCATCTGACGGCGAATTCTAAACGGCGTTGCGCAGAGCTACACAGCGTGCATCAAGCTGTGGGTGTATGACTGGGCCGGGGTGAAACTGGGCACTGCGGCGCTGATACGCTCGGCTCAGAACGCCGACTCGCATCAACTCGTGGCGTTTTACACTCGCCAGCTGCGCGGACGGACGTGCAACTGGAAACAAACACATTGGGTTCGCGTGCTGTAGCAGACTCGCACGCAGGACGTGCTCTCGCGACAGACCCGCACTCGAAGCCGATGCGCCTGGATCGCTGGATTCGACCCTGCGTCGGCTGCGGCGAGGCGAAAACTGTATGTCGTCATTCGAAGCTCCATCTTGGAAGGGGCTGTCTTCAGTGTCGCCATGCGTCGGGGGGACACAGGAGCCTTACGCCTGTGACGGGCGACGACAGCACCGCAGCACGCAAGGCAAGCTCCGCCGGTGGTTTGCAGCACAACGACGATGAGCACCCAATCAGACACACGTCCCAGGGAGGGTAATCTTCCGCGCTGGGTGTGGCACAGGCCGCACTGTGTCCAGCCCACGCCAATCGGAGGCATGGAGTAGCGATGCTAGCGCGCGTACGACTTTAGCTTCTCGTAACTGCACTCAGTGCTGCTTTGTTCGCGGCGCCGACACCAAGTACTGCAACGCGCCCTACGCTGTGAAGCGGCTGCGTTTGCTTGCGGATTTGCCGCTGGGAAGGGCGGAGCAAGGCTTCCAGCCCCGGAATGTGCAGAGGCGGTGACGCGCATTTCGACGTCCAGGCGGACCGAATGTTCCCATCCCGACTCCATTTGATCGCGAATCGTGTCATCCGGACATGAGACTGCTGTGCCCATCAAAGCATTTCGGCGTGACTTCTGGCAGGCGAGAGATCTACGGTCGCCCATCGTCGATATCCAGGCTCGTCAACCATCATCGTCGTGTAAGCAGCCAACTACGCACCCTGATGACGATGCTGGCGGACTAGCGGACGTTTACTGGGAGCCGCCACTGGTCGTCTTGCGGTGGCTCGCGCGTGTTGGAGTGGCTTGGGCCGAACGGTTGGCTCTGTAGCGTGTATCGGCTCACGGGGAGCTCGGATAAGCGTTGCTACGTCTGGTAATGCGGGACAGGACAGGTGCCGCAGCTAATAACTGGTCGCGTTGTGAGACTGCAGGTTACCTGGCAACAGACACACTCGCTCGAGGGCGCCGGCGGCATGTCTTGTCTAAGAGGGGATGGAGTGTGTTAAACATCTAATATCAAAGTACTTCAGGAATGATACGCGTCTTTAAACTCGCGTGGCCGAGTGACCTTTCGTCTGCGACCTTCGAGGAATGGGGTCATAGCTGAGTCAAGATAACCGAGTTCGATTGGGACACGACAAGGACCCCAGCATGGCTTTGAAAGGCATGTGGACCTCACGCAGAGTCTGTTCCCAAAGCGGGTGAAAACAGGTGGTCCTGGACTGTGCCGTTGGCCGCTGATTGGCTCGCTCACGTCGTCCCGGGTCGTTGACTGGTCGCTGCACGATTATCTCAGCACCTGTCGAAACCTAGGCATGTAATCAGTGAAGAACCTGGGCGGCCCTAAAGTGCCTTTCGGATCTCAGGACCCGTTGGGCATCTCTTAATTCGGCTCCCTCTCCAAAACTAGAGCCGCATGCATTGTATACCTCGTAAAAACGTCAGTAGTCCAGCTGAGCTAACGCCTCCCATTCCATCGCGACGCGCATTGCGAGTAATCCGAGGTCCTATCAGCTCGTATTCTGCAGCTGTTCGATAGAAGAGCATCAAAGCCTTTGGTCGACCCCGCGTAGGCCATGTCTTCAGCGCCCATGCATCCCGCGAGCTTCCCGATGACGCCGCTGGGGCAACGCAAAGTCGCCATCCCTCGGTTGCAAAAGCCCACCCATGGACAGATTGCGCCCAAAGAAAGACGCCGGGTCCCACGTGCATGCACCGCTGTATGTTGCATTCTCTCGACTTAGACGACGACAGCCAGCCCAAGTTCGTTCACTTCGAAGTCATTCTCCAGGTCGCCTTTGACGTTCACTTGGCTAATGCCCCGCTCTAGTGTCGGTCACAGAAGATCAAATGTACTGGTGAGCGGCCGCGGTGCAAGCATTGCGCGACGACGAGTCGAGAATGCGTCTACATCATGCCGCGTAAGGACAGGCTCAAGATGTGAGGACACCGGCTGCCGTTATTCGTCATGCTAATCAAGTCAGCGTTAGCGAACGTTGCCAGCAGATGGCAGGCCTGCTCAAAGGCCTCCAGTCTTGCGCGAATGCAGACGACTCTGCCAGGATCAACGACTTATTGGGCAGTGTACGCATGTGCAACATGCCCAGATGACTCGCCGTCTAACGTTCCGCAGGTCGACGAAGACATATCAGAGTCGCACCACACCACCGCGCCCTCCAATCCCGACACGGACGCCAATGGCTCGCAGGAGAGCCGAGAATTCGACGTACTGGACCTCTACCACGAACTCGACACGGAATCCCTGGACCTGCTGCACGAGGACCTGCACATCAGCGATCGAGCGCGTGCGACTGGATTCGTAGGCAAGAACTCTGAAGTGCAATGGCTGCGAGCCGCCGCCCTGGCGCAGACAGACCGACCCGACGACGACGCTGCCGGTTTCCCGCGACGGAGCTCCTACGCGTCGGCCCTGAGTAACGAGCAGATAAGCTCGTACAGCTTCTGGTCCGATCCGGAAAGCGTGGACATTGACTTTTATGTCGACCCGTACGATCTGCCACAGATGGAGACTGCCGAACGGCTGCTGAGCTGTTATATGAGTAAAGTGCACGACTCTTTCCCCATTCTGCCCAGGAAGACGTTTGAAGATCAATTCCGCAAGTACTTCACGGCGCTGTCGAATGGCAACGCGCCGCGCCTCAGCCCGAAGTGGCAGGCGATCCTGAATCTGGTGTTCGCCATAGGGGCAAAGTATTCGCACTTATCCAAGGCGAGCTGGCAGGCGGACAGTCGCGACCACCTCATCTATCAGGCGCGGGCCAGGGCGTTCGGCTTGAACGACTCCACCATGACGACTCACCCGGATGTGCCTCAGATCCAGAGCCTGGGACTTCTTGCGTTCTATTGGCTGTCCGTGGGTCAAGTCAGCCGGTATGTCAAGCAGTCGTCGGTTAGTAAGAGCGTTACTAACATATGATAGTGCATGGACCATCATCGGGTTAGCCCTGCGATACGCATACACCCTCGGTCTCCACGTCCGAAACGAAGACCCGTCGGCTACAGCGGTGAAGCGCGAGACCTTGGTACGCACGTGGTGGAGTCTGTACTCGCTGGAGCGTACTTTGAGTATTGTGACGGGCAGACCCAGCACCATTGTCGACTCATGTTGCTCCGTGCCGCTGCCGATGCCTGTGGTCGAAGAGCAAATCTCCGACAAACTAGAGGCCGTGTACCGGAAGCGCATCGGCAGCACATCGAACTTCGCAACTCCCCGCAGGTGGTCGACCGGCCCCATGGACTCGCCACACACGCCCATTGGACTCGGCACCACAGAGGCAAACTCGGGCTCGTACTTCAAGGCCGCAATCCAGCTCTCCATCATCACCCAGAGCGTCCTCACCTCGCTCTACGCATCTACCATCGTCCGATCAACCGGTGAAACCCAGCTCGAGATGGCCCAGCTCAGCCAGCGCCTCGACCAATGGGTGCTCTCTCTCCCCCGCGAGTTCAACTTCCAAGACCCCAGCAACGGCACCAACATGCTGTTCGACCGCGAGCGCGTCCTCCTCGGCTTCCAACTGTGCAGCGCGCGGATGCTGCTCGGACGCCCGTGTCTGACCACCCGACGGCCGCCGTGGCGCGACAGCACCGAAGCCGCCTTCGCGCGCGAGCTGGCAGACAGCTGCATCAGCGCAGCCTCGACGACGGTGGACTTCCTCTCGGCGGTGCCGGACGCGCACTTCATCTACGCGCAGGGCCCGTGGTGGTGCCTGGTGCACCACGTGATGCAGGCCGTGTCCGTGTTTCTGCTCGGCCTGGCGCATCCCACAGCTACGTCCCACGACAGCGCGCTGCTGGTACACTACACGCGCAAGGCGATGCGCTGGCTGGGCGCCATGCAGGACCCTGTTGCGGAGCGCGCGTACCAGGTTGCGGTGGCGACGTTTGAGACAGTGTCGAGGCGGCATGCGCTCGGCGATGGCGAGTGGAAGGTGGAGGGGCCGCGTGGAGTGGAGGTGCAGCATGCGGCAGATCCGGGGATGGCGCCGTATATAGCGCTGCAGTATGCGCCGCCGGTGTCGTATGCGGCGTCGTATGCGGCGTTTGATCCGGTGTCAACAGGTGCGGCATTTTCGGCGTATAATGGGACGGCGGCGTTTGCTAATAGCTACCATATGGGGCGGTAATGTTGACTAGGAGAGGCTGTTTTGTGACACGTATCGCGACTTTCATGCCATGGAAGTTTACATACTCGATTGAGCAGTGGCGTTGGGTTGTACATTAGCATGGATGGATTGATTCCAGATGACGTTATGGAATGGACCGCGGAACCCGACATGGAGAGTACCAAACTCGCTCGGGGCTGGTACCTGTTTATGTATGCAAGCCAGGCATCGCGGGCCCGACATGGCGGAATTTTCGTACCATGTCTCGCGGATTATACCCCCCTTGCCAATCCAGGCGTCAATCCAGCTTCGCTTCACGAGCGCGGGCCGTTCGTTAGCTCTCCGCTGACTGCATGCCGGGAACGCTTGCCGCTACGAATCAGTACCGGCAGGGATTCCCTTCTGAGCGCCGAGCGTCAGCCTTATGTGGACATCGTGTCCTGGATGGCCACCTCCGCGGGCCGGAACGAGCAGCGGTGCGAGAGTTTGTAGTGGATTGGAGACGGTTGCTTCGACTCGATCGTGGTCTGGGCAGTAGACGCGACAATGGGGCCGCCCTTGCCTCCTGGGAACAAGGGCGAAGCACAACAAGACAGAACCTTCCAGGTGCTCGATGACAAGAAGTATTCAAGTTCGAGGGCCGTTCCTTCCGATAGAGTAAGCAGTAGGGAATCCTTCCGCGCCTACACACCGCCCACATGATATGGCCCCACCATGCTTGCACAGCCCGGCACTGACTAAAAGCAAATACAAAGATGCCCAACCATTGATTTCTCACACCACTTTTCCTCCCATTATTCAGTAATGTATTTGCAAGGCCCTTGGAATGTGCATGGTCTCATTGTTGTTGAGCCACGTGGCAGGGTGCCAAACATTAAATTACTCTCACAGTAACAATCTCATTGTAAATCTGACATGTCTGCCAGATCAAACGATGTAAGAACATACATACACATATATCAGCAACACACACACCCCTAAGCTCACAAATACAACTCCGAAGGCTATGCCGTATCCGACCAGGACTACCTGATAGTAATGTACTGACAAGCATGTTGCACGCTAGTACGGTCGCAGTGATTACGGCCTCGATATCAAAGACTCACAGCATCTCCATATACTTGCCATCCATGCGCCTATGAGGCGTGAAGCTCTATCTATGGAGGTGTGCAGCACCGTCACGACACTTCTTTGCGGCTTGCCTTCCCTCTTTGACACAGAGAGTAGACCCCTGACGGTGACGACACACGACAGTGCAGTTCCAAGATTGTTTAACAACCTTCATCTCATCACTAAGAACAATTGGAGGTATTCGCCGAAGTCTGCGCCGGCTAGATAGACAGAGGACACGCAAACGGGGACGACAAGTAAATACAGATGTCGTTGCAGCCGGACACGCCATGGTTTCTCGTGACATTCAAAGCTTGCTGCGAGGCTGTAAGAAGAGAAGTGAGGCGCGGTGAAGATCCAACCACCATTACCGGCATTGTAGCTCTCAAAAGTTGTATCAGCAACACGCTTCAGGCGCTCTAAATGCTTAGCATCCTTCTTACTGGCCTTGTTGCGAGGCCACGAGTTGAGAAGAGTGACACGCGATAGGTGGTTCAGCGCAGTGCCCATTGGTGGTTTCGGCAAACAAGTGCAGTTCTCGCCGTAGACTAGACTGTGGCATTACGGTGGTTGAGCTGCACAATTTCATCAAAGAGCTTGTCAAGGTTGGTCTCTGAAAGGTCGACAGGCGCGCCTTGGTGAAACTCGATCTAGCCAATGTTGTGGCGAACAACAACAAAGCTGCGCACACTCTTAAGCTCTTGCTTGCTCGGTTTCTTCAGCTGTTGCAAAGACGGCTAAGACCAGTACTCTGCCGGCTCTTAGGATTCCATGTAGTTCGGTCATCGCAGATGCTCGAACGCTCAAACCGGAGAAATCGATAGCATGGAGACCATTTTCAAACTCTTCCTCATCACCATGTCTCCAGAGTATACTTCGTTGGAATAGACCGCGATGCGGTTGGTCGCCGTCGTCGAAAATACCAAAACCACCTTCGGTGTTCGGCCCGAGGACTTGTCGTTCGATTCACAACGCAGTCTTATGATAGCTATGAACCTGACAGCCTTGACGCATAGTGGGACAAAGCGAAACCGGTACATGGCAGATGTGCCAACTATGTGTAAATGTGTATATGTACGGTGACAGATATCCATATGAATATGGTATGGGTGATTTCAGAGTGTACTGCACCTATTCATTTCCAACCAGTCCATGATTCTCGCTTGAAAGGAGCCATCATCTTCGCCCTCAGGGCTTGCAGTACAGCTACTCTATCCTAACCTAGCAAGCCACCAGCCGAACAGATTAGCTGTACAAAGACCCTCTACTCCAATCGCGCCATTTTCAGGGTCTCATTTTTTGTGGAGTCACTGAGTCACTGGACGACCAATCAGCGGCGGGATGAACGGTGAACGGTGAAGTCTGCAGTGCCGTTGTATCAGTAAGAGGAATCGCCCCCTAGAACGGCCCATTGGTCTGAAAGATTAGGTAGGTGAACAATATAATCTTGAGCGATTTTTTACAAGAGTCATTGAACGACCAATCAGCGGCGGGATGAGCGGTGAATGGTGAGGTGTGAAGTGCTTTCACCTATGTGAGAGGAATCCCGCCCCACCAAGAATTCATGGCAGAGCCGCCGATTGGCCTGAAAGATAGGTGAACAAGAGAATTCTGAATGAATGTTCACTTCCTCAGATTCAGAAACTGTCTTTTAAATCACGTGTGCTTTCGGGCTCTGGTGGGCGGCTGCACATATAAAGAGGCCATCCCCCCCACCGATTTTTGATCTTTAGCTCACTTAAGACTAAAAGTGGTATGTATACGTCTTTCCATTCTGTCCTGTCCAGTATGTCCTTGTCATCTTTGTCGAATATACTCACGATACCTTGTAGACATTCCAACATCATGCCCAACTTCTACGGAGGCACCCACTACCACTATGGCGTCGACGCCAACATCGTCGTAGCCCTCCTGCTGCAGCAGCAGCAACAACATCAGCAGCAGCAGCGACAGCGACACCGCCCCCGCCTGGGCAACGGCGCTGGCGGAGCGCCCTCTTCTGCGCCCCGCCGCCTCCAACTCGAGGCGCCGCCTTCGGGCCCCCGACGCTTCGAGCCTAGGGAGGGCTCCGTAAGTGATGAATCTTCCTTTGATGTTCTTTTGCTCATGTTGTATTAGAGGCGCACCCGCAAGCGCGAGAAGTACCGGGCCATCGGCCGTGAGAAGGAGGCCGCGAAGAAGGCTGAGGAGGAGAGGAGGGAGAAGGAGAAGGAGGAGGAGGAGGAGAGGAAGAAGGAGGAGAAGGAGGAGAAGGAGGAGAAGAAGGAGTAGGAGGAGGAGAGGGAAAGGGTGGTGGAGGTGGTGGAGGGCATCACTGTCGCCCTGTCTGGCCCCTAGATTTCTGCGGCTTGCTCCGACCGCACTCTCGTGAACAAATAGATCTCCTTGCTCAACTATGTATGCTGTAAGTTGTAGAAGGCCGCAAGTAAACACTAACTAAACTCTACCGTCTCTATCCACCTTTTCTGTTTCTCACGCACCCTCTTCAAAAGAATGACACGACAACAATTCATTATCCAAATGCCTACTGCCAACAATCATATGAAGAGGTATAATAGTACATGTTTTGGTAGGCAAGACCAACTCCAGTATACCGAAGTAAGTAGTGGGCAAGAAGGTGTCACAATTCCAGTGCTCAAACGGAGTTACTCGGCGTTGTTTTCGCAGCTTGTTGGTTGTGTTAAGGATGGATTGCATCCTACACAAGTTTTAAGTCGGGAATGGGAACCTTCAAGGACGGCTGCTATCATTGGAGTGCTCCGCGCCCTGGGTCTGGTAGCGAATGTTGAATGCGCGCGCCTTGATCTTGGTGATCGGCTCTTCCAGCGTAGCCATCCAAGCCCAATCACCGGTTCCGTCACAGTGTAATGGAGAGAACCGTTGTGCTTCTGCTTTGGACACGGCTCAAGATCTCAGGAACGGGCAAGCTTCCGAAGGAGAAGATGCTGCTGCTGCGCTAAAGCGATTCGAATGGTGGCACATCCCTGCGATAGTTGCGAGGCTGACGGACTGGACGCCCACTGTGATGAAGTGGAGCCTGCATGTGCTCGGTGTGTCGAGTTTAGGGGAGACTTCGTGCACAGAGATAGTAACGGAGAGCCACGAAAGTACGGTCTGGATGGATACAGAATTTAGACACTCCACGTGGAAAGGTATGGATTCTAGGATATCAGTATTCGGCATGCGGCTTTTCGACTCCCCACCACGCGCCTGACGCTTTTGTAGGATCCAATCCATGCTTACAGCAGCCAACAAACCGCAGAAATGCAACTAAGTTACTCCGTTCAAGCACACACACTCTAACAGGTGAAGTATGTGTTTCATCAAATGGCTGGCCACCTAGACCTCGGGAGGAATCTGGGCACAACACATGTTATCATAAATCTGGATCACACTTTAGCTGCAGCAGCGTGAGGAGCACAGGAAAGAACTTAACATGACGAGATGGTCAAAGCCTAGGGCGATTTGTTTTATTTCAGTGTTGGCTCGTGGCGCATCCAAGTTACCCATGAACTATTAAGGTACAGTACTAAAAGCCAAAATCTAGTTAAGAACTCCCTATATTGTAGGTAAAAAAGTATCTTAAGAAGTTGTTTTGTATTTCCCCTACTTCACTGTCGTTGAGTGTACTTGGCTTACGTCCTTAGTCTACCGTTTATCCTGCAACGTGAGAGGCCCTCTGCTGGAGTTAGAGAGCCAGTGTCCTCATGTTTAGGAAGAACGGCGGATAGGCAAGCTTCAAGCTGACCAAATCGAACACCAAACTTGTAGCCATGTTAATACTTAAAGCTAGACCTTAGGCAAGCATTCCCTATATCGTAGGTAAAAACATTCTACAAAAGCTTTACACATTGTTTCCTGACGTTGCTGTGTTGCGCGGTAGACTTGGCTCACATCCTCACTCCGACGTTGATCCTGCAACCTGAGAGCCGGTGATAGTTGCTCGCACTCTAGTGAAGCCATTGACCGGGCCATGCTGCATCTATAGCAGACTCAATGGTGGTGCCAATCGTCCTCAATATCTGGAGGACAAACCCCAGTTTGAGAGAAACGCAGACGTCTCAGAAGTCTACTTGAACCTGATTTATTCCGTTCGACTGGTATCCCGGGAGGCAAGATGGGCGCATTTGGCCCACAGACGTCCTATTGAGGCGGGTTACAGCGCTCCGAGGGCCTTGCAAAACGACAAATACTTCAACGGGGTTCTGACATGGATTTGCGGCCAGTGCATGAAAGACAAAGCTCGGATTATTGAAAAGCAGTGGACTTGGCAAATCCCTACTGAATCAAAATTCAGCGTCTGGCATTCAAGGAGCTCACGTGAAATGGATAGGTAGGTGGACAGATCGGGAGATGGGTACACAGCTCCCACCTCCGCTACGCTGATTGGGGGCATCGACTCCCACCTTGTAGTGTCTTTAAATGGATAGATCGGGAATTGGGTATACGGCTCCCACCCCAGAAGTTAGGTAGGTTTGGGTTCACTGCTCCCGCCTAGAGTATTGGGTGTACGACTCCCACCTCCGCTACGTTGATTGGGTTCACGACTCCCACCATGCAGTGTCTTCCTATTGAGTCCCTCGGCGCGCTGGGAGCATGACCATCGGCGGCAGGCATTGCAGGCCGCTGTATACAAATCAGGCTCGGCCGTTACCTCAACGAAAAGACGATGTCAGTTGTCCACAGTCCGGGTCAGCGATCAGTACTTAGGTACAAGGCTTACAAGCTTTTGTATGCAATCTTGGAGGTCAAGACCGTGCTAAAGAATGCCTCGAAAAGACGACGCCAGTTGCTTACAATCTGGACACACCAGTAGTTAATGGGCCCGCTGCATGCAAGTCGATTACGTGCCCAACGGCCGCCTGGAAGACGTGATGTCGGTTGCCTACAGTCTGCTCTATGTTGCAGGGCGATCTGTGCATATTCATCACCCGAATTTTCGAACAGGTGTACAGACACAGTGCTGCAAGCGCTGTACTCGTGTCCCGTAGGGGAGACTCCAAGAATCACGTTGAGGCCCTGCTCTTCTCCACAAACCAACGAACACTGTGAAGCTGCGCGTCAAGATCAAGCCAAGAACGTCTGGTGGCAGATAACTACCCCGAGGGATCTTGCTGTGTTCCCATATCATGAAGCGCACGGGGTGTTTTTGAAAATCCTGATATGTTGATTTTCGTTTCGCAACATGTCCAGAATATTTTCGTCTCAACACAGCTTAGACATATGTTGATATGACGATATTCGCAAACCCCACGCGCGCGCTAGTGCCTCACGTGACGAGGCTGCTGCCTGACGTCGCCCGTGCGCACCAGGCAGCAGGAACCGTGCACAGTCACGTGGAGCGCTAGTAGCGCCAAGCCCGACGTGACATAAAACTCCGCGAATTCTCGTCCTCCCTTCCCTCGATATTCGAGTGGTTTGTTTCCCCCCGCCCCCAAAACTTTCATCAAGTACTGACAAAACACAGCAAGGGCCTTACGCTTACCAGTGAAGATTCGTCTGAGGTAGCGTTTTTGCTAGTTGAAAACTACAACTATGACCGCTCCAGTTGGTCTTCGGATCGGCTGGGAATTTTTGTATCCCATTACTGCTGTCAGTTCCTTTTTCATTGATCCCCGCGGCTTGCCGCGAGATTGAGGAAGAACGATACCACAAGTTGAGAAAGAACCGATACCACAAATTCTTCACATGTCCCCTGAGCACATCTTGACGGTGCCCACCGGCGCCGGCCTTGGACAACGCGACTAGGTCTGCGACGAGATGTGCATCGATGCGACGACGCTCGCAGCGTCAGAGACGATCCCCAACGCGATAACGCGCCGCTTCGCACACGGGAGCTCGCTCTCTGTTACAAAAAAGGCAAGCCTACATATCGTTGACAAGTAAACAAGGCCGGAAGACACGCGCGCGACTTTGACACCTGTGGCACATCTAGTCACGATGTAAGCCTGCCTCGCTGTGTGACGAGACCTTACGCGTTACATCGGAGCGGGCGTGTTCACACCTGACAACATCATGACAAACAGAAAGACTCAGGTCTTGGTCACAGTAATAGGCGGCGCCGCAGCGTTATTCAAAACACACTGACGGACGTGCCGCTGCTCTCATCACACGAGGTGATGACACACTGTTTGAGGAGCATCAGCTTGCCGACGGCGCTGAACATTCGCGACACCCTGCCAGGCTCGTTGAGCATCGGCGAGCGATCGTACCGATCACATCGCACGAAAGACCAGCGCAACGGCGTCTGCGTACACGCGACTCAAACAGCGAGCTTGGCAATACCCACCAGAACTTCTGCGACTGAAGGCAAACAACACAAATGAGGGGTAGATAGCGGCAGATCGGGGTTGCCGCATACAATGATAAAGGGAAGGTTGGCGCAGCGTGTGGTCAGCGATTGCTGCTGGGCAGAAGAACTGATCTTCACCCGGGATATCGCTCTTTCAGGGCATCCCCGCAAGTCAAGAGCGTGTTTGGAGTGGCCAGGTGCTGTCGAGCTGAGTAGCTCGAACCTGTCGCCCTTGCCCGTCTTGCAGGCGACTTGGCAGTAGCACTGCGTGCTTCCTGTCGATCACCGAACAATGCACTCCGACACCAGCAACGACAGTGGCCTTCAATGTGCGGTGTTTGGCAGGATGACTCCCGTTTCGCGGCATTGATGCGATCAAGCGGCCGTCTGAAGTTGAACAAGTGGGAGTTTACTGCAGTCGTTCGATGCAGGATGTACTGGCCCAGACCTATATCAAGCCTCGGCTCTACAAAGTTATCAAGGGCCAGGACTGCTCGCCCTGGCGCCCCATTGGCTCCTTAAGTCTACCTTATATAGGCGGGCCTGTAGTTCCGGGTTTATCAATGAGCTGTGGCCGTCTTGTGCATGTATAGTATACCCCAGAATGCAGGGCTCGAACTGTCGCAAGAACTCAGATACCAGGCAACCCAGCTTGCACCCTGCAAACCTACCAGGCCACTGGAGTGAATGTCGAGCATTAATACATACATGAAGACATCGGACCTACGACTTGATTGTTCGGCACTGGCGGCAGTTGCGATGCTGATCGGAATGTCACCATATGGCCGATATTCCCTTCGAGGAGACACTCGTACTGCACCGCCTTTCGTAACGCGGCCAATCACGGTCCAAATCTCTTAAAGCACGATAGTCTCTCGACATCCGAACAGCCGTGAGCTCAACAGGACCGATATTTCGGAATACCGTTTTCAGGCTTGCCAATAATGAATATATCAGTATATAGACACAATCGCGACAGAAGCAATTACAGAGTTGGACCTTTGATATCAATAGCGCTGGCACGAGGTTTCTGGCAGCCACCACGTCTCATTTGCGCTGGCTGCCGAGTAACGGAGCTTCCTTGGCTTCTAACATGCTTCTACCGTATGTATGTCTATTGTACGTAAAAATTCTAGCTTGTCAGATCATGCGCGGAATACTGTCAGAGAGCAAGCGTCACTGAAGGTTTGCTCCGGAGCTGTACTTCGTATAACTAAGCCTTTCGCGTGCAGCGGGGCCGGCCTCCTCAGATCTATATTGGCCGTATTAAGACCGACTAAAGTAGCAGCAGGTTACCCGAAACATCAGGGTTTTACCACGCGGTCTACATGAAAACTGCCTTTTGTAGCTGAGCGCGCGGCCTCGCCGACTATCACCTATATGGTTCGCCGTTGTTGCGCGAGCCACATGGGTGTTGATGTGAGGACGTTTTGCTATCTGTGATGCCCACGGAGGGGCTCTGAAGACCTAAAGGTAAAAATATGGGGTTGGAGCCAACAGTCTATGGTTGCGTTTCAGACTCGTGTGATAGATATGTTCGACGCCCGCTTTTTGACCATGTAACGTTCGGGCACGGTCCCCTCTCGGCTACGATCTGCGCCAGGGGATTCAGCCCAGGCATGCTGCCACGCGAACTCCCGCTCGACCACCACGGTTTGATCACCATCTGGGTTACCATTACACAGAGTGCGTCAGCCTACGGCTGTTGAGAAGTGGATGACATATAACAGAATCGGCACTATGGCAGCGACAATGCGATCGCAGGAGCCGGCAGATAGCCTTGGTACGCCGCTCCGCACAACCTTCAACCGCTCCCTGTCAGAAGCTGCACCTAGGCCTGTGACATGCGACGCCACAGCCTTGAATCAGTGCCTCAGCCAAGTTCAGGACCGAACAGCTAGCCTTACAAGGCCGCCGCAGTGGCTGCAACGCGAGTTCCGCTAGGGCTATAGCTGCGACATTATACCCCCTCGGACTCTACCACTGTTAGTAGATACCCACTATTTCCGGCGCTCGCCCAATCACGGCCATGTAGCGACATGGATCCTTTCCTGTTCCTGCAGGCATCCTGCGACTGTTTCCAGGCACGTAAGTGATGGGCGCTGCAGGAACGTGGTTTGGCGTGGAGTTGCTCCTTCTCTCGACGTCTCCGCTTCCAAATCGGGACGTGTAGCCTGGAACCCACATGTATCTGCAAGCTAAATCTGAAGGCACCGTGACCTCACCAATGGTGGCAGTGTCGAACTCACGACTCGTGCATCAGGAGTGCATGTGCGTTTCTTCACCCGTAGCCATGTGGTATCGTATTGTCGGACGGGTTCTTCCTAGGCTGCACTCGCCTCCCCATCACTTCCGGCCCTCCGTTCCACGGCCTCCCAGGTGATAACATGGATTGAAGCGGGGTGGCATGCTGGAGGTTCGCTATACGGTTTTCTTCTAATTGTCCTAATACGTCGAGTGCGATCACTCAGTTCAACACCAACCGCAATGCTCGACAACGCTTCGCCCGCTGGTATACGGGTGAACACGATCGTCCTTGCGTTCACACTCGTTGCCGGAACGATAGTCTTTCTGCGATTATTCACCAGATTAGTGTTGACCAAAGGAGCTGGTCTGGAGGATGTGTTCATTGCCTTTGCTATGGTATGTTGCAGCTTGGGCTTTCACTGAGGATGCTGACCATCAAAGGCTCTGTCGATTGGCCTTGCTGTGTTGACTTCGGAAGAGGTCATGCATGGCCTTGGGGAGCATGTGTATGATCTCTCTGAAAACGATGTTATCATCGCCTTGAAGGTAAGCACACCTGGCATGGACGCCTCGTCTAGCAGTACTGACTCGATATACAGATGTTCTGGGCCAGCCTTTGGGTTTACAACCTCGCACTCACTATGACCAAGATCTCAATCCTCGTTCAGTACATCCGTATCTTCCCACCACGTCACTTCCGCTGCGCATGCTACGCTATGCTGTGCATAGTCGTCGCATGTGGTGCATGGGGCGTCTTCGGTAATGTCTTTCTGTGCCACCCTATCAACTTCTTCTGGGACAAGGCTGTAAAGGGTGGGTATTGTATGAACGACTACATTATATGGTTCACCACAGCTGGGTTGAACATTGGACAGGATGTGATCATCCTGTTCATGCCCATTCGAGTCATTCGGAGTCTGCAGATCAGCAAGAGCCAAAAGAAGGGTCTCATCACCATGTTAGCCCTTGGTGTCAGGTAGGCCAATCCCTGTTACGGGTTTGGGATGGAGGCTTACAAGAACCAGTGTCATCGTAGTCTCGACCGTTCGACTATACACCCTCGACAACCTCGCAAACTCCGAAGACCAGACGTTCGACAACCCCGATCAGGCCACACTCTCCGGCGTGGAAGTCAACGTCGGCATCATCTGCGCCTGCCTCCCAGCAATGCGACCGCTCTTCGCCGTCATGATGCCCAAGTACTTCTCCTCAGCAACCGCATACACCGCCACTCTCCCAAACGACATCGAGCGCCCCAAGGAGATCCGCAACGACTCCGTCAGCACCCGTGTAGGGACCCCTTCAAAGTCCACCATCATCCCTTCCACCCATGCCGCCAGCAGCCAAGCCTCCCTGGACCTACGCCCGCACCCCTCCGCCTCCAGCCAGCGCACCCAATCCCGCAACCCCAGCACCGCCCACTCCCGGAGCGCCAGCACCGCCTCGCGCGCCCCCAGCACCCTCTCCATCTCCACCACATCCCGCACCGCCGGCCCCTTCCACGGCTCCGCCCTAAACCCCCTCCGCATGTCCCCCGTAACCCCCTTCGCACCGCCCGCCTCACTACGCCTAAGCCACCTCGCCGAAGACGACATCGCCCTCCTCGGACCCGGCGCCTACACCCGCCGCCCCAGCGACGCAAGCATCAGCCTCAGCCTGCCGCGCTCGTACGGCAGCCGCCGCAGGTCTCGCTCACAAGCCAGCACCAAGCCGCTCCCGCTCACGCCGTTCCCTGTCGCCGGCCACCAGTGGACCCAGCTCACCGCCATCCCGCGCCCGTCGACGCCGCTGGCGCCGCTGCTGAAGCCGGCAGAGGCGGCGGCTAGCAAGGGCCGTGCGACGTCCGACGATGCGTGACTGCTGAGTATCTACTCGAAGTACGGGGCTGCGCGGTCGGATCGGTCGGCGCGCAGTTCGTGCTGAGGCGCGATGAGACGAGACGAGGTGGTAAAAGGAGAGGTATGAAGGGAGGAGCTGGACAGGGCACACATAGACGGGAGCAACAACGATACCCCAGATGTTTACGTGGTACATTCTTTTACGACACCGGCGCGGTGCGGCGTTTCTGCGGCTTTGTACAACATCAGCGTTTCTTTGCGTTTACGTCATCGGGTTGTGGGTTTCGGCGCTGTGGTATTTTTGTTTGATCGCTGTACGGGCTCTTGTCTGATATCTCTACGGGCTTCCGTATGGATGCTGCGCGGTTGTCTGCTTTATTGCTGTGCGGTTTTCTGATTGGACGCGGAGGGCAGGGTACTGCTGGTAATGTAGTGTAGGCATGCGAAGTTAATGATCATGACTTTCAAACAATGGTAGATGAGATGTTGCACGTGAAGCTGACAGGTCGTAAAACATGCAATTGCGCCGCGCCGATATGTACACTACCATGGCTCCAAACGCCAGACTAAACGAGAACGCTAAATGAACAAGGCTCATCGGAACTTGCTCCAGATGACGGCAATAATGAGCAGCACCAGCACGGTGATGATGGCAATGGTGATGATGCGGTTTGTGGCCATGCTGCGGTGGTCAGCGGGCGTCAGGTCAAATAGGCAGCCATCTGCGCGCATCAACAGCGGCACTGGGGGCAATGCAGGGGACTTACCGGCGCGCCATCCCCCGCAGCGTCTTGATGCTGCGGTCTGTGTAGCTCTCCGACTCCAGCAGGGTGGAGCGCGTGTGCTCGATGGTCTCGCGCTGGCGGTGCAGGTCGCTCAGGGTGCCTGCGCCAATCTGCTCCGTCTCGAGGGCGATGCGCTGGCTCTCGCGCAGGCGGCCGGAGCTGCGGTTCAGGCGGTCGGTGCCGGACAGCAGCTGCTGGCGCTGCTCGAGCTGGACGTCGCCCTGCTCCGGGTCGTCGGTGTAGCGGCTGCCGAACAGCTTGGCCTTGTCGTTGGTGTACTGCTGCAGCTTGCGCTTGGCGGCGTCGAGGTCGGACTCGAAGTTGCGGAACTTGGCGTTGTATTTGCTCTTGAGGTTCACGGGGATGTTGGACTTCTCGAGGCGCATCTGGCCGATCTGCCTCATGCGTGTTAGCACGCGTCGGTGTTGCAATGCGCTGCATGCGCCGCTGCCTGCTCAGCTCGGCGTACCAGCTCGTCGGCCTCTTCCAGCGCGCGCTCGGCTCTGCTGATTGCGGCTTTGCGCGGCTCGCCCGTTGATTCCTTGATCTGCTCGATTTGCTGCGACAGGTCCGCTTGCACGAGCTTCAGCTCGGCTTCATAGCCACCGAAGCGCTCGGTGCCGGCGTCGGCGTCGATGAGGTTGGACATGGTCGCGGCGTCGGCGTGGTGTGGGAGGTATAGTTTGGGGTGGAGGTTTGGCGGTGTCGTGGTGGAAGTTCGAGATGTGGAGCTGGAGACGACGACGTCGGTGTCGGTGTCGGTGTCGCTGTTGACTGTGGAGTCGCCCGGGGCCAGGGTACAAGGCGAGGCGCATTACGCACCGCCAAGGCAAGCATAACCTTGCCACGTCACGTGAGTATCTCTCCCCACGCATCACCTATCAGATGTCGCAGCATGCACTGGGACTGAATATTGCTGCCTGTATCTGAACCAGACTTCACCACATGCGCGCTTACCATGTCGTTGCTCTCGACGACTTGCCCATGCCCCTCGCTCCAGTCTACGACTCGAGACCTGGCCATGGCATGCTGTTTCACAGCTCCTCCCGCTTACGGCAGCATTCCACTTGCTGTGCCGCTGATTCTCAGCTAACAATACATCGCGTCCATTTTGGCGGCTCAAGAGAAACGTCCGGCAGCCGGCAACCTAGTGCACAAACAAACGTTCACCTAGGAAGGGTCCCTGCAGCTACTGTGAAAGCGCATGTGAGGAACCTTCGGTGTTTCGACGGACGAAGAGACGATCGTCTCGAAAGTCTCCTTTGCCAACACTACCAAACGTGTTGAATTCGGCCCTGTACTAGCTGAAACCGACTTCGCTTGCGAGTCAATGACATCAACACTTCCATTCTTCGTAACCATGTGATTCCGTTTGTTTGCTGGCTTTCTGCCATTTCCCAGACGCAACCTTAGTGTGCTTGTATAGTCGCCACTCGGCCTCAGATTCTGCGAAACTTAAAAGAGATGGACAGAAAACGCATAGCAATCGTCGGTAGCGGCGTCTCCGGCCTCAGCGCGCTGTGGACCCTCCGCAATGCAGGTCACGAAGTCCACCTCTTCGAGGCAGCAGATCGGTTGGGCGGCCACACCAATACAGTGACGTGGAAACACGATGGCCTCGAGACGCCCGTCGACACCGGCTTCATCGTTCTCAACACCGCGACTTACCGTACGTCTGCACGGACTCGATTGGTCGAAGTGCCACTAACCTCATCCAGCAAACTTCATCAAGTTCCTGAATGCTCTCAACGTGAGGATAGATACATCAGAGATGACTTTTGGTGTATCACGCGACGCTGGTGCATTTGAATGGTCAGGCACCTCGCTCGGCGGGCTCTTCACACAGACCTCAAACATCATCAAACCTTCCTTCTGGCGTATGGTCTTTGACATCGTTCGGTTCAATCAATTTGCGCTGGACCTGCTATCAATACCGCCGGGATCCGCTGCTGCAACCAAAGCAAATCAGGAGAGCATCGGCCAGTACTTGGAGAGGAACGGCTACTCGGATGTGTTTCGAGACGACTACCTGATTCCCATGACAGCATGTGTCTGGAGCACTGGGGCTGACAAGTGTGCCTTGGAGTTCCCAGCCCTTACCCTTGTAAGATTCATGTGGAATCATCACCTGTTAACTACAGTGAGTGAGCGACCGCCGTGGTTGACGGTGCATGGCGGCGCGAAGAACTACATCGATGCTGTTATGAAGGAGTGCAAAGACGTGGATCTCCACCTAAGCACATCAGTGACATCGCTTCAGCGGAAAGATGGCCGAGTCCGGCTGACCCTAGACAACAACTCCACTCGCACAGAAGAGACATTTGACTCGGTGATTCTTGCTTGCCACGGCGACCAGGCACGGAATATTCTCGGCTCTTCCGCCACAGTTGAAGAGAGCGATATCCTGGACGCTTTCGAGACAACACCCAACACCGCTTACCTCCACTCTGATCTCAGCCTCATGCCTAAACGACGCGGCGCGTGGTCAGCATGGAACTACCTCACGACAACCTCTCCCGCGCCCTCGTCCACCAACCCCTCCGGCAATCTTCAGACAGTCAGCTTGACGTACAACATGAACATCCTGCAGCATATCCCCGTTGACAAATTCGACAACGTGCTTGTCACGCTCAACCCAGAGCAGCGCCCGGACCCAGCCTTGACGCAGGCACAGTACGAGTACCGCCACCCACTGTACAACAGCAAGATGGTTGCTGCGCAAGAAGAGCTGCATCGGATCCAAGGCAAGAGCGGAGTGTGGTATGCAGGCGCGTGGACGGGGTACGGATTCCACGAGGACGGGTTCAGCAGCGGGATGAGGGTAGGGCTGCAGTTGGGAGGCAGTGTGCCGTGGGAGGCCCAGGACGCAAAGTTCAGCCGCGGGCTGAAGCCAGAGCTCGACTGGAAAGACTGGGTCGTTCGATCGGTCGTCATCGTCGTACAGCTCTGGATTACTGCAGTGGAAGTCCTTGTCGGCCACAAATCAACCGGGAACAGCATTACAAATGGCAAGCCCAAAACCGCATAAATTCAGAAACTACGCATCCTTCGCCGCACTGCTTGCCTCCGGAAACGCAATAGCCACCTTCTCCCGCGCCCCCATCCGCTCCACCCACGCCGCCACTTCCGTGAACTCACTCAAATCCGTCGTGTCCCCCAGCACCTTGCCCGCCCACACCTGCCACGGCAAAAACGCCAAATCCGCGTACGAACACTTGCCCCCCACCAGCCACTTCCCCCCGTCCTCCCCTGCCTCCTGCGCCCGCAGATGCCCGTCCAGCACCCCCGTGACGCGCTCAATCTCGCGACAGTACCGGGCGCGCGCCGACTCGACGACCTCGGGGTGGTACTTTGTGAACCACACGGCCTGCCCGTAGTACGGGCCCTGGCCGGAGTTCTGGAAGTGCAGCCACTGGCGGGCGAGGTGCGCGTCGTTGGAGCCCGGGGCGAAGCTGAGGCGCCCCGCGACGTCGTACGTGTCGATCAGGTACTGCATGATGGCGCCGGATTCCCACAGCGTGAGCGAGGTGTTTGGGTCCACGATGGCGGGCATGCGGCCGTTGGGGTTGATGGCCAGGTAGGCGGGGGTTTTCACCTCCGAGAAGAGCGTGTCGATGAGTGTGTAGGGGAGGCCGAGTTCTTCGCACAGAATGCGGACTTTGGGCGGGTTGGGGCCTTGTTTGCCGTAGATGGTGATGGGCTGCATGTCGGCGATGGGGATGGTGGTTGTCATTTTGCGGTGCGTTAAGGGATGGGTTGTTGAGGAGCGGCGTCGATGGTGCTGTTGGTGATGGAATGGGATGGGACGCGGTGGTTGCGATGCAATGCAGCACGATACTCCTCACCTATATACCTACAAATGCACACCCCGCCTCCCACCTCAACAGTCTCACTCCCATCCTCACCTGCATAACCGCATCTGCCAGGCACCCACTCACCTCGCGCCTCGCACCTTGCACTACCCACCAATGCATCACCTTCTCCACCCTGCCAATTCCACCGCTCGAGCTGCGGACGAACCGCCTCCAAACCTGACACCCTGGTAACACAAGGTGGAGCCAAGGAGGGGATTACAAAGCAGCTCCACCGCCTGCTTATGCAATACGGCGGACGCGCTTGCGTCGGTCCTATTCCCGCGCGGTGCTTACACAGCGAAGGTAAGAGTGATATCGATGGGAATCGGGGGTTTGGGGTGGTTTGGGGGTGGGAGGGAGATGATCGGCGCTGGGGTGCTTTGCTCACGTGACTTCGAATCACTGTGTGGAGCATACAGATGTCGCGGTGCCAATAGTAAGACGTGTGCAATGGGAAGAAGTCCCAAACTAAGCACTGGAACAATTTCTCGTTGTACCATTCATAGTCGTATTATGCTGTAGGCAAAGTGCCGGATTTGACAAAAGGCATACCTGACAAGGAAAGTCTCGATGAATTGTCAAATTAAGGAATTATTGGAAGTCTCATGACCCTCTAACCATTCCTTCTCTGTTTCCTGCCATGTGTTTCCATCTGGCGACCATAGCTGAATGCATTCATACAAGAGTGTATCGACCTGCAGGATGCGGCATCAGCTGCCACATGCCTTTCACCATGTGTTCAGATCGAAAGCTGATGTACTTGTCGTTTCGGGACTCGTTCTCCATCTTTTCCACAACATGAGAAGAACTCATGTTCCTTAGAGTAGGTGCTGACAAGTCCTCCATGGACAACTGGAATGGAGTCAAGACGTGCTCCCCTTCGGCATCCGCTTTGGGCATATCAAAGATTGCGCGTTGCTTGTCAAAAGCTAAAATCTCATCGATACCGAAATCGTTGGTCCGTGCAAAGAACATGTGGAAAAATATCTTCTGCTCAAGATATGATCTTGAGTAACCGAGACTTCCAGATGGTGCGCATTTCGGATAAGTTTCGAGACAGGTAAAGATGAAGAATAGAATCTGTCGCACTAGGAAACCTCCTGTCACCAATCTCACCCTTGTGCGTGCGTACGTCTTTGCGTTTGACAGCTCAGCAGACGACATCGCTTTACGAATTATGCGCTTATGGGCACTCCCGTTGATTTTGAAGAAATCTCCGGGCATAGCTGAGCCGATTATGTCGTATAGCATGGGGAGTGCGCCTTCTATCTCCAGGTCAAAAAAAATACTTTGAGCCGACTTCGTGTCATCCAGTTCTAGTCAAAAAGCCGCGTGTCCAAATTTTTCGAGAACTGGCAACAAACGCATCTCCTCATCCTGGGGAAATGTTGTTCCAATTGGTCCACGAAGTCGACCGAAGAGAGGAGAATCAAACCAGTCTTTTGAGGCTGATATGTTTTCCGGCATTTTGACTGCAACAGGTGCAGATGCCCCGTCGAAAAGGTCTTCGAGGTGTTGTGCAATTCTTTGAGTGAACCCAAGCTGTGTTTTGAATGATCGACCTTCATTACCTTCGATCAGAGTGCCAGACCATACACCACCATCTTTCATGATCCTGGCGATCAGCCATTCAGACTGGTATGTCACATCATCGATGCGCTCGAGATTGAGCATTCCCCGACGATTCTCCACACGTATACTAGCCGGTATCTTCTCTACTGAATCGACGAGCTCAAAAGTTGCTGCTACTCCTCCATATCTGGAAGGCCGCCACCGTGAGTTATACACACAGTGCCAGATGGCGTCAGCAACCACAATTTCACCGGACCTACGAAGATGCTGAAGCGTATCGAAGAGAATCTGAGTGATTGCGCGCTCTCTGCGCACGGCATGCTCGTCGTTCACAGGGTTGAAGGTTCGCTGCCACGCTCCAGCATGCACAGAAACCGGGGCTGGGCGCTGCAAAATAGACTCTCGCTCACGATCAAGGGCAGACCATCGCTTCGCGTACCGGGCTTGAATCTCTGTAAGTGTCACGAACTTGTCTAGTTTCCAAAGGAACCCGGGCAGTCGCAGACCCCTACTCGAGAGACTATAAGACTCTGGTGCACATCGACCGAGCGAGAGTTGCTCAGCTGGATTTTTGGACCACCGGAGGTTTGGGAGACAGGCTGCTGTTCTTAGTAAATGCTCAATAAAAGCTACAGACGGTCAGCATATCCACCAAGAACGTAAAGTAGCATCACTTACGCAGTGGGGCGGTCTGAAGTAGGCTTACTGGACGATAAACATCGGGTGTGAGACAGAACGACAACGCACAGTGCAAGGCTTGACTGCGTCTTTTCGAGCGCCGATCCATCTAATCGCAGTTCGTATTCGCACAGATTAGCAAGTATGGCCAAGCGATCAGACACCACGCTATTCTCTCGATGCCGGAGAAAGCTTAGAGCGACTGCTGCGTTGCATGGATCTTTACTACGGTTGTCTCCAATGGTTATGTCATATCTCGATGTCAGAGGTACCGATGGCTGGATCCACTCCCGCCGGTCGAAGAACTCGGCCTCTTGAAAGAATGCAGGAGAGTTACCAGCGATGTGCGAACCGGCTTGCTTCATTCTACCGCAGAGGATTTGGAAGTCAATGCAGATCTCTGTGTAGGATTGCTCGTGGCAGACAAGGTGCAGTCGATTCCGGATGACGTTGCGAGCACATGGGAACAGAACCACTATCTTCCCTGCAGACGCGAAGGCCTCCTGAAGAATCCATGCTCGAGTGCACCGTGGCGACGTTCCTCGTGTGGGAATTCCGGAACCTCGCGCGCACCTTTTTCAAACGAGACTGGAGAGACCATGAGTTGCACCCAGTGTATCGATACCCTTGCCAACTCAGTCGTGAAAAGTCCAATAGTGACATGAGCGTAGAGAAACACTGCATCCACCGCCTGCACGCCAACCTTATCCTCTGCATCATCGTCTTGGTCGATGCATCCCTGAAGTCACAGGGCTCAGTCATGCTCATCCATAAGAAACCGCGCAGATACTTATAACTCAATTAATCTAGATCATTCTATATCCGTTCTGGGCTGCAAAAGTGACCGCACGGTCGACGGATGACCTCCTTTGCCGCTCAGATGGCTCGTGTCGAGCCATCTTCCTCAGTGACAACATACGGATCGATCGTCACTGGTAGGGCGTCGCGGACGCCGCCCAGCAGTATGACACGGCATCAAAACGGCTACATGGCTACTCGTTGTGATTCTGAAGCTTCAACTCGCGTCCAGAAAATGCAAAGGCGTAGGGGACGTCGCTGTTGGCCACTCTTCGTATCTTGAATCGCGTTGTCGTGCGATTGTTGGGGAAAAGGGGGATTTCTTTCGCAGTACTAGCACGTGCGGTCTCTCACATGCTCGCACAAGCTCGGTCTTGTCGTTTCAGGGTTGGAGGGTGACCGGAACTGCCTGAGGAGGTCATGTTTAGAGCATTTGTGATGGGTGTCGGGCAACTGTGCTTTGAACTCGCACCGGGCGCACTGCTCTTCGAAGCTTGAGGAGAAGTGTATTCCTTCTGTACTTGGTTCGCCAGTGCAACTTTCTTCAAAATAATGATGGGAACTAGGATATGGGGTGCTGGTGTTCCAGAGCAGCACGAGGTGCGCGAAGAGGCGTACTCGCAGCAGCTCATGCGAAACGCATACATTCCCACCATCCAGCAAACATCCGGTCCTCTACGCCCCAGCCGCCCCCGCAGCCTCCTCCCCACCCCCCTCCTTCTCCTCCGCAAACGACACCACCCCGCCCCGCCCCACAAGCCCAAACACCACATCCTGCACCCACCGCGGCCACCCTCTGACGCCCGCCCACCGCTCCTGCCCGCGCGGCACACACACCCTCCCGCTCCTCCCCGCCAACACCTGCTGCAGCACGGCCTCAGCCACGCGCTCCGGCGGATCCGGCACAATCCCCCTCTTCGCAAGCTGCTTACCGCTGTCCTTCAGAATGCCTGTCTGGTGCCAGCTCGGATGCACGCTGGTCGTGCAGATGGCCCTGCCGCCGGCGTAGTGCGCGAGGCACTCGGCGCGCACGCCCTCGGTTAGATATAGGGCGCCGATCTTGCTGATGCTGTAGTCGACCAGGCCTGGTGCGGCGACGAAGGACGCCATGGAGGCGATGCTGACGATGTGGCCTTTGCGGGCGCGCAGCATGGAGGGGAGGAAGGCGCGGATTAGGACGAGGTGCGAGATGAGGTTTACCTGCAGAAGTTTCTGGGACTCTGCGTTGGAGGTCTGGCGCTATTAGTCCGGGACGGGTTGCGAGAAGGAGGGGGGGGGGGAGGGGGGAACGCACCTCGAGCAGCGTCTTCCCGATGCCGATCCCCGCGTTATTCACCAACACACTGACATCCCCGTGCTCGCGGCGAATCCGCGCACACACGCCCTCCAGCGCCGCCGTATCCGCGATATCGCACCGGTAGAAGAACACATCCGACAACCCCTCCAGTTCCGCAGGGAACGCCGCAACGTCCACGGCCACCACGCGCGCGTGCCCCGCAAACGCCTGCACCATGTGGTACCCGAACCCGCTGCTGCCGCCCGTGATAAGCACGAGCTCGGCCTTGCCGGGCCCGAAGCGCCAGGCCGCGCCGCTGCGGCCCAGGGCCCAGTTGTTCCAGGCCAGGGCGTTGAGGGCGCGGTTGGCGGCGCGCAGGGCGTTGGCGGCGGTGAGTAGCTTGAGGAGGGTGATGAGGGCTGTGAGGCGGGCGACGCCGCGCGGTGTGTTGGTGGTGACGGGGTGGGTGGATTGGAAGGGTTTCAAGAGGCGGGAGCGCAAATGTGGAGGGCCCCGCGTGAGGAGGTAGAGGAGCGTGCCTGTGAGGAGCGGCGAGGTGAGGGTGCTGGTCACGCCGGAGAGGGCGCGGCCGGCCACGCTGGGCCGGGTGCTTGCGAGGGTTCCGCCGGGGGGCATGGTGCGTGGTGGAGGTCCGGGTTAAGTAGGTCGGGATGGAAGGTAGATATACTGTGCCACCGAGGGCTCACCGTCGACGTGAGTTGGCTGGAGCTAGGCCTTGACAGGTGATGATTCCTTGAAGTATGTTACTAGCTGTCCGTGGCCCGCATACTACGAGCGGAATGTGCACAGCCGGACCTCCTTGCTCGCTCATCACAGCACGCGCCGAGGCACTCTCGCTCTTATGGCGTGCCTGGAGATCACCCCGCAACGCTAAGACCGGCGCCAGGGTCCAGCTGCAGTGATCTGCGGCTCCGTTCTAGTGCGGGGAAGCCCCACCACATGTGAACGTGTTCGAGTCAGCGCTGCAACCATGCACCTATCCTGCCATTGGAACAATGAGATGAGGGATACGGTTGGCAGCTGCCGAGGTAGACTGTAGTGCGCTTCTGTCCACAGCTTCTCGGGAGTCTGGATGGCGGCTCTGCCAAGGTGACCGAGAGATGCCGTGCCATGAGTCTCGGTCAGAGATACCTATCTGCAACATGAAATCGCAACCAGAGTATCATTTGCAACCACCGTCGACACACCCACTACCCCCCACTCACTCCCCCCATTCCACACGCTCCAGCCGCAACCGCATTCCATTCACCGGCTTACTCGTAATCGTCCCGCCGACCACCACCTGCTCCCCCGGCACCGCCATCTGCATCTCAAACCTGCCCACAAACGCCGCGACCAGCGCCCTCAACTCGGCCCTTGCAAACCGCTCGCCAATGCAACTCCGCGGCCCGTGCAAAAACGTCAGGAACGCGTAGTTGCTCTCCGCGCCGCCGCCCAGCGTCGCCCGCCCCCCGTCGATCCAGCGCCCGGGCTCGAACACCTCTGCATCCGTGCCCCACAGCGCCGGACTCCGGTTTATCGCCCAGGGCACGAGGAACACGAGGGTGCCTTTGGGCACGCACACGCCGGCTATGGTGGTGGGCCGCGTGGCGCAGCGCGAGGAGACGGGGATGGTGGGGTAGAGGCGCAGGGTCTCGTTGCAGACGGCGTTGAGGTAGGGCATAGATTCCAGCAGGGCGGCGATGTCGGCGGTGGGGGAGGAGAGGGCGGTGGGCGAGGGGATGTGGGCGTGGATTTCGGCGCGCAGGCGGGTTTGCACCGCCGGGTGCGTCGAGAGCAGGTACGACGCCCATGTCAACGCCGAGGAGGTGGTTTCGTGGCCCGCGGCGATGAAGGTGAGGAGGTGGTCGACGAGGCTTTGGTCGGAGAAGTTGTTGCTGCGGATCATGAAGGAGAGGATGTCTCGGCTTTTTTCGTCACTGTTAAGCTTTGTTTTGGCTTTCTGGTCGATGACGAAGTTGGTGCAGATTCGCTTGAGGTTCCCGGTCATGATCTTGACGCGCTCGTTGAGCTTCCATGGCAGCATCGCGATCAGCCGCGGCGGGAAGAGCAAGTGGCATAGGAAGTAGATAGCCTTCTCCGACGTGGGCTCCAGGACCTCTTCGAAGGTCTTGGCGAGCTCGTCTTCCCCGCTACGGAGTGATGCAATGTCGCGGCCAAGTCCCGCCAGCCCGATGATATCGAGTGTGACCTGCGTCGAGTAGTGGCCTATTTCGAGGACTTTGGACGCTTCGTGTGTCAACGCGGCCTCGACTGTGTCGCAGAACTCGATCGCTTTCGACCAGAACACCGGATACAGCTCCTTGATCTGGCGGAACGAAAACGCAGGCATAATCTGCTTGCGGTGGTGTCGATGCACATCGCCCTCGAGCATGACCAGCCCGTTGCCCAGAAACCTCCGCAGGAAGTCGCTGATCCACGCCGGCTTTTCGAAGTCGTACGACTTGTGGACAAGAACGTCCGCGATGGCCGCGGGGCTGGTGACGATGAGCCTGTCGGTATGGAAGAAGCCGTAGGTCCGGATGACGCCGTCGTTGGGCGTTGCGTTGATGATGTCGAGATGAGGCTGGCCGGGCGGCCTTGCAAACAAGGCGAGCCCGTGTCCGACGAGCGGCCTGAAGCCCCTCGCTGTCGGCAGGTGTCGGAGCGGACTCAAGAAGAACGGGTAGACGACGAGCTTGTACGCGCCATAGAGAGCAAAATTGAGGAGCAGAGACGCGAAGAAGACAGAGATCAGCGTGGTTCCTGCGGCGAGGCTTGGGAGAAGGTAGAAAGCGAGTATCGACTCCGGCACAGCTGCAAGAGCCACATTCGCGGGCGTGACCTCCATTGTGATGGTGAAGATGCCAGCGCGGGGCGAGCTGCCTTTACAAGTCTACATGAGAGCTCAAGAGGGCCTCTAGGCAGCCGAACATAAGAGAATCGGGCATGTCAGACGCAGATCGAACCAGCCGACTCGGGCTCCCAAGACGTCCGACGAAGTGGCGGAGCGTCAAATGCGGCAGTCGCTGCGAGAAATGCTGCGAGAAACAAACCTACCAGCCTCAATCCCTGTCCAGGAACGCTGTCTCACAATGCAAGATCCTGGCGAAGATGGGGTTCTGTGGGTTGACGAGGATGCTGACACGCAGTTGCTGTGTAAGGTTCGGAGCTAGCTGATTCGGGCGCGGACCGAGGCTTGATGCGGAGGCATGTGCGGACTTCTCTGCTACTTTATTCCAACAATCACTGCGTGAAGGCTGGAGACTGCTTGTAAGGCCACGCAAGTACGCGTGGCTTCGCAAGCCCAACTGAGTCTGGTTGCCTCGTGATATTAGGCAGCACTGGAGCCCTATCTTGCTTCAACGTAGTTGGTCTCGCTCAAGCTGTACAGTGCTTGAGGCTTCAAGGAGAGGGTAGGTCTGTCTGACATTACTGGAAATATGATAGACACGTGTAACTTGCCGAGATCGTATAGATGGCCGTCTTCCCAGTGATCTTGACCATCACTGTAAATCGACTCCGAATCCTCCACGATCATCTCCAATCATTTGCAGGATATCACCGGTACATGACAATCGTAAGTTGAAGATTGTATTCTATGTTCTAGTCATTATCATCGAAGTGAACGAAGTAGCCTTCCGGGACCCAATACACTGAACTCCATGCTCCGATATCTCACGCAAAGGTCCGGGATTCTCTATCGGGCGTTGTTCTTGGGGGCCTCGGTGGGGGGTCCGGTTGGTGTTGTGTAGCACTTGGTCATTCCGCCGTCGACCACAAAGTCTGTGCCGTTGACGAAGCTGGACTCGTCGCTGGCCAGGAACAGAACGGCCTGGGCCTGCTCAATGGCCTCGCCGAAGCGGCCAGAGGGGAAGTGGACCTCGCGGCGGTGGCGCTTCTCAGCGTCGTCACCGAGCCAGTCCTGGAGCAGGGGGGTGCTGGGGCTGTTAATATACAGATAATCACAAACTGGAAGAAGCTTACTTCAACGGCGCAGGGCAGAGCGAGTTGAACCTGTAGCCCTCCCTGGCGTGCACCATAGCCAGCTCGCGCGTCAGCGCCAGAACGGCACCCTTGCTAGCTGTGTAGGCCAACTGAGGTGTCGCAGAGCCGACAAGACCGACCACACTGGCAGTGTTGATGACGCTGGCCTTTGTCTTTCCGTGCTTGCGGAAGCTCAAGACTGCGTGCTTGCTGCCGAACCACACACCCTTGACGTTAATGGCCTGTGTCAGGTCCCAGATTTTCTCCGGGGTGTTGACAGCATCGTCGTCGTCGGCGTGCATTATGCCGGCGTTGTTGAAGATGATGTCCAGACCGCCCCAGGAGTCGACGTGGGCGACTATGGCTTCCACATCGGATTCCTTGGAAACATCGCAGATCTTGGTCTCGATCTTGAGCGCTTTCGCGCCGGGCACGACTTCGAGGAGCTTGGCTACTGCCTTCTCCAGAGCTGGGCCGGAAATGTCCGAGAGGAGGACGTTGGCGCCCTCACGTGCAAAGAGAATCGACGTCTCAAGTCCGATGCCGCTGCGCGGTGTCAGCTACATCCAGAGGCTTCTACGGCATTTCATTGATTTCGGTTGTCGCTGATGCCAAGGGTCGAAAAGTCTGATATGGCTACGGTGGCGGCACTTCGCCACAATGGCTCAACACTCTCCAGAGGTCCAAATCCTGGAATGAGCCATCTCTTGCGAATTGGTGGTGCAGACATTGTCGACGGCGGTGCGGAGTCTCCTGGGGCACAGATGCACTTACCCAGCGGCGCCGGTGACGATAGCGTTCTTTCCTTCAAGACGGCCCATGTTGAATCTGCAGGATCTCACTGTTGAAGTGGGTGGGTATAGGGGGTGGTATCAGAAATCTGGCCGGAAGTCAGAGGCGGTGTTTGAAGTTTTATAGTCACGATGGTTGATATTAGTCATATTAACGGCGGCGGCGTCATCTCGCTTTGTCAACGGGGAAGGTGTGCCAGCGCAACGACCACACTGAGATGGCGTACCTGTTACAGACGGGTCCTGGAAGTGGTGAGGTGGTCAAAGCAGCGTGTTAAGCGTCAATGGAAGGCTGTGGGAGGTCACGGATGGCGACGGTCGGTGATATTGAGGGACCGCGACCGGCATCGGCGAAGTGATAGATAATGGCGATAGGACGATAAGGACTGCCGGCGACGGCGCGCACTGCGACAGACGCAGACGCAGCAGGGCGGTGAGCCCAGGGCATGGCCATTGAGCGGCTGGAGAGCGGCTGGAGAACGGTCTTCAGTCCCTTCATGGTCGCGTGGCTCTCGAGGCGCATCACGGCGTTGGGTGCTGTCACGGCTCTGCATGGAGTGGTACAGACACGCGTACCCCGCCATCTGGTGGGGCTGGCCACCGGCGGTAGCGGTGAGTTCTGGCGGACATCACGGTGGTGCTTGGGGCTGTCGCGCGGGCTATCAGGAGTCGCAAGGGATGAACGGGCAGATTGCAGGCATGCATGCCGGCGTGTGCGATGGTTTTAAACATATGCAGGCGGCGCAGCGGCGCGAGGCTCACGCTGTGCTGATTGCCGGCAGTGGGCGCTAGCAGCGTTCCGACGCCCCACGTCATTGGTCCCGCAGCAGCTATCGCGTCGACAGCTGAGGGTCCAGCGAAACCTGCTCCGGTGCGCGTTGGTTCCGTATATTGGTCTTCTGCATTGCTCCCCAAGTACTGTACTACAGTACATTGGTCTGCTGCACTGCTCCCGCGTCTCCTACTGCGCTTCCACCTCCGCCGCCGCCCCTCCCCCACACACAGCACACAGCATGGCCGCAGACCCCGTGACGCTCGAGGCGCTGCCCGAGCTGCTCAAGGACGATGTCGCGGTCAAGGTGGCGGGCATCGACGTCGACGGGATGCTGCGCGGCAAGCTGATGGCCAAGAAGAAGTTCCTGTCCATCGCGAAAGACGGCTTCGGCTTCTGCAGCGTCGTCTTCGGCTGGGACATGCACGACCAGACGTACTTCCGCGAGCTGGGCGTGTCTAACAAGGAGAACGGCTACCGCGACCTGATCGCCGTGCCGGACCTCAGCTCGTTCCGCCGCATCCCGTGGGAGAACAACGTGCCGTTCTTCCTCGTGTCGTTCCACGACCCGGACACGCACGACTCGCTGTACGCGTGCCCGCGCAGCCTGCTCAAGCGCTCCGTCGACAAGCTGAAAGAGAATGGCTACGGCGCCATGGCCGGCGCCGAGTACGAGTTCTACCAGTTCCGCGCGCCGCAGACGCACGACGGCCCGGAGCGCAACTCCAGCGGCACCGCGACGTTCCTGCGCGAGAACCCCGTCAACGCCCTGCCCAGCCTGACCGAGGGCATGTTCGGCTACAGCATCACGCGCACCGTGCACAACCAGGACTACTTCTACGGCATCTTCGACGCCTGCGAGCAGTTCAACTGCGGCATCGAGGGCTGGCACACCGAGTCCGGCCCGGGCGTGTTTGAGGCGGTGAGTCCTACATCCCCGTGGAAGAGTCCTGTCACTGACTGACCGACCCCAGGCCCTCCAGTTCGGCGAGATCAGCGCCATGGCCGACAAGGCCTCGCTCTTCAAGCTCGTCGTCAAGTCGCTCGGCTCCAAGTACGGCATCACCCCGTGCTTCATGGCGAAGCCGCGCGAAGGCCTGCCCGGCAACAGCGGCCACATGCACATCTCGCTCGTCGACGACGCGGGGACCAACCTGTTCGCGCGCGCCGAGCCCGACCCGGCCGCGCCCTACGCCGACATCCGCTTCCTGTCCGACCTGGGCCGCCACTTCCTCGCCGGCCTGATCGACGGCCTGCCGGACATCATGCCCATCCTCGCGCCCAACGTGAATTCGTACAAGCGCCTAGTCGAGAACTTCTGGGCCCCCGTCACTGTCTCCTGGGGCCTCGAGCACCGCGCCGCGTCCATCCGGCTCATTGCCCCGCCCACCGCCAGCGCAAAGGCGACGCGCTTCGAGGTGCGCGTGCCCGGCGCAGACACAAATCCGCACTTTGTGCTCGCGGCGATCCTGGCGCTGGGCTGGCGCGGCATCGAGAAGAAGATGGAGATTCCCATTCCGCCGCTGGGCAAGGGCGAGGACGTGGGCGGCGCGGCGGACAAGGGCGAGCGGCTGGCCAAGAGCCTGAAGGAGGCGACGGACAAGTTTATGCGCCCGGAGAGCGTGGCGCGGGAGGTGTTTGGGGATGCGTTTGTGGACCACTTTGGCGGGACGCGGCAGCACGAGATCCGGCTGTGGGACGAGGCCGTGACGGACTGGGAGGTGCGGCGGTACATTGAGACCGTGTAGCGCGTTTTCTTATATCACGATACCAACCAGATACGAATCCTCACCACTTCCACTTACAGCCCCACAATCCCCCGCAGCCCCTTCAGCTTCCCCCCCAGCCCCGGCGCATACCCCATCCACACAATCCCCTGCGCCATGTTCCACGCGCGCTGGCCCGCCCCCGCGCCCCGCAGCGGGATATCCATGGGCGGCGGAATCGCCGTCTTGACGCCGGGCCAGCGATCCCTCGTGACCGCCTTGACATTGCACAGACTGCGCAGCCCCTCCGGGCCGGCAAACCGGCCGTACCCGCTGCCCTTGACGCCGCCGAACGGGAGCTGCACCATGTACGTGACGGCGAAGTCGTTCACCGCGACCATGCCGGCGTGCACCTCGCGCACCACGCGCTCGAGGTCCGCAGTAGCCGTGCCGTACACGCTGGCGCCCAGCGCGTAGATGGTGCTGTTTGCGGTGGCGATGGCGTCGGACACGTCCGCGGCGCGCATCAGCAGGAACACGGGCGCGAAGAGCTCTTGCTGCGCGATGCGCATGGCGGGCGTGACGTCGGCGAGGAACGTGGGTGTGAAGTAGTGGCCCTGCGGGTAGTCGGGGTGCGTGTAGCGTTTCCCGCCGGCGAGCAGGCGGGCGCCGTCCTTGACAGCGTCGGCGATGAGGGCTTCGAGCGTGGCGAAGGAGGCGGGCGAGATGGAGGCGCCGACGTCAACGGGGACGTCGGGCGAGTCGGTGAGGATGGAGCCGGGTTTCAGGGCGCGAATTTTAGGCGTGAGGTAGTCGACCAGGCGGTCGTGGACGTTGGGGAGGGCGATGACGCGCTCGATGCCGATGCAGTTCTGGCCGGCGGATTGGAAGGTGCCGCGCATGAGGATGCTGGCTACGCGTTTGAAGTTGCTGTCTGAGAGATCGTCGAGGACGATGGCGGGGTCCTTGCCGCCGAGCTCGACGCATACTGGAGTCAATGACTTTGCCGCTGAAGCACATACGTAGTGTGCCACCTGTCGAGAGCCGATGAAGGTGATGTGGCTAATGTCAGGATGCGACGTTAAGTGGCCCGCCACATCAGGCCAGCAGACGACCGACTGAATGATGTCCGGAGAGTGGCCACATGCCTCCAGGGCGCTAGTTGCGATTGCGGTGAAGTACGTCGCAGACCACGCAGTCGCCTCCGAGCCCTTCACAACAATGGCATTGCCCGCGAATATCGAGGAAATCATCGGAGAGAGGAGGTTGTGAAATCCGTAGTTCCAACTAACAAGAGCTGCCACGACGCCCAGCGGCTGGTACATGACTTCGTTCCACTTGTACATCATGAGGAGGTTGGTCGCGCGGCGCTCGTTCTTGAGGCTTTCTTCGCCATGTCGTATTATCCACCGCAGCTTCTCGGTCGTCACGAGGATCTCCCCCAGCGCAGCGTCCACCATAGTCTTGCCGGTGTCCAGACAGGCCACTCTTGCAATGGTCTCCTGGTTCTCGAGAATGAACTTGAGCATCGTCTTGAGCACTTTTCTGCGCTCCGCGAACGTCGTCTTCGCCCATTGGACCTGTGCTTCCTTTGCCTTGGCGATGGCACGGTCGATGTCGTCTGCGGTCGATGGATTGACGCGTCCGAGGGCTTCTCCAGTCGCTGGGGCGTAGCATTGGATGAGCGAGGAGCCAGACACCTGGCTGTGTCAGTTCTGCAAAGTATGACGATAGAGGCTCCATACCTTCAGCGTAGGCTCCTGAAGCACTTGGCCCTTCCAGCCAGGCTGTGCTTGCTCAGGAGGCGTGACATGGTACGGTACCGGCGCTTCTGCGTCTGTCCGGAGCAACAGATACAAAAAGCAGAGTGTCGCAGCACTGACGGCGCCAAGCACATATGTGCGGTACTCGTCCAGGCCGTCCATGGTGCTCAATGGCTTTCGGTTATGCTAGTTGGTGGTCATTGGGCCAAACTTTTTGGCGTGTCCTGACGCGTGATCACCTGAAAGCAACCTTAGAATTTAGCTCCCCCCCTCCTCGGCCACCAACGCCGACAACGATCGCAACTTGCTCCATGGGGAAAGTTTGCACTGGTGTTGATTGCCCCGTGACCGATCCGGAACCGAGAACCTGGTCATTGCCGGCGCATGCGATCGCAAGGTTTGCGGACAAAGGCCTCGCCATCCAAGCTCACCGATGTGCGCAGGAAGTACGACAACGTAGGACATCCATCGAGCCGACCTCGCGGCAGCGGCAGCATTTACGCTATCGATAATGATTGTGTTACCGTCCACGGGCTCCTTGCGTCCCGGCACATGACTTGGCTTGGCATATGGGTAATGCATGTCTGAACAACCTGTTCCCTCTTGCATAGCCACGACTTGGTAAGACTGTAGATCGGGATCAACATATCTATTAGCATGCCTGATCGTCTGTCCGTACCTGAGGCGCCCGGAGTAGTCGGTGCCGAAACGCGACTGAAACCGTCAAGACGTCAAACATGCCAACCTCGACTCTCAAGCGTCAATCGTCTGGGGAGCAGCAAATCGCCAGCAAACAAGCCTTACATGGCAATATGGAGGCCTTGTTTGCGTTTGAGGCAGCAACCGCCTGTTTGGGGCGATGCTCGGCATGGGTACTCACAATGCTTTCATGCCTTCGCAGCCTGATGTATAAGAGCCTGAAGTTTGAGTGCTATATCGACTGTACGGATATTCTCCGACTTCCAGCTGATCTACATTCTATTTCGAAGAGAAGCACTAATAGCACATTTTAATTACCCTTCATTTTTAATCCAGTCCACCACCGAACTTCCACCATGGCTCTCCGCTTCATACAACAGACCCTCACAGTCGCAGCCCTGTGCTCAGCAGCCCTCGCACAAACATCCGATGTCATCCCCGCCGACATCAGCGCCGGCTTCACCAACAAAGAAGTCCAAGTCTCCTTCGACGCCAAAGCCGTAGACGGCTTCGCCTCGGGCACAACCTTCTCCAAAGACGCCGTCAGCACAGAACCCACCTTCGCCCTCGGCGACAGCAACGGCATCTCGCCCAGCACCCGCTACACCCTCATCATGGTCGACACCACCTGCACCTCCGCCCGCAAGCTGCACTACGTGCGCTCCAACTTCAAGTTCTCCTTTGCCGGCGGCGCGAATATCGACACCGAGTCTGCCCCGCTGCTCGAGTACAAAGCCCCCGGCGCGCTGGGCGAGCAGGGCGACGCCCGCCAGTACGTCTTCCTGATGTACACGAACCCGCAGCGCAAGGAGTTCGCCGAGATGCAGCTGCCGGCCGACGATCAGGTGTTCGACATCAAGCAGTTCCAAAACGACAATGGGCTCAAAGACCCCGTTGCGGGCGTCGGCATGGTAGTAACCCTGGGCGGGACCGCAGACTGCGGCAGCGAGGGCGCAAACCAGGTACCCTCGGGCCTGCCCTCTGCGGCGCCAGCATCAAGCGCAGCAGCGAGTTCCGTAGTGAGTTCCGCCGCGAGCTCCGCAGCCCAGACGAGCCCCGCGCCCGCGCCCACTCCGTCTCCACCCGGCAGCCCAGCAGCACCATCACCACCCCCCAGCGTCCCGGCCTCGCCCTCGCCTCCCACCGGCCCCGCCAACACGCCCCCAGCGCCCTCCAGCGCCCCCGCCGCCGCGCCATCCCCGTCCACCGGCCCAGACAACACAGACACACCCGCCAGCGCGCCCGCACCCGCACCCGCACCCCCCGTCTCCGCGGCCCCGCCCGCGCCCTCCGCCGCCCCCGCCTCCCCCATCTCGACGCTCAGCAGCGTACTCCCCGGGACGCCGACCACGAGCCGGGCGCCGCTGGAGCAGACGGCGAATGCGGCGGCGGGGACGGTGGTGGCGATGGGGTCGGGGCGGTTTGTGACGCGGTTGTTGGTTGTTGCGGGGGTGTTGGTTTGGTGGGGGTGAGAGGGGTGGGATATGTGGGATATGTGGTTTTGGTGGTTGATACCCTGTTTGTAGATGTGGTTTATGGAAGAATTTTGGATGCTGTTTTGCTCGGGCAGTGGATGTCGTGATGAGAGTGATGTGTGAAGTGTTTTTGTCATGTGACTTTCTGGCTGTGGCCGCACGCTTGATCGTGTGTGCCTCTGATGATGTGCGGTGTTGACTGGCGAGGTAGGACTCGAGTTCGGGAACGAAGATGGCCGGAGTCTCGTTTAGCGTTTGTTCACCTCTTCAACAACCCCACGATGACTTGACATCAACGCTGGCTAAAGCCTAATCACTCACTTCGTTTCCGTCAAGAGACGTCAGGGGCGTCGACAAATCAGTCAGCGCTACTCAGAACATGTGTTATACCTCAAGCGCTGTGGTAGAATACGATGGAATCAATACCTTATAATCTCACCGCAACCCTCAAGCAGAAGCCTATTCCTGCACCACTTCAGCATACGTCTTCCCCCCCTTCTTCACCAGCTCGCCCACAACGAACGGAATCGCATCCTTGGGCCCATAGTATTTCAAGTCAAACTTATCCCACTCGCCCGCCTCCTTAAGGAAATCGGCCGTGTGTCTCTGCAGCTCGCACCCGCCCATGAAAAACGGCCACCCGAGCAGCGTATACACAACCTGCATGGCGCGCGCCAGCATCCGGCCCTCGGTCCGCCACGGATTCGCAACGTGCTCGCAGACCACCATGCGGCCGCCCGGCTTCAGCAGGTTGTACAGCCCGTTGACCGTCTCCTGGGCATGCGGCACCCCGCACAGCACGCGCACGCAGCAGATCTCGTCGAACACGCCGTCGGACGCGAGGCCCGCTCTGCCGCTGATCTCGAGGACGCCGCTCTTGTGCAGCGCCGGGATCAGGCTCTCCGGCTCGCCGCCGCACAGCAGCGCGTGGTACTTGTCGCCGAACCCGGTTTTCTGCGCGTTCCGCAACAGGCCCTTGTGCAGGTCCTCGGCGGGCTCGGCGCCGTACATGGCGCTGATGCGCGACGCGTCGAAGCGGGATAGTATCTCGCCGGACCCGGGGCCGATGTCGAGGACCACGCCTTCGCAGACTGAGAGCAGTTCTGTGAGGGGGCCGGACATTTCGATGGACATTGCTTCGCCGTTGTGTGTCCATAGGCGCGCAAAGGATTTGTAGCGTAGCTTGGTGAGGTTGAAGAGGGTCCATGGTCGGCGCTCGATGAAGATGACTTCAAGAATGGTCATGAAGAAGTCTGCATGTGGTCAGGGTTGGATGATTGTAAGTCTTGGGATACACACGATAGACGGAGGTAAGAAGTAGCAGTAACGGGCGCAATAGTACTGGAACATTGTCTTGGATCCATGCTGGTGGAGGCATGACTATGGATGTCCTGTTGGATGATGTTTATTCAGCTAGCGATGGAGGCCGTTAAGGTGATGTTTGGTAGCAGCAGCTGAGGACAGGAAACGAGACCAGCTGAGTGAGAGCTGGGTAGCTCTTGAAACTTTGGACTGCCATCGGATCATCGGCACCATCGTCCGGAAGGGGGAACGATAGGTTCGAAAGCAGGTGAGACGTCAGAAGCATGTGGCAGTGGGGAACAGGTGGAGCAAGAACAGCCGAGGCATGTGGCCCAAGCTCCCGCGCGCGCCGAAATAGATGTGAAGGACATGCGTGTTCTCTTGCGTAACGCTCGACAGTAGACTGCAATGGCTCAGCAACAGAAGCAGAAGTTCGCGCTGATTACAGGGTGCACACCCGGAGGCATTGGGTGAGTCTGTCGTCACATGCGTACGCGGCGCGTCTGACACGCATAGGCACTTCCTTGCATTGGAGTTTGCTGAGAAGGGCTTCCAAGTTCTGGGAACTGTTCGCGACCCCTCGAAATACACCTCGCCGCACCAGAACATCACGTTCCTGCCGCTGGAGCTCACAAGCATTGATTCGATCCGGGACCTCCGCAAGCGCGTCACCGAGATAACGGGCGGCAAGCTCGACATCCTCTACAACAACGCTGGGCGGAACTACGTGGTACCTGCGCTCGACTATGACACCGACGAGCTCCACGAGCTGTTCGAGGCCAACGTCTTTGCCGTGATGCACATGTGCCGGGAGTTTACTCCACTCCTGATCGAGGCCAAGGGCACGATTGTCCAGACCGGTTCGGTCGCCGGAATCCTACCGTACGTGTGGGGCGGGCCATACAACGCCTCGAAAGCCGCACTGCACTCATACACGAATACGCTGCGAGTCGAGCTTGCGCCGCTCGGCGTGCGCGTGGTCAATGTGATCACCGGCGGCGTGAAGTCGAACATCGCACGCACCCACCGCGAGCTACCGGCAGGCTCATACATGCAGCCCCTCGCCGCCGAGTACGAGAGCCGGTTGACGCACAGCCAGCAGCTCGGCATGGACACCAAACAGTATGCAAGCAGCTGCGTGAGGCAGGTGCTGCGAGGAGACGGCTGGTTTGGCCGACAGAGAGAGATCTGGGAGGGCAAGATGAGCTGGATTGTGTGGTTTGGGTGGAAGTGGATGCCGACGAAGATCTTCGATTGGTACTTCACCTACGTCTTCAGGCTTGGAAAGCTGAGGGGCACTGTTGGACCCAACAAGAAGACTTTGTAGACTCTAATCAACCCATTGTTGTGCTTGAACATCTTGAGATATTTTGTAATCTCCGAGCATGCAAACCAAACGATGCCAACCACCTTCAGCCGAATTATTTTCAGGTGTCAGGGACCGTGAGCTCGGCTATATGGACGTCTGTGCATTCGCGGAGTGCGGGTTAAGGCGGGGTAAGGTCGCAGGCAGAAGAGCCTCCAGACAGCCATCAGCAGTCAGACAAACAGCAATGTAGATCTCTAGTTCTAATATACATGCTGAGGGAGCAGGGAATTGTTTGAGCCTCATCTAGCGTCACGAATGTGCCGCAGGATTGGCGCCTGACACGGCAAAACCGCGTAGCTCCAGCCTCGGTTGAGAACGGCGTACCGGTACCCTCCTCCCGAACTCCAAGAGCCGAGCGTCGCTTCTCTGCTTTATTTCCTCAGAGACCAAAGCTTTCAGACCTCGCCTAGTACGACACTCCCTCTTCTAGCTGCGTTGTGGTCATTGAGCTCAAGAAGCAAACTGACCATGTCGGCCTTCAGTCGCAATCTGTGCAGCACCGCTTCGCGCACGCTTCGCCAACGATCCACCGTCATCAGCCGAGCTATTAGGCCAATTGCTCTCCGAGCTGCCCCCACAGCTTCAATTGCTCCCCGCGCCGCCGCTGCAAGCTCTTTCTCCACCATGGCTTCCCTCAAGAGCGCCGCACCGCCCGTCGGCGGCAAGCGCGAGTTCGACCCCGAGATCAAGGACATTGCAAACTACATCCACAACGTCTCCATCGACTCTGAGCTCGCGGTAGGCCAATTGACTGCCCCTTCTTAGCCCCAGCTAATGGCGTTATTTTTTAGTACGACACAGCGCGTTGGGTCTTCGTTGACACTCTGGGCTGCGGTCTTGAGGGCCTTCAGTTCGAGCAATGCAGGAAGATTCTTGGTCCTACTGTCGAGGGCACTGTCGTCCCCAACGGCACAAAGGTCCCCGGCACAAACTACCAGCTCGACCCCATCAACGGTGCCTTCAACATTGGTGCTATGATCCGTTGGTTGGACTTCAACGACTGCTGGCTCGCTGCTGAGTGGGGCCACCCCTCAGACAACCTGGGCGCCATTCTCGCGACCGCCGACTGGGTCAACCGCACAAACAAGAATGGCGGAAACCTTGGCAACGGCAAGATCTTCAAGGTCCGCGATGTCCTGGAGGCTATGATCAGGGCGCACGAGGTTCAGGGCTGCATGGCTCTCGAGAACTCGTTCAACAAGGTCGGACTCGACCACGTTATCCTCGTCAAGCTTGCCTCGACCGCCGTTGTCTCCAAGATGCTGGGTCTCAGCGAGTCCCAGACCCGTGACGCCATCTCGCAAGCCTTTGTTGACGGCCAGTCCATGCGCACATACAGGCACAGCCCCAACACCATGTCCCGCAAATCGTGGGCTGCTGGTGATGCCTGCCAGACTGCTGTGAACCTCGTCCTGAAGGTGCTCAAGGGTGAGCAGGGTCTGCCCACCGTTCTGTCGGCTCCCACCTGGGGCTTCTACGACGTCAACTTCGGCGGCAAGCCCTTCCAGTTCCAGCGCCCGTACGGCAGCTACGTCATGGAGAACGTTCTCTTCAAGGTTTCCTACCCTGGTAAGAATTGTCGCACTTGAAAATCATAGCAATATGCTAATCGATCTAGCCGAGTTCCACTCCCAGACCGCCGTCGAGGCCGCTCAGCGCCTGAACAAGAAGCTCAAGGCTATGGGCAAGTCCGCCGAGGACATCGAGAGTGTCGTCAACCGCACCCACGAGGCCTGCATCCGCATCATTGACAAGCAGTTCAAGCCCATGGAGAACTTCGCCGACCGTGACCACTGCGTCCAATACATGGTCTCGACCATGTTCGTCTTCAACCGTCTCGAGGCTACCGACTACCCTGATGAGAGCGAGGCCGCTCAGTCCGCTCTCGTCGAGTCCCTGCGCCAGAGGATCAGCTGTGTCGAGGACCCCCAGTTCACCAAGGACTACCATGACCCCGAGAAGCGCACCATCTCCAACGCGCTGACCGTCACCCTCAAGGACGGCACCGTCCTGGAAGAGGAGGTCGTCGAGGCCCCTCTGGGCCACCGCCTGCGCCGCGAGGAGGCCAAGCCCGAGATTCTGGCCAAGTACAAGAGGCATCTTGGCCCTCACTACCCTGCTGAGCACGTCGACAAGCTCGTTGCTCTGGCGCAGGATGCTAAGACCATCGACAACATGGATGTCGATGAGTATGTTGACTTGTACGTGAAGAACTAGATATCAAAATGTACCATGGCGTCTCTAAGGAGCTGAGACGCTAATTGCTTCGCTACAATATCTTGTGTCCTGTTTGCATTTGCTTTGTGAACTCTTTGCATGCCTCCTGCATCCCTTTTATGCTCCCCTTGCTCATGTCTACCTCTTTTGTCGCCTTCTCAGCATGATACAGAGTATATGCCTCTTTGCTCCTTTCTCACGTAGTCTTCGTTGCGGCATGGTAAATGCACAGTACTACCTTTGCAAGGGCGAAGAGGGAACTGCGGGCGTCCTCGTGTGAGCATGCCCCTTCTTTTCCTGGTCCGTGGTATCCTCTCGGAGCACAATGACGCATTGGCATCCATTCACGCTTGCTTCGCTTTTCGTTCGCGAGACAGTGGCAGTTCTGGAGGAAGGAGCAGTTGCGCGCAGCCCGCTGCCTTTTAACGTCTGAAGCCGCCTCGCTCAACCGTTTCCTTTTCTCCTCAGGACTGACACCTGCACTTTGTTCATTGACCCCGTGCAACTTTGTCTACTCTTTTCACTCATCATGAATGAGCATTTCGCCTTCTGGTATCCGTCATCCTGGACGATGATCGGGACCGTTTTCTCCATCTTCTCTTTTCTTGTCACCCTTTACGTCACGTTTGTCAGACGAGACGTCGTTGTCACTGCCATTGACAAACTCCGTGACGTCTATGAGACGATACGGGATGAGTCATGGTACCTCCGGTCAGTACGGACAGACGTCGATGCATTGAGGAAGACACTTGCTCCGCCTGGGGAGTCTACTGTCGAAATGCATCGGACACTTCAAGGTTTGAGGACCGACTTGCAAGCGCTGGCCACTGCAACTCGTGAAAACCGCGAAGATGTCAACGGATTGATGACGGAATCGCAGGCGCCCGCAATTCCTGTGCTTCTCGAGATCCTGGCCGAAGTCTGGAAGGTCACCACGCGTGAGCCGAAGATCCAGAGAAGGCTCCCGCCTTTCTCCCGCCATCTGATGGTGGCTCAAGCCGAAGCCCTGGCAAGAGAACGGATGCAGGCGAATCCCAATCCATTCCAAGACTTGGATTGATGACACTGTGTCCAAGGCAGTGGGGGTGGAACTCCTTCGGGAGGGAAACCCTCCTCAGCGCTGTGCTCACACCTCAACGTGGTGCTGAGGTCTAGTATCCTTGTCAAGGAGAAGCTAAGATGAGCATGATGTACATAGTTCCAATGACAACTTATTTTCCTATATCATCCTTCGCGCCGTTGTGATTCTACGGTCCGTCCAAGCATGTCAGCAACTCCCTACCCAGAATGGGTACCAAGAGGACTCTGCCAATACTGAATGAGAATTGGTGCGTTGTGGTAAGGCTGGTTCAGGGTTTGATACCATTCTACCTAATTTTGAGAGTAGCCTAGAAATGTCGCTACCGTAAACCCTGGCCCACACACTTACTACGTGTTGCGAAGACTTCGTGACGTGACACTTCTTTCCCACCTCATCACACTATCAGTTGTTTATTGATTGTGTTTCTTTCACGCCCCATACAGTCTCCAGAGCCTATTCGACCTGCCAATCTAGTCATGCTGTTCACTGATGTCGGCCAGTGGATATCGCAGCGCGTGAGATCGCTCTTCGTGACTCCGCCAGGCTTAGGCGCATTCACCCTTCCTGTCGAAATTATCCTGATGATCTCCTCACATTTGGACATTACCTCGAGACTTTCTCTCGCTTTGACTTGCCGAACCCTCTTCCTTGTGTGCTTCCCCAAATACTTGACCCTGCACCCGGTAGAAAAAGAAGAGCTGTTACTGCTAATTGAAAGAGACTTATCGACTTATTACTTCTGTCACTTTTGCGTAAAGCTCCATCGTTGGCACGGAAGCTGGACTAGATCGATGAATATGCGGGACTCTCTCCCGTGCCCAGGAGAACCGGGAACGACTTTGTTCCATCCCTCTGGCCATTATATCCCTTACTATCATGCGCGTTTAGTCATGAACCGGAATCTCTATGGACCCAAGTACGGTCCTTCTCTTCGCAGTCTCGAGCACCGGAATAGGTCGCATCATACCTCCGACAGAGTCATCAAGGCCAGTTCAAGATATGGGCATATCGTTGACAATCAGCTGTTGCTTCTATGCATCACGTCATATTCGCATTCAAATGGCAATGCAGCTTTACTCAGAAAACACATCAACCATTTCCGATACTCGGTGTGTAGACACATCACCGTAGCACCCGGTAGTCCAGACCACGGTCCAGTCGGAGTTCCAGAGTTAGCCGAACCCAAAACCGCCTCGAGCCACTTCTCGCCTTGCAGTCAGGGGCTTGGATCCTGCTCAATCTGCTTGACAGACTACACCGTCGATGTAACGTGGCAAGATGACCGGAGAGGCTACTTGATCACTCTGTCGATTTACAACCAACTGGGTGACTGTCGATCGCCATCTGCTTGGGAGTGGCGCACTATGGCCAGTCCATATGCGTCTAGAGACGAAATTCTTCGGAAAGACCGGTCAGTGGAATACGGGCTTGGTTGTGTCCGAGATCGATGGAATAGAGCTACGGGTGTTGTTGCAGAAGCCAAAGGTGACTGGGTACCACTTCCCAGAATGTTAGCCGAATCGCGTGGGGAGCACTGAAAACTGGACCTGATGCCTAATAGCGTTGATTTGGCATGCAAATCAGTTTCTGTAATCTGTAAATTCTGAGGCAATTTCCTGCACAGACCTAATTACCTGTCGCTGATACATAAAAGTCCCACGCCTCCTCAGTCTCCTCCCAAGTCTGAAGGAACTGCGGAATGTATTTCCTGGCCCACTCGTCTCCTGGATCTGCAGTGTACATAGCCTTACGTACTTCCCAGTATGCTGGAAGCCAACCAGCTTGATGCCAGTCTATGAGTGCAAGTATTCTGGGGGGCCCGCTCTTTGTAACTATGATATTGCTACGATGGAGGTCTCCGTGCGTTAGTACAATTTTAGCATCATCTGGCAGGCCACTACGGTAAGGGTCTTGTGGATATGCGTCTGGGTTGGTGAGCTTTCGCCTATACAAAGATGAAAACCAATCGTGGAATTCCTTTACAGTTGGAAATGGCCCAGAAGTAGGGAGCACATCCACAGGAAAGGCGATGTCTTGAAGTGGCGTGCGACAAATATGACCAAGAGGGCTTAAGTTAGTTTGGATTAGATGCAGAGAAGAATCGATAGGACATACCGACAAACTGAAACTCGGAATCCTGTTTTACCTCCCTGAGTGTATTCAAGATCCCACGAAGCTCTTGAGCCACGTTGCACCGTTCTTCGTCGCTCAGATCAGCCCACCGGGCTTCAAGACTGAGCCCATCTATCAACTCCATGAAGATGAACGTCTCCTTGCCCTTTTTGCACCACGCGTAAACTTCCGGAACAGGCACAGATGGTCCCAGAACGCGCCGAACGGCGTATAAGCACTGGCCTTCTGCGATAGATTCTTCAACGCCAAACTTCACGAGCAGATTGAGATCTTCGAATATCGCGATACTCTCCTTTGGACGGGGTTTCGATCTAGCTTGGCGTCGAACTTCATCCAACGACGGTAGTAAAGGACAACGCTTGAAGAACGAGGAATCAGATACGATGACATCTGATCCGGTTGGAGCAATGGAGAGAGAGAAAGTAGGTAGAGCTAAAACGATCGTCAGACATATATGATTGAGGCGCGTTATAGCAAGAGCGACTAGCATAAAACTTGAGGCACTTACTCCCAACATCGACTGATTCTAAAGGATCCATCGCTATTAGCTGAACAATGTCTGCAGTCACGCGCCTGTCAAATAGTCTCTTGCATCTATTGCATCAAGTAGCTACAGCAATCGATGTAAAGTTTGGAGGAAACGTGGCAACGATATATTGTAGAGGCGTAAGTCATACTGCTGGCAGTATAATAGACTCAAGTCTTTCGACTGAAGACAACCCCGCTATTCACGTGAGCTGGGTCCGTACACCAAATGTCCGGAGCTACCGGGCACTCGCTCCAGACCTCAGGTGCGCAGCTTCTGCAAAAATAAGGCTACCTAGGTACGTAGCTAACGTACCCTTTGCGAACAATTTTGTCTTCCAGACTACTAGAAATCCTAGGAGATTTCTCAGACCCCGCGAGCTAGAACGAAGTAGTCCCAATAGTCATAGAATCCTCGACGATCCAGTACTAGAGGCAGATATTTCGATTCCCATTCTTGGCCAATCCGCGAGGTCCACCGAGCTTTGCAATACTCCCAATAATCTGGATACCATCCAGATTGATGCCAGTCAATAATTGAAATGATCTGAGGGTTGGAACCAGCAGATAGAATGATGTTACTTCGGTGTAAATCAGCGTGCGTAAACACGATGGGAACATTATCGGGGAGAAAGGAGCGGTATGGATGTGGTGATGATGCATCTTGAACATCCTGGATTGGGCCATACGCAGTTGTGAACCAGTCGTGGAAGATAGAGACGCTCTCAAATGGTCCTGCAGTTGGAGAGTTGCTATCTGTAAAAATGATGTCTAACAGTGGTTGCTTGCCAACATGGCCTGGTCAAAGAATTAGACCAAGGTTGTACAAGTCTTGATGGTAGACTGGGGCGATTGGGGCTTTCAGATTAACCTCACGAAGTTAAACTACCAATGAAGAAGTCCTGCTTAATACTGCCCAATGCATCGACCATGTCATGCAATTGTTGACAAACGGACGTCTTTTCTCCTTCAATCATAGTGTCCCAGCTCTTCTCTAACGTTATGCCGTCGACTAACTCCATATAAATGAATACTTGATTGCCGTCCTTGCACCACCCATACACCTCTGGAACAGGTACGACTCTAGATAGAGTGTTGCGGATGAACAGCAGACACTGCCCTTCAGCAAGTGTTACCTCCGTCCCATATTTCACTAACAGCCCTATACCAGGAAATGCTACAGGCGGAGGCCGAGTTATGAGCTTAGCTCTAGGGTTTTCGGAGCGACTCGCCACTTCTCTCACTTCTGTCGGTGTTGGAAGAGACAGTGGTGCGTTTGGTTTCTTGAAGAATGATGACTTGCAGGATACAACGTTCTCGTCGAACGGGAAGGGTTCATGCCGTGTCTCCTCTTCCATGGCGAAAGTAAATACCTCCGATGAGAGTTCTGTGTGTTCGTTGGCGGCAGTCTTTGCAAAGGATACGTGAGTGAAATCTAGTATTTCAATGCTAGATTGGTTCAGCGTTGTCTCTCCACCACGGTCGCTCGGCTGTGTATCAGGGATTATAGTTGTACTTCTTTAGTTATCTCCAAACTGAGATTAGTGAACCTGAAACCAAGCTTTATCTGCTCTTGCTACGATACCTAACATTGAACGTAGTTACATAAATATCAGCGGTTGGAAGGGGAGTCAAGCACAGGGGTCGTAAGTCGAGTTTAGCGGAGCGCGTTGGTCGATGAGTAAAGATAAGGTTACGCTGTTACGTTGGTAAGTGGGCAGGGGTTAGTGTCACGTGTGGATTATTACGCCGACGGACACGGCAAGCGGCTATTCGTTCTGCCCTCACATTGAGGCTTAGACAGTGTGCGAAACATGCACTGCCACGACATGCGCAAGAACACCCTCCGTTTCCATCCTGCATTCGTTCTTGCCAGGCCCAGCGTGCACCCGCTCAAACACGCTCCTGGACCTCTATCTGACCTTCAACAACACCAATGCCAATAAGACGCACGCACAAGAAGTCACGGAATGGATGCGACCAATGCCGAAGGCGCCGTGTCAAGTGCGGCGAGCAGTTCCCTCAATGTTCTACATGCACTTATCGCAAGGAATCGTGTTCGTACACCCGCCGGCTGTCGATGCCGCCCAAATCAACCGAACAAAGCGCTGCGGCATCTCACATGCCTACTCCTGACCATGCGACGGGCTATGGGCCAAACCAAAACACAAGCCTAACTTTTCTCCTGCCTCTGCCGCATGCGGATAGCAAAATAGCAAGTTTGTGGTGTCCGAACGAGTCGACGAGATCTCAAGAATTGAGGCTTATGTACCACTGGGGAAAAAGCACTTGCGACACTTTCACCAAAGAGATAGGCAACGCTCTTCAACAACACATTATTGAGCAAGCTTTCCGGCATGAATTCCTCATGGATACGATTTTTTCGCTCACGTCGCTGCATCTGGCAGTTGTGGAAGACAAGCGCGAGTCTGCCGAGGAATTAGTACGTGTCGCCATGTTCTACCAGGACAACGCCATTGCCAGACTCCGAAGCGCCATCAATGATCTCTCCCCAGAAAACTGCGATGCTATTTTCATCACTTCTATCATGATTATGGTGTGCACCATAGTGTCCGCACTGTTGCAAGATCACGGCAATGGCTCAGCCCTATCCACTGTAAAGGCAATGCTCCAGCTAACAGACCTGCTGCACGGTATCAAATCTGTGCTCAGTGTGAGCCGGGAGTGGATTGTCAAGACTCCAGTAGCATGCATACTAAGATCAGGAGTTGCGCTCAACTCGAAATCGCTGCAACTACCTCTGGAGGACTTACGACACGCGAATGCAACTCAAAGCAAAGGGGAGCGATGTCTCATGTATGCGCATACAATAGATGTGCTCGAAAGTTCCCTTCGTGAACCAAGGTCGGCTCTTTCCTGGATCATCACAGTCCACCCTGACTTTCTGAGCGCCCTGCGAGAAGAAGATCCACTGGCCCTGGCTATATTCATGCTATGGGGTGTCCTCCTGCATCACCTCGGTGACATGTGGTGGGCTCAATTTTCAGGAACGCGGCTTGTTGATGCAACTTCATGCATGCTTGACGGAAAGCTGACCAGATGGAGTTCCATCACGAGTTGGGCGCGATTGCAAGTGGGTCTGAGGAGGTGATATGCCACCTAACCATGGCTGCCGCTCGCCTGAACGACTTGACGTCAGACGTCAATATTTTTCGGTCCTCACCCGAACATGGTTGTCCTGTACTCGGCGGTGCAGGTGCTAGCCCCTTGTGCAACACGTGGCGCCCGAAGATAGACCGTGATTCGATAAGTGGCTAAGTGGTTGCTAGGTAGGTATTCAATACTTTCGTCCGGAAAAGATACCGATCGTTCGTCATGCGCAATTTCCGCTGATCATTTGTCTGAAAACATTGGACAGGTAGATGTTCATTGCAGTCTGCTTACTGCTAGCTTTTATAAGAATGAGCGCGCATCAAAGAGTCCATTGAGCTAGCGATGCTCCACTCGTGCGTACTGTCAGGCTTACTGAGCATGAGAGCTCTCGCGCGAGTCTTCTCAGATCTTGTCGTGCTGCTCGACCAGTAAACATGAGGGCGCAATACTAATGGCAAGAATGCGCAGCGACGATGAGGTGAAAAGACAGGTATAGCCTATAGCGACTACGAGGTCTGAGTTGCCTTTCACTCGCAACACCGCAGACCTGTGAAATCTTCCTCTATCACCCGGTTTAGCTGATCTTGGCAGCCGCCACCCAGCGCATGTTAGGGGTGGTCTTGGGCATCACCAAACCTTCAGCTACCGCGATCCCTCGACAACATGAGGAGGCCTAGGGTGACTTTTCGGATGAGATCCGGCTATACTTCGTATGCTCAGGATGTAGATCAATTCTCTATCTTACTGTACATGACGAGATAATTCGAGATATATCAGTCTGACTAGGCAATGGCCGTGTGCAAGCAACGATCGCGATTCGTTTTCGAGAAGTTGTATTTCCATGAGGCTACCAGGATACAAAACGTGTGCCATTACCCGTGAATCCTATTTGTTCCAACTTACTTATCCACAGACTTGTTTTTGAGGTATCATGAAGAGCCGAGCACTCTTTACTGAGAATTCTGAGGAATAATCTCAAGTTCGGAATCTACCAGGTCGGCTGCCTGCTTCAGAGTGGGTCCGATGTACCAGTAGCTGCAGATGACTAGGACACCAGCCATCAAAGTAGCATCGAAGACATAGATAGGCCACTCGTTAGCCAGGAGGTAGCCGTCCTCTGTCAGACTGTCAGCGTGCACTTTCTTCGAGCAGATGCCTTGAACTTACTACCCATAGCGTACTCAATGACTCTGAAAAGGTTTCTCAACGTGATAATTCCACTGACAATGTACAGCATATTCTGGTATCGAAGCCAGTTCCACTGCCCAATCTGAGGCTTCTCGCTGCCTAGTGCTGATACACGCCTGTGCCACACCGCAGCGATTACGACAAAGAATGCAAAAATGGCCATCTGCAAGCAAAGTCCAGTCAAGATGACAGCCTTTCCTAGATCAGAGCCTTTCTTGCTGTCGGAGCCGGCTAGTATGGCAGTCCCCACGGCTTGGATTAGGAAGCACAGTACGTCGCCGCCGACGAAGATCTTCGTGAGCCGCGTAGGGCGTATCATTGAGTAATGCGCGCAGCCTGTAGCTTGGATGAGGCGACCAAGAAACATGTATACCGACGCGGCAAACAATATAGGGGCAAGGAGGATGAATAGGGCCTGGATGATGTATGGGACCATGGCGGCAGGTTTGGATTTGCCCACCGCACGGGCGCCGTATCCAATGATCTCGACTGGTGAATTTCAGCGTAGTTCAGTCGTCGAAGAAGTAGAGGCGAAGGAAAAGGTACACTTACGGATAGTGCCGACGACGAACGAAGTACAAAACCATGTTCGCGTCTTGAAGAGGCGAAAAGTATGGACCACGAGCAGAATTAGGAAGACAACGATAAAGATAGCTGCAGCCGCAACGGATGGCGTGTATTCGTATTTGGATTCCTCAGCCATTTTTACTGAAATAACAAGGTGCTGAAGGCTGCTAAAGTTGGCCTTTGAGTAGTGGGGTGGAGATCGAGGAAGGGTTGTAGCTGGCTCGTTATCGAACAATGATCTCTTTCGTCGAGCTTATATATGAGGTACCTTGGATAGAGGAACAAGACATTGCTAGGCTATGCTCGCTACCATTCTCTCTAATACGAGCGAATATGTGAAGCCATCACTTGTTCTTACTATGGTAGAGTTGAGTTGGGTGCGATGCATGCTTGGCGCGAGGCTGAGCATGGAAACGGGAACGAGAACGAGTACGAACGGGAACGGGGGAGCGAGGATAAGCTCGCTGCCCCGTTCTCGTTCTCGTTCCTGTTCTTGTTCGCGTCACAACGCACAGACAAGCTAAGCAACACGCGCAAATCTGTTAAATAAAGGTGCCATGCCATTCTTCTGCCTAGAGTTCTCGTTGTTTTAGGGTGTTGGCTGACAGTCGTCTGTCAAGATTTCCATCATGAAACTTGGACATATCAACAGTTCCGTTTAGAGTCATACCAGGAAAATGACTCTCGAAAGAGGCCTTCAGAGCATCCTGCTGGTTCGTCTCGTCACCTCCGTGCCAACACGTGACGACACCGCCTCCAGCCCACGCTGTGATCCGCGACTGTAGTTTACTAGGCTCTGACCCTCCCCGATATCTTCACCTGGATTGTTTGTTTGTAAGATTGGTTAGCCGGTATTAAACTTGACTCATTACATCGTACTATGTCATTCATCCACGAACGCCTTCAACCTAGGTACTCGAAACCCCCATAATCAAGACGATATGCCGTCTAGCAAAGTCTTCCTCCTTGGCGAGGGTTTCTTTGAATCCGAAGTATTGAACCCTCTCCTCAAAAAAGAATACGCAGTGACAGTCCTCGTCCGGCGGGACAATTATGCTGCCGAGATCCAAAAGATTGAATGCAGCGTGTTGTCGTGCCTGACATTGAACGTAGTCATATGAACATGGACTCCAAGCATAGGCGTCGTAAGTCGAGTTTAGCGGAGTGAGTTGGTGGACGGGAAAGGAAACATTGAGAGTTGAGTTGCGCAGTCGAACACAGAACTGCTGAGTCTTGGCGTCGACAAGACTCATCGCATCAGATAGTTGACTCTCAACTATTCACGATATAATTCCATATTTTGGACTTTCTCCTACATACGACCATAGGACGTTGAAAACAAGGCTTCCCGTTCGCTCAGCCCTATTTAAGCAACGTACCGGTGGATTAGTACTCAGGTGGGTGACCACTGGGGAATCCCCACTGTTGTATGTAAATGTTTTACTTTTGCTTCTCTTTTGTCCCGTCTACGTCTTCATGTCCTCTTAGGTGTTTGACTGGTCGTGTTCTCTGCTCAGATCAATCGTTCATGCCCTGGATTTGGAGGCAGGTTGTTTGCTTTCAGTCTCAATTAGGCTCATTTCTTCCGTTCAGCTTTCAACTTCAAGTTCAGTCTAGCCATTGAATTTGTCATGAAGGGGGCCGAAGGACTTGATCATGGTTCGTGCACATCGACCCGTTGATCTAGGTGGTATTCGAATTCAATCTAAGACAGCTCCCAGTAAGTGGCCTCGATATCAACAGAGACAGTCTGCAGGCAATGGCTGGCGGACTGACACAATAAAAAGTTATACCGGCCTCCATCAATGACCCATCTGCGCGCAGCTTGGTCGAAATACGCAAAGTCCTTCTGTCTGACCTCCATGTGCACTTCTTCGCACTGGCCTGGCCTCAGCCGCACTTTTTTGAAGCCGACAAGACTCTTGACGACTTGATCCGTTCTGTCATTGGCTCCCTTTCCAACGTATAACTGCACGACAGTTGCTCCTTGAAAGCTACCTGTGTTTTGAACGGACAATCGTACATTAAGCGTCTCGTCGTCGAGTCGGTTGATCTGCATAGTACCATAATCAAATGTGGTATATGAAAGACCATGTCCAAATGCAAAGTTCAGCTTGTCCTGCCCAAACCGGTCATAGTGACGATACCCAACAAAGACGTCTTCCGCATAGATGACCTCCAGTCTGCCGGAAACCTCGGTCCCGGGAAAGTTGCCGTGGGCTGGCGCGTCCTCAATTCTCGTAGGGAAACTGACCGGCAATCGCCCTTCAGGATTGACTACTCCTGTTAAGACATCTGCAATGGAATTACCGCACTCTTGCCCCGGAAACCATGCTTGAAGGACAGAAGAGACCTGGTCCAGCCAAGGCATTGCGACAGCGACGCCGGTTGAATTTACCACAATTGTTCTGTCGTTTGCAGCTGCGACAGCTGAGACAAGCGAATCCTGGCTTCCGTTGCGAGGAAGATGAAATGATTCTTGATCAAGCCCTTCCGTCTCCCACTGTGGGTCATGACCGGTGAAAACAATAGCCAGATCAGCCTTCGAAGCAACGGCTGCGGCCTCGCCGACGAGATCAGCATCATGATCCGACTCCAAAGAGAAGCCCATGCGGGCAGCAGTGCGGCCCTCGAGAGCGTCTAGTCCAACGTTGACGGGTGGACAGCTTCTGATCTTGAGTCGGTAAGGCTTGCCAGCCGTCAAATGAACTTGGAACTCTGTCTCGCTCGCGGCCCCAAAAAACGTTCCCATAGGATCTGAGCAGTTCCCCAGCTGGCTTGCAATGGACTTATCATCAATCGTGATTTCAGTCGACCCAACGCCAGAGAATGCAACAAAGTGATTGCCAGTCTCCCTCGGTGTGAAGTCGCCAGTAATCTCTAGGATCTTCCAGAGGGACTCTTGCGACCCGAGTGCCGAATAAGATGAGGTCGGGTATCCATGGAGGACCGAAACAACGGTGACACCATCTCTCTCATAAAATGTACGGCTGAAACCTGGTTGTCCATCGAGGCCGACCAAATCACCATTTAGGCCATCTTTGCAAAGTGGTGTAAGGAGTCTCTCCCGTGGGGTGCCCTTGGCGTACAGAAATTGGGCACGATCGCCCAGTGCTGCCTGCAGACCTTGCCAAGGCGTGATCTTGTAGTGAGCGTTTACAGCCGCACTGCCGCCACCGTGCGCCAAAGCATCTTTCGCAAAGCCGATCAGTGCAATTGTCTTTCCCTCGACCTTTTCTGGTGTTAGTGGAAGCAGAGAAGCTTCGTTCTTGAGCAAAACAATGCCTCGAGCCCCAGCTTCTCGGATGAGACTTCTATGCTCCGGACGGTCGATCGCTTTGGGACTCGGCTTTGGCGTTCCAGTGAAGGCGTTGACCTGTTGTATGAAACCAAGAAGGGTCCGCACACGCTTGTCAATATCTTCCACCGCCAAAGCTCCACTCTCTAGAGCCGCAATGACAGCAGCGGTCTTTCGTACTTGTGGCGGCCCAGGCATCTCCAGATCTAGGCCGGCTTTTAAGCTTTCGGCCACTGTGTTGGTACCTCCCCAGTCGCTCATCACAAGACCTTGCCATCCCCACTCGCCGCGGAGAACCTCCTGCAAGAGCCACTGGCTCGCATCGCAGTGTACACCATTGACGTGATTATAGGCAGTCATAACCGCCCAAGGATCTGACTCCTTGATGGCAATCTCGAATGGGCGAAGATAGATCTCTCGCAAAGCTCGCTCACTGATAGTCTCATTTACCGTGTTCCGAGCTGTTTCTTGCTCGTTGGCGACAAAGTGCTTAATAGTAGCAGCAATACCATGAGACTGAACACCTGCAATTGCTTTAGCCGCCATTTTCCCCGAGAGAAAAGGATCCTCGCTGTAGCTCTCGAAATTACGGCCACCAAGAGGGTGGCGGTGGATGCAGACAGTAGGGGCCAGCAGACAGCTTGCGCCTTTAATTATTGCCTCCTCGCCCAGGGCGTTTCCGATGCGTCGTGCGATCTCGGTGTCGAAGGTAGCTGCGATGCTGCAAGCCGCAGGAAAGCAAGCAGCAGTTGTGTTACCGTCCATGGCAGCACCTCGGGTTCCATTGGGGCCATCGGTGAACTGAATGAGCTATGAGCTGTGACTACTAGTGAGATGCTGGAAGAGTGCACTGACCTTGATGGCTGGGATACCTTTCTCTGGAATTGCCGCCGTCTCGAATAAGGCGGCGCCGGCTAGTAGCCTGATCTAATCTCAAACATCAGGAAACAATGACAACGCGCCTGAGTCATAGGTAGTATACTTTTTCTTCTGTTGTCAAAGACCTACAGATAGCTGCAAGGTCTTTGGCGTTTGACATGATGGGCTACGCAATTCCGGCGCAAGTAAGAGGATAGTGTTTTTTCTCGCTCAAGGGTTGTTCTTCGAATTGGGGTCAGCTGGAAGCTCAAGTATCTGGTCCTGTTCCATCCTGCCTGGGATAAAACGTGTTCGCTAGAAAGGGCCTGGTTTAGAGCAGTATGAGTGTCCAGGTACCCACCCACGTTGTGCATTCCTTTCCGTGATGGTGCTGTGCGCTAGCCACCTTACCCGTGCCGGGTACCGCAGACCTCGAGGAGGCACATACATTGTCACCACCCTCAGCACCTTGCGGCACGTCTTCCAGCAATATCCACGGGTGCATAAATTTTCAGTAGCATAAGGACTACTCATGGTCATTTATCGGTCACTCAACACCAGCAGCGCCGCAGTCGCCAGGTACTTGCGTGATCAACGATGGCGAGCAACATGATGAGAGCAGTCGGTACGCTTGATACCTTGTCAGAGATAAACCTCATTAGAGGCTGCCGTTGAATGTCCAAGCTGACGCGTGTGGTCTCTCTTCACAGATGTGCAAGGCGGGTCGGGCGAGTCTGAAAACTTATTCATCAACCACGAAACACCGAAGCCGACAGCGCAACCAGGTCAAGCAGTGATTAAGGTAAAAGCCTTCGGCGTTAATCGCATGGATATTTCACAGCGACGTGGCGGATATCCTGTACCACCACAGGCCCCTGCGACTCTCGGCGTGGAGTTCAGTGGACTGATTGAGTCGCTCGGACCCGGTGATCATCGAGGGTTTCGGGAAGGGGACGAAGTGTTTGGACTCACATACGGTGGCGCCTACGCCGAATTTGTTGCCGTCAGCACGGGTATGCTGCTGCGCAAGCCGCCCGGGCTGTCGTTCGCGCAGAGTGCTGCCATCCCAGAGGCATGGATCACAGCAATACAGGCATTGCACGTGGTACTGGGGTTCGAGCGCGGGAAAACCATTCTGTGGCATGCCGGGGCTTCCGGTGTGTCCATTGCGGGGATTCAGCTGTCCCGGGCCGCAGGCGCGTCAGCTATCTTTGCAACAGCGGGAACAGCGGCCAAGTGCACGCTGGTGTCCTCAGACCAGATCGGCGCAACATTGGCTGTCAACTACAAAACCCAGGACTTTGTGGAGGAAATCATGCAAGCCACAGGGGGTAAGGGTGTTGACTACATTGCCGACTTCGTCGGTGGACCTTACTTTCAGCGCAACATGGCGGTGGCAGCCCGGGACGCTCGCATCGTCATGCTAGGCCGTATGGGTGGCATGAAGGCTGCCGAAATCGACCTTTCCCCGATCCTCCACAAGAGAATTCGTATCGAAGGGAGCACGCTTCGCAGCCGGGACGAGACTTACCAGGAAGAGCTGAGGCGCCGGCTGGAAAGCTTCATGCCTGGGTTCGCCTCTGGCACCTTCTCCGTTATATTGCACGATACTTTGTCATGGACAAGCATCCAGGACGTACATGGCAAGATAGAACGCTCCGAAAACGCTGGCAAGATTGTCTGTACTGTCGACTGAAATGGGCACATTATGTAGCTGCGGCAAACGTACTTTCTTCCACACCCACAAACGCGTCTGTTTCAACATGGATCTTGGTTTTTACATCTGATATTACACCCAAATATCGACAGCAATTCACAGCCCCGATATGGTGATATTCCCGTGAAGCTGCAAGTGCCCCGTCTCGCCGAGAGAAACCGCAGCTTGCGAAACAACCACCCTGGCAATGTGCATGGCTATCCACTGGTGCCTGACGCACGAGCCGAGCCAGGTTCATCCACCAGAGCTTTTGTCCAAATTCGCAGGGTGGTTATGGTGCGTTTAGCCAACATGCCTTGCGATTCTCGATGCAGGAATGACTTCCCCGAGCCTCTGTATGCTCGAAGAGGTCAACTGATCATGGCTATCCATGCCTACCATCTGTGTATGAGTTATTGGACCTAGTGCTCATGGCCAAGGGGCACATTCAGCCTCATAGGTTTTTATGTGTATCCCTTCGAGCAAGCTTCACTGGATGGCTGAAGGTCAGTCCTGTTGATCGATATAATGGTACCAGCGTTTGTCGGCTAGAGGGCTTCGAGTTAATAATCGGTCAACACGCTTCTTGTCGTGATATAAATCAGGATCAAAAAGCACGAAGGGTTTTGATGAATACCAATAGCTTGCTGACGACGTTGGTCATTCTGCCTTCCTTGTGAGCCATGATCAGACTGTACTGAATACTGGAGGAACAGGATTCATTCTTCTTTCCTGGAGCAATTAACGTCATTCTAGATTCTAGGTCTAAACTCTAAGACATATTGTTGGTGCTGTGATGTTAAAACTTGAGTGAAACATCCTTCAGATTTAGCACGAACGAAGTTGTATCATTGGAATCAAGTACATGCGGTGGTGGCATGACTTCGTATCGTGGCACATAAGCCGTTGTATAATAAAGCCTTTTGATATCTAACGACGTTCAATCTCCTCGACGTTTCCACCCTTCGTATCCTGACGATCATCACTCCTGTCGGGCTGCTCTGATTCAGGATCGATCTTCTCACTGGCCACGCTTGTGGAGCCATCGAATACCTCGCGAATTTCTTCCAGGGTGCGACCTTTAGTCTCCGGGAACAAGATGTAGATGACACCGAAAAGTGCGGCCAGGATGCAACAGAACACGATGTAGTATTTCCATCCAATGGCCTTCATGGCGATAGGATTGACCTGATTTCCTACAATGAGACCGGTGGAGGCCGTGATGTAGGTAAGCGAGAGGCCGCGGCCGCGCAGAGTGAAGGGGTAAATTTCAACCGGATACGCTTGAAGAAGGGGTGTCCAAGCGATGTCGTAGAAGAAATAGAAAATGAAAATGAATGCGACCACAGCACGGCCTGCGCCTTCGTTTTGAGTGCGTGCGAAGAAGGAAGTGAGGCCGGTCCAGGCGATGTAACTTCCGAGCATGCCCGCTGTAGAGATGAGAAATAGCGGTCGGCGGCCCAGTCGGTCTACCATGAGGGCACCAAGAAATGTCGCTACGACCCAATTGAAAATCTGGAGAATCCCGTTGATAAGCGTCTGATCCTTAACGTCCGTGATGCCGATTGTGTTTAGGACGAGTACGAGGTAATACGAAGTCACCGCGACGCCACACCATTGAGAAAACCAGCCCACGATGACTGCAATCAGGGCGCGTTTGCGATTAGCTTCTCCGGCTACTAGATCCAGCCAGGATGCGGACGATAGCTCTTGTGCCTCGGCACTAATGGCCTGTTGGACTTCGGAAATTTCAAAGTTTACCAAGGGACTGTCAAGACTGCCGCCAGCGTGGTACGTAGATAGAATCTTCCGGGCATCTTCAGTGCGACCCTTAGAGATGAGCCATCTAGAATGCTTACGTAAGTAACAGTAGACAAAATGCTTCTCAGAAATTCTCTCACCTTGGAGACTCGGGTGTAAAGTAGAGACCCGCCAACTGGAACGCAGGTATAGCTCCCTGTAGCAACGAAGGAATGCGCCAGCTCCAGGTACTCGTTATCTTGAATGTTCCAAAGGTACACCAGGCGGCAAATATTGCACCAAAATAGTAGAACGTGTTGTACATGGCCGTTATCTTGCCGCGATGCGTTGGATAGGCCACTTCTGATACGAGGATAGGACTCGGTTGACTGATGAACGACGTAGCGAAGCCCAATAGGGCTCGGGCAGTCACAAATGTGGCGAGGTTTTGTGAAAGACCTTGCATAATAGCAAAGCCGATGCACGAGACCAGGCCGACAAGAAGTGACAGCTTTCGACCCCACCGATCAGAGACGTATGTGACCACGATCATCCCAAACACCTTGCCCAACGGGTAGACAGCATTCATGAGACCTAAGAGCGCACCTTCAGGGTTACCGAAGAATTGGCGCCATTGCGGGAGGGTTTGGAGGCCATTCATCATAGACCCATCATATCCTAAAGTTGTTGAGGAAAGAAGGGGAACAATTAGACATAAGTTGAGTTGGATGAGGTGGCTAACACGCCACCATGGTCTTGGGTCATCAGGGAGTAGCTATGAACAGAAGTCATCAGTGGAACTTCCTTTTACAGCCACACGATACACTTACTGCAGCAAGGGCTGGACCAACAGCTGCCTCAGCATGCTTTCGATCAGTTCTTTTTTGTCGATTTAGAATGGCCATTTGCAATGTTCTTGGGGAAAGACGGATATCGGGATGATTGTGATGTGAAGAGGTGCGCAGAGAAGAAGTTGCGATCGCCCTTGGTTCGGTCTAAGTATTTCCAGCACGACTGAATGTGTCCGTTGGAAACAAAATCTCAACATTCCCCATGGGCCGGGCCCCTGTCGAGGACCAGGTTACAAGCTGGACTGCGGAGCCCCCCACGGGGTATCGAGCCATCGATGCCCTTCCGCATGTTCTGCACGAACCGAGATCATGCCGTGCCACTTTACCCGCCGAAAATGGAGCGCCAGCTACTTAGCTAGCGACTTCAATGCCACTTTACCGATGCCACCTTAGCCGAGAGATGGCCTCTGAAGTCGCCATCCCTTTGGGGTCAGACCAGGCGGTGTAGCCAGAGAGCTAATCCGAGTTTGCATGGGTTGCTGACCACTTGGCCTAGACTTGCAGCATTGCAGCGTAGTGATAGGATATGGCGTGCAGGGTGACCAAGGCTTGCGCCATCATACGCGAGATTTGCAAACAATAAACCTGAGTCCTCTTGGTTGCCATGCTCGAGCTTTCCGCTAGGCTACGTGTCGTTCTTGCTTCAAGGAGAAATTGATGGTAGCCAATACACTGCTGTGATAGACTCAGGCGGTGAGGAGGGTTGACATCGTACGTGGTGCAATCTCGGAAGACGACTACTGAACATCTCTTTTAAATACAACGCTTCCATAGAATGGACATCTTGACTCTCCAGTCGAAACTCCGGAGCCTGCTCGAAAGTAGCTATTTAAGCTGACGATGAGGACGATGTATGGCAACATCGCTGCTGAAGTTGTGGTTATCGAATCAATTCCTCAAGCGTCTTGCCTACACTGAGAGTTGAAAGCTTGGCTGGATGTTAGTGTGGGAAAGGATGGTGAGGAACGAGTTGGCTTGAAAATGGAACGCTGGTCATGCCAGTTTCGAGCCAACTTATCTAAAGTGTCGATGACTGATTTATGTCAGCCACCTCGATGGCTGCCATCGAATCGCCTTCGCCAATTTCCAAAACCTCTTCAGAGCTTTGACGCACCCCACATCTTTCCCCGCAGGAGCGGATGGAACCCTGAATCGCCAATTTAGCGCAGGCGCGGCTGCTGGTACTCCACTGGAAAAGCGCGCGACCTGCCACTTCGTACGAACCATGCCCTTGATACCGAATCACCCATCATCCGCACTCCTTTTCATCGCCATTCGATCTGAATGACACCAGCCACGTACATAGTGCCAACGTCCGGTCTTTCGCACCCCAACGCCCCCCGAACGCGCAGTCGGGACTGTATGCCTCATGTTTCAGTGTACAGAGTGCTCCAAAGACTTCACCAGCCAGAGTTCCCTCGCGCGACACCTCCAAAATCACTCACAATCCATCAGACATGTCTGCAACGTATGCAGCGTCGTCTTTCGGCGTCGCGATCTGCTCACACGGCACTTGAAGATGCACGATAAAAACAACAATAAAAACAACAACGATGACGTTGGCATTAAGAATCAAATCACCAACGAAGGCCATGATGGAGATGAGAGCGGGGTGGGCGAAGCTGTTGTTTCTGCAAGCTCACTTGCAAACGCACATGATGATGATCAGTCCGCCACAAACACAACCAGCGCCGAGACAGGCGCCGTTTCACGAAAACGCTGCCATACGGCCTGCAATCGCTGTCGCGACCTTAAAATCAAGTGCGACGGCCAGTATCCTTGTCCACGATGTGAGCGAGCGGGCAAAGCATGCGACTTCGACCGCCCGCTCCGTACTTCTGGCCGCATCAGCCATCTTAGCTCCGCCGCCGTGGTCAGACCACCTTCGTCGGGTAGCATCAACTTATCCCCTGATCTAAACTTGGGTTTGGACGCCGAAAATGCTTTTCGCATGTCCATGCCGGAGTTCTCGCCCACGTCTGACACGGACGTTAATCCCAGTCCTAGACCCATCCCAGACAGCAGATCAACTGACCATGGGGGCGATTGCGCTGCCGCCAACTTTGGTATCCCATCTCCTCCATGGGATGTCTTCTTCAACCAAATCACACCCTGGCCATGGTTGCACGAGAATTTATTCCTGTCTGGAGGTGATTCTGGTATCCTGGGAACCGACGAAGGCCAGAATCTGTCGTATTCTGACGAACACATGCATGTTCCTGCCTTCTCAAATCCTACCATGCAAACCATGGGCCAGAATCAAGATCAAGACCAAGAAGCGGCTCAAGATCAGCAACAAACTAATGTTATGGGCTCTTGCCCCGGTGGCATACTGTATCCACCGGCCGCGTCCACATCTATCGCTGCTCTTACCGGGCTCGACACTGCACTTCCCACGAGTTCAGTCTTTGACGACGGGTTTAAGGGTAATCAACCTCCCAGCGACCATATCGCGGACAAACAGCGCGCTGTCGAAACTCTTGTTGCGCTCACGGCGCAGGTAAAACGTACCGGCGAGCACCCTGGATCTTACCCCAGGTTCACCCACCCTTGGTTGCAAGTTCCTCCAGACATTGTTACCCTTTTTAATATCAACCTAAGGCCGAGCAGAGAGCGTGCTGTTACCACAACTGAAGAAGTATTACAACACTTTGTCTCGCTGTACTCGGAGCACTTCCATCAGCTGTGGCCGCTTCTTCCGCGCCGCATACTGGAATCGGGCAACATGCATCCTCTTCTCTATCTTGTATTGGCGTCTATTGGTGCCATGTACATGGACGGTTCCGCTTCTGAATGCGGTGCCTTCTTGCACAATGCGGTACGGCAACGACTCGTCCTTCCATTGGAGCTGGACGCTGCCGACGAAAGTCTCGTCTGGTTGGCACAGGCTAGGCTGCTAGCCCAAGTTGCCGCGCTATATTTCGGCCAGCCTCGGGCTTTTTCGTACGCACAGCACCTCGGCGCTTTGCTCGCCACGCAGGCGCGCAGAATGGGTCTCTTTACCAATGCCAGCCATCAGCTTCTACAATTGAAGAGGATGAAGGGTACTGCCACCGATGCTTCGTGTCTAGACTTGTGGCTGTCAATTGAGGAGCGACGCCGTCTCGCCTTTGGCATATTTCGAGGTGACACCTTCACTAGCGTTTTGCTCAATTCCAAGCCACTGTTATCACTGGAAGAGATTGCTCTCGAATTTCCAACCTGTAATTCAGTCTTTAATGGCGGCGCAGATCTCGAACCACGGCTCGCGCTCGACATAATCGAGCACTACCGGACGCCCAATCAACATGTGCGGGCCTCGGATGCTTTCCATGTGCTGCTCGAGAGGAATGAGATTCTCCCGCCATTGGAACCGGGTGCCCATGAGATTCTATTATTCGGATTACAATCGCATGTCTGGCGGTTTTCCTATGATCGTCAGCTTCTGAGGCAATTTCCCGCGGCCGGAGGTGCAGATGCAGGGCTCGAGGAAATGCCTTTGTGTGAGACTATCACCAGCCAATGGTATACAGAGAGCGATCCTTCCGGTCTTCCCTCCAAGAAACGACGAAGAGATACGTTCATATCAGAGGTTGACTCTCTCGACAATCGATCATATCAAATGGCCGATCTCGTCAGCGAGCAGCAACGGCTCTCGGCTGCCCTGACAAAGTGGGAGCGGGCTCTGCCGTTGGCAAAGACCCTTGCGCGCAATGAGGAGGATCGGAGCTACCTGCTAAGTAGTCTGATACTCTATCATCTTAGCCTCATGCGACTCTACGCTCCTGTCGAAGACATTCACCAGATTCACTACCGCCTCGCTGATAATCAACTGGTGCCTCACGAGCTCGTGGCCAGTGTTCTCACATGGACGCGATCTCCTGAAGCGCTCATAGCCGTAAAGAGGGTTCGTTCTGTCTGGTCTCTCATCACACAGGAGGCGCGACAAGGTCGGGCAAGGTCACGATTCAACTTCAACGCATACGTTGGTCTTCATCACGGTGCAGCCATATTATGGGCTTATCACGGAGCTACAAATTCGGACGAGACAGATGCACGACGGTCTACATCAAGCACCAGCGGGTCGCTGCATCTGCGTCAAGCTGAAAACTCATCTCCAATGTCTCCAATGCACGTTGATAAGACGGAGGGAACAGGCATCCGCCACACATTCGAAGACTTGTTTCACGCAGTGAGCCCTGCACGGTGGTCTTCCTTTGCTGAAGTTGCCCGGACCTTGACTGTTCTTCTGTTCCCAAAAAGTAGTGGCCCTTTGAATGACGAAATGTAGTTTTGGTGAACCTAGGTCGCGCCAATCTACAATAAGCTAGCGCCGCGGATGGTGGGACATTTGGCGTGCGACAGGCACAATCAGTGTAGGTGAGACCCGGATTAGTTGGTGATTGATCGTCGAGTATGGAATCCTCAATTGCACTTCGCCTGTAGGGCAAGGAATCACTATCAGCAAGGCCATTCGACGCAGCTAGCTGCTGAGTGATCGTCTCGCTACCCACACTGTCGCACTCAATCGTGTACTGTCATCGATTAATGCTCGTTCCGAAGTCTAAGAGGCTAGCGGACCTTCATCAGAAGGTCCGAATGTCTAAATACGACAAGGAGAGCCTGGCGCCATGTCGTAATTTACCCTATTCATTGAGATTCCCCAACGTTGAGAGGTAAATCAGCTCACAAAGACAAGTAAGTACAGTAAAGTTTAAACAATGTTTTGCAATACGTGTTGCCTTAAGGATGCCAGCGAAAGTCCGGGTGCTTCCAATCCATGTCTTGTATCTGATCTTCCGGTACACCAGCTAATTCCTCCTCAGAGTTACACTTCTCGCGTGATCTGTTGTCCCGGCGCATCCAGAGGAGAAGAACAACGCCCAGAACCAGCATACCTGCAGCGGTAGCAAGATTCAGGCCCATTCCGATTCGGAAGTGAGGTGCATCGTGAGGCAGATAGCTCCAGGTCGACACGAGGCCTCCCATGTTGCTGAACATGACTAAATGAGTGAATGGTAAGTAAAGGTCTTGAACACGAATTCTCACATGGCGCGCTCCACTTACTTGCTGTTGCTATTGCACTATTGCGCGATGTGTCCGAAACCACGTTGGCGCTAGCTTGCGCAGTACAAAGCGGACCTATACCGAAAACTGTGCTGGCCACCAGGAAAGCAGCTGCATAGCGGATTCTTGGCACATAGCTTGACAAGAAGATGATATATCCCACAATAACAAGAGGCGTGCTCAAAATGATGAGAACCAGACGTCGATCTAGCTTCCAGCTTAGCAGTGTAACTACAATCACGAAAAAGCTCCCAACAATGTACGGTGGTACCGTAAGAAGTTGCTGCTGGATGATTGTTCTTCCTGGATAAATCGTGCGGATAATTGTTGGAGTAAAAAAACCAAGCCCTTGGACTGTGACGCTGTCAAACATAAAAATGACTGCTGTTCCAAGTGTAACGGGATTTGAGACACCGCGAAAAAGCTTTTTCTTATCCATCTTGTCCAAGACTGCGGATGATCCGACCCTCTCAGCGCGCAGCTTGTGCTCAGTGTAGGCCTTTTCGCGATCTGTCAACCACCGCGCTGTCTGAGGCCTATCTGTCATGGTCAGGAATGCAAGCAGGGATAAAATTATTGTGATGATGCCTTCGATGGCGAAGATCATACGCCATGCGGTCAGACTGCCAAAATTATCGAGAGTAAGGATTGCAGAAGCTAGGAGGCCTCCAAAAGCTCCTGCTAGGGGAGCCATGACGATATAAAGTCCGAGACGAAATCCTAGTTCTGCGCGTGAGTAGAACCGGCTCTACATTGACTATCAGTACTGACTCAACTATTGCCTTTTCTCCGATCTGGCATCCGTAGTATCTTGCTTACCAGATAGTACGCGATGCCGGGCAATACGCCGGCTTCGAAGACACCTAGAAGGAATCGAACGGCGCAGACCTGGGCCCGGTTGTTGACGAACGCTGTACCAATGGAACATAAACCAAAGCCAAGCGAAATGGCGGGGATAAACCAACCAGGGCCCAGCAACTTGCAAACAATGTTGGAGGGAATTTCGAAGATGATGTATGAGATGTAGAAGACAGACAGTACGGTGTTGTAATCATAGCCTCGGAGGCCGAGATCCTTCTCAAAGCCTGCCAATCGAGCATTGCCTACGTACACAGTCAGCCATAGGACGATCTTGACAAGTCAATGCTCATAGACGAACCGATGTTAGCTCTATCAATGAAACAAAAAAGATAGAGTAGTGCCACTGTAGGCATGAGAAAAAGGTCCATCTTCAGCAGTAACCGAGATACATCCTTTTGGTCCATGCTTGGTTCCTGGCTCGCAATGTGCTCTGCTCGGATTACCTCAGGGGGCTTGAGCTCATCATCTCTCCTGTGTACATGATCGTTGTATGAAGCTGACATAACAACGATAGTTGCAGACTGACTGCAAGTAATAAAAGAACGAGCGGCTTCAAGATTATTAGGTGTAACCTAAGTCTGGATAATACCCCAGAGGAGGACAGGCATTCTTATAACTGTACAGGGCTTTTCAATTTCACGCCTCGATCTGAGTTGCTGGTGGAGATCAAACCTAGTTCATCCGCCATAAGCGTAACCCCGCAAGCTAGTACTTCCCCAGATCTCCAGGCATAGCCACGTTGTGTAACAGCTGATAACTCACATCTCGCCTACAGTTCCGTGCATTCCGTTATCACGGAGCAACCTTGGTAATTCTATCCACGCTGTCCCTACGGTTGGTTGGTTTCGGGTGAGGTGGCATCATTTGGGCGGCATGGCCACTTTTGCCGTTTATGGGTGGTTGCCGAATCGCGGAGCCAGTCTTGAGAGTCGTCTAGCCTACCTGTTTCTCTCTGGAAACCCATCCCACTCCGACCCGATCCCACATCGATCTTCCCTGAAACTTGGACCCCTACCGCTCCTTTGACGATAGCCGTAACAAGGTTTCTCTACTTAGCTGATTCAGCCTAGTATTTTCCAAGAATATTGTTTATTGTTCGATGTTCCATTGCTTATCGGTGAGGTATGGGGTGTGTAGCATTCACGCAAGTCTCATCGCCGTCCGCTTCCCCGCCAAAGGCAGTAGAGTGTATCATGATTTTTCCGAGACAGTGGTTGATTATGTCGGGCGGCGAGGTCTATCATAAGCACGAGGTTCGATCAGAAGCTAAGGACAAGAAATGCCAATACAGGCATGATTCACTTCCTTAAGTCTTCCAGCGCTGTATAGACTCTGTAGCCAAGTGTTTTGGTACCACAGATCACTTGCAAGGTTGACTTGTCTGCTTGTCTAAGTGAAAGGGCGAACAGGTGTCCTGCAACTACCAGACTCATATGCATCTGTTTTTCTATTCAAGATCCAAACTTAGATTTGATTTGTATCTTCCTAAAATACTTCTGGTACGGGAGGGCCCCAGACCTTCAACGCATCTGGTCCAGCCGGAACGTGCGATACAACGGTTTCTGAATTCACCAAGTCACCATCCGCGTAGTGCTCCTAAACCTGGTCAGCTTCAAGATAAGTAATGTGCATAAAGATCTCTTACCACGATAAATTTGCTGGGATCAAACCAGTAGTCGAACACCTGGCTCCCAAGGACATGCTATAACCAAGTTAATAACTGTAAGTTATGAGCAACATGACAAGACTAACTCTGCCAACTCCCCAACAAATATCATAGCCCTTGGACGTGAGATAGTTGTGGCCGAGTTGTTGAACGTCGAAGTCATGGACTTCGAAAGCGGAGTGAGCCACTGTGGGCTTGACGTCGCCTTTCACAGGCTTGAAGAAGAAGGCGTGGTGATCGGTAAACTCAAGACCACGGTCGATATGGAAAAAACACGTGGTTGGCTTGCCATCCTTGAAAACGACGTCGGAGGGTGCCAGTGCCAGAGTGTTTGTATACCAATCGTACATTTGCTGATAAGTGCCCTCTGGGTAGGTCACGCCGTAATGTCCCCAGCGATGAACCAAAGCTGGACCAGGCTGGAAACGATGGAATTTTCCCTTCCTCGGCTTTTCATCTTCATAGTTGACAATAAGCTTCTCCAGTTCAGGTGGCTGGGGCGCCTTCTTGGTTTGGTTGTGAACGAGATAGACGTGGTGGCCCACAGGGTCGGAAAGTCGGACAAATTCACCGCCTCCCGGAGCATCTAGAGACGTAATTTCCGTGGCGTTCTTTACTTTACTGGCTTTTTCCAACTCGATCCGTGACTCGACTTCGTACGCAGCTCCTCCAAAATAGCTGTCTCGATCTGATTGTCGTGCGATATAGACGAATGGCTCCTCACCATAGCCAGCGAAATGGATTTCCTTACCGGCTGTTTCACGAGCTATCGAAAGCCCGAAATCAAGCAAGAATTCTCGTGCTTCCGCCAAATTCTTGTGATAGTAAATCACAAATGCTGTCGCCGTGAGGCGCAGCCTGATATCTCCTTCCAGAATCGGCATGAGTGAGCTCTTTTGTATAGATGTGTGTAGGATGTAAAATTCGGCGCGTATTTCGAGGTATGAAAGCGGCCGTTGATTAATTTGGTACTTCGCTTGTTGGTTTTATGCGTCTCCTCAGGCTTGCATTTCTCATCTGCTGACTTGCAGCACAAGACCCGGGTCGCATCAATTCCGCCGTCGACCGCGATAGAATTGATGATTAGTCAATGACGGATCGTCGTACAATTCTGAACTATCTCCACACGATCCCATCTGATCTCCATAGGATCGGCTGATGTGGTGAACACATTGGCTCTGCCCGGCCGGCACGGGTCAGCTACGCGAGCATACCACATTACCCGCTAGGTGCGGGGCTGCAGCTAAGCTGAGCTTTAGTCTCACTACAATTGACGACTTCACACGGGTAATGCCCGGTCTTCGAGGGCCAATGCAGAAAATCTTGGTATATTGAACTATCTAGTCGTAGTAATTCGGCGCAAGCTTGAATTTGAAAAGCGCATCACGATCGTGCCCAAAAATCAGCTTGGCATCTGTCAACTTCTGTATCGACTTGATCATCTGGCTTGACACCAACCAGGTCGCATGGTCTCTAGTGAACCATCCTTGGCAAGCAAGGGACTCATAGTTCTCCTTGACGATGTAGTGGTCAGTTGTGAATATCCACGTTCCACTGTTCTTCAGAGTGACCTGAAGAACACACAAACCTGGCGTGTGACCAGGGCAGTGACGAATCATGAGCCCTTTCGCGAGCTCTAGGCCGTGCCCGTGAAAAGGGGTCCAGTTGAGATCGTACTGGAGGTAGCTGGGTAGATAAACGCCTGTGATCTTGTAAACGTACTACCTCCTTTATATTACGTATAGAGCAAGAGTATTTGGCTGTCGAAAGACATCCTTGTAAAATTTGTGTAACTTGTTGAAGACTTACCGATATCAGTCTTAGTCGCCACGCTGTAGAAAGCGTGTTTCAGTTCCAGCTCATGAGTATAGATTGGCACGTTTGTGCCTCTGAAATGTTCGAGTCCGCCAGCGTGGTCTAGATGCAGGTGTCCCATGATCACAGCCTTTACGTCCTTGATGTCGTTCCCCGTTTTTCGAATTGCTGCATCCAGTTCCTGATCTTCAACGTAATCCTCGCGAGCAAAAATATCGTTGAGCTGTGGGCCCCAAAGAGTTGGGTAATCTTTGCCGGCACCCGTCTCAAACAGAATCAGCCCCTCCGTCGGATGAGAAATCAGAGCAGCAACCATTACTAAAGACCGCCTGACGTGTTCTGGATTCGGCTTGCTCGCGGTAGCAACATTAGCCTGTACTAGACGTTAAGACAATAATTCTTCATATCCTGCTCAATCGACTTGAACATGTAGAGATTGTAGCATACACCAGCGATAAAGAATGCTTCGTCAGCCTTCAAATTCCCAATATGCAAGAGCCATAGCTTGGTTCCCTGGTAGTGAAGTGTTGTCAGTGAAGTATCATGGTTGGCATTGTAGAGCAAGCCTACTTCAGGAGCCTCACGTCCTATGAGATCCATGCTACTTGCTGATCGTTGTCTGCGTGGAGAATTCGAAGGTAATAAGACGTGATTTTGCTTGGTCTACGAGCAATTTGCGAGATTGATCCAGTCATGAGAAGAACGAGGATCGATCAGCTTCTAAAGGAGCTGCGACTATGTCATTTGTCATCTCGTACTTGCCTCCTAGGTAGTTCCAGGATGGTGTTGGCGCCAGTGCGAAGCGGTCCAGACAACTAGGTGCGTACCAGCGTTGGATGCGGGGTGGCGGGACAGACAACAAGTGCAAACACGCAAAGAGAGGGACTTGGTCTGGCTCGCACCTTGCGCGGTAAGCTCATCATCGGTAAAACATCACTTGAAATTGCGGGGTTACGAAGTTGGCAGGGCTCGGTAACATGGAATGGTTTTGCGCGGGTAAAGTGGTATTGACGTCCGATTTCGTGCGGAACCACCTACTGTAGCTAGGGTTGAAGCTCGATCGCGCGATCTGGCTGAAGCCCAAGTAAAGAATAAACAGTCACGCACGATCCTTAAGATGAAAGAGTAGTTGTATAAATTTATTCATCTTGACTTCAAATCATACGTCGCCAGTGCAACAGATACGCCTCGTCATGACTTCCAAGCCAGTCGCATGGGAGAGGTTCGTCCGTTACGTCCCTCAGGGGCAGGACCAAGCTATTTGTTTTGGGGATCCTATCGTCGCAGAGTCCGAGATCGATCAGATTGCGCAGATCGCTGCGGAAGGTAGACTGGAGGTGAAAGTCTTACAAGGTGACCATCCGCTTAACGCGACACCAAATGGAAAGACGGATAAAGTAGCTCGGCTACTAGGTCCCCTAGAGCCAGGCGATGTACCCATCATCCGATGCATTGGACTGAACTACACGACTCACAGTAAGTTGTCAATTCGTTTGCATTTACATGACTGACGTCAAACAAGTTCTTGAGACTGGACGCCCGCTCCCGACTTGCCCTACTGTATTCACCAAGCCGGGACCCGCCATTGCAGACCACGGTGAAGCCATTCCCATTCCAAAGATTGCACAGGAACAGTGCGACTATGAAGGAGAACTAGTAGTCGTGATAGGAAAAGATGCGAAGAATGTGTCAGAGGAAGAAGCGCTGGAGTATGTGGCTGGCTACACTGTTGGAAACGACGTTTCTGCGCGCGACTGGCAAAGGGAAGCTGGCAAGGCTGGTCCTGTTCCACAATGGTCTTTCAGCAAGTCTTTTGACAAATACGCACCACTGGGTCCCTGCATTGTTGCAACTAGGCTCTTAGGAGAAGCAAATGCGCAATCGCTGAAGACTATTGTCAATGGGGAAGTCAGGCAAAAAAGTAACACAGCGGACCTTTGCTTTAATGTCCGAAAGCTTATCGCCTTCTGTAGTCAAGGTCAGACACTGCAGAGAGGATCCTTGATTATGACAGGCACGCCAGGTGGTGTTGCTTTGTTCATGAAACCTCAAGCATTCTTGAGAGACGGTGACAAAGTCGAAGTTGAGATTGAAGGCATTGGTCGCCTGTCGAACATAATGTCTTTCGAAAAAAAGTAGCTTCGTTGAACATAGACAATATAGATACAGTGTATGGGTTTTTGACAAACTTTCGGAAGCCATGGTTGACAGTATTTGTGTTATAGTACTACTGGTGATGTGCAGGGAATCAAATAGTCCTGCACCCAGTCACCAAACAACGGACAACGCGATCCTTTCAATGTCCATCCAAGCAGAATCAACAAACGACCCTCTGGAATTCAATAAAAAAACTTATGCGAAATCTGCAGTGTGGTTTTGTATCGTTAGGATTTTCTGACGCTCCATACTAAGTTGCGTTATAACTTGTCTGATAACTCCGTCCGTTAGTAATGGGCTTCGGATATCTTTCATCTCTCATGCAAGCAAAGAGGCCCGTCCATCTCTGAGCCCTGCGAGCAAAAATCAATGATGCTCAATTCGTATTCATTTTCCCAGAGCCTTCCAACATGGTTAAGAATTGCTTGCACTTTTAACAGGCTAACGGAAAGACGCGTTCACTAGAACGATTGCCTGCCCATGTGTCAACACGATGCCTCAATAAATAAGAAAAGGCAGCTAGACCGAGCTCAACGCCTCTACTAGATCTGAAAGCCGTGACCTGGAACATTCCGTACAGTAGACGCAGGATTAAGAACAAGGGAGCGAGGAGCGGCTCTCTTACTCGGGTACTGTGAGGGTACTGCAGGCAGGCAATCAAATACAGGTCTGATGGGTGCCGGTGAGGGCAGAATTGGGTATCGTTTGATATGAGTTGAGACGAATCCTTGAGGTGTAAGCTCTAGGATTCGGGCGGTCTATATAGGGGTGTCTGTCTTGGTCTGAGGTATACCGGTGGTAGACCGAGGCAGGCCTTATAGGAAACCCTGTATGACTATGCATATAAGTGTACAGTAAGAGCAAGAATTACTGCACGTGCTATTCATTTCAACAGGAAGAATCATAATGTACGAAGTTCCCCTCGTGCTTTTCGGTGCAACAAACTACTTGTGCCCTTGATTTGTGCTTTCCTCTCGTATATCTTAGGGTTCGACCACACGTCGCTCGAACTTCAGCCAACAGTGTCCTGACTTCGATCCGGCAGCAAAAACGTCTGCTAAATGTAACTCGTCATTCTCCATGTTATCCGGAACCACTGAAATGAAGTTCAATATGATCATCGCCATCATATATTTGAGTTCGGTCAAAGCAAGATTAGAACCTGGACAGGATCGACAACCAGTCCCAAAAGGTATCCAATTGAGTTTCATACGCTCATCAGCATCAATCCAGCGCTCTGGTAGCCATTGGTTAGGCTGAGGATACACAGAATCTAGCTGGCCTTGATTCAACGCCGAGGTGGAGGCAATAACGCCCTTTGGCACCAAGTAACCTGAGATTTTGAGATCCTTACCCAGATGTCTCTCGAGCGGGCCCGGTATCATGGGGTACATTCTCATTGTCTCTCGGATGATTCCATCTAGGAGTGGAAGGTCCATAGCAAGCCTGATGTCAAGTTTGCTGCGATCTCCAAAGGTGACAGAGAGCTCCTTGTACAGCTTATCTTGAACTTTTGGGTGGCGAGCTAACAACCAGCAAGCAAATGCCGCGGTGTGCGATGTTGTTGACGAGCCAGCCGCCAGCATTTCTACCATGTATGCTGGAATGTCCTCTGTCGGAACAGCAACTGCTTTGTTGTTCATCGACTGTAACATGGAGAGTACGTCCTTCTCTCGGTTGATATCGTCCTTGCTGGCTTCCCAGCGCCGTAATGCATCCTTGGCTGTGAGGTCCATGTCGTTACAACTATCACGTAGGCCTTTCCACTTTTTGTTGCCCAGGTACTTGACGTACGTGTCGGATCCTGGGATGAAGCTTTTCATGGCATTCCATGTGCTGAATGCATGGAATCGTTGGATGAAAATTGGGGACTGGTCTTCTTGATAGTTGTGTAACAGTCGATCTCTCTCGCCCCAGAGCACATCTGTGACTATGTCCAAAGCAAGCAATCGGAAGACTACAACGCCATCGACTGCCTCGTTCTTTTTCGTCTTCTCATCAATCAGCTTCAAAAAATCCTCAACGTGAGACTGGATGTTCTCTACGAGAGTTGCAAGGTTCTTGTTTTGGAAGCATTGTATGAGGTTGTTACGCGAAGGCGCTGCTGATGCATAGTCCAAGAAGCCTAGTGTAGACGTGACGCCCTTCCATCGGCCCATGGATGAATAGAAAGACGTTTTGATTGCCGTTTTATCGTAGATAGCCTTCATGGCTACATCATCTGTAGTGTGTATCTGATCAGGAGCGATCACAGCGACCGGGCCATAACGATTGAGAATACTTGTGACATACTCCGTTCGTCGCTTTTGAAACGTTGCATAGCCTAGAGGAAGCTTCGAGATGCGAGCATACCATGGCCCTGGTATGTGCTTCACTGGTGATAGCAGGAAAGGATAGATGGCCTATGGGTGACGATGGGTCAGCGAAAACGCCTCTTAGAATAGAAGGGCACCTGACTAACCGTGATCCAGATTATGTATGCCAGAAGCGCCGAAAGTAGCCACTTTGCTTGCAGGAAGGATCTGACTCCATCTTCGATGATTAGAGACATCATGAAGTCGTGGCACGACAATACTACGACAGAAAGATAGCAAGGAAGTAGTGTCAATGAATTTCTTGGATTCGATGAGCCCAGAGTATTCTGATATCGCTTTTGTAAATGACCACGAGAACAACACTGCGCTGGTGCGTGGCCGAGGGTTCGGCTACAATCAATTGCCTCCTCCGCACCTACCCCACCTCGATCCGCTCCTCCAATCTCGTACCACTCGAAGCTTCATTGGGTGAGTGCTGATTGAGCCAAATTGCAGCAACGGGCCACGAGCTGGAGCCACTTTGGTGTCGGGTAATGTGGCAAGTCTCGGCAGCCACGCGGAAGTCAGAACAGCGGCCGGGAACAGATTACGTGAACCAATCATTAGTTCGTCACTCGATGGAGTCCGGACGTCAGTAGCCTAGCCATCCGGTCCTCGATTGCGGAGAACATCTTGCGTACGTCTGTTACAGCCAAAGGTATCCGAGTTTGCAACTAAAAGCTTCTTGTTCAGCTGCAGGATTTTGATTGAATCCCAAACTGTTTTTCGCAGGCTTCTTTACCCTGAACGATCTCGTGACATGGACTATCCAGTTTTAATTATTGGTGCTGGTCCCTCTGGGGCTACCACTGCGCTGTTGCTGGCTCGAATGGGCGTCAAATCGATGTCAATATCCAAGCACAAAAATACGGCCAACACACCACGCGCGCACATATTCAATCAAAGAGCTATGGAAGTTTTGAGAGATGCTGGTCTAGAGAAGCAGCTGGAGAATGTTGCTACGCCTGTGGACGGTATATTGTCCTCCTGCTCCAAACTTAGAAATCTTGACTCATTACCCTGCAGACATGCAGCATACTTCATGGCTGGACTCTTTGGCTGGTGAAGAGTACGGACGCCTCTGGGCGTGGGGTAACAAGCCTTCCTGCAAAGGAGCCTACGAGGTAGCAAGCCCTTGCTCTATGTCTGACCTCCCTCAAACCTTCTTGGAGCCTGTCCTGGTCGAGTCTGCAACACGAGAAGGAGCCCATTTCAGATTTAATACAGAGTTCGTGCGGTTCGAACAGGCAGCAGATGGTGTCAAAACGACCTTGCGAGACAGAGCTAATGGAGAAGAGTTCACTGTAACCTCGCGATACCTAATAGGAGCAGATGGTGCGCGGAGCGCAGTACTACAGGCCTTGGAAATTCCTGTCATTGGTCGGCAGCTCAACACTGCGTTCAACATTCATATCATAGCCGATCTCTCCAAGTACATTAAGTATCGTCCTGGTAGTCTCAACTGGATACTCAATCTCGGCGCTCCAGAATGGTCCGCCGTGGGAAACTTCCGTATGGTCAGACCGTGGAACGAATGGGTGGTCTCTATGCACCCTGCTACAAAGGATCCGAACGACCTCAGTGAACCTAGCCAAGAGTCAATTATGAAGCGCTTACACCAGATGATAGGTGATCATTCGGTCGACATCAAGATACTATCATCATTCTCGTGGACCATCAACGATCGAGTCGCCGAAAAATGGCAAAGCGACCGCGTGTTATGTATCGGGGATGCAACTCACCGCCATCCTCCAATAAATGGGCTCGGGAGCAATACTTGCATATCTGATGCATTCAACCTTGCGTGGAAGCTGGCTTATGTCATCAAAGGATGGGCCTCACCTTCATTGTTAGATACTCTTACTACCGAGCGAAAGCCAGTGGGTGATGCCATCGTTCGTCGCGCAAATGATGGAATGGAAGCACATCGACGACTCTGGAAAATCATTGGCCTTGACGTTGACACTCGCAAAACATTCTCAGAACTCTTGAAAGCCGACTCGAAAGATGGCGCAGAATTGCGCATTCGTTACAGAGAGGCCCTAGAGGCAACCGAAGATGAGGTGCAAGCTCTAGGGATTCAAATGAATCAAACATACCTGGACTCGAATGCCGTAGTTGTAGAAGCCGACGACGAAGCACCAGAATTCCCAACCCTTGCACCGCTCAGAGATGTCAAAGTCAGCACGTACCCAGGATACCATCTGCCACATGTTTGGTTGGTAGCCAACGGACAATCACCAAGGGTATCTACGTTGGATCTCTGTGGCCAGGGACGCTTTACACTGCTCACAGGCATTGGTGGTGATGCTTGGATCAGCGCGGCGGAGTCGGTCTCCCACTCAATGGGTATCCCCATACGCGCTTACAAAATTGGATATGGAGGTAACTTTCTCGATTGCTATAGGGAGTGGCACAAAGTGCGAGGCGTAGGAGAGGATGGAGCGATTTTGGTTCGACCTGATCACTTTGTTGCCTGGCGCTGTCAGGCCCTAGCCGAAGCTCCTGCAAGGAAGCTTTCTTCGGTTCTTAAGCAGGTTCTTGGCCAGTAAATGGCATATAATGGCATATTAGTGAACAAGAATCATCGACACTATCTGTACTTGTATTGAGTTTTTTCCCCGTGGCATGTACTGGCTCTTTGACTTTAGCCCACCTGCATGCAGCCTTTTATAATTGATCTTTGAGCAGCCTGTACAACAAGAACTACATGTTCCAACATCGTACATTTCATAGTCTTAAACCTGCTTAATGATCTCAGTTTGCCGTTCTGTGTAGTTATTGACATCGAATAAAGACTATACGTTTAGTTCACGACTAGACGAAATTCCGTCTATCTACCCTCCACCTCAAAGATTCAAAAGCAGAGCCTCGGTAAGCTCATACACTGCCAATGAAGACGTCGCGCAGATCCGACAACCATTTTTGCAGGATACAACAGGCATAGATTCTTTACTTTCATTGTGGCCCCCTCGGTTAATAGTAACGCAGACCCTTCACAAACTTTCCAAGACTTGGAAGATTTGACTTTCCAGCCGATTACAGAGATTAATGGCCGTTTAGCCTACCGGATATCAGGGCACTTGCATTGAGTCCCGTGTCACTTGGTGGGCGCGGATCTATAACAGTTAGTGCGTGGCGTGCTGCCACTTTACCCGCGCCCATCAGCCCTTGTCCGAGCTGATTGTCGGCGAATCTGGAATGGAACCCCAGGTAAACATAGTACCGGTAATACGTATACCACATACCGGTAGCTTCACTGTGGGTGCGGAGACCCCGCAAATTGCACTTCAAATCCACGTATGCACCAAGCCGGGATCATTGGTTCAAGGATATAAATGGTCGATTTGAAGTATTCAGGAATTCACTCTGCCGTTCACAACCGCATCTCTCTGTTTATTCTCTTCCTTCTTACCAAGTTACCGGTAGCCTTCCGGTAGGACACAGGACTGAACGAACCTAAACCTAAGAACAATAAACCTAAGTTTTCCAAGACATCATGGCCAAGGTTGCCCTCATCACTGGTGGGAACGGTATCACCGGTTCCGCGATCATTGAATATCTCGTCAAGAATACAACGTCACAGGAGTGGAGTCAGATTATCGTCACATCACGGTCCCCATTCAAGACCACTGTTCAGGATGAACGGATCACCTTCATCGCCCTTGATCTGAGCCAAGACCCCAATGATCTGATCGCCAAGATGCGTCCAGTATGCAGTGGCGTTACGCATGCCTACTTCTCCTCGTATGTACACAAAGACGATTTCAAGGAGTTAAACCTCGCGAACGAAAAGTTGTTTTCCAACTTTTTGGATGCCATAATCGCAGTAGCTCCTGTGCTAGAGAATTGCACTCTTCAAACTGGCGGGAAGCATTACAATGTCCATCTTGGCCCAGTGCCTTCGCCCGCTCGTGAAGAAGAACCCAGGAAGGAGAGCCCCATTGGTAACTTCTACTACCCCCAGGAGGACTACCTGATTGCCCGTCAAAAGGGACAGCGCTGGACGTGGAATGTGGTCAGGCCCGAGGCCATAATTGGGCACACCTCAAAACCAAACGGCATGAATTCGGCTCTGACTTATGCGCTCTACTTTCTTGTCTGTAAAGAGCTTGGTGTTGAAGCTCGCATGCCCACGAACCAGCTTTATTGGGAAGGATATGACGACTTATCTGACTCGAGGCTCATTGCAGACCTCTCCATCTGGGCGTCAACGAGCCAGAAGGCAGCAAACCAAGCTTTCAACATCACCAACGGTGACTACTTCACCTGGAGATACATGTGGCCACGCATCGCAGCCTACTTAGGCGCTCAAGCAACACCCGATCAGGCGTTCACAAAACCCCGCCCAACAGAGGGCGAAACGCAGCTTGATTTGTCCCTCGTCGAATGGGCGGCCGACAAACAAGAAGTATGGAACAAGATTTGCGATAAAGGATCGTGCCCAGAAGCTAAAGCAACCTGGGAGTCAGGCACATGGGCCTTCCAGGACTGGGTCTTCCAACGTACGTGGTCGGCGACTTTGAGTATCAACAAGGCGAGATCGTACGGATGGCAAGGTCACATTGACTCGTTCCAGTCGTTGACTGAAGCGTTTGACAACTTTGTAAACCTCAAGCAGATTCCTCCGTTCCGTTAAAATAGTTACACTTCCAAACTGTCTACTCAAAAGTTACTATTCATGCACACTGACTGTTCTTGAGGATCAAATAACGGAGGTGTATAAACGCGTGATAGATGGATGCATCGCAGATCTATGCTCCGATCGTGATCGTGATAAAATCACTACAGGTAGTTCTAGCTAGTTGAGCGAGATCAGCTAAAACGTCCCAATCATCGCTTCGAACGAACGCAGTTTGCAGTCACCCTCTAGCCGCGTTCTCAACATCACGCAGAAGCTTCTTAGTCCTGATGGCCTAGGGACTTGGTTCAGAGCCACATATCTTACCACGATCTCAAACTCCCTAGTGACGATCGGAAGGAAGAAGGGCGATTTTCGTGAATTGCCGCGCAGGTGGTGGAAACACTGTTTGCGCATACATCTATAACAATGCATTGCGAACTTACAGCAGCGACAGAGGATCGAGAGTGAGGTTTTGCTTCGGCACGTTATATGCTTGTGAAAAAACCTGAGTCCTGTATGTGGTCGCTTTGTGGGCTTCGTATCGAGGGGTGTAAGAAAGACTGACCAAGTGGGCTTTCCCTGACAAGTGCTACCTTCGTGAGCACAAATTCCGTCACTTCCGGCGGCACGTCCGTAAACAATTGCGGGCGCTGTTGAAAGGAGCCATATGCCCTATTAGCAGTTGGTTGTGGAGGCGATGATGGGGCGAAGGCAGAGCGGGAAGGTACGCGGTACTCTCGGGTCTGATCTATAGCATAATAATCACGAGGCTGTATGTTTTCCTCCTTTTGCTTGCTTGGCTGGCTTGCGGTGTGATGTAGTGGTTAGGAAGGGGGTAGATTGGACAAAATCATCTTCCTTGCGCAAAGCGTCTAGCGATGATTGGTGGGATCAATGGGACGGGGTCTGGCGATTCGCACGCATCGACTCGGCAGGCCACACTCATAATCCCGGTACACCGACAAACCACAACGAGCCAGCACACTCCCGATACGGATCCTCGTCGAAAGAGCGGTCGGGCATGCCGCTCCCAGATGAGTTCACATGGCAGCGGTGTTAGCCCACGTTCACTTCGTCATCTGCAGCCTCCGGGCCAATCACGCCGCTGGCGCTGGGCCTTGGCTTCCCGCGAACGACGCGCGAACGCCTTGGTTCGTCGCTTGTTCCCGTGTGATGTGGATGACGAAGCACGGGCTGGCGACGGGTGGGTGAAGAAGCGGTCGGGAAGACCGCAGAGCCGCCATGTTCGTATGAGACGAGTTTGGCAGTATGCGACGGCGCCGTATAAGAACTTGCGGATGCCTCAGGCATGAGAAGTGTACAACTGTATCTCTTTCCTCGAGAGCACAAAGCTGGACTACCCCACAGTCTTGTTGACGCTAAGCCTTGTTTGCGGCCCGCTGTTCCTTCCCAATGATGTCTCGTCAAAGATCGCGAAGTCGCAATAGTGAGTCTCACTTCTTGCCTTGCCGCCTTATCTGACGAGGCTGTACGACCGAAGCTGACGATTTAATTCGCCCGCTAGACGACCCCACCATGGTCCCCCAACACCTTGAGGTTCTCCCATACATCTCCCCAGTTGCCGACTGGCTCAACGCACCTGCAAATCTCCACGAGCGCATAGTCCAGGTCGAATACGGCCACACCTCCCTCGCACACCTACACGTCCACAACAATCCGCCGCAATCACAACGCCAATCCTCGTCCATGACCCCTACAATCATCTACAACGCGCCCGCTTCAACCCACACCCCCTCCCTAACCTTCTCCCCGACCGCCTCAACGACCTCTGTCTTTACTCCTCTCTCATACCAGGACACATTCCCCACCTCGCACGCCCCTCTCGAAGAAACACACGGCGTCCTTACTCTCATCCCACAACACCCTTGCGTCTTCTGGTTTCTAAACTGCACCTACACATCCACCTCACGCTCGGAGTGGGCCACGCACTGCACATCGCACTTCCGCAGCGCGCCGCCGCCGTCCAGTGTCACGTGTCCGCTGTGCGCGTGGGCCACAGAGGGAGCAGAAGGCGCCTGGGCCCGCTCACTGGATCACATCGCCGACGAGCACTTTGCGCGCGGGCAGAGCTTTCGTGCATATGCAGTGCGCCCGCGGGTCGATTTGGTGCTGTATCTGTGGCGCCGTCGGGTTATTGCGGATCAGCAGCTTCAGGAGTTGAGGAGGGGAGTGGTAACAGAGCGATATGTTGTGACTGGAGGGAGGGAGGGCGAGCGTGGCGGGGGAGGACGGACGAGGAGGGAGCGTCGAGCAGTGCGAGGGTAGGGTTTTTTGCGAATGAGTTGTTCGGCCTCGACTCGTCTTTGGTTGGTTGGTTGGTTGGGGGGAAGTTCATTTCGTGCTCTTTAAGCCGGCTGGATCGGTGCTTTCCTTTCTCTTCTCTCTTATCGAAATTTGTGATACCCGGGTTTTGCAACAATACGGACAATTTATCATCATACTGCGTTCCCTCGCTGTCCTCTGCGCTGCGTTCTGCCAATACTGATGACATAGGGTGAGTGCTTAGCTGGTCATGTAGATGTTCAAACAGTGTAGCAGGTAGCATGGTTGGGTAAAAGAGAGTGCACCGAAGTTATAGTTGAGCGAGGGAGACAGCATGTGAGGAGTGAGTTGCATCTTAGTTGTGGTTTATAGATACAGTGTGGGGTGCATGAAGTCAAGTTCCGAGAAAAGTCGACTCGCTGCGTATCTCAGACACCATGGTCTGCGCTCGCCACGACGATGCCGTCCTTCCCATTTTATGCATCGTTGCAGTGGGGTGACCCATCGCTATCACTGCATGTAGTTCCTGCGCATTGCGTTTCGGTGGACCAGCCCAGAATGGGATTACACACTTCGACCGCAGAAGCGTCCTCGGAGCAGCGGTACTCCGAATCGCCGCAGATAGTGCGGGGAGCGACGGAGGTGAGCGGGGTGGCGCTGGCGAGAGCCACGAGGGCCAGGATGGAGAGAATGCTTTTGGAGAACATCTGCGGGCGGTCAGAGGGCGTGGTCAGGATGTGGTCACATCAGGGGTTTTTGTGAAGGGATGCGTGCGATGGAGTTGGAAGTCGGGACTTGTGGTATCGGGGAAATGAAGATGGACTTGATCTCGAACTTGGACTTGCAATTCACACCCCTCGGTCGCGAATTTCTATCTACTTAAACTGTTGCCGCTTCAAATGCCACGTCAGCAATGCAGCACCCGCGTCGCGCCGTGCAATCCTTACCCGGCCGCACATGCGGTTTGATGATGAGGCGATTACACCTTAGAGGCCGCTACAGCACATACTTAGGTACACACAGTGGTTGTGTGACGTCGCGGTCCTGATTTATATCTCGATCTAGCCCTCCAGCCATCTCAATTCTCTGACCGCGAGAACTTGTTACCTGTCTGGAAGTGGCGCTGTGACGAATCACCTCCCTGGTCTGTATCTGCAACAATGCGCTCGTGGTGGTCGCTCGCCGAATGGCGGCGGCCGAGATACGGGAAGTTGCCAGGGTCGACGTGAGAAGGACCCGTGGGTGCAGCAGCGGGTGCTTGCGGGGTATGGGATGTGCGCTGGGATTTGTGCTGGCGAGTGGAGCGGGTGCGTTTCTGCGACTTGACCGCTGCAACACGTTCCGTGGTAGGGCGGTGCGGGGACAGGGTTATGACATCGTCGTAAATGCCAGAGAGGCGGGGGATGAAGGTTAGCGGGCGATTGGGGTATGGGGGGCGCGTCTGCGAGAAGGAGTGTGGGTGTGGGGGGGTGGTGTTCAAGTTGACGTCAGGCACGATTTTTGGTGTGTATGTATGGGGTGCAGCATGCGGAGTGATAGCACTTTGGGTGTTGTGGTGAGGGCGAGCGTTGGATGCATGGCCAACGTCTGGGTGGCTCCGCAGGGGCGCATAGACTAGGGGTCTAGCGTGGATCTGGATCTCGCTCAAGGCCTCATATTGACCTGGGCCGACCATACCAGTGACTAGACCCCTGAGCTCGAGATTGATTGTGTCATGGTAGAAGCCAGTCCATCCTCCCCGAACATAGTGGTCCAGCACAGACCATAGGGCATCTTTGGCGGCATACTGAGCATCGGGGATAGTCAAGAAAGTACCGATTTTCTTGGAGAGAAGTTGGCCGTCGCCGATGTTCTGATGATGCCAAACATCGTACTCTTGCGGGTGTTGCATGGTGTGCATATTGAACTCTAGCTGGTATGGGGTCACGAAGTTTGAGTTGTCCATGCTTGCAGTAGTCTGAAGCGAGTTGTGTGTAAGTCTGAATATGAGACAGAATAGGGGTGCTGGTCGAGATTGTTTTGTATACCTGCGGTATCTGTTTGTGAGCCTCGTGGTGCTGTCGAGCAAGCTGCAAGCCGACATCCATCTTGGTTTTCGATTTGAACAAAGCGAGAACAAAGTAATGAAAGAAGATGGAAGAGAAGTTTGAACACTCTGGGAATGCGAAGATGTTTTGATTGGACAATCGACAAATTGACTGCTTGACGCGTCATGGGTGCATGGTAGAGGTCGCATCTGAGTGCCTGTTGTTTGTGTTCTGGTCTGCGTTATCTGACTGCTACATCTACCTGCGTTGCTGTAAACTTTGCAGTTGCAAGGATACGATTGAGAACATCTTACTAGTTCATTGTTTGTCGTTTGTCGTTGCTGGTGATTTGGAGCTCTTCAATTCCGGGCTGGTGCTTCGCCAAGCAGACTACAGTCTGCACCACCAGCCCAACATCGCCGTTGCTTTTTGATGTCAAGTAAAAGCAGTAGATAGGGGCGTATGGATGGACGTGATTCTTGTGCGGAACAGATTAGCAACATGTGACCTCTGTCACGCTCTGTCACCGCCAGTGGCTTTGGAACCAATATGACCGCTTTACATCTCAGCTCAGTCTTTGCTCACCTTCCCAATGAAGCTTACCTGAAACATAATTGTATGTTCTTGTAATCGAACTTAATGGCCATCAGGGCTACGATGGGCCTTGGTCGTCGTGCTGTGAAGAGATAGTCTGTGCAAATGGTGTGCAAATACGCCTGCAGGACATCCGGAAAGCCAGAGCAGACGATTCAATCAACGATGCAGCAGATGTGTTTCAACTATGCAAGGGAATGATCCAAATGACCTGTGACCTGGAAGTTGTGCGCCTTCGATTGTTCATAGCATGAAGGCATTTGCCCTGCCTGTTTTCGACCACTCGAGCACGGGGCTAGTCTTAGTCAAGTCGAGCATCGTGACTGATGACCGTCGAGAGCCGAATGAACGAATACGCTTCAACGCTAGAGAATAAATCCGAAGATACCTAGAGCATGGAGATCAAGGGGGGTATCAGACTGGAGGCGGGTAGAATGTGTATCGATAGTCACGGCTGAATCCGACAGGCTAACGAAGGACTGACTCGGAATAGGAAGAGAATGCGCAGGCTCAGTTTTGCAGAAAGGGAGACGCCAGAGCCTAACGAAAAAGATCGAAGTGTTTGATTGTATGGCAGAGATGAAGCGGACGCGTAATGGGCGACTCGTGGTGTACCCGAATAAGCCGAACACAAGCTTCGGGTATGAATGATTTGATGGCAAAGCCTAGGATTCTTGGTTGTAAGGCGAGAATGTGAAGAAGCAAACTCACCTGTCAATCTTTCGTTCTCATAGCTTAGGATGCGTCTAACCGGATGTACGCCACATGAATCTTTCCACATCGTGTGACAGTCGCCGCACAATGTCACACCGCAAGACGAGTGCACTTCACCGTCCTCCAACTCAAGACTATCGAGTGACCATCACCATCCACCTGGTGAAACGATGGTCTCCATCTCTCCGCTTCTCCAGGGAATAAGCACCCGGGGACGAGGTCAAAGTTCATTGAACAATCCATGATGGGGTGTCCACTCAGGCACACCTTCCTTTTCCCATCCAGAAGCCAATCCCAATGTTGCACAACCTCTGATCGCCCTATGCGGCTCCAAGAAGCAATTCGTGCCCGTCGCTAGACTTCCCTGCATCTGTCACCGCTGTGATCGCCGGCGTCTCGTTTGATCGCCGCCATCCATGTGGCAATCCTCGTATTCTCTACCAGCGTGCGCTGCTTTTCTGAAGCCGTCTCGGCCGATGCTCGAGCAGCGCGATGGACTTGAGCGTGCCCCCAGACGCTGGCTGTGTGGAAGGCTGTTAGCTGACCAATCAGCACAAAGCAAGAAGGGTTCACTGTTAGTTTGAGTTGCTGCGCTACACAATTCTCCTCTTAGCAGACTCCGCTGTTCAAAGTTGAGCACACGATGGATGTGGGGTAAAGATACGAGGTCGCGACGATGGATGACGATAGTTCGCGTGGCCGTTTCGTCTTTCGACATCTGCATGGCCACGAGTCGCGAGCACGTGTGACTGCAGATCGGCAACTGTTATCGTTAAGGTGCTGGATTGACTTGTAGCTCTTGCCGCCACGAGGCTGGCGAGGGCCAGTCGATGGCCCGTGTGTGTGAAAATAGCGACGTTTTGCGTGCTTCGAGTGAACGGCTGCACAGTACGGCACGCACCGGCGAAGTCTGAGTCGTGTTGAAAGCTTATGAACTGTCAAGCGATGGTTTGACGCAAATAGTGCAGTATAAAGTGCCAGTAGTGCATATCTAACACTCGTCTGCAGTCCCAATACAGACAATGAATGCAGGATTGACTTTTTCGATGTGTATTTTGTCACTACTGATGAGTTTGTTGGTATCGCGAGACCGCGCAAAAGCGGCATCAGGTATGACTGTGAGAAACCACCACAGCTCCGATCACATGTCGTGACCCCTGAACGGGCTTTCCGTGCCTAATTTCTCTATTGCTAGGAATTGTCTCGACTTCTGCATGAATGGTAGTCGATTGGGCCGGGCATGCTCCGTGCAGTGCATATGTGGTTCCCGAAATTGCGGCGTCGATGGCGCTGTCAAGTCTAAGCGAGATAGCTGTATGAAGGCGTCAGTGGCATATTTGCTTTTCCCGCTGCCGGTTATCGAGTCTGCAGTCCGGATCTTGCCAGATCGTCCTCGGTCGGACTTTCTGTTCTTGGGGTAACCGATTGCGACTCATGAGAGGCACAGGCTTCGCAGACTGCGACGTAATGAAGCGCCGGACTGACAATCATTCCATACGAAAATCTCAACTCAACCAATTGGCAGCGTGCATGGCAGGAATCTGGTAGCTTTCATGGCCAATTTCGAGTACCGTCTTAACACCGTCAGCGGGCACTGGACCCTTCGAGCTCCAATCATGTCGGCTCCACTCGGAACCATGTCCGGGTGGCATGGATTTGCATCCTGCGTTGTCAATCACTGCTCGATGACATTTCCCAAAGCCATGTCTGACTTGTGGCTGTCTGAAACAACGTCATTCTTCGTCGATTGCAACAACATCGACTTGCGATCCCGCGTCGCCACTCATCACGCAGCCAAGCTTTGTCTCCCCGTACTTGCCAACGTTGAGCCAGATGCAACGGCTCTGTCGAGTCTTCATTTCGGTTGACATCCACCAGATTGGCAGTCCGGCAGGCGCCACGCTTCACCATGAGCCTAGGAAGATTTGTGTTTCGCCGCTAGAGCCTGCCCCGATACGTGCTAGCTGGAAGATCGACATGGCCCTTGCCCAGATTGCCGAGGCTCATGCATGCACGCGCGACGCGGCTTCATCGACAGTTTGCGCTCTAGAGACAAATGAAGTCCGTGGGCGCGTTGAGCTGGCCAACTTCGCTTGAGGCTGCTGCGGGGCACGCCTGTTGCTCGGCGACCTCGAGGGACCCATGTGCAACCACGGGGCGTTGCCTGCCATGCATCGTAACGCGATTGGGGAACCGGCCAGCGGATGCAGGTGCAGCTGCTCTGCGCTTGCCAGAGCGCCGCCTTTGTCATGTCTATCAAGGCCAGGCACGGTGGTCTTGCTGTGGTTACCCCAATGTACTTAAGTCTAGCTCGAGCCACGTCTGTACCTCCGCCTCAGCTGTCCAGTCCCCTACTCTTCATCGGGAACGTCTGTGCGTTCCCTTCACTCTCATAGGAGACTCGCCCGTACCACCCTAAGTAGTTTGCACCGGCCTTCCCGCCAGCGTGGCTTGCACTCAGCCCGATCATCTCGCCCAGGCTACTGGAATTTCGTTCAGCATCGACCATTCTCACGGACCGCACTGTGTTCTTAAACAAGAGTCGTCCCTGCCGTAACTCGAGGTCCCACGCGACTAAGCTGTGTCCTACCTAATTATCAGGCCACTCCACTCCACACCCAACGCCATGGTCTACAACCTCGCGTACCGTCGCCCTCAGAGGCAGGCCCGGTCATCCACTGAGTCGGTGACCGGCGAACACAAGCAGCTGTCCATTCACGAGTCCATTCGCTCTGGCAGTAGTGGCATGTCTCATGGCATTCCTGAGGCTCTGTCTTTTGACCGCATCATCGCTGGTGGAGTTTGCCCTGTAAGTCTTCCACATCACGTGTCAGCCCTTCCCGCGGTTTGGCGCGCGCAAAGTTTGACCGTTATGGTACTGACTCTGTCAAGCCCTGCACAGTCCGTGACTTCATGAACTTCTTGAAGTATATTGAGCTTTCGGCCGAGAACCTGCAATTCTTCCTCTGGTATCGCGACTACAGCAAGCGCTTCAAGGAGCTGCCTGAGAGCGAGAAGGTCCTGTCACCTGAGTGGAGAGGTAGCAGCCACGGCAACGCCGAGCCGCCCAAGCTTCCTACCGCAAAGGCGCACCCAGAGGCATCAGCCATTTTGGATGGCACCGACTTTGTCAGCGAGAAGACTGTCAAGTACAGTGATAGGAGCACCAGCAACAACCCCTTCTTCACACCACCGCACACGCCCACAAGTGATCAGCCTCGCCGTGATGAGTCGCTCGATTCGTATGATGAGAGCATGACTACTGGCAAGGTGAACCATTCTGAGCGTGCTGCAGGTGCGTTTGAGAGTGTGGGGCTCAAATGGAAGCCTTGTGAGTGTGACTGATTTTCTTTAGTAGGATTACGATACTCATACACAACAGTAACCGTCCAACCTTATCGCGAGGAGGTCAACCGCATCATCTCGATCTATATCGCAGATGGCGGATCTCGTCAGCTCAATCTTTCGTCCAAGGAGCGCTCTGCGTTGTTGCACGCCCTGCAGAACACCACTCACCCGTCTGCATTCAAAGACGTCATCACCACCGTCGAATGGTCGCTGCGCTGCCAGGCCCACCCCAACTTCATTCGCTGGACAATCTGCAACGGTAACCGCCCACGTGTCGTGTTTGCCCGCGGGCTTGGAATCGGTGGCATCGTCGCTGGTCTCATTGTCGCGATTGTTCTCACCCTGAGCAGCGCCGGTCGCGCTTGGAGGGCCATATCCCTCATTGGCTTCGTCATCGGAATCTCAACGCTCATCGCTGCGTGGAAGGGTATGTGCGTTGTCCTTCACGGCATGCATCATCGCCACCTGCGACCGTGGGAGCTGTTCAGCTCCGACGACGAGCCGCAAGGCTACGATGCGAAGGTCGATTCCGCTGACTCGCTTGGCTCGCATGTGTCCAGCAACTCGTGGGAAGACGAGCCGTGGGTGGCCAGGTACGAGAAGCGCAACGTTCTCCGCAAGATCTTCGACCGCGAGGTCTGGATCCAGGAGCCAGCTCTCCGCCAAATCCAGGACACCATCTTCATCCAAGCTATTCTCGGCTCGCTCATCATCGGTGGCGTTGCTGTGGGCATCTTTTGCGCCCTCCCCGCTGGAAACTTCTTCTAAGCGCCATCGATGTCTCAACGCCATTTATCTTCTCAACGCCATCTTATCGTCCTTGCGACGCCGTGCCATATCGGCCGTTTCCTACCTCTAGTGCGATATACCCTGATACTTTTGCACAGTTCGTCCGATGTGTAAGAGGTAATAATACCTGGATGAGAAATCTTACGATAGCCTAGGTGGATCGTGTACATGAGGTGAACATACGGTGCACATTACGTAGCTGAGTTGTTCGTTACGCTCACGCAAGGCATCCCGTTTTCATGATTTGAAATCAAATTCATACATCTGCTCTCAGTCAAATCGTACCGTGACCACTCGTCCCGCGATGTCTCCAGAATCGGCTATAAGTCACTATTTGATGACGAGTGAAATAAAATGGTCCGTGGAGGCTACGCGGAATTCACAAGTATTGGTTCGCCGCTAAATATGAAGGCAGGCAGGCAGCTCGCTCTGCAGCTCAACGGACCTTCGGCGCTCAACAGCATGCGAAGCGTCCAGCGCAGCCGTGAAATCCGCCTTGTCACCTCAACGTGGAGGTCGCGGCGATGCCATAAGCAGGCAAGGACTTGCCCATGTGGATTGACCGGCAATGCGGCTCTGTGGCGAGCCTTCGCGTGATGCACTGATGTGGTGGCTGTGCAACGCACAGATGGGGTTCTTGACCGTCTTTTTGCGGCAGCGGCCGGCGTACCAAACACCAGCAACATCTGTGCAATTCATCGAGGAGCATTGCCTGAAACCGGGAGAGGTCTGTGAAGGTCTCAGATGAGAGGTGCAGCTGTTAAGCTTAACGCTGGTGTAATGTGAGGTAGCAAAGGTGGCGCCAGCATGATCAGTGCGACCATGCAGGGCGCTGGTGCTGGTGATGACAGTACATATCACGCAGACCAGCAGGACCACCTGGAGAGGTTCTGTGGCGAGACATGCTACAATATGAAGCACACTGTGACTCAACGCAGGCAAAGAGCGCAAAGGTGCCCCAAAATTCGCACGTCTCTCTTCTAACGAGCCTCGCGAACTGGCGGTGGAAGGCATCCAGGAACACGGGCTAGAAGCGCGCTAAGCTCGGGTGTCCAGCGCGCCTTGCCGATTCGTACTTCGCGTGTTCGGCAGGCGGGTCTGGCGGGATGCGTCACTGAGCAGACGGGCGATTCAACGTTCGAACAATTGCCCCCGCTATGTAGTCCTATGCCTCCTGCATGTCCTAGAATATTCTCTACAATACAGACTATACTGCACCTGCTCGCTGCCCGCTGCTCGCCCTCCTGCTCACACGCTCACCGTACATATGCGCCCAGAGAAGGCTTATTACATCGTCTGACCTAGCATCCTCTTACATGTCTTACACCGACCACGACCGCTACTACCGCCGCCATGAAACGCACTCTTCAAGACCTCGCGACGTAGACCCATACTCCACACGCCATGCACCGCCTGCCGCTCCGCGCGAGAAGCCAGCTATGCGGGGCAGCATGAACAGCTACGCTCCCTCGTCCTACTACGACTCGTACGACGCCCGCGACTCTCGACGAGCACCTGCACTCCCTCGACGCCACGTCAGTACACGCAAAGCCACCTGGCCGCCATCGCCAGCCGTCGAGGACGAAAACGATGCTGTGAGGAAAGAGGTGTCCTCGGTGGTGGGGTCGGAGGAGGGCGAGCCGCCGATCAACACACGGGGCACCGTCGATCAAGACCATCTGCTTGACGAGATCGAACAGCCAAGACTGCCCGAGAATGACGACCGAAGGTTCGTCTTCGTTCCTGGCGTTGACAACGATGGCCTCAGTGCAGAATCCAGTGCTGGTGGAGCGCGCAGGAAGAGCTTCGCAGAGCGGGGGAACATGCCGCATCTAAACACCCATGTCGAAAGCGACCCAATCTTGTACACTTCACGTGTCTCGACGCCCTACTCGTACACGCCGCAGAAGGAATCGAACGCGCCCGCGGCTGCATTCGTGCTCTCGCCCGAGCCTATCACGCCCGCCAATCCTAGCAACCCTAGGACGGCTGCCAATCGAGATGGGTGGGATGCACGGAGGGATCAGAACGCCAGGCCACCGAGGTCGATACCAGCACATACACGACAGGATCCATACGCCCGGTCTCCACCCCAGGTAGCGAAGGACGACGTCTTCGACGATGACACAGCTTCAGAAGGAGAAAACACAGCCCATTTACGGATCAACGAGCGAAAGCCCGCGCGCTACAGCTTCGTGAAGAGCGAGGCTCAGAAGGAAGATCTGAGAGCGAATCTGCGAGAGAGTCAGGAGCCACCAAGGCGCGATTCTTCACAGCGACCACCGACTGCACGCACAGGCTATGAGAATACCGCAAGCTCATCCAAAGAAAGCTCTTACCAGTCTCCACGCTCTTCATCGTCATCGATCAACAGCGAGAAAAGGAGATCAAGACCTACTCCAGTGGATACCCTATACGCAAATAGTCCTCGACCATCGAGTCGGCCAAGCTCGCCACAGTACCGCGCACCATCACCAAAACTCCCAATGCGACTGCGCGAATCACCCCCCGGCTCTCGGCCCTCGTCTCGAGGCAATGCGGCTCGACCGTCTTCTCCCCTCGCATGGTCATCTACGATTTACCCTCCATCCCCACGGCAGGCACCGATATCTGAGGCAGATTTTCATTCCACATACCCGCCTGTGACTGCCAACGACCGGCCGAGACCATCTTCACGTTTTGGCAGGCATGAGACGATACAGATCCCTCCTCCTCGGGTAGACGTTCAAAGTCCCTCGCCGGTCAGGCCGTCGCCGGTCAGGCCGAACAATCCTCTGCCATATCCGGTAGAGGACTATCACGCTGACGTCTGGATGCCACCAGAAGAGCATTATCAGTTCGACCACTCCACTGTGCCTCCTCCGCGACAGCTTATCGCAGATGCACCGAGAGTTGCCTCACCCTCGATTTCCAATTCACCACGACAAGGTGATGCTTTTCGAGAGCGCTCTGCTAGACCCCGAACGCCACGGTCTGAAGAGGCGCCCCGCCAAAGGCGAAGCAGATCGAACAGTGCCGACTCAAAGCACAGCAGAACAGTTAAACTTCTCGACAGACCGTTGCCAGCCTGCCCGCGAAAAAAACCGACCGATCGCTACGACGATTGGTACTCGCTCTCCGGCTACCACAATTTTGACGTATGTCCTAGCTGCTACGATGGCATCTTCGCAGATACACCTTTTGCCGCTCACTTTTCGCAAACCCGTCGCCGTGAACGCCCCACCGAGCGATTCTGCGACTTCAGTAGCCCTTGGATGCGTCTCGCGTGGCTCATGACCATCAAACAGCGCCGTTCTGGACTGGACCTACTGTACGCGCTGGCAGACGTGAGCGATGCCGAACGTCCATGTCCTGAGGAGCGCGAACTCAGCACCGACCGAATGAACTGGTACGGAATACCCGATCCGCGCGACGGCCTGCACGTTGCCAACTTCGCTATCTGCTCCGCGGACGTCAAGATGCTGGAGATCCTCTTCCCCAGCGTGAAAGGCTACTTCACGAGACTACCACCCACCTCCGCATACACTCCCGAAAAGCACACTTGTAGCCTGCGCACTGGCTCGCGCCGCTTCCCACAATATCTCGATCTCCTCGTCGAGCTCGATGCCGAAGCCGACTCCAGTGGCCAGCGCCCTAACATGTCCAAATTCACCAAAATGGCGCGTGACAACGCCTTCAAACGCGAATGCACCCGCGACAAAGCCTTCGTGCGCAAGCCCTGGCACTTCATCCCCTCGCTCCCCGAATTCACCGTGTGCGAGGAGTGCTTCGATGCAGTCATCTGGCCGCGCGTGCAGAACAGCGCACTTGCGCGCCTCGTCAACAAAACCATCCAGCTCGTGCCCAACGAGGACCTCGAGCTGGGAAGCAGTTGCTGTCTGTACAGCACGCGCATGCGCCGCGTCTGGGACGTGTGCGCCGACGAAGACGACTTGACGTATCTCGAGCGCAAGGTCCGAGAGCGCAGGCGCAAGGAAGTGGTGTTTGCCAAGGAGCGCAGGGGCGTGCTGCAGTGGCTTGTGGGGCTTGAGAAGGGGAGTCGCACGTGGGAGCGGGCGCGGGAGGAGCTCCGCGTGCTGGAAAGGGAGTGGGCGAATTGTGAATAGTGGGCGAACATTACCATGGAGATGAATCGAGTCAATGTCTGTTTGCAGCCGAATCTGTTGTATCGGTGTTTTTCGAGAGCGTGTGGCTTCGCTGAACCATGGGACAGTGATTTGGTGAAGGCCTCTGACTGGCTGTGATAGTCTGGTTTGACGTCCTGCAGGGTCACAATGTTAACGTGGGAGCTAATGAAGTGCAGAGAAGCTTCTTTGTTGGTACCATGGTATGCACCTGCATTAGGGAATCCGTCCCACGGTTTAAGATCTGCACAAGTCGCCGACTATTAGATCAAACTCCAACTTCTGTGGCGACTCGTCTCACGTGATCAAATGAAGTGTGCAAGAGAGAGATCTAGGCTGTGTGTTTGGCATGGTGGACTGGGTGTAGGTTGGACGTGCGACCAGAAGGACTGAGTAGATTGTCGCAACCCCGACGAAAAGTGCAGGACGCGAGGTCAGATGCAGCACAGAATGTCGCGGTGTAGCAATCGAATCACCATTGCTCCTACTCTGGTAGGTACGAGTTTATACCTACCGTACAGTACATGTACCTTCAAGGTTCTCAAATTGTAGCAATTCCACTTCGCGTGCGCACCTTCCCTACACATACAATCCTCGATCATTCGCCTCGTTCTCTCAGTGCGCCGCAGCACCTCAATTTCTTACCTCGTGCGCCGCCTCGAGCGCTGACATGTCTGTCGTCAGCCAGGCGATGGTTTGCACGAAGCTGGGGATGGTTGGGTGAACATGGCGCATCCTCATGCAGGTCAGCGCGAATCAAGCGAGGAGCATTTGGCCCCCAACTATCCAGTCAGCCAACTATTTAGGCAGTGGCATCCTCCACGAGCGTTCACCTGAGTCCAGGATCGCCATCACGCAAGGCTGATGAGATGTCGCAAGGCCATGGCGACGGCCAATCTCTGCGAAACCAGGCTGTAGTGTTATGGCATTCTGAGGGTGCGCGGGACCCGGCAAATGTACCAGCCTCGCTGTACCATACAGAACGTGTTACTCATTCATTTAGGAATTATGCCGCACCTGTGTGTCTCTCGAAGTCAGTGTCGATAAGTTCAGGGTGAAATCGCAACCACATTCGAATTCGCAGCACAGTCCTGCAAGCTTCAGTTTGGTATCTTCGACAGACTCAAAAAGCCTTGGTACGTTGACAGAGATTTACGAAAGAGCTTCAGAAGGCTGTAGCCTATGCGTGTTGATTGTCAAGTCTGCCCATGCCCGTCACGAATATTTCGACCCGAGGGGTGAAGACTTCGCGGCCGTGCAGCATGCTACATGTCGCGTCAGCTGGGAAGTAGATGGACGTAAAGCAGTAAGGGACCGAGCAAGAAAGGGTGACCGAAAGCAATCAGACACTGCCCGTGGCCTCACCAGGAGAATGCACTTGAGGTGGGATCACGGTAGCATCAAGGACGCCTACGTGGTCCTCATTGTCCAGGATAAGTTTCTGACCACCGCATCAGATGCGCATCGCATTTGGGGCCCCGAATCGTTATTCCTTGGGCGACGCATCGAGACCACTGGCAACATTCAAACGCGCCTAATCAGTTGGTATGATCTCTGTAGGCAACATCACTCAGGACAGTGTATTGGAGGAAGTACGCAGACGTCTGCCAAGTTCGATGAACTCTTGTCGCACTCCTATTTTGGGGTCGTCGACGTGCTCAATATGCAATTGACCGAGTTGCCCCGCATGTCTCCATCAGGCGACACTCGATACGCGGCATTAAGTTATGTATGGGGTACAAAGCGCACTTTCACAACGACACTTGAGAACATCAATCTTTTGAGGATGCATGGAGGCATAGAGAAAGTACAGCAAGAACTTCCTCCAGTCATTCGGGATGCCATTGACCTTGTGCGTCGCCTGGGTTTGCGATACATCTGGATCGATGCACTCTGCATCACGCAAGATAGCCCGCAATCCTGGAAGCTCAATGCGTACAACATGGATGCCATCTATGGTAATGCCGACTTGACAATATGCGCTGCGGATGGGGATGATGCTTTCACGGGTCTGAAAGCAATGAGACCCTCAATCGGGACACAGCATCAGGCTGTGACAGATTGTGGCGGAGGTGTTCAGCTTATGCTCAGTCGACCGCCGGAGATATCCATAAAGTCGTCGAAGTGGAATACTCGAGCCTGGACATTCCAGGAACGCCTACTTTCACGCCGATGTTTAATCTTCGTTGAAGGCAGAGTCTACTTTCAATGTCCATCCACTGGCGTTTCGGAAGACATATATGCAGACAGAGAAGGCGCAGGTTGGTCCCTGGACTTCGTTGACGCCCCCTTACAAATGTTCAAGCGGCTGTCACAACGATCCTTCTGGGTCTATATGAGTGTGGTCGAACTCTACAGCGCCCGGGATTTGACTCATCCAAAGGACGTACTTGCAGCATTCAGCGGGATCACGAATCGCCTGGAAAACCAGATGTCAGCACCCTTTGTCCTAGGGCTGCCGAGCTCCCACTTTGATCTTGCACTTCTATGGCAGTTCACTGGCCTAGCTCAACGGCGCACACCCCGTGATGAGCGCGAAAAAGAAGGCTATGCAGGCTTAAAGTTTCCCAGTTGGAGCTGGATGGGATGGATGGGCGCTCCAACGACGTACGAACGGTCATTTATGGGTGACTGCCTTGAAAATCCAAGTGATTGGCTGAGATCGCATACTTGGATACGCTGGTTCGTCAGAGATGGAAAAGGTGACCTACGACCACTACATTCTGATTTCCACTGGAGTCAAGACCGAAGCGAAGAGTCGAAATGGCGAGGATACAGTCATGCCCGTCTCAGTGGGGAGAAGATCTGGACACATTATAATGAGCGTGACTTGGAGGAAGTCATTTACGTCGAGCGCTATCCAAGAGTTGCAAACGACAGGGTATATGCCGACAATTCGAGACACGATCATAGGCTTGATGTCATTGTAGATGCCTCTTCAGGGGCATCAGAGCAGTACGTCTATCAGAGTCGGAGGCGTAGACGCGCACGAGATTCCAAGTGAGTGAACGCATACCCTTTCAACGGCAACGAAGCTGAAATGATATCAAGACATACATCATCTAGATCACCTAGCTTAAAGAACAATCTCAACTCTCGGAGACCTCCGTACGACCACATGAGGGTACTCTCGGACCTGTCTGCAATGTGCAGACTTCTCATATACCCGATTATAATATTCTTGGAACATCTCAAATTTGACGGCTTGTCTAGCTTCCTATTCCAACTGAGTTTATTTCATACTCGCTTTGCAACCAGAGAGCGATCGCGTAGAGCGAGATACGCAACAACCATCGATGAATCCGATACATCCTCCCAGAGCACTGTCTATTCGATGTCCGAACATAGGAGACAACCGGCGATTCACGAATCACGCCGACGCTACGAACACTTCCGCTACGTCGAGCCAGTAGCAGAGTCTAGCGACCCCACTTCTGAAGGCAATGAAGTCAGAGAGAGGACCAGGCGCAGGAGCTATAAGCGCCCTCCCCGTCGGAGCTCCGAGCACCATCAAAAAGCGGTGGGCCGAATATCACTGTCTTTTGATCGGATATTCGGTTCCTCGCAAGAGACGCAACCAGTCGAGACCGAGGCAAACCCAAGGTTTTCGATTTACTCGAAGGAGTGTCCGTATCGACCGGTTGTCGCCGAGTACACCAGAAATCTCGACAGCCCCGAGTTCCCGCTGATGCCGATTCTGCAGTTCTGGACCTACTACACGTGGCTCAACATCTCCATGCCAGCAACTCCCGAAGCTGACATCAACCCCGAGACTGTGCGATGCCACATTGCAGACGACAGCGGAGACTGGTGCGGTTCCATCGTGCTCGACAGGCCGTGGGTCGAGTCCAAGACTTTTGCAAGCAGGGAGTTCATTGCCATTTCTGAAGCGAAGCAATTCAACATGGAAGAATGTCCAGTCTGGACTTACTATATCCCCAAGGAGCGAGATCAGTCTGAGTGGGATCTGTTCTACGTATTGCTTATTGAGAGAAAGGATGAGCAGTGGGAGCGTGTAGGCTTGGGCAAGGTGTTCAAGGAGGCGTTCATGCGGACCGCGAAGTGGAGGGAGATCATGCTAGGCTGATGTATCGAATTAGCAAATTTCATAGGCGTGGGGAGTCACATCAAGGTGAGTTTTTCTCGTTATTAGAATTGATCACGTCCACGTGTAGGTAGCAAACGTCCACGTGTGCGCCAGTAACACGGAACTTGTATGAATGTATTCACCGTGAGCTATTTACGCTTATCATTGAGGCATGCAGTCCCTTCGCATAGTGTCATCATTGAACATACTCGCCGCAGTGTCATGCAGAACGTTCATGCAGAATGGTCATGTGAATATCACTTCCAGTATACCTTGCTTCGAAGACTTGGTAGACCCCATATTCAGTACATGCCTGCGCTATGCAACGCTCAAGAGGCGCCTGTCGCTGTTCACCTGGTATACGCCACCTCATTTTTTCTTGGTGATCTTGGGAACTCGAGGACGGTCGGGGTCGTTCGCGTTGTGGGGGACGGCGAATGGCAGACGGCCTCCTTCGATCTCTTCAAACGGCAGTGATCCAAAGCGGACGCCACCAGGGAAGGCGGGACGGAGAGCCGATGGCGTGGAAGATGCATTCGACCTGCTGCTCGAATCTTCTGATCATATGAGTTCAGTGCAGGCCAGTAGTCAAAGAATGGACCGAACTTACGCGGAGTAGTCGTTGTCGCGTGAGAAGTTGACTCTGAGGCTCCCTCGCTCGCAGATTCATGACCTATGCCAGCTCCAGCGCCGGCATCGGTACTAGCTCCAGTGCCAGCATCAGTACCAGCTCCAGCGCCAGTATCGGTACCAGCTCCAGCGCCAGTATCGGTACCAGCTCCAGCGCCAGTATCGGTACCAGCTCCAGCGCCAGTATCGGTACCAGCCCTAGCATTCTCGGACCCCAGTTTGGGTGCTGCTTTTGGGGGCGCTTGTCCATCCATGAGGGTGTGGATGAACACGTTTGGATTGAAGGGAGTGGTTGTGACGCGCGGAAGTGGGTTGTAGGAAGATGACGGTAGATGTATGAAAGTTTTTGAGCAGTTTGCGTGGGTACGAAGTGAAAGAAGCGATCTGCAAATACCACCGACAAAATCCATAAACAATGTGAAGGTGAATTATTGCAAACGCACGCGCAAAGTATTGTAACATTGCGCGCCGACGCCGTTAGTATGGAACAAGAGGAAGTGAATTGCGAGTGAAGTGGCAAGGGAATAGATTGTATTCAGCTGGAAAGCATCGGTCATCTCGACAATCACGCGGGCCCGTCACCGTATTAGTAAAAATATCCGTGAAGGAAGCGTCGAGAGTCACATCAAAAGTAGTTTTACTCGTAATTAGAATCGATTCATCGAAAAGCTGGGGTATCTATGCGCCACTCGTGATCAAGAATGCTTGCACTCCTCATCGGGTATCCGGCGCATCTCCATATCGTACAAAAGAAAACTCCAGTATGCTCATGCATTACAGCGCCTCTCCAATAGCAGTCGTGATGTTGGCGTGGTTTGCTTCGCTAGTAGCTCCGCTTCCTCAGACGCCCAACTCCCGCCTCACTTTCCTGGCTGACACAACGTGTCAGTGCAGAAACAAGACGGGAAGCCGTTTAGACTCTACTCGTGTGGTGCGAAGTACGAGCGCGTCTACCACCGCCGCGGCCGCAAGTCAGGCAGGAGATGATGATGCCGAACAGGGAGACAATGGCGTTGATGATGGCCTTCAATCCGGCGGCAATGGCGTTAACAATGGCCATGATGCAGTTGCCGATCGTGCGGAAGATGGACTTGATCTGGATGCTGTTAGTGAACGCACATGGGAGAAGCTGCCTGGCGTAAACTTACGCAAGAGACTACGGCACCCATGTTTGCGGTTGTGTGATGTTTGATTGATAAGTGTGGTGATGGTGATGGTGGACTTCGTGATCTGGTGTGCGGGAGAGTGTTGTAGTAGTAGTGGTTTGGGTTTTGCTGTGGAATGAAAGCATAAACAAACGCGACTCCCCTCCCTTATAACAGGTCAGACCTTCCGTTTGGCGTTGACGTCACACCCCTGCTCACCTTACCTCACCGCACGCGCTGTACATGCCAATTTCCCACAATCTCAATCATGCAGCGTGACCGCAAACAGCACATGCCCATCATGCTTACCAGAGAAACCTGCTCCTCGAACTGACGTTACGGGTCCTCCCAAAACGGCAGCGATGAGCGAAAAAACATCTCTTTACAGTGCAGCAAGCAGGGTTGGCCCGCGTTTAGAAATCAAACGCCACATGCTTATTGTCTGTTATGCCGTCATAGGTAGCGTGAGATTGCTCAATGCAGCATCGATCTGCAGCTGCTGTGGCTGGAACCAGCCGCCAGACTGCCTTTATCGCATCAACGCCAACCTCTTGCAAGTCTGCCGAAGGGATCTTCTGCCGAGATTGACGAAAGATGTAATGATAGCCAGCCGTTGCGCGTCGTCAGCGTTATCCTACCAACCAACGGTGCATCCACACCACCTGTACAGCACCCTGCCTAGCTTGTTCTCCGCAATCGAGCTTTTACATGACCCGCACGCGATGCAAATTCTGTGCTCGTTTTGTATCCCGTATGTCCTAAAGCGGATCCTCTCTCTGACGTAGTAATAGTTCCACCCAGATGTTTTTCCGATCCAGTAAGTCGGTTCAGCCTCTTGATGACGCCACTGAACAGGGGTGCAAAATCAGGGTTGGCGCAAAACAAGGCGGCATTCTCGTGCAATCTCACTGCGCTGGTCATGACGCATAATCTGCCAGAGCTTTCTCGTTCTTTGATGAGTGCGAGATGAAAATCCCTTGCCGTGCCAAGTCCATTGTGATGAACGTTTCAGCATTTAGCCCCAGCATTGTTCCAGGCCTTGCTGTGGCTACTGCGAGCTAGAAAGGCTGCCGTGGGAGCTTGCGGCGCGCCGTTCATGTAAAGAATGGGTCACAGGACGCCCGCTATTGACGCCTATCCTGGTCTAAAGTTTGGCGCAAACGCAGTCTGAACTTCAATACATTGTGAACAGCAAAGTGAACTGTATTTCTGGCGTATTACATCTACATTTCTAGCAACAGGCTAAGCGGCGCTGTCCACTGGCCAACATATGTCCCAGACACTGTATATTCTCCGCAGCCTCGGTAGTGTCTCAAGCTCCTTCTGACTTGACGATACGATAACGGAGATCCTTGTCTATGAGGTTGGTGCTCACTCCACGTAGACGACGCCATGATATACCCTCACTCAGCGATGGTTTATGCCAGCAAAGTTGTAGTATACGACACCCAACAGGTGCGTGACAGGGATCGTGCCCCGGTCTATATGCGATCGATGCGGCACCAAAAGTTCAGAAGTCTCTACAGCGAACCGACTTCGGCAACCCCTTTGTGCATGTTGTCTCAGCATCTCTTTCAGCCAACTAGAGCCGGTGCCGCAAACGTGCCCTTTGCTCTGACACATAGATCCCCGTTGACACTCTCCAGTGTCCCAATGATCTCAATCAGCTGTCCAGGTTCGGACCTCTTGGTCATATCTTTCTGGGGTGGAAGCCAGGACAACCATGTCTTTGTGGGCTCGGCCTCGGGTTCAGGAACAGGTTCGGTCTGGGGTAGACTCGGTTTGGCAAACGATGCGCGCAGAATGTAAAAGTCTAAACTGTACGTAGGTTTCGCGTAGGTCACTTTGAGCGACGTCGGGCGGTGGACCTGCTCTGTGTTTGAATTAGCAAAGTGCACAGCGCATATCTGCGACTTGTCCATTTACCAATGGTCCCACTTGGTCCTCGGACCATCCTCGCCATAGCCTCATCGAAGACAGTGGCAATTACACCGCCATGCGTAACTCGAGGCCATCCTGATAGCCCTCCGCCTAACCAGATCACCGCTACCATTTCTCTTGTCTCTGCATTCCAGAATGCCCTTTGTACTCCAAGTCCTCTTGTTCCACTCATGACGCCTAGTAAACCACCATTTTCCACTTCACTTTTGCCCAGATCTACCTCCAGCCATGCCTTTGGCTCCTCTATTCCTGCTGCACTCGACAATGGTATGTCTGAATGTACGCTATAGCTCTGCTTCCTCAGCACCTTCACTATGTCCAGCCTGTCGATGTCGGCACCCAGTGACTCTAGTATACGCGCGTCGTCCTCGGATCCAGGCTCAGGTAGGCCAAGTGGTGCCGCAAAGTGTCGAGCACCTAAGCCTGTACTTATCCCAAGAACGAGGATAGTGCCATACCACAGGTAAGACCAGCGGATCTTCGACTGCAAAGGGAATTCAAGGGGCGCAAGTGGAGCGCGGGAACGCGGACAGCATCGGGTAGCTACATTAAAGGGTGTTCGATGCAAAAATTGGCGCGCGCGAAACATTATGTACAGATACGTGGTTCTGAAAGATTCGCAAAGTGAATGTTATGGTGCAGAGCGTCGAAAACCGCCGAGGCTCAGAGGTTTAGTGGCTTGGCAGGATCGAACATTTACTAAACCCCGATCCTATTTCCAGAATCCTGGCGCTCGAAACAACACTTACTTGACCAGTAGACCAATAACTGCTTCCGAAAACTAGTCCTTGGATTCCTTCGATGTCTTATCATCCTTTGAGCGATTCTCAATGTGACCGACACTCAGCTCCTCGAGGCTCACATCATGGAACATACGAACCTGCTTGCCATCAGCCCAGACCCAAGGATTCATAGGGCGACATTTGGATGGCCTGAACTCACATTGATACCCAGCAAATCCAACCCTCCGCCTTCACCAAACTCCTTCATCCTAGGATCGAAGAATACACTACTTCCACACTGTCCGCAAAACTTGTGCAAATTCTTCTTTGGCCCGAACGCGTAACTCTTCAGGACATCCTCGCCGCTGGTTATGTGTAGCTGCTCTCGGGACGGATACACGAGGTAATAGCCGTTACGTTGGCAGATGGAGCAGTTGCAGGACACAACTTTCCACTCCGACAGAGGTGGGGAGAGGTCAACTGTGTAAGACACGATGCCGCAGTGGCAGCTGGCCGCATATGTTTGAACGTTTGTGGGATTGAATGTAGGTAATGGTGGAGGAGCCGTGGCCTGGTTATCGTCGTTTTGGCTCATGATGTCAGGTGCTGTCACATACAGAACTAGTACCGCACTGCTTGCAGCATTTGTTGTCGTTCTTGAAGAGGTGTTCCTGTAGTGTGGTTTATCGTAGCTCGTTCATGACGCGTCAGGCCTCCACGAAGAAGATTCGGGAATAACCGCAGGAATGGTCGGAGACATATGATATGTCTCCGCGATTACGAAGTACTAAGTACAAAGTTTCCGGAACCAAAGCTAACGCCGCTTGACCTTTGCAGACCTTTGGATGCTTTTCATGATTCCGTGCCATTGACTTCACAGTCTGATATACGATCCGATTACAAAGGTTTCCACTAAAGATCAAGCCTGTCACGATAGTACATGGCTCATTGCACGGCCCTCAAACCACTATCATGATTCGCATCGCTAGATCTTACCCCTGATTCACCACATTGAATCTGTTTGCTGTACCAGAAAATCCCAGAAAATCCGTTTCCGCAAGTCTGGCAGACTCCCGGCTGACTCCGCGATCCCGCGCCAGGTCCCGCACTACGCGCTCGCAATCTTGTCACACAGTGTGCTAAATCTCGTGTGCCATTGCACTACCACCCCTCACTGAACGTTGTCGACCGTACCACACACCATCAACTCATGCACAGCCCGCTGGATACAGTGCAGGATGCCACCCGATCTTGCGCCCTGAATACACAAGAGGGTCCTTGTGTCACGATACTCCCATGCAAGCCACTGTGTGGAACGTTGAAAGCCGAGCGCTCCGATTGGTGGTGAAGATCGAGGTAATATCTCGCACTTGGATCAGGGGGTGGGCTGTGAGGTACCTAGTGTGGAGGCGATGGTACGAAGATGTGCGTTGGCGGCAGTCGTAGTTGTGAAAGGAAAGAGGGCCGCAGACCCGGAGCCGTGGTACTGCTGTTGCGAGGAGACTGAGCTGCGAGGACAGTAGTGGAATGCAGGGAGGTATTTTTCGGGATGTGGATTTTCTCTTTTGAGTCAATCTGACACGAAGAGCCCGCGCTCATTTGACGCAGAAGAGTGAGAATCATGCTGTTTACGTGTAGTATCAGTCTTTATGGGCCCCTTTAAATAATCACTACAAATTTAGGATACTGAATCACCGTTGGTCTCTTCTGCCAACCCATGTCGGTTCTGAGCGACTCCACAACGCCCCTCAAAGGACACTCTTGATGTTGCGCCACGCCTCATCGTACACAGCACTGAATTGCAGTCTTCCCTGCCACTATGTCCCAACCCCAGTGCCTGATGCTTCTCCTGTGACCCTCAAATTTCTCGTACTGCATGCAGCATGTTGTAGTGCAACGACCTGGTCGAGATTCTCTATTGATAGGACAAACACCAAGGGCTCAATATTTGGTGCAGGCACGGGTATATCAAGTGAAGTTTTTGGGCCAGGGTCTGAGACGTGCGGTGTTTTCATTTCCCAGACTGTCGGTGTGAGCGCAAGGTCTGCAAGCGAGTCGCGAGTGGATGTCTGGAAATCTTTGGCGTGGTTGATGAGGGTGCGAAACTCCGCTCGAGTGCTTTGTGGACCTACGCAATGGATAACTTGTCAGACCTAAGTTGAGGCTATTGTCTGGGACTGGATGATAGACAGAGGCTACATGTTCTGAAGCGTTGCATGGAGCTTCGCAGTCACAGTTTGTTGACCAGGAAGTAGCTAGTTAATTCGAGATATCAGGGCGTCATACTCTTGCGTGACTGTTGTCCCATGCTATATACATGCTTGCAATTCACAAGTGATATGAGCACTTTAAAGGGTGAGAGTCACGCGCCGAAGTTTTCTTGAAACCACATTGCCATAGACCGAAGACGATACGGGTAGATCAGTACCCTAACAGCGTTCTGTATTACACGAGACGATGTTTTGCAGCCGCTATCAGTCTCCAAGGTCAGGTCAAGAAATGTAGAGGTAGCGACTCAACGGGATGCATCCATACTGGATTACTCTCACGTGGTGACAGCTCGAACGTTGGAATATATTTTGAAAAAACGCATCAGCATATTTAATCAGCTCATCCAAAAGCTGAAACATTCCAATAAGGTATACTGTGCAGCGCAGTAAACCAGTAGATCCGTCACTGTTACGCGTTGCACACCACTTAATGGTCACCATGCGGTAATTGACCACAATATCTCGGTGTGGATTGCTCCCTATAGTATACTACGGTACAACTTGCGAAGTGATCAATTACACAGCAACTTTTTTGCTGTGATCATACTGCGTACCTATATTATCCAAGCCATTTCGTGTTCGTAGGGGTGTGCCCTAGTTGACAACGATTTTAACGAAAGTCCTGTTTGTATTTATAAAAGGTGTGTTGGTAGTGCATGCGCTTTATGAGTAGGGTGTACTTGTTGCAGGTACCGCATCTGTAAGCACCTCACTGCTGTCGCGACCTTCTAATACTAGATATTCTTGCAGTTTTCGGCTTCATGGCTAGTGTTGTTTGCTGATGCTGCATTATCAGCTGCTGCACCGTACCTGATGACTTCATGCTTTCAGATGGTATGTCGGTTGGAGAGAAAACCACAAACCCATGAAGAGGGACATGATGTTTTCAATCAGTAGTTGCAGGCTACGCTGCCCAACGAGAGGATATTGTTGCCACATAGTGAGCCCGAAAGGTGAACGTTGCGACGTCTTGTCGTCACGGGCCGTCTCCCATACTTTTGCTCGTCAAAGACTCAAAGATCTCCAGAAGCTATAGACACCGCAAATGATTTCATGCATTTGGGTAATGCGTCGGGCAGATACATCGTGCCGACGCTTTGTGGATTGCTGCAAATCAGAACTCGGGAAGCCAAGGCATTGCTACAATGGTGGATTCACAGCTTGGTCACCTAAATTGTATGTTTCAGAAGCTTCCACTGTTTATGTTGTTCATTTCAGATTATTCCATCAACACATATGTGTTGACATGTTGCAGTTCACCGAGCCCTGGCGTTCTACTTGGTCTGGTAACGAACAGAACTTAGAATTCTGCAAATTTCTGGTCATGTTGACGAAAGCTCGGATGTTTTAGCGAAACCCAAAAGCAAGGCTTGAAGAAACACCGGGAGAGGTCAAGTTGTACAAGACCGAGATGCTTGTACGGCGCCCACAGCGTCTTCCAAATCATGTATCGGCATGATGGGTGTCAGATCCGTGTACTCGGTGCCACATCACTGTTCTGATTCGTAAGTTCATGTGATCTATGCGAACGGCGCTCGTGCTACTCGAAATGCCCGGCATTTGTCAGTGGCTCAACGTTGACGACATGAGGCTCTGTCAAATGTCGAGCTGGTGTCTTACTTCAAGGGCACCCAGCGCTTTGACGCGGTGCATCGACTATTGTGTCATTGGAGTTGTCTCGGTGTGGTGTTACAGCGATGTGGACGGTTCGGGAGAGGGAAAACCACCATTCAATAGGGTCTCTGACAAGCAAAGCTCTTCGTAGGTTCTCCCGTAATACAAGATGCGCCATGGCTTTCTTTGACAATCTCTACAACGCCCGGACACTACTATCTCGTAAGTAACGCATCCAGACTGTCGTTAATGCTAGCCAATCGGTGTAACAGACGTCCTAATGTCAGCCGTGCGGCTGTAATGAGGCCCTGTAACAATAGCGACTTCAGTCAATGTCCTTGTTGGAAAAGAGCCTTCGGAGATGTATCTCGTTACTGGTCAGAGTACCATGAAGTGACACATTGCACTGTAATCGCAGAACATGTTGTAAGACCGTCGAGAGAGGTTCGCACATCTGAGTCAGGGGCAAAGGTGCCTGGTAACGAGTTTTGGCATTCCACCATCACCATTGGCAGCTTTATCGCTACCGTATTTACAGTCATCTGTTTATTTTTGGTAGACAGGGTACCAGTCAGCTGCCTCGATAACCGTGTAAATCAATAGGACTCCGTACTCGGGTCGGTTCCAACAAGAATGTCGGATATGAGCGTGTCTGCAAGCTTCGATGCCGATACAATCAAAAGGTTATCATATTTGACAGCAACAGATATTGCACCGGACCCTGTCCGACGGCTGAAAAGAATCAGTAGCTCCATACGCCAACAAGCAAATGCAGCTAGTCCCAAGTAATCCAGAGCTGTGCACAAGTTGCCCCAACGCTGATTCGTATACATCTTCGTATGCTTTCGTTGATTGACCATTGATCCGGTACCGCTTGGTGATGGACCTTGACCTTGTGGCCCGGGACCTTGTCGATCGAGGCAAATGCAAGACGCCAATTTCAATTCTAGCTTTTACCTAGAGTCTTGCTGAAGCTTGCCGCTGATATCGCCAGCATAGGTTTGTGATTGTTTCTTTTGGGGTCCAAAGCAACCCCACGTAAGTAAAGCAAACTTACGGAAGTGAGGGCGACGCGCCGAAAGACGGTCAGCAGATTTCACGCAGATGAGCGATTCGAAGCTAAAAAGTAAAACAAGTGTATGACCCAAAGTGCAGAGTCATGCAAGAATCATGTGTCACACAAAGTTTCCTTGACTCGATCTTTTGCAATGTGTTGATCAATACATGTACGAACGAGAAGCTTCAAAGAAGGCTGCAAACCCAGTAACGGGTCGTTGTGCAGTGTTTTGTTTCTCCCGCTCTACTCTATGTACGTAGTGTGGTAGAAGAACTAGGTGCAGGATGTCAGTCTGCGGTCGGTGTGCGTGATTGCTCAGCCTACCAAGCGTACCCCGACTGGTGTGATCTATGATGCAAGAGAAAACATACTGGGTGTGTTGTAAGCTCATTGGAAAAGTTCTGCAGCTGGTAGTGCGATTTTGCGGTTTCATATTGGTCAATATGGTTGAGATGGGCGGTAAGATGGCGCGTGCTGCACACGTATCACGGGTTGTGCTCCAGTTCCCACCTGCGCACCAAAGTGCAGACCGTCCGTCGCCAGAGGTACTCGCTGTACGAAGCGCGCGCGGGCAGAGATGCTGTGACTGGGCAGTATGAAGTGAATCTTCTGGGACCTAACGATGGTATTCCACTTCTGTTGCGCTGCAGCTTGGGTCGACAGCAGGGGTCGAGTGTCTCGCGACGACGCGTTACAGACTAGGAACTCCCTGCGTGCATCGTGATCCCAGGTCTGCACGATCCAGACGGGATGGCTTTCCTGGCGTCGAGCTTAGCTGGCACGATAACTGGCGTTTACTGGTTCAGGTAATGAGCGACACGGCTGGCAACGATTAACGGGATCTCCAATGCGGAGCGCTGTTGGCGTCCGCCACAAAGATTGGTGCTCGACTTTGAAGCAGTGACGCAGGTACAGACTGCACATCAAAACTCTGTTGATGATGATGATGGCCGGTTTAGAATCAGGACGCCCCACCCACCGTCTTAGCGATATTGATCTGCTGCAAGAATAATTCCGGTACCAACGCAAGGCGCGCTAACAGGCGCGCATAACGAAGTTAGCAGAGTCAAGTTTTAGGGGCGCACTCCGCGGCTGAAGAACAGCAAAAAAACCGAGAAGCTGAGACTCGATCTGGCCGCTCACAGGGAGAAATTTGTTTATGCCATCCAATTAGTGAATCGCGAAGTGCATGTTTAACTCATGCTCTGGACGCTTGGACACGACGACGGACGGTTGTAAGCGATGAACGGCTCAAACGTGCTCGACGCACGTCGCGATTATCCCAGCCATGGCAGTCTTTGGCGAGGGCCCCTCAGCCACATCGCCATTGGACGGCATTTGTGAGGATAAGCACAATTTCAGTCTGCATCATGCAGGAGAAAGAGCTGCCGAGGCCAAAAGTACAAGGAATAACAGTCTACTAGGGCCTCAGCTTAGTGATGGTGCAGGTCGAGTGTGCCATGGACGCAGCATGCTTGAGCGTGACAGCAAGTGTACTTGCTCGTTTCGAGCCACAATGGCGAAGAGCGCAGAGCTCCGGCCGTGGACACTGGAGTCGTTCGGCTTGAGCCAGGCAGTGCGTGCGTCGAACTGTTATGTTGTGCAGGGACAGTGGTAGCCTGGCAGCTGCAGCATCATGAACAGGTGGAAGAGGCTCAAAACGTGGCCGCCGCAGCCTAGATGGTGGTGAAGCGACTTGAGGATCTCCTTCGCCCACGCAGTACTGTGCAGCCAATGTTTCCAGCAACACGGTCGGGCGTCGTCGGGTCGAGGCTCGAGGTTTCCGAACCAGGGATTTGCGAGGCCTAGGCTGAAGCTTGCTGGACGCTAACGTTGTGGGCGTGTCAAAAACTAACGTGTGCAGCCCGCGTGTCACAGAGAGCCGACTGTGGGGACTCGGGCGCTCCGAACGCTTCTGATCGCAAAGATCTGGCAGAGTAACGGGCAAGATCCTAGCGCAACACAGCGTTGTGTGGAGGACGCCGCCACAGTCGATGTCTGAGAGTGCGAGAAGCGGATTGGCAGGAACGCAGAGTGCAGGCGTGAGGACAACGTTGAGCAACGTTGGCGAAAGCGTGGCCCTGAGTCGCTCGTTGCATTCTCAAGGGATTGCGATGTTCACTGATGTCCGGACAGTGTGCATGATGATTGATGGAATGCAAGCAACGCACAGGGCTGACACGGCCACCGCCCGTGACGGCATGGCGGGGTACGTACGGATAAGGCGAGAACGGAGTCCGTCGTGCACTTTCACTGGACGAGATTGGCAGCAATCAAACTGGTGCGCGAGAACCGGCAGAAGGGTCAGAAGTCATTTCCCAGGATGGGCATGCGAGTTGGCCGCCCTAGCAGCCCCCCGGCTCTGCAATAGCGGCGCCGTGTCTGATCGCACCATGGGGCAGGATCCAGATAGCCGTGGGACTCAACGAGCAGCTTTCCTCGAAGCGCAAGCGCGCTGAGAAGGGCCGGTCGGCCTCAGCACAACTGCCTCCAGCGGAGACGTGCAAACGATTGACTGGGCCCTCTCGCTTGACAGCTGTCTCTATTGGGCAACGGCGCCCAGGATTACACGACACCTGCATTGGCCGTGTTGCGTAACAGAGCATGCTGCGAGATGAAGGACTGACCCGTGTCTCTGCTGCAGAGCCTTGTGCTGGTTTAGGCGGTTGCTCGACAAATGTCGAGATACAGCGCTCGCAGAGTCGTCAGGGGCGGTCCCATGCTGCAGACGCCTACCGGGTCCCGAGACGGGGACAGCCAGCAAGCCCACACGCCTCTCGTCAACGTGTGGACTCAGGACCCAGGCAGGCCGGCACGGCTGCGGCTACAGATCTCTGCTGCACTATGCACCGCCTTGGCTCTGCAGCGCGCCCAGTGCAGGCTGGCGCCGGCCATGGCTGCCCCAAATGTGCGGTCTGTGGCAGCAGCCTCACGCACGGCCTGGGACGAATCCAGCACTCGATCGACGGCGGAGAGGTCCCCAGGTCCATGTCGTCTGTTTCTGCCGCGAGAGTCTCACCCGGGCAGTCGGTACGCGCTGGACGACACAGCATGCACCAGACGTCAGTCCATGCACAGGCAGCGCCCCCACCGCTCCAGCGCGCAGTCTACAGCAGCTGTCAGCGAGCGTCGACAGGCGCCCCGTACACCTGAGCGGGTGTGTGTGGTTGAAAATGGCACGCCTGGTGGTTGGGACGCACCCATTAGAGCATTATCGACACCGTCCCAATACGGCATGATGACACCAGATCAGACGCGCGCAAGATAATGAACCGAGAATTAATCCACAGCACGCCTGCACTTCCACGTGGAGATCCACCCTACCAACGCAAGCCGTGCGACGGGACAGGCGTAAGAGAGATGAGGGCGAGCAGGGACCGCGCGCTCGCTGCTTACGCCCGCGGGTCTTGCCCTTTCAGAAGCACACGTGCCGCAATCAATACAACAGTCTCGCTAATTATAGCTGCCACCGAGCCAGCTGCAAATGCTAATCAGTGCATGTTTCGGGCCAAAAAGCACTCTCCGGGCGTATGACGTTGCTGGTGCTGGATCGTCTTTGATCTTTTGCGCATTGGGGCAGCATGGTAATGTGTAGGGAGTGGATGCTAGTTGAGCTCCAGCGGGCGATCGAACAAGCACTGCTCTTTGTCCCCGCCATCGCTACGCCTGCTTAAGCGCAGGCAGGTCAATCAATCAATCATCAATCATGTGCAGCTCGCACTCATACTCCTACTCGGCTAGCGTCAGCTGGACCTCAAGCGTCTGTTGTCAGCTAGCCTGGCAGCAGGAAGGGGGCACGGTTGCTGCATTGGTCGCCGAAACTCTGGAGCATTGGCAGCGAGGATCGCAGGGTGATCACGCACTCATGGAGGAATAGACGCTGGGGTCGGGTCCGCTGCTGGTGATGCACGTTGGTGATGTTCGTCGCGCACCTTGTCTACAACGCTTGCTTGCACCGCCAGCTTGCATCGAGGGCGATCCGCACAACTAGCAAACGGGGACTGGGCCTTGTGAACGGCGAGCTTGGACAAAGGAGGGAAGGCGGTTGCTGTGGTAGGCCTTTGTCTTTGCTGGGCCAGACCAGATTCATTGGTCCGTGCAGGCCCAGTCGCTGTCGTCTCGTAGGCGCCAGACCCGACACATGCTAGACTTCTTCCTGCAGGCTCCTTACCCTTGGTACCTGGCCCTGGGCCATGGACGAAAAAGCACCTCGTCCTGTTTGTCTCTTGTCATGCCGCGAGCCCGGGTCAGGAGAGCCGCATCATTGCCACGCTGCTCTGTATGTAAGGCCTCGGGCAGGGAGGACGTCGCAGAACAAAGAAGCTGCGGCGAGAGCGACTGTCCACCAAACAGCTCAGCATCAGAGTGCTTTCACGTCTCCGGGCCGGCGCAAGCGACACCTCCTCCACTGTTCTGGTCCAAGCCGTCCCGCACGCCAACAGAGCCCGACAGACAGCCAGTGGCCAGGGTCTGTGGTCGCCTGGTGCGTGCATTCACCCCGGCAGCGCATTGTTGTCGGCGGATCCATGCTTGTCTGGTTCTCTAAACCACGCCTGAACGGTGTGGTGAATTTCTTATTCGCTGCGTTTCCTTCTGCCGTGCCTCGTTTACGATGCCCAAATCTGCAGAAGTGCGCCTGTTCATAGCGTTCCCGCCCGCTCACCTGAGGCTTGCTCTCGTGCCATTTCATCTCCCTCCCGATCCAGATCCTCATAACGCTCGGACTAACCCTATCGCCTGGTTGGGCCCTTGAGTAGAGGAACGCCAGTCAGCCACGCGAACCCGCCAACCCTGACACCCTTAGCCTGCCAGACACCCTTAGCCTGCCATACATATACGTGACCAGTGCTCTCCACTCGCTCGCGGTAACTTAACAAAGCCTCAATCCACCCAGGTTCCAGCCTTCTCCGCCATTACTCTGCTAGGGCGCCCAGGTACTGAGCTTAACAAGGTGTGATCGCCGCTCCGCGCGCCTCAAACTCCACCACCAAAAGCTCTTGAGGTTCACTGTCCCTCTACCCCAGGATCAGTGGCTCTCGCCATCAACGTGCAACACCAGATCCTGCAACGCCGCTGCAGTGGACGCTCACAAGGACAACCCCGTCTGCGCCTATTTCTCAACGCGGAAGTCGACGCCGTCCCAGCGCCCTGGTTCGAGTACCAGAAGCTTGACTACCAGCCAAAACAGCGCCCGTCGGTCCACAAACCCAGCACGGTCATAGTAGGAGCACCACCGTCTTGACCGAAACCCATCTTTCACACAGCCTGTACTACCGCCTCAGTGGCACTACGTCTGCGCAACCAGGAAACCGGGCCCTACCGAACGCTCCACCTCGGAGGTCACCACGGTTCCACGAGTATCTGCTTTTGCTCACCTGTGCGCCCTTCTGCTTCGGCCTGCGACGGCGACCATCATCTCTACCAGGCAGCGACTGAGACTCCCTAGCGATCTTTTGGCAAGGCCTGCATTTGTTGGTATCACTGCCTACCTGAACCAGCGCAGGTACCATTTCGAGGGCCGTTCACCAAGTAAAGCTTCATCGGGCTTCGGACCTGCCAGTCGCCGTCTGAGCAACAAGACACTAGCCAGGAGTACCATTGCAGACTCTTTGGACCAGGCGGGTATTCGTGCTCACAGCAACCTTCTACAAGATCGCCTTCCCTCCACTACCTGCATAACATCAGCACTTTGTCCCCCTCGACTAGACATCCTTCTTTCCACATTACGCCTCTGAGCTACAAGTAGCCGATCGCCCTTCGTGGAGCAACCCCGGCCTACACGTGGGCTATATTGGTCCGGTGCTCATTTCTCAAGTCCGCCTTTTGCAGCGTCACAGCTGCAGGCACTTCCAACTCCTTCTCCATCCGACGCTGGTAGGTCATCAGGACCTTACCGGAACACAACCGCCAACGTGGCTGCTGCAGTGGCTCACCCGGCTTCTATGCATCCTGGGTCTGACCCAATGGGTGCGCCTCCCAGCTTTGCGCAGCGGAGGCCTCATGCTGCTCAGTTGGGTAGCTTCGAACTTCCACCTCCGCCAATGCACAAATATCCGTTCACTAACCACGGTACCGTCTCGCAGTCGTCACAGGCGCCAACAACTATCGCTAGTGTTGGCAACCTTCTCACACCGCCGAGCACTGTCCACGGCGACGTGATAAGCCCTTCGTCTGGAGTGTCGACAAGCGGCGCAGCCTCAACAACGATGGCCTACCCCCAGAACTACAACCACATCTACTCTCCACCTACACAACAGCCATCGTACGGTTACCAACACACACAGTCTCAGCAAAACCAATATAGTCAGCAAAGCCGAGGTAAGTTTTCTCTACTGCGCGGAGATTATCAGCTGGGCCACCAAGACTTACACCACAAAGGGCTGAACCCACCGCCCTATGAGATGAACAACCAACTGCCACCATTTACGCCATCATCTAGCACATCGCATATGCCGTCGATGCCTGCCCACCACCACCAGCCTCACCATATGCTAGGCGCACAAACGCCTGTATCATCATCAGCACCTCACCAGTCGCCAGCATTGCCACAGGACACTTTCAGGCCACCACACCCTCCTACACCAACTTACAATTACCAGCCATCGGGAACGCCTCAGCATTCAAACTTCCCATATTCGACCGGGCCATCGCCGATTCAGCAGCATAGCCAGAGCCCGATCAGCGCAGGGGGCTCCATGTCCAGAATGTCGCCAGCGGTGTCGCAGGGGCAGATGCCTACTGTACCATCGAATAACCCAGCGCAACCCCCGTCCTACTACCAACGACCACCGCCATCAGCATATGCGCCAGGACCAGCTCCTGTCTTTTCAAACGTTCAAAACCCAAACGGCGGGCTGGCCTTGGTTGGTGTACACCCCGGAATGATGCCTAGTTTCAACAGCGGGCACGCAGCCCAGATGCCTCACTTTATGCAAGGCCACAACCCTCACCAGCAGGCGGCTTCGAATGACCGACCATTCAAGTGCGACCAGTGCCCGCAGAGTTTTAACCGCAACCACGACTTGAAGCGGCACAAGAGGATCCACTTGGCAGTCAAGCCTTTCCCTTGTACCCACTGCGACAAGAGCTTCTCGAGAAAAGATGCTTTGAAGGTATGTTGCTCTGCACGAAAAAGTCAGTGCATGTATGCTAACCTCACACAGCGCCATATTCTTGTCAAAGGCTGCGGCAAGGCTGCTGCGAACAGCGATGACACGAAGCGAGAAAGCCACTCGCCCAAGTCGGAAGCTGTCGAGTCGAAGGCACACCATTAGTGCCTTCGCCGTATTTACATGAGGCGCACGCCTCAGCCTTCTTCACTTCTCTTGTATTAAATACCCTTTCTGTGTTTGTCATTATGGTTTCAGCGCACGTTTTTACGACATCACTACGTTCGCTGTGCAGCCATTGGTTCACGATTTACTACGTCGTCTGCTTGTTACGTATTGGACTACCCTTGATACGCTTGGAAACTAGTATCTGTGGCGTTTGCGGGTATAGCATGCGATCATGTTCATGTTCCTTTTTTTGTTCGAATGCGGATACCTTTGTTCGGTTGTCAGGGGTTGTATTAGGTATGTGCAAAGAGCGTTCTTTTCGCGTGCATAGGCAGCGTTGGAGGCGGCAATATCGGAAATCGGTCGGATCCGGGGCCGGAAGCCGCAAACGGCCTCTTGGTTATAATGTGCATAAGGGTCAGAGACGACGGTAGGCACCTGTGTGGCAAAGGGCCAGAGATCAGAGTACAGGGGCCAAAAGGTGCTACGATGCCGAATACATGTTACGATTGCCGTTCTCTCTAATTGCTTGCCTTGCACAATGTCCTGCGTGATGAATGCGTCACAGATGAAGTCACTAGTCCGCAAGTGATGCCATAGAATATGCGGTGTATTCCAGAAGCAGGAGAGTATACGTCAAGAGTCTTGCGCAGATAGCTACTCACAGTCTATTCACAGCCTGTGAGTGTCCCGCGACTTTGGTGCGCTAGCCGATACCTGTCTCCGCCCCGCAACATCAGTGCGTTCCGTTTCTCACACTTCACCTCATCACTCTTCACTTCCATCCCATCTCCTAACGGCCGCAGCTCTGTTACATCAGCCATCCTTGGTTTTCATGTTCTACTCGCCAGACTCTGCGACATTCGTCGTATTTGACATACTTTCTGGACAACTGCGCATAGGACTGAACAGCTCGACTGCACATGGTTGCCTGCGAAAGATGAGACTGTTTGGTCAATTAGAGTAGCTACACCCAACTGTCTACAGGCCTATAGCTTTCTTTGGGTCGACTCATAAGCTTAGAAGATGCGCTTGCCACGCGGTCTTGTTGCTGCAAGGTGCAAACCTTCACGCAAGGGGCGCAGCAGCCGTCCACCAGTCCAGAAAGTCGATAGTAGTATACATGGTAGGAAGAATTCATTTCTTCGGTTAGGCCTCTTCATTCATTTCTTCAATCGTCCAGCCGACTCATTCCCTTCTGCTGTTTTGGTACACAGCCCCAAACATGTCATCTCCACCTTTTCTATCTTGGCACATTCTTCAGTATCGGGGTTTTCAGTATCGACCTGCCAAGAGTCCGGCAAGCATGCGACTTCTCTGCTCACACGGCTTTCTGTGCCTTCTCTTGTTTCTGACGGGGTTCGAGAGCACCTTCTGCTGGCGCCGCTCTTTCCAAGCCGGCCCGTGCGCTGCGTTTCCCTTCCCCTCCCAAGCTTGCACACAACCGCCCCTCGAGCTTCTCTACCGCGTGCATTCAGAATCTGTCGGCTTTTTGGTCGTTGAGTAGTTTTCAATTCCACCTGCACAGCTAGCCGCCCTTCCTTTATCGGCACCGTTAAGCAAACAGCAGTCTGTCGACTGTCCGGCGCCCTCAGTGTCAACAGCAGATACCAAACAACACAACACGGCGACCCTGCCATGGTATAGACGCGCTCTGACAGCACGACCGCGACCATCACTGCTACCACTGGCAGCATTACTCTATCTTCGGTGCTCGAACTCGCCGCGCATCCTTTCTAACTGTACATTCTTGGGCCATCATTTCAGCCAACTAATCTCAAAGCTGTCGTGGCGACTTCGCCTTGACGCGACAAGCACAAACGCGCTATGGAACACGGCCGCCATGGCCGCCCACCAACGCATCGACGCGCTCTCGGTGACGGCATTCACCGTGCAAATGAGAATTCTCGCGCTCAGCGGCAGAGCGAGAAGCATACTTTCGAGCACACAACTCCTCCATCTAAATCCCTACCCCATAATGAGTCGATAGTACCGAATGGCACGCTCGGCGTGCACCATGAGCAGTCATCAGCTACGCCAGAGAACAAGCGCCTCTCTGCTGTGCTTGCTCACGAGACGCGTCCACACATTCCTAAACGCGACTCTACCATTTCCAATACCAGCACCAACGCGTCAAACACCAATCGCCGCCGGAAAACACACATTGGGCCATGGCAGCTTGGCAGGACTATCGGTCGTGGAGGGTGCTCACGTGTGCGTCTGGTCAGGCACAGCATGACCGGCCAGTTTGGAGCCGCCAAGATCATATCCAAGACTACGGCAGAGAAGGTGCGAGCGCTAAGTTTAGCAAACCTGATCCAAAGTGCAGAGCAGGATCCGACACTGCATCCCGATGGCAAGCTTATCCCATTCGGCTTAGAGCGTGAGATTTGTATCATGAAGTTGCTCGATCACCCAAACATCGTTCGTCTATACGACATCTGGGAGAACCGGGATGAGCTGTAAGTTTATCTGGCAGTGATCGTGAATTATATCTAACGTGACACAGCTACCTCATCATGGAGTACGTTGAAGGCGGCGAGTTATTCAGCTACATTCACGAGCAAGGCGGATTGATCGAGATCCATGTTGTCCACATCTTCCGCCAAATCATTGCGGCCTTGATCTACTGCCATCGGATCAGTATCCATCACCGCGACCTCAAGCCGGAGAACATTCTGTTAGATCGGGAAACAATGACGGTAAAGTTGGTTGACTTTGGCATGGCAGCATTACAGCCGAACGGCAAGAAGTTGACGACACCCTGCGGAAGTCCTCACTATGCAGCACCCGAAGTCATCAAGACTACAGCGTACGACGGTGGGAAAGCCGATGTTTGGAGCTGCGGAGTCATCCTATACGTTCTACTTACCGGCACCCCACCCTTCAACTACTCTGGTGAGGACAGAGATCTCAAGTACCTGTTCAAAGCAATCGAGAAGGGCGAATACGTGATGCCGGATACTTTGTCACGCGAGGCTACTGACTTGATCAGACGCATTCTAATTCCTGACCCGAAACGTCGAGTGGGTTTGGAAGAGATCTGGAACCACCCCTTTCTACACAAGTTCAGCAAAGAGCTGAACTTCGTTGGAGACAATACCTCGGCCAGTCATTGGACAGGGCCGCTGCCATCGATCGCAAGCTGGGAAACTCTAGAGCGCACGACAATTAATCGCGAGATTTTGCGGTACCTTCGCACTCTCTGGCACAGCGAGAAAGAAGAAGTCATCATTCAACGCCTCATGAGCAGAGAGTAAGTTTACATCCAGAGCATATAACATGATGCCTTGCTGACGATTACATCAGAGCAAACCAGGAAAAGTACTTCTACTCCGCGCTTCAGAAGTACCAACAAGATCAGCTCGAAAACTATCAACCAAGTGCTCACCACCCAATTGCGCATTCGAACAGCGATCACCATCACAATGTTCGTCGCGACCCGACAAAAGAGGACATAGAACATATGCCAAAGCAGAAGCACAAACGGTCTCAGTCTGGGTATTCGATCTTGAACAACGAGCACATGTATTCCAAGCATAGCTTTTACGAATCGCCTGCATCAGAAGCCAGCTATGACCCCTTTCGCGCTTCGCGGCAACCGATCCTCCCAGATCGAGCTGCACATCCCAATATTACTGTCCGCCGCAGGAACAGTAACAGCAGTCGTAGTCTTCGACCAACTACAGCTCTGGGTCATCATACGGGAAGCTCGTTGCGTGTTCGAGCTCTTCGGAATTCTAAGCGTAGTTCTGCGGTCTCTCACAGCTCATCCAAACACACCACCCCATCACAGCGATCTGTACACGCCGGCTCTGTCTCACGGTCGTCATTCGCAAGTTCTTGTTGGCCAAGCAGCCCCCCTGTCGTTGCTCGAGCTGGTGGTATTGGTAGGCGAGGCGTCAGCTTCTCACATTTGCACCGTCGAGGATCGGTCGCGACCGCAAGCACAACAGAGACGGGAGCAGTCCCGTACACATCGAATCGGTCATTCGATCTTCAACAGGAATCGATCGGCTCCTATGGGTCTTCGCCTCGATCGAGTACTATTCAACCTTCCTCTACGCCTCGAGCAAAGTCCAGGGCTTCTGCAAGCACAGGAGCACCTCGCCTTCGAGTGCGGAAGCCGGAGAGTCCTAGCAAGTACATCCAGAGTGAGGCGCGCAAGGTCAGCACTGAGCTCGGAAAGGTCATGGAGGAGGCTTTCAATCGGTCCTCCATGAGCTCAAGTGTACGGACCACACACACCGACACTTATCAAGATGGCACTTTCTCCAACTATGATACGCCACCTACCTCGTTCTCAAATCGAGATTCGGGCGGCAGCACGATTGCTACACCAAATAAGAGAGCTATGCTTGCATCTCGACCGCTTCCACCGATTCCTACAGAAACGCCGAATACATTCCTCCACCGGAAGCTTGTTGAGACCCGAGACGACATTGCCCGTCGGCTGACAGAGGACAGCGATAATACGAAGCACTTTACTGAAGTACTCGAACATCTGGATCGATTGATTTTGCCGTCTGCTGATACTAAGCGGGTTGTGTCTGCCCCTGCTCGATCCCCAGAGCATATAGCACCCTTGCACGTGATACCAGAGGAGGTGAAGGTCGATGGTGGAGCTGGGTTTGAGATGACCCATAGCCCTCACTATCGAGCTGTCACTGATCCGGTTAGGCCTCAAGCTCGACGTGCAGTGACAGCTCAAGAAACAATTCGCATTGTCGACCAATCACCGAATCGCATTGCACCTCTGAACATTCGGAAGCGTAGTGGCGCGAGCCTTTCTTCCAAGTGTACAAACGAGATACCGCTTTCTGTCCCATGGCCAGGACCTAGCACGCAGAATTCTGTTCGATCCTACCATGACGTGCAGAGAGACTTACTTGCTGCACGTAAGCATGCTACATCCCATCCAACATCTGAGAGTCAGCCGATTGTCAAGAAGAAGAAATCTCTATGGTTTCGTCGCACCACCGAACAGAAAGAACAGCAAGATAAGCCCGACATACAACTCAAAACAAAGAAGCCGAACGCCCTTCTGCAGATTCCTGAAGCTTGGCAAGGCCTCGATGATCGTATCAAGAACGACCCCTCCCCCACGCTGGGCACTCATAGTGAGGCCACTAAGCATGCCTCGAAGCAATCTGATGGTAGCAACACCAGCGAGTTTCCCATGCGCAACACAGGTTCAGCTGCTGCTAAGAGCGACAGCGGCCCGCGAAAAGGTCTTTTTGGTTTATTTGGCAAGAAGAAAGAGGAGAAGGTCAAAGGCCCCATGGAACTTGATCGTGAGTTAGCCCATCCACCGCATTATATGCTATTAACACCGTAATGTAGTCAACTCTAGCTCATCGTCCATCCTCTCCAGTCATGGAATCGGGCTCGACTCAAGCGAATCGGTGAACCGCGGTGGTCCGCCCGATGTGCAGATGAATTGGCTTTCCCGTTTCCTGCACATCAAGCCTGCTGCTAAGACTCTCTGCTTCCACGTAGGCCGGGGCAAAGTTCGCGGGGATTTGGTCCGCTTGCTGCGAGACTGGCAGCGATTTGGCGTTCGTGATGTGATCTTTGATCGCAAAGCCAACACCATCAACGCCCGTGTGGACAAAATAAATCGTGAGTCCCTCTTCTCTAATCCTTTGTTCATTCAGCTACTGAACTATCGGGGCATGGGTTCTGTATTCCACTGCGGCCACATGCTCCCATTTTCACATTGTCGCCGCAGCAAGTACTCAAAGCTAACTTAATTGCCACATAGATCTCAAGATCAAGCCAGTATCTTTTGTTGTCGAACTTTTCGTCGTTCTAGAGCATGGTAATCGAGCCAGTCTTTGCCTGGCCCGATTTACCCAGAGCCGGGGTGCAGCATCAAGCTTCCGTAAGGTTGTGGATATCGTCGAGGATGTCTGCCGTGCCAAGTCCATGCTAGTTGAGGATCCCGAGAAACAAGCAACGATGATCGAGGTGCTAGGCTAGGACAACAAAATCGGGACTTGAGGCAAGGCCAGGTGGCAGGTCTTATGAATCATCGGCGGTATACTTTCCCACCTACGAGGGTACACAACGCCTGAACATTTGTTGAGTACGTCTGGCAGATGCTTGGATACACGGTCTTGGAGCTTGTCTTCGCGAACGATACCCTCAGCAGCTCTACACATCACAGTTAGTTTGAGTAGCATCAGACGGCACTCTCTCATCAGCCCCACAATCACTGCCACTCTAGGCACATGTTATGGCACAGTGTAATGTTTCACTCGGACTTCTTTGTAGTTATTAGCGTTGGTGTCATGTCAATATCTGCAGTGGGGATTTGGGGTTCAGGCAGGTTTGCGTTTGTCAGCCGATTAAGGGCTCTAATGAGTAATCCGTGAGCGATTAATGATCCCTCTAGGTCGTGGTGAAGTGTCCCTTATGTGAAAATCCAGCCATATTTATAGGTATGCAAGTTGTGGTTTAATACACGCTGTGACAACACGGATAGCGACTGGCGGAAAGGGCATGATAGAGACCGAGGTCGAGGAGATGAATACCCAGGTATTCGATGCTTCAGAATTGCGAGGTCACAGGGAAGAAGTCTTTAAGGCAACTATAGATCCTGAAGTGAGATCAGGATATGCAGAGCACGCGATTCTCTGGTGTGGTGAGAACCGTCGATTTCCTTGTTGCAATTTCACATCTAGCGGATCCTCACTCGTATCCACCCTCTCTTGAAAAGAAAACAAGTGTGACATAGGCAAGGCGGAACGTTCTGGTCGAGCGCGTATATTTCGTTCTACAGAATGCATAGCTGATACTTTCATTTCCTTATAACCAGTCGATGATCACGAAAGCACCCAGCCACAAATGCTCTTCTCACTTATAATTCGAGGGTCTCCTCGTCTCCAAGGCCGACCCACGACATCCAGCTGCTCCATCCGCTCTTCTTCTCACCAGGAAGCCTGGTAGCCTCAATCTCCTCAGGCGTCACACTGTACCAGTCTTCAGTAGGGATCCATCCAATGTAAGCACGATCTCCAAAACCACCGATCCAGTACACCTCATCAACCACAAGCCTCACCCACTTGCTCTGGTGGATCCTGTTTCCAGGCAGCCACCAGGCAGAATCAGGATGATACTTGACGAAGCAAGTTGCCAAGCTTGCATGGCTGGCGTCATCGGCACTGATTGCCTCCAAGTGTCCTACAAGGGAGAAGCGAGGCAGCGATGCAGGACTGCGCCACACGTTGTCCTGAGGGTGCCATCGCATGCTCAATGTGATGTTGGAGCCGGCGTCGACGTTCTTGAAGGAGGTCGCAATCGTGATGGCGAGAATGGTGGGGTTACCGGTGTCAGGCTCGCAGTCGCCGAAGTAGTCCATCAAACCGATGGGCGCGCCTTCGACAGAAGGCCGGTCTTCGGTGGTGTGGCGCGAAGACGTCGGGAAGACGGTGGAAAGGGTGCCGATGCTCTCGAGGCGGAGGATACGACGCGCCTGGACGGCAGACTCGTGGACTGTAGGGATCGTGAAGCCGGCATCGTGCTGGTTGAGGTTGGTGAAGAGGCGCTGGGGTGAGGGGAGGTTGGTGGCGGAACCGAGGGAGATAAGGGACAGCAGGGCCGTAGGGAGATGCATGATGCTTGAGGAATAAAGGGATACTTTAAGAGCCAGAGAAGATAAGAGTATCGTGCGTCTGTCTGCAAAATAGTGACGGTGAGACTGCGACGAGTGTCGTGTAGAAGGACAAGCGATGCTTCAAGGCGGGACAATCAGATGCATCACGCGATTCCACAGGCGGTGGGTGCCGGCCAAGTAATCCTACCAGGGTCCAAGAGTCATGCTTTTTTCTTAGGGGTACGAGAGCAACTGTGGTTGGCAAAACGCCGGTAGCGAATTGCAGTATCGTGTTGTTGAGGGGTGATCATGCGAACCAAGGTGCTCTTGAGTTTGATGTTCGCCATTCCATCTGATAAACGATGCCAGGATGATCAGATAACAATGCCAAGTAAATCCGCGTGACCGCACCTGTCTCGCTTACGGAGCTAGGGCACAGCCAAATTCGCTCCTGCCACACCATCGCCGCCGCCAGTCATCGACACCCACGACCGCACCGCCAATCTGTACGTATTCCACTTGCACGAACGCACACCCGACGAACGCTACACACGAACTCTGCGACAAACACCTTTTGCGCCGCTCGCACACGACTCTCCGCCGGTAGAACATAGCTAACGTGCGATTCGCCACACAGAACCAACAGTCGCCAACTCATCAAACCCATCAACCGCAATCATGGGTAAGGTTCACGGATCCCTCGCTCGTGCCGGAAAGGTCAAGTCTCAGACTCGTAAGTCTCAACCCCACGATTCAACATGTATGACGATTGCTAACGGACCCCAGCCAAGGTAAGCCTTCAACCCTCACACAACTACACGCGCAACGACTACAATACCGAACGACTCGTCACAACACCTTGATTCACAGCGCACTTTGATCGCGCAGGATGCGGCACAGAGGGAAGACGGTGGTTAGCACAGGCTGACACTCGAGATAGGTTGAGCCCCAGGAGAAGAAGAAGACCCCTAAGGGCCGCGCCAAGAAGAGGCTCACTTACACCCGCCGTTTCGTCAACGTCACCATGACCGGCGGCAAGAGGAAGGTCAGTAACATTGCTCTTGTCGCGAAATGATTAAATGCTGATTAGGCGCAGATGAACCCCAACCCCACCTCGTAAGGAACTCGACAATGGGAGGGCGTTCGGAACGAGCACGATGAGCTAGATGTTTCTGCCATGAATTCGGTTTCTTCGGGCTGGCTATGACTCTGGATCAGAGGGAGTGGGACTCCGTATGAGGTGGGCGTCGCCATGGCACGCCATCCCACAGCAGCAAGATCCCACACTTTGGAATGATGGGGCATATCCGTGGCGTAAATGTATCTTCGGCTTTTGCACGGCTACATCATGAAATCTAGTCTTTTGTGACTCGAAGCTGTCGTCTTCCGTGCGCAATGACATGTATGCATGTCAAAATCGCGATTGCAGGATGGAGAGTTGCCACCATCATCAACCAAAATGCTGAAACATGGGTTCTGGAACATGCCCATTTGCTCCATACGTCGTGAACACAAGATGCATATCCCCGCATGAACACAAATGTCTAGCAGATGGCGTTGAGTGGGTTGCTGATCCGGTTGGCCAATTGTGCGCCTCAGGCATGAAGCTCCGACCATGCAATCTACGTCACCTCCAGCCGTTCATCAGCTGCCTACGCGACAACCAAGCTCCACCATCAAACAAACAACTCCATCCACCAACCCAGTACCACCAAACCATAATCAAGATGTTCAAGCGATTCTTCGGCGAGGTAAGATTGTCATCAGTTGGGTTTCACGCACACTACTGACATCTCCCAGCATGGCGCAAAGAACGTCGTGACTCTCTTCCACAAGCCCTCCAGCCAGGCCTCCTTACGTGCACACACCATCTTGAAGCAAGCAAACGCCCAGTCCGTTGCGACTGCCACGGAAGACCAGGCTAGTTCCCACGATGCACAGAACAACGCAGCGCAAAGCAAGTTCGAGCTCGACGTAACGGAGGCCCCGCCGACGGCAGATCAGCTCAAGAGCATTCTGGAGTATCTGGGTGGACCAAGTGCTGTTGGCAGGGTCGTTGAGGGAGCAAAAGATGAGACAGATGCGCTGAGGCGGTTGAAGGCAGACGGAAGTACGTTCCAGCGACCACTCGTCGTAGATTGGAATCAGGGCAAGGCTGGTATGTGCATTGTGCGCTCTCTTTTGTGTTGCAACAGATCGCTGACCATCTCCTTGCAGTCGCTGGTGACAACGAGTCCGAGATACTCAGTCTGTTGAAGAACATCTCATCCGAGAAGAAATAGGAAAGCATAGCACACATAGACTGACAAAAAGCAACCCCCACGAGGTTGGTATTCTAAGTCATATCCGCCAGCTCTTCTGTTTAGGCCAATGTATAGTTAAAGCTGCGAGGACCCTCACCGCTACTCTAGTCGGCAGTACCAAACGACTAGGCAACGGATACCTGCAGAACGGCTGTGTGACTTTCCTTAATGATCTCCTTGTACAATATGCTCGATTGTTTTAGTGTCCCATGCGCGTCTTCTACGTACCTCCCCGCCGCTCGGCCTTCTTTTCTAATTTGTTTGTCTCATCTTCCCATAGATCATCTTTTGTATGCAACAGCAGTCACTCGCTGCATTCTCGGCCTTGAAACGTTTGTATAACGTACGTGGCCGTCGGCATAGTCTCTTGATTGGCTGGGTCACGCGCCGTTGGTTCTCTCACCTTCACCTGCCAAGGCTGTCGCTTCTTTTTCGGTCAACAGCAAGGCCCAGCTTCACCCTCCAGCAACCGCCACCTTCTACCAATCTGTGAGCAGCCTACATCTGATCCCTTCTGTCTCTCTGGCGTACGGCGTCTTCAGATATGCAGCTTCACGGTTGAAGCCTCTACCATTCCATTTCACTTCAGGCTTGCTCGTCTACTTCTTCCTCCTCCTGCCAGTATGGGCGACCTTGCCCCGCCGCCAACCGCGGCAGCGCGCTTGACCGACGAGGCAGCATCCCTAGATCCAGAGCAATCAGCAGCATCACCAATAGATCATGACAAGATTGTCACTTCGCCCCATTTGTCCTCCACTGAACATGCCTGGCCACGGCTGGGCCGTGGGAGTGCGATATTCAGCACAGATCTTGGCAGGCGAGCGATGCGCAAGCTCCAGGGCCCGCCATATGCCCCCATCATTGTACGTAGCGATATGGTTCGGGACGTGGTCACCGCTGCAGGTTTCTGGCGCAACAAATACCCTTACCAATATCTGTGCATCTTTCCACATGCGGGGTGGAAGATCGCCGATCTTTGGGACGAGGAAGATATTCACCTCGAGACAAGTTCCTTTTGCACGCAGGTCCTGCAGTTCATTGAGCGCGACAATGGCGTTCGAGCGCAGAAGTACGCGCAGCACTGGTCCAAGATGCACCCTGAACGCTTGCCTGTTGTTGGCGGCAATATGGCCGAGCTCTACGATAAGAGCAATCCCCTCTCAATTGTGGATAAGATATTCATCGGCGACGAGATGCGCGAGTACCCTCCTACCTTCCTTTGGCATGTCGCGCACATCATCCGTGCAGCTATGCTTGCGGTCATGGGTACGGTCTTGCCACTCAAGGGTGCAACAAGTGCTCCTGAGCATTCGAGCATGGGAGTTCAGGACGCTGTCAAATCCAAAATCACTCATACTCCGGTGACAGCAGCGACATGTCCATTTGCACCGGCAACTGAGCAACATGGTAAGTCAAGCTGCAGCACCATTGACTTCGGGCTACAGCTAACTCGGAAGAACCAGCAACTCGTGTCATCGGTCGAGCAGCTTCGATGTCTGGTCCACAACTTGTCTCCACATGGCACTTAGATCGCACATCACCGCAGAACCCAAATCATATTGTTGACCCTATAACAGGCAGCTGTCCTTGGATCACAGGGCACAGGACTCAGATGAATCCAGGTCAGCAATCAGGTGGTGCAAACGCTGCCCAATCTGCCCTGCACGTACCTAGAAATAGACCGCGACGCTCCGCATCTGGCACACACAACCCGGCTCTGCCATCGAGTCAGTATGTAGAGAACATGCCTCGTGTCCCATCAGGACTTGGCCCTCGTCAGCACATCAGCCCTATGCCAATCATGCAGTCGCCGCGATACAGCCAGGCACAAATGGCGATGAACTATTCAATGGGCTACGCTCATCCAGGCATGGCGCCATTCTCTTACGAGCAAACCCCCATGCCGCCTGGTATGATTGCAGGTCAACCACAACCTCATGGAGCTATGCAACCTGGCATGATGCCTCCTCACACGATGCGGACTCCTTCGCTGACACAAAGCTACCCTCGGCAGCCTTCGAGCTCGCAAGGTGTACCGTATGCTGCACCTATGGGAGATATGACGAACATGTACTATCCCCTGGGTATGTCGCAGCAAATCATGGACCCTTCGCGCCCAGGCGATGGTCGTTTCACTCAGCAGTACACCAGTGGTAACACTTTGTACGATCCGTACGAGGGCAGCAACCCAGCTTTTAGATCTACAGGGTACTCCGGCAAGACCTACCATCAACAGAACATGCAACACCACAATGGCCGTCAGCGTAAAGCGTCCTTCCCAGGTAGCAAACCATACCAGGGTCAATACACGAACGACCGGTCCGGCTTACCACACTCGAGTGGCAAACGCTGGCCAGGACCGAGATTTTACCAAGAGAACGATCGCGCAATCACACAAGACCGAGATCATGGTTGCGACGTCAGTTGGATTGGGCCTCAGAACGAGACTGTGAACGAGCTTTACATGAAAGACTTGCCGGATGACATACAGGCTGTCGAGCTGGAAACCATGTTCTTTGATAAGCTTGGTGTCAAACCTACGTCGACCGCCATTAGAAGCTCTGCACATAGTCAAGGCCGAAAACATGCCTTTGTCGGGTCAGTTATTTTCATGGATCAGAGTTCCCGCACTTCATGCTGACAAAACAGATTCTCGAGTGCTGCAATTGCAAAACAGGGTATCGTCGTTCGCGACCCTTCCATTCGTGGAATACCAGTCTCGATCACAGTTCCTAAGCGGTTCTTTCAGAAGACAGTGGAGGTGTCACCACGGGATACGGTCGAGGCGGGGCCTTCTTCATACTCCAGGTACACCAGCAATCCCAACAACGGGGATTCCCACAGCCACGCGCCCTCCATCAGTAAGGAGACCACTGTTGCCAGTGAGAATCAGTCATACTCTCCGCAGGATGTCAGGAGTAGCGTGCCCAAAAAGAAGAAGACCAAGCAGCCACAGCAAGGTTCGACGACCGCCGGTAGTCCCGAAGCACGAAAGACAAAACCAAAAAAGCGCCAGGCGTCGCCCAACAAGGAGGCAAATACTGGGTTCACGGAAGCGGTGCCGGCTGACACTGCAGCGCAAGCTATGGAGTGCATCTCAACTTCGGATACAGCTTCACGAACCTGTTCCACGAACGAAACACATACTCAGCAGCCGCAAGCCACGGGCCTTACCCCGCCTAAACCCGAAGAGAAGGGTCCACCAACGTTGGCTGAGGAGCGACATACGATCGACGTGACACCAACCCCTCCAGCACCTCCAAATATATCAGATGCAGCCGACTACGCTTCTGATCCCACATCAGAACACCAACAAGACGCTGTCTCAAAGAAGCTCAGCTTGCGGAATCAACAAGAGGATGTGTCTTGCACTGAAGAAACAGTAGAGCGGGAACCCGCCAAGCAGGGTCTTCCCGAGCCAGATTTTGCTGAGAAGATTCGTGCTTCTGATCCACCGATGGCACCCACGGTTCCTTTTGACCCTAAAGATGGGGTCTTGGATGATGGGGTGGCAAACGATGCGACCTCCCACTCTGCCGCACAGCCGCAAACTACTACAGAAGCAGAAGTGGAGTACAGGACTGATACCGTTACTTCAGACCAAGGTATCTCGATCGCAGCTGAAAACACCTCAACCGCAAACAAAAAGGCCTCCACGCCTTCAGTCACCAGTATCGAAAAACCAGCCTCGGAGACCATCGTACTACTAGAAGACACCCCTGTGAAAGGTGTCTGCGAGCGGCCCACCTCGGAAACGAAGGCAACTATCATATCGCCTGCTGATCCGCAACTGTCTGAAATTTCAATGGCGTCGAAAAATGACCTATCCCCTCCTAAGACAGATCCTGCCATGGTTGAACTATCGAAAAAGAGTGGAGCTCAACACACCGAGTCACTTCACCCCTTCTCTAAGCCAGCTAAGGCACTGGCAAAGAAGGAAAAGGAACAAAAGAAGAAAGCCCAGAAGAGAGAGAGGGAGCAAGCAGAAAAGGCCAAGGCTACCAGAATTGCAGCGAGTAAGGCTACTCCAAGAACTGCAACAGCCGAGAACAATGGTGCCATCAAGACGAAAGACGGCCCCGAGTCGAGTACTGTCAGCGACAGCTCGAAACCTGCAGTGTACTATGAAGCAGACGGAAAGGTTGCGCCTTCTTCGTCGGATAAGGTACAATCTGCGTCCGTAACAGGAGCCACCACAGCAAGTGCTTCGGCCCAGACGTCAACTTCTCCTGTAGTTGCTCACAAAGCAGTTGATGACAACCGCGACAAGCCAGGGAAGCGCAAGGGGAAGAAAAAGAACGCCCCAGCCGCGCCAGCGGCGGACAAAACGAACGAAGACGATGGTAAGCAACCCGGTGGCACCGTCAGCATCCCCAACGAATTCCCCTCAGTGACCAATAAGGATCTCAAAGCCATCCCCCAAAAGGACGCTCAGGATTTGGATGCACAATCGTCTGAGCAGTTACACGCCGATGAAGCTCACTGTGCGACGAAAGAATCTGTTCTAGGTGTACGATTTGCCGAAGTTTCTACCCCAACTACGAAGAAGAAGAGCAAAACAAAGAAAAAAAAGAAGGCACCCACGTGGCCAGACCTGGAATTTCGTCCCAAGTCGCCGAACCCGTCATGGATGGGCCCGATTGACATGGCAACGGATGTACAGAACTACGAAGAAATCATGAACAGAGCGTGCGATGGAGAAGATGATTCGGACTTCTCTTGGTCTGATCTACCTCGGGTTGAGGACGAGATGAGTTATGATGAGGGTGATTTTGACGAAGGTGACGATTGTGAAGATAGTGGTCAAGACTTGGACGCAATCAACAAGCGCATAGCAGAACTTCAAAACCAGCGAGGTAATACCCAATCAATAGCACCATTGCATCACCTAACGTTGACAGATACAACCAAAGCCGGCCCGTCACACAGCGTGTCCAGCAATTCTAGAACCGAGCAGATCACCAACGCTCCTCAAACGGATATCGTAAATCGGGCCATATCAGCCATTGAAGCCAAGATTGGCAAGTCTACATACATCTAGTATTGTCAGAGAATCTTTGCTCATCATTTACAGCGGTTACAACTGAAGAATTCAAAGCAGCTGGCGCCGACCTTGCTGCAGCCGAGACACAACTAGCATCAGCAGCGGATACAGAAGCAAATATCGACACAGGAACGCCTAGCTCTCAGGCAGCAAAGAAGAAGAAGAAGAACCGCAAGAACAAAAAAAAGAAGAAATCAGCTGATGGTGCTGTTGAGACCACGTATGCTGCTGAAACTGCCGAAGTCAAGGAATCGACCTCGAATATGCCCGTGGAAGATTTTCTCGACAGCAATGATGCTTTCTACGACCAACTGAAAGAGATCGAGGACGCAAAGCGTGGATCCCATGGGTCTCCTTGTTTGCAAGGAGGCCACCCTGAAGCTGTAGGTTGATACTGGCGAAAAAACCTGTTATCTGCTGCTAATTTCGTGATCGTAGTGCGATGAACCACAGCTCATGCGAACGATGGAAGCCTACTTCAAGGAGACACAAGGTCCTAGCAAGCCCGAAGGAAGAAAGGCATCACAGAAGGACCTCTGCAGCTGATCTCACCTGCCCGACCAATTCATAGGGTACTCCGCATTGCAGACGACACGTCCAAATCTCCCCGGACGCCCTAGGCTGCGTGTCCGACAATGGCCATTTCTGGGCAAAGCACAGTCGTACTCTATAAGGATATTGATCGATCATCCTGTCGCAAGTCAGTCCGGTTTAGCACATATGAACAATCCAAGACACACATGCCATTCGTTGATCGATCAATCTACCGTTCCCCATTGTGTTGAACCCTCAATCGCAGGTCTTTCCTGCTTCAATCTTGCATGCAGTTGTGCACTCTCATCTAACCTTTTTGTCACTTCCTTCTGCCTCGCAACATTCCTCTCATATAGCTCCTCTTTCTCCCTCAACATTCGTCTCTCCACACCTGCTCTATGCTCAAGCTCGCCTTTCCTCTGCTCTCCAATTCTGGTCTCATGAGCTAACGACGCGCTAGCCTTCCTCTCCTCTGCCTTCTGCCGCGTAGCTGCCGCATCGCGTTCTTGCTCCATCATCAGATTGTGCCACGCCACCTTCTCAGCCCTCTTCATTCGCTCCGCGGCCTGCACTCGCTGAACCTCAAAATCGTGTTTCTGCTGCTCAAGCTTCTGCCAGTGCACTTGTGCGGCAGTCTGCGAGGCGAATTCGGCGTCCTGCTGCTCGCGCTGGCGGCGAAGGATGTCGCGGTGCGTTGTTTCTTCGAGCGTACGGGTGTGTTCGTGTGTGTGTTCTGCGTGCTTCAGAGCGAGGGCGTGTTCTTTTTGCCGATCGACGAGACGCGCGATTGGAGCTGGTATGCCGATGGCACCAGAAGGCTGGTCGGCGGTGGATGAGTAGAAGCGTGGCTGACAGCCTTTGTCGAGGAGTAGTTCGATCATTTCGGATCTGCTAGATGTGCGATGCGGCGCTGGGATGTGCTCCACATACGAAAGGGGTGAGTACGAGAGACCAGAGGCTTCGTACACGTGCCTCTCATTGTTCACGGTCTCCCAGACTTCGGTCTCAAGAAGGGCTTCGGTGATGAGGAGAGAGCTGTTGGCATTATCGAGTGCGAGTATTAAAACTGATTTGTCGTTACGAGCTCTGAAGAGCGGATCTGCTCCATTATCGAGGAGGAGTCTTATCAAGTTTCGCACTCGAGACCGTTGTTGTCCACTGGATGCTTCTGCATGAAGACACAGCTCGCCCAGGGGTGTTCTTCCTTGGTGAAGACGAGACGGGTAGTTCACACTATGGCCCTGTTCTATCAGGATATTTGCTGCATCAAGCTGTAAGCAGCGTGATGCCTCATGAAGACTGCCATCGTTCTTCAAGGTCTTTGCTGCCAATTTTTGGACTGTCGTGGATGTAGCCGAAGTACTGCTAGCGTAGAATAGTGCAGATCGATTCCAGCTATCCCGGACTGAGGGGTCGGCTCCACGCTCGAGTAGCGCCTGAACGATATCATTCCGGCCTTCCCGTGCGGCAATTGAAAGTGGTGTCATGCCTGATGCCGGAGAGGCTAGGGTAACGGAAGCGCCGGCAGCCAAAAGCTCGCGTACAACAAGATCCGAGATACGTTTCTGAGGTTGTAGCAAACTCCACAATAGAGCAGAAATGGTCTCTTCGCCACTCTTTGGATCAATCACATCGCGAATGGTTACTTCTGGGTTCCAGCCCTGATCGAGAAATAGCTTGAGAAGCTTTGCATTTCGAGGATAATTTTGCATCGCCAGCATGAGCACTGAGACCTTGCGGTCTCCCAGTGGGACCAGGTCTCTCCCCTCGGACATGCACCCATGCTTGAAACAGAGCTTCATTAGAGTGACCACTGCTTGGTCTGAAGTTTTAGAATTGAGTAACGCCGAGATGACAAAACCAAATTTGGGTTGATGAAGTAAAAGCTTTTCGAAGACGGAGTGATTGTGCATCTGAGCTGCAAGCAGAAAGCAGACGCCATCCGCACTATTCACATTTGCATTATGCCGTAGCAGAAGGTCGAGGAAAACCCCCATACGCGAGATATCGTTTGTGATGTCAAGCGTAGCTCGCAAAGCAGCATCGATAGCGGGCTGCTCAACACCGCATTGCAGGAGCTGCTGAGCGATGGCCAGAGTGCTGTCTGTGCTGACTGTTTGATCGTGTAAAGCTCGCTCGAGGAATAGTGTACGAAAAGCTCTCGTAGAGTCAGATCGTGAGGGCAGGCGCGTCCCACTAAGAAGGGTGTTCGTTAGCGATTGGTTTCTAGACGATACTGCAATCCCCAAAGCATCGCCACTCACAGAAGCTCCCCGCCTCATGAGCACTGTGGTGGTGCTGAGGTCTTTGTTCTTTGCTGCAAGTCTCGTCTCGGCAGTCAGCCCTTTGTCAAGGGCTTCTTGAGGAATGCCAAGCTTCAACAGCGTGTCCATGAGTGGCATCTTCTTGGCGGCATCTTCAAGTGCTATAGTGTATTCGAAAGCTGGACCAAGAAGTTGTGAGTCAATTGTGACTAGTCGCTGCACAATGTCTGTGTTCTCCGGGCCACCTTGAATCGCGATTTGTAACGTCTGGAGTGCAGATAGGTCCTCAACACCTTGTGCGAGCAGTATGTCTAACAGTGCCAGTGTCTTCGAATGCCTTCGGCCCTGGGGATCGAACACCAAGGGCAGGGATTCTGAAGTCGAGGCGGTTGTGGGCTTGTGACTACAGAGCAGGAGTAATGTCGACTCGTCAGCCTGTGTAACAGCTAGAGAGACAGCCTGTGCGTCAACATGTGCTCCTGCCTTAAGAAGAAGCTCCATCAGAGACACATCATGCTCTTTGATTGCAAGGTTGAGCCACCGATCAAGCGAACGGCCTCCAGCACCTTTGTGTAGTAGGCGTTGAATCATATGCAACCTATCGGGTATAGGAATAACTTGTGGCAGGGCAGCAAGCGCAGCCGATGCATGTTGAGCGTCGATTGGGGTATCAACGATAGCATCAACCAGGATCCAATTCGCGTTTTCTATCGCCAGTGTCAGGCACTCCGCTTCATTTGTTGTAGTGGGAACGCCATGTTCGATCATCATCTTCGAGCCGGCGGTGTCGTTCTTTCGTACCCGACAGATCAAGAGATCAGGGAGACCAATGCTGGCTGGAGGCAGACCGCAGCAAAACAGCAGCTGTAAAAAGCGCAAAGTTGCTGCGCATGTCCGCAACCGCATCACGGTATCGAGCAGTCTTTGTAGATTCTGCGGGCTGAGAGTGCTCGGGCCAGACACCAGCGTGAGAGTCATCTCCCAATCTTCCTTACCGATCGCCGTGTTCAGGGCATTGGCTGAATCGTAGTTGGGGTCAGCACCGTAGCCTATGAGGAGAGATGCAATCTGAGTGGAGTTTTGCCGGACTGCCAGAGGAAGGCAGGATGCGATGACCTCAGGACGAAGCGCTTTGGGCGCTTTCAGTAGCAGTTGAACGTAGTTTGTGTCGTTCGATTGCATGGCGCCGGCGAGTGCGTTGGGGAATCTATTCAGATCCGCTCCGTGCCGCAACAATTCTTCGATGCATACCTGATCCTGTGCAGTGAGAGCAGCCTTCAGCCCCTCGTCTAGAGTGGTCTGATCGGCACCAGAGCTAGCCAGGAGATTGACAGCATCTGCTCTGCGAAGAGTCGCAGCCTGTTGTAACACTGTGCTTCGACGCCGAAGGCTGACATTGGCTGTGTTGCTCTTGGTTCTTTTCTTTTCGGACGCATCGATGAAATTGACTTTTGCACCCATGCTAAGGAAAGCCTGAACAAGTCCAGGACTAGAATCGGGATTGCGAATTACGGCAGACAAAGCCTGATCCAAATCGTCCTGAGAGAACTCCCACTGGGTGGTGTCCAGAGCTTTTTCCTTCTCCTTGGAACCTTTGAAGATACGCTTCAAAACGGCATCTTTGCTCTCTGGGTTCTTTTGCCGCCGCTTGATTAGGATCTCTCGAGCTTGCGTACGGTCTGCGTCGGTTGAAAGAGTACTTGGGTGAGAAGGAGCAGGTAAGCACGGTTGTCGGGTAATGGCCGGGGCGATGCCTGCGTGCCGGATGAGCTCTCCAAGACTGACTCTTCTCTCAGCTTGAGCCATGGTGGCGGTAGATGGGCGTGTCGAAAACAGAGACTGCAATGACAATATTGAAACCTAAGATCTCAGTCGTGGCGTATTGCGTGTAGCTGGGGCGGAGGTACGGCCAAAAGATCTGCACTAGCCGAATGCGCGTTCCTGCAACTGCCAGCCAAACAAAAGCGTCACCCTTCTGCCCGTCGGAAGGCACATGGCGCCGAAGGGTGCGTCAGCGCGTCTTTCGTGTCCTCACTCAGGCTTGCATTCGTCATCTTGAGGCAGCATTTCGCGAGCCAGCGTCACGCCGACTCCCGCATCTCGAAAAACCCCTCGTTGCCACACGAAAGAGCGGATGATCGGAGGCACCGCATGCCGTTGTACGTACAGTATGTATTGGCGAAGTCGGCTAGAACAGTCTGGAGACTGTGGAGAATGCGGGTTAGTGTCATTAGTGGCTCGATTGACCTTAGGTCAGCCTGATTGAGGAGCATCCGCTCATCGCGGCGGCCTCCAGTACGGACGAGGAGCGGAGTTCGCTGTTCACCGGAGACGCGACCACGGGTGCACGGCAAAATGGCAACTGCGAGATCTTCAGTCGACCGTGTCAGAACGCGCGACCCTCGTGTTCCCAAGCCTCCTCCAGCCCGCGTTTCGAAAATCTGCAGGTACCGTTTCATTCGAATATTCCAAAACTTCACAAGAGCCTGAGAGAGAACAAACATTATTTAGCAGCCTCTATGTGGTTTCTCAAATTACACGAAGCAAAATCCAAAAACCATAGGAGGACATGTGCAACATCCAAATCTACACCAGATTCCAGGCAATCTGTCAAAGCGAACAGCATGCGAGCTGTTGTGTGATTTTGACAGGCGTTGAGCAGCGATGTTTCGACTCGATGACTATCGATCAGACTGCGGGAAGCGAGCGTCCGAGCACACCTTGTCAACAGCTGCCAGTTCGTGTCATCACAAGCCTCCATCCAGAAGGCGGGAATGTTTCACCAAAGACCGACACCAACTTGTATACATGAAACCCTCCAACTACATCTAACATGGGAATTATCACTGCTGAATAACCTTGACCCAAGTCACATCCTTCGCAGCGAAACATGGCTAACATGCAGGAGAGTTTCGTTGTTTGTCTGAAGTTCAGTCCTTTCGGCGTGACCAGGATGGCTGCCGTGCCGCAATTTGTAGCATCAGAATCGTCGTAGCACAGTGGTGACCTATATATTGACCCGGGGACCTGCATTGAGCTACACAACACACGGCCACATCAGCCATCTCTTTATCATCCTTTCTTCTACATAGGCTCTGGTAGCCATATTTACGCTCAATAGACACTTGCTTGTCCTCGCTGTAATCTAATACTCGGTTGTACTTTGCAAGATGCTCTACTCCAGCCTTCTCGCTTCATGCGTACTGCCGCTCGTCATCGCAGCACCTTTCCGGACCCGTCAAAACAGCACAACGAACGGAACCGAAGCGTGCGACCTCAGCACCGTCGCCCAACCTGCCAACTCTCTCACGCCGCCTTCGCCAGATCTGCGCCTGATTCTCATTGCCCATGGACAAGGCACGCAAAATTACACATGTGCAACACCAGCTTCGACACCATCATCGATTGGCGCCATAGCTGAGCTGTTTGACGCCTCTTGTGAGGTCGCCAACCCCAGTATAGCGCAGAACAATCTGGTCCAAGCAGCAGCCATTGGCAACCACTTCTTCGCTGACTTGACGACACCCGATTTCGAGATCCCAAGCCTAGGAAATACGAAGTCAAAGAAGCTGGAGGAGGTTGCTGCCCCAAACCCGAGTGTTGATATCAAATGGCTTAGGCTGCAGGCGCAGGCATCAAGCTCCACGAGTCAAGTCAAGTATATCTACAGGCTGAATACTGCCGGTGGGCTTGCGCCAACTAGCTGTGAGGGGAGATCAGAAGGAGAGGTAGTCACTGTGCAGTACCAGGCACAGTACTGGATTTACGCTTGAGCTGCTCAACAGATTGTCCATCATGAATAAGACATATGGTTCTACGGGATTGTGCAATATTTTGTATGTAGGTTTTTGGTATTATGGTATTAGCGATGAAGATGAATTCATCCCATTCATGAGTACATGCGAAGAGATTGCCAGTTGCTGGCTTCGTCGAGACGTGTCCGTATTTGTGATGAACTGCAGCCGAACGGCACTAGTACGAAAATAGAAAGGCGTCCCGTGGGAGCTTTTGCCTCGGTCCAGCCATGGCTCCCGAACATCATCACGCACGCGATAGCGCAGAGACACGTTCAGCTTGTCGCTGCAATACTTGTGTAACACCTTCAAAACTACACCATAAAGTCACGCAGCTATGTCAAAGCCATCGATCCCTGCCTGGCAGCGAACAGCAACTACCGATCCACCAACTCTGTCCACGGAAGAGCAGCCGAAGCCAGAAAACGCAGCGGAAGACAGCACAAAACCTGTCGCAGAAGAACCTGGTAGCCAAGACATCACTGAGAAGGTTCATCAAAGTACGGATCTCCTAGCGCAAGCCTCGCGCTTTCTCGAAGACCCAAACATCCGCAATGCGCCACGAGAGAAGAAGGCCGTGTTTTTGCAGGCGAAAGGCGTGTCAGCCGAGGACATTGAAACGTTGCTAGGGAATCCGGTACAAGAGGATGCTTTCTCAGATCTGGAAGAAGTCGGTGCTCGAGCCTGGTCTACAGTAAGTACCACTTGCACGTTGAGCTTACAAATTGCGCACACCATCTTTAAAGCTTCAGAACTGACAGCTTTAGACGTCACCACAAGCAGTCGAAAGATCGTTCGCACCTCCGCCACAGCCCCGCGAGATACCACCAATCGTCACATATCCTGAGTTTCTTGCGCAGACCGAGAAACCACCACCGCTCGTGACAACTAAACGCCTAGTGGACACAGCATACATCGCAGGAGGCTTGATGGCTACAATGTATGGCTTGTCCAAGTACATCATTGCACCGATGGCGTACAACCTTGCTGAAGCGCGACACGACTTCGCCGCACATACCCAGGAGCAGTTGGTGGAGTTCAATAAGAAGCTTGGTGGAGCTGTTTCGGTAGACCCAGCCAGCAAAGTGAAGAAGACCACTTCGGAGATCGGAGACGATGTATCAGAGGCAGACTCGGATCCCACCGAGCTGTATCACCGCGACTACGGGACACAAACCACGCCGAACCTGTCACGGCGCCCCTCGCTCGAAGTGGCAGATGCCCATCCCATGGTTACAGCTCAAGAAAACCGGTTAAAGATCATCAAATCGCATCTGAACGAACTCGTCACCAATCGATCGAACAGCGTTGTCTCTCGCGACTCGTTACACACCAAAGTGTCAGACTTGACCACTTATCTCAATGACATGAGTTACCAAAATCAATATTACTCCAGTATGAACGGAATGTATGGCAGTAATTATGGTCTGCCTTCGGGGAAAGATGGAAAGACAGATCAGATAGATGTTTTGAAGCAGGATATAAGAGCAGTCAAAGGCGTCTTCCTCAGCGCCAGGAATTTCCCTACTGGCGGGCAGCGTCTGCCTGGGACGCGTACGCCTCCAAGCGCCATGCCGACAGGAAGACGGACACCGCCAACACCCACTGGAAGATAGCAGCACACATAATGCCATTGATTTGTGTGTCATTTGGCAATGCCCTCATTGAACGTTTATATGCGCTGTTGTCCAGAAGCTCGTGGTGACGACACGTTGTGATGGTAATTGCCATGTGGAGGGAAGGTGGAAGGTGCAGCTTTGACATCGCATGATGAGCTTCAACTACATTCTGGTCAATTCAATCCGGGATCAGTCTCAGAGCAGTTCAGAACTACAAATGGGCGAAGATGGCGGGTGCACCAGTGTGGAATGTACATGTGGTTTTTTGCTTTTCTTTTTGGCGTGCGACCAGCCACAAGCAACAGTCTGCACCGAGAACCGAGTCTCTTCTATATCATCCGCTTCTATCATTGGATTCTTCTGCTGCGCATCTCTCCACTATGTACCTCACTCGTAATGCGTCGTCGCCTGTCTAAACCTTGCACAGGTTCGTCGATCCACTCCAGTTCTTCTGGCACCAGTTGGCAGCACCACAGAAATCCTCGCCGGTACCGCAGAAGTTCGATCCAGAGCAGCACAATCCAGCCTGGCATTTGCGGTTTACTATCGGGCCACAAGTCTCGCCCTCGCCGGAATCAGCGCCGCGGGCGACTGTGGGCTCGGACGGAGCCTTCTGGGTGTCGCATTTTCCGAAGCCGGCCTGGCAGCCATCGCCGCAGTAGAGAGACTGGTCCTGGATATCGTTCTTGGGGCCACAGTGGCCGGCAGACGAGCAGCAGCGGTAGAAGTAGCCGTTGGCTCCGGCGCCGGGGCAGGTGACGCCGCCCTGGGCGTGGCCGCAGACGTCGATGACGGGGACTGAGGCGGGGAAGGTCTGCGCGGGAGATGTGGGTGCGGAGGCCTTCGTGGTGGTCTTCATTGTAGTGGAGGCCTTGGGTGCGCAGGATGAGCCGGGGGCAGAGAAGGACTTCAGGCAGGTGGAGGCATCGCAGTGGTCCTTGGTGCTACCGCACTGTGATGGGTTAGTTGGGTACATCCGGGATAGGTGGATTAGGGACGACATACCCATCCGTACTGAGAGCAGCAGTTGTTGTCCTTGCAAACCAAGTTGCCATACTGAGGACCGCAGTGCTCGGGGTCGACTTGAGCGAAGACACCCGCAGCGAGGGAGAAGATAGCGACAGCGGCGAACTTCATTATGACTATAATTTATTCTGTAACGAAAGACTTGGGTATTCAAGCGAATGAATGCAGTGAGTATGTGATGGTAGGACGACGAGATGTAATCAACAACGAGTCCTACAAGGCGTCTGGGGCAGCACTCTTAAGTAGACATATTTTTAGATGACCCCGTATTGTTACTGTCGCTCCTATCTTGCATGTCCAATCACTACCACGAGCAGTTGGCTTGATGGACACCTTACAAGGTTCTTCCAGCGAGGTTAAGCGTTTTGAACCTTAGCGGGCGCTATGGGCTGTCAGTTTACGTCAAACGGCAAGGCTGTTCCTGACTGCAGGGATCATTGGGCTTCCAAAACAGATCCCATTGACTCGGAAATTTGCCTTCGGCGAGCTTCATGGCCGAGGTGACGTCTCATCAAGCCAGAACGAAGAAGTTCGCTGGTGGTTACGCAAGATTTAGGAGGGTTTACTACCCATCAGCACATCACATTGTAAGACACTGGTGGCGACCAACACTGCGTGATTAATGGAGGCATCTGTGCATCGGCGCGACTGTTCTATCTTGATCAACACGAGAAAATGAAAATGCGAAGACTTACGAGGTGGAGGAGCTTGAGTGGACCCGTCAATGCCGAAAAGTTAAGCAAACGCCAAGCGCTAGTGGCCGGGGCCAATCACGGCCTAATCATGACTCTTTCTCCTGAGCCCAGCATCATCAGGCAAGAAGCTTTGGGGCGTTAGCTTATCGTGCCGCTTGCAAGGCATGTACTGAAGTGGATAGACGCGGCTTATTCATGACTTCATTGCTTCGTACCCGCTCGGGTCAGATCCCGATGCCCGCTATGCTAAGTATGTGTCGCTCGTCCGTGAGCTGAAATGCTGAGCGCTCCTAGTTTCCGGCCTGGAAAGAGTAGCCACCATCCACAGTGATCGTCTGACCATTCAGGTACTGGCAAGTAGCAACGAACATGATCGACTGCGCCATGTCGGTGTCCTTACCCGGACGCTGGGCGGGAAGGCCCTCTTTCTTCTCCTTCGGCATTTCAGACTTCTGAGTCTTATCACTGCTCTCCTGTGTGGTCATCTCGCTAGGGAAGACACCCGGTGCGATGCTGTTGACGCGAACCTTGATGCCGTTCTTTGCGATTTCGGTTGCGAGCATCTTATTGACATGAATGGTGGCACCCTTGCTTGCATTGTAAGAGAAGTGGTCTTGCGAAATGCGGATGTGGCCCGAGATCGAAGAGATGTTTACAATGGTGGAAGACCATCCGTGTGTTTGTTCGGTGCCCTTTGCGAGAAGAGGAAGGAAGGCGGTTCCCTGACAAACGTTAGCTGTGTACTCACAGCACATACACACCACCAACCATCAGGAATGGGCCAACGACGTTGGTCTGGTAGGTATCGAGCCACGCTTTCTCGCTGGTATCGCCAAACATGTTCTTCGCAAATTCTTCAGCACTCTCGACCTTGGAATTTGTCTTGCCGTACGCAATGCCAGCATTGTTGACCAGAATATCCAAGTACTTCTCCCTAGACTCGACTTCTTTCAGGATCTTCCTTTGGCATCGTTATTCTTATGCATCTGGTGTAGGACAGGACCGGGAGACTTACTGGACACCATCCTTTGTTTGAACATCTCCGACGATGGGGATAATTTGCCCGGAGATATCCTGGCCATGGACCTCGACAACCTTCTCGAGCTTCTCCTCTGTCCGACCGACGATATAGACCTTGGCGCCGTTGACAGCAAGAGTCTGTGTGATCATCAGACCAATACCTGATCCTCCGCCAGTAACGAGGGCGATCTTGTCCTTGACATTGAAGATGTTGGACTGCTGGAGCTCTGCGTTGTTCGACATCGTGAAGTAGGTGCGATTCGATTGGGTCGAGATTTGATTTGCGTGTTTCTGGGCCAGTACAGAAGATCTGAGAGAATTCCTATGTTCTGGGAAGGATAAAAGTTGCGTTGCAGTCGATATGCAACGAGGACTGTGTTGTTTGCTGACGTCACGAAGTCGCGTTGCGCAGCGCGTCAATGTGACGTTGGGAGAAACTTTTGACACGGACATGACGGTCTGTTGTACACCTAGAACATCAAGAGCGAATGCAGGTGGGCACATTAGAGGGGACGAGCACCCTTGAAATAATTGCAAGGTACCACGACGCGCGCAATGAACTCAATCATCAACGCGTGCATGATGTCACATCATCTCATTAGCCATTCTTATGAGCCTTTGATGGTTCTACGGCAGGACACAGCACGCTTTGAAAGTGTAAACCGGGCGAATTGAAGTACTCCGTGGTCAGAGATCGCTGGTCGTCCACGTCTGGCGCAGGCTGTGACTGCTTCTTTTACATACCGCGTTTTCACATTCATGCATCAGTAATATCTGATGATGCCCACCACTTGGCTCATTGTGTCCGCTTGGAGATATTTATCAAGCGCCAATATGTGCAGCTCTATTTATTTCTCTAGCAATGTCAAGCCCTTCTCCTAAAGTCGCTCGTTGAAATCAATTCGATGTCGTGACTCGAGGTCGTTCCTGTATTTCTCTCTCCCTCCAAAGCTCCCTGAACACATCGTACGCTTACGCTGGTTACAGTGGAGATGAAAACGTCGCGGAAGTGTTGAGTTTTATCCAACACAATATCTACATGCTCAGCATAGGCATCGCTACCAACCTCATTGTTGCAACTGCTCCACCAGGGTGTTGTCCATCTCTATGGCGGACGAGGGACAACGCCGGTTTTATTTTTCACACCTGCCTGATCATATCTTTCGGGATCAAGTCCATGTCGCGTAGCAGCTGTCAATGGAACTTCGCTTCTACGCCTCCGTATCTGACACCATCGACCTTGAGCTCAAAGACTAGGCCTGCGCTTTCTATCCGCATGTCGAGCGTGAAATCCAGGTTATCAAATTCAACACCTTTGGTGGTTGTCAAGCGCGTGAAAAGACTCTTCGGTACAATATTCAGATCTGTGGTGAGCGTGCATACGTTGATGAGGCCTTTTCGGAAGGACTCTGGTGCGACATCCATATCGCAAGCAATCAGATCGTCCTCAACAATGAGCGACTGACCGGGACGGAAGTTGCGTGTGTAGTGGAACGAGATAGGTTGTGCTTCGGAGACTTGAGCGCCCTGTGTCTATTAGTCATTTCGTGGTTGAAGTCGTTCGGTAGACGTACTTTTGCAATGTGCCACTGCATTCGATCGCTGACCATCCACCGCTCCCAAAGAGGGCTCCAGTACCTGTCGGATATTGGATGTTTTGCTTCGTCAAACACAGTGGCATAACTCGTGCCGTAGTGCCATCGACTTCTTCGGCTGACAACCATACTGCCCTCCAAACCTCGAAGCACTGCCCCTCTTACGACTGCCGTCCAGGCATGTATGGGATGGTAGATCTCCACAGACTGCGTAGAGGCCATGCCGATCGCGTGGGTCGGTCGTTCTGAGTAGGGTGGAGGTGGCGCGCTGTTGAAATGTGACTTCATACGAGCATATAAGTAATTGCTTTGGCCAAACCCTCCTACGAGGACAATCCCACAGACAAGGCCACCATTTTGTCTTATCGTATCCACTTGACCTTCAACCAAATCGATGACCTCGTGTACAACAGGCTCGAAGATACTCTTGACTTGCTCGCTGCTCATGACCAGGAACCCAGAATCGAGCCCAGCCTCTTCATCATCAGGCAGACCGGGGAATGGAACGTTGACCTCGGTATCCTCGTCTTCGTTGAAGTTGCGCTTGACGAACTCCTCGAAGTACTTCAATCCCATATTCCATGTCTTCGCTTTCTTTTCGCGCATCCAATTGTAGCGTTCAGCGCCTATGCGCTGCTTGACATGGTCTTCAAAGCGATAGTTGAGAAACGCTGAGCCGCACAGGTTTCCTGTGCCAACAGCGCTCTCCTCTACTCGAAGCGGGCTTAATTGTGTGATTTTATATGCAATAAGATCAACAGTCCCGCCGCCAGCATCGCATACAACGAAGTTATCTCCAACTTTGAGATGGTTTGGCTGAATGGCTTTGAGTGTGTACACAGCGGCGGCTTCGGGCTCGGAGATAATCTTCAGATCGTGCCCCATGCCAGCCTTCCCAGCAGCCTTCAGCGTCGCATCCTTCGCAGAGTCTGACCACACGGCCGGCACAGTCAAGACAAACTGCACCTTTGTCAGTCTCATGAATGTCTCCCCATATCTCTTGGTCAGGGTCTCCATAGTGTGTTTGTAGATCTGGGACAAATAGTCTGTCACGGCCTCGTTGACCGTCTTGTCATATTTGCGGAGTTGCGCAGCGGTTTCGAGCGGCGATACGAAGTGTGGGAGCTTCTGATTGCGGTCGAGGAACAACTTTATACATCGCAGACGTGTTTCCTCGGGTTTGAATTGGAAACCCCACTTGACGTGAGCGGCCGGTTTCGAGGAAGCCTCAAGGGAGGACGTTGAGTCGTTCAACGGCGGTGCTTCGGAGTAGCCTATCTCGGTAGGGACCTTGTCGGAGGTGATTCCTGATGTTGCGTGAGTACTTAGGCATTCATCCACACCTCATAGGTGAAGGTAGCGTACCGTTGCCACCCGGCCATGTCTTGATAATGTCGATATCATCCGGGGTCGCTGAATAGACAGCTGCAACCCCCGAGTAGGTAGTTCCGAAGTCGACGGCTATGATGATTCTTTCGTGATCGGCGCCTACTATGAGCCGGTCTTGACTTGCGCCTGCGCTCGAAGCAGCGCCAATTGATCCTGTCCCCAGACTTGGATTGGACCCTGTGTTGAAGGAGGACGGAACATGACTCCCTCTGAAAGGGAGTGACGTGCTCATCTCCTGGGTCAAGGGCTGATTTCTGGCGCGACCAGGCTGTTGTTGTTCCTCCTGGGCGCGTTGCGGGGTCGAACGAGCCGGCAGCCAGCATTCGCGTTTAGCTTCGAAAACGAACTGAGCGAGCGAAGAGCCTTCAGGTCAAGAAAATGGCAGCCTGAGAGGTACCGCAGATTCAGGCACCGGCGAATCTTACTTGCATAATAGTGAAGCCTGAAGCTGGCGGTAACCACACAGGGCGTCCAGCTGCGGTCCGGTCGATCATCAATCGCGTGTGGCTGCGGCGCAGCCCCGCTGAGCTCAGTGTTGGTGGCCAACACTTGCGAAGTGAGCCAGGCAACAATCCTAAAGTGTTCGATGCTTCGGCCATACTTCTCGAAAACCTGAACATGGTTGGTGTTCTGGTTGTGGAACCCTGATATTTGGAAAAACGCGTCGAAGCTATGACCGGCGAGAAAAGGAGCTCTGGTCAGTATCAACGTCACACAAGCCGCGATCACGACTGACATGAGCAGACCTCTCCAGACTCAGTGTCAAACGGGGAGGGAAGCTGATATCCAAAACATTAAGCAAATCGTCATCGCCGCCTTCAATCAGTGCACCGCCCAAGGCTGCTGTTGGCGCGTCGAAAGCAAAAAAAGATGAAGTGCAACGGCGGAAGAACTCATTCCAGGATATGTTCAAAAGCTCATCGAGAGATAAGGATGGCGCACATGCTCTATTGTTGAACGTTTCCACCCCAGACGCGACTCTGCCGTCTTCATCTTCAAGCCATGGTGTATCGCCAAGAACTGCAACCACCGATGCGGCTGCAGACGGGAGTCGATCTCTGAGGTCCGGAGAACCGTCAAAGTCAGACACTGACCGGCTGGCGGCACTCGAGAGGGCGTTTGCGCTTGCGCAAGAAGAGACGGCTACTCTTAGACAAGAACTGGACAGGGTGAAGCAAGATGCACAGGCCGCAGCTGAGATCTCTAGATATCAGGCTGACGAAGCACATCGGCACGAAAGTATCGTCGAGTCCCCTCGGCAAAAGCATCAGAGGGTCGATGAAATTGAGGACGACCTCGTCGCCCAAAACCTCGAATTACGCAGTCGCCTCACCGAACTAGAGGACGAGCTCACTACACGATCCACCGTGCGTAGCGAAAAAGATTGGGATGATCTGGCGTTGCGCCTTCACGAAGCCGAGAAGGAATCGCATTCACGCTTTCAACAATTGCTGTCGCTCAAGTCTAGCATCTCGTCCCTCACTCGTGCAGACTCGCAAGTCAGTGACAGCGAGCTTGCAGATTCGTTCTCTCAGCTCGCAAACAGAGTCCGTGAATGGACTGTAAAAAACTATCGGCGAAACAGACCGAGCTTCGATAATCTTCCCAACACAACTATCCAGACACTGCGGTCTATTAAGGTCAAATATGAGGAAACTGATGGAGCGGAAAAGCTTGCGCTCTATCAGGCAATTGTATCTCGCACGCTAATGCACATATTCGAAGAACCTCTAGTCGTCGGCATGCCGGATCAGGGTGTTTTTGCCGGGCTCAGAGCGTTTTTTGAAGGCACACAGCATGTAGGCGCGGAGTCTTGGAGGCGAGCAACACTTCTAGTGGTGGAGAGAAGTGTGCAGATGGCGACAATTCGCGACTGGAGGGACAAGAAAGTGGATATGTTGGCTTCCGAGCTCGAAGCCACCATGCGGTCTATATCCTCCACGGATCTTACGACGAGCGCTCGAGCTGCACTGATTGGTATATTGAAATCCACAGCGGATTTGCAGTGGACTCTCTGTATGCAAAGAGCGAAGTATTGCGTTGTGTTCCTCGACGCACTCCACGATAAACACCGTCTCTTCGATGACCGCGCAATGGAGCCTGTCAACGACCTAGAGTACAGTCTAGGAGACGGAGTGGAGTTGGGCCAACGCGGATCCGTCTTCTGTGTCTTCCCGTCCCTCGAAAAGATCGAGAATGGTATTACAAACATTGTCTTCAAAGCGAGGGTCTGCCGTGGAGTCGGGTAGTATTATCTGCATTCACATGATCGGATTTCTTCATACAATCTTAAGTCTATAGCATCCTGATACGCGCGCCACTGGAGGATCACTTACTGAACTGCAAGGCCGAAAATTTACCCATCAGCAGATCTCTGAGCTGCCCATCGTCTTCGAGCCATTGCGCAGCTGTCATTGCCTTTTCCGCCCATGTCTTGCATTTCGCATCGTTATCTCCTACGTAGTAATCGATGGCACGGTTGAAGGCCGACGTAGCCATCCATTCAAGCTCCGCAGCAGGGTAACAGTCGGATTGCTTGAGCTCTTCGTCAGCTAATTCTGCATTATCTGCAAGCATCTCTGGGCTCGATGGTGGAGGGGTTGCTATGAACGATAGAGGGATGCTAGGATGGCATGCATGCTGGTGTACTTAGAACGGCATCAAGATTTGGGGTTGGCTCGGTTCAAACGTACACCTTGTTTCTTTGCTGCAATCTGTATGGCTTGATCAAGGCATTTGAGACTGATGTTCTCATCAAGTGAGAGCGTAAGATTGAAGAGACATCGAAGCCAGCGGGACAGTCTCGTGACATCATTGCCATTCTGTCGTGAGGTCAGATTGATGATCTTTTGTAACGTCGACAAAACTTCTATAGGACAGTCAGAAAATTCCCTTAAGGTACTGCGCACTTACTGCTTTGAGATGAGGCGTGGACATTTGCTTTTACAAGACTCGAATGGATGACCAATACCAGATCTGCAAGCGTTTCGTAGCGGTCTGAGCTTTTGCAGCTCCAGCACTGTTCGAAGAGCTCCTCCAGATCATCCCATCTCTGTAATTTCACACATGCTTCGATCTCAAGCTTCACCACCTGAAACTTCTTCGACAGGATGTCATCTTGCGCGGCTCCGCTCAGTTCATTTGCCCCCTCTAGTATAGTGCGGCGAAACGCCTGACAATGTTTGCATACTTCCAGATAATGTTGAAGCTAAGCCGTTAGCATTTCAAACCTGATTCTGGGCCTTGCAGGACTCACATAAGCTTCTTGGTTATCCTCTGCTCGAGCCAGTGTTGTGTATGTGCAGGCAGCGAGGTATTCACAAAACGCAAGCCGCAAGTTAAGGTCGGCAGCTCCTGCTGCTTGCTCTTGCCCTTGCTTCTTTAGCAATGTAATAAACTATATCACTTGTCAGTCCATATACTATCGGTCGCCTTGATGTCGCTCACTTCAGCGCAAACAATCAGCAGCCTAGCCAGATTATGTGGCGCAATCTCAGCACAGTACTTCAACGAGAAGTTGTACGAGTTTTTTGAGAACCACTCTAGCTCATGAATCGTGAACAGCTGCTGCTCGGGGGTAACAGGCCTGCCTTGAGAATCTTTGGCTTGACTGCAAGCACCTTCGAACACTTTACACATTTGACCGAGGATCTCGCAGTCGACCGCACCATCTCTCATGATTTCTGATTGAAGAAGCCTCAGCGTTACACTTTTTCTTAGCTTTAGATGGGTTCTGGTAACAAGTTCCGAATACACTTACCGTAAGAGTGCAGGCAAGTGGATGCCAACAGGCGCAGTGTAGTCGTACTTTTCCAGGACCCGTTGGAGAGCATGGATTGCCTGTCGCTTGTCACCCACCCTCTGAGCTTCCATGACACAAGCGTAAAGCAGCGTTGCGTCTTTTGAAGAGCTTTGACACACAACGTCGAGACATTCGGCCGCTAATGTGGTTAGCCCATGAGCCTTGCAAGGGTGATGGATATTGTACCAAACACTACATCTCCACTTTTGAGGCCTACTCTATACATCAGATAACGTGTGATTGGTTCATCTCGGCTGACTTCAGGTGCTCTACGGTACACGTCTCGTGCAGTGGCGTAGTCTTGCCGCAGGAGCGCAGTTTGGATGAGCTTCCTTCGGGGACTCAGTCATTAAATGTTTTGGGTGAAACACAATCGGAGAAACGTACCTTGTGATTTTCACTTTGTTTTGAGCACCAGCTTTGTCGAACAAGGGATGGAGACACAGTTGGCACCAAGATTCCGCCGCATCTTGATCCTCTTGCGCTGACTTTTCCTCGACCTTCTTCCAGATAAGTGTCTGTGCGGCATGAGTCGCTGGGGCCGAAAGCACAAAACTCGAATCCTGTAACACAGAGTCAAGCAGTTTCTGCAGCTGTTCAAGCGGATTTTCCACATGCACGTCGCTTGTGCTAAGCCATATACGAGTGACGACGGCCTTCTCAATCCACAGACCGTTGTCTTCTCTTACCAATCGATTCTTCAACAAGTCATCGAGCGCTTTGCATGCATAGACATTGCTATTTATGTTCAGCGTATTGCTTACAGAACTTTACCGCGAGATCTCACCTAAGATCCTTCAGCTTGTGTATGTGATGTAAGAGCGTCTTGAAGTTTGTGTCGTTGAGCACGATGATTCGGATCATTCTAGCGAGCACTGCTTTGCTCAGTACAAATATCGAGACCTGCATTCCACTTACCATCGTAGTACTCAGCCTCGTCAATGTGCTCGGCTACAGAAAGTAACTCAATCTTGAGCAAAGACACTAACATCTTATCGCTGTAATAGGTTTCCATGAGCTTGATCAGATGCCACGCTCTGTCCGTCGCCTCGATCGTCTTCAGAGCTATATACGATTGCACTACAACAAATGTTAGCACTGCAGGCGCTCAATGCACTGAATGACTTACCAAGGCCTTGCATTATACAAAGCTTGAGTTCACCAGCCTCAGAGCTGAGCAAACCGAAATCTTGAACTTCTATCACGTTGTGAGAGCGCTCTAACCATTTCACCGCAGCCTCGTAGTTCCGCTTCGACAGGGCCTGTTTCCCGATCTCGTAGAACAAGTCGGCAATGTCTTCGGCTGTGTTTGGAGTGGGCGTCATGTCGACTTGCCCGTACTTCGCGAACATGTGCTCTGCCATATCAAGACGATCCTGACGGAAGGCCTGGTAGATTACTATCAGTTCCCCAATTTGAGCCATGGGATAAGGAGGTCTTACCAAGACAACCCGGACAGCAAAGTACTCAAGCCGCAGACACTTGGCAATAGTAGCATCATCGTTGTCGCTGTGTCGATCGTCACCGGTCAGAACGTCTTCGTATATTGCCGCTCTCTCAAGCACTTTTGTAGCACTGTCCATATCGTTCCCTATTATGCAAGCTTTAGCCGCTTTCAGCGCGACCCTCATGAGGCGGATGCAAGGCTTGCGCTCTCGGACTTTCACTGTTTGAGTTCCAGCCGAGTCCAGCAGCAGAAAAGCGAATGCGCGCAGGAGACACACAGTCCCGGTGCTTTCGACCCCGTTTCCCTTGGACTTGTTATCGCCACCACTATGGGCAGCGTCGCGCCGCCGTAGTCGAGTCGACAGATTCCATAGCTCGGTTCCCAGCTTGTCGAGCTCGATGCGACTTGTTGTCACAGCTGGCGAGGCCTGCAGTGGCAGGTGACGTATTTGCGCCTGCAGGTCTGTGAAAAGTGCTGGCTCCCGAGGTTTGTCGAAACGAGAGGTGAGGCTGGAGGCAAAAGCTGAAGGATGTCAGGTGAGCTTACAATGAATGCAGTCAAGACATGAAGGTCAAGAGCACGTACTGATGACATCCTGCACTCGCTTTTCGCGCTCAAGCTTTGAGGCGGGCGGCCGCAGAGCCATAGCACAAGAGATAATGTGGCAGCGAGAAGGTTCTAACGCGAGGACACTATGAGGAGGGATGCGCAGTTCGCGCCTGCCTTCCACAAGTCAGCACCAATCAACGACAAGAATGAGATACGACAAACTACAACAAGGGCCCGGCAAAAGCGGCGAACAAAGTATTAGGCATGTAGTGCGTTGGAAGAACGTTGGTATACATAAGCAAAGGCATCCTGCGATGGAGGAAATGACTGCTCGCCATGGAACGCGACATCATTTCTATTCTAGGCGCCCGTTCCTTTCCCTAGTGGCCCATTACGGACTGGTACCAAGAAGAGTACTCGACATATATACAAGTAACAAGAAAAGTGTCAAGTGGTAGGTAAAGGTCCAGAGATAGGATCTGTGATTGGCAGAAAGTTCCCCACAATTAATGCTGGTCTGCATGGATTTAGTCTCTGCTATGGTAGGGTAAGTCACGATACTCACATATTCCACATGTCTCGTTTCACAGTGAAAGAAAAGCAACACCTGATCTCAGGGTCTTTCGAGTTTGGATCGGGGTTTTTGAGGGAGCAGCTCGTGAGAATAGCCTTTTGAGTATGGTCGAAAGCAATGGCGCCAAACTTCTCCCAGTATGATACAAGCGAGGGCTCAGCAATAATCTCGTGCAGCGCGATATTGCCCTAATCATAATGTTAGAATGTAGATGGGATGGACTTGGAGTGCGTCAAGAGAGGGCTTACGTCTCGCAGCTTCGACATTGGGGCATGAATAAGGCGTGCCATCTCCTTATTCCCTCGATATATCTCGCCCGTTCTACGCCAGCAGCATGCAGGAATAGCCATACTTGCAAAGACTCGGTCGTACTCCATCAAACTCTTATCAAACCACATCTCTACACGCACGAGTTCCACATCCGTAAGCTTCGACACTCGTTCTCTGAACTTAGGCCTAAACCTATCCAGCTGCCTCAGTATCCGTACACGCGAGATCTGTTGTAGATTTTGCTCCATGTACTGATTCAACCTTGCGTAGCCCTTAACGTAGTTGAAAGGCTTTAGTAAGCCTGCATCCATCTTCGCTTTGAGGAGCTTATTCATGCGCTCTTCAGGACTGTCGTTGCCAGCTGGATCAGCAGCCGCCATGAGATATCTCTCGCGCGCCTTGTCGGTAGTTGTGCTATTCGATGGTCGTTGAACAGACTTGCTGACGGTGGTCTGTGCGGGTGGCGGAAGTAGCTGAGCATTCCTCGAATTAAAGGCCGTATTGTTGGTCAAAGTACCCATAGAGTTCATCAAAGAAGCATCGGAGAATAAGGTGTGGAGGTCGCCACCGCCGTAGAATGAGCCGTCGTCCATAAGGTTGTTGTTCAGGAAGTCGTTGAACAGGTTGTACTCGTTGCTGACTTCTGAGGTGTTGAACATATATGAAGGATGGAAGTGATGCATGTCCTGAAAGTTGTTTTGAGAAGTGGAGAGCATGTCATCGTAATTGAGGACTTGTGCAAGCTTAGTGACAGCTATGACCTGGATTATCATATCACTTACAAGACTGATTACCAGATGCCATTACTGGCATCTGTGGCGCAGATACGGAATCGGCCTGCGTAATAGAGGAACTGCCGACGTTTCTGCTGGCAGGCATTTGATGTGTCGCCAAGTTCAGCCCTGCATCAGGTGTGCTGATTTGCTGTGCTATGACATTCGTGGCGGCATCAGCGCTGGGTGGTCCGCCTTTTGGAGCCTCAACTTGGGCGTTGCCATTCTCGGGCTCCGATTTGGCTTTCTTCACACCTTCGCGAGGCTCATCGTGGCAGAGATGCCCGATGTTTCTCTTGATACATCTCGTACATGGTCGTTCCTGCGATCAGCAACAGTCAGCGTCGGAGAGGCGGACACGTTGTAGGATCAACTTACAAGATCGCAGGTCATATGCTGGTGAACGTCAAGTCAGCAAGTGTTGCAAAATCTAGTGGCGCGACAAGGTCACATGTTCTGGATGTCAAAAGACGGTGGGGCTTACCGAACGTCTGCAATAGATGCACGCTGTTTGGGAACAATAAAATCAGTAAAGGGTTTCAAGAGCACAAGAGGTAATTTTACCATGATTGACCTTTCGGCGTTTTTTGGAGGTTCTCGCAGGCGTGTCCGACCCTGGTGCAGACGATGACTTGTCCTTAGACGGTGATCTACTCTTGGGCGCAATTGATGTGGAGGCATCATTCCCCTGGTTTACTTCTTTGGCACCTGTCATTATAGGCGAGGCTGCTCCATTGGGTCTTTGCGCAGCCTCCGGCATCAACCGTAGTGGTGTGGGCGGGTTTCAGAGCTGAGTGCTGGGCGCTCGGGGTAGTACGGATGGGTCTGGTGTGCGTACGAGCGCCAGAAGAGGCCGAACGAACTGGCAAGTGGAGCACGTTCCTGGGTGGCACAGCAGCGTGTTTCGTAGACGTGAGCTAAGTTGGCATATGGGCGGCGATCAGTGAATGTTCATGGTCGCGTGGTTAGCCGACGCTCAAGAGGAGAAACCGGAACGTCGGACTCCGCAAACGCCTTCCTTAGCCGCGGGGTTGAGGCTGCAACCGCCTTTCAAATTTCTGTCACCTCTATCAACAACTCTCAGAACGTCTTCGCCACAGCAACGGCAGACTAAGCAACATCAAGGTCGCACGAATTGCACCGCAGCGCCGCAGCGCCGCAGCGTCCTGTGGGAGCATGACTGATGTCCAGCAGTAACCGGGGCGTGTGGGTCCATCACGTGTAATAACTAGAGCACAATACAGCTGGGACGATGCCTACACTTGCATCAACGTGCATGCGCTACGTCCTATGGCCATCACATCGGTATCTCCGTTACTGCAAGTGGCGCGCAGCTGGCTTTGTGATAATCTTGCCCGCCGCATAGGTGGTCGCGGACCGTCCCTGGCCCCTGTCCTGTTGATTGTTGGGCGAATGCGCCAATCATGCCGACGCATTGTCCAATCCAGCGAACAGACCTCTTCCTTGCTCACCGCATTGCTGCCCGCATACAGCCACTGCTTGAAAGCATAAACACCTATCCGAACTCCTGTGCACCTGCATGCCAGTAGTTCACAGCATGGCATACTGCTCTGCACTGGCATGTCTGAAAAGCACGTCGTCTAACGCCGTCTGCGTATCTGCCATTGCCTGATCAATGCCCTCTACCTGCACATGATTCCCCTGCATGTTCTCTAAACTGCGCCGGAGTTGATCGAGTATCGACGCCAACTCAGCGTTCGGTGCATTGAGTGTAGGAATACCTACTACAGCTGCTGGTCTCAACCGAATGTCCTCGGGGCCATCATCATCAATGCTCAGGTCCCCACTATCGAGCAGGAGGGGGTGGTTCTGCAGCTGTCAGTATGATCACCGTGGAACTTCGACTGCGAATGCGTACCCGGCCATGCTTTCGCTGGTGCTTCCACTCTGTTCTCCACTCTTTTGCATCGTTCTTGAGCTCATCTAGTTGCCTTTCGTCTTTTGATAAAAGCTTCTGCGCCACTTTGACCTGTTCTTGAAGGAGTTGCTTGGAGTGACGGGCTGTGGTAACTTCCCGAAAGAGCTGTCCGTTGCGCTCCGTGAGCTTGTCGATGCTGAAGTGATAGTCTCTGGCCTGAGGTGGGATCTTTGAGGCTGCGAGATGGTGCACAAGTTTCTTGACAAGCGGGTTTAGACTGTTGTGTGCAGCCATGACCTTGCGCTCATCTCGCTGCGTGTTTGCAATGTCTTTCTTTGCATCTTTCACAACGGTGCTCATCTGCTCCAAAACCTGCGGGGACAGCAGTGGCCATGTTTCAATGACATTTTGTGGTATCCTCTTAGTCTTTGTTTCCAGCTGCACGTATTTCTTCGGGTTTTTCGTAGGCTCTGCGGCGATCTCGTCTGCGTCGTCATGGATCCTGCGCTTGCGTGTTTGGGAGGACCGCGTTTGCGTTGGCGGAGCTACGGAGAGCTCATCCTCTTGATGCTCCTGCGATTTTGTCCCTGTCTTCTTCTTCGTGCTACCCTTCACAGTTGTTTTGGGCTTTGCGACCCGGCTTGTGGAAGCTTTGCTGTTGCTGCTTCCAGGCGGCCTGCCTCGTCGCTTTTTTGCATCATTTTCGCCTGCGCGGACCCGCGCCTTTCATACGTTAGTGAATTCGAGTTGCAGCGCGTGTTAAAGTACATACCATGACGTCGTGTGGGACTCGCAGAGTCGCGTCTGGTCGTGTTTACAGCAGTCTGGGGTACGCGACTAGGTATCATGAGTCATGTAAAGTGGCTAGCGCCCAAGTCTTGAGTCGTACAGCTTCCAGTGCATTCCCGTTTCGAGCATTCTGAATTCAAGTCTGGATTTAAGTGTCTACCAAGTCCACCGTTGGGGGCTTGAAACTATCGTGAGCTGAATTTTATGGTGTGTAGACACTCGCCGCGTTCATCCTCTGAATAAGTCTACGCTTGGAGTCACATATAGATGGGTTTTGATCGTTGAAGGTGGCTGTCACAGCTATGATTTGTAACTGAGACCGGTACTGAAGAGACCTGTATCTCTTGAAATGAGGTTCACAAGATGACCTGGGCAAACCGCTCAGGCTATCTTGTCGTAGCAGCATCCAAGCTGGAGTTGTAAGCCGTGGTGCAACCGATCGAACTATTGTATCTTGATGGTTGTGTAAGACAGATCAAGGACGGAATCAGATCAGAACAAAAATTCAAGGGAAACGGTACCTCTGGGCTACTTCCACGGGGCCCACGTGATTCAAGCACATGAGATGCATTGTTTCAGGGGAGCGATGTGCAAAGCCAGAGATGTCGGACAATTTGCACATGGGACTGCTCGTGGTCTGGGAGAGTCTCGACCCGCTTCCCAGTTTTGAGGAGATTCGATCGAGGAGGCACCCGCGCACGCCAAGCAGACCCACAGCGGCGGAACGACAACCGTCACGCTCGATGGGCGGACAGAAATAGCGTCATGACGACCGCCCTTTACAGTCGCGTTGTGTCTGCCGTACGCGCACGTTGCTGTGCTCAGAGCTGAATCGCTGCTTATGCTTGCAACCGCGGTGAGCGCTGTTGTGTTACGGACTGCAGCCGGCGCTTCAGGTAGGTGCGTGCTTGGGCGGCGTGCATCTGACATCTTATTGGTGATCACCCGGCCTTAACGTAGGATGTGTGCCAGGGAGCGGCACCCAACGATCTCCAAGGGTGTCTGCCCTGCTTGACGTGTAAAGTGGGATCATGTCGCCTCGCCTAACAGGTCGAGGGGATTTGTTGACTGCCTCCTTTAAGTCTCCTGGGGCATCCAGCCAACATGCTTCACCGCTCCACCGTAGCTGCTCGACATGTTGCGACGACTAAGCAGGCAACTGAACGAAGAAAGAGATGGCCTCAAACTTGAACGGAAGAGTAGTAAGAGAGAGCGGATCTCACAGTTCTTTCGTACAAAGTCGATGAGAAGACAAAAGCCACAGCAGCACGATGAAGCACTTGTACGCCAGCCCACCTTTCTTATCTTACCAGTCCCAAAGTCTCGTCACCCAAGTACTACGGCTAACAATATATCTGCCTTCTAGACAAACAAGCGCGAGGGCGAAGTACTTTCTTTGCATAAAGCACCCAGCCCCGAGCAGAGGAACGCACCACACTTTGAGCCCTCAAGCGGACCCGTCGATGCGCCGAAGCCAGCACCGCTTGACAACGGCGACGCAACGCTGAAAAAGTCACCGATACCGACCCATAGTCAACAGGGTGGCATTGGAAGAATGCAGCCCAATGCATCAACAGAGCAAATCGAGGGAATACCGTCGAAGTCTCAATCAAGGGCGGGCCAAGATGAGGAGCACGATCTGCTCAGTAGCGAGAGCGTTCATGCGCTCTTCTCGGGTGCTCCAAGCCTGAGCTTCAAGTTCTTGGACAGTCGGCCGTTGCCACAGGTGTCTTATCCGTGGGACCATGGAGTGAACCATGATGATGCTACCGATCACTTACGCCTGGAGCAACCATCATACTTGGCCTCAACAGCACATACGAACACTCAAATCGCGCAGTCGATGCAAAGTGGAACGATCGAACACCAAGTGTATCAAACGAGCGCTGTCGAGACGCCGAATTTGCTCAGTGCTCAGGGTATTGAGCCAGGCAGTGTTGGGCTTGCTTACTTCTTAGAGCTGCCTCTGGCGGACCACCTCGTTACGGAGCCTCAGTACGATGAAACAAGTGAGGAATGTATCGAGATTGCCAGGAACAAAGACCTCATGCAGACTAGCCCCGAGCGTATCGGCATACGCGCTGTTAACATGAACTCGGTATACGATCGCCTGATCGAATTCCAGGATTTGTACGAAGCATTTCAGCAGAGCCCAGAACGCATCACAATCCTCAACAATCAAAGTCTTGGCGACTTGTATGCGCACCTTTTTAGTACGTTCTTGACGCCCCCTGGTTATGCTGGAGCCGAACTCGATCCCACGGGTCTGCAAGTACAGATTGTTGCTATTCTCAGGGTCCTAAATCTGAAAGGCATCTGGCACGACTTCAGCCTTGTCGAGTGGAGGATCAGGCTTGGTCAAGTCCTCTTCAGCGATCCTGAACCTGCGCTCGACGCAGAAACCAACCCCCTCTGGTCGGAACGGGATGTTCTGCTGCTTCAGATCAGTCTATCCTGCGAACTTCTGCTTAGGCTGGATGCAATCTCGGCGACGAGAGCTGGCGAAGTGGACGATCAAACACATGTTAGTGCGCGAGAAGTAGCAGTGTTTGCAAGTATTACCACTAGGAAAATTGAATGGGATATGATCCTAGCACGTAAATTTTTGGAAAATATCCTTGTCATCAAGGGTGACGACAGCAGTGCTTTGACGCCAGTGCAAGAAAAGAGAGGATTATTTTCCATTCTTGGTGTCAATACCCCGAAGGAACTTCCTAGATCTGATATTATCTTTCTGCCACAACATCAATCTCGCCAACTCTCAGGACTCCTCCACTTCGCGGAAACAATTAAATGGCCAACGATAGATTCTGTTGTGAAGTCATTGGCTGAGAAGCTCGGAGATCCTGATCAAATCGCTGAGCAAGCACCGCAAACCTCGTCTCCTAGCGCGTGGACTTTCAACCCCACGACCCCTTCAGTCGTCAGTGTGTACGGAACACCTCTCCAAACTCCTCGCTCGGCGAACCATCAACTTGATGACTATTTTGGACGGGTCCAAATACCAACCATGAGACGTGGCAACTCGCGGTCGCTACGATTGCCCCTTTCCAAGACGCTGTTATCACTTGAAGACAGTCCCAAAACAGCAGTGGTCGATATTGGCGGTTGGCTTAGCAGGTCTTTCTTAACAGGCTTGATTCTGCCAGGTGAGGCCATCTCCCATCTATTGATATCTACTCTCCTTGAAAATGATAAGCTTGCGATGTCCGCCCTTGGGGACTCAGCAGATCTATACGGTGGTTTCGTCTATAACGGCAGGAGCTGGTGGAGCAAAGCGTCCATTGCGGGCCGAGTACTCGCGTGCTCAGAAGGAGCGCAAGAATGTATGGGATGGATCTATGTGGACACCCTGCCAGAGGGTGCAAGCGACGGCTGGCATTCCATACGCAGCGAACAGTCGCCGATCAGCTCACGTATCGTTCCCGCCAAGGACGTGGTGGCGATAGATTCATCTGCTTTGCCCACTAGCACGAGCATCTCGGTCAAGTCCACAGACTTTGTGATGCCCAAAGACCTCGAGGATGTCTCCAAGGCGCATATCCGCTTTATGCAGTGGGATTTGACACCACTTAATCCCGATCTTATCGACGAAGACACGGACGCCAGACGTTCAAGCGAAAGCGACGTTTACACTCCATCGCTGTCATTTCAAACTGACGGTGGCATTGAAGAGCATGTTCTAACACTCGCCCACGAGGTACAGTTTGTAACGTCTTGGCCTTGCTTCACGCCAGCTTCCACATCGGCCGCCAGCCCGCGACATGTGACAAAACGCTCGGTAACGGGTACACTGTCACACACATCCTCAAAAAGAAGTGTGAGCACCATGTTATCCCGTCGCAATAGTCACGGCTTCGAACCTCTTCTATCACACCCTCCGGAGGCGGCAGTTATGGGACCGCAGCGAATGAATACCGATGAACGAGACAATGAGCGAACAAATCCGGCAAGACTGGAGAGACCAGTAGTCGCGCATCCCCTGCATGCGTCCTACAGTTACAAGATCATGCCAGTCGGTAGTGTCTTGCAGTCAGATTTTTCGACACCTTTCACAGTGTCTGCAAACCAGCTGCCCACCTGTTCAGCTTCAACTCTTCTGAAAGACGGGCATGAAGAAGGTGCAGGTCGCGATGATTACAGGACTGTGCTTGTTCTTGACGCACGGGGCAGTTCAGACGCTCAGTTACTCGCGAGAGCGTGGTGCGCCGAGAAGGGGCTCCATGCCGTGATCGGTCGTGCAGAAAGAACGTGCCTTGCTTGCTGTATTCGAGAAGCACGTGGCTTAGCCGTCAACGTTGTAATCAGGTGTTAGGAGAGTCAAATTGGGCCTAACAAGCTTGTTGTATTGGAGTAGTGGAAAGTAAGTACAAAGTGCAGAAGTTGGTGTGCAGTACGAACTTGGTGTGGTGACGCATGAGCTAAAGATGAATAAGCCCCCGAACAGAGAGACGGGATGGAAGGCCCGGAGATCCACAATATCAGGGTACAGAGGATTGCTTCCAGATGATATACGCTCTGGTTGTATTCCGCATGTTCAGTTTGGAAAGACTGAGTGCCTGGTTCACGCATTTGTATGATACCCCATCACCTAATATGAAACCCTTTGCAAGAAAGCATAACGCACCAACAACCTCCATTTTCACAGGATACAAGCGATTCAAAAGTATTTAAATGAATTAGCTAACTAAGGGTCGATATGCTGGCTGAAAAAAGTTTGGTTCGTATTGTCGTGGTCAGGGAATGGGTCACGTGATCAGCCCCGACGTTCAATTCACTGAAACATATAGCTACTTTTTCGCTTCTATGCAGTCGTCTCATCCAAATCAAAAGAACCCATCTTCCTCGGCGGTACGCGAGCAATGAACATTGTATCGATCTCGCGATTCGTGCGCCCCTTAAGCTCCGGAACAAAGACCCACGATCCAAGCGTTGCGATGGCAGCGAGACCTCCGAACACGAAACCAACCTTGCCCTTCAGATTGGCCTCATCTGGGTTGACCAAATAGGGTATGGCGACGTTCATGACAGTACCAACGACCGCCTGTGTTGCAGTTGCGAGAGCAGTGGTGTGCGCTCGGAGACCCATGCTAGACACTTCTCCTAGAAGTACGAAAGCCATAGCACCGAGAGTCATGAAATACACAAAGGCGTATATGACGGTACATGAGGCTTGTACCCATTTCGAAGGTCCGGTTGGTACGACATCCATGATTCCAATCAAGATCAGCAAGCCTGTGAGGCATGCCATACCGCTGATGAAAACCTTGCGGCGACCGAAAGAGTCAACCACAAACCAACTGGCAATGTTTCCGGCTACACCGCAAGCTGTAACACCAACACCGAGGTCAAAGGAACGACTGGTGTCTAGGCCGGCAAGCTGGAAGAAGTATGTGGAGTAGCCGAGTACAAAGACGATACCGACTAGGTGTTGGCATGCGAAGACTCCCATTGAGATGGAACTGCGCAAGAGGTTTATGCCTCGGAAGCAGTCAAGAAAGCTCGATTCCTTTTGCCTCTCCTCTTCCTGGATGGTCAACTTGAGGCTCGCAAGTTTGTCGGTTACATCGATCTTCTGGCCCCACAGCCTTTGCAAAGAACTAACAGCTTCGCTGTCCTTTCCTTTCCGAACCAAGTACCACGGTGATTCCGGAGCCCAGGGCAGACCGCACAAAAGGAACACAGAGAAGATCAGTTGGATGGCGAAGGGCGCGGCGTATGCCCAGCGGTCGGTTCTCTCCCCAAAGCCTTTAACAACCGCGTTCGAAAGCAGTTGGCCAAGAGCGATGCCGAGATTGATGCCAGCAGTAGAGATACCGCGAAGCACTACAGGCGAGATCTCGCTACAAACAAGAGGGCCAATTGTGAGGTAGAAACCAAGGCCGACTCCAAGAATGAGCTTCGAGAGAAGGAAAGCGACCCTTGTAAGAGAGAACATCTCCCCGAAAGCACCACCAATGCAAAACAAGACGCCGCATAGCAATGAAGCTCGTCGACCAAACTTGTCTGCGATTGTGCTACACCCGAATCCTCCAAACAGCATACCGACCGAGCTGACCATGTTGAACGCGGTTTGCCAGCTTGCCGGTAAGACTGGTTCGCCATCGAAGATGTATCCGAAATCTCGACGGAAGGAGGCGACAGAGATCATAGCTCCGTTAATCTGTGCATCGAATCCCCTATTAATACAAGTAAGTCATATGAAAGCTGCGAACAAAATAGATGATATCTCACCATCCGATAGCACACATTGACCAGTAGAATGACCATCCGATCAGAGCTCGATGGTCCCTCCAAACATCTCCAAGGGTGAGTTGGTGCTCTGTGATGTTGTCGGCAATGGCACCCTTGGTCTCGGTGATGCTGCGTTTCAACCCATCTGGCGTGATGGTTTCCTCGTGATGAGTGACAGACGTTGGCTTCTCCATGATGGACAATGTTGCTATGAAGGAGATGTCTGAACAGTAGACACTTGCTGAGGTGTGTTGATCCCTTCCACATGGGAACAGCATACTATTATATATTGCTCAAAGGGGGAGGCTCCGACCCACTTTCGAGTCTTGATGCGGAGAAATCCCGGACTCTCGCCTCCACAAGCTGCGAGCAGGCCTGCCTTGCACAGAGCTGAAAACCCGGGGTAAATGTGGAGGGCGACACTCCGCGACAATGCACAGCCAAGGCTATCTTGAGTGCGTCGGAGTCTTAGCCGCGGCTAGCCAGAGCTGGCATGGTGAATAAACTCACCGCAAGATGAGCGACACTCCGCGACGTTCCAACCTTTCTCCACCCAACAAATATCTTATCCACCACATGGACTCATCCCAGCATCACGCGGTATCTCCACATGAACCCGCACCAGCTGACAGGACTGGCCAGAAACGGCCCGCGCCACGCGGATCTGCATCGTATCCACGCAAACGCGCTGTAACAGCTTGCCAAGTTTGTCGGGCTCGTCGCACGAAATGCGACAATGCAAAGCCTGCGTGCACCTTCTGCGTCAAAGTTGGTGCAAAGTGCATTCAGGCACCGGTTGATCTTTCAAGCTTCGATCCTGCAAGCCTCCAAATTCTTCAACGACTTGACGATCTGGAACAAGTCGTCCGCGATGTCGGCAGCGGCAATGCCACAAGCAAACAGGCTTTTGAGCCTGCGCAGATGGATGCAAAACTAGATCGATCGCAGCTACTTCCATGTTCGATCAATGCGATATTGGAATGGCAACCTCTAAAGAGGCTGACCGTTGGTCGGGAGGTGCAAGGCCCTGCATTCCCATGCACCAACAGGTCTGCTTTGCAGATGACAGGCTCTCCACCCATATCGGGCCTTGATGAGTTTGAGCCTCATCGTATCAAGCTGCTGCTTGACAACTTCTTCAACTACGTACATGTGAAGAACCCAATACTGGATGAGCAGAAAACAAGACGGACTGTGAACAGAGTCTGTATGCATGGAATCGACTGGTCGCCAGATGCATGTCTAGCACTCCTAGTCTGCGCACTTGGTACCATAGCTACTCCACTTGATGGGGGATACATTCGCAGTGATTCAGAAGCATATCGCACCGCCGAGTCTTTCTTTTTGGCCGCCAAAAAGAGGCTTGGTCTCATCTTAGGGACGTCGAGCCTTGTTGAAGCGCAGTGTATGTTCTTTGCTGTAAGTGCGTCGAGCCCTGACAGAGCTCTAGAATGCTAAAACTTTCACAGGGCGTGTACAGCATGTGTAAATATCCCAACATCTGAGTGCTGGACTCGATCAGACGCTAATACATGCACAGGCACATTTGATCGGATGCCGGCCTGGCGATATTTCATGCAGTCATTGGCTTGTTGTCAGACTTTCCAATCTCTGATAGCCTTCACACAAGATTACGGAGAGCAGTTAGATGAAGCAGGGCGTCGTTCAGCAGCTGCCGAGCAAGCCATCTACTGGTCAGCATGGAAGTCCGAACGTGAGGTGAACGATGACCTCAATCTGCCGGGCTTTCTGTTTTCCGAGATTGACATCGCCGGGTATCCACCTTTCTTCCCAACTCCGCCAAATCATCAGGACGAAGTGCAGAGATTGCTCAATGCGGAAGCTGAGACCCGCGAGCAGATGTCTTGGTACTTCTATCTCTCTGAGATATCGCTACTGCGATTGTGGCGTCGCATGGCCAAAGAGATCATGGAATTTGCGCCAGGTCCAGGGCAAGACCACATTCTAGGGCTGGCTCAAGGAGTACCAGGCCGCGAATCCCAAATTATGGACTGGATTCGAGCGTTACCCGGAAATATGTCCACACAGGCGCCAGTGGAAGAAGACGAGATCTGCCGATTTGTTCTTCGAGGACATCTTATCAATGTCTGGGAGATTCTTTACTGGCCATTCGTTAACCGAGCCATACAATCGGGTTTGTATGGTGATATCAGTCCTGTTGTACAGCAACTGGCGAGCAAGGGTCTTCAGATCCATGTGGACCGCGTCGATGTCAACCGCCCCGGATTTTCACACAGACATCATGGCACATTTGGTATGATCAAGTCATGCACACGGAGCGCCCTCATCCTGCTCGCTGCGGCGAGTAGCTTTACTGCTTATCGGCATGAGCAAGCGCCCGTACGCGAACTCGCTTGCGACCTACCAAGTGGGTGGCAAAGATCTGTTGAAGACGTGATTCAATTACTTGAAGCCTGGGTACACGAAGCGGCAGATCTTTCGACTATATTAGCAGTTCTTCGGCAATTGTACCACGACTGTCCGGCAAGGACCTGACGGAGTGGCCGCAGTGCGTATCCGGACTTGCATGGCCAAGAAAACGACACTCGGTTCACGGCTAATTATGAGTCGTGCTTCCCGAGGGCGCTAGACGCGGTTGCATGATGCACGCGCTAGACCCATTCCCCAGAATTGACGTTACCGAACTATCGTCCCCGCATGCTCGCGGAGTGTCGGGAGCGCATCAACTTCGGTCCACTGTTCTACGCAGCGTCGACGTATCGGAAGCAAGCTGACCAGTAGTATCAGAACCTGCCAACATTAGGTACATTAGGAGCCATTCGCTGCCACCATGATTTTATTCTCAATATCCCATTCCCTCACTTCGCTCTTCTTGTTCGACTGCCCTGTTTCTGACCATGGCTATCCACACTCTGAACCCACCTTGTCAGCCCCTGCGAGTGTCTGGCGATGCTGTCGTCAACGCTGCGGGTGAGCGCGTGGTGTTGAAGGGTACAGCCCTTGGCGGCTACCTCAACATGGAGAACTTCATCACGGGCTACCCTGGCCACGAGCACGAGCACCGAGCAGCTCTTGCTTCTGTCTTAGGAAAGGAAAAGGCACAATTCTTCTTCGATCGGTTATTACACTACTTCTTCACCGAGGCCGATGCGGAATTCTTTGCCTCCCTCGGCATGAACTGCATCCGCCTACCATTCAACTACCGCCACTTCATTGATGATCAGGATCCGACATACTTCAAGAAAGAAGGGTTCGCACTCCTCGACCGTGTCATCAATATCTGCACAAAATACAACCTCTACGTTGTTCTTGACCTTCACGCTGCACCCGGTGGCCAGAACCAAGATTGGCACGCTGATGGCGGGTCTAACAAAGCTATGTTTTGGGAGTTTCGAGTTTTCCAAGATCAGGCTATCGAACTCTGGAAAGCCATTGCAGCACACTACAAGGGAAACCCAGTGGTATGCGGTTACAATCTGCTGAACGAGCCGGCAGACCCAGAACACGTCAGGTTGACATCATGGTACGAGCGTGCAGAGAAGGCCGTCCGGGCAGTAGATCCAGACACGATGCTCTTCATCGACGGCAACACATACGCGATGGATTTCACGTACTTCCAAAACGTTCTGCCCAACGCCGTGTACGCCTGCCACGACTACGCAATGTTCGGGTTCCCTATCCCCGGCCAAGCACTGTACTCCGGTAGCGATGAACATAAAGGAAAGCTGAAGCGACAGTTCGACCGTAAAGCATTCTTTATGCGCGAACACAACGTTCCGATCTGGAACGGCGAGTTTGGACCGGTTTATGCGAACGAGCAAGTTGATCCAGAGGCAGAGAAGGTCAACAACGCGCGTTACCACATGCTGCAGGATCAGCTGTCCATTTACGACCAAGACAAAGTCAGCTGGAGTATCTGGCTGTACAAGGACATTGGCTACCAAGGCATGGTGTACCTCAACCCGGAAACACCATACATGAAACTCATCGCACCTTTCGTGGCCAAGAAGCAGAAGCTTGCTCTCGACTTCTGGGGCTGCGTTGATAAGGAGGGCGTCAAGGACGTATACGAGCCATTTGTTGAGGGTCTGAAGAAGATGGTCCCTGAGCACCTTCAGAAGAAGAAGTACCCTAACATCTGGACCTTCGATAGGCAGATCGAAAGGGCTGTCAGGGAGTGCCTGATGAGTGAATACATGGGGTGGGAGTTCGCTGAACTGTTCGAAGGCAAGACAGAAGCAGAGCTGGAGGAACTGGCAAAGAGCTTTTCGTTCGAGAACTGTATCAAGCGGAATTCACTAAACAAGATCTTGCAGGATGATGGCAAGAAGACAACGGCATAAGAATCGAAATTCGGCTTCGGGTTTTAGCGCATACGCTTTGGGTATTTCGAGACCAGTGGATTCTAATGATACCAAATGATTCATGAACTTTTAGAATGAAAAAGGCATTTAGCCCTGTACTTCAAATCGAGTCCTTCAACACTCAAGAGATTCTCAATGTCCTCTCGTTGTGAAATCTTCCCGTGAAGCGCGAATCTCTTCTATATCTTGTGTCGCCGGTATACTCCCTGTGCTGGACTTGTCGTCTTGAGAGCATGTCAGGAAAGTTACTCAACTACTGCACTCAGGCACGTCCGAACAACTGCTTCAGAAAATGCAGCATCAGTCAAGAATGATGGATTGTCTCGTCGGGAGTCTTTCTCGTTGGGCTGTATAGGCTTTAACGGAGTTATTCAGTAGTGTTACTGTGGCTGATTGGCTACGATAGTGATGGTTTGGATTCTACAAAATTGCCGAGTGTCTGGTCGATCATACTTGGGTCCAGGACTGTGATGGCTTTCTGCTTCGCCTCAGGCGTGGCTTGATGAGCTATACCTGTTGCTGCTGCGCCTGCGTCTATTCTCGAAGCACGTTCCTAGTTTGCGGCTGCGCGTGCCTCAGAAATGACAGTTTCAAGACCACGAGGTGATTTGGTGCGTTACCGTTGAGCATACGTACGACTAATCTACGTAGCTACTTTCTCCCATTCCATCTCACTCGGCTCTTTCCAATAGTCTGTGCCACTTTCTCTGAAGCCCATCTTCTGCAACACTTTTCCGCTTCTTGTGTTTGTTCTCTCTGTCTCTGCAAGAAACCGCCTCACTCCTCTCTCACTAACAGCCCACTGCATCACTGCTCTTGCTGCTTCGCCTGCAACACCTTTGCCCCAATGGTCCCCGTGCACGCCGTATCGCAGTTCGATCATCTCTTGCCATGGCGGCAGTGGCTCATCGTCTGCGGCCCGATCTGGCATCGATGTTGTCGTTGCATCGCGGACACCTGCATAGCCCACCCATGTGACCTCGTCCAAGTTCAGGGCACCAATCGACATGTTTGATTCGCCGTCGACAGCAAAGTCCAAGATCCTTAAACTTTCCTCCCCATTCAGCTTTCTCCCTATGTCACTGGGAATAACACTCGAACCGTCGCCTTTGGTGCGCAGGGCAACTGCAAAGTCGCCCAGTCCTCTGCGCTTCCAGCACCTCTCGAGATCACGTGTGAGAATGACATTTCGTGTCTCTTCATCACTCAGCTCGCGAGCGAGGAAATGTGGACCAAACGCCATCTGGCAAAACGCCTCGCTTGCGTGCAAGCTGCCATACAAGTGGACATATGCGGCGTGTAGGATTGCAATTGGGGTTGGTACGATAAGGAGCCGCTCGGTGGTGAGAACGAATGGCTTCTGGAGGTACTCGGAGAGCTGAACAGACATGGCTGGCGCAGAAGAGTCAGGTGGTGTCGAACATGCGAATGGCTATGTAGATGTGGATATTGTCAGCTCAGCTAGAATTGCGGTCAGCTCTGACGCTAGTCATAGGTTCCCACACAGCCTAGCCCTGGCAAAGCCAGCGCACGCGAAGCATTGTGCCACAAGCTTCGGGTCTGATCATCACAAGCACTTTAAGCATACCGGTGGAGACCAAACAAGGAAAGATTCGGGCCTGTGGTGGCTCATCCATGGCAGTGCACCACACCAGTGTCAAGCGAGCCCGACACGGTTAGGCGCCCCTTCAGGAGCTGGACGCCTGTGTCTAACACCATCGGATTTTGGCTCCTTTGGCTCGTAATCTGACCCGTATCTAATTCGAGCGCATAGAGGCGAATTCTACAGCCTCAAATTTCTCTTACTTACAAGCCCGCAATTCCTGCAAATCTTTATTTTTTTATTCCTTCACCGATACCATTTGCGTCGCCGAACCAACTAGCAATACACCAACCTTCAACATGAATTACGCACCAATGTCTGATCCCGAGGACTATGGGATGGCCCAGTCCCAAAACATGGATGACACAGGTGCGCGACTCAATCGCTGCTGCGATCGCTCTGGGCCTTGGGGTGTAGACATCTTCGCCAGCTGCATCGCCGGCTGCTGGGCCGGTGTTCTTGCTTGCTTCGATGGCTGTGGTGAATGCTGCGGAGAGTGTTGCGGTGGCTGTGGGGAGTGTTGCGGAGAGTGCTGCGCCAGCGGTGGGAATTGCTGTACTTGAGCAGGAAAATGCCTCGGGCCTGAGGTTGCAGCTACCTCAAGAGATGGAGAAGAAAGAGCTTGGTCCAGAAGTCGGGGAGCAAGTGCAGCGGCTGCTCTTGCAACTGTCGGGACTGCCTCCTTCGCCACCTCATGCTCAACGCGTGACCTCCGCCATCCCATCACCATCCACCTCTTATCGCGCTCGTTGCAATAATATCTTACTGGACAACATCGTTACGTCGCCCTCACTATTACAAACATGGATCGAAAGACTGGTCGTACGCCACCTGCCACCTCTACTGCCAAAAGAGAGCCTGTTCACGAAAGGGACGGTGCCAACATGCTCAGTGCCACGCCCAATTTCTCTCGCCCGATTCTGCCTCCAAGAGGGAGCGACACGAACCGAGGGATCAACGCTACTCAGCCAAAATGTAAGCTTGATCGAGAGATCCCTCTCCACGTCGTGCACATAGCCAGAGGTGACTGATCGGAACGTAGCAAAGACATCGCTCAGAAAGATTGACATCGCTCGCAATCCTTTCGGCGATGAACACAGCGTTGACGAATGGATCTGCCCGAGATGCGGCGGAAGCCAGGGAACAACAACACCTGAACGTGCAAAAAACCTCAGACAGAACCGCCGTTACTACTTTGCTTGTGATGTGATAGACTGTGGCACAGAGCTTATGGCTAAGATGGGAAGATACCGTTCTTCTGGTAAGTCGTACTGCTATGTCCGTTTCACCTGACATGTACTGAAAAGCAGTATAGTCAAAGTCATTGCAGTCAATCAATCTTTTGAGGAGTAGTATTTTGCTCAGAAACGGGCGCCAAAGAAGGACAGAACGAACGATGGCCTTGTTCGCAGGCTTGGAGGGGCTCTAAAAGATCGTCTCCTCGAGTGGACATTCGACAAACCCACGTCCCAAGTGGGAGATTCCGAGTCAATCTCGACAGACTCCTCGAAGAGCCGTGTCTTCTCCTGGGCCAGGAATGCGACCAGCGCGACTGATCCTGGTGTCCCTGCAGATTCTTCGGCGACAGATTCAGATGAGGTGCGACAGCTAGCCACCAAGCAACCCCTTACAGCGCGCCTGCGTTGCCAACGTTGTAATCAACAAATCTTTGACCCTGATATGCTGCGGAGTCATGTTCAGCAGTGTGAAGGGAGTTGAACAGACTAGCCATCCAACAACATCCAACTGCAGCTTGACCGACGTCCCGTCTTTCAACATCGACTTCGCCCGGCGAGGGTTAGATTATTGGAGGGCGTTTGTGGTTCGGGGACCGCGTGCAAGATTAGTGTCTAGATCAGCGTCCAAGTAGTCAATGTATTATTGCCAAGTCAAATCGATTGTGCCATGCTCGCATGTCGAGATAAATCGTACACCAGAATCAGCGACCTCATTCACAGGCTCTCGCTGGAGATGCCCAACCTCTGCCTTCTACCCTCCCTTCCCAACACCACAGTCCCCTCAAAACTTTGGCTCTCTGCTCGGCTCTATGACAGCTTCTTCTCGGCCTTAGCCGCAGTCGCCTTCAGGTCAGCCTCCAGCTCCTTGCCCTCGGCCTTGACCAACTCGCCAGTCTTCAGGCTCTGGTTATACGCGTAGATCCTGCCGACCTGTGTGGCGCCGACGCAGAACAGCAGGGCGTTGACAGCAGCCAGAACGACGTTGCGGGGCTTGATGACGAAGCACCAGCGCGTCCAGATGGCGCCTGTGCACATGAGGGCGAAGTTTTGGGTCAGCGAGAGCGACTCGGCGGGGCGCGCGAAGTCGGCAGCGCCGGCGGCAACCATGGCCCATTTCATAACAGGTGCCCTGTGCAAGGAGTCAGCATGTGTGCAGTCACAGCTTGTGCGGCGCTCCGAGCCCGGAGATAAGGCATTGCCAGGTTGCGGGCAGCAATTGGCAGTGCCCTTGCGGTGGACAGAGAGCGAGCGAGACGTACCAGAAGTGGACAGTCTTGGGGCCGATGGGCGAGTTCCAGAAGCGAGCGAAGCCGGTGGGCTGCTCGGCGCCCGGTGCTGTTGAGGCATAGCGACGGGTGTAGAACTGGCGGTAGTTTGTGCGGAAAGCGCTGAAGATGCGGGAGCCGGGGCGGAAAGACATGGTGGCAGCGGTGGACCGTCGGAGGGTGCGAGCTGAGGGATCGTGGGTGGTCGACGGTGTAGGAGTTGTTGCACTATCGCGATGCCGGAAGTCAGATTTCGGATGATGTTGAGCGGTGCTCCGATTGGCTTGGCGCGGCGGGTCTGCGAGAGCTTCACGTCAGTTGGCGACGGCGACGACCTCCACCAATTGATACCAACCACCGCCCGAACACGACACACGATGGCGTCCAAGTATGCATTCAGCACGGGGCTGAAGGAGCTGCGGTTTCTGTTCTGCCAGACCAGCGAGCACAGCGCTGCGACACGGTACGCCGCCCCATGCACACAAAAGGCTTGCGATGCGCCGGCGCTGCTGGAAGAGACGGGAAATGACAAGCCCAATGGCTAATATGGAATACAGGACTTTCCTCCAGCGCAGCTACCCCACAATGAAGAAGCACAACCCGCACACTCCGATCCTCATTCGCGAGGCCAGCGGCTTCGAGCCTACGCTCTATGCGAGATACAGTGCGTCTGGTCGACACGCTACACTGCCAATGGCACTGACAGATGAGCAGACTTTGGAAAGGAGAAGAAGATTCAGTTGAAGGGTCTGGACGACAAGTCGATCGAGCAGAAGGTCTCCGAGCTTGTGCAGGCTGAGTCGGCATAGAGGAGACGGACCAAACGTGGTAGAGGAGAGGCAGGAGAAAGACTCGAAAGAGCAGCGGCAAATTCGAGCACAGCCAGTGTACATGTGTATTATGACGAATGTACTTGTTCCAGCAGCCACCCCCTTCGCCAGCAGTCGTCATGCAACGCCAGTTGATGCTTCGCGAGCGAGCCAATATTTTCTCGATCTAAAAGACGAAGCATGCGTCAAATGTTTTCTCGCCCTCTGCAGTCGACGATTGCATGGCAGTCCTCCACGTTTACAGTGTCGGGGACACGGCGCTTACTGTAACCTGTGCCTCAGCGCCCCTTACTAACCTCCATTCCTCTTGCTTTCACCTACACCACTCCACCCATCTTGTCAGTGCGCTGAACAAGTACCAAACGCCATTCTCGCACGACCGAATGACACTTCCACTGCGGCTAATGAATCACATCAAGCGCATAACTGCACGCCTACAACTGCAGACTATTAGGCGACCGTTCACTACTGGACTGGTTGCTGCTGCTGCCACAGGTTGGAGCGTTGCGATGGTGAACCACGGATTCGGCTTCGGATTGGCAGGCGTCAGGCGTGGTACGTCTTCTGATCTAACCGTAAGGTATCTTGGCTCATGCTAACTACCGCGCAGGTTCTCGTGCAGCTGCCTGGCAATCAAGCAAAGGGAGCGTTGATCGTGGAAGCGCGTTTTCTATATCCCAGAGCGCTGGAGCTGGGGGGTCGGGGAGTCTCATCCTATATGGCGTACCAACGGCAGGCGCTGCCCTTATCACCATCTACTCTGGGTACAGGATGCGCACCAGAACGACTATAAGACGTCTGTGGTATAGAAGTCGGATTGGAAGTCAACGATTGCGCACCCAAAGCAATGCGAAGCAAGAGAGCGCTGGATGTTAAGCAGTAATTGAGTCGCTGTGATTGGCTCACGAATGAAATAATGTGGGGCCAAGCATGCTAGATCGGGAACAAGACATTGTTGGCATCGACTATCATGCTGACACTCCTCGTACCTTCTCACGCAAACTGCGCCACATGTCAATGAACGACTGATGATAACGACGATTTGCTGCATGCACGATCTGAAGTATGTTCGACCGCATCAAGGGTCTGTTCGATCTTGAGCGCAACGGTGAAGATCCTATTGTTTTGGCGATGACATTGACTCAAGGGTGCGATTTATGGTGCATTGCATGTTTACGTTAACATTTGTGCAGTGACATCTGTGTCCTGCCTTCGGTGATCACTATAGCCCATAAAGATGGGTACCAATGAACTGTGGTATCAGTAGCATAGGCTTCATTCGTTAATCAGTGTGATCAAAGCACCTAAAGGATGACCACAAACCCTCTCGTTACTAACGAATCTCTAGAGATAACTGTTCATGCGCTTGCCAGAGTGACTTCGATGCGAGGACCGCTCAATTGCGCAAGATCAATTCAAATGACGATATGCTTGGCACAGCGCATGGTTCAACATCTCCACGGCAAACATGAACGAAATGGCCACACGTCCTTGCGTGATGTCCACTAGACGTGTTTCACAGGGGTTCAGGCAAAGAATCTGCATTCACTTCTCCACCAAAACGTGTTGTGTGGCCTATTGCACGTTTTGGGCAATTGAGTGATGGAAGCGACATGGATGAATGGTGGGCCTGGTGCTGCCATTATAACCGAGAGCATCTTTATAAGTGCATTGCAGTCAGTTCGTTGCGAGACTGTCGATCGTTCGCTGTCAAATTGGTCATCTTGGATACAGGCGCAGGACGAAACGAAGCATCGAACCCGGACTGACCAGTCTTGATACTGAACATGTCAGGTCAGAGTCCAAACAACCCTTCCCCGGTTGCCAAATCCACTGCTTCCGACCAAGATGACCGCGATTCGTCGAGCGGCATCGATGCCAAACAGCCTGTCAAGGAGGCCGCAACCGTCACCAACCTAGCAACAGCAGAGACACAGCGGTCTGACGCAGTGCTGGGAGATTACGTTCTACGCCTCTTAGGCATTCGCAAAGGCCCAAAGAAGGATATATACGACCTCGATGCGGTACGTACTAGTTTGCACAGGACTTATATCATACAGCTGACCAGCGCAGGTGGCCACCCAACCAAGTATATGGGACTCCGATAACATCGAAGAGCTCAAGAGCCTCTATATCCACCCAAAGTGGGAGAACTGGACCGCATTTGACCCCAGTTTCCGCTGGAGCTGGCGCGAAGAGAACGCCATCCGGAGAAAGGTCGACTGGAAGATTATGGTACGAACTATCGTCCGGAGTCTTTGTGTCAACGACTAATGGAGTCAGGTTTGGGTCTGTATCATGTTTGCAGCCTTGAACATCGACCGAAACAATATCAGCAATGCAGTGTCAGACAACATGCTGGACGATCTCAATCTCACGCGTGGTGATTACAACACTGGTCAGACTATCGCACGTGTCGGCTTCCTTGTTGCTGAACTGCCATCGCAGCTTATCTCGAAACGGTCAGTGTTCTTGAGAACTATTTGACAGCACGGCTGACTTTAATAGTATCGGTCCAGATCTATGGATCCCCATACAAATCTGTTTGTTTAGTCTGATCTCCGCCATGCAGTTCTTTCTGAAAGGCCGGGCGTCTTTCCTCGCTACTAGATACCTGATTGCTACATTTCAGGGTGGCTTCATACCTGATACCATTCTCTATCTCAGCTACTTCTACACAGGCAAGAGCTTGCCTATCCGGCTGGCATGGTTCTGGATGTCATCGCAGCTGGTTGATATTGGTGTCGGCTTTGCAGCTGTGGGTTTGGTCTCCATGCGTGGCATTCTAGGCTATGAAGGATGGAGGTGGTTGTTCTTGATCGAGTAAGTGCCGCCTTGACTTAGGCGTGCTGATACTAACATCGAACAGGGGAATGTTCACATTTACCATCGGACTGATGTCATTCTTCCTTATGCCGCAGTGCCCTACAAGGACGAAGAGCTGGTGGAACCCTAAAGGATATTTTAACGAGAAGGAACAAAAGATTATCGTAAACTCCGGTAAGCTGACGCCCAATGTGAATCAGAGCAGTGAATTTAACAGTATACCACAGTCATTCGAGACGATCCTCAAAAGGGCGGTATGTACAACCGACAGGGCCTTTCCGTCGCCCAGATTTGGAAATGCTCGAAAGATTACGACATGTGGCCATTGTTTGCTTTGGGTCTCCTGTTTGGCATTCCCAAGTATCCAGTGTCGCAGTATCTGACACTGTCATTTCGAGATCTTGGATTCGACGTCATCCAGTCCAACCTACTATCAATCCCGTACATTGTCGGCTCCAGCATCACGATGCTCTTGATCACTGCGTTTAGTGAGATAGTCAACAACAGGAGCTTCGTTTCGATGGCGGAAGACGCTTGGTTGCTTCCTTGTTTCGCTGCCCTGATTGCGCTGAAGGATCCAATAAGTGGCTGGGCATACTTTGCCATCGCCACAGTGTTGCTCTCTTTCCCTTAGTACGTATTATTAATTAGTTTGGGCACGTTTAACTAGAAGCTTACCAAAACCAGCACCCACCCTATTCAAGTAGCCTGGACGTCGAGGAACGCCGGCTCCGTCCAAAATCGAACGGTATCTGCCTCGCTTTACAATATGGCCGTTCAAGTCAGTGGCATGATCGGCGCCAACAGTGAGTGCCCCTTGCGCGGCAAATCTGGTTGAATGCTGAATAGCCCAAGTCTACCAACCTTCCGATGCACCGCGATACTTCAAAGCGAACAAAGGCCTCTTAGTCATCTGTATCTGGATGTGTGTAAGTTTGGCTCAGTCCAAATGCAGACTTTCGTAACAGAAGCTTACCCCGCACAGCTTTTCCAATACCCCGGGACCTACTTCTATTACCGATGGCGAAACAGCCAGAAGGCGAATATCTGGGATACGTTTACTGAGGAAGAAAGAGAAAACTACAGGACGACCACAACAGACGAGGGCAACAAGCGGTAAGCGTCCTTTGGATACCGGTGAATTCAGGAAACTAACATCTTTGATAGTCTCGACTTCCGCTTTGCAACCTAAACGACGTGCGACAGCGAGTCGCTATCAGGAGTCGTTTGTATGTACGGCACGGAATGTTCCAAAATTTCGTTCGTGTTGCTACTTACTGTAGCACTTATCACGGTACTGCATCAGAATTTAGTGTCAAAATGAACCAGACGGAAACAGGAATAAGAAACTTTCAAACAAAATTACCCTTGTAAGACGAAACTTACCAGGAAATCGGAGTGTAACATCGTCTGTCCCGCAAACCGTGTACATTACTTAGTACCAAAGCTAATTCATCTCTGATCTGACAGCATCCTGACAAATTCGTTCCGATGGCTTGCCCGATACGAGACGTTGCTACTACCCAAAAAGCATATTACACAGATATGCATGTATCAGGTTCTACGCAGTTCGAGGCCCTCGCGTGCGCACCCATGTCGGCCGACACGCTCGCTTGCGTCGTTGCAATCTCAACGTCAGACATCCAAGATGCCACAACATGTCTCGCTCGTAACTTCCGTCGACAACTCGCTTCCAACTTCCATCAATGTGGGGACGCGGTGGAGAAGCCCTCCACACAGACTCAAGGGGACGAGCCGGCACTAGCTTAGAAGCGGATATTGCTGTCTCACTCGACCCAACGACACCTGTCAGCCGACCTCTTGACGATGCACACATGCCTTGCACATCGGAACGCGGTCATGCAAGAACCCCCTAGTTAGGCAAGCGGACTTCATTCAGCACGTCACAGCGGTCCGATGAGACCGGTAGGGACGGCAGGCGCCCATCCGAGTGCACGACAGCAAGCTTCTCCACAGCATCTATGCACATCTCCAGTACTTTCGTAAACAAGCAAACGCGATTGGTTCGTTACATCGGTGATTTAATTTGGCCCCTGGACGATGAGACCCTAGCGGCAACGGCGCCGTGATCGACGGGCGCCATTCCATGTCGTCGCTAGCGGATGAGGTTAAACACCCTCGCTTGAAGCCCCATTGCTTGTTTACCAAGACCGTATTCGCCGTGTTAGCGTTTCACGCAGATCATGGAGTCGTGCTCTTCAGCGCTTGGATATGGCGGAGAGTTTAAATATGGCTGCGTTGAAGTAGCCTCACGCTTCACCACCACGCTTCATCCACAGCCATGGAGCTACAGTACACTGGACTGGCGCATACACTGCAGACGGCGGCGATTGCTGCCCTGATTTTCGTGGTATGCGCATTCTTACCCAAACTCAACTACAAGTCCCAGTTGGCGAAGCTGCCTATCTTTGGAGGTTCGTCCTCTGGAGAGAAGCAGCGGCAAGCGTACCTCAGCTCTGCGAAGAAGATGTATATTGAAGGCTATGAGAAGGTAAGCAGCCTACACTTGCACTGGTATCCACTAACAGCTGATAGTTCAAAGACTCTGTGTACCGCATTGCATCGTCCGATGGGGAGGATAGCGTTGTTGTGCCGACTAGCCTGTTGCCTGAGCTCAGAAAGCTTCCTGATGATGTTCTCAGTTTTCCCAGGGCCGTTGACAAGGTCAGTGTTCAATTAGAAGACCATGTCACAAGCCTAACACATGTCAGACCATGGAAACCAAGTACACTAAGCTGCTGACAGAGTCTCATCTTGTAGTACACTCTGTTCGGTCAGATCTTACTCCTGCTCTGGGTTAGTACGAGGGTTCAAATGCATGTTCGATCCACTAACAGCCAAAGGCCGTATGAACCCCATCGTGCGGGAAGAAGTTGACACCTGCGTCGACAAGTACATGCCTGACTGCAGTGACTGGACCGAGGTCTACATCTACAAGACCATCGTCGACATTGTCGCACAGGTGTCTGGTCGTGTCTTTGTTGGGCCTGGTTTATGTGAAGATCCCGAGTACCTTGACTGCGCGACTAACTACACTATGGACTTGATCGATTCGGTGACTGCTATAAAGCAGCTACGGCCCTGGCTCAGGCCTTTCATGGCACCACGAACTCCCGAGATCCGCCGCCTCCGCCAGAGAGAGAAGAAGCTGACTGAGTATCTCCACCCTCTCATCAGGCAAAGGCGGGAAGCTGCGAAAGACCCCAACTGGGAGAAGCCGGACGACATGACGCAGTGGATGCTAGACCGCAGCGAGGGAGAGAACATGCCCGTGGAGCAGTATGCTCAATGCCAGCTTGGCTTGATCTTCGCCGCCATCCACACCACCTCTCTCACAGCTACCAACATCTTCTACACCCTCGCGGCAACACCCGAATACATCGGCCCCCTGCGCGACGAGATCCGTAGCGTCCTCGCCGAGCACAACGGCGAAATCACTACCAAGGCCCTGCAGCAGATGGAAAAGCTCGACAGCTACATGAAGGAAGTCAACCGCTTCTTCCCCCCCGGCATGAGTACGTCCCCTCCTGTTGTGCAGTGTATATACTAATTTTCAGCCTCCTTCGGCCGCCGCGTCCTCAAAGGCATCACGCTCTCGAACGGCCAGTACATCCCGCCCGGCGTCGTCGTCGAAGTGCCCTCGGTGGCTGTGTACTCCGACTCGGCGCTGTGGCCCGACAGCGGCACCTTCGACGGGCTGCGGCACTACAAGCTGCGGCGCAGCGGCGCCGCGACGGACCACGCGCGCAACCAGTTTGTCACCACCAACGAGCAGAATCTGGCCTTCGGGTATGGGCGGCACGCGTGCCCCGGGCGCTTCTTCGCGGCCAATGAGATCAAGATGATTGTCGCGAAGATGGTGCTCGAGTATGATATTAAGATGCCGGACGGGCTGACGGAGAGGTATGCGCAGATCGAGATAGGGAGGAACATCGCGCCGAATCCGACGAAGGCGTTGCTGTTTAGGAAGGTTCAGGTGTAGGGATAGGAGTTGACAGATGGTTACCAGGACTTTACTTGACACGTTCGTTGTCTCTCTCTTATCATGACTGTGACTGTTGGTGGATCAAGCGTCTCAAATCGAGATTGTTTCATCCAGCATATCAACACTAAGTACCTTTTCTCACTCACACGCACGCACGACCAACATCTCAACCCCCCATCCCATTCTCTCCCTCCCAGCCATCCTCCAGACGACCCACCTCATCCACCACCCACCCACGTCCAACTCATCGTTGCCCACACAGCCAGACGACCCCAGACCCAGACCACGCAGTAAGATGGCCGCAGGCTACGCACCAACCGCCGTCAGGTTCCAGCACGCAGAACGTCGATCGGCCTAGCACGCACAGTCAGATTATAGTGAGCCGCTCAGGGGAAGGGGGAAGTTCACTTCGCGCAGCCGTGGGACTGGTACGCTGCTACAACGCCGCCGTCGCGAGCATCTACTGGCACGGTGGGGGCGAGATGGCTGGACATAGGGGAAGATGGTAGATGCGAGGAGCGTGGACATGGCGAGCTGCGTGGTGTGATGGGGTGTGTGAAGGCTCGGAGCGCCGCCACGCCGGCGCTGTGCATCGTCAGGCGACTCGAACACAGCGATCTTGAAGCCAGAGCCGGTGGACAAATACAACGCCTTTCTCCTCCGACCGGCGCAACGCTCAACGAGCATCGAGGGCTGAGATGTCATCCGCCCATGACACGCTAACCCCAGACACTCCCCTGCACCAGCTCCCGAGTAGCCATGCTCAGTCGAGACCCCCAGGCCCCGCCGGTCGGTCTCTGTCCTTCGCGCCCCTGAGCCTGCTCACCATGCGCCCAGATCGTGTCAGCCCGGGCACGCCATCCGCCGGCTCCAGGCGGGCTCGCAGCCCGTCGAGGTCGCCCGCTGCCGGGAGCGTTGCTGCCGTACGTGCGACTCCGCTACTCCACGCCCGCTCTGGTCTCGTGGCAGGCTCGCCAGCAGCGAAGGCCGCCGCGGCTTAGGACGGCAGCGCATATAGATCTGGACGCGGGCTTGGATCGGTATACTCCGGACGTGCAACTGGGGCTGTTCTTGGACTCGCGATCGGCGTTGGGTGCGGACGGGATACGATACGATACAGCTGGTCGTGCCGGGTGGCAGGTATAGTATAGTATAGTATAGTATAGTATAGTAGCAACGGCCCGTGAGCAGTGCGCGGCCGTGTACAGTGCAGTGCAGTGCAGTGCACGCGATACACGTGCGTGTCTGCGTTCTGCACTGTATTCTGGACGCGGTCGCGGCTGAGGGACATCCGAATCGAAGACCCCCAGGCTCCGTACACCGGCCGCACCGGCCGCTGCAGATGGGGAGCTGCGCCTCGCTCTCGTCGCGCCGGGGGAGCGAGGCTACACTGCTGCGAGGCTACACTGCTACGAGCCTACACTGCTGCGAGGCTACATCTTTGCGAGCCTACGCCGTTGCGAGCCTACGCCATTGTGAGCCTACGCCGTTGCGAGCGTGCTTCTGGCACCCGCCACGGGCATGGATGTGCTGTGGTAGTTTACCGCTGTGTTGTTCGCCGGGGGGTTGTATAGGTGTCCCTTGTAATATGAGTAGTCTGCTGATGGCGGAGGGGTGCTGTGATACTTCACCGCCGAGTTGTTCTGGGGGGTCTAGGTTGATCTCTCTTGGTATATGAGTGGTTTGCTGCTGGCCTACCTCGCGCTGTGTTAGTTCACCGCCGTATCGGTTGTCGTGTCATGTCATGCTCGTTCACCACCATCCACGTGACGTGCAGACTTGCAGGGAAGATACATGGATAGCATTGTTGCTTTGAATCTCAAAGGGCTCTGAGTAGCGCCGCTGCCGCCGCTGCCGCCTCTTCCCTCCAAAACCAACAGGCGCACCGCGGGTGTCTGACAACACCTGCAACCGGGACCGTCAAGCCGACTGCGTCCCGCCAAAAACACCCCGTAGCGCCGTCTATTGCAACCCAAGTCCCAGGATATCTCTCATAAGCTCGTGCAGGACACACTCCTTCCCTGGACGCGATGGACGCGATGGAACCACGGTCCGTCTGCGTGCCACCGCGCCCATCCACGTAACGTCACCTCGTCCCCAATTAGCGGTGTGCAGCGCCATGGAGCGCCTGCCTCCTCCACGCGGCTGCAGAGCGGGGCCTTTGACCAAAAAGCAGCCCTTGTCTAATCATTGCTGTACGCGAAGCAAGAAAAAGGTATCAAACTCGATCCGAGGATCGGAACAAAACACATGTGGCGAACTGAAGCGTCCCGCCATAGCAGACCCAAACTCCAGATATGATGCTGAAAGCGCGTGGGTTCAGGCATTCAAAACTCGCGAAAAACGTCTTCGTCAGACATTACAAACTCATTGTCAGCCATTCCTGCGCGTGTTAGTTGACAGCTAAATATATCTCACATACTGAACATACCCATTCTGCGGGACCTGAGGACTGGAGTCCTTGACCCATCGCGCCCATGGGGAGCGACCCCAGGTTCTGACTCGGGAACGGGCTTGGAGCTGCGATTGGAGCGTCCTTCCTGCGAAGAGGTGCCTTGCCGCTGGTGTCGTCAGCGTCGGCCATCTCCAGCTCTTGCGTGCCGCTTTTGCTCTGTGCGCGTGCTCGTCTCGGTGTCATGCTTGGGCCACGAGGCTGTATGGCGGTGACTGCGTTGGTGGTCTTGGGCGGACCAGGAGCGATGGGGACCACCCCGCCCGGTTTCGAGGCAGCTGGAGCGAGATTGACGCTAGTGGAGCCTCCGCCTGACCCCGTCGACTTGGGAGACTCAGACTCGGCCGCTTTCGGTGTGGTGACGGGTGTCATGGCAATCGAGTTCTTGCGGGAGGATTTCTTCGAGGCTCGTGTGGAGGACGGCCCTACTGGGGCATTACCACTGCCGCGGTTGCGCTTTTTGATGACGTCGGTCTTGAGCGAGAGTGGCCGAACAACGCCGTGCAATTTCAAAAAGAGGCCGCACGCATTGCAGAGCGGTGCGCCTTCGGGGTTGCGGCGCCAGAGGGGCGTGGTCTGGGTGAAGCAGTTTGTGCATGTTGTCGGTGCACCGCCCTCGCCGGGCTTGGTGCCGCCGGGACTCTGCGGCCGAGAGGGCGCAGCAGAGCTGAAGCCCGACTGCAGGCCTGTCTCTGGCGGTGAGTTGGGCGAGGACTGGGTGCGGCCGTGCATGGCTTGGTGCAGTAATCCGGCCGTGTTTGGCGTCGAGGTGGTGCGGGGTATTTTCCCGCGTCGCGGATCGTTCCCACGGTTGCGGATGTCGCTCACCGAGGCAGCCGAGCCGTGTGTGCGACCAAGGCTGCTAGGACTCCAGTGGTCTTGCGGCGAGTGAATCTCGGTAGGGCCAATGGTGACCGTCTTGCGCGGCGGCCCGGCTGGGTAGCGGGCCTGCATGGGGTTGAACTGGTTGGACAGGTTCGTCTCCCACTGGTAGTTGGGGTTGAAGTCCAGCGAGCCGTCGTCCATGGGCGAGAAGTCCTGCGAGGGCATGTTGCGGTCGGCGAAGGCGCTGCCCTCGTCGTCCTCGGCGTCCGAGTCGGCGCCAAAGGTGAACATGTTGTCGTTGGGCGGTATCTGCATGTCGTGCTGCTGACGCAGCGGCAGGTTGTTGTGCAGGACGTGGGAGGGGTCAACGTGGCTAGAGTGGCCGAACGAGGTGGCGGAGAAGGGCAGCGACGAGCTGGCGCTGGTGACGGGGCTGAAGACGGAGTCGGGGCCGCCGCCGTTGGGGTTGAAGACGAAGCCGGGCTGCATCGAGTTGGACAGGGTCGAGGGCCGGTGCGAGCCGTACGAGACGCCCGAGGAGTGCTGGCTGCGGATGTCCATGCCGTGGCGGTCAAAGTACATGTGGCTGTCGTCGTTCATGGGCTGCGGGGTGCTCACGGCCGAGGGGAAGGCGGAGCTCGGCGGCGAGTAGTAGTCGGTGGAGTTGAGCGACGAGGCCATGGAGTTGGGGTTGAACATGTGCGGGAACGAGGCGCCGTGGTTCATCAGCGGCGAGCCGACGGGCGAGAAGCTGAAGTTCTGCTGGAAGGGCCCCGCGGAGCTGAGGGCGGGGTCATCGGGCAGCTGGAAGGTGTCGATGGAGAAGGGCACCTGGGCCTGCGAGGCCGGGAAGGCGGGCGGCTGCATGCTGTTGTCGAGCGAGTAGTGGTGCAAATCCGCCTCGGCCTGGGCGTCGGTGGGGATCATGATGCTGTTGACGGGCGGCACCTGCGGTGAGGCCTCTGCACGTCGCTTGGGCGGCTGATAAGGGCGCGGTTAGCAGGCAGGCGGCGATAAGGGCAGGGCGGGCAGGACTCACGCGGCGCTCGTCGATGCTGGTCTTGCGGACGTGGCGGGCGACGTAGCCGAACTCATTCTCTCTGTGCAGCAGCGGCGGGACGGGCGGGGCGGAGGCGTGGGCGAGGGCGAGGGCGAGGTCGTGGTGGTGGTCGCTGGGGGCGTGCGGCTTTCTTATCGGCACCCCGGGCGCTGCATGTGCGAACGGACCCTCCGGGCTGGGCTCTGGCGACACGCCGGCCGGACTGCCGACCGACGAGGGAAAGATGAAGTCGTCGAGGTTCATGGCGTCGGGCGGCGGCGGCTGCTGGGCAGCGGAGCGCTGCAGCTGCTGGGCAATGCCGCTGGGCGCGGTGCGCGGCGGCGGGCGGGCGGGCGGCGGGGCTTGCACGTCGGGGCTGGCGGTGTTAGCAGGCCTCACAGGCGGATTCGCAGGCGAGCGCGGCATGGCGTCTTCCGTACCCTCGATTGCGCTGCTCCTCGGCGCGGCGCATGTTCAGGGCCATCATGCGCCAGGTCAGATTCGACATGCGCTCGGCGTTGGGCAGCTGCGTCTTTGCGCGCGAGTACAGCTTCCAGATCTGCGTGCCCAGCGGGTCGTTCTTCTGCAGCTCGGCCGGCGACGCGGGGCTGGCGCTGTCGCTGCCAAAGGCCGGGAAGATGGGCTCGTCGAGCATGCCCGGCGGCGCGGGGCTGCCTTCTCGCCGCGGGTCGAAGGCCATGAGGGTGGTGCGCAGAGGGAGCGCAGGCGGGAGCGCAGGCGAGGTGCGCAGACTGACGGCGGGCGCTGCGATGATGTCGTCGCGGGCGCGTGCTGGGGCGCACCCCACGGAGCGGCCTGTGTCTGCGGCGGTGGGCTGGGGCGCCTGGGGCCGAGGGCAACGCCGACTCTGGCTTGGATGCTGCGCTGGATGCTGCACTGGGAGGACGGGCAGGGCGACGGGCAGGGCGACGGGCAGCGGCGGCGGTGCAGTGGGCAAGGCGGAGCGTCTGCGGGCTGGACAGCACGATGCTTTTGTTCTCTGCTCCACGGGGAACTGGAGGCTGCACTTGGGCCAGCAGGGGCGCAGTGACGGCGAGCACCCAGCCATGGCCCGCTCACCAGTCCACAGTCCACCAGTCTGCGCCCGAGTGCCGCTGCAGCGACCAGTGCGCCCACGCAACCCCCACTTGGCTCGCCAATGGCCCTGGTCGCGCGGGTCAGGGCGCTGGCTGCGGTGCGTGCGCTGCGTGAGCCATGAGCCAGCCGAGCCCGCCGTGCGCCAGCCGCACCTCACGCTGGACGCGCAGCAACGGTGCCGGCTGGAGTGTCGTGTGTCGTGTGCTGCCCGCTGCTGCCCCCCAGTGCAGTCCCAGTGCAGTCCCAGTGCCGCTGCAGAGCGGTGTTGCCCTCGCAGCCATGCATCGTGCCCGCCCTGCCCTGGCCCGCCGCGTCCAGGAATGAGCCCATGCAGCCGCGCCCCCCCTGCTCCGCGCAGACGAGCGCCGTGCAGCATCGAAATTTGGAACCCTAGGGCTCGTCTGGCGCTCGTCCACATGTGGAAAGTTTCTCGGTCCACCGCCGCTCAACACCAGGCACACCTGCACCGATGCTGCTGCACCTCTAGGCCACGCCTCGTGAAAGAATTTGTGTCTGCAATACGCCGCTGCCTCCGCGCCGCCGTCAGCGAGCTGCAGATCTGGCAGCCCCCGTGCAGCAGCGCCCCCATTGGCTGCTCCGTCGCTGCTCGTCGTGCCCGTCCATGTCATCCCAATTCATCTGCGTGCAACTGGCTTGCCGCCGCAATTTGCCGACAACGGCCACTCCATGAGTCGCACGGAACCCTGCGAGGGTCCTTAGCAGCCGGCCTCAGCTGGCCCGACGTCAACAATGCGTGAAACGGCTGGCCGTCGTGGTCGCGGGTTCCAGATCCCACCCTCGATACCCGATGTAGGACCACCCCTTCCGCCTCTGTGCACTGCGCAACACGACCTGCGTCACGGCTGTTCCTACTTTGCCCGACACCCCATCTCAGGGTCCTGGCGAGGCTCCACGACGCTCCACCGTCGGATGCGCCCATGGCGTGCAGCACGTTTCCACCAGCGCCCAGAGCACTAGTCTATTCCGACCACGCCTCTGCACATCCACATCCACATCCACATCCGACCTCGACGCAAGCCAACAGCCGTCTGGAGAATCTTCATCCACGCCGCTCTCCATTCGACGGCATGTGCTCCGGAAAAGGCCCTTTTCACGTCGTGCATGCGTCTATGACGCAGCCGTGACTTTTCTAGAAAACGACCGCTGTACTTGTAGTCGTACAACAGCACTCCCACCTACCTACTGTGTATTGTACTCACAAGTCCTCACTACAGCCGCGGCAGATTGTCCCTTCTCCACACGGCTGCGGAGATGATGCGGAATGTGGAGCCTCCCTCAATAAAGAGAGGCAGGACCCGGACTCTCGATGCAACAGCAGTCCACTCGGGGCTGGGGCGTTCGGGTCTCTTCGTTGGCAGCTCCTGTTTGGCGCTGTTTGGGATGCTGAACCGCACCTCTGGATGGTGGGGCATCGACGCACCTGCTCCACCGCTATCTGCAAACGTCTCCGACCTACACATCGCATTACATAGTCGTAGTCTATAGACGCCACGGCCGTCTGCAGTCCTTCACCAGCACCACTCGTGAACTGCTTGCATGCGTAGGCGTGAACTGCATCTTGCATGCGTAGGTAAATGTCAAGTGGAAATCACCATGTTTCACGAGAGATTTCACGTCCAGGACCCTGAGTGGCGGACAATTGCGGTCAATGTTTCACCTGTCATTATTGTCCACCGATCGACTCTGCTATTTCCAGCTTTACGAACCCGGTACCTGTTCATCGCAGCACACTGGCGATGAGCGACTCATCAGCAGCCGAGCCGGGGTGGTGCTCGACATCGCGCATCCGCTGCACCCCTGTCTGCCGCGAATCTACCGTGCACGAGGCGAGGCTTTTCGCATGTGACAACGCTCCCGTAAACAATGAACGCACGCCAGCCTATGACGCGGCAGCAAATGTCACAATGCAAATGCAAATGCACCACGGGCACACGACGCACGCACGCTCGCGCCCGCTGGTTATGAAAATGGAAGAACCCCTATGCACGGGCAGCGCGCAGGTGGAGATTGAAGCACGGCGACCCCCACTGCGCTTGCTGTCTTGGGAACTGGTGGTCAAGGTGGTTCCCTGGTGTCGCGGGCCTGTCAAGCCACTTGCATCTGACTTGCATGGCTGCGCAGGGATGCCAAAGCCCAGATCAACCGACAGGGCCCACTCATTTCGGACCTAAACCTGCCAGGCCATGCATTGCACCGAATTGAAGGCTGCGATGCTGTGGCTACGTGCGCGCGTTCGGCCTTTCTTGCTATTGAAAGCGCTGGCTTCGAATCATACCTTCGGAAATCAGACTGCGGTAATCATACTTCGGAGCGTCTGCCAGCCAGGAAACCCCGGGGACTGGCACACAGGGTAAAATGCGTGCAAATGAGCCGCCTGCAGTGGCCGGCAGAATGCATCCTGCGCGCTCGATTGGGAAGCATGAATCCTACCTGAACTTACCGCCGAGGCGGCGTTAATACTCCGGTGCATGCGTGGCAGCCAGTGGAAACGGGCGCAGCGAACGCCCTCACGTCCGATCCCTGCAGGCACGCGGGATACTGTGGGGGTGCGCGATACAAACGGTACGCAATTGAATTTGGAGTCGCGCTCGGATTGTTGGAGAAACGGGCGACCGCAGGCTGCGATCAACATGTGGGCATGTGGGCGAGTGGAGCGGGCGGCGCATCGACACGGACGACGGGCCAAAGAGGGTCTTGCTCGTGTGCGCGCAGCGCTGCTCGTGTGCGCGGCGTGTGCGCGCTGCTGGGCTGACGTGGAGATGTGCGAGCGAGCCTCCCCGTTCGAGCTTCCTCGCGGCCTTGTTGGTCAGCCTCAGTCAGCGTGTTGCCTGGCGGCCGCACGCTTTGGGCTGTTGGACCGGACCTGGTGCCGCGCTATCGTGCGGTACGAGTCGCGAAACGGTACATGCCGTGTTGAGATGCGAGGCTCCAGTGTTGTGCACGCTTCGCTCGACGCTTCACTTCAAGTTCCTGTCTGGCGTGTGCAGCGTATGGTCGCGGTCCCAGTATTGATACGAGATCCTTCGGGGCCGTCACAGCATCGTCAACAACTTTACAGTTTGGAAGTTTGGATGAAGGCGTGAGGTGAGGGTCAGGATGGAGTCCACCAGGCGTCCAGCTTGGCACAGGGCGGATCACAGACGGCGGCGGAGCGGAAGGCGAGCGGACTCGAGTGAGGGTGGACGGCGTGGCCAGGCAGGTGGTGGAGCAGCGTCTACTTATAACACACAAGATGCCCAGAGCGCGGTGAGACCATTATCAGCTGGCATTGCGCCATGATAGCGACATTGCCTAGCAGCGGTTGCGCGTGGTCGCGCTCGCCTCACAGAATCGCTGGCATTACGCCAATAACACTCGTTTGTGCGACTATCTGGCAGCGTTTGGACCATTCCTGAGCGCTGTCCTTCCTATTGCGGAGTAAGTGAAACCTATCTTATCGTGGTAGGTGCGCGGTCGCGAGCGCGTCGCGCAGCACCGTGGATAACATGGAGAAGACGCGCCAATGAGAGGCAATCTGGGGTAAGCGGCGGGCTGATAAGGCGCTGCGGAGCCCGCTCCTGCTGCGCTGGACTGCGGCCGGTCTCAGCGCTGGCGACGTCAAATTTGCACGGTGTAGCGAAGGGACGACGGCCGCCGGCGAGGGCGGAGATGCTTCATTGACGTGTATCACGGCGCGACATGGCTGGCTACCCCCACAAGAGCCTCCGTGCTCGACGGCCCAGGGCGTGAAACCCTGGCCCAACGACTGCACGACAGATATCCATATCGATGAAGCCATGTCGTCGACACATGTCTTGCGGCCCTCCCTCCTCGCCCACCTGTCCCCTCCTGCCCCATCTGCCCTGACCCATGCCCAGGCCAGACGTCCCGGTGCGTCGGTATCTCAACCCGCGGATGCCTCCGCTATCTCCTAGCACGGGGCCATGGCTGGTAGATATGGTATCTCGGTATCGTGGGTGCGGCGCGGGGGACGGACCGCCGTTGCGCGTCGGCCTCTCAACTGCGTGACCTCTTCACTGTCTGTCCGCGCAACTCTTCACAAGCTCGTCACTGTCCTACCGCGCGCAACCTCTCCGCTGTCATATCCCTCTTCACTGTCCCGTCTGCGCGCCCTCTTTGCCTCCGCCCTTGACAGTCTCTTCGCCCAGCACCTTGCTGGCGGCCATGAACCTGCGCCCGTTAGCCGCGCCATCTTCTACCGTCTGTGACCGCATACATTGCGCCCGTGTAGCCGCCTAGCGCGCGCATGTCCTGCGCCTGGCCCGCTGTCATCCGCATCAGGCTCTCGAGGTCGGCCATATTGGCCGTCAGCTGGGCGAGCTGGGCCTGCAGGTGCGACAGCTGGCGGGGCTTCTGCGACGGCACGCTGCTGATGCGCGACGTGCTGGGGCGGGCGTTGTGCGACATTGCGGCTGCGATTCGCGCCGATTGCTGGGTCTGAGGGCTGCCGCTGGGTCGCTGCTGTGGGGTGCGTGTGGTGTTTGTTGTCGCTGGAGCGGGGACGCGTCGGGATTCCCGCGGCGACGGGCCTTGGCGCACGGAGCCCGCCGCTGCACTTTTTCCTCAGTCACACCACGTCAACCGCACAGCCATTGCGTCGCCCACGCATCTCGCACTCCTCCGTCGCGCGCACCATGGCCACCCCGCAGGCCCAAGCCGTCCGCCGCTGGATCATGACCGGCGCCGTCGCCTCCATCACCGTCGCCGGCACCATCTACGGCGCCGGCCTCAAGTCTGACCAGGAGCTCAAAAAGGTATGTCACGTCACGTCACTCCGTCTTCTCGTCTCGACACACTCCCCCATCCCTCCGCATCACCGCCAACGCACCACTAACGCCGCCCAGGAGCGCAAACGCTACCAGCAAGCGTCCCCCGAAGAAATCATCTCGCACCTGCAGATCGCCCGCGACAACCTGGTGCTGAAGAAGAACGAGGTCGAGCGCAAGATTGCCAGTTTCCACGAGAAGAAGAAGGCCAAGGCGATGGAGGCGGAGGCGCTGAAGCAGCGGCAGGCGCAGGCGCAGGCGCAGGAGCAGCAGCCGCGGTGAGGATACGGTCGACTGCGCGCTGGTCTTCGCGCTCGACGGCTCGTCGCGTCTTTCTCGCGAGAAGCTAGGAAAGCGTGGTGGCAAGACCGGCTTTGGCGGAAGACAGTCAGCGACGGCGCACGCAAGCACAGCTTTCGTGGAACTCAGTTCAGACACGGCCCACGCCTGGGCGCGTCGTCGCAGCCAGCGATCTACCGAGAGCGCGATTTATCTCACGCCGGCATCAGCGTGGCTCTATCCATCCACCTCGAGCGCGAATAGCAATCAGACGGAGACACAAGGCCGCCGCACACCACCCACCGCTTACTCGACACCCCGCCCGCACCCCCGAACCACCGCAACCGCACCCATCCTGTCGCCCGTCACCTCGCGCCCACGCGCTCGCACTCCGCGGTCCGACTCGCACTCGCACTGCCGCCCGCAACTCCCCGCATCGAATCACACCCCCTGGACCCGCGCTCCGATCCCCCTGCGCCCACCACCACGATTCCTCCCAGTTCCGGTTCCGATCTCACGCATTACCGCATTCGAACGCGTGCTTATCTGCTTATCGCTGCAGACCGCACAGCTCCGCGCACTCGCCCCGTCATCGATCGCCCTGCTACAGGCGTGCGACACGCCGCGCTGGCCCGCGGAAAGCCGCGCGTGTAGCGGGTAGCTGCGCTTCGAGCGTGTAGGGAGTTTTGAGGGTGGTGTTGGCTGGGGATTGTGCTGGAGCGGACCACGGATTGCATGTGCTGGAGCAGGACCGCGGATTGCACGTGCTGCATTGCGTGTCGCGGGTTCTGGGGATCTCGGGAATAACGGAGTGTGCAGCTGCGGTGCACACCTGTGGCGTCGCGATGCTCGGGGGTGCTGGAGTCGATGGGTATGAGAGGATGCAGTGCGCCACGAGCTCGCAGTACGCATGAGCCTGTGCGACGCTCGCTGAGCCCTCGCGGATGCAGACGACATCGTGTCTCGCTGAGCGTCGCGTCGGCCACCGTGCAGGCGCAGTGCAACCGCCTCTGCACTGCAGTGCGAACAGCTTGCACGCCAGACCCGGTCTTCAACGCACCAATCTGTCCGCGCCGTCCTGTCGTTTGAAACGCACATGTAGCACATGGAGTTACGGAGGTGGGGAGAGACAAACTCGACCCAACTCAACTCGATTGGATTGGACTGGATTGGCTGAGATCGGGTGCTCCGACACCGTCCTGCGCTGGTCGATCTGCTCTCCTGCTCTGCACGGCGCAGGAGCGAGACATACTCGGTCAACAACAGCGCGCAAGCCATCTACCATCTACCCAGAAGCTGCAGACGCGTGGAGTGCCAGTGCCTGCAAGTCGCCTCCCTCATCGCCACGCACTGGCACCAATCCCAAGATCCCACCCTCCTGCTGCCCGCCCGTTGACAAGCCGCCCGCGGCCGACGCACTGCTGTACTCTGTTTGCCCACTCGTCAAGCTGCAGTGCGGTTGGCACGCTCTTCGATTCCGTGCCGTGCAGAGTTCTCCATATTCAGAATGCATTGCAATACCACTTTGATCTTGAGACTGTGCACACGCATGCTACTTTCGATTTTGAATTTAAATTTGAATTTGAACTTGAATTTGAATCTAAATTGCTCGCGCGTGCGCTCTGGACGGGAGCAGACTGGGCGGACTCCCAGGACCGGCGCTGCAGACACACGCCCCCCCTTCCTGACCATAAAGTCACATCTCGCCATGCACCCTCCATCCCCCACCCCCCTCCCACCGCGCCCGCCTTTCCGGCCGCCACCCCCCCCCCCCCCCCCCTCTCTCTGGAGCAACCCGAGACCACACGCCAGCCCCGCCGACTCCATCCACACGACCATGCTTCCGCGCGCCGGAGCAAACAGCACACCGGTGCGAAGAGCGAGCAGACTTACCGGACCGGACTGTACCAGGCCAGGCCGGGCGGTGCAGCAGGCAGTGGAGAGTACAGCCGCGCCCGAACGCAGTAATGCGGAAATCGGAGAGCGGGAACGCGGCGAAAGGAAGAGGAGGAGGAAGGGGAAGGGGAAGGGGAAGTGTGTATCAGCAGGAGAGATGGGGGACGAAGTAGTTGGCGCTTGAAATCGGGAAGTCTGGAAATCAGGAAGTCTAGAATCGAGAAGTCTGAAATCGGGAAGTCTCGAAATCAAGCAGTCTCAAGAACCCACCAAATCTCAATACCTTCCCCCGAAAGCACCAAACCACGCACCCGCGAACTCCCCAAGCCAAGAAACGCACCCCCAAGCACTCGCACTCGCACTCAGCTCCTCACCACACCGCGCCAGCACACCCCCAGCGCGAAAAAAGCCTCTGCGCAAGCTCACTCGCGTCGACGGACGGCGATGATGATGCAAAGCCGACGGCGCGGAGCCCTGGACTACAGACTCTCAGGGGCAGGCAGCTCGAAGGAAGGGGGGATGGGGAAGGGAGTGCTAGGAGGGGGTACTAGACGGGGAGACTGCAGGCGAGCTCGGGAAAGGAGGGGAGATGAGAGCCGGGGCCGGAGGAAGGGGAAAGGGGAGAGGGGGGCATAGAGGGGTGCGAAGGGAAGGGAAGGGAAGGGAAGGGGGTGGTGAGGAGAGGCGTGAGGGATCGTATAGTGCTGTATAGTGTATACCTACTATAACATGGTACTTTGTTACACGGTACACTCGGTGCAAACACCACGCCTCGTACGTCGAAACACGCCGTGTGTCGTGCGCGGCACCTTGCGCCGCCAACACGCTGCATTGCGACGGTGCGCAGCGTCGAGACTGTATTCCATGGTATAACGCGTCTAACTGTCCTGGTCTCCAACGCCCAAACGCAACCCCCTACACCTACGCCCCCACCTCCGCAGCCCGGACATGCTCCGCCGTCGTCCGGCCCAGCCCCTCCCTCGCATAAAAGTCCATGGGATACAAATTCTTCCGCGCGCCCTGCACGCCCTCCTCGTCCAGCCACGGCGCGCCGCGCACGCCCAGCGCGACCAGCGCCTCGTACGGGCTCAGCAGCGGCCGCGCAAACGCATAGCCCCAGTCGATACTCAACCGCGGGCACGCAATCTGCACCCAGGCCTCGACGCCGGGCATCATGGCCAGCTTGCCCGGGAAGATCTCCGACAGCAGCAGCGTGATGCACGGGATGCCCTGGCGCTGCAGCTCGGCCTCGATCAGGCGCAGCGTGTGCGGGTTGCCCTGGCGGCCCAGCGCGCCGAGGATGATGCCCCACGAGCGCGCCGTCTGCGCGGTGCGGATCGCGGCGCGGCGCAGGTCGTACAGCGAGTCGTGCTCGTAGGTTTCGTGCGTCAGGCGCCGCGAGTACGGGTCGTAGCGGTAGGCGGGGAGCGACGGGTTGGCGATCATGGCGCTCTCGAGGTGGAAGCGGCCGTCGCCGAGGTAGAGGATCATGTCGGCGACGGGTTCCTCCTTGCCGCGCGCGTTGAGCTGCCCGGGCTGGATGGCCATGGAGGGTGATGTGCAGCCCAGGATCTCGCCCTTGGACAGCGGCGCGATTTGCGGCACGATGGGGTTGTAGCCTTCGCGGCGCAGGATGGACACGATGCCGTGGATGGTGGCGTTGAACTGGATGGTGCCGACCAGGGCGATGCTCTTACCGGCGGGGAAGTTGTCGACGATGGTGTTGATGAGGTGCGTGGTGTCGATGCTGATGGAGACGAAGACGTACAGGGTGGCGATCTTGGTCACGGCGACGGGGATCAGACAGCTGTGCGCGTAGTGGATCAAGAGGTCGCAGCCAAGCGCTCTTGCCGTGTAGTCGTCGATGCAGCATGCGCCGTACGTGACGTCGCCCATGATCAGCGTGGAGATGCCGGGGCAGAACTGCGTGAGGATGTCGGAGATGGTCGTGGCGAAGAGCAGCAGCCCCTCGGGGAACTGCAGTGCCACTGACGTCGCGCCGGATGTGCGTATGCGGTGTATGCATTTGTGGATCTCGAAGCTGTAGTTGGGCGGCAGCAGGGCGATGGCATCGTTGATGTCTTTGTCGTGCAGGATCGAGTCCGGGATGGCGTTCAGGGCCCGGGCAGTGCGGCGAGGCTGGGCCACTGCAGGCGTGTTAGCGATGCGTCTGCAGGTCGCAGCCAGAGGCGCCTCACACCTTGGATTGCGCTCGAGTCCTCGATGTTCGCATTGGGGTCGACGGCCTGCTCGCCGCTCTTCTCGGCCGTCTTTCTCCCCACAAACCTCCTCTTGGGCTGCTTGGGCACGACCGCCGGCTCCTCGGTGATCCCCTCGTCGATGTCCGGCCCAAGGTTCGTGGCTAGGCGGTCTTCCTCCATTGTGGTGTTGGCGTGCGCGTCGCGGGGTTGCGGTGGGATGAACAAAAAGTTCGTAGGGCTGAGACCCGCCAACCACACCTCTCGACATCATCAGCGACAGCAATGAGTAATCGAGTGCACATACTGCACTCGCACGAGTTGCCTTTTGGCAGGTTTGAAGTTCAGTATCACTATTTACTGCCAATAGACTTCGGATTTCAACTAAATACATCCAAGTGCAACCGCTTCATTGAGACAACTTCCCGTTGAAACTAATCACTCTTTCTTTCTGGCCTTGCGGCTGCGTCAGGGCGATTCAGACGCTTCTAGGCGAGTTCCCTCAAGACCGCCTTCTGCACCGACCTCCTCGCCCAAGAAAGCCCCCAGCCGCTGCACCACCGCCTGCAGTTCCTCACCCCCCCGCACCCTCCACACCTTCACCCCATCCCTCCCCATCGCCTGCACAACCCCCTCTACCAACTCCACATGCTCGTCAAACCGCCTCTCAAACACATCCCCCGCCCTCCCCCTCCTCACAAACCGCTCCCGCGCAACCCCCCTCTCCACATCCAACACCACCAGCACGCCCCCCTCCCCGGGCCTCCAAACCGGCTCCACAACCCCCTTGAACGCGCCCCAGCGCCCCGCGTCGCGCGGAAAACCATCGACCACCATCCTGACGCGCGTCGGGTCGCAGCCGGCCGGGAACACGCGCGCGCCGACGTACCGCGCGGCCAGGTGCGCGGGGCCGAGTGTGCCTGTGTGCAGGTGCGCGCGGAACGAGGCGAGCTCGGCGGCTGAGAAGAGCGGTGCGATGCGTAAGGCGGCGCCGGTCGGGTGGGGGCTGACGAGCGAGCGCAGGTCGGCGCCGAGTGAGAAGGGGGTGAGGTTGTGGCGCGTGGAGAGGGCGGCGCTGAGGGTGGATTTGCCGGAGCAGGGGGCGCCTGGGGGGTTAGTGAGACGATGTATGGGTGGAGTGTGGGTGGGTGGTTTACCCAGTATGAAGACTAGGAGAGGCCCGGGGGTCGATGGTGGTGCGGCGGTGGTGTTGGTTTCTTCGTTGTCCATGGCTGTGGGTTGAGGTGGTGGGTGGAGTGTTGGTTGTGCAGCTCTGTGACTGTGTCAGTTTAATATTTGTTCGACCGTTTGCTCATTGACTAGGTAAGTTCAGCTTTGATCGTTGAACGTCTACACCTGCCACTGACTGCACGCATCCAACGGGTTCTGTGATGTTACTCAAGTAGTAACTAAGCGGCTCCTGGTGTGTTTGTAGACGTCTCTGTGGATACGCTGCTCGGCCTGTCTTGGTTGACTGTACGCCGTATAATCACCTCGTTTGTGCTCAGTAGCATTAAAAGTAGAGATGTTCAAGAACGTCTTCACCAGCGCATTAAGAGTCTCCGTCTTCTTTACAGACTCCAACAATCTGCGGTGATAGCTGCAGGACCACTTCAATGCGTCACTTGAATGAGAGCAAAGTGTATGTATTCAAATTGCTACCCTAGTCTAACGGAATCTGCGAACGCCTCTATCGTCGAGTTCCCCATCTACACCATACCCTACACGGCTAACCTCTCCTCTCCTTGTCGTCCTCCGCCAGACTCACATCCTCCTCCCTATCCCAAACCTTGTGCCCCGCAATCCAAGTCTGCAGGACCTCTCCGCTCTCACTCAGCACCGTCAGATCCGCCCTCCGCCCCTCCCGCAGCACTCCCCTGCCGCCCTGCTCATCAAGGCCCATGAGCCCTGCAACATTCTCTGTCACAGTCCGCACCGCCTCTGCAATCCCACACCCACTCCACGCCATCAGATTCCGAACACTCTCCTGCAGCGGAATGCACCCTCCGATCAGCGTGTCCGTGCCCGCAATCGTCGCCCGCGTGCCTTTCTTCGTTTGCTCAAACGGAATCTGCGCATGCCCCGGGTGGTTACCGTCTGGCAGGGAGGCGAGCTCAATGCTATCCGTGATAGTAATGGCGCGCTTGGGGTTGGAGCGATAGAGCAGGGACACGGTGTTTGGGTGCAAGTGCTCGCCGTCGGCGATGATGGTGTAGTATGGCGGCGCGGGGCTGTGTGCGGATGGGAGAGTGATGAGGCCTGCGAGACCGGGGTCGCGGGATCCAAATGGTGGCATGGCATTAAGGGTGTGAGTTAGGCATGTTGCACCTGCTTTTAGGCCAGAGAGGCCGTCGCTCAGAGAGGCGGTGGAGTGGCCCATCGACACGCGGATGCCGCGGGAAGTCAGATCTGTGATCATTTTGGAGGAGTCGGGCAGCTCAGGGGCGACGGTGGCTAGCTTGATAGAGGATATGAGGTTCGAGGTGCCATAGATAGAGGACGTCGAGGTGTTGCATGCCTGGAAGAGAGAGGAATTGTGCGCGCCTTTCTTCGTGGGGTGCAAGTATGGTCCCTCCACGTGTGCACCAAGCAGAGAAGCAGATCTAGAGATGTCACGGGGCGCAAGAGAGGGTAATATCTGTAAAGGTCAGCCTCGCGACTCTCAGTCACGTGTGATCGTGAAGCAGTCCGTTGTAACGATCAGGTACTCCTTGTGCAAACTAAACCCAGACATACCCTTTGAAACTCCTCTCCCTTTACAGTGGGTATCGTCGCCCAAAAGCCAGTGACGCCTTGGGTTGCATAGTACCTGGCAATGTCGTCTACCTTCCTGCCATAGCTCTGTTCATCCTCGAAGTGAGTAAAGTGGAAGCCATTGGCGCCATTGGTGTGCAACTCCAGAAACCCAGGAGCAATTATGTTATCGTCCAGGTCAACAGCTTCACCTCCAATGTAGCCATCTCTTTTCAATATCAGCCCCGTTTCATCCGAGATAACGAGATGATCATCGACGAGCTGGCCGTCGAGGACGTAACGACAGTTGGTGAACAGAGTGAACCAGCCCGACATATCCGTGGATGGTGCAAGCCACAGCTATGTATGGCATAGATCTGTGGTTACGTATTGTGGTGGTTGGAGGTGTCAGCCGTTTGTGGTAAGCGGGCTGGATGATCGCCCCGCAACAGCGATCACCCAGTGAGATCTACGTCACGACAGCGATCACGGCAGGCCTCACGATGTGCCAGAAGCTTGAGCCGCAAGCGCGCACATCACAATTCCTTGTCTTGCTTGATTGCGCGAGCTTTTGACGCGTCGCAACCCGAAAGGGGGGCATCGTTGCTTGTTCTGGCTGCTCGGCAGCACAGATGATGTCATGGAAACGCGTTCGTCCCCGCGGTGCCATCAGCTCCCATGCGGCGCTTCCCTGCTTTGAGGTTACGCTACTCGCTCCCTGATGATTTTCCTCGCTCTCGTCTCGTGAGGTTCCTTCTCCATCTACAGCCTCAATTGTGCTGAGGGACTTGCTGCCGTCCTCTCCCCCGCCCAGCTGAACGATGGCGCAACAACAGCACGGCCCTGGCGGCCACTACTCCGGGCGCAATCCTATCCCGACTGTGAAGCAATTTGTTGAGAACCTCGACCGCGACAAGAAGCAGAGGGACAAGCAGATTGACGAGAGCTCAACGTCGCCGAGGGCGGACAAGAAGACGCCTACCGCAGCACCAAAGGTAGCTAATCAAGATGGTGTTGAGGACCACAAGGTGCAGAAGAGGACGATTGAGGGCACAGAGAAGACCGTCACAGACCCCACGACCGGTCGGGAGGTTGTCATTGCCGATGTTGGGAAGGGTATGGTCGACGAGGTCGAGAATCCACACCTGATCGTGCCTAATGCGAATCTGAACAAGCCTACAGTGAGCTAGCCTTTCGTCTTCACAACACTCTATACTAACTCCGCGTAGCCCATCAAGACAGACCCCTCGCAGTCACTTGAAGAGTACAAGGAGGCCCAAGACGTGACGGCACCACCAGATCCCGTTGTCGAAGGAACCACGTCCGATGTTCCGATCCACGGCGAGAAGACCAACGTTCTTTTCCACCCTACACCGTCCGTCAGCTATGAGCCCATGTTCGCTGAGCTGGAGAAGCGTGCCGGCATCCTCTGCATTGGCATTGCCGTCGTCACAGTGGTTGTTGGCAAGATGTTTGGTGGCGCTCTCAAGGGCTTGGTCCCTCTGGCCATGTGCTTGTCGTCTGGCGTCTGGCTCTGGATGAAGGAGGTCGTGCGCAGCGGAAGGGAGGTCGAGTGGTCCAGCGAGCAGACTCGTGGACAGCTGGTGAGTACCACAGTACCACATTCGATTCAATTACTGACATCTCAGGCCACACTTAATCTGCTCCCCGAATCCGTCGAATGGATGAACACCTTCCTAGGCATCATGTGGGGTCTCATCAACCCCGACATGTTCCAAGGCGTTGCCGATACCCTCGAGGATGTCATGCAAGCTTCGGTGCCAGGCATTATTGAGAACGTGCGAGTGGCTGAGATCAACCAGGGAAGCAACCCTCTGCGCATTCTCAGCATGCGTGCACTCCCGGACAACCAGATGGGCGACATGAAGCAGGCTATTCACGAAGAGAACAAGAAGACCAAGGACCCACAAGAAGCAGCGGCAGACGAGGAGGGCGGTGATTTCTACAATCTGGAAGTCTCATTCGCCTACCACGCCCAGCCAACCGGCAAGCGCGCATCAGACAAGGCCCGCAACATGCACATGAACCTGGTATTCTACCTGGGAATTAAGGGGCTCTTCGGTGTCCCACTACCCATCTTCGTCGAGCTCCAATCGCTCGTCGGCACTGTGCGCCTGCGAATGAACATGACCCCGGAGGCGCCGTTTCTGAAGAACTTGACCTTTACTCTTATGGGTACCCCTCAGGTCACAGCTGGATGCACACCCATGTCCGAGAAGGCACCCAACCTTCTCAACCTTCCATTGATCAGCAACTTCGTCAACTACGCTATCAAGGCTGCGGCAAGCATGTACGTTGCACCCAAGTCCATGTCTCTTGACATGAGGGCCATCTTGCAGGGCGACTCCATTCAGAAAGACACTGAAGCGCTTGGTGTACTGTGGATCCGTATCCACCGCGCCAAAGATCTAAGCAAGCAGGACCGACGTGGATCAAAGCACGGTGGTAGTGATCCATACATAACGCTTGCTTTCTCCAAGTATGGAAAGCCAATGTACTGCACTCGTGTCATCACCGATGATCTCAACCCGATCTGGGAGGAAACTGCAGCTCTTCTCGTCAGCCCTGAACTGATCAAGGCCAATGAAAATTTGAGCGTCGAGCTCTGGGATTCCGACAGACATACTGCGGACGACATCGTGGGCAAGGTCGAACTCTCCATGCAAAAGATGATTCAGCACCCCGGCAAGATGTATCCTCAAGTATCGAAATTAACTGGCATGGATGCCGACAGCGAGATGCCTGGCGAGCTGCACTGGGAGGTTGGCTACTTTGGCAAGCCCAAGTTCAGACCCGAGCTTAGGACAGACGGCAAGAATAAGAATCTGCCAGAACAGCTTAAGCATGACCCCAAGCTACAAGATGAGAAGGGTGTCATTAACTCAGATGAAGACGACGCAGTCATGCACACTCCCCCAGACCCACTGTGGCCAAGCGGTGTCTGCAGTGTCATCGTTCACCAGATCGTCAACCTTGAACTCGAGAATGTCAAGGGCACCTCGGGCAGTAGGAACGGCCGCGAGTATGAGCCTGCGAAGCCCTACGGCGAGGCAACTGAGGAGACTGGCGGCGACCTGCCAACATCATACTGCACAATTCTGTACAACGATCAGCTCGTGTACCGCACACGTGCTAAAGCTGTCTCATCTCAGCCCATCTTCAACGCCGGAACTGAGCGCTTCATCCGCGACTGGCGCTCTGCTATCGTTACAGTCACTGTCCGCGACTCTCGCAACCGCGAGCACGACCCAATTCTTGGAGTTGTTCCTCTCAAGCTTTCGGATATTCTTGAGACTTCTTCACAAGCCACTCGATGGTACCCTCTAGATGGTGGTATCGGTTTTGGTCGCATCCGTATTTCGCTTCTGTTCCGCGGTATCGAGACTCGTCTGCCTCCTCAGATGCTTGGTTGGGACGTAGGCACATTCGAGTTCAGGTCGCACAACATCTTGATGACAGGTTACAACCGCGCGCCAAAACTTAAGCTGCGAACAGGAGGTAGCACTGGCAAGATTAGCCGCGCACACGCGCAAAAGCTGCCCGAGGGTGATGGCTACTACTTTGACCTTGAGAAGAACGAAGGTCGCGACAACGTGCGCCTGCCTGTCAAGCATCGTTACAGGTCACCGATCGTCTTCGAGTTCCACATCGCGAGCAAGCGCAAGGCAGACGCTTACGCTGTCATCTGGCTCCAGCATTTTATTGATAACGAAGATACTGACATCAACATCCCCATTTGGACAACGCAGCACCCGCAACGCCTGACTCAAAATTACATCACTGAAGACAACTGTGCCCAAGAACCAGGTCTCGAGGATCTGAAGGAGGTGGGTCGTCTGCAGTTCCGTGCTCGGTTCAAGGCCGGCACAGACGAGTCACACGAAGCCTTCGTCGTCGACAACGACTCGCGTGAGACCTACGAGACCTGGGAGGCATGCCTTACCGAAGGCGTCCGCAACCGTAAGGTCGAGAAGGAGCTTCCCGAGCGCGTCCAGCAGCTCCACGAGGAATCCCTCACTGCAGGCCGCGACATCCTCAAGAACGCCGATGAGGAAGAGAAGAAGAAGTGGCTCGCCAAAGACGGCAAAGACTGGTCTGGTGCCTTCGGCGAAGACCCCAAGGCATACATGGACACCAAGGGCCGCAAGCGCAGGGAGCCAGGCGTCGACGAGCCCCTACACGACCCATTCCACCCGTCGTCCGACGAAGACCACGACGATGACGACAACGACGACGACACGAGCTCGAGCTCCGACCTGGGCATCGAGGATGCATCGACGACAAACGGCGGCATCAAGCACCAGCCCACCGACCTGTCGCCCGAAGTCAGCCAGAGCCGTCCCAGCCAGAGCACAGCACGCACGTGGGAGACGACGGACACAAACGGCTCGAGCCAGTCGTCGAAAGACGTCAACAAGCAAAACAAGCGCACCGAGGAGCGTAAGCACCGCGGCTTGATGCAGTGGAAGCCTGCGCGAAACCTGATCTTCGCAAAGGACCAGAGCAAGATTGGGATGAAGAAGCTCACAAAGAAGGTCACTGGTGGGCTGGAAGGACGACAGCCTGGCGTTGAAACTGGTACGTATCCCTATTCTATGGAGCTGAACAGGATGGCTAACTACGTGTGTAGAAACTGGAAACTAAACTTCTCCCTTGCATACCGGCCCAGCGACGGCGTTTTGGAGCAGCGGTTTGTCTGCAGAATTGACCTTAATTTCACGATAACGATTGCATGCCCTGACGAAAAGGCAATTTTCGGAGTCAACATATAGTAATATCTTACAAGCTACCTACATCACATTCCCCTCAACGTCCAGTGACATCTCAACGAGTAGACTATCAATTGAAACTCACTCAGCCGCTTCCAGACGGTAGACAGACCACTTACAGATAGGCCGACAGATCCGGATCTGCTATGGCGCTGTGCAGATTTCCAACTTCAAGCGGACATTCGTGCGAGAATCGAGGGGCCGCCCTGCTTCTTCGGCGTCCGAATTGAACAACGGCGTGTCGTGTGCGCGAACAAATACGACCGTGAAACCGCACCAACATAGCCAACGCCGCACCCTTTGAGAGGCTGTGAGGCTGCCTGCTCTAGTGCCCCACACAACTGTAAGACTTCAGGCATCAGTTCGTCTCATCCTACCGTGTAAGACATAAGCAGCCAGCCGCGTCCAACATCCCCGGACTTAAGAGCATAAAGGTCCGTGCTCCACGGCGTGGGCGCTGAAAAGTAACGCGTGCGATCACTCAAGTACGTCATGAACGAATACTGCCAGGTTGCCATGTGCATGCCGAATAATCCTTCGATGTAGACGTACTAGTCTTTACGACGTCCCAAGATTTGCCGTGTTGTCTCCTCCAGTCCTTTCCGCCCTCGACCCGACAGCCTGGATACCAAGCCAGCCTTGCGCGCTACCGGTAGTAGGGCGCTTAAAGCGGCAGGCACACTCAACGTCGTCGGACCGAATCAGAGCTGAGTATTGTCAGAGGCAAGGTTGATCTCCAGATGATTATTTTTGCGGATCAACCTGTACCTGGCTAGACCATGCCGTGCCGCGCGCCTAGATGTGAGTCGCTTTCCGCGTGCAAAATGCTCGGAATCCGGGCTTTTGTGGTCATTGTCTTCCAGTTGAGCCTGAGGAGGCGCAGTTTCTGCCCAAAGACGCAGGCATGGATGGGTGCGGCTCGGATTATTTTTCGTGAGGCTTCTAGTCACAGCCGTTCAGACACGAGTATTTAAACGCACGTCTTCTTCCAGACAGCGCCTCAGCTACGAGGAGAAAGGTGTACCGACCCACTGTATAGGCCTCAATCCCTTCATCACTATCGCGTATGTCCGAGCATTACGAGCTCGACCGTCATTGAGCCTTAGGGAAAGACTGGGCGATGTATTTGAAAGCCCTGTTGGGAAGGATCGAGTTGGTTACGGTCGAGAGCGCGGCTGTGTGGTGCATGTGCATCATGCATGATATGAGGTGCCCTTGCATGCATGGCCTTTCAGTCACCTGCTTTCGCTTCATTAGATAGTCTGCTTTCAGAGAGGTTTGCCACTGCCAACCTTATTGCGTTTACTGCATCGGTCGATGCAGCTGTGACGGTCACTTCTGCGAGACGGAGATCGACGAGGGTAAAGCATCTGCCGCATAGTAGACGCGAGAACGTGTCAGCTGCTGCTCGACGGCCCAGTATGCGGGTGATCATGCAATGGGTGCGGTGTGTGCACGGAGATGGCGTGTTCGAATCTCGCAAACAGGACCTGTCAAGGTCGATTCGCAGCCTCTCTGCGTCGCCAACTGCGCGTGCTCGGTCCGGCGGCCGTTATTGACGGTGTAATCGCGATCCCGGTGGTTCTCGTGTTGCGCATACCGGTAGCCTATCCATGTGAAAGGAAGTGGAGAGTTTCCGTGCCTCACTGTTGCGAGTCAATGAGGAACAAGTATGCAAATGGCTTCCACAATCACTCACACGCGATGATGAACGTGCGAGTGGCATAGCCCAGAATGTCCTCAAGCTTCAGCCCCCATCGCTGCAGATTGCGCTCTCAAACACCAACCGTATGACCAATGCGGTGCGCATGACTGCTTGTAAAAGTCGGACTGCGCGTGATCGTTGCAAAGTGATCCACTTTAAGGTCACGTCGACAATGAGTCGAGTGTTCGTCACTGACGATATGTGTTGGTTGTTGGACCGAGGGTATTTCATGCTATCCAGGGGTTGTAAGTGATACCGTTGCTGATGGTATGGCGTTCGAGATTTTGTGAGTCTGTGATTGGAAATGGCAGGACACACCGATGGTGATCCGGCATGCCCAATGCGAAGGCTGTTGACGTACAATGGTTTGCCGGGCCGTTAAGGCAAGGATCATACCGCGATAGGCGCGTAGGCGATACCAATGAATGCTCTGTGACGATATTGACAACAGGGTTACTATTCGCTCCCTTGGCAGTGCCACGCCAACATGCATTGGTGCGCATTCTTTGGACCAGCCAAGGTGGTCATCGTGAGCTCTGGGCTCTCATCGGTAGAGGGTAATGGTTCGAGTAGCTTTGAGCACTTTCGATGGCTTCTACTGCGCATGGGGCGTGGTAAACGATCAGCTCCGGGGTGAAAGTGGCACCCACCTTGCAGCGTAGCGAACAGCTGATGGATGACGCATGCAGGACGGGGGAAGAGACACGCCGTGCGTCGCGGCACGCACGCCTGCTAGGCGTTGGGCTTATGCAGGGTCAGTTGAGAAGTGTTTAGCTTGGCCTTTGTTGTTGGTGACTCGAGTCAGAGCCCTCCTTCCTATCAGGAAAGAAGAAGGGGGAGAGTGCAGCAGCGCAGACAACGGCACAGCACAGCATACCGTGTATTGATGACTGCCGTCGCTCTCCAGCTTGCAGCTGTTGCAGCGATGCTGTCACAGCACCAGTGCCAGGCTATGCGTCTGTCCCGTCTATGCCGGTGGTCTCGCGCCACTTGCTTAGCTTCAGCGCTGCTTTTGATGTTTCAGGAATCAAGATCTCTGCGCCTGTTTGGAACCAACAAAATGCCTTCTCACTGTAATCCATTCTCATGTTTTCATCATGCGTCATCTAGGATCGGTTGTGAACATGGACATGTCTAAATAGTTGAGTATTATCATTGTTGAAAAGGAGCGTCGAGCGACGGATGAATATCTAGGATAAGAAAAGAAGTCCTGCAAGCCAAAAGAATCGCTAGGACTGTCCATTACACGCGCAGTGCTACTTCGTGGTGAAGTGCGCACGCACATTCAAAGACCCTTCAAAATGCCGCCAGTCCCAAAGAAATAAGGACTCCAACTCGCTTATGAGCTCTGAAAATCGTACCAATCAGTTGTGCTGCGTCCCTCGTCCTTTTGCATCCTTCCCATCCTTCAGACGTTGACCTCAATCTTCGACTGTTGGGCTCAAAAAGGCGCGATGTTGCCATTCAGTAAGCTATCGCACGGAATGGCCGGGACGGGATATCCTGTTCAGCGACGCGGGCGAGGTTCGCACTGGTGCGATGATTAGTGGATGTTGGCCCATGGTACTGGGACAGCTGAATCATACCTGGCACGAAGCACACAGCGCATCAGCAGTATCCACCAAATGATACTCTCTAGGATGTCCTTCCCGCCATGCGTTTCTGCAGGGAAATTTGCCGTATGCGCCGCCAGACGCTCCTGTTGCCCTCCCAGCGGATGGCTGTTGAGATGTCTGCTGTGACGAAGACATGATGATAGAGGTTGATGTCGGTTGGAAGATGTAGATAGTCTAGAGATGATAGTATTGTATAGTAGAAAATGTATCGAAGAGGTTTGTGCGGGGTTGCGATGATTTGTTCTGCAACGACGATGTCTGTCCGTCTTATATTGGTGAGGGATTCATGCTACCTTGGTGATAAGTCGATTGTCTCAGTGCCGCAATAACGCAACAAGAGACTGAGGCAGATGGCCCCCATATGAGAGGGGACGGTTCGGAGTCAGCGAACGGCATGGTCAGTCTGCGCAAAGTGCAATAGGTGAAGTGCGCCACACGCCTCATGACAAGCACGGAGAGCAACGCCACACGAGACCCCACAAGGTCAACGCAGAGCGGCACCGCACAGGCGATCCCTCTTCTGTCACCGAGACATGATTTATCTGAAAATCAGGGATGGAAGGTGAGTACCAAAGCGACATTCTGGGGGTAGGTTCTCGATCCTCGTGCAGGGGTATGGTCGCTTAGCGTTACGGTGATTTGATGCCTCGAGAGGTGCCTACACTCAAACACCTACCCTTGACTAGTCCTAGTCAAAGTCGCAAACTGTAGTTGGTATCGCGAGACACCCCGCTACTTCTCTCGATGGGGTGGACCAACAGGGTCGCCTACGGATCGAAATTGGTGAGTTCCCGCGTGTCATGCTAGGCGGCGTGGACAGCACCCACAAACTCTATTTCGGCTTTGTTTCCCTGTCTTTGGACCCGTTGCAGCCTGATGTATGATCTGAAGTGCTGAATCGTCTGGCGTTTTTCTTGTGTAGCTGTGAAGAAAAACGCCCACCGGCAACCTCTGCGACACCGCCTCCTTGACGGGCACCGAACCTGTGACCCCGAGAACAGTCTGCACTGCTGCAGTGCTGCGTCCTAAACCTTTGGCGCCGATATGAGATACATCTGAAAAATACCCGCTGACTATTAGCAGCTTCAAAGTGCTACACCACTTTCCTCTTCGGCATCGAAGAAGATGTCTTGCTCCTCATTGCATTCCACAGCAACGGGTACTTTACCTCTGAGGACCTTGTTCGCCCTCCAGGCAGCGATGGTCTCAGCATTCAACCTCGTCGATCCTTCAACGACTCCTCCTACGTCCTCTCCATCGACCTTGACCTGACATCTCCATACACTGCCCATAGCAACTGGTAGATCCAGCTTGCTCCCGGCATTGTCGCGTACAGCAGCATACTTGACACTGCGCTCAACGGCCAAGTGGCCAAGCCGCTCTTTGGGATGCAAACAATCTACGTTGTCGTGTAGAATGCGTTCGAGACAATCTAGAATACCAAGGCGGCGCACAAAAACTTCGCAGGCGGAGTAGTCACCTTGGCTGTCGACATAGATTGCGCCTATAACGCTCTCGACAATGTCCGACAAGAACTTCGGTGCGTTGATGAGCGCAAGCAATTGCCATGGGAACTCGTCGTCATGCCTCAGCGCGTGAGTGAGTGGCCCCCTCACACTCGTGTGCTGCTGCAGGCTCGCATCTCGCGTAGTGGCCAACTGAGGACTTCCATTTCGTAAGAACTGCCATAGCGCTCTTTGATGTATCTCTGTCTGTCGAGTTGATTTGCTGTTGGTCTCCTCTGGAATCGTTGTTTCCAGCATGCGAAAGGCTAGAAAAGCTGCGTTCACCATCGCTGTCCGTATTGCATGCATCCTCTGATGCGACAGCGGCGGCTCATGCATATACAGGCGCTTCGAGATGATGTAGTCCAATACAGCATCGCCAAGAAATTCCAATCGCTCGTAACTAGCATGTGCATTCGGTCCAGTGTAGGAGGCGTGTGTAAGTGCCTCTAACAAAAGCACGTTCTTTGTGAATGTGTATCCAATCAACGACTCCAAGAGTTCAAAGTTCGTGATAGCAAGGTCTGTTGGAACCACTTCATACAGAATAGCGTTCGCTTCAGATATTGGTATCCACCTCTCAAGCGGTAGTAACGTCTGTACGCAGGCAAAGGCCTTTGGAAATCCGCCAAGGACATACCCTACACCTATCAGTGATTCAACAACGTCAGCAAGTAATTTCGATGATCTTTCCGGCCGTTCCGACGGCGTTGCGGCTGCGGACAGATCTTCCAGATACCTGGGCGACCACTTCGCTCCTGTAAAGCCTTTGATGATCACGAATCTGTCAAGGCCAGCCGCTAAGGTAGCTCGAGCAAGAAAGCCGTTGCTCACTATCTTGCCTTTCTTCCCAGTGAGATAGCTCTCCGGCCATCGCGGGTTTTCCGCCATCACATGCAGTGACGAAATGAATTTGAGTATGCAATCGCCCAAAAATTCGAGGCGTTGATAATTGTTCCTGTCGTTGGTGGACGAGGCAGTCAGTGCTGTTACCACAAGCGACAAGTCTTCTGTCTCAATATGGACGGGAGCGAGCAATGTTGTTCGCAAAGCGTCAGCGATCAAGGACACTTCAAGTCTATGCATGATTCCTGGCAGCAAGAGCGCAATGACAGAATACGACGCTGGCAGATTGTCAACGACACATTCCGATAAGCTCAAGTATTCCACCCGTGTGTATGCATCATTTGTGTTTCCAGTCTTGGTAACATGATGCAGAAAATCACGCCGTTTGGGCAGTCGAACGGCCCCAAGATACACTTCTGACGATTGAGCGTCTGTGGGATATTTCCATGGGCCCGCGGCACCCTGCACGATATACTTTCGGTTGTCACCAGTTCGCGAGATAAGGCCCCACTGTGATATCTGATCCGGGGCCCTTGCTAGTAGTGATGGAGCCGGATGGAAGCCGTTCGTATCTTTGTCCCACTGCGCAAGCTTCGTGTAGTCCGGACATCGGCCTGTATTATCGCAGGGTGCCAGGAGCCACAGAAGGTCCTCTCTTGAGTCGCTCATTCTTGCCGCGTGTATGGACTGCAGTATCTTTCGAGTGATAGAACGCAAAACTTTGAGATCCGCTGTTCCGATTGTAACTTTCGAAGATCTCGACATTCTAGCTGTGTAGATCTGGTTCTCATTCCAGAACAATTCGACCTCACTGACCGCCGGGATGGGTAGAATTGTGAACAGGTTGACACACAAAGACTTATTGTCACTTGTCTTGATTTCGAGTAGCGTTCGAAAGTAGACCTCGGACTGCTGTTGGTGCTGCTGAGCTATTGAGATCCATGGGTCGAGAGTTGGCGAGACGGGCACCATTGAGGGTCTGTGATCAGGCATCTGGAACTCGGCTACCATGTCTTGAACTTCCTGTCGTACAGGTAGAAGATTGTCGTTTACCAGACCAGCGAGATATAGCCCTTTATAGGCTTCGAAGGCGACGTCCTTTCTTGCCATTTTCTCTGTTCGCCAGGATTCTACGCTTCGAGCTTTGCGTACCGCATAGTCAACAGAAGTTGGGAGGGTAACTTCTGCAGTAACACTGCTACCAGTTTCGGACCAGATGAACTTGAACTGCGGACGTGGGTCAACGTACGGGTCTGGCGCAAGCAGTGCGCAAAAGTGGTTGAGATGTGGCAAGGCATCATTCAGTGTCAGGCGGGCACCAGTACTAGCAACCTCGAAACACCGCGTCCCCTCCTCCTCATCTGCTTCCCTCATATCTGCGAGATTACTCTGCCGCATGTCGTCGAGGTAAGCTTTCTTCATCTCCTGTTCAAGCGCTTCCCAGGTCTCGGGAGGATGGCTATCTCCTACTTCAGGCACGAAGACAAAGTATTTTGAGTTCTGCATTCTTGCTCTACCGCGTCGTTGGACGAAGCTCTTCAGGTTCTTCGGGCGTTCGAAGCAAACGACTAGATGGCAACTAGACACATCGATGCCTTCCTCAAGAACGCTTGTGGCAATTATCAGATTCGTCGTGCCTGCCCGAAAGTCTTCTAACGTTGTGTGCTGGTTCTTCGGCTCTGGGAAGGCAGCAATCATCGCTTTACGTTTGCTCGACGACGAAGGGCCTAAGAATGTACTGACTCGGAACAGGTCTCTGGTACGAGGATGTACGGAGAGGATTTCTGCCAGAACAGCAACCCAAGTGCGCTGCTCAACAAATACCAAGCCTGAAAAAGTGGGGTTGTTTTGAGCTTCACCGACCAGAACATCGATTAGAGTTTCGACCTTCCGTGACAGGAAGTCGGTTTGAAGTGAGGGGGGAGGCTCAAGCTCGCGGAAGCAAAGGTTTCTCAAGAGGATGAGAAGGTGCTGCTTCTCGTCATTGGTCCCGTCAAGAAGTTGTTGCGCATCGGACAAACTTTTCTCAAACTTCGCCATACATTGGTGTAGGTACCATTCAACTGCAGATAGACCCAGCTCCTGCATAAGGTCTCGTGATCGGGTGGTCAAAGTCCTGAGCTGCGCGATGCAGTAGGTTTTCTGGCTTACAAACAGCTTCTGCAACTTTTCAGAAACATCGTATCCTTTTTGCTGCTTTTGAAGAAGGTCTTTCGTATAAGGGTCCTGCATAAGATCATACTCTGTGTAACTACGCGAGAGAGCAGCAAGCAGCGGCAGCTGATCTGGCAGCTGGTCTTCGACTTGATAGTCTACTCTGATCAGTTCTGGCTGGTGTACATACTGTGCTAGTTCAGAACGACTTTTCTTTGGAGTTTTGGCTGTAGCATGCATATTCCGTTCGATCTCTCTAACCTAGGTGTTAGCATCGTTGTTGCTTCTCAAGAGATGAAACCTACTGTAAAGACTCTGTTGTGGCATGTGCTTTCATAACAGGACTCGCGCTCAGACCGAGAATTCTAGGGAGATTGTCATCTCCTGATATGATTCTTGGCATGTAGAAGCTTGACATGATGCGATTAGCTGGGTGGTTGAGAGTACAATGATGAGCTGTACAATGGTCAGGAGCGGCGGTCATAATTTGCAGTATTGACTGACCTTCGTCGAAAATCAACAAAGCCAGCTCATCCATCCGGACAAACGCATGAGCGAGAGCATCGTACAAGACCTGATGCGTTGACAAAACGATGCGGACATTTTGTAGTACCGAATCCCACACGCTCTGTTCGGTCCAGTGGTCAACATCATCTTGACCACTGAGCACGAGGACATTATAATTTGGAAGGTGGTAACCAAACACTTTGCTCTGCTGCTCACACAAAGTAACAGTAGGTGCAAGGAACCATACGCGCTATGCAAATGAGTCAGAGTCTACGCTGAGAGTTCTGAGAGGCTATACCTTGGACGGCTTGCAAATCTCGAGTTCAGCTCGGGTACGTTCCACTGCTCCGGTTGCTGTTAGCCCGAGAGCATCAGTCGTAGTAGCTCGACATACATGTGCGTTTTGCCGCTACCAGTGTCCATGACAACGATGATGTTCGAGCCCAGGCTCTCCTCGACCATCTCAGCCTGATATGAGCGCAGGGCGAGCGGCTGGGCATCGACCGCGACCGCTTGAATTGGAGAACTCTCATCGAGATCCACTGCGTCGGGGTCTATTGTGGTAGTCATCAATTCAATCCAAGATAGGTCATGTCCTTGTCTGTCAGGTGAAAAGACAAAGTGCTCCTGGTCGAGTTGGCCTGGATCCCCGCTAGCCTATGATTGGCTCAGACCCACCTTGTGCTTCATCTCAAGTTTGACAACGCACTCGCGCGCTTATGGAATATCACATTGAGCATTGGAAAGATTACAATGAGTCATCGTTTTCGTAAATGTTACACCAAATCCGATCGTGTCTATGATCACTGTGTATCAGCATCTGCGCCGGCCCAGATCACGATGTAACAGTATTCCACGAGCTGGAGAAGTTCGTAAGTCGGGCCTTGAAAACCGAGGCTCTCTACAGGTTCGTCAAGTAGTCCTCGACTTCAGAAGGGCTCAGTTTCCTGAAGCGGGGGCCCACTGCCCCTTCAACACCCTCTACACCGAGCAGCCTCTCCTCAGGTGGACCAACGATGCCGATCTCAACAGTGTCGCCGTTCATCTCTCCTTCTATCGTCTCCTTCAGCGTAAGAAGGGCAATATGAATGGCATCCTCCAACTCCAGGCCATCCGTGTAGCGCTTCTCGAGGAACGTCTTCGCGCTCGTTGCGCTCTTGCCAATTGCCGTCGCTTTCCAAGGGAAGTAGCTGCCGCTGGGGTCGACCTGGTACAGACTTGGACCACCCTTCAGGATGCCACCTGTCTTGCCGCTCACTTTCTTCTTCTCCTCACTTGTCTGCTCCTCGCTCTTGCCCTCAGCCTCCGGCTCGATACCATCGTCCCACCCAGCGATCAGCAAGCTGACACCGTACGGCCTCACACCACCCGACTGTGTCGCCTCCTGCATCACACGCGCTACGTCCTGAACCAATATCCTTGTGGGTGGGTACTCGTTGTAGATGCGCTTGTATTCGGTGTGTGAGACTTTGCGAGCCTTGTCGACGAGAACGCGGTAGTCAGGGCCCATGCCTGAATAGACCATACCAATGTTTGGTGTTATCAGGCTGACTTTCGATGACGATGCGGAGTCGATGAGCGGTGACGACGACTTCTTCTCGGTCGCAAGAACAATGCCGTTTGTAGCTGCAAATATGCATCAGTGTATGCTTCAGTCACAAATGATCTTAGACAAACCTTTGATTCCTAGCGAAGTGACACCTTGGTTGACGGCATTGAGAGCATACTCTGGACTGTATCAGTACCTCTAGAACAGTAGGGGCTCACGCGTATTGTGAGAATGAGATGCGCATACCAATCTGCACCAGCTTTCCACTGTCGTCATATTAGCTGGCGGACCACAAGCCATGGCGGCGGGGAATGCTTGTTTACCTGGGCGAGAAGGTGGTGAGCGAGAAGGAATATCTGTCAGCCATGGCGATGTCTAATACAGCACTGAAGCAGTTGGCGGAGTGGTAAGGTAAAGGGAGTAGGCAAAGAGCCGCTGTGGGGTGCGAGATGGAGGTGAGTTTGGAGCTCGTTTGAAGCTCCAGGCACTCGGTGGGACGCGGCGGCGGAGAGCATGGGCCAGCAGTCCCACGTGATATTTGCCAAGCCTTACGCCCGAACTAGTCTTCCTTTTCGACGCTGTTCCCTCCACTTCCTCTGCCACCGTGTCTCTTCGTGACACTTGCATATCTAGGACGCCGCGTCGGCTCCTGGTCCGGTCTGAGGCGCTTGCGTTGGCAAATGTCACCCCCGCGGTTACCTGGCTGATCTTCTCTGCCCGCAACACCATCTCTGCACTCATGACCTTTGTCAGGCTTTTATTGGTAAGCGTGTAATCGGCCTGTTAAGGCTGTCAGCCTCGTAACTTCCTTCAACGTCCAAAAATGTCTTCCTCATCCGGCTTCCAAGCTATGCCGGGCTGGTACTGGCCGGACGATGTACCAAGGGACGAGCCCGCGCGCGGTGCAACCTCTTCCTCAGCGCCACAGGCCACGGGAACCTCGTCTACAGAACCACCAGAAGCAGGACAAGGCGCGCGGCCGAAGCGTACTCACTGGCCCCCTCGGCAATGCAGGATTTGCCTTGAGGTTGTTCAGCCCACGTTCAATGCTCCCTCTGAGAGTCTCCCAGGCTTTCTGCAGTCCTCTCATCCCAACGTAGTCTACGAAGATGACGGAGGCCGCTTGATTAGACCTTGCCTATGCAAAGGCTCTTCGAAGTATGTTCACGATCAGTGTCTGCAAGCGTGGCGCCACGCAGATCCCGGCTATGGGCGCAGAAACTACTGGCAGTGCCCGACATGTGGTTTCAAATATCGGCTTGCGCGATTAGGGGCAGGCCGATTTGTTGGTAGTATCGGTAAGCTGTGGTCATGTTTTGCTATGTATGATATACTAACGATGTTACAGCTGCTCAAATAACACTAACTGTCCTGATCATGACGTCAATGGTGTTCCTTCTTGGGTTCTTTGCGGATCCTATTCTCAATTTATATTTTGATCCATGGAGCACCCTCATGCCCTGGGCAAGTTCAGGTCGAGACTACTACTATGAACCGGAGGTTGGACCGGACTCTTGGACCGAGCATTTTGCTAAAGGTTTTGCTGGTATGGGCGTGCTTGGCTTTCTCAAGGTCATTGTCACTAGCCCACTCTCTTACTTTAGGATCGGAGGCGGTCGAGGGCGAGCGACCGGTCGAGACCGATATGAGCAAGTCAGTTGGATCATCATCCTGATTGGAGTTGGAACGTTCCTAGCAGTATGTATGAGTCTGTTACAGATAAAAAGTCCCCTACTGACCCCCAAAAAGGCCATCTACAAAGGTGTTCGCGTCTGGAGCCGTCGCACACTCGAGAGAGCTGGCGAGCGAGTCATGGACGTACAAGGCGACGATGATGGCGACGACGAGTAGTGTGTGTTACACAATACACGATGATTCCTCTCGGCCTTAAATCGAGTCTCTGATCCTTGTGATCCGCACCATCTTAAATTGCCACGGGGTATCTGCTCAGTACCGTGTCAATTAGTCTATGTGCGAAGATTAAACTGCCCACGGGATCCATATCGATCAGCGCGTCTTGTGCAGTCGGCCTTTGGACCGTGGTGCATCACCTCTAGCAACTTCTACAGTTTTAGCTCGCTCAGTCCGCGTCGATGCTCTCTCCGAGCAATCCCGCGAGCGTTCGTTGTTCTTCGAACATTCGACATGGCTGGAACGTGAAGGTGCTTTTGGAATATCTTTTGTAACACAATGCCGCCTCCGGGTGGGGTCAACTTAAAGGCTGCAGTGAAGACATGAAACTCATTTCTGCCTATCAGATTACGGCTATGTAAACGCTAATGCGACATCAAGGTACTCTTAATCATCCATACACCTCGTTTGCACCGTTCAATCTCCACCCCCAACCTCAACCAAGATCTTGACCTGATTGTCTTTATCGTGTATCAGTGACTTGAACCCTTTCTCCTCCACCTCCGTCAGCTTGATCCTCTGCGTGATCATCTGATGAGGCTTCATGCTCCCTGACGATAACGCGTCAATCACCTCTTGGAAATCGCCAACCTCATACGTCGCAATACCCATATACATACGTTCTTTGAAGTTGAAGTCGTTCGCGGTAATCGTGCATGGCTTCTCCCAGATGGCGATGTTCAGAATACAGCCTCGAGGCCGTGTGGCATGCACAGCTTGATCTAATGCTGACTGCACGCCCGCACAGTCGTACACGATGTGGACGCCCTTGCCGTCACTCAGCTCTTTGCAGCGCTTGGGGACGTCATCCTTCGTCGGGTCAACGATATAGTCTGCGCCAAACATCTTTGCGAACTCTTGTCGCTTGCGTGAGACTTCAGAGACGATGATTCTGTCGCATCCTTTCGCTTTCAATGCCAGGATGGTCGAGATGCCAATCGGGCCACCTCCGAGGATCAATACGACGTCGCCCTTTTTGAACGGGCTGACTTTGACGGCGTGCCAGCCGACTGCTAGCGGCTCGACAAGTGCACCAATCTCCAGGGGAACATTGTCGGGGAGATGGTATAAAGTCGAGGTCGGAACTACGATGTGGTCTGCCAGTCCACCGCCCCAGCCAGAAAGTCCGATGAAGCCGTTGCTCCAGCAGCAGTTATGCAGACCCTCTTCACATGCAGCGCATGTCCCATCGTAGATAATGGGCTGCACAACAACGCGATCACCTTTCTTGTAGTCTTTCACGTCGTCGGCTACTTCCTCGACGACGCCGCTGAATTCGTGTCCGAACGTCACAGGAACCTTTTCACCTGTAATCGGATGCGGTGTTGTGGGACAAAGGTTTGGACCACCGAGGTACTCGTGCAGGTCTACAGATTATCAGTGCTGAGAACAGTATTCCTATCCTAGCCTTACTCACCACTTCCACATATGCCCACCCAGGCTGGTTTGATCTTGACTTGGCCTGGCTTTACTTCTGGAATTGGAATCTCTTCGTATCGCAAATCGGTCTTCCCGTGGAACCGGACAGCGTTCATATTTCCAGTTGCCATTTGACGGTAGGCTGCTCTTTCTTTCGTTTTAAATGAGGGGTGTACTTGCGGGTCGAATATATCTAGTTATACCCTCTCTTGCTCACACCAGCTCTCGAGACCAACCTGGAGGATATGGAAGGGCCTCGTCGTCTTTAAGCTCACCACCTCACGCCATGCCGGCTATAGACATTGCCAACATCTGTTCTCCGCGAGCCCGCGATTCGCTCTTCGAGACGCGGTACAAATCACGTGTTCATCATGAAAGCACCACGGTTTACCCATTGTGGCAATCCTGCAGCCGATCACCCCGCATCAACGAACGGTTCGGGCCCTAGTCGCGGGGTACTGCACCGAAAGGGCTGCAAGGCGCATCGTTTCCGGAGTGTTGTCTCTCAGTCATCCGAGAAGTCAAGTCAAGCTTTGGCGAGTTGCCGTGACGTCGCGTAAAGTTTAGATCTTGTGATGATGGCACCCTAAATGCAACACCCGAAATGGCTAACCAGTTATCTAAACAATAACTATCTTATGCCATCTGCGGTCTTCGGGCAGTATATGCTCTCCTCCCATTAAGCCCAGAACATACGCGTCACCGACGATATTGTATACTTTCTCACCTCCTTCCGAGCTTCCATTCGCCTCTCTTAACAAAAAGGGCACTGGTGCACCTTTGATTATTGCGAGACAATCACTAAGCTGCGTTTGCTCAGCTACAAGACCGACTTGCCCACCGAGACTCGTCACGCAGAAGCAACGTCCCTTTAGATTGCCCATAACCCTCTGTAGGAATGCGACGTCTTCTTCGGGGAAAGCACCGAAAGTGATTTTCAGATGCATACGATCCTCGATCATCTTGTACTCGTCAATACGTGAGAGGAGTGTCAGGAAAAGGGCCTGGTCTTTGAGATCAGTCATGTGCGCGTCGTCGATTGTCGTATTAGGCCGCATTGTGATGCAGTGAAAGAAGCTCTCGAGTATCTCACCCGGTTTCTGTTTGAGGAAGTCGGTAAGCTCTTTCAGAGAGGTTAGTAGCATCTCATAGGTGTATTGGAGACGACCCCCAATGCCGGCGTTGAGCCTGTCTTTCCGCACAGGAGAGGTCATAAAGGCAAACTTTGTAACAACCTGACCGCTGAGAATGAGCTGGTTTTGCACAAAGCTACTGCTGACCGAAGTGATATTGCCGCCAGCTCGATAGCCTCCCCCCAATGGAATTCTTGGCTTCTTTGGCGCGAAAGAAGAAGTAAACCAGTCCTAGAGATATGTTAGTCTCTACTTTTAGACACTTGCTGGCAAAAGTCGTGGAACTTACTGGTACCCAACTGGGCAGCAGCGGGCTAACAGGTGTCATGCACGCCATGCTTAAGACTTCTACAAGATGTCCTTGTTCGATGAATGCTTTTGTAAAGCGGGTGTAGACTTTCGGGTAGGTGTCTTCCGGTTGGTAGCTGACCAGGTGTCCAAAATGCTCGGCATCTGACGCAAGACCTAACAAAGCGTAGATCTTGTCTCGCGGATCAGTCGCATCGAATTTAAAGGTATGCCAGATCTTGTCGATGAGCCTTGACTTATTCTTGACCCAATCCTTGTCACGAAGATCCTCGCCTGTGCGCAACCTCTCCATGTTCATGGTTCCCAAACCGTTCCATCCTATGAACGCAGCTAGAGTCAACTCGGCGTTCTCTCCACGGCCCAAGTAGTGCATGTTCATCATTCTGCTGTAATTCTTGACGCAGTCCATAACGACATAGATCAACGGGTAACTCAACAAGGAAATACCGTTGTGAACATAGAGATCGCTACCAAGAGTGTATTCTTGTAGAATCCATATGCGTCGAAAATATGGAGAAGCAAAAAATCGTCGCCAGGCGAACCATACCGGATCGTCTTCGGGTGGCACATCGTAGTCCTCGATACAGGTTCCGGTTGGCTTGAGAGGTCTCACAATTAGACGACCGGTGGCATCAGATGCCAAATCATCACCCTCCTGTTGATCCTCGGGCTTCACTCCTTGTTCAATGACTTCCCTACACTGAAAGCCCGCTTCGTAAATTTTCTTAGCAAGCCCATTGAATGCATTGTCGTCCTCCGGATTTTGTGGCACGTAGGCAATTACTTGATGTGCTTGCTTGTACACACGTCGCATAAGCCCAATCTGGATTTTCTTTTCTTCTGGGTCGCTCTGGTTGATGCATATGGCGTCCACCCAGTATGATACAGCGCGATCTGGTCGACGCAAGCATCTTAAGGCGTTATGCATATTCCTGGTAACACTAACATTGGCATAGCCGTCGAGAGTGATATGCGCAGGGTTTTCGAGGCTTCCCCATACGTATGACAGTGCTGTATATCGTTGAAATGGGTGTAGGCGGACGCGGCTGTCGAAGGCGCCGTTGGCTTCCGAGAGCTGTCCTTGCTGAAGTGGATCACACCGGTCGATCATCTCATTATCTTCCTCCTGTGCCTCTGTACTGCCGGGATCCTTGGTGTATCCAGTATCGAGCGGAACGGACATGCCATTTCCAGGGTCGCCAGGGGGTTTGACTGTTCCTACTGGTACTTTACCAGCTTCATCAGGCGCTTTATCATCTTTGTTTTTGTCGGTGTATGTATCAAAATACAATTCGAACGTCTTCGTCTCATTTTGATCGCCATACCCCTTTCCAGTAACGAAACACGGTGTTTCGACAGGGCTTGGGATGGAAGGATCAAGAGCGCAATCTTTTTCCAAGTCGCAGAATGTGAGGTAACAGAAAATATCGTCGTCGGGATCTCCTGGCGCCAGCAAGAGGACTCGAATCGAAGTTGGGGAAGGGAGGCTATCGTAAACATAATTGCCGGTGCCGAGTTGTTGTGGTTGTACTTTAGGGGAATTGCGGATCGGAGAGTGTATCGGTCGGGTCCCACAGTAATCTGCAAAGAGTTGCTGCATGTTGAGCTTGCTCGTTGTGATGCTCACGTCCAAATCGTTCCTGCTGTTCCTCCAGGCACAGTGGGGGACGTATTCTATATATATCACAGATTATGCAAGTCAGCACGAAGCGAATATTTGAGGTTGTCAGCATACATGTGCTGGACGAAGAAGAAGACGCAAAAAAAGTTACCATAGTAAAGCTGAGGGCAGTGGCCAGTTCTGATACTAGTGACTCGTTGTCATGTCCAGAACGTGCGTATCCATCAAAAGATTGCGTCGCGTAAACTCATATTGATTTATCAGCTGACACAGAATGCTTCTTCAATATAATTACATCGGTGTGGTAGCACTTGCTCCGATACCTGCTAGCCCAGCAGTTGCAACCTCTACATCCTGAGGTACCGTGCCGCCACTGACACCAACACCACCAATTAGTTTTCCCTGATAACAGATTGGCAGTCTGATCATGTGTCAGTAGATTGTTCTGCGTACACGCCTGAATTTGACACTCACCCTCCCCCAAAGACAACGAGCCCACCATTTGTCTGTTCAATAGCATATAGCGCCGCACCAGGCTGACTTGCGTCGTATAGACCAGCACTAGATAGCCCATTGAACAATACAGCAGTCCTCGCCTTCTTCTGGCTGATATCAATAGATCCAATGTAGGCGTTGTCCATACGGAAGAATGCGACTAGGAGGCCGGATGGATCAACGACAGCAATATTCTGGGGCACTCCAATGGCAGTGGCATTTGTAACGGCTGCTTGAACAATTTGATATGCCTGATCAGCTGATACAACGTAGCGTTGAGAAGGTGTCGAGCCGATTCCATTGGTACCGTTGATCTGACCGTACGCAAGGCCAGCCAGTGCGAGGATGGGGGCGGTAAAGTGCATGTTGGCGGCACGAGAGTTTTGTCTTGTAAAAACCGACAAGAATCCCGTTTGACGAGATTAAGGTTGCTGTGTCAGTCCTGAAGTCGAATTCTACTTGCTCGATTTTATATGTTAGGCTAGTCTAGGTACCAGCCATGGCAAACTTACTGCAGAGTGACAATCGATGACCATGCTTACCACTGATTATGAGTCTAGGTTACTGGATAACAAGCTTGTGGTGCTGCCGTGTGCGGGGAAGCCATGAACTGAACGCCATGATGTGCCTTGCCCGCCCATCAGCCTCGATCAGGTTTGGGGGCTTAGCGGAGTTTGGTCCGGCACGCAACGCGGCCCATCCCGAGGTAGTCAGCTGTATATGACAACCCCACTGCCGTAGATTCTAGGCTTGTTGCTCTGGAATCACGGAAGGCGAGAGAGCTTCCGTGTTGCCGGCTGGAGAGCGAAACATACAGCCGCTCCCGCCGTTTTACGTTGAATCTTGGAAAGACGGAACGCACAAAATAAGAACTCAACATCCTGTTTGAAGGCTGAAAACTCATCTTGGGCTATTTGAAGCCTTCATCAAACCACTCCAACGAAGCTTCAAAGTCGAGTTGGATCTGCCATGTCAAGTGCACCCCCCTGCGCGTTTTGTGTCTGGCCATGCCCTCGAAAACGACCTCTGAGCCTTTCGGGCGCCGTTAAATGGAATTTACTGAAGGGCAAGAGTAAATAATGGGTGTGCGAAGGTGGACTTGACCGTCGAGCTTTCAGCTGGAACAAGAAGCTGGAGCACTCTGCGTGCCGAATCCCGAGCCTCTTGGCATTGTTCAGTACTCGCCCATCCTCATGCACAAGATTGCAGCGCACCCAAGCTCATCTTTTGTGTAAGCACAGAGTTCACGATAACGACGGACAACGGGCAACTCAGGGAGGTTTATGCCTGTCGATCTTTACCTGAACACTGCGCATCACGTAACCGTTCGTCGTCTTTTTTGGTAGCAGTCATTGCATTGTTCAAAAGTCTTGGAACCTCGTCACGCGTTTCACCCTGATTGAGCGTTGCGGGCCGCGCTCAGCTTTCAGCGCAAGGTAGGCGCAGCAGTACGGTACCTATGCAGCGAAAGGGTTAAGCAGACTGACCAGAGAGATATTTGGTCCGACAAGAATAATTAAAAGCCTCACAATTGTTCGATTCCTGGTTATGCTTCACGGTCGTGGCTCGGGCGTACCTTGCAAATTCGCAGGTCTGGCGTCTCAAACATTATGCCGGAGGATCTAGCCATAATCGTGGCCCCACATGCCGGTCTGAGGACTCCAGCCTTGGAGAAGTGTAACCTCCCTCACATGTGCCCAGGCGCAGCAATGCACGATATCCTCGCGCACCACCCCCAAGCGCCTCCGGTCCTCGTACAACACCAGATCCCTCCGCCCGCGCCCGCGCCCGCGCCCGCAACCGTTATCATCGCGATTGCCGTTCTTTAAGGAATACGACCGATCGCGCCACAGCCCGATTTTGGAGACCACATCCCAACGCGTCTCAGGCCTAGAAGCGACGGCTCGCAGAGGCAACGCGTCTCGCAGCTGAGACCGCCCTCTAAGCGCTACTCATACCGGGCTTACGAGTCGCTTATCAGAGCGACCATGTTCGCCCTCCGTGACCTCCTTTTTCTACCAACGTTACTCTCGATTGCGCTGGTCGCGCACGCAGTCGCTGTTCCAGACGACAATGGGGTCATCGCCGAAGAGAAGGGCAAATCACGACCCGAGCTTGCTGCTGCCCTGACAGGAGGCGAAGGGTGTTCGCCGTCCGACATCGAAGACATTCGAGATGGCTTCATAGAGATGACCGAGCTGTTCCGAGCAGCCTTGCCATACGACCAGAATGGTCAACCCGCAATCGAGCTCTTCGGCCAACCCTTGCGAATCGCGAACTACACCTCCATGATCGAATTAAACCTAATCCGCGCAGCGCAATACGCCAACCTGGAAGGAAACGAGATTGTCAACCCAGATGTCCATGTGCGATGCGATGATCCAGCCAATATCTGCAAGATGGGGAATAAGAGGGAGGGAAGCCACGTTGCTTACAATATGGGCAATTTCCCCATGATCAACTTCTGCGATGACTACTTCAAGATGAGTGCTCTTGACGAGACCGTGGATAAAAAGGCCAACAATCAGATGGAGAAGGAGCGGTTGCATGAGTACTACAACAGAGCGACGCTATGGGCAAGGATGGTCATGCATATTGACGGCGTGGGTGTTGCAGTGGTAGAGAAGGCTATCCCAGCGCGGGCGAACTCCGCATCTGGCAGGGAATGGGATACGATTATCACCAACGGCGCCATGAACACGACGGTCCTCGCTGGAGTGCTGAACGACCGCCCGGATGGCAACAAAGTGACTGACATTCAGACCCTCAAGTACGCCTATGGAGTAACGCGCTCGAAGCTGCTAGCGGTCCTTTCCACCCAGATGCCCTATGACGCTGCCAACAACGCAGAGAACTACGCATTATACGCACAGGCCCGCTATGTTTTGCAAAGGAAGGGTTTCTACCCCAACGTGCCGGTCATGGACTTCCCCAACGAGCTGTCTGTCCTGACCAACGAACAACTGCAGGACGGAGAGCGGTGCAAGTATGCCTACTTCGACTCATCAGACGTTGTAGCTCGACCACCCAACATGGAACTCAAGGCGAACCCACTTCCTGGCGCAGCTTCGAAACAGCAGCCTGCGTTGATGCTTCTGGCACTTCTTGCTGTGGTATACTCTTTCGCCGTAGCGTCGTTTGGATGAGAGCCGTCTTGCGGATGGATCTTACACCAAATACTAAACAACCAAACACCATATAAGTTGGTTGCTCCGCATCGCCGCATCTCAGCGACACCGTGCGTGCGCCGAGAACCGGCATTCGTGGCCAAATCCACGCGACAGCAAACCCGACTGGCTGTCCCGCGAAGATGTGCCGCTACCCATAGTCCGACGGACGCACAGATAGCCCGATCGCACGACTGTGAGCGAACCGGTTCGACAGACGGCTAGGCGAAATATCCGTCTTACAGATTTCAGAGACATATAATACTGCATCTTTCCATTTCTGCACAGGCGAACATGAGCGCACTTCGATACCCAATACTTCGCATGGAGCATAGTATAATAGCATAGCAATATAACATGACATTAAGTATCACAAACTGTAACCCTGGTTTGCACTATCCCAGCCAATGTACGCCGAGATTCAATACAATCCATGCTGATCAAATCGAGAGGCTGAGCACAAATTGCGATGCGTAGGTTGAGTACGTGGGCGTAGTTGACACTCATTTAACACTTGTTTGACATTCGCTTAGCACGAAGCATTCAAAAGGACTCGATCTAGGCTGATAAAGATTCGGTTGTTGATAGGTTAGGGCACCTAAGCAGTGCCCGCGTGCGGTTCAATACATTCCTACTCTCTCGACTGATTCATGACCATCGTCCCAAACTCCAATTTCGCGACGCGATGTCGCATGCAATGTGAGGAAACAATATGCAAGACTTTATACATGATGAATACAGGGATTGGCTTACTTAGAAGCCGGCCACGAGCATAAGCCCGTACCCAATGGTGATGATGACAATGTAGGTAATGATGGAGGCAGGAACGCCACGGGTGAGGAAATGTTTGACCTCGAGGTAGCGTTGTCCGGTTCTTTGATCTTCCATCATGATGGCCGCTGTCTTATGTTAGACTGAGGTATAACAGTACGGGGGGTTGACTTACTCATGTTGGGGAACCCGCTCGTCGGCAGACCCATGGCACCGCTTGCCATGAGTACGGCACCCATGACAAGCAGGTTGGGGTGAGGCTCCGGCATGCTTTGACCAACCTGCTGCACGAGCGGGAGCACAATGAGCGCTGCGACAGTATGGCTGATGAAAGTAGCGATTACGAGGATCAGACCGCAGAAGACACAAAGAACTCCGTAGAGACTCATACCCTCGACACTACTCGTGATCGACTCGGCAATGGTGTGGAGCAAACCAGAGGAGTTGACAGACTTGCCAAGAGCAAGACCGCCAGCCGCGAGGATGATGATGGTCCACAGGAAATTGTTGAAGTCCTCCTTTGTTAGGATACCAGTACCGAAGAACAGGACGAGTGGAATAATGGCCACAACACCCATGTCGCCGAAGATGTCCTCGAGCTGGTGGCTTACGCACCAGAGTATGATTGTGACCACAGTGACGATACTGATGAACCACTGCACTCCAGTGAACTTGTCTTTCATGGGACGGATGGGTACGATCGTAACGCCCTTTCCTGGCTGGAATGTGAGAACCAGCAGACCCCAAATCAAAAGAATGGAAATGATGCACACAGGCAACGCAATGAAGAACCACAGGCCCCAGGACGGTTCAGGGTTCATGTTTTGAAGGGCAATGAGATTTTGCGGCGACGCAATAGGCGATGCAGCGCCACCAATGTTGGACGCGAGGGCAATACCCAGAAGCAGGGCTTTGGTCATGTTGGAGTCCGCAGGCAGATTGCGAAGGATGGGCTATTTCGTCAGTTGGGTCTAATCCAATGGCAAGATGCGAACATACCTGGATGATAGAGAAGCACAACACCGGCGCAGCAACGTTGCTGATCCACATGCTTGCAAACATAGCGACAAACATATTGGTCAGGAGGACTGTTCTCGGCTTCGTTCCAGCCTTGCTCAGAACGAACGTGGCCATCATTTTAGCGATGTTGTACTTAGAGAGTGCAGCTGCGATTGTGAAGCCTCCTAGAAGCAGCATGATTACTGGTGTCCACATGGCAGCAAACACGTAGCTTGCTGCGGCTTTCGAGCCAAGTCGTTTGTGCGGCTCAACATCACTGCGTACGACATCGAGGGTTACGGCAAGGAAAGGTATAAGGAGTGATGTAACGAAGAGCGGGATAGCCTGCGATAGTTAGCGTCATACAAAGAGCAGAGGGGAGAATGAGCTTACCTCAGTCGCCCAGAGCGAGCTGACGAAGATGACCATGGCAAGGCAGTTCTGCTGTTCCGGCTTTTCCATGATGGGCACCACGAGCAGAACCACGAACACTGCTATGCAAGCCACCAATATCCAGAAGGTCTTGCTGACGAGCCATTGTGGACATCTATATCTCCCAATGGGCGTGACAACCTCCTTGATCTCCGGCTCATGGTCATCACCCTGTCTGCGTACTCGACCTGCATTGACATCACGGCCAAGCAGGGTTTGTGTGATACCAATATTTGCAGCTTGTGCTTTCCTCTCGATACCAATCATCTCCCTCCAGACTGTGTTTCGCTCCCAGACAACATGCTCTCGTAGGTGCAGCCTGAGCTCGCGCTTAGCCTCTGCAACATCACCCTTGGTGCAGATTTGCGAGTAAGCATGTTCGACGTGCTGCAGCTTCTGCGTAAGCTTGTCCATGGTGCTTTGCTGGAATGGGTATGCGGGGTACACGTATTTGCTCAGGTACTGGCTCTTGAGTTTGCGATCCAGAATCTTGTCGAATTTCTTCAAGACCTTCTCGAACCCGGTCTTGTTCAGCTGAATGAAGGATCGCAGTTCACACAGCGAGACGTATATGCTAACAGTCCGTTTCTTAAGCGAAACGCCCTCGTCGTACAACGCCGAGAATGCCATGTCGTTGTAGTCATCAAATGCTACGCTTGTTCTGCGCTTTGATGAAAGGCCATCTGAATTCATGTTCTCGTCTGTAGTCCGTCGCCGCCTTCGCTGCTGACCATCAGGGCTCTTCTGTCGTAATCTCGAGGTTTCGTTGACGTCTACGTCTGAATCTTCGTCATCGTCAATTCCATCGCCTGTGGAGCGCCCGCTGACTGTGCTCGTTGCTCGTGGGCGATTGAAACCAATTTGTTTAAAGATGCTGGTGCTGCGCGTCTGTTTCCCTGGTGCCGCATTCTGCTGCTCGTGGTCAAGCTCCTCTTGTTCACGCTCATAGGTTGCCTCGTCGTTGATCAGAGCGTCCAGCTCGCTGTAGATCTCAACCTCCTTCACCTGGTAGAACGACGTGACCTTCTCCAGTTCCGCATCTAGCAGGTTTGTGAACGCCTTGTCAGGATCGTCTGCGGCACCATTCAGAAGCGGCGATGATTCGGCGTCGGTTGTCGCGGTGTGTTTCTGGTTGATCTGCGTCTCGAGGTTGTAGATCCTATACATCGCGTTGCTCGTCAGCTTCTCCTCCACCAGTGGACGTTCCACGAGTCTCCACCGTTTGCAAGACGTACTGCTTCTTCAAGTTGCTGTAGGCCACATAGTGGTTGCTCCAGTCCGGTACCGCATTGAATTGCAGGCTGTGGGAGAACTTCATCTCGTCGGCTTCGCGAAGCTGCTCGAGCTTCTCCCGTCTCTTGCGCTCTCTTTTGCTCTCCGGCGCCCAGTTGGGGTTACTTGTATTCTCTGTGGTGAGTTCGTGGAGCTCAAAGGCTTGCTCGATCGGGCTGTCGCGGAAGGCTGCAAAGCGGTCCAGGGTGGAGGCTGGTGCAGAACAAGAAGAAAAGAGCGTCAATGTGGAGTGCAGGTGCGGGAAGACTAGGGTATTCGTGCAGATGGTAGTCTGGGTCAGGTGCGAGAACGGCCCTCGGAGTGCAGCCAGAAGCAATTCAGGTTGCCGGCTATTGGTGGGTCGCAGGGTGGTGCAAATCGTGGCCTCCTGTGCATCTGATCCGAGCTGTGACGTGTGGCCAAGGGAATATGCCCGTGCACGGATGATTGGTTGTCTCAGCGCATCGTGCAGCCACACCTCCAGCAGATGCACACCTCAGCATAGTGAAGTCAGCGTTCCGCTCCTCACAACGGCAGCATCGTCTTTGCTGCCATAGTGCGCAACGTCCTCGACCGCTACCCACGGTTCAACAGCAAACGGCACATTATCTTACTGTGGAGCCGCTAGGAAATTATCCAACTGAGGTTAGCTAGATCGACAACCAACGTCATGCATCGCGACCAGCCTCAATTTTGCATCTCAACCAGGTTTCGGGTACCAACGGGTGTGAGGACGTGTGGAGGGTCGCAGCCTCGCAAAATCGTCCAGTCGTTGCCATGCTGAAGCAGATGCATGTCAGACGTACCAATGGCAACAGTGAAGCGTTGCACGAGGCAGGTACCCTTGACAATCGAAGTGATACGCAAGGAAACAGTTCGCGTTTGCAATATCCTAGTATGACAAAACATCGTCATGACAAGGACATTGAATTGGAAGGCGCAGTGCGAGTGCGTGAAAGATAGTATTGTTATCTGTCGCCAGATGTTGCAACTGAAGCGTTGCGTGTGATAGAAGTATATAAGCAGACCATAGTTTTGTGTTCTTCCGTGACCCAACCGCCATTGGGTATATAACGCCGTGCAATGCTGCAGCCAGAAATGCTCATGCATAATCATAAAGTTCGTCCATTTAGGTTTTCGTAATTCATTTTCCAGTAGCCAATCCTTCCTTCAACGCGGCATGTACATACCGGTCGTCATCATTGCAGATCCATAGCGGTCATGAGCCTTCAGCATGTAGCGCAAGAAGGTGATAGCCTTGAGATAGATTTTCAGGGCCTTGCGACGGCGGACCTTGTCGGCTTCGAGCACCTTTCGGAGCACCCGTCGAACAGAGGTTGCTTTGGCTGTTGTCATGCGCGCAAACTGGATGACAGTGCCTTTGGCGGTTTTTGTAGTGAGCTCTGGTTCACCGATTGATATATCAGGAATGAAAGCTTCAGGCACATCATGCGACGCCGAGTCGATCTTGGTGAGTGACGGCCTGACGGGTTTGGCTTCGACCTCAACATCTGAATCATCAAATTCGGCGGCCTCAGTGATGCTGCCCAAGATAGGTTCGAATGCGGGTGATCTCGGGCTGCATTGGTAGTGTTCGTAGTCGAACGACATCTTGTCAGAAAGAGGAGTTCGTTGTTCTTTGTTGTTCCTTGATGGGGTAGATTGTGACGAAGTTTGCGGATGGGAGTAGCGTCTGGAGGAAGGCGCGTTGGCCGGCTGACGAGCACGCAGTGAGGACGATGTAGACAGAGAATCCACGAGCCAAGAGATTACAGATGGAGCTGGAGATGTGAAGGCTGCGGGAACTGTTTGTCGTCCAGATGCGGAAGGTACGCGAAAGTCGCACCTTGGCGGTGAAAAGAGCATCATTGTGCACAAGTACTACAGTAAGTACCAGCTAACGACCCACAACCACACCAACGGTTGTTTGAGAACAAAGGGGGAGAAAGGAACAGCTAGAATAAAAAGCCGGAGACGGAATGGCAGTGGGTATATACTATGGGCCGTCCCCGCATACAAGGGCGGGTAGCGGGCGAAGGACCCTTAGTTTGGCATAATCATGACTGTGATCGTGTGGTCTAGCGATGCTGGCCTCGAGACAACACACAGCCGCACGCGACGCCCACATTCCTCAGTCGTCCACGCGTCTTAGCCACGTTGGTCAAAGGTGACCAGTGGCGTGAGCTGAGCGTATTGACAACAAACACGCCTGCCTCGGAACCGTCAAGCAATTGGAAAGCAGTGCCCGAAGAGTGTGAACAGCAACTGAGTTTCATATGACGTCGCATTTGAGGGCTCGATCGAGAGATCCAGGCATTTTGACAAGAGCCGGCGCTCTGTGCTAACAACGTGCGCTAACGGCGTGGGCCAACCAGATACCGTTTCTTGCGACCGAGCAGTAGTTCACACCATTTTCAGTCCTCGGCCGCGGCGTCCACCCAAGCAGAGAATACCGCGCTACACGCTGCCCATCAACGCTTAGGAAACGTGCAGCAACCCAGCCCGATTGTACCGGCAATGATGAACCATTTCAGCTGATCACAGGGCTCTTCAGCTTACAGCAGCAGGGGTATCTGCGCTGCCTCGTTCACTTGCCGCCATGCCAATCGAGCTGGCACGCGACATCCTCGGCCTGCATATGTCCAGCACATGCCAGGGGAGGTGCATAACAGGTGTCCGTGTTTTCCTTCTGCTACCTACCTATCGTCTTACACGCTGGGGATCTGAGATACATGTGCTTAGGTACCTGTTGCGCTACCTTGATTCCCCGCATCGGTGCTCGTACCCTTTGCTGGAAAGCGGAGGCGTCGCACAACACAACGCTCATTTTTGATCAAAACACTGACGCTGACGCTGACACTGACACTGACATTGACACTGACATTGACATTTACATCATTGCTTAGTTTACGTCGCCTTTCCTTCACCTCTTTACCTCGTTTTCTCGCACGCTGTTACTCTTCCATCAACAACGCGTACCCCGCAGTCGCTGGAAACAACGCCAGGATGGCCAGCTACACCAGGAAACAGATCGTGACGTTCATCAGCATTATTTATCTCTTTTTTACAACCGCGGTGGCAGGGTAAGCTGGTGGCTTTCTCACAGCGTCTTTGACTTACTCTTTCAGTTATGCAGCGTCTCGAGCCAACCGCCTCTCCGTGCCTATTGCTGAAACGCTCATTGGCTTCGTGACTGCGCTTCCTGTCATATCTGGTATCCTCCTCGAGTGCGGCTACGATCTGACGCGCCGCAAAGAACGTCGTGCTCATATGCAGCGTGGCGAGATCCAACGCCCGCCCTTTGTGATCGTCGCCAACTTCATCATCTTCATCTATTCAACAGTGGTCATCACGCTGCTTGGGACGCACGCAGCTCCACCTTCTCAACTGAACTGTGGACTGCGACAACAATGGCAATCCTTGTTCCGCCTAAAAGATGCTACTTCGATCAAGGCGATCCAAAACCAATACAATTGCTGCGGTTTCGCCAGTCCAACGGATATGGCTTGGCCATTCCCAAGTGCAAGCCACCATGCAGACGAATGTAAAACTTTGTTTGACAGAACGAGTGCCTGTCTGGGGCCTTGGAAAGCCGAGGAGCAACATATTGCAGGATTGCTGATGGGAGTCGTGGGTCTTGTGGCAGTCTGGGCAGTATGTGTTTCCCGTACAACTGTGCCTTCCATGCTTCTACTGACACACTACAGTTCGCAATCGTTGCTGTTCCGACTCAGCGCGAATCTTGGCTTCACAAAGTGGTTCCAGGGCAAATCTCAGACTTCATCGCCCGCGAAGAGCATGGCAACACAGGCGAACGACGCCGTATCAACTACCTCCCAGACACGAACCGCTACTCAGACCGCATCGAAGAAGAAGCCGATGAAGCATCCCCACTCAGCCCAGAGACCCGGCGTGCGCTCGAGCAAGGCCGTGCACAGGTTGGAACGGGTTTGCCTGGAAACGTTGCGATGGACGCACCTGCAACTAATGAATGGGCAAGGGGATAATCAGTGGACCTAATCCCTAGTCGCAAAAGCCTCACGATGGTTAAGACTCACCTATCAAAACGGGAACACATAGCATGGCGATCCAAGGCGTTTTATGTTTCATTCTCACACAGTGCCAGGTAGGTATTGTGCCATACACGTCTTCTAAGTTACTCAAAAGACAGGACATACCCTCGTTCTTTCTCTTGACCAATACATCATGTCTGCAAATTTTCTACTTCATCGTTCGGACTTTCCACCCCTCGAATAACACCTCCTTACGCCTTCTTCGCCCAAGCACCCTTGATCTTCTTCATCATGCCGACAACACCCTTCGTCACCTTCCCCTTGTGTGACTTCGCGATGCGTGCTTCGTTCTCTTTATCCAAATCGGACATCGACTTCATCTTATTCAGAGGCTTGGAGGTCGAGTCGTCGCATTGGGGGCAGTGAGACTCAGAGGTCTTCGAGGAGGTGGTGGCTGTGGTCATAGTCGACTTGCGTGAGTTGAGAGGGCGCTCAGGTGTGGGCGTGTTGCCGAACGAGACTGTTCGTGGCCTTTCCGCAGCGACAGGCTGCAGAAGGGAAGTGGTTGAAGAAGACATTGTGTTCTTGCGCAGCAGGTTGAGTTGAGTCGGTGCACTTTGTGTAGTCTGTAAGCTGGTTTGAGGAAGAGATTAGTGTGTCTGGAAGGTATTTGAGGACGCGAGAGTTTGAGCATCATTATGTATGTACGATAGTGAAGTCTTCAGCTGTGTAGTGAAAAGTACGCCCAGCACTGTCCACTCACAGTGCCCACGTGGGCTGCATAATGATAAGGTAAATCGCATAATGCAAACAGAGGTTCGATGAGGGCACGTGGGGAAGTCGCGACACACTCACCGTAGGCGAACAGATAGTATGAGCACATTTTCACGATAAGAGAGCTGAAGTAATTCTCTAGGTCAAGGTATGAGCACAGAGAAGCCTATGATATTGATTGCCAATGCATAGTTCATTCACTAACTACAGATTAAGTAAACATGCACCGTGAATGTCGAATTCAACTTAGGGCTTCGAGCCTATTGTAGAGAATCGCTTCGAGAAGGTCTTCACAGCCTTTTGGATCTTACCATCCTTCTTAGTCTCACCTGAGAATTGAGACCCACTCTCGACAGTCTCAGTCATAACGTCGCAGTCCATCTCTCGAAACTTAGATAACGTCGGCTTTGCAGAAGACCGCGCGTCTTTCTCGAAAGGAAGAGGAGGCAGTGCCTTCAAGTTAGACTCTTTTACTCCCTCAGGAGGAAGAGGCGGCAGAGGCTTGTCCTTCCATGATGACGGTTGACCGTAACTGATCCCACCTCCAGCTCCGCCATCTCTATGTACAATATACGGCTCTTTGGTCCCTGTGGACGTTGGACGCGTTTTGTATTCTGGGGGTATATAGCTATAGTTCACCATTGCTAGGTTTATAGATGAGGTTGTGGTTTTCTAGGGATAGCCTGGAAGAAGAGTTCAACATTTGTATGCCTCTGGCCAACGAAGTTGACGCACAACGCGGATCATACGTACCATATTCACACAAAAGGTGTTCACAAGACTGTCTCAGTCGTACTAATGGAGGGGAGATCAAATGTAGTATGTTTTATATTTTAAAGCACAGTAAGGGTATACGGCAGGAGAAGAATGACCCAATCTTAAAAGAAATCTATCCAAACACCGAGCCCAAAATTCGTACAAAAAGAGATATTTAGCATGACTACTGCTCCAAAATCTTGTCACAACGACGGATGCCATGATGTTCAGTGAACCCAACCTTTCAAGACTGTCACGTTGGCCTCCGAAAGCGATGGCCTCTGGATATCTCAATCCATTGGCGCGATCCGTACCAACGTATGTGTCTTCGTCGACGCCGATTCAACAGTGTTCGATGTTTGCCTGCGGTGCAGCAGCCGAGAATGCGCTTGCGCAGTGCAGACAGAACGAGAGCAAGGACGGAAAGAAGGACGGAAACCGAGATGGCAGCGATCCCAATGATCGCTTCGTCTGACAAGCCTTCTTTGTCGCTCTTGGCCTCCGCCCGAACAGCTAAATTGTTGCTGGGATTGTTGATTGGAAGGCTGTTGGCGCAGGCGGCGAACCAGAGGAGACGCAGCGCGAAGGCGAGTGGGGCCCCCATGATAGAAAGGGTTAGACTGCTCAAAAGTACCCCGTGGGTAGGTCACGTGATCTGCGACAGCTGACGCGACTCTGGTCAAAAAGTCAGCCAAATTTCACCATAAGGTTTTTCATTTACAGCACACTTCGTGCGATCTGTCTATGTCTTTTCGTCTATACATACAGAAAACGGACAGAGAACGAACCGATTCGGTCAGGATGGGAAGGTATGATACCTAATTGTACTCGCGACACAAAATATTGGGGAAAGGTCCGAACAAGCGATGTGGTTCGATGATGGTGGACCTTGCACTTGGCCTTCGGGAGTGCAGCGGACTGAAATACACTTACAACACTCAGCTGGCAAAGAGGCTGTGTAGCCTCTCCTTGGCGTTTTTGATGGTTTCACAGCGTCAGGCATACGTGGTGGTGTAGGTGGGAACGGTGGCCAGGGCCGACACAGCTAAACTTTTACAGCCTTTGATAGGATATCCTGCGCACAGTCAGCATAAGCTCCTCTTCCTATTGGATCACAAAGCGTGTAAAAAAACCCTTGGCCACCGTTCCCCACCTACACTACTTACTCATGTGTCCCGTAGTATGCCTGACACCGTAGAACCTGTGTCTTGGCACTAGCGCAGGCCAAGATAGGCACTCTACACTTAAATACACATAACATTGATCCTTGATCCATTGGCATGTATCATGATTGGCCCTCCAACCGTGCTCCTCAAGATGTAATGCGTGCGAGGACCACCAACGGGTCACCGATGGCATCAGCCTTACTTCGGTGACCCGTTGATGGTCCTTGCACGCAGTATCAAGAATCGACGTCCCATTGCAGCATATAGAAAGTTACAGCGTATCTAATCTGCAGCCAGCAATTCTACTCTGCTGGCTGATCCTTAGGCTCGTCGTGTCTGCGGCTGTGGAGAAGACCTAGCAATGTTGCGACGACAGGATCTTTGCGCGCATGGCTTCCACTGTGAGAGGTGCACAAGCTGGTCAAAGGTACGAATAGCGCAGTCAGTTACAGTATTGCAGGTGAGCCTGCTATTTTGCGCTGGCTCATCTTTCGACCCTTCATGATTTGATCGACGGCCAACATTCCACATTGGGCATACCAAACGACAACCTTCCATGTAAGCTCCGGTACGGGTGTGTCTTGGAAGGGGCAGTGCAACATTTCACGACCACATTTGGGACCAGCCTGGTCATGGTCGTAAGAACACACTTACTAGAGATTTTACTATGATAAGTAAACGGAGCACGCACTTTGCTGGTTCGATAAATCTGCTTCTGGGGGTTTGACCTCGTGTCCTGCAATTCCCAGCCTTCGGGGCACCACAGTTAAAGATGAGAGAGCATATCATGAACCAGGCTGACGCGGTTGTTGATCGATTATTGGCCAGTAATCCTCCGCGACTGGCTGTCTTGGCTACTCCCGTCCAGCTATTTATTTAATATGCTATGTACTTTCGATACCAAAACAAGAACAGTTCACAGCCCATAGCAGTGAAGAACAACACATGTTTACCGTTGCCAATGCAGAAGAACTCGGTTAAGAAGTGTCATCACATTACAATTTTGTTTCGCGCGAATCACACTTGCTGGCTTCCAATGCAAGAAATGCTCGCATCTAATACTCACCACCTACCTTGACAACTCCCTGACTTACCAACGACCTCGAGTTTTCGACGAAGGAGACATCTATTCGGAATTTGGAGCGACGATTGAAGCCACCTTAGCCCCAATTGAAACGCCACTGCTGGAGATAGCAGTTGTACCACCAATGACCATCTAGACCGCAAATATTACATACTGCGCCAGGAGTGATGAACCTTCGTAGAAAGCGCTCCTCACCTTGCTCGGGTTGAGAATTGAGGGTCTTCTGGTACAGGTAGTCCTCAAGGGTGTCGTATTCAGAGTAACGCGTCCATTCGATGATCTGTCGCTCCATTGTCCGCGCAATAGCAGCCGGCGGCGTTAAGTGCTCTCGGCCGTCACACATCGGCCCAAAGGACAAGCTTCGCAGGTCGGCATCATCGGATGCAACCATCAGCTCGGCTGCATCAGCTATCTGCCATTGGGCCAAACGCTCGTAGTCCCAGAAGGATAGCCCCAGCTGCTGACAGCGATTTCGATATCTATCGGAGCGAAATGCCGAGAAGGTATGCTGAGCCAGTTCTTTGGAGTTCCAAGTGTGGTTCCGTAGTTGTGTCGCCATTGAAGACGGTCCTGGATAGTAGCCGTCACCACACCTCCGGTACTGAGAACGACGTGCAGTATGCAAACAATAAACACGAAACAAACACGGACCGCCTGGTCTCGTACAGCGATTGAAAACATTGGTGACATACTGAGATCCGATCAAACGCTCTGAGAAATATACATCCGTTGGGCCGGCATAGAAGAGCAAGGTATTGAGCGGGTACTCACCAACTTGAAGCTTACTCTCGAGCGAAAGAATATGATCTATTTGCCAAGGCTGTAGGTTCTCGAAGAATGCGTGGGCGGAGTGTCTGGGATCCAATCCAGGAGGCTTGTGGGGACTGGTCTGTACCTGGAGGAAGATCTTGAGTACCCATAAAGCGCAAGCGATTCGAGTACGCTCAGTACTGGAGAGTATGACCGGCGAAGATTGCACGGTAGGATCAAGGAATTTCTCCACTCCAAAGACCATGCATTGGCCAAAGAGATCAGCAGCGTCATCGACTTCCATATAGAAATCTAACAGAACTTGGAGGGCCTCCAGGGGGTCACTAGTCAAAGGTCGAAAGGCCGGTAACTTACAGTGCCATTCAAAGATGTCACTCACTTCCAGCAGATCTGTAATCAAGCCCCAATTAAAGCCATCGTTTTGCAAGCCCCATGATACCTGGAAGAGCGCGCTGACAGGTGCAGGAACTTGCGCAAAGATGGCTGGAAGAGCAGTCTCTGAATATCGAACATACAAATCCTGGACGTAGGAACTTGCCACCAGCAGTCTTTTGGCTGTCTGGGGGTCGCACTTACATAGTACCTACCAAGGGTCAGCTTGAAGGAGCACAGGCAGAGCGGGGCATCGAGACCATGAGTTGCAGCTCAGCTGGAAAATTGGTGAATGGAAAGGTAGGCATTTGCTGTCTTTTCAAGCGGCGGGTAGCTCGCTGTTTAGCCGTCCTTGTCATTATAAGTTGCTCAGAAGCTGGTGGTGGTGAGCAGGAGTCGTAGTTGCCTAGAGCACCAATGGCACTGCGGTTGATTGTCGGCCCGCCGCCATGCAGGGCAACAGCTGTGGCAGCAACATGAGTTACGTCTTCACAACACGACCTCACATTAACAACTTCACGCGCCATGCTCGTCTCTCTGACCGTCGGCAAGGTCGATGCCGGCGTCGCCGTGCTCTTAACCGAAGATAAGCGTCTCGTACGCGTCCCAATGCCATACAGAGCCCCCCTCTGCACATGCGCATCCCTGCACTTCATTCGTACAGTGGCTGACCCTGGCGCAGATCGAGTTTCCGTCCATACTCTTGCCCCCGGACATCTCCTCGGGCAGCATAGTCGACATCGATGTTGCGCGCAACGTCAAGGCAGAGAACGATGCTGCCACGGCCTTCTACAAGCTCCAGTCTGATATCTTCCGCACATTTGGCCAGAACACGCCTTCAGCCCCTGTCATCCGCTGTCGCAATGCCACTCAGACCTCAGTCGTCCTCGAGTGGGACCCCATAGACATTGCGACCGCCGAGCTGCGTAGCCTTACTCTCTATCGCAACGGCAACAAGGCGGGCACCATCCCCAATCCCAAAGAAGTCCACAGCACGAAGCTCAGTGGATTAGGCGTCGACACCGAATACGTATTCCATTTGGTGCTCAAGACTAGCGCCGGCACTTTCAGCAGCGAGAAGCTTACGGTTCAAACACACAAGATGACCGACCTGTCTGGCATCACAATAACACCCGGCTACATGCCTGCAGCTCTACGTGAATCGCTGCAGCGTTCTGTTGAAAGAATCGGCGCCAAGATTGCCGACACTGTCCGCATCGATACCACACATTTCGTTTGCACAGAAGGTCGAGGGCCAGCTTGGGAAAAGGCAGTGGAGAACAACATTCCTGTCGTAGTACCAGACTGGGTCATAGGATGCGAGAGAGATGGCAGGATTGTGGGTGTTAGGGGCTACTATCTGAATGCTGATCCGCGGTTACGAACGGTCGGCCAAGGTGCTCCAGCACCTCAGCAGCAACAACAGCAGCAGCAGCCGCAACCTCAGCAAGCGCAGCCACAACCACCACAAGTCAGGAGTCCGCTGCAAAGTCCGCGAACAGAAATCACACCGCCCACTCCCGAGCGACCGACGCGAGATCGTGAACCAGATAGTGCGGCACCACCTCCCCCGCCGCCGAAGGACACCGAAAGTGAGCGAAGCATTTCACCCGCGCCAGAACCGAAGACACAGTCCGAACAAGACGAGCAGAAGGCCAAACCTGAGGATCTGAAGCCACAGCCCGGGAAAGCGCCCGAGGAGGAAGTAGACTCGGAGGATGAGGAGCCTGCAGGCGGTGACGTAAAAGCTCTTGATGCTGGGCTGCCAAGCAGACCGAAGCCCACAGTAGAGGACGATGATGACGGGGACGACGGCGCAAGTTTTCAGGAAGTGGCATTGTGAGCGCAAACGAACATAGAGTAATGACAGACTTTGGCAGGCGCATTGAATTCGTCCGAGCAACTCATGAGATTGGTGCATGGAAAACAATATCGAAGTGCCCCTTGGCTGCTAGTCGCCGCAACATAGCACTGTACTACACATTTCTAGAAGCGCAGTCCGTCAACACCACCGAGTCAACCACTCACGCCGACCTATATACGACGCCGGTAAAACAGCGACTCCTTCTCTCCCATCCTATCCCTGCACGACCCACCAGCGTACAGGGAGCCAGGTCATTGGCCGCAATAGTATGAAAAGCGGGTCCATGGTCGCCTTACTCGTGCACACAACTACCTAACAGAAAAGACAACACGAGGCGACCACATGGTATAAAGCCTGTCAACACAGAGATGCTTTGAATTCACTCTCTACGACTTCACGGTTCGTTGCAGCCTCGCTGCCACAATGTCTCTCCAACTCCCGCCCATATTCGCTACGCTTCAAGTCCCGCTTATCCTCCTAACCAACATCGCCACCCTCGCCATCGGGCCACGGCACCGCGTCTTGCAGTTTGCGTTCAGTGTGCCGGTGCTGGGTGTGCTGGTGGCGCAGAGTGTGTACCGCGAGTGGGACCGCGGGTGGGGGCTGCAATATGGGCTGAATTGCTTTGTCATGTCGGCGGTGATGACTTGGGTTGATTGGGTGTTGTTGGATAGTCCGGATCGGGAGAGATGGGTGAGAGTGAATATAAGAAAAGGGCTAGAGAAGAATGGAAAGGTAGGAGGGCGTGGGCATGTAGAGGAGAATGGGCAGGTGAAGAGCAACGGACAAGTGGAGAGCAATGGCCACGCAGTCATTTCCTCGAAGATGGCGTCTGCTCCAACCGGGTTCTGGAGCAGACTGTGGTGGGCGGCCCAACTTTCGACCACGAATCGGTACACGGGATGGTCGTGCGAGAGCAAGAACGTGCCCGTAGAAGTCGGGCCTGAGTATCCACGCTTGTAAGTCCTGAGATGCCTCACCAAGATGACCGAGAACTGAGTGCTCCCAGACTTTTCATCGTTCGCAAGACGCTCCGCGCAGGACTCTTCTACGTCCTCAAAGATGCGGTGTATTCCTACACAGCTTCGTCCCCTCATGGCACATGGCTCGAAATTGCCCATCTTGACCCGGTGATATCGTTCGTCCAGTATCCGTTCTTGTATCGGTTGAAGTTCACTTTGGTTTATATTGTGCTCACGTACACAAGCTTGGAGTTGATGAACACGCTGTACGGCATTGTCAGCGTGGCAACGGGACTTGCAGCGCCGATGAACTGTCCAAGTATGTTCGGGGATCTGAAAGGGCTCTACAGTGTTAGAAGGGCGTGGTCGTGAGTTACTTCCTGTAGTGGATAATGACATGCAGCTAATTCCCATACAGCGTCGTCTGGCATCAGGGAGTCCGCCGTGTCTGCTCAGCACCAGGCATCTATCTCGCTCGGGATGTGCTACGACTGCGCAAAGGTTCCTTTACGTCAAAGTACGTGCAGCTCTTTGCGGGGTTCGGTGTCTCTGCTGTCATGCACGGTGTTGCATCGATGCTGTGCCATGCATCTCTCAACGATGATCAAGCATTTGAGGTGTTCCTCTTCCAAGCCATCATCATCTTTGTCGAAGATCACCTCATAGAATTTGGCAAAAAGTGCGGTTTCAGAGACGGGATGTTCTGGCGCCTCGTAGGATTCGGCTGGACTGTACTGGCTATTGGAGCCAGTTTCGAAAGGTGGACTGGCCAGATCCTTGGCCATGGTATTTGGGTGCATGATCGAGAGGTCGACCTCTTCGGCATTGGTCCAAAATGAGGTATAGGGTGGAGATAGATAAAATGTGTGTGGTAAGAGTTCCGCCATTGATCCGAAAACATCACACGAGTCGAATACTCTGAGTTGCCTTCTTTCCCCTCCTGACCAAATTCGAAACTTCGCCGTTCATATAACCGTGTACGTACGCTTCACCGAGAACTTGCCACGCTTCTAGCGAAGGATCCATTCTCAAGACGAGCGGGATACTGCACCCGTAGATGATGACCACCATGTCACCGGGCTTTGCACGACACGGTGCCACGCCGACGATGCCTTCTTCAGTAACCATCAGCCTGCGCGATTTCTTGCGCACAGTATCATGAAAACGTGATAGGAAGGTGTCAAGCTTGTCATTCATTTGATGCGTAGGATGCGAAGAAGGTCTGTGAAGTATTGGCGGAGGTGATGTATCTTCGGAGGGGACTTGACTGATGAGATTTTCCAGAGTGTAGTCGCCGAATCTTAGATCTCTGTTGTGCTCGAACCATGTCGAAAAGCTCCAATCAACGGGATGACCGTCAATACAAGCATGACAGAGAAAGAGAAAATCGGTGAAATAATGTACTGGTGCTTGGAAGCAGAGATATTTGTCTTGTCGATCAATTACGAGAGAGCGGGCAATAGCTTCGAGCCAGTCTGTGGGTTGCATTACAGCTCTTGGGGCGCTGGGCTGGGCTTTGTTGGACTGTAGCAGATAGTGACCGGCATCTTTACAGACGAAACTCCGGCATCGCAGCTCCGTTGCATCTAGCCCTCCCAGACCATGTATGGTATCCAACAACACTCCGTTGCACTGAAGTCCTGTAAGGTCGTCCGTGAAGTGGACATCTGCCCTTTTTCGCAGATGTGACCCCGGAGCGTCATATGTCGCTTTCCAACGAATGGATCGAAGCGGTCTGAAGTTACCGATGTGCTCATTTGAACTTTGACTTGCCATGAGCGGCACAGGGGAAGAAAAGTCGATTGTGGTTCGCCAATCAGGAGCCCATGTTGGCACCGCATCGCTCAGACCTGGGTCACTTGCTGCAGCTTCTCGGCTGAATATATGCATAAAGCATACGATGTCTAGAGATCTGCGCACATTCCAAAAGGAGCGAACAAGCCTAGCAAACTGGTGCTGGGTGCTGGTAGAGTATTCAGCGGGTCCGATGAGCGCACGATCTTGATCTGTGATGAGACCGAGTACGGAGTAAACGCGGTCTCTACTATCAGTGGCAGAGTGATTGCCCAAGGAAGCCATGATGGCAATGAGGTTGATGCCGACTGCGGCTGGCTTGGTATGCCATTGGTGTATACGGCGACGGTTGAAAGCAACATCGAACAGCTTTCGAGGGACAAGCTCATGTTCAAAATCATTACTGATGGTACTGCAAAGGAAGATGCTGTAGATGGCACTCTTGAACTTTCCTCGGCTGATGCTCGCCGTTCCGCAGTACAACTTCGCTTCCTTAGGTAGGACGAACTCTTGCAGGGTCCAAACACGCGTCCACCAAGGCCGTGCAAGGAGGTCGCTGACAGCTACACATTTTGCAGCAAAGTCGGGGTTCTCAAGGCTGTTGCGCATGGCAATCTCATCGCCCTTGAAGGCAATCTGCATGCTAGAGAGGAAGTGTAGAAAGTCAATCGCAGTCGTGCAATCACTACCGTCTTCCTTCTCTTCGCCTAACCAGACAATGGCTCTTCTGGCCTTCCTGTAGATCTCCGCCATAATGCGCACTTGCTTTTCTCGCTCTTGAGCATCCTGGAGGTTTATGCACAGCGAATCAATCCACCACCAGTCTGCGGGCTGAAAATCTTTGTGGTGGGTGACCATGTGGATGAAGGGGGCGAGGCTACTGAGCACTGGGAGGGTTCCTGACTTCAAGTGCATGGACGTGTCCGTGTATTTGCGCTCACCCCATACATAACTGGCCGTGTAGTAGTGAGGGGCGCTGGCGAGCCGAAACTTTTGCAGTTTTCCAACAAAGACGCCATCTTCAGGCTGCGAGAACCGGAGAAGACGAATCGAGGTCTCATCAACAGGCTCTGAGAACACTGAAGCAATGGCTGGTGATGGTGCATCAACATCCATCGAGGTGCAGGGTGCAATAGCAGTTGCATGAACAACGGCAGGTGTCAACGCCCCACCACGCTAAATTCACGGGGGATCCACGGAAGATTTACGGAGGAAGGCGCTATAGCGATCCTCGACCCTATTAACAAAAGGCAGTCATGATGCAGTGCAAGAAGAAGGCCCAGGACCGTTGCAATAATGTGCGTAATTCGTCTATTCAAATTCTTGGACCGTGCCGGGATATCATGTTGCTCTGCTTCTGGGTTCTTCCTGCTCGTCATCTGTATCACCCTGTAATTTCTTTCTCCACCATCTCAGCTTCAGCCAATCGCCAGGCCCTTCGTGGGTGCTGCGTGTGCCTCCTCCAAAGCCCCACGTTCCGCTTCTGTGCGCGACGAGGTCTGAATCAGAGTGATCGTCATCTGGATCAGGGTGGTCAAGCAGCGTCGAGGAGCTGTCTGAACGTCTTTTTCCTTGTGATATCGTCGGACTTCTTTGGGAACCAGCGCTAATGCCATCAAACCACGAACGCCTGCGCATCTGATCTAGCCATGCCGATTGGGTATTTTGCCTTTGTCGGGGGAGCGTGCCTGCTCGTGGTCTGCGATCTGACTCGACAGATCGGTGAATTACAGGCGAAGGCAACGAGTCTCTGTCATTCAGCTCGTCCCAGATCTCGCTAGTTTCCTCAGAGAAGGTCATTCTTCGTCTCCTTGATGGTCTGGGGCTTGGCCGAGGACTGCGAGTATTGAGGTCTAATGCTGGACTCTTCTTCGATCGAGAGTTCACAGTGTACGAGGGTCCAGTAGGCGCGCGTGCCAATAATGGTGTCCGCTCATCAACAGACCTGCGCTTCGCTTGCTCTGTTACAGATCCGTGGAGGCCTGGTGTTGCTTCCTCGATGTCCAAAGGAGCATCTGGCTCGTCCGAGGTGTGAGCGTGTAGTAGGCCTAGACCAGGCTCTAGGGCGGACTGCGGCATGGGCACACCAGGGTGCTTGGTTGACACAGGCGACATGGGCTCCTCCTCGTTCTCTTCCAGCCTCCAGCTTAGGCAGACCACGCCTGCAAGCAGTACCACCGTTCCCAAAGCAATGAGGCCAGCGTGCAGATTCGACAATCGTTCGCTTTGGTGGAAATAAATAAGACCATCGATAATAGCAATGATGTTGTAAACGCAAAACACGAGGGGGTATAGTACGCTTGTGCTGACTAGCTTCAAACCACAATGCATGTAGTAAAGCTGCGTCAGGGCGAAGACCACGAGTCCTATGAGGATCATCCACGATTGCCAGCGATCGAACTGGTTATGGCGGTCGACAATGGTGCGTACCAGCAGCTCCACTGCACTCTTTGCGATGAGCAGCGAGTGTGCGGAAAGAATGCCACTCACGCAGCCATAAAACATGCCGCGAACCAAACGCAGGCGCGGAGTTGCGCGGGGGTATATGCGTTGCAGGACCCAGTTGGCAACAAGCAATAGGACGACGACAAGGCCGGTCATGACCATCCATACAATGAAGTGGTGTCGGACTAACAGCGCCAATAGCTGGTCTAGGTTGTGCGAGGGTTCGGCGATGGCGCCAAAGAGGGCAATCAGGAGGGCGCCGGCGGCGACGAGCATGGTGCCGATGAAGGAGTAGCGGGTGAAGGGCTCGTGGAGGATGATGGAGGCGCATATCGAGTTGAAGACCAAGCCGGAAGCCTGCAGGGTGGACAGGACGGGCAGCGGTAGGGTGGTGATCTGGATGGTGCTGCCCACGACATTCGCCACGATGAACATGAGCATGCCCAGCTGCCAGCGCCGGCGCTTGTAGGGGGGCCGGCGGTCATAGTCGTCTTCCTTCTCTTCCTCGAGCAGGTGGGACTTTCGCTGCAGCGTCAGGCCGACGCTCTGGACGCTGGTGGAGAGGAGGCCAACAATGACTCCGAGCTGTACATGCACTGTGAGCTTCGGCGCATTCACTGGCTGCATGGCGAGACTCGGGGACTACTTACAGCCACGCTGGCGCCCGGTGAGAGCTCCACCATGTTTGGGAGGGGGGTTGCAGTCGCTGCACCGGGCTCTGCTACCTCGACAGCGGGTACATGCTGTGTCTATGCGGTGCGTGGAGTGTATGCGCCGGTGGTGGTCGGCGGCGATCAACGTCACGCTGATCCGAATCGGCCGGCTGCAGGGGTCAGGTGGGCGCGCGCTGGCAGAGCACTTGGGCATGCAAGAGACACGGCGCGTCTGGTGTATGCGGAGCAGTTCTAGGAAGGCGCTTGATTTATATCGGTGTCTAGGAAGGGACAGCTAATATGCATGCGAAACTGGCGCAATTCCATTGTTTCGCTGTCTGCATCCGACCTGAGGCCTAGCCCCTTTCAGCGTCTCGGTCGCTACATCATCGCAGCTGCCCGTGGTGCCCGTGCCCGTGGCTTGAACCGCCCGTCTTCCAAGCTTCCCATCGACATTGACCACCAGCGCCGCCGCTGCACCACCTCGCATTTCCCCACCACCGCCGACTCCCCCACACAGCGCCCGTCATGTCGCAAGTCCACGCCCTCTCCGACGACCAGGTAGGCAGCCCCCGCCGGCGCCCAGCCATCTTGCAGCCCTACGCAGCTCCCCGCCAACCTACGTCAACAGCCAGCTAACAAGTGCCCCCATGGCAGGTCGCCGGCGAGCTCAAGAAGATGACGGCCTTCATCCGCCAGGAGGCCACAGAGAAGGCCAACGAGATCCGCCTCAAGGCCGACGAGGAGTTCGCAATCGAAAAGTCCAAGCTCGTGCGCCAAGAGACTGCCTCCATCGATTCGTCCTACGAGAAGAAGTTCAAGCAGGCTAGCATGTCTCAGCAGATCACACGCTCCACCGTCTCGAACAAGAGCCGATTACGTGTTCTGTCCGCACGCCAGGAGCTGCTCGACCGCCTGTTTGAGGACGCAGGGAAGAAGCTGGCCGAGACGTCCAAGGACAAGAAGAAGTACCAGGGTATTCTGAAGAACCTGATTCTGGAGGGTGCATATGCCCTGAACGAGGACAAGCTGCAGATCAGGGTCAGGAAAGCCGACAACGACCTTGCCAAGCAGGCCATCGAGGAGGCACAGAAGGAGTACAAGAGCAAGATCGAGAAGGATGTTGCCATCACAATTGACGAGAGCGACCCGCTGCCTGCTGAGTCGTATGTCACCAATGAACAGCTAACGTGTAGAGGTGCTGACTGCTCGTAGATCTGGCGGTGCCTTCATTGTCGGTACCGGCGGCCGCATTGACATCAACAACACCCTCGACGAGCGTCTCAGGCTGCTCGAGTCTGACGCCCTGCCCTCTATCAGAGGTACCCTTTTCGGCGAGAACGAGAACAGGAAGTTCCACGACTAAACGCATGTCGTTCGATTATTGCAATACACACCACGACACGAACACATGCCGGAGATGCGCAATGGTGCAGTCGAGCGAGTATCTGGCCTTTGACGAATCATGCGTTCGCTTGGAAAGTACCCTGATAGAGGCGCCTGTAGAATACTGGAAGATTTAGCGGCTTTCTGTGCAAATCATCATTCACCAACCACGACAGCCACTGCATTCTGAATTTGGTGCAATATGGGTTGGCTTGCACCGGTACACTGACTTGATTAGTTACAGATGTCTAATTATCGCTACGTTCGCCGGATCAGACCAAAGGGATACTGCTTCACAAAGAGTTCTACGGTCCCAACGCAGTATCACTTCCAGTGCAGCCAAAGGCCTTCACTAAGGCTTGATCAGCTACATGTATGAGACAGTGACATTGTGCGTTCAGGAAGACCCTTCTTCAACTAATCGCGATCCAATTGTTAGCAAGGTCAAGCGAGACAGCTGAAGACCTACCGGGCCCTCGCAGCTCCCTCTCGACGACACACTCACGTGCTGCACTGCCACGACCCACTTCATAGCCGCAGATCAGCACCGCCCTTTCCTGGAGCACTTCACAGACCACATGATGGAGCGGCGGTTCTGCACACTAAATAATCGGCGACTGGTAGGTCTGGGGTCGGAGTATATCGGTATGCATGATGTTGTTGTTGTCGTGCCGCTGGGGTGTTTGACGCCGGTTGTGCTTCGCCGCGAAGGCCCAGGCAAGGAGTATCGGTGAATGTGGATTATGTATGTTGAGCAGTATATGTACGGGCTAGCGATGGAGATATATAAGGACGGAAGAGCAGAACTGCAAACCTATGTTCTTCATTGAGGATACAGCTTGTGAAGAAACTAATGTGAAGGGAGCAAATGTTCGGTATGTTGTATTCAAACTCCATAACGATAGGCAGTATTTAGAGTTGTGCTCTCGAGCTGTCAGAGGTAGATGCAAGCTATGGAATCAAAAGCCTTCACGCGATATCACCAGGAAATCTTGGAGCTGACAATACACAACGCCTACCAGAGGTAAAAGATGCTACCAATTTGCAACACTATTCTACCACTGAGAGTCTCTACTAGAACTAGATACGGACATGCAACTCCTTTTAGCAACATAGAGCAATCTTATCTGGTCTAGTGAGCACCAGCTTTCTCAAATACCAACAGCAGAGGCTTTTGTTGCTTGAAGCAGAGCTCTCGCTCTTCTTATGGCACAGCCTGATGCTGACCTCGAACTAACTAACATAACACACTTTTGACCCGCCGCCGACCGTGTTTGCTGCAACTATGGGGTGGTCAAGTGGGCGGTGTTGAACCATCCCAACCCAATCACGGGAAGATATTCTGTACAGATTCAAATGTCGTTAATCGTTTGCATTGAGACTACCACACAGTTACTCAACCGTCGCGCACCGTCACGCTCTCAACAGCCTCTGCGACCTTGTTCACGATCCCATTCCCGTTTCCGTTCTGCTGCGCACCTTCCCTCTTCTCGATTCCTTTCCGCACACCTGGCAGAATATACCTCCCGTAATCAATCGCATCGTTGAGGTTGTCATACCCACGAATAGAAATCAGCTCGCACCCAAGGTCGACGTAGTCCAGGATGGAGTCAATAACCGTCTGGTAGCTGCCTACCAGCGCCGTCGAAGCACCTCTCGCATTCGTCGCCGTGACAGTAGGATACCACAGCGCTCGGTCCTGCACTTCGCCCCTCTTCGCAATATCGAGCAGCCTCTGGCTACCGACGTTCTGCGGCGGCGGCGCGCCGGCCGCAACCTTCCCAAACCCGGCGTCGCGATTCGCCTGCAGCGCGTCGAGCGTCCTATGCGCCTTCTGCCACGCCAACTCCTCCGTCTCCGCGACAATCGGGCGGAACGTGACCCAGATACGCGGGCGGTCGGTCCTACCCGCCTTCGCGGCCTCGGCGTAAATGCGTTCGATCTGCTGCTTGGTCTCCTTGAGCGGCTCGCCCCATAGCCCGAAGATATCCGCCAGCGAACCGCCGACGCGGTATGCTTCGTCACTGCTGCCGCCGACGGAGATGGGGATGCTGGTGCCGTTGACGGGGCGCACGCGGTTGCTGAAGCCCTTGAACTGGTAGTATTTGCCCTCCCAGTCGAATGGCTCGGATGACGCCCATGCGCGCTTGAGGATCTTGATGTACTCTTCCAGACGTGCGTAACGTTCGTCTTTGTTTAGGAAATCGCCTTCTCGGGCTTGCTCGACGTCGCTGCCGCCGGCGATGAAGTGCACGACAGCACGGCCTTTAGAGAGCTGGTCAAGTGTGGCGAGGGATTTGGCTGCTACGGTTGGGTAGACGGTGTTGGGGCGGAGGGCAATGATAACCTTGAGGTTCTTGGTGTGAGAGGCGATTGTAGCGCCCGTGGTGAAGGGGTCAAAGAATGAGGAGTCGTAGGGCTGGAGAGTGTAGTTGAAGCCATAGTCATCCAGGTTCTGGGAGTATCTTTTCAGGAAGTCTGGGTCAATGGGCGCACCCGGGATGGGCTCCAATTCCGTGGAAGCATTTGCGAATGCTAGAGATATAAACTCGGTAGGCATGTTTGCAGTTGTGATGATGATTGTCTGAGCTTCAAAGCTTGTGTAGTCCAGATATAAGTGGTCATGGCTGCCAACGTTGCTTCTCTTATAATGCTCCTCATTGCGGCGTTCAAGATGTCGACAGCTGCACGCTCTAGCACGTCAACCAGCAGTGGGCCTACCGAGCACGATTACGACCGATGTCGCTCCAATCGGCTCACAACATGCTGACGAATTTGACATTGCTACCCCTCCTGCGGAACGATAGGAACGGTAGTCGTCGGTGTCTCATGCCATGTTATCTGGTGAGCAGTGGTGGCATGCTCGATGAAGGCCGGTGGGTCGCCGGTTCGGTGTCCACACTAGTGCGTCAAATCCTTGCAGTTCCACATAGCAATTAGAACAATTTGTGCACATAGATAAATCAGTTAAAAAGCCGCGAAATACTCAAGGCAAATGGTCTGATGACCGCCAAGGCATTGTAAACATGTAGGTTGTCGAACAGAGGGTTTCAAAAGTGACCACATAACGTTGAAATCGAGAATTCATAGACTCGTGGTATCTAGAGAAATAGCATTATCATGCCTTGTTCATTCGAAGTTCTGCGTTTGTGCAGACCAGATACATGACTAAACACCTTTTGTGACCTGACCAATGCACCGGAGAATCCCCAATCACCCTTACTTCCTGAGCAGACGCTGGTAGAAAGCGAGCTCCTCACCCTCGAGGATGTAACCGTCGCAGCGGCCGGACTGACCGGGGCGGGAAGCGACGACAGCGTACAGACGACCAGCCTCGAACTGCTTCTCGACAGCAGAGTCGACCTTGCCGGAGGCGGAGAGACGCTCGGTCTGCTTCTTGGAGACAGCGTTGGACTTCTTGATGTCCTCAGCCTTCTCGCCAGACTTGGCCTGCCTCCTGCGGCCGAGAGAAGAGCCGTAGTGGGCCTCGTACCACTGCCTGAAGGGAGCGGCATCGATCTGGACAACGGCGGAGCGGGTCAGGGTGTTGGTACGGACGAGCTCGTTGTTGGAGGGGTGGTAGACGACACCGATGACACGGGTCTTCTTGGCGATACCCTCGGAACCCCAGGAGAAGTTACCGGCGTCGAGACGGAGGGCACGGAACTTGCGGTTGCCGCCACGGGTACGGACGAGGTGGACACGCTTGGAGCCAATACGGGTGTTGGCAGGCTGGCGGCCCTTCTCGAAAGCCCTGAAGCCATGTTAGAAACATGACTTGAGATGCGATCGGTTTATGCAAGAAGCTTGCTTACCTCTTCTTGCGGTAGTATGCGCGCTTCGCACCGGAAGCGGAGCGCTTGTGGCGAGAGTCGCGAGAGATACTGCGAGTCGTTAGCCCTCGTGACAGGTAAAGAATGGTGCGTGTATAGATACCCCATGTTTGCAGATTACAGAAGACTGCTATTCAGAAACTGTTAGCCGTTGCCATAATAATAACGAGGATTCCTGCGCCGCAGCAATTGCAACCAGACTGCCAACGAAAACATCTCCCTCTCCTTGTCCACTCGCTAGAACGTATCATGTTGTGACGAATGCTGGTTCGCGTGCGCCGGTACGTTGCTGAGCGGTGTGCAGGTTGGATGATGCGTTCGCATGGCGGTCTCGATGTCGCAATGCTGGCAGACTCTGGTTTATCGTCGGATTCGGTGGTGTGGAGCGTACCTTTGGGTCGTCTGTTGGGTTAGTCGGCTTGTCGAGGTCAGTCGAAAGTTCAGCGGCACGAAGTAATTCTGTGCTGGCTCGCTGTGAAATACGCTAGTAAGCGAGTTCTTGGTGGGGGCCCGTGCGCGGTTTTGTTGCAGCTTCCCAACTCGGATGACGAGCAAGAGGTGAACAACAGCCGCAACACTCGATCATCGCCGCGTTGGTTTCGACCGAGTCAACTTGAATCACTCGAAAGCTGACTCGAAGATAATCAAATTTTATGCCGGCAGCCTTGCACTGGATCCCATTGTGGCTGAGCTGGAGCACCCAAGCTGAAGCTCGTGCATCGACAACAGAGTTGACCGCCTGAATCCCTGTGTAGCTCAGCAACCACCCTTTCGCCTACTTACGACCGTTCATAGAAACTATCACGCTTACTGCAAGTGTCTAAAAGATACATCATGGAGTCTACCTAACCTTCTACGCGGTGTGCGCCCTAGGCCACCCTCGTACGACACAACTCGGACCCTACACGTCAACTTTCGGACATGGTATTCGTCAGGTCTACACCAGTACGAGGGCCAAGATCTTGTTCCAATATCTAGCTGTGCATTTCTTCCCAATCCGCGCCTTGGCTACACACATTTAACCCTCCTTGTACAGCTCAAGTGGACCCGTTGGAAAGGAGTGCAGTCGAGTTACGGAACTCGGAAAGGATCATCGTAGATTCTCACTCATGTTCCATGTCGAGTTTATCAAAGGAATCGTTCCCTTGTATATCGTGATGCGGAAACAAGGAACGAATGAACATGGTGTCATCGCTACAGCTAATCGTACATGAGATATATATATAGCTGCGCAGGCTACTTGGATCTCATTCTTACCTTCTGTACATATTCTCGTCATCAGTGCCAAATTGGTCCATTCGGAATCACTGCTTCAAACATGCGCTTCCTCGTCACCGTCTTCACCAGCGCTGCCCTTCTTGGTTGCTCTACTTCAGCTTCCCCACTGGAGGTCCGCCAGGATGGCTTGCAACCCTTCGAGGTCACCGCGGTCAATTCATACAGTCCATCTGGCCGGCCCGGCTCAGACGTGTGTAAGTAATATCCAGAGCCACTTGTAGACACGATTACTTACAATTGAATGCAGGGCGTCATATGCGTGCAAATATTACTGATCCCAACTCGTACTTCTACACTAGTACGAATAGAAACCTGACTGTGCCAGGCGATAGTCAGGGGATCAACTGCGAAGCCCGCTGGTACAGAGGCGAGTCTCCACTAGATCGCACTTGGCCTTGCGATCCCGCCCCGAACGGCCACTGGGCGCTACAGGTGGTTTCTTCCGGGGTTTACGACTTTAAGTTGAGGTTTATACACGCTGTTGAGCCCGGTCTGTCGTGGCCGAACACAAGATATGAGGCTGAGGCCTCCTTCAAGTCCGGAGAGAACTTGATCGGCAGGTGCTTGTCAAGTGGCTCTTGCAGTTACTCCCTGGGCGCAGACTGTAAGTATCCAATCACCTCCATTTGGGCTTCGGGTGAGTACTGACAGTGCGATCTAATAGACAAGCCGGTATTGGCTCCTGTAACAAAGACGCTTTGATAAACCACCAATTACAGGTAACAAGTCGACTACAAGAACACCAGAGTGGTACCCGTGAAAACACAGTTCGAGACTGTAACGTTTATCGCACATTTGAACTTCATAAAACAGCAGACAAACGCCGACCAGTATATAGAGCCACTAGCAGTGTTGAAAGGCTTTCAAACATTCCTTGCTTGATTATAGATGTCCTTTCGGTTACAGATCAAATCTATGATTGAAGCTAACGGTGATGTTATGTACACTGTCTTGCCTGTCATGACAGACGCTGACCGACATCTTTCACAAAGCAATCCTGCACCCCTACATCACAAGATCATTCTTCTCCCGAGGAGTACCACGACACTAATCCGTATTTAGCTTGTACCATGTCAGCACATAAGTGGGGATCCTGCTCTAACACGAGGTTGGGGGCCAATTAACCTCGTTCGGCAACCTCATACCACTCTGTCTACCTTCCGAGTTCGTGTCCATAGTATCTATTCCTGCTCTTTTAATATGTAGATGTGCTACAAATAAATGTTCGGATTCCACAAAAGCCTTGCTTGCCTCACGGTAGTTTGCCGTTTCCGTTGTCAGGGACAGCAGAAATAAGGCGCCCGGCAGTCGATAGCGTTTTGCCAGATCGACACACGCTTCTATTTCCGTCTGGCCTGACTTTATGCGGTTCTTGTTACCTACAACGACCAGGTATCGTGCAACCAGTGACGAGGTGGTGTGCTGCGAGAGCGAGAGTTTACCTATGGTGGCTCAATGGAGTCAACGGAATTGCTTCCAGCTTTGGAGGAAATGACCACAGGAGCTACTAAGAAGCTGCCAGCAAATGAAGGTAGCCAGGGACGTGAGCAGGGATACGATTTGGCTCCGTTGAGCTTGTCAAGGTTCCTGAAAGCAGCATACAGACGGGAGGTTCAGATCCACATTGCGTGGACGTGCAGCTGTTGTGGAGAAGCCGACGGGTCACCGGCGTGACGATTGTGGCTTGGACGCTGATACCTTTGGCTACTACAGCCAGCTATAAAGATCGCTCCTGCGAGCACCACACATGAGGCCATTAGCTACGCTCGACCTGACAATCGCAAAGCTTCTTGAACAACCTCCATGATGCAGTTTACCTTGTCAACACTCGTGTCTACCCTGGCACTCGCCTCGGCAACAGCATCAGCTGCACCTTTAGAGGTCCGTCAAGATGGCTTGAAGCCATTCGAAGTGGCTGCCATGGTATACAACGGCCCCAGCGGAAGACCTGGCTCTTATCCTTGTTTGACCACACGTCCATCTCTTGTTTAGACACTCACTAATGCTCCATAGGGACATCAATCCGAGCGAATGTGACCGACCCGAACAGCTACACCTTCACCCAAGACAGCACCATCGGTACAGTCCCCGCGGGAATTCAGGGCATCAACTGTCTAGCACAGTGGTACCCTGGCGAGTATACCGAAGGCCGAACCTTCCCATGCGACCCAGCAGAGAAAGGACACTGGGCCATCCAGGTTTATGCAGGCTCTCAAGGCCAATTCGCGGGCTCAGACTTCAAGCTCAACTTCATCCATGTGGTTGAGCCGGGCCAGTTGATTTCTTCATTCAGAGGGAAAATCGAGGGCGAGGCGGAGTTCAAGGCTGGAACTAATGGTACTACGTCGTATTCATGCGCGGCGAGTGGGGCCTGCGGTGCTGGGCTTAAGACGGAGCGTAAGTATCATTCATGAAAGAAGGTGAAGGAACAGTGCTGACCACATACACAGTTAAACCGTTATTGGTTCCTGCGACCAGGACACTGTAAGCCGATCGCGAATGTCAGGGCCGTCGCAAATTATGTTGGTAGGTCTCGCGGCCATCGGTGGGACATCAAAATCTGAGTCAACCACTGTCAGTTATAGGATCACAAGAGAAATTTGCTCTGCAAATTCTCCTAATCGATGATGTGTCGAAAAATCTGTCAGTGCGTTCCGTGATGACTGTCAGATGTGGATGCGACCGAAGAAGAGATTCAGTGAAGGCTTTGGATCGTGCAAGCGTACACAGTCGTCGAGCGTCTTGGAGGAATGTCATTCATACGGCTACCCAGCATCCTTTCGCAAGCGAACAATTTCGGTCATTCAGGCGAGATTACATTCGTACAGGAGGTGGAACTTCTGACATTCGGGCAAAACCGTGATGTGCTCGCTTACGCCGACGACACACGGCAGACAGAGCACCATGTCATGCAGGTTATGTATAAGTCGGTGGGGCTGCTAATATATGCGTTGGTCTACTGTGATCCTGCATTTTTGTGATACGGGAACAAGCAGGGGCTCTTGGTGTCGGCCGACGGAGGAAGTATCTCTGGCCCTACCACCAATTGGAACATTAACAGATTCGACAGCGGCGGAGTGGGACAGTCATCCATCCACTCCTCGATGTTCTGATGAAGTCCTGAGATCACAGTCAGTCAGTCGGGGGCCACTTGCCTAATCAATCCGTGCGTACCTTGGAGCAGACGAATTTAGAGAACACAGTAAGGCCACCACTTGGAGAAAAGTTTCTTGGAGAACTTCTTCTCAACAGTCGCCAAGCGCGTCGTACATCCATCAATCAATTCGTTAACGGAGATCCTTCTACGAATGTGGTCGGGCGGCGTGACGGCCGAATGTCGGAGCATGCGTCGAGAAGCCACAAGCGTGGTTAGGTGTCGTCAGGAAGGCCTGATCCTGAAAATTTATCTTATCTGATGGCGCTAGTTGGTCACCAGGACCACTCCCACTCCACTTCCACTGCAACTTTCCTTTTACGATCGACAGCCTTGTTAGAAAGAAGCGTGCAATTCGTACCGCCAAGACGGCTGAGGCAGAAAGGTGTAGCTGCCAATACGAACCATGGGACGACACATCACAACGGTGTGTCTCCACTGGGTGAACCATTGCGCCGGAGGTGCATCTTGTCGGTCAAGTGCGGGAAATACGGGACGTTGGAGAGAAAAAGGAAACGATCAGACTGTATGTGACGAGAATAAAGGTGCTGTTATAGCAGCTCTGAAAGAAAAGGGTCGGCTGCTTTGATCAACGTTGATCACCTTGTCAAGTTTTTGCGCCTGAAAGTCACCATGGGCCTCTTTACAGACCTGACGCTCGCGAAGAGCAAGACCAAGGAGGAGGTTACACCTGTCGAACCTTTTTCCAACGTCACCATCGACGCAGAGAAGGATGCAGGGTCTGCCACTCCGTCCGAGAAAGCCAAAGAGGAAGGTCCCTTCACTGCCAATGCGCAGGCTGGTGTCAAGAGAGTCGAAGCAGCTACAACCGTCTGGACCAAATGGCATCTCATCGGTGCCTATGCAATGTAAGTAGACGAAAAAGCATAAACAGGTATTTTCAAAGATTAACAGCCTCCAGCATCTGGTGGATCTACTTCGTAACTGCTTTGCAGGAAGTCGTCACTCGTGCCCTCAACCCATACGTGGTTTCGGCTTTCAAACTCCATTCTCTTACTGCTGCCACTGGTATCGTGTCTTCTATCGTTGGCGGCCTCTTCAAGATTCCGCTTGCGAAGTTGCTCGATACGTGGGGTCGACCTCAAGGACTTCTCATATCCCTCTTAATGTGGATTGTAGGGTATATTATGATGGCTGGCTGCAACAACGTGGAAACCTATGCAGCTGCAAAGGTCTTCTCGTCTACTGGGTAAGAAACCGTCTAGAGACGTAAAGACGCCCTGGCTGACCTCTTGATAGATCTCAGGCTGTCTCGTACATCCTTACCGTCTTTATCGCCGATACTAGCAGTCTGAAGAACCGTGCTCTTATGCTCTCATTCGCAACCTCGCCCTATATCATCACAACCTGGATTGGAGGTCCCGTTGCAGAGTCCACCTTGGACGGCCCTGGATGGCGTTGGGGCTTCGGCATCTTCGCTATTGTTATCCCAGTTGTGGTGATCCCCCTTGCAGTCCTCGTGCTCTTCAATGATCGCAAGGCTAAGAAGATGGGACTGCTTGACGAGACCAAGGTCAAGTGGACGCCAGCCAACATCAAGAAGTTCTGCGTTGATATTGACCTGGTGGGTATCCTCATCCTGACAGCTGGCATGGCTTTGTTCCTGCTGCCGTTCAGTCTGTGGTCCTACCAGGGCGAGCAGTGGAAGTCGCCTATGATCATCTGTATGCTCGTCTTTGGCTTCGTCCTTCTGCTCATCTTTCCGATCTGGGAGAAGTACTTCGCCCCGGTTACATTCATTCCATACGAGCTACTCCTGGATCGCACTGTGTTTATGGCTGGAATGATGTTCGTCTTCAACTACTTCAACAGCGCAGTCTGGGGATCCTACTTCTCCTCCATGCTGCAGGTTGTCTGGAACTTGAGCGTAACCGAGGCCTCGTACGTGACTCAGGTCTTCCGCGTCGTCCAATGCGGCTGGTGCTTCTTCGTTCTTGGGCCTCTCATCCGCTATACCGGACGGTTCAAGTGGACTCTCACCTACTTTGCGCTGCCTCTCGATATCCTCGCAATCGGTCTCATGATTCATTTCCGTCAGCCCGGTACCAGCATCGGCTACATTGTCATGACACAGATCTTTACGGCAGTAGCTGGAGGGACCATAGTCATCGGTGGAGAACTGGCAATGATGGCACCCTCTGATCATCAACATATTGCAGTCATCCTTGCTATTCTCAATCTCTTCTGCTCCATCGGTTCTGCAGCCGGTTCGTCTGTCAGTGGTGCCATCTGGACCGGAACCTTCCGGAAAAACCTCATCAAGTACGTCCCAGCAGGTGTCAACGTTGACGCCATCTATGCTGCTTTGCCTAAACAATTGTCGTATGCATGGGGTTCTCCTGAGCGCATGGGTATCGCAAGGGCTTATGGCGATTCGCAAAGATTGATGCTGATCACGAGTATCTGCATGTTGTCTTTGGCTCTGATCTGCTCTGTGTTCATCCGCGATATCAACATTAAGCACAGCAAGCAGGTTATAGGCCGCGTTGCCTAGACTGCCTCAAATTAGTCTTGAAACAAGGGACATGAGGAGGAGGGTGGTTTGGACACGGATGAGGTAATGTTGTAGAAATACATCTGGTGACGGACGGACATCCTACACGGGCCTTGTGCCAGCCCTCTCGCCATCAAATATTTGCTCAGCCATCTCTGAATAAATGAAAGAAGAGGCACAAAAATACATACATTCGCTGTCAGCACCTCCCCCTGTAATGAACTGTGAGGCCTTTGCATTCGGGGTGGAAGCTTGAGTTTTGCAACGGACAACCTCGATGACTGTTGGAATGGAGCGTATCGCAGAAAATTATCGCCGATGTGCGGCATTGGCAGATTTCTGAATCCTGCGATATTTCCGTTACTCGATGAGGCTCTGTCACAGTATCTGTGTCAGCGACGACCGGATGCCCAATCGCTGCAAAGGGGCGCGGAGGATGCCGCGAACGACCTCGGGATGTCTCCCGTCGAACGTTCTTTCAAACTGCATCACGACTTCCGTCAGTATCCGCGATTTGACGCCAACACCCTGCAGCATCCTGGATCTCAGCGCATTTGAGACTTTAGCTTGCCACAAGCGATAAGCAACACCGTCTCGTGTGATTGGCGTTGTGCAGATTCTGACAATATTTACGGGGGTTGTTGCGCTGATCGGGTCGCGTTATCCCCGCAATTGAGCTATGACCTTGGCATCGTCACAAGCTGGAAGCTCTCAAACCATCCCATCCGGCCGAGCGCAGCGCTGGTCTGCCACTCAGAGTAGCCGGCCTAGCCTGCAGCAGACCTGTGGACAGGACCCTCGGCCCAGCTTTAAGATGGGTGACGTTAGTAACGTGGATTATATAGTCCAGCCTTCTCCGCATGCATACATCATCGCAGTCCTCACTTTCTGTACCTTACGCGTAAATACTACTGCATACACATAAAGATAATTCAAAGGGTCAATTCACAATGGCAGCCAGTGCTGACTCTATCCTCCGCGAGGTCAACATCCTCGGCGAGCTGAATGACTCCAACCGTCACATTCTCAGCAAGGACGCTGCTGTGTTCCTTGCCCTCCTCCACCGCACATTCAACAACCGCCGAAAGGAGCTCCTGCAAAGGAGAGTTCTTCGCCAGGCTGAGCTTGACAAGGGGAATCTCCTCGACTTCCTACCGGAGACCAAGCACATCCGCGACGATCCCACATGGAAGGGCGCACCACCGGCCCCTGGTCTCGTTGACCGCCGAGTAGAGATTACTGGACCGACAGACCGCAAGATGGTGGTCAACGCACTGAACTCCGATGTTTGGACATACATGGCTGATTTCGAAGGTAAGCATATAATTTTGTCTGCATCTTAGAAACACAAGACTAAGAAACATCAGATTCTACCGCACCAACATGGGACAACATGATCAATGGTCAAGCCAACCTTTACGACGCCATCCGCCGCAAGGTGGACTTCAAGCAAGGCGAGAAGGAGTACAAGCTCCGCACCGATCGCACTCTACCCACACTCATCGCCCGTGCCCGTGGGTGGCACCTTGAGGAGAAGCACTTCACCGTTGATGGCGAGGCCATCTCTGGTAGTCTGTTCGACTTCGGCCTGTACTTCTTCAACAACGCACAAGAACTCGTCAAGCGCGGTTTTGGTCCCTACTTCTACCTGCCCAAGATGGAGTCGCATCTTGAGGCCAGGCTGTGGAATGACGCATTCAATCTTGCTCAGGATTACATTGGCATGCGCCGAGGAACCATCCGTGGTACCGTACTGATTGAGACCATCCCCGCTGCCTTTGAGATGGATGAGGTAAGATTTGATCAACATCACGGATTTGTCCAAGAACTAATCGCGACCAGATCATCTACGAGCTCCGAGATCATTCTTCTGGCCTGAACTGCGGACGCTGGGATTACATCTTCAACACTATCAAGCGTTTCCGCCAGAACCCCAATTTCATCCTCCCCGACCGCGACGCCGTCACTATGACATCTCCCTTCATGGATGCGTACGTCAAGCTCCTCATCAAGACCTGCCACAAGCGAGGTGTCCACGCCATGGGTGGTATGGCCGCACAAATTCCCATCAAGAACGACCAGCAAGCCAACGATACCGCCATGGCCAAAGTCAAGTCTGACAAGCTTCGTGAAGTGCGCGCCGGCCACGACGGTACTTGGGTTGCGCACCCTGCGCTCGCTAAAATTGCTAGCGACGTCTTCAATGAGCATATGCCTACGCCGAACCAAATGCATATCCGCCGTGAGGATGTCAGCATTTCTGCTAACGACCTGCTCAACATGAACGTTCCCGGAAAGGTTACTGAGGCTGGTATTCGCCAGAACCTCGACATTGGCCTCAGCTATATGGAGGCCTGGATTCGCGGTGTCGGATGTGTGCCCATCAACTATCTCATGGAGGACGCTGCCACCGCCGAGGTTTCAAGGTCTCAGTTGTGGCAGTGGACAAGGCACGGCGTTAAGACTGCCGAGGGCCAGACCGTCACCAAGGACTACGCGCTCAAGCTGCTGAAGGAGCAGACTGAGAAGCTAAACCAGAAGGCGCCCAAGGGCAACAAGTTTCACGTGGCTGCGAAGTACTTTGAGACCCAGGTTACCGGCGAGGACTATGCCGAGTTCCTTACATCGTAAGTCGCCCATCTATACTATGATGAATGATCGAAGCTAACGTGTCCTAGCCTGCTGTACAACGAGATCACAAACGTAGGTTCCTCCAGGCCCGCCTCCAAGTTGTAGACACCATTTCCTTGCCGTAACGAATCTTCTTGTAGCTACCATACCCACCAGCCCAGGTCCAAAGATGGCCTGTAAGCACAGCAGAATGCAAAAGCCTGATTTAATCATTTACTGCGCTTGTTTAACTACGTTGTTGACGCTTCGCTCTCGCACTTGCACTTGTTAGCTGTATCACATGCTTGTCCGCGAGCTAACTCTTCACCAGCCGGGCGTGCCCACTCCCGCTGCAAAGCTGTGAGCACGTGACGTACCGAGTTACTGCGAGCCGAGGCACGGCGCGATGGGCTGGTTGACCCAGGGAACTGGGTGGCGTGCGGGGAGCATGAAAGCATGGGTCGCTGCATGTGATTGACCCGCATGAGCCTGAAGGATTGCGAGGCAGGGTTTGCGATTTACGAACTAGGGACATTTTGAGCGTTCGTGTTCATTCTTTATTTAAAGACCGACTTTTACATATTGTATACTAAGTACCTGTCAATCCATCGCTACCTAACAGTAAGCAATTATCAAGCCTATTGCTCAGAAGTAATGTCTCCGATTAAAACCCATGTGTCTATCTAAACCCCCTGCCAATAACCATTGACCCTCGTGTAACGGCCCATTTTGCAAACATGTCCTTTGAGCAACAGCCGACCCAAGAATTTCCGAACGCCGCGCTGAATGCAAAATCTAAATCGCTAATTTCCTCCGTTATGCCAACCACAACAGCCATCCAGCTGCACCTATCACCAAACTCTCCACCCACTTATCTGCTCCCCCGCTATAGGCCAAGTTCCCAGCTCCTCGGCTCTTGCTCGACTCTCCAATCCCACTCGCAATAAAATCGCCTGCGCCGCGCTCGCTCGTTGTCTCGCTACTCGTCGTTTCGCTGCTTGTCGTGCTTGCGGTATTACTCGCAGGCGCACTTGAAAGCACGCTCGTCTTGCCATTCACAACTATCCCCGTCCCTCCTGGTGCGAGAGAATACGTAGTGCCGTCTATGACCACCTGACCGCCTGCAAATAGCGTTGTGGCAGAGTTTAGCACGTATTCGACAGTCCCGTCGCGTGTAGTTGCAGTGATAGTCTGCCCGTCTACAACGATTGGAGCTGCAGAGACGCTAGGGCCCATGCCTGATCCAAGTGCGAGTGTGGATGTCACCCCGTTGATTATTACGACTGTGCCTGAAGCGGAGGCGGGAAGAGAGTACGTAGTGCCTGAAACGGTAATCACACCACCGGGCGTGAGTGTCTGATCAGGGCCGAAGACGAAAGCCGTGGTGCCGTGGGCAACGGTCGCGGTTACCTCTTCATTATTCAGGGGCAGAACGGGTAGGTGCGAGGGGTTGAGGCGCGATGTTGCGCCATTGATGACAATGGTTGAGCCCTGCCCTTCGACAGGCAGGCTGTATGTTGTGCCGCTAAAGGTGAGTTCACCGCCTGGTGTGAGTGTCTGGCCCGGCGCGAGAACATATTCGGTTATCCCACTCGCTACTGTTGCTGTGACTGGTATATTGTCGACCGTCAGAATCGGAAGACCAGGGCCGAGGCGCTGCGTCTGGCCATTGATGACGATGCTAGAGCCATGGAATCCAGATGGAAGACTGAAAATCGTGCCGTCGACAGTGACTGCGCTCCCTGGCCCTAGAGTTTTGTCGCCAAGGATGAACATCGTAGTACCACCGAGTACTTTTGCAGTGATCCCCTGCCCGCCGAATGTTGCTGCAGGTTGGCCATTCATGGTCAGGAGGGTTTGCGTGGCACTGTTCCATATTGCGATCTTCCCGTTTGGTCCCAAAGTGAGGGTGTTGTCGTCTAGTACCACAAGAGGGCCACCTCGATGCAGTGTCTGTGTGCCTATAACGAACTGCCCTTCAGGATTTGCAGTGATCGTGCTGTACCCGACAGTGAGGACTGGCATCGGAGCTTGAGTTACGTGAGGATTGATGCCAATGGACTTGTCACCAACTATGATGGTCGAGCCTCCTCCTGCAGTAGGCACAACGATAGTAACACCATTGATTGTTGTGGTCTGACCAACTGTCAACGTTTGAGTACCGATAATGACCATCGTAGGTGCATTGGCTTCTTGGTCAGGTCCACCTTGGCTCGGCTTTGTCGGTTGAGGCTTCACAGTAACTACACTGCCTCCAATAGTAATTGTATGTCCTGTATCGGTAGGCTGGCCTGGGGAATCTTTTGTAAGATTAGGGTTGTCCGAAATTACCGAGCTGATAAACTCTGGTATACTCGGTGTCGTCTTCACATCTGGCTTTGAAGGGTTCTGCGGCGTGTTCTGTGGCCGATCTTGAGGTTTGCTGTCAGTTTTCGGGCTTCCGTCAGGCCCTGGTTTATCGTTCGACTTTGCTGGATTATCATTCTTGGGTTCGGGCGACTTGATAGAGGCGGGATCGTTATTGATCTTGTCCGTGTTGAGGTCCGGCTTTGGAGTCTTCTCTGGTCGGTCGCCTGCATTCGTGTCGCACCTCAGACAACCTAGCTTGGTGATGTGCTTAGAGGTCGATTCGAAAGTTGTCTGAAGAAACGTATTGGTACCTACAACGCTTGAGAAGGCAGGGGGTGAAAACGACGTTGCTGCTGCCTGAGTACTTGTTGCCTGGGCTGACGTCGGTACGGGTTCTGATAGAGCAGGTGCTGATGGAGCTGGAGGCAGAAATGTTCTGCTCGGATCTCCAATCAACTCTTCCGGGATTAATGCCAAGGTACAGGTAGCAATATCTGCACCCTGAAAATGCAACTGAAGATCTGGGTCTTGGGCTAGAAAGTCTTGGAGTTTGGTAGGTAATGTCACAGCACTGTTCACAGTTGTTGGCTCCGGCGTCGATCCATTGGCGAAGGTCTGAATGAAAAAGTCCCAGTCCTGAGTGCGAGTCGGTAACCAAGCGCTCAGACTTTTAACATGGGGCCGACAAGTGCTATGTGTCGGCTCCAATTTGCTATCCGTTGCATTGTTCCGTGCTGTTGTTGGGGCTTGCACATCGGGTCCACCATATAGGCTCGTATAGATCACATACGTCGGTCCCACATCCAAAGTAAGGTCTAGTCCGGGAGACGGCAGATAGATGTTAAACTCGGCAGCTGTGTCAGTAATGTAGCCATTGGCAGTCTTCGTCTGGTTCACGGTCTTGATTTCGGTGACGACGGTATCGACCGTTGAGTTGTCGACGTACGTGACGAACTCCGTGAGAATAGTTTCAGTCACTACCAAGCTTGTCCAGTTACCAAAGATATTTGATTCATAGGAAGTCGTCACTGGATTCAGTGCGGCAAGAGCACAACCAGTGCACTGTCCTCTGAATATTGGGGTGATTGTCGAAGTCCGTCCGCTCGAAGTCCGCGTGGCGTTCTGGTAGGGATACAGTGCTTGTGAGGGTGCGTGTGCGCTGATTCTCGTAGAATGACGTGAGCTCCAGGTAGAAGAATCGGCCTTCACAGATATCGATGATGCTACAGGTTCAAAGCTAGATGAAGTGTCCGATGAGGATGGTATGGATGCGTAGAGGGAGGTTGAATGGGTCTCTATCTGTACCACTTTGACGGTAGTAACGTCGTAGGATGGCACCAGATCAGATGCAGAGTAATTTGGAACACCACTTGTAGGGCCATTAGACACCGAGCTGCTGCCTTGAACCAACGCGGGGGTTGGGAACGGCGCTGCGTCTGCTGCGGAATAAATCTCGCCTGCTAATGAACGGCTGCCAGACTCTGCTGAAACTGAAAAGTTGCCATCTAGATCATGTTAAGAATAACAACAAAGCTGTCGAAGACAGTAGGCATACATCCTGCAGGCAATTAGCCGTTTGTCCGATAAATACGGGATACAAGGAACCATACTTTTTGCGTTGTTTGGGTGGCTGTTAGAGGCGGCCGCGAGCGACCCGGCCCCCAACAGGGCGTACCTCCACATCCTTCACCTTCCGTACATAAACGAGTGACTGTGCAGAGGGCAAACAAAGACGTTGCAGCACAAATCGTGGGGTGATTTGGCGCCAGAACAAACTGTGAGAGATGAGAAGTATCGCCTGAAGGCAAACACAAGTTGGAAGACCGGACAGCTAAGAGCCGCTATGAATAGACAGCTGTGTGATCCATGCGCCCATCCTCTAGTGGTAGCTAGCGGATGGATGAGCAGGGCAGCCGCGAATGGGCTGCATCAGATCTCTGGAAGTGTGGCCGTGCTTCGGCAGCTGAACGTGCCTGGCCGAATCACCAAACCTTCGGAGGTTCGTACGATAATGCACCTCCTCACTGTTACACCACCCGTCAGCTTTTAGAAGCGGCGGCGGCTCTATGTTCTGTTCCGGCACGTTGAAGTCTGCGAACACGAATCGGATGAGAGCTCGGGGCAAGTAAGTGTGGAATGCAACACTCGGGTTGGTTGTACACGATTATCACATTGCCCGCATTGAGCACTGTGATATTCGCCAGGCCAAGCGAGCATCAAACCGTCCTCACTTGCATTAGAAGTGATGATGGCACTGAGCTGATTTTCGCCTGGAGGCGTATTTCAAATGTCAGTCGCTGAGTTTGCCTGGTTGAATGGCTGGCGTTGCTGGGCGACAGGCATGCGGTTGGCGAGGTTGGTGGTTCGAGGTCAGCTCTTAAATTCTAACGTGTTGGCGCTCTGGTCGCGCTTTCCTCCATTGGCTCCATGATCGACCGAACTCCACCCCTGACCTCATCCCATCGCTCCGTCGACGCCCCTACCGTGGTACCTCGTATTTTTCGCGTCTGGCTCCCTGCACGCTCGCGGCTTGCCGAATCATGATGTAGCGGTCAATATTGGCTGGTTCGCTAGACCCCCTAACAGCTGTTAGCCAAGATTTCGTTGGCAGAGAACCGTGATCCGCGCCACTCCTCGCAGTCCCGGCACTCCCCCAGATTACCGTCCATCGTTTGGGCTCCCGGATCTGGAACAGTCAACTCTGTTTATTCGGAAATGCGACTTTGACGTTGCGGTCCGATCGACATGAACGCTGCCTGGTTGAAAGTCCTGTAATTTGGACTCTTCACACATGATCTAATACTTTTCTGGTTTCTTTTTTCTATACCTACGTTCGCTACCACAATGACCACTTCCCAAGCTGTTGCGCCATACAGCGTCCCTCCCTCGCAGCACTTTGACGGCAATGATGGAAGTTGGAGCACGTTCGCAATCAGTGTCGGCATACCAGGACAAGACTTCCGCGTCCTCCCGTCCACCAAGAGCGGCGTCACATACGTTATCGCGCCCGAGGGGTGCAGTCAACCGACGGACCCCACGAATTGTGCAAACTTGCGCGGCGCAGAGATATTCGGCTCCACACAGAACACAGGGTTCCAGGTCGCACGATCAACACAATGGTCGGCCATAGGACAGTATGGTGTGGATCTGGAGGATGCGCTGAACATGACAGCCGAGGGCCTGTTCGGATATGACCATGTTGCGCTTGGTCCTGCTGCGGACACGAACTCAGACGGCAACGTCATTGCGATTGACCGCCAAGTCGTCGCTGCGATTGCGGACATGGACTACTTTATGGGTGTGCTACCACTGGGTCAGGCAGAATCGAGTTTCTCGAGCTTGAGCGAGCCTCAGGAGTCCCTCATCTGGAATCTCCGCAATAGCTCTCGGATACCTAGTCTGTCCTACGCCTATACAGCTGGCGCAAAATATGAATCTAAATCGGTGTTTGGGAGCTTGATCTTGGGTGGTTACGACTCGACACGATTTACGCCGAATGCGAACGATTTTTCCTTCACCTTCTCGTCGGACCCTTCAAGGCTACTTACAGTTGGAGTGGAGAGTGTTATGGCAACGAACACATTAAAGGGAACATTCTCGCTTTCTTCTGGAGCACACTTCTCGGTTATTGACTCGACCGCAACTCAACTATGGCTCCCAACCGATATATGCACGCAATTCGAGGAAGCCTTTGGTCTCACGTACGATCCATATACGGATCTCTACCTCGTAAACGACACTATACACACTAATCTTACGACCCTAAATCCTATAATTACGATAAAGCTAGTAAACTCATTGCAGGACACAGCGACGAATTACACGAATATCGAGCTCCCTTACGCCGCATTCGATCTTCAGGCGTCATACCCATACTATACAAATGCCACACGATACTTCCCCATCCGTCGCGCCGCCAACGACACACAGTACGTGCTGGGGCGTACATTATTGCAAGAGGCATATTTAATAGTTGATTACGAACGAGGGAACTTCACTGTCGCCCCTGCTGTTTTCCCCGATCCACTTCCAGCTGCACAGATCATCACCATTAAATCACTAGCAGACGGACAATCCAAAAGTAGCTCCTCATCGTCGCTCGGCGCCGGTGCTATAGCTGGAATCGCGGTTGGCGCTGCCCTCCTGCTTGCCATCATCGGTCTCGCAGCATTCTGCTTCACCCGCAAGCGACGCCGCGGCGCCCAAAAATACGAGCTCGCCGCCAGCGAAGCCAAAGATGCAGGCTCGGACGCCCACCTGACCGGTGCAGGCAGCAACGCTGCTCTCAAAGCTCGCGTACCGCTGCCTCCACAAGAGATGGGCGGTACGCCGCTCACTGAGCTTGCTTCGCCCGCAGTCCTGGCGTTTCCCACAGATCACAAGCGTGTCATTAGCATGAACAGCGCGCCGGTTGAATTGCATGCTGACAGCGCTGTGCCTCGGACGCCGGCGAGTGCGACAAAGTGGGAGGAGGTGCGCACAAGTGGGTATGATTCTGCTGAACGCGATGGGGAGAGCAGTGCCATACCAACAGAGAACATGAGCTGGGCGCCTAGCGATGATGCCACCATGATCAATTCGCCGAGGAGCGCTGGACATGGCACAGGAGTCAGCCCGTTGACAGAGACATTTGGGAAACGCTAGCTGAGTGTTACAAGAGGCGTTTTACGTTTAGCATGTACGAAAGCACTATTTATGTTGATAGATACCACTTATATATACGGGTGGGCTTTGGCTGGGTCTGTCGCATTCGCGGCGTGGTAATAATGAAAAGCCATACACACATACACACCAAGTATACTTCCTCTCCCCTCACCTCCCCAACCTACCCCGGAACCATGAACACGCAGCGACCCTCAACGCGCCCGCGGAGAAAGTGGTTCACGCGCGCGCACGTGTCGAAGCTGACTGTCAGCGCCGCGCATGGACCTGCCCAAAGCAGCTCAGCGAGCTACACAACTACACTGCAAGTTACCTACATACGATGTAGTCAACAGAATGCGCTTACTCGCGCACAACGCCCTCAAGCGGTCTGGCCGCGCGTTGTTAGTCACATCTGCGCGGGTGGAGTGGTGTAAGCAGCACATGCACTCGCTGGCTCATAAACGGCGTAGACTTTGGGGGGAACATGACGGATCAAAACTCCCTGCTATTTTAATTCTAGGCACGCAGATCGAATAGCCGTGATGGCGCGCGATTCCGAATCAACATCCACAGCAACATCCATATCCATGTCTTCTCAGACTCCAACGTCTACACTCGCGCCTACGGATTCCACATCCAAAGCCACAGCCAAAGCCAAAGTCAAAGCCTCTCCCGCCTACCTCAAGCGTCGCGAGCAGGTGCGTCGCGCCCAGCGGTACCTTTCCCTTTCCTAAGGGTAGATGGTTCTGGTTCTGACACCAGCAGTGCGCATAGAGACCGCAAGGAGGGGTATGTGCGGGCGCTCGAGGCGGAGGATCTTGCGTTGCGGGTGCAATTGAGGGCGTGGGATGAGGTGGCGAGTATAGGGGGCGGGAGTGGTGAAGGTGGGGGTTTGAGCACTGTTGGAGAGGTGTGGGTGGAAGGATTGGATTGTGCGGGGACCGAGGCCATCGAGGTTGCACCGCGTATTGAAGCTATCGAAGATGTGTCGGCAGCGGGCAATGCAGTGGTATGGCAGAGTGCGTGCAGCTGGTCAACATCAGTGGGTCGTGCAGATATGGCGATGGAGTTTGTGTTGGCGTGCGTTCTTGCCCTGCTTTTGACTATGCTGACGTGTGACAGCCTCGAGAAGCCGTGTGTGCAACGCGCGCAGAGCGTTGTTTTCGACCCGTTAGACGCATTTCCTATGCAGCACGCAAAGAGCAGTGCTGAGCTGGCGTTGTACCACACGTTTGTGAATGAGGAGCTTGGTACTCCGATGCCTTGCTCGCATGCAGATGTTGCTGGGAGTCTGGATCATCTCTTCTTACTCTCCTCGGCGTTCTGCCTTGAGAATGAAGTCACACCTGTCCAAGCATGGCAGCATTTGTGCAGGTACTTCGAGTTTGGCGTGGTCGATTCGAAGGGATTGAAAACGCTTATCGACGCATTGCTGGAGCACGTTAGATGCTACGGGTCAGTAGGCAAATGCGCAAAAGACGTTGTGGAAGTGCTGGCTAATACACGCAGGTTCGGGGCAGTGGTTTCGAAGAGTGCCCTTGATGAAGCTTGTAGGAGAGTGTTCACGTAGGCACTAGATGAGGAGTCTGTAGGTGTTCATTTGGGCGTAGGCTGAGTTAAATAGTTCCAGTGAAACGCTAATCCTCCACTCAGAGTCCTGTTCATGTCTTGCTCTTGCTCGTCATGACAGTCGAAGGCGCCTATCGGATGACAGGGTTCTGGCCAGCGGTGGCAGCCGCGCCGCTCAGGTTGGTCTGCGCAGCAGTCCTTTGGGCGTGCTCTTGTGCGAGCTGGTCCTCGGTTCTCTTGTTGCCGCGTGCAATCAGCTTCTCGATGAGGCCGCCCTTCTTCGGCTCGTCGGTCTTGTCTGACTCGTCGTACTCCTTCAGGTAGGCGACGCGCTCATCTGGAGTCATGGTTGCGAGCTCCTCGTCGAAGCTGCCACGGTCCTCTGCGACATGGTCAGCTCATTCTTGGAACGAAGAACGCTAACGCGCGTGACGGGGGAAGGTGGGCAAAGCTCAGCTCTACATACCGTAGGAGTCCTCGATGGTGTTGCCGGTCCTGCCATGGGTGCCCGTGGTGTCAACATGGCCGGGGCCAGAGTTGAAGGTGGTGCTGTGTGTTGTGTCTGACGCAGCGGCAACGTCGTTCTCAGGCTGTGACTTGCGGCGGCTGGAGCCGATGTGAAGCTTCTCCTTGATCTTTTCCATTGTGTGCGTGGAGATGTGAGGTATCTGTAGATCTGTTTAGGTTTGTAGTCAATTGATGTGAATGATACGTTGGAAGGATGCAGAGGGGTCGAGTGATGCACCAGCTGCCAGCTAGCTTGACGTCATTATGTCTACGCAAGAGCGGGGACACGACGGCTTGCTTGCGTGCAGGCGAGGAACTACTAGCCAATGGCCCCCTGCTCTGGCTCTAGATCACGATGTGTCAAATGTCATGCGGTAGCCTTGGTTTGGGCGTCGAGGCTGGCGTGCGTTCAGCGTGAAGCTCTGGGTGCCTCCAGTCAGGATGAAGTAACGGCAGGGTACCTGCAGCCTGGAACAAGGGTAGAATGACCCCTGTCCGTGTGGTTATTGATCGTTCGCATCTGGAAAATGGAGCAGATCAACCAGAGCAAGGGTTGGACGTGCCGCAGGCGTGTGTTTATTGCGAGCGTGAGCGCCTGCAAGCAGAGCTCTCGAGGTTATGGAGCTCCCAGTCGCGGTCAGGTGACCAGGGCGTGCCACGCGCACTGAGACATTCCAAGGTTGCGTCGGCTCGCTGCGCTGTCGCCGACAATAGACATGCACTGCTGCGGCAGCGTCGCCCGCCCACGGCCGGTGCCTCCTTGCTTTCGTCTGAGTCCGGACGAGGTGAACGAGCTTGAACCCTGGCACGATTCGCCGCTAACGTCGGGACGGTTGGCTAGCCCCGTACGGACCATGTCGTCGGTTGCATGACGGCCAGGCATGACAGCAACACTCAGCAGCCCTCAATTGGCGTTGCTGGCCGCCCGGGCGCATTCGACTTGACAACCGCCATGCCGCTGGACAGTCGCACCAGATGAGCCGCCTGCGAACCGACCGCCGCCCGCGCCGCCTGCCCTCCGACCATGTCCTCGTCGAATATCCGGGTATTCGTACAATGGAAGGACTCGATCGTGTTCGCCGGCGAAGACGTCCAGTGCACCATCACCTTCAAGAATGTCGCAAATCCTGAGGGTCGCGATCCGTCGCCGCTGCGCAGACACGGATTTGCGCCCGGCGGCGAGCGACAGCGCAAACTGCCCCCTGTCCATTCCTCGACACGCCCGTCGATATCGCGCAACTCGTCCTTCGTCTCCCAGGCCGCCGGCTCCCCCCATCTGCGCGGCCACCGCCCCGCCCCGTCGCTCCATGCCGCCTCCGTTGCTGGCGACGCGCGATCGCCCATGTCGCCGGGCGGGGCATTTGGCAGCAACGGCCGGGGCCACAAGCACGGAAGGTCCATATCCATCATATCACTAGGCACCGACGCTGCGACCGGGGGGAGCCACCACGGTAGCACCACGCCGACACGCCCAAGCCGAGGGCACGGCCGGTCTGCGAGTATGCAGGTCATGACCAACAGGCCCTCGTCGTATCCAGGTACGGGCACTGCAGACGAACCACTGCACCTACTGACAGAACCGCAGTGTTTTCTCCCGGCTTTCGCTCAGCGACACATCCCTCGCCCCTCGCTGGCGGCGCGTCGTTTCCCCCCACCATTCAAGAACCGTCAAACGAATATGCCTTCCCTGCGCGTGCGCCGCGACGGAGACCGGGCATCGTAACCACTCCGAGCACGCCTGCGCTTCCTGCCACCGGGAGGAAGCCTTCGGGCTCCTTCTCGTCCAATTTCAAATTCCCAATGGCTCAATCGACCAAAGAACCATCACCAGAACGATTCGAGAAGCATGATACCACACACGCGCCTCCTGTCCAGTCGCCATCTGTGCTAGGCCCACCTGTACAACTATCGCGAGGCCGAGCGCATTCTCCACCGCCAACGCAGACTGGCCGCCGAAAACCAACAAACCCCCATCTCGAGACACTTTCGCCTGTCGCCCGCATAATATCTGCGTCCAGCATGGAGGGTACCCCGCGGAGTAGCGGCGAGTTCTACTCAATGAGCAACAACTCGTCAGAGACATTGGCTTCCGAATACATTTCTCATCCCTCCGCACGATTACTGCCAAGAGCACTTCACCTACGACAAACGAGTCATCTGGCGCCGCCAAAGCGACAACTTCAGCCCGAGTCGCTGATGATGGGGTACGCCCAGATTATGGGATCATTCACCCTCGACGGCTCCTTGATCAACCAGGCACCGTTCGAGGAAGTCAAGAGGAAGGGCGTAGTGGGTGGTCAAGGCGGCGGTGGTGTGGTGGGCGTCGAGAGACCAAAGCGTGAGAGTGGCCTGTTCGGCGCGCTAGGTTGGGGCAATATTGGAGAGTCTTTGGGTGGGTTGCTCGGCTCTTCTGAGCCCTCCAGCATTCGTGAGATGAGGAGCACAGCCAGCTCAAAGACAGTTCCACTAATCACCACACCACAGTCGATTCTGTTTGTGGACCTCAAGCTTGCTCCTGGCGAAAGTCGCAGCTACACATACACCTTCACCATGCCAAGAGGACTGCCACCATCGCACAAAGGACGCTCGATGAAGGTAAACTACCATCTCACAATCGGCACTCAGCGGGCGGGCTCGACAAAGGAGCAACAAGTGAGGCAGGTCGATGTGCCTTTCCGGGTCTTTGGTAGCGTCAATGGTACGTCAATTCTATCTAGACTTTTGACTTTGCTAACACGTCACAGGCCGTGGCGACATACTCGGTCATGATCTGATGTCTCCCTACATAATACTGCGCGACCAGGCCCGAACTGCGAGCATCGACGCTGCTGCAGGATCTCCCTCGTCTCTAACGATGAAAAAAGGAGCTGCAGCGGATAAACCAGGCCAGGACCCATTCGCCGAATTTCTCTCATATATTGATAATCTCTTGGAACGACCGCGACTGGAATCGAGCATGGGGTTGTTGTCGCCTACCGATACGATGCCTGGACGATCTTCAATTGTTGAAGACCATCATCCCCAAACCATGAAGGAGTCCATCGACATGGCTGTCCTTCGCAGCAACCTTACAGGTGCCGCCAATCAGAGCGCCAATCGGTTTGAGATCGCTCGTAGTGGTCGACGGGTCGCAGTCATAATGCTTGCCCGTCCAGCATATCGACTAGGGGAGACCATGTCGGCTGTGATCGACTTCACTGACTCACACATACCATGCTACTCTGTTCGTGTATCGCTCGAGACCTCAGAAAAGGTCGACCCAGCCATTGCACTCCGCTCCAACGCATCCATCTACCGTGTTACAAAGAAGGCCCATGCGTCCTTCTCCGAAAACGCATTGTTTGCTCAGAAGTTGGCTTTCTCCCCTACGATACCCCCAAACGCGACACCAGAATTTATTACTAGCGGCATCAGCTTGGAGTGGAAGTTAAAAATCGAGTTCATCACGCCTCGTGTTACGCACGAGGAGGGGGAAGTGCAGTCGTTCGACGACTTGCTAGAGGAAATAACCAGTGACGATAGAGGAGTCATACTCGCCGCTGCACAGCGCCTGCCCGCAGAGAGCTTCGAGGTGCAGGTTCCAATCAGAGTGTACGGCGCTGTGACAGGGGCACCCGATGCTCCTGACGAGGAGGGCCTGCCGGTGTGAAAAATGGGCGAAAAACAAGCGTCGGCGAACAAGAGAGTTCGATGCGCAGCAACAACAGAAGTCTAGCCGCCACATCGAGCATTCTGTGCCGCCAGATGCTGGCATGGGTGATACTGCTTACACCACGAGCCACACGCTTGGTCGCGTTGGATACCGCAGTCGAGGCACAGCTCGGAAGATGGTGCAATAAAAGGCTAAGTGCCGATGCATCTGCGTTCTGCACAGTAGACAAAAGAATAATAATGTCAAGTTCCGCAAGACAACCTCGCGAAGCGTACCTTCACCATATATTCTCGCTGACCACTCTTGCTGCGAAACGTGCAGTGACGCTTGTAGGAGGGCAGGTACGACGGTGTAAGTGCGCGCACATCTCACAACGCACCCCTTTCCACGCTATAGTGCACCGCCTGCCCAGCGAAGCGAAGGCCAGAGTATCGAGCAACACTGCGTCCCGCGCCTCTCCATTGACCGGATGCCCATGCGAAGCAACAAGGTCCAGAGACCTGCCCACGTCTCGCTGCGATCGTGACAGAGTATACGGTATGCTGTACGCAATACGTCATACGTAATACGCAGACCCGCACAGTAGGACAGCGCAGTGCCGCGAGTAGTGCCGGGCTGTAACATGTATAGTGTACAAACAGTCATACTCGGGACATTGGCGAGTGAGCTGGGGTGTGCGGTGTGGTAGACGGCGAGTGCGTGGCCATGTCATATCAGATTTGTGGTATGGGGTTGGAAGTTGGGGTGTGCGCGATGCCGAACTCTGTGCATACGTCGTCTATGGTGATATGGGTTGCGTGGTTGATGGGTTGATAGTGTTGGATTGAGCAGATAGGGAGTCTCAATGTCTCAAACTGTACCATTGGCTGGGTGTGTTGCGTACACTGTACTGCTTTCATAGTATAGTGTTGCCACTATCCTAGCAGGTATTTAAGGAAGCACGCGAAAGGGACGCGGAGTGGTGCTTGTAGGTCGTTGTCAGAAGTTCCAGCCGTGTTGGCAGTGTCAAAGGCAAGAGTGGTCAAAGTGTTTAGACCTTCGCAGCAGTGCAGTCCTGTTTCGAGCATACGTGGCTTATGGTGGGGGATACTTCAGAGGCCTTGCAGTTGATCCAGTTGACATTAGTTCACGTCTGTTCCGGTCAAAGTTGAAACCGCACGGCATTTTTGACGAGTGAGGACGTGGGGAACAGAGGTAAGCCTCCATAATACACACATATGCATTGTGATACGAGCTGGCAATGACGATTTAGTCTTGCAAATGGCTCACGTGGAAAACGTATTGATGTGTTCATATGGAGTAAACAATGCCTTCTATCATTTCATTTGCATGTCTTCCTACTTTGTTACACAGGGGCGCATTATAGTGTTCTTTCCTTCCACATCATTTGATATGTACGTTGTGCTCGCGCAGTCGCAGTTTGCTTGCACGAGTACACATAATCAACCTCCAGGTCACGACGTACTGGTGGTATCGAAGGACTGGTCTCGGAGAGGATGGTGGTATGGACCGGATCTCCTGTAGTTTTCAGATGAACAACGAGATCGCACATGTGTTTCGCTGGTCTTTGATGGCCGCTGTTCCTAAAGTGCAAATACTACGTCCCGATATGGCGGATAGGTCCTCCATGTCCCCTGAACCTACACGTTCCGAGGAGGCTAGTGTACATCGGATAATGGGGTTTCTCCTTGTTGACAATGCGAAGTACGTAGAGATCGCTCGATCGGATGGCGTCTGCCGTATTTACTAGGCAATAGCGTTCCATCTGCAAGGATCATCTGACTCGAATATTTTCCTTTCGCACAAGTCAAGGCACTTGCTGCTGACTTGAGATCTAGTAATGCTTTGGTCGATATTGAAATCCGCGATCTGCATACGCGTCTTCAATATTGTGACGCGTCCTAGGGCCACCCGGCTACTACTGGCGAGTAAGTAATGAACACTGAGTCGGAAACAGGTCAGCTCATTCTGTAGCTAGTCCCAGGTGTTCAGATGCAGGGTGGCAAGATTGCTAGATTCGGTGGACGACAACCCGGGAGATCGACTGTCGTCGCAATGTAGCTCCGATCTTCCTGCTGCTGACGTCTGAAACCTGGTACTACCAATTTTCAGACCCACATACTAGTACTACCTGCTGTGGTGATGTGCCTGAATCTCCTGGTAGAACAAAGGACACAAGTCAGTCTAGCTCTCCGCTGGCTACGCACTGTCAAAGACGTCGCAAAGAGGGTCTGCGTAGCGTCATCGCACCCAGATATTGTTAGCCGAGGGCCGGTCTCTTAAACCGGGCGGCTGTAAACCACGACATGTGTGGTTTTCAATCGTGGCAAGACTGAACGTTTGGAAACTTTACCGACGTTAGTGTCGCCGCTTGCATGTGCACACGGTCCACATTTCTTAAGGATGCGACGTGAAGAACTACCTATCCAGGGTCCAGCGAGGGTTGCACTTCGTGTGTCGATCTGAGGTTCTTACAAGAGCCTGCAGACCCAAGTGTCGATCATTGGATTGTGCGGAGACGTCGTCTCATGAAACTGCTGACGCCCCGTAGACTGTAGACCGATCAGTGAAATGAGAGATCTACTAGGTATGGGTGACATACCGAGATGGCTGATGCTGCCACGCTACTGTTGGGTTCCTGTGCCTAGGCGGAAAATGTCGAAGGTATCTCACACGCACAGATCATGTCTCTCGGACAGTCACATGCTACCAGTAGTAGTGACATTTGGTGTTGAGTACAGTACCAGTTCCATTAAGCTGGAAGGCATGCAGCCAAGCTTGCAAGCGAGAGATGATATTTGAGACCCACTCAAAAATCGATCATGCTGTGCCTGAGAAGTGGTATGTCGAATCACAAGCGAAAATCCCACAGAAGTCCTAATATAGATCTTAAGGTGGTGCAGCGTCTGAAGCCCAGTCGGTAGCGCGTGAAATTCTTAGCGTTAAGACTGGGCGTTCGTAGAGTATCTTGATCATCGGGAGTGAAACAACTCTCCAAAGCCCCACTATTACGATCTCAAAGCAATTGTTCTCTTGCCTGCAGTTGGGCTTCATAGCAACGCGATTTCCGGGGTCGTTTAATGCGCCGAGACCATGTCTCGATAGTTCGGCAGTTATTGCGGTGTTACCCTAGCACTACTTCGTAACATAGGTCTTGAAGACTGTTCTCGGGCATCCCGGATAGAGGTGCGGCTTCCATGCTGTGAGATTGGTGGTCTTACCTTCAACCCTTGCGTCGTGGGCAGGCTTGTGTTTGTCTGGCGGTGAACAACGGCGACTTGGAGCTAACAGGGCAAGCTGTCCTCGCAGGTTTCGGTGAGACGGAGAGGAGCGTTAAGGTCACTTTGCTTAGGTTGCTGATGCGACCACAAATGCAAGGCAGGTACGAAAAGTCGCTGGTATGCCATGCAGAGCGCAGTTGCTGTTCTAGCTGTCATCTTCACTCTGATCCGTAGTGCGCAGAGGATATCACGGCCCTCCCTTTTCGTTCTCGATTGGTCGTATGGCTATCGAGATAACGATGTTGTGTTCTCGCGGGTGGCGTTTCCAGCGACACGTGCTTTCCGCGTGGCATCGCTACTTCCTCAGGCTAGAAGCTCCTCCATCGGGCAAATGACACCTGTTCTACATTACGTGGCATCGTATGAGTGACTGTCAGGGAGTAAGCACATGTCGGCGTCACTTTCGCCCTTTACTATTGACTATCGGCGCAGCAACAACGCTTTCCCATGTTGAGGCGGAATCCGGACCTATGTTGCGTGCTTTACAATCGGTCGAATGACTTCTCTGAGATGTTGGCTCTACTTACGCACCTCTGTTAATGCACCGGTTGAAATCAGACTTGCCCGTTTCGAACGCGGTGTGACCACTGCATAGCCTCAAGGCAAGTCCCGAAATACCTCGACTATAAGGCGCACCGCCAGTCATAGGTGCGTACAATCCTTGTCAATCCCTTCGCCAAATGATGTTTGAACGGATTGCGTGCTGGTACCGTCCATTTGAGTTCCTCCAAACATATGCTCACTTTGCTGCAGGCTTGCCAGTCTCATCCATAAAACTTGCAACAATCATTGTGTAAACCTGCAATGATACACGATCAAGTCGGTGTCGCGTAGCGTATATGAATACGAGAGGTGTTAGCCGCCTAAGCGCTGAAAAATCCGTGCTTCGTCTTCCATGCACCACGCCGGATCGTCAAGAAGGATTCGTGCATAAAGCAGAGAAGTTGTGCAGGGTCGGAGGTTAGAATGCCCCGATTTGTCCAGTCAAAATGAAGTTACAATTAGAGAGCTGGGCTGACACTTGAGCGACATGGAAAATGCTAGTCGGTGTGGTATCACCACATACCTCGGGTAATCAGACATCTGGCTATTCCGAGGCTCGAGTTTACAGGCCTCCGTCACCGCGAGCTCCATGTCAAAGCGATGCAGGGACACAGCATTCGCTTCATGTGGGTGATCAGTGATGCCAAGAGCTTGGAGTGCAGGGTGCATATGTATGCGTAGATGGGGTGCATGACCTGTGCTTACTGCAACCATTTGCACCTGGTCGCCGTCGTACCAGCCACGCAGCACGGTGGATTTTTACGAACTGGGCATGCATGCAGACGGGCATTTTGCGCATGACGCAGGGGGTGCACCATTGGACGGATTATTGATTCCGTGTGTCAACTCTTGGTACCAGACAGGCCCGCGTTATTGACTCCGATCAAGTGTCCACAGCTTTGGGCCAGCAGTTGCGCCTGGAACCAAAGAGAAATGAGTTTCGGATCAACCCCCTCAAAGGGCACGGCTGCCATCAGAAGTTAGAATGAGGACGGGGCGGAACGGAACGTGAGCGACAGGCACGGACGCGCGAGCAGGGAGTAAACAACGTCGATCTGTGCAGATTGCTCTGCACCTTGTTCTGAGCTTGACTGCGAACAGATGTTGCCAAAGTTCTGGAACCCTCCCCAACCGTATGGATTCGGGACGCCGAACGATTGTGCCGAACTCACATGCTACGCGACTGAATGACTTGGTAAAGGACGTCGGTGCTGCATCCTTCCTCACTAGGCATTCCGCACGCGTGTCGCTGAGACACGGACTGTATATCATTCACGCCATGACAGCATACGTACTCGTGGCTTGCGGAAATAAGTCGAAGATGGTGTGGGGATGTCCGATGGAGTGACGATAGTGGGCATTCGAGAGTGGGGATAAGATGCTCAGTGGAGGGACAAGTCCGGTCTGTCAGAGCATGTAGCCAAATCTGGCAAGTCCAAGACGTCGAAGCTGTGGAGTCGCGACGGGGCAGGATCCTGCATGGACAAGGTCGAATACCAACACTGTCTTGTGAAAATGCAGTTATTTCATGATGATAATGAGTTATGCTGTTCTGGCATCTGCCGGTTACAAACTAGCGTATAGGCAGGTATCCGCGCTCCTGCAACTGAAGCAGGCATCGCCCACCATTCAGGTACCCTTGTCTATCGCATTCTCCAAGGCCGTGTACAGGTTCCTTGTAGGCTGTTGCTTAACGACACCCACTATTCTCGGCGTCCGTTCTCACACATGGTCATTTCGCGCGGTAATCCTCCTATAAGGGCAATTTGTCCGGTCAGCACAGGTTACCGGGGCCTTCCGGACCTTCGAGAACCGACAATGTGTCCACGATTCGTGAGTTGTGACAGCGATCAGCATCCACAATGCCTTTGCCCCGACGGCGACCTTACTTTGAACGGTATGAGGCACAGCAACGACGGGCCTTGCTCCCGACTATGTGGTAGCGGGTGGACTAAATCTTGATGGACATCACATTGTGCCACGAACGCCTGAGTTTGCGGAATTAAGAGTGGAGGAGTTGGTTCAAGCGCAACAAAGAGTCATACGCAACACGAAAGCGAGTTTTGGTTTTGTTCATTGAATCAAGGTTCCGAGACTCATTCAGGGTTGCGAAAGTCTGGAGCATCCAGCCTGCTGTTTGTACATGTGCTACTGCATACCCTGGGAGACGGAGATCGGTTGCTTCTAGTCAAACGTCAGAGAAACCTTAAAATATAGCTGGCGGAACGCCGTTGCAACCGTTAAAATTAAAGGCGTTCAGTGTTCCGGTTAGGTTCGGAGCCGAGGTACCCCATTCACACAGCAACTGAATGATCGAGAAGTTCTCTGACGATTAGTTAAGAATTAGGCTTAGGAGATACGCTCGTACTCGGACGCCTCGGTGCTTCTTTTGTTCGCTGGCAGCCGGGCCGCACCAGTTATGCTAAAGTTGGGATGTGCAACGGCCATGTAAATGCTTGAGTGGAGATTTCCTGAACCGGATCGGATTCACTTCCGGTCACCACGCTGGTGGAGAGATCTCGATTGGAGAGGAAGTACGTCCGTTCAGACACTGTGACGGGTCCATGCTGCAGGAAGTGGTTCCGGCGCATGCTATTGCGTGATTTGCTACGAATCCCTCGCGGATATTCCCAATTGCCAAATTTGAGGGTCGAAAGCAATGGTCTAGCCGTGCGATGCCATGTGGAGGCCATGTGTGCCCATGGCTGTAATTATTACGCCACACGTGAAAATAGCACGATCGGTGCTTGGAGAAGATAATGCGGATATTCTGGATAACGGGATCGGCACGAAACCACCGGGTCGAATCGCGTGAGCGCCACATCAGCATAGGAAGATCAAAGAAACTCTTGAGAAAGTATGAGAGGCCATGAGATTTCGATCTGCCTCTGGCGTACTGAGGGTCGCTTCCTGTCTTGCGCTACAAATGTAAGTAAAGCGCAATCTTTCCCAAGCGCCTTTCCAAATGAACCAACTCCAGCTCTTGAAAGCCACCCTAATTGTACATGGAAATTGAAAGAAACCAAATAGCCGAAAGCCTTGAATAGATGAAAGGTTTTCCAAATGCGCCTCAAAAAGCATGAGTGCTAGACCGTGTTCTTCCGGTGGATGCAAATGAACAATCGAACAACGTCCACCGTGTCTGTATGAACGAATTTCGAATTTTCCGTTCCCCAAAAGTAATCTCCGTCCGCGCCTTCGTAATCAAATGTTAACGTGCTGGGAGCCCATGTCGTAAAGGAATGCGTATTGCCAGCGTTGCAGATTCGCTCAAATCATTCTTTATCTGGACCGATTCATACATTGTCGCTTTCCCGAGAAGGCTAAAGCTCAGTCCTCGAATCATGCGCCAGAATAGTACTGTGGTACACCGTGCTGGCTGTAAGCCATTGGCGGTCCGCCCTCTTCCTGCACTTGGTCTAAGTGTCCTGGCTCTGCGTACCATTGCGCACTCATCGAGCGACCGGGCATGGTCATTGGTGAAATTTGGCTGTGTTCGTAAGAATTCCAAGCTGGTGGATAGTACTGGTGAGATTGGAGCACCGGCGCGGAGAGAGGTCCAGATGTTGAACTTCCCATAGTCGCGGTCCGCAATGTTGGTTGACTTGTGTCTATTGTGCTGGGATAAGGGTAAGGGGAGGTTCGCCGCCCAAATTCCTGTTGGATGCCAAGGCCTTGGCCTGGATACTGGTGCGGTAATCCTTCGATGTTGCCGTAAGACATCGATCGCGTTGGAGGTTGTTGTTGGAACGTAGGGTGTTGGCCCCATGCATGGGTCTCTGGATGACCGTATGACATGGTTGAGCTTGTGCTCATCGTAGCTGGGGTATGCACGCCGGAGACGCCAGATTCGCTCCCGTACACGGAATTTGCTGTTGACGGGGACTGGCGCCAGTATCCTGTGTTTGAGTTGGGACTCTCGGCGATTGTCGAGGAAGGAAGATAACTAGTCGTTGGAGGCCATTGTGTCTCTATTGGCGGAGGGTATGGATAAGCTCCATGTTGTGACGGCACTGCACGTTTTAGCATATTAAACACAGCTTAATATAATGACGATCTTACCTCCACCTGAAGTGGGCGTGTGGTGAGGGTCGAGATCGGCCTCACCTGGATAGCCATAAGGCGCGTTCGGCGCAGAACTGCCATGGTAGGACGCATGGAAATCGCCAATCTTTTCTCCTGTATGGGGAGGAAGATGTCGTGGAGATGAAGCTTGTGGTGTTGTTGGTGTCCCAGTACTTAGATCCTTCCCGGGACCCGAAGACCTTTGTGCATCAATGTTGTGTTCAACTGGAAAGAAATTACACTCTTTCTTTAGCCGAATGCAGTTCGAGCAACGGCCTTGTGGGTCGTCTGGAGCCAAAAGACATCGTATCTTTCTCCGCCGGCAGTGCCCTGTGTTTGTTCCTGTCAGTCAAGGTGGTCATGTCTGCGGCGCATAAGACAAGTGCTCTGTTGACATACCGCATGCGACAGATGTTCGGTGGTAGCCTAGCTTATTGCGCGCTTTGTTGCTTGTTGGCGACAATTCGCCTAATGCCAAGTTGCGCATATGCGGCGTAGATGTTGAGCGACGTAGTTCTCCAGGTATCTTGCTCTTGGACGAACGCCTTTTCTTGCTCAATTGATGGTGCGTTTGAGTAACGGAATCCGGCCCAGTGAAAGTGTTCTTGAAGTCAAGTGAGTCCGTTGGACTTTGGATCGAGACGGGTTCTGGAGGACCGTCGACGCCAGGGCTGTGGATCGGAGGATGAAAGGACATTGCTTTACTGATAGGCTGTACAGACAACGGCTGATCTAGTCTAGAAGCTGTCTTCTTCGCACGGCGGTCCGTTCCCACAGCCATGTGCAGCGCCGCTTTGTTGTCGCAATTCCCGAGTCTGAGCGCACCAAGGCAGACAGCGCATTGAAGTGCCCTGGGGATATGAGCATCAAATGTTTAAGGTTCGGGGGGACCCACCACGCAGATGGGACCTGAGATATACGTACCTAAGAAGTCAGGCAAGAGGACTTCTAAAACGTTGGGGCCCGCACTAGATCGTGTCTTAAGACGGGAGCAGTTGGCGGAGGCAATTGCGGGCGATCGACCATGCTATGAGCTGTTAGGCGCAATGGGTGTTATAGGCGAATATCCGACGGGGCTAGGGCCGAATAACAGTGATGGTCCGGGACCGGGAATGAAGACCAAGAGAAAGATGATGGTGAAGCAATGGTGGACAGTGGTGTATTGTAAGCTAGCTGCCACTACCGCAGGGGCCACGTTCACAGCAGAGGTGAACAGGCGCCAAAAGCAAAGCCTGCAAAAGACGAAAAGATTTAGGGACTTGACGTTGAATTTTAGAACGCGCTGTTTGGCTGAATTGAGTGGATGAATAAAAGTGGCGAGGCGACACACGCTATTGCCATATTGGGCCTGCTGCGTTCGAGTGCCCAATCACCCAATTCATCAGAGGATTTTGCAGGCATCCTGGTGGCTTGGCCTCCATAAGACGATCTTGTGCCAGTGTGGAAGGAGGGATTAACAGATCCCTGTACAGTTGGCTCAGACCAACTGATGTGCGGGATGGATGAAAGCGCGTTCGCTCAGGTTGAGGAGTCCGTGCGTCGTCGAGCTGCTCCGACCCACGGACAGTTTTAATCCCACCACACCATGGTTGACAGCCAGGCCGATGACACGACGGTAGCCGCCGCCTAGCGTCAGCTGCGGGCGTGGTCCACATAATTAGGCGGGCATGAATCTGCGTGCCCTCCAGCCATGGAAAACTGTCGACGACACTTTTAGTGGTGGTTCATCTGTTAAGGGCTCGCATGCAAGTACGCTGCAGACGCCGGAGATGGCCATCTAGGCCGGGCCCTGTGCGCTGGGACGAGGCCTGGGGATTGTAGTCACATCAGGGGTGCTTTCCATCGATACTGCTGGATCTAAGATGACGAGGACGTTCGTGGGGACAGGGCCGAAATGCCTGAAGCCAAAGCTGACGCGCTTGGTGGAGACGCACGAATGACGGCGCTGGTTGCAAATGCTGTGACGTTCCAGCACGGCGTCTTCCACAGCCATGGCCCTTTCTCTGCGCAAACGACATTTGCAGTCGCTGGAAGACTGCAGGCAACGCAGGGATGACGCTGGCGCGACGTGCTGACGCCGGCACTTGCAGCGAGAGCGGATACGTTGCGACAGGATGGCGCTGAAAAGGAGTCCTTTCTCCACACTCGTTCATCTCGCTAAATATGCCCTGAGAAAAGCCTCGATTCATTTCCACACGCGTCATCGTGATTAGAGACCGATGTCGTTTCTGCTACTGTTGCACAGCAGATGTCACTGGCTGCTACGATTGGTGGCACCCTCCTGGCAGACGCGGCGATATGGAGCGCTCAAAGGCCACCAGAGGCCTGACCCAACGCAACGGCTCCTGAAGACGTGCATGACGTCTACCACACCAAAGCCTGGGCGATTCCATACATGGCAATCGCACGTGGGACTCGACTGAGGAAGTGCTAATCGGGCCTTTTCGTCATGCATCTCCTGCAAACACAGGTCGAGACTCGACACAACGCCCATCATTTTGGTCACCGGTGATAGACGCTCGCCGACGGCATTGCCGTCACCTCCCCACATCGGCGCGATGGAGCACCTTAGTGCGGTGGCCTTGCAGCAGAAGACATTGCAGCGCTGTGCGTTTCCGTTACCCTTTCGGAACATGTTCTCCTGCTCTCAAGAGGGGTTCGTGCAGTTTCGTTCAACCGCATTGCCCGATCATAGCAGCGCCATCCCGGGGCCCTCGTCTCCTTCGTCCCTGCAGAGCAAGTTTGCATCTGTCCTGCTGACTCGGCACTGGCTTCATCGATACCAGGTCGTCGGATTTCGTTAGCCGGACGAAAGTGAGGCTTGGTTCCGGCATCTTGTGGTTGTGCTGCGTTTCGTACCTGCCCCATCCAAACTCGTCTTGGCTTGCTAGTATCCGAGACTCCACTTCCCCTAAGCTACTGTACGCACCAACAGTCACCACTGACCTGACGCTATATTGACATACTAACGTGGTACGCTTGCCGGCCGCATTAGGTATGCCACCGCCACAGAATCGAGACTACGGTGAATGGTAGACGGGTAGATTCGGATGGGCGTCAATGAGGTTGATCAGCACGTGTGCGCAGGCGACTTGGGCATCGCAATTGAAATGCTGACACGGGAGATCAGGCCTTTTGGCTGTCACCGACAAGCGACAACGCGTGATCAGGGTCATCAGTACTCATACCTCGGAAGTACAACAGCTCTGTTGCGTTGCTCAGAACCAAACACAAGTCGTTGCTGAGACTCTACGGTGCTGCCCTTGGTCATCACCCTACTTCGGGCTCACCCTCTCAGGTTGAACTAGTCCGGAACAAAGCGAGTGTTGCATCCGCACCAGTAATCGTTGGGATCACCATCGACTGCCTGCAATCATTCAGATGTCTATCTGTGACTGCATAGTCTCATGGAACAATCACCGCGTTGTGCAATTGGACTAGTTGAACAACAGATGAATGAGGCTCTGCCTCCGACTTGGCTTCTCAAAATTCCTCGACACTGCTGTTACAAAGAAGTGCTCCAGACTTGACATGATCGTCGGTTCTTACGCGTCCAGCTGGGCTCACTCCTAACTAGGGTGTGTAGATTAGGCAGTGTACTTTCGCCTAACCGAGTGACAACAGGTCGTTTGCACGTACGCACAATGCACTTGGCAATCTACAGGCCGTTCGCTTTGAGTGGTGAAGAGGCCGAAAGGTGAGCTTTTACGGACGGCTATGTTGCTTGGAAGGAGCGATCCCTTTGTTTGCTGTCACTTCATGACGACTTGGACAGGTGACCAAGGCCCAATATCAGGGTCCGTTTTGAAGTACTATGGTACAATCTAAAAGCCTGCTGGACTCCGTACGACGATTCGTTTATTCCTCAGCGGAAGAATTTCCTTTGCACCAAGCAATCAAAGCACCATATTTCGGAGCCAGCGCATCTGACTCGTCTATTTGTACAATGCCGCTTTCTCTACCCTGAACTCTGAATTTATTCAGGCCCCTCGCTATTAGTGACATTGCAGATCCTTCTATGTCAAGTCATACCTCCGTTTCCTAACCTTCTTGTCCACGCTAAGTGATGCATCGGAGTCGTGGGTGAAACAGCGTTTGAGATCGGAGTACATTCCGAACATCTGAAGCCTGGTTCATCACGCCACAACCGATCACATTTCAAGACCCAAGTTACTCTCCACAACTGTCTGGTTTACTTATAGATTTCTCGCTTGGAAACAGGCCGATGCCCTAAATTCCGCCGGGTCGCTACCATCCGATGTCGACGTGGGCTCAAGGGTGCACCGTTTCGCCGGACCTTTTGCGAACCTAATGCTCGCGTGGGATGATCCGTAGTAAGTACAGCACACGGAAATATTTGGTCCTCTAAACTGTTGAAGGAATCGTTTGCGACTCATCACATGGGCTACTATTGTCTGCATCCAATGATCGACCGTGCCCAGATTCCAGGAATTCTCTTGAGGGCTATCATCAAAGCAGTTTCAGCCACAGATTTGGTGTTCAAACTCCATGTCTTCAAATGAGTCCGTCGCCTGGTCGGTCTAAAAGACCCGGACGATCTTCAGGCAGTCATCTTGGCCCGCGGAGGCATACGTGTAACTCTTCACAAATGACTTCCAAATGAGTACTACCCAAAGCCCCACGCACAGACTTCTTATCTATGCCTAGGCCGCGCCATTGAAGCCCTGTCTAATGCACAACCGACAATATGCAGGCGCATCTGGGATTCGAGAGATCCAGCCCTGGAGGCTGGAGGTGTGCAGCTACACACGTGCTCAATGGTCGGATGCATTTCCGCCATTGACTCCAAAGACAACGAGAGAGAGATCGCCGTTTCGCTACCAAACACTGATGCACCCTTTCTTTCAAGAAGTGCATGTCCAAAATGCGATACTGTCCTGATGAAGAAACAGCAATGACAGCGTCATACTTCGCCCCACTCATAAGGCTTAGGCTAGGGCCCCGCACATTGAGGTGCGCCACTGGACGGGCATAGAAATCCACAAACAAAGTCTAACAAAGTCGATCTCGGTAGGCATTGGATGACCCAAAACGCACCTTGCTCGACTATCGTGCTTGTGGACATCCTCCATCTATTACGTCTCTATCGCTCATATGCCGAGCAGGGGCGCGGGGACATCACCAACGGACGCTGGTCAACAACGCCGTATTCACCATGCGGCTGCAACTTTATTTGAGAATCTCGCCAAAAAAATGTCTTGCGATTGGACAGATGAAACAAAGTTGCGGACACGAGTTCCCTCGGGCAGACTTCACGGGTGTGCTGCTTGACGTGAAAGTCGTTGGGCGATGCCCCGACCGCGAGGTACGATACCAGATCACCACTGTATCCCCAGCACAAAGCCACATGAGTGGACAATTGTACGACGTTACTAGTAGGAAGTTTCTCATTCTGGTTAGACTAATGATAGTTGCGTGATAATTTGCACAAATCACACACGCAGGCTCCGAGGGTAGGGATCGGTTCAAGTACCGACTTTCTGTCTCGGGTTCATCTGACAGCAGCGATCAAGAAGCCGTCGTAATTCTTGTCCCCGACCGTCTGGGTTGGGTACGACTCCATCGAGCCTATCCTTCCCGGGCATGTTGTCCACCACTCGCCGTGTTCCAGCAATTCTCGGGTCCTCGCTCATCTTTTGCGCGAGTTGCCCTTTTCTTACATTTTTGTCACCATGCATGCACGCTCCCGGCTCGTATAGCTCGGTGGCTCTTTCGGCGTACTCGAGGTACTCACAAGTTCAACAGCCGCGTTGTTTGTCACCGGATGCCATTGGTTCAATCCCAATGCGCAGCTTTGAGTAGTAAGCTTGTAGACTCGCGGAGAAGAAGCAAACTGCACGTGACCCTCAGATAAGGGCCACAGAGTACACGGTTCCTTCAGTTGATTTTATTAATCGATAAACACGAGCTGGGATTTGCCAACATTCTCCAGCTTGATATCTGCTATATACAGTGTCCGGCAAAACCTCAACTCTAGGACCAAGTCGCGCTTCCATCCTGACGCTGTTCCAGCATGCTTGATGTTTCACCTTGACTTTCGCATGATGCTCATCGAACTTGATGCTGCACAATTTGACATCAGGACTTTTGCGTTTGCAAGCTAGGTGTTTGAGCAACCTGTCCTGATTTCGCAGGCGCGTCTGCTGAAAAACGTTATCAGAGGCTATACGATGACATTAGGTAAGGCGTTGCTTTTCTGGTTCCGAGAGCGCATGCTCGACCACGTTATATGAAGGCATCTCTCGCCAGGAAGAATGCAAGTGTCCAAGTGAGTAGGTGTCAACTGTCGGACCAGTGTGGGTCTTTCTGATAGGATTGTCCCTGCCCTGACATAGTGATTCGTGCAAGATCGAAGCTTTTTTGTCGGGGGAATGGAGCACAATGTTCGAAGGAGCTGGAAGGTCTTGGAGGTTGAACTCCACTCCATATGCGGGGTCGACGAGAGCTTGCTAGGTACATGAATTCTCCAACAGTATAATATGGAGATTGCCGCTCCTATACATCCTGCGACTCTGTTGTCTTTTCCCTATGGCAGAATTACAGAACCATATCACGATCGAATATTGACCCACGAGTAACACGTCAAGAGTTTGTTTGATTGCGTTCCTTCAGAGGCTCTGACTTGCTGTATACATGCCCCGCTTGCACCACGTATCAACCTGACATGCCACGGTGGTGTTATGTATGCAGTTTGCGTCGCTTGCATCTGGTAATCAACAAGTCTGCACCTCTAAGATCGCCGATCTCTGCAACCCTTCATTCACCGCACGACCTCTGTTATGTGCGGCGCCACCCACGTAACAACACTCTAAGCATACTGTTGATCACCTATCGCTTTCTCTGCAGCATTGATGTTTTCGATAAATGATGAACGCTTTTGTAGGTATTCATGATTCAGCAACACCACCTGCATGCAGATTCTTCGAGAACAGAGAATCATGTAATAACAGCTGATTGTAATTGTAGGAGCAGAAACTTTGGAGAGCCTTCGCCGCTTTCGCGCCCTTATTCAGCTCAGTCACGGCGTCCAATGCATGGATGTAGAAGGTGCCTTCGAACACTGTGACTCAGCCGCACGTGCAGGCGCAACACACCTGTGTTGCCTGATAGCCCCGACTCCTAGCGTCTTTACGCCATGCACCTATACGGTTGAAGGGCGGTGTCTGACAGTAAATATGATGACAGTCATACTTCAATTCTCAGTTTAAATTGGCGATACAACCATTGGATTCTCACCTGGCCAACGACATCGCCAGCATGGCATTACAAGTAAAAGACGAGGTCTACGACCTTCTGATCCTAGTTGATTCGACCTACTCAATGGTCCACTACCTCAAATCACTCCAGACGTCTCTTCCCAAAGTCATAGCCATCTCCAATCTGACCGACAGTTTCTCGCGAATTGGGCTTCTAGCTTATCGGGATTACTCCGAATCGGATCGAACCAAGGATGGAATGCTTGAATGGAGCGGCTGGCATGAATGTAACAAAGGATTGGACACGGACGGCGCCAACAGAGCCTCTGCAGCTGCGCTTACAACCATGGCTGCAAATCTGGAACCCGATGGCGGCGGCGACTACCCAGAAGCAACCAAGACTGGTCTTGCTCGCGCATTTCAGCTGATGCGAAAAGATGCAACCACAATCATACTTCTCTACACCGATGCGCCACCACACTGTGCGATGGTAGCCGACCGAGATCCGGATAGCAATTACTACACAGAACAGACTGTCTTGCGCCACCCCTCGTCCTATGGTGGCTTCGGCTCGAAATTTGCAGACTGGGTGTCAGCAAGTAACATGCTTCATGAAGGGGAAAAGAAGGCTCAAGTTTTCTGTTTCTTACATAGAGACCTTGAGGATCCGCTCTACGGCGGGTATTACACATACCTCAGCACCGTTACACGTGGAGCCTGCTTTACTTTGGCAAGGTCCGCACCTGAAAGCATCTCACAGGTTACTGTTGACGTACTCCTAGCATGGATGGGTGTAGGCAAGGCAGGCATAGAGAACGTCATGGATGCGACGTTGATGCGATACAATAACGACGAGACCATCAAGAACATAAGTACTGAGCAGGACGAGCTCGCCAATTCGTACTTCTGGGCTGCAGACGTCAAATCAGAGGGCAAGAGAGTCATCACCAATCGGAAGAAACAACGTCAAGCTCTGGACTTGCGACTGAACAACAACCTTACAAAGATAGCTGTTACTTCCAGTGTACTCAACAGATACTTGCCGAAGAGGACAACACCCATCATGGACTTCGCCAAGCGTTACGCTGGAGATGCCACCTACAAGATCCTCGTCTCACGGCAGCTGCAGAACATCATTGAGACAGACGTGGCCTCCATGTCTTTGAACCCTGTGTTTGGAGTTCTTTGGCGCACTGTTTGTAGGGACCGCGGGAATCCCGCTCGTGATAAGCTCATCGCCAAATTCAGTCTTCATGTTGACAAAATTGCGGATACGGATGAGAAGGCACGCATGAAGAATTGGCTTGAAGAGTCATACGACTACGTCAACGAGATTTTGTGTATAATTGATGAGGTACCTGAGCAACAGCGTTTCCCTTGTGTCTTTCTCGATCCTACGATCAACTTTGCGCCTGCGATGATCAAGGGGACGGCGCAACACGGCGATGAAGAAGATGAACAAGATCAGCCCTTATCCAAGTTCCGACGAGATGAGCTTCTGGAAATCGGTCGTTCGTGCGATGGACGCATCCTTCGTCGTCTTGCAAAGGTACTGACTCGGATCACATACGTTGAGTCAGCAGCGGAACTTCCAGCCCACATAGCAGAGACATCGAACACTGAGGTCCCGAAGATTCCTACAGCATTGGCGTCCCAGGACTTCGGATGGAAGTTCTGGCAGATCCTTTTGCATGTCATACTGCCAGGTACAATGCTTACTGCTCGACCTGCTGCTGTTTTGGCAGCACTTGCTATCCGAATCGGTCTGAAGCCATTATCAGGCGCAGCAAATGCAGCTATGTTGTTCTGGCGCGATAAGTGGAACAACATTGAAGTCCCGGAGACATGGAACTCGAGCTGCCTGGGTTTACTCCTTGATGCGGATGCCGAGCACAGAGCCCAGATGCAATCACATGAAGGATGTCCTAGCAAAGACGGCCTTCTATTTGAGAGCGACCGTGAGCTCTTTCATCGTCTTGTGATCTACCAGCACACAGGCAAAAATCTCTTGACAACCCTGACAGCAAAAGTTGGCTGGACACCTCGGAAGACCCACGCGCCTATCGGTCCTGCAGTCATGTGTCGAGAATGTCAACTGCCTAGATCGATAACAATCATGGCTGAAAACTCGCAAGGCAAGTGCGGTCTGTGTGTGTTCACAGGGTCATCATGGGGCTCTGTCGAGGATCGGGCAAAAGCGCTCCTCACTAATGTCACACCAGAAGACACTGCATCAACGAAAATTGCTTGGGTCGAATGCAGCATTCAGACATGTCGTGCGCAGTATGTGTGCTATAACACAGCTGACTTGAATGTTCGACCGAAGTGTTGGTACTGCCGCATGCAGACCAGCCTTCCGCCAGCGAAGCGTAGCAACAACCCTGCGCCTACATTGGAGTGCACAAAATGCCTAAACAAGGTCATCTGGCCGGATGAATGGAAACACATGGTGACAAGACCGTTCCGCTGCACAGCCTGCGTCGATGGAATGAAAACTATCGTCGGAGTCGATACAACTGCCACGCAGATTTGTGAAGAGAACGGACAAGACTGGCTCATAAGGAACACCAACGGTGTCCTTGAGAAGCCTTTCAAGTTCAGTCTATTCACGACAGTTGCTATGACCGGCACAAAGTCGTTCCTCGAAAACGTTGAAGCTCTTCCTGACCTTGATCCGGCAATGAAGCTCACACTCAAGGGCAAGCAGATTCGCAACGTTGCTGCACTGACTACAGACCTAAAATCTTGGGTCAAGCGCCGTACTGCTGAAAGATCTCACTGTAGCCTCTGCTTCAGCACATTCACCAAGAAGTATCTGCTCCCAGCATGCCGCCGGCGCGGATGCCATCAGAGCATCTGCAAAGATTGTCTTAGCAGTTGGTACGGGCTGAACAACCCCGGAACCATAATCAACACCGCTGCTCTCTTCTGTCCCTTCTGTCGCCGTGCTCCAGCCGCGCGCACTCTCGCAGTCTACGGGAAGGGCATACACGCAGTAGGCAATCTGAAAGCAGCTTACGATGAGAGAGGTGAATGGATCCACGCCTGGTGCTCTCAATGCAACAAAGCCCAGCGGCTGATGGAACGCGAGTGCGCAAGAGGCGCCCCAGAAGCGCTTCAGCAGTGGCGCTGTGAGGACTGCGAGACGCCCGCAGCTGCACGGAAAAGGCTCGAAGGTTCTGTGCGGGAGTGCCCTGGATGCAGTGTTTCGGTCCAGAAGACATATGGATGTGACCATATTACGTGTACGTGTGGTACGCACTGGTGTTGGGCTTGTGGCGAAATGGGCTCTACTGCTTCAGATGTCTACAATCATATGAGCAGCGTACATGGAGGTATGTACGGGGATGAAGACGACAGCGAATACGACGAAGAAAATGAGGATTACTACTAGACGAAACACCAGGAAGCAGGGTTTGACAGATACAAAGGTATGGCGTGATGCATTGGATTCTGATGCAGATTATTTGTTTGTTCGAGAGGCGCCGCTTTTGTCTACGGTGTCTTATGAGATGGTAGAATAATTTGAATGATAAACGGTTATCATACACCGCTAAGGCACTACATTGAAGTATTTGATTCTGTCGCCAAGGCCAGTGCGTCTCCTTCACTCCCATCTACCGTTTGCTTCACTGCGCTAGGCTCGGCGCCCACCCCCTCTTCCCTTCTCCAAACAATCCTTTCTTCTCACCACCCTCTCCACACCACTGGTACTTCCACTAAACACGAGTTTCTTCGACGACGCCCGGAAGTTCCGTAACGCGCTCATAGCCGTCGCCGCAAACGCATGGCAGAACGCCAGCCCTGCTGCCGCTAAAGCCAAACAGCTCACCGAATCTTTCGTCGCCTCTGTGAATCAGCAGGCCACCACGACTATCATACCTGACGGCGTTCCTACTCGCGAAGTTTCACCGTCGGACTGGGCGGGGCTCACACGCTTCGGAGAAGACGTCGGCAAGCACATGGGTGTCACCGCAGGTGAAGCGTGCGAGGCGCTGCTCAGCGGCAAAACCGCAATGAATGAGGTTGGCAGCAAGCGTATTCCTAAGTTCGATTTCAAAGAGGAGCATATGAAAGGCTTGCCTGAGAAAGTGCTGAGGTGGATCCGAGACCATCCTGTCGAGGCTGCGCAGCTGATTGCCTGTCTTGCTGCCGTGCCGATGGCCATCGGTCTCGCCCCTGCAGTCTTGGGTTTCATTGGGTTTATGCCCGTTGGCATTGCTGCTGGTTAGCTGTTCCCTGCGAGGTATGGCTATTGATACTGACTCTGTGGAACCAGGTTCTATTGCTGCGGCGGTTCAGTCAGCTGTTGGACCTGTCGCAGCCGGCGGCGCGTTCGCTATCCTGCAAAGCGCAGCTATGGGTGGATACGGCCTCGCCATCGTCAAAGCTTTGGCTGCGACTGGTGCGGCTACTGGCGTCTGCAGTATTGCAGCTGCTAGTTTCCTACGCGCCATGAAGGAAGGTGCGGAAAACGAGAAGAAAGACGCCTGATGAAGGTGACAGTCAGCGAGATGGGTGTACAGTGAGAGTCCATGCATTCGATCGCCGTTGCGCAGTCCCTGGCCGTACTTATCATTTATTCACAACCGAGTCAGACATATCCGTTTGAGGCAGTGGTTGCTTGTATGCACCGCTTGCTTCCATGCAAGAGGAAGGCATGCCGTGTTACTGTTACTTTATGGCACCAATGTTGGACAAGTAGACAACGAATAAATGTGATAAAAGATGCTTTTGGTCTGCTAAATAGAGAAATTGCCAACCTCGTGAGTCGTCATGATCTATAAGCGCGGAAATGCAAAACCCAGGATTTATCCTCTAGAACGCCGGACAATGCAACAAGTCTAAGATATCATGTCGTACCAACAGATCGTCTACTCGGCCTCGTCATCGGTATTAGGAGGCTGGGGTGTGCCCTGTGGAGTTGTTAGAAAAATGTTAAAGATTGCAAATGGTGTGATAAACGTACCTTGGGGCTGTTGAGCCAGTCAATGTATCTCAGTCTCCGCCTGACTTCACGCTCCTTGACCTCCTTCTTAGTCATCTTCTTCTTCTTCTTGGACCTGAACTTCATATCGTCCTTTGAGCCCTCAACGTCGGAGCCAATAGGTGTACCAGCGGAGCTAGGCGCCGCAGAGCTGACGTTGCTGCTAGCAACCGACGAACCAGGACGGGAGTCCTCGAAACGGCCCATATCGACAGCAAGGTGACCCTTGTGCTGGACCCTGCCGTCGATGACGTGCCACTGCTCGGGGCAGAGGGCGCCGACAAACTCCTCGTTGTGAGAAATCATGATAACACCACCCTTGTAGTCGCGGATAGCAACCGCAAGACCGCCAAGAGAGTCGCGATCCAAGAAGTTGGTCGGCTCGTCGAGGACAAGAAGATGGGGGTTGTTCCACATAGCACCTGCAAGTACGACCTTGACCTTCTGACCTCCAGAAAGACCAGAGATTTCGTTGTGGTTGGCGATCTCAGGATCCATACCAAGATCCTCGAAGTGCTTGGAGATAACCTTGGGCTCGAGGACACGGTAACCGAGACCCTCGCGGGATGCCTCGTGGTCGTCGAACTCTTGGATGAGCTTCTGGAAGCCCCTCTCCAACAAGGTCTCGCGCGAGATCATGGTGTTGTACTTGGGGAGCATGTGCATCCACTTGACCTCATACTGGAAGGTCTTCTTGTACTTCTGACGACCAATCAGGGCTTCAATCTTGCGTCCGCCGCTGCCGTCGCCAAGATCGATCAAGGTGTCCATCTGCGCCTTGTCTTCCTCAGTAAGAACACGAGTCTGCTTCATCAACACCTCGCGATCGTCACCGTTTGCGTAACGCCATTGGAGGTACTGGTTGGGCGTCTTCTCCAAGTGCATCTCGACGTGCTCCAAAGCGTGCTGCTTGATGTATCCAATACGCAAGTTGGGGTGCTTCTCAACCTTTCCGTCCTGTGGGGTGACTTCGCCTGTCAGGATCTTAATGAGTGTAGATTTACCAGCACCATTGGCGCCGATGATAGCAACTCGGGAAGAGAGTGACAGGTTGCAGGATGCGTTGAAGAGCGACGGCTTTGCCGCGCCAGGGTATGTGAATGTGCAGTCGGTCATACGAAGGATAGAGCGAGTGTTAGACTTGACTCCGGTCAAGATACCAGGAGGGGGGAACTTGAACTGGACGAGCGACGCAGAGAGGGTGTAGTAGCTCTTGCCTTCGGGGTTCTGCCTGACGAAATCGGCAAGGTTACCCTTGTAGTTAACAAGCTTCTTCTGCTCGTAGTGGTAGATGTCTGTGCAGACAGCGTCGAGGAACCCAGAGTCGTGAGAAACGATCAAGCTGGTGATTTCAGTGTGGCTCTTGAGGTACTCCTGCAGCCAAGCAACGTTGGCAACGTCCAAGTGGTTAGTAGGCTCGTCGAGCAACAAGACGTCCGCGCGCATAAGCATAGCACGCGCCAAAGCGAGCTTCATCTTCCATCCTCCGGACAGGGAGCCAACCTTGTGAGATTGCCTGCCTTCAGGACCAGCAGTGAAGCCAACTTCCTCCAGAACCTCGGAAATACGCTCCTGAGTCTCGTCCTTGAAGCGAGGATCATTGACGATGTATTCGAGAATTGTGATCTCGGCGTCTTCGCCCTGGTTGTGCTCGACAAAGCAGGTCCTGACCTCGTCCTGAGGAGGAAATCCCTCGAGCTTGCCGTTGGCGATACTGCGCATGAGCGTAGACTTTCCAGCACCGTTGCGGCCGCAAAGACCGTAGCGGTGGCCCTTGAGCAGACGCAGGTTGGTGTGCGAGAGAAGCAACATACCACCGTACCCGAGAGAGAAGGTTGCGTTGACAATTTCGGTCTCTCCATCGTCCTCGACGACCGGCTGACCGAACTTGCGATGATCCTCGTCAATGTAGAATTGAGAAACAGCCTCTGAGACCTTCTCAGCGGCATCAGGGCCCATCAAAGGCTTGAGGTAGGGAGCAACGAGCGAAGGAATGCGCTTGATCTGGCGCTCATGCACATCCTCAGCGATCATGGCGGAAATGTAAGCCTTTGCAGATGTCCAGAGTTCAGCATCACCAGGGAAGTCCAGCAGACCGCCAGCCTCCTTGACGTGCTTCTCCAGAACAAGGGAGACCTCGGAAGGCGAAACACGGGCAAGAGCACCGTGCTCGACGTTTCCGTCCTGATCTGCGGTGGCGGCATCGATGACAGCCAGCGCACGACCGCCAATCTCACGAACTTCGGGCATGGAAGCGCGATCGAGGACAGCCTTGACACCGGGCCTCAGCTTGGGGAGGAAAGCACGAGCCTCGATGGGGTCGTGAACGAGCTTGGTCAAGTTCTCGACGACTACAACAGTCTGGCGAGTGACCTCCTGTGTTGTGTTGGGGTTGTTGAGGGAGCGCTCAAGCAGAGGTGTGACCATGGCGAGGACAGGCGACGTCACGATGGCGACGAAGGTGGTCTGCGAAAGAGCGTGAATAGCCTTCTGCAGACTCTGTGTGGAGGGGTCCTCGATGGCCTTGACAAGCAGAGGTATCCGGGGAGCGATGTCGTCGTTCTGGAGGAGGGTGGTGAGGCTGTTCATTGTCTTGACCGCCTGCTTTGCGACCTGCAATATTGATTAGCGCGTGCATCAGTGTCATTTTGGATAGTACTGACCTCAGACTTAAGATCGTGCATGAAGCTCTCGACAATAGGGATGAGTCCCTCGAGCTTCTTACCCATGGCCTCGCGGAGAACATCCTTCTCCAGCTCGACCTCCAGGCTCTCCATGCCGATCTTGGCCTTATCGGCCATGCGGCCGATCAGCTCGAGCGCACCAACGGCGCCCTGCCATTTTCCAGACTTCTTGCCAAGGTATTTCATAACTGCAGGCAGAAGACCGAAAACTTTGGCCTCAGCAGAGAGGTTGTCGAACAGCGAGTCGAGCGCGTACTTGGCCGACTCCCTGACGGGGGCGGCCTTGTCCGAGAGCGAGTCGACTGTGAGGGGGAACAGTGTCTCGTCCTGAACCAGGAAGATAGCCTCGGTCAGCTTCTGCGAGCGCGGGAAGCGCTCGAAAAGTGCGCCGATGCCGTTCATGGCGCCCTCCCTCTGGACAGGGTCTTTCTTGTTGGTTGCCGACTTCTTGAGCGAGTCGAGGACGCCATATGCCTGGAGGCCACGGAAGCCAACAGAGTTCTGGAGGACCTCGGTGAGGGCGTAGGCAGCGTCGACCGAGGCGTGCGATGTCTTTGCGGTGACGATGCTGGTCAGGAACGCCTGGACGTCCTCCTGGGAGGGCGCAGGCGCCGCGCCGCTCTTGTCGACGACGATAGGAGAGGCCATGGTAGGCGACTCAGAGTGTGGCATATCCCGCGTACGGTCTTGTGTGTGCTGCGAAGCTGACTGTCGCTGCGCTTCTTTTTGGAGGGGTCTTTTACTTTTCTTATCGATACAGAAGTGCAGACACGGGCGAAGCGTAGCAGCCCAAAAGTGCAGAAAGCAACACAAAGACAAAGGGTATCGTGCTCGTGAGACGCTCCCGAAGAGTGGAGAGTCTATACAAGAACAAAAAGGAAGGGCACGAAATCCGGAGGCCCTGAAAAAGTGCGTTGGGGGGCCGTCTTAACGAAGAGAGCGGGCTTTATTAATTACCCTTATCCGCCCGCGCACGGGCAAAGTTCGTTGGTCCCTTGTTACAGACATTTTCTGACTAGCCCGCGCTCCCGCCGCTGGTGCCCGGTGCAGAGTCAGCTACTCACGGTGGCGGTGACGGTCAGCACCTGCCCTTTCCCCATCCACCCACATCTGGGGAGCTCGCGCAACACCGGCAAACAGCAGACTCCGTTGCTCACCCCAGGATCCCTATGTACATGCCTTCCTGAGCTGATGGAGGTGGGTAGACACGATCTTGGCGTCGAAGACAGAGCCTTCATGGTCGTATCGCGGCCGGTATTGTGAGATAACTAGTGGTTCGCATTTTTGTATTTTGGTAGCCTGACCCTCCCACACGTTCCCACAAGTAGCAACTCATCCAGGCGGTCAACATGTGTGCTGTGGTTGTGGTTTATTGTTAAATCGTTACCGGCCCGTACTCTGGCTCTGGGGCGACTCGATGCTCTGTGCCTGCCTGCATGCACCATGGCGCGAGCGCTGTGCGTATCTATACCAAACGACTAGTGTGCTACCTGCAGGTACTGTATCTGGACAAGCATATCGCATCCTCCCACTGCCACGTGGATGCTGCACTCGCAGGTCAGGCTCTACGTATACTGCACCCAGAAACGTCAAACCAGCCACTTGGAGGGACCAAACCATTCCTGTCGCAGCCAAGAAGCCACAGAGCGACCACTGAATATCGCTGTTTGAGCACATGTACTCCAGCAAGAAAGAGTCTTAGTAAGATTGTTGATCCTCCTTGCCTAATGCCGGTCTGTCAAGTGGCTGGTCAAGTACCTAATGCCTGAGTGCAGTACCTGGTTTGCCATCTTGTTCTGTGATAAGAATTCTTCACAGACAGGAAGAACGAGCATATCAAGACACGTTGGATATCGGACGGGTGGTAACCGCTCCTCCGTATGTACGGCGCTGCTGACGATGCTCGCTTACGGTGATCGTTTGGGCATGGCAGGGTACCTCGTGGTGCGCTGACATCTGCTTCTCCCTCCGCTTCTACGGATCAGCAAACAGCAACCCTTCGAACGAAGTGCGTAAACAGCCTCTGGCATCTTCCTGAAGCTCAACATCACTCTGGCGGCCCGATCGATGATCTGAAGCTCTCACAGAGGTGAGGGACAGTCAGAGATGCTAACAGAGATCACAACACTTGAAGTATGTCCTGCGATCCAGACAAGCTACCACCTTACTTTTACACACCTCTCGCGCGAGGTGAGATACGCGTACTTGTTCCCGATACCTCACACACCAACAAAGGGCTTTCTTGGACCATAAAGAACATCGCTCTAGACGCAGGACTCGACTACGATGCCCTCTCATACACCTGGGGGTAGCAGGCCAAAACTTTTCCCGTCACTTGCAACGGGCGTCAACTTCGCGTCCACCACAATCTGTATGCTGCTCTTCCATACCTAGCTCAGCGGAACAAGAACACGAACTTCACCACTCGACCAATCTGGATCGACGCAGTGTGTATCAACCAGGCAGATTATGATGAGAAATTTATCCAGATCAACATGATGGACCAAATCTATAAGCGTGCGAGGAAGGTTTGGGCGTGGTTGGGCGTTTCGACTGAGCAACAGAAATTGTCACATCTTCTGTCTTTATTGCCATCCATCGTCACTTACAATAGACAGATCGGGCTTTCAGATGGGGGATCACGACCAGAAAGGCCCCCAGAGCTGTGCTCGATCGACATTTCTTATCGGGACGCTATCTTCCATTTGTTCCAGAACCCCTGGTTCCATCGCGTGTGGATCATTCAGGAGGCTGCTCTCGCGACAGACATAGCATATCTGTGTGGGGAGCATGAGATTGACTTTATGGCCCTCGACGAGGCTCTCGATACGCAGAGGTTCACATACTGGAATTGGTATGATACCGCCGGTGCGCCAGTGCGTTTTGCAAAAATGACGATGGCTCACGAAGTCCTCCCTGACATTCGAACATTCTTTCGATCTGATAAAATTCACGAGTCGGACGCTGTGGCCTGGAGACCACTGCGTGTTGTTTTGTTGATGGTCCCGAACCTTGATTGTTTTTCACCACAAGATCGAGTATTCGGCATGATAGGTTTACTTCGAGAGATGGATCCTGAAATCCCCAGATTCCGCTACGACACCTCGGTAGCAGATCTGTACACCAGCTTCAGTAGATACATACTCGCTAAGTCTACGAGGAATCACTTCTGGTGGCGATACATTAACATGTCTTTCAGCCTCTATAGGACCGAGGGCCTCCCATCGTGGGTGCCAGATTTGCATCACCAACGCCCACCATACATATGTGGTCCCGCAACCATTAGAGAGTTCCAAAGAGACGGAGATGTCCGCTACCAGGCTAGCTTGAGTCCCAGCTCATTTGAACTTGGAAACGAAATGGATGAGATCATTCTTCGGGGCAAGATTCTGGACAACATCATAATAGTCCACCCAACGAATGGCGGGCTGACAGATTTGTACGGAGTTGCAGATCACTTGCTAGCAGACGACTACGAAGATGGAGACCGATCGGTGGAAGCTTTTTTGGGTCTCGTCAAGTGGGAGCGCAGAATCGCTGACGTGGCCCTATCCAACGAGCTCAGAAGCGATACCATGGGCACTGCAGCAAGCACTCGCGTGACAAAAGATACCTACTGGAGAACTCTGATGGGCAACAACGACTTTGGCGAAACGCCCGGCGACGTAAAGCTGACACAGGAAACCTGGGACGATTTCCGCACCACATTTTCGCAGTATGCGCAAGTCCTCCGGAAGATACACCGGTATGTGAAACTTTCTCTTTGGTTTACTGGAGCCAGATCGCATCACGCAGCTCTTAGCGCTGACTGTCCACCAGACTGCTTGCATCGGGCGAAATGGACCCCAGCGGCAAAGACGACACGCGTCTGCTCACCTCTGAGGAGCTGGATATCGCCAGGTCGACGAAACTGCAGCACGGAGCGCCGAAGGCACATTTGCAAAAGCTCTGGCGGCTTGCCGGGAGACAGGTTTTCCATACTGCGCAGGGCAGGTTCGGATTCACGGTGCAGGGCGTGACAGTCGGGGATCTGGTCGCTGTGCTCAATGGGTCGCAGACACCGCATGTGGTACGACGAAGGGAGTGCCGCGGTGGGAAAGAGCGGTATAGCTTCGTCGGAGACGCGTACGTTCACGGTTTAATGTACGACGAGGCACATAAGTTGGCTACTGAGGAGCGAGAAATCGTGTTTATCTAGTGAGAATACTGAGATGCTATCTACAAAAAGATGAAGAGAACAGACATATGAGAATCCAGGCCAGCGAAGACTCCCCACTGATCTATTACAGCCAATAGCTTCATTGACACCCGAAACGCCATAACATGCCCCCTTACAATACCTCCTACCACGTCCCCTGTAACGGCAAATCCCTGCTCGAAAAGCCTACGCTGATCTCAAACGCACCCGTCGTAGGCATGACCCAATTCTGCCTGCGCACATCCCAATAACTCAGATCGCGCCGTGTCACCTCAAAGGTGACCAGCTCCCCAACATCACTGTCCGCACGACCCTGCTTGCCACTTCCAGCCGCGACGCGCACCTTCTCGAACCCGCGTAGCACCCTAACGGGAAAGTCGATAGCCTCGCCCGTCTCCGGGTCTGTGTAGCCCTGCGGGAGTGAAATGTACAGCTGCACCACCGCCGCGCCGTCGACGGGGCCTGTGTTGGCCACGCGCGCCGTCACGCTCAGCATCTCCGTGTACAGGTCTGGGTTCCCGCCTGGGCCGCCGCCGGCGGGGCTGAGGGGGGATTGCGGGACGGGTTCGGGGGCGTGGAAGGCGGTGCCTTTTGTGGAGGAGAGGTAGGGGTAGATGTACTTCTCGATTTTGTGGAAGTCCTTGGGAAAGAGGGCAGACTTTGGGTCGGGGAGGGTGGTGGGGTATGTGGGCGGCGTGAGGCCTGATGGGCGGGCGGAGGGGAGCAGGGATTTGTCGTGCTTGGACTTGATGGCTAGAGCGGACAGCTTGAATTGCGTGTAGGAGAGGCCGTAGCCGAATTCGTAGCGCGGGGCGATTTTTTGCTTGTCGAAGTAGCGGTAGTCGATGTATAGACCTTCTGAGAAGTTCTGCTGGGGAGCGAGGCCGTCGGAGGGGCTGGGGAAGTACTTGACTTTGCTGTCGGGGCCGAAGTCTTCTTCCTTCTTCGCAATGGTGTAAGGCAGGCGACCGGAGGGGTTGACGTCACCGAATAGAACATCGACAATAGCGTTGCCGGATTCCTGGCCTGGGAGATTGGCAATAAGGACAGCCTTGACATTGGGAATGTCGATGAACTCTTCAAGGATGACAGGGCCGACGGTGTGGACCACGACAACAACATCGCCCTTGCCCTTGCCACAGTCCTTTGCGACATCCTTCACAAGTTCGTTGCCACCCTTCTGGATAGAAAGATCGTTCCTGTCACCACGGACATCCTCCCATCTCAAGTAACCTTCACCGGCATCAGAGTTGACGAAGACAATGCAAAGATCCTGATCTTCGACAATCTCCTTCTGCTTTGGAAGCTTGTTCTCCAGCCAGTCGGTGACGTACACAGTATCCTTGTCAAACGCAGCTCGGATAGCCGACATCGGCTCCACGATATATGGAAAGTCGACCGCACCAGAACCCCAGCCAGAAGCCAAAGTGCCGTCGTTACAGCTCTGATCCGCGCATTTGTTGATACCATCATGAGAGAGGCGTGCATCTTCGCCAAACACGCTCACACGGAACTTGGTCTGCTGCTTGGACTTGAAAGCAACCTTGCGGCCCTTGCGGCTAAGAGGCAGAACATTGTCCGTGTTCTTGACCAAGACCGTACCCTCGGCGGCAATCTGGCGAACAACGTCCTTGTGGTTACCTTGCGCATTCACGAACTTGTTGACGACCACCATGGTCTTGTCCGACGGGCTCCCCTCATGGAGTTTGCCAACCTCGTCGTTTGTCCAGGAAGAGAAGTTCGGGCCTTCGCCAGACCACTTGTCTTGGCCGAGTTGATACCAAGATGCCACGACACGGGTCACCATGTCATCCAGGCGGTCAACTGGCACGCTTCCGTTCAGAACAGCTTGTGTAAGCCTCGCGCCCCACAGACTGTCACCATTAGCCCAGCGAAGCCCATCGCCAGGCATGGACATGTCCAGACCAGCGAGTGCGCTTGCGACACCAGACCTTTGTGCCAGCCAGTCTGATTGGATGAAGCCTTGGAAACCCAGCTCGTCCTTGAGCACGCCGTTCAGCAGTTTGCTGTTAGCACAGGCGTAGGATGAGTTGACCTGGTTGTATGAGCACATAACGGAAGCCACGCCGGCCTTGACAGAGTCGGCGAATGGCCACGCGTAGATTTCATGCAGGGCACGGTCGTCGATATTGCTCGAGATAGCACTTGGCAGCGCCCACTCCCACGCTTGCCGGAAGTGCTCCTGCTCGTTGCCAAGCCAGTGCTTCGCAGTGGCCATGACACCAGCGTCTTGGATGCCCTTGATAGTCTGAGCAGATGCAATTCCTTGGAGAACCGGGTCACTACCGAAGCCCTCCCAGTTGCGGCCTCCCGCAGGTAGGCGACCGATGGGACCCATTGTCGGCCCCAGCAGAACGTTGACGCCTTTGAGTCGTGCTTCCTCGCCATGGGCCTTGCCGCGTTGGTACATGAGGTCTTTGTTCCATGTCGCTCCTACGGTAACGCCGGCAGGGAAAGCGGTGATGTTGTCTGCAAAACGAATGCCGAGAGGACCGTCCTGTGTCATGTGTTAGTGAAGAGCAGACTGCCCTGAGAGACTGTACATACCTGCAAGCACAGCTGTGGGAACTTGAGCCTTGGCACGGCCCCATTGTTGCCCACGCACATGTCCATGCTCCAGCCCGTGCCTGTGGTGATGTTGATCTTCTCGACTAACGTCATCTGCCTGACGAGCTCCGCCGCCTTCTTGTAGCTCTCCTCCCACGCTGGATCTGCTCCGCCCTTTGGCGCAGGGTACCACGGCGGACTCAGACCATCGAGTGGTACTGACGCCTTATATGCCCAGATGCCCCCTGCGGCGAGCAGCAGCACTGTGGCGGCGACGAAGGTCAGCAGCCAGCAGCAGCATCGTCCCGGCGAGAATCTCTTCCTTTGTGCATATGGTGTCGTGGAGGCCGCCTCGGCGTCCTTGAATGACGTCTTCCGTACTTTGAGGTCGCCTGCGCTCTTCTTGCGCTTCAGCCTGCTGTCGAAGGCTAACGGGTCGTGCTCCTCGAGGTCCTCCAGGGTTACATTCGATTCGGAGGAGAAGCGCGTTGGTGTAGGCTCCAGGTCGTCGTCGGTGGGGGCATCGAGCCTGGCATACTTGCCCCGACGCAGCTGATGGAATTCGTAGGGCGCCATTGTAACTTGCAGCACGAGCTTCGGCGACTGCGGAGGCGGCGATTGATAAGGATCGGCGCGAGCGTCGAGCTCCGTCTACGCTTAACAAATCATGGGGCGGGTCGCGTTTGTCGGGTGCGGTGGCAGCAGTCGCGTGTCAAAGCCAACGGCGCGTCTCACAGGGTAGCGAGAGTTTGTTTGCGTACAATGTGACGATCTCCAGGCCATCACCATCAGCGCACCCCTGGTTCCTGCCGATCCGCTAAGAAGCGCCTCCCGAAAAGAGTGGGGCAACGATATATTTGGCCGCTTGCCCACTAACCTGTCAATGCTTCCAGGCGCGCAAGCACAATCACAAGCATGTTACAGGCATTGGAGCATAGGGTAGGTGAGGTTTGTTCTTCAATCTAATCATTTCTGCTCAACGCGGGAAACTTGGTATCAACAACATGTCCTTTTCGGGAGCCGAAGCTCCGCTTTTGAGCTCCACCTTTCCAAGCCCGACCTTTTCAAGCACCAACCTGGTCCAGGATGCCTTGGAGGTTGATGCTCTTGGGGCGCTCAATGGGCAGACCTAGCGCCCTGTCCCAGATGAGCTGTGCGAGCGGCCCAAGACCACGGCTGACACCGAAAGTAGCTGTGTAGTAGAGTGTCTCCTTGAAGCCGTAGTGGTGGAAGAGCACGCCAGAGGAAGAGTCGACGTTGGGGAAGGGGTTCTTCGTCTGCGGCGGCTGTTAGTGGCTTCTCGACAGAACAGGTTCAGTCACTTACCTTTCCGTGCTCCGTGAGCACGCCGGGAGCCACCTCGGAGTTCTTCTTCACGAGCTGGTAGACAGGGTCGGCTGCGACCTCCGGGCGAGCATCAGCAAAGTCCATAAGAGCCTGGAAGCGCGGGTCGGGCTTCCTCAGCACGGCGTGACCGTAACCGGGAATGACTCGTCCAGACTTCAGGACACTCCAGAGGTACTGGTTCACATCGCTCTCGGTAAACTTCTCGCCGACAGCCTTCTGCATATCAAGGATGAAGCGGAGTACTTCCTGCGCAGCGAGACCATGGAGAGGGCCAGCAAGACCTTGCAGACCAGCACTGTAGCTGAGGAAGGGGTCGCTCAGAGCTGAGCCTACCAAGTGTGTTGCGTGCGCAGACACGTTGCCTCCCTCGTGGTCACCGTGCAGAGCAAGGTACAAACGCAGAAGGTCCTGGAAGCCCTCGTTCTCCTTACCGGGCTTGCCCAACATGGCAGCGAAGTTGTACGACCAATCCTGGTCAAGATCGACCTGGTTGGGAAGGGCACCTCCACCACGGTACGCGTTCTGGTAGATCTTCGCAGCGATGGTGGGCAGCTTGGCGAGCAGGCTGATGGAGTCGTCAAATGTAGGCTCCCAGTAATCAGCCTTGTTGATGCCCTTCGCGTAAGCCTTCGCGAACTTGGACTCGTAGTTCAGCGCCGAGACGGCGCAGGCAAATTGTGTCATGGGATGGAGGTCCTTGGGGAAGTTGTCCAGCATTTGCTCGACGAACTTGGGGATCTGGGACTTCTCCGCCAACTCTCGGGATAGAACGCGTGTCTGTGAGACGGAGGGTACTTCTCCCGTGAGCAACAACCAGAACATTGCCTCGGGCAGCATCTCCGTGCCAGATGTGCCCTTGGGCAGCTCCTTTTGGCAGTCCTTGATCGTCTTGCCATGGAAACGAATGCCCTCGTTGGCGTCGAGGACCGATCCTTCCCAAACCATGGCCTTGAGGCCTCTGCAAGCGAGTTAAGGAATGCTGCCGTGGTCGCTTTGAACGCACATACCTCATACCACCCAAGGCATTCTCAACCTTGACGTCGCCGAGTTTCTTGTCGGCATGGGCCTTGACCTTCTTCAGCAGCTCTCGCTTTGCAGGCAGGACTCTCTCAAAAGTCTCCTTCAGTGTTGGCTCGGATGACGAGGAGTATCTGCATGCTTGCACTGCGCCGAGCGTGTTAATGAGCGAGATGTTGGGGCACAGAAGTCAATGGCATACCAGAAGCGAAAGGGCGAGGAGCTGAGGGCTGTAATGTTTTTGTCAGCAGCCAGACGCGCAATTGAGTCTGTAGAAACTCGCCTTGGTAGCTCGCAGAGCTCTCGCGGCACTTCGTGCGCCCAGGGCCATAGCTCAGACTTGTGAGGGGAAAGCTGGGGTAGCTCTTGCGGGGAACACAGCAGCTGTCTTGTCCAACACACGGCAGTTGCAAGATAATTCCCAAGATAATTCCACAGGTGTAAGTGCAGAAGCAATGCAGGTCCACGAGGAAAATCGAAGCACGGCAACGCTCGGCTACATACCTCAGTCCCATGGATCAGAGTCGCCCGTTGATGCGTGCGACGCCATTGTACCGAGGGGCATCGTTCGAGTGCGGCTTAGTGCCAGAGGGTACCCTCGGCTTCTCGGTTTCGAGGATGAGCGGCCCCGAGCAACGCGCTGGATGAGGCTTTGCGCACTCTGACGTTTTAACAGACAATTGCTCCGCGCACGGGAGACACACCTGGGCAGAAGCGAGACGCTGTGGCAACTACCAAGGTTTTGCACGGCATATCCGAGTCACAGGGCGACACCTCCGCCATATCCGCAGCAGCTGTTGCTTACCGCACCGTCCGCCGGAAAAGCTGCCGCACCTAAAAGCTGGCTCTGCAGACTGGAGCTTTGCCTCATACCTCAATCGCAATGCTGCGCACAGTGTCACGCTCCGTCGCGCGCCAGAGCCGGACGCTGAAGACACCGCACCGAGCGCCGCAGCTCCTCCGCCCGCTCTCCACCACCGCGTATCGCATGTCGAGCTCGACGCTCAGGCCGGTCGACCATCCCGTATCGGCTGCGCTGCCCGGCGACTCTTTCCAACTGCTGCCTGAAGCCTCGAAGGCAGGCCAGGCCGAAGATGCTCTCTTCGACGCGCAGGTGCAGGCCGTGAAGGACTGGTGGGCGTCGCCGCGCTACAAGGGCATCAAGCGGCCGTACTCTGCAGAGGATGTCGTGAGCAAGCGTGGCGCGCTGCAGCAGTCGTACCCCAGCTCGCTGATGGCGCGCAAGCTATTTAACCTGTTGGAAGAGCGTGCCGCCAAGGGCGAGCCTGTACATACAAGTGCGTGCAATCCATACACTTCTCATGACACAACCGCTGATATGCTCGTGTTGTAGTGGGTGCTATTGACCCAGTGCAGATGACCCAGCAAGCTCCCAACCAGGAGGTGCTCTACATCTCTGGCTGGGCGTGTTCGTCCGTTCTTACCACCACCAACGAAGTCTCCGCCGATTTTGGCGACTACCCCTACAACACAGTCCCGAATCAGGTGCAGCGGCTCTTCAAAGCCCAGCAGCTCCATGATCGCAAGAACTGGGACAACAGGCGCAAGATGAGCCCAGAAGAGCGGGCGAAGACACCATATCTGGACTACATGCGTCCTATCATTGCAGACGGCGACACAGGGTAGGTGGAGCTTTGCAATATGATGTGTGTGCTGTACTGACTTGCAAACAGCCACGGTGGACTGTCAGCAGTCATCAAGCTGGCAAAGCTGTTTGCTGAGAACGGCGCTGCCGGTGTGCACTTCGAGGACCAGCTCCACGGTGGCAAGAAGTGCGGACATCTGGCCGGCAAAGTTTTGGTACCCGTCGGCGACCATATCAACCGCCTCGTAGCCGCTCGCTTTCAGTGGGACACCATGGGCTGTGAGAACCTCGTCATTGCCCGCACAGACTCAGAGAGTGGCAAGCTACTGTCGAGTGCTGTCGATGTCCGCGACCACGAATTCATTAAGGGTGTCACAGAAGAGTCAGAGCCCTTAGCCGAGACACTGCAGAACATGGAGGCAGCCGGTGCGCCTGGCAAGGAGATCGACGCCTTCGAGGCTGCGTGGGTGAAGAAACACAAGCTTGTCACCTACGACGAAGCCGTCGTGCAACACCTCGAGAAGGAGGGCGCATCACAGTCAACAATCGATGCATACCTCAACGAGACTAAGCAGAACCCTAACCTGTCTCTTCTCAAGCGCCGCGAACTGTCATCAAAACACACCAAGACCCCTGTGTACTTCAACTGGGATATCCCACGAACGCGTGAAGGCTTCTACCACTTCAAGGCCGGCATCGCTGCTGCGACAAAGCGAGGAAAGGAGTATGCACCATTCGCCGATTTGCTCTGGGTTGAGACTGGAGACCCAAGCGTTGAGAAGGCTGCTGGGTTCGCGGGTGAGATCAGGCAACAATACCCCGGCAAGAAGTTTGTATACAACCTGTCACCGTCATTTAACTGGATGGGTCAAGGGTTCACCGAGGAAGCTTTGAAGAGCTTCGTCTGGGATCTAGCCAAACACGGGTAAGAGGCTCTTGCCAATGGAAGCATAAGGAAGTCGCTAACAAAACACCAGCTTCGTGTTCCAGCTCATCTCGCTTGCCGGCATCCACTCGACAGCAACAATCACCTGCGAGCTTTCGCGCGCCTTCAAGGATGAGGGCATGCTTGCATACGTCAAGCTGGTCCAGGCTCGCGAAAAGGAGCTCGGCTGCGATGTCCTGACCCATCAAAAATGGAGCGGCGCCAGCTACATCGACGGTATCCTTGGCCATATCCAGAGTGGCAGCTCAGGTAGCAAGAGTATGGGAGACGGCAATACAGAGACAGGTATGTTTAATCTCAAGACTGTCGTTCATTAAACTAACAATCACTAGGCTTCTAGGTGCAGCTTGAATCAAAATACAACTCACTTCTTCACAAATTTCCTGCCAGCATCGCATTGACCTGACCTTTACAGACGTGTAACAAGCTGGCATTCCCTATGGTATTCGTCAAGATGAGCCAGAAGTCAGCTAGTGAGTTGACAGGCCAAGCCTCGTCTCTCTATCCTCATCGATACAACTCCGCGTGCTTCAGCCTTGCGTCTTACTGTACGAGTGTCACATCCAACACTCTCAAACATCCAGAATGGATGTGCTGCCGCCGTTCGAGTTCAATGCACTTGCAGCGCGCGAGACTCGTCTTCTCACCCCTGACACTTCAGTCCTTGAAACGGCGTTATCTTGGTCGATCAAGACAGTCAACATTGATGATCTGAGTGTCCAATTCGTCGCCTTGTCGGACGCTTGGGCGAATTAATCTCATCCTACTACATTTTCAATGTGTTGCAACGGACGTCAGCTTCAGGCGCATCAAAATCTCTACAGTGTCTTGTCCTTTCTTGCTCGACGTTTTGGAGCTTGTAAATCGGAAGCCATGCCTTACTAGATTGACGCTGTTTGCATCAACCAAGCAGACGGTGGGGAGAAGGCCTCTCAGATACGACTCACGAACACCATATATCGACGCGCCAACAAAGTGCTAATCTGGCTTGGTCTCGCACCAAACCAGAACCTCGTTGCACACGCCATCCATTTACTACCTCTAATAAACAAAGAGCTCACTCGGCCCCTCAGATACCTGTGAATCTGAGAGGTATGTTGCCTCGACATAAATTGATTTCGTTGCCGTCTCATCTAACCACCGGTTAGCGATATCGGTGCGAGTTCCTCCAATTGGGCCATGCCGGATGAAGACAGAGATACTCTGATGTGATTACGCGACCCAAGACACCCTGTAACGCAGTTTACAGACGTACCTCGCTACACGCGTGATTACCAGTTAATTAATATGAGCGGTGGGGGTTCGGGTTCACATGGACGGGCGTGCTGTCAGGCGATGTGGCGTGTGTCTTCAACGACTCCATCTGGCTCTTTGTACTCTGGGGTTGAGAACAGGGCTGGGGTAATAACATGTATGTTACTGGGCGACGCATATATGTCGGAGAGGCTGATGGTATGAATAATTGTGCTCGTCTGATCTGCAAATGAAATAACATGGAATGCTATCTTTACTACTCTATATCAACCCTCAGTTTCACCTCAGTCCACACGTGCAAACCCTCCTCACAATTCGCTCTTGCTCTCCACCTCTGGCCTCCTGCCCTTCGCGATCAAGACCGTGCGCCACAGCTTCTTTCCGCCAAACTCCATGTACGATTGCTCCTTCATCGTGATGACGTCGACGTCTACAAATCCTGCTTCAGTAAAAAACTGCTTCACGCCGGCGATCGAGAAGTGCGGAACAACAATGGAGTCATTCATCTCCTTGCGCTGCTCCGCCGACCAATCCGGGAACTCCGCGCCTTTACCCTCGTGGTGCGCGTGATCATGAGAATGCTCATGCTTTCCGTGTCCATGGGCATGCTCACCATGTGCATGCTTCCCATGACCATGGTGGTGCACAGCATGATTCCCCTCGCTCCCCTCAATCTTCTCCCCGTTTGGACCCGCACGCATATCCGCGCCCTCGAGGAAATCGTTAATCACCAGCACACCCCCGGGCCGCAGCCGCTCCTTCAGCTGCCGCGCGGCGTGCACCACGTCCTCGAAGTGGTGGAACCCGAAGCCGACGGCTGCGAGGTCGAAGCCCCACCACTCCTCGCCCGCGAGGTGAGCAGGCTGCAAGTCCTCCTTGTCGAAGAGGTTGCCGACAACCGCGTCGACGGTCGAGGGGGGCAGGCCGGCGCTGGCGGCGCGCGACTTGTAGGATGCAACCATGTTGGGGGAGACGTCGATGCCGAGTGTCTTTGTCACGTAGGGGCCGAGCGTGCGGGTCATGAGCCCCGTGCCGCATGCGTAGTCCAGGAAGCGCACTTCTGATGCGGGGGAGGAGCCGGTGTTGGCGAGGGGGATGCCGATCCAGTCCAGGTTCGAGCGGAATTCATCTGCGACCTGGCGGTTGACTACGGCGAACCAGGGTTTTTCGTCGTAGGAGTCGGATATCGTGCTGGGGGCTTTAGATTTTGTTTGTTATGATATGTGCATAACAGCTTACTCGAAGTATTTGGCGTTCATCTCTGCGATAGACATGGTGGCGAATTGTAAATGGCAATTGGATTGAGTGTTGAGTAAGTTGTTTTGAATGGTTGAATGATTTGCTGATATGCTTAAGTTTGGGAGGTGAGTCTATGGTTATATATGTGTTCGGATGTCGTTGCGGAGAGATGTGGAGATTTATGAGGCTGTTGAATGTCGCCGGGAGCTACTGACGAAATGCTCCCATTGGCCGGAGGAGATACTAGCTCCACAGAATTGGTCCAAGGAGTTGAGGTATGAGAAGCGCTTACAAAGTGTTCCATCGATGAGTCTTCGACTGCTTGTGAATTGCGCATGAGTCACATAGCAACACCTTGTGTACGTTTCGCACCCCGGTAACTTGCTCAACAGCCTCATTCGGGCGATGCTAGCTCGGAGACATATTGCCCATGAACGGAAGGCTGCCAACTACACCTTCGCGAAGTATGTCTCCGACATCACTCATTTCAAGTGACTCATTGCTGCTAGGTATCTTTTCGTCCGAACTTGCAGCTAGCAGCGCTCGCTGTCGTGCCAGACCCTCCGCTCTCTTGCGCTGCTTCCTGGCATCTGCGTCTTCCCAATCGGGTTTGGGACCTCCGGATGTCGAAGTAGACGTAAGTTGGTATGAGTCCAAGAGCATCGCTCGAAAGCGTGCTATACGCTCGAGATTGATGTTGAACCGCTCATTCGCAATGCATATCAAAGTCCTTATATGACTCGCACTTATGAGGGAAACATTACGGCCATCGTCATCTTGATAACCGATGATAGAGTCGAAAGAGTAGCCGGTCGATCGGATAGCAACCACTGGGTTGGCCTCCCCTGACTTTGATGAGCCCAAACTGACCGCACCGCTCTCCCGAAAGCCAGCACCCATTCCAGCGTTCAGTAACTTCTGTGCATGATTGAGGGAAGAGCTCAATATGTGCAAGATCTAGCAGTAATTAGAAATCGCACAGCCTAGTGATATTCAGACTGACCATGGGCTCGAACTTGAGATGAATGAATCGGCGGTGAACGCCGACCTCTCTCACTGCAGCAGATGCAATATCCTCGAGGGAAAACCTCGACAACAACTCTGAAGCAGAATCTACATCTGGAACTTCTACCGGGTCATGTGAAATGAACAGCCATGTGCCTCCGCCGCCCTTTCCTCCAGGTCCAGCGCGTGACTCCTCGCCTTCTTCAGCGACTTTTGATGGATCACTACTCGTCTTTCGGCCTTCAAGGAAAACACTGATTCTGCCGGAGCAGCTACTGGTCGTGACTATGCCATCGATAGCATTGATCTCGCTGATCAAGTCACGGATGGGTGCGTCGATGGAGCCTTTCGGTGAGAGATCGTGGTACTCTCCATCTGGGGCATCCAGCTGCTCCAAAATGTTTTGCTTGCGAGCCTCGAAGCGGGAAGCCATCGCTATAGTGAACCCAATAAAAAGGCGCTGGACAAGTAGGTAATATGTACGTCGATCCCGTGATATGGCGACGCGAACGTGTGTGGATTTTCGCGGGCCGTGCCTTCGATTGGTTCGTTTGCGTCATTGTTGTGGCCCCTGCATCCTTGACAATCGCCAAACACTCGCATCGATCAACACTCCACATCTTGCGACGTTCCGACGGAACTCTATTCAGGGATCTTAAGATGCCACGGCAATCGGGACAACCCCCTGCAGGGAGTGCAAAGGAGAACACACCAAAGCGTCCGGCTACCGACACTCCCAACAGAACCTCCAAGAGAGCACGAGTAACCACCAGACGGTCATACATCGAACCAGATACGGACTCCGACGCGGCCTCGAATGCTTCCGGCTCTTTTGATGACGAGGACGCTGGAGATGCGTCTGATTTCGAGGCGAAGAGTGACAAAGAAGCATCCTCCGAATCTGAACCCGATGCAGACGCCAGCGACGAGGAGCCTGTGTCGAAGAAGGCTACAGCAAGAGGCCGACCGCAAAAAAAGCAGCTTCCGACGCACAAGAAGCAAGCCGATGAGAAAGACCTGTGGAAGCGAGGCGCAAAGCTTGAACCTGGGACACAGCTGATCATCAAAAAGCCAAAAGCTCGGGAGGCCGGTGATACAGCGTACACGGAGAGTACCATTCACCCCAACACGATGCTTTTCCTCGAAGAGCTAAAAGAGAATAACGATCGACAGTGGCTGAAACGTCCGTCTTCCCGATATTCCCTACAACGATGCTGCAAAGCTGATGTTCAGACAGTGCACGACCCCGACTATCGAGTTGCGGTGCAAGACTTCAATGATTTCGTTGGCAAGTTAACAGAGAGAATAGTGGAAATAGACGTGACGATACCTGAGTTGCCAGTGAAAGACATCGTAAGTGGCGCCCCTTCGTAGAGAATTTCGAGGACTTACAATGGCAGGTATATCGAATTTATCGAGGTACGCATCTACACCCACGAAAATAACATCATTGACATGAGTAGATGTCCGGTTTTCTAAAGATCAAACACCATACAAGGTAAGCATTGCAAAATCAAAAGGCACAAACTGTCTTCCTTTCATCGACATCAGGGAGCATCATCTTTGTTGCTATTCGTGCAACCGCAGATCAATTGCGAAAAGGCTAACAAACCAAAAGTCCTACTTCTCAGCGGCATGGTCGAGAACAGGCCGCAAAGGTCCTTATGCTGCATACTATGTCCAGATTCAACCGAACGGAGGCAGCTTTGTAGGTGAGTATCGACACACTCTATGCCTGTCTACGGATTTGAGCTCTTTCTCCGCCTATGTTCATGTTCAACCCTATACTGCGGGAGTCATGCTCAAATTCGCTGACTGTGCAAGGCGGCGGACTTTGGCAACCAGACGCAGAGCCTCTTAGAAAGTTGCGCAGAGAGTTTGATCGCAGGTCTTCCAGGATCAAGCAGATCTTAGCAGACGAACGAATTCGTAAATCGTTTCTCGGAGGAGCACCCGACAACGAAAAGAAGGTCGTGAAGGCCTTTGTTAGCGCGGGATCGAATGCATCAACTGCGCTGAAGCGTAGCCCAAAGGTGAGACGAGTCACTAAAGTCGATACATCCCCACCCTTAAGCTGCCGGTAACGCATTGCATACCTAATGCAGGCAGGCTGCAAAATACTAATCTACTGGCTTAGCTGTGGAATTCTCGGTCATTAATGCATCCGTCACATCCATGTTGAGTATTGACATAGCAGTCGACCAGGAAGGAGGCGAATCTGGGCTATACCACGGCTGTTAATTCATCTTTGGGACTGTCCGACGACTGAATCTGGCGGTTACTACTACTGGCATCTCAATTGATGCCCGACGCAGCCCATCCGTTTTCGAGACGACGGATGACCGAGTGTACCATTCACCGATGCTGCGTCGCGTATGTACGGCAAACGCCGAGTGTGCAACGCAATGGACCCGACATCTATCCGCAGCCACAACTTCATTTGCGGAGCGTGCATGCTGCTTTATTGGATGAAGATGATTTGCTGACGGATTTGCCCAGGACTTCCCCATTGATCACCAAGACATCGAGCTCCTCCGACTGAGGAGTTTCACCCTTGGCAAGAAATTGTCGGATGAGGAAGTGGTAGGACCGAAGGGCATGGGCCGAATTGCGGAGTTGCTATCTTACATAGAACCGTTTGTAAGTTGATCCCTACCCCTGGTGCTGTCGATGACAAGCCGCCGACCAGTTTGGCGATGGAGGGGTCACCGGCAGACGACAGGCTCCAGGACCTGCGGCGGGGTATCCTGGTAGCAGACAGGAGCAGGCAAAACTTTTGGCAGTGGTGCGTTGGCAGTGCAGCACACTTGTTCACCGACAGCTGCACCGTCAAAGTTAAGATGGGGAAGGGCGCCATCATCTATTGTTGGCCGAACTGAGGGACGAGAGCATGGGTGGTCGCGGCGCTAACACTGCCTTGCAGATCACCTACCTGAACAGCGTCGTCATGCCAGACGAAGAATCGTCGAGCTCCAGCGAAAATGACGACGATGACGAAGGTGAAGATGAAGACGACGATGAGGACGGTGCTTCTGCAGCCGACGATGCAAACGAGTGAAGTCTCGGCTGCCTCGGAGAACTACATCCGGACAGTCGTCGCCTTGCTGTGTTGGCGATGTTGGAGAGACTCGATTGGTTGGGGGTGGCCTCTTGCGCGAAAACAACCAATCAGGGTTTAGAAGACGCGCTCCAAGCGAGTCCGAACATTTTTTGCATAGCGTCTGCATCTCTCCGTCTTGGCTGGCACCGTGCTGTTTTAGCTTCGCATGCACTAATGATCATGTGATCTCATACCCTGGTCCCCTTTCCTAGTGGCCGGGCCGCTGCTCTTAGCATCCGCCTTCCCTGTTGGTGCGCGGCAGAGACGGCTGGGGATCGAACCTTCTGTTCCTCTCCACCTCAACAAGGCGTACCCTCCCAGTCGCCATGAAGAGCTGTCACGCCATGAATCCTACAGCGTCAGCCTTACTGTATTGGCACAGCTGCAAATGTCTAGTGACCATGGACAGGAACGACGGTAGCACGCACAGTCATCTTGCGCATTGACCCCAGTCATTCCAATGACAGTTCAGCTGCGAGGACGGGCCGGAGCGCGATGCATGGTTTCCTTTTCCTCCCGCCTGACGCGTCCCACTGAGGACCGTCCGCATCGCGAGACAACCTCACCACCCAAGTCCGTTAGACCAACTGTCGCTACGTGATAAGGGATGCATCGGGGCGTGCCGGTGCGCTGCATTATTTAGTGGAAATTGCCCCCCCCCCCCGTAGAGGCCTGCTCCTGCAAGCAAGGACCAGCGTCAGCGCAAAGTAAGGTTTGCTCAGACCGTTGCGGCCAGGACGCGACAGAGCGTATAGAGCATGTTGAGAAGGCGAGATGCGTTTCAGGACCAAGGCTCGCAGGCATACTTGATGGAGGTAATGGATGCGTTGACGCATGACTTGCACTATGCCTGCAGTCTGCAGAGATAGTCGCCATTGCTGCTGACGTCCGCAAGCTTGCGCTGCAATCGTGACGTTTTTGGCGTTGGCGGCCAATCAGGCGTGCCTGCGCCCGCCATCGGCCGGCGTGCTGCACGATGGCCCCGTTGGCATACGTGTGTGGGTGTGACACAAATCGAGCCGTACACACGACCAGGACCTACATCAGCTGCATCGAGATTCGACACCGGCGGCGATGGGGAACAATCAGGCCTCTCGTGGGCTGACAGTTCACTATCGTCACAATACCTGTGCATACGCAAGGGCGAGATCCCTGCACACCGTTTCGGCAGAATCGTAAACTCTACGGCGCAGCGCAGCCTAGGATTTAGGTATTGTGCGACTATTGCAAGACGGGTAGCTGCTCGGGTGCGACAGGCCTCGGACGCTGGTAAGAATTTGAGTGAACAAGTGTTTAGTAGCACCCTGTCATGCTCCACAAGTCTGACTGACACGACGGCAGATGTCCTTGCTCGTCGGAGGAGATGATATCTTGCCGCTTATCATTACCCTTTTGGTGGCCATGTGCAGATGTCAAGGTACATCAGACGCGCTCAAGCCAGAGTTGGTTGGCTCTTACAGTAACACCGCCACTGACGGTCTGACAATAGACGCACCTTCCGCTTGTCGACCTATGCCACGCATCTCCGTGAGCGGGTCAGACGCCCGTGGTGACACAGAGCTCGTCAATCTAAATCCAATCGACAGATACGGTGTTGGAGAGAATCCACACCCCGTGCCGACCCGAGAATCGTGCAACCACGGCGCTGGTTGCCAGCCCTGCACTTGCGGCACTCCCCATGTCTGGTGCGACCGCCCGAGGACCGTAATCGGCCAGGTGCAGAAGGCGATTATCGGCCTGCCTGTCTGACGGACATGGCTGCCGGATAATTCTGGGCTGCTACCCCACAACACGCGGCGGCATTGCCTTGATTCAGTTGGGGACACGGTGCAGCAACAGTGGGATGCTGGCTCAATGCAAGGCTGCTGCTGTCGAGGTACTTTCTGGGCGACAAGGCCATTGTGACGCGCAGTGCCATTGGGCTGACGGCAGACGGCTCACAACATCTGCACAGTGGAGGTGTGCTCGTGACAGCCTCGAGGGTGATGCGGTGTGGCAGACAATCAACATCCAACAGGCAGCATAGGCAGATGCAATTGGTCGCAACGAGTCAGCGCAATACGAAGATGATTGAGTAAGGGCAGAGTGCAGTCGTGTTGGAAGGACGAGGCTTTGACCGGTCCTGTGACCTTCTGACCATGCAAGGTTTTCATTCAAGCATGGCAAGCGATGATTTACCCGCTCCATGCAAGGCACTCAGCTGGGAAGTTGGAAAACGACGTGAATGCAGCGTCGGGGAAGGCATTGATTGGACGACGTTAATCTGGGATTCGGAACGTGCGAATTGTCAATCAGCGGGCCGGAGCTTGCGTCGGTCGCCCAAGACGAGGGGAGCAGAAACGTTCGGCGTTTATCGATAGGCCTCGTGGCGGACGAACGATAGGGTGCTCGTTAGAGTTTTGCATATCCACAGTGGCACAGCCAGTCACAAGGCTGTACGAGGTGCCGAGGCGGAGAAGGCAGCGACAAGCGACGAGTGTTTCGCCCTTTTCCCGCGATGCGCATCCGCGTCGTCCGACTGCGTCATCCTCAGCAGCGGGAAGCCCGGCACTAGAGGACCCGGTGCGAGAGCTGGGCGCGTTTCTGGTCGCGCGGTGCAGTGGCGCTGGCGAATCACGGAGGCGAAGAAGACTGGTGGCATGGATAGCAGTTCGCGAGCGGTCGCCGGCGCAAGGGATAGAGGATCTACGAGATGGCGATTGACAGATTTTGCAAGGTGATTTGGCGGTTCATGTGGGCGCGCCGCGTGCCATGGCCGTCTTACGCGAGGCAATCAGAGCTGAGAGACACAGAGAAGCGAGTCAAAGGCAGCGATTCGACGGGCCAGCGTCGGCTTTATTACGCTCGAAATGCTGGGTGACGCTGCAGAAGACGAGGAACGGCAGTGGCACAAGACGTTGCCCTCCGCTGCTTGGGATGGGCGGCGCGCCGCTGACAGAAAACTGCTCGAGGTGAGCGAGTCGTGACCAAGGTCAGGCTGTCCTAGCTAGCGAGCCCGCACGCACGTCAGTGGCCGGTCGGTTGCACACCAACAGCCAGGACAGGGCTGCGGGTGCAGCCATAACAGACAAATGACCGATGCAAGAGCGGAGCCAGCCCTATCCCAAATTGCGACGGGCGAGACGACAGGCGGCCCCTGTGCAGCATTCAGGACGCGGGCGTGCGTCGACGTTTGGGGGCTGCTGCATGGGGCGCTGGGCCATGGATGAGCGGCAGCATGCAGCAGCGCAGCGCGGGCGCAAGAGCAGCTCACCGGCACAGCACCGCGAGGGCAGTGGGCGGTGGGCGGTGGAGCGGTGGGCCGCGCCAGCAGCAGCAGCAGCAGCAGCAGCAGCAGCAGCAGCAGCAGCAGCAGCAGCAGCAGCAGCAGCTGGCGAGAACAGCAGGCGCGACACAGCGAGCACGGCACGACGAGCAGACAGACACAACGAGCAGCCACCACAGCAGGGCCGGGCTCGTGCAGAGCGCTGGGCGGCGTGGTGCAAGCGGTGCAAGTGCAAGTGCAAGCGGTGCCAGTGCCAGTGCAAGTGCAAGTGCAAGTGCAGGCGGTGCCAGTGCAGCGCTGCAAGCATGGCAAGCACTGCAAGCACTGCAAGGTGGCAGGCGCAGTGCGGTGCAGCAGTGCAGCGAGCAGCGAGTGGTGCAGCGTGCAAGCGTGCACCTGGCTTGCAAACCGCGCGCAGAGACGGCCCGCGTGGATTGAGTCGCGCGCATCTGACACAGGCCCTTATTGCCCGAGAGGCCCAGCTGCATGCGCGCGTGCGGGCAGCGTCCTTGCAGCTGCACACGCGGGCCTGGGGACAAAGGGACGCTGCGGTGCGCCGCTGCAGCGTGCGTGGCACGGGCGGCTGGTGCAACGGATGAGACGCGGTGCAGCAGCGGGCGGTGGAGAGCGCGGGCGGGCTGGCACGGCGGGCTGGCACCGTGGGCTGGCACCGTGGTGTGTTGCGGCGGCCGTGTATTTTTAATTAAAGGAAGCAGATCGCACGTTGCGGGCCATCCCGGGTCTTGGCGGCTGGCGGTGGTGAGAACCTGACCGGGCCGCCACCAGCGCCATGCAGCGACCCCAGCAGCCCCAGCAGCCCCAGCAGCCCCAGCAGCCAGCGCCGGCGCCCAGCGCACCGAAGCGGCCTCGTATTGCTGAGGCGCGCGGAGCTGGCGGCCGGACGACGCCGCGCCGGTGCGAGCAGCGCTGCGAGCGGGCTGCACGCGGCCAAGGGCACCGTGGACCGGACGCTGCTGGTCGCGGCACGCTGCTCTGCTGGGCGCGGCACTGGCACTGGCTGCATGCGCGGGTGCGGCGAGGCGCTGTGCTGGGGCGGCGCCGTGGCCTGCGCTGGCCGGGCGGTGCCAGTGCGACTGTCAGCCGCGCTAGGTGGCGGCCTGGCTCGACCCGATGCACTCGTTCGCTGCAGGCCGCAGTGCAGGGGGCGCGCATCCCAGTCCGAACGGCGAGAAGGTTTGCACTTCGGGCGGCGCGGTGGGTAGTAATAGCGGCCACGGTCCCGCGACAGACCTGAATCTCCCTTCTCGTGTCCACGCTCTTGGGATCCTCCGCGCTTCGAGAAGCCTTCCTTCACCTCTCTGCCCCCGCCCGCCCGCCCGCCGCTGCCTCGCTCTGCCTCTTCGCCTGCCTCGCTCTCGCGCTGTGACACGCCGCCGCTCGCCTGCTGCACACACACTGCCTGCCCGCTGCCCACCACCGCCACTGCCCGTCGCCGCCGCACTCGCGCCCAGCTGCACCGGTTGATGAGGGCGTGACCGCACCACGTTGCAGGGCGGCCCATCCACGCCCATTCTCGCGGCCCACCGCGCCTTTCACGACCCCGTCGCCATGTACCCGCACCCGGGAGGCCAGGGCCAGCTGCCGCCGCACTGGCAGCCCGCCGCGCAGCCCGCCAGCTATCCGCCGCCACCCTCGCACGCAAGCACGCCCGCCCGCCTGCGCGACGCCCGCTGACCAGCACAGATGACCGCGACGCTGCCGCCGCCGCCGCAGGAGCCGCGCCCCGACATGGCCGCCCACCAGCACCCGTCGTACCAGCACCCGCCGCACGCCCAGCAGTACCGCCTGCCGGGCCCCAACGAGTGGACGCGCGCGCCGCCGCCCGACGCGTACCGCCAGCAGCCGCCACCGCCGCAGTACGTGCAGCAGCACCACCAGCCGCCCGCCCCGCGTCAGCGCACCGCCATTGCGTGTCGCTACTGCCGCCGCCGCAAGGTAAGAAGCCGCCGCCGCCCGCCCGCCCTGTGCCGTGCTCACCGTCCAGATCCGCTGCTCCGGCTTCGAGGCCACCGAGGACGGCCGCTGCTCCAACTGCCTGCGCTTCAACCAGGACTGCATCTTCACGCCCGTCTCTGCCCAGACTCAGGCCTTCGTCCCCGCACACACCGTCTGGCGCGGCGTCGGCGCCCCGCCGCCCATGTACGGCGCATACGGCCAGCCGCTGCCGCCCGCGAGCCACGCCGACGCCTACGGCCAGCCGCCGCGCCCGGGCTCGCAGCAGCCGGGCTACTTGCCCAGTCCCACCGCAGGTCCGTACCCCTATGGTCCGCCAGGCGCCGATGAGGCCAGCCGTGACGGCGCGGGCAGGAAGAGGCCCCATCCGGAGCCTCACACGCCCACCCTGCCCCCGCCCCCGCCGGGCGCGTCACAGCCGCCTCATCGCGCGCCAGGTCAGGACTATGCCTACCCCGAGCCGCCGTCTCTAACCCAGCCGCCGCGAACAGCCACCCCGTCGGCGCCCTACTCTGCTGCGCCCGCCGCCCAGCCCTACTACGCCGCCAACCCACCGCGCCAGACGTCGCCGCAGAGCGCCTACCGCTACGACCCCAGCCGCACCTCGTCCTCGCCGCACTCGCAAGCCCCGACCACGCCCGGCTCCGCCTCGGCGCCCTACTACCCGCCGCAGCCCAACGGCGCCCTGCAGCCGAACCCGCCGCGCAGCGACGGCCGCACCCCGCCGCCCCCGACCTCGCAGCCCGCCAGCCGCCCGGGCATGCGCATCAACGACCTCGTGAGCGACAATGGCAACGGACGCAGCTCGACCGATTCGGACATGCTCAACATGCTCAATCGCCGCCCCATGTAACGCCTTCTAGTCCTCCAGCACCCGCAGACACGCTCCTGAGCTGGCTCTCGAAAGGAGCACACACGGTGCACCGTACAACTCTAAGCAAAGCGCCGCGCACCAGCCGCTGCCTGTAGTCACTTTGTTTTCCTGTACAACCTTGATTTCGTCGCCATTACGCTGCTTGTTCTTCGCAAGGCGTCCAGCCCGGCAATGGCGTCTGTTTTTTGGGCGGTCTTCTGAACTTTACAGCGTCAAAGAGCATCAATCCATTTTCTAATACACGCCGAGAACTGTCTACCGGATGCCGTTTCCTGTGTTGAGCGTCCGAGTACCGCAACATGTTCCGCAGGAGGATGTCTCAATTGTTCAGCCGCCCTACAAGGGCGGCCTTTCATACGTTGGTGGCGAGCGCTCGATTCACTTTTCTTACCTTTTCCTCAAACTGGGTGGACATCTGCACTTTCTCGCTACTAGATCTGGGGCTGCATAAAGGAGGTGCTCTGATTACTTCCACAAGCATCATTGCACGCGCGGGGTTGGCGCCAGCAGGCTGCTTCGATGCTTCTTGCTGGACGCCGTGGCTGTTTGTGTTCCATTTGCGCCATATACTCTCTTAGTTTGTTTGGCTTCCGATCAACAAAATGGTGTGGCTTCTTCGTTTCTCTCCTGTCCCTACCGCGGCTCGGCCCATCTGGCCGAGATTCTGTCTTCCTTTTGGGTACACTGGCTTGGGCGGCAATCTGAAATTCACAAAGCAAACAGCGTATACTAGTAACTCGATCTCGATCTATCTAAATTGAAGGATTAATACACTCGAGCTTCATCCGGTGCGAACACTCCCAGCTGGCCACATCACACAGACGCATGGAATTCGTCAACCACGGTTCTCCTCTGTCCAGGGTCTGCCGTGCCAGACTGTCAAGTTGTCATGCTGACGCACGGTACGCACGCGGAATAGCTGCAACCAACCTGCTCAACCAATTTCCACTCTACCAGACTTTGACTTTAATCTGGACCGGTCCGGTATCGATTCTGCGAGGTCACGGACCGGTGCGCAACGTGAAAGGGCGACTGCACGGTGCCAGGGACCCGAGCTCGCAAAAGCTGGCACGCTTCGGACCTTAGTCCTAGGGTACCGAAACTTTCCAACGTCTCGCGCAGTTCGGGCAACTTGCTTAGTTCAGGCTGCTATTGACGTACGCAGCGTTTGTTCTATCTGCGAGATGCCGCGTAAGGCACTTCGGTCGGGGCAGTGGGATGTCACGAGCCCAATAATCGAAGCTGACTTCATGGCCACGCCTGTTGGCTACGCCGTAGTGGCTGACACCTATGAATAGTCCGCAATAGCCGGGAATGAGACGGTCAAACGATTCTTAGGCCGAATTCCATCAACCAAGGTGTCATACCTTTGTACCTGCATTCCAGCGCCCCTCTGTGGCCGCAAATGCGGCCACATTCTTGAAACCCAATACCACGGGCCTCCCTCCCACTCCCTCCCGCAGCACTGCGAACGGAAGTACCGAAATCTGCTCCCTCGATCATGCACGATCCAGCGATCCAGGGCCAACATCAGCTCCGCCACTACGATTCAGACCCCGTGTCCAGGCATGCTCGCCGTCTGACTCTCACTAAAACACGCGTACCATGGTTCAGGCGCGTCGTGAGCGTCGCCGCTTTACAGCCGCGCCCCGCGTCGACCCCTCCACTCATCTGCGCAAGCACACCCAGTCGGCGCACATTCTCGCAAGCAGCGGCACGCCAGAGCGGTGACGGCGTCCCAGGGTTCCTCCGCAGGCTAGTCGGCACAACGGAGCCCCCGAGTACCGCGGAAGCAAGCCAAGCGGTGTGCAAAGGGAAGAGTTGGACCGACGTGCAGCTGGGAGGGATTTGGGCTGCCGCGTGATATGGGCTACGACAGACGAGGTGTTAGGGGTTTTAGTGTACCAAGATTGAGAGTGGAGCTGCTGAGTGAGCGACAGAGCAGCAGCGCTGCTGCCGCGTATTGTTCGGCGGCGTTGGAGCCGGCACACGCGGGCTCGTCCCGACACTTTGTGCTCATTGTTTCCGTCGGCGAACGTCTGCATTGTCTTGCTGTTGCGTGCGGCTCTCGTGCGGGGGAGTCGCTTTTGTGGCGGCCCTCTCGTCAGGGCTGCGGCGGCTGCCACGTGTGGAGTGGGTCTACGGCGACTCAGTGGCTATGGGCTTCCCTCGTGACTTGACGACATCTTTCGGGACGGCTCTTGCGTGAGCATCTCGTCGGAGGATAACCTGGATCAGGTTGGGGAAGTAAAATTTGCGTGCTAGGAAGTTGCTATCAGAGCGTCTTCTGGAAGGAAACGTCCGGGCGCGTCGGGTGGGGATTGAGTCAGTGGCAGGATGACATGAAACGTGCAAGTATCCTGGACCTTGTGGTATATGTCTTGGCGTATTGTTGGATGGAAGGGATAGAGGATGCATACTTGCGATGCCGTGATGATGACACGATATAGATTGTCGTCTGTTCGACCATCAAACGTTTGTAACGAAGCATCGATGCACTAACGGTCGGCAAATGAAACGTCGCCTTCAGAACCCATTTCAAACCTGAATCAATATGTATCACACTAACATCTCGAATTGACGTCTTGAATGAATCAAAGAATCTTGTTGCCGTCACACGAGCAGACTTTCTTATGCGCCGCGGCAGGTGATATGGCAGCCCAAGGTCAGCTAGACATCCATGCAATGTTCGTGATGACGGTTCTCTTCACATTGCAATGCTTGTCGAAACGTGCGGACCCCTATAACCATAGTACGCACATGCATTAAGTAGACTGTCATATGATACCCTCACAAAAGGAGCACCATATGGTCCTGCAGGATGCTGAACAAGATATTTCCAGCTAATTAGACACTTTTTCATCATCTCTTTTCCATGAGTAGCGGTCCGCACATTATGGCAAGTACCGATATGAGTACGAAGTGATCACTTCGACTGATCATCATAGCTCATCTTAGCTCTCTCCCCCAGCTGAGCTGACTAGTGTGCTCATCCCTCACCACCACCATGTGAAGCTGCAACACCACTCCTCACTCCTACACCAAACTGTGAATCTGCACCAGCGTGATGGCCCAACCTCAATGTGATCTTCCTTCGCAACCATCGTATGTGCAATTGCGTCAGCGGCTGTATGTCTTGCATCGCCGCTCGACATTGCATGAGACCCTTCCATACGCAGCCTATTTTCAGGCGGCTCAGCATCTGCGACCCCTTTAGTACAACGCTCACCAAGCTCTCAGTAGTCAAGCGATGCGCTTAGCCCCCAATACCTCGCCCTACAAGTTCAAACACGACGAACAGAAGATCATGATGAACACCGCGCCGCATGGCACAGTCGAGGCACAGCGACCACCAACTCGTTACATCCTCAAGGATCAATGGACAGACAAAGACAAGTATAGACAGGATTCAAAGACGGCGTCTGCGCTATGCACGTAATCGCGGCTGCAGCCACGGACCGTACTTCAGCACTTGCTGCGGCTATTCGTCCTCTCGCGCGTCCTCCACGTCCTCCACATAGACTTCGTGGCAGCCTCACACAGTAGCGACTAATCAGCGCTCGATATGGCTTTCTACTCGGTGCTGACTCTTACAATCGCTACGCTTACCACTGCACTAGATCCACTGCAGGACTTCTGCAGGCTGCACAGCCACAGGACGGCAGTGGTTGATCGGAAGCTCTACATAGATGGAGGCTTTGTCAATGAGTCGCCGTTGACAGCACATTCCACCAACGATACCAGTGGGTAGCCGTGCGTTCGTGGTGGTATGACGAGCTGACGAGCTGACTGTGGTGGCTAGATACTTGGCTCAGAGTGGCTGACTTCGATACACCACACCTTGGTTTGCCGAATCAGACGACACTCGCAAAGAATGAGGACGTCCCATCAGTCAGTGGTGGGATTCTGTGGCCTGATACGGCGAACAAAGTCATATATGCATTTGGAGGGGAACAAAGTGAACCCAATACACCAGACGAGAGGCTGTGGTACTATGACATAGTTTACAACACCTGGAACATATCAAAGGCAGACGGAATCGGGAATGTCAGCGCATCTGCGTGGGGTCAGTTTCAACCAAGCACTCCCATAATCGACCACTGACCGTCACAGGCGCCGGAACAACGGCTTCTGACAAAGCTCTTGGCTATTACTATGGCGGCTGGCTCCCGAATGCCGCGAAGTCGAATGACGCTCCTACAGCTCTTTCCACGATGATAGTCTATAACATGTTGGACCACAAGTTCAGCGCTCAGTCCGGGCCTGATCAGGTTGGTCGTGCCGAGGGGTTCATGCTGTACATCCCTGCTGGTGATGCGGGACTTTTGGTCTACTTTGGCGGTGTCCAAGTGATCAATGAGAAACAAGAGCCGCTTCCTATGTCAGACATATTGGTGTATGACATTGCAAACGCCAGATGGTACAATCAGACGGCGAGTGGCAGTTCTCTGCCACAAAGCCGAAGACGTTTCTGTGCTGGTGCAGTGTGGCCAGAGGACCGTTCGTCGTATAACATTTACGTGTTTGGTGGAGCTTCTGTTGGGGAAGGTGTCGGATATGGCGACGTCTGGATACTGAGTTTGCCGTCGTTTACGTGGATCAAGTTCTTTCCCACTTCAGACGACGACACAGTGACAACACCGTACCACTCGTCGACCTGCAACGTTTACGAGAGCTCTCAGATGATCGTCGTGGGTGGCCACTCTACCAACAGCACCGAATGCGACGCTTCGGCCGTGTACGGACAACATAGCTTAGACTTGGGCAGGGCAAACAAAGACGTCTTGAAGTGGGCAGACTTCAATGCTAAGATGACGGCCTATACCGTCCCACCAGAAGTCATCAGCGTCGTCGGTGGCAACTCGTCCGGTGGCGCACCATCCACTGCGCCAAAGGAAGGCTGGAATGCACGAGACCTGGGTATCATGTTCGGTCGACACTACACTCCTGCCGTACGAGCCCCGAACCGACTGATCCCCGCATCGTACAGTTCGAATCCAGGAAACACAACTGACAACCCCATCACCGGCCCCGCCGTCGGCGGAAGCATAGGAGGACTCATCTTCCTCGCTGCACTTGCCGTCTGCATCTTCCTCGCCCGCCGAAGAGACCACTGCGCCCAAGAAGCGTCAACCCTGCAACTCCAACACCACATCCCTCCACCGAGCTTACACGTCGAGCTGCCCGGAGACCTAGCGCGCAGCTATTCAGCAGTCTCGCCGTCCCGCTTCGCACACCCTGGCTCGCCGGATGCTGCGGCTTACACCGGGACGCCGCTCAGCGGGGCGCAGTACGTTTCCCCACCGCCCCCGTGGCACGGCAGCTGGGCAAGCCCCGATCGCTCCACTCCGGCTTGTAGCCCATGCGAGCTGGTGGACAGTAAGGAGCAGGGACGCTTGGTGCTGGCGCACGAGTTGCCCACCATACGAACTCCCGTGCCATCGGCTAGGCACTCGAGGCTCAAAGAGGAAGATATGACTCAAAACAAGACTTCATAACGGCATAGATTTGGCCAACAGTAGAGAACGGTGAAATGAAGGGTTGGAGGAACGGATGGAATCTGCCAGTGCATTAATTAATACTGTCCTTACTCTCGGAAACTTTCTCAAAAGCCGTGTCTTTGTGCAAATATGACTTGTAGCACTTATTGGCCCCATAAAGTCTCGTTCGCTTGAACACATCTCTGGGAAATCGTGCACCGGTCAATTGCTACTAGTAGTCTGCTCTACCGTGCTTCAATTGACCCAGTCTAGAGCACATCACCTCCACTCCTGACACCAATGCCTCGCTACGAAAGTCTCCTCTATCACACAAGCTGCATATCCTGCCCTTACTTGTAGCCAGACCTAACCACCAGTGCGACCCAAAGAAGCCGCACTATCTGTCAACAAGTCTTCCAACCGACCTACCAAATCCCGCAGTGAACGATCAGCCTTAGAACTACCATACGTCTCCGTCGAAAGAAAACCATCAACATCGCAAAACTCTTCATCAAGAAAAGGACCATCTAGCCCCTTAAACCGAGAAGCTGGGAACATATCGCGACCGAGCTGTAGACTCTCACGCGTATTCGACAGCGGCAAATCCCGACGCAGCTGCTCATCCAACGACGCCAGTCCAGGGAATCGGGAGTTTGGATACTGATCGCGGCCGAGCCGCAGACTCTGACGCGTATTCGAAATCGGCAGCTCGCGACGCGATCGCTGCGCCGAAGACACCTCGCCTTGCACGTAGGCGTTATCGTGTGGTTCCGGTTTTGGATCGAATACATCATGCGCTGCATCCCGCAAGATATCGCTTAGAGCACTGGTCCCCAGACTGCCATTCTGGGACCGTGCTGTTTGCATCCTGAGCAGAGTGAGCCGCATGTGTTCTCTCGTCTGAAATTGCTCCATCTCCTCCACTAGCACTTCCCTGGGAATATAAGTGCTGTCTTCTCCATCGCAGTACGTCCCGGTCTCCTCGCCTGCGGCTCTCCCCGTCTTTACTGACACGTATGGTCCGCATTGGCGGGAAACCGCTTTCAAGTCGTCAATGACCTGTCTTAGCTCGCGAATGAAGAGGCGAGCTTGGTTTGCGAGGTCATCTATGCAGTGGTCTGTACGTAGCTTCATCTCTGTAGCGGCTTTGATTTCCTCGCTCATACGAAATGCCAAGGTGTCTTGGTCGTCTTGAGATGGCCGCCGACTGGCTCCATTGCGATGCCTGTTGGTCGAATCGTCTGATGGTAAGAGGTGACTTTCGTGGCTTGAGTAGTACATACGGTCTATCCTTCCAAGGTGTTCGGAGCATACATCCCTATGAATCGATGCTGCACTCGGGGAGGACCTGGACTTGATGCGTTTTGGAATTCGTGATGCTCGTAGACATGAACAATTGCCCTTTCTGACGGGATTCGAAACAAAGATAGTTGGATTTTCGATAATTGAAGGATCGAACGGCTTCGTTTTGTTGTCCTCTGTTTCAGGTCGATCGAGTGAACGTTTCTGATGCCCATCCGGCTCGAAACAGCTACGATTACTCTTATCAAGGGTTTGCTCGTTGGTACTAGTTAGGTCTTGTGCTGCCGTCTCATTCGGCGTTGGTACGTGTAAAGTCTTGGACGCCAGTACTGGAGTAAATGGGCAGTCGTTTTCCGATGAGCTAATCGAAGATGATGTGTTATTGAACACTGCTGGTGAAGCCTCCGACTAAGGGAGCTCATGTGTAGGGTCGGGCGGAGTGTACTTATTCAACTTGTAGCTTCTGCAGAACCACATAAACCTTTCAGATCTCGTCACGGGGAGCTGCTCGGATAACAAAGATATCAAGTGTGGTTTCTCTGTCAATTGGCGAAGTTCAGCTTCGGATGGATGGTAAGATCTTCTTTGATGACTGGGTGCTGTGATCCACCCGAGGTAGTGCTCTGTAGACCTGTGGGCAACAAACTTTGAGTTCGTGAATCTGGCTCGTGGAGCACATTTATGCGTCGGTATAGCTGAGCCGTCTCTCAAGTATTGCAAACGCACATTGGCATCAGTCGGCTCTGAGGGCTCAAATTTGTAGCGAGGAAGGAGCTACCATCGCTCATCGCCTGCAATCCAGGATCAGCAATCTATGCAATCTTCCCTCCCAGAAACAGACACATACTTGAAGACTCAAACTTGGTCGGAGGGACCGAAATACGAGTGACCTCTAGATTGTCTTGTATCTGACCCGGTTGTAGTGTCTGCACTCGTGATCGGCGTCTTCCACTGAGTCTGTGACTAGTCTCCATTGCGGCAAGTGTCGATGAAGACTCGACGTCTACGAAACGGTCTCCAGGCGACTGTAGCGTCGATGTGGAAGCAACTTTGGTAGTGGCCCCAGATCCAGAACTAGGACTGCGCGAACGGAGATGGGCGCATGAGTGTTCTGAACTAGTACCAAACACAGGAAACCGTTTCATGAGGCGGGCGTGAGCGGCAGGTAGTGCTCGTGTCTGGCTTGAGGCAATCTTGCTAGTGGACGGGCCAGAACGCCTTCCAATGATCGAGCGTGCATTGTGACGCCACGAAGGGAATCGCTTTGAAGGTCGGCCACGATCTCTCTCGGCCGGGTCGTTCTCGATCTCGTGGTACAAGACTGTGTTCTCAGGGGGCAGCGTAGTCCCTTTTTCGAAGCCTGGAGACCTTGCGACATCTGTCATAGTGCTGAGATTGGCGTTGTGGTGTGTGTATGGAAGATTCGATGCCGATGAAGGAGTACGTGCACGTGCACGAGCTGCGGGTTGCTTGCCTTTATCCGGTCTGCCATCTGGCCGGCGGTTGTGTTCCGGGGCTATTGGAAGCCGTAGGTAAATGAAAGTAATACTAGCAATAAGAGAATGAGACTTTGAAGCTTGAAAGTAGCGATAAATTGTGTTGTTGGTATCGGAACGGATCATGACATCCATGGATGCAAAACCAGGCCTACCGAGCTGCACCTGCTCGTCCCTCAAGGCGGTACTTCCTTACCAGCCCAATCCCAGCACTTGCCTCGTCCCTCAACACCCACCTGCCTGACAACATCAACAAGTCGTTCAGCCACCCACTCCTTCTCGAAAAGTTTATCCTTCTCGACGCCGCCCCAGAACTGTTTGCTGAACTGCGTCTTGACTGTACCAGGATGCAGAGCTACAGCGAGCGCCTTGTCCTCAGATGCCATCCGCAGGTGATTATCGAATGTCTTGACGACCTGGTTGACGCCGGCCTTGGACGCACGATAACTGTACCAACCCCCGAGTTTGTTATCGGAAATGCTGCCCACGCGCGCGGACATGATTGCCATGGTGGCGGCAGACGGCAACCCCTTCATTATCTCCTGGTCTTCTTCAACAATTCCTTTCTTTTTTGGCAGGAACTGAGAGAAATGCTTGATCATAAGCATCGGGCCCAGCGTATTAGTCTGGAAGGTCAGCAACGCATCTTTTGCGTCGATCTGGGCTGGCGACTTTTCGGGATAGAGAAGCCCTGGTACAAAGAACGCAAGCTGAAGCTTGTGGTCGTTTTTGAATAGTTCTTTGCATGAAGCCGCTGCGTCTGCGATGGTGGATTCGTCTGCGGGCTGTTGTTAGCTTCGGTACAAAATTTATAGAACACCGAAAAGAATTAATACCTGTGACATCGAGTTTCAATACCGTTAATCGTGCTTCGTCAACCTTCAATCCCTCCAGCAATTCCTCTTTTAGCTTGCCCAAGTCTTTGCGTGCTGTCGCAACGACAGGTGCATTGGTGGTCTGCAGCACCCTTCTGGCAATCGCGAAACCTATGCCCCGCGAGGCAGGCGATATCATGGACCATGGCGGCATTTTAACGATGGAGGTCTGTCAATAACAACAGCATCTATCTTCAACAACTGAGAACTACATTATGAGGTTGCTGAACTTTGGTCGTAGCGCGATCGATGATGACATTATACTTGCCCTGGCCATCGAACTTGGCCGCTTTGAGCTTAACGCACAACCACTCTGCCAAAGAACTCGACACCTCGCGCTTCAGGAATCGACATTGATATTATGGGGTATATGATATTCGTATATATTTCACGATACAGAGGGGTATGTCCCACCAGAGTTATTGTGTCTCACCAGCCACTCGGCGTCCTCGAATACCGACACCTCCTGAACGTTTGCAAGACATGCTCGGGCTCAAGGTCGCCATTCTCCAGCTCCAAGCCCACGACCTTGGCCAACGCGGCAGTAAGCGCCGAATTCTGTCTCTGCAGGAGCATCACTCTCTCCTGTAGCCTGAACATCTTGTCTGCGCTGCTCTCCTCCAGGACCTCGATCTCTACTGCGCTGTCCCCTATCATCTCGCCGCTGCCCGGCTCGGGCGTGTGTCTGGGTGTCGGCAGCGCACCAGCGCCGGTTTCTGAGTTGTCCTGCAGTGTTGATGCCGACCCGGAAATGGTCGACGGGACTTCCCTCCTCCTGATGCGTTTCAGATCGCGCAGCTTCCTCGCTTTTGTCTGTTCTTCTCGCGATAGAGGACGCTCATCGAGTGGATGCTCGTCGACAGGGACTGGAATTGGGCTGATGGGCGGGCTCTTCTCTTTCCGCAGCGCGTTTGCAGCAACTGCCATGATGTTGGGTGCAGAGAAGGACCGGCTCACTCGGTCGTAAGAGCTGAAACCCTGGATAGCACGCTCCACCGCGGGAGACGCAAGAGCGGGGACAAGCAAGTCTTCAGTGAAGCTCAACGACATGCGTCGGGGTCGGTGCTTAGGGTCTTGTGATCCGTGAACCGCGACAGGGAAAGTGGGATTATCCGTGCTGGACAGTCTAGGAATGATGATCCGGAGATGCTTTGCTCCGCTCGTTGTTATCATCTCACGAGCGCAGGTAGGTACTTTGGGTTTCTGACGTGCACGTTGAGGCGACCCTTCTACAGACCCGACGCGCGCAGCAAGACTCTTGCGTTTGACTTTAAAGATCTTTGGGCCGCCCTTTGCATGCTGTCGACTGACCGCTTGGATATCAGTCTTCGGCCCTGTGTTTCTCAGATAAAAACTGAGATCGTTGAGGCCTAGGTCGCTGCTGGCGGTAAGTGCGTCGTGGCCGAGGATTGGTGGCGCCATTCTTCCAAGGCAGGAGGAGCCAGCTCGGGCTGCTTGCCCTACCATCCCGTGTTGGCTTCGTTGCTTTGATATCCGGATCTCCGAAGCCCTATGGTCGTACTCTGTGAATTGGCCTTCAGCCGCACGGGCAAAGTCACTATCCACTGACGTGATAGATTCTTTACGGAGGGGGAATCGTGGATTGGTCCGACGCTTGGGACTTCGCTCTGGTACAGCCGGTGGTAGGTCGGTGATCAGCTCCAGGTCGTCAATTGGAAACATAGTGACTGGTTCTGTGGAGCGCAAGGTTGGATCCGGCGAATGCGGCAGTGGCATTTTCGGTGGGCTGGGTGTGTGACGGTGGCGCACCCTTCTCAAACTCGACTCTCGACTATCCGCCTGACTGTCGAAGTACTTCTGGATTACACCAAGCGGCGCCACTTCCTCCAGTTTCTCGAGATCTTCTTGCGTAGGCTTGTCACTGTTGGTGTCGCTCCTCGACGCATCGCGTTCATGTTTGGCTACCCATGGCTCCAACGAAGCATAAGGGAGGCTTGTATTGGCCATAGAACCGACGACTTTGTAAGGTGTCTGGCGTCTCGACTGCTTCTTTTCTTTCGAATCATGATCTGGTGTGCTAGTGCTCCGGACACGGACGTCTCTCTTCTGGTGGCTGTTTGAGATGATGGCTCGTGCCTGACGTGGCTGGTAGGTGATGATCTTCGTCATGGGACCAGACATTGATCGACGTTGTGGCGGCGCAGCCATTGGTCGATACACTTCTGGGGACATTGGGGGGGATGAAGCAAACATGGTCGGTGATGAGGCAACGCCGACTTCTCTTGAATCGAGTTCGAACGGAGACCCAGGATTGACAGTCAGTCGCTTCTGCTCCAGGGCAGGACCTGCCGAGGAGCTATAACTTATTTGACTGTTGATGCGAGGACGTGAATAGTTTTCGTTCGAGGAGGATGTTGAAGGCCGATACACTTCGATGTTCTGCGGTGCGCGCATGTCGAAGTTTCTAGGAGTGTGGTTCACAAACATATCCTTTCGCTTACGCTGGGCACCAAACTCGTCAATATAGTGCACTGGAGCGAGTGATAGTCTGGTCTCGTGCGTCTCCGAAGCTGCAGCCGTAGCCGTCGTTGTGTTATCGTTGTGCGTCTCGGCGGTGGACTTGCGCTTCAGACTTGGTAGAGTAACACTGGCCCTCCGGTTCTGCTCTTTGGATTCGGCAAGCGTTCCTGCGTACTCGAGCGCGCTAATACCAGGGTGACCAAACATAGGGAATGAATTGATCAATGTCTCTGTAGACAGAGACTCAGCCATTTGCAAATGTGGGAGGCCGCGCCGCCTAAATGCTTACGCTGAGCAGCGGGACCGCCGTGTGCCAGACCTCACGGGAGTGAGCAGCTGCAACAGCTGGCGACAGCTGAGTTCAGAACGTGGCACAACCAGGAGACTGGTACTCAGCATATGCAATTGCTGTTGTACCACTCTTACTTAGGGAAAGTTTCGGCTCTTCTTTGGCCCTTACGTTGTAACGTCGGCTAGGGATGATGGCTACATACAGAGTGGAATACTGCGCGTAAAGCGAATGCCCGAATCTGAAGGGAGGAAAATCCTGCAGTGTAACTAGTGGCGGTAATTGACAGTAGGGATCACTTCTCGAGCTCGTGATGGACGTTACGTGACGCGACGTGACACGGCAGGCGTGGATGTTGAGCAAGTGGTCGGCAGCAATGACCTGATCCTCAACGAAGTGACAGGCCTCAAAGGCCGGGGTAAGGTCCGATTAACAGAAGCAAGGGCCTTGGGGTGGTTCGCAAAAAGTTCCTTTCATATTGATTGCCTGTAAAGCTTGGTACCGAAACTACTGGAGCAGCTATCAACAGTTCAATTGATCTGTTGTTGTATCGCAGGTGTCGGGATCTCGACCTTGGTTGTCGGGATCCTTCGAAAGCCTCTGACGGATTGCTGCTTGGAATGTAGGACAAGATTGTCGCGTTGCTGCGAGAAGCGTTGTGCAACTTGCCTTCTTTTAGCAACATCAAAGGGAGTCTTTCAGTCTTTGCGACCCGCACGAATGGAAAAGACCAGTGTTCAGTAGCTCTGATCAAGAGACAAACTTGGTGAAGACCGTTCTATCGATGTTTAAGGCGCGATAAATGAGTCTGATTGCTGTCATGCGTTCCGTTGCTCTGGAGTTGACGTGTGTCGACTCGCAGATGCTGTGCACCATAAGCTTTGCAGGAAGCCATTCCGATGCAACTGTAGACGAGAAAGACAATTTAGCCGCGGCGAGCGCCTCTCAGGAGTGCTGGCAGGCCATAAGCAGTATAGGCAAATTCACAGACGGCACATCTGAAGATCACTGGTATATCGCCGCCATCATATCCAGCCACGAGCGCCCTGCCGTCTTCCGGCCAATCCTTAAAGGTCGACAAACTTATATGGGGACGCCTCCAAAAAGCAAGCATACGCAGATCCCCGCTATCTAATCTACAAAGATACCAAAGTTTACCATGAACGCCGATCAAATGCGGAAAATGCATGTCATAGCCAAACGCCACGGACAGGATCCAATGTTTACCCTGTCTTCGGCTTCTTGGGCCTATTATCAATGAACGGCCCACTAGGCTTGGGCCTCTTTCTGATCTTAGGTTTTGCCCGCATACCCCCGAGAACGTCTCCGGGCGTGCTTGCGCGATCGCTCTCGACTGCCGGTGAGCTTCTTGCATGAGCGGCAGGAGTTGATGTACCGCTGTCGCCATTGCGTGCATGGGTGTTAGCGTTTGAAGCCGTGTCCGATCGATCGCCGAACAAATCGAAATCATCGCCGTTGTTTTCGTTTTTGATGTCTGGGCTGTCGCTGAGCTTGCGCTTTGCGTGATGCACAAGTCCCTGCTCCGTCTTGATCTCCTGTTTGATCTCTTGCTTCGAACCCTGTTCAAGCTCTTGCTTGATGCCGCCTCCGTTGGACTGATGAGCCCCCTTGCTACTCAAGGACTCTGATTTAGGTTCCGTAGTTGAACACTGCGACTGCAAGTAACCTTCCTTAGGTGCTGGGTACTTGCTCGAATGCTCGCTTAACATTTTCTTGATGTTGCCATCTGTGAACCTCTTCCTACTCTTCGCATCCTCGACCAGCTTCCTCCAGAATTGACCTCGGACAAGTGATTGAGAGTTGCCTAAGACCCAAAGTGAAGACTTGGCGCGTGTCAGGCCGACGTTCATTCGGCGAATGTCCTGCAAGAAACCAATGCCACCTGCTGGTGACGCACGCACACACGAAAAGATGATAACTTCGCTCTCGCGACCTTGAAAGGCATCGGTGGTGTTGAAGTCAATTTCGTCGATGATGTTGGCGCCATACGCATATGTGAATTGACTCTTCAGCTCCCTGAGCTGACTCTTGTAAGGCGTGATAATACCAACTTTCCCCTTGAAGTCGTAGCTTGCGTAGTCGGTGGTAAGTCGCTTATATAATTGTAGAGCGACATCAATTTCAGCTCTGTTGATCAACGAATGGCCCTTCGGTGCGGCTGACTGTTGACCAAGGACGTCAAAGAAGCGATATGGGCCAAGCAGCATGCTCTGGTGCCACGGCTGCTTGCGCATACCTGCCATATCGCCACCATCCAAGAGCTTGCCATCGTAGAATGTCTGGCTTGGGAACAGACTAATCTCGGGATGCATGCGGTATTGCGTATCCAGAAGATGCACATCATCGGGGTGGTTCTTTTGCATACGAACGAACAAACTCTGTTCGTAAGCGAAACGAGCAGCTTCCTTGGAGAAGACCGTAGGTGGCAGCTGCTTGGGATCTCCGACTAGAATGCACTTTGCGCAGCCATACTTGAGAGGAATAAGTGCACTCATCTCAACGCACTGTGCGGCCTCGTCGACTATGACAGTCTCGAATTCGATGCTGAGGCCCTGAAACATCTCATGGCCAGAACCACTAAGCGTCGCGCAGATGACGTGTGCGTTGTTCAAGATGGCTTCCTGAGCTCGTCGGCGATTGAGATCCGCATTGCGACCAGCAAGCTTCTCGTCGTCTTTTGCATTGTCGATTCTGGTTCCGAGGTTCTGCTTCTGTTTTCGCAGAGCGTTGATGTCCTCTTGAAGCTTCTTCGCGTCGTCACCCTTCAGCTCGCCGGTCTGGATCTGGTCTATAGCGTTCCTCAACTTTTCGGAAATTGCCTTGTGATCAGTAAACAGCTTCTGTGTGGCCTCACGGTCGCTATTCTTTGTGTTCGTAGTGCCCAATTTCTGGCTAACGAGCTCTTCCAAGCAGACGTCCTGCACTTCGGACTTGATAGCGTCGCTTCGACCGAGACGCACTATGTTCAGCTTGCGCGCATCGCCGTTCAGAGTCTTGATACCAGTCTTGAAACGCATGACTAATTCGTCGACAGCTGCGTTACTTGGTGCACAGACTAGCAACTTTTTCGCTGCCGTGTCACTTCGCTGTTGAGCGCCGGGCACCGGTACGGCTGTTCCACCCCTTCGTAGAGTATCTGACAGGATTGCACCAACAATGGCAGTGATGGTCTTCGTCTTTCCGGAGCCAGGGGGACTAGGTTCGTATTAGCAAGACGTGCAGCTATGCTGAATGTGGGACGTACCCTTGAATCAACGTAAAGGCATCGTTATCCATCGCTGACTTGACAGCTCTAGCTTGTGCTTTGTTCAGATTGTAGTTCTCCACAAGCGGGTCAATTTGCTTGTCGCTGTAGGTCAGAAGAGGCGATGGCTTGGCCCGGATGATCTCGTCACAAAGGTCATAGTACTGTAAGCCCTTCAGCGCACCGTACTCACGCTCAAGCGGCGTAATGGATTGCAGCTTGATACCAAAGACAGAACTGCTTGGGTTCAACGCAGAGGACAGAGGATTGCCTGGTACTACGCGGTATGAGACTTCAATGTGCTGCTGTTTCCTTTTTACACGAAACACTCTTGCTAGGCAGGTCGGCACCTCAGCTGAGGGCGTCTTTGTCCGGGACAGGAGGATGATATCGCCTTCCGAGATGAAGATATCACGGTTCTCTTCATGCGTCATCGTGCTACCGACTTCTTGGAACATGTCCACACTTGCTCGTGACGTGATGCGGACCTCATAGGCCTTGTTCTGGTTTTCTTCTCGAGCTTTGACGAACCCTTGCCAGGCTTCCAGCGTCAAGAGTGGTTCAAAAGTGTTCTGATAGTCGTTCGGTGTTCGGAAGGTATTGAGAACCTTGGAGTAGATACTGGGATTCGACTTGGGCGGATAGTCCCCGTCGTGGTAGTAGTCCCAGCTGAGAATGGCCCTGTGGAGCGATGACAAATCAGGAGCAAGGCGAGCACGCATGTCCTTGATAGAGCGCTGTACCCTCTTCTTCTTGAATGGCATCTGTATCTTGACTTCGTTAATGATGTTCGTCTTCGGTCCAGCCACTGCCTTCGACTTTTTAATGCCGAAGAGATCTTCATCGATGTCACCTTCGCTATCATCAGACTCATCGGACGAGTGCATGAGACCTTCACCCTTAGCTGCAGAATCTTTGCCCAAAACACCCAGGCCTTCAAGCCCAGAACCTGCTTCGTTAGTCTGTGTAAGACCACGAGCTTGTTTGGCCTTCGCAATGGCAGCCGCCCTCTCTTTCTCTCGTCTTTGTAGTTCGAGCTGGCGCTTCCTCTTGAACTCATCTTGAGAGTTCTTTTGTGCATCAACAGCTTTTTGCTTAGCAAGCTTCGCCTCTTGGGCCCGCATAGCTTCCCTCTTCTCTTTGAACGCACTCGAGCCCGAAGTCAGGCTGGACATCAGTCTCGCCTTTGCGTCGCTCGGTGACGCTGCTACACCCGTAGACATCCATTTACTGATAGAAGCTTGCTTAGGTGCCACGGCCTCTTCTTCCTTGACAATGGAGTGCCCAAGATGTGTTTCGAGTGCTTGTTGTAACTCAGCCTGTTGTGTTGTACTGAGCTTAGCTCGAATGTCACCAGTCAAGATTCTCTCCATGTAAGATAGAGTCTCGGTGCTGATTTCGATCGACACATTGTGCAGTCGAATAAGAAGCTTGCTGATAAGAGTGACGGACTTGCTCGACAAGAATTCATCTCGTAGACGGAGCCACTTGGCCAAGCCTTCCATAGCATTTGCAGGCAACTCAAGTAGCTCTTGCAGTAGCTCGGTTTTCGCCTTGCTCTCATCATCACCCGACTGGGCCTGCTTCTTCAGAGCTGTCGCAAAGATGCTACATTGGTCAAAGACCTCGTCGGCAAATTGCATGGTATCTCGACAGAAGTCCATCATCATCTGCTTGTCATAGAAGCCCAAATTGCTCCAGGCTTCTGTGGTCGCAAAAATCATGGTAAGTGCATCCCACAAATTTCTCCAGATAGTCATTGTTGCCGCTGCTTCTCCATCATTAAGGTCTTTGGTACGCAAGACACCGTCTTGGGAGTTGCACAGAACATCGATAACGTCTCGACATGTCCGAATCATACTCGGAGTGGGCGCGAACGCCTTCTTGCGCATGACTTGGCGAACCGAATCCGAAATGCCCAAAACTACATTCCTAAAGTAGTTCTTGATAATGTGCTGCAGGGCATCTCGTCGCTCCTCTTCCAGACTAATGACCTTGAGTAGCTCGATAGCTGAACTCCTAGTGTCCTCTGTCGAAGAAAACAATAGTGAGACGATCGCACTCGCGGCTACTGGTTTCTCGAAAAGAGCGTGTAGCTGCGATGGATTGAACTCGGACAATCGATCAACGACATCCGTAATCGACTGAGAAAGGAGCTTGAAACGATCATTGAAATGACGCACCTCTGCGGGGACCTTCTCAACGCCGGACTTCATTGACAGAGGTTCAAGTCCAATCAGAGCTCTTCCCGCAACGAGTAGATGTGATGCAAGGTCCAGGCTCTGATGGTCAATGGCCTTCAATATAGTCTTCCAAATCGGCGCAGAAGACGGTGTCTCTGTCGGCGAAGGCTTTTTCGCCGAGATCAGCTGCCTTTCAATAATCAAAGACTGAGCTTCAAGCAAGAAAGCGTTCTGGATCACAGTCAAAGTTAGATCTGCATCTTCTATATCTGCGTCGCTGCCGCTGCCGCTGAAGGTCTTCAGCCTCGAAACAAGCAACTGAATATGCGTCGAGAACATGTCCATCATGCCGTTCACTGTTGGTTGTCCGACGAACTTTTCGATTGTCTTTCCTTCGCACATCTTCTTGAACGTGAATTCAAGCACCTTCAAGCCTTCGCGAAAGCACTTCGCTCTGGATACTTGAGGGTATCGTTCGTCCTGGAAGCGACCGAAAAGTGCCTGTGCAAAAGGCCGAACAGCTGGACCAAGATTTGCTGGCTTGATAGAAGCGGTGAACCGAGGTATCCAACTGAATGCTGCCTGAACGTTGTTCATACTCTGTTCATCATCTCCCCTTGCTGCAATCAGCACCTGCTGTAACACAGGGCTGTTGAAAATCTGCTCGACGACTGTAGCTATTGAAGGAGTGACGGCGTTCATGCCTTCCCAGAAGTCAACCGGGGCTTTTTTAAGTAGCTCCTCCATTGCGGCAAGTATGTCGAGAAACGCTTCCGACTTGAGGGAAAGATGGTCGAGCATCAACCGATAGAAGTTTCCATCGAGGCCGCGAATGTACTCTGATATCAGCTCTCTGTCCATTTTGCTGATAATCAAACGAGCACCACTCCAGAACAATGGGACCAGTTCGAAATCGAGATTGTTCATCTGGATCTTCATCATAGCACTGATCATATAGTCTCGCACAGCCCACTCAAACTCTGTCTTCAGAAGATCGCGCTTGAACGTTGACCAAGTTGTCGCTGCCCATCGTTGGCGACTCTCTTTCTTGCTGAAGAGGAATCGCGTCATGGCTGGGAGGTAGGCTTGCACCTTCAGCCGTTTTTTTGTTTGAACTAGCTCAAATGGACCATCAAAGTGCTGTGTGAGGCGATCCTCGTTCCGCACAAGGGCATCGCAGCTCAACGCCTCGAAGAAGGCATATGTGCACGATGGTGGCAGTATCCGTACGCCGCGAGCTTTTGGTTCTGCGCTGCTCAGTATGGCGTTTGCTTCGTCCAAGCCAGGTTGTATACGCCCAAGACATTGCTCGTCCACCACGTTCAAGAAGTCCCCTATGTTTTCTTCGTCGTATGTGTCGAAAAGTCGTGTCCTCCATTCAGCTCTCGATTGGTGAAAGACTCGCACGCAGACATCGCAACTCTGCATGAGCTGGTTCAGCCGGCTCAGCAGCCATTCCTTGTGGGGTGCTGCCTCGTCTCCATCAAAGGCCAATATTTCCATTGCCTTCAACGTTGTCCATTTCCGCTCGTTCGCTTGTAGCAAGTGTAGCTCGCGGTCTTGTAATATGGCAGGATCGGTCTCGGGCGGGTAGTTTGCTACGTCTTCGTCGTAATATATTGCCCCATCTTCGCCGGTGCGAGGGCAAAATAGATGTTGCTCCTCAGGTAGCGCTCGAAGCTCGCTACACGATTGAAGGTTAGCCATTACTCGTTCGTGTGTGAGGGTGCTACAGGTGATGACGTTTTGGATAAGGAGACTGATGCAAGTGAGAGAAGAGACTGAAGGTGAGTCTGATGACGGCGTGCCTGCCCATCATACTTACTTGATCTTCTCGAGGATCTCCGCCATGTTCCACCACAGCGGCCCTCCACGGCGCTCAGAGGTGAGCGGCCCGTACTATGGACAGGACAATATATCACAGCACGCTGGCAGCGCCTCACCGCGACCCACAAGCGCTCGCAGTCGCTGGTGGAGGAGGAAAGCTATCTACGGCCGCCAGTGCACCACGTCTCCCCTTCTGCGTACCTGCCTCAACTCCGTAATGGGTGCGCGTCGAAGGAACGCGCCCTGCTCTATGTACAGAGCAATGGAGAACTTCGGTGGAGGGGCGGTGCTTGATTGCGTGGAGGTTGAGTGGTGTAGTGGCAGCGCGGAGAGCAAGTCAATAGACAGCAGGCGTCATTGCAGCGAAGGGCCCGCTCAAAGAATCTCACAACGCGACGACGCGACCCACTAACGCGTGTGGTCGGCGCCAAGCCAACCAAGCTTCAAATTCCGTCAGGCATCACATAGTCATTGCTTTAACATTGTCACAGATCGCAGGGGTTACATGTTCTGCCGATGCACGTGTCCAGGGTGCAATGAAGTATCGTTGAAGGCTCAGCCAGCCCGAGAGCTTCAGCTATACATTAACTATTTATACCGCTCATCCGCAGCCGTCAGCACCTCTATCGTTGCTGGTCTACGACCTTGCAGCCGTCAAAACCCAAACGCAAACAAGCTAAAGAAAATGCAAAAAGTAATGGGAGTCGCGTATGCCAGACAACGTGCACCCAAGCAACGCCCGTTTGCAGCTAAGGCAAGAGGAAAGAGGAATAGCAATGGTGTATAAGTGAACGCCTGATGCGCAACATGGTGGGGAATATTTTTATATACAAGTCGTTAAAACAGTGGAAATGCGGCGTCGTCACCGTCACCTTGGTGGACTCTTTGGTGGTGATTTGAATTCTGATGATTTTAGTTCCGGTGAGCTTTTTGGTGAACTTGTGGTTATCGCAGGTACAGCTGGTGCGTCATGGGGGTCTGTGGGTGCCTCCTCTCGTGTAATCGTCGCACGACGGATGGCGTTCCTTAATCGACTTCCTATGTTGCCGGCTGCCCCGGTTGAGCCGCTTTGGCTGCCAGTGCGCCCGACATAGCTGTGTCGGCTGTGAGCTGACTCGATGCGAGTGAGCATAGCTGCTGAAGTGAAGTCGTTGCTTTGTTCGAAACTCGGCCTCACACGGTCCATAGACATTCTTGCGCGGTCGAAGCTGGGCCGCACGCGATGATTTTCGTAGCTGTTAAGTGGACGACCTTCAGAAGACATCCGAGGCGCCGCAGGGAGTCCTTCCATCGAGCGGCGATATGTGTAGTCGGTGCTGTTGCTCCCATTCTGACTCCGAGGATTATGCGTTGTGGCAGTTGGCGCTACGGAAGGAGGGTATATGGGTCGAACATCGTCATCGGTAGGCTCGGCGTTGGCGACCTTGTATTTGTCTGCATCGGCTACCGGTACAACCGGGGCAGCCTTACCGGGTGGAGGGGGAAGGTAGCTAGTGTTGTCTTTCAGGTAGTCAAACTTTCCTTGGCTGACCTGTTCGCGGATGATGTCGACGTCGAGAGGGAAGTACATCTTTTGTGCAGCCTTGAAGATGAATCGCGGAAGCAGACACATGATTGTCGCAACGAGAACGTACGCCCAAAAGTTCAAAGTCCCGTACACTTCCGCGCCAGCCTTGTAGAACTGAGCACTTCCAGTGAAAGATGTGTAAATGCCTGTCCAAGTCCAAACCAGGATCGTACTGATGGCGACGATCAGTAGCATCAGCCAATCCCATCGATAGGTATTGTAGAGGACGTAGATATTGGCAGCACAGACAGCAGTGGTTGCCGCGTATACACCCATGCGCCTGTACTCTGCAACGTCCAGACCGTTTGAAGTTGAAAACGTAGCAGGATAGAAGATTTCGTATACCAAGAAAAATGCGATAGCGGATTGGTAGACGCCGTCAACCATGTATGCCCTAGTGCTAGTCAGTAGATGTTTGCTGATGAAAAACAAGTAACATACCAGAATTTGGGCTGAGTCCACTCCTTCCGCTCAATGCCGCGACGATACAGCTGGGGGACTGCAAGCGAAATCCTGTCATCGACGTCTTGGTCCAGTACACCCATTACAATAACTGGGAGAGAAGTGAAAGCAAGATTGAAGAAAATGATGTACGTGTAGTCGAAGATGTACTGGCTGTCGAAGTTGGTGTAGATCTGATACCAGAAAAGGGCGAACGTCCAGACGATGTTCTATAGACAGGTTAGCACATGCTTCGATGAGGTGCCTTTCCAGACTGACCTTGTAAAAGAAATTGGCAATAGTCTCTGCCAGACGTCGGTAAGACCACCGACCATGGACGAGTACGAGGCGAGTCAAGAAGCGGAATTGTCCGATGGCGTAATCGGAGGACATGACAGCTGCGCGGCCCTCAACACCGGCAATACCGACACCAACGTGGGCTTCCTGGATCATGGCGACATCGTTGGCACCATCACCGATGGCCAGCGTTAGACAATCGAGACCTGTCTTGACCATATTGACTACGGCAGCCTTTTGGCTGGGGCTGACACGACAGCAAAGCACAGAACGACAACGTCTACAAAGCAGAAGGAACTTTCGCTTGAGAGTATCATCCAATGCAAGTTTGAGAGTGTCGCCATCAATGATGATGGCATGGGTCGGTGGTGGGGGCTCGTGGTCGTCTTGGGCAGCCTTTAGCTCTTCTGCAGAACCCGTCAAGCCGAAAATAGCCAGCTTCTCATCGAGCTGAGCTTCCAATGAATCGATGTTGTCATCTGTGACCTTGAGGATAACGAGATCCATGTCGTTGTCAAGAAGGTTACAAGAGAATCCGATGTTGATGGCTGTTTCGACTTTGTCGCCAGTCAAAACCCAAAGTTTGATGCCGGCTTGACCAAGAAGCGATATCGACTCTGGTACGCCATCTTGCAGTCTGTCTTCGATAGCCGTACCGCCGATTAGCCATAATTGGTTCTCAATTCGGTCGGACACTTCCTCAAGTCTTTCCTCTCGATCAGCAATAGAATTGGCGGCGATGTCGTAGTCCTTGTTCCAATCAGCATACTCCTGCTCGCCAAGTTCCTTCTGCGCGATGCAGAGAGTTCGAAGTCCTTCTCTTGCGAACATCTCAAGATGTTCACCGGTGGTAACACGTAGCTGTCTTTGCTCGTTGGGGATCAACCGGGAGTAAATCATGCTATCAGCACCCTTGCAGAACAGCATGATCTTCCCATCAGGCATTCTGATGATCGCGCTCATACGTTTTCGGGTGGAGTTGAACTCCAGTGTGTTGAGAACTTGATATCGACGCTCATCACCAAGGACGTTAACGATGAGCTTGTCGTCTTCTCGACCGACGAAGGTGAATCCGACGTCACGAGCCGTTGCAACAAGCGCCGCCTCATCAGGAGACTGGGCCTTGTACTCGATCTTCGGAGGGTCTCCTGGTGTTCTCTCGGTGACAACGGTGTGGCAGAGAGCAAGTGCAAGCATGAATTGTTCGTTGGCCGTCTTCTGCTCTGCACCGGACGTACCAGCAAGATCATCGACGTAGTCTGGTGCAACGAAAGTGAGATCGTCATCTCGCAGGTAAGGGTTGTTGTGCAATTTGCGGCTTCCCTCGAGCATTCGCACGCGGTCGCGAGCGATTTGCTCTCGGGCGCGGGCACCTTCAACTTCGACGTCAATGCCTTGTCTTCTTTGCATACCAGCTTGAGCTTCGGTGTAGGCCTCGCCGTATGGGACACCGTTGATCGTGCACTTCTTGAATTCCATGACATTCTGGGTTAATGTACCTGTCTTGTCTGAAAAGATGTATTCGACCTGTCCGACATCATCCGATATATTCCAGGATTTGGGTGTGCAAGGGTAGTCGAGCTCTTCGTAGTACATTTGAACGTCGCTGTAAATGAAGAGCGCCTGCAAGGTACGGATAATTTCCAAGGTGATGTAAAGAGAAATGGGGACCAAATTCTGGAACAGAATAACACCAGCCCAGAAGGAGATGACACCATCTGTTGCTGGGCTTCCGCCGTAGGAACCATACTCGAAGACTGAATGTGAGGTATCGTCCCTGGCCCAGGTGACACCGAGAACGATTCCAGAGACCAAACACATTAATGCCAATATGATAAAGTTGTAGATGACGTTCCAGTTGAGATCCTTCGAGATCCTAGCGCGCTTGCTAGGCGTCACACCAGAGTTGATCATGATCTTAGTCTCCTCTCCAGTGAAAACAACCACGCCAAGTACCCATTCGGTGTTTCGCAGCTGGCAACCTCGCAGGAGAAGGTTGTTGATCGAGACGGGCTCAGCCATTTCATAGGTGGGGGTTTCTGGATCCTTGGGATTATGCTGCTGCCACCTGATGACAGCGCTGTAAGAGTACAGGTTCGAATGTGGGCCTTCGCTCTCAATAGCGAATTCGGCGCGTTCGCAGTGGCGGGCGTGCCGTACGTCGCGTGTAGAATGCAGAGCGTTTCTAACTTTCAGGTTCGTCTCTCCGTCCAAGTTTTTGGTCTCAACATAGCAAGCGCCGTCGTCCGACGACGTCGATAGGACAATAACGTCTGCAGGGATTTCCTCGTCGTTGTACAGGCGGATGAAATCACCGACCTGTACGTTCTTCCATGCATCTTTCTTGAAGCGAGCGGCCTCTGGAGAAGTCTTGAAAGGATTGAGCACGCTGCCCCAGAACTTCTTGGTCGCCGTTCCCTTTGAGTCTGCGCCTCGAATCTTATCGCTTTCGCCAGGACCGGTCGCGCTAGGTGGAGGCGAATGGCTAGGCGACGCGCCAGGCAAAGGCGAAGGAACCGGGGTCATCGGAATGCCCTCCTCCGCTTCCATGTACGAGGACCTGCGAGTAGCGACCGAAGCGCGGCGAGTGTCGACGGAGGAACGGAGGCCGTCGTTGCCACGCTCACTGCCCTCTTTGCCCTTGGCATTCTTCTTGCTGCTCGCTTTCTTCATGAGCCTGTAGGTGACGATGATGGTCTTCGTGCACGCCTTCTTGAACCTCCTCCACGGCGAGATGGTGTCCTCGGCGGTGTTGACATTGTTGAAGTCGACCAGTCGGTGCACGGGGGCGTTGTTGAGGTCATTGTCGAGGATTGTCCTCCGCCAGTCCTCGACAGCGTCCTTGATGGCAGTCACGACGATGATGACGATAAGGGGCACGGCGTTCAGGGCGGGATTCGAGGCTCCGAAAATCTGGAAGATCTGCAGCGGGAGGTGTTAGCGCTGCACTGACCAGGCGCAGGGAGATGAAGGTGTACGTACGCCCAAGATAATAATAAACAGGAAGTAGATGTTGGCAATGTTGTGGAACTGGAACCACAGGTTCTTCGGCACGAAGCTTATAGGGGTGTATTTGGCGGTTCGTATCTTGTTGCGCGCGTACGAGTGGATCGGGGTGCCGTCCTCGTCGCGTTCCGAGGGCGGCAGCGGCACGTTGAAGTAGACGCGGCGGCCAGAGTCCTCCTCGTCGTGACCGGCATCGGACGACGCAGGCGACTTGTCGCCCTCGAGCCCGCCGAGCGAGCCGCCCTCTTTCCCCAGCGAGTCGCGCTTCTCGCCCGAGTTGATGCGGCGGTGCAGGCGCTCCTTCAGCGAGTGGCGCTTGTTCTCGGCCTGGGTGCCCGTCGCGCGGTGCGTCGCCCAGCGGATGCGCTTGACGGGGTTGGAGATCTCCGGCTCGAGCTCGGCAAAGGGCGGCTGCAGACTGGGGGCGTTGTTGGTCGAACTCATGGCTGCTACGAGGCGGCGGCGGAGGTTCGGGGGTGCTGCAATGGCCGGCCGCAGCCGGAAAGGCCTCTATGCAGGCAAATTCGCCAATGCGCCTGCGGGAGCGAGAGCGCGAGGGTGCAGAGCGTGGCAGACGGGCAGCCGGGAGGCAGCAGACGGGCGGTGGTGGGTGGTGGGCGAAGGGGGTGGGTGCGAGGCCAGCGAGGAGTGGTACGCGGGCTTATGCAGATATTATGGGACCCCGGACCGCGGAAGGGCAGCGACTCCCATGCAACACCAAGCCTGGGCGAGCGAGCGGCGGTCGGCGAGCGAGTCTGGTGGGCTCAGTGGGCGGACTTTGTCTGGCACAGTGCAGGAGTCTCGTCCAGCGTCAGTGGCAGCGGTGCAGCGGTGCAGCGGTGTCGTGCGGCTCGAGGCGCGGGAATAGAGAAGTAGCGGAGGGCCCGGACACCAAACCTCTCTGTCTGATTGCACTCTGCGCGTTGCTTACGAGCGCATTCGGCCGGGGTGCACGGCGTTTGCGCAGAACCGTGCCGAGCGTCGCCGCTATGCTCTGGAAGCGCTGCAGCTCTTCGTCCGTCAGCCCGTCTGCGGTACAGTGCCTGGCGCGCTCGCCTGCGCCGCTGCACCGCGACTGCACGACTGCGCGCTCGACGGCGACGCTGCGTGGCCTCAAGGCTGCCCCCAGGCTGCCTCCAAGCCCGTCTCGCCGCGGTGCCAGGCCCGCGACCGTGTGCGCAGTTCGCTGGGCTGGTCGCTGGTCGCAGCCCTGCGCCCTGCACGCCGCACGCCGCGATGCTCCAGCCCCGGCGCCCGTCAGCACCATCTGGCAGCGTCATCCACCCGCGAGCCCACGCTACGACACTGAGTATGAGTAAGCTGCCCTGTGACGCCGTGCCATCCAGCCGTCGTCTCTCGACCGCTTTTGACCGCGTTTCAGTCGTCAGCGCTGCGAGCACGGGCGTCGCAGCCTGCCTAGCGGCTCGTACGAAGAGGTTGTTAATTTAGGCGTGGCCGCCAAACATGTAGTCTGCGACTGACTGTGCAGCCCGCCCATGTCTGGTGCGGTGGCCCTGGGAGGCCTTTGAAGATCAATGCGAAACATTCAAACGGCCTCACCAGCGCTGCCGGCTATGCACTGCACGCTCGCTGCACGCCCGTACGCGCATCCATAGCAGCTGCATTGCTCGCGGCTGCCCTGCCGTGCACGAATTGCACTCTACGTCTACACGGTGTTCGGATGCGGAGAACAAGCATTCCGCTGCACGTCGTTGCGCGTGCCCGCCTTAGCCTCCCGTTGACGAGACACACCTAGGCTTCTCATCACGTGATCGCGCGCCATTCTGCTTGGACGAGCCAAGCATTCTGCACAACTAACCCCACTCCGTCACCGCGTCGCGTTGCCGTGCTGTGCGCGCAGTGTCTCTGCCGTCATGAAGCGGCAGCACTCGTCAAACAACAAAAGCATTCTTCATTTCTTCAAGGGCGTCCCACGCACTGCACAAGAAAGCCCCCCAGGTACCTCGCCTTGCCTGCCGCGCCTGTCGCACGGCCACGGGTAGTTGCAGCCTCAGGCTGATCAATCTAGCAACAGCAAACACCAGCACCGACCATGTCTCGCAGCCACCCCCGTCCGCTGGCCCAGTGCTGCCAGCATCTGTGCCATCCTCTACAGCTAGTGCTTCTGCATTCTTAACTTCGACAGCTTCCACAATTGCAGATGCACCAGCAACCGACTCTGTCATGACGTCGATCGAGACTCCGCCAAACACCTCACAGATCTCTGCAAACTCGGGCGCCAGCAAGCGAGTCCTGTCACATGGACAGCAAGTCGTCCTGAACTCTGATTCGGACTCGGACTCTTTGGGCGACCTCGACTTCGGCCTCCCTGCGCCGAAGCCCAAGACCCCGACTCAACCCAGTCGGCCGAGTCGCAGGACAGGATTCGACGCGCCCGAGCTGCGCCGACCGCCCAAATCAGCTAGGAACAATGGCGCACGATCCTTTAACCAGCTCATGGAGACGACACAGAAGAATCTGGTCACGGAAAGGAAGATCCAGGAGGGAAAGGCTCATCTGGACAAGGTGGATGAACACCCTGCTCTACTGCCTGCAAACTTGGACAAAGAAACGCTTAAGCATGCCATTCAGGACAGCGATGACTCGGACCACGCTGGTCGATTGCTCAAGGCGATGCAAAGGACCAATGAAACCCAGGCCCAAACAGCCTATCACTTCTTCGAAGACACCCCGAGCATGCTTCTACCTACACCGTTCCCAGAACAAATCCTGCCAGCCCATGCTTGGACTACTTGTTTCAAAGGTGCGTCCCAGACTACGCACAACGGATACCGCTAAAGTCGAGTCAGAACCTTCCACTCGAGATCAGGCCTTCTTGACTGGTTTCGCACAACAGATCTTTCGCCTACAAGCGCTGCCTAAGGAGCTCGCTATTTGGATGATAGATCAAAGTAAGGACAACTGCTGCTCCAAAACGCAACTGCTAACCTGGCTCAGTTTGTCTAGATCCCAGGGAGGCGCTCGATCAGAGATATATCGAAATACTCATGACACACGATGAGCAGTTGCAGAAGCAACTCAGCCCGAAGAAGCTCGACTTTATGTTCACATCGCTTGGTGCTCACATCGACAGTCTCAACGACAATGCTGAGATATCACCATCTGAATTGCACGCACACAGTGAACAGGCATTACCTCCAGCGCTCAAACGAATCGCCATTTTGCTCACTTCTGCTGCCCCTTGGTATGTTCGCTCCGAGAATCACGAGGCTAAGACTAAATTCTGAGAAGGCTGCATTCGAGGGCTAGGATCCACGCATTTTACTTGTTGTGTCACACCTGCTTAGACGATCGTGTCTTGCATGACCCGGACATCCTGAACTTGGTCCAAGATGCTATCGAAGCAGTCATCTGCCAGTACGCTGACAATTGCAAGTTGATTTCTGGCGTAGGAAGCCCTCTACCGGATGATTTGCACTCTCTGATCACATCCCAGCTCACTCACACTATTCCAAAATTGCTTTCGCGCGTCACAAATCCTCTTTTACAGGCGAATCTTATACACGCGTTCCCGACGAGATCACCATTGACAGCCTACTTGCAACGGCATCTGGCTTTGTCGTTCTTGTTGCACCCTCTCCCTGTCAACATACCCCTTGCAGATCCACAGTTGCCCGTACTCATTCACAAATATCTGGGAACATCATCGCATTGGCGTATGAGCAAAGACACCAATCACGGCTTTGTAACAGCTCGTATTACCCTTCTAGACATCGCAATTGGGCCTGGTCCAATGACAGTCCCGTACCTGCCGCTCCTCAGCCCTCCACCCTCAGAGGCAGGTTCTTCACCACCCTTAGCACCAACTCCAGCGTCCTCGGAAGTCAAAAAGTTCAATAAAGAGGTAGACGCTCTCGCACAACATGCCAAAATTCTCGGTAATTCCATTATCGAGACAGGTGGTGCGCTTGATCTCACCGCCTTGGAAGCAAAAGAGCGCTGTGAGAGATTGTTTTGGAGACTACAACACGCCGTGCGCGTTGGCGGGATGAGAGCAGAAAACGTCTTTGGAGATAGCGATGACGAGAAACAACTGAAGGTCAGAAAATTCTTCAAACCTCTTTCGAAGAAAATTGTCCCGACGGAGAGTGTTTTCGACGAGAAAGGCGATACCGGGTTATCAATGTAGAGCGTAGAACGTGTGTTGATGTCAAGGCCAGCACAGGAAATGTCACTTGCAAGCACCATCCAGCTATTCAATACTGAATAAATCTCTCAAATTTGACATGCCACATGAATTTTCATGTGAGCATGAAAGTCATCATTCAGATCCAGTCTCATAGACATTTCCGTCCATACATCAGCAACATCCCAATCTGGCCCACACAGAACTGGAAGCATACCAGGCCAGGACATGCGTTGCTCAGGGGGATCTACAGTCGCGGCACTCTTCGCCCGAGCACGCACAGCAACCAAGCATCCTTCGTCCGGGCTCCACCGCACTTCGCAATCTCAGCATCCCACCATCACACGCAGCCCGCAGCAACCTCTCCCGTGCCACAGCGCCAAGACAGTCTAGAAGAGGAAGTGCGTGATACCTCTGCTGGAACCTGCATTGGGCAATACTAGACTGCCTAAGCGAGGTTTGAGCCCACGCGCCTCCGCGACAAAAGAGTGGTGCTGCGTGCGTGCGTGCGTGAGCAATACGGTGAGCCTTGAAAGTAGTTTCTGTAGCTCGGCCAACGCCAGCGAGTGGGTGGTGCAGTGGTGAAGCTACCTAGCTCGCAATCCCATGTCTGCATGCGCAGCGTCGCTGTACCGCGGCGCGCTGCGCTGGGTGGGTACGGTGCTTGGTGCCTTGCTGGAGTCGTGAGCGCTCGCTCGGGACGCCTGACTCGCGCGCGACACGCCCGCGGCGCAATGTCCGCCGGCGAGGGACTCCTGTCGCGCCTCGTTTTGATTCGGTGGGCGGGGCGTTCTTGGTCCGGTCGCCGGTGTCGAGCGCCCTGGGTCTCCCGTGGAACGATGCAGGTGTTTGAAGTCTGGACGCTGCGACGGGGACAGGGGTCTGAGGCCTGTGGAGCCCGGATGCTGGCTTGGCCGGATGGGGAATCGTTTCAGTGTTGTGCCGGTTCCCGGGCGACGGTGAACGAGAGGTGTGGGCGTTGATATGCAGGGTGTGGTGTGGCTGAAGGGGTTGTGGTGACAGCTGTAGCGGCTGCTTGGGAGGCTTGGATGTTGCATTTGGAAGCGGCGACAGCATGTCGACCTACTCAGACAAGCATTAGATAGCTGTAGGTGTAGCTGTCAGCTTCATCAACACGAGTTTAAGTGACGTGGTTTTCAAAAGTTCTGTCTGATATAGTGTTCTATGTGTTTGATGATACGCGACTTAAATATACATTGAAAGAGAGGTGGACTATCAGCACCGCTGTGTCCTGTCATTATTGCATACCTATACCAGAAATGTGAGGGAAAGAAAGAGACGTTCAGAATTGGGTATATGTCAATCAGCCTCTTATCTCATCTCCTCCAAAACCCACAAACCTCGCCAGCCCTTCCTACCCGATGTCCCACAACACTCGATGCCTGCTTGCAGTCTTTAGAAGCCTCCCATGCCGTTCTTCTCGTCGATGTGCCTGTAACGCTCCTGTTCCATCCTGTACTTTAGCACCATAGCGACGCAAAGGACAAGGATGAAGTCAACGCCTACGATACCAAAGGCAGCGGTAAAAATTTGATCAAGATACGTGTTGGTGAATCGTGAGAAGGGGCCAATGCATCCACCTTTTTGTGCTGCAACGAGAGCGTTCGTGCAAGTAGTGTCCTGGACGAAAGGAGGTGTTGTGGCGTTGACATATCCGCAGCAGTCGAACTGATCTTCGTTAGCATTCATGTTTGCACCTCTGTAGTGCAGCCAGACGTACTTTCTGCTGTAACAGGGACTGGATCTGCGGTGGCTCACGGCCCCAAAGTACGCTCAAGTTCTGGCGTGTCTGCAGTGTCTCAACCCAGATAGCAATACCCAGACTCAGTGTGAAGGTTGCACAAATGACCACAAGCCAGCCCTGTGTGCGGAGCCAGCCTCGGTTGGTAGGTAGGAAAAGAGCCGGAAGGGAGAGTAGGAAAGTAGCGAAGACGAAGATGGCATTGACGACACCAGCTGTCAACGGACACTGGCCAAGTAGTAGATTTTGCGTGACGTTCTTCACCGTCTGCTCTTCCCGCATTGCTGCCTCCGACATCAACGAAAACCCCAAGAGTAGTCCTCCACATCCAGCGAAGAGGAAGTCGAATCCAACGAAGGCCAGCATCAGTTTGGTCGGCATAATGGCGGTTTACGGAGTGAATATGTGCGTCGTCCTGCGGCTCGATATAGTATGATAGACTTGATTAAAGAATGGAAGCCGAGTACAGCGGAGCCGTCCGGCGTGCTCTCGATGAACTACGACAGGTGCAATTATTAGGTATAGTGAAGAAACGAAGATGAGAGGAAACGGCAGCAACAGCGGGAAAACAGAAAATGCATGGCATTACGCAGACGGGCAGCTCGAGCATTAAGAGGCTCTGCTGGGCGCGTCGCAATCGGACGACGACGAGGCGTGGGTGGTTTCAGCGGTGTTCGAGCATGTCCACTGGCGAATCACGGTCACGGGCGCTCACGGTGGTTCGATGGCGCTGAGACTGCCCGCGACATACGCCTCACACGATCACGAACCACCAGCGCATCTTCACACAAACAAGTGAGGATGTTGTGGATGTTGTGGCAGGCTCGGTGGCTAGCATTACGAGGATGGTGTTGAGCACTGGGCCAGACAGCCAGCGCTGTTGGTGGCGCCTGCAGCGAGGGGAACGCTCGTCCCCGAGGCGATGCCGAGTTTGGCAGGAGCACTGCAGGATCGAGGCTAGTGCCGCTGAGGTCAGCGGCTAGTAGGCTATTGGAAGGTGGTGTGGATCAGGGCCCCGCGCGGCGCCGGTGAGTGGTGGGAAAACGCTCGGACTCGAAGCAGAATGGCGCTTTTCGTGATGAGGGAAGTGCCCGCTGCTGCTCTTCTCAATGCGTACTGACAGCTTGAAGCGCGTCTCAAGGGCTCGATATGGGTGTCTACGGGCTCGTCGCAGTGCGCTCTACGTCGACGCAGGCTCAGGACATGGCAGCGAGGCCGGCGCCCAGCGCGCGCCTGCCCATTCCTCCCCAAGCGCGCGATCTGCGATTCAGCGTGGACCGGACGACTGGGGTGCACGTTCAACCGCCCCCAGTCGCCAGTCTGCAACCACGGCAGGCGTCTGGTCTGCACAAGCACTGGCACTGGCACCAAAGCAGCTGCTATACTTTCCCCTCGCCGCCCGTTTCACTCTTTCCCCAATCTCTCTCGCTCTTTCCCTCTCTGAGACAGCTCTTCGCACCTGCACCACCCAGCGTGTGCCCTGCGTCGCGCTGCCTATCGCTGCCTTTCCTGCCAGACTCCCGCGGCCAAGCTCCAACAAGCTCCCACGCCTGTTAAACCGCTTCCGGCTGCTGCTCCACCGCCGCATCGCCCACACCCTCTGGTACGTATTGCCTTTGTTGTTGTTCATGGTCTGCGCGCTTTTGTCGCACCCCAGCCATCCCCGGCCCGCCGAGCCCTCGCTACTCGCTAGCCGCCAGTCACGGGCGCTGGCCTGCGCGCCCGAGCTGCGGCGGCCCTGTGCGTTCTGTGCGGTCCTCTTGTTCGCTGCCAGCGCCGTGCGACCGAGCTTTCCCTCTCCTTGCATTCCTTGCTCGCCGCATCCAGAGGGTTCAGCACCCGCCTCTTAACTTGTCTTGTTCTGTCCCCAAGCGCCCCTGCTTGTCCCCATTCATCGACCCGGCCCTAACCCGACTCCAGCCCGGCCAGCTCTGCCAGCTCGTCTCGTCTGTCCTGTTACGCGCAGCTCTCGCCGCCAAACAGACGCCGAGGCTCTCCCCACAGACACCCGGCCAAACGCAGTTAGGACCACCCTCCGCCAAACACGCACCCTCGACCGCGCGCAACACCATGGCCAGCGAAATCACCGAGCACGACCAGAACGCGTCGCCGCAGCTGCACGACGACGGCAACGGCGCCCTCAATGCCGGCGACGCCAACCGCGGCACCAAGCGCCCGCGCCCGGCTGCCGACGACGACGATGATGACGACGACAAGCCCGGCCGCGAGCGTAGGAAGATCGAGATCAAGTTCATCCAGGACAAGTCGCGTCGCCACATCACCTTCTCGAAGCGCAAGGCGGGTATCATGAAGAAGGTACGTGCCCGTGACCACCCTGCGCGCTGTCGCCTACGCGAGGGGCACGCGTCGTTCATCGCATTGCGCATCCACTAACGCCCTGCACCAGGCCTACGAGCTGTCCGTCCTCACCGGCACACAGGTGCTGCTGCTCGTCGTCTCTGAGACCGGTCTGGTCTACACCTTCACCACACCGAAGCTGCAGCCACTCGTGACCAAGCCCGAGGGCAAGAACCTCATCCAGGTACGCTGCACTGCCATTGCGCCCGTCGCGCGCCCCCGCTAACTCGTCGCAGGCCTGCTTGAACGCACCTGAGCCCTCCAGCGGCGATGCCAATGGCGTCGAGGACAACCAGGTTGACTCACCCGAGGACAACCACGCGCAAATGCCGCCGGGCCAGCCCCGTGGCGTGCCCAACAACAACCCCATTCCCCAGGCCTACATGACACCAGAGGCTGCTTTGCAGTATCAGAACTACCTCCAGGGTCACCAGCAATCACAGCAGTACCCCATGGCCCAGCACGGCATGCCCCGCCATCCCAGCCAGCACTACCCCCAGGACCAGAAGCTCGGCTAAGTATATGATTTTGCGGGCCTCTGCCAGATTTGGTAGCTGGCCACGATTCGGGCGTCGTGCACACTGCCCAGGACGGATACCCTTTATAATGGCCAAAAAGTAATTGAATGGCGCGGCTCACGAGCAATGCTCTGGTGTACGGTACGCAATGGCGCTTGTTTGCGAATGTACTAGACAGAGAGAACGACATGCATACGGGATCGCTATGTTGGGAGCCAGGCGGCTGTAGTTCTGATCAGACGATTGTACGTCATAACGTGGATACCGGCGTGGTGTGGTGTTTTCTTTCATCTTCTTGCGGTCACTATGGACATCTATATCATCTCCCGTGTGTCATTTGCGAGGTACTGTGTATTTCAATTCCCCTCGCTGCTGGAAACGCAGGTACAATACGATAACTCACTGCAAAACGGTGCCTCTGTCTGCGACTCCATGTGGCCTAGTCAGCTCTGGGCGTATTTGCCCTTTCCGTGTACTAGCAAATCACCACTTTTGGACGCCCGGTCACGATTCATTCACCGTCTAAGTCATGCAGAATGCGTCTTTTCCCAAACCGCACTGCTGCATCGCTTTGCGGGGTTGATAGCAAGGATAGCCGAGTCCATTGCAACCAGGACCAGACAATGCGCAGCTTCACTTTCCACTACACCACCAAGACCCTCACAAGGTTGCCATACCCCACTCCCTAATCCACTCTCTGACGCCTTCGGTGCCCTGACATAGCGTCTTTGCCCAACCGTGGCGCTTTTGCGCTCCCCGCCAATCCCTGTGATTCTCAGGACTCAATCTGGTTCGGAAAAAAACAATGCGTGGCTTGCTCTGCACGACCTACGATCGTTACAGTCCGACCAAATGCTCGATTTGGCGTGAGTTCTTTTCTCGAGGCCGCGGTCACGCAGTCGTACAGCGATGTTATCAGCCGCCTTGTGGTCGCGGTGGCGTAGGCGATGGAAGCAACGTAGAAGCTGCAGCGTTGCAGTCCAGTCGGCATTAGTGTATTGCAGCGCAGCAAACGGTGGCCTCAGGCGTCCACACTGCCCGTCACAGAGCCAAGCGGACACAGCATTCCTTGAGCCATGTACCTCTTTCCGCTCGTTGATTTTTGGACGTTCTAGCAGGCGAACACAGCTTCTGCCGTTGACAAATGTCGACGCACCCACCCTGGCTTAGCTGACTAGGAGCACAAGAACGAGTACCGGTCGGTGGGGTGCACAGCATGATGTTGTGGAACGGGGTTTTGTCACGCTTGGTGTCACGCGCCTGCACAGGCCGATTGGGATTGCAGGACCTGAACAAGAAACAGTGCACAGATCTTGATAAGAGTTGGATGCTCAAGCTCTTCGAGTTACCTGCCATGGTCAATCGTGGAAGTACATAATTGTCACTACTATGCCGAATAGTGTCTCTAGTAGGTCAGGTCTATTTATTATTAGGGGTTGCGGGGCGTTATACACTGTGCTCTCTTCACCCACAATTAGTTGTAGTGAATGGTTGCACCCTTGATTGCACCCTGCATTCTAGTTCCAAAATAGAATCAAGTCTACTTCTCTCAAAACGGGTATCGTTGTCAACTGTAGGAGACAAACTTCACTTCTCGTGTGGTGTGGAAGGCAGTATTCGTGCCGAATACGCCCCGATGGTGATAGTAGTGCTCCATCTATCTGCTACATCCCAAATCATTACTTCGACGAAACAAACCCGACAGCTGTATCATCCATATCAAACGGTCGGCCATGATACGTAACGTGGAATAGCGCCGTTGCTTGAACCTCAGGTGCATTCGAACATAAGCTCAATTACTACACCGCAATTACCGTAGTGACTCATCATGACAGCGATGAGCAAAGTATACCAAACTCAATCAGAAAAATCAGAAAAATCGCCAATAGCTACGAGATACCTCCTGAAACGAAGATCTGCGTTTTGGTCAAACGGACTGGTATCGTCCTCGAAAGTGCATAGGCCGACGGTTTGCACGGTCCTCTCAATTGTACCTGACAGCTTGATCATCATCTGTTCACTTAAATCCTAATCATAGACTATATTAGTAGTTGTAGTGAGGCAACAGCCTGGGAAGCCTGAACATCGCTCCTAGGATTTCAAACGAAGCAGGGGTGGCAAGTCTCACACATACACAGTGTTCTTTTGGAAGTCTCGCACACTTGTGCACGAGTGTACATAATGCGTTAAGAGTACTTCATAGTCCATTCACTCTCGACCTTTGAACTAGTTTGTGCACACAGTAGATTTCGGAGATATGTAGACAGCTTGATTAAGTTGGGAGTACTGTCAAGAAAATGCTATCATGACCATCTAATCGTAACGGCATCCTGGACAAACATAAAGCTGCATGAAAAAACCTTTTGCTCCTTGCAATGCGGTATGATCATCGCTTGGCAATGCTTTTGAACATTCTAAAAATTCATTAAGCCATTATGCGCGGAGACCACTCGTAACTTCAGGGAAAGAACTCAAGACTCAATGTTGGGCACCCTTGACGTCCTCTACTTCTCAGCAGGCTTGTTGCTGGGGTAGAGGAACTCGGTCTGGGGGAAGAACTCCTCCTTGATCAGACGAGGAGAGGTGAAGCGAAGAACAGGGTTGGAAGAGCCGGCCTTGTCGTTGGTTCCAGAGGCACGGGATCCGCCAAACGATTGCTGGCCGATGAGGGCGGCTGTTGTCTTGCAGTCTAAGAGGAGAGTTAGCATAGGCTCAGAGACCATAGTAGTATTGAGGTGGACTTACTGATGTAGAAGTTACCAGCGGAGTAGCGCAGAGTGTCCTCTGCCTCCCTAACAGCGGAACGATCATTGGAGAAGACGGATCCGGTAAGGGCGAAGCCGCCTCCGGCCTGGTCGACCTTCTGGAGAATGTTCTTCCAGTCAGCGTCCTTGTAGATGTGGATGGCGAGAACGGGGCCGAAGATCTCGTAGTTGAAGAGCTTGTGGTCTGGTGAGTCAGAAAGGTAGACCGTGGGCTTCACGAAGTAGCCTTTGGAGTCATCGTAGGTTCCACCTGCCACGAGCTCAAGTGAAGGGTCGGCGTTCGACTCGTCGATGATCTGCTTGATCTTGTTGAAAGAGCGATCGTGAATGACGGGGCCCATGAAAGCAGATAGATCCTTGTCAGGATTGCCGATGGTAATCTCGCTCACATCCTTGAGGAAACCATCAAGGAACTCCTTCGAGCGAGACTCGGGAAGATAGAGACGAGAGGTTGCAGAGCACTTCTGGCCTTGATATTCGAAAGATCCGCGGATGGTGTGCTTGATGGCAGATGGGATATCACCGCTAGGATGTATGAGAGTGAAGTTCTTTCCACTAGTCTCGCCCACCATGCGAGGAAACTCGCGATAGGTGCCCTTGCCAATACCCTCGCCAATGCGAGCGCAGAGCGACCGGAAAACGTCCGAAGAACCAACGAAATTGATACCAGCAAAATCGCGGTTGGCGAAAACAACGTCGTTGATAACTTCCGGGTCACCAGGGATGAATTGAATGACATCCTTGGGGAGACCGGCCTCGAGCAGGATCTTGTAGACAATAGTAGAGGCGTAAATGTTGGACGGAGAAGGCTTCCAAAGGACGACATTGCCCATCAGAGCAGGTCCAGCGATTAGATTACCGCCAATGGCTGTGAAGTTGAAGGGAGAAACGGCATAGACGAAACCCTCAACAGGGCGGTAATCCATACGCGACCACATGCCATCGGAGCCACGGTCGGGCTGACGAGCAAGAATCTCAGCAGCATAGTTGCAGTTGAGACGGAAAAAGTCGGCCAACTCAGCAGCAGCGTCGACCTCGCCCTGCCAGATGTTCTTGCCCTGGCCGAGCATGGTTGCAGCAATTAGCTCATAGCGGTATTTCCCCGCAACAAGCTCCGCAGCCTTCAGGAAAATGGCAGCACGGTCGACAAAGGGAGTCTTCTCCCATGTCTTCTTTGCCTCCAGAGCTGATGCGATGGCATCTGAGACCTGATCCTTCGAAATCAGAGGGTAGTTGGTGAAGACGGTATCCTTCTCTGCAGGAATTGGTTGATCCCAAGATTCAGCTGCTGGTTGTGAAGTTCCGTTGAGGAAGATCTCCGACTTGAGGGGAAGTTGGGACCTCAATCGCTTGAGCACCTTGACAAGCTCGGTGCGCTCTTCTGAGCCTTCCTTATATGTGGGATTGGGCTCATTGCGTGCAGCAGGTAATCTGAAGGGTACTGTGACGTTGGTACGAGCCTGGAGACAAGCGAGGCGAGGCGCTTTGATCAACGGCCGCCTTGTGGCACGGAGAGATGTGATAGTGCGAAGGCTCGACATGTTGATGATATGTTCGAGAGGACTCGAGGGATTGAGGCTGCTGCACTGCTCAATGCTGGGACTCTGCCTTTTGAGTATGCACAATGAGGGGAACTGTGGAGAAGCTCCATCACCGACCGGCTCGCATCCCGTCCACGTAACTTGGCTCAGCCGTCACTTGCCGCCGAGATAGTCACAAGTCACGTTTGCTGTACACAGTGTTGTTACTGCCGATATCGTCTAGTAGCATTCGGGTTCCTGCCCGAGTGTGTTGCGGACGGAGTTCTCGCGTTGCTGGCCGTTCGTACTCCGTGTCGAAGCATCTGAGCATTCGATAAATACCATAAGACAAGGCTCAACATGGCTGCAAGAAAGTACCTTTGTATCCATCATTATACATCACAATGTCCTCTCAAGTCCCTCCAGCTGGTGTTTGGGCGCCAGCGGTCACCTTGTTCGACCCCGATACCGACAAGGTAGACTTTGAGAACCAGGCACGCTATTTTCGCTACCTATCTACCACAGGGCTCGCAGGGCTTGTGATTCTGGGGACAAATGCAGAGACTATGCTGCTTACGCGGGAGGAGCGAAAAGCGTTAATCGCGACCGCGCGGCGAGCCGTAGGGCCCAAGTTTCCCTTGATGGCAGGCGCGCTGGCGAACAGCACCGCGCAGACACTTGAATTCATATCCGACGCTGCAGCAGCTGGCGCAAACTCCGTATTGGTGCTCCCGAACGCTTACTTCGGTTTGTTATCCTGCTTGCAGCTGCGAAGGCGTGGCGGCTAACGAGTTTCAGGTAGCGCAACCACACCTCAGGTTCTAGAGAACTTCTACGACCAGATTGCGGCTCGCAGCGAGTTGCCTATTGTGATTTACAATTTCCCAGGTGTTTGTAATGGCGTCGATCTTTCATCAGACTTTATCGAAGCCATGGCCAAGCGCCACAGCAACATCGTGGGTGTCAAGCTAACGTGCGGCTCCGTGGCCAAGATCACGCGTCTCGCAGCCGCATTGCCCAAGGAGAGGTTTGCCGTCTTCGGTGGCCAGGCCGATTTCATCATTGGCGGGTTGAGCTCGGGTTCCTCTGGCTGCATCGCTGCTTTCGCCAACGTTGCCCCACGATGCATCGTTCGCATCAACGAGCTCTACCACCAGGGTAGACACGCGGAGGCTCTTGCGTTGCACCAGAAGACTGCACTCGCTGAGCAAGCAATTAAGGGTGGCATTGCGCCTACAAAGTATGCTGCGGCCATCCATAGCGCTACCTATGCCGGTATCCAAGATGCTCCCGCTAAGATGGCGCCGCGTAGGCCCTACGTTGCGCCAACTGCCGCTGTTCAAGAGATGGTCAAGACCAGAACGGCGGAAATCGGGGAGATCGAGCAGGGCTTGCCGCTTACTGATAGACCTATTTCTTCGAAGATATGATGATACAATATCGCACGCAGAGTCTTCTGTATATGATCATCACGATTGGGGGGCTACAAATATTTGGAGCGGATGGCAAAAGGTTTCTGAAGGCTGTTGCGAAGCTCAGCGCTTGTCAACATTTGTTTGTTCCCGCTGACTCAAGGGATTAAAGATAATGATAGACTCAATAACTACATTCCCCTATCGCTTCACCATTCCGGCGTTTCTCTGCGACGTCGTATCTAATCTATGGATATCAGTGGATTTTGATCGGAAGTCAGCCTCAGCAAAAGCATCGACGCAGGGCCTGGAGGCGCAAAAGGGCTTGTGGCTTGGAGACTCACGTGGTGGCTGGACTTCGATAAGATTCGGTGCGAGGTCCGAAGATATGTGTGGACGACGGCATGGCTACCGTAGCGTGCAGATTAGCACGGCCTGACCTACGGTTGGGTGTGCTGCATGCGGGGAAGCGAGTCGAGGCGCTACCCCAGACAGATCCCTGTGTCTGGCCCATTCGCATGGACCAACTACGCCCAAAATTATCTAGCAGTGACAGTAACTGTAAGATAGCTGACCCAAGCAAGCTGTTTGGGCGAACTTCGCATGGGTGTCCGTGGAGCTTTGATTGGCTCAGCCACTCATATCAACGCTAACCCAGCCTACGAGATACCAAGGTCTTGACCTTCACTGCAACTGTTTATTAGAGAGGCCCATCCACCCAAGACCCACCAGACCGGACCCATCTGCTCCATCTCTTTGTCTCCTCACCTACGTTACAGCTTGATATAATCAAGGCTTGTGACAACATGTCCGATAACAAGGTTTACGAGGTCAACGAGAAACTCAGTTCGCCCTCGAACGAGTTCCATGGCAAGGACGATGCCATCTATCGCACTCAAACTGAACACAGTGTCACTCAAGGTCAAGTCCACAATGCCGATCAGCTACAGAGGCATTTGGGCAATCGTCAGGTTCAACTGATTGCCATTGGTGGCTCCATCGGCACTGCTACCTTCGTCTCTATTGCCAATGGTCTGGTCAAGGGCGGTCCAGGTTCCCTGTTCCTCGCCTACACCATCTACTCATGTATGCTGGGGCTAGTCAACAACTCCATGGCGGAGATGGCCTCCTTCATGCCCGTCACTGGTGGCTTCATCCGCATGGCTGGACACTGGGTTGATCCTGCAATGTGAGTTCATCTAGCCCCTGAACGTTCTTATCATACTGACTCTTTCTGTAGGGGCTTCTGGGCTGGCTGGAATTTCTTTATCTACGAGGCCATCCTTATTCCCTTCGAGATCAGCGCATTGAATCTCGTGCTCAAGTTCTGGAGCGATGATATTCCAGTTGCCGCAGTCGTCGCTGTCTGTATCGTCCTATACTTTGCCATCAACGCCTTTGTCGTCAAGGCATACGGAGAGACTGAATTTTGGCTCGCTCTCGGAAAGGTCTTCCTCATTCTGATCGTCTTTTCGTTCACTTTCATCACGATGGTTGGTGGCAACCCCTTGAAGGACGCATACGGATTCCGCTACTGGAAAAATCCCGGCGCCTTTGCCGAATATAACTCCACCGGAGATCTTGGTCGATTTGAGGGTTTCCTTGGTTCCATGTGGAGCGCTGCTTTCACAGTTGTGGGTCCCGAGTACCTGTCCATGCTCTCTGGTGAAGTGAAGCTTCCCAGGACCTACCTCAAGAACGCTTTCAAGGTTACCTATGTTCGTTTCGCCTTCTTCTTCATCGGCAGTGCACTTTGCATCGGAATTGTCATCCCATACAACGAGAAGACTCTACTTGATGTCATGTCTGGTGCCGCTGGTGGTGCTGGAAGTGCCGCTGCTTCTCCCTACGTTATTGCTATGAGGTACGTGCCAGTTGCTGCGGAGATTGAACGCTCTTACTGATACCTATATAGGAATATGCGTGTCAGCGGTCTTCCTCACCTCGTAAACGCATTACTATGCACTTCCATCTTCTCCGCCGGAAACGCCTATACTTACTACGGAACACGCTCGCTTTACGGCCTTGCCCTTGAAGGCCAAGCGCCTAAATTCTTGAAGAAGTGCACGAAGAAGGGCGTGCCATTTTACTGTCTGCTCGTCACCATTTGCTTCCCCTTCCTTGGCTTCCTGAATGTCAACGCCGGATCCGCTAAGGTGTTGACTTGGTTCATCAACATCATCACTGGAGCCCAGATCATCAACTATATCGTTATTTGCATCACGTACCTATTCTTCTACCGCGCAGTCAAGGCCCAGGGTGTTGACCGTAAGGCCATGCCTTACTACGGTCGCTTCCAGCCTTATGGCACCTGGATCTCCATGATTTTCTTGATTCTTGTGCTTGGCGGTTACGGCTACGGTACCTTCCTGCCTGGCAACTTCACTGTTGATGGTCTCTTCACCTACTACTTTATGGTCGGCATCGCGCCTGTGCTCTTCCTTGGTTGGAAGTTCCTCAAGAAAACAAAGACGGTCAAGCCCCACGAGGCTGATCTCGTGTGGGAGAAGGCATACATCGATGCGTATGAGTCCTCTTTCGCTGAGGAGACTAAGGGTTTCTGGCAAGAGATCCTCGAGATGTTCATGTGCGGCATGAAGGGCCGCAAGAAGCAAAGCGGGTATGCTTAGATGGCTCACCGTTCTAGCGGTGAAAGCCGCTCACCTTTGGAATGGGGTTGTCGACGACTGCAGGCACTATGAATGCCCGACCTTTATTTGACATGTTGTTCGCACAATTTTCGTTGGTTTTGCTAGAAATGAGAAGCAGTCAAAGTGCCAGATTTGTTTGACAATCAAGTGATGATCGCCACTTCGTTCTAGAGTGGACATGACGCTAGTACCTAGGTCGGGAATAGGACAATGATGCTCTACCCACAACCAATACCATGCTGCAACGAATGTAACGGCTCGAGGTGCGGATAAACGCGGTGAATGCATTCAACGCAACTCGATGCGATCTCCACTATCGCAAACTTTCTCGGGAACAGTACCGGTCGAGTGGACGCGCTGCGCAGCACGGTCCTGCGACGGACCAGACAGTCGGGAGGAGCATGGGCGAAATATAGTCTGCAGATAAACCATGTAGAATTTGAATCGATCGTTCAATCTAATAACCATCATATCTCGCATCTCACATCTCACACTTTACCAATCATGTTTCGTTCCATTTCCAAAGGTCCAGTCGATCCAGTTTTCATCCTCAGCTCAAAAGTCAAAGCCGATGAATCGCCCTCGAAGATCGACCTCGGTGTCGGCGTATACAGAAATGAGCAGGGACGATACAATGAGCTTGGCGTGTTGAAGCAGGCGAAGGAGATTCTCACAAAGCTGGAATTAGGTCACGACTACGAAGTTACAACAGGAGATGCAGAATTCGTGGAGAACGCAAGCAGAATCTTATTTGGCGCAGAATCTGAGGCAGTTAAGACAAGGCGAATTGCTTCTGCTCAAGCCATTTCAGGAACAGGGAGTATCCATCTTGCTGCTCTGTTCTTGAGTCGAGCCGAAGAATTCCGGGGGAAGAAGGTATACATTGGAACGCCAGCTTGGGGCAACTACGAGCCACTCTTCAACCTGGTTGGTTTCGAAGTTGTCAAATACCGACACTATGATGCGGAGCGTGGTACAGTCGCATTCAGTGATCTTCTCGACGCGGTCCAACACGCCCCCGATGGCAGTATATTCGTTCTCCAAGGTTGCTGCCACAACCCTTCTGGCGCAGATTTGAGCAGGGAACAATGGCAGACACTTGCAAAAGCTATGAAGCCCAAACGCCACTTCCCATTCTTCGATATGGCCTACCAGGGCCTCGGTGGACCTCTCGAGGATGACGCTTTTGGACTGCGTCACTTCGTCGAGCGCGGTTTCGAGTTACTGGCCTGCCAGTCATTCTCAAAGAACTTCGGCCTCTATGGCGAAAGATGTGGTGTTTTGCACATTCTAACAGAAAAGGAGGCAGTTGCCGCCAATGTGTATGATCAGTTGAGGTGCTTGATCAGGTGGGAGTTCTCTTCCAGCCCAGCATACGGCTCCAGACTAGTGAACACAGTACTGAAGGACAACACTCTCACGTCGCAGTGGCAGGAAGAGCTGGTAGTGATGCGAGTGCGACTGGTTAGTTTGAGGAGGGCATTGCATGACCTGTTGACGAAAGTACAGAAGGTGAGCCTCCACGAATGGTCTATTGCCATTCGAACGCTGACGATGTACAGACACCAGGCAACTGGGACGCAATCCTTACATCGACCGGCCTCTTCTGCTTCCTTCCTTTGACTCCACAACAATGCGAGACGCTTGGTACTAAGCATCACATTTACATGCTTTTAAGTGGTCGCATCAACGTCTCGGGCATGAATCAATCGAATGTCGAGAGGATAGCGCAGGCTATCGATGAGGTGGTCCAGGGCACACGCTCATCCCGATTGTGAGCCGCAAGCGAGCTCAGCTGATAACATCTTTGCTGGGTTGATGCGCATGTGATGCCATGTTGCAGGTTGGTGGCGTAAGCTGTCGGGGAGGAACCCGTTAGATTCGGAGGGCTCCCGAGTTTCTGGGCCGCATTCTGTCCGTAGAACCCGCCAACCGATCATGCTGCGGCTCCAATCGCGATTCCAAACACGCGCGTGAATTTAAAGCGATATCTGTAGTCCGAAACTAGTCAACACCTGCGTCTTACACCGTGACGAATCGGCCAGCTAAAGATGAATAGCGATAGCTATGCAGGGCCCAGATTCCTTGATGCTTCTGGAAGGCCGTGAGATTTTGGTAACATTAAGCTGATAGGGATCGCGGTCTTCAGGTGCAGGAGATGAACATCTAGCAAGCCTGTATTACCTAAGGCGTAACATTGTCCTGACCTTCCCCGCACGCCACGCTTTTTCGCGTGGCAGGGCCTCGCGAATGATGAGTACCCAGGTGTGTGGGCCAAATGCGACCAAACAACTAAATGTTGACGCTGGTTCACTCCGGATCCTTATCGGCGTTATCGACGCCCCACCTGACTATGTGAACCTTTCATTCCGAGGTGGAATGCTGCAGAATGACAGACAACTGCTGTAATGGCTACTTCGAATGACCACAGGCGGGTAACAAAGAGATCCTCGAACGCGTACGCCTCTCAGTTGTGCCAATGTTGGCAGCGTGGGCAACAAACAAGTGTTTGATGGTGAGCGGACCAAGCTGAGCTCTGCGACAGACAGGGCTCTTGCGGATCTGTTCGCCATCAAATATATACTTGTAGCCAACTCTGTGTATTAAAACCCTCGCTAACGTTGATTCAGCTGCTCCAGATGCCGAAGACAGAAAATCAAGTGCTCCGGACAGCAGCCTTGTGCGAACTGCGGCAAGCGGAATCTGACTTGTATTTTCGATGACCGAGACAACAAGATTCTGGTTACCCAAGGGTACGCCACTGTAGCCATCTCCCCAGCTGCTTTCTGACAAGTTTATCAGCTATCTCTCTGACCTTCAAGCCAAGGTGGCACGACTTCAAAATGCACAGAATACGCCGTCTGTATCCAATCCGCTCTTTGCCGAAGACCAAGATGTTCGGGCGCGAGTAATGAGGAGTCAATCCCCCGATGAACCTCCCAGACGGGTAGCCCAGTCAAGCGGCAATGGAACTCGAGAAAGTACCCCAGGCACAGATGGACCTCGAGAGACAGCAAACCTGACTAATCCGCTGACTGAGACACCTTCGAGATTCATGGCAGCTTCCAATGGACGGACTTGTGGGTGTTTCTTGTGAAATTCACACTATTCAAGAGTACTGACATCTCGTGCAGTTTACATGGGAACTTCATCCAATTGGTCATTTCACGGCCAAGTCTTGAGTCTAGTCCATGAGCATATGCACAAGTCACCACTCCCAGCTGCGGAACTGCTGTTTGACGGATCTGCATACGACCTTCCGTGGGACGGTACACGCAGCGTGCCCGATTCTGCGTCCCCCGTCATTCCAAGCGTCGACTACGCCATCTTCTTGATCAACGCCGTCAAGTTCCATTGCGGTCAAATGATGCACCTCTTTGAGGAGGAGGAGTTCATGCTCAACTTGCATGCTTTCTACTCAAACACAGGTGACAAGGCTATCTGGAAAGAAAGCCTTTGGTACATCCACTTCCTGATGATAATAGCGTTTGGCAAGACGTTTGTCCAGCAGAAAAACCATTCACCGCGCCCACCAGGTGCCGACTTCTTCATACATGCTCTACAATTACTCCCCGATACCAACAAGCTGTGCAGAGATCCGGTCATAGCAACAGAGGTTCTGTGTTGCATCGCGCTCTACCTTCAATCATTAGACTCACGCAATGCTGCACACGTCACAATCGGGCAAGCTATGAGGATAGCCCTTGCACAAGGAATGCATACCGATATGCCAGTAATGAATCTGGGCGATGCGGTTGTTCAGCGTTGTCGCAAGATTTGGTGGACGATCTTCATTCTGGACCGTCACATGACCTCCCTCATGGGTCTGCCACAGTCGATTCGAGACGAAGATGTGTCTTGTCAACTTCCAAACTATCAAAACTCTCCACAGCGAGCGGCTGCCCTGAACATGCAAATCAAGCTTGCAAAGGTGCATGTCGATATTGCAAGTACCGTATACGGCTCGAAAGGACGGCTTCGCAAGAAGTTTGTCTTGAGCATCAAGACGGTGCTGGATAAGCTAGCTGGACTGGCAGAAGAGCTCCGCACCTCCTTTCCTCTGCATACTGATGAGCGTTTCGGCGGCATCTCTAGATTACCAGCGCATTCTCATTTGTACTACTATCAGGTGACCATCTTTTCTGCTCCCTTGTTAGTAGCACTACTAACGACTTCTAGACCATCGTAATCGTTACTAGACCATTGCTATTTTGCTGTATGAAGAAGGTCTTTGAATCTCCGCAACAAGTCATACCCTTGATCTCATCACCTAAGATCCGAAAGGTGCTACACATGTCTCTAGAAGCCTCGCAAAAGATTTTGGCCATTCTTGAAAGCCTTCAAGAACAAGGGCTACTTGGTGAGTACGGTTAGATGCATCTGCTCGGTCGAAGCTAATTGTTCAAGAAACGTTCTTGCCCTGGGATCTGGACGCTCTCTTCGTATCGACGATGGTCCTCATCGTGACTCGCTTCGTCGACCCGAGTCTAATGGATGATCGAACTCTCTGGCTGGAGAAGGCATTTGGGCTAATGGAGACCATGATTGCTGGTGGCAACCGTATTGCAGATTACCGCATGCGCGAGTTACGCAGGCTGGACGAGATGCTCGCGGACTATGCTTCCATACAAGACAGACCACCACTTATGGATGCTCTCAATCAGCAACAGCTCACACAACTCAATACAAACATCATTCGGACGGCAGCGGGAGTCACCGATGATTCGGCGAGTATGAAGCCCATGTTCGCTTCACCAGATGGTGGTCCGCTCTACTCAGGATTCAGCGACGAGGGCAGCGGGTTTGGCGACGACCTTACGGCCGAGCAGATTCTGGCAGTTGCCGAATCTATGGACATCGGTGAAACAGATTGGCTTTCTTTTGGCGTTTTCGACAACTATCAGCCTTTGGAGATGGTCGATCCATCGATACAATAGGACGCTGATACACAGTAAAGAGGCACGCACCTTCGTATTTATGGTAGATGCCGTGATATGGAGACGCATGATTATGGGCGTTGATTTCACCTATGAGGGTTTAGCGTACACAAAAGGTCTCGTTTTGCATAGTCAAATTACTTGTCAGGTCACTCATGTGACAGCGCGTTATTGTCAGACGAATTGAAAATACACGCGCACCCTCACAACTCTTCAGTCGCAGCTAATACAAAGACTACTACAGGCACACAAACAATCGATTACGAACTGATGCTTGTGTCAGCGCCTGTCTCTTCTCTACTGGAGCCTATCACTAACCAGCCATGATTCTTCTTGCAATATTAAACCAATACACAATGCATTATATGAGTCTATATGCTACCTATCGATCTGCTGTATTTCCACGCATAATAAGTAGCCGAGTGGATTCTACAACTTCGCAACGGAAGGTGTAATATCTTTCAGCTCCTGAACGTCACCCACGCGCCAACTGACATCGTCTTGACTAGCGGCGCCCTCGTTAGGCTTGTTTGTCCTCCACTGCCATCTCTTCTCTGTCTGCTTGCCCTCAGTAGCATTAAGAAGATTGTTCACCCAGGAACCGACAATAGGGAACATCTTGAAGCCATGACCGGAGTCCCCAGAGAGGACCATGACTGTACCCCCAGTTTCTGGCAGGTAGTCGATGATGAAGTCGGAGTCGCTAGTATCGGCAAACCAACACAATGTCTTCTCAACAAGCGGGCGGTCAGCGAGGTACGGTAGGGTTTGACGGAGGAGTTCGCGCATCTTGCGCTCGTCCTCAGGAGGTACGAAGCGCTGAACGCCCTCAGGTGCTTCAGAGACCCCGGTTTTGGGGTTTGTGTTGATAAAACCGCCTCCCATAGGGCACAGTTTAAGGAGATTAGTCTTCGGATCGGGCTCGAAGAAGAATCCAAGATCGCGAGCATATGTGACCGGAATGCCGCGAAGTGCTGCGGTCTCGTCGTCCGTCAAACTAATATGTGCGACAGACCAGGATTTTGCAGAAACACGAGCGCCGATCTCGGGGACGATCTTAGATGCAGCTGCACCAGTCGCAACAATGACCAATGAGGCAGCATGAAACTGTCCGTCTTTTGTTTTGACACCAACGCTCTTCTTACTCGACCCAACACCCTTGTATACAATTTCCTGGATAGCACCTCTGTTCTTGCCAAGAAAGAAACGAACGCCGTTGGATCTTGCAGCGCGATAGATACCACGAAGTGCATTCGCAGAGTGGACATAGCCATCGTAGCGGTTGAAGTATCCCTTCCATCCCGGCATATCTCCTTGGTTGAACTGCCAGCAAATGTCTTGAAGTTCCTGGCGGGTTGATACAGTGGAGATCCAAGGTTTGATATCAGCATGTGCTTCACCTGCCGCTTTGAAAGAGTTCATTGAGTTGATGGCCTTCTGCGTCCCGGCACCAGAGACGCAGTTGAGGTAACCAACTCTGTGGAAGTAGGGAGCGTAAAGAGGGGTTTGCCATTTCTTTGCAGCTTCCTAGACAACGTGTTAGTTTGCCTTTCGTGGTTACCGACAAGATCGTTTACTTACAACACCGAGCTCTGTGTACCATGGATCCTCATACTCAGCACGCATGATCTTGTTCAAATCGTTCGCGGCTGACCATCTTGAGGGGATTTCCGAATCCCTCTCGAAGACTGTGATATCAGTGTAACCTTGTTGTGACAGCTCAAAAGCAGTCGACAGTCCAAAAGCTCCTCCACCGATGATAGCAATGTGGTCGTTCTTAGAGATACCCATCGTGTCAGATTATGACGTCGAGAGTGAAGTTCTGTGAGGGGGGATGCAAGGAGCTACTTGATCGTCCCCCACTCAAGGAAACCTCACATTATAACGCACCTACGAACAACGGGCGCCAACTCCGAATACTGCGCCATTCACCTTCCACTCGTGTGGGACTATCGGAATACACGTCTTGCCGATAGAGCGCACGTGCGTTAGTGTGGCTGTCGAGTCGCTGCCCCGCAGCCGCAGCAACAACGCATCGTCGGCAAGCCTACCGGGCACGCCACGGGCGCGAAACCGACACTGCACCCGACAACATTTTTCCATGTATCACCGGAACCTGGGAACCGATGACCACGCTATGCGATCATATGGTCCAGAAAGGTAAACTGATGCGATGCAAAGCGCAGCTCAGTCCGGTGGTCGGGATTGTCGATGGGCCGGAATCGGTTTGAAGAGAAAGCGAACTCAGGCACGTTGAAGGTCGTTTTCGACATCGTGCGTTACTGCAAGGGCTGTAGAAACGGTCACCACGACTTTGCCGCTACGACTCCATGTCATCAATGACTCAGCAACTTGCTCCTGAGCATACCAAGTTTGGATGGGGAGGATGGAGGGGAAGCACGTTACCGGCACAGCTTACAGGAGACTTGGGCGCTGCAGCTGTGTCGGCAACACTGATATCACCTGTTCTTACAGCAATTGACCGGTAAGTGGTATCAATCAGGTGAGATCGACTTGAAATTTCATATTGATTGTCTCCAGTGCGGTCGTTGAAAATGCGGCTCGACCAGGGCAGAATCCACTGGCTCAGGCATTAAAGACAAACATACTCTGTTCATTCCAGCATCCAAGACGGTTCTTTGGCACGAAACCATTCTTCATCATCTGGACGCTATATGCAGCAACATATGCAACAGCAAACACAGTCGAAACAACAGCCAGGCACCTAACCCAAAAGGCCGACGAGCTTTTCGTCCAGTCCGCCACTTTTTTATCGACAATAATAGTGAATGTGCCTTTAGGAGTCTGGAAAGATGTGCGATTTGTTCAGATGTTTGGCAGGCCCTCAGCACCAGTTGCCGCTCAGACAGAAGGTGCGAAGACAACGTCTCCGCCAGTCCAACGGCCAAACTTTCCTAGAATGGTGGCAGCTACGTTCCTCGTTCGCGACGCAATCACCATCTTTGGAGCTGTCAACTTGCCTCCAATGATCTCAAACTCACTGCCCGAAGAGACTTTTTCGAGTCCAATGCTCAAGATGGCGACAATGCAACTTCTGGTCCCGGTTTTCTCGCAGATCCTCGCAACACCAATCCATCTGCTAGGGCTGGATATGTACAGTCATCCAAACAGCGCGGCCCGGATGTCAAGGATCAGACGGAATCTCGGAGCAACAACGCTGGTGAGGTGCGCCAGGATCATTCCGGCTTTTGGTGTCGGACTCATTGCGAACACTGGGCTACGGAGTTACTTTCATGAAAAGGCCGGCTACGTAAAGGATTGCTCATGAGACTGCGGTATCTGAAGTAACTATTTTAGGGTTATAGCGGAGCATTGGCGTCAAGGCTGTTGCCGATTCACTAGTATTTCCCGGCATACTGTAATAGTCACATGGGATTGGAGCCAAAAACTTTGACACATCTTCTACACGGCTTCGATTTCCAGCCTCACTTCGCCTTGTCCAACGTGCATTAAAGGCTTGTTGATAACAACGTGCCACATTGAGCTTACAGCTATCCATTTCGACCAATTGCGTGTGTTAGCGTATCAGCTGCACTGTTAGACCGAGATCTTAACCCGATGCGATGCATCTCACCCCGCACGCCACGCCTCCCGACAGGAGAGAGCAGTTGGGCACCACCTCGACATCCGTACCGATAGTCGTAGTGACTCCCACATCATGCAAGACAACGATAAGCAATGTGGCACTGGAGCCACGCTTGGTCGGTACCGGATTCGGGCAGTAGGTGCGAACCGGCAGTGCGTCCGACCTACGGTACGTCGATGCGAAAGTCACGAGGCATGCGAAGGCCCACGTTCTCGAAGTGTGTAGCGTGAAGCGGGGTCAAGGAATACACATTACATGATAGTGGGATGGCCATGGGTGATAAGCCGATATAACTATCAGTCACTGTGTACACAGGAGACTTCCTTGCTCGTAACAACGTTGTTTCTCCAAACCTCGAGAGCCCATTGTCTCAATTCCTCTTATCAAGTTTCTACCCATCCTATACAACTCAGCGAGAGGGTCATGCTTCATACCAAGTACGGCGCCCCTGCGGTGCTGAGGGGCGTAATCCGCAAAGATGGAATCGCATTCACAGCCATCAGGCTATCGTCGACCTATGCAGCAAAGGAGAGAGGGGCAATGGGCACACCATCACAGGAGATTAGATCCTCGACAAAGGCTGCTCCACTATCAGCCATGCCTTTGCCCATGTTTCTGCGATCACTTCTTGTTGCAACAATTTCCTCAAAGAAGTGGCTACTCGTTCCTTCTCTTCACCTCCTCGACTTCTTCGCCAAGCCGCACCGGGCGTGGGTGTTCAACCTTGAGAAGAACCCAATTCTTAAAGCTATCATCAAGAAGTCTTTCTACGACCAGTTCTGCGCCGGCACAACACCAGCCGAAACAAGAACATGCGTGAAGGCATTGAAGGATCTGGGGTTTCGAGGTGTTATTCTTACCTACGCACAAGAGATGGTATTTGACCACAAAAGCGGAAACGGGTACAGTCCGGGGGCCGCAGCAGAGGAAGCTAAGGAAGAGGAAAGTGGTGTAAAGATTGACAACGTCATTGAGTCGTGGAGAGCCGGCACTGTTGGTACTATTGACCTGATCGACGAGGGTGACATTTTGGCTATCAAGTGAGCTTGTAACTGCTGTATCAAAAAGTCACTGTACTAACATCATCGTAGGACATCTGGTGCTGGACTTGCAGTTGTCAATTCATTCAACAAAGGAGACTTGCCCCCACAACAGATGATGGATGCACTTGAAGAGATTGGTACCAAGTGCAAAGAGCGCAACATCCAGATCATTATCGATGCGGAATCTCAACACTACCAGAAAGGCATTGCCCGGACCGCCCTCGAAATGATGCGCAAGTTCAACACCGATGGTCGCGTGGTCGTATACAACACATATCAGGCATACCTCAAGAGCACCCCAGCACTCATCGCTTCCCACCTCGCCGAGGCCGAGAAAGATGGCTTCACCCTTGGCCTTAAGGTCGTCCGCGGTGCATACATAGCCACTGACGATCGCGCTCTAATCCATGACACGAAGCAAGACACAGACGACTGCTACAATGGCATCGCTCGGGGTGCTCTACGCCAGCAGCTCGGTGAATACGGTGTCTCTCGTCCCTTCCCTTCAGTCAAGCTCTTCCTTGCATCGCACAACCGCGAGTCAGTCATCTCAGCACAGAGACTTCATGAGCAGAGATTAGCGGCCGGTCTGCCCACCGTCGATGTCGGTTTTGGTCAACTTCATGGCATGTCTGATGAAGTCAGCTTCTCGCTCCTGGCCGAGAAGAGTAACAGCGGCCAGCCACCTGCTGTTTTCAAGTGCTCAACGTGGGGAAGCATGGGTGAGTGCATTGGCTATCTGCTGAGAAGAGCAGTGGAGAATAGAGATGCTGTTCTGAGAACAAACGACGAATACATGGCACTCCGCAAAGAGGCAGGGAGAAGGCTGCGATCTATCTTTGGAGCTGCATGAACAAGCAAGAGATGTTGACGAACATATCACGATAATGCATTTAGACGAAGTAGATGAAGACACATATTTCAAACAACATCCCAAACTCTCATTGAATACTTCTGTGACATTTCAACATCTTGTTGTGTGATGCTGATTGATCATTACATCCAACGTGGACCGGAGCTTCAACTCCGACAACGGTGTGGTGGGACTTTGTCTAGATGCATTGCGGGGTTTATGTGGAGAATACGGCTAACATCGGTCTCGCGAACAGTTCCCTCACAAGTGTCATGTTGGTCTTATCTGCGCCGGATAGTCCCAGAGAATGATCCAATGACATATTCTGTACTCGGGAAGCAACCCGAAGCGGGGCACTTTGCGGTACCTATGTTTTTGGACGACTTTGAGACGGGATGAATACGACTTCTTCTTTCTAATCTGCAGTCGCAATTCCATTTCGAATCTACCTGACCGCTAAACGAAACGCGCTGCTGTATAAACATGTCGGGGAAAACGTTGTGCATTTTAGGTTGTGGTATGCTTGATGCTCTCCCCAAAGTAGACCTGGCTAAACATAGTACAGGCAACCTTGGGCAACCAATTCTAAGCAGTCTTCTTAACGAATCTGGCAGCGACAAGAACGCAACGTTCAACAAGTACATTGCTTGCGTGAGAAGCGAGGTTTCTGCGAAGAAGCTGGCCGACAAGTATCCGGAAGCTGCAAAATCAGGGAAGCTCTCCGTTTCGAGAGGAGACAACGTCAAAGCCGCGAAAGACTCAGATGTTATCCTGCTTGGTGTCGATCCGTCAGATGTTGAATCCACTCTGAAAGAAGAAGGTCTCTCAGATGCATTGAGTGGAAAGCTACTCATCAGTCTGGCTGCTGGGTGGACAAGAGAGGCCATCGAGAAGCTCATTTCAGCAAGCCAGAACAAGATCTGGGTCATTCGCACGCTCCCCAACATCGCTGCGCAAGTCTCCGAGTCTCTCACAGCAATTGAGGACCCAGACAAGGATATTCCGAAGGAGTTTATTGTGATCACAGATCACCTCTTCAACCAGGTCGGCAAAGTCGCGCACATTGACCCAAAATTGATGAATGCATCGACAGCTGTAGGAGGTTCAACGCCGGCCATGTTTGCTGTCATCTGCGATGCATTGATTGATGCGTCAGTTGCTGTTGGTATGCCCAGGGCGACTGCACAGACCATGATCTACCAAAGTATGAAGGGCACTGCTGCGATGTTGCAAAGTGGGATTCACCCCGGGGTGCTGAAAGATCAAGGGACATCGCCAGAAGGATGCACAATTGGCGGGCTGATGGTGATGGAGGAGGCTGGAGTTCGTGGCCACCTTGGAAAGGCATTGAGAGAAGCTGTAACCATTGCGCGTTTGATGGGTCAGAACCCTCACGTCAATGACACCAGGCAAGGGCAATAGATCGGATAGAAAGACAAGTTCTTGAACAACAAGACTAGTTAGCGTTTCTTTCGGTTTGCATCACGCATGCAGCAATTAATGCATATTCGTGGTGTGAGCACGCAAGAGTTCCTTCCCCTATCGTCATTTCCACTAGCCTATTCTAGTTGGCAGCACATCATCCCTGCCTTCTACTTCAACAACAACTCGAACTCAGCTTATGCTGATTACCATCACTTTGCCTTCTTGCCGTGTATTAAAGCTGCCAGTCCAACGCAAAGGAATCCCAGTATACCACACGAGCCCGCGAAAACCTGCGCGTACAGATAGTCACCATGCTTGTATTCAATTAGTGCACCACCCGCTGGACTTCCAATGAGTACGCCAAAGCTCGACAACGCGAAGCCCATCCCGAATCGTGTACCTGTCTTCTTGGGATCGATGGTGAGATCTGCCATGGTCGCAGGAAAGAGCCCTTGCAAAGCGGACGCAAACAGACCATATATCGCCGCAAAGACGTACATCGATGTCGTTGACTTAATCGTGATCCAAACAAAGAGTAGAAGTGCCGTAATCAAGTTGATCGGAAGACCAACATGAATTGGACGGAAGTAGCGATCTGCAAGATACATAGGGATGAGCCGACCAGGAACGCCCACACCATTGAGGACCATCAAAATAGGTATTGTCTCTTTTAGTGACATGCCCAACTTGTTACGTGAGTATGCGTTGACATAGAAGAAGGCGAAGTACAGTCCACTGAAATTGAGGAAAGAACCGACGATCTATTCGCATTAGCTTGAGGTTACTGTGGACAGACAAACCACTACTCACAAATAGGATGAATACAATATCCTTCAACTCACTCGGCTCGAACAACTTTGCAGAGTCCTTGGGCGGTAATCTCTTCTTCAGCAATCGCTCAGCCAGCACAAGGAGTACAAGAGCCATGAATCCAAAGGACCTAACGGCCCAGCCGAACCCAATAATACTAAACAATCGATTCAACATGATCGGGAAGATCATGCCGCCCGTTGCAGAACCGCATAGTATCAGTCCAATCGCAAGGCTCCTTCTACTTGGATCGAAGTACGTCGACACAACCGACATAGTCGGCACGAACATGAACCCATTTGCAACACCGATACATACTCCCTGCGCCAATAGGAATTGCCAATATTCGCGGCACAAGCTCGTGGTGAATATGCCGATCAGCCACAACAGAGTACCCACTCTTAAGACCAATTTGAAGTGACCGACGTCAGACGCTGACCCGGACCACAGTGGGACAAGCATCAAGAAGAAGATCATCAATGACCCTATCCACGAGATGTTCGAGGGCGACGAGACCCCGTTGGCGGTGTAGTAAGCCTGGAACATGCCGAACGAGGTGATGAATCCCCAAACGAAGAATGTCACAATGTGACCGCCGAGGACCTGCGACCATGCTTCCCAGCCGCCATTTGGAGGCGGCTCAACTGAGGATATTCGGGTGATGTTGAAAGTTGTTGCCGGTTCCTGCTTCTCGGATGGTGCATCTTGGGTCTGCGTTTCGACGGCCTCGATCGAGCGATATGTCTCTTGCTGCTCCATCTGATCGAGTAGCACCGCTAATGGGGAAGTTAGGAGGATGCTTGTGTAGGTGACATGGAGACTTAGGTTGTCGGTGTGAAGTTGAAGATTGCGACTAAAGTATACGGGAATAGGTGGCGGCTACGTAATTGCCGAACACAAGTGCGGAGTTCTTCCATCGCCGTCTCCGCTTAGACAGCATCAAATGGCAAAAGTTCAGAAAAATATCTTGGATTTAGATATCGGTATTCACTCAAGGTGTGCTCAATAGAATCTACGGTTGAGGCAGAGCACAGCTCTGGCAGCCACTACAGTAGACCAGCCTCAATCTAATACATGTAGGAGAACCACACTAATACAAACAACAATGCCCATCATATGGCTGCTCTATCATTCGTTGGAAAGCAGTAGTAGATACCCGTCTCAATTTCGTCTCGATGCCCCTGCTTAATGCGTAGGGGGCGCCTCCCAGTACCTCAGCATCTGCTCCAATGCCCCCTTCCACTCTCGAACAAGGATATCCGTCAATTGTGCGATCTGCGCGTCTGTAGGCGTATGCCCACCCCAAGTAGCAGGTAGACCAGCCTGGTACTGGGCATAGTACCCAATCAAGCCACTATAATCATCAGCATCAGGTTCACACTTATCGAATATCGGGCGGTGCCACGTACTCATTTTTGATCTTCTTGAGAACCAGCCAGCACAAGTTCCAACTGCGATTACTCGCCGGATCGGCATACACTCTCCTCTTCGCTTCATCCACGCAGTATGAACTGAACGGATATGTCCTTGTTAGGCCACGCAGCTCGGTAAGAAGACTATTGGACGAAACGTAGTAAGTCCACGCCGCAGTCATAGACTCACTGACGTCAGGCGAATTGAGGAGGGCAAAAGCTTTCTCAACGCGGCGCAGATCTATCAGAGTGTTGATGCGGTGTTGCTGGAGTGCTACGATTGTATCGTGCTTCTCTGCCTGAGGGAAGTCAGCTCGGATGACATAGAGACCAGTGAATCGTCATACAAGGGACATTCGGTGAGTCGCAGACATGTTGTGTGTGCGGTAGCGGCGTGCAGGTGGGTTGCTGAATTCACTGAGGTCGGTGTTGGTGGATGAAAACGAGTATTCTGACATCGAACGAGCACTGTTGGGAGATGTGTTGATAGTTCTACGTGAACTTTGCTTCTGATCTGGGTGCCATAGGAACGAAGTCGGCTCTATTATGTACGTTTTCAAGCCGAAGTTCGTGAGACCGTCGGAGTTAGAAATGAACCACATGTGATGCATAACTTTGGGACCCAGATCGAAAAATGTCGTCAATAGCTGACCGTTCGACCCGAAACTGGATGTTCGTCCGTGAATACAAGGACCGTGTTTCAATTCTTGTCGTCAAGTTGTAAGAGAGATGGGTGCTTTCAGCTGGGAGTATCCCGAAGGAGAGATGAATGTAAGATGTACGGACCGAAAGAAGAGACTCCAGATCAGCTGCAGGCCTGTGAATGACGAAGTACACTTGGCTTAGGTACTCACAGGGTGCAGGACATATCATGAGTGGACTGTTCCGTCTAGCGCCCATGTTTGCCAACGTCGAGAGCTGATGTGAGTATAAGCCATGCATGCGCTCGCCTTGATCTCCACGGCCCGGGAGATCACAGCTCAGACTGCATGGATGTCAGTGATGATGGTCTGACTGCCAAGTTTGAATGGCCAGAATGGTGCTTGGCTGCTCTCCAAAGGACTGGGATCTGATCTGATGCTGATGGTTTTGTTATCATGTACAAACATCGGAGAGCGACCGGGCCACAGCTGTTCATCCGCAGCCTCAGCCAAGACGTTCATAGTGAAGCCTTGAACCCTGGCAACGGCTACTGGTACTTCGGCGACAGCGACAAGTGGTCGGAACTATGAAATACCGAAGGATGGAACGAGATAATAAGCTCTTAAGCGCGTTGCAGTCAAAGGCTTGCTGACGTGAAAGCCCAAGCCGTTGTGTAGTAGTTAGTGTGCATTAGCGTGGCACAGCCCCTGCCCCATACGATGTCAACGGCGAACAGCGACCTCACCGCTGCACGTTCTTCGATTCATGTGAATCGCACTGGAAATAGGCAAGATTTAGTTGGCAAGACCGTCATTTCGAATTTGCGGACAGGAAGGTCCAGAGCCTTGAAGATTGTTCTATCATCCTTCACCTCACTTCGTGAGCTAGGCGCAGTTCTGGTCACCACCCCTGCCCCGGACTTGTGGCCGTGCAGCTGTGCTGAGCCTCATCCTGATCGTCGGGCTCTTCGACATCCGCAAAAGGCGTTTGCGACGTAATTCTACTGGCCGATAAATTCGAGATTGCCTTGCGGCTGATGAAATGTTGTCAGCAGCCCTGCGTTCAGGCGCTAATGATGTCAGATGGAGATGCGGCTGCAAGCCTGTCCACATGGGCATATTTGAAGGGGCCGGGCCTAGGTGACGCCAGCAGACTCGATACCGCCGAAACACTATTGGCTGATCACGATCGAAGCTCTTCGGATGATCGAAAGCTAGGATTATGCTGTCTAACGTTCAGGTCAGAGATCATGACCGAACCTTTGGCCACCTTGGCTCCATTGTAGAACAATCTGAGAGCAAAACCTGTTCGCTTTGCTCTGCCGTCAGCTCGTCGTTCCCGAGACTGCAGCCGTCAGCTCAATGATGGCACATGAGCATCTGGCATCATCAGCTTGCCAAAGGTCCAGTAGTCGGCTGTTGTTCTGGAACGACTTTGCTCAAGCCTGTACTGTTCCCAACATCGCATTTCGTAACCTCGCACTGTCGCGCGGGCAGACTGGCTCGTATCTGTCATCTGGATAAGTTGTGCAGACAAGAAGCAGCCGAAACAACGAGGCAAAAATATCAGGATCTATGATTGCATTCCCCGGTCACTATTCACAATACGTAGGTAATACAACCCAGGTCGGGTAAAACTTGGCTATCGAGAAAGAGACGTTTACAATACGGAAAGGTCTCCGAACTTCTCCTGTGCGGTTGTTAGCGTATGATCAATCACTACAGCGATTCTATGTGTAGACTCGCCTTGTAGCCGGGGACGGCCCAGCGGCCCTTAGAAACGAGCTGCTCGGTGCGCTGGTCAATCTCGGGCTGGGCGGCCGCGACATCATCGACGGTGAGATCATCGAACGACCTGGCCTCCTCAATGTTCTTCAGTGTCTTCTGGAGGTCGCTGAGCTCCTTGTCAACGACAGCCTTGGTCTGCTCGGCGCTCTGGACAGCCTGGGCCTCGAAAGCCTCGATGGCCTTGATTTGCCTGTTTACGTCGTAGGTCTTGGGCTTGAAAGCGGTGAATTGCTTCTCGATTTCGTCGACAATGGCCTGGTTCTTGAGGATGGAGCGGTACTGCGCGAAGTCGACGGTCTGGGCCTGCTCGGAGAGCACGGCAACCTTGCGGCGGGCGTCATCGTTGCGCTTCTTGAACGACTGGAGGGCGACGGCGGTGTTGCCACGGAGGCCGAGCTGCTGGCCAATCTTGGTCCAGTCGAGCTTGAGGGCTGCGCTGCGCTGTTGCGGGAGATGCGTTAGTTTTCAAGGTCGCTGCTGGGGCTGCCATTGCGCGCGCGGGAGCTCGGGAAAGCGGCAATTGAGCTGTCGCGAGCTCCCAACGGCGGTCCGGAGAGGGTTCAACGTACTCCGACGGCCATTGTGATGGATAGGGACGGGTTGTGGGATGAGTCGTGGGGCGGAGGGTGAGTGGGTGAGTTTGGAAGTGAACTTCTGAGGGTTCGGGAAGGGTTTAGCGCCGAACCAAGCCGGAAACACCAACATGAGCACCCTGTCTTGCAAAACCGCGGACCAGACTATTCAGCATGCCTTCTACTCTCAAAGAATGTTAGACATATTTCGCTGGTTGTTCTGATTGACAATGTGGTCAGCCTCGGGGCTGAGAAACAGCATTCGATATCAGTACTGAGGGCGTCACAACAACAGCTTTCAAAGGTAGGTAAATACCGGAGGCAACTCAGGCAATTTACAAAGCCAGCTGCATGAAAGCGCCAGGAGACTGGCTCCAGCTAGTCGTTATCAATATCCACATCGGCATAACATCACAGAAACACTCAAACGCGAGCGGTGCACATGATACGAGACTTGCACAGATTCATTTTCATGTCTCTTGCTCATGAGCTACGCGGATCCTTCGCGGATGCCATGCCCAAGCAAGTCAAGTTTGACTTTCCCTCGCACAAGACAGGTGTCTATATGCTAAGAGCCATGATCGAGTTGACGATGTCGTTGTCGTTCTCCTTCAGGGCCTTGACGGCCTTCTTGCGGGAGACGGACGCCTGCTGCATGACAAGCTCGATGTCCTTGGCCTCGAGACCGGAGTCATCGACCTCCTCACCATCATCCTCCTCCTCCTCGGCCTTCTCCTCAACCTTGCCCTTGGACTCGTCGTGTGCGTGGTCATGGTCGTGGTCGTGGTCGTGGTCGTGACCGGCGTGGTCGTGACCCTGCTGCTCAGCCTGGGCAAGCTGCTGGGCGGCGGAAGCCTGGGCCTGGGAGTTCAGGTCCTCAATCTTAGCCTCACCGAAGATGCTGGTATGGGATCAGTATATGTCGCAAGGTCATGAAACAGCTGCCTATACTCACATGTAGGTGTTGCTGGAGGGGGACTTGTAGACATCGGGCTGGTTGATGACGAAGAGGATCTGGGAGGCATGTTAGCCAAAATTCGGTATGCCCCGCAGCGGTTGTTCGAGCTCTTTGCGCCCTCCTCTGCTGCCATTGCGGTCTGCACTCACGTTCTTCGGTCGGCGGAGGGTGACGCGTGTGATGCCCTCGATGTGCTTCAGGCCGAGCTTGGCGATGGCCTTGCGAGCCTTCTTCTCGTTGCGGGAGTGGACGGTGACCGACGAGCCCTGGGGGATCACGGCATCGCCCTCCTCCTCGGATTCGCTGGACTCATCCTCCTCAATCTGAACGTTCTTCTTCTCAGGCTCATCGGGGAGCTCTTCAATGCGGGGGTTGGCCATTTTTGCGATGTGGTGATAGCTCTTTCCTATGTGCGTGACTACGTAGAACTTGACTCTGGAGTGTGCGCGGACAACGGGCCAATAAAGCGCGAGTGGATCTCTAAGCGAGTTCGCAACCCACCTTTGAAGTCATAGCCCAGGCCTTTGCAGGAGCGACAGAGTACATGATCAAAAGCTACATTCCATTACACGCTGATGTTAGTCTACCGTAAAGAAATCGCTTCTAGGCCTCAACGACAAAGCTCGTGCAGTTGTCGAGTATGCAGATGCGCTTGCCATCACGCGCCAGGGAGATCTCCCCGCCCTGTCTCATCATCAACAATCTTGGTGCTATCTGATGTTACGCGCCAAAAGAGTCGTTCGAAGAGGCTTCGAATCTTCTCATGCGGTTATGGTACTATGTTGAGCTGAGTACCGCGCACTTAGACGATCTACTTACATCTGGTCGGCTCAAAACTCCTTTGCCATTGCACGAGCTGGTGCAAGGCAGCATAGGTAGCGCAGTACGGTATGCTATTGAGGCAACTGGGATTGTCTCTGCCATGGCGTCATTCTTTCGGTATCAGGCCACATTCTAGATCAGCGACGACCTGGGTCATACCGCGTTTGTCACGGTGCGATGCTGCAAGATTCGATATCCCGTTTCGAGAATCGCAAATTCACTGATGTCCAGATAAAGAGGATACTACGAAGGCGAACGCGAATGAAGCAGCTGTTGGAGGAGCACAAAGCAAGCCTGGTGCAAAGAGCATACATTCGTGCAGAGAACCAAATCCGGAAGCAACAGAAGGAAACAGAGCAATAGGCTCGGAAGCAGAACCTGAGAGCAGAGATAGCAGAGCGAGCAATTCGAAGGGAAAGGCCAGGCAAACATGGGAAGCTCCTGGAGAAGCTTTGCAAGGTTGGACGGAAGCAGCCGAACAAACTCCACAGTAGAAGAAGGAAAGGTACCTTCTCGCCCTTGAGAAGGCGGAAGCAAGGACACAGCAGCTAGTAGGCCAACCTTCGTGTTTCATTTAATGTTCAAAGCCGAATTCGACCGCCAGGAGCAGTCTGCGGGAGACGCATTCTAAGTGCGTGCGGCCGTCGCTGGCATCACGCTCAATCTGCCACTTCGCAATGAGGGACGGGCACACGCTGCACCTGAAGAGATGCTTCAGCATACCAACGTCACTTCGAGTGCTGGAGATTGAGATGGGAGTCTGTACATCGCCTGTAGGGCAATGGAGCTACTTATATTGACTCGAAGATGAAGTTGGGGACATGTATCGAGCTTGCTGCAATGGATGCTGAGATTGTATGCCCTCTCAAGTTTCAGGGAAAATGGCGGATTAGCAGAATTCAAGATCACCTACTTTCATATAGAACTTGTAGCTATTACAATACCAAAAGCTAAAATTCATGTAAGAACTACCTATATTATAAGCAAAAAGTATTCTATAGAGGTTTTATGCATTCTCTGTACGTTACTGTCGCGTAGTAGGATGTCCGGCTCATTCTTAGTCCGTCGTCTATCCTGCAACGTGAGAGACGGCATCCGCATAGACAACAAGGGGATGCTCGGAAAAGCGGAGGACGTACTGTGCGAGCACCCGGGCGCTTTCAGCCTTGAGCCAATGAGACGGGTGCGCTATATCTATAAGCGAGTGTGCAGACCGCACCTGCCGTCAACTAGCACATGGACGGCAGGCAAGGAAAGTAGGCGAGTGTCCATGACATCGCCAGGCGTGATTTCTCCAGGGACCGCGGAGTCGGCGATCAGCGGCAATCGGAGAGCAGAGGGCGGTTCACGTAGTCAAGATGGTGAATTTCAATGGGTATCATTTGCAATTCTAGTTGCGGTTTGTGGTTCATGAACTTGTGGATTGGACTCGTTTGCTACATGTGATGCATGCAGGAGCCGTGTTAACCTTCCCATCCGAATTGCACCGTGCCAATCATTGAAATAATGCACCCGATCCAGGTCTTGAATTTTAGAATGCCGTAGGTCGCCTCCGGGATGCTTAAGAAACGCACATCATGCCTCCTCCAGCATCTGCATGCAGCGACCTCCACTACGCCGTGTCTCCCGACATCATCGTGACCGTCTATGCCTTTGCGCTGGCGCGGATCTTGGCGAAGGTCTTCTGGACCTCGTAGCGGGCCTTGGTGTATGTTAGCTATGTTCTTGCTGGAGGCGCATACTGGCGTGCGGTGCAGCACCGCGCGCCGGCATCACCCGGACCACAGATAACCTACCTGCTTCCTCAGCTTCAGGACCTTGAACCTCTCGAAGTCGTTCAACTGCCTCCTCTTCTGGAGCGCAGCGCGCTTCTTGGCCCAGGCGCTCTCATCGAACTTCTGCTGGACCTTGTGCTCCTCCCACTTCTTCGCGACGTGGCCGACACCGGTGGCGCGGGGCAGCTTGGGGATAACGATGGGGGTAAGGGACAGCTTGGCGAGGGCGACTTGCTGGCGGGGGACGGGAGCCTCCTTGGTGGGACCATCGACAAGAACCTGTGCCAGTCAGCAGCCGCACTTCCTGCTCTGCTCAGATCACGGGGCTTCGTACGCGCTTGTGGTCGATGATCTCGACAATGGTGGCGAGGCGGCCCTCGTAGACACCCTCGTTGAAAAGGACGACACGGCCGACCTCGACCAGCCTCCAGGCGCTCGTTGTGATGTTGGCGTCACCCATTTCGTCGGTTATGCTGTGAGATTATTAGGGCGTGTAAAAGAGCGTGAAGGTATCGCAGGCGTACCGGAAAGGATGTGCTGTGAGGTTAGTTTTCGAAGTCGGAGCGATGATGTTCAAGTCGGATTGAATTTGGAGTGTGTGGGCTCAAGCGATCAGGCACGGGCCATGTGGCCCGTGCCTGGAGCCATTAAAAAGTCGTCGCGTTGCTGCAACACCGCAACACCAGCAATGCCCTGACAATAACCCCAACTGCAGCGCAGATGAGCGCGCCGCGTTACTAGGAGCACCATTTCGAGCCTTTCACACTCGTGAGGCATTGCATGCGGTCTTCATTCCCATGCCGGAGCCGCCTGCGTGCGCCGCTCTGAGCTCGGTGATGCTAACTCCTCCGCAACAGCCAGCCCGCAGGGCCTGCAGGGCCTGCACATCTCTACTGGTACGTTCCTCTCTTCCATCACCTCACCACCTCGTCCTATGATGACGTAATTTGCGATTGAGTCGGCGTCGGAGACCCTCGCCGGGGTTTCTTAACGGCGTTGTCCCTATGATATTCAATTTCTTACATATTCTGAGCTTTCGAGCATCACTTCTCTGGCATACGATCTGCTTTGAAGAGGGCTTGGCTGACCGTAAAAAGACTACAGGCTATGTTCTTCTACCATCAGAAGCTAGTATTGCTCAGCGATCACGCCGTTGTTACAAGTGCTTGCATGGTCTTGCTCACAAGAACGCCATCTTCGGTAGGTCTACATTTGTCTTTTCAGCACCCCTTCCAATGATTACAATTTGCAATAGATAGTAACTGATCGGCCCATCAATCCGAACCAAGTGATTATTATTTTAACACCAAGATCACTGAGGAACTTCTTCATCTCAGGCTTGCTTAACATTCATTGCTTCGAGCATTCACTAACAAGCTTGCAGATTACAAATGCGCATTCTACTGTAATCGATGTTCAGCGTGACATGATTGTCAACTTGTACGCTGTATCGCTTTCATTGCCTATTCGCGCGAGCTTCTGCTCCCGGTAGCTGAGGATGGCGATAGTTGTAGCGTTCGGCTTCGTGATACCAGTGGACATGAGCATTGCTACTGTGCTGCTTACTCCCCACTCTCCCGTTGCCTTATTCTCCGCCGTGTGATCCTGCGCCCATAACTCCAATAAAGGTTCATCAGGAGCTCCCTTGTCATAACATCGAATGTTGTCCGTGTGTCGAATTTGCTTCCACTGTATGGAAACGCCACGATTCTGGTCCAATCCTGGTCTTTCTCGAAGTAGAACTCCAGATCGAATGCGTCGGCTTTCCTCAGCATGCCCTTCAGCACGTCTCCTGTATCGCCATTGGCATCTGCCCAAGCCCACAGCCTAGTGTCAAGGAAGTCTAGAACCTCTTTCGGCACATTCTGTGCCAGAATCTGTGCATTGAAGAGCAGGTGCCTCATGATGTTGATGTTGCAACCACAGTCCAGGACAGCATACCTCAACAGCCCTGTATCAATCTGCTTGGGCACACCCAGCAGCGTTGACAAGGCTGCAACAGCCCTCTCGTTGCCCTGTGCCACGGCCTCCCTGATCCCCTGCTTCGCCGTTTCACCAGCCATGCTTCCTTTCCAGTCAATCTCCCCGTTGAAACTGGCGAGCACAAACAGCAGATTCACTTTCCCCTCATCCCATGGTCCATGCAATAACTTTTCCGGCACAAAGAAACCCTCTGCAAACGCAAGATACGGGATGTCTGTGAACTTGAGTGGCCACAGTCCATCGAATTGTCGAACACCGGGGACTTCAACACCCGTCTTCTCCCATGCTTTCCCTCGGAGAGTAATCATAGCATCGTGACTTTTGTCCACATACTTCAAAAAGAAGTCCCAGGTGAAGAAGCGGCAAGAAAGAAGCTGGCTCTGCAACAGTCGATCTCCGTCCTTCCTACGATCGCGATAGTTTGTCCTATGGTCGACTGTGTGGAAGAAGGTTCGCATGGTATATTCCAGAGTCACTGCGCGGGAGCTGAGTTTGCGGCCGAGTTGTGGTGAGGCACGTGGGAGCGAAATGTTCATAGAGTCCAAAAAAATAATTTCCAGAAGTTCCTGGGGCAGCCCGAGAAGCGTGGGCATGGCTGCGATGTTCCGTTTTGGGAGTCGTTTTTGTTTCTTGCGGAGCAGCTTTTCTGGTCTTGTTTCTATCGTCGACGTTGTTGGTAATACTGAAGCGATTGGTATTGCGATGTTCTTGCGTTTCTTCCCGCGTATCTTGACCGGTGTGAGATACAGGTCCGGATCCATTTGTATGCGAGGGCGTGACTAGGCAGCAGAGTTCCGGGGGGCTGTGTGGGTGAATTGGGAAAGGTCTGATGTCGAGCTGTGGCGCACGAGTGAAGTGGCTGACATCCTTTCCCGCGGCGTTTGTGCCTTTTTGTGCCTGAGCTCCATCATCGTAAACACACACAAACCCACAACCCTGCAAACCACACACGACCACGATTGACGATGCAGGTCCACGCTGTACCTGATGCAGAGCGCGCTTTCGACTCGCAAGGGCGAAAACTGCCTTGGGGCCTTGAGTTTGCAGAGTAAGTACGGACTGTTTGACGTTGCAGGACAAGAAAGAGATGCATTACAGCACAATGCGCGCGTAACCTCTGCCTTGCTGCATGCGACCAAGCTACTGGAAGACCTTGAGATCTATCGCCGATCTGTCAAGAAGCATCAACTGATGTCAATAGCAACGACTACAATCAGCGAACACGGATACCCGAAGAGAAAGGTCCCTTCGGCAAGGCGCGCAAGCGTGGGTCTACACGTGCGAAGACACCGACAGCGAAGTCTGCCGAAGACAGTGCGAAGCTCGACAACCTGCGCGCAATCGACGACATCTTTGGGCGCGTGAAGGCCGAAGAAGAGCAGAAACGATCCCTCTCCGGGCATCCTGCAGCTGCACTCCCACCCTCAGCATCTGCGCCGAATCTGTTAGAAAGTGGTGGCTTACTGGGAACATCGTTCAATGGTGGTGCGCCTCCAAACATAACGGCGAAGGAGCCCAAGGAAGTCATATTGTATGGCTACGGTGCAGAGGTCCAATGGGCGGCTATAGACTTCTACGAGAAGGTTTCCAACGGCATCATCTACGAAGAATACGATCGCGAGCCGTATAGCCCGAAGTTCAGCTACGCGTTTGGCATACAGCGCAATTCACACCTACGTTCGCTTTCGAAGGCAGCACTGTCCCGAGTCAATCAGTTTGTAGGCGGCGACCACTGGATTAAAGTTACGTTCGACTCAGCAGAAGCCGCTGAGCGCGCATGTCACTACTCTCCTCATAATATCCAAGGCTACACTGTCTTCGCTGAAGCTTACAGAGGCACCGGTCCTCAAGGCGGCGATCGAGCTCTCCACGCCCAGATTGGCGGCGCGATCTCTCTCCTCTCCTCCCCGCTGACTGGCGCCTCGAGCACGGTGCCAGATACATCAACGACTGCCTCCTCAGCAACGGCGACGACTGGCCCTGCACCAGTCACCCTTCCGCGATCAAACACCATGCCCTACTTTCCTAGCGGCTCTTTCCCCATGGACGACGGGCCGCTCGACCGCGAGCCACCAGCACCAGTCGCCACACGACCATCGCAAACCCAAACTATGACTACATCCGCACAACTCGCGCCCACATCACGTCGCGCGACGCTCCGCCTGAAAGGCGCAAACGTAAAACCCGCTGTCTTCATGCCGCAAGAAAAGGCATTTTTACCAGCCCCACCGCGCTGGCAGCAGACGTTTGGCTCTCTGCCAATCATTGGGTGGGTGATTGGAAGCGGTCAAGGGATCATAGGAGATCAGGTGCCGAGGAAGGAAGACGGGACCTTTGACGCAGAGACAGCCAGTCTGTACTGGCGCATGTGGTACAGCGTCGACTCTTGTCTTGGGACAGATTTCTGCGGTGTTAAAGAATCAGAATATGATGACTGATAGTCGACACTGAAAGACACGATGAATGATCGGCTGGGACAGGAGTTGGCAGCATTGGGTGGCGTTTATGGCTTTGCATCGAGGCGCGACATGGGTTCATTCCTCTAACTATCGATTTGATCATGTTTGCGTTCGCAGCTCACAGCAAGCAAGCAATCTGAATCCAAGTCACATGCTACATCGAACATTGGACATATGGATAACTGTCAAGTGCTAACGCCAACGCCAACGCCTGTGATAACTGGCTCCTCGCCGATGTTGATCAGACGTACTGACTCAACCACCTAATTCCCTCTCCGTATCCCTGCCTCATGACCACACTGCACATGAAGACCTCAAGCGGCCTAATACCCTCAAGCGGCACCTTGCCCTTACCTGTTGTCTGATACAAGCCCAGCGAACTGCGCAGCTGGTCCTCAGACACAGCCTCCGGGTGATCAATCTTATTACCGAGAATAACAAACGGCGTACTCTTCAGCTGCTCCATAGCGAGCAGCGCATCCAACTCGGCCTTAGACTCGGCCAGTCGCTCGTGGTCTTTCGCATCGACCAGGAAGACGATGCCCGACACTTCGGGGACTGCGAGGTGGTCAGTATGGAACCGCGCAGCTTATCGAGTTGCGGAGGGGACCACGTACAGTAGTCGCGCCACAGCCGCCGGGCCTGCGCGTGCCCACCCAGATCGAAGGTTGTGAACTTGACGTTGCCGATCGACAGCTCTTCTGAGGTGGGGTGCAGTGTGGGCTGTAGCACGGCTACACGGTCGTTCTTGAGCATGTGTAGCAGCGTCGTCTTGCCGGCGTTATCCAGGCCGAGGAAGAGGAGCTTTGCGTGTTTGTTTGCGAGGCCCAGCGAGGCCAGGACCTCCCAGACTGCGACTTCAGTCAGCGGCTTCTTGGGTGTAGCTGCTTTGTGTTGCATTCATGATGCTAGTGGAGTGCCTGATGCGAAGTACGGTGGTCTTTACGGGCCACAATGCATCCTCATTACGTATTTACTTCCGACTTTGGGCAGAGTTGTACCCATAGGCATTCGAGGAACAGGGTTGAACATTTGAATGGTACGTTATCGCTGAGAGCGCTGCGTAACGGAGAAGACGGAGATAACGTTGGGAACTTACACCTGAGTTCAATTTAGCAGGGATCTCCAACAAAGGAGAGGCTACTGTACCAATCGAGAACCCACATGTTGGCAGTACTGTGGAGTTGTCAAGTTGGGCGTGTTGTTTAGTTGGTTGGGTGAGCCGCGGACTGGGGAAATCGAGTGAGACCCTGCTGACGTCGTCCCACGTGCCAGCCACTTTCCATCTTTAGCTTCACGCGATGCTCACGAATAGACGATATCGAAAAGGTGATGCCAAGCACACGATCATATGTGCTCGGGATGGTGCGCTAATTGTTTCATCCTTTCATTTGAATTGAGGCAGAATACATTGTTTCGACACAAGGTATCAAATGCTTACCAAAACGTGCAGACCCTCTTTGTCATAGAACATCAAGGAGCGTGCCATGGTGCTAAAGGGTGTTGCCTCTGTGCCTTGTCAGAATGCACATTCTTGCCTTGCATGGTGTCTCCTAGTATGTCACATTTCTCAAACCAAACATTTGGAGCCAATTACAAGCCTCTGCAGCAGCAGATTTCTATGGGAGACAGGATCCGTATATTCCTTTGGCAAACACTAACATACTAATATACTAAAGGAACGTCGATTTCGGGTTGATCCCTACATTTTGGTAGTCCGCCAAAGTGTCAGGATGAACAATGGTGGACAGCGATAACATCACCAGAGGAGTGTCCACATACGACAGCATGTATCACCGTTTGAGAGGAAACAGAGATTAATACTTCGCTACGGTGCGGAGCAATGCACAATTTGGCCGCATGGGCACAAACGCCAGAGTAAACAATCGGAGTAGAGGTATTAACAAAGTATTGACCATTGATCGTCATCGCTGCCTAGCTGCACCATTGAAGAGCCCCAGTTCTATGCCATCCATGTCGTGCACGTCGCATCAATGCGCAACAGGCATGTACCCACTGGAATCCATCTTGGGATGCGTCAGCGGCGGACTGGAGCTTTGCAGCGGCCGTGCCGAGTCATCTTCGTGTGTGCTGTCTCTGTAGCGGTCTGGACTATAATCCGTGACCTCTTGTGACAGTTCCTTGGTATCCGATCCCCAACCCGCCGACTTGCGATGGCTCTTCAGCTCCGGCCTGCCATGGTGTATATTGCCATGCTCTTCGTCTTCTGCCATGTGGACTTCGCCATGCTCGTCGTGGCCTCCGTGGTGATGGTGCTCCTCGTCGTATTCCAGTGCGTATGGCTTGCCAGACTTGATGAGGCGCCAATTGCACCAGAGCGAGGCGAGTTTGTCGCAGCACAGGATGACGAACATGAGTACCACAGCCATAGGGAGGATAGCCGGAGAGTTGAGGAGGTCGACGAGTCTTTGTTTGCTCATGAGAACACAAAGAGCGGCTCCACCGGCTGCAAGGACCAGGCAGCGAATGATGACGGACACAACGTCGAAAATGTCGACCTTGTGGCGGCGGATGAGGAAGAGGAAGATGATGAGCGAGAGAATGAGAGCGCAGAAGCAGGCCCAGAAGTACATGTACGTCAACCACCAGCTCTTTTCCGCAATGTCAATGGGCTCGTACAAAGCTTTGAGCTTGTCGATCGGTATCTTGACACCCAAGCCTGCGTAGACTCCGTTGTGAATGGCATTGTCAATATACTGAAAGTCCTCGGGCCAGATTCCGCTGCTATGGTAGCTAGCCTCATTCTGTTGAGAACATATACCGGTAGCGTTGCCAATGCTCTCGATCGAGGCCATAATGTCGTTGTAGTAGTCATATGTCTCAAGCTTTTTGTCGAACTTGAAGTATCCAATGAAAGCGATCAGTGCATCCCGCAGCTGGGCTCCATCTAGATTTTCATGACATATCTTGTGTAGGTCCAAGGTACCCTTGGTGACGTTTTTAAGGACATAGCGTGCCATCACGATCTGTTGCGCGCCCTCTACCACGCCAACCACGGCTAGTTGGAATGGGAAGTGGAGCAAGGACCAGATCTGCTGTCGGATAGTTCCATAATGGCCGTGGGGAAAGTTGTCGAAGTAGAGAGCCCAAATGAAGACCTAAAGATAGAGTAAGTAATTGTTCAAGGCGTCGCAATGGCAGAGCATGCTCACCAGAATGACGATGATGCACATAATCGAAAAGCATCCTTCAACGTTGAGACCGCCCTTGCCCATGATCCTGCCGACTGTCTTGGTGACACCGATGGCACCTTCGCCAATGACGATGATAGTGAGTAGACTCATGCGCTCCATCAGATGTGTCTTTTTGAAGCTGAGCATGCGCCAGCAACACGATATTGTAATCACCACGATAGCTTCAGCGATCATAACGCCGTACCAGACCATGTATAGTGCCGGAGGTGCCTTCACATTCGCCCTATAGAGGGGAATCATTCCTCCGAAAATGGCAGTAGCGATAGCATAGGTTCCAATCATCAAACCTAGAGGTAGATAGAGTTTCGAGTAGTGAGCTCGCTTCGTGTAGAACTTGGGGGGTCCGGTCAGTATCTGAAGCAGCTAAAAGATGAAGATACTCACTAGTACTACTGAGTATTGGACTGCAAGCAGACCTCTACTAATTACTAAGACGTAGCATAGGATCGAAAAATTCTGTGTCTTGTCAGTACGCTCAACAGAACGTGGGCAAAGCCGCTCACTTTGTTATTTGTCTTGTCACCTGTTGGGTTGAAGGATGAGCCAACAAGAGCCAGTCCGACGAAAGAGATGAACTGAACAGTCTTGCAAACACGCTCATAGATCGAATCCCTGGAAAAGCGGACATCGTGGAGTGTGATCTGGAACCACGTTGCCCACAAGATACCGAAGAATCCAATGTATGCAAGCAGATAATCAAGATCGCTGATGGAGTGATACGCAGTGAATGTCGCAAGATTTGCCACGAAGAACAAATCAAAGAAGAGCTCAATGGTGCTAGCTTCGTGTCGTTGCGAGAAAACGAGGTTCTCCTGATCGGCGCCGGCCAATGGTGACTCGATAAATGGTGTCGTCTTGTGCAGCCGTCTCAGATGCTTCTCAGCATCACTACGCGTAGTTAGTAGGTGTGCTGATCGTTCGGAACTCGCCGTGACATACACATCTTTCTACAGCCCGTTAGCGTCGTGTACTTGGTGATGATCGCGGATACGCACCTTCTTGCCATGGAAGCTCCAACCCATTGTTGCTAAACTCTACAGCAGTTGAGGTTGGAGTAGAAGTGAACCCGGATATTGCACTGAAAGAATGGGAACTCCACCGTGCGTGCCACAAGATCGTCAGCTTATGCCTGTCGTTTATCTAAATCACCGCAAGGCGCTATCTACCCGTCTGATCGTGGTCTTTTATAGGGCTGGCCCGAACATGCAGCAACACCAATGCACATTCGCCTACATGCCAATCGCGATGCGCTGCGGCTCATCCGCTGCTTGCTTGCATGGTGAAGTGGCAGTCAGAACTGCGGCCTAGTAGTCGGGATTGCGGTCTCTAGCAGTCAAGGCGGGAGAAGCTTCACAGCCAAGCAAGACTCGACCAGCTTTCAGCCATGTACAGTCAGCGCCACGATACAAGAAGAGATGCACCGCAGCAACAGATCTAGAAACGGGCCGTAACCAGCATGACTAGCGGCGAGCTGAACGTGCGCAATGCTTCACAGCCACTGAGAGAGATATTTATTGCTCAGCTCGTCTTGGCAGCAAAGCTTCGGCTCCATCTCGACTTAGGGGCCTGCAGCGGACAACAAGCCTGTGGCTTTGAAGACAACACTGCAGCCAGCCGCAAACTTTCCTAATACAGTCGTACAGACTGCTAAAGTATGCTCGTGATGCTGTTTTGAAGCTTGCGACGCGCCTTCATGGTCCAGAAGTGTGCTTTGAAAAGACCGCGCCAGCGGACTGGTCTGTAATTGCCCCCTCTGGGCCATGGCGCTGCAGAGCTACCCTAGGAGCGGCCCCCAAATTGCGTAGCCTCACGGAGGATGCCTGAGCATTGTGCGTCTGCCGTGCTGTGCTACATGGTACCTACTGGTGAGTGTGGCTTGTGTTCAAAGCTCCCGAGGTTGTTTGAGAATAATCCGAGCTGTGTTCCAGCCAAATTCCTGGAGCTGACAAGCTCCCTTTCCCTTTTGGTAGGCACTAGAGCCTCCCATGACACGTCAATCCACCGCTTCAGGCAGATCCTCCGCAGTTATGCGCGTTGATTGTAGAGAGACCAGACGATAGGAATGCGTGGGCAGGAATCTAAAAAAATACGACAGCATCTATTTGTGGAGATTTACTCCAGGTACCTAAATGAGTAACGCCGCGCTGAATCGTGCTGATGCTATTATGCAACCACTGTCTATGTAACACAGGTCTGCACAATTCGATGTAAAGCTACTTGCGTAGAAGCTCAGACCGCTCATTCGTCTCTTGCCTCTCATCACCAATATCTTCTTCTTCATCTTCGTCATCTTCTTCGTCGCTCCATCCTTCAGCCTCCAAATTCTCACCACGAATACCAAAGCTCATGGCGAACCCTAACAATGAGATGCCAGCAAATAGGCCAAATGGTAAGGCTTCGCCTTTAGGCTGGATCTTGGTTGCTGCAGTGAAGAGCGATCCCGAGATGAAAGGTCCAGCAGCACGGCCAGCAGCTGAGAGAGTTTGCGCCAAACCGTTGAGAGTGCCGAGTACGTTGTGATTAGGGGCCGAGTTCGTGATCTTGAGAACGTTAGCACGATGCTGGTAAAGGCGACGCGGGGTGCATGTCTTACCAAAAGAAGTGCGGCTGTCAGCCCGCCTACACCGGCAATCGTCTTAATCACTAAAACCACACCGAGCTCACACCACAGCCAAACACTCCCTTGGTCGTCTTTGTAGCCTACAAACGGCATCAATATGAAGGCTACTACGAACAAAGCCAAGCTGGCTCTGTACGCGACCTTATTACCAAGCTTGCCGCGAAGCTTGCCAAAGATACCCACTTGAAAGATGATCGTAATCGCACCCGCGAATGACAAAGAAAGCCCAACAGCCTCAGGCTTCAGGCCTCGCCCTGTGGGTTCTACATCCTCGGCGAAGATGGGATACAAGGAATTGTATGAGATGTTGGCCAGCTGAAAGATTGTGTAGGTGACTAAGAGCAAGATCGTATCTCTGTTGAGGATTTCTTTCTTTGTCAATTCGCCGTTGGTCTCTGGGAACAGGGCCGGCGCAATGCCGTCTGAATCGGTGTCGGACGTTGCATCCAGATCTTCATCTTCTTCGTCGATACCTTCTAGGTGTTGCGCGCGATGACTCTTCGATCTGCGCAGCCAGCGGGGCACGTACGATGGCCGCGTAGAGCTCGTAAATTGCCAGAGCCGTGTGAACAAACTTCCTATTCTCTTGCCGAGGGGTGGTAGATCCCTTGCCTCCTCGAGGCTTTCTTCGAGGAAGAATATGCATACGATCAGATCGATAGCGAGAACAGCGGCAGAAAAAAGGTTTGGCAGTAGATACGGGTACGGGTTGGTCTTGGTCTTATCGAGAGGGTTTTGGTAGAAAACCAAGAGCCCTCCAACGATAGGACCTGTAATGCCACCAATGCCATAAACCACTGGCAGATAGGTAAATGCTCGCGATTGATTGCTGCGATCCGTGATCTCGCCCAAACACGTGGACACGACTCCAGAGTTACCGTTAACTATTCCCATGAATGCTTGGACAAGAACAGCCTGCCATAGGGTTTTGCAGAATCCGAAAGCAAGGAATGATACCAGCGTCAAGAGGGTACCAGTGATGATAACAGGCTTCCTCCCTATCTTGTCTGACAGCCAGCCCCAGAAGAAGTTGGTCGTAAATTGCGCCAGAGCAAACGATGAGGCGATAAGCCCTACGTACAGCCCAGTCTGTCCCTCCTTGACTTCTGGAAAGCTTTTTGTCATCTCTGGTAGATATGGGCTGATCGAGTTGAGGGCTGTCTGCTCGGCAAGCGCAATGATGGCCAGCACGATGAGCTGCCTTGTAGGCAATGGTGACTCATGGTGCTGTTCGTCTGCCTCTGAGCAGCTTGCTGGGCCATTGGGTGGCGAGTTCGACTGTCGAGGGCCTCGTGATGTCGGCGGTTTCGTTGGAAAGGTCTGGTAGTGCAGCGTGGACGACTTGCGCTTGTCGATGGGTGGCCGTCTGCCGCTCATGGCGGGGCGTACGAGCTCGGTTCAAGTCGGGTACGTACGGGCTGCCTTGTGGTGGCAGTTCTGTTCACCGCAGCCACTGCATGCGTCGAAAGGTCGGGGTAAGGGGAGTGCAGCTGCCGAAAGTAGAGGTTGATGCTGTGAAGGAAAAGACAAGGCAAGACACGCACGCACGCGCTCAAGATTTCGTCATACCCGCGCTTGCCCAGCTCAGCTCTCGGCCTGTCGGTAACGGCAGGAACCCGCACCCTGCCTGGCGATCGAGCGCTGTCATTCGCCAGCCGCCGCGATGCATATCTTCTGGAACAAATGCCATCATCTGCCATGCTGACTTCCCGTGTTCTGTCGCTTCCGGTGCTACATTTGTCAAATGATCATTGATGGTGCTTGCAATTACCGGTACTGCTATTGGGCACATTACACATCAGCAATTACATCTGCGACGTAATGCCGAACGTTCTCTCATATACCTTCGAATGCAGCAGTGAGGAACGATTCATCAACAATGGATCACACCCTCGCGCGCGGTTCCCCGAACATCATATCAACCGGTTTGATAATGTCCGCCCAACAGGCAACTGCAAGGCTGCCAACCCCGAAGGCGCAGCCTTGCAGTTAAGTTGTCTCCGCGACCGGAACAAAGTACAGCCTCAAATGCCTACCATCGATGTCCGTAGAAGCGCTTGAATGAACTCTCAACCGTGCGCCTGCATTGCGGAGCGCCTGCACACCCGCGACGCTGCCTTGTTACACGGTGACCTGTTCGAAACAGTCCATCGCCGAGTGTGTGCAAGAACGTTCGCCGAAGGCCTCGCAGCTAACATAGCGTACAGAACTGCTTTTTGCAGTAAGATGTGACATGCACAATGTTTGTCAAGGGGGAAAAGATTGAGAAGACTGGTTTTCCAAGCAGAGTGCATCGCGAGTGCCACGGTAACTAGCAGCAGTGAACCAGCGACAGCTCGTCTATGTAGACATACGACAAGTCGGTGAGCGACTTCGGTGAATAGATAGGCTCCGATCAGTGACTTTGTGGTTTGTCAGCACATGCAAAGCGATCACATCCATGTCAACTGTACCCAATCTGTGGGTTTACACCCTGGCTAACAACGCAAACATTCTTAGGAACTCGAACTCGTGTGTGCAGCTTGAACGCAGGTATGGGGGAAATAGTAGCTGTAAGTACGTTTGACTCGACAAACCAGCTGGTCAGCTGGCACAAATATTTCAACTTGTCATGAAGGCATTCTTCAATGGTTGAGGTGTGAGCCATGGAGCCCATAACAGTATGGCGTGCCCCAGTTGGATTCTCCAATAAGGTTTTGGTATCTTGAGCTCGTTTCAAAACGTTTAACTTGCTCATCGGGTTTGCACATCCACGCCATGGGGTTGGCTCATGCACCTCAATACTCGTAGATTGAAAGATGACATGACAAGTGCGAGGCTGCAAAGTGGAGTCGATTTCTGTTCCCGGGGTCTCTCATACGGTCCTATCATTCTGGGTGTCAATATAAAGAGCGATATTAACGCCCATCCTACACCCCACATACAGAAGCAGCTCTCGTTTAACTCTTTCTCGTTCTCCACTGTTATCCTGGTTTCCCTTTTATTATCCCCTGTGCTTTTCGATTCCCATCTTCAGTCCTCTTCTAGATACGCCGACAGTTCCCTGCCTAGGTATCCCTACGATTCAAGATGCGTATCTCTACCATGATGCCGCTCATCCCGGCCCTTCTTCCTGTAGTGTTTGCTGCACCACAGCAGCCCATGTTCACCAACACTACCGAGTTGCCAACTCACTTCGCCATGCTTCTAATTCCACAATTCCAGGCGCTGGACGTCTTCGGCCCCCTAGATGTGCTCAACATGCTCTCTATGCTATACAAAAACCATACCACCATGACTCTCACCATGCTCAGCAAGAACATGGAACCAGTGAGCACCACAAATAGGGCCCTTCTGGGCAAAGCTGGCTTCGGCGAAGAAGTTCTTCCGACCAACACCTTCGCTGAAGTCCTCGGAAAGAAGAAGAGCTGCCCGGCTGCGCCAGCTGGGGGTTATGCTCAATCCGAGCCGCCTACGAACCAAACCGCGCCCACAAACAAGGACATCGAGGTCTTGCTTGTCCCCGGCGGCGCTGGCAGCAGACAGAACATGACCGAGGAAATTGCGTTCGTGAAGGAAATATATCCCAAGGTAAGCCCGCCCACTCCCACGGCCATCAAATGTGAGCCTGCTGTACTAACCATCTCTTAGCTGAAGTACCTCATCTCCATCTGCACCGGCGCAACCATTCTCTCCCGCGCGGGCGTGCTGGACGGTAGGAACGCTACTACCAACAAGCGCTCCTGGGCCTGGGCGACCTCGACAGGCCCCAATGTCAAATGGGTGCCGTCGGCACGATGGGTGGAAGACGGCAACATCTTCACCTCGAGCGGCGTTTCAGCTGGTACTGATGTGACCATGGCTTGGGTCGGCAAGATCTATGGAGAGGAGGTCGCAGACTTTGTGGCAGCCAGCATGGAGTATGAGCGCTGGACAGACCCGCACAGGGACCCGTTTGCCAAGGTTTGGGACGTGCCCGGTGCGGTGTAAGAGCACTGTCCGTTTCGGGAGAGCCAGGAGTGATACATGCGCCCGAGGGGTTCAATAGAAGTGGGATGAACACGTGTCGTGCAAAACTTAGCAAGTGGATGATGAGATGAAAGTGTAGAATGCACTGCTGCAATCGAGCTTTTTTGATATCGCTCGTAATTCACGCTAACCTTCCAACACCAGAGCACCAGAGATACCACCCCTGAATCAGATCCGTGAATCATTGACTGCTAACAATTGTCGGGCCGTTTGTGACATGCTGTTTCTCTTCACTAGCGCCTCTCCTGTGTTCGCGGTGTTGATGGTATTGGCCTCCACGGTGGCCTCCTCTGCCTGGTCCTCCTCCGCCGCCACCTCCGCCGCCACCTCCACCTCTACCTGGCTTTGTGCCTCCGCGTCCTGGACCACCCCGTCCACGACCAACAGAGAAATTGATGTTCACAAGCGGCCTCTCGACCCACTCAACGCCTTTCAGACCAAGGCTTTCCTTCTCCCATTCTGAAAGTTTGTTGGCCTGATACAAGCCCATCAATCGTTGTTTGTCAACCTCCTCATTCCCATGCGGTCCAGCTTGCTTGGTCAACTTGACGTCGCGCAACTCCGGTACCCATGCCTTGATGTATTCGCCCTGCGGGTCGTAGTCCAACGCCTGCTTTACAGGATTGAAAATACGGCCTTGTCTGGGGTCATTTCCCACGCCAGACACGTATTGCCAATTACCCCAATTGCTCGGCACGTCATAATCTATGAGCATACACTCGTACCATTCTGCGCCGACACGCCAATCGATCTCGAGGTGGGATGCGAGGAAGGAAGCAACGTTTTGCCGCGCACGATTCGACGTGTATCCAGTGAGGAAGAGTTCGCGATTCGAAGCATCGATAAGACCGACGCCTGTTCGTCCGGAACGGAAGCGACAGAATGCTTCTCTGGTTCTTGCAGGATCGTTGCCCGGTGTAGCCACATCGAGTCGTCTCCAATTCTTTGGTGGCGGCGGCTTTTGATTGTTTTTGCTTTCCTGCGGGCGAATGCCGTACAACTGGAACATCTTGGGACCGAATTTCCGCATACAGAGATGAAAGTAATCTCGCCACAGCAGTTCAAACCTCACAGCTGCTGTGCCATCGTTCTCTCCCTTTCCATAGCCTCGTTCACCCTTGCCCTTTCCTCGGCCCTCTTCGAAGTCGATCATCGCCCAATGCACTTGTCGTGCTGTACAGTGCCCTTGCGCAAGGAAAGCGGAGAGCTTTGTGCTAAAGTCGCGTCCCACCATGCCGTTTCGCGTAGCCTTGTACGAGCTCATTGCTCCGCTAGAGATGAGAAACGATATGCGATCCTGCGCGTGTGTTTCGCCTCCAGAGAACGGATGAGCTGACTCGACGTGATCGCCAGGCCATTTGGGGGGTACCGCTAAGCCGAACGAAGGGTCTTTCTCGAACGGTGATAGAAGTGCTTCCATCAAGCCATCCAAATTGTTGGGTATAGCGAAGGGCGCTTGTTGGGGTGGAACGTCGGGTGGTAGGGGTGGTAGTTGTGTCGGGGCTGGCAGAATCTCGCGAGGCTGATCTCGTAGCGGTTCGACGGATTTGCGGAACGAGGTATATATGTTAGGAAGTTGAGAGATGTGGTCAAACGGGAGGTCGCGGCTATAGCGCATTAGATTGTGCGAGAGACGAGGCAGACGGGAAGGAACTTACTCGTCAATGTAGTACTTCTCATCGCGCCACAGTTTGAATTCGACTCCATGCTGTTTTGTGACAGCTTCGACGCTCCGCTCTTCTTCTTTCTCTTCCACAGACTCGTTCCTTGTCATCCAAACCCCGGCAATTTCGCCCTTAGAACCATCACTAGTTGAATAGTAATCAAGGATGTTCTTGACGACATCTTCGACCATACCGACTCTTAATTGGAGCTCGGTGCCGCAATTCAAGCCCTCGAGACGCTTTTTCAGGTCCCAAGCCCCTTCAGCAATGAATCTAGTCCGGTGAGGTCCAGTACGCCATATTTTTGCGTGTTCGCTGCGCGCCTCAGGATATGGCGATCGGTCTGACGGAGACGCGAGGAAGCCAGAGATCTCGATCTGCTGTGCAGGGAAAACGTAAACAGGCAGCAGGTGCGTGAATGGGGCGCCGCGGTACTCAGAGACCAAAGAATCGTCCCGTGTGCGAGAACCTGTACAAGAGGATTGTGTGGAATCTTGCGGTCGTGTTATGTGGCGCGAGAGAGCTGTGAATACTGGATTGTCTGAAAGACGTACATCCCGGCGGAGGATGTACAACAGGATACGCGGCTTTTGGGATGACATTGTCGAGAATTCGCTGCAGGTGGTGAATGGTCGATGGGAACACGAAGAACAGAGGGAGAGGTTGCAGAGGTTGCACAGCGGCCAGGAGCTGCTGCGTCGTAACATCAATGAGAAGCGATTCATTGACGAATCGACTCCTGGCAATCGAGATCGTAATCGTTCATTGCGGTGGCCAAAGGCAAAGGGGAGTTTCACAGCCCGCGATGCGTCATGACAGTACACTGGCAGCCGAGCAGCGTTCCACCGAAAATTCTAGGGCACGAGGCCGCTGGCACTAGAAGAACCCCTAGCATGTCATCTGTCAGCTACATCGAGACGCTTCAGCCCAAAGGAGCGCAGATGAATGGGACTGAGGAGATCCGTTTCAAGGCTGTGATGCTTGCTGCTGCACCTTGGGCCAGGATTATGACGTGGGCCCTGTCAGAACACGTGCGCATGATTGGCTAGCAGCCAATGCAGAGACGCACTCAAGAGCGAGTTTGGGACGGGCCGAGCGAAAGTGAGTTTCGCGTGCGGCGATGGTCGTGCTGTCATGAGAGCGCACCTTGGATCGCGAGAAGCTTGACAGATGTACCGATGCGCCATGCCTGAAGAGGCTTCGTCGCACTGACAATCTAGATTTCTGAGCGCCAAGCGTCCCGATGCAACCAATGAGGCGCATAGATAGCCGTAGATCTGGCGGCGATGTTTGATCTCGCGATCCTTTGATTGTTGGAAGAGATCGCGTGCGTAGCGACGTGGACGCGCACATGCAGGAACATCGGTCGTGGCTACGGCTTTCTCGTGTCGGTACGTCCAATAGACTGGTGCATCTTGGGGCTATCGGTCCACTGTTGCCGACCGATTCGTGCCGAATCTGTTGACGGGGGCATCTACACATCTACCAAGATGCAAATCTATGATCGATGCTCGCCGATGATCCCGTGACTACCTAAAACTCGAGCCTCCAACAAACTGGAACGCTATTCATGCACAAAAGCAGGGACTGCACGCTACGGGCAGGTATGTATGTACGTCTTCCCTTTCAGGAGGGTCACATGAATTTCATCCTTACTTGATTACTTGCATGCATAAGTGCGCTGAACGCTAACAAACTGATCGGTGTACGCCCTCGTGCATAGGCCGCTTTGCTTTGTGCCTGTTGTGAGCAGGATGTCCGAGAGACCCATGGGCCTTCTCCACACTGGGGTTCGACGGTTGCCAGGCTGCGAGGTCGGTCGCATCCGTGCTCTGTGAAAGGATCAGTAAACTAGCGTGACAAGACGTTTGTGAGGAAAATACCATTAATTGCTCCATAACATGGCAGATGTCAGTGACCAGTCGGTCGATCATGTCCAGAGACAAGCTCTCGCGTACAACAACTCGCAGGATCTCAGTCTTCTCCTCGTTGGGCGGGAGCGGGTAATCTGCATATGTCAGCCACCCATAAACGCCACACCGTTAAATATACACTGACTTGGAATGATATACTGCTTAGCGCGCAGCAAGTTGCTAACCGACTCCTGCTTAACGTGGGGGTAATCCTTCTTGAAGTCGTCTGTCAGGGTGAACGCAACTACAGGCAGACCGGCATTGTAGGCCGCGCTGTCCCCACCCTCGTCGTACTGCTTCTTACCCTTCACAAACTTTAAATCACCCTTTTGTCGATGGATGTCACTAACGCACCGGAACCAGCCGGTGTGCTCCAGCGCCCTGCTCAACAGACGGGCGTTGGCGAGCGTGTTCTCCATAATGCTGCGGAAGCCATTGAATCCCAGGTGGATCAGATTGTCTGGTAGATTTAGTCTCGTTGTTGTACAGGGAGATCGTATGACCTACAGTATTGCGCGATGATCTGTGCACCTGGCCGGGAGAAGTTGAGCGTGTACGACTCTTCCGTACCACCAAGGTAATGCAACTCGAAAACTAAGTGCTTGGGCAAGTAGCTCTCGTCTCTCCAGATGATCCAGCCAACGCCAGCATAAACGAGACCGAACTTATGGCCACTGGTGTTGATAGATTTGACGCGGGGGAGCTCAAAGTTCCACTTCTTACCAGCCTTTGCATGCGTGAAAGGCGCGATGAAACCGCCGGATGCAGCATCGACATGGATAGGAATGTCGACACCGGTTTCCTTCTCGTAAGCGTCCAGGATGTCGTGGATCTCCTCCACAGGCTCGTAATGGCCTGTGTACGTACTACCAAGGATCACGAAAATACCAATGGTGTTCTCGTCGATATTCTTCTTAACCAATTCAGGGTCCAATCTGTACGATGAGTTCTCAGACACGGGCAGGATTCTGGCTTCAACCTCGAAGTAACGGGCAAACTGTACTACATCAGTACATAACTTCACTGGATGCCATAGAACACGTTCGCACACACCTTCTCGAGAGCCACCTGAGCGTTGGCACCCATAATGATGTTGGGCTTTGATGTATCCTTGCCCTCTGCTATTCGCTTCTCTTGCCACCTCCTCTTCATAGCCAATCCACCAAGATGAATGGCTTCACTAGAACCAGTCGTCGCAGATCCAATGGCTTTGTCACCCTTCTGAACGCCCCAGAGATGAGCAAGAATGGAGATACATCGCGCGTGTATGTCCATCATTGCAGGGTACTCATCGGCATCGGACATGTTCTTCGAGATGTTTTCAATCATCAGCGCTTCAGCTTCGCGCTCCATGTACGTTCCAACAAACGAAGCCAAGTTCAGGCTGGGCCTCCCATCAAGATCAAGCTCGTCTTTGAGCAGCTGATGGACAGTGTCTGCCGGTGCACCATCTTGAGGGATTTTGTATTTTGACAACTCGACACTGGCTGCATACCTGCTCGAGTATGGAGTTGTGTGGTTAATGGTTCGCTGGGAACCGCCAGCCTTGTGCATTGGGTGGTCCTTCAGGTTCTCGATGAGCTCATCGGGATCAATGTGTCGTGCAAGAGCCATGATGAACGTGTTCCAAGGATTGTGATGCTAACGGAATGGTAGAAATCAGATTGCTGCGAGACCCAGGTAAGGACCGTTGAGGTATATACGTAGTTTACCGTGTGACGACATGGGCCTTTGTTCTACAGGTACTGCACCCGTACTGCCCACATCCTCGGACCGTTCCACACTATTACTAAAGATGCCATCAGGCTCTTCAAAAAGCTTGATCGATGCTGGAAAAGCTTGTTCTACCTGTGGGCAGGGCTCCGGCCACTCTTCAGGCTTATTGAGCGAATTAGAACCTGAACTTGACAAAGTACGAGCCGTGTAAGCCAATAGTAGTAACGGGCGGAACAGCGCGTTGTTTCCGGAGGCCCACGACATCGTGATTGTCTGGAGAACTAGCGGCAGAATGACGATGATTCCCGACAACTCCGAACGCGGACAGCTCCGCTCGCGCAGCAACTGGCTTAACACGCATATTCACAGGACAAGAATGACATAACAGCGTGCATACACAGTGCATCCGAAAGTTGGTTGGCGAGGTTATACTTCAGGCGCATCCACGTGATCGTTGACCATCAAACTTGAAACTGCATGTAAGCTTTTGCAGCTGGGACTCATCCTGCTACAAGAATCGGCCCTCTCCCTTCCCCCGAATTGACCTGCAGTATTCCACATCTTTGTGAACATCCTTAGTAGTCTCGTTGCTGTTTCAATGCACCCCGCGCCGAGGCTGACAGCACTAACAGCTGCCGCGCCATTGCGTCATCAGCTGCGTCCGACAGCTCGACCGATGTCTGTACACGCGTCTCATATGGCTGCCTGGTTGTCAACGTACCCAGCTTCAGCCTGTGCGAGAAGATGTCCAACAAGAACTTGATGATTGGGTTTCACTTTGCCTTGTATTTGACCGTGCACATCCGATGATTGGGCTCTTGTCAAGTTCCAGAGCATAACCCCTTCATTTTGACCCGTTCTGATTCGCCCGCCCCGCTTTCATCATCGGCGGCTCGTCACATACCGAAACTCCGCCATTGCCACGCGTGGTGGTGTAATCGACTTGCGTTGCCTTTTAGTCGCTGGACGTGCATCTCACTTCGTACTTCGTCTCTTTACTGTACATCCTCGACAGCATCAGTACCAAACATCATGCGTTTCTCTCGTGTGGTACCCTTTATCCCGTTGGCTTCGGCCCTAGTGATTACCGAAGCTGAGGTCTTTGAGAAGCTACCCAAATCTAACAGGCATGTTGAGAGTGCGAAGCTGTCCGGGCAGGAAATCCTAGACAATGCTCAGGACATCCTTGACGATACTTTCAACAAGGTCAAGCACAGTGCACAGGACATCTACAGCCGAGTCCATGATGCCGGTGCCACTGTTGAGTCGTGGCTAGAAGGCTCATCGTTCGACGACACCGCAATCAGTTTCGGTGGCGGTGATGAGCATCCTCCCCACCACCCACCTCACGATGGACCTCCTCATGACGGGCCTCCTCACCACGGTCCTCCTCATCGTGGCGGACCTCACCACCCACCCCATGATGGCGATGATAAGCCTAACAGGACAGTGTACGAGCTCATCAACGAAAGCAAGTACACTACGATACTTGCAAAGCTCATCAACAAGTATGACGACTTGGTTGAGACTCTCAACAGCACGAAGGCCAATTACACCGTCTTCGCTCCTACCGACGAGGCTTTCAAGAAGATCCCTGACCACGGAAAGCACCCTTCAAAGGAGGTCCTTAAGGATATCCTGCTATACCACGTCAGCCCAGACTTCTACCCTGCTGGCCGTGTGCTCCACAGCTACACCATTCCCACTCTGTTTGAGCCTGAGAAACTCGGCCACAAGCAGCGCCTGACAGTCCGGGTTACGCTCAGGGGCCCCACCATCAACTTCTACAGCAAGCTCGTCGCCGTAAATATCTTTGGCACCAACGGTGTCGTCCACGGTGTCGACTCCATTCTCGTCCCTCCCCCTAAGGTTGCTTCGATCATCGAGCTCCTGCCAGGTGAGTTCAGCACCCTCGAGCTTGCTCTACAGAAGACCGGTCTGTTCGAGAAGATCAACAACACCGACTACCCGCACGAGGGCGGCACATTCTTCGCCCCCAACAACTTCGCCTTCAAGAAGCTCGGCCCCAGGGTCAACGCCTTCCTTTTCAGCACATACGGCCAGAAGTACCTCAAGGCTTTGCTCAAGTACCACGTCGTCGTCAACCAGACACTGTACACTGATGCATTCTACGACGCGAGCAAGAAGCACGATGACGATGAAGAGGCTGCCGGCGGTCGCAACTACCACTACGACCTCCCCACTGCCCTCGACGACAAGTATCTTGCCGTCGATGTCGCTAGGTACGGGCCGTTTGTCGAGATCCGCATCAATGCCTTCGCGCGCGTCACTGTGCACGACGGTGTTGCTGCCGATGGTGTTATCCAGGTTGTGTCCGATGTTTTGATCCCGCCCAAGTCTGCCGGTGGCGAGCAGATCATGTGGCAGGGCGAGGACCTCAGCGTTGAGGAGTTCAAGGAGCGCCTTGAACCTTACGCCGAGGAAAGCATTGAGCTGTAAGCTTTTGCAGTAAAGGTGTTTTGTGTTGAAGGATCGCGCGGCTAGCGCGTGTCTACCTGGTGCGATGAGAACTTCTTGAGCCGTCACGGCGTTGTACCATCCTTATGAAGTTTACGCTATATTATTATCACATTTTCTACGCATTATTAGCACCCCATTATATCGTGTGAGTTGCAATCTGTAGGGATGAACGGCCAACAATCGGCGTTGTCAATCCAGTCATCTCACCGCTCTTTGGCCGCGTGCTGCACAAGACTCTGCACGCTGCAGTTCGCAGATCAATCCCAACCATTCGTTAATTGCTACCACACTGGTGCCTGAAAGTTTTGGTGTTGTCAAGTGAACTAGTCTACGTTTCCAAGTCAACAATGAGTAATAATATTCCACGCTATAACGCACAACTATGCAACAGACATGGGTAACCCCTGACGCCAATCAACTCTACCTGCACAACACCAACAACGAAATCAAATTCAGTAAGGCATGGCATGCCTTGCCAGCCCATCTCCAAGATAGCTGGGTCTTCTACACCGCAGTCGCGGGTGCCTCGAGTATGTCTCGTACGCGGTTGGGACAGGAACAAAGGAATCGTAAGGCTCGGTGCCGTAGTAGGGTGTGTAATTCGCAAATACGCGGTGGTGGCGCTTGAGCGCCCAGTTGGGGTCATCATCTCGTATGTCGTCGTTAGATTGTTGTGGTTCTTCGTATTCCTCTTCCTCTTCCTCTGGGACCTCTTCTGGAACCATGATCATGTTTAGGTCGTCCTCTAAGCTGCCAGCACTGTGCCCGCTATCCTTCCGCCCGTGTTTTGGTGATTCCAGTCCAGCTGGGAGGCTTGAGTATGGTGTGATGGGTGACGATGTGCCGCCAATTTGGGCTCTGTAGACCTCGTCGTATTCCGCGCGCGCCTCCTCGTCTGCCATAATTTCCATGGCAGTTGTCAATGCGCGGTACTTCTTCGCGTCGCTCTGGAAGTACGCGACTCGTAGACGGCGGAATGCGGCTTTGATCTCATCGATGGAGGCCGCGGGGCCTACTTCGAGAATGGCATAATGATCGACAAATTCCGTGGGCTCCGGCGACAGCAGTCTCGAAGGGTCGCTGGTGGGCGAAAACAAAGAGTCGTAAGGTGATCGTCCAACGGGCGAGACAACAGAGTTACGGTGTGAGAGGAGCGTGGAAGCTTCAGAGACGTAGACTGAAGATCGCTTGCTGGGCGACATGGGCATGATGCTGAGGGGCCGTGGGATGATTTCAGATTCGGTGCGGCCGTGGATGGGACGTTTTCGCTGTGGACTGAACTGCATGCGCAGCATATGAGGAGAGGGGTCTGGCAGAGATGCGTGAACCATCATTGTGATTATGTGCTTGGCTTTCTCAAGCAATGTCGGTGCGAAGTAAGACAAAGGGATTGTTGTTTGGAGAAGGGCCGGCGTGTTGTGAAGAAAGAATGCTATGATTACACGCACAGCGAAAGGCTGTCTTAGACAGACAGCCAGGATTGGCCGGGGCGCAGCTGCAGGGAGGGCCTGTATGTTGCCAGGGGCGTAAGTGGAGTGGATTCCAGGGCTCAAGCCGAGATGAACATCGTGTGATGCGACGTTTGCGTTTGCTTCCGTGATGGGCTATCTTTTCTGAAACACATGGCTGCCGGTGGCCGCGCATTACGACGAGCTAAGCGTCGGCAACATTACCGAACGGATTGTTTGGAGAGTTGTGCACCGGATGAACGAGCGGATACACACACGTGCTGACGCGAGTGCGCTAGGCCGGCAACGGGAGCAATGACTCGCTTGCTGTCAAAATGTCCCGGTTTGCGTGGAACCGTTGGCTGTCGCAGCGTCGCATTCCTCACTGCTCCACACTGATCGAAGAACCATGGCCGACGCTTCAAAAAAGAGGAAGCAAACGTCAGACAGTGCGCCGCAGTCAAAACGAATTCGTTTGCCCCAGATGTCCGCGCGCATCATCCCCGCAGTGTCGACGAGAAACGCGTACCCCAATGGCGAGGTCAACGTCAAGAACTTTCTCAAGTCGCACGAAAATGAAATCAAGTCCCTTGAGGGGGCTATGAGGGCGGCCAAGAAGGGCCTATCGAGAAGAGCGTTCCAAGATGTGCCCCGAGAGCTGCGCAGAAGAACTGCAAGCCACAATCCAAACCGCGTGCCCAAACGGCTGAGGAGACGTGCGCGGCAGGAGGCCAGAGAGGACAACACGCCAATAACGCGGGGCACGAGCGGCAGTGGAATAGGCAAGGGCAAGAAGAAGCATCTCAGGAAGGAGGGGATTGAGAAGAGCAAGCAAGTGTGGAAGCAGCGGGAGCAGAAGACAACAGAGAAGGAGCGCACCGAGCACACCAAGAAAGAGCTGGACACGAGAGCAACTTCCAGCAGAACTGCACCGAAGTTCAGGCCTAAGTTCCCATCCCTAGCTACGCCTATCACGCCCCCTTCACGCTTCCGCAGGCGTCAACGAGACAAGACATGGCTACCAACGCACATATGGCATACGAAGCGTGCACGCATGACCGATCCAAAAGACCCGCTTTGGCGATTTGCGATTCCACTTGCGCCAGTCGTGAAAGCATATCGCCTGACGCATCGTGCAGCAGCCCAGCGTGGGGCTGTTGCCTGGGATATGAGCTACATGTCGACGATTGGGCTCGAGGGTGTGGAAGACAGCATTATGGGGCTGCTGAGAGGACTCCATTTTGGCGCTGAAGAGACTGAAGATCCAGGGCAAGGTCGAGGTAGGGCAAAGAAGTGGAAGCAAGGCACACGAGTGTGGGAAGGCTGGCTTCATGAGAGAGAAGCGAAGCCTTTGAAGCGAATGGCGCATGTGGCTGTCATCTGGTGCGCGCCTGAGGTAGACAGCAAGAGACGAAAGGCCTTCCTGCGAGTGCACCCAAGCGCGTTCTTGCAGTGCTGGAATGAGATTGTTCGCATCTCGAAGGTGCAGAAGCCAGTGGTGATGGTCGAGGACCTCCGATTCGAAATTGGTTCCATTGAGATCATGGGCCCGGCAGCGGCGGAGACGCTGTGCTCTATACTACACCCAGCTCCTTGTGACGTAGCGCCTGATGCGCCCGGTGCACTTTGGTCTTCACTTGCTTCCGTCACTGATCCTGGTGTACTGCCGGCTGGCGCTTTGTTCTCCTTTGACATTTCGGATCCTCGGCTTCGAGACCCTCCTACACCATCGTCCTTGGGCCAAGATTCTTCTGTCTTGATCGAGACACTCGCAACTTGGCCTATTGACAGCACCCAGACCTCGTCAAGCATCTTTAGTCGCACGGCTCGTCTTACTGGCCAGAGAACACTACCTTCGCAGAAGTCCATCAACAAACGACAGAGCGCGAACACATTAGGTGGATACCCAGAACCCAGGTCAACAGATCCTCAGATTCCAATGCTCACTTTCGTTTCTCGAGGGAGCAAATCTTGGACGGTTCTACTTCCGTGGAAGTGCGTTATGCCTGTATGGCGTGGCATCATGCGCTACCCGGTATCGACAGGAGGCAACCCTCGCTTTGGTGGCTTGAAGGAGAGACGGCAGGTCACATTCGAACGTTCAGTGCCCAGCTTCCCATATGACTGCCCGGGTACTGACGCTGGCGTCTCCTGGGAGTCGAAACAGCAAGAAGTGCGAAAACACGAGTGGACAAAGCGACCGAAGGGCAAGAGGATTGAGTGGTCTACTATTGATCTTGGCAATGGGAGAAGGGGCGAAAGCGGCAATCCGTGGGCCTGCGAGTGGGCGCGACTACAGACAGATACACAAGCAGAGCCTGCGGCCTCAGAGGATGAATCTGGGAAGTCAACAACGCCAACGACGCCATTCCGCCAGCTCTCTTCTACTCAAGCACACAGACTTCTGGAGGGATCTGCTACCGAAAGCGAAGTACCCTATGTCTTCACTGTCAAGATCACAGTAGCAGGAAGAGGGTATCCTGTCGATTGCTCTCGAGTCTACCGCTTGCCCACAAATAACCCTGAGCTACGCAGCAAATGGTTGTCCTTGGCGTCAGGGTCGACCCTCAAGTCGAACGGGGTACCAAGAAGGCAGCAGACCCGCAGTGGCGATGACGTACCTCAGCATCTGCAGCGAAGAGAGCTTGCCAGCAGGCTTTTGCAGCCACCACTGCCGAAGAACGATATTCCTACACCCGCAGATGAGGAGTACCCCCTGGTACCAGATGAGACAGACCTGATTGGCTTCGTCACAACAGGCAACTACAACTTGGCTGAAGGTATGCCTACTGCTGTCGCAAACCTCGCTCTGCACCGGGTTCTTCGAGGTGAAGGCGTACAAGGGAAAGACCGCGTATGCATTGTGCGAGAGCCTGGCCGAACCATAGGTAGACTTGCCAGGTGGGAGGTTGTTTAGAGCAGCTCATAAGATGCAATGCAAATATACGTGAAATGCACGAATCACAAGTACAAAGCATTCTGACCTCCTCAATGCCTGCCCTAACGTAGTACTGAACGCGGAGGAAGTCGCAAGTGCAGTTGCTTTGAACGTGATTTACCAGCTTCGGTCTATCATTACTGTGCATAGGCGTGGCACAGATCAGGACAACCTAGCCATGTTATTTGATATGCACCTCGCTCACACATCAAACTGGATGTCGATGATGCACCCCAGTGCTCGCTTAGGTCGGTGTTGGTTGATCCGCCTGGAAGATACGCCCAACTTGGGAAAGCGCCGCCAAGAATCCCGCTAAGCCTGCCCACACGATCGAAATTGAGACCGAGGGATCACAGAACTTTGTCAACCAACGTTCAACCACACAACACCGCCAAAATGACCAAGCGTACGACTGCCCATACTGCTCGAAAATGAGGAACAGAATATTGATTGCGATGTAGGCACTAAGAAGGTCGGCATCACCGGAAAGTACGGAACCCGTTACGGTGCCTCGCTCCGTAAGCAGGTCAAGAAGATGGAAGTGCGTATACACCTAGGACTCCGCCGCGCCTGAAGGACGATATGTTGACGCTCTCTCCAGGTCACACAGCACGCCCGCTACGTGTGCCAGTTCTGCGGCAAGAACGCTGTCAAGCGTCAGGCCGTCGGTATCTGGAACTGCCGCTCCTGCCGCAAGACCACCGCCGGTGGTGCTTACACCGTCGCGTAAGACTCCCCGCACCGTACCGCACGTTCGATTCCTCGGCACGAAGATTGGAATGCGCAACATCAAATGGACAATCCATGCTAATAAAAACTCCAGTACCCCCCGCCGCCGCTGCCACAAGGTCGACCATCCGTCGTCTCCGCGAGATTGCTGAGGTTTAAGGGATCAACAGGCGCTGGGATGGGGGAGTTCGTTGAGCGTGTTTCTCTGCATAAGCAGCCATCATACGACTGAATTGGCTTGCGGGAGCTTTCGGATACCTGTCCTGTAACGATCATGGAGTCAACAGGATTTCACACAAAGAAATGGCACGATCATGAACAAACAATTGGCTCCCTCCCACTGCAGTGTGATAACGAATTACACACCCATTCACTGTGGCAGGTTGTCGCACTATGACCCACCCTTACGAAACTGCCCGCACCGATTCATCCTACGTACGCATGCTGAGAGAGTCGCCAGCGAACGAGATGATCATGTTTCCATTGAGTGGACGACCTCCGTCCTATCCAACATCGAATCAACAAAAGTACCTGCACACTCCGGCGATATGTTAGCCCGCATCACCCAGAATCAACAATCCCCATAACATTTCGGCACTTGCCCATTCAGACTACACGCACACGACATAACGATCATTCTCTGTTGACTTGTTGCTCCTTCAAGTTGCTACCTACACAGACCCCTGGACATACCCTCGTGACCGCCCATACTAGATGATGCCGCCCTTCGATTTTGTCAGTGTCTACCTGTGTAATCAGCTACCAGAGTGCCGCTTGGTTTTCTTCTGCTGCTCTTTTCAACCTGTTGCTCTTACCTTCGCCGCCAATTTTCCGATATACGCATGTTGTCCAGGTAATTCAGTTACGCGTCACCCTTCGCATCACGTCGCTCGGTTATGTCCAGCTCTCGCTCCTTATATTCATCTGCGAGTTCAATTACGACATCTATATGATGTTTTCCACTTACGCGCCTGAAGGACCCAATAAACAACAACACTTATGCCTCTTCCAGTACTGTTCACTCTAGAATCCTCGTCAATCGTTCTGTCGATAGGGCTGAGCGCGTACAGGTGCGATTGCAATGGCGCTTGAGCTGCCATTGCTGTCAGAGATGCTCTCCCTTAACGTGTCATGACGTTCACTGAGCTGCGCAAGAATGACATCACTCCTTCAACTGTCTTAGCGATCTCAACCAAACGAATTGTGCTATTCACAAGAGTAGAATGGGGCTTGCCCGTTAACAAACCGTTGACAAACTACGAAGACGATTTCGGAGCATTTCGTGATGTCTCATTTGGTTCAACCCTCAGAGGTCCAACACAAGCGTTCGCGAAGCATCTGCATTCAAATGCTCTTCAAAGGATGTTTCCACGATGGAGCAAGAGTGACATTACGGCGATCACCACACGGTGGCCGCAAAATCCTAAGGCTGAGCAGATGACGTTAGGAGCGATTTTTGGTGGGCTATTTTTAGGTCACGGATTGGTTCCTGACTGGGATGTGCAGCTCAACTCTCAGCTGTCTGTAGTCGTAGGTCTTAGCCGTGTAGGAGGAGATATTTGAATGAAGAAGCCCCTTTCTTCACTTCTTCAACTGTCGACTCTCGTTCTGTTCGTACCTCAGCATCTCACCGCCTCACCGCTTCTACCGCTACGATCTTATCGATAACGCACACCCCTCAAACGCCTCTGTTGACATTCACACTCCAATCGCAAGTTCGAAAGTACTTCTTTCGCTCAAAACACACTGGCAGCCGCAGCCAGACTCCAGCAACTCACAATGGCCCTCCAAACACCCGTCACCGACGCGACAGCGCCACTGTTCAGCTCTGAACTCATCTCCCCCGAAGTCCTCAAAGCGCTGCCAGAGGGCTACACCTGCCGACCCCTCCAACGCCAGGACTACCACAATGGCTTTCTGGATGTACTGCGGGTGCTGACCACAGTCGGTGATGTTTCTGAAGAGGTACGAACGTTCTCCGTTTACCGGTCTTCCTTCTAGGCCTCGACCTCGGGAGTGACAAAGCTAATGCGCACAACTGACAGGCGTGGAACGAGCGCTACAACTGGATTTCTTCCCGAAACGACTCGTACTTCATGATCGCCGTTCTTGACGCCTCCTCACACATCGTTGGCACTGGCGCATTGGTTGTCGAGCGCAAGTTCATCCACCAGCTTGGGCTTGTTGGGCACATTGAGGATATCGCTGTCGCCACGGACCAGCAGGGCAAGAAGCTCGGACTCAGGATTATCCAGGCGCTGGACTTTGTGGCCGAGAAGGTTGGATGCTACAAGACCATTCTGGATTGTAGTGAGGCGAACGAAGGGTTCTATGTCAAGTGCGGGTTCAAGAGGGCTGGACTGGAGATGGCACATTACTATGGACGGTAGATGTTGGATTGTTCAGTGGAGCATTCCGGGGCGTTACATAGCTCGAGGGATAGACGTAGCTTCAGAAGATCACTAGACACTAGACAGATGAACATGAACATGCACGTATAAGGTACATACGTTGCTCTCGAACACAGCCAGGATCGGCTGGCTAACTTGAAATACTTGTTCTCTACACAAATCCACATCTCGGAACTTTTTAATGTGATTGCATGAATATGATGCCAGGCACCGCGACTGCTCTCTCGAGCATCTGCAAGCGAGAAGCTAGTCAACTTCCTCACGCATCACCAACCACGACTCGATCAACACCAAAAACGCCCGAAAAGTCCTCCAAATACAGCAATACATGAGCTACATTCTTAGAAGAAGTTCACAGCGCCACGGCTAGCAATTCCCAGCCGCGACAATCGACAGGAGCTCGTGACTCACACTTGAAAGAGATAGATTTGGTAGGCGGGTCGAACATGGCTGAGACTGGGGCTCAAGAAGCCATGTCCAACTTGACTCTGAAGGGAGAAGAGTCAAAGACCACGACACAGAAACAGAAGACGTCAAACAAGAAGGGGTCTGAATCACAGCTCACACCAGAAAAGTTCGCCCCCTACGATCTAGCATCAGCACCGACTGTGTCTTCTGGTCTGCCGCCTGAGATTTGGTCTATCGTACAGTCTGCCCCTGCCAACTTCACACCGCAGCACTTCCTGGACGTCAGCCGCAATCTCCTTGAGAATCCCAATTTGACCGCTTCGCACCTTGCTCGTGCAGAGCTTTCATACGCTAGCTTCAATGATGCTTCATACAATCCACAAGCCACAACATCCCTGGAGTTGGCAGACATCGTCAAGCATTTGCGCGCCGAATGCCGTCCACGTCTCGTTGAAGGCGGTATAGATGGCTACGACCTGACTTGGACGGTAGTCCGAAAGATGATACCCCGGAACCCAAAGGTAGACAATGCAATGTTGCAGACCTGCCACCTCTTCACCTCGACCGCACCCACTACAGTTTGTGTAGATGGGAAAACAGAAACCGTGGATTCAGAGCGTTACCTCGTAGTCTACATCCCGCACGCTTCTCAGCCCGAGGAAATTCCATACTACCACCCTATCGTCCAGCGCCTTGCAATCCTCTACACCTATTTCCCCGCCCCTTCTGCCCTCCTCTCTTCGTCAGGCCACCTCTCCATCTACTTCGACCTCTTCCCGTCACACCCACTGGACAACAGACTCTCGCGCACCGCTCTGAAGCTGCTCGAGATCATCCACAAGCACTCGCGCGGCCGCCAGGCAGGATACAAGAAGCGCGTGCACCATGATCAAATCATCCCGCAAAAGCCGTTCCAAGACACATATGCGTATTTGAAGGGCAAGTACGCGAAAGCGCTGATCGAGGGATGGGTCGAGCAGACACCGCCTGGTAAACACGTCTTTGAGGACCTGGGCATTAGCGCGTTTCTTATGGAGCTTTGGGTGAGTATGTATGGAGAGGGCGAGGGCGAGGAGAGAAGAGCCAGCGCGCAAAAGGCCTTCCCTGGGTTTGTCGATATTGGTTGCGGCAACGGACTCTTGGTGTACATTCTGAACGAAGAGGGGTGGCGAGGATGGGGGTTTGATGCCAGAAGACGGAAGACGTGGGATACATTTCCAGAGGCGTTGCAGGGAAAGTTGAAAGAGATGCTACTCATCCCCGAGGTTTTGACGACTGGAGCATCGCTCAATGATGAGCCAAACGAGCTGGGCCCGCCGAGTCACAATGGCGTCTTCCCAGCAGGGACGTTCATCGTCTCGAATCACGCCGATGAACTTACGCCGTGGACACCACTCCTCGCTTCCCTCTCCTCGTCGCCTTTCATCGCGATTCCATGCTGCAGTCACGACTTTGGAGGCACCCGGTTCCGCGCACCAGCGGTCAAGAAGTATGTTCCGGATGATGGGCAACCCAAGGGGAACAAGAACGCGCAACCGAGTGCGTATGCAAGCCTGTGCTCATGGACGAGCGCGTTGACAGAGAACATGGGGTTTGTGGTCGAGAAGGAGCACCTCAGGATTCCGAGCACGAGGAATATTGCGGTGGTGGGGAGGAAATTTGAAAAGGAAGACGACAGCAGGGGCTTAGAGGAAAGACTGCAGTACGCGAGAGAAGTTGTTGAGAAAGAGATGGGTGGGCAGGTCGGTATTGAGCAGGTAAGGGTGCAATGGGTTGCAAGAGGGAGTGGATTGATGAAGCCTGGGAAGGGTGGGCACTAGACGACATGGCTTGCTGCCATGTACACTATCAAGAGACAAGCTGAAACCACACGTCACAGACCGGACAGAGCTCACTGATCGAATTGGGTATCATTGTGAAAGTGGTCGTCGAGTGCGAAGCCGCGTCTCGTACGAGGAATACATTCGTGGTATCATCCTTTCATTTCGCCGTATGCCACCAGGTCCTGTCCCTTTTTGTAATGCAGCAGAAGATGATCCTGTATCTAGTCGGTAATCCTTAAGCAAAGGTCAATTGCTTAAGAAGCAGGGGCACCACGGCCCCGCCCGAAGCCACCACGGAACTCAGGCTTGAACTCGCCAGGGGCAGCGCCCTCAGCCTTCTCGCCAGCGTCACGACGGCGGTAGCCACCCTCGCGGTCACCACGGTCGGGGCGGGGACCGCCACGGCCGCCACGGCGCTCGCCGTCACCGCCGAGCATACCCCGGGGAGGAGCAGAGCGCTGCTGCTTGATGTGGGTCTGGGGGACGATCTCAGCGGGCAGGTGGAGCCACTCGCGGAGGTAGTCGAGACCCTCGGGGGTGAGGGTGTAGTAGTAGTACTGCCACGAGAAGCGGGTCTTGACGTAACCGCGGGAGGTCAAAGACTGGCCTGCGTTGCATTAGACCAAATCACGCATACGTGACAGGGTATACTGACAAGCCTTGATGACGAAAAGGTTCTTGGTGTCAATGTCGCCGTGCTTGGGAAGGTTGAAGTCCTTCTTAGCAACGAGAACGCCCTCTGTGGTGACCGTGTGTCAGCCTATCCTTATATGCAGTAAAACTGCGAAAATATATACGAGTGTGCCATAGCCATGGCTCGCGCGTGGGTAGAATACTAACCTCGGAAGAGGTACCTGAGATAATTTGTTAGCAGAGATTCTCCGACTGAATGTAAGGGGGCCAAGTGCTGCTCATGATCAAGTCGTGAATTCGTGCGAAACTTCAGAGCTCGAGCGCGGCGTCGCATTGACGATGGTGAGGAAGACTAACTCGTGAATGAGCTTGCGATCGGCCTTGGGGATAAGCATCTTGACTGTTGCGAGGAGTCTCGGGGATGCTGTAGATTAGTTGAGTGGTTGGCGATGGAGAGCAACGGTCGTGTGGGAGATGGAAATGGGAAAACTGCCCAGTGGGCGGGCCTCGCTTACGTCTATAATAGTATTAGTGTGAAACTAGCTTGCATGGTTCACATGTCCCACTTTCAGGTCTTCACGTGACCGTAGTCCTGGTACGCGGAGATCGTCAAAGTTCGCCGCTGCCTCCTCGACAACCTCACCAACCTCACCCAGCGTACCCGAACCCCCTCAGTCGTTTACCTGTCCCGGAGCCCCACTTTTACACTCTCCTATAATCGATTCCGAGTTCTCAGAAGCAAAATGGAGGATATCACCCAGTCCCCAGTGACGGTGATCGTCGACAGCATCAAGGGCCAGAACATTGCCTTCACAACACCAAAGGGTGCCTCTCTTATTTCTCTATACGACACACTATACGAGCGCGCTCCATGGATCCAAAACTCCTCTTACATCCTAACGACCAACTCGCGCCGAGCAGTCCGTCACGCTGAGGAGCCTGTCTCGACACTGCTCTCTTCGCCATCAGACACATTCCTTTCGCTGCGCCTGACCGTACCTCTATGTGGTGGAAAGGGCGGTTTTGGTTCCATCCTGCGCGCCCAGGGTGGTCGCATGTCCTCGCGCAAGAAGAAGAACCAGGTCGATGCGAACGCATCGTCCCGGAACCTGGATGGACGCCGACTGCGCACCGTTGCCGAGGCGAAAACTCTCGCTGAGTACCTCGTGATCAAGCCAGAGATGGAACAGCGGGAGAAGGACGAGCGCAGGAAGAGGTGGGAGGACATCGTGGCTAGCACAGAACGGAAGCAGGAAGAGCTGCAGAACGCTGGCGGAAAGGCGCGCCTGGACGGCAAATGGCTTGAGGATAAAGAGGAAGCAGAAAACAAGACAAAGGAAGCTATTGAGAAGATGCTGTTGGCGCAAACGGTGAGCTCCGAGGACGAAGAAGACGAGGAGCCAGCTCAGCCAGCTGCTTCTTCGTCGAAGCCTGCTCAACAACGTGCTCTGTTTGGCTGGGACGATGAGGACGACGAGTTTATGAGCGACAGTGACGAGGAAGAGGACGTGTCAGAGGAGGATGTGAAGCAACCGGAATTTGAGGGCAAAGGAAAAGGAAAGGCAGCGTGAGCAATGAGCCATTGGTGTGGGGGTTTCATCATGTCACAGCATCATATGGTTATGGCGTTCTTTTCAGCGAAATGTTTCGATACCCAGCTTGTACAATAGCTTTCGGCAAGCACAACAGACAATGAATATTGGTAAATCTGTATGAGATCTTACAACACCACATGCGAGTTGTGTGCTCTTCGCTGATAGTATTGAACCCGATGGAAAGGGTCGCGGGTAAGTCGCCGACGGATAACCTATCATATGCAGCTCCACCCGCATTCTTATCGGAACATGCATCCTGCGCCCTAGGCGCATGTCATACGACTCCATGCTTAGCACCCGTCGTGTTGCCGAGTCCCTTGCTAAAAGGTAGCCATGCCTCTTTCCTCACACTTGTCGAGATTCCCGCAATGGCTTTGTCGACATTGAGGTACCCCGCGCTTCGAATCGCCAGCAGACGATACCCCGCGTTGCGAGGCAGCACTATCTCGAGAGCTGCCTTCTCCACCACGCCAAGATGGCAAATCCGCACCAAAGAGATGACAGAGGAGCATTTCAAGGATTTGAAAGTAAATCGAGAGCGATTAATGCAGGATATCCATCACACCTGTCAATGGGGTACTGGCGAAAGATGGGGCGAGTTAGTTGTCTCCAAGCTTCATAATTGTATAGTATTGATGTATGCAGGGCTGCTACAGAGACTGGAATGTCTCGCCTTGCACTCTCGGATACAGACAAGCAAGCAAGAGATTGGTTTGTAGAGACGACGCAGGCTCTGGGCTGCAAAACTACGGTTGATGAGATGGGCAATATCTTCGCCGTTCGACCAGGACTGAAGAATGACAAGCCGCCAACGTATGTTGGTAGCCACTTGGACACCCAACCGACGGGTGGTCGGTATGACGGCATTCTTGGTGTTACTGCTGGAGTTGAGATGCTGAAAGTCCTGGCCGACAACTGGGTTGAGACTGAATATCCAGTTGGTGTCGTGAACTGGACGAATGAAGAAGGCGCGCGATTTCCGATGTCGATGGCATCGTCTGGCGTTTGGGCTGGATCTATACCTCTCGAAAAGGCACATAGTCTCCGTGAAGTACATCCAGGGACCGCAACTCAGAAATCCGAGCTTGAGCGGATTGGCTACTTGGGAACTACACCGGCGAGTCACGAAGCAATGCCGATGGCTGCGCACTTCGAGCTTCACATCGAGCAGGGCCCTCTTCTGGAGATGGCTAATAAGAAGATTGGTGTCGTAGCCGGTGTGCAAGCCTACAAGTGGCTCACCGTCAAGGTCAAGGGCCGCGACACCCACACTGGCACCACAGACCTCAAGTCCCGCGCCGATGCGCTACTCACAGCGTCAAAGATGATCCTGCACTCCCACAAATTGGCCACAGCCAATGGCGCCCTGGCTTCAACGGGTATTCTCAATCTCAAGCCTGGCTCCACCAACACCGTTCCTGGCGACGTGACGTTCAGTCTAGACATCCGGGCCAAGAAAGACGAGACAGTTGCGGAGATGAAGAAGCTTGTCGAGCGCGACTTTCCTCGCATCGCAGCCGGCGAGAACATCGATGGCCTGAACGAGGGCTGCACTCCTGGCCTGCCCCTCTCCGTCAGCATTACCGAGGACTTTGACTCGCCCGCCACAACCTTCCACTCGGACTGCATCCATGCCGTACGTCAATCTGCATTCTCTGTCCTCGGGCCCAACAGCCGGAATCTGGTTCTGGATATGACGTCTGGCGCAGGGCACGATAGTGTGTATACGAGCAAGCGGTGCCCAACAAGCATGATCTTTGTACCGTGTAGGGAGGGTGTGTCTCACAACCCAAGAGAGTTCTGTGAAGAGGTGGATTGCGCCCTCGGCGCGGAGGTATTGCTGCAGAGTGTGGTGCGTTTCGACCGGATGAGAGATGAGAGAAGGGTTACATGGAAACAGGAGCCTTACACGATCTAAGTGGGAATGCTGCTCAATAGCGAGGGTGACCATATGCTCATTATCGATCTGGCACTATGCTAACTGGGTCTTGCCGAGGGGCGTGGAATCCAGCACCTGACTTTTCAGCAACAGCTGGAAAGCACTTGATGGATAGTGCCAATGTTGCCTCATGGATCAGACCGATCGGGGGTCAGATGTCCTTCTATCTGTACCATAGGCCATCCGTGTGGCATCGGGCAGTTCTTCTCCGGAAGCGAGTGATATTCCCTCTGATACACGGCTTCGTTGGACATAGGCTACATAGAAGGGTGAGAGATGCCTTAATGAGGTCACAGTCAGAGGCTCCTATGGCCTCACTTCAAACGAGATATTCCATCGACGGTTCTTTAAAGTCGCATGAGGGGCTGTTGTAATCACACGAGAGTGAATGTATCTGCCTCGTCTTCTTCCCAGTCAACGCCTTGCTTGGAGTCAGCAGAGTTTAGGAACCATCTAAGTATATGCGCTTACCTTCTCCGTGCATCATGTCATGGACGTAGATTTCTGTGACAAACAGCCAGCCTTTACCATCCTCTGCCTTTCGTAGTATACAGGGCACATCGAGACCGTGTAGAATAGCGACGCAGTCACCCACTTGTAGTCCTATGTCTCCGTTTTTCACAAACCCGAGTTTGCCACTCTCCAGCACGACAAGCGCACTGCTTGAATGAACGCCCCAATCCAAGAGGTCTTGTAGCCTTGCAAAGGATTGCTCGTGTGTAGGCGTTTTGATGAGACGTTCGAAGTCGGTTTCTCTCTCGGCATGATTGAAGAATACCACACGGAAGAAATCTGTGAAAAATTCTTGAGTCGGCTCGGCACCAAACTCTTGCGAAGAAGGAGCCGCTTGCACGGGGTTCGGGACGGTGGTTCCCCCTGAGTTTTGTTGAAGTTTTCTCTCATGTAAAGCCTTCGTTTCGTTCCATGCCTCATGGAAGGGGCGCTGGAGAACAGAGGCAAATCGCGTTTCATGGAAGAATTCGTCCATGGTTTCCTTGAACGTGTGTATATCGACAGCGATGGAGTCCACGACTTTGCCCGAGACGACAAGTTGATCCTCGATCACTGGCAAGGTTGGTTTCCAATTACGGTGAAGCGAAGCGCATGGTTTGTTCGCCAGAATCATTCCACACCTGAGCTTCTCATGCCAGAGCGGCACCCAACTCGGACTTCGCTCTAGATTGTATCGATTAGTGTAGGTTATAGACACCAATTTCCCGGAACCATCAATCTGGTACCTTGTGCATTCCTGGACCATTGTGGCAATCGGCTTTCCGTAGTCTACAAAGTCATCTGGGAGGATGTCGCCTGCAAACCCGATTAAGCTGAATACCTTGTCTCTCGGATCTTGACATTTGTGCTCATCCAAGCATTCTAGGAGATCCGCCAGTTCGGAATTCTCGTTTGTAGCTTCCTTCAGTGCAGTCTGCTCAATCAGATCCATCATTTGCACGCCCAAGACTTGAGTAAAGTCGTATGATTCACTTGAAAGCCGATTCAAATTGTCTTTGATGAAATCAAGAATCGTGTCTGCCATTTGGATGAAAGATTTCCAAGACGAGAGTTCTGTGCCGAGGAGAAAAGAGACGCTTTTGGCGAACACTGCTTCTTGGAATACCCATATACGACTGAACCATGGACGACCAAATATTGCCCATTCTGGAGTCTGGTCCAGTATAGTTCTGCCGTGCCAATCCATGTACAAATCTGGGTCCAGAATAAGATCAGCGTCGTGGAGATTGAAACCTGACTTCTGTCCAAGCCAAACGATTACTCGTGCAGCAGTCTTGTAGACCTCAGACATTTGCTTGACTTGTGAATTGCGCTCGGTCACATCCATCTGGTTGATGCAGATTTGGTCCACCCAGATGTATCCCGGTCTGTCCTTTTCTGGCTGATGGCAGACCAGTAGACTGTGCAGACAAGTAGCCAGGTTCTCAGTAACCCGATATACTTGCTGTCCATGGTAAGGAGTGGAAACAAATATCCCAGTGCACAGATCAGTGCTGCCCCAGCAGTATGATATGGCTTCATATTGTGGTGCTTTGGATAAAGGGACCGTGATGAGCTTGAAACCGACCAGAACGTTGTCCAGTAATTTGGCATTTCGAACATCCAGTAGCCGTATATGACCCTCGGGTATTGGCATGAACCGCAGCGGTCGGTAAGACTCTCGTTTACTCGAGACTAAGCGACGAAAGAGCGAGGGTACAATTGTTGGCTGCTCGACACTTGAAGTTGCCGATTGCTCGAGTGGGGGCTCAGCACTCCAAGGCTTCCATTCCCCTGTTGATGTGAGTCCGGGAAATCTTGGATATCGCTCCGGCCTCGTGAGCTCCTCTATGAGCTCTTCCCAGCTGCCTATCGTTCTCTTGTTTGAGGTGCTTTGTTCTCCCATATTTGTGAGCCTAAGCTGCTGTATACAAACATTAAACCAACGTGAAAATGCGATCTTAATTGTGACAGAGAGCAAGATATCACAGTGAAGTGAACATAGGAAGGCTGGGAGGAGTATCAGGGTGGGGTATTACAGCGCTAAACCACTCCTGCCAATCCACAGCCACAATCCAAGTCCAGCCCGTAAGCTTCAGCCTTGCTATGTTCAATTCGAGGAAAAACGCAAGATGCATTTCGATCAGTCAGAGGGAGAAGGATATGATATCATGGGAAAAGCCCTCACGCCTAGAGCTTTGCTTGGAGCCGCGCTTTTACACTGTTCTGCAGCTCCTCCAGGCTCCCCAGCAACTCAATCCCATACCTTTGACAAACAAGCTGCACATTTCCCCTCTTGTAGAATCCATCTGGACAACAAACTACCGCCTTGCCCGTTCCCGCATACATGCCTAACTCCAGCAGGGTGATGGGCGTCAACGTGCCCGGCTTGAAGTAGAATGCGATAACATCAGCCACCTTCGCATGGTCCATTTCCCATTCGACCTGTTCTTTGAAGCGTAGATCAGATATGTCTTCGATCCACGTGCTGTCCCAAGCATCGCAGCGCGGGTTGAGGATCTCTACGGGTAGGTCGGAGAGCGAGGCTGCGAGGCTGGTTTGCCAGTCGGCAGCAGGATTGGGCTCGATGCTGCCATAAAGAATGACGGAAGGTTTGGTGATGATTGGGCGAGTCGGAGGCTTATAGGTGACTGCCTTTGACTCTTGTGACATCTTCAGAGTGATGTATAGTGTTATCGTAGAATGGTGGTAGCGAGAGTTACAAGGCTGGCGCTCGGCTAGATCGCTGTAGCCTAACCAGATCGAACTGGTAGAATGTTAGTGATTTGGTGAACACCACGGCTGGTATGTTTGATGAATCTTCAAAGGTTGAACGTATAAGTCATTTATACAATCCAAGCCTAGCCTATTGCACTACTTCGCAGCGTGCCAGGATGAGAGGGTAGAAGATGTGTTCATGGGCCTGCATGGTGGTAAAGTCGAGTTCATATTCGCATTATTTTGGTATCTATGTAATAATTGAATCCAGAACGGTATCATCGCTAATAAGCCACGCTTCAAGCGCGCTGACCGAAAACTTTGTCGAAGTTGGTCAGGGTAAACCTGTAGCGGACGTTGTCGTTCTTGTAGACACGCTCAACGGCCTCCTTGCAACCGGCCTCACTGAGGTCAATTGTCTCAATCCAGCCCTTGATGTCCTGCTTCGCTGCAAGCTGCAGCATCTCCTCCATCTCGGGCCTGTTTCCAATGTGCGATGCGCCCATGTAGCAGCCGTTGGGAGCGAAGGTCTGCGCAGGGAAGGCGGGGAGCGGGTTGTCGGGGAAGCCGACCATGTGGAAGGTGCCGTTAACCTTGAGGATAGAGAAGTACTCAGACAGGTCGAACTTGTCGGTGGCATCAGCGGTGTTGATGACAAAGTCGAACTTGAATTTGTAGTTCTCTGCCCAGCCCTTCTCCTTGGTGACGATGAAGTCCTTAGCTCCCATCTTCAATGCATCCTCCTTCTTGCTGGGGGAGTGGGAGATGACAGTAACCTCAGCGCCCATGGCAACGGCCCAAAGGACACCGAAGTGGCCAAGGCCACCAAGCCCAATGATGCCGACCTTCTTGCCTGGACCAGCACCTAATCTCTTCAGGGGAGAAAATGTGGTGATACCGGCGCACAACATGGGTGCGGCAATATGTGTCTCAAGCTTCTCGGGAATCTGGAAGACGAAGTACTCGTGGACACGAACGTGCGAAGAGTAACCGCCCTGCGCAACAGTGCCGTCGGGGTGCTTAGCACCGTAGGCGTCAACTTGGTTGGGGCAGTAGTTCTCCTGATCGGCCTTGCAGTTGTCGCAAGTAAGATCGGCGCCGACCTGAGCACCAGACCCGACACGGTCGCCAACCTTGTGCTTGGTGACCTTGGATCCGACCTTGACAACGCGGCCAATAACCTCGTGTCCTACGCAAAGGGGCAGAGGGATGTCCTCGCCCCATCCGCCTGTGATAGTGTGGACATCTGAAGCGCAGACACCGCAAGCATCAACGGCGATGTCGACGTCGTACTCCTCGAACTTTTTGAGAGGAAGCTACGGTTTTGTTAGCGACTGCAATGAGCCTTGGGATAGCGCGACATACCTCCTGGCGCTTGAAGGTGCTCCAGTTCTTGATGTCATTGACGGCGAAAGCGTCGGTGGTCTCTGGGTAAGGCATTGTGGTGGATGAGGAGGAAAAAGTGTAGATGAAGTGCAGGTATTGCTGACCGTGAGGGGAAACCGCAGAGGGGCAGCTGGGCGTATTTGAAGCGCTGCCCTCTTACACTCCACATTATCGGTCCATTGGTTTCCGCCAGTGATGTCAGGTGAAATACCGACGTTAGGTCGTCCCAGCCGTCATAGCTCCCTGCATATTTGCCTGATTGGGCGGTTCTACGGGCGACGAGGCCTTCTGCTGGGGCCGTTGCTATCGGCTACCTTTTTGTATCGTCACCAGCGCGTCAACCAATGTCTTAGGCATCTAACATCGACGATTTTGGTTGCAAAATCTTGCGCCTAGACTCATGTGTGACACCTCAGTAGCTGCTGCAAAGGCGATTTCTTCGCCGTTGGAGATTCATCCTAAATCTCAAATTGTGATGCCGTCATCGTTGACGTTCGACTTTGCCCCACGTACAGCTTGAGCCTCCCCCACGCATGGAGGGGCAGCAGTTGTCGTGCCGATCGGCTTTCTCGCCGCTCCAAGTCGCTTGAGCCAGACCCATTGTAGAATGGGGCTGCCGACAGGCCGACTGTTGTCTCTCGTCCGAAACTCTTTAGAACACCGTGGTGACTTCGCTTTGGGTCAACTGCTCTTTTTCCAATCGGTAGCAGTAAGTTTCCGAAAGCCTGCGAGTCTGGCTGAACAGTCATTAGACCAGTGTTCCACACGCTGTATGTCAAACGCCGGTGAAAGGATATTGAAGACAGCGACTTCGCTTTTCGTGTTGCTTCCAGACCGATCGGACAGTCCAACTCTTGCGTGGTGGGTTCGCCCACTCTTTATTAGAGATGTGCGTTCATTGTGAACGTGTGTTTTGGACTAGGTTTACGAAGATGTCTGAAGATTCCAGGATACAAAGATCAGAGCGTTACAACTGATGGCTTGGGAGCGCCGGGAGCATATAACAGCCTGTCCGGATTGCGACATGACACCCCCACAAGGCGTGCATCGGTCGTCAACGTCAAAGAGGCAGCCAGTACATTCGTGACGAGTTGGAGGGAGGATCACAATGCTCAGATGGCTGTGTTGCCGCCCCGACATTATGGTGTACCCTCCCGGGCTCATCCAGGTACTCTCGCACTAGTTCCGTCGCGTGGGGCAGGACTGTTCCATCAACCACATCGTGTCATCCATCCTTGACGTGTTTGTATATCAGGCCATGACAATTGACGTCATGTTATATCCATGTCAGACTGCTTTTCGGTTGTCGATTCCGCGCACTCTCCACGGAGACCTTAGACCGTCGCGCGTCACGATCCTGCATACAAGGCATTGCGGAAAGCGGGCTTGTTATATACAGCGGTCGTACTACGCTTTGAAACATTCACATGCGGATATTTCCGCGACAACGGCAGCGGCAACGGCACGTGTGGAAGACCTAACGCCGGCACTTTCGAAACATGAGGTGCAGTCACAGCATTTGTTGGGCGAGGATGGATTCCTGAAATCTCCACACAAAGCTTGAGTACAACCGTTACGGCCCGCGGCGTTTTGTCGCGAGAGTCATGGTTGCAGAACCGGCCCACGTCAACAATAGGCAGTGGCTACGCTTATTAACTTGGCTTCAGGGTTCATTAATACTCATTGCGCTGACGAACCGACCTTTTAGTCTGTCGAAGCACAAATTAAATCTTTAAGCGGCGCCTAATCGGTCACGGCGCAGGGATCGGCTTCCTGAACTGGGATGAGCGTGGTCAGATACCTAAATCCCGAAACAGTGCACAGTGACAGCAGATGTTGACGCCTTTGCACAACAGCATGGCACTTTAGCTTGAGAAAGATCTTCTCATCAAGTGCAACGTTACGCAGGGGCGCCCTTTCAAACACGCATGCAGTAGGCCAAGCGCTTGCTTATTGCGTGGCAACGCCTCGAGTGACCCAAAGTCAGCGACAATATCCGGCACCAATTGCATTGGTCCAGAATCCAGGTCCATTTCATAACAAAAGTCGGTAGAGAGTGGTACTATCGTAGCGTTCACGTGTAGGTGACTGACGGGCGATCATCTTCCGCAACGAATAGGATGCTCGTTTCACTATATTCGGGTCGGACGCTGGAAATGAATGACTGCGGGGAGAGCCTTACCTGGAAGACTATCGCGCCACGTCCAGGGTATGGGCCAAGCTTAAGTGGCTGCCACTTTTATATCAGAGCGCTCACCCTCGTGGCCACGCGGTGGGGATGGCGAATCTGCTGCTGCTCACCTCCACGTCGTCAAGATGCCCACATATCCACTCCAGCTCACCTGCTTGGGGGTGATCTACAGTACACCTATACTGGCAGCTGTTTTCGTAGCGCTGAGAATCTATACACGGCGGAAGCTGAACTTGAGGTTAAGCTGGGGTGTGTACTGTATCTCTTCGCTGGATCAAGACTGACAGCAGATGCAGATGACTGGCTCATCATAGTAGCGTCAGTGCTATCAATTGCGCTCATCGGTCCCTCACACAGACGTTAGTAATGAACTAGCCAAGCACAGTCAGTGACTAAAAGTTTTCAGATGTTAAGATGTGGCATGTTGGAATTCACATCTGGGATGTAGATCCAAACAAGATTGAGCCAGACTACGACGAGTACTACGCGGTATGTTCATCACTGTCTGGCACATAAAGCCCGCTGACCCGTCAGGTTGTGATGGCATTCAATCTTCTCAACATCCCAATCCTACCACTTGTTAAAGCATCCATCATCCTGCTGCTTCTCCGCGCCGGATCCATCATCACATGGCTGAAAAAAGTGCTATACGCCATCTTGGTCTTCACTGTTGGGAGCTCACTAATACCATGGTTCCTGTACATCTTCACATGTCCACCACAGACTGGCAACACCTGGAAGCCACGAACATTTGGAGGCCTCCACTGCATGGGCCGACATCGAATGGGCGAGATGCTGATCTGGGTTACCTGCGCCAACCTTCTCACCGACCTTCTCATTCTACCAATTCCGTTCATCATCGTCAGGAGAATGATGAGCGCGCGGCTGCGGTCTCGCCTTGTCGTTCTGACTGTTTTCGCCTGCAGTCTAGCAGTGACAGGCATCGGCGCCGCCAAAATTTACCTTTCTTATCGCGACCGCCTCTACACGCTCTATGTCCCCGACTGGACATATCCAATAGACTACTGCATCAACCACATCGAAAACAACGTCGCCATCATCGTCGCCAACATACCCATCCTGCGCGGCCTGGTCACGCGGTGGGTGTTCAATTTCAAGAACGGGAAACTCGTGATCCAGGACCGCAAAGAGCGACCAACGCCGACACGCAAGCGTTCAGACCTCTCCGCGAAAGCGCACCGCAGAGTGTACAGCAGCCATGTGATGCGCAAGCTACTGCCCTGCATCGACGACATTTCGTCCAGCCTGGCAACGCCAGAGCAGTCCAAACAGCGCCCTGAGCGCGCACTGTCCGGCACCTTTACCAACCTCGAACAACCAATCCACAGGAGCCGCAAGCTGAGCACTTACTTCACCCGCTCGGTCGACCGCTACGACAGCGCTGATGAGCTCGAGAAAGGAGATGCCCGCGATACAGTGACGTCCGTTGGCTCTGCCACGCTCGTCGGCTCACTGAGCCGCGAGTCGGCCAACTGGGATACCGCGTTGTTGCAGGCGAAGAGGAGCAGTCCGACACTGCGCCCGAGCGAGCCCTTCGGCGCCATGGAGCCGCTGGGCGAGATCCAGCCGCTGGAGCAGGTGCGCATGCGCAGCGCGTTGGACGGCGGGGAATTCGATTTCGGAGAAGCGGTATGGGCGTACTCGCCGCCGTCGCGCGTGTAGTCGTTTTTTTGTTGTTGTTGCAGTAGCACTTGCACTTGATACCCATCAATCCGTCACGGTCAGAGCCAAAGACGTTCTTATACACTGTTTCACACCCACCCTCTGCGTGCGCGCAGGCCCAACAATCCACGCCCCACTGCCCTCGCTGCGAGCTTCACGCTCATTACCACCCCGGACCCCGTTCCTGTCTCCTCGACCCCCCAATTGGTACCCTCCTGCTGCGAAGCGGTCGCCTCGCCACACGCGCTTCTCGCCCGTCACCCGGCCCTGAGGGCCGAAGGCCGCCCACGTCGCCGGGCACGCGGTGCAGCAGCACCCCGGGGCCCCAGCACGTCACTCACGTGGGCGCGCAAGCCCGCCCGATCCAGCCGGCGGGGATATAGCACGCGCAGTGGTATAGGCACCGTACGTACAATACGCACGCCGTAACCACGCCGCAACTCGAGAGCTGCGGCCAGACCAGTCCCCGCGATCCAGACTGCAGCGCTGCGCTTCCCTTCCCCCGAGCCCAGAAAACGCACCTGCAAACTGCTGTTGTCGCTGCTCGCCCACGCCGGCCAGGGCGCCCCTTGCATTCCGCTGTTGGCCATGGGCAGCTGAGTCCCGCCGCGGCCAAGAACGGCTCGCAGACTGCGGACAGTCAATCAGCCTCAGCCTCAGCCAGGGCTTTCCCATTGCGGCGGGCGCACAGCACCGACACCGACGCCGACACCGTCTGCACAATGGCGCACGCGTGTCGACATCCCATCACACAGGTAGGTAGCGCCGAGAAGGCACGAGGTGTGACGCACGCATGCGCACTCGCACCCCCCCTACCAAGCACGCAGCTCCATCCTGCAATGTCGCGTGGCTGCTTGCATCACGCCGCGCACCGATACAGGCCCGAGACGCGCCCGGAGCTGAGCACCCCGCCGGCGCGCTGGAAGGCATGAGACGAGGTGATTGCTGCGGGGTGGAGACGCGCTGGAGAGATGCGTCGTCGTGCAACACGCAGGTGGAGACGGCCGTGTCGGAAAGACTTGCCCCAGCGTATATTAAGTTTGGCGTCGCGTAGGGTTGCAATCTATTTCGCCCCGCGGTTGATATGGATAAAGTATGCCAGGTGGCTAGCACCTTCTTGACTGTGCTTGGCTCGTTGTCTGAACTATGTCATGCAGAGTCTAACCGAGTAATGGTTCTGTCTTCACGTTTGTCGGATTACGAGTAAGTGAAGGTACCAAGACTTGTAGGCTATCATTGATTACAAGGTATATACGGAACACCGAAAGTGTTGCGCGCCGATTTGCACCGTGTCGTACCTCCGAGTCTCAAGACAATAGTCATCCAATAACTCCTAGGTGAATTTTTATTGCCTTCATCTGGCGGGCAGTCCAGTAAAATCGTCAATACCAATGGTAGGTGTGACGGCGATAGTGATTGGCGAACAGCACATGCATGTAAACAGGTGACAGTCGAAGCCTGATTGCCGTGCGGAAAAACAGGGGTAATAAACGTGGTTGATCGGACGCGGTCCGAAGGACTGGGGTGCATGATCGACGAGCTCATATTGAGAGCAAGACTGCCAAGCCGGCAGCAGCAATGGTCGAACCAAGGGCTGCCAGCGTCATATGTGCCGACGAGGTTCCAGCTGCTGCTGTTACGTTGCCGGAGATCTGGCCAGCAAGAGTTTCGTCATCGCTGCGGACACAGCCTGTCCTTGCTGTAATCTCGCTTGGGCAGGGGACCCGTTTGAAGTTGGCGCTGTGAGACGTCAGATACAAGGCTGTCTGAGCAAAATCCCCTGCTTACCTGGGGAACGAGGCGTCTTGCAGCCAGTCGAAACGCCACTGACAAGCGGATCGTAGCGATTCTGGTAGATTTTGACAATCGTCGTTCGTGGCAACACCTTCACGGTCTTGGCCGAAGACGGATTGAGATACGCCATACTGCGTGGCACAGCCATCGTTCGAAGTGGTATTCCCGCCAGGGACCTTGGATAATCAGCCTCTGCTCTCGTGAGAACAAAAATAGTCATACCGCTAAACTGAACCGATTCGCCGTGTTGATGTCATAGGCAGTGTTTGACGCCTGAACAATCATGCTCTTCCCTATCAAGGGCTCACTGGTGAAGTCCAGTTGGTAGCATGCGCAGCACCATGCATCTTCTGTTGCGCCGCCTACCATGTCCTTGGTGAGGAAGACGCCGGCAAACCCGTACGAGAATGTTTCGTTGACGGCCCAAGGTTGTTGTTGAGAGCAAGCGAATGCCGTCCCTCCGTTGCAACCGGTACCAGCATCAAGCCCAATGGGCTGTTCGTCAGCTGCGCATGATCCCACTGGGGTGTTCACAGATGCTTTGCCTTTCCATCCGCAAGACGGCTTGCAACAGTCCCAATACCGTGTCGTGACTGCTTCGCCGCTGTAGTTGAGGTTTGCACTATTCACTAGGACTGCAAAGAGTTCCAAGGCGAGGAAGATATGTTGCTGAAATGGAGGCGTCATTTCGTGATGGAAGAAGTAATTGTGAAGCAAAAGCCGGGAGGCATAGTTTGATAACAGGGGCAGTTGCGGGCCACGAAAATGTATTTGAACGATAGGGGGAGGGGCTTGCTATGTTCGGACGTCCGTAAAGAGAAATCTTGCTGGTGGTGCGGTCGTGGCCTAGACGGCGAGCATGGTCTACAGGCGCTGGCATATCCTGCGCCTAAGCCGTTGTACGCAGGGATCGGCTTGGGCTGTGAGGCAATGGATATCAAAGCCGATGCTTGGTACGGGTCAGCAACATTTTGGGTGGCTCCAATGTGGCAAGCATCGGAACGCGAACCCAGTCGGGTCAATGCCCCCTTGCAATTTACTGTGAACGCCTTCCCCACACTTTCGCGACGGTGTTTCGATCCCCGCAATCGGGCCGTGGCCTCCATTTCCGTTGAGTGTCGCTGTTCCCGGCGGATCCTTGGAATGACTTTTCAACTGGTCTCATTGTTATTGTGCTGTCGCGCCGTTCGTTTTGAATGGAGTTGGTCTGAAGTGCCACAAAGCCATTATCTTGGGTGCATAAGCGAACCACGCCGCATCCTCATTGGCATCGCGTAGTCGCACATGAGTCTGCAAGGGCGCCGGTAGCTGGATACTGGTGGTCGATAAGCACGTGGCGCTGTGGCTGGCGGGTATCCCGCCTGCAAGGCCCTGGGTCCTGGGCGAATCGTACATGTTCGCTCAAACTGGACGCCCTCAAAGTAGATCCAGTTGCATATGAACAATCTACACGATTGCATGAGCATGAGACAAGATTTTGAGGATGCCGTGACGTGGAATAGTGAACAAGGGTTATCCTCAGAGATTCTCTTGACACATCGACCGTGTGCTCTCGAGACGCTGTGAGATGGTCGCAATGGGCACATGGAGCTGGTCCACTCACTCTTGACACCTGTTCGCGGCGCGAAGAAAGACAACAAAGAGGAAATTGGTGCATGTACGTGGCCCAATCAGCGAGGCGATCAGAGATAGAAAGCTGAATCTGGGTCTGACAAGTGTACACCCTTTGTTCCTTTTCCTGTGCGATGAGTGCGGCTTTCGGTTTTCGAGACAATGATTCCAACGCTACGCACTCGTGATGGCGATCGTCTTCACTTGCGTCCAAAGATCTACTGCACCGACTGACGGAGAGGTACGGCGCTGCCGAGAGCGTTGATGGATTGCAGAACTCCCAATGAAGTAACGAGTGACGTCCAGATTTCAGGGCTGAAAGCCTCGTTAGTGAAAGCAGCTCAATCGCCGAGAGCACATACCCGAGGCGCAGACCAAAACTGAAGGACGATATTGGTGCCGGAGTGAGCGAGGAAGTGTTGTCATACCAACAGTCAGCGATCGGAAGTGGCAGGGCAGCTGAAGCAGGCGCTGTCAGAGTCCTAGACTTCGTCGCTCAGCTCCTTCCTGCCTGGAATATCAAGGTCAACAGTAGAAAGCGCGCCACCCCTTGTCTAAACTTCTTGAATTCTTTTGTCTATTGGTCATAACTCTTAACGTGGACGCAGCCTATACACCACGGCGACCACCAACGGTCTTCAAAGTCTCCTTCATGGCGTCTGTCAACTTGCTTACTAGCAGGTCTTTCAGACCCTTCTTCTCGGGCTTGGGCATGAAACCGAGCTCGATGAGATAGCTGAGGTACACACCCACTGTATCCTCTGTCACAGCACCGCCAGCGCTCCAGTCTTGCCCTGTCCACTTCTTGTCCTCCTTTAGTGCCTTCGTCGCGTTGCGGTCGTCCATCTCTGGTGCCTTGGTATCGGCTGGCAAGTCGCCCGTGACAAAATGGTACAGCGGCAGCAGTGCGTTCTCCTCCCTAGTGCCGGAACGATCCGCAACATAGGCCTCCATGTCTTTCTTCCACTGTGAATATGGTACTTCAGGAACGTTGTAGCCAAATGACTCCAAGCTACCGAGGAACTGCTGGAATGTGATGCGTGGGTGCGAAGTGATTTGCGATACACCAAGCGGTGCGACAGGCGGGCTGAAAGTCGACGATACAACAACGCGAGCGACGTGGTTCACAGGAACCATGTTGATCGTGTTCTTGATGTCTGGGCGGGACTTGAGCTGGACGCAACTCTTGAGAATGCGGATGAGGAAATCATCGGTGTTGGTCGTGCCGTTCTCTGGGTCACCGAGAACATAGCCGGGGCGGATTACGCAGCCACTAAGACCGCGTTTGCCAGCTGCACGTGTGATGTACTCTGCAGCCCACTTGGACTGACCGTATCCTGTTCCAAGACCCTTGCGGGCGCCCTCGAGGTCGTCTTCTTCAAGAACGCCAGTTCCACCTTCGGACACGGACTTCTCAGACAACTTGACGAAGTAATCGGTGTCGAGGACGGATGTGGATGACACAAGACCAAAGTTCTTGGCTTTGCCAGTAGAGCAGAGGGAGAGAGCAGTCATGGTAGATTCCACATTTGGACCGCGCAGGCGAGAGTAGGGAAGAACCCAGTGCACGAGAGCGCCGTTGTGGATAACGACATCGACCGAGTCGCAGAGCGCATTCCAAGTGTTTGGCCCAAGACCGAAGTTGGGCTGCTGGAGGTCACCGACGAGCGGTTCGAGGCGGCCCACCCAACTATCCTCCCAGATACCGTACGCTTCGCAGGTCTTGCGCACACGATCGAGTGCTCCATCAAGATCCTTTGCACGGACTAACACCGTGACCTTGCCAGGTCTCGCAAGGAGGTCACGTAGGATGTACGCTCCCAAGAATCCAGTGGCACCAGTGAGGAAGGTGTGGATGTCCTCACCAGGCACCAAAGGTTCTCTGGTCTTGAAATCGCTCAACTGCGCAACAAGATCTCTGGCGTCGGCGGAGTAGGCCTCGTCCTCTGGGTCGTCCTCAATAGCTTCAGCAGAGTCCAGTCGCAGACCGATGGGGTCGATGGCCTGGTCAATGTTCGCTGAGAATGCGCGCAGTGTTGGGTACTGGAAGATTGTGGTCATAGGCACATCAATATCCTTCCACTCTTGACGGATCTTGAACAGAAGCTGTTGTGCGATAATGCTGTGGCCACCGAGATCGAAGAACGAATCGCCACCACTAAGACTTTCAGCGGTCACACCGCGGTCGCTGAGAAGCTCAGCCCAGATCTCAGCCATCTTCTGCTCAGTAGGAGTCAGAGCTTGGCCCAGCTGTGACGGCCGCCTAGCACCTGCAGCAGCGATTTGCTTCGGCTCGGGGAAGGGCAACGCGGGACGGTCGATCTTGCCGTTGGGGTTGAGAGGGAATCGCAACATGGGTACGATGACTGATGGAACAGCGTAGGACGGGAGCTTCTTCTTGAGGTGCTCGCGCACGTCATCTCTCAGGTACTTAAAGCGCTTGAGCATGGAGACCATATCGGTCTCATCTGTAGAAGTCTCGGTAGCGCCGCGCTCCTCGAGCCAGTCGTACCATCGCTTCATCTCGGGAACGATGTAGCTGACCAGCTGGGGCTCCTCGTACGCGTCGCGCTTGAGCAATGTGACATTCTCTCGGACCAAGGGGTGAGCGGACAGATGCGAGTCGATCTCTCCAAGCTCGATACGGAAACCGCGAATCTTGACTTGAGAATCGACACGTCCAGTGCAGTGAACGTTGCCGTCAGGCCCGTAGTGTCCAAGATCTCCAGAGCGGTACAGTCTGTCGCGAGGGCCCTTGTAGAATTCGCGCCACGGCTCAGCTGCGCCCTGGCTCTCGACTCGCTGCTTGTCCTCGTCTGCCCACTTCTTGGAATCAACGAACCAATTGTCCACGAACTTGGAAGACGTCATGTCTGGCAGGCCCAAGTATTCCTCGGCGAGACCACCAGCGCGAACGTATATTTCTCCACTCTCGCCAACGCCGCACACCTTGTTGCGATCGTCGCGGTTGACTACCAGCAGCTGCACGTTGTTCATGCCACGGCCTGCTGGAACAACATCGCCGATGCTGTCCAAGAACTCGGGGGCTTCGGTGGCGCTCGGTACTTCGTAGTAGCTGACAGCGCGCTGCGTCTCGGTGGTACCATACATGTTGACAACACGAACATTTGGCGCAAGGGCTTGCAGTCTCCTGACATCGCGCTTGATGAGCAGATCGCCAACGAAGAACGAGTGGTGTAGGGCAGGGAAGATGGCCGAAGCACCTCCTACCAGGATCTGACCCATGGCTGGTGTCAAGTGTGTGACTGTGGCGCCGTACTTGCGCATCCATTCGGCCAGCTTCTCGTGCTGGATGTCCTCCTTGCTCGGCACAAGCAGCTGAGCACCAACAAACAGGGGTGTGAAGATGTCTCGCTGGATGGGGTCGTGGGCGATGCCCGACAGCATAGTGAACTTGTCGTTCTCAGACAGTCCAAATGTCTCAGCCATCCACGGGAAGTAGTGGGTCAGCGAGAAGTGTCGCCCCTTGACGCCCTTGGGCTTGCCCTCCGAGCCAGATGTGAAGGACAGTGTGGGTGTGGAATCAGGGCCGACGAGGACGCCCGGCAGCTCTGCCTTGCTCTTCTGCTGCTCAGCCAGGACGTCGGCGCCGTCTCGGCTGCCTCCAACGAGTGTACCGTCATCCTTGAGCTCGAGGGCCGGTACCTCGGTCCTGAGCTGCAGGTTGTCTGCGATGTACTGGCGGACCTGGTCGGAGATCTGGCCGGCTTCCTGTGTGGCCTTGTTGATGACGACGAGGGCGCGGGGCTGCGAGACTTCGAGGTAGATGCACTGGCGGTCGGGGGGGTATCTGCGGCAATGTCAGTGCTGTGTCAAGTCGAGTGGTCTTGCCTCACGCACAGTGGATCCAGCACGGAGAAGGTCGCGCCTGCCGCCAGCACGGCTATGATGGCAACGACCAGGTCGACGCCGCGGTGGGCGAAGATCATGACGACATCGCCGCGCTGGATGCCGCTCTGCACGAAGTGGTGCGAGAGCACGGCGACGGCCTCGAAGATGTGCTTGTATGTGAAGGCGCGCTCGGGGGTCCTGCTGGTCGCCGTCTCGACGACGCAGCGGCGCTCGGGGTGCTTGCGCGCATTGGCAGCGAAGATCTCGTGGATGGGGCCCTTGAAGTCAGACCAGTGAAGGTCTGCCGTCGGGTCGGGAAGGCTGCTGGAGGCCATGATGGCGGGCAATGGCAGGCACTGGCGTGCAATAGCAGCGGGCAGCGCTCTACAATTTCTGGGCGGGGTCGTGTGTGGATGGTGCCAATGGAGTCAATCCAGCCTGGCGTGTGATATGCAAGCAATGGGGGGTTCAGAGGAAGTCTGCGTGCATCCCTCTATGACTGTGCCTGAGAAAAGTCTGGAGAGAATGCTCGGGGAATGACGCAGAGTGGCAGCGTCGACTCATGCGGTATCGGCTGGCGTCCCGCACTAAAATTACGGGGAGCGCGCAGCTCGCAGTTCAGCCCTACGCAACGTCGGCGTCGGCGGCAGATAGCACTAAGGGCCATGTGCGACGCGTCGCCCGCTGCGCAACGGCGACGTCTCTGCGCTGGTGAGCGGCGCTGCATCTGCCGCTCCTGTTGCTGCTGTCGCTCCTGTCGCTCCTTTCGCCTTGCATCGTCTGTCTCGCCATTGGTCTTGCACGTGCCTCTCTCTGCTGCAGCTTCAGCCACTCTGCGCGGCGTCTCACCAGCCAGCCCGGATAACGGCTCTCCCAGGCCTGCCAGTCCCTCCTCTGCCCATGTCGCCCTGAGCGCCGTCCCTCCCTCTCCGCTCCCGCCGCCATGCCAGTGCAGCACACGTTCCTTGGGCGGCCTGTCCGGCTGCAGATGCCCCCGCGCCGCTTCCAGGCGCTCCTGCTCGTTCTCCTGATTGTCGTTCTGACCTTCGCCCTCAACGGCGCGCCCTCGACCGCCGACCTGCCCACCTACGAGTCCGTCGCCGAGGTCGTCAAGAACCCACATCTGCCCGACGTCGGCAGCCTCCCTGCCGTCCCCAATCCCTTCGGGCCCGCCGCCCACAAGCCGCCCAAGCCCGCCGCCCAGCCCAACAGCACCGCCGCCAGTTCCTACGGCAAGCTCGAGTGGCTCACCGACTTCAAGTGGCGCAATCCCTTCTCCTCCAGCATCACCCTTGACGAGAACACGGCCCTCCTCCCGCCCCTGAGGGAGCGCCCGCCCATCTACACCTACTACAATGCGCGCAAGAAGCAGCCAAAGGACGTGGCAGACGCTGAGAACCGCCTCGTGCTGGCGTGGCGCCGCGCATGGTGGGCGCAGGGCTTCCGGCCCGTCGTGCTGTCGCGCCAGGAGGCCATGCTCCACCCGCAGTACCAGCTGTTTCAGCGCATGAAGCTCGACTCCAAGGTCGAGATGGAGGTCATGCGCTGGCTGGCTTGGGGCAACATGAGGGGCGGCGTGCTGGCAAACTCGCTGGCCCTGCCAATGGCCGAGTACGAGAACCCCATGCTGGCCTTCCTGCGTCGACAGGAGTACCCTCAGCTGTCGCGCGTCGAGGGCCTGAACAGCGGCCTCTTCTTTGGTGACTCGGCCGCCGTCGAAGGCGCCATCAAGAAGCTGGTCAACAGTCCGCTACTGAAAGATGCAGCGGCGAACAAGGACAAGATTGCAGCAACGGCGACCAAAGACGGCGGCGCAGTCGTCAACCTGCTGGACCCTGCCGATGTTGCAAAAGATAAGAAAGCGAACGGCATCGCCTACTACAGCACCGACGTCATCACCAAGTCCTACAAGACAGTCGCGGACAAACTCACCAACACCACTCAAGCCGAAGGGCTGAGCCTGCTGGGCAGTCTGATCAACGCGCATCTGCATGTTACCTTCCTCGAACAGCACGCCGAGGGCCTGGCCATCGCTCAGCCCCTGCCCGAACACACCACGTCTCTCATCGAACCCTCCATTGACATTGCCCGCAATCTGACGCAATGTCCGTCCTCTCCGATGCCGAAATCATGTCCGCCGAACCGTCCAAAGTGCGTCCCTTGCAGCACCAAGCAGGCGCCGAAACTGCAGCTCACTCCAGAGTTTGTAAATACAACCAACTTCTTCACCATTGGCACAGTACCCCACCCCTTCACCATCAACTCGCTGCACTACACCCGCGATAACCTCGACGTATCCTTCCTCCGCAACAACGCAAAGCGCGACCTCTGGCTCAAGACCCTGACGCAGAAGTCTATCGGTGCCGAACACTCCGAATCCTACCGCCTGCTTCAATTTAAAGAACTCGTTGCCGCCAGCCCGGCGCACACACTGTGGCTCACAGCCGAGCGAACCACCAAAGATGACCTGGATTGGATCTTCGGCTTCGAGCTGCCCACCACGGCGTCCCCAACGAAGGAGCCGACCAGCCCAGACGAGAAGAGCGAGCTGATCATCTTCCCCCGCCCGCCCTTCCCAGACCCAGTCAAGGGCATTGAAGTCCCGGACAGCATCTGGACGGAGAAAGAGAAGACCCGGCTCAACAAGGCGCGCGACGCTATCAAGAGCAAAGACCGCTTCACACGCGGCATCGTCGACGCAGTCGAGCAGTGGAACCTCGCCGACACCGAGGCATGGAAATTTGCGCGCGCCTTCTCCGCACGCAGGCGCGTCGAGCGCAAGAAGTGGGAGGACGAGGAGAAGCGCTACGTCGGCAGCGAGAGGAAGGCCTCGGGGAAAGGGCGCTGGACAGATCGTTTCTCGTTGTAGTTTTTGAGTAGTACATTGCATCGCAGCCGGCGTTGGGTCGCCTGCCTGCGCATCTGGCTTGTGGTGTTGCAATCCATGTGCTTGTCGAAGCGCTCGACTTCACGCTGTACCTTGCGTATATCCTTTCTCCCCTTTCTGTTCTTGCAGTCGTTGGTGTATGCTCACGTGCTGCTCAGGCATCGACCTTGGAACGTCCAGCCGCGAGGCTCAAGCGAGTCACGATACCGTAACGACCCCGCGTCCCGTCGCCCACTGCACCTTTACGTCGTTCTCGACACACCCAGGCTCCCACACTGAGGCGCACCTTAATGCCTACGACGCTATGCCATGCCCGGATCTACCTCGACCCCCGCCGGTTCAGGAAACAACCACGAGGCACCTCCAGACTCGACGCCTCGGCAGCCCGAATCTACGCGTGCTGGAATTTCGCCACACTGTGGATGCTATGCTCGGCACGTTGAGAGGCAGTCAGACTTCATGCTTCATTAACCATTAATGTGTCGCCCCTGACACGTCCGTCAGCCTCGAGCTACCTATCTGCTGTCTGATATGTATGCCAAGCGCGATATGCATAGAGAACGACCGCGCTGCCCTGCTAACAAAACGCCATTGGGACATAGCCATGCGATAACCAACCCCCGCCGCAATTTCAGCCAAACCCCTCGGAACCACACAAGCCTCGAGCTCACCCCCTCCATCGACCACACACCAGCCGCCGCCCATCTGCTCTTCCCCCCGATCACCCACTCCTCCCCCAAACCGCCGCCAGCAACCCCCCAAAGCAACTCCGACTCTCCTCGTCCCCAGCCCCCCGCTTCCCCATCTCCACCAACTCCTTCTCGCGCTCGCGCTCCATCTCGTTCGCGCGCCGCACCCGCTCCTGCACGCGCGCCCGCTGCTCCATCGGCCCGCCCCGCGCCTCCCGCGCCTCGTCGCGCTCCTGCTTCCACTGCGTCAGGCTCTCGCGCCGCGGCACCGTGCGCGCCTCGAAGCTGACGCGGCGCTCGGAGCGGCGCGAGGGGAGCGGTGCGGTGGCCCGGCGCGCGGGCCCGGGCGCGTGCGGTTTGCTGCGCGCCGAGGTGTTGGGCGGGTGCGAGGTCAGGCTTGCGTGGCGGTTGTGCGGGTGGGCGCTGTGTGGCGGCGGCGAGGACGGGTCGCGGCGGGTTGCTTGGGCGTGGCTATTTGCCGCGGTGAGGGCGGCGAGGGCCTGGTTGCGTGCGTGCTGTGCGCTAATGGGGCGGGCGTGTTGGTGCTGGTGCTGGTGCTGGTGCTGGTGTTGGTTGTGATGCTGGGGAGGCAGGGCGCGCAGGTCGTGCGCCGTGACGTATCTGTGCGGCGCATGTGCCGTGTGCGTGAAGCCGTTTGCCGGCAGCGACAGGGTGCGGCTCGATCGTCCCGGCCTCGGGTTCTTGGACCTGGCGGACTCGCCAAAGGCAACTAGGTTCTGGTTCTGGAGAATAAGCTCTGCGCAGTAGCCCCTCATGTCCGGGGTGTTGCCACGCGGCAGCGGCGGCGCGTCTTGCGACGTGTACGACGTGTTTGACGAGCCCGACCGCGAGCGGTTGATGGCGCTGTCGCGGGACCGGTACGAGCTGGCGTCTGTGCTTGCGCGTTCCGACGCCGCAGGGCGCGCGTCGTAGTGGTGCATGTTGGCGGTGGTCCCTGAACTTGCGCGGCGCTCGCCCTGATTTGCTGGGAAGCTGCCGGTGCTGCTCTCCCGCCGCAGTGTTTGCTGACTGGAGGCATGTCTCATGGATGAGGGGCGCGAGCTGACGCTCAGGCGATCGGCTGACATTACTGGGGCTGACGCTTGGCCGGACGCGCTCTGGCGAGCCTGCGCTTCTGCGATTGCCTGCTCCTGCCGCATTCTTGCTCGCTCTCTCTTCGCATTCCAGCCGTCGACTTGGTCTGTAGTCATTGGCATTGGCCTTCGGCTCTGCGTAGGCTGTGAAGTCGAGGTGTCTTGGTTGTGAGCAGGTGTCACAGCGCTTGAAGGTTGTATGACCGGACTCGGGTGTGGTTGTAAAAGACTCTGTCGTTTCACAGCTTTGGGAGTGGACCTGCCCACCCCAGGCATGTTGTCATGCCCCATTCGTCTGATACTCTCAATCCCAATAGACGATACAAAGTCTGGCAAACCTCCATCAGGCGTGGAGAGCTCACTGATCGTTTGAAGAGTCCGTCGTCGGTTTTGCATCTGTGGGCGCTGGCCGGCGGGCGCACTGACTGACAGAGGCCCATTGGGAGGTAATTTCTGCAGAGGCATCCTTCTGGAGATCATGGATTGAGAGGAGCTGGCGATCTGACCAATCTGATCAGGCTGGATGGTGGTGGAGAGCAAATCTTAACACAATGGAAGTGTTTGAGATGATCTGCGTGCTCACGATGAAAGTAGGAGCGGATGTAAGAAAATGCGGAGAAGGGTTCAGTGGCTGCCTCAGGTACCATACAGCAATTCCAGTACCATGGCTTCGTGACCAGAAGCAAGGGATGGTTTCCGATGCACAGCGAGTCGGGTCGCAGAATGTGTTCAATATGAAGGCGCGCTTCTCTTGCCTCGAGAGCGGTGAAAACCCAGTTGGCTGTCGTGCTACATCCTTGCATATAGGTTTTGCCCGGCCCGGAGCGCTGAGCCATGGTAGTAAAGTATGTTTTGTTGGCGTTGCACAACCGCTTCCGGGACGCGTGGAATCGCATGCAAGGACAGCATGGCCCGTATAGGTTGCCAGACAGCAAAGGGACCGGCTGCGAACGACTATTCACCGAGAGGAGGAAGGCTTAACATTACGAAAATGGGGGCGCTGTCATTGGTTCCGCTTACCATCGAATATCTTAGCGACTGGAGGTCTGTTGTCGCAGAGCTCGGATCGATGCCGAGCCTGCATGCGTCTCTTGCTACCTGCGTCATCTGGTGAGGTCTTGAAATTCCAGAGCTTGTCCGCAGTGAGGGCAGAGCTAGTCTTGATATGCCTAGAATGATGACATGGATATCCATCTCTCCCCGAAAGCACGCTCATCTGGCAACATGGCAGTAGGAGTTAGTCGACTCTTCCGCGTCCGTCCTGTTCCACGGTCAAGCCGAGAAAAAGCAATTAGTGTCTGAACATAGCCGCACACAGCAGTATGGACATGCGAGGAGCCGTAAGCATGCGGGTTGGCCGCAGGGTCGGGTCTGTGTGACAATTGTGGCATCGACATTCGCCGCACAATCCCATGGCCACTTGTCACTACAGCTGACTCCTGACAAAGACCTAGCCATGTCGGTCTCAGAGCTGGCAGCTACGAGAGACACGAGAGGTCGTGGAAGCGTTGGCGCTCACGGCCTCCCTGGTCGCCGGAGCCCTCATAGGCCTGTTGCGAGACATGGCACCGTCACGCCTTCGGAATGTGTTATGGGAGAAGTCGAGTGGCTGGCAAGCGGGCCGCAGAATGCATCTGGCACGGACCTCCTGGACAACAAATCTGCAATCTTTCCCCACGTTGTCCTTCGCTGAAAGCCGCCTGGAGTGTAAATCGAGCACCTGCGTCAGGTAGTGCCACTGCAATGACAATCATCTCGGACGCCCGTGGTTCCAGAGTTGGTTTACCCTCACATCACGGGCGCGATTGCACCATCGGTCCGTTGCGCATGTGCTCACGACCTGGCGGTGGCCTCGGACTCTCCGTGCTCCAAGTTGTAGAAGTCGAGCTGACCACGTTATTCAACACTTTTCAGCTGGCGTCGTAGATGCCATTTGCTCGACACGTGCGCTCGCGTGTGATCCGCGTTTTGGTAGGCTCCATGACGACTCCTTGATGTCATCAGCGAGGGACAGCTTACGACGCTCGCTACGGCGACGCACCTCAGCAGGGAATGCTTGGGTAAGTGAGTACCTGCTGTATGTACCTCCGCCGCGGCCCGAGCAGAGTTCATCAGGGGTCTGCAGGAGAACCCCCGCTGTGCCGAGAGACACTCTTCATATGCCTCACGCCCCAATACATCATGACCAGGTGACATCGCCATTATGTAGGAAACCAGCTATCCAAACGCAAGGAGTTCACCGCCCGCCAGCCTACAGACGCCCACGCGGAGACCGGCGACCTCACAAGAGAACTCAAGTCTGAAGCGGAAGGCCAGTGGCAGATCCGAAACATAGACTAACGTCGCGGTGCATGATCGGTAAGGACATCTTCGGCGCTGCGCCTGGGAAGCACAAAGTCATAGGCGGCTCACAGTATTGGGTCCTTGGAAACGGCCCGCTGCGCGTTGCCGGAAAGCGAAGCATTGTTGGCCGAACAACTTCAAGACGCCGCTACCCCCGCCGACATGACTGGGTCCCGCTCGAGCTTGAGTGGAGAAGAGCATGTGCTGCAAGGGTCACGTCACGTCCTGCGAGATGCTCGATCTTGACAAGGAGTACCGCGATATCAGCAGGTCTAGATTCGATGTCCGTGGACTTCGACTCTGGTCGGACCTCAATTCCACATGCAACTCTACCATGGCACACGCTTAGAGCGATGACTAGATCACGTATCCAAGGAAGTGGCACGACCTGCAGACTAGTCAGTCCATCGGCCTGACCTTGATCCCATCGCGCAGAGCAATCGATGTGACAGTCGATCTCCACATGCCTGGGGCTCCTCGATCTGGCCCTAGTCACTGGCTGCGATCCAGATCGATGGCTTGCTGCAACTGGCGGCAAAGGCCGATGTCCGGTCTGCCATCGTCAGGCGTTGAGTAGTTCTGAGCGGCCCCTTTGCCTCCCACAACGCACTCGCTGTGTCCCCCCACACCACGGATGGCTCAACAGTGCGCCTCGTGCTAGCGTTCTGGACTCTGGGTCTTGCGGACAGGCCTGTGGAACGGCGATAAGAGCTCGAGAAGGGAAGTGAAGCGTGTGGAAATCGAACTTTCCTCTGGAAGTGTATGAGCATGGGCACAGACTCATCGTCGAATCCAACTCGGTGGGGACCAAAGTAGTTCGATGTGAAGCATCCGTCAGATGTGTATTTCTCCTATCCAAACTTATTGTACCTTTCCCCTCGCATCGACCGGCCAGATCTCTTCTATGATACCGTTCCGATGCGCGAAGTAAAAGTCATGCAGATTGATCGTCGGATCGATATGACTCGGTATCATTTCCACATGATCACCGATAGCCAAATCTTTTCCGTCTGTCCAAGACAGCGACCCATGTTCATCGCCCAAAACGCCATACGTATACCCCAGCGTCTTGCACTCCGCCAGCCCACTATCTGTCGTGAGCGACTTGAGTCCCGCATCAATCGTGATGCTCTTCGGCCCCTGCTTGCTGATGACTGTCGACAGAATCGTCAGGCTGTTCGAATACTTGGTGCCCACCGCATTCCGATAATCCGTGTCCATGAACAGAAAGCTACCAGGCTGAACTTCCGTCACTCCAGGCACCGTGACGCAGAACTCTGCTGTGCCTGTCCCGCCAGTGGTGACAACATCGATCTGATGCCCGTCCTTCCTGAACGCGTCCGCGGTGTCAACCAGAATCTTCATGCTCTCGAGACACATCCTCTTCCTCTCGTCTGTGCCATGCACGTGCTGCAAATGCCCCTCATACCCCTGCACACCTATGAGCTTGAGATGCTGCAACCCGGCCACCGTCCTCGCAAGCCGCAGCGCGGGCTCCCCAGGCTGCACGCCCGTCCGGTGCAGCCCTACGTCGAGATCAATCAGGGTCAAAATGCGCTCTCCGACCTCCGCCTCCCCAATCGCAGCATCAATCGCCCTCGCCCCCTCCTCGCTGTCCACAACGATCCTGATCTGCCTGTGCCGCTTGAACAACGCCACCAGCCGCGCAACTTTGGCTGCCCCGATGATCTCGCAGGTGATCAGCAGATCCGTCACGCCCTTTGCGCACATGACCTCTGCCTCGCTGAGTTTGGCCACGCAGGCGCCTTTTGCGCCGGCGGCGATGAGCTTCTGCACCAGGACCGCGGACTTGGTGGTCTTGGAGTGCGGGCGGATGTTGATGCCGGCGGGGAGGAGCTGGGACATGAGTTTCTGGATGTTCTGTTCCATGAGATCGAGGTCTACTATCATGGATGGCGTGTCGAGAGAGGAGATTGCATCTCCGACTTGTGGATTGTAAGGCATGATGACGGTCCTGATGCGTGAAGTGCAAAGGTTCTTTGTTGATTCGTGGTGAGGCGTGCAATGCTGGGCGAGGACGATGCAAAAACTGCAAGCTATCTGCAACCCAGTTCTGTGATCGTGCGAAGTTTGATCCGATCGTCGGCGTCGTCGTGATATCGGAGTTGACAATCAGATGGTGATGACTCTGTAGGGTTACTTCATGCGGCAAGCCGACCCCACGTTCGGATACCACCTTCCCAAAGCGGGGACTAGCTGTTCCATCCCACTCTTACATTTGAAAGTCACAAACACGCAGAGAGAAAGGGTTGGTGATTTGCACTTTATACATTATGTCTAATCTCTATACTCATCAAAGAGAGAGTGTATATGGCGCCTTGCGTATGCACGATAGTATGTCTGGTCGCCGCCAGTGGGTAATGAACAATGAGCTCGCCGGCTCGATATAGAACGCCAAAACATGATATGAACATGACAGGCTTAGAAAGTGAAAGTCATAAGCGCAGGGTTGAGCGCAATTGGGAGCAACAAGTGCGATCCGCACACCATAGCCATCGGCAGGATCGCGACGAAGTCGGTGATCTCCCAGCCGTAGGGAATGAAGGGACCAACAGCCAGAATGATCATGCCGGCGATGCCGAAAAGACCGAAAGCAATGGAGTACTTGAAGCTCTTGAGGACCTTGGGCACTTCAATGAAGAAGTTGGAGAACTCGGCTTCCTTAGCAGTGGCACCCCACTGCATGTCGTACTCGAACATGTGAGCAAGGAGAGCCGAGGAGACGTGCAGGGAGAGACCACCCAAGAAAGTAGCCATCATCAGAATCCACTTGATGTTCTCGAACAGTGCGGCCAGGAATCCCTTGTCACCAACACGGTAGCGCATGATAGCAAGAGACAGGTTACCGAGACCAGTGAAGACGATGACGATAGAGAACCAAACTTTCCAGGAGTCGAGGTAGTACTTGTCGAGGTAACCGTTGAACCATCCTACAGCAAAGTAGTTGGCGATTGTCATGATCCAGGCAGCGCCAATGGCGTAGTATGTTCCGATGTATGAGATGATGGTAACCTTGGAGGTGAAGCGGATGTTGGAGAACAAAAAGCTGCGGAAAAGAGGGGTGAAGGGACCGCGGGTGATCCAGAAGCGCATCGGGTTGAACAGAAGCTCGTTGCAACCGTAGGCGTACTTCTCCCATCGGGCAAGCTCATCATAGACAGTCAGAGAAACACCCTCCTTGAAACCCTCGCCGGCCCAGGCTGCAAGACGAATGATGTAGCCGTTGACCTGAAGACGCAGAGACATGTCGAAATCCTCGGAGACGTGGGACTCGGACCAGAACTTCTCGTAGCCGTCCTCGTCATAGTACGAGACCTGTTGAACAGCAGACCAGCGAAGAATGGCGTTGTGGCCGACGAAAGGAGCGACATCGCCGTTGGCAACAGTGTAACGAATAGCAGTGTAGACCATGTTGGTGAAAAACGTGATACTGAAGAGTGTTAGCCGTGCAATCAATGCCGTATTTCTCGATGTGCTTACCCGTTCTCGAAGTAGTTGTGAACAACCTGCATGACACCAGAGGAGAACTGCATAATACCAACTTCAGGAGACTGCTCCATTTCGGATGCGGCATCGAGGAAACAGTCGACAGGGACACGAGTGTCAGAATCGATGAGAATGATGTAGTCCCCAACACGGATGTTGCCATCGGCCCAGGCGCGGCCGTGCTCCTCGACCACTTCCTTGAGGCAGCGCTCGTACTCCTTGGCTTCGTCGTCCTGAGTCCAACTCTGGTCTCGCTGGACGGAGGCAAGCTTCTCCTCGACATTGTTGCTCAGCATGAGACCGAAGTTCATGTTTGAGGCCTTCTTGAACTTTCCCTTGCGGACGAAGCCGTCAAGACCGTGCTTAGGACGAGCAGTCCAGCCAATGCTGTGGTCCTGGTAGAACTCGATACGTGCCTGGCGCTCCTCCTCGTCGATGAGCTGCAGACCATCGTCGTTGATGAAGATGTTGGCAGATCCACCTTGAAGCTCGTACGTAGCCATGGCGGCCTTCAGTGACTTGACGGTTGGCGCAATAACGGATTGGAGACCTTCCTTGTAGACAGGGCACTGAACGGTGATATGGGGAAGCTTGCCAGTCAGACGGCGGGGCAGAAGCGCGGAGTAGTACCTGGAGTTGGTCTTCATCTGGCGAATAGGACCAATCATTTGTGCGATACAACCAACAATAACCTGCGCAAAGAAAAGCGTGAAGAAGATCTGGACGGGGATCAAGATCAGGAAGGCGATTCGGATGTAGTTCTGGTCGACCATGACCTGGACAGCAATCTGCTTGAATCCGAGACCCAACATGACAGTGATGATGACGAGGGTGATTCCGACCAGTACACCGTTCATGATGTTGGTAGGGCGGACTTCAGGCTTGTACTCGCCAGTCTCCTCATCGATCTCAGTTTCGACCACTGCAGGGCCCTTCTTCTCGCTGATCTCCTCCTCTGCTTCTTCAGGCTCACCGGCCCTCCAGACAAGCTTCATCAGCTCGTCCTCAATGTGCACCGCGCGAGCAAAGATCGCGTTTGGGTCGTCGTCCCAAACCAGAAGCAACTGCTCAGCTGCGAGGAAAGCAGCGCCCTGGTTCTTGCGCGCCTTGGGCAAATCGTCGATGGAGGGAAGAATCTGGATGTGAAGACCCTTTCCGAGAGGGACGTCGGTCGCATCTGGTGTGAACTGAACGAATGCCTGGATGACGCGAGAGTTGATTGTGATGACAACCGGAAGGTTGATGAGCGATGCGTAGTAGCCGAGCGAAGACTCAGTCAGCGCAGGTGGGCATGCCGCGTAATTGCCTCTTGATTTTCTCACGAGAACACCCTCGATGTCGCCACTGCCGCTGCTGATCCAAAGCTTTTCTATGGTTGACCGTTAGTGACACGCTAGGAACGTAGCTGCCGCAACACTTACTACACTGTTGCTGGAAGAGGAAGTTGACCATAGCCTCATGCTTGATCTCTTCCATGATGCCTCCTTGACTGGCCATTGAGTGCATAGATGTGAAGGAGTTGCGTCGCGATGTGCGTGCTGTGGTGGTGCCGCTCATTGGCCCGATTGAAGGCGCAGGTGTCCAAGATGGAGATGGAGGAGGAAGCTGCTCCATGATGAATGAAGATTTGTGTCGTCCAACTCTCTGAGAAGCTCTGCTTCTTGGTGTTTGTGTGCCGCTTGCATTATGTGAGAAGTCATCCACCGACGACCTGCTGCTGAGAGCAGGTGCGTCAAGGAAACTGTGGCTCATGATTGCTGATTAGGTACTATGGAGTGAACGTGGGTATCTTTGAGCAAAGCGAGTGTATATGGCGACGTTTCGTCGAGCGGTATGCCACTCGTCAACGATCGACGGAGAGTGAGCGGATGTGTTGTGGACTGAAGGGATCGGCCGCAGGGCTCAAGCATATGAAGAACACCAAAACAAGACGTCAGATGGCAGCCACGCTGGTTTAAGTTCCAGCAGTCCTAGAATAGCTAAGAAGAGAACCGAGTTTGACAGTGTTTACCATAAATCCTCAGCGTGGCGTCTGGACTAGAACACTGGGACCGCCGACGATTGATAGCTCAACAGTGCCCGATGCCAGACTAACGATTGAAGTGTGCAAGAGACTAGACTCAGCTCCTCCAAAGTTGGCAACCGACCATGGAGCTCGCCAGGGCAACACGGGCCAAGTGCCTGTCAGTATCATCTAGCCTGGCGGATGCTTCATCGTAGGCTAGCGGAACTGATAGAATGCAAGCCCAGAAGCTCAGGCCACACCGAGACGCTGATCAAGTCAACAATCTGGATAGGATAGCTAACCTGCAGGCCTGAGCGCCAACCGGGGTCGGCCCATGCAAAGGATCGAATGTGGCTGTAGCACATGCATACAAGGCACCCACATGCTAAGCAATCTCGTACAGGCACCTTAGCTGCAGTCGCAGACTTTTGGAACCTGCCCGGAGTGAAACTCTAGATTGTGCAAAGCCGCTCTTTCTTTGCCGCCTGTCCACTGTCCCAAAGGGCGAGTCATGTTTGGCTTGCACCGGACCCCTGACGTAGACAGATTTTGGTTATCGTCGATAACTATAGCAGCTGCCATTGAGAACGCCACGCCGTATAGGAGATTTGCTGCAAAGACAAGCATGGAAATAAGCGACGGCCTCGTTACAGTTGTCAGGAATTGGTCATGGTCGAATGAAGCTGACCCACTTGGGCACGATTAGCGCTAGGGGACACTAGTCAGCTTCGTCGAGGATATTGCCTAACTAACGTGTGTTCCTGGCGCGTTTCAGCCAATTGTGACCACCAACACTATTTCGGGCCTAACCTATGGACCAAAGTGTTCATCTCCCGCACGCCGAGAGGCGCGAAGGCGTCCGTAGTGGGTAGAACCACACGAGCACGCACGGGCAAGGCTGTCGTGGCATGATGTGATCGCTTCCTGGTTCTGGATCCTCGGGGTTCTCGGTACTCCAGGGTTTGACGTTTAGACGTTTTGTACATGTCCGTTACCAAAGTTACAACTGTGGTCTGTGATGTGATGTGATGCTGCAGAATCTCAAAAAGATCTACGATGATGACAGTTCGTGGGTGTCACTAATTGCCCGCAAAACAAGTACCTTGCCCTAACATGTCCGTTGAGCACAAGATCTGCATGTTGATCAAGATCGAGGTGCTGGTTGCTGCAGGATGTGCTGGCCGGTCCCAGATCGACTGTCTGACGGACCGCGGCGTCCTCGGTCCAACAGCGCGCTTCAGCTGTCAATCGGCCGACAGTGCTTACTGATCCAGAACCTCTGCAACAGCCCTGTTCGAGCGAGGCTGCAAACCCAGCCTAGCAGGTTTTACCTTCACCCAAACCAGTTTTGCTTCCCGAGACCGATCCTCACTTCTTTGCAGTCCCTGCAGCGAAGTCTTTGGAAGCATCTCTACCATGGCACACAACGTCCCTGGTGGCCGAGGCTAAAGGACGTTGGGATTTGAAGTAAGAGAGAAAGAAAAACATGGTAGTGGGCCAGTCAATAGCTTGGAACACCAAGCTACAAGGGCGGACATGTCTTTGTTCCGATAGTGTTAGCGGTGAGATAGTGTACAAACTAAGAGCCAGACCCCTGCCAGATCCCTTACCTGTGGCGGTGCAATGATAGAGCAGCGATAAGCCATCACAACGCTAGCGAAGGCAGTCGAGGCAACGAACGATTTGGACTGGCGGCGACACGGGCCGGGATGTAACGACGCTAGTCCTCGTGGTTTTGTCCAGCGAACTCTTAGCTTATTTTAGGCCCATCCTGTTCCCTGGAACCTGAGGCAGCGCTGAATGGAGAGGACACAGCGGGATGAGAACCTGTTAAGGTACCAATGTTAAGTCAGCATCAAGTCTGGGTTGATGGTGTCACAAACATGCCACAACGTCACTTGTCGCAAAATTGGTCGTCGCAAAATCGCTCGTCATAATGTCGCAAAGCACAAACTACCCACTATGCTAGCAAACCACGCTTTTGTATGCGGGATGGACAGAACAGGTTTTGCGATATTGTTGTATGCACGAAGGTGTTGAGACAATTGTTGCAATCTGGTGGCTGCATAGTTTTTCTGCGGCCAAGCCGACAGAGTTTAATGCCTGCAGCGTCTATCTTGTGCCGCGACAATGGCCGTGCGTATTTAGGGGTGACGTCTCATCTATTGGGCGATAAGCTGGTAGAGAGGCTGCTGTCGCCACGGAGTCTTGACCGGTGTTAGTTAAACGGGCTGTCTATAGAAAGGATCATCTGCAAGGTACATGGTTTAAAGTGGGTCTGAGTGGACCCCTGTCGTATAACCCCTGCACAAACTGATCACCCCCTGAGCCCATGTCAAGCATCCGCACGGGAGTGCCGTGCTCTTGGATCAACACTTTGCAATGGATGGCATGCGGCATTGGAGATGATCAAATTGATGAATAGAAATTATTATGTCTATGGTGTATCGTAGCTGTTGTCCACAGCGCAGCGCGACTGTTCCTGTCGATCGCCGTTTAAGCCACCCGAACTCCGAACGCCTCTTACATCAAGTCTCGTGCACCTCGGCGTTACGCGCTGCAACCGTTGTAGCCGGATTGCTGGAACATCTTCACACTCTTGACCTCCATCTGGCCGTTCTTCTCCCATGTAGGGTACCACTGATCCTTGGCCTGCCAGAAGTCCTTCTTAGCAGTCTTTGAGCCATCGAGCCATGGCTTGCCAGACTTCCCATCCTCAAACCAACCGTTAGTTCCCCCAACAGCGACGTTGAGGATGAGGTAGAAGTCTTGGTCAAAGGGCGACCCATTGCTTCCAGTGGCAGCCCAAGGGTTGTCCAGACGGGTGCCGTTGCTGTCGGCAAGGGGGAAGCGACCATACTCAAAGAAGGGCTCATCGAAGTGGGTGTACATGACCTGGAGAAGGCGAGTATTGATGTAGGTGAAGATGTACTTCTCGGACCATTCGACACCGAAGGTGTTGTAGCCGGCAGAGTAGGTAGTGTGGAGAGCCTTGCGTTTGACGTTGTTGCGCCACCAACCATCGTTGGCAGCGTTGGGACCAAAGTGAAGAGTGCTGGACGCAATGTTGTTTCCGCCCTGGGCATAGGTGTAGTTGTTTCCGCGAGATTCCATAATGTCGATCTCACCGGAGCGGGGCCAGTCGCCGTAGACATTGTCCTTGGGCAACATCCAGATTGCGGGCCAGAGCCAGTCACCCTCGGGAAGCTTGGCCTCAACCTCGATGCGGCCATACTTGATGGAAGCACCAATCTTGGTGCTGACGCGACCAGACTTGACAGGGTTGATAATTGTACCGTTGGTGGTGTTGGTGGCTACAACGCAGTCGGTCCACTTGGTACCAGTGCAGCCCTGTCCGGAAAGATCAAGAATGTTGTCATTGTTGATCAAGCTCTCATCCTGCAGGGTGGGCTTGATGACGAGAACGCCATCCTTGAGGAAGACGTTCTCGTCGGTGTTGGTGGTCTGCTCGAACTGGCCGTTACTGTAAGAGTTGTTAGTAGCTGCAACTGCTACACTGCAATTGTGACTTACCCATAGCCTCCGACTTCAACTTCCTTGGTCCAGACCTTGTCGTTCCACGATGAGAAATCATCGGTGTAGACCTCACAGTACTTGTGGACCGCAACACTGCGAATGCCGTCCCAGATCAAAATGCCAGTAACAATGAAACCCAGGACGAGACCAGCGATGGGGATGATAGTGACCCACTTCTCCCTTGGGTCTTTCCTTTCGAGCCAAGGCTTCTCAACCTCGCCCTTCTTCACTCGTCGGGAACGGAAATAGTTGTAGTCATTGCCACCGCGGTAGCCAGTGCTTGAGCCGTCTCTGCTGGCGGACCTCGAGTTGTGGTTGGATGCGCGAGGTGTGAGGGTGTTTGGTGTCTGCGCTCCCGGTGTAGCGAAAGGGTTGTGAGGTTCGATGCGATCACCATCGACATCACCGGCGTACTTCTCGTTGTTGTATGAAGACATGTGTGGAAGTGATGGACCTGTGGCAATGCCCAGGTGTAATCAATAGTCTAAGGCGAGCAGCAGTAGATGCTGTCGTATGGTGGGGTATTCTTCAAGCACACCCAAGAACGAGTGACAGTGCCAAAGCAGGGAAGAGGTGAGTGTTGATGATCGACAGGAAAGAGGGAGTGACTTGTTGCAGTTATGAACTCTGCCTTAGCAGCGTCTGTTTTTAGTAGGCGCGGCTAGATCGTTGCAGCTCCCCAAGCTGTAAAAAGAAGCGACAGGATCCTCCGAGCCAGACTTGGTTCACGGAGAGCTCGAGCGCCGTCACCACGTTCTAGGGTACTGCCATGTTTGGTCGTGGCAGACTTCAGGTGCCTAGCGTCACCAACATTGAGAAGCGCGACACCGAATGTGCTAGGCGGGCACCGTCTCCCGCAGCAGAGCCAGGTACAGGCCTATTCAGTGGGTACTCAGCTCTGTTCGAGGGGCCCAATGAACTTGGCCATTGCCAGCGGTTTTGTCGGTACGCCGCTGAATCATTGGCTTTGCCAGTCGTCACAGCCCTGCCGACGAGTAAGACCATCGCCTAGACCGGCCTACTGATCCACGCGATAGTGAACCGAATCGTACCCCTGGGCGACCTAGTCAAGGATTTCACCAGCCACACGCTAAGTGATGGCTGCTTTAGCGCGCGCAAGGCTTCGTACGCTACTGCGGCGCCGCCCGCGCTAGCTCAATCGATAGTTGACGGGAACTAGAACTCTTTGGAACACGAAGGTTTCGATAATGTTCGGCAGCATGGTGTGGCATCGACAGGAGTCTGCAACTCCAAGTCCTGCAGGTATGCATCTCTAGCGTGCATCTGCTGTAACAAGAAACGGCGGAGGCGGCCGCTATATATAGAGCGATATTGGATGTCGTCTCAACAACACGATTGTGGCCGTGGTGACGACAAGACGATTGTGAAGGACCCGCCGAGGACTAAAATCCGTGGAGATTGAAGCTGCGAGACCATGAGGTCTCACATAGCGCGTGGCGGGTTTCCTAAGTGCTGAAAGGCAGGAGTTGCAATTTGGTGGCACTTTGCGGCGCTTCGGTACACTGACAAAGTCACAAAATTGCAGTGATTCAGTAGCGTAAGCCACAGCCCAAACATGAGGTTTGACCAAGACGCAACTTAGACATTGTCAATTCTTGGCTTACGATTCTTGGACGCAGCTGAAGGGGGCTCAACTTAGATGGGCGAGAGCACGCGAGCTTGAAGGGTCGAATATGCATTGCCACAGCCTTGCACTCATCTAGAAGGTCGCACAAATCTGGATGCAAAGTTGACGGACAGGTTGCCTCCTTTGGTCTTGCATACGTCTGAATTAGTCGACGTGCTTCCGTACGAGTCGGGGGCGCCAGCCAGAGGGCCGTCCTCCGAAGCGAGGCTGATCTTCTCCTCACTTTTCCGCTAGGATCCGTTCCAGCCTTGCTATCAGATCAGCATTCGATGGGCTCGATCCTGCAACGCAGGGATCCTAAATGAAAACTTGAAATTCTCCGACAATTGGTACCGGATGTTGAGTGAATTGTCGCTCCCGCCGTACGGAGTTGCTGCACGACCTGGGTGTTGGCTATACCGTCGCTTGCGCATGTTGATCACATCGAACTAGCAGGCCCAACGAAGCCTACAAAGCGAAGACGTGATGAGTCGGCCCATGTAAGGCCACCCTTTCGTCCTTATCGGCGTGCCTTGACCACGCTCTTGACCGTGTCTGTCAGTGCGCACCTGTTCAGTCAGCCACTGCCGCTCCCTTATCGTTTCTTCCAGCCGCAAAAGCATGTACCGTGGTGCTGGCGCCGTCCCGACTTGGTCTTCGTATCTGCCGTTTGTGCACCTCTGTCACTATCAGTTCGGAGAAGAAATGCTCAACGTAGTGATGATCGACTGAAGGATGGAGCGAAGCGAAGATCAACTTGTTCGGGTTGTTTATGGTTACGTGGAAGGTCTTCACCGGTATGTAAGGTGCAGCCGCGAAGTCGACGGGGGTCGGCTGCTGGAGGAAGCCCAGAAGCCCGCTCGCTCATCCATCACACTATCCTTTTGTAGTCTCTTGCCGTTGTCCATATTGACCGCTGTCGGTCACACCGGTTTGTACGCCAGGTCCCTACCCACAGTTCCATCTTCCCCACTGACCAAGTCCCGGTCGTCGCCAGGCTTACAATGTGCCCCGCTGTCGTTTAGGCGCCAGCCATTAGGCTGAGATAGATGCCCCAAACCACGCCGACCGAGCAGCCAAATAGTATCCTTTTGTCAAGTGGGACCCAGACGAAGCTGATCAGACTGATGGCAGGCCAGAATTTGTACCCATCCTTGACCATCGGCCACAGCTTTTGCTCACAGTCCTGTCTGATGGCGTCCCAGGTGCTCTGTGTGCTCAATGTCCCCTGCTGCGGTCCGTTGGCGTAGGCCATGAAGGCTATGAACATGAGTGTGTTGACCACGGCGCCAATCGTTTGATCGAGCAGGAACTTGATCAAGATGTTCTTTGTGCTCTTCTCGGTCTTCGCCGGCTTGACGGTCTTGACATCTGGGTCGTGCGCAGTCGAGGCGACATTTGTGGGAAACAGGTCTTCGATGAGCCCTTGCCAGAGGATGTTCGGTGGGTTGCTAACGATGCTGAATATGGCGAACTTGAGGACTTGGTTGATGTTTAGTGAGAAGGGCGTCTGCATGATACAGGTCAGTAAGCAGGGTCTCGAGGCACGTCAAAGTGTTGCGCACGCTATCCTTGTATGCTGACAGTCCTTGCGCAAGGACATTGGACGTGATGCTGAGCACCGCGCCCTGCAGCGTCTGCGATATCATGGACATCGCGTGGGTGGCTTTCGTGCTGATGGCGGGGTACGAAGTAGGCGCGTTGTAACAGAAATGTGCGCGAGAAGTGAATGAAGGCGAAGTTGAAAGTGTGAGAACTATTAGGATGCAAAGAAGTCTATGTGTATCGTTGTGGCCAGCACACCATCATCGCGTAACGTTTCGAAATTGTTTGAACGTGTTCCAAGCCTCGGTTCAAGTGTGGCCGAGCGTGACGTCGTCAGGCTTAGAACACAAACTCTAGCATCACAGCCTCGCGCATACTAAGTGCTGACCGGAATTTCTCAATCAATCGGCTCCCTCCCCCCTAATTTGGGATACAGGTACAAATCTGCGTTCCTCGTTGTGCCACCTCAGTGGAAAAAACCGACGCTGTCTCAGCATCTCCTCCCATCTGAAGAACGCAGCTAACTTGCCTTCCGGCACTTGAGGGCAGAACTCCTCGAACCTTCCCTTGAACACCTCCTCATTCCTGTTCATGAACTGATCGATTTGTCTCACTGCGTTCTGCATTTGCTGTTCCACTTCCTCCTCCACAACTTCCTTACAAAGCTCCACTTCACCAACACTGTGGGGAATCTCCAGTATCGTGCCTCTCAAGGTCTCCGTAGCCCTCAGCAATAGCGTAGTGTCATCTACTGAAACAGTAAAGTCGCCGATCTTCCAGGCTGTTCGGACGGTCTTCATCTTCGCAACTTGCTCCAGGTCCAACAAAGACACGCCGATCGACTCGTCCTTAAGCAATGCCTCAACGTGCGTACGTCCCAACACTTCGATGCAGCCGGTAGAAACCATACCACCAGTCCTTCGTATCTTCAACTCCCATTCGTCGTTGCGTAGACGCACGTATATCCCTGCATCTCTCAAGGTGAATCTGGAGGTGTCGAAGTAGGTGTCGGTGAATCGAAGACCATGAGAAGACGTCATGGGCTCGATGGTTTCAGAACCTGGCCACAAGTTCTTGCTTTTGAGAAGAGAGATAGCTGGACTGCTAGGCACGAATTTACGCTCTACCTCTAGCGTGTGGGTCTGGGGAGCAACAGCCGCAGAGGTGAGAAAGCGATGCATGAGCGCGTGACTGACCGGTCGAAACAAGCGGAACCGTTTTGTCGAGCAGGAAATCTGGCTGTTGAGTCGGTTGAGGAGGAGGGAGTTGAGCAGTGTGCAGTGCCGAAGCATGTAGTGTTTGAGTGTGAACGCCATGGCGATTTGGTCGCTGGCGAACTGATGAAGTCGCGACGAACGGCAGCAGCAGAGAGGTTCGGTGGGAGGTCAAAGTCATATGTACCCAGGCGCTAAGAGTAAAGTGAAAGCAATGGGAACATTGTACTTCGACATTCTGACAAACAAATTGATTTCTTCTAACTAAGCAGCGCAACCATGAAAGTAACTTAATTAGATTGAACCGGGGGAGCCATAGGTGCAGTTTTGCATGCATGCCATCTCAGTAGGCCGTCAATAAACTTTCATCGCAAACGAAACTCAGGTATGGCCTCGCTGTGCGTATATGTTGTGAAGATTCAATCGCTGTCATAGAGCGAATCATGCTCGTCGTCATCGGCTTCCATCTGCTCTTTAAGACGGCTGTTGTCTGGCTCTGACACTTCCATTTCATCGCCAGGTTCTGTCGCAGAGTCCTCCTCTTTGTCTGCGTCTGAGGGCAGATGGGCCACTATTTCGTCGCTCCAATGGTCCTGTTCATCACCATCACCTTTTGCGACCCCAACGGGGTGCATCATTTTCCCCATTTCGGTGGGCTTCAACGTGATGTCGCCGAAAGCGTTGGCCTGCTGGACATCAAGCATTCCCTTCGTACCCAAGGACAGGACCATCAAGAAGCCCTGGCAAGCGATCAACTTGCTTGTCTCTGGAGGCGGAAGTAGTTCTTCGAATGTGACCTGGCCGACCTCTATGGCTGAAGTCTGATCTGCATCAGGCATCTCGTTCAACTCTGTAAGCGCGCGAGCGCATTTCTCGGAGACAGCTTCGGCGACGAAAGCGAAGAAGTTCTCACCCTCGGCAGACAAAGCCTCCCGCACACGCTGTGATGGTTTCGTGTCAAGCTCCCCGGCATCAGCAACATCAGAAGTAGATGCTGCGTAGTTGAAGTCGTTTCCATCAAGTGCATCGCTGTCCAAGCTCTGCAAGGCCTCGAAATCACCGATCCGGCCAGTACTGCGACGAAGCAATGGAGACGCAGACACCATGCGGCTTCCAGCACGAGTACCTTGCCTACCTTGTTCGCTCATCATGGCGACACGACCGCTGAGAGGAATTGCAGAAGAACCACGCTTGGAGGCGCTGATATTCCATGGCATGGCCGAGAAGATCTGTTGATCATCAAGTGCAGAACCTGCTTCGCGCGGAAGTTCCACCTCTTCGTCTCCGCCAAGCATAAAGAGCCCTTCGTCGTCTCTACCGCGGCCAAGCTCCTCTTCTGCCTCAACCGTCTTCTGGCGTTTACGCAGTGCCTCTTCCTGTGTGGCTTCATCGCCACTATCGCGGTCGCGTTTGGGCGTGGGCTTGGGGTGCTTGCTCATTCCCGTCATCAGATGGAACAAATTGTCTCCCATGAACTGTTTCAGAGGGCCTTGCGCACCAAACGAGTCTCGTCCAAGGCCACCGATGCCAGCACCCCAGACGTAATGTTCGGCGTTCTTCTTCGCTTGTTGCTGTATGCGGTGCTGCACCTTTGAGCTGGCTGTGTCCTTCATGTTCTTCAGATAGTTGGTATTCCAACTCAAGAGCTCTGTATTGCGTAATTCCAGTCTCGTATCCCTGGGTAAAGCTTTGGCCGCTCTCTTTTTGCGTCGCATAGGCGCAGCGGCCGAGGAAGAAGTCTCAACAATCTCGGCGTGCTCACTAAGCTGCTGGGCTACGACCGGTGATGTAACCTCGACGTCTGGCATTTCGTCTCTGTAGATGGGTAGGTCCAAGTCCATGTGATTTCCAGCTAGACCCTGGATAATGTGAGAAACCTTCGGTACAGACATGATAGGGAGTCGTGTATTAGCGTCAAGCCACCATGCATGCTTCAAGTGAGAGTATATGTGTAGTCGTGGTGAGGGACGGGTGAGGATGTACAGAGAACGGGAAAGAGGCGTGTATGTGAAAACGTGATGTGGGATTGGTGAGAGGGTGCAGTCAGACCTACCTGCTTGTCACGCTGTAGTCCCTCTTCGTGTTCTTGTCTCACTTTCGCACTAGCCCCAGCATAGCTATGCATCGATGGTGCCGTAGCCGCAGTAGGCGTCGCCGGCGCCGCAGGCGCACGCTGACCAGGAGCAAACTCGATGATGTCTCCATCTTCGCCGAATGTGAAGTCTGGCTCGTCAAGCCGCAACAAGTTGTCGATATCGAACATATCATCACCGCCTTGGCCACCATTTCCACCTTCAAGTTCAGCGGCAGCTGGTCGATCTGGTGTTGAGCTGGGCAAGACCAGGCCATATCCGGCAACATGCGACGATTGGGATGACTGCCGTGAACCGAAAGGAGTCAATGACTGAGAGTGGCCAGAGCGTGGAATATCAAGGCCGAAGTCGAAGTCGAGGTCTGAAAGTAGCTCTAGCGGCGGTAGGGCGAACTCAGGGAAGAATGAAGGATCATCCTGGAGAATAAGTTGCTCAGGCCTGTCATCATCAGTTGAATGGAACCGAAGGCTCACAGTTGGCTCACCTGGTCTTCCCAGCACCAGAGTCGAGTGCGCGGTTTTCGACCGAGCGCAGCATAAGCATCATGGTGTTGTGTGCGCTCTGCGCGTCTGCGAGGACATAGCCGCATTGCTGTAGATAGACACGAGATACACCATACCCGTGTGTGTATTAGTCTCAACAGTATATGGTTGGAGCATTGACTTACAACAGATTGCTTTGAAGACGTAGAGCCATAGGTGCTGCAGGGTCGACGATAGTCCTGCACGCTTTCGCGACGTCAACGTCGAGCATCTGCTTGCGAGTGATTCTCTTCAAGCTGGACTTGGAACCGAGCGTTGCCACGAGCCTGCAACATGTTAATCTCGATGAGTCTCAAGGCAGACTCGAGCTTACCAGACTGTTGCCACACCATATTTACGATTCGTTAGTACTGTTCTGTCAGTATCAGTTTGGATGGAAGTCAGGCCCGAAGCTCACCTTCGTGACTGTAAAACATAATTATCATAGAACATCAAGGAATGCGAGATAGATGCGATATAATAACACGAAGAGTACAGTGTAGTCAACAAGGATGTAGAGGAAGGCGCGAGTGGAGCTGGAGTCAGTCGGAGGCCTTGGCAGCCACGAGGAGACGCGCTCGCGTACCGCGTCGTGAAGTGAGGACGGAAGGTGAGACCACGCGCCTGAGCTGTACAGATGTGCTAATATTAGGGATCTTGATTTCGTAACGCATGTGCAGCTATGCCTTTATCTAACCTCTTATGCAACGCCAATGCTAGCATCAGTCGCAGTGGCCAACTATGTGCATACAGTGCGTAAACCTTCCAATAAGCGCCGTCTTAAGACATCTCTACGTCCTCGTCAACGGTGGGAAGCGGTACAGCTCGGTATAGGAGGATCAGAGCCGAGTGGCTCTGACCTGTGTGCTTGTTAGCGAAGTACTACGAGTGGCAAGTTAAGTGCTTACCTCCGCCAGAGAGTGTCTGAATCCTCTCGGCATCAACCTCGGAGACCTTGTCGTCGTTGAACCACCACCACTTGCCATCTTCAGCCTTTCTCTTGCCCGTCACAGGGTCCTTTGCGCCTTGCTTCTTGACGAAGGAGGTGTAGTGGCCGCTGTCAGCACTGGCTCCTTGATGCGTAATCACACCACGCAGCTCGTAGAGACCTGTCTGATTGGAGCCATCGTCTGCAGCAAGCTCCGGACTGACTAGAGAAAGAACCTCCTTCTTCGCAGCCAAGATCGATGCTGCGCGCTCAGCCTCAATTTGGGCGTCTGTCTTGTACTCAATCTCCTCAACGGGCTCCGCGGGCTTGCTTGCTTCCTCCTTTTTGTCCGCAGCTTCCTTCTTCTTTTGCAAGGGCTCCTTCTGTGCGAGCGGGTCGGTGTCGTTCTCCTCGCCAGCCTTCAGGCGCTTCTGGCGCTTGCGCGCGCGCTCAACGTCAAGCTCCTCCTTGCGTACATCACGAATCTTGTCGCGTATAGGAACCAACTGCTTCCGCAGGGTCTCCGTGCAGAATTCTATCGCGTCCAGCTCGTCGGGGAATGTGACCTTTCGCATAATCTTCGCCTTCTTGTTTGTGTCACGACGCCAGTCGAATCGAACGAAGTGTACTGGCAGGTGAACAGGAAGCCTCGAGATCTTGGATGTCTTCGTGTAAACCGCGTTCCGGCCAAGAACCTCAGAATGCTTTTCGATTTGCTCCTTCAAGCCAGCAGCAAGTCCGTCTCGCAGATGATTTGTCTCAACGTTAATGTGACAGTTCAGCTTGAAGAAGGTGTCCTCGCCAGTGACTGATTCCTCACCCGCTTCTTTCGCTTGAGGCTCGTCACACTCCATCACCGACTCGAACTTGCCGGCCATGTACTTGTCAATCCAAGACACGTCCGCCTTCTTCTCTGTGTCGGACTCGTCCTTGATTTGCAGCTTCTGTCGCAGCTGTGCAACAATCTGTGACCAAGCTTCCTCCGCATCCTGCTGAGCGTAACCGTGTCCATCTTTAGCTTTCTGCGCGAATTGTGGGAAGGCGGTTCGTAGGGCGTTGAGGAACATGAGAGGGGGGAACCCTTGCTGGGTCTCGCCCATCTGCTTGAAAAGGTCGCGGAGAGAACCTGTAAGGTCTGCGGAAGCACCAAGGCCGCCGAGGCCAAACTGGCTGAGCGCATTTGCTGAACTGGACGAACCGGCGCCGCTACCTCACGTCAGCAAAAAGTAAACGTTAACACATTCAAGTCGACAAACCTGTTAGAGTACCGCAGAAGTTCCTCCTGCAGCTCAGGGACAGACCTCAGTACCTGCAGCGTGGAGTTCATGTAGCATGTGTTGCCCAAGTTCTGCAGACCGGCTGGTGTGGCGCCTTCAAGCTGAGCTGCCTCTGCTTCGTCCATGTCCTCCAGGAACTTGATCTTCTCCTTGGGCTTCTCAATGACGTTCGTGTTGTCGCCGGACGGCGTGCCCATCATCATAATCGTTTGCCCGGACTTAAGCCCCAGCTTCGACATGTCGGCGTCATCCTTCAGCTGGCCGCCTTTGACCAGGATCTTCTGTCGCTCGGGTTCGACGCCGGTGATGGAGAAGAGCTGGTACTTGAAGGTCTCACCGTTGGAGGTGGTGTCGACCTCGAGTTCGTGCTTCTTGCCCTGGTGCTTGACAATCACTGTAAACAGTTGCGTGAGCTGTGGCGCTTAAGTTGGGCGCGTGGCAGCAGCTTACCTGGAATAGCCGCCATTTTGAACCGCAGTGATACTGTGTATTTGGGGGTTTCGACGATACCCGGGGGCGGTGATGTTGTTTATAAAGCGGTCGCGGGGCTAAAGTATGGTAGACCGCCGAAGCATGAGGAAGGTATGCCAAGCACTGTCCAGCGCCACCCCTGCCACAGCTTCACCGAGCCCCGCCGTGTCCCCCGTGAGGCACCGCACCGCTCCGTGCTGGCATGTCATAGCCCCGACTGCAGCTCAACCCAACGCGCTCAGGGCTGAGAAGAAGCCCACCAAACAATGGTAAAGCCATCTTTCTTTCTAGCCGCCTAACTCTTAGATACTGTACTGACGGCCGCAGTCGCAATCCCTCCGCCCGTACCTGCAGTGCGTGCGCACCTCCCTCACAGCCGCCATCTCACTGTCCAACTTCGCCTCGCAAGCCTCCGAACGCCATAATGTGCCCGAGATCGAAGCTGCATCGTCTCCGGAAGTGATTTTGAACCCACTCACCGTATCGCGCAACGAGAACGAGCGAGTCTTCATCGAGCCCAGCATCAACAGCGTGCGAATCAGCATCAAGATCAAGCAGGCAGACGAGATTGAGCACATCTTGGTCCACAAGTTCACAAGGTTCTTGCAGCAAAGAGCGGAGAGCTTTGTCATCCTGCGGAGGAAACCGATTAAAGGATATGACATCTCATTTCTGATCACCAACTTCCACACCGAGGAGATGCTGAAGCACAAGCTGGTGGACTTCATCATTCAGTTTATGGAGGAGGTCGACAAGGAGATCTCTGAAATGAAGCTTTTCGTAAGACGCCTCGAAGATGTGGATGAAAGGTCGAAGCTAACATGTGTCCAGTTGAACGCAAGAGCTCGCTTCGTGGCCGAGTCTTTCCTTACACCCTTCGATTAAGCGTCCAATTAGCGAGTGATATATACAGAGGAGTTGGAATTTGGAGGACATGACCCACAACGAAGCTGCCGCCGGCCTCGAAGCCGTCTTCAGACCATTGAGCGGCAGACAGCAAGTCCATATCACAGACGGCCATCGTGCAAAAGCCAGCCAGAACCGAATAAATACCAATACCTACACACACTCGCCGTGCCACACTGCTTCGCATACTGTCATCGAAAATCCGCTCACGCATGAAGTCAATGAGTCAACACTCTCGCATGTGCAATCACAATGAAATCCAGGATGTATATGATGTTCCGATTGTTACGCTTCATGATATGGCGTCTCTGTGTGCATTCAAGTCTATTGATTTATGAGACGTTGCAAAGCCTTCATTGGGCTTTTTACAACTTGGCGAGAACCTCCTCGGCGCCAGAGACGGTGACCTGGCCAGGGTTGCTCTCGTTCTCGGCGTAGATGACCTTGCCGTTGTCGAAGACCATAGCCCAGCGGCCGCTGCAGATTGTCAATACCTTGTTAATTTGTTCAGGGTGCTCCACTTACTTCCTGTCGCCCATACCGGCAGCCCAGCCGTGGTTCTTGGAGAAGAAGCTCTTGGTGTCGCTGAAGAAGAGGATGTCGTCGCCCTTGACACCGTTGACCTTGCCCCAAGCGTTCATGACCCACGCGTCGTTGGATGCGATGACAGCAACAACGTCAACGCCCTTGCTCTTCAGCTCGCCCAGCTTCTGGATGTAGGGAGGAAGGTGGAAAGCCTGGCAGCCGGGCGTGAACGCGCCAGGGACCGAAACGAGGACGACCTTCTTGCCAGCCCATTCCTTTGAAGCATCGTACTCTTGGGGACGGCCGCAGGCGGTGGGGTCAGCGTCAGTGATGGGTGCCCATCTGGCAATTATTAGCCCGGGGCCCGAGTTGACGTAAAAGCTGCCATTGCAGCGTGCCTATGCTCGACGCGAGCACCTTGGATGGAGGAGTAGAGATACATACTCAAACTTGACGCCTTCAGGCAGAGAATCACCGACCTTGAGAGGAGGCATTGTAATTTAGGTGTAAAATTGAGGTATGAGATAGAGATTGCGAGGTATTGCGGTGAATTGAGAGAAGTCCCCAGTTGGAGGGGCAGCTGTTTAAGCTGTCGCTCAAGCCTCGGGTGGGGCAGGCCGAATGACGAGCTAGGTCCATGTGGATGGGTACCTGCGTGGCAGGCTTCTTGACAAATACTTTTGTCCTATCAACAGCGTCTCCGCAACGAGCTTCACGTTTTGTAAGCATTCATGTCTCGACGCGAGCGTTCGTGAGTTCGAGTCGGGCCAGTTCAGCTTGGTCTGGCACGGTCCGCCGTTCGCTGGACCCTCGTCCTAGCACTTCGGGTGTCGCGGAATTCATTTATGCAGCTGTAGGTGAAAGTTATTGTAAGCTTTGAGAGTGTTTGCGTGCAACCTTAGAGCGCGTGCATAACCAAGGTTGTACAGCATCGAGTCGGCATGTTCGGCATGTTCGGCATCTGATATCGTCGTTGTGACCGGTCCAACAGACTAAGTGCGAGGTGCACGTAAGACTCAGTAAGCATGTAGGCCCTCTGCTCTGTATAAATCCGTTGGCATCCTCTGTCGACTCCCACACAACATTTGCGCAGCTGAAATTGTCATAATGTCGCTTCCCCCTCCTTTCAATATAGAAACGGCTAATGCCAAAGTCAAGAAAGCCCAAGACCTGTGGAACAGCCAGTGAGCAGTGACACGTGCTTGCATCCCCTATGAAAGTCTGACTGGCGTGATTAGGGACCCAAAAACAATCGCCCAGGCTTATACTGCGGACAGCATCTGGCGTAACCGATCCAGTTTCATTACAGGCACCGCCGCTATCGAAGACCTCTTGACCAAAAAGTGGGCGAAGGAAAAGAGCTATCGTCTGCGAAAGGAACTATTCGCCTTCACGGATGACAAGATTGCCGTCCAGTTCTGGTGCAGTACACACTTATCCCCTCGGTTTGATTCTAGTCGTTGATTAAAGCAGGTACGAATATCAGGATGCGCACGACAGCATGAAGTGGAAGCGATGTTACGGCCTCGAGGACTGGACATTTGCGGAAGATGGCAAGATGCGAAAGCGCCAGATGAGCGGAAACGATATCGAGATTGACGAAGCTGGTGAGTTGTGTGTGAAGTGCTAATGATTACAAATTGTTCTTCACGAACGTATGCTGATATGCATGTAGATCGATGGTTCAAGGATGGTGTGGATGTCAATGATGTCGAGATCAGCGAAGCCCATTGGTGATTATTCATTGATGTCTCTGAACAGAAGGGGTATCATAACGCTCAAGTAACGGATGCTGTGGTTGTACGCTCAAGCCGTCGACGGGTCTACGCGGGTGGCGTATCGTGTATCAAAACTAAGATGAACTTGGGATCTGGCCATAAATTAGCAAAGCACAGTCTCTGTTCTTGTCAAACCTACCTGGAACAATGACCAGCTCGTTCTTCTTCGTGCGTAACCTAAGTAGTCGAACATCGTCTTCTTTGTCAAGTTCATCAACTAGACTTCCTGCAGCCCCTAAGAATTTCCACACTGCACTTGCCACGTCTTCAGCGCTGTGTATCCCGCTTTCTTTCCGGCCGTTCACGTAGTTGTCGGCTATGGTCTCGCCCGAGGCGGGCAGCGTGCTGTTCGGGTTCGCAGACGAGCTGTTCGATATCAGACCGGATGTGCGTACTATGGCGCCTGTATCGCGTGACAAAATGATTGTGCTTTGCACGCCAGGCTTTTGACTCAATCGTGTGAGTAGCGAGAGAGTCTCTTCAATCTGAACATGGTAAGTGACATGCCGAATTTAAGCAGGGAAATACGCACTGAGCGCTGAGCCATATTCTAAGGCCAAGTTGAAGAATGACAGCAGGACAGGCGGAATCGTGTTTGTTGTAGTTGGTTTCTATGACATCGTCGCGCACGCGCAAACACCGCGGGCGGGACCCCTGTTGAAGGCGGACATGCGCTAAACTTCTCCAAGATTAGTGCCATCCTGCAGATCTTCAATTTTCTGCTCGGCATCATAGTTAGTCTGCACAGCTACAAATGAAAGCGCCCAGATAACTTCGACCAGCAGTCTTCATGCTTCCGACGACTTCTCCATCATCAAGAACACATAGAACCAAACACATTGACTGCGGTTGAGGAGCAAGATGACGTCCAGCTCTAAGAGAAAGAAGGAGAAAAAGAAAGATTTCCAAGTACAACAACCAGTTGTGATTATGACAAAGAATGAGCTGACCACGCACAGAAAGTTAAACTGAGGGTCGGAAAGGCTGCGCCTAAAGCTGCGAATGGCACGAGCACAAGTTTCAAGGCAAAATGTAAGAAGATCATCAGGACACGCTGTAGACAGGAAAGCTCACAAGATCACAGCGATATCTCTGAAGCAGCAGGCGCTCTCTGCAAATGCTCCGACGATAGAGGCACAATGTGCCCATCATTTGGGCTTACTTGATCACAAGGCGGACAAGCAGCGACAGGAATCACTTGCCTTTCTTACTTCAGCTATCTCAAGCACAGCCCCTGGAAGTTCTCTTCCTCAGCCTGCGTCAGTCATTATTCCTGCAGTACAGAGACTCATCTTAGACTCATCGAACGCTGTCCGCCAGCAACTGCTCAAGCTCTTCAAAGTTCTACCCGAGAACGACGTGGCCACCCACGCTGATCAGCTCCTGCTTCACACGAGGGCAGGAATGACACACTTGTCTGCTGATATCCGAACTTTTGCTTTGGAAGTCCTTCAATGGCTGACCAGTATCGCGGGCGACGAAATTGTCAGTTGCGCTGGCGGGTGGGTGAAGATGCTGAAATGTTTCTTGAGCTTACTCGTCTGGAAATCCGAAGGGGAAGGTAAATGGTCCCAGGCAAAATCTTACGGCAAGAGCGACGCGAAGCTCCAGGTGAAGCAGATGGACGCTCTCACAGCATTTTTGAGAGCTGGTCTGTACCACGCCCAGGTCTCGTCGATTACGAACCAGAGCAATTTTCCGCTCTGGCAGACGGAGCACCACATGCTGTCTGAACGATCAAATGTCTATGCGCACCTGAACTTATTTAGCGCAACAAGAGATGAGGAGGCAGAGATGTTTGAAGACCGTGAGGATCGGCAGAGGGTGTTCAATGATAAGGCAGAGACTGCTGTCGTTGCAGGCCTTGAGCAAGCATTGAAAGCAGGCGGTGAAATGGGTCGTGCAGCAGCGCAGCTACGTAAAGTAGTCAGAGATGGCATGGCGGATTTTCATAGAGAAGAGATCATGGTCTAGTGAAGAAAACAATGTGCAAGTGCACGACTTTCGGCAGTTACCAAAATCTTGTTTTACAGCGATGTGCAACCTATATAAGCCAAAATCGTGTGAGCTAAGTGAATTAGGTTGACTTGCAGCATAGAGGTAGACATCCTGCTATTACTACTCTCTGATAGCAAGCTGCAGGTAGCTAGGCCTATAGTCTGCTTTCTAAGCTAATTAACTTGCTTTATTGCCTTACTTGTGTTGAAATACTGCCATGCGACTAGCGTGGGGCCCCACTCTTTCTGAAATGGTGCTACTCCATAAACTCCTGTTCCTCTTCCAAAATCATTTATTTGCTGATTTAGTACAACTTCAAACAATTCCAGCGCCCTGGCTCAGCGTTCATGACGCCCAGTACTGCTGGCTGGCTTCTTCTCCCGTCATACCAGGTATAGCTTGCTGGAGGAGTGATTGATTTGTAGCTTCACCAGCATGCCAGGCCTGACTATGGAGTCCAATCGGGGAAGCACTAGACTGCCACGCACCACAGTCAGATCGAAGGACGATAACAATGCTGTTGCGGCGACGGGCTCGGTCGTCAAAACAGAGGACAACGACGATGACGACACGTACAGGTCGCGACCCCAGCTGCCCGTGGCACACAAACTCATGCGCAGCCTGCGCGAGTTGATGAGTAGGTCATCGAAGTCATCAGTTTGGTTGCAAACTGACACGTGTACAGAGCTAATGGACACCGGCGGGATTGACGTTGACCCAGAATATCAACGAGAGGTTGTTTGGGCCGGTCAGTTGTCTTTAAGATCGAGCGTGGGATAGCTGTACTGACATCGGCATCTAGCCGATCGAATGACCGGGTTGGTAAACTCTCTGATGGGTTAGTACCTTGCCGGATCAAGCATCGAAGACTGACAAAGTCTTCAGAAAACTTCTACATCCCACCCATTATATTGAATAAGAAACCGCGGCAGGCCCAGGACCCATCTGCCCCCAAGGAGACTCTCGTATGTGTCGATGGCAAGCAACGCTTGTCCTCCGTCCTGGCATTCATCAAAGGCATGATCCCATGCCACGATCACCGCGGAGAGAAGTGGTAGGTTTGAGTGAGGACCGTATGTTTCAATGCTGATCCTGCCAGGTGGTTCTGTGAGCCTGTTGGCAGCAAGCGAAAGCGCGTTCTCTCAGAGCAGCAGCGGAGACAGTTCTTCCAGAAAGAGTTTGTGGTATTCGAATACAATAATCTGTCCCCTGAACAAGAAGAGGATCTGTTTGCCAGAGTCCAAATGGGAGTGCAGCTGAACCTGGCTGAAAAGATGCGTGCTTCGACTGGGCCCTGGCAAGAACTGGCCAGACTCTTCGTCGAGGATTTCCCTCCCGTTTATTCCTTGATGAAAGACAGGGCGAGATCGAAGGACTTCCAGCTGACGTTGTCATGCTTCAGCCAGATTGTTGAATGCATGTACCCAACAGCGGCGAACGGATTTCCCGCACTGAAGACGAATTACACGCATCTGCCCAAACTTTTGAGCAACAAAAGTGCTGTCGACGATGGGCTCAAATCACACCTTGCCAGCGTTTGGAACACGCTAAAGGACCTAATCGAAACAGACCCCGACACCTTCACTAATGGCAACAAGTATCTACGGGGAGTGCAGACCTTTGCACCCGTTGAGATGGTTGCAGTAACTGTACTGATCTCGATACACTCTGAGACAAGGAACAACAGACTGCTACTTGGCGATATCCAAGCGATGCGGACCGCTGTACGTGAGAGCTTTGTCGACCTCCGCCTCAACGCAAACTTATGGAAATGGTTCTGGGAATACATTGACTCGCTTGAAGAAATTCGAGGAGCCATTGACGGTACTACTGTTGATCGAATTACAACACAGCGAACGAAGAAACAGAGTACAGCAATCGGCTCAACTGCTGCGGCAATTACTGCTGCTGCTACTGTACCAAAAAAAGGCAGATTTACAGCACGTACGAAACGGCCAGCTGCAACCACGGGAGAAGAACCACCGACTGTACCACCGATTATGGTGAAACAAGAGCAATCAACGGTGGTTATGCCTGGCCCCCGCCCACCAAAGCGACAGCGTATCGGCAACAGTCCCTTCGTTGCAGCAGTTCCATCATCCGAAGACATTCCATACCGAGACTCATCATTATCTCCTTCATCTTTGTACGCATCCACGCAAATTGCTGCGCCTCTCGCGTTGAGGTCTCAACATACGGATGATCCAGTGCCATCTCCGTCACAGACCACTGTTCTGGAATCGCTGAACCAATTCGCATCGATGCATACCACGCAGCATCAAACACAACCACAGACTCCATCCGAGGCCCGTCAGCGGCGTGTTTCCGCCCTGCATGGGTTTCAATCTGCGCATCGCCCCACAGTCCGTCCTGTGTCGAATGGCTCGCCCACGTTCCAAGGAATTATAAAAGAAGAGTCTCGGGCGCCAGTAGCGCCTATGGTATCTACTTCCAAACCTTCATCGGTAAACCGCTATGCTGCACAACAACAGGATCAACAACAGGATGTTCTAGCGCCCGCGCAACCGGAGTCACAATTGCCCCCTCGATCACGTTCGACCATACCCCCGATACTTGCTCAGAGGGATACCGATGAAGTAATCGACCTGACTAGTGATACAGAACAAGAGCGACAAGATTTGCTGTCGGCATTCAAGACCAGACAAGGGTCTGGCCTTGAAAAAAAGGCTCCAAAGTCTGCGTCAGGATCTGTGGCAAAAAAATCACGCATACACTAACCGGGCCAGTTTAGTATCGAAGGGGCCACAATTAAAGGAGAATAACACCATGCGAAGCTCACGGTTACCTGATGAGAAAGGTACTGGTAGCCGACACGTGGAAAGTCTTACTGGGTATTTACTATTCAGAACACTCTTAATAGGTATCTTCAGTGCTGGAAGATCAAACAGCGGTGGACGCAAATACTATCAACTACTGAAGCAGGATCTATAGCGCTTGCTGGCGAGATATCAATCATATTCGTACCTGACTAGACAAGAACGCTAGCCTTTTTTGTCAAGCGTGAGATGCATGTTCGCTTACCAGTGAGACATCCCTGTAACAGCAAAAATAATCCCTCCAGGAATCACAAGGCGCAAAGAAACAGAACAACGAATGAAAATGGCAGAACAAGCTACTGAACAGGAGATTCTTCTTGCGAAGCGCATCATCTCGGCAGCGGAGCGCCACGATGTCCCCGCTTTGAAAGTTGCGCTCAAAGAAGGCTCGGCCAACGTCCAGGACCCCACCGCCTCAGTTGCAACTTCACCACTCCACGCTGCCATTGCATCCTGCGGCAAGGCTGAGGAGGGGAAAGAGGCGGATGAGACCGCCGTTCAGACTGTCAACATTTTGCTTGAGAACGGAGCCATCTGGAACGATCTGAACAAGGAAGACGAGACACCAGGATGCATTGCACTTCGCCTTGGACAGCAAAAGATCTACGACTTGATGGTTGAAGCTGGTGTCCGCGCTGAGCTACTCTTCGCCAAGATGCAAGCTTTGGGTCTCGGGACATCCGCAATTGAAGTCGACGTCGAGGAGGATGAGACTTCTGAGGAACAGCCCGCAGCCAAGAAGCAGAAGATCTCAGAGGACGAGGCGCAAGCTGCTACAGAAGCTGTTGAGCATGAGGTCCTTGATGATGTTTCTTTGGACAACAAGGCATATATCAGGTCTCAACTCCGCTACAAGCCTGGAATCCTGCTCGATGAAAGCGACAACGCAGTCATGATGGACTGGGAGACCGAGATCATGCAGCGACACGCCGAGACTCTGATCCCCAAGAAGGGTCTGCGAACTATGAACGTCGGACATGGCATGGGTATCGTCGACACAGCCATCCTGACACACGACCCTTCAGAGCACCACATCATCGAGGCTCACCCGCAAGTGCACCAGCGCCTGAGAGAGACTGGATGGTACGATAAGCCCAACGTCCACATCCACGAGGGCCGCTGGCAAGACGTTCTTCCCAAGCTCGTTGAGCAGGGTGTGATTCTTGACGCTATCTACTACGACACATTCGCCGAAGACTACGCCGCCCTCAGGGAGTTCTTCGCTGAGTACGTCATCCAGCTGCTTGCGAAGGACGGCAAATTTGGATGGTACAACGGCCTGGGCGCCGACCGACAAATCTGCTACGACGTCTACACCAAGGTGTCAGAAATTGACCTTTACGAAGCTGGCTTCGACACTACGTGGGAGGACATCAAGGTGCCCGCAGGTCTGCATGGAAGCAAGGAGTGGGAGGGCACAAGAAGGCCATACTGGACCATCGACGTATACCGTCTGCCAGTGAACACCTTCTTGAAGTAGAAGATACATCATGCTAGGGACTATTCGCTCAAAACATGAACAGTTGTAACATGTATGCAATTGGTACACGAACAAGTGAGCCACGTTCATTAATTTTGCTATCAACAATGTTTACGCTTCATGCAGCAGCTTTCCGGAGAGGCCAGCTTTGACGCTGTCCTCAAGACTCTCCTGTTTAAGACCTAGCTTCTCGTTCCACAGCCCGGACGGCTTCAGGTCACCAAGTTTGTGGTCACCGAATATCACTGCCTGAAGAAGCGGGCCGATTCCGGAGAAGTCACCCTTCTGCAACAGCTCGTTGCCCTTTGCAACAAGATCCTTTGAGCTGACCTTGTTGGTCGTCCACCTCTCCCCTGTGATCTTCTCTGCGGCCGCCAGGATCTCGTTCTGTGATACCTGGAAACCACTAACATAGATGTACTGATTCTTTGTAGCTTCCGCGTTTTCCAGGACCTTAACGACAGCCTCGCCGACGAACTTGAGGTTGGTGGCGGAGAATGTGACATCACCGCCGTCAACGATAGTAGCTGTCTTGCTCTGAGCATCAAAGCCAAGGAAGCTGGCTTTGAGGCCCCAGTCGAAAAAGGCCCCGGTGATCACGCTGCTCCAGCTGATGACGTTCTCTTTGCTCTTGAGGTAGTCTACGGTGCCAATCTTGCCCGCAAATACAGGTACAGCGGCCAGTACCTTGGGATCGGGTGTGTTGCTACCGTACTCAGAGGGAAGGAAGCGTTTCACGCCTGCTGCAATTGCAGCGTCGATGAGTTTATTTTGGGCTCCCAGAGCGTTACCACCAACGAGAGAGACAACCGCATCTTGCCCTTGGAGAGCTTGCTTAAGGCTGTCAACTGAGTCGTAGTCGGCACGCAGGACTTTGACGCCAGATGGGAATGTAGAGTCGGAGCCCTCCCGAGAAAGGACGCTGGTGGTGAAGGAGGACTCGAGAAAGGCCTTCAGAATAGACGGCCCAAGGTTGCCTCCAGCGCCAACGATGACGACGTTCTTGATAGACATTGTTGGACGATGAGAGGTTATGATCAGGTGGCTTTTAATGAGTTGAGAGACTGGTACAGATACTCTTCGTGATGATGGTGACTGTCCTTATATCTCCGGTGAAGCTCTTGAGCACGACATATCTAATCCTAACTCTACATTCCGCACTGTTATCTCAGCAACGTATGATGCTGACTTGGCTCAGAATCGCGCCGATGCTGCGAATCCGGGGAAGATGGCCAATGACATATCTTGTTCACGCACAGGTAAGGCCGAGACCCTCGCAGAACCAGGATCCATGAGCCCGTCGGACGCATTGCGTAGCGCAAACAACTTATCGCGCCATCATTGAACTGTTTGAGGTGCAGTGGGGCCCTGTTCTGGTGTCGTGTCGGTGAAATTCGTAAATGGGCGGAGGTGCGCCGCACTTCTCAGCCTTGCTTCGCCCCGCTATCGCTAATCCAAAGTGCAATTCCTGATTAATGGACAACCCTCAACTACCGGACCGGCACTGGTGCCAGTGCTTTGTGCAATGTCCAAGTTCCGCGATGCTGCTGAAGAGAGAACTGCCGACAAATGCCAATGTCCATCGCTGACAAAGTACCTGTAGGTAACGCCCATGTCCCGTTTCCATTTGACAATCCTCTAAAGGAAGATGATGAGTTGCTCTTGACTCGCATTGTCTACCACAGGGTTTTTCTAGAAAGCAGAACTCGCCGATTGCTGGGCTAATCGCTTGTAGCCATGTGTAGGTGACTAAACTGACAGGAGGTCGAGCGGTACCTAACAGGGTGCAAAACTGCTACGTACGACGAGTTGAGACATCACGCCATGAACGCCAAGGTTGAGAATAGCCTGCATGAACTAGCACACAAATAAATAGTTATCGCATCTCCTGCTGGCCGTCTGTGCCCTTGACCTCCTCGCCCTTAATCCATACGCTCTTCATTGCCTGGCCTAGAATCTCCATGCCCTCCTCGATCTCCGCCTCAGTGATTGTCAGAGGAGGCACAAACCGCAGTGTGTTGGTGCCGCAAGTGATAATGAGTAATCCCCTCTCGCGAGCAGCTGTGACAATCTCAGTGGGATCAGCATCGAGCTGCATACCCAGGATCAGACCCTTGCCGCGAATCTCTTTGATCTGATCTGGGTACTGCTGACGCAAAGTCTCGAAGTGTTTGCGGAATGCCTGCTCCTTGGCCGGAACGGCGTCCAGGATCTCAGGTGATGAGAGGCGAGAAAGGATGTAAGAGGCTACACGACTACCGAGCGGGTTGCCACCGAATGTTGTTCCGTGGTCGCCAGTCTTGATGTGGTCGCAGACGAAGTCATTGACAATGGTGGCACCGATAGGGAAACCGTTGCCCAGGGCCTTGGCCGTAGTAACGATGTCTGGGTGGGCCTCTTTCGGGAACAGGGCGTGTGCCCAAAAGGTACCTGTACGGCCGAGACCGCACTGGATCTCGTCGTGGATCAAGACTGCGCCAACCTCTGTACAACGCTTGCGAAGGGCAAGCAGGAACTCAGGTGTTGCGACATTGACACCACCCTCTCCCTGAATCGGCTCGATGATGACACCACATGTCGACTCGGTGACCAGGCTGTTGATACCCTCGATATCGTTGAATGTTCCGTACTTGAATCCGGGAACCATGGGAGAGAAGGGTGTCTGGTATTTAGGGTTCGGTGTGGCGCTCAAGCTTCCCATAGTCCTGCCGTGGAAGGAGTTGTGGAATGAGACGAACTCGTACTTGCTACCGTCTGGTTGCAGCGACTTTCCAGTCTTGCGTGCAAACTTGATAGCCGCCTCGTTGGCTTCAGAACCGCTGTTGCAGATGAAGGTCTTGGTGGCGCTGGCAAAGCCGCCGGTCGCGTGCGTGAGCTGAATCAGCTGTTTCGAGAGGAGGCCAGTATGGGGGTTATGGTAGAGGTTGGAGGTGTGCATGAGCTGCTTGGACTGGGAAACTATTAGTAGCTGTCAATGTCCTGGCGTTGTCTATTCGCACCTGTTGAGCAATGACCTCAGCCACTCCAGCATCGCAATGCCCCAAAGCGTTGACCGCGATACCGGCTGTGAAGTCTAGGTACTTCCTGTTCTCGACGTCCCACATGTAGCATCCCTCACCCTTCTCGAACATCGGCGGCGGGCGTACATAGGTTGGGACCATGTACGGTAGTTGCTGGTCAACTAGGCCTGCGGTTTTCGAGCCAGCTGGAGGATCTGGGGTTGCCAATGTCGAATCGCGCTGGCTGGAATTAGTGCTTGACCCTGCAAACACAGAGTCTTGGTTCTCATACCGCGATTGAGTCCTTGACATCCTGAGGGAGGCTTGAGCCTTGCACTGCTGCCGCTGCCGACGAAGCAAACCGAGTTGACACACATGTTATGCGCGGTGTACGTAGCGAAGCGCAAATACGCCTAGAAGCAATACGAAATGCCATTGTATACGCTGGGTATCTCACAAACGAAAAGAACGCAAGAAGAAAATATCAATGAGGCATTTGCAGTCATCGGCGTGGCATGCAGCATGAGTCTGAATTTCCTAAGGCTTATCGATATCGGAGAAAGAGCTTGGGCCGAAGCCGGAGAGCGGCTCGTCGCACAGCAGTAATTCGCGAGAGTGCAATGCAAGAGCCCCGAAAGATAAGTGCAAACGCAGACAACGCTGCCCAAAAGTCACACGGAGACCTAGGTTGTAGATCGTTGTAATCGCAACTCCATGTCATGATGGTGACGTTCGTCGTTGGGCACAGATGCTCGGAGGGTCGCTCAAAGTTGTACAGTATAATAATCATTCAAACCTCATTCATTCCATCAAAACACCCAACCAGCTTCCTTGGTGTAGTCGGTTATCACGTCGGTCTCATATCTCTCATCACAGCTGAGAATGATTGTTCATAGAACAAGTAATCCGAAGGCCGCCAGTTCGAATCTGGCAGGGAGCATTTTTTGCACCTGCACTCATCCCACAACCTTTCCATGAAAGTAGTGAGCGATAGTGCGGATGCTTCTTTGTTTTTAGCTTTGAACACGCACTTAATGCAGGAACGGTGTGTGTGCTACCCTCTTGGGTTTATATCCGACAATGGGTTATCAAGCTCTTGTATGTCTACATGTGCACTGCTATATAGTTCTCATGCTTTCAAATCAATCGTAGTGTGAGTCTATCAATGCTTCTTTGCTTCCTTCACCCTCTGTTTCTCTGCAATGAGTCTGTCCAAGCGCCAGAACGCCGTTACGCCTTCTACAAAACTGCTCCCTACCCACATCCACCACACTGCATCAGCTGAATTCAATCCATGTCTCTTGACCTTGTTCGCCATGAGGTATGCCTCGGTAACGTGAATGGCCAACACGAGAGGCAGAACAATCCATCTGACCTGCAGCACGAACCTTGCGAAAGCGGGCACCGTGTACAGAAGATGATCGTACAGCAGACTGCCAGGCTTGAAATTCATCCCTCTTGGCAGCAAAAGGAAGAGTAAGGCACATTGAGTGAAGTTGAATAAGTGGCCCAGCTTGACGTACGCTGGAACGTATCGAGTGATCGTGATGTCACTCCGGCCTAAGATCTGCAGAGTTTCTCCATCCATTTGAACGAGACGTTCTCTTGCTTCGCGGAGAGACTTCATAGGCGGATCGAACGCGACAGTACTTGCTTGGCCACCGCAACTGAACTTCATCTGATTCAGATCGATGTCCGTCATCTGGGCAGACCGGCTTTGCCTAGGACTTTTGGAGGCGTAGGCTTCGACGTAGCGACGGATCTGGTGGTACAGTCAGCCCTTGTGATATCGAAACACGTGTTACGGCATACAGAATCATGATGATCTGCGTTCATGTGCCTGATGATTCGCTGCTTAGCTGCCGCCTCCTGTGCCTCTGGAGTCGCCATGTTCGGAAGACACGAGTTTCCGGTACCGACACAGTCCAGGTGTGATGTCTGTCGATGTTCTGATCACTTCCAGCAAGGCGAGTTGTTGGCGTCACGAGTGGGTGCAGTCGAGTGACACCCGGGCGGAAGAACCCCGCGATCCACGTGCGACTCTCGAGGGCTCGCATGTGCACGCACCCAACTATTCTCTTAAAACAGCCTTTTTAACGTCCTCTTCAGAAACTGCGCATACTATGTCTTGAACGTTCATTGTCATCGCAGACATTGCAAGTAGCTATCAGCATTTTCGAGAGGCAGTTGGCACGACTATGTGTGTACCACGTTTTCTCAGTGATCTATCACATACCAAACATCCTGGTCAATTGCGTATTGTGTGCCTCACTATCCAAGTTTCGCCTCAACGCTGTCCTAAAGAAATATCCTCAAACGTGCGTGCAGAAGCGGCGCCGGATTGAGACAGGCTGAGCTCGTTCTGAGCTCACCGCGCGACGTGGGCACCAATAGGAGAAGACGGACAAGCCTGGACAAGAGAGGCGGAAAACGGGAAGATAGTTGGCACCGTTTGGGTTCTGGAAGCGTGTTCCGATCGATGTTCGCCGGGATACTGACAAGTTTCAGTGCATGCGTGGTGGGGAACACCTGTCGGTCCCACTCTTGCGTCAGGCTGCATGATGTGGGTGGCTCGTGTACTTGCAGGGATGTCAAGCAACCTTGAGGAGCTCCAAACCTGTTCCCAAACTGCTGGCGATTTCTTAACAAATCTGCTCCGTCGACCTGCATTCTGCCACTTCCAGAAACCCGGACTTACTTAACAACACCCAGCTTTTTGCGCCCCTGTTTCAACACCTCATCCGAGTCAATCTAAGACCAAATCCCACAACACCATGGCGGACACTGTCGAAGAGAAGAAGCAGTCTGTCGAAGGACAGGGCCAAGCTGACGTCAATGCCTCTGCTGGAGGATCAGGCAAGGCCGAATCATCGAGTAAGAAAGAAAAGAAGACCCCGAAGAAGCTGGGCGGCAAGAAGGCCCAGCAGCAGCCCACTCCCGAACCCACCCCCGCGCCCGAGAGCGAAGCTGAAGGCGAAGCTGAAGGCGACGCCGACGGCGATGCTGAGGGCGACGCCGATGCCGAAAACGCTGGTGACGCAGAGGCTGAGCAAGAGGACGCAGGCAAAAAACAAACCAATGGCAGTGCCGATGCCGACGAATCAGAACCCGAAGCTCAGCCTCAGAAGTCAAAATCGCAATCGAGGCGTCGCCAGTCTCGAGGCCGAGGCCGACGAGGCGGAGACTCTGAGGATACTGATGCGCGATCCGATGTCTCCCAGTCCGGAGGCCGCCGCAACCGCCAACGCCAGAAGAAGGGTGGAAAGGGTGGCCCGCTCGACGACATCACCGAGAATGTTCCTGGAGGCGAACTCGTTGGTGGTGCTGGTGACATGGTCCAGGACACGGCAGGCAAGGCTGTCGGCCAGGTCGGCAACACCGCTGGAAAGGCCCTCGGCGGTCTGACTGGAGGAGGCGGCGAGGAAGAGGGCGGCGACAGCAAGGGCGAGCAGCTGCGTCTGCGCCTGGAGCTCAACCTCGACATTGAGATCCAACTGAAGGCTAAAATTCACGGTGATCTCACTTTGGGTCTGCTGTAAGTTGGGACTGACTGCCCTTGAACTACATGTGCTAACTCCCCACAGTAACTAAGCTACGACGCAACGACCCTTATATGACTTTTATTGACCTATCTTTACGACGCTCAGAGCATTGAGTCCAGGAGCTTTCTTGGATGGCGTTTGGCTTGGAGATTTTACGTAGTGTAATTCTATGGATTGTACCTTCAAACACTACTTTGCTCGTGACATACCAATCTACCTGCTTCCGAGCCTCCAATACATGGATTCTCGAAGTGCAAAATCAACCAACGTACGACGGTCACGGCAGCGTTTCTCTTCGCAGGAACAGTATCCTTGTTCCGCCCTGCCAACTTTCTACGCAGGGCGTCGTCAGCCGTCTAGCGGGCAGCGATGATCCCTGCCATCACGAGCTTTCTCCACCTTCGCGCCCGCCACACAACGGTAGAAACGGCCATGCTAGGCCGAATTTCGCTGTGACGTCAGGACCATGGGATCCTGCTTCGGCTACAGTGACCAGGGCGCCAAATCGGGGCGACGTGCGGACTGCACATCCCGGCTCCACCTAGGTATGCATTAATCTTGATTTCGAGTGACGGCTGTTCTCGCCTCCAGCTTAGCTCAGAACTCCCCTCATCCGTACATTCAGTCCCCTCCGCTGTGCACGAAAACACCTTTGCCTTCTCTCAACCCTCCCAGTGCAAGTATAGGTGCCTTAACTGCTCCCCGGGTATCAGCTACCGTCCCAGAACCAAAGGAAAGATCATTAACCACAGCCACCGCCATGGCAGACAACAACAAGAATGACGACTACGAGTCGAAGCCGCACGAGCGCACGACCATGCAACAGGAAAAGGCTGTGAACAAGATGAAGCAAGATAAGCGCGAAGCAGGCCTACAAACCGCACGTTCAAGATCATCGTCTCGCCGCAACCGCCGTCAGCGTATCGAGAAGGCTCAAAGGGACGGAAAGTACATGATGACTACCTCCGTCGAAGCCCTGGAAGAGGCCGACGCGAACGGCGACCTCCAGAAGATGGGCATGTTCGAGCGCATTGGCCCAGATAGCACATCCATGGATGGTCCCGTAACACACGCCCGAGCAATGCGAGGCGAGATCCCAATGCGCGGCACCGACCCTAATCAGCCCCACACAATGGTGCCTGAGAAGAAGAAAGGCTCGTTGGAGGACCAAGATGGCCTGAAGCTCACCCTGGAGGCGAATTTGGAGATTGAGATCGAGCTGAAGGCATCGATCCGTGGCGACTTGACACTTTCATTATAGTAAGTCTTCCTTTGTTACGCTTTGCATTTGGTCTATTATCTTGGTCCTTACTGTACGCAGCGGCGACATGCTGCCTAAGTTGTCACTCCCGTCACTGCCTAAATTGCCTAAATTGCCCAAACTCCCTAGTGTAGGCGATGTTACGAGCATCGTTCCCAAACCCAAGCTATCCAACGTCACGCAAAATCTTTCAAAGGTGGTCTAGCCGTTTCCTAATTCGGTTCTTAACAGTGAATAATAGTGCATGATTGGACGTACCGATGGTAGCAATGCCGAACCAGTACCACGAAGCTCATGACCCCCACCCCTCGGTACCGATTCTTGGGCCACGAAGCCGGAAAACCATTTTACCGTCCGGCACGGACTGATGCACTGTTCTGGGCGTTTGGAGTTTTATGCCTTTTGGCATGTGGGAATTCTTGTTTGGATAGTTAAGAGAAGAAATGATAATGTTATGCGACATGAGAAAGTTTCCCCTGTCGATTAGCAAATGTTTCGATGAAGTCGGTTTTTCATTACCTTGTATACGCTTACAAGTAAGCCAGAGCAAGGGTATAGCCAGACGAATACCACGTCCTACGGCCGACTACCCACAGCTTTCCGAGGCATCATCATCTTAGGCACTCTCTGGTCGCATAGCGTACATCTCACTAGCCTGAAGGCTTCAAGGAAAAGGCACAGTGATTATGGGTTATTGAACATGACCCTGAAGGCCCCTAGTACCACGTTCTCTTCTAACGTTATTTGCCAATTTTTCGTCGTTTACCTCAAGCCCTTTCCTTCCTATACCAACCTAACGTTGCTTCCGCCTCTCATACCTCCCTACATTTCGTCCGCTACCCGCATTCGCTCCATTCGGAAACCTGAACGAGCCAGTTTCTCAGCTAGACCTTACGAACAAACTTCACCGAATTCCAAATGGTCCCTGCTCGCCCAAATACCACTGTACTTCCTCGACCTTCTCCTGCCCTACTGGGACAGGGGCTAACTCCCACACGGCTCGGCACTGCAGTGGACCATAGCAAATACGATCCGGCCGATCCAGGCTATGGAGACTCGTTCGTGAACGAGCCGTCGGAAGAGGATGAGAGAACACGTGCGCGGGCTGTGAACTTTGGAAATGTTCCCGCGGTGGGAAGTAGTGAGGGTTCGGAAGTTGGGAATGAAGACTCGAGGAAGACTGTACATGGCACTGGGCGGACGAATAGGTTGAGAAGTACTATTAAGAGAACGTTGATTCATTGTAGAAGGAATGTGGAAGAGGGATCGAAAAAATTGAAAGCAGTGAAGCGTTCTACGTTCTGCAGGACGTATCGGAGAGTAAAGCGGAGTGTAAAAAGTAAGTTGCAGAAGCAAGAGCTTTTTTGAATCTTCGGTAGATTGCTTCCATTCTTGAACGATGCTGATAAATGAACAGACACGAGGCTCTACAAGAATCTGCTTGTGAAAACGGTGAGTTCCACAAGCATTCGCGAGCCAGCCTTGGGATATAGGCCGTGGCACGTTTCGACTGTCTCAATTGCAGGGGGTGAGATCTTGCAGCCGCACTCATACAGACCTTGGACAAACGTGCAGTATTCAAGAAGAGGCTCGAGAGTATCGCTTGGACATCTCTCAGTTGCAGAGCCGGAGACTCCTTCCAGTCAACCGGTTAGATCCCGCTCATCAGATGCGGTTCGCGTGGGCGACAAAGTCGTTGATCAGGCTGCTGTTATTGACGATTTGGCAGCAGTCATTAGCACCAGGAGGGCCAGCGAGAGTTCTTACGAGATTGAGACAGTCTCTGATCAGTTCCGTCGTCATACAGAAACCTACACTGCTAAATTGGAGGATCGGACTTGGATGAAATCAACGTCCATTTCCGCACAGATCACTGCCTTTCGTTTTTCCAGCCTCGTTCCCATGCATATCGTTTCAAAATTTGCACCCACCCACCGCGTCTGTATAGAGACAAGCAACGACATCATGGTTCGAACAGACATGGTGCAGCTCAGTCACATCTGGAGCCAACTAGTCAAGCCCGCGCCAATTTTGAGGACTTTGGAGCTTAACAATCCACTACGGATCCTGGAAGAAGCCAAAGCCGAGATGATCTGCAGTCTTGTTGAAGAATGCGTTCATCGCTGCGCACACTGGGCAATCGCAGTGGCGACGAGCGCAAATACTCGAGCAGGAGCCATGAGCGACGAGTGGTGGCACAATTTCGAAGCTCAGCTCGATGCCATTGGAAACCCGGATGAAGGGTTGATAGCACGGCAGTTGATCGTTGTCGGACGGAAGTACGTCAATGTCACTGCTTTGGAGTCTGTTATCACGGCGTTGGAAGCCTTTGACACAGGCAAGATCTTTGCAGGGTTGGCCCGTCATGATTCAAAGACCGGGTTCGAAGAGGCGACAATCATAAACTCTGCTCCGGTATCAGAGCAAAAAGCCAAGAGGCCAGTAACTGCAGGGCCAGGTCCCCAGCCTGCTGCCCAATTGCGAAGATGGTCAACTGTTCCTGCCGTACGAAAGGAGACCAACGAAGATCTTGTGCTCCCTTCCCGCAGTCTTCGTCTTGGCAAAGACATTGCGATTCCGTCAGAAGGAAACGAGGAAGATGCTCATGCTCGCGCAAAAGATACTTCTCTATCTTCGGACATTCTACGCGAGTTAAGTGCAGTGTTAGATGCCGCAGTAAATCGCACAACAGTGCTATCTCCAGAACCTATGGGAAGGGAGGATCCGCATGTGCCGCTTCCTTTGACGATCAGGAAAAGTCCTTCCCTGCTACCGAAGCCCAAAGTCTTCACGATTAGACGTACCCCTCCAACGCAAGCCCAGTGGCCAGAGAATGCAGGAAGGAAGGAAACTGGATGGAGCGCAGCAATTGATCTTCCGGGCTGCGAGCCAAAAGACGTCAAATACCCTGGCCCACCGGAATTGTCCAACAAAGCGAAGGGGAAGCTCCTGGTTACTCGAACAGGTTGGCCTCGAACATCGATCACAGCCCCAAGATCAACTTCGAAGATCACAGAGCCACAAGTAACTCCACACAGAACTGTGTCAATCGTATCAGCTCCCAAGGCATCATTATCGAAGGCAGCTCCTAGTAGTGCTGTCGTTAATTCAACTTCGACGGAGCCGCGAATGCTTCCCCAGACTCAGGTGACGAAGCAGGCCGCTTCGGCATTCGGACCTTCACGCCATACTGTCACTCGAGCAGAACGCTCCATGGTAGCCGGGAGATCTTCAGGCCAAATTGTGAGTGCTAATCTGAAGACGTCACAGATGCGATTGCGCTCCAAGGCTATGTACCCCTCCAGTGTTCCTAAGAAGAGTGAGAGTTTGGAGACGACGGCATCACAATCTCTTTCAGCCGCTACTGCGCCACATGCAGAGGCGGGATCAAGGTCCTCCAGCCGGCCTCTGAATGGTTGTGATGGGCAGATGGAACCACCGAGAATACTTCCAACGCCTGCTGTACATGTCACCAGTGTGAGATCTCCGAGCTTGCAGATCTCAAACTTGCCTTTGCCTCGTAGGAAGATTACGTCCAAAGCATTACCGGCATAAGTCGCACTGTGATGCGTATTCTTCTGCGCAACAACTACTAGGAGCGCTCAATTCTATTCAGCGTGAATGCGAGCTAGTGCCGGCTGTTGACCGCTCTACCTCAACTCACCTTCACCCGGTCTTGGCGGCAGCTGCCACTTATTTAGGTACCCAGGCACTGCTGCCTCCGCCCTTCCCTCTTGTCAAAAACCATCAGCCACCAACACCACAACACCAACAAGCGATGCCTCCCATTCGTCCAGGAACCCACCTTAGGGCTGAGCAGGCTGCAAAGCGTCCTCCAGCACGTGAACGCGAGCTTGAGATAGAGCTTAGAACTTTGAGACGTGAGCTAGAGGATGTCAAAACAGCGTACCAGCGGTATCGCGAGGATGCAGAGGAACTACAGTACCAAGACAGCCTTATGGAGATGTAAGCATTGCTCTGCTGTTGTCTAAGCCTATGCTATACTAATTATGCTATAGCGATGAAGATAATGCTGGGACCTTAAAGATCGAACGTCAGGAACTGGATCCAGCATCTGTTGATGTTGCTACCAACACGTAAGTGTCTTACTATTGTAGACTTAAGAGCTAGAGCTAATAGACAGTAGTACCAGGGAACTAAACGACAAGGGATGCAGTCTCAACTCCGCAGATCTTGAAGCATATCAGCGAGTTCGCAACATCTTGCTGTCTGGAACACTTGCTGCAACTGGGGTGGTCCCAGAGCATACTTTTATCAAGGACTACCCAGGGCATGACTGGGAAGACGAGGAACGGCCCCCACCTGGTTCCACTAGTGCTCGGCCAGGCCAAGGTGCTTGGATGTGTAAGAATCCACACGCATATGGGAACTGGTATGTTGGGAGCAAGAGAAAGTCGTGTCCGGCCTGTGGGCTTAGTCAGAGTTCTTCAGTTCTTAAGACAATGTCTTGGGACTTACAGAATAACGGCAGGGGCACTGGTTTCGTGCTCTTCCGAAGGAACACTGGGTGGACCCCAGACTTTGAGGGGGCAATTTCCCGAAAAGGAACTAAAGTTGCTCGAGGAGGTAAGGGACCATACAGACATTTCCACGTTGCGCGCCTGTGGGCAGCAATGCGGCACCAGTTCCCTATGCTTTCTGATAAGGAACTCCAAGACTACTGCAGTCGCCCAGTATATCTTAAGGACCTTACTGAGACTGAGAGACTGATGAACATCATTCGTCAGTCACGAGGAACAGGCCAGGAGGCTGAGGCCTCTGCAGCTGTGGAGCCGAAGGGCAGGAACATACATGATGCCATTGTAATTGACGATAGCGATGGCGACGAGTTCTGAGCAATCAGAGTTCATTGGGAACGTCTCCTATACTGTTTAGTGGTTTGATTAGGAACTGATCTCAATTCATGTTATTGCATCAATGCTCTTTGCTTGCATTTTATCCTGAATATGTGTCACCTACCATTCGATGACCTTCTCGTCTCTCCAAAACTCCCCAGTCTTAGCCCCACTATCCTGAATCGCCAACAGCACCGGCGTCTGCGCGCCCTCGTCCGGCGTCTTCGTCCCATTCCCCTTACTCATATCCGTATTCACATATCCAGGACAGCACGCCACGACCAGCCTCTCGCCCTCCTGCCTCGCCAGCGCCTTGGTACCCGCAATACAGCCCGCCTTGCTGACCGCATACGCGGCGCTCGGGAACCCAGCGTCCTTCTCGCGCCCCTGCTCCACGGCCGCCGCGAAGTCGCGCATGATGGCCGTGACGTCGGCTTCGGTCTTGGCCTCGAGGAAGCGCGTGCGCACGGCATCGGAGTACTTGGATAGCGCGCCGGCGGAGGAGGCGAGGTTCACGAGGCGGCCTGTGGGCTTAAGAAGGGGAAGGAAGGTGCGCGATGCGAGGAGGGTGTTGTAGTAGTTTGTGTGGAGGGTCTCCTTGACGATATTCGCATCTGCGTGCGGTTGTTAGCACGTAGGGGCTGGGGATGGGAGATGTAGTACCGAAGCCGTTCAGCGCGATGCCGGCATTGTTAATGACAAAGTCGAGGCCCTCAGCGTGCGACTCCTTCAGGTGCTGGGCGAGATCCTTGATGCTGAACTCGTCTGTGATGTCGAGATGATGATATCTGATCTCGGCAAGGCCGCCGTCGGCTTTCAGCGCTTTGGCTTGCTTTAGCTGCGAATCCTCCTGGAGCTGCTTAAGCGCGGCTTCTCCTCTGCTCTTGTCACGGGCTGTGAGGTAGATGAGGAGAGGCCCATTGTTGAGAGGTGACTTTGGATATTGAAGGGCTAGTTGGCGGACGATTGCAAGGCCGATGCCCTGGTGGTATCAGATGGGTTCGAAGACGCGACGTGCAGACATACCTTGTTTGCGCCGGTAACAACTCCAACTCTGCTGTACGACATATTGGGCTTTTGTCAGGTTACGGATGAATGGTAATCGGAAGAAGCGGCCATTGCTGCACTTGAGAGTGTTCCCCACTCTTGTTGATTGTTCATTAATCATCATCGAGGCTGTCGGTTGTCGCGAGACGCTCATGACGTCACGCGCATGTTTTAGAACTTCTCTATGCATCTCGACAAATTGACCATTGCATTTCCACTCATTCTACATGTTCACCGAGCCTCTTTGTGGAAGTCATCGCAAATCTACAGCTGCGTAAATGTGATGTTCATCCTTGTGTTGTACTCTAATGCGAGCTGTGCAGTGTGGCCTTGCTACTACGGAGGTAACCTCAGATCTCATATAGATCGTCGGGCCATCCCCCCGGCAGCCCTCTCCGGAGCTGACGCGCCTCCTTCTGTCCGTCCACCGAGTCGATGTCCATGGGAGTCGCTGGCCGACCGTCTTCCGGGCTCGTTGCTGATGAATTACTAAGTCGATTCTGCGCTGCGCTTGCCAGACTCTGTCGGAGGAGAAAGACCTGCTCGTTGGCCGGAAACCTGTCGTATAGTGCCCCGAGGGTTTCATAGGCCATGAAACTTGATATTTCACCCTGCTCCAAGTCGGCCTGGATCCGCTGAAGCGTGTGGGCGAGCTCAGCACGCCTGTCAACAGCCGTGATGTCGTGCTCATCAGCAGCATCACCCAAGGATGCTCGAGTAAGACGCGTGAGATACTCATGCACGCCTAGATCAGCCTCCGCTGCGACTTCCATGGCTTGTACGGATGAAGCGTTATGAGACTCCGTCGAGCTTCTGGCAGACTGCATCCCTGCAGCATATGCATCTTCAGGTCTATCTGAAGAGGCGTCTTCCGCACCACCCTTTTCCATGTTCCCAACCAAAGATACGTTGTCGTTCTCTTGTTGTTCAGCGCTGTTGTTCGGTCCATCACCGTCTTCATCACCGTTGTTGCTAGCATCGACTTCAGGGTCGCTATCGGCACTTTCCTCATCGTCGTCGTCATCATCGATCTGGCCCTGTCCGTCACCCTCCGTGGGATCCGTATTAACAGAGATGCCGTGAGCCTCGAAGAGATGGATCTGGAGGTTGATCAAGAAGATGTCGCGTTCTTCGCGTGGAAGTCTGTCGAAGACCTCGCGAACGGGTGGCCCGACATGCTGCAAGATTCTTTGCTCTGCATCGAAATCGAGCCCATTCTCGACCCCGTTCCCGCCGTCTTCGTCGTCCGGAGCATCATCTTCGTTGTCCGACTCACCATCATCTTCATGATCGACCCTGAATTGCTCGTGGCGTGTGCGCTCCGCTCGGTTGAGGCCTGTGATCCGGTGAAACCCATCCTGATTATAACCATCCTCATCATAGACCGCAGGTCCATAGTGGGGGCAGCCGTGCATGCCTTGCCATTCCATACCACAGATATAGCAAAACTGTGTACCGCACTCACAGCTGTCTGCAGTCAGTTTACGTATACAACTAGGTAGGGCTTAACAAACGTGACATGGTTACAGGCCTCCGCTAGTTCCACTGTGGAAGCACAGGTCGGACACTCCTGGAAGCCCTTCTCTGTAGCTGTCTGTTTAAACTTCTTATAGTCATCGTTCTGCTCGCAGATGTGGCTCCCAACACCATCTACCAGCGTCTTGCATGCCGTGCATGTCAGCTTACCGCACGTATCTTGATGGCAAACGGCGTAACTAGTATTGGTGGATGGGTCTTTCACATGTGTGGCAGGGCCGAGAAACTCTGAGCAAGCTGGGTTGGCGCAGTAGACGCGATACCTGTGCTTGTTAGCAGAGACGTGAAGCGATGCCTTATGACATACTTAGCTAGCACAGAATACTCCCCCTGCGCTTTCTTCTGGTAGGCCCATGATACTTCGAATGGCACATGAGCCTCATACTCGTCGAGCAGGAAAAGCTGGCCGCAGCACTTGGGAGGATACAGGCTCTCGTTCTCGGCTGCGCGCTGAAAGAAACTGCTCACATCGTCTGTACAGACCCAGTGGCGCTGACATGGGGCTTGGAGAAGCTGGTCTCCGCTGGCCTCATCGCCGCCGCAGATTATGCAAGTCTTCGTCATGTCGGTGTGGAAGGAGATGGTGTGACCAGATGGCAAGGATGTGGAACATCCGCTCGTCGATGTGTCTTTGCGACAGGTGAGTTTGATTTGGCGTTAACGGTGAGAAATAGTGAGGCGACAAGGGACGAGTGAGGATATGTCTCAGGGCAGCATGTAGCTAGTCAAAAGTGGTTCCTTCACTCCAGGGTCGCGGCTTTCCAGGGACACTATTGAGGGGCTGTGTAGAGCAACCACTCACAGTTGTCAGATCTTAATCTGAGGTTTTATAAGTGTGCAGAATCTTTGGCGGTTGTGTCATGAGAATAAGGGGATGATTGCGAACCAAACAACGTAAGACTAGCAATGTCCTCAAGTGCTGGTTCGCGAGGTACACACAAGGACTCCAAACGGACGAATAAAGTGAAGGAAAGATTTGTGTGAATAATAAAGAGATACAACGAGTGTCTTGATGTCTTGTGAGGCTGTCTGTGCACGTAGGCAACCACGCCAGTAGGCAGTGATCGTCTGAGCTATTGTGGAATTGTTAACGGCAGCCTGAGACTTGGAGGTAAGCACCACCAGACTGATGTTTCCATACACAACACAGATTCCGTCCGCGATGATGCGCACGTGGCTGGTGTAGACACGAAACCTAAGAAGGAGCGACCAGATGTCCCATCATCAAACTGATTAGCATCAACACCTTGTGATATATCGACGTAAGTAATGGGAATTAACAACAAAATAAATCTTAGTAATGCAATTGGGTATAATGAACATAGCGATACAGCCTTCAAGCACCAATGCGCCCGCCAACCCAGAACCCACCCAACCACATCGCCCCCCAGACAGGCTGTGCAAAAGCCCTCAGTACGGCAGGCCCTGGACACGTCCCCGTCAGTCCCCATCCAACTCCGAACGCCGCGGCACCAGCCACGAACGTCAGGTCCACGTCCTTGATTGTCTTTGTAGGGAGCTCGAACTTGTCCGCGAAAGCTGGTGGTTCGGCGAAGCCCTTGCGCTGGATGGTGATGAGGTTGGGAAGTACGCCGAAGAGTATTACAAGAGCGAGAGATGGATCCCATGCGTTCATGACGGGGAAGGAGAGGAAAGATGTCACTTTGGCGGGGTTGGCCATGCCGGAGACGTGGAGGCCAAGCGCGAAGAGAAGGCCGCTGAAGAATTGTGTTGTTGTGCGGGCGGCTACCTGCGAATTCGATGACGTCTTTGTGTTTGCTGTAGATTTAGACGCTGCTTTGCTGATGAGAGTCGGTATGATTCGGGCGGCTAGGATTGCGCTGCTAGCGAGCAGTGTAAGAGATATGGCAGTGGCCGCTGACGGAAGGACAGGCGTATAGCACGGTACGTTGCCGGGGCATGCGTTGGTGTAGAGGCTGGGATGTACCATGTGGTGTGTAATCAATGCCACGGTAAAGAAGGTTGCAGTAGCTACTGCAGAACGTCCACTGAGTCGTGGAAGACCACAAAGCATGTGTCCAGATGTGCAACCATTTGACGCCTGTACCAAGTTAATCCTCGGCATTCCATTTCTTTGGAAGAAATCACGCACCTTCGTTCCCCAGCCTATCAAAGCCGCAACACTTGTTGTAAACACAACAGTTTGTATCGTCACCGGCATCGAAGGAAACCTCGTAGCCAAGTCCGGCACCAGAGAACTGAGCAGCGGGGCGCTCACTGCCATGCCTGTAAAGAGAGCCACAACCTCGACGGTCGGCGCGTCGACCATCCGTCTCAGCAAACCCGAAAGGCCCAATACATTGCCGTTTTGATAGAGAAGATTGCTGGTGGCTTGGTGCAATAGCGCGGCGCCAATCGTAGTCTCAAAAGGAGTAAACATATGGGCTACCTCGATGCTCTCAGATAGTAGTATTAGACAAAGGAGCAAAGGAGCAGGGTGACAGGTAAAAGAAATATCACAATGCCGGATAGCGTGCCGGACTTGACGACAAGGAGCTTTTCACACAGCGCACTCGCCTGTAGTGACTCTACTAAACCAAGGAGCCATCTCTTACACTCCTCGCCGGACCCTGTCGGGCGTCTCTTCGCCAATCGCGGTACTCTCTTCATCTCCTAGTCGGCGAACTTGGACAGGATGTGCAGTTTCAAGCGGACCAAAACTCCCGCAGAGCATCGGAACAGTTAGTGCGACTATCATGTGCCCCTTATCCAGCCTAGCATCTGCCCTGGACATGCTTCGCGCGTGGTGGCGTCCTTAAGCGGCAGGTCGGGGACGCTGCTGAGGGGCGTTGCACGCGAGACCCGCAAGGCTGATGACTGGCGTTGTGCTATCGCCGTTGTGCAATGCTTTGCGCAGCGTTTCATGTGAACAATCGCGTGATTGTGGAGCACTTCGCACAGGTCTGCGGAGGACATTTCATCTTCACCTCGCCGAATGTGCAGAACGGCGACGTTGCTGGCCAGGGTCCCAGCACTTGCGCTACGAGTAGGCAATAATTGTGGGGGTCGGCGAATCGATGGACAGCGCTCCGGAGATTATGTGTCGGTAGCTTTGAAGACCTGGAGCTTGGTTCAGGTGATCGGCGGATCGGCTTCCTCCGGATGCCGAATTTGATACATGCCGAAATATACTACACGCTCAAGACCCAACGTTCGAAACCCAACGCGAAAACTCCAGGTAGAGCTGCACATCTCTTAATATCCTATGGGCTGTCCTCTTGATAACCCTCAGACTCGCTCACCAGCTGCAATTTCGGCTTTATTGGCCTGACTCGCTTCCATTCACGTCGCCGACATCTCTAGATCGACGTAGTAAAGCTTCGGCGATGCAAGGCGTGAATACGGCGTGCAGCTCCGCAAGGTTGTCAATCTCTTCAACTGACGCCGGGGAAAAGCAAACGCCGTGCAACGGCCGCTCACTCGCGTGGCAGGTTACACAGGACCCAGTTCGGCGAGCTCATGCATGAAAACTCGAACCATGTGTCAGATCTGGGGTGCCTCCGTGTAGGTGCATCGGCGTGTCAACAAAGGAACGCCACACATTTCTAAAAGTGTAATCTGAGCTCAAAACGCCATCCTGTTTGATTCGTCGGCCGTAATACTCGTACATCGTGAAAGAAGTGCTCTGGATATCATTCCGTATATGCATACCCCCATTACCCAAACGCCGAAGGCCAGCTCCATACCGTAGCGGCTGATTGTATTCCAGAAGAACTCCACCATCTTTTGACTATCACGGTAAGCCGTCTAGTCACTTCTCAGCATACTCTCCACGAGGTCGCCAAGAGGACCCCAGAAGTCTTTGCTACCGTTCGCCAGTCCGTGCTCATCGATGAACAGCACGTAGTGCTTGAAGCTTGTGTTTAGATGGGGTTCCAGACCAAGCTCGATAATGACGGGGTAGTGGTGACAATAGATGTGCGCGTAGACACGGTAGAGGCGCTTGAACATGTTGCGGATAAGCGAAGGGAATGTCTTCGGAAATGGCACGCCGATGCGGCTTGGGAACATCTGCTCATTATCGACGTTGGACTGCACCCATGCCATCAAGTGCTCAATGTACTCGGGCGCAGGCATCTTGGTTGGCCGCTTGTAGTTCTCGCTATCTTGCCAGAGGTACTCAAACCTGAATACGTTAGAAATTGACCGAACGGATGTACTGTGACCTACTCGTCTGTAGCCTTCATCTCGGGGCAGCTCTGTGGCGAGCAAAACTCGGTGATAGACCCGTAGAGCAGGTTGATCTGGTTGTAGAAGTCGACAACTGCGATTGCTGTCAGCCACGTCTCTAGATGCGTACACCATTCTTACTGTTGACGGCTAGCCATTCATCCTTGTCTTCGCCCTCGGGTAGCTTGACAGCCTTCCTCAGACTGCCACTACCGAGTGTCGCCTCCGCATATTGCTTTAGCTGCCAGCTGCTTGTACCTCGATTCGACTTTTGTGGCTTGAATGGTGCACGAGTGCGCGGGTTACTAAAGAGAGAAGAAAGTAAGTTAGGGTTCGCAGAATAATCATTGTGCGGCGGGTAGGGGAGTGGCCTGGCCGTGGGTTCCATCTTATTGCAGTCGTTCGGAGGATAGTGTCGCTGTTCGGAGTCCAGAACTATCTCACAAGCAGACTTGTTACAGGCAGGCGCGTTGTTACCACCAGGAACAAGGCTGTATGAATGTTCGGCGGGCGGGCGCAAGGGGCTTTCCGGGCGGATTGGCTGTCTGGCACGCTGCTTTGGTGCCGGCCGGCCTCGCGCATTCGGCGTGTTGTCTTCGGCCAGCGCTTTTGTGAGGGCATTGCCAGACGGTGGCAGCCGGAGTGCTTCCCCTAGCCGCTGTAACGGACTCTTGTACGTCTCTCTGGGGACCGCGAGGCTCGTGAGCATGTCCTTCTCGTCATATGGACCTAGGCCTTGTATCCATATCCCTCCAGGGACACTTCGTTCCTCGTAATCGTATAAACTCATCCGGAGATTCATGCAGCTCTGGCTCTGGACAAACGTGGATACAGGGGAAATGGGTTTAGGTTTCGCGGGGAACTGAATACTAGATGGAGAGGAGACGAACATTGTGGTTATGAAGCCTGACATGGCTCTTGCGCTTGTATCGTGAGGTATATAGGTCGAAGGTGTCGTGTGCCGTCTGCCATTACATTCCAGTGGTTAGCTAGGAGACAATGAGGGGTAGAGTCGCAAGAATGCGCGCACTCACAGTTTACGATCAGAGTAGGCTCAAGCGCGCCCAAGAAGCGAGGATTCAGGGTGGTTGACAACAAAAGAAAGGACAAAGAGAGCGGCGTGTTGTTGTGTACCAGAGTGACGCTGGTCCGGCTTGTTTTGGTGTTTGGACCCTAATCTCTATCGCAACTGCCAGACACTCGGGCCAATGACGCAGGCACGTGGAGGCCTATTGCGGCCAAAACATAGGTATCGTGCTACATGTTCGATATTGCACAGTGCACAAGAGGAAATAGTGAGAAAGTCTGTGGGTATTCGAAACCTCTATCCTAGGATCTTAGGGATATACAAAGTGCTGCTATTTACAACTGGTGCAGCTTCACAAAACAACGCCATGCCCGCAATTAGCGCAATCATTTGCTGAAGTACTCGTCTTGCTCGAAGTAGTCCTGGCGCTCCTTGTGGTCGTTGGACTTGGCCTTGGACCCTTGCCTGCGTCTCGGTCGCTCGTCTGTGCCATCTACGCATGTTTCGAACTCGTCTGGTTCGTAGTCTTGCACGCCGGTCCTGACACGCTCGAGCTTACCGCTGACATAATGGTTAAACCTGTCCTGAATCTCTTTCTTGGCTTTGATGGCGTCCTCGTCGAGGTAACCGACTGAATTCTTCCGCCTAGCCGGGCTGGCCGGGTCCTCTTCATCGCCGTTGATACTAGTCTCGTAGTCGCTGCGGAACCCAATGCTACGGGTCGTCGAAGACCTGCGGAGGGTAGATGGCTTCTTTGGTCGACGAGGTCCACTGCTAAGTACATCATCGAAATAGTGCGCCGCAGCAGCAGTCGGTGTGCGTGGGGTTTGTGGGAGTCGACATGTCATGCTGTGAATTGTTAGCCATTTTCCGAGTCTAGAAAAAAATGAACTTACCCAGTATCGTGGATCATCTTCGCGATCAAGCCGGTCCAGCCACACTGATGACTCGCTCCCAAGCCCCGTCCACTGTCGCCGTCGAAGAACTCATGGAACCACATGTAGTCCTTCCAGTTCGGGTCATAATCTAGCATCTGATTGCCATCGTTGATGGCCCTTCTACCGTCATCGCCACGTGCAAACAAATGCTGAAGACGATGCTGAATTTCCTCGGCAACATGGCCAAGATGCATGAAATCGCCAGAGCCCACAGGGCATTCAACCTTCAGGTTGCTGCCGTAGTACAGGTGGAATCGCTGGCAAGATTCGATCAAGAGGAAGTTGACTGCCAGCCAGATAGGTCCACGCCAATTGCTGTTGCCACCGAAAAGGCCACTGTCGGAGTCGCCAGAGAGGTAGCTGACTTGGTAGCGTTGACCATTGACATCCATGGAATACGGGTGATCCTTGTGGTATTTTGACAGCGATCGAATACCGTGATCAGCGAAAAACTCATCTTCATCAAGCATGCGCTGCATGATGCGCTTGAGGCGGTCCTCGCTTACAAGGGATAAGAGCATGCGATCTCCCTGACCACGCTTCTTTATCGACGCGATGTTGCGCTGAGCGGTCTCCGGGCGGTTGTGAATGAACCACTCCACTCGCTTCTTGAAGTTGGGCAGCCTGTTGATGACTTCCGGCTCCAAGGTCAGGGTGGCGTAAAGAGGGATAAGACCAACAAGAGAGCGGACAGGCATCTGCTGGCTCCAGGGGCCTCCCCAAGAAATCGCGTCGTAGTAGAATCCATCCTCTTCGTTCCACAAAGGCTTTGACTCACCGCCTGTGCGGTACTGCATGGCGTCGCTGATCATGATGAAGTGCTCAAAGAACTTCGATGCCATGTCTTCGTAGATACGACGACGCTTGGCAAGTTCCAGACAGATATTCAGCATGTTCAGACAGTAGAAACCCATCCAGCCAGTGCTGTCGGCTTGCTCCAGAACACCACCAGTCGGCAGGGGATCGGATCGGTTGAAAATGCCAATGTTGTCCAGTCCTAGGAAACCGCCCTCGAAGATATTCTTGCCGTCAGCATCTTTGCGGTTGACCCACCATGTGAAGTTGAGCAGCAGCTTCTGGAAGACACGCTCGAGACAGTCAAAGTCCTCACGACCATACATCTTGCGTTCAATCTTGAATGTTCGGAAAAGCGCCCAAGCGTGCACGGGAGGGTTGACGTCGCCAAAGTTCCATTCGTAGGCCGGCAGCTGGCCGTTGGGATGCATGTACCATTCACGGGTGAACAGGTCCAATTGCTTCTTCGCGAAGTCGGGATCGATCATGGCGAGTGGAATGCAGTGGAACGCACTATCCCATGCAGCAAAGAAGGGGTATTCCCACGAGTCCGGCATCGAGAGGATGTCGTCCAGATACATGTGTTTCCATTCCTTGTTTCGAATCGCCTTTCGATCTGGAGGTGGCGGAGGCATATTGGGGTCGCCGTTCGCCCATTGGTCCCAGACAAAGTGGTAGTACTGCTTACACCACATCATACCAGAGAAGGCCTGGCGCTGGATGTTGCGCAGATCATCGGCCATAGGCAAAGGGCTGATGCGGTAGTAGAACTCATCAGCTTCAGCGCGTCGCTGCTCCATGATGTCGTCGAAAAGCTCCTCGTCGAGGAAGCCGTCATTCCTCATAGATAACCTGAAACGCACGACAGCGCACTCGCCAGAGGGAACGCCCTCTTCCTCGTCGAAGGCGTACCAGGCGGCACACTTGGTACCAGTGTTGTCGGGGTTCACAGCGTCAAGGTTCTCGTTCACAATTCGCTCGTGAATGCCGTCCTTGACATACTTTGTCTTGTTCTCAACCTTCCACAGCTTCTTGTAGTTGGTATCATTGTCGGTAAAAAGTAGCTCAGGCTGCACGTCGTCGCCACTTGATCCGACACCAGGGGAAGGTGAGAGCTGAAAGAAACGATCTCCGAGCTTGTGGTGGGTCGTCTGAGCGGTTGCTGGGCCAACCTTCTGTATCGACGGCTTCTTGCTAATGTCTTCGTGTCCCCAAGCCCAGGTGTTCCTGAAGAAGACATGAGGTATAATGTGGAGTGGTGCGGCGTCTGGACCGCGGTTGTATGCGGTGACTCGGAACAACAGCTCATCAGGGTTGTCTGCCTCCTTTGCGGTCTCGATGAAGATGTCGAAGTATCGGTCGTCATCAAAGATGCCGGAGTCGACGATGTTGTACTCGTTCTCGAGCCTGTTGCGCTTCGCGTTCTCTTTGATGAGGTCTTCGTACGGGAACTTGCGTTGGGGCAGCTTGTAGAGGTACTTCATGTACGAGTGCTGGAATCCGGTTAGCTATGCAACACATTGGAGGGAAGTGCCGTACTGTTGGTGTGTTGTCCAGGTGGAAATGAGCCTCCTTGAGCGACTCGCCGTGGTTACCCTGAGGGTTCGAGAGACCGAATAGGCGCTCCTTCAGGAATTCGCTATTAGAGTCAGCATTTTGCGGTAGCGATTGCCAGGCTTGACATACTCCTCTCCGTTCCAGAAAGCAAAGGTGATGTTCTGTAAGCCGTGTGAATCAGAAACACCAGCAATACCGTCCTCACCCCAGCGAAAAGCACGGGATCGTGCCATATCGTGCGTGAAATCTTGGAACAGTCAGTGAGAGATAATGGTGCTGTAGTCGAGGATACATACGGCTCCAAGCGTCTCCATCGTGCCTGTAGTGAATTATTAGTATCTCGACGCATCAGCAGCATCCGGAGTGCTTACGAGTAGTCTTCACGGACTAAAAATCGTTAGCAAATGTCGAGCACAATGTTGTTCAGATGAAGACTGACCTGTAGCCCACTGCCTTTCGGCAACATAGGGCCCCCATCGCTTCCAGTAAGCAGTGCGCTCACGGTCCTCCTTGAGGCGCTTCTCCTCCTCACAGAGGTACTGCTGATTCTCGATGAGAACCATAGTGAATATATGCCTGGGTGGTGTGTAAAGGCTACGAAGTTAACGGGCAATGAATGATGTGTGCGGCTCGGCGCGATAGGCGGTGTCGATGTGGGTACGCAGGGAATCGGACAATCGATTATGCAGCCAGGCAAGATAATAGAAACACAAATAATAGGACAATGCGAGCCAAGGATGGTGTGGGTGGTGTAGAGAGTGCTCTCGCTGCTCGAGACAGAGTTTTGGAGGGAGGCAAGTCAACAACACGAGCAAGAGAATTCGGCAATGGCGCGGAGGTCTGCTTCTTGCCGCACATCGAACGGATGCAGGAACTCGCGAACGGAGTTTCTACCATCGTCATTGGCCCGTGCTGTGCGGGTCGCTGTTATCAACCATGCTGCAGCTGGGCAAGCGCTGTCTTCAGCTGCAGAATCCAGGCCTAGAGAAGAGCCTCAATTGCAGGCATCACGACTCGCAACGGCTTTTGTCGCAGCTTTGCGGTGCCTCTCTGCGAATCTCTGTGCTGCTATCAGTGTCGGGTCGTTTTGCTGAATTGTTGAGCGCGCTTGTCGCGAAAAGAACCATGACGTTCTGGCCAAACGCAGTAGCGTTTCCGAGTCCCACCCACGGCAAGCTTTGATGGGGTGTGGAGATTCATGGAGGTGAGACAGCGCATCCTTGCACAAGGATTACGGAGGAAGTGGGGATAAATCTGGATAGCATCTTCGATGTCTGCCATAGCATCCACCTCAATTGCACAAAATCGCATAGGCGCCGTTGAGGGCTCCAGCACTGCATACGTGCTGCAAGATCACTCGTCAACGGCTTTCGACCATTCTTTGCTTCTAGCTTGTCACATGCGAATGGATACGGACCGCGCACGAGATGAAACAGCAAGGTATGCTGACATCGGCTTTCTGACGGCTGACCAAAACCTCGATCTCAATTGTGTTTTGCCGTAACGTCGCGAACTCCTGCTTAATGTCTTGTTGATTCAAGGAACAAATTGAAGTTTCGATGCGGTGTGAGGCTTGATTCTCATTATCTAATTACGACCAGGCCAGCCTACAACTTGGAGCCCACACTCCTGAGAGGTTCTCAGTAGGTGCACCCGAAGCAATGGCGACCACTTACAAGTGCTTATGGAAGAAGTCCAAGACCATCTTGTAGCCACGTTCGTACTCCTTCTTGACCTTGTCCTGCGATAGATCTCCACGAGCGGCCATCCAGCCGTGTACCTGGTCCGGGAACCACTCGACGATGTTCGGGACTTTGATACCCTTCTGCCATGCCTCGACATCTTCCTTCGGCTCCTTGAAGCACAATTAGTATTGTTTCTAGGGCAATTGGAGACGGCAAACTTACTTCGCCAGATGGTAGCATGATGTAAGGGATCGTGATTCCCGGCGCATCGTCCTTGGCTACCATAGCCGGATGGCATGCTGCAGCGACCTTGAATTTTGAGTTCTCCTGCGAGGAAAGATTGACAATCTTTCCACCCCAGCAGAAGCCAATGATGGCCCACTTCTCAATGCCCTTACTCTTGCTGAGCTCATCAACAATCTTGGGGATCCGCGGCAGTGTCTTCGGAGGCGCAGCCTTTGTCTGAAAGAACTCGCCCAGCTTCGCCTCCTTATCCTTGTTGTCCGGAGGGTACCAGGAGATGTCTGCCGCATTGCCCTCAAAGAAGTCAGGCATGAAGACTTGGTATTGCTGCTCCTTGTCTGTGTAGGCGAGAATGTCGGCACCCTGGAGTGTCTGGGGAAAGAAGCCGAAGATATCATAGACTATCAAGATTCCAGTCTTTGCATCTTTGGAGCCAGTAGCATCTGAAGGGAGCTTCAACAGGCGTGCGTGGGGATAACTTTGGCAAGGAACCTACAAGTCTTCAATCCATCGGCCTGGATCCAATCACCCTTCTCTTTGTAGGTGCCGCTGGTAACGGCGGGTGTATTGCAGCAGGCCTGCGACTGCGTACTTTCTGTTGACATTTTGCTGTTCGTGTTGATCGGTGTGAGATAGCTGGAGGGGAGCCTCTGTATGCAATCGATATACGCGTAAGCTTCAGACTACTGCTCGAGAAGCTGTGTTGCAGATTGGAGCACGAGAGACTGAGGCAACTGCACGTTGTACTTTATTGTAGGGAGGTATTTGTCAAGGTACACTGTACAATTGGCGGAGCTACCCCGCCAATGATGTCACGAGATTTGTAGCTTCAAGCGTCAGCGGCAAATGTGCGGATGACTACATGCGTGTATATTTAGTTCCCTACAATCATCATCGTGACAGATGCGTTAAATCCGAGGTAAGTGTTACAAAGCTGGACAGGCACGAGGGTGGCAAGATTGAACATGAGCTTCGAGAATTGGTCGGCAGGGCCCAAGATTCCCCAGGATCATTACGATCCATGTCAGTACTAGTCTACGTCTAAGCGTCTAAGTTGAGCCTCTCTAGCAGACTGTCAATCTTACCCAGCAAGATCTGGTAGTTCTGAGCGTCCTGCAAGAACTCATCACCAACAGGCTCGCCGTCTAATGTTCGAATAGTTCCAGCAGCAACCTGACCGTAGTTTTCAGTTTCCAGCGATAGTTCATCCATGGCAAGCCCAAGATCCTTTTCTGCAAGTTCGAGTGCTGCTTCCTTATCCATCATTTCGTCAAGCCCAGTATCTTCGAATCGAAGCCTAAATCGCTCTGAAAGGTAGTATCGGATGTCGTCAATCAATTCGACGGTATCCGTTTCCTGGCGCGCCTTGACCCTGTTGGCGGACTCTCGGACGATCTGGGCGAATTCAGGTTCGTCGATGTAGAACTCGAGTCGGTAAGCGATATATCGCGCTGCGAACTCTTCCAAGCGTTGCACTTTAGTCTCCCAACCTGCCTGGAGGACCTCATAGATGTCAACCACCTCATCCGCATCAGTCTCGCCACGAGGATTGTCAGACTCAACCGCTGATGTAGAGCCATTTCCCAACGCTGAGATGATGATTGCAGCTCGCTGCTTCAGCTTGTCAATGAAAAGCATATCCGCAGCAAAGAGCACGTCGATAGCGATGTCAAGGCCGAAATCAGAGCGCTCGGTATACATGAAGGTCAAAATTGTCTCCAGGACTGCAGGTGAGCAATCAACGGTAACGATTTGGAGATGTGGTGTTTCTTGTGCTTCCTTGAACTCCGAGCTGAACATAGTCAAGAAGTACTCTGATCGTAACAGCATCGCGCGGTGTGCAGGGTATACGGTCGACTTTCGAGGCTTGCGCTGCCGTGACGGGGATCTTGATTGCCTAGGGCCAACGGGGAGCCCGTTGAGTGGTCCATTGGTAGTCCTCGTAGCAAAAGTCCTGCCTCCGTTCTGCTCAGGCTCCGACTCTTCATCGTCATCTGCGCGCAGCAAGATGTCAGCGAAGATAGAATTGTCGCGATCCCACTTGATATTATCCACCTTCTCGGTATCAATGACCCTTTTATGTTTTACGATGTTTTTCTGGAACCATTCGTCGAGCTGATTTCGTCCCCTTGCTAGTTCGTCGGCCCTTCGCTGCCGTAACTGCCTTCGATCTTCGATTTCGGTGATATCCTCGAAAAGTCTCTCGATTTCCAGTTGTTTTCCAATCTTGTCAATGCCATTGAGAACCACAAGCTCTTGTTCTTCGCTCAAGCCCATCAGAGCACGTCGGATGGAAACCTCCTGAAAGTATAGATACTGCAGCGCCAGACCGAGTGACTCTGCAGGGATCTTATCCGGCAGCTTCCATGACGGCGTTGACGGCGCTGCTGCCAGCTTCTTCGCAAAGTAAGGCGATCTTGCGGCGAGTAGGAATTTGTGCAGATGGAAAGTCTGGTCAAACGCAGTGATGGTGATGTCCGTAGTTTTCGGCGATGGACGCGTGAGGAGCGAGGTGATATGCGCTGCAAGCGGCTGCAGGGGGTTCGTTGACTTTTGGTAGTCGTAAGACAGCAGCAGGTTGCGGATTCGGTCGTTGAGTGCATTATACAGGCATCGCTCGCCCTGGAACGTGTCTCGCTCGCAAAGCGCACCGTTCTCAAGAAGCAGGCGGATGACTTCGTAGTGGCCGCACAGGCTCGCCTTCGAATGTCAGAGCAGTGCGGGGCTGCATGGTGTTCGCAGGCTTACAAGAATCAGCGGCGTGTAGTCGTAGCTGTCGCGAGCGTTGATGTTCACACGCTTCGAGATCATCTCCTGGCAGACCTTCTCGTCGCCCCGCCGGCACGCCTCGCAGAACAAACGGAAATCCTCGCTCAGGTCCAACGGATTCTCCTCCTTCAGCTGCCCTGCCGAGATGGCCTGCGCCTCGGTTGCGAGGGCTGCCTCGAGCTCGTGCTTCTTCTTGACGTCCATAGCGGCGATTGCGAGTGTTGCCCGCAACGCACAAATGCTCGTCACATCTTTTGATGGTGGCGTCACAGCCTCGGTGATAAGGCGGCGAAGTGGACCCCGGCACCTCGTGCACGTTGTCGCGCCAACCGGCCCCTACCCAAACACGGCTAAACAATCAAAGAGCATGTCTGGAGCCCACCTGCAACATCGCATATCGCATCTCTCGCGCCCTACTAACGCAGCAGCATCACCACCCGATATCGCTTTCGTTGCATGTCTACCGCGCAGTAGTCTTACGTCGCCATCATGCCAGAGGACGACAAGTATGATGTGCTCGAGAAAATTGGTGCGTGTATGGCGGGCTCGGGACGCTGTCTCGGCCGTGGAATGGTATACTGATGGCCGCTGCAGGACATGGCTCCTTTGGGATCATCCGAAAAGTCAAGCGCAAGTCCGATGGCTACATCTTGTGCCGCAAAGAGATCAGCTACTGCAAGATGTCGCAGAAGGAGCGCGAGCAGCTGCAGGCCGAGCTGTCCATCCTCAAGGAATTGCGCCACCCCAACATCGTCGCTTACTTCGAGCGTGACCACATCAAGGCGAGCCAGGACCTACATCTATACATGGAATACTGCGGCAATGGAGATCTGGGGCGTGTCATCCGTGACCTGAAGAACAAGAACCTGGTGTGTGAGGAGGAATTCGTCTGGAGCATCTTCAGCCAGATCATCAGCGCCCTGTACCGCTGCCATTACGGCGAGGACCCGCCCGCTGCGGGCCGCAATGTCATGGGCCTGGCTGCCAACGCAAAGCCGTCCCGTGACGCGCGCTCGAAGCCCATGATTCTGCACCGTGACTTGAAGCCTGAGAACAGTACGTGGACCCTGATGACGTACCACTCACAGCACATGTGCTAACATCAACAGTCTTCCTCGGCGACGACAACTCGGTCAAGCTCGGTGACTTCGGTCTCTCCAAAATCCTCCAATCGCACGACTTCGCGTCCACCTACGTCGGCACCCCCTTCTACATGTCGCCAGAAATCTGCAAGGCCGAGCAGTACGGCCCCCATTCAGACATCTGGGCCCTGGGATGTATAATATACGAGATGTGCGCGAAGCAACCGCCGTTCAATGCGAAGACACATTTCGACCTCATCCAGAAGATCAAGTCCGGCCGATACCCAGACATACCCGCATGCTACTCCGCCGAGCTGCGTAAAGTCATTGCCAGTTGCCTGCAGGTCACCCCTGACCACCGACCAGATACCGCCGCGCTGCTGAACCTGCCAATCGTCAAATTGATGCGCAAGGAGGCGGAAGTAGTCAAGCTGGGACAAGACCTGAAGGAGCAGAGAAGGCTGGCTGCACACAGAGAACAAGAGGCCGCCATCACCATTGAGCGTATGCGCAAAGATATTGATGACCAGCTGCGTCGAGAGTGGGAAGTCAAGGCTCGCCTGGAGATCGAACGCCAGGTCAAAATACAGACAGAGGAGCGAGTCCAGAAAGAGTTGGCTCACTTACAGGCCGAGTTCGAGAAAGAGGTTCAGAAACGTGTCAAAGATGCGCTCAAGAAACACCCCAAGCGTCCCAGCTCGTCACCGAAACTCGCCCCGCGATCGAATACCCCAGTCATGCACCCGGCACCCGAGCACGAGCTGCTCTTCCCTGCTGACACCGAAGCGACTGTCGTGAGTGGGTCGACAAGCACACTCGGTACCAATTCTGGCTTTGGCAGCGGCACTGACATCTCTGCTCTGTCGCTCGAGGATTCTCCAGAACATCCAGAGCACGTTACAATCACAGCTAAGCTCAAACGCCCTACTCGTGCTCCTATCTCTCGCGCCCGCACGATGTTCGCACCCAATGCTCCTGCGTCGCCCGTAGACGTCCAGATGGGCGAACCCTCCCCAGCACCAGCTTCTCTCGCGGGTCTCTCACTCTCGCCCCGGAAAATCGTCTCTCGTCACAACATCTTTGCTGCCGCTAGAGACGGAGCCAAGAAATGGGAGGCTGAAGTACCGCCTTCGCCGACTGAGGAGGAGTGGAACGGCGACTTCGACGACGATGACGACCTCCCCGTTCTTCCGTCTCCCACACGCGCTCGCAGTGCTAACGGCAACCGCTCCGCGAATGACGACCCCTTCAAGGTCCTGGCCAATGCGGCGCGCCCACTCGCCAAACCTTACAGCCGCCTGGGCAGCACACCAAGCCTCGAACCTATTAGGAAGCCTCGACCCGTTTCGGCAGTTCCAATCATTGCCACATCACCCAGTCGACCGAAGTCGAAGTCCACCGAGGGGCTCTCCCCATCACCGCGAAGGACCCACCTGCAGCCCACCGCTGCTTCAGCAGCACGTTCTGAGCCTGCTGTTGGGCTGAAGTCGAAGAAGGGTAACGAAGCGATCCGTATACAGGCAATGCGTAACAATGGCGGAGTCCAGGGCCGCACACTAGTGGAGCTCCAGCAAGCAAGAGGCATCCCCGTCCAGACTATGAGTGACGACGAGGGCATCAGGAAGCGAGGATTTGGGTATAGGAGCCCGATCAAGCTAAAGAGTAAGGAGCCTGCAGTCTGGGATCCAGAAGTCGAGACGGAGATGCCCAGTCCGTTCATCGTAAGGAGTAAAAGGATAGTGCGGTGAGGCGGTCACCGAGTAATGACGATTGACGAACCATGATTTTGGCATGTTTGGATACCTCGGGAACAGGAGGGTGGCTTACTGCATAGACAGATCCGCCAGAGAGCGTGGTGTGAGAACGTTGGATTGACTTTGATCGTCCCTACTATGGCTCTGTCCAGTGGCGTTCTGTACAGCATTTTTGTAACTTCATTTCAGCACGCATATTAGCATCTTTCGGCGACATCTACGATGGGTGGGCGTTTGGTACAGCATTCGGTGGAGCGGGCTTGCTCCCTTAGAGACTTTGTATTGGAGGGTATTATTTGTTCGAAATGCTACCACGACTTATACTTCTATCCAATCTTCCGAGTGGACCGTACGGTGGTGACGGAACCTTAGATGATCTCCGCGCCCCACCAGATTTAAGCTCAGCCTTAGCGCCATGCAGAAGCTCGAGCTCCAAAATTTCCTACAGAACGTCACCAATTTCCAATTCGAACCTGTGATCACCAACACGAATCTCACACAATGGCGACCGCTGCTCCCGCACCTCCACCCACTCTCACGTTCCCCCGTCCAATCTTCGCCGCCGTCTCGCCCCACCCTTTCCTTCAAGCGCATCTCTCTGCAAACCAGGCCGCTCTGCGCGCCAACGGCCGCGCCGCACACGAATTCCGCGCTCCAGGCGTCAACACAGGGAGTCTCACACACAGCAATGGCTCAGCTGTAGTCCGACTAGGCAACACCAGCGTGGTGTGTGGCGTGCGCGCCGAGATCCTTCGAGAAGAAGACACCCCCGGCACATCCTCGCCCGCAGCAGTAAACGACGCGGACGGCAACGACAACGAAGACACCGAGGGTGACGAGATCGAGAGTCTGCGCCTCCTCGTACCAAATGTCGAACTCAGCACCGGCTCCACCCCCGCCCACATCCCCGGCAACGCGCCCTCCACTTTCGCCCAGTCCCTTATCACCCGCATACGCAGCTTGCTGCACTCGACGCGCTTGCTGCGTCCACGCGACCTGCGCATCACCTACACACCGACCACCAACCCCGAGGACCCGGAGGCTGCGCCCGAGACGCAGCTGAAGGGCTACTGGGTCCTGTACCTCGACGTGTTCTTCATCAGTATCGACGGCGCCGCGTTTGATGCTGCCTGGCTATCCATTCTCGCGGCGCTGAAGAACACAAAATTGCCGCGCGCGTTCTTTGACGAGGAGTTTGAGGGGATATTGTGCTCAGACGACCCGGCTGAGGCGGCGGCGCTGAACTTGCGCGGGCTGCCGGTGCCGAGCTCGTTTGCGGTGTTTGAGGGCAAGGGTGACGGCGACGGCGAGCAGGGCGACAGCTGGGTGCTGAGTGATCCTGATGCGTTTGAGGAGGGCGTGTGCCGCGAGACGGTGACGGTTACGGTTGACCGGGGGACGATTCGACGCGTGGAAAAGAGTGGTGGTGGAGTTGTTGGGAGGGAAACGATGAAGGCGCTGGTCAAGAGGGCGACAGAGAGGTGGAGTGTCGTTGAGGGAGCTGTCGGTGGGAGGGCTTGAGCACTTGGCGCCGCAAAAGAGCAATCACGATAGTGCATCGAGAACTGGAGAAGTGTCCAGAGAGCGGAAGAAGTGTTCAATCACCAGCATTATATAGAAGGTACGATACGTATACCAGAAGAAAGCTGCTAACAGGCAAGCATCGATGAATATCAAGACATTACGCTTTTTACATCTCAAGGGTATCCAAACGCAACGCACACCTCACGCCCTCACCCTTGGCTCAACCCCGCCTTCCCAAGTTGCTGCACCGGCGTCCACTTCGTCTCCTTCTTCCACTGATCGCCCCTGAGCGTGCCCTGCGCCAACTGCGAGATCAGATAATCCCTGCCCTTGATCATCCACACCATCTGGCTGGGCACCTTGAACCCATTGAACGCGCCGACGCCCTTCTGCGTGCCAATGGGGCAGATCTGCTGCTCCTTGGTGTTGGCTACGTAGTGCCGGTCGCCCGCGAACACGGTGCCATCCAGGTGACGCAGCAGATCCTGCTTGAGGTTCGTCATGACGACGGGCACCGCAAGCGAGAGATCCATGACGCCGCCGCGCGTGTAACTACCGACGTCGCCGAGGGCGTAGACGCGCGGGCCGGCGGATTCGTGCTCGACGCGCAGGGTTTGTGGGTTGCAGGCGAGCTTGTTGCGGTTGTCGAGCCATTCTTTAGGCAGGAAGGATGTGTTTGGGCGCGAGCCGGTGGCGTCGATGTAGATGTCTGTTTCGATCGTCTCGCCGTTGGACAGCTCGACGCGGGTCTTTGCGTTGGGCTCCTCTGAGATCTTGGTGGCGGTGACGACGCGTATGTTGTACTTGACGCTGCAGCCGAGTTTCTTCAAAAAGCCCTCTGCCGTTTTTCCAATACTCTCGCGCAGTACGGGGAGAAGTTTCTTGTCCGCGCAAATGAGCGTGACTTCGGCTTTGGGGTTCTTTGGCCCAGCAGCCATGAAGCCTGGTCGCCCATTCAGTATCTCAGCGATTTCGCCTGCTGTCTCGACGCCCACAGGTCCACCGCCGCCGATGACCACTGTCTTCGCAGTCTGGAGGCCTTTCTGGAACGAATCGTATACAGCCTCCAATGCTGCGCGATCAGTGGCCTGCGTGAACAGCGGACTCGGTGTCGTGAAGCCCGTTGCAATGATGAGTGCTGCGTAGGGAACTGTCTGCGTTTCGCCATCCACGTTTGTGATGCTCACACTCTGTCCCGCGGCATCGACGTGTGTAGCTGTACCCTGGATGAACTTGAACTTCGGGAATGCGTATGTAAAGGCTGGTTCGATAGGATAGAAGACATCATCGTAAGGCATCATCTTCTTGCTCACCAGCGCTCTCGGGGCCGCAAAGCGCCAGTACAAGTCCTTGGAGGGATTGACGAGGGTGACATTGTATGTTACATCGGCTTTCTTGGGGAGCTGTGGGATAGTGTGCTTGAGCGCGTAGTGTGCAGCGCTGATACCGGCGAAAGATGCGCCTAGGATGAGGATCGTTTCTGTGCTCATGATTGCAATTGTAGGACGAAGAGTACTGGAGAAGAAAAGGAGAACGGAGAGAAGTAGCACCTGCGACGCTACCAAAGTGAAGAGTCAAGACAGCGGCGCGCCCAAAATAAAGTTGAGCTTGCCCGAAGCTTCATCGTGCCTCAGGACTAAGAATGGGGAGCCGAGAGCTCGGTAGGTTATAGCAGATGCGGTGCGTTAGTGGTGGAACATCGGTAGTGAGACGTGAGAGGCATTCAACAAAACAGAGTGCTGTCAGCATCCTTTTCGCGCATTCAATCAGACGTTGTGAAAGTACACTCGGTTGCGTTGAAAGTTGTGCTTACTTGCACATCGCGTGAGTCTGGTGAGTTGGTGGCTGCTCATATCGGAAACATTGGTCGAAACCCACAAGTCTAAACTTGTTACCGTCTAGGCTCGGTAGCTCCCACACGGCTCCTGCCTTAGTCGACGAGGCTGTTCTGCGTGTCGCAGGATACAGATCGGACGTTTACATGACATGGTCAGGAGATGGCTAACTAGAAAATAGGCTTTTCTTTTCTTTACTGAAGACGTTGTAGTTCAAGACCATCTATCAACTCCGGCATGTAAGGTTGGGTAGATTTACTATCCTCTGGTAAAGGTTAACAGAGAAAGATGCATCTAAGTTCAACAGCAATATAAGACTTTCGCTCTCACTCGTTACTTACATGGTGCTGTCGTGCGCGTACAAGGTTTGCTCTCAATGCTCAACAGCACTCGTGCTCATTGCGATCGACGTTGAGGGGTCTTAACTGGCTGATCTTAGAACATGGAACTGAGCCATCCAATCGCGAACGCGCCTTTCATTCAAGAGGCCAAACCTGGATCTAAATCACAGAAAGTCACCAATCATTGTCCTCGTACGGTATCACATATCCTCCATAGGAACGGCTTCTTGCGTGCTGGGATTTTTTCATTTCATATCTTTCATGATACGCCAGTCTGGTGTCCACGTCAACGATCCACCGCGACTGCCCAACTCAAACAAAGCTGACGACTGCATGAGACTGGTAGTGTTGCTCATGAGCCGTCCATAGGCCTCCACTGCATCTGCGCTGCGGAGCTCCTACACACTTCGCTGCCTCGACTGTTTAACACAAAGCCAGCTTACTCGACGTCAGGCTTGTTGTCGGCCTTCTCGGCCGACTCAAAGCTGTCGCCGGCAACGAGATCGGGGATGTCATCATCATCCTCATCGTCATCCTTGCCCTCACCCTTCTCCTTCTGCATGCTCTGGTAGCTCTCGGCAAGTTTGCGCAGCGATGCGAGCGAGTCGGGGCCGAGCTGGTTAAGGATACCGGGGACGAGCTCGGTCAGCTCCTTGTCCTCACCGACACCGTAAATGGCGAAGGTGTTGGCGGGTACCGAGGCGTGAACTGTTAATTTGGTATTAGCACATGTACTCCTTCAACGCCAAGGCCTGGTGGTCTGGCAGACATGCACTGGCGCAAAGGACCTTTTGCGTGTGATGCCTGACACAATCCCTCGCAAGCCGTCAGAGTTAATGGAATTGTACCTACCCTTTGGTGCCGAGAAGTGAATGACGTTGCCGTCGCTCTTGAACATGTTGACCTCCTCAATAGCCTGGATAGGCTGGACGTTCAGCTTCTTGAGCGCAGCCTGGAGCTTCTTGTCGTCGGTGCCAGCGGCCCTGTGGACCTTCTTAACCTTCCTGCGGGGTGTGCCTTTGCCTCTGTATTATTCAATCAGCCTTCTATTCCATATTCAAGGTTCACGAGTCTCATATTCTGTCATGACGTGGGGATGGAAGCTCCGCTGAGTTTTATCGATGTGCGATGATGCATGGGCGGGGTGGTGGTAGATCGGGGAAGAGGTTTGCTTACCCTAATTACTCATGTTAGCGAATCCATTGCTATTCAAGCTTCAATCCGCAGGTCTTCAGGAAGGAGATGACCGCAAATTGACGGGAGACAACATACCAATGCGCACCGACGCTTGCATGCGTGCCAGCTTGGCCTGATCCATATTTGCGGTTGTGGGGGAGAGTGACTGTGGGGGGGTCTGCGGTCGCGGAATCGTCAGCCAGAGGTCGTGCAAAATTCGATCGGGATAGCTTCGAGCTTTTGGGTACGGGGACGGTTCGGACTCACCTAGATTCGGCGTTGTGAGGCAAGACTCAGCGTGGTGTTGCGGTATGTGCGGATTCAAGCTGCAAAGTCCGTGCACGCCTCGCTTGCTGTCGTCAGTTGCGGGGCACGATTTTGCATAGCAGTGCACCTCTCATGCGCATCACAAAGTCATCACGATACTTGACGTTTCTGCGTACGAGCTACGCTTTGTAGACTATCCATGAATATGGTGGTCTGGACACGCGTCGGGCATATGACATGGTTTCGTGTCGCCATTGAGCAATGAGGAAAGCCGCAGCAAGGGAACAACACATCCGAACACTACTTCACAAGATCGGTTCGTAGGCCCTGGGCTACAATTGACATGTTGATATCAGCAGAAAGTTGATCGTGCAAATCATTACAAGATAAATTGGAATTGGTATCATCGGTGCAGTACAAATAGTTATGTTCAACGACTGGCCTAATCACTCCCACTGTCTACAACATCGCCAGCCCAGCAATTCCTACGGCGCCCAGAACCCACGATGCAGCCTTTGCCTGTGACGCACCTGCAGGACTTGCTGTTGGAGAACTAGCAGCTCCGCTTCCACTTGCACTACTACTTGTCGTGCTTGTGCTGCTTGTGTCGTTGGGGTTGCCAGACAGGTTCTCCTGGGTCACTGAGACGCCGCTGCCGTTCTTGCAGTTTGTGCTGTAGTCCGACTGGGAGAGTGTTGTGCTGACCAGGTTGACATCGGCGCACTGCCTTGTCGTTAGCTTTGTCAGGTGACCATATGCATCTCTATAGCTTACCTGGTATAAACCACCGTCGCCGTGCGCATTGGTAATGACTTGAATAGAAGCCTTTGTGCCATCTGTGATATTCAAGTTCGAGGGGATGCTGACGTCGCCCAAGCAGAAATCTCCGTAGCCAGCCACCACGAATTGAGGCTTCAGGACGACGCTGAAGCCACTGGGGTTGTCGCCGACGGCCAGATACACAGCTACGTTGGTCTGCTGATGGCCCAAATTGATCTGAATAGGCGCGCCGCTGATGGGAAAGTCGCTGCGCTGCGCTGCGACAGTGTCATAGCCTCCGCAAGGAAAGGTGGACTCCTTGTCCTCGTCGAAGCCACGGGTGGCAGGGTACTTGAGGGTGAAGTGGGCAAGAGCAGCAGGCGCAAGTGCGAGCGCGACAATTGATTTGGACAGCATCTCGTTGTCTGGAAGCTTGTTGACTGAGGTGTGAATGGAGCGTCAACGATGGTAAGAACCCTTGAAGATGTGTAGAAAGAGGAAGGAAGAAATACTACTGTGCAAAACAAAGCTTATGGTATACGAAAGAGGGCGAGCCTGGGCGTGCTGCTGTACTTATTATTACCCAGTAGCATAGTAAAGCTCCCCGTATGCCGTGCATTCCGTCCCACGACTTCACGTGGCTCGCGCGTCGCGCCTCTCACTCCAGTCCAGACACGCCCTTACACCATTTGAGCAGGTGAGCAAGATCTTGCATCACTGGTGGAATTGACTAAAACGTTAACCACCATCAGGGTACGGTGCGCTAAGATGAAGGTGCAGGAGATGTGAGCAAGTTTCTTACCAAAGCGGCGATTCTACTCCAGCCACTAGCGTAGTAGCGGGGGTCTTGCTATGGCCCTAACAGTTCGGCCTCCACGCATTGAGTCCCGTTTCGCGATATCGGTACATGTTCACCGGATGGCAAGAGATACAATCGCGGGAATAAAGTGCGGCGGTGATGGTGGACCATCGCACAGGGTCAATCAAGCTTTGGCTAGCGGATGTGGCAGCGTTTGTATGTACAAGTGAACTGCGGGTCCTGCAGGGCGCCCCGCTCAAGAGGTAATATTATCACACTTTGGGAGGGTACAGGCTCAAGACGAGCTCCGGGCTCAGAGTCTTATAGAATTGCTCATGAAGAAGTGGTGTAATATTGCGTGTAGCGCTCGCTACCATTCTAAAGCATCGATGCTCAACAGCGCTTTTACATCGCCATGTTCGCCTGATTGAAACGACCCAAAGCCAGTTCGCCAATGAAAGTTCCTGCAAGAATAGACAAGAAGTAGCCGACGTTGAAAGTCATGACAGCCAACATACTGCATCAGTGTTAGCGGTGACTCTTTCATGAAACAGTGACTGCGCAACTTACAGAAGATACCCAACACCTGTTGCGACCATCATCAGGGCAGCTCTAGGAAGATCGACGCTGAATCTCCAGGGTTGAACAAGCCTCACCGGCGCTGAAACAATTCGCACATCCTCCTGCATCCCGTTCGTGGTCAGGATTCCAGTCATCGAGTTCGCGTCGTTCGCCTGTTCTGCAACTGCCTTCTCGCCTGCAACAACAACGTAGCGTCGTTTCATTGCGGTCTCCAGTGCTTTGGCCTCCAGGAAGCTCTTTGCAGTGAAGATGCCGCGGAGTGTAATAGCCAGGATAATGAGGAAGATGCATGTTCCGGCATACTGTCCGGCATTTTGCGGCGTCCATGCCTCCGAGTAGAGAGGTGTATTAGTTGCTGTGAAGAAGGCCATTGCCATTCCAGTGTGACTTGAGGTCGAGCCTCCCATGTCATGTCCGCCCATATCCATGTCCATGCCTGCCATTTCAGCACCGTGAGCAACCATCTTGACGTAGCGAGTAGATCGAGAAGAATTCAGAGGGGCTTAGAGGACTTTTAGGTGGGATGGGGTGTTCGGGGTGAGTTCCAGACTGACCTTCGTCTATGGGATTGGGCGATGATCACTTAAAAGTACCAAGATGTAATGCTGTGGGTTCCGGCGGACTGGGTAAGACAGAACCTTAGCATTGACGCATAAGATACGAAAGCAGTTTGTGCGATATTTTGCGGACAGAAGAGTTCGAATGCGTGAGTTGTTGCGACAGTCAAGTGATGTCAAGCCTGGGCTGATGCGCAAAGTGTAAGGGAATCTAGATGACACCTGCACAAGGTGACACGTGCCGGAGGCCTCATGCCGAGTGCTCGGCGGTGTAAACTGCGCGACCGGGACACGGCTGGCTCTATTGTCTGCGTGCGGAGACCGTAGCGACGTTCGAAGAGCCGTCGAGGGGAGGAGCGACTTTGAGCAGAATTAGCCGCAAACGGTTAGCGGCTGATGCTTGTGTCAAGCCACGCCCGCCAGGGTGCAACAAGCCCGACCCGCACACTGAACATGCATGCATCAAAAGAGCGAGTTTGAGCGCGTCGTGCAGTAGCATGCCGCTTATTACCAGTACGGTGGCTGGCGGCGACCGTGATCTTCGTGCCGGTTGACATACGCCACCTCTCTGTGTACCAAATCCGATCTCTTTGCACCTTCAGACAGACACCGTCTTGAAGTCAGAACTGTATCAGCACACTTGATACCAACCTCGGTAGTACAGCTTGATATGGCAAGAACCGCGACAGCAACAATGCGATAGCGAAGAACAACGCCCATCTTCACCCCACCTCAGAAAGTCGTTACGATCTACGCTGCGTTGGCGACTGGAGTGAAGAAACAAAAACGAAACATCTCTTTGCCGCATCGACCGGCACTCTAACACCATGAGCCACAGCGGCCATGGAGGGATGTCCATGGGATCGGTGGTCTTGCCTGCCCTTCCGGAGTTTCCCAAGTTCTATTACGCAGTTGTAGGGAGCGCAGTCGCTGTTGCGACAATCGTCAATATTTACAACGTCTTGTTGTGCAGACAAAGACTGTCCGCAGCAAGAGCAAGGGCCCCGTCGCCTGCAAAGCCGAAGTCCTTGTTCGCCGTATGGAATGCAACGGTGTTCGCTTTGACACGAGAAGCATCCAACTATTCCCTCCGGGTACCTCTTAAGGAACGATTCATAAGACTTCCGACTGTAGGTCGTACTACTTTGGTCTTGGCGAATGTGGTTGTCCTACTAGTGCTCTGTTTCTACGGGCTCAATCTCACCAATCAGTTCCAGAAAGAGAGCGTTGGATTTCGATGTGGTATTGTAACGATTGGCCAGCTACCCCTTATCTTCTTGCTCTCTGGAAAGAATAACATCATTGGACTTTTGGCTGGCGTGAGCTACGAACGGATAAACTGGCTGCATCGATGGGCTGCGAGATGCATGCTTCTGACGGCCACCATTCACATGGGCTACTTCTTTAGTTGTAAGACTTGCGTCCCAACACCTTGATTTGCCATTCGCTGACTCTCACACAGCATGGGCTCCGTACGACTACATCGGTGTCCAACTCAAGCAAAACAAGCTCGTGTGGCGGGGATTGGCAGCGTGGTGCACGCTCGTCTGGATCAACTTCAGTTCCTCAACACCCATCCGTGGATGGAACTACGAACTTTTCGTCGTTCAGCACGTAGCCTCATTCGCGCTACTCGTCGGTTTCACATATGTCCACGCCCCGCCGGAGCTGCAAGGTTATGTATGGGCTGCAGTGGCGCTGTTCTTCTTCGATCGTGTCATCAGGACATTGCGGTTCTTGTATGCCAACATATCTCTCTTCCACTCATCGCGTGATGGGCATGGGTTATTGGCGTGCAAGGCCGAATTCACACCACTAGCTCACAACACAACACGGATTACCATCAGAAATCCCTCCATCAGCTGGTCGCCTGGCCAACATGTGTTTTTATCATGTCAAAGCATCGCCCCTCTACAGAACCACCCGTTCACTATCGCATCGATCCCTGAAGATGGTAAGATGGAGTTCTACGTCAAAGCGCAGTCCGGGGGAACAAGGCGCTTCTTCAAACACGCCCAGAAATCACAAGACTTAGCTGAGACAACAACAAGGTATGGCGCCGTCAGGAATAGATCATCGGGGTTCGCTGACATTTCTTAAGACTGAAGACCGTTGCGATTGAGGGGCCGTATGGACGTCACAGACCGCTTCGCCAATTTGATAGCGTTGTCTTGCTTGCCGGAAGCACTGGAGCAACATTCACCGTACCGTTGCTACGGGACATTATCCAGGGTTGGAAAAATAATAATGACCCAACATTGACATCAAAGTCGTCGCTGTTGTCGCCACAGACCGGCGCAGTCACGCGCCATGTCCGCTTTGTGTGGGTTGTCAAAAGTCGCGGGCAGCTTGAGATGTTCGCTGAACAGTTGTCATCTGTATACACAGATTTCCAGATCCTGCAGGAACATGTGAGGGACATCAAGCTCGAAGTGACGGTCTACGTGACTTGCGATGAATCCTTTACTGACGAGCACGAATCGTTACTCTCCACTTTGACCGCGCCGAAGAACACAAAAGCATCAAACAAGGCTGTAGAGCACGGCATAGTAGAGCTCAGAAACCGCACAGGAGGAGGCAAAGACCAATACATCAAGGATGAGGTGATGGAAGTCACAACAAGTTTGTCGCGAGACCCAGACAACCAATGCCGCTGCCGCGCCACCGTCGACGAAGCCTCCACATCCTCCCCAGCACCGTGCTGCTGCTGCACACCTGCAAACGACGCAGACTCTTCCCGCGCCAGCTCATCGTCCGTACGGCCGCCACACAAGCAAACACTCCTCGTGCACCCCTCAATCCAGATCTTCAGCGGCCGGCCACAGACCAAGAGTGTCATTCGTCGCTCTCTCGAGCAGGCGCTCGGCGAGTCTGCGGTCGTGGTCTGTGGGCCGCAGGGCTTGGTCAGTGATGTGAAGCAGTGTGTTGTCGAGCTGAGTGATGAGCGGGCGGTGCATAAGGGGACAGGGGCGCAGGGCGTGTATTTGCACACAGAGAGCTTTGGGTATTGAGTAGACATCATACAGAGCTGATGAAATGAATATTGTAATTACTTGAATTCACATCCTCGCATCCTTAGGCCTATCTGACCCGACTAGCTATTTATTCCATATTAACGACGCTTATTTGTTCAGCTCCTCGGCCCTCTTCTTGAGCTCCTCCTTGCTCGCCGGCTCGGGCAGGTTGTCTGCGTGCACAGGGCCCTGTCTAGCTGTCAGCGTCCATCCGGCATGCTGCAGTTTATCCCACAGGAACGGTGTGCTGCGTACCGGGTTGGCCTTGTGCGCGTTGGCCGCGACGGAGCCGCCGCTTGTGGCCTCGTTGTCGACCTCTGTTGATGCGTTAGTGGGGTTGTGGTCGTGTGGGGCGGGCTAGGGCGTACGGTGGAGCGGGGCTGTGGAGGCGTTGGAGTCCTTGGAGTCCTTTGCGACCTGGTCGGTGATGCCTGGAGATGTTAGTGTGGGGACGTGAGGAATAGATGCGTGGGAAGGTGGGGTAGAGGGGAAGAGCAGGTTGACAGCACACATGCTTATAGAGATGAGATTACGTACTGCCGGAAGTGGTCTCTTCAGCTGGGTGGACTGGCATGTTGTCGGTTCTGTTGTTTGTTGGCCTTCTGTCTGACACGTGCGGATCTCCGATGTCTCGGAAAGCGTCCACAAACTCGAGGATGTGGTTTACCTTGGGTGTTGTGATAAAAGTGACGGCGGGTTTGCGAGCTCTAGTGTTTGGGTTGATAAGTCTAGAAGCTGGGTGAGGGTGGCATGTTTATAAGGCAGGCGCCAGTGGTGCGCAACTCGCGCGTCAGGAGGGCTCTGTTGCCGCGTGGTGACGTAGTAAAGGATGGTGAGATGGGCTTGGTAGGTGGGGCAATGAGCAGCTGGGCAGGTGCATCGGCTTAGCGCGGGGTATGTCTTGTGTGATGTTCATTAGTATGGCGATTGATTGTGGCAGGACTATTTGCTGTTGTAAGTAATTATGCTGTTCGTACAGGTGGTGGTGCTCAAGCCTCGGCCTAGTCAGACGTCATACATCTGAAGTGTCCACGGACTCGACATGATGTGCAGTAAATGGTATATTCTCGAGAAATACGAGCTATATGTCCCGCTGAGAGCTCTTCGTGAACGCCTGCAACTCCCAAATGTCAATGAATAAAATACAGGTCCAATGAGGGAATACCCTTAGTGCCGGTAGTCATGGCCTATCGCTGAACAAAAAGTACAAGGTCTTGAGCAGTTAACCTGGCGTACAAACAAACAGTGGTATCGATTGGGATAGCTGAAGCATGATGTGTCCGCCCATGAATGCAACGGGTTTACGAGACCATCCACCAGGCACCAGCAACAATGGCAACGAGGACAATGATGGTCAGGATACTGGCCCCAGCCTTGTCGCCGGTGGTGACAGCGTCGAAAGTAACGGGAGTCTGAGGTACGTCTGCTCCGGCATTGGGGTCAGATTGCGAAATACCACCGTTGTTCTGTGTAGCAGGGCCAGAGACAGTGGGATAAAGCAGACCCTGGACAACCTCCAAAGCAGCCATCTGCTCACCAACACCAAAGCTACCATCGTTCACGCCATTATCGATCCATCGGAGGCCGCAGGATGTCTGGTTGGCGCCTCCAATGCACTGCGCGGCCGCGGCTTTAGCCGACGCCTGGAGAAGTGGATCGATGTACTCGCGGGTCCAGGGGGCGATGACTGCAGTGTATGCCATCCAGCGCGCAAGATACGCCTTGAATGATCGCTGATCGACATCACACTTGCCGTTGTTCTCGCAAGCGACCTCAGTCATGACGCCGTCCTTGAAGAAGACACCAGCACCATCGATCAGACCCTTTAGGCGAGTCCTCCACAGATCATTCTGGGTCACATTCCACATAGCAGCAGCGCCAGCCATATGCACACCGGCGTTGTAGGTCCATTGGATGTGGTTGATGCTGGAGCAGTTCTGCTTGTCGTCTGTACCATCGTAAAAGTGGAAGTCCGGGCTCATGAGACCCACAGAAAGCTCCCACTCCCAAGCACGCTCGGCCCACTCCGCGTACGTGTCGTTGCCAAGATACTTGTAGAGACGCGACGCAATGTTGAAGAAGCAGCCGTTAGAGATGGTGTTCTTGTAGTTGTAGCCATTGTTGAAGGTGAAGATCTGCCACTTCAATCCTCCTCCACAGGTAGCATTGTCCCAACGGTCTTTCTGGGTGTTGAAGACGGCCTGGGCAAGGGAGAGCCAAGACGGCTTACCGTCTCCAAGGTCAGGCAGCTTGTTTTCAGCAGCAGTCATAGCGGCCATTCCCCAGAAGGCCTGGTCGTCATTTCCAAGCGTCTTGGTTTGGTTGGCCGGCATGAAAGCATTGTAGTCTCCAATCTGAGCCTCCATGGCCTGGGACGTAATGCCATTGTACTGGTCATCGCCAGTGTAGTACCAGTAGTCGATTAGAGCATTGAACATAGCACCGCATTCCCACCAGTAGTACGGATCTGGCAAGTTACCAGGTGTGTCGCCAACACGGTCACCAGTGTAGTACTGGCGCAGACCACCGGAGAGGGTCTTTGCGACCTGCTTGATGTTGTCTGCGCGTGTTAGCAGGAGTAGCGCAGCGCCGCCGAGCACACCCACCAGGCGAGTTGATGTCCAGCTGGATAGCACCGACGCCGGACAGGAGGACACTCGAGGCCCCTATGGCCCCAAGGGCAGAAGAGAACTTCATGGTGTGCAAGCCGAAAGCGCGGACAGATGAGTGCAGATCGAGGGCGAAGATGCCCAGAGTCAAGCGCCGGGCTTGGTTCAATTAAGGCGCCGCGCGGCAAGTTGGGAAATGGTTGACGTAGTGTTGAAACGAGCGACAGAATCCGGGGAAAGAGAGCGCCGAGGGCAACGCGCGGTCGACGGCGAGAGTGAATTATAGGGTTGCGCAGGTGGAGATGGCTAAAGAGTGTGGTTGCTGGGAGGCGGGACTTGGGTGGCAGAAGGGCTGGCTGGCTCGCGGGTTCAGGGGACCGACTGACGACGGCACCACGGATGCGCAGCCAGTTGCGAGTGTTCCAGGGCGAGTGCCTGCGCCGACGATCCTCGCAGCCGTCCGCAAGCAGGCAGTGGGTGCATTAGGCGCACGCAAGCCGGACTTCGGTCAAAGCAAGCATTCACCATTCTTCTTTATCGATTGTTGCGCACACACAAACCCGAGGCCCTCACGTCCGCATTCCAAGTGCCTGCAGTACCCAGCAATGCTTGTCTTGGGCTCTTGGTGAGGGCTCAGCAGCGCTCGGGCGACAGACCCTGGCGATTACGAGGCCCTGCTCCAGGCTCGAGCCAGCGCCGCCGGCCAATCTAATTTCGGCGCGCTTTGTTGCCACGCCAGCTGCTCACATTTCGCAGCAGTCGTAATGGCGGTGGCTGCGACCGGCACGTGACTGGCGGCGCTGCGCTGCCGTGGCGCAGACGCAGCGCAGGCGGGCGCGCGTGAAGAGGCATAAGAGCCATCGCACGCTCAAACTCAGGCGCTGCACTATTTTGCGCTTGCCCGTGTTCCTGTTACACCTGTCTAGACTCTGGAAAATCGCGGTTGTGTTGGGTTTCACGCCGCATCAGCCTCAAAGCTCTGACACACGCTGTCAGAGAGAACGCCCAGGTGCCCTGCCGAGCAGCCAGCTCTCCTCGCCGCTCCGCCTTCCTCGTCACCAACCACCGCTCCACACCCATCACCCTAACGACTTTCACGACACCATCCATCAACGCCCCAGTCGCACTCACCTAAACCGCTCACACACCCTTTACATCCACCATGGCCGACCGCGAGCAGCCCTACGACCCGTACATCCCTTCCGGCGGCGCCGGCCAGCAGGGCGCAGGAGGCCAGAATGGCAACGTGCGCACTGCCGCTCTCCAGGCGGTACGTTCCCACCGCGCATCCTGCGGAGTGCAGACCAGCTTTGCGACGGTTGCAGCATTGCAGAGTGTCGAGGTGCAGCAGTGCTGAAGTCGTGGTCGGGGGGCTGGTCTCGCAGTCCACAGACATGACATCAGCCTCGTGGCGACGACCACGCACGCCCAAGCAGCATTCCAGCACATGCTGGAGTCTGCGCTGCGTGCAATGCTCTCTGTGCTCGACCTCCGCACGCTCCGTCCCTCTGCATCGAGTGTTCCACGCAGCCGCTAACAAGTCGCACAGGAAATCGACAGCACCGTAGGCATCATGCGCGACAACATCAACAAGGTCTCTGAGCGTGGTGCCCGTCTCGACTCGCTGCAGGACAAGACCGACAACCTTGCTGTCTCCGCACAGGGCTTCAGGAGGGGCGCCAACCGCGTGCGCAAGCAGATGTGGTGGAAGGACATGAAGATGCGCATGTGCCTGATTGTCGGCATCATCATCCTGCTCGTTGTCATCATTGTCCCCTCTGGTGGGTGCTCCTGGTTACCGTTGTTATCGGGCGAGAGCTAACATTGTCAAAGTCGTCGCAACGCAGAAGAAGTAAACGCCCTCACGTCAGATACCACGAAACATACCACATAATAATTGCGTAACGGCGGACAGTCGCACGGCCACGAGGAGGGAGAGTGGTACCGTTGTGCACTGTGTTTATGACACCCTGTAGAATTTACGTCTACGACTGCGTGCGAGCCAGGCTCGATTTCTTGTCTTTCTTTGCTGCATTTGAACGACCGGCACGGAATGCGGTCCTGCATGACAGTGCTTGGGATGCTCTCTTACGATATGATACCTTAGGAGCTGTTCTGGGCATAGCCGGGAGACGCTCACAATGGAGTTCGAATGCTTTACACTCGTCTTCTTGTCCATAGCCAATGGCATGATACTCTGATAGACCTTGAGATGTTCCCGCGGGTGCTGCATTGCAGAAGGCAGGTACAGCACTCTGACTTTGGTCATGCAGGAACGAACGACACCCTCTTATCCACGTGATTCAGTCAGTCGATGCCAGGTACCAGCCCCTCACGAATCTGTATGACGTCTCGCAAGATTCTTGTGGATATCAACGCAGATCCACATGTGAACCTAGGAAAGTTGCGGAATAGCACAGGCAACGGCCAGCTGCGGTCCACAGCGGACCTCGAGATAAGCTGTCAGAGGTATTTTCAATATGTCGCGCACACGTGTCTGCTGCCAGGACAAGCCAGTGCAGAGCAGCTCGGTGTCATGCACGCAATTAACGCAGACGGCCTGATGGAGCAGGTCTGCAGCACGTGCAGTGAGGCTTTTGGGTTGCAGGATAATTTTTTATCAGATCCTTCATCTGATTAGCCAGCTCCACCAAACGCGGGCGCTGCCTTTCTCGCTCACGGCTGGCTGCCAAAGAGGGAAATTTTGCTCGAGCGACTTGGGCTGCGGCCAATAAGCCGGCGGTTCCCCAGACGCGGCCCTGGTTATCGCGCCACTTTGCGGGTTAGATACTTGACGCTGTTTGCGTTATCGGAAGCGAATTTTGTAGCTCAAAGCTTCAAGCGTCAATCCTTCCTGTCTGTCTGTCTGACTCTTCATCCCTCTACACGCCAATTCGCGCTCTCGCCGCCTTCCAGCCCTCGAGCAGCCTCCTTCGAGCCCCGCGAGCGAGACGGTCACCATGCAGGGCGTCGTACGAGCCGGTGCGCGCGCAGCAGCACGCTCGTCCCGCCAGATAGTTGCGGCTTCTGGTCGTAGGCACCTTCCTCGCGCCCTTGTCGCCAGCACCACCCCGAGCCGCCTGTACACCACCGGCGACGGCCAGAAGTCGTCCGTATACGCCGCCTTCCTCAACTTGCTTGCCAGCGCCAGCTCCCGCCGCGAAGTCGACCAGTACCTCGGCCAGTTCCGCTCCGTCAAGCCGCACCAGTTCGCTGTCGTCAAGGTCGGCGGCGCCATCCTCACAGACCACCTCGACGAGCTATGCTTTGCCCTGCAGCAGCTGCATGCCATTGGCCTGTACCCCATCATTGTCCATGGCGCCGGTCCCCAGATGAACCAGACGCTGCTGGACTCTGGTGTCGAGCCCGACTTCATTGACGGGATCAGAGTCACAGACAAGAAGACGCTGGGCATTGCGCGCAAGCTCTTCTTGGAGGCCAACATGGACCTTGTCATGACGCTCAAGCGGAACTGGGGGGTTCCTGCCCGTCCCATCACCGCTGGGGCTCTACAGGCAGACTACCTCGACAAGGAGAAGTGGAAGTACGTGGGCAACATCACCAAGATCAACCCTCGCGCGATCATGGACGCTATCGAGAACAAGGAGCTGCCTATCCTCTGCTCCATGGCCGAGACCGAGGACGGCCAGATCCTGAACGTCAACGCTGACGTCGTCGCTGCCGCCCTTGCGCGCCAGTTCGAGCCCATGAAGGTCATCTACTTGTCCGAGAAGGGTGGTCTGTTCAACGCCGAGACCGGCAAGCTGATCTCCCACATCAACCTGGAGGGCGAGTACGACAGCTACCTCAAGCAGCCCTGGGTCAGGTACGGCACCAAGCTGAAGATTGTCGAGGCTAAGAAGCTCTTGGACGGCCTCCCTCGTACATCCAGTGTCGCTATCACCCACCCGCAGAACCTCGGAAAGGAGCTGTTCACACACACTGGAGGCGGCACCCTGATCCGCAACGGTGGCAGCGTGAAGGAGGTCAGCAAGTTTGAGGATCTGGACATTGAAGCGCTCTCTCAGGCGTTGGCTCGGGAACACGGTGGCGCTGAGGCCGCCAACGGCGTTAAGCAGTACGTCGATAACCTCAAGAGCCGTCCATTCGAGGCCTTCTTCGACGATGCCATGGGCGTTGTGGCCATTGTTTACCCTCCAGGCAAAGATGGTGAATTTGCCCAGCTCTCTACTTTCACCACTACCAAGGACGCTTTCCTTACCAACGTGTCCGACCTCGTGTTCGAGCGCATGAAGCAAAAGTACCCCAAGATGTACTGGGTTGTGGAGAGCCAAGAGCAGAACCTTATCAAGTGGAACTTGGAGAAGACTGACGGCTTCCTCCGCCGCGAGAAGGAGATCTTCTGTTGGTGGGGATCAGCAGAGTCTTCCGAGATCTTCGGTCTTTTGGAGAACTACTCGAAGCAGGGCCGCTCCATTCTCAAGGACAGCCTTGAGTCGCAGTTCAGGAGAGCCGCAGACTTCGTTGCAGGCCTGAAGCAGGGTCAGCAGGCTCGCAGCTACTCAACCGTTGCTGGCTCGCGAACAATGGGTCAGTCTGCCAGGCCGTCGTTGAGGCAGAGCAAGATCGCCTCTACTGCATCGCGCGGCTTTGCTACATCCGCCTCGCGTTCCCAGGAGTCCACCAACCCCAATCCGCCATACGGCAACAAGTTCGCGAGCAAGGACTACCCCTCAAAGGTCGCTCTTATTGGTGCTCGTGGGTACACAGGCCAGGCGCTGATCGATTTGCTGAACAAGCACCCTAACATGGATCTGCGTCATGTTTCGTCCCGTGAGCTCAAGGGTCAAGCACTTGAGGGTTACACCAAACGCCAGATCACATACGAGAACCTGTCTCCCGATGATGTCGAGGCGCTGGCCAAAAAGGGCGAGGTTGACTGCTGGGTCATGGCCCTGCCCAACGGTGTCTGCAAGCCTTTCGTAGAAGCCATCGAGCGATCCGGCAACACGCAGTCTGTTATTGTAGACCTTAGCGCAGACTACCGATTCGATGACAAGTGGACCTACGGTCTTCCTGAGTTGGTTCCCCGCCGCAAGCTCGATGGTGCTACACGGATAGCGAACCCTGGCTGCTACGCAACCGCCGCTCAGCTCGGTATCTCACCACTTCTTGAGTTCATCGGTGGACAGCCTACTGTCTTCGGTGTCTCTGGCTACTCCGGAGCAGGCACCAAGCCCAGCCCCAAGAATGACGTGAACAACCTCACCAACAACCTGATCCCTTACAGCTTGGTCGACCACATTCACGAGAAAGAGATCTCGAGGCAACTCGGCACCGAGGTAGCGTTCATTCCTCACGTCGCTGTCTGGTTCCAGGGTATCCACGTAAGTTATCCTTTCCTCTGTACGAATGCAGTGATCTGACGTTCTTTAGCACACGATCTCCATCCCTCTCAATCGCACCATGACCTCGCGCGACATTCGCAACCTGTACCAGGATCGTTACGCCGGCGAGAAGCTCGTCAAGATTGTCGGCGAGTCGCCACTCGTCAAGGACATCTCGGGCAAGCACGGTGTTGAGATCGGTGGCTTTGCTGTTCACAGCTCCGGAAAGCGCGTCGTTATCAACGCTACAATTGACAACCTGCTCAAGGGCGCGGCGACACAGTGTCTGCAAAACATGAACTTGGCTCTCGGTTATGCCGAGTACGAGGGTATCCCGTACTAGATGACACGAATTTGGCAGACCTCGTTAGTACTGCAGTCATCATCGGAATGTGTATATCCTGGCTGTAGGCTGGGCTGCACGTTTGGGTTTGGTCAGGAGGCATATACTGAAGAAGTCAAGGTTGAGTAGGCACGAAGTGAAGAGCATGGACATTAGGCGCGCGACGGCTGGGGCGTAAACACCATTAGAAATGGAGGTTCCTTGTACATACCACATTGTACTGCTTGTAAGGTATAAAGTGTAATACCTAGCGCTAGGTAGGGCTGTTCAATCACATTTCACACTCAACACGTACCACATCTTGCCAAATCGCGTCCCATCGAACTCCTACATCGGGACGACCATCGTCCGTCAAGCGTCGATCATCTGCATGCAATAACGCTGTCTTCCCAAAACTTCGGATCCAGTATGGGTACACTTGCAGATGAGAAGCGATTCGGGAATGCAGGTCCGGGGGCTGTGGGTTCGTAGCGTGATTGTCAGCCTTATTTATTTCCCAAACTGGGACAAAGGCCGTAGTCCTTGCCTGGTCAGCGGCAGGCAAATATAGGAAGAGCAGACAACCGACTGGGAGATCCACAATTGCAAATTCACGCATCTGTCTCGCAGTGTGTTGCTGATGGTTGCACAAAGCAGCTTGGCCAACAGCTCCTTGTGACTATACGAAGTTTATGCCTACGCCTCACTAGCCTGATAGGACGGGACACGAGTAATGCGATGCACGGCACGCCTGGAAGCGTTTGCGATCAATCAAGGGTCTCTCACGCACTCACTACCGGTGCGACCAACGTCTTCGCTGGTTTGGTGATACGTTGAGTCTTGTGTGAGATCGAGCCTCGGAACTCGTTCAGAGACATCAAACCAAGGTCGGAAGTCCGAGTCAAAGCTCAAGTCAGCAGCTTTCAAAGCTGTGTCCGAACTTAGATCCAACATAGCACGCGAGTGTTGGTGGATGGGATGGGCATGTTGATCCTGCACGGCTGAGCTGATTCTAATTTGGGGGGCCCCGCCCCGCCGATCGCTCATCCATGCGCACGGAACCCGAACGCACATGTGTGCTCCACGAACATCCGCCATGCACTGCGCCTCAACGTACAGAAGGCGCATCGCAGTGTGCGCGCTTAGATTTGACGGCCCTTTCTAAACAAAATGGAGGGCTATCTATCGCATAGGTATTGCTGGGGTTTACCGATATCTTGTCTTAGCAAAGTTACCACGAGCGGATGTTCAGAGTTCCATCTCGCCAACACCGCGAGCTGCCGTTCCGAACGCCACAAGCCTGCACTCCCTTGACTTCCGCAGCTGCAGACGGGCCTAAATCGGACTGGCTATTTTGGATTCCGGACTGTGTACATCATTGCCCGGCTGTTAGTAGTCATGATCACCCAGGTTGCGTTTTCGTCGGAACAATTGGTCACCAACATCTTTTCACTTGAATGCATATCGCGACTACAGCCCGTCGATGACTACACAAACTTGACTCGAGTACAGGATCAGGAGGGGCACTGCAACCTTTGGATCGCCAATTCGCCACGGAGTCCCGCAAGTCCTGCTCCGAAGGAGCACATCAAGAAGAGGATGTCGTTTCAAAGGTTGAGAAACTCGAAGAAGTCAGGGACTGTGCTGCGTGCAGTCCCAGAAATGACAGAAAGTGGGTCGGCTCTCCACGCTGACGAGCGAGACACGCATACGTCAACTTGCCAGGCCAAGAGCTGCAAGTCAGCATCCAGCAGTCCAGCATTATCATCCATCTCAGAGAACGAAGGATGGTCCAAACACCCCACCGTTTCGACAAACAACGACAACACTCTAAAAACGGCTTCGAGTATCGCTTCGCTCAAAGGAGCTATTGGTACATACAGACACGGAAGAATTCAGTGGCGTCTCAAAGACAAGCATGGTCTTAGCGCAGTAAAGAGCTTGAAACCCAAGATACATGTAGTAATCCCTAGCGGAGCACAAGATCGAGCTCAGCCGACAGCTCCAGGCTCTGGACACCCTAGCAACGCGCAAGTTCGTTCCGCCTCTGCTGAGCTCGAGGAGGCGTATGACATATCTCCACCAACAGGAACGAGCTTAGTTATGATGCGCGACTCCATCGTATCACCACTCAGCCGCCCGCCGCCTCTTGGACAGCTCCAAGTGCCCACTCCTACCACACCTACGAACTCCAAGAACTCACAGCATCGCAAGATCAACTCAACATCAACTACGTCATCGGTTGGCTCTCGAGAAAGCGATGCGTTCTCCTTACACAGTAACCAATCCTCGGAAACTAGTGTCGAAGAGGACGATCTACGCATGCTTCCCAAGACCACAGGCGACTGTCCAGCCTTCGGAATTGACTTCGGTCCTCCTCCAGCGATACCGCCCCGTCGCTATGCACCGTGTTCAGCCAAAGATGCTGAGTTTAAACCTACCTGCACGATCAAATCTGCACGGGATGCCACGAACGGTATCGTCCGCCGCCCTACGGTTCACCGCAAAACATCGAACTCGAGCAGCCACCGAAGAAGCCTCGACTCAAACCCAGGTATCGGTGCCATCAACCAAGCGATCAATCGGACGGAGTCGAAGAAGTCAAAAAATGAACGAAGTGCAAGTCCAACATTGAGCGAGGCAGAGACCGAGCTTCAGAGGTCATTAACTACGCTCTCGGAAGACACGTTCCTGGGTCGAATCGCGGATAACGATAGGCGGCCCCTGACGCCACGACCTCAGGAGGAGCGTAACCAACACCCCTGGCGGAAGCACATGACAAGGCCGTCGGCTGAACCTGCTCCTCTACTGCCGAGGAAGTCCAGCAAGCGACAGTCGGTCATCAATACTGAACTGTTCAGGTTGTCTCGAGTACCAAAGGACCACATCGCATCCCAAATTACGAGAGGAAGATCACTGAGAAGAGAACAGCGTCTGTCGGTAGAGATCCCTTCCCTGAGCCAGATATCACATGAGTCGATGCTGTCACCCGTTGAGATTTTAGCAACACCAGAGCCCCGCGTCATCTCACCTGGCGACGCCGAGAAAGTTCTTCATCAGATCCTGCAAAGCGTAGATAATTTCGAAGACTTGTTCGCTCTGGGGTCCGTCAACGTTGGATTCTACAAAGTCTTCAAGCGACATGAGCTCGAACTTGTCAAGTCTGTTGTGCAAAGGACATCTCCCGCGGCGTGGGAGTTCAGGGAGTATGCCTTCCCAGGGCACGATATACTGCACGACGACGATTTGGAAATGACGCGGCCCTTCGAGGAGTACACCCCGGCGAGCTATCTCCACCTCCAACAGCGCGACACTAACATTCTGCATGAGATCAAGTTGTTGATCCATGAAAAGTGTCAGTCTTTCGTACGAGCGGAGATCTCTGCTGCTCTTGTTGACGAGAAATCGCCCAACGCTGCCAGGGTGGATGATGCGCTGTGGCGTATCTGGACATTCTGCAAGATCTTTGGATCTGGCAAGGGCCGTGAAGACGATGTGGTCGCTCAGCAAGACTGGCTTCAGGGCGGTGTCCAAGCACATCAGCCAGCATGCACCTTCAGCGTCATGAGTACGGACTTCATGAACGATACCCTGATCGGTGCACCAGACTGCTTTGCACAAGGAAACGAAGGCGGCCTGTCGGCAGAGCAGCTCTTCGATATGATGGAGCTGTGGAACTGCCTCGGCGTTTTGCTGCAAGGCTTCCAAACTCGCACTGCGGAAGCACGCAAGTATGGCATCTACGACGATACTGAGATCCGTGGAGGCGATATTGATGGAGAGGAAATGATGCTAGGTAATTTGTTCCGTATCCAAGACGTGAGCTCTACTGACATTCACAGACGAATGGATTCACCATGTTCTCAGCTTCGGCCTCGCCACTGTCCTATTCCTCGCCCGCCCCTGCTACGAGAACAATGGGACTGCTTTCACGCTGGCTGATGCCCAGGGCTTGACCAAATGGAAGTCTCCCGTTCATGGCAGTACTAATAGGAGTTTCCTGAAAGAGGCAGCTTCTCGCGTCTACGAAGACAAGCTTGCACATGTATATGCAGAGAGCTCCACGCGCGAGCTTCAGCGACAAATGTCGAAGCAGCGCATCCAAAAGCACATCCAAGACCTCAAGCACTACAGGAGTAATGGCCAGCCGATACGTATGATTCGCCAGAGTCAGGACCGGCCGATGAGCGAATGGGAAAAGGTGATGAGCAGTCTTACGCGGGTACACCCTCCATTGCCCGACAACAATCTCACCTCCCACATTCCTTCTTTCCGACCTACCTCTGCAATTGCGCAGGAAATCTCGACCCACATCTTCGAGCTTCCAGCACCGACCAGCACAGCACGAGCGCTCTTGCCTCCTTTGGTCACCCATTCTACACCACAGCGAACCATAGCGCAACCGCTCCTTCCCACACCCTCGTCATCCACAGTGTCCGGTCCGCGCTCGTCCCCACGACGCGTTGTCGCCCAACCACTCCTCCCCACTCCCTCCGCATCCATCACGTCCGCTGCCCGCGACCGAACTAGCACAGCAACAAGCGCAATGCCCTCCATCATCGAGCACCCCATCTTCCTCACCCAGTCGCCCCAACAAATCCGATTCCCTGATACCCCACCCTGCTACGTCCAGCGGCCCCATGTCCCCAGCAAGGAATCAGACATCAGCCTCAGCTCGCGCAGCTCAAGCAACAGCGAGCGCTCCAGAGCAGCACCCGTTACTCAGCATCCAGTTTACTACCAGCACCCGGCTCAAGCCGATATTTTCGACAGCCCGGCGTACGAGAACACGGCTGAGAAGGCAATCTACCGCATCGTGGAGATGGGTTTCACGGCCGAGCAGGCGAGGGACGCACTGAGGGTTACGGATGCCGGGGATGGCCTAAGGGTCGACCGCGCCGTGGAATTACTTCTGAGTCGGCAGATGTGAGCATCGTTTATCGCAACTCCACCCTGTACTTTTGTTTTCCCTTTCTTTTCCCTGGTGTTCGGCATGCGGGTTCATTGCAGTCCCGCCACCTCACTCGTTAGGTGCGAAATCTCTTTTGTTTCTTGTATGGCATAGTAAGATACCCATCTGTCGCTAGCACGCGTTGGCATTGCACGACACTGTTAGTAGGAATAGCATTACACGATTGATCGTGCAAATTGATACACTGATGATTAGTCCTCGTTGACTTTGACACGTTATGCAGTATGACCTCAAGAGAAAAATCGAAAACTTGTTGCCACTTTATTTGACGCGAGTGTACGCGGTCTGTTCCTTGTATGTCAGGTCTTCGTTCACTGGACGGTGGGTGTGATTTGCGTAGTTGGATGTACATCCTACTGCAGTCATTGAATCCGTTCAAGTTCTTGAAGCCGTTCGAGGGCCTGAACGGATCCAAGAACTTGAGTGAATCGAAACTTGAACAAGTGACTTGTTCAAGCCAGACAGCTCTAAGCTCACAATATCACGGTTGACTAAGCTTTCGCGAGCATACGAGTAGGTACGAGTCAGCGTGGGGGCGATCGCCAGACTTACCTTGCCCCAGAAACAACCATCGACCGGGAAAAAGCACTGAGCAAAATTGCAGCAATCTGACGATTCAACACCCAATTCATGTCTGGGATCTTGGAAATTTGTGTTACCTCATCGTAATTCACAGTCAGAGTTCTCGCAGCTTCTTGCTCCTCGACTGACCTTGCCTTGAAACCAGCGGATCCTTCGTGTGCCCAGACGACTTGGGCCACTGGCCGGACCGCAGAGCCTCATCGTTCTCCACACTGGAGACGGCTATTACACGATAGTGAGGTACTGAACGGGCCCGGAAGGCGGTCAGTATGCGGCTGTCGTGTGATCTTCTTGTGTCTTTTCGGTCATCAAAAACCACGAAAGGTTCACATCGCGCTTTCTGTTCTCGGAAAGAGATTAGGACTTACGATCACCGAGTGACAGTGATTCTGTCTCCCACGCAAGATTGTGATGCATCCCCTCATTTCTCCGCAGACAAACTTGGTTCTGGGGAAGTCGTTGTTCGCCGGTTTCCTCCGGTTTCAAGGCACACACATCAAAATGAGGATCACGGCACAGTCTCACATGGGGCGAGCACACGAGGTGTATTCGGAGACAGCATAGCGGATGGTCTACTCTTGCTAGGATCTTTCCTGACTACAATCTACTGAAAGCAGTATGAAGTCCGATTCTACCCTTGACAGCTCCGATGGCGCAGGGATTTTCCAGCGAACGACGTCGATTTGGACCGGCCTTTGAATCAAAAGCCGTAGCTGGCGTCATAGCGCTGCGCCCAAGCATGCCAATCGGAAACTCATCGGCAGCTAAAAAGCTTTTGCAGAGCCTCACATGGAGCCTCGAACGGTGAACTACACTAGGCGCGCGCCACTATACAGAAAGCTTGTCGTGACTATGAACACAGATGCAACGGCTTCACGAACCCCAGGTATCAGAATGCACCCACAATCCCGGGGTGATGGACAGTCCACACCGTTCTCCAGCATTCAATCGGTCAGAATCTCGGAATGAGACACCGATCAGCGCAGAGCCTCATGTGGGTCTGCTAGAAGCTTTTGGAAGTTAAGCTGCACTCAAGCTCCACCAAGAAACCGGACCATTGCTTGTGTGCTCCACTGCACTATGCTATTCCTGTAATATCGCGATGGATCCCTGACATCCAGTCACCAGGTTCTTGAGCCGGGGGTGGCAGATTTTTGCTGCATGTGCCATGGAGACTCCACGCGTACGTCACACAATATTGGAGAGGGTACCATGGGGATTTTCTCCATGGGCCGGTCCTCTCCACTGGGGATTTAAAAGGCGGAGACAGACCTCAGAGCAGGGCGAAGTGAAAGCACTTTCCTCACCCTTCACTCTTATCTCTGCCGCTGATCTTTGTTGATCACTGCCTGCCATGTCCATGGACGAGAAAGACCCCAAGATGTACGAGGAGGTTGCACCGGCTGCTCCTGGCAAGGCTGGAGAGATTGCCGTCGCCCCTCCCGCAGACTACAACGCACCAAAGGCCAAAACTGAACAGCTCGAAAACGCTCGTGGCTGGGAGTCGGACAACCTGATCCACGACCTAGAGAAGGAGCTTGAGCTGTCTGGCTACAAGAAGGGCATTTTCGACCTCGAGTTCAAGAACCCCAAGCACTTCACTTGGCTTCTTGTTGTTTTCGCGTCGATGGGAGGTCTCCTCTCTGGACTCGACCAGTCGCTCATCTCTGGTGCCAACCTGTTCCTGCCCGCGGATCTCGGTCTTACAGACCAGCAAAACTCCCTTGTCAACTCCGGCATGCCGCTAGGTGGTAAGCAATTCATAGCCGGCATTCTCAGAAACCTGCTAATGCTCAACAGCTATCGCTGGTGCTTTCCTCATCTCGCCCTGCAACGAATACTTTGGTCGCCGCTGGGCTATCCTCATCTCCTGCATTCTATACACTATCGGTGGTGCTCTTGAGGCAGGCTCTATGAACTATGGCATGATCGTTGCCGCTCGTGTCATCCTCGGCGCTGGTGTTGGCCTTGAGGGCGGCACAGTTCCGGTGTACGTCGCCGAGACGGTCGAAAGTCGCCTTCGTGGAAATTTGGTCTCGCTCTACCAATTCAACATCGCTCTCGGCGAAGTACTTGGATATGCTGTCGCAGCAATGTTCGTCAGCGTTCCTGGAAACTGGCGCTACATCCTTGGTTCGTCGCTGGTCTTCTCTACCATCATGGGCGTCGGCATTCTCTTCATGCCCGAATCTCCCCGTTTCTTGATGCACAAGGGCAAAACACTCGAGTCCTTCAAGGTATGGAAGCGTATCCGTGGAATCGAAACGCTGGAGACTCGTCAGGAGTTCTTCATCATGAAGGTCAGTACCGAGGAGGAAGAGGCCGAGGTCGCTGCCAGCCGTACCAACCGCTTCCCCTGGATGGACTTCTTCACCAACCCCCGCGCTCGCCGTGCTATTATCTACGCCAACACTATGATCTTCCTCGGACAATTTACTGGTATTAATGCAATTATGTATTTTATGTCGGTATTGATGCGACAGCTGGGGTTTGACGACTACGAGGCCAACTATATGTCCTTGGTCGGTGGTGGTTCTCTTCTGATCGGTACCATCCCTGCTATCTTCCTCATGGAGACTTGCGGTCGCCGCTTCTGGGCTATTGCTATGTTGCCTGGTTTCTTTGTTGGTCTTATCCTGGTCGGGGCCTCTGACCATCTTGGAGAAGGCAACGTCAACGGCAGACTCGCCATGTACCTCACCGGACTGGTTCTCTACGAGCTCTTCTTCGGATCTTACGCCGCCCTGACCTGGGTTATTCCTTCTGAGGTATACCCTACCTACCTCCGCTCCTACGGAATGACCACCTCCACCGCATGGCTCTTCCTGTCATCGTTCATCGTTACATACAACTTCACCGGCATGCAGAAGGCATTCACCCCCACAGGCCTTACTCTTGGTTTCTACGGTGGTATTGCAGTGATTGGTTGGTTCTACCAGATCTTCTTCATGTACGAGACGAAGAACAAGACTCTTGAGGAGATTGACCAGCTCTTCATGAAGCCCACCAGTCAGCTTGTTAAGGAGAATGCTGCAAGCTCCCTGGGTGTTACAAAAGACTTGCTTCATGGACGCTTCAGGAAGGTGTTCATTGAGAATAACCGCCTGGAGTCAGAGTACTAGGGCGCGGGAGATGATAAGACGGAGAGTAACGAGTTATGTCTGAATGTCTGTCTCTGATGATGTAGTTGTTATATATACTGTTGAACAAGATTAATTATTCCACACCGCGCACCAGGGATTCAAACGTAGCATTGCCGGGATGTTGTGATCATGTTTAGTGCCTGTGTTTAGCTGAACGTTTACTAACATATAATGTCATGTCAAGCCCGACCTCTATACTGTGGCGCTTAGATAGAGTAGGTAGCGCCATGCGTTACATTGCGCCGGGACCGTCTGTGCGCGAAGCGCCCGGAGTTGTACATGTGTACCTTCCAAGTGCTTCGTTCATCTTATAAAATCCCAATTTGTAGTCCAGCTAATGTATCCAGCTACTCGTTCATGCACAAAATGGATCACGAAGAGTTCACGTCTGACTCCAGTTCGCCACGAGAGGAAATCCCACACGATGCTCAAGCTGCGCAAGTGAGCAATTCTACAGGATCGTCATTGTTGCCGACAAATGAGATTCCCGAAGCTCAAGCACTGCTTCTGGACCGAACAACCCGTGAACTAGAACAGCTTTGTTCTAAAAACATCGAGGTACAAACGATCAAGGCACATTTGGAGAGTTGGATGGTTGGATCGAATTCAACGAAGTTGCAGCCGAATCTTCTGATTCGACTCAATAGCTCAGGAGCTCTCCAGTATGCAGTCAAGAATCAACGCAAAGATGTTGTGCGCGTACTGCTCAATTACGATCTCGTCCCAAGCGAGAGATCGATTTCAGCAGCATTGGATCATGTTAATAATACAGGAGATACGTCCATGCTTCAGCTCCTGATAGATGACGGATGGGATATCAATCAACTCTACAATAGGTCTCGACCTTCTATCATGAGGTACGTATCACGCCATATTGTTAGGGTTTAGTTAACGATCGTCACAAGTGTCGTCGTAGGCGATGTAAACCTCGTGAAATGGTGTCTGTCACTTGGTGGAGATCCTAACGCAGTCAGCCCTTCCGGAATGAGTGTGCTTCATCGCGCCGCTTGCATCGGGACTATTGCGTCTCTTGAGGCCTTGCTCGCTGCTGGAGGGCAAATCCAATCACCCTGCCACTCCGACGACATTGTTGCTCACGCTGCTAGCGTCCACGATGAGTCCTACAATCGAATTCCTGTTATCCAATATCTGTTGGATCGTGGCGCTGACATCGACGCCTACTATGCGCAGCGCCACGATCCCAGGGAAACGTCGGGGCTTCAACTCTGGATAGGCACGCAGACAGCACTGCACATCGCGATCGAAAGAGACAGTCGTGATCTGGTTGAGTTCTTGATACAGAAAGGTGCAGATCCCAGCAAACGTATGTGGAACTACAGCACCGTATGCGTCCTTCTCGAGGAATGGAAAGGAAGGTCTGGTTGGGAAGAACATATACAATGGCTCGACGCTATCAGCTACGCCCGCTTTTTAGGTCGCGAGGGTATTGTAAACTTCTTGCAGGGCTCCTGAAGTATCGTGATGCGATAGTTACTTAGAGAGGTAGTTGTTGGGTTCCGGCAGGCAGGGTATTTGATTTCTCGATTCCAGAGAGGCTGGATGTGGTGTTTACGCAAGGCTTGCCTGGGCTAGTTCGTCGTAACAATCTAAATTCCTTCTCTCCTTCATAAGATCTGTTGCGTTTATGCTCGATCCATAATATTCGCAGTCACCGTACTGAAGCATATCGTCAATGATGTCATCCCACAACGAGAGTTTGTACATGACTTTTACCAGCACATCGTATGCTATTGTTGCAGAAAGTTGAAAACATATGGATGATCTGAGATGGCCCGCTCGCCGTCAAGCGACCGGTTCACTTGGTTGCCAAAGTGAATATACTGGTCAATTGAATGAAGTCGTAGACACCAGGGAACGTTGAATCAACAATCTCTTGCTCACCTACTAGGCTTCGGCGAAGATGAGCTCTTCATCGATTGTCACGCACACGTCAAATCAAAGAATACATAGCGGTATGTGATACACGCATGATTCAACAAACAGAGACAAAGATACAAGCTAAAAAGGGAAACATCTAGACAGAGAAAGATGCTTGAGATAGCAAACACGTGTAAACTCAAAAGCAGCAAGCAATTCGCGCCGTGCCATCAAAACAAAGAGTCGTGAGGTCAGCATCCACCCAAGCCGGCCTTAGTCCCCACGCTCCCAACCGAGGCTCCCCACAACCTCCCACAGCCACACCAGTCCCATCACGGACCCACATCATTCGATCAACTTGTCAACTTGACAGCGCTAGCAACCGCATTGATTTTCCTTTGGTCCAGGATTATATACGGTACCATTGACCGAAGGTGTATCAACAGCAGCCCGGCTGGCACAATTGTAAGACCACTCCGTTCAACGAAGATACTCGGGCTCGTATCTAACAAAGTTTCAGGGTTAGCGCGTGAGACTTTTAATCTCAAGGCTCAGGGTTCGAGTCCCTGGTCGGGCGATTATTCTTTTTGCATTTCTTCTGATCTTTTTGCATTTCTTCTGATCTTTTTGCATTTATCGTGATCTTTTTGCTTTATGGTCTGTAGAGAGGCATCCGTCGCAGTGTCAGATGTGAGTCGCGATATCTTTCATGCGACACAGGAGATATGGTCAGATGGGATGAGGAAGTCGATGCACTGCGGTGGTGACGCGCATCACATGTGTCGTCATGCATTCACCTTCTGCTTTTTCACCAACTGACTCCAATGTTCACCACACGCACACCCAAGTTGTCGATATTCTCATTCTGTGTCCATCTAGAGATGCTAGTACTCTATGCTGGTTATTTGGTTTGTCGCTGTGGCATCTGGTCACAACAATACGAGGGTGCTACTTTAGCTCAAGCTGCGAATTCGCCGATATCAATTACTTCCGGACAGACGTAACCTAAAGTACGCCCATCGCTATTTACATCGCGGGATGAACATACCTTCCCAAAGGCTCTGCTGATGGATTGTCTCAGTCAAAACTTTCCTCCGCTTTCGTACTATCATGTCGAATACCAGTTGCCTCCGCATACTCCTCATCTGTCTGGCCGTCATGTAGGTTTGTAACGTACGCCTCGAACTCGACCACGTTCTTGATTGCCTGTTCCAGATGATCATACTCCAACCTTTGCCCACGAAACTGCGCCAGCTGACGCGCCGTATTGAGTGTATTTCTGATTTGCCTTCCGTTCAGCTTGTATTGTGCAAGTCTCCGGGTCTTGCTTGAAATGCTATCAAAGTCGACATCATCGTTCGATTGCCTCAAGTGTTCGATGAAGTTGTCCCAGACATCCATGCGATTTTTCTCCGAAAGTGGTGGGTAATGAAGGGAAAGCTGCACGCGAGATTTGAAGGCTTCGTCGAAGGTGCCGATGCGGTTGGAGGTGAGAATAAGGATGCCTTCGTAGTATTCCAGCACGCGGAGAAAGACAGAGACGAGCGCGTTTCGTTCTAGATCCAGCTTCGTTCGCTCCTCCAGGAAAACATCAGCCTCGTCGAGGAGTACAACACAGTTCCATGTGACTCCAATGAACAAAACCGAGGTGAGGTACTTCTCTACTGTTTCTGGGTCGGTGCCAACATCGCCACAGGTCACCCTGTAGAGAGGCCTCTCTGCAAGCTCAGCAACACTCTCAGCCGTAAGCGTTTTCCCGGTGCCTGGTCCCCCATGAAGCAGTATCAAAAGACCTTCTCCTTTGCCCGTCATGAAGTCAGCCTTGGTGTTGGCTTTCCGCTTGAGGTGAACCGTAACCAGAGCTTCAATCAACTCTTTCTTACTTCGATCCATGACCAGGTCGCTCTTGAAGACGTTCTTGTTCCATTCGATATCTTCGATTTGCTCTACGTTCAGCTCACCTGCACATTGATGTTAGCGAGGGCGTTATGGATAGTTGCGAATAACCCACTCCACTTCTTGTTATGGAAGCCAAAACCTTTGATCTTTGAGGGCAGCAGGAGGACGAAGTGGGGGTATTGTTCTTGTGAGGGAGGATCATCGCTCAGCATCGCGCCCGCATCAAAGTCTGTGCGGGTCCCTTCAGGGACGTCGGGCCCATGCAGCATCTTATATGTCTTCGTGTCGACCATGTATCGTGTTTGGTTCTGGGAACATTAGTGTATTCTTAACTCGAAGTGGAAAGGCGAACGAGCTTACCGATCGATCACTCGTCTCGTTAGATGCGACACTGTAGCTGACATACTTCCTTTTGCGGCACGACCAAAATATCTCCCCTCGATACTTCAGTCTCTTTTCCAGACCTGTGTTGTCGAACCTCAACGGGAAGTAGGCAAGCTCCGATATTTTTATGATATCAGATTTGGAAGGCCATTCGACCGTAGGCGAGATTTCACGCAAGTAGAATTCTCCATCGAAATCCCACGACCAGCACTTAAGAGCTACATGGTCTTCGTCGATACTGCGACAGTCTTTCGCAATAAATGCCAAAGGTTCGTCATCTCTCATTGTAACGATCAGGTCGTTGGGCCGGTAAAGCTTTGCCCAGTGTTTCTTGTTGACCAGGCCTTGAGCGAAAAGCTGTTCTGCTTCGTGCCATTCAGCAGCTGCAGATACTTCAAGGTAGTTCAGCAACGCCTGGAGGTGGAGCTTTTGCGTTGAATCAGCAAGCCTATTTGAAGCATCCTGGAGCTCATCTTTGCAGTGCCACAGTTGCAAATAAGGATACGTCAGATTTTGCTCAGTATCCCATTCGTGTAAACTTGTAGGGTGAGAGGACTTCAATGCTGTCATCGTTCTAGTGAGCCCTTTCGAGGGAACGAGTACTTGTTGCTTCCTCTCGGCTGGTGCCGCATCTTTCATGAGAACGGAGTAGTATGGTCTGACTTGTGCACTGACGTGCCCACTCATACCGAGTGGCATCCACAAGCGTTCAAACTGATCCATTAATTTTTCATGGTAGCCACCGCAATCGTAGATGTTGCGTACGACAAAGGGTATGCTTGGGTGATCCTCGAGCAGCCATTCAGGACTTGAAAGAGGATGTAGACCCCTCAAAGGTGTTGTCCGATTGGAATTGGCACGGAGACGCGGCACATCGTAGTAATGTTCTTCTTGGTCATGTTCGTCGTGATAATCTAGTTCACCATCACAGTCTACGCGATGTATGACGATATGGGTTGAGTTGACATCGCTAGGTGTTGTCAGTAACATTCCCTCGTCTCCTATTGACGAACGATATCGATGTACAGTAATGGAAGGTTCGAAATAGTCTCGGCTTGGTCTAGCGCCATCGGGACCGCATTTTCTTGCATTTTGGGGCAGAATAATGCCGAAAAGATACAAAGAAGGGTACAAGAGGTAAATGGCGTTGGCCCGTGTAAGTTGATATCCAGAAGTCAGTCAAAGATGTGCATAATTGTAGGCTTGGCCCCATGTTGGATCCGATTGGGGGCTGATACCATGTGGCCATGCTTGATAGGTCGATTAACGCCTCCAATCTCTTGGCGCTGCAGGCAGTACCTTCTGCGGCGGCTGCAGTGCCATCAACCATCTCGATTGACGCTCGCTTTCCGGTACTGTATCGTCCTCGGATATGGTGTATTTGGTATTTACAACTTCCTGACCAGGTGTATCTGAGGGTCTTGCTACCTCATGATCCGAGAAATTGAAAGTCCAAGTCCCGTCATTTGAGTCTTCGCCTGCATTTAGGAAAGAGTCGAAGTCGAAGTTCTCGAGCGCATTTTCACCGTCAAAGTTGAATCCAGGCCTATCAGAGGCTTCGGTACTATGGGAAATTTGGCCATTGCTGACGACAGGTATCCTACCCTTTGTGTCTGCTGGGTTCGGCGGACGAGTCAGCGGGCGCTGGCTCTGCCAGTAGGGTTTAGAGGTGTCCTGTATCCCTCGCGCCTTATTATTCAGTTCTATCAGCCTGAGCTGCATTTCGTAGTCCTGCGGGGCAAGTCCCCCTTGCAGCAGACCCTGCTTTCGGTTGCTTCGTGGCTGAGGCGGAGGCTGAGGCTGAGACTGAGGGGAGGCGGAGGGCAGAGAGACTTTGAGTCCGGGTTGCAGGCGTGATATATCTCTATGTCTGTCTGTCTGGCTCTGTGACTGCCTCTTGGTGTTCTTTGTGTCCTTGCTTTTCTGATTAGACTTGTTGAACCGAGCATTGGTATTGGCCTTCGTCTTGTGCGACAGGTCATGTTCAACATCGAGTGGCAGAATCTTGAAATCGCATTGATCATCCTTTTTGTTCTTTTGCCCGATCCGTTTTGTTTGCCTCGCACTATCCATCTCTTTCTTGTGAGGCTCGCTGCGCGTTGTCTGAGCCTGCTGCAACGCATGCTCGTGCTTCAAATCAATCGTGTCAGAAGCTGTTCTTGCATACTGCGACAGCCTGCCGCCTCCCATGACTTCCCGTAGGGCGTCGATGTCGTATAATGTAGGCCTTGAGTTACTAGCGGAGAGGAAACGTGCAGCCACTCTGATGGTCTCAGTTCTGTCTGGGCCTGGGTTGATTTGTGCAAAAACATCTGCATCGAAAGCAGGTACTGTGCTGCGGAAGGGCAGTGCGGCCATGGCTTTCTCGGGCTTCTATCGCGATTCTGATATCGCACCAAGGTCTGGTTCAGGAAAGCTATGTGCAGGACTGTGTTCAGAAAGGCTGTGTGTAGGATGCTGGTGCAGGGTACGCAGGTTGTAGCTACATGGGGCAACTGCAACTCGGCCCTCCTGCACTGCCCCACACCGCCGTAGCGTGTAACCTACAACCATAACATCAAGATTGCGGCACAGAGCTTCCTGCGTGAGGCCTTCTCTTCTCAAATTTTGCGCAGATAAGGCTCATGCGTTCAGTTGAAGAGGTTCTAGATGCGCTTGATAGTGGTTGGGGAGGTGACTCCCGAGCAGGCTGCCTGGTTTAGCCCCCAGCCTGGTCAGAAGTGAGTATCGAGCGGCTGTTGACCAGTACAACTGACAAATACGCTCGCAGAAAACAAGCCACGGCCACCGAAGCATACCATACAGCAGCACAACAACTCAAAGAAGAGTTAGATATCGGGCAATGTGCGCAGATCCCGGAGGACAAAGCTGCTTCGATCGAGGAAGTATGCGCTACTGTTAGTGCAGCTAAGAAGCGATACGACGACTCATCGAGTGACCACAATGGTGTGCGAGCATGGCTGGGGAAGTTGTCTGGCAGGGTCATGCACTTTCAGCCAATCATGGACGCTCTAGCGCAGCATCACCCAGAGTATGTTGCACTTGCCTGGGGTACGCTAAAGCTGATTCTGACGGTATGTCGAATATCAATGTATTCTCGAGAACCAGCTAACAGTTCCGGACAAGGGCATCATCAACCGCGCGAACCTCATCAAAGAGCTTGCCGAAGCACTGGTTAACATCGCTGACAAACTGCCTCGAGCCCATTTGAACGTAGAGCTCTACAAAACTACAGACATGGAAGCCGCTCTATCAAAATTATATGCTTGCATACTGATGTTCTTCCGGCTTTGCCATCGATGGCACAACAGGAGCGAATGCGGTCGGCTATCGTCATCACTCAAGGACTCCTTCGAACTCAAGTACAACGACCTGCTGTTGGAGGTTGAGCGAGCTTCAGGCGTAGTGGGAAATCTTGCTACCGCAGGAGCGTGCGTGGAAATTCGAAATGTTCATGCTCTTACCAGAGCAGACCACGCAAAGCTCCTTGGGATGGATGCAGGATTGAAGACGGCGTTTGAAGCGCAGACACTGAGACTTGATAGCCTCGACAGACGTGTTTCTAATATCAAAGACGGCCAGGCAACACTTGAAGATGGACAACTCAGGCTTGAAAGCAGGCGTACAAGACTTGACCCGACCGATCCTAAAGTCATACAACTTTCGGACGGCCGGGAGATGCTCAAAGTGCAGGTCACGCAAATCTACAGCATTGTACAAGGAAGTCAGTTGATTCTCAATCAGACGCATCGCACCGTATACCGACTAGAGTTCCACCACATCCTTGAGTTCTTCATGCCAAAAACGCTGCCAGGCTCTGCTCTACAGAAGATAAAGCCATTGGTCCAGCGTAGGCCACTCATGTCCAACCCGCGGCTTGAAAGCATGCTCCGCGCCTGGGGGAGGGATCCCCAATCCGCAATCCTAGTTTTCAACGCCGCCACGCGCGAACAGAAGCAAGCCAGCGAGCTCGCAGCAGACGTCGTGAACCACCTGCGTGGCAGCGCCCAATCCGTCTTCTGGCGCATCTCAAATGGAGGATCCAGACACCAGGTGACCATGGCAGACGTGTTCAAATCCATCATCTACCAAGCCCTTCAGCAGTGGGGCGCTGCATACGCCGACCTGGGCGAACAGCTGCACCCGCACAAGCTCCACGGCACACACACAGCCCGCGAGTGGGTCGACCTGATCTGCCTCCTCTTTGCCAACCTCCCGTCAGCGTTTCTCGTCCTCGAGACAAAGGATCTTCGCGACACATACACCACTGATCGGGACTGGACGAACCAGCTACTCGAGTATCTCCAAATCATCGTGGATCGCGCTGTCGCAGCCAGATGTCGGGTAAAGGTGCTACTGCTTCTCTATGGGAGCAAAGCGAGTATCTGTCCCGCCGCACACGCGAAGGACAACGTGCGTGTGGTGTCGCTCCAGCAGATCGAGGTCCCCGCGCGGCTGAAGAATAAGGCGGGTCATTCAGGGTTGAATCTGAAGGGCTGGGGGCTGAAGCAAACAATACCACCGCAAGTGCGTTGAAGAGGATTCGTGCAGGGGAGGACGGATCTGCTCCAGTCAGTTGACGTTGGGTGGACGCCGAAACATCATCCCATAGGGTTCGCGCGTGAGAGGATTAATCTCTAGTGTTCGAGGCCCTGGTCGGGCGATTCTTCTGCGTTCGTGATCTCTGTGCTCTGTGATCTTCTTTGCATCTGAGCCACTGTTCGCGCGGGATTCTTCAATTTCCTACTCTTAATCGTACAGCGTTAGAATGCACTGCAGTAAAGGGAATATTGTGACAGGTACTGATATTTTTTTGTCTCCAAGCACGTAAGAAGAACAATGGTACGTAACTCATTTCGCGTATATACTCGCTTGTCAAACATGACGTTCACCATGCGTTTAATCTGACTCAGGGATCTGGCCTGCAACAAGCGCGATAAGCGCGGCGCCGACTCCCGAGCCGTCCTTCGCGATTCCAATACGAATGTGCTTCTCGCCATGATCGCCGATCTCCGGAACTGCGCGGAGCGCCTCCCTGATGTGCTCCTCGAAGTCGGGGTAGAACTCAACGAGTGAGCCATCAACACCAACGTCGACAACATCGTCCTCGTTGACCTTGAAGTCCCCTCGGGGAGGCTGGGCACCGGCCTTGTCTGCCGTTGTAGCCGTACCCTTGGACTTGTCCAAGCGGCCTGTGTTGATGATGACAGCACCAATGGCCACAGCTGAGAGACGAGCGGCACGACGACCGATAGCACCGGCAATCGCCCTGACCGCTTCTGCATCCTCTGTGCTGGCGGCTGAGATGCCGTAATCCTTGTCAAGTGTTTGCCTGATCACACGGTGGCCTGCGCTGGTGTCTCCGGCACAGATAGACAGGAAACTTGTGTCAATACCCCACTGCTTGAAGATTTGGCTGTCTTGGGCGATTTGCGTTGTGCTGTGGATGTCGTTCGAGGACGAGTTGTCATCTTGGAAGAGGGGAACCTTGGGGTCCTTGATCAGCTTGACCAGCGCAAGACGGAGCAGTTCACCCAAGAACATGCCGGACACGCGCTTCTCGAACATCTGAATGCCGGGGTTAACCGACTTCTCGTCAAGCTCAACATCGTACGGTGTGTTGGGCAACGTGCGCAGAGAGTTGTCGAAAGAGCCCCACTCGGTGTTGACAATCATCTCACCGGTGGACTTGTCAAACTCTCCTACATTCTTAGAGTTTGTGAGCTTTGAGACCTTGTCCAGCTTCTCCACGTAGGCGCCGTTGGTACCCGTTCCGAAAATAGCTCCGAGCAATGTGCCGGTCTTGCCTGGCGAAGCATACGAACGTGCCATGAGTGTGCCAACAGTGTCATTGACCAAAGCAGCGACCTTGACCGGCAAGTGCAGCTCATCGATCTCGGCCTGGAGCAGGGCGCAGACGTCCTTGCCGACTGCATCCTGGATGTCGAAGCCTTTGGTCCAACGCATGAGCAGGCCCTTGTTGATGCCCACCTGGTTCACAGGGAAGGAAAATGTGAAACCCAGGTTGAAAACCTCCTGCGCCTGTTCTCCGGTCTGGCGGCGCTTCAGTGTACCCGCATAGTGCTCCTCGTGGTGGGCCTGGAGGAACTTCTCAATCTGCTTCGCCAGAAAAGAGAACAGCTCCTTCGATGTCTTTGCGGTCATAAGCTCGTGGGGGACGGCGACTTTGCTCTGGGTGAGAGAGAAGGTGGTGTTGCCGTGCAGCTGGATGGAGCAGACACGGAAGTTGGTACCGCCCAGATCGACGGCCATGTACAGACCCTATAATCGCAGTCAGCCTCGATGTCTCTATTTGTCAAAGTCTCAGGGAGCGGTCGCGTGCCTTTTCAGTGCCATTGGGTACGGCGGTGACGTAGGTTGGGATCTGGCTCAGCTCGGTGCCCTCCTGTTGCAGGCCCTCGTCTGCGCGCTGTCAGCCTCAGTCGCCAATTGCATGGTCAGACACATACCCATCTCTCTGATAAACTCCTTCACCGCTTTGTTCAAGCCATCGTCAGTGAAATCGAATTCGGCGGCAACCCGCTTTGCCTGGTCGGCAAGAGCCATGCTGCGCTTGGGGTGGGTGTTGAAGGTGCCTGCGAATTCGACTGTCTGCTCGGGCTTCGGGCAGATGGGAAGCTCGTGGAAGAGTACGGGATTGCGGAGAGTAATGCCTGGGGAGCTGACGTGCCAATGCTGGTCTCTAGTGAAGAAGCGCAAGACGGTGGCAGGGAAGTGGGGTGAGAAGACTTGGAAGAAAAGCGCTAGCAGGACGATGAGGGCACCGATCACGGTGTGGGTCGCGAATGAGGCTCGACCTGATTTACGGCGGGGAGGGATCCAGCTCGACGGGGGCCTACTGGGCGCGGTGGTGGCTTTAAATGCGCCTGCAGGTGCGCTGTATCTCCTGAAGTGTCTGTTGACGGACATCACCCCGCTTTGTTTGGTCGACAGCTATGACGTGAGGGGTAGGCTCGAGCTTGGGCAGCTCCCACTCAATTTCCATGCATGTGTCCAGCAGCAAAGGCGTGCATGCCAACTCGTTGAGGAAACGGGCGGGAGACGTTGGGCCTTGCAATTGGCACGAGCCGCGTTCCTTTGGGGGGGTGCTGTCTGCACTGCACAGCGCTAGCGGAATCGAGGTGGGCAGTTCCCGACGCAAGTCATCGCTCGTGTGCAGCAGCCGTCAGACCATCACCAGCTTCGAGTCGGGTCAAGCAATGTCATCCCAGCAGCCCAAGTCGGTCCGACACGCTGAGGAATGCCGAGTCGTATCCAAGATAGCCTTGGATTGTTCACCTGCGATCCGCGGCTCTCCGTAAATTATGCATGAATGTTGCTCGACACTAAAACGGTCATCGCAATGCAACCCATCAGCCATCAAAAACCACAGTGAAGGAACGTCGTGCTTTTGTTACGTGCTCAACTAAGTATGCATCGCTACATGGTGTCGCCGCTGCCAACCTGGTGTTCTGCCTCTGCCAACCCGTCTTTTCAACAACGTCGCTAAGGGAGAAATAGATGATAGTAGTGTACACTGCGTCAGTGCTAAGCCAGACACAGCAATGTTGGAAGTACCCCAATGGCAACAACGAATGCCCAAAAAACAAAAACATATGCATGTATGAAGAACTCCTAATCGAACCAAACCCAATCCACCGAGCAACTCATGCAAAACACATGATTAGCGAGTGCCGGTGCGAAATGGGAAAGACGCCGCCACAAAAACGTCTACGATATGTACGATGGTGACAAAGGAGAAGACCGAAGTAACAACCTCGTCGCCAGGTTGGTCTGTGTACGTGAGAATGTTCCTCTCCAACCGAATTCTATAACCGTCATTAAGTTTCCGCCTCAGGGTGGAGTCGGCCCTTGGCCTTTCATAAGTCTTCCAACCTCGAGGCGCTGTGACCAGGGAGGTATGCTGTGTATGCCTGTTCGAGAAGAGAAGTCGAGTGAGAATCGAAGACCAATTGATACTTGGCATCGGAGTGCGCCCGTGGAAGTAGTCCGAGGTTGGAAAAGCCAGCCGCTTCCAAATACAATAGATAGTTTCGTCAAAGTGTCGCCGCAAACGCTGTCCATGCAAAGTCCGAACATACTCCAATCCGATTGCCGCAAATGTGAACCGATGAGATCTCCCTTTCTATCGGACGCCGACTGGGGGGCGGGGTCCGAGGCTGCTCTGGCTGCTGTGCGCCGAGTTTTCTTCAGTGGAATTACTACCCGCGCTAGCGCTAGCGGATCCAGTCAGACTGCGAACATTTGGACGAGACTTGGGCGGGTAAAGAGTGCTCACCCCAGCGTGTTGTTCCAATTGTTGTGGCGGAAGGGGGCCGGGCTGTCTCATGCCGGGTGGAGGACCATTAGGTCCATTACGTGGCATGCCATTCGGCGGCATACCGTTTGGCGGCATACCATTAGGTACGTAGCCGTTAGGAGGAGAGGGTCGGCCCATCGGTCGAGGACCGGGGCTGAGAGGATTGCCAGGTGACTGGCTTGTTCGGCGGCTCATTGGAGGATAGCCACCGTAGTTACCACCTCCTTGCATTTCGTCTAGACGTGATGCAGTTAGTGAATTCGTTCTCGACTGAGCGCCCATAGCGCCACGATCTACATCCGCGTATCGATTGGACGAGTAGCCCAGTAGAGGGTCGTTCATCAGATTCTGATGAAGACCCGGAAGAGAGTTGATCATCTGCGCGCTGGTCCGGTTCTTAGCCGCAGGCCGTGAGAAGGGATTCCTGGAGCGACCCTGAGGGCCAGGTATGTAGTTCATGCCCTCCGGGTTGCTGCGAATCTGACCTGCGCTCGGGACCTTGCGGTTGCGTCGCGAGGTGACACTCATCATGTCGAAGTTATCAGGATCGATCATCGGGCCAGCTGGGCGGCCTCCCATCGGATCAAAAAAGTCGTCGTCGTCGTCGTCATCATCGTCGAACCCGTTGATCGACTGTGGTGGGGGAGGTCGTCGGTTTTGGCCAGGGGGAGGACCGCGGCGCATGTTCATTTCCTGTTCCCTGAGCTGGATCTCGCGCTGCCTGATCATCAACTCCCTCTCGCGAAGCGACAAGTTGTTCGAGGAACCGGCTCCGTTCTCGTATTGGCCATTGGGGGCACCTGGAGGTCCACCTTCGACCATGTCATCGTACAGCATCAGATGCGAGAATTCCTCCAAGTCGCTGGCCTCGAGCGAAGGCCGGCGTTGGCCATTGGGACCGCCGTTCATGCGTGGATTGTAGCCGTTCATACCTGGTGGTGGGCCGCGACGCATCATGGGAGGAGCACCGTTGATCGAAGGTGCACGGCTTCCAGCACGAGGCCCACCTTTCATGGGACCGTTTCCATTCATCATTTGTCCGTTCGGACCAGGCGGGCCTCGTGGCAAGGGGGCTGATGAGAGTCTGGGGGGAGGCGGTGGGTGTTGCATGTTTTGAGCAGGCATAGAAACAGGGCCAGCAGCCGGTCGGTTTCGGTTGACAATGTTGATATGGTGAAGGGTAGCGTAGAGTGTTTCAATTCGAGGGATGGCGAGATTGACCTCGAGAGCGAGCTTAAGAGGGGATCCGAGATATGTCTCAATTTCCATAGGACGTTTGGCCTCGAAGTCCATCCACATTGTGCTGTTGGTTTCTTGCGGCTGTGTCATCTGACGCAGTGTGGTTTCTTTGAAATCAGCAGGGAATGTGCAGCCCTGAGCATTGGCAAGTGCTAGGAGCTCGTCGAGCACGCCGTTGATAAGAGGACGGACGCCAACCTTCTCAATGAGCTCGGCATGGTTTGCCGTCTCAAAGAGGACACTGGCTGGGTGAAATGCAATTGGACTGTGGCTCGTTAGTGATGTGCAATGGAGGGAGAGGAGGCGTGACGTACCCTATCATACGCTCAAATTGCTGTTGTCTTATGTTGGGTGCAACGTTGCAGTCAACCTGCCCAGAGCTCAATGTCATGGCCAGCGCTTCAGCCATATCGGACTGAATCTGCGCTGGGATGGCAGCGTTCTTGCTGGCGGGGCCGACCCAGATGTCGGTTGCTCCCTTGTGCTCGAACTCGCTCGCACCGAGCTGTGTAATTTCCGCCCCAGATACCAATGACAGGACGACGTTTGTAGGGAAGCGCTGCTCCAGGTATGATTCGACGCCCAGGCTATGTGTGGTGTTCATAAGGATGCAGGTATGCTGGGGAGAGACGACCGACTCGATGATGTTGGCGATATCGTATACGTCAGGAAGGGCTTTTACGCAGAGGAGAACATAGTCAAAGGGCTGTTTGGAAGAATGGGCGGCATCTTCGGGGGTGCGGACGACTGCAGATGCTGTTAGTGCGGTGCCTGCGGCAGAGCAGGGGCTGCAACTCACCAGAATGAGGCTTGAAGCGCTCGTTGCCGTAGAGGGCGGACCTGGGGGAACTGTGAGCACGACGCGGTCAGTGGGGGAGACGGGGCCGCTTACTTGAACGAGATGCCGTACTGCGCGACACTCTCGTATCCGGACTTCCACACTAGGGTGACGTCGCAGGCGTTGGTCGCTTGTAACCGCCACGAGAGGAATGCAGAAACGGCGTTTCCGCCAACTGGCAGCTGTTAGCAGAGGTCCGGGCCATGCTGGGGTTTGCTCGGCAGCGCCGGGTAGGCGTGCGCTGCCACGGGGCTGCAGTGCAGAGAAGAGCGCCGGAGCGGGGCGGAACGCACCTGACAGGATGCGCAGTCTGGGGACGGCCGGAGCCATGGCGGGCGGCGGGCGAGGTAGTGTGCTGGTGGTGAGGTGGTGGGCCGGAGGGCGAGGAGCCAAAAAGTTGGCGATGGCGGCCGTGGTGCTAGAGCGCGGACAGCGCAGCAGCAAACTGGCGCGAGGGGCGATTACGGATTAAGATAGCGGCAGAAACGAGCGTGCGGTGTCGATTACGCTCACCAGGTCGACATGGGCGGGCAATCGAGGGAGTGGGTGAGAGCGGACAGCGCGGACGGGCAGGCTGCTGGCACGCTGAACGCAGAACGCAGAGGCGCAACGGTCGCGAGGCGGAAGGCGGGAAGCAGCCACTGACACGGCGATGGGACGGCGTGGGCAGGTGCCAATGGGCGCGCAGGTGTCACGGCAGACTCGGACCAACAGAACAGAGAGGCAGAAAAGCGAGCGGACGCGGGCAGGAGAGCAGCAACGATGCGAGGGAGCTGCAGCAACGCGGAGGGAATGGGCGAGGGCACGCGGAGGAGAGGGCGCACGCTGGTAGGCCGGCAGGGAGGCTGCTGGCCGCTCACAGCCTGCTTGTGCTTGATTTGCTTGATACCCGTTCACTGCAGCGGACGGCCGTCTGCCCTGCCCATGCCAGCCATGCCAGCCCATGGCAGCCCATGCCTGTCGATGCCTGCCTGGATCCAGTCCTGCCGCTAGCCCGCCTGCGCGTAGTGCTGCACTTATCGCGCGCGAGAGACGCCTAACGTCGCCCGCCGCGAGGACGACGACGGGGCCGTGCCCAGTGCCGTCATGGTTGCTGCACCACCGCACACAGGCGTGTCGCAGCATGAGATGCGCCTGGCGCCGCCGCAAGCCGCACGCCCGCCTCGAGTGCTGCCTGCTGCTGCCCGCTGCTGTCGCTGTCACCGTCGAGTCTGCTGCGCGTCTCACGGCGGCCAGCGCGACGCGTCTGGCGCGGCGTGGTCGACGTTCCGGCGCCGGGCAGTGCAGCGAGCTCAGCAACGGCCGCAACCCTGCCGTCTGCTTGCGCGGCGTTCCGGGCAGGCTGGAGATCCGCATGCACGACTGGCAGATCTAAGGCGCCTATCAGGGGAAGCAGGCCGCCTCTCGGGGACACACTCCCTCCGCACGGTGCCACCGCTGCGTGCTGCGATGTGCAGTCGCGCGCCGTGCACACGTCTGCAGCTGCGTACCAGCTACGGAGCCTGCAGCTTCGTACGCGCACACCGTCCGCGCCCACCGTCCGCACCTCTGTACATGACTACACACAATAGTCTCTGTACCGTCTGCTCCCTGCCAGTGCCTGGCCGGTCCTGGCGCGAACCAGCAGGCCGCCCGCCGCAGCCAATTGAGAAATCTCTGCCGCCCGGTGCTGCGGCAGTTCAACGCTCCTGACGTCGGCGGACGTGTTCGCGCATTACCTATCGCGTATAAGACTCTGCCAAGCCTGACCAAAATACGGCTTCCACTGAAATTGGCTGCGTGCACGGTCTGACACGTCCACATCCTTGGTCGGTCGCCAACGGCAGCCTGTAAATCTCCCCTTCTAGGAAAAGTCGTATCCGAGATGGCGGCCGCTGCAAGGCCACAGCAATCTCGCTTTCACATTGCATTCTTTCTTTGGAGCGCTCCTCGTCCGCAGTGAGCACCGCCCGGCGTTATCGCACGCCTAAGCGGGGCGCTGGACAGGCCCCTTTTGAGTTTGCAAGCTCTCTGCGAGCGCGGGAGTCCCGCACCGGCGGCGAGCCTCCAGCGAATAACCATGGCCTGCATACGTTGAATAGCAACCAGCACACTCGCGGCTTGGCACCGTTTGGAAGAACAGCAGTACCAACCGGTGGCATGATCGGCTATGAGATGAAATCAGCACTATCCAGCGGCAGGCTCAATTATAGTCTTCAATATCATACATCGGCCGAACCAGAACACGTCGTCGCAACCGGCCATCTCAATCATCTCACCATACGGCTTACAACTCAGCCAAGTGTCCCCTGCGGCTCGACGATCAAAGTCGCCGAGTTCGTTGGCCAACTTGCAGCCGATGTTGTGATCCCGAGCTGGAAGCCTTGCCAAGTGCTGCACACGCTGCAATACAAGGCCACAACGTCGCAAGTCCCACGACAATTGCGTCCCACGCGACCAATTGTGCGTCGTTCACTTGCAAGCGAAAACACCGGGTCGGTGTCGCCCCTTTGGACCCGCTGAAATCGAGATTCGACTCCTAGTCCATCCACTCCACATTTAAACTCAGTGCCACAACAGGTTTCCACAGCAATTTCAACCTCGCAGCATGTGTACGCTTGGAACAGCCGTGGATCTGCGCACACTCCTTTTCAAAGCATCCCAAACCCATGAGCAAAGTCTCCATCTGATGACTCGATCACAACATTCGATATCTCAGAGTCTTAGCGGCCCCAATCAGGAAATGAAAGTTATTGACACCCTTGACAGCGGGATGCCACGCGCCGAACCACAAGCGTTCTCTCCGGTAATACGAGTGCACGTGTTGTTGGGGCACATCTGAATCTCTCCAGGGTTGCACGTTCATATGTAAGGGCCACAACCTGAACCGCGGTTGGTGCGTGGAAAAAGATGCTTGACAACCTTCAGCAAGTCCCGGCTCCACTTCCCAGCTTTGGGTCAAGCAGTGATTTAATCCCACCGGTTTGATACCGAGCAGTATGTTGAGTTTTGCACTGACCAGGGTTGATGTCCCTGACAAGGTCCGATGTCAGTCCCCACGAAACTTGATCAACTCACATGAAACAGTTTCGAGTACTTGACCGATGAAGAACCCCGACTTTGGTTACGACGAACTCCGACATGTAGATTGCAGTTCCGATGTTAAGGGTTTGTCGACTTTTAGCACACATGTTGACAAGTCTGCCCAAAGGAGAATAAAGGAGAATCGGTATCACTGCGTCTTGGCTTGACGACTGAAATAGAACGACAGGCCTTGTGCACATCCTTCCCCGAAGCCTCCGCAGCACTTTCATTGAGGCTTGCCACATCTGCAGGTGTCCGTTCCAACCACTGCCAATACATTCCCGAATAGACGCGAAACTTTCCGCAGCGATTCAAGAAATCTATTCGACACGTCGAATGACAGAAAGCCACGACCTTCAGCCTCTCGGTGTTCCATGTACAACTCGACTACTAGGTAAGGCCCAGCTAGCCGGGACCAGCCTCATCATCTTGTTTCTCCTGAAGCGCAAACGCCTCCACCGCCCTGCCCCACTGCGTTCCGCGGTCCACCGTGTTTCGTCGATCGTATGTCATCACCCACTTTTGTTGCTTTTCCAATGCACGCGCCTCACCGGTGTAGCATCAGCACCATGGTAACTCATGACACCGCCGGTCCAGACATTGACTTTTCAACAACCCGCAATACCATGCTGACGGGCACATCTGCATCTAACGAGTAGTGATTGCAGCGTTCGCAGTCTCCAGTGCTGCGCTAAGCACACGTCATTGAAGCATCGACCTCATTGACCTTCCCCTGTGGAATGCGCGGCCCTGAACGATCGCCCTGCGGGCCAAAAAAGCACCCCGCCGACATCCATTATTGGACAAACGCCATGTTTGTAATATTGCAATTTGTAAAATAGTCAAAGCGGTCTGCTTCACATCGCTCTCACCGAGCGCGCGCCAAAACAAAAGGGTGAGCATAAGACATGCGGCTAAGCGAGTGCAGCACCTGCTCTCGTGCACGCTGGGCTGATACCGGTGTCGCGACATGCAGTGCTGCACATCAGAGCCCGAGATTCACATTCAGCCCCAGCCTGGACAAAGCTCGAGCACACACCCACAGACTAGCATTCAGACGTGACTGGGTGCAGCATGTTTCCGCACCACCGCCAGAGCTACTTACCACGGCCTCGCTATAGCAGACGTGCAGCCCTACAACTACCGAGCAGGGGACGCACCCTTGCCGCGCCTCACGCAAACTCGCTTGGGAGCTGTCTATGTTTACACATCGCCACGGATCGCCATGCACGCGTCTCCTGGATCAACGCGCTGCAGACAAATGCCTGGGAGCTGTGTAACCGAGCTGTGGCCCTGGCAGCGTGTTGTCTACAGTCTGGATATCTGATGTTGCCACTGATCAACGCTCGCGCTTTCTGCATCTTCATGATGACGGACTGGGGTTTGGCGCTCGCGTGCAGCTTGCAGAACAGGAGCTGTTGGAGTTGATAGTGACTGGCGGCGGCGATTGGATGCGCTGTTGCTTCGCTTGTGTGCAAATCTTATATGTAGGCGCGGATGCTTTGGTAGCCGGGTGAAGAAGTGAGTGCGAGACTGCAGGGGTAGCGGCCTATATTGGCCGCCAGGTAAGCATTTTGCATCCATGATTCGTGTAGTGCACTGCAGTCTCTCCGCGGTAGCCTACTAGGCTGCAATGTGTGATTGCAATAAGGTGTGGACGCGGACTGGGTCATTGGCGCTTCGTAGAGAGGAGGTGGCGAGTATGGTGTGGACGTGAACGCAACAGGCTCTGAGATGGTAGATCTGACTATGCTGAAGCCATCGTGTATGCCCAACACGAGCTTCAAATGCGGAAAGAGATTTGGGTGGAAAGCGAGCACATGCAGTGTCGGAGGCGAAGACCCATGCTGGAGTCAAGCGCCGTAGAATCGTGTATTCGCATATCGCGTCTTGTGGTATCATATCGTAACTCGTCGTCACTCCTCCAACCCTGTCATTCTCCTCCTTAACGCGCCTCCCCACTCGCTAACAAGTCCCCAACCCCAATCGTCTTGCGCATGAGAAACGCGCCCTGCGGCCTCAGTTTCCTGTAGTACGCTTCCTCCTTGCCCAAGATCTCGAACCGGCGCTTCTTGTACCACTCCAGACCCTCGTCGTTCGCCTCCCACACATGTGCAGTCACGCAGCGGACGCCGTGCGCGGCCACGGCCGTCTTGACAACGGCCTGGAGTAGGTGCATGGCAATGCCGTGGGTGCGGTACGGCGCGAGGACGCCGATGGTGCTGATGTACAGCTGCGCGGAGGGGAGGAGACGGCAGCGTATTGCGCCGATGAGGCGTGGCTTTGCTGCTTCGGTTTCGTCTGCGGGGCCGCCGGATGGGTCGGAGTGCCACAGCGCGATGAGTGTTATGCTGTGGTGTGGCTCGGTCATGGTTTCCTTGTAGAAGGATTCGGGGTAGGGTATTGGGAGGGTCAGGGCGTTGAGGCGCTTGAAAGCATCCAGGTGCTCGTGGGTGAGGGGCGCGAGTTCGACATTGGCGGGTAGCGGGCGCAGTGAGAAGAGCGCGGGTATGGAAGGTGTTGATGATGGGATTGGAGGCGTCGAGTCTGCTGTTGAGGGTGTCTCAGTTGGTGTGGATGTTGTTTCGCTCGCAAGGCCGAGTGGTGTAGGCACCCGTGAGATGTTTGCTGGCGTGCCTGTCGCAGACGGGCGAGGGCTCTTCTTCGATCGCGGTCGGGACGAGGGCGCTGACAGAAAGTCTTCGGGTATGTCGTTCCATTGCTCTGTTGTCTTGGGCAGTGGTGTTGTGCTCGAGGGCACGCGATTCATTGGCATGCGAGGAGGTGCGGATACGGATTTGGGCGGTGGTGGAGGCCGTTTTGGTGCTGCTGAAGCTACCGGAGGCGGCGGTAGAGGCTGTGCATTCTCTTTGCTTGCTGTCGACTTCTTCAGCCACCCAGACAAGGAGGACTGGAGCATGTCTGTTCGTGATGCGCGCTGCGGTCGCTCAGACGCTTTTTAGCAATAAGAGGGTCCAGGAGTAAGCTGATAAGGGGGAATGTGAGGTTCTGGATGAAGATGTGTCTATTGTTTATAGTGGTCAGCTGGGTGGCCTAGTCATAAGGACAGATGTCGTGTTGTTGAGTTCTAGACATGCGTTAACTTTCTGGTGATTCCAACATTCCGCGCCGATCGCTGCTGCATCTGTCATAGCGTGCGCAACGCTCGGCCAAGCCTGAGCTCCGACTTCTCCCAGCAGCTGCATCATCGCGTTGGCATCCCGCACCTCCGACTGCAGCAACATGGGCGCAGAGAACTCGAAACCCTCTTCGGAGGTCAAGCAGCATGTCTTCTCCTCGTACGTCATGCTCCGCCCGCCCAATGGTTGTTGAGGCGCCCGCAAAAACAACACCCAATATGTGTACAACGGCTGACAAGTTTGCGCGCAGAGATCACCCGGTCCAGTTCTCGAACGGCCTGGTAGACTCGCTGCAGAAGAACACCTTCGTAAGTCGCCCGGCGATTGCAGCGCGAAAGACAGTGGATCGGCGCTGATACTAGACCAGACGGATGCCACGCGCTCGAAAGCACAGGAGCTGGCCTACCAGGAGCGCCTGACCGCCGAACTCGAGAAGCTGCGCGAGCAGGGATCTCAGGATTTCTCCAAGTTCAGCGAGACCCTGTCTGACGAGGATTCCCAGCCGGCGGAACCCTCCTTCACAGAGAAGCTCGCGGACGCGACATCTTCCTCCTCCACCCTTGCCGAGAAGAAGAGACAGCAGGAAATGAGCAGGACGAGTGTCACAAAGGAGATCGAGCAGCTGAGGAAGAAGCTCGAGCAGAGGAAGAAGCTGGACCAGGTTGATGCCGATCTGAACAAGGCCAAGGAGGAGGTTGTCACATGCTTGAGGATGCACGACCGCCGACCGCTGGACTGCTGGAAGGAGGTCGAGACGTTCAAGAGGGAGGTTGGAAGGCTGGAGCAGCAGTTTGTCGAGCGGACGATTCGATGAGCGACGACGAGCTAAGATGGCACGCACGTTGCTCTAGACGATAAGACGAGCTAGGCCAACCAGGTTCTGTACAGATAGAGTGGTTCTCTGTTAAAAGCGACCCACGAGCGGCTTCCTACTACTTCACACGAGCATCTCACTTTCCAGCTCCGTTTGCCATCTCTGCAATTGCACTAGTCTGTTTGCCTATGATGTTGCCTGCCTCTTCCTTGCTCTGTTCGCTATCTCTCACTCTCATCGCCGCTCTTCGTGTTTCAGCTGCGTGCTTCACTCACGCTCACCAGCTACGCACGTCGTCTGTCAAGTAGCACGCGCTCGGCTAACAATGCGCACACTTCACCTTCACCGCAGGGTCACGCCCTATGTGCGCCGCTTCACCCATACGCAGGTTCTTTCGTCTGCTCAACGTAGCTGCAACGCAACCTTCAGCCATAGCCCAAGAGCCACGCTTCGTATTCTCTCAGGCCCGTCCTTTGCGACGACATGTCCCGCTGCGAGCTGTCAGAAGTGTTTGAAAGCAAGTTGTATTCCCTAGCTACAGGGTTTGAGCTGATAACTAATTATGTCTTACAGTCTCAGAAAGCTCCGACGAGGAAAACGATTGCGTGGAAGTTAAGCCGATCGACTTGGGTAAGAAATCTCTGTACATATCGAGGTCGAGGCTAATGAATCTCTGCCAGAAAGCGAAGATCAACATGAGGGACTACGAAATCTATGCCGACCTACAGGATGTCGCCAGATTCCCGCTTATAACGCGATACGAGCACGACCTTCGCCTCAGCAAGATCAGTCAGACAAAGAGCTACGCTTCCACAGACTCCCAGATGACACAATCATCCGTGTTGGGGACTTTGTCGAGTTGCAATGCCCTCCCCATCGTCAGCTCGATCCAAAACATTCGGGAGACTATCTGCGCATAAAGGGTATTTTTGAAGACCGCCGGACCTCAGAAGTCACGCTACGAGGTCTTCGCTTCCAGCGCGAGAAGTACGCAGTCGGCAGATCCTTCGTTGGGAAGACCGTACGTTTAGCCCAGGAACGAAAGATGAACGACCGGATAGGAGCCCGCTTGTGCGAGCTGGTAATGTGTCTTACCGTAAGAGAAGATGACAATCGGCCAGCAGAAGTCCAAAGCGAAGAAACAATTCCCATTAGTGAGGTCCAGCATAAACAAGCAGTAATACTCACGAACAGGCCCTACCCAATGCTCAGCTACAGAGAGCAACCAAGCCTCTGTGCCCATTTGCATAATCAGTCCCATAGACAGATTCGTCTTCACATATTTAAGAATGGGCCTCTTGTGTGCAGGTGGTCTAGGACCTCTACGATATCACCGAACGGCAAAAAATATGGGATGGTAGACAGATACTTCACGAGGAAGGAGGTGACAACACCGCAGCACTTGTCTCTTGCGCCCTTGAACAACGGATATCTACCCATAACGCCACATCGAAGAACGCTGTCAGTAGAGGAAATAGCTACAGCAACGACTCAGAGATCTACACTACCTTCGAAGAACCAGCTCTACACCTACTTCGATATGTACTGTGGAGGGGGTGGAGCATCTCGAGGCGCGGACCAGGCCGGTCTGAAGGTTCTGGGAGGGTTGGATCACAATGAGATCGCGATGAACGCGTGGGAGCGAAACAACCCCGGCGCCATACCTCTCTGTATGGACTCGTTCGCTTTCCTCAAGAACGACATGTGGAAAATCATTGGGAGATGCGATTTCCTGAACATCTCAAATCCGTGTCAAACTTACAGCTCTGCTCAGTCAGTATATCCTTCATTTGGCTGCGAACCCTCTAATCAAGCACAGCACCAGAGAGGGCAAGAACGATGAGATCAATACCGCACAACTAGAGGTCATCAAGATTATCATCGAAGCCTTGAAGCCAAGGGTGGTCGTTATTGAGAATACAGCCAATCTGGTCAACATGGAAAGAAATCGCAAATATTTCAACAGGATGCTGAACGACGTTCACTCAGCGGGGTCCGGCTATAACCTGAGATACAAGGTTGTCAACATGGCTGACTTTGGCTTACCCCAAGAGCGCAAGCGCCTTCTCCTGATCGCGGCTAGGTATTGACCCTTTTCCTCAAAAGCTTTCAACGTACTGACATAACTTCAGAAGAGATACCCCATTGCCACCTTTTCCGAAGCCTACGCACGGTCCTCCTGGCAGTGGGCTCAAGCCGTACGTCAGGATTGGTGATGCACTTAAAGTCCTTGAACGGCTTGGAGAACGCGCCGAACGAGACGGCTACCATAAGCTTCATAGAGAAGTCTCACAGCAGGAACAGGCTTACGATCCTTATGCGGAATTCGTTGACTGTATAATGACAAGTGGTGTGGAATGCCGACACTGGAGCGGCGAGAAGTTTACTCCACGGGATTTGGCTCTTCTTCAGTCTCTTCCTGTTCACCACTGCTTGGCTGGTAGCTGGCCACAGGCTATCAAGCAAGTAGGAAACATGTTTCCACCTATAATGGCAGAATTGGTATACAGGACGTGCGCACAAACTCTTGAGGCTTGGGACAACGGCTTCTTGGATGCAGACGACGACATTGATGATCTAAACATCACACTGATAGAGAAGGGTGTTGATATCCCTGAAGCGAAACACACTCCGACCTCAGTGTTTGATCTTACAGGTCCTGCCGCTCCATCGCCATACCGGTATCTCTCGCGTCCGGTCTTCAGCGATGCAACCCATGTGAAACATTCATCTGCCTGGAGCAAGCGTCTGTTCTCGGGATCTGGCAAGAGCGAAAGGAAGAGATCGTTTTATAGCGGTCCTTTGGAGGATGACGATAGAGACACTACACCTTCGCCAGCCCAGCCACCATTCAAACGTGCGACGACCAGTTCACGAGAAGAAACCTTTTGGAAAAAACACGGAGGGAAGACCATTGACCTTTCCAACAGCGACGAGGATTAACCAGGGTCAAGTTTGCAAGAGTTGCAGACATGGATCGTGAACAGAACACGCAGATTTGTATGCAATGTCTGCATATCACATCTTAGCAAAAGACCACACATTAGTAGCGCATGCACCCCGCGCTGCAACTGTAGTTAAATAAAATACAGAATGCTTACACTTCGAAACACAGAGTTTTTATGACTGTAACATGTTAAGGCTATGCTTGTTGTACAGCAGCACAGCCACAGTTCCCAGGTACTTGGCCAGCGAAGCCGAAGCTTCGTCGGGGGCTCTGTGCACGACAAACATAGCAACCAGCCTGGTGTTGTGGGAATGCCGAGCTAAGTGACATTAAGGTTATGGCAGCAGGTCGGCCCTTTGGTACATAGAGATTGCTGACCCACATCTCTGGGATAGACTTTCCTGGTGCAGCAGACAGTTAGCGCTGACCAACCTTATCTGCGAGACCTTGAGGTTGGGCTACTTTCGAAGTGGTGCAAGACGAAGAAGCCGAGGAGATAGGTAATCATCCCCGGATCGCGTCGGATGAAGACTTGATTGCACCGCAGACGGTGCGAGGGTTGGCACGCATTTATTGCGGTAGTATTTGTAAGTGGACACTGCGTAAGCCGGACATGTGTCCTAAAATGTACCCTCTTTATAGACGCGCCTGGGCACAGGAAGTACACAGGGATTATTATAGCGCATGCAGGGCAACGCATGATAGAGTTGGACAAACAAGGGGCTCTGACTTATGGTCCATATGTCTTATGTGATGTCTAAGTTGTCTACGGTGCTGTCGTGACGGCAGTGAAATCGCTATCCCCTTCTAAGTCTATGCTGAATTTTACAAGCATGGGTATCATCAAAACAGAATGTCCATCATCCTTCATCTCTGCCCAGCAGGATCACTTCATCATTCCCACGGCGCGTCTAGCCTCATGCATCACGTCAACCGACGCCCGACGGTGCTCAGCCACCAATATTGATTCGGACTCATCTTCCTTCTCGTCCTCGCTCTCTTCCAGTTCATCTCCGCTGAGCCCATCCAGCATAGCCTTGATCTTAATCTCACTCCTTGCAAAGACTGTTTGACAAGCTAGGAATAGCAACCCTCTCTTACATAGCTCTTGCTTCTCGACATGATAATTGAAGTCTGATTCCGGGAACGAGAAGGCGACAGCCACGTTCCTCACCGCCATGAGGTCCGCGATGGCGCTCCTGAACCGCACGTTTCCCTCAATAACATGAAACGCCGTCAAGACCTTCTTCACGTCCAGTGAGTCGTCGTCCATGCTTTCGTCGTCTGATGACAGTGCACCGAACACTTCGTCGCTGAAGCTCGCATACGGCCGCGTGTCCGTCATGAAACTTAAACTGAGCAGTGTTGATTGGACGAACCCGAGTACGTGCGTCAAGTTCATAATGTACCGCTCCGCAGCGGGACATACCGGCTTCCATCCGCTGACACTGGGCTCTGTCCTCAGTTTCTTGGGATAGTACAGTGGGTTGATCTCGAGATGCCGTATCAGTTGGAGATCTCGGACTTGTAGAGGGGGTTCGAATGCGCCGCACCCTTCAACGTCGTCGTCGCTTGTGCTTGGCATTGATGTGATGTGGAAAGTGTTCTTGCCGAAGAAGGCGTTCCGCGCTTCCGCGTAAATCTGTTTATTAACTCGGAGAATCTTCGTATCCAACCCGTATTTCGTGTTGCGCCGAGCAATTACACCCTTCAAGGGCTCATCTGCGACGAGAAGGTAGTCGTAGATCCGAAGCCGAAGTTCAGGCGGGAGCATATCCAGGAAGGGTGATTCTGTAGTGAACGCCATTTCAAGCACGACTCGTTTGCAACTGGCGCAACGGAGAAGGAGCTCGATGTTGCTGCACAGAAGGGAACAGCGAGTATGTAGGTTTGGGCGTGTGCGTGGTATTCGTGTCAAGGCTCCACCAAGCCTTTTCTTTCTTTGCAGGTTCCAAACTCTGCATGGGATCAGATGTCAGACGAAGGCTTTGTAAACTTAGCAGCCACAGTTCAGCGAGGAGTCCTTTGTATTTGCAGAAACCCCCAGCGCCCCAGTCTGCGTTAAAACGCCCTGCATCCACAAATTCTCCGTCTGTTCTGCCCGTGAACTCGCCATCCCTTCCCAACTCTCCCCTCGCAGAACCTACCATTCGGAAAGACTATCGTCGAACCCACTCGCCCGCAGGGCCAACCGCCGTTGCAGATCCGCGCGCATCCCTGCAACGGATGCGCTCCGAAGCCTGTCAGCCGTGATGGAAGGGAAGCTGGCGCGCTTCCAGAAGCTTTCTCGAACGACGGAGCAACGCTAACGCCGCAGCGAACAAAGCCAGAAGGACGCAGAAGCTTTGCATCTGGTTAGAGCTGCAGCATGATGCGACGGTCAGGCGCCCATGGGAGCACTGCAGAAACGCAGCTATCGCGGAAGCGAAGCCACGGCGAAATAACTGGGACCGTGAAACATGGATTTTCCGTTTCGCCGCCACGCATGGATGATGGCTTGTGGCGTCATCCCCGGTTCCGGTTCCGGTCATGCTCGGCAAGGCATTTCACAATGCGGTTCGTTGCCCATTAGGCGATTGCTACAGAATCCTGCGTGCAGAGCCTTCAAGAGCCTGGCACCGAACGAGCTGCACGCAGGCTTGGGGCTACTCGGCAATCAATCAAACTTCGTATCGACGATCTGCAGGCCGCGATGCGTTAGCTTGCCTTGAGCCAGGCACGGGAGCACACGTGGGATGCCAGCATGGTGCAGATCGCCACACCCAACGTTCCAGGCATAGCTACCCAGCCACAGCTCAGGGCCCGAGTTGCCTCCGGAACCGTCCCTTTGGCAATCCAGCCCTTTCCCATGATGCAGGAGTAGTCAAGTGCTGCAACGGTCGCTTTCGCACTGTCTGAGTCAACGCCACTGCCCTGCATCCTCTCATATGCATATCCACAGATACACGTGTCTGCCTATGCGAGTCTCCATGGGAAGCATCCGGAGCCTATTGTTTCAGGCACTCACTAGACCTACACTATATCCAGACCTCGCGTCTCAGCGGGTAAGTGACAGTGTGACAGATGGCCATCGGACCCAACTCCGGCTCGCTTGGTCAAAGGATTCTTTGACATGCCCAAGTGGTAAGACGATGATGTAGACGGTCCGATGTTTAATCTTTGGTGTCGGCTTGGCCGTGTTTGTCATATGTATTGTTTCAGGGAAGGCGAGCCGATTATAGGGTGACCAGTGTAGTATACTGATGGAAGTAACTCCGACGGCCCGCGTAGTACTGGCAGAAATCGCCGCTGTTCACCCTTCTTCTCAGTCAGATGATCAGATGGTAATTGAGGATTAGATGAGAAGGACATACTTCGGAAGATCTTTCAGTATATATTAAAGAGAGTGTCCGAGTCTACCACAATTGACGCTTGGCATTCTTCATTGAGTCGTTATTCATAATCTTCTATCGTTGCTGTCCAACATCGTTCCAAGACAGTAAGAAAAGCACCACAGTGATTCAAAGGCTAGTCATACAGTCATTTCTTCGTTCGTGTTCATCCGATAGTGATTCCTCAGTAGTCCCTTCGTTTGACGGTCTTCTTCTTGCGCTGAACCACAGCCGATCCATCTCCCTCGGAATCAGACTCAGTATAATAGTCGTACTCCTCATGGACCTTATAGCCACGATCGGGACGTCGGCTGTCCCGGCTCCTCTCACGACGTCTGCGGCGGTCATCGCTGTCGTAGCGACCGTCACTGTCGTGATGTCGATCGCGATCATCCCGTTCGTCGCGGTCGTCTCGTCCTCGAGACTTTGAGCGGAAGCGGTCAATAATACTTCGGCTTCTAGCCCGAATACCGCCACCTTTACGGTCCTTGCTGCGGTCCCGATCACTGTGCTTTCGATGTCGCGAACGTGAGCGTGATCGTGATGGAAGTCGTCCGTGCTCATCTTTAGCCCTGCTTCTAAGTAAGTATCCGTCGCGACACCGCTCCTCTCAACAGCACGCCTACCTTTCGACATTCCTAGTAGCGATCGCTTGTCCACCGAGCGCACCTGCTGCGGCACCTGCTAGCATTGTCAGCCTACTCTTACCCGCAGCTCTGCCTGCAAAGCCTCCCGCCAACGCACCAGCCACAGTAGCCCCTAGATTCTTAGTCCGCAGATCCATGTCGTCAAACCTTTCACGCATGTCAGACACACGAGACTTTTCACGACGGGAACTGCGGGAATCTGCAGACCTAGCCCTATGCCGATGTTCTCGGCGGTCGTGCTTGGTGCTGCTGCGGTGACTAGGAGAGTGGCGGTCGTCGTAATGGGCGACTTGCTGGTCAGAGCCCCGGGGGTTGTAGGGCGGATAGTGCTGGTCTTGATCGAAAGAAGGCTGGGAGCGCGACTGATGACGGTAGAACGGTGGCGGCGAGGCAAAGTCGTTCCCTGGAGGATAAGCGGAATCGGGAGCAGCGTATGTAGCAGGGTTATAAGGAGCGTATGGCGCATTTACACCTGCTGGTGGGGAATTGACTCCGACAGGCGGAGGCGGAATCGAAGCAGCAGGCGAAGGCGCATATCCGGGACCAGGTGTATAGCGCGCTGCAGATGCTGATCGAGCTTTCGCGTTCTGAATCTCTTCATAGCGATGTGCTGCCTCACTACCGTATGCTACTGCAGGTGGCGAAGTACCATCCCGTCTATTCACAGGTGGCTGTGTTGGGTATGGTTGGTTGTATGTCGGCTGAGGAGTGTTAGTAGGTGGGCGGCGCAATATTGCCGCAAGAGGCGGCTCATAGGATGGTGAGAAAGAAGCTGAAACGGGAGTGCCATAACGAAGGTGGTCAAACAGGTGAGGCTGCAGACCAGCAAAAGGGGATTGCGAGCTCGAAGGCGGCCTGTTCAGCAACCTCGGTGGACAAGAGTTCACCGGCGTTGGATAAGAAGCCATCATCGGAACGGTCGCACTCAAAGAACGAAAGAAATTATTTACCTGCGGTGGGTAGCCAGTCTGGGGCTGGGCCGATGTTGGTCGGTATTCGCCCTGGCCTGGCCTGGAGGCATATTCCTGGGAGCTGTACGGCGCATATTCGGACGTCGGCGGTGGTGGGAAGTACGGTCCCTGACCCTGCTCTCGGTCTGCATACGCCATGTCCCTGTCGCTGTATTCTCCGGTTGGGCCTCTACTACGCTGATAGTTCCTCCCACGGCTCAAGCTTCTGCTGGCGCTTCTACCCGTGCTCTTCCGGCGTCTTCGCTCTCTCTTTTGATCTTCTTCGTAGTCAGAGTCACGGTCACTGTGATCTGAGTAGTCGTTCTGAGGGCTACGATCTCGTCGCGAGCGTTCACTGCTCCGCCTACTTTTCTCTTTTGGCGGTGATTGGCTCTTGCTGTTTTTCTTCTTCTCTTCTTCTGGTTTGAAGAAGCCGCCTGGGATCTTTTCGAAAAATTTGTCTGGTATCTGTTCCGCGCCGTAACCAAGCGCCTTGAATGCAAGAACGGACATCTTTCTATGGGGCGCTCGCCAGGCAGGATGGCGTAGCCACGCGTGTGACGTAAGGCAGGCTAAGCAGTCGGGGCTGTGATTGGATCGCAATCCGCGTCCCTACAGAAGCGCAAGGCTTGTTGAGTGATAGCGTGTGGCAAGGCCGCACTGGAAGTTACGCGTCTGCAGCCTCGAATGGGGTCGTGTTTAAGCAATATAGATCAGAGGTGTGAGGAGGGTGAAGTTCCGGGGTGGTTGGGAGTATTGCCTAAGTAATGAAGGCCCGGGAGGCGTGACAGCTCAAGTGGCAAGCGCATTTTTAACGTGGCCCCGGAAGGAAGCAATTATGCCAGGCATTTGCGCTTCCAAAGTCACGATAACTGTGATTTGCCAGGGGTAGAGTGCGAGGATGATGTCATACTCGTCACCGCCGGAGACTGCGCCTGGATCTTGGATTGCATGCTTGGGCAGATCTCCCTACGAAATCAACCTAATTTCTACAGACAGATGCATCATGCACAAGTGGCTCTATCTTCTATTTGAATATATGTCTTTAGGGTGGTACATTGTTCGCGGCGATGTTGCAACTGCTTGCTCGTCAACGGGTACTAGGTGGTTGTGTTCATACCCAAAGTTCGGATGACGTAGCGTCCTTCATACGCCACTGTAAATGACCTCGTGAGCACTTGCATACGGCAGACAAGAAGAAGTCCGGACTATGCCGCGGTATTCGTCCACCGCTAGAATCATATGGGCGACGAGGTTGTTACCCGATCCAATGCCCTGCTGCAGCCGTCTTTGTGCAGGGCGTACAAGGACTATCGTGAGACGGCCCACAGGTGCGTTGTCTGGGTTCATTTAGTTAGCCACTCGCAATTGCGTGGGCAATGACAGCATGTTATTAATTCTCCCGCTGTTAAAGCTGCAAGTGGGGAAAAGTACAGTGCTTCTATTGTGTTCCATCAAATATAGCCAGGAGGTATTTAGCTAAGTCCAGATTATCTTTCTCGACATGTAAATGACACTATAGCCCCTAACGTGATGGTCAGCTCATTTAACCTGCGCACAGCAGCTGTGAAAGCCTCCATTGAGACAAGTCCCAGAACCTGGATCCCACTTCGGTGTAACATGAGCGCTGTGCTCGACAGGTGATGGAAGAGAAACATGACAATCGCTTTGAGAAGGGCAGATTATTAGTGCCAAGCTCTGTGCTTAGGACACTCGTTACCAGCAGTTTCACCTCCCATACCAGTCAGCTTTACACAATACCCAGGTATTGCAGAATGGCTACGTTCTCATACATCCTGGGGAAGAGCTGGAGGGTTCCTAATCTCGCCTGACGGTCGTCCAGAACTATCCGGTACTTCAACCATGTCGTCCACCATGCTCAAGAACCTCTGTCTGTACTCGTCGCTGTTGGCAGTGATACTCATCGGGCCATGATCTTTGCCGATCTTAAGCGTGTTGTAAAGCTTCACCAAGCCGGTAAAAGCGTGTGCTTGTAATGCGTCCTTTGACCAAAAGAAGTCCAATACAATAGCTCGATAGACCCATTGCTCATCTCGCGAGATGACACCTGTACGCCATGTCGATCCACTTCCCGGTGGGGTTGGGACTTGGTGTGTACCAGAATTCAGATCCGCGGGGTAACGGACTAAAAAGAGCGAGTAGTCAACGGCATTGTTTTCTTGTAAGAGCTTGCTGTCCCTGGATAGTTGCGCGATGAGCTCCTCTTTCTGGTCAATCGTGACCCTGATCTTGTCTTCGAACTCATCGATAAGACGGTCTTTGACGCTCTCCGGCGCCAATCTGCCGCCAGCAATATCTCGTTCTGGGAAGAAGTAGTCGTTCGGTTTTAGATCGAATGTCTCCCATTTCTTCTGTTGACTTTTGCTGCAGCTTGACTTCCCATACAGTATATTCTCCATCACGATATGGTGGCTAGGAGCGGCACCAAGTAAGGCACCAAGTGTAGTGGTCGGGCAATAAAGGAGATCGGTGATGCGAACGAGGAGAGAATCTTTGTTGAACTGCATGTGCTCGACGTAAGGCTCAAGAAGTCTTTGCCGGAAGAATGACTGTTCGAAGTGGCGTGGTAACGACTTCACTAGAAACTTCGTGTTTGGTGTCGTGAAGAATGTCTGCAGCCGGTCAGTGGTGAACCACATGCAGTTCATTGTATACACACTGATCCAGAATACCCCAGGTCTCCCACCGACTTCAGATCCGTCCTTTTCCCCTTGCTTGGACTCCGGAAGCTTTCTGTGTACTCTTCCTCACTAAGCTGCCACGATTCGTTCCGGAGCTTCTTGAAGATTTCATCACGATAGCGCGCAAGTGTGAGCTGGAACAGGGAGAAGAAAGCCAGGATGCGCGCAAGGAGACCTGGCTGTGCACTTTCATCACTGCTCACAGGTTTGATGACGAATATGGCGCGCAGGATAGAACTGCTGATTAGGCGCTGGCGGCGTCCCATTTTGAGTGTTATTGTTGTTGGTTGCTGCAACGCGAGATGTTTGTGCTTTCGATCGCTTTGGCACCTGACGTCACTTTACGCTAACTAACTGTAGCACCCAGACATAGCATAACCTTACTAGCTTTAATGATATTTTCTACTACCTTATTTACTCTATACTATCTTAGCATACTAGCTCTACTTGGTATAGAATTTACACATGTCAGACCTTACGGGTGGTGACACTGGGCAGGAAAGTGTGTGAAGAAGGTAGCAAGACTATGTATCGTGCTTACATGTGAGAATCTATCCCTCTGGTCTCCCTCTACCTAATTACGTGGCTTGAAGTTCCTAACGTGCCTAGTGTTACGTTTGAGAGCAGCGCTGCTACTGGCCTTGTTCAGCTTTGCAACAAGCTTTGTGTTGAGGTTGGTCACAGCAGTCTTGGCCGGGGGCTTTCCGAGATTGTTGCTGAATGGGCGAACGATATCGCAACGGAGAGACTGGGCCGGAGACATACGCTCCAACTTGGTGTTGTTGGTCTGAATGAACAGTCTCTCCCGCGAGTCAACACCATATGGCTTCCACTCAGCCGCGCCTTTCATGCGATCTGTGTTCGGATCAAGGTTGCGAATGAAGCTGTTCCAGTACGAGCGCACGAGTGGGATGATCGGCTCGTTGGTGTTGAAGTAGCTGGGAGGCGCGCCACCGTCAGTACGGTTGTTGCCCCACCAGGCATACGCGTTGACGGTATGCCAGGCACCGTAGCCAACTTCCTCGTCGGATGGATCCAGAACATCGTAGTTGTAGTTGTATGTCGGGACGCCGTCTCGCGCAAGGTAATTTTGGATGTTACGCGTCATGCACACGGCCCCAACCTCGCTGATAGCAACGGCGGCATGTTGCCAGTAGCGACCTTTGCCCGAGAATGCTGGCTGGGAAGGCTTAATGTAGAGATCGCTGATGACGCTGATGGAAGAGTTACTCAGGGTAGAGTCCTTCTCAACAACCCATTGAAGCGCGTCAGCTGGAGTGTCGAGTGTCTCTGGGGCGTTCCACTTGGTGCCCTCATCGGCGCAGGTACCCATGATGGTCGGCACTTTGGTGTACTTGCCCTGCTCAAACAGATTCACCAGGGCATCTGTGTACAACTCTCCGTCGATGTTAGGGTTGAACCAACAGTTGTTAGATCGAATGGCCGTCTCGTTCAACGCACGCAGACAAGCGAGACCATCAGGAGCGTCGGAGCAGCCCTTGTCTTTGATCAAGCAATCGTATTCCTGCTCGCCTTGCTCCGCATTGCGCATTGTAACCCAGCCACCAGACTCCGAGATGCCTCCTGCGAACAGTTTCTTGCCTGTGTTTGCAGCAATCATCAAAGCAACGGAGGAACCACCTGCACTGACTCCGTCGAGCACGACCTGGTTTGGGTCTCCGCCGAATCGTGCAATGTTGTCTTGAACCCACTCCAGCACCTTAATCTGATCGCGCAGCCCTGCGTTAACATCGCCACCTCCGGCCTTCACATTAGCGCTGTTAAGGAAACCGTAGACGCCGACGCGGTAACTGAACTGCACGAAAACGACCTGTCCAGACGCGACGATTTCCGTGGGGTCCCAGTTGGCGCTGGAAAGCGACGAAAAGCCTCCTCCCTGGAAGAAGACGACTACTGGGAGCTTTGAGTTGGCGCGAGCCTTCGTGGGAGCGTGAACACTCAGGTACAGGCAATCCTCCGCAATATGGAAGCGGGTTTGTGGACCGGACACAGTCCAATCGTCAGATCGGCTGGGCGGGCAGGTCGCTCCATATTGAGTTGCGTTGATCGTTCCAGACACGATGGGGTCCTGAGGAGCAGCAAATCGAAGTTCACCAACTGGTGGTGCGCCATATGGGATGCCTTTCCAGGCAGAAACACCCAGTCCTGAATCGACAACGGCGCCTTGGTACTTGACATGGCCAAGATCAACGAGGGTGTCCACAGCACGCGCGATCGGTGCAATGGCCAACAGTGCTGTGAGCGCGAAGCTGGAAGAGAAGACCTGCTTCATGGCGAAAGAAGAGTTGTTGCTCCTGAACAACTTGGAAAAGTGTAAACGAGTGTGGATCCTATAGAAGAGGATCAAATGCAGTGACAGGAAGACAAGCCTGCGTTTTGTTCAAGAGAAACGAGAAAACGAGAGTGATGATTGCGAAACCATGTTCGCAACGCGAATTTTATATCGTATAAAGCCCTCCTCCTGAGCCGTGTTGTAGCTGCCTCACACCGCAGCTTAGGTGTAGGTAATTTCTTATGCGCAAATACCAAGACCGCAGCGCCCGAAAAGCTCATACGAACATCGCATTCGGGCCAAACCTCAGATCAGACTGGAGTGCAGTAGCGAACGGGACTAAGCTCCGCTCCCGACTTTCGGGCCGTTCAATCGCCGCGTACCGGTGATGGCCATCATTTGTTCGACACCTCTGTTAGTTGTTTCACTTTGATCTACATGCAATTTAACCTACGAAGATGTCATGTCCGACATGCGTTAACGCCGGAGGGCCACGAGCGTTAAGACCGAGCAGTTTTCTTGAAGCTCAGGTGACGGAAGAAAACCCGAGTTTCTATACATGTACCTGGGTAGGACTCGAGACTTCTAATTCGAATTTTTCTACAGTCAAAGTCTCTATATTAGTAAGGTTAGTGTCAGACCTCAGCCCGAGCCGCTGAGATAAGCAAGCCAAAAAGGTGCACGACTCACGTTGTTGGTGAGTCCTCGCTCGAGATAGTATGTATTGCCCTCCCATCTCAATTCACAAAGCATGGGCCCTGACAGTCAGTAGTGTTAGGTCCCTCTAGTATAGACGTTGTCTAACGTTAAGGGCCTATATGATTAGGACGTCTTCTAAATCATACCAGGTAGGTACAAGTAGAGGTCTGAGTCTTTGTTGCTGAGGCTACGAGCTTTTAGCAGGTCTAGCCCGTGACGCTAACCCCTGCAGGACTAAGTTCAATTGACCAACCACCTATCCTTGTGTTATTTGCAACTGTCCATGCCCAGAGCAAGCCACCTATCAGGCGTGCAATGGCACTGTCATACTGATCAGTTTCTAGATCTACCAGCCGTTAGGAGGTGAGACTTTAGCAGAAGTCATATTTCACAAGCGTTCAGGCCTGCCTCACCATCCGCCCTGCAAAAGGAGGGGCATGCGCCTAGTCGTCAGCTAAGGTCATAACATCAGGTGTTTGAGAGCGTTGACCTGAATAGCGAATTGACGCACCGAACCCACGGAGTCCCTGGATCTTTGAACTTAGATACCAGATGTTCTGCGCGTGTTGCCACTAAGGGGAACTCCGCTCAGCCACAGAGGGCCGTTACATGCAGGTGGCATATCAAGATCGTAGATGCAACAAATCAGACCCACACGAGGTTAAGCGATCACCCGCCAGGATCGGGTCCCGCAGTATCAATTTCGGCCCCCACTACCTAATTGTCTCACAATCAGCCGGAGTGGCATTGGTCGAACTTGTGGCGAACCATTGATCGCCGGATAGGATCCGTTGTAAATCTGGCATTATATTCATCGCTAATATCACACAGTCAATAATGTATTTACCTTTGGGTACACGTTGATAGCAATGGAGCACTAGCTTGGGGATACTCCCACACAAAGTAGATGGCTCTTGCTTTCCAAGGTTCTCTACTGTCTCTCAAAGGTTTGAAGAATCACTTCCTACTTCTCTACTGTCATGCTCTTTGTATAGGCTGTCGGTCTCATCCAACCTGTGCCCGGCAAAATTTTGCCGTACTCCTTGGAGAATGCGTGCTCATCACCCTCGTCGAATCATTCGCAACGTCGGCCCAAGCATCCAGCCTGTCCGCTAACCAAGCTAATAGCACCTTCAACCGCTGGTGCTATGATAGTGTCCGAGAATGTCGTCTGGACCTCAACATCGGCAGGGTGCGGAGCTAAACGTCCCGTTTCATGCACAGTAGTGCATCAGACCCGCCAGACCTCCTTCGAAACGCCGAGCCGTGGCCAATTGGGTCTTCTCTATTCGAAGTGGTCGAAGAAGTACAAGCCCTCACCTCCATTGTTGCATGTCTGCATAACTAGCTTCCTGCATGGCTTACGAGGCTTTACTTGATATAGATATATTTGGATATGTACTGTTCTAGGCATCTTTCTGTTCACATAAATTGTCTCACATTGCACTCTTGGGCTGTACTTGCAACGTTCGATCCGTCGTCTTCTTCTACCATTACTTTTTGCTTCCACCGTACACATCTTTAGCGTCCCAAGATCACCGCAGGTCGAGATCCAAAATGGCCGCCGCGGACGTTCAGCAAATGCCCACCCAGGAGCCAGCTCCTCCAGCACTCCCAGACTACTTGACTGACCCTGATGCTGTTCTGAAAGACACAGAGGTCAAGTGGCGGTACGGTAGAGCACCGGATTACTCGAAGACAAGACAGGTCTTCTCTGAGAGTCAGTAGCACAGAAGAAGCCAGTGGTATCACAGCGCTGACACAAAGTAGCAAAAGAAATGTCGCACGAGGCTGGATCGCTCCCTGAGCTCGTACAAAACCTGGTCAAGAACTGGGAGGTTGAGGCCTCATTCAAGCCTGTGATTAGCGATTGGCGTACCATCGACCATGAGAACTACTCATTTGCCATCAACGGTTCCAAGCCCGAGGGTGCCGAAGCCATGCTCAAAGTCGGCACATACAACGCCATCATCGCACCAAACGAGTACTACTCGCCTGATTACTCAGACTTCGCAAGCAGCCACAAGACTTTCAAGCGCATGATGCCCACCTTTGCGTGGGAGGTCTTGGAGGTGTACAGTGGGCCCCCCACAGTCAGCTTCCGGTGGCGACACTGGGGTACTATGAAGAACGACTATGTGGGCATCAACAATAAGGGTGAGAAGGTTACAGCAAAGGCCCACGGAGGCTCCATTGATGTACAAGGTGTCACAGTCGCTACTGTGAACGACAAGGTGCAGCTGCAGTCTGTACGAACATGGTTCGACCCTATGGACATGTTCAGGCAGATCGCACCGAACGGCGTTGTGAAGAAGGAGACGGTCGATAAAAACATGGCGCCTGCTGATGTCGTCGATGGCACCTCGAGCGATGCAGCAACACCGGTCAACACAAGCGTCACTGAGGCAATTGAAGCCATGGGCCTTGACAGCGCCGCGGCAGCAGGCTGCCCATTCGCAGCCGGTGCACAGAAGCAGGATGGCGAGGCCAAGCTGCCGGAGGGCCATCCTCCTATCGAAGAGAAGATCGAGCAGGTTGTAGCCGAGTCTCGCAACGATGACGGCGTTCTGAAGACGGCACTTGACCCTGAGCAGCATGGCAAGTTTGACCAGGAGGTCGCTGAACACCCTTTCATGCCGGGTGGCTTCCGTTGAGCTGGTACACCTTGTGCAAGATGAAGTGTTGTTGACTGCATAGCGTTCTTGCGAGGTTTAGACGAGAATTCTAGCCAGATGTACTTTGTACCTACGAACGTGCCCTCATCTTCGTGGAACGTGCTCGCAATAAGAACAATCACACACTATGACCTGTGATAATTCGTGAAGCGTTGGCTAATCGCATGCTAGCAAGTCCATCTGATCACACGCTCTGCAGAGTTGGATACGTCATGGATCGTGAGCATGGATGCCCTGGCGTGTGCTTGTTCGGCCCTGATGCTCCCACGTGGAAGCAGGAGCACCGCATGAGCGTTGGCAGGACTCGACAAGCAAGCCCAGCAGCCGTTGCGGCCCGAGACGTCTATGCCAGAGATCCTCTCGCGTTTGCATTCGGTTTGCGAGACTTGGCCAGTGAGTCGTTGGGTTGCGAGCTTGACCGACGGTGCTGGCGGTGTCGCGTGCGAAGGTTGGGCCCTGATGAAGTGTCGCGAACCCTTGCCGCAGATGTTACCCAAAAACGCAGCCAGCGACGTCAAGGACAAGCTACGTTTGACAGGAGACAGTTTTTGAAGTTTGCCGATTGCCGATTGTTCGCTGAGGTTCGACGGCCTTCACCGAACAGCCCTTGGCTGACGCGCTACCAATCCGGATTTACGGGCCAGTCGGGAAAGAGCCGCAGCGGCCCTCACTGACGTCTCGCATCCTCCACCAGCACAGCCATTCTTCCGCAGCCTGTGGCGAGTGCAACGCGCGGCTACGCAGCACCGAGCGATTGCACCTTGGAGCCACAAGCTGGGCGAGTGCGACACCAAAGCATTCATGTGTTGCCTAGCCGGCGCATAGAGCACCACGGCCCCGCTGAGCTGGCGACACGACACCGCGAACCACACGAACCCCCCGAGCACCCCATTCTTAGCGCACCGTCGCCATGCCTTCGATCCTGTCCGACGAGGACAAGCTAACGGTCAAGCGCACCGTCCCCAAGTCGGCGAACAAGATCCATTCTGTCGCCGTTGCCAAGCTGTACGTTGCGTACCCCGACCGCCTCAACTGGACATACACAGGCCTGCAGGGCGCTGCAGTGCTGGCAAACGACCTGGTTGGCAACACATTCTGGATCAAGCTGGTCGATATATCAGTACGTATGCGCAGTCGGCTGCCGTGCGACCTGCTAACATGCTGCAGTCTGCCAACCGCGGCGTCATCTGGGACCAGGAGATATACGACACCTTCTCCTACAACCAAGACCGCGTCTTCTTCCACACTTTCGAGCTCGAGGACTGCTGGGCCGGCTTCTCTTTTGCGGACGAGAAGGAGGCCAAGACATTCAAGAAGAAGGTGGACGACCGCGAAAAGAACGCCCACAAGAACACAAAGAACAAGCCGTTTGGCGCCGCAGCAGGGAACAGTCGGCCGCCCGCCAATGGAGCAAATGGAAAGAGTCATGGACACGGCCTTTTGGGAGGATTGTTCGGCCATAGGCATGCTTCGAACGCGGCGCCGCCGCCACAGTCTATCATCCCTCCGCCAGCCATGAGCGTGGTATCGCCCTCGCAGAGCAGCCACTCCAATGCCACAAGCGCACGAAGCTCTGCAATTGACACCAGCGACCCCTCGTGGCAGCCGCTGCTGAAGGAGCTCCTGGCAATGGGCATTACAGAAGACCAGATTGAGGAGAACGCAGACTTCATCAAGCTGTACATTGAGCAGAAGAAGCACGATGAGCGCGCGCAGGCTGAGAACGAGGCAAGAAGAGCGAGAGCGCCTCCACCGCCTCCACCGAGTGCACCGCCGACAGCGCGAACGATCAGCCCTCAGACTACTGGCGGTTCCAGGCGCGGTCCTCCTCCAGCACCGCCGCCAGCTCGGAGAACGAAAACCGAATTGCCTACCCGCACCTCGTCGTCGAGTCCTGCGCCGCCGTCTCCTCCAAGAGAACCCTCTCCGCCCCCGGGTCCTGCGAGGCCTGTCTTCAGGGCACCCCCTCCACTTGCAGACGCCGGCAAGTTCGCGAACATACCTCCTCCACCGCCAAATCGCGCACGGGCACAATCTGGTGCTGCATCTGGACCTCCACCTCCTCCTCTGCCGCCGAAGACGCCAGCGCCAGCCGACGACCAACCTGCTGGAGGCAAATTTGGCGTTCCACCTCCGTTTGCAGGCAACCGCGTGCCTCCAGGGGCACCTCCACCACCACCAAGTCGCGGACCTGTTCCACCTCCCCCACCGGCGCGAAACACACCTTCAGCACCTCCTCCATTGCCGCCGAAGACGCCAGGAACATCACTTCCACCTCCGCCTCCTCCAATGAACAATGCGCCGCCAGCACCTCCCCCACTACCACCAACAGCATCTCGTCCTGTGCCGCCTGCACCTGCTGTCTCAGCGCCAGTGCCTCCTCCGCTCCCACCCATGTCTTCAATCCCGCCACCTCCTCCCATGTCCTCCATCCCGCCTCCACCGCCAATGTCTTCGATCCCACCGCCACCGCCAATGCCAGGAAGGTCAATTCCACCACCGCCACCTATGCCAAACAGCGGTGCTCCTCCTCCACCACCGCCGATGCCTCCAGGCTCTGGACCCCCTCCGCCACCCCCAATGCCGTCAAGAGACGCTGGCGCTCCACCCCCACCCCCCGGTCCACCGCCTCCTCCCGGCCCACCACCTCCTCCTGGTCCGCCACCTCCGCCTGGTGGTGCACCACCCCTCCCCAAAGCAGCAGCAGCTGGTCGCGATGGCCTTCTTGCAGATATTCGTGGTGGCGCGAGGCTGAAGAAGGTTTCCGACACGGAGAAGAAAGACCGCAGTGCAGCAGCCGTGCCTGGATCGGAGCCTGCCTCAACACCTGGAGCTGGTCCTGCAACCCCTGGAGGTGGAGATGCTGGATTAGCTGGAGCACTGGCTAGCGCGCTTGCAGCGAGGAAGGCTAAAGTCAGTCATAGTGGTAAGTACAAGTATCTGCTCTTCAATTTGCTATCACACTGACGCATTCACAGACGATGAGTCCGACAAGGACGATTGGTAGACAATCATTCTGAAGGTCTGAAGAACGAGAGACGACACTACCAACGTCAATGCTTCCGAGAATACGTTGTGCATCAGGGCTTCTACAGCGCCGCTGTGTGTTGCAGCTACGGACAAGCTATCTACGACATTGCGAACAAGCAGACGGGGTGACATCTAAAGCGTGGACAGAATCGAAGGAGAAGTAGAGCTGCACAAAGCGCTCAAGGAAGAAGCGCTCAAACTACTATTACATAATCACAGTTTCTACACCTCTACATCTTTTCAACGTGTCTATCCGGGCTAAAGATACTATTGCTTATTTCGTGACCCAAATACGAGCGTGCTGACTGCAGAACTTACCCTCTTCTGGTTGATCTAGCGTACTCGCGTATACCCCTGGCAAGTAAGCTCGAAGACAAACACTGAGATAAGAGAGATGATCCGCAATTACTACTCCCACTCGAAATTCCTATCACTGGTATTTCGTTTATCACGCTAACACTCAAAAGACGCATATTCAGAAGTCTTCACAAGAATCACCAGCCATGGCTCCCCACGACGCCAACACGATCGCAGAGATCGAAACCGCCCCCACAATATCAGGTCCCTACTCCCTCTACAGCTCCAGCTTCACCATCGAATTCCTCTCACCCCCGCCTTCCCTCCACGCCACAGTCCTCATGCGCTGCACCTACCACCTGCCCTCTGCATCGCTCGGAAAAGCGCACCCCCAAGCTCCCCCGCTGCATCTGCACTTCTCGCAGTCCGAGACCTTCCTCGTGACCCAAGGCACCGTCGGCACCACCACCGGCTACGAACTCACGGACACTGTGTGGGCCGCGGGCATGCAGCCCCAGGAGATTGTGCCCTGGGTGCCGCACCGCTTCTGGCCCGACCCGGACGCGAGTGAGGACAGCACGGTGTATGTATGGGCGCACCCCGATGCGGATGAGTGGATGGACCGGCTGTTTTTCGAGAATCTGCTGAAGTACGTGAGTGACGCGAGTGAGGGCAAGGTGAAGATTGATATGGTGCAGATGTTGGTTACGCAGTGAGTTTTCTAACCGTGCTGGGGTTGTGAGGCGTGTGCTGATTGTGATAGGCATGCAAGTGCGACAGCGCTGGTGGTGTTCCCGACGGCGTGGTGGTTGGGGGCGTTGAGGTGGGGGCTGCCGTGGGTGGTGCAGGCGGCTGTTGCGAGGGTGGGGAGGCTGTGCGGGTATAGGGCGTTGATGAAGAAGTATACTGAGGAGGGGGAGTGGAAGGAGTATATAAGCGCTAAGCGAGCTTGAAAAAGATAGTAAGAGAGTAGATTTTTTGGGCATCCTCTACTGGGGCAGGCTATGCAAAGATCCAACTTGATAATGGGGTACGAGATTGCAGTGTGTTCTGGTCGTGAACAGATCACATCTTGGACGCATCGTACAAATGAACGATACATGTAGCATCACAATTTGCCCAGGTGTCTTGTGTATAACATGCGAGCATGTGGTGTAGATGCCAGTCAGGAAATCGCATAGAGGGGACTTGAGGCACCGTAGAAGGTAATCTTATGTCACTTACCTCATCACCGCTGCTATAAGATCCCATCTAAACCGTGCATTGTGATAGCGGCTTCTCATACAAGCCCTTGTCTTTGCATTCCATACGCTACCTGTCACCGGTACCTGCGTATCAAATTTCACCATGTTAAAATTGTCATATAGTCATGATCACAGACCTTAATGATTGGTGTTGTGTTGAGCTACCTAGACCGAAGCTCGGGTTGGCATCCAAATGACAGATCGGAGGCTGTGAGAAAAGCAATGAGGATCCACAAATTGGCCCAACCTTGAACAAGCATGCACGAACTGATCACCAAAGTGGGGGAACTATGCAAATCAATGCTTGCCCTGTTTTCCTTTTCGGAGGAAGATGCTCCGGTACCTGTACAGCGAAGCTGCCACGTGAGTAGAGTGACCGTGACAGCTCAGGTACACATGCTAAGTCAGCATCAATTGTTGGCCAGTCCAACTGCCGAAACCACCTTCTCTGTGTGGACATATTCCTCCGTGCAGCTCCGTGCACTTCCGTGCAAGAAGGCGGGGGTTTTGACAGCCTTGCGGCAAAATGCAGACCCCGGTCTGTTGTCTGCGTGTTCGACCGACATAACGACGAATCACACTTCTTGACTTCACGGGCACCCTGTCGTTGTGAGCGTGTAAGCTGTATCAGCACAATAAAGACAATGAGAAGAGTAAAGCAAGGGGAGGATTTCAAGTCCCTTGATGGCCGTCGTCCACAAGACCACCTGCTGTTCTGCACGCGGGCTGTCGATGGACGCTGGGCCGAGGGATGTCGCGCAGGGAGGTGCAGCAGCATACAGCAGCGACGAATCATGAGCCCCGGATACGCCCTGGGGGTGCGGGTAGTTCTTCGGGTGTGGGTGATGAGAGACGATTAACGCGGTGGTTGCTTCTTCTGGGTGGCTGCACCAACCCGCTTTTGGGTGTTGCATTCGGCGCCTCGCCTGCACATTGCGCTCCCCTCTTCTTGCCATCCCAACGCCTGAGGCTTCCTTTTGCAGGTGCTGTAACGTGCAACAAACCCACAGCGTACGACGCTTGCTAGCTGCTTGTGGGCTGAGGAGCGTCCCGACAATGTCCTTAAGATAATGTGCACATGTCCACCGTTCGGGTCTCGGACCTGGGGCTCAACTCCTCAGAGCAGCGATTTCTCCAGGACCAGATTGCAACTGCCGTATCGCAACAGGGCAGCAGCTCGTCCCGCGCCGCTTCGAGGGCTTCCAGTCAAGGCCGCTTACTCCTGGATCCCACCAGTTTGCAGGCGCTCGGCGCCCATTTCGATCGTCTGATGTACTCGATACAGCAGCGATGGCAATACGTAAGCTGCAACATATTTGTGTTCGGTCTATGGGATGAAAATGCTGACGGTTGCGCAGCTCACCCAACAGACCCAGACGGCGACCCAGGTGCAGTACGATCGTGCTGGCAACGCAATGCAGATGGCCGACGCTGAAATCGCCCGCTTCCGATCTATACTGCGCGAAATTGATGAGCTTCAAGTCGAATTTGACAAAGTCCGCCGCATCGGCGAGATAGTCAAGGGCTTCAAGGCGCGAGTCGACTATCTTGACCGCCGGTTCTGAGGCTGATTTCAAGATTAGTCGCGCCATATCTGCTTCTATCCTCGACACTCCTTCTCACTTCACGACACCACGAATTCAATCACACCCCGTAAACTTTTTCCTTTGGTAGCTACATATATAAGAGAGGAAGCCTCACGGCTCGGAAAACTCTAGGAAGGATATCGAGAATTGGGTGCCTCACGGCAGTTGGCGTTCTGACTTGGGACATACCCGAGTCGATTCCGTTTTCCTCTTGCTAAACACTGTTGGCCTGCTTTGATCCAACCTGTCCTTCTCCCTTGATGTTCTTTGTTTTCGCATTGTCGCGCGTACCGTCGATTTCTGTAAGACCTTGCTACCCTATTTCAGATTGTTTTGCAGACACAGACTCCATACTTGTTGCACTGCCCTCACGTGGTAAGCCAGCCACTTATGTTTCTCGCTCACAAAACACGAACCCCATTTCGTGAATCTATTCGATTTGCTTTCTACGCTGCCCAATTATCAATACTCGCACAACAGCGCGTCAACGTGACCGTCGAAGCAACCCACCACACGGGAACGACATCCTTGGATTTGTTGGTGCTACTGCCGACCCCGAGTCTGGTCTCGGACATATGTTACACCAACGGATAGTCTCATAGCCACCTTCGCGGCTGTTCCAGAATGATTCGACATGTTCCAGCACTCCGGTGACGCCTGCAGACGCAAGTATACGCGTGTTTGGCAGATGCAGCGCCGTCTGAATCACACGAAAGAATAGGACACAGTATTGCGCTGTCTGAAACGGCAATGTGCTGATTGCAACAGTTCGTGGGAAATACTGAACTCACAATTTACCCGCATGGTTACTGTGGCAACCTGTGCGGCCAACGCCTGCCCACGGGGAGACGACACGCTTGGCAACGGTAAGCGGCAAGACTTGGCCATACAGTGGGTTTGAATTCTGATCAATACGAAGCGACTCCAGAGAGGCGACGACAATCCTATGAGCTCCATTTCCACCGTATTGGGTTAGAGAAATTACGCTAAAGATCAGGCGTCCAAAGGAGGAAGTGGCTATGTCATGTTTTGCATCTGCGAGCTCTAGTTGGTGAGATCACCCACAGAAGGATGCTTGGAGTGGCTGTACATAGTAGTTCGGAACTCAGCCAAGACTGACTTTGCGGGATACAGCATGCCAAGTTGCACTGGCAGTGACTATACAGCATGCCAAGTTGCACTGGCAATGACTTGCCCGAAAGCCTGGCCAGTCGTCCCGAGAACTACATCCTACAATCATGTCTTTTCTCAAACCCTATGGTTGACGTTTGTTATGCTCTCCTTACGACTTCGCCCGACTCGCCCTGCAAATCCAATATGCCGTCTTTACCACTTCGCGTTGAGACACTGGAAAGTCTTGTCACTCTTGGCTTTCCTTGTGCTTCTGGAGCTCGTCTTCCACGTGCGTAGCTTCAGAATAGACCGCCCAACGACAGACCTCGATCCTCCATTTCATGTTGGCTGTCAGGAGCCCATTCTGGGCACCGCCGCCCGGGCCAATGCAACGTTGATGATGCTTGCGCGCAACTCCGACGTAGACGGTGCGGTAGCCAGTGTGAAGAGTGTGCAGACGCAGTTCAACAAGCACTTTGGCTATCCGTGGGTCTTCCTGAATAACGAGCCCTGGAGCGATGACTTTGTGACGAAAGTAAGGGAGGCAGGCGCTGGCGTCAGCATGACTTTCGAAACCATACCAGCGCGCATGTGGGGTTATCCCGCGTGGATTGACCGGGAAGCTGCTCGAGAGAAGATGGACCAGATGCAGAATGCAGGTATAATGTACGCGGGTACGGAAAGTTACCACCATATGTGCAGGTTCCAGTCGGGGTAAGTGGCAACATGCACATGGATTTGATAGTCTTCTTACGCGACCACATAGTTTCTTCTACGACCATCCTGCCCTAAAGCCTTACAAGTGGTACTGGCGTGTCGAGCCCGATATATCCTTCACTTGTTCGATAACGTACGACCCCTTCGTCGAGATGGCTAAGCATGGGAAAACATACGGATACACGATCGCGCTGTGGGAGAACGGGCGGACAGCAGCATCTCTTTTCCGCAAACTCTCCACATACAAAGCGGACATGCACTTCCCCACAACCTCGCTCTGGAAAGCAATGATGGCCGCCTCGTACATGCCCTGGCCCTTCCGATACCTCCTCAGTTTCTTGCGCAATCGTGATGCGAACGGGGATCTGTGGAACATGTGCCATTTCTGGTCGAACTTCGAGATCGCGGACATGGACTTCTTTCGCTCTCAGCAGTATCGCGACATGTTCCGCTTTCTGGACGAAGAAGGCGGATTCTACTACGAGCGGTGGGGTGACGCTCCAGTGCATAGTCTGGCGGCTGCGATGCTGCTCAGGCCCGAGCAGGTGCACCACTTCTCTGATTTTGGGTACCGGCATGCTGATTTCCAGTACTGTACGTTTGCGCCGACAGACGAGGAGAAGAAACGAGGACTGCTAGTGCCAAGCGCAAGTCAAGTGGAGAGAGTAGGGTTGTTTCCTAGAGAAGAGTTGGGATGCAAATGTACCTGCGATCCTGCGATCAAGATCATTGATGGATCCTGTTTCAATTCAATCAAGAGTACAGTCATGTAGTTTGAGGAATCGACTGCTGGAAAAGACCTCTGAAATCCACTGCCACTCTCAGGTTCGCGATCTTGCGCCCTTTCCTACCCTGGATCGACACGCCCAATTCTAGGTTCTAGCACAAGATGAGATCGTGTATGAGCTATGTGTTATAACAAAGCGCGATGTTTTGTATCAAGATATTCAAGATTGCTAACTCAAGAGAACCTTCAGCCTCCTATCGCTTCAGTTTCCGACAAGTTTCGAGGTCTTTTGTTCTTTGATTTTTACTGGGAAAGTATCTTAGTTACAGTTCTTGGGGATTATACGACCTTTTCGGAGAGGATAGGCAGCTGGCAGGCTCGCACGAGCATTCTCTTCCTTCTAGGACCTAACGATGGAACCGTGCCTATGATGACAATACGGAAAGAAAGAGGCACTGAGGAAGACCTGCCCTTAGTCTACCCTGTAGAGCAATTTCTCCGTAACAAACTTACCTGGGTACGACTAGGATAAGTTAGGAGCTGCTTTTCTACAAGACTTCACTAAGATAATTTCTTCGTTGCTCGGAATTTCTCGACCTGCGTGCTCCAGAATAAACATGCAGAAGTAAGATCTCGCTCAGATCATTACAAGTTTCGAACTCCCTCTAACGTGACTTGGGCTACAAAACAACCAGGCAATTAAGCTACGTCTTATATGACAGTAAACACACACTATTTCTGTCGCACAGCTTGCAGTCTGGAATGTTATAGGATTCGAGCTTGGTAGGCTGTAGTTCAACAACCGTACCACATATAGATAGCCAAATGTAGTTGGCCGACTTTGCATCTAGTGCATCTTATCATGGTCTCGCTTAAGTTACTCAGCCACTGAATGAGTGGCTATATATCAAGTGAGGCTACCCGTTTCAATACACGGCTCCTCTACCTCCCTCATATTCAAATAACCATTGAGTTGATTTTTCGTGACTCAGGTTGGGTGACAAGTCACCTATTCCAGCCTCACTTCAGACTCAAGACCATGGCTTTGTTCAGTTTGTCGTCCAAGAATGAGTACAACAAAAAAGGCCCATCCCCTGCGGGCAATGCGACCTGCGATGAGGACTTCGAAAAGTGGTGTCAGAACTCTACACAGGGTAAGATAAATGCTTCGTATTCTGTGTTTGGCTCATCTTTGATAGCAAGCGTTCTGAAAGAATATCTTGAAGAATTTATAGGAAACGTGAACTACTCCTACTCGATTATCGAACCAGAGACATTGGCATACTTCAACGGGCTGGTGGCAGGCCTAGGAATCGATTCCAATGGCCGCGTCTTGATGAATCCCATCATTGAATATCTCAAGAACAGTGAGCCTGAGCATAAAGATGTTCTGGAGCTCAACGCACCTATCCTGGAGGCGCTGATCGGCCCTCACGCCTGCTTTCCTTTCTCATACAATGTTCCTCTGACGAGAGACGCATTCTGTCGCGCTATCGTCCTGCTAACAAGTCGTTGCAAAACGGTCCTTGGGCAAGGGTCCACGCGTGGCACTGAGGTCATCCTACGAATGACCAGCCCCCGACAGCGTTTGTTCTTCATCTTTTCAGCACTAGTCCATTCACCCACAGGAGAAGCATCATACGACGATTTACTTGATGTGGTATCGCGCTTATCGTACCCTGCCAGAGTGAATCGATTCAAGCATACGAAGTCACATCGGTCCCTCGCCCAACTTGCTCCACTGGCGCAACGTTTAGAACCCGGCAAACCAACAACTGTAGCGCTTCCCCCATTGCCTATTGAAGTCTTGAAGCCTTTAGAAAATTTGGTTGCAGTGTTTCCTCCAGAATACGGGGAAGAAGGGCTGAATTGCGATCGAAGTTTTGGCGATGTTCGCGAAGTGAGCGTAGAGGAGTTTGTGGATTGGGGCATGAGGGTTCGTAACAAACAGTGCCAAAACCTCCGAACTATACTAACAAGATAAGGTCGATTTACTCTCTTCTCTCGACTGGGTATATGGCGTCTTTTTCACCGACAGGTACCGGGAACCATCCTCTTCTTAATGGTGAGAGACGGAGTGAGATCTTCGACGTTCCAACACACATGGACGTAAGGAGACTAGATGTCAGTGTGAGGTACTCGACATAGACGGAAGTTGAGCGATGGTAGGCACAGTACAGTCTTTACCCAGGTAGCTCCAAAATGTGGAGATGAGCGAGTGCAATTCCACCTTCTTCTTACATGCATAGGTATGAGGTTCGAGGGATGCACTGATGCAAAGAGGTATTAGGGGCGGCTCTACGAAGATCGTCCTTCCAACATGTGGCTGCAGCCCCTAGACAACGAGACTGAGCAGCAAAAGCTCAGTGTGCCTGCTGGTGGTGCGTTTTCACTTCTTCTCATAGCGGAGGCCAGCCTTTGGGTCGATTCGACGTGCACGTTCCTTGCGACAAAGCCTGACTGGACAGTCTCCGACCCAATCACAGAGAGGATTGTCTTAGCGCATTTGACCACTGGGTAACTGGCGTTTCCTGATGCATCGGCATCGAGGTCGTACAAGATCGTATTCTGGTGTTGAGTACTGCGGCTCACGATCTAGATCGATGGTGCGGGACGATCCAAAAATATGGCGCCAAACCCCTTGCAGGAAGGCCTCGGTGTCAACACTGCGCAACATCGTCATCATCCGGGGCAAAGTACCCACCTGACCAAGCTTTTTGCAATTGCGGGAAGTCCGACAGCAGTTATCTTTGTCTGCGCACTGCCGTGAACTGAAGAAATCACACTGCATTGGTTTCTGGCCAAACTTTACTTCTCCTTGTGCAATTGCTAGACCGCAGTGATGTCTCCCATCGCAGACCATGTCCGCTCGGCGTGGAACGACAAGCAGACTCATGTTGTCATGTTCTCTGCAACTGCGATCGCCCTGTATGGATATGATCAAGGTATACCCCACTCTTGTCCGAATCTTGTGTTTGGTGTTGACAAATCCGCAAGGTATGATGTCGCTCATCAACACGAACCAGGACTACCTTTCTACGATCGGACTCGAGGAAGAGTCGCCAGTAGTCGGTGTCATTGTTGCCGTGTACTATCTGGGTACTGCAGTAGGAGCTGTGCTATTCTCCTGGCTGGCAGACAAATTCGGACGCAAGAAGAGCATCTTCTTCAGTTTAGCTGCTGCCAGTCTCGGGAACTTGATCATGTTTGTCGCTGGTTTCAAATTCCAACAGATAGCACTCTGGGTCATGCTAGCCGGTAGAGTGATCATGGGTCTTGGGGTTGGAGGAATTGATGCCGTGATCCCAACATACTCGTCTGAGCTCTCTGCGGACGATGCAAGAGGCAAGGCATTGGCCCAAGAGTTTCAATCGAACATTTTTGGGCTGGTCATGGCATTTGGCATTAACCTGGGCGTTACTGTGGCCCTTGGAACGTCGAACCAATGGGCCTGGAGGATACCCATCATCGTCATGCAGGTGTACCCTGTTGTACTCATGGCTTTGGTGGAGACCCTACCAGAAAGCCCTCGCTGGTACATCTCCAACGACAAAAACGACGATGCGAAGGCTGCGTTGGAGCAGATCTATGGCGACGAGAGTAAGCAGCAGTACGACCAGTTGATCGAGGCGCACGAAAAAGAGAAGGGCGACAGTGTGGGCTACTTGGACATGCTCAATCCATACCATCCACAGTTCCACCCAACCATGGTCACGATCATGTGCCAGATCAACCAAGCTCTGACTGGATACGGGGCTGTCTCTGTGTATGGTCCGCAGATTTTCCAGGTAATTTGATGGATCCAGAAACGAGTCTCTGCTCCCCGTGACTGACTAGACATTAGCTTCTCGGCTTCGATACGCGCACATCCGAGTACATCACACTCGGCAACTATACTTCGTACTTCTTCCTGATGACTTTCGCGTGGCTACTCATCGATGTTCTTGGCCGTCGTAAGCTTCTTATCCAGGGATCTGTGCTGTTGTCGGTCTCTTTCCTCGTCCTTACAGTGTTCGGTGGCCTGTCTGAGAACTCGTCGAAGATCGACATCCCAGTCATTGTCCCTGGTGTTCTCGGCTCCATTACATTGTTCTTCGCAACAGGTTAGTAGAGAGCTCGAACGTGATGCGGTGACTGACCCAGCGTAGGCGCATTTGGCATAGGTTGGCTCGCAACTGTCTGGCTCATCCCGACAGAAATATTTCCTACAGTGGCAAGAGCCCAAGGCACTGCCATCTCTGTCATTATCTGGGGAATCGCTAACTTCGCTATCACCTTCTTAACGCCGGTCATGTTTAACAACCTGTCATACTTCATCTTCCTGGTATTTGCAGGCACCAATGCCATCGCCGGCCTTTGGACATACCTGTACCTTCCCGAGACTGGCGGCAGGAGCTTCGATGACAACCAGGAATTCTTCAAACAGGCAGGTGAAGCTAGGACCTGGCGCGTCAGCAAAGTCTCGAATGGTGAATGGTCAAAGATGCTCTACCCAGACCCAGAGAGTAACGGAGAACGCGTTGTTGACGCAGAGCGAGTGCCCCTATTGAGGCGGGTGCAGGACCAGCTCCCAAGTGCCGAGTAGAAGCTCGGATTCCATAGGCAATAGATTGCATACCTTTATGTTTTTAGGCACGTCGAAAGCGTGGAAAATACCAGGAACGGCTGTTTGATTAAGCAGACGAACGCCTCCATTGCAGTCAGGCTCGCTGATTTCACTCCGTTCCTCTCGGACTTATACTCGGCCATCGGCACATCTCCGAGACCAGCAATCAATGTTTCCCTTCACCTCACCAGGCAACAGCGGTACTCCTGATACCGTCCACAGCCGACCCCGATATCTCCACTTAAATCCAGCGGGTACCGCGGCCCCTCCTCTGAGAGGCCGCCGAACTCTCTGCAAGCCACGCACGCCCCTGCATCGGCGTCACAATGTCTCCACCTCCGATCATACATGCATTGCACACACGCGACTACTCCCGTTGCACATTAGCGCTTTGATGGGCTGATACCATGCACGAGGAATGCTGAGGGGTATAAAGCGACTGTCGTCCTCGAGGTGCTCGTAGCTGCAGGAACAATTGCGTTTATTGTTTAGCCCGAAGTCCGCCGCTGAGTTTAGCTTGACCGCACTCCGACCAACGACATTGCGAGGAATTGTGATTACGGCTACACAAACGAAAGGGAGCATTTATACTGCATAACAGTCCTGTTTGACATTCTGGACGAGTTTCAATCTCTCCTGTTCAAAATTCAGAAGAAGCAAGATCATTTTCAAGATGTCGACGACCCGCCTCACTGTGTACGATCTGCTCCGCATCACCTACACATACGAAAGCAAAGCTCTAGCGGAAGCAGCACGAGTACGCAGAGACTCCGTCTGTTCGGTAAATCGCCTAGAGAAATGAACTGGACTAGAGAATCAATCTAACAGTCTGCAGACACCCGAATCCTGCTCGCACATGTCACCATCCTCACCTAGTGGCAACTTCAGTGGCCTTGAAACCGACTTCACGCAGCGGTACAGCAGGAAGAACAGCCAGTGAATCATATCGAACCGTGTCTCGTCACCCATACGAGGCGACAAATCAGCGATGCAATTTTGACCACCTCCCGCCCTTCCTTTATGGATCGCTATTTGCGCTACCCATCTTGAATCCCACGTGGAGAAGTGGCAAGCAACCAGCAAACAGGCAGTTAAGATCGACATGCCCGGGGAGCGACAACTTATGGACCCCACACGCGTACAGCGCTTAGAGCTCTTGCATAGATTTGCCCAGCATAGACGGGCCGATTCGAATGCGCAAGCTATTATTGGGGCGAGCGGGGGTGTATCAGCAGCGATAGAGCAAGCGAGAGGGGCACGTGTGTTTGCAGACACTGTGGACTACTGCGAAGGAGCAACAGTAAGATGGAACTCGTTGGTACTTGTGCCAAGGCATGTACGTGCGGTGTATGCGAACGAGTGTTATCTCGAGATAGTCATCGTCCATCTACGCGATGAGCCAAACGAGGTCGGACAGCATGCTACTTGACTTCGGATGGCTGGATAATGGTCTGACTAGTATGCATTAATAGCCCAGTACATAATAGGTACTCATGTATCCATTCTAGTCAGGCCTTAAAACATGGGTTGATTGAAGTTTCGGACAAGGCGAGCAATTCGACTCAGTACTTTGGGATCATGTGGTATTTGAGAATCATTCATGTCATTCGTCAGGCTGACAAGGCTCTTGACTGGAGGGCCCAATGCTGCCCTTTGTCCTGCCAGTATATGCTATTCAGGTTGTCCGACCGGCGCCAGGCTTTCAGTTCCGCGGAAATAAGCAAGTCTATACACAGAGTGGGGAACACAATCGATCGCGCCCAGAAAACATGCAGTAAAGCACGGCGTAACGTTGCGCGTGCTATCGCAGGCACAGTCACAAGAGACATGGGGTGTGCTCAAGCTTTTGCATGCTGCTGCGTCCACTCTCTGGCCGTGGCGATTGCCTGTGCCTGGTTCTCCTTCCACGCCTGAGCTACGTCGTTCGCGAGAGGGTCGTCTGGGTTCGGGGCGCCGAGAAGAGCTTGGATCGAGAGCAGAATAGTCCTGATCTGGAGCGCGGGAGACCAGTTGCCTACACATGTCAGTTTTTGGAATCGCGCACGCGGGCGGAATCGCTCACTCTTGAGGACGTCGAGGCAAATGCGACCCAGCCTGTCGATGTTGGGGTGGTAGATCTTGGTGAGGAAGCGAACCTTGGGAGGAGTCATAGGGTAGTCATCTGGCAGAAAGAGCTCGAGCTTGAAAACACCGCCTGTATTCTGTGAGTTCGCCATGCAGAACCGCGGAACGCGCTCGAACTTACCCTCGTATGGTGACTGTGATGGCCCGTCGATGGTCACATCGAAATAACGCAGGTTGTCGTCGTGAGGGGTCGCAGAGATGCCTTGCACCCTGTAGCAAACAAGGGTCAGATGTTGTCCAAAGCTGTACAGTGGTAAAACTTACGGCTCGTTCATGAGACGCTCAGTCTCCTTGATAATGCGCTTGGGGAGGGCCATGGCTGGCTATAGAGTCAGAATGAGGAGTGCAAATAGAGCGGTGGTGCAGTAGAAGTAGGCAAAAGGTTGAGGTGGTGGTGGCAGCCTCCGTGGCGTAGACTCTGGCGCTTTGTAATGTTTGCGCAGGCGATCGCAGTATCACAGTTGAGGTCGTCTGAGCCACAGGGCGACAGCGGGCATGACCTCAGCGGGGCTCGTGGAAAGTGCCGCCGCCCAAAGCGCGCTACAACGAACAGCCAATGGGAGCAGAGCGCAACGCGTGCTCTCTTGACCTGCTTCGCGCTTCACTGCGACACTCACCCTCCGTCGCCATGACAGCTGCGGCTGGGCCTGCGACAGCCTACGAAAGCCAGACCTTTGATCGAAGCGTATCAATTGCAGTGGACGATGACATCGGTGCAGCCTCCATTTCGCCCGCAGGCCGGGACGTGGTTCTGGCCAGCAGGACGGGACTGCGCATCCTAGATCTCGACAACTTATATACTCCACCACTTTTCATTTCCAATCAATCATCCTGGGATGTCGCAGACGTTCAGTGGTCGCCGTTTGCCGCGCGAGCAGAATGGATCGCGTCGACTCGTAATCAACTGGCCCTCGTTTACAATCTGTCCATGCCGCACAACTCCAAGAAGCCACCGATTGAGTACACATTGCGAGCCCATGATCGCGCCATTACCGACATCAACTTCTCTGCCCATCACCCGGATCTTCTTGCCACGTGCGGCATTGATAGCTTTGTCTTCATCCATGACTTGCGCTCCCAGCGTGCGCCTCTGAAGCTCGCAGATTTCACAGCAGGCGCAACGCAGGTGAAGTGGAATCGCCAGAATGACAAGATCATTGCAAGTGCGCACGATAAGCACCTTCATATATGGGACGTTCGCAAAGGTGCCACACCGATCACCACGATCAGTGCGCACAGCACCAAGATTTACGGCATCGACTGGAACCGTACTGATCCTTCAAAGATCTTGACCTGTTCCCTTGACTCCACCATCAAGCTTTGGAGCCATGTTGGTAAGACAGCGACAACAAGTACCCCTCGGCGTGTTATACACACGAACTATCCAGTCTGGAGAGCCCGTCACGCGCCATTCCCCCATGGCATCATTGCCATGCCTCAGCGTGGAAATTCCAGCTTATGGCTCTACAAACATGTCAATGATGGCAGCAAAGAAAACTTCGTCAATGAACCTATTCACGAGTTCCGTGCACACAAGCCTGATGCCCAGGTCCGAGAGTTTTTGTGGCGCGTAAGAGGTGGCACTGATGATTATATCGATGACAGAGAATTCCAACTGGTTTCTTGGGGTACCGATAGATTTCTGCATCTCCACCGCGTAGGGCCAGAACTCTTAGAGAAGTCTGTCGGGTTTAAAAAGGGAGAGCCGCGCCTTGAAGCCCCTAATCTGATGCGCAGAGGAGCTGCGTATGTTACATACCGCGACGGTCCTATATCGACCCAAACGACTAATGCGAAAGGGGAGATTACATCTCCACGCGTACCCCCGAAGGGTAACCTGTCTACGTTACTTCACAATTACTCTCTCCATAACGACGTCTTCAGTACACGGCATGCTGGCGACATCCGATCTCAAACCATTATTGAGACACAGACACCGCGAGAGACAATGACCGCTGTCCCAATACGGCGTAACAAATCCCGCGTAGTTACTCAAATCAAATGGATGGATGGCGTCAAATTTGGTGGCCAGCTCGACAAGAGTGACGAGTTACCAAATAGAACGGAAGAACAGGACCGCGAAGACAAATCATCCAACCAGGAACAGGCTGATCTTGGGGCTGAAATCTCGCAAGTTGGCAGCAAGTACAAAAAATTGGATTTCGAAAGTATTGATGTACCGAACCGTCTTCTAACAGTAACTTTCAATGGGCCCTGGGGTGATTATGACCAGGCTACGGATGAAACTAGATTGGTGTTCTTGCGACTTACAATCAGATTCCCAGCGGAGTATCCAAGGGCAGTGGACATCGAAACGGATGTGGGTCCTATCCGGACGACAACGCCGCTGGACGTTGAATTTGAGAAGACCACAGCTTCCATTCCAAAAGACACTCAAGATGAATTAGTCGAACGCATTCATCAGATAGCCATAGCTTGTGCAGACCAGGAACGGGAGGCATTAGACGCTATCCTATCGTACGCCCTTGGAGAACGTGGTTTCCATGACAGCCTTCATCTGCCGGAGAATCATCATTCAACTGATGAACTGGACAACTTACACGGTGGAGAAAGCTCCAGCGAAGACGATGAGAACGAGGGCGAGTTTACCAATGATGCCATGCAATCATCTCACACTAACGCCAATGTCCCCTTGCCCGTTCAATGTTCTGTTCGATTTTCAACTTCAGGATCGCTTGTAGTAGCCAGAGTACCTCTCGTCAGGATGCCGCCACTTCTGACTGCCAGCCCGTTTCGTATGACCAGAAACCTGCGACATGGACCTGCCAAGGACGACATCTTCGATTCTTTTGGTCGGTTCACGGCTCAGCATGGTGAGAATTCGGACGGTGCATCATCTCCTGGGTCCTCAGAAGCTTCATGGGAATCGTCAAGCTCACCATCTTCTGCATCAGACTCTGAGCCTGCAGTCGAAGCACATTTGGGAACCTTCCAACCACCAACAGTATGGCAAAAAGCAGGGTCCAGATTTCAGTCTCGAAATTCACTCCCCTCATCTTCGGGAGCTGGGAGGCCTGCAGCCAGAAACAGGTTCATTGTTACTATCCTCTCCGCAGCGATGGAAGATTTGATACCCAGTAAACGCAATCTTGCTGAGCAGTATCGAATCTTTGGACCAGGGCCAGAAGTATGCGAACACAATGCTGAGGTGGCCAAGAAACATGGCTTGAATGACCTTTCAGACATTTGGATGCTCTGTAAATTGATACTTTGCAACGAGGTGCCCCTGGAGATTCTGCCACAACAACATAGAAAAGAACAGGTTGTTGTACTGGCACGGCGAGCGCTGGTCAGGATCAAACGGAAGGACAGTGGCCTGGATCTTCAATTCGACGAAGCCGACGCAGTCACCAACCCTCGGTTAAAGGGACGCATCAAATGGGGTAATCATGCTGTCGTCACATGGCTCATACCTGCTTTATTCGATCATTTTGAGCGCCTCGCTGACACGCAAATGCTTGCCATGCTATCTTGCATCTTCGCAGAGCCTGCTGCTCGTGAGGGTGTTACTTCGGCCATGGCAAAAATGAGGCCATCACATCTTCCCATGTCTATGACTGCACCTGCATTTTCCCTAGACTACTTTGCATCTCCAGAAGTTGCATGGAGCCTCTTCAACCCAACGATATCTGTTCCTTCGACACCATCACACTCACGCTTCGCTACACCCGCTCACGAGTTTGGTTGGCACAGACTGGCAAAAGATCTCGATGTATATGGCAGTCACAGCAGCTCGAATGGACCTTGGGGTAGTGACACGATCGCCTCTGATCCCATCGCAACCTTCTCCACAGATAACACCCCACCCATCCTCTCAAGGGCTTCGACTACGAGGATTTCTCATACAGCAACTCATACACCGTACTCTACGTCACCTGAACAAAGCCATTCAAGCATGAAGCGAGCGTCGACAGCGAACTTTGCTAGCGCCGTCGCTGCCCTATCTCGGCCATTTGCAAACGCAATGTCCGCTTCTCCGCCTGTCAGATCGCGCATGGATGACCTGTCTACTTCAGCACCGACAAGCGGTGTTACTTGGGGCACTACAACCTTCTATGGGAGCGATTCTCAGGACCACAACTCTCTTGCACCGGCCCGCATGAAACATCACAAACGGGCTAGTTTCGTTGAGACAGAAAACGTCAACGTCGATGATCTGTATGACTCAGATATTGAAGACGAGAAACTCAATGAGAGTAGCGGATTTGCCAACGAAGGGTCATCCGAGCACAGATCGTCTGTCATAAGAGTGGATGGCGATGATAGCAGTCCTGGAGGAAGGATCAGGGTCACACTCAAGAATCAAGATCTGTTTGACGATGAGTCTTGTCTCAGCAGACCCTTGCTAGACATGAATAAGCACTGGCTGTACCGCGCGTGGAGAGAGCAATATGCTGAGATGTTGAGTGGATGGGGTCTTGTACGCACAAGAGCCGAGGTTCTGAAGTTTAACGGATTGGTATCCTACTTTCCAACAGCAAACTCTCGCAGTAGTTCCAAAGCGGGCTCACTGCATCTTGCGCTGAAGACAGGAGGTGAGGACCCGGAGGACGACGGCACGTCAAGACAGCGTTCAAGAACATCGACGACATTGATGCCTCCCTTTCTCGCACCCGAGCCACACTCACCGGCTGCATCCGCAAGAGAGTTCTCGTTCAATCCTGAAGCAACAGCGTTTGAACCCACTCAATCAACCGACACGCAGCCCGATGGCCAAGCTGTTTCGACTGATGTTCTCATTGCCTCGGATAATTATTTACGCCTCTCTATACCAGCTCCAACACCCTCGAAGGAACTTGATGAGAGTACAGCTGCAGGGCAAGTCGGCTTGTATCCACGGCAAGGCAGCAAGCATGGTCGACCCAGCCTCTCACGAGGAACATCAAATATTTCTGGCTCCTCACTACACGGACGTGCATCATCTATTGCCCCTGCAAATCCCGCCTCCAAGCCAACTGCTATCGAACCTGTCTACTGTTGTAGCATTTGTTGGATCAAGGTCTCTGGTCGCTTCCGTTTGTGTCCCTCGTGCGGTCACATCGCACACTTCGACTGCATCGATGATGAACTGGGTATGGAGGAAGGCGAATGTGTAGTCGGCTGTGGTTGCGGCTGTGGCTTTGAAGTGGAAGACGAGAGGACTCGTATGGAGGCCTACATCGAAGAAGTCAGAGCTGCCACTGCTTCAGGTGTCACCTGGGAAGATGGGGATGCCTGGATGCAATTAGTCCCGAACGATTCGGGCCATGCCACGCCGAGTGTCTTCTCCGAAACCAGCATGTTTGACGGTTTCAACTGGGGCAAGGGTGTATCAAAAGTCGCAGGCGCTGGTAATGACAAGAGAAAGGACCAACCGAGCGGGAGAGGGACTCCCAGTCCAACGCCTACCGCGACGAAGAAAAAGAAGGGTCGGAAGAAAGTCAGAGCTTCGGGACTGAGCTACTACTAAGATCAAGAAACCATCGGTTCACTCGGATCCAGCGCAATCGCACTCAAAAACGATCTGGGCCAGAAGATGTTCCATGTGTTGCGAATGATACCCTTGTACTACTAGCATGTACACAAGATGCGCAGAAATTAATGTATTTCCTTATGCGACCGCAGCAGTATCGATGAGCAATACTCATTTGTAGCTAGGCCGTGAGCTGCAGTCTGGGAAGGTGCAGTCAACATTTCGACGCTGCACTACCAAAATGTGACTGCCTGAAGTAGAGCCTCCTGCAGCTGTCACACCCGTACCTGGACTCGATCTGGCCACAACCAGACACAAGTACACCAGCAATGTCTTGAAACAAAATCAGATCTTACAAGTGCACTTGTCATCCCAAAGCCATGGGTGACACAAATGATGCGCTGCACTCCACGCCTAGATCAAGCTCTTTGATTCGCTCATTCACGCCCGAGCTCCCCGCATTAACCTGTCGAGTGCAAGTGCGAACCAAGGGCCCCCAGCCTACGTTGACTCCACCTTAGATACGGCTGCCTTCCGTTTATCAGCTGCTTCTCGACATCCCGAAAATCGTGATCGGACCAGTCTCGACGCCTTACAGTGGTTGTGAGCCTCCTTCAACAGAGCAACAATACAGTCGAATCGTCGTATGGCTGAGACGCTCACAGTCCCGGCATCGGGTGCTTCTCCGCACGCTAACTCGGTGCCCCAGCCTTTTGCAAAGAACAAAGCGCAATCTCAACGATCGAAGCCCGGGGATATGCCAAAGGTGTTAGATGGCAGCGGTATCCCGAAGAAGAAGCAGTCCAAGAGTCGCAATGGTAAGTCGCTGCAAAAGTCTTGTTTAGGTTATTCTACATATGCACTTCATCTACCCACTCGGCGAGTTACTAGACTAATGGACAACAGGCTGTGTCACGTGCAAGGCGAAGCGCCTCAAATGCGATGAGATCAAACCGGTCTGCGAGCAATGCCAAAAACGCGGTGTAACTTGTGGAGGTTACAGAAAAGACTTCAAATGGCGGCCGTTCGAGGAGCCTGGCTGTACGGGCAAACTGTCAAGAAAAGGTCATTCCTCCCAAGCGTGCCCTATCCGTTTGCTCATCGTCATAGATTCAGGCACAGCAGGTACTGTCTCTACACAACCTAAGAACAGTGATCACGATCTCAGCGTCCACGGTCCATATGACCAATACCTTCAAGCCGCAACAAACTTCCAGCAAGCACCACCACCGCAGCTGTTGATACCCGATATTCATGGTTCGGCACACGGAAGTTCTGTCCCACACGTAATGTCATATCCTTTTGCCGAGAGGACATACGCCCCTTCATTACTGTCCCCTTTCGCCATCACACCACAGTCAATCTCCCCAGTCGAGTCACATGCACCGTTCTTTCCGGGGCCGGATAGCTGCTATGCAGAAGGATCGGTAAGGGCGGAACGGAGCGAGATTACCGCGCCTTCTAGCGTGGTTGCCGGACAGTCACCTCGTCTCGTGGATCTTCTTTTACCAGGAACGGACCATTGCGCACCTCCAGAAGAGTACATGTCATATCGAAATCAACATGAGGACTTCTACCAGCCGACTGGATATACACCTCCACCTGATATAGCAGACGAAGAAGTCGAAGAAATACCCCGAAATCTAGACCAGGATTCACAATCATGGTCCTTGAGGCCATCGATCTCTACAATGTCCAGTTCATCCAGTTCGTCTTCAGGTTCACCCAGTCACAGCATACCTTTACAGCCTCAAGATGGATTGTACTCTCATGAAACGATATCACGACGATTCCACCGAGACACGTGTGGGATATTGTCCGTGAAAGATGGGCCTACCGAAAACCCTTGGCGAACTCTCGTCTGGCCACTTGCGCGTGACTGTCCAGCCTTATATCATGCCATAGCATCCATGACTTCGTTCCACCAATCGTCGCAATTTCCGCCTATGCGGATCCACGGCATAGATCACATGCACACTGCTGTTCAAGCCCTGGCAGAGGGCCTCCAGAACATGCGCTTCGATGCAGCTATATCGACTACATTAGTATTGGCTTTTGCAGAGTCTTGGGATGTGCATATTAGTACTGGTATCAACCACATAAAAGGTGCCAAGGTCCTGATCAGTCAGGCTCTGGTACAGCATCGCCAGGTGCCCAAACAGGGGGAAGAGTGGAAGCGCCTTAAGTTCCTTTGCAATACGTGGATCTACATGGACGTTATTGCTCGTCTGACATCGACAGATGATGATGAGTCCAATGATGTTGATGGAATCTACGATAGCATCCACTCATCGCAAGAGACGGAGGAGTCATTGGATCCACTAATGGGCTGCGCTCGTTCGCTATTTCCCATCATTGGCCGTGTTGCCACTCTTATCCGGAAGCTACGAAAATCGACTGGAGACTGTGAAGACCTGACCTTGCAGGCCATCCATTTGAAAGCTCGTCTCGAGGAGTGGACACCACCTTCGCATATTGAGAGTCCCGAAGACGAGACAACTAGTCCTGTGGACTCAGTCAAGACAGCAACAGCTTACCAATATGCAACGTTACTGTACCTTCACCAAGCATTCCCCGAGATACCCTCCTTACCTGCGCTAGCCTTGGCCAAACGGGCACTATTCGAAATCGCTTCGGTCGAGCCAAGCTCTCGCTCCAGCATCATACATATTTACCCTCTCATGGCAGCAGGTTGCGAAATGGTCAACGAAGCAGATCGAGCCTGGGTGGTACAGCGTTGGGATTTGCTGTCGTCCCGGATGAAGCTTGGGATAATTGACAAGTCATTGACTGTTACTCAAGAGGTCTGGTCTCGTCGAGACGCCTACGCAGCAGAGTGTAACACTTTCGATTCGATGCGTAGTGAGAGCGATCTCTCCACACGGGCACGGAAGCGTGATCTCGATATATATCTCGACAGTGGAGAAGACGATATCTATTGGCTCGGGTCGAGGCCGAAACGAAGGGCATCTGATGAATCTACACAACATCGAGCTCTGATCTCACCGAAATTTGAACAGATGCGGCAAAGGAGTGAGGTGGTTGCGAGAGATAACGTAGAGCTACTTCATCCGGAGTTCACAGTCAAAGGCCGTCTCCATTGGGTAGGCGTGATGCGAGACTGGAATTGGGAAGGTGAGTTTCTGTGAATCCACCGAAGTATTGAGTACTGACTCGCCGTAGTATTGCTCGGCTGAAGCATCCACTCGTTTCGGTGATACCAAAAGCATCCTACCCTTTGTATGCACATCGGCACGGCGTGCCGACTCGACAGCGTTGACTTGACATCACAGCAAAGTGACAGAAGCAACAACGTGATAGCCATATTGCCTTCGGCGCGAACGGACGATGTCTCCGTTCGGGTAGACAGCCGATCTATGTCATGTGGCAAAGTCGAGCACATCCTCTGGTCGAATCACGGTGAACCAGCCCGTACGATGCAGCGCTTTCCTTCAAACGTTAATATGATTGAAACTAGACCTCATTGTCAACAATTGCCAAGAATATTTCGGATGTACAATTACTTACACAAGAGTCACTTGGGCGTTCAGTCATCAACGTGCCAGTGGAACACACAATCCAGGGTGAGGTTAAGAAATTACGACACAGAAGGTCAACAATCAGTGAAGTGACTCATCTGATCGTTGACGCAGTTTCAGGAGGGTGATATGTGACCGCTTGGCCATCTGCAATTGCGGCCCACACGAGCGTTCCATTGGCTTTGGAGAGGTCACAACGACGAGATGGTCACGCTTCTTGTCAATATTATTTGTACCATTGTACCTATACCGTATAGAAGATATTTTCACCCATGCAATAGAACGCCACATGACTGCCGACTTCCACTGTGTATATCATCACACGATTGTATGATCAGGGTGCACATGCTCATAACAGGCTTCCAATCACCGGCCACATGTTCTATCGTTTTCACTAACGCAGGTACCCGGCGTGTAACAGCCATCGACTTCGGCAGCAGTACCACCAGGTAATACTGCTTCCGTGGCACCAGTCTTAGTGCATGCTCTAGAAGTTTGCTGGCCTCAGACGAGGGTCGGGCGAGTAGATCTGCCGGTCCCACGGAGACACTAGGTTCTTGAAGAAACGGACCGGTCAACTAGAAGCAAGTAATGATATTCAATATGCCCTTGTCACCATGCCAGACACCCGTCGCACTGTACACCTATGTCCACTGCACGGCTCCCTTTACCGACACCGTCTCTCGACTCCATCCGGGGACTTCGCTTGTACAGTCGCCGATCGCGAGCCTCAGTGCTGCTGCGGTTTGCGTGACCAGAGCCATGTCCCTGCATCGTGTAGCGTCGTAGCCGCCGCCCAATCTGCGTTATCGGGGTTTGTACGCGCGAGGCTGCGCGGGCGCACAGTCGGGCTGCGGCCTGGAGATTAAAGTATGTATTCTGGGGTGGCGATACAAATATGGAGAGTTAAGGGGCTGAAACAGAGATATGTATTGTTGGGCGGGCTGTGTTGCCAGATGCCCAACCCATGAGTACAGATTAGATGTAGATGTTGATGAAATGGAATAATGTTTGTTGATGCAGGAGAGGGGGTTGGTTGCGAATGTTTCGAAGACGTTATTCGGATTCGGAGCCGTCTTCTGACGCTTCGACCTCTGCGTCGCTCACGAGGTCGCTCAACGCACTGCTTTCTGCATCGCTAAGCTCGCTGGCCTCTGCCTCGCTCTCATCCTCACTCTCGGCCTGCTTCGCCCTCTTCCCTCTGCCCTGCGTTTTCTTTCCGTTTGCGGCCTTGCCGTTAGCCTTGACAGGACTCGTTCCATCGCCCTTACGAGCCCCGCTCCTCCGTACAAGATGATCAATCGGGCACCCCTTCTCCCACCCGTCACTGCTCTCTCCTGTGATTGCCCTGCACCGCGGACAGCTCTTGCCATGCTTGATAAGCAGCTGGTGTAGCGGGTACTTTAGATGATCGGGCACCCTGACCTCACAGTGCGCATACGTCGAGTTGCGGTTCGGGCCTGTAAAGTTCCCTTTTGCACCAGGTGCCAGACCGCGCTCGTCACCCGCTTCAGGAACCCAGCCTAGCCACTTACAAAGCCGGAAGACGTGTGTGTCGACTGCGAACGAGGGGCGTTGCAGGCAGAATAGCAGCACGCATGATGCAGTCTTGGGGCCGATACCGGGGTAAGATGTCAGGTGGGCGAACGCGTCGTCGGTAGAGAGCAAGTGCAGATGATCCAGGGATACGATGTCTTGGTCTGCTTTCTGCATTTCCTTGTTCTTCTCTTCGGATGCCTCATTGGCTTCTCCCTGTGCTTCGTCTGTTGAGGACTTCAGGGCATCGCGGCGCGCTTGGTTCTCTTGCCACACCATTTGCAAAATCTTCTTGATATCTTTGCTCTTAACGTCTGCGAGGCCGCCAGACTTGATTGCTTCGAAGATCTCTTTCACGTCGGCCTTGCGTACAGAGTTCCAGTCGACGCTGCCTTTGCCGACGCCAGATTGCAGGATGCCGAAGCGTTTGACGAGACCCGCAAAGGCGCGAGATGAGTTTGTGCCGGATGTAGCGGCTGATAAGCGCGTGCGAATCAGAGCATCAAGCACGGATGGGACTTCGCCGCAGCCAGATACTTCGAGAGATGGTAATGGGATCTCTTTGGGCATCGTGACTTTACCATGAACCTTAGAGAGAATGCGTGTCACTTCCTCACATTCTTCAGGTGTAGGATGCGGATAGTTGGGATACGGCGTCTGGCCTGGTGTCAGGCCGTAACTGGATTTCTTCTTTGTTGTCTTCTTTTCAGTTGTTGTGGCTTTTTCGACAAGATCGTCAACATCTTCCTTCTTCGTCTTAGATAGCTTTTTCATTGTTGTTGCCTTCTTGGTCTTCTTCGCAGACGAAGTTGAGTCCACTTCTCCTGATTCAGGCGTGAGATCAGGTATAGCCCCCAAGTTGTGCGGCAGATCATCAACATCGACTTCCTTTTTTACTTTCTTGGCTCGTTTCGTACCCTTGGGTGTCGACAAGGCTTTATGTGGTGATACATCTTCCTCCTTGACAGCCTTCCTCTTGCGCGAAGAGGCAGGTTTTGGCGTCGCTGGTGGGCTTGATGGAGGACTTGAGAGCTGCACTGGTTCATCCTTCACATCTTTCAATGATGCTGCTGCTGCAATCCGAGTAGAGCCCCGCGTAGCTCGTGTCATCGTGGAGGGTGTCGATAAGGTCAATTGACGCAAAGAGCGACTCAGTGAGGTTTTGACAAAAAAGGAAGTGGACCACAGATTGGGCAATTGCGGTGCAGATGACCGAGTCGTACAGGTGACTTAGAAGTGGGAGCACACAAGAATATGACACAAATGCTAAATCGCAGAAGACAAATGTGACATCAGTGATAGAACAATAAATATTTCACAGGTGAAGGCTGGGGGCACGATGGATGGCGAAGGTACAGGACGTCATTGATTGGCGCTCAGACCCAGACCCTGCATGATTTTAGCGCGACACGCTTGCTCGGAACTAGACGCGGCTGCCCCGCGCAATACAAGTCTGTCGGATCGCGCCTCCCTTACTTTCTGCAGTCTATATCTATATATGTTCAAAAACATGGCCGGAAGAGTACCGCTCGTTGTGCCTGCTCTTAAGAAGCACACCGCGACTGTTATTGTTGCTCACGGTTTGGGCGACTCAGGCGCAGGATGGTAAGGCGTGTTGTCCAGGAGCACCGAGACATGCTAATAACACGCAGGATCTTTCTCGCGGAGAACTGGCGTCGCCGCAGCAAGTTTGAGGAAGTTTCATTCATCTTCCCTAACGCGCCTAGCATTCCCATCACTCTGGTCTGTTCTTTCGTATGGCGCGAAACACTCCTGGGACTGACGATGATAGAACATGGGCATGAGCATGCCGGGCTGGTACGATATCAAGTCGCTCAGCACCCTCACCGACCGCGAGGAGGACGAAGCCGGCATTATCAAATCCCGTGACTACTTCCATTCACTCATCGACGCCGAAGTCGAGAAGGGCATCCCCGCGGACCGAATCGTTATCGGTGGTTTCTCGCAAGGAGGCGCTATGTCTCTGCTGTCCGGCGTCACATACAAGAACCAGCTAGGAGGTATCTTCGGTCTCAGCTGCTATTTGCTGCTCCAGAAGAAGATCAAGGACCTGATCCCCACCGAGAACCCCAACCAGAGCACGCCTATCTTCATGGGACACGGCGACGCCGACCAAGTTGTTGCACACAAGTACGGCAAACTTAGTGCCGATGAGCTCAAAAACCACGGGTACAAGGTCGACTTCAGGACATACAAGGGTCTGGTGCACTCAGCAGACGCTGACGAGATTGACCATCTTGAGGCCTACCTGAAGCAGCAGATCCCGGCTCTTGGTGAGTCTGGGAACTCTCTCTGACTCGCTGAAAGCAGTCCCACGAGTCTCTCAACCGCGGTAACGACTTTCCTGGTGCTATTTGTCAGCTTGATCGTCGCGTGGTATGCCCTGCACAAGAAGCGCGATAGCGCTGCGATCGAGCCTGCAAAGCCAACTTGAGTGCCAGATTGCTGGCTCAGGTTGTTGATGGAGAGACTTCAGAATTCGCAGAGGCATTTCTTGTGACATTTTCTCCAATACCCACAGCTACTTTTTCTGTATTTCCAATATAGACCTTTCGACATTAGTCTCGTGCAGCAGCGTGGTGTGGGGCTGCGCGTCCATCGCGCAGCCCCACTAAAATGTCGTGTCTTCCAAACCCTGAATCTATCGTCACCAATTCTCAAGATCCTTCGCGCCGCCCATAGCACATAACCTCACAGCACAGCCTCCACCTCCAAGACATTACACCCTCATATCTCCCACTCGCCCCAGCGACCCCCACAATGCCCACAGTCACCCTCCACCCTCCCACCGCCCCGCCCTCCACCCCCGAGAACCCGCTCCCGCCCCTCCTCCACACGCCCAGCGGCCTCGCCCTCCTTGAAGTCCAAGGCACCATCCATTTCCCCCCGCCCGCACCCTCCGCCACGTCGACACGCGTCGGCAAGCTCGTGTTCCCGACGTACAACCCCGATATCCACGGCGCCGACGACACCAAGTGGATGAAGCGCGTGTACCTGTACGTGGGCGACAACCAGCGCATGGTCGGGGAGTGCAAGAAACTGGGCAAGCCGTTTGCGGTGGTGCGACGGCGGGGCGGGGACGAGGACGCGGAGGGGGATGTGGAGATGCAGGGTGAGGCGGGAGAGGAGGAGTTGCAGATTGTTGAGGTGGTGAGGCATAAGATTGTGTTTTCTGGGCGGCCAGAGCCGGTGGGTGGGGGTACGGAGGAGACGTGAGAGGCGAGCGGTGCATGATGACTCGCGAAGGGGCAGGGTGATAGGACGAGGCCAAATGTCCCACTCGGCGAAAACATCACAATCAGGTGCGCATGATGGGTGATGAGGCTTGTGAGAGATGCATTCGTCGCTCAAACGGTGGGGTCTACATCATACTCGACGTCGGTCCGGATCACATACTTCGCTCCCTCGACCACGCCCGTTCCCTCGTGCAGCAGCGCACCTGCCGCCTCGCCATGCGGGAACACCGCGACACTGCCCATGATCGGCTTCACTGGGTATGCATTGATGACGCCCTCCTTCACACTCGGAATAAAGAACGTGGTCTCGCCGCCGCGGAAGTCGTCGTTCAGGTAGATCAGGAATGTGAACAGACTCGACTGGCGGGCGTCCGAGGGCGAGGAATCGTACTGGTACGCGTCGGTCGCCGGATCGATGGCTGAGGGTGGCCATGCGCCGTCTACAAGCCCATTAGCAAACGTGAATATAAGTGTTACGGGGATCGGCAGGACTCACCGATGTGGCATCTGTATTCTGCTCCTGGCACATAGCGGTACACTCTGAATCTCCGGTTGATACCCCTCACCGCCCTGCCGCCGACAGACTCCGGCACAAACGCCTTCACACGATCCCACAGCTTATCGTGGAACGCCTGGTCGACGATCCAGTAGAAGTTGTGCGCGAGGATGCTTGTGTCCTCGCCTTGGGGTCGCATTGGCGCGTCAGGGATGAACTCGACGGTCTCACCTGCGCAGATGATCGATGAGCACTCTTCGGGAGTCAGGACGTCCCTGATAAGGCGGAGATTCGGCACTATTGGGTGGTGGTACACTTCTGTCTTGGGACCTTCGCCGAGGAGAACTGTGTCGTCTTGCGAGGCAAAGAGAACGGCAGGGTGCAGGTTCGGCGGCTTGCGGAGCGGACCGGGTGTTGTCTCGATGACGCGGAAGTTGTCCTTGTTGATTGGGGTGGATGTGAAGATGGACTTGTCTTTGATGGTGCGCCGCAGCTGGCGCGTGGGCTCTGTGGCAGGCCGTAAATTCCAGGTCTCTTGGAGCGAGATGGGGCTTGATGTTGCGTCAATGCCGTGGGATGTGGTGTCTGTTGGGCCAGTGACTCGGAGGATGGCATCCAGAACTCGAACAAGCTGCTCATTGCTGGCGTTTTTTCCAACGACAGTTTGGCTTGGTACTTGGACGTGAATAGAGAGTCCGGATATCACATCTAGTGTGCGCACCCAGCGACACAATGCTCCAAGTGATGGTGTCTCCTTCCGGATACGCATCTCTGCTAGGAGAATCATAGCGTCTGTGTATTTTCCATCCGTGAGCGCTGCAGAAATGCGGCCGGTGAGATTGCTGTTTTCTGTCTGTACTTAGCAGCTCATCTTCATCGTAGCAAACGCTGGGCATACCAGCTGCAGCCATTCCTGTGGTGCTCGCCTGGCGAAAGTTGTAGACGGCCGCCCTAAGGTCCTTACAGGCCTTCGATTTGATCAAAGCTGGGTGTTCTGACAAGGATTGCAAAGTCTCGACAGCAATATCCAGCTCTTCAGGTGATATGACTGCATGTATGCTTGGTGCTCCTAGTGCAGTGTCTTTCTCATGCGGTGGGCTTGGGAGGCTTGCCGTCGCCTGCTTCTTCACGGCGTTGTTCGAGGCATTGTTGCGCTTCCTCTTCGCCATGGCGACGATTGGTTACGAGACGCTGTGAGGGCTGTGTGATTGCAGGTATCCTAGAAAATTGTTCTTGAATCTTCTGTTCTCTCGTAGCCGCCAGGAGTTTTCTCAATTAATCCCAATGGGTTTGAAATGTCTCGTGAGATGTAAGTGGCGATAAAAGTTCATATCGATAACGCCAGTGCACGGTCCATCTTCCCCACATCAACCTTCTCCATCAGCCATGTCTCCAGCACCGTCCTCTGACACGGTCTAGCTACTGTTGCGCTTGATGGTCTTTCGGACGTCTTACTTCTAGAAATTTGCTAAGGGTAGTAGCACTCTCGCGTAGCGGGGGTACCGGGCCATGTCGCCTTTCGCGGCCACAGTATCGCCATAACGCTGCTTTGAAACTGCTAACAATCCGTGAGACGTGTTAGGGCTGACTTTTACGCACGATAGACTGCGTTGGTCTCAAGGATTGCGATACTCGCCATTGTCGAGTTTCCTGGGTCTTAAGTCATTGTAAAATCAACTTACGTGAGGGGTCAGCAGCCTCGAGACGATTAGTCAAAAAGCTGACAGTGCACCATATGTGCCACGTTTCACTTATCCATCAATGTGCAGAGAACGAAGACAGAGCTGCTACTTGATCACTTCATCACTGCATCAGACTGCGTTTAGAAAGGTGCAAATCGACGAGTACGCAGAATAGCCATGAACGACCATAATACTATCAATCACCAAGAGAAGCTTGTCGAGCACATCAAAAGATGCTATCACGCATACCGTCACACCCAAGATATCGACAGGAAGGGGTTGTTCTTCTCTCCGAGTTGCATGCAGATCTGCAGAACCACACCATCTTATTCTGCGACGAGTCGAGAGGAGATTGTGCAGTATCTAAAGGATGCTCAGAAAGGCGACATACCACTCGAGCAAGACTTGAATGGATCCGAAAACGTTGAGGACTCTTCGCAAACTGTGAGCAACGTCAAAGTAAGCCTGGGTGTGTATACAATCCGACCTTTGCGCGCATCTGAGTGCGACTTTGGTGATGGAGCCGTAACATCACCTGTCCATCTGACCCCAAATGAGTTGAAAGCAAGAGCGACGGAGCAGAATTGGGTTGGCATGCGGGTCGATCTCTGGGATGAGGGTGTTGGCCAGGGACTACTGGTCAAAGTTCAATACTGGTGGCGCCTGGAAACAATCCCCGATGATGAGCGTCTGGAATCTGATACCTCTGATAAGAACTGGAGGCAATGCCTCCACGACATCATGTACATTGGCCCTCGCGACGGGACCGAGGGTGCAGGAGGACTTCAGATCTTGCAATAATCATCGCAGGGCCGTGAGCAGCTAGAAAGAGGATCTTGTATTAGTCTCATTCTGTCATAAACCATGTGCTGAAAATTGTCTAAAGACCTTCTTTTAATGACCGACCTTCGAAATTCAGCAGCTTCCTCCAACTCGTTCCAAGCTCGCTCCGTACTACCCATCCGTACATTTATAAGTCTTAATTAAATAAATAACTAAATAGCAGCACCTCTACAAGTCTACTAACTTAAATAAACTGAATGCAACGTTGAAACACTATCGAATGAGTAACAAAGTTGCCTGATACTTCACTTGTTGTGTTTCTTGACATCTCTGGTCACAACATACTGTAATAATGTCAATACTCAGTCCACTCTAGATTGTTTCACTCAAGCTTTGCCTTTCGTCTTAATCACAACAAGTGTGCTCAAGCCTCGACCACGGCTCCGTGACTCTTCTGCCCGAGCCCTCGCTTACCATAGTGCAATTACTTTAGACGGCTGTTCCGGACCGGCGGCTCAATTCCCCAAGGTTGACATTATACCATGTATAAGACGAACATATAATTCCATTGTGAGAATACTGCAAGGGTTTTCAACAGATCAGTCACTCTTCAAATTTGGAAATGCGTTTTACAAGGATCAAAAGCTTTGCGCTCTTCGCGGGTTCAGTCTCTGCTGCAGTGGGAGATTGGCAGCAATGTAAGTAAACTCGTGCAGAGTATCTATCGTGTCTAATGTCTTCCAGGCGGCGGAGTGAACCACAGCGGAGACACCACATGTAACGCAGGATCTGGCTGTGTAAAGATCAAGTAAGCTCAGCAACCTCAGCGATGTATGTGCACTTTTGACAAAACCGAAGTGACTACTACTCGCAATGCCAACCCGGAGCCGCCGTCACAACTCTAGCCACCTCGACAAAGCCCACAACAACTGCTACCAAGACCACTGCAGGCAGCACCGCAACCACTCCAAGCCCACCTGCCGCAACAGGCACACCAATAGGCACCGGCCCCGGCACAACGCTCCAACCCGGCTACTACTGGATCCGTGCCGTCGCCGCACCCAACTTCCACAAATACATCCAAACCGACCCTCTGTACGCCACCGGCCCCGCACTCCTGGGCGACTACACCACCGCCGGCCAACTGCAAGTCGTCGACGGACAGCTTGTGCAACTCGTATCCGCGCCCGGCGCGGCCGTGAAGCTACTGTACGCCGTGGTGTCGGAGACGCGGTACATCAACGGCAACTCCTTGTCGGTGACTTTCTCGACCACGAAGAATACGTACGGGCAGTTTGCTTGGCAGGGCGATGGGCTCACGTGGAGTGTGGCGGGCGTCACGAGGCCGAATGCTGCGGCGTGGTATGTGTGTGCGGGGCAGCAGTTGTATATCAACTTGGGAAATTATCTGTATCAGACGCCGGCTGGGTGTGTGGATCAGACGATTCATTATTACAATGATAAGACGGCGAATGCTTGATCGGAGAGGATTAGATAGCTCATGAAGTACTATGGTTACCACTTCTCCTTCTATATGTTGATTGTGTCTTTGAAATTTGTAACTGATCGATCTGTGATGCCGGGGTGTGTGCTCGCATCAGCCATTTCAGATAATCGTGAGGGCTAGTGCGAGCTAACATCAATTACCAATTCTAATATCAGACCGAAGACGTACAATTGTAGAACATGATACAAAAAGAAAATCAATCAAACCAATAATGAATATGCTATCATACGAGGATGCGTGCAGCGCAGAGCGAGGAGCGTTCCTTGCTTCAAGCAGACAGCATGAACGACCGCCAGATCGGTTCCAACTTTTTGCAGAGCATCTTCTCTGTCCTTACTCCTTGTCGTGAAGTATAGCACACGGAAAGAGAGTCGTAGCCCCTAATCCTCCACCAACAGCGCCAACGCCCTGTTCAACCCCTCCAGCCTCCTCCTCACCACCTCCTTCTCACACCTAATCACCTCCTCCTCCCTCATCCCCTCCACCCTCGCCTTCTCAGCCCGAACATCCTCCTTCTCAAACCGCTTCGCCCACATCCCCCGCCAATTGACCACGCACTGCCGCACCCACACCACCCACCACATCGCCTGCGCCCACTCCGCCAACTCTGCGTCACTGCTCCCAGCCTCCACGGCCTCGCGCCACTGCAGATCGAAGTCCTTAGCGTGCGGAGAGGTGAGGAGGTACGGCGATCCGGTGGCGCTGAAGGCGGTCCACCGCGCAAGGCAAGCTAGTCGGGCGGCTGCGGACATGGATTGCGGGGGCGGTGCGGGTTTGCAGGGATGGGGTGGTTGGCGGGGGAGGGCGTCGATGTAGAGAGTCGTGCTGGGGTGGTTTGGATCCAGGGCGATGGGTGCTGGTGCGGATTTGGGGGTGTTTTGGGGTCTGCTTGTTGGAGATGGTGGCGGTGTGAATTCACCGTGCTGCGGCAGTGCTGGATGGAGGCGTGGCGTGCTGGGAGGAGTCTGAATGGCTGGCTGTCGGATGACAATGTGCGGGATGTTGAAGTCGTCACGCCAGCCATCGGTGCCGGTTGGAATGGCGGCTGTGATCAGGTCTCGAAGTCGACGTTCTTCCACCTCGTTGACGTGATGGGAGCGTTTGGCGTAGTATCCCTCCGCGACATGTGGGAACATGGTGAAGATCTTCTCCTTGACTGTTAATCGGGTTCGCGCCGTCCACGCTTCCAGATCTCCTTCTCCATCGTCGTAAGACTTGTGCTCAGAGTAACGCTCGGGAATCCACTTCTTCAAGAAGTTTGACCTATGAGGGTGCTGTACCAAGTAGCTCTCGTCCTCGAGCTTGGCCTTGAAGTTCCCAGGGTGGAACAGCCAGCTACTGGTATACTCTTCATAGACTATCTGCGTCAGTATATTCACCCATACAGTTTCGTTCATTGCACTCACTCTCTTCTCCACTCTCAAACGCGCCGTCTACAACTTTTCGGCTGAGACCCAGCACCCTGCAAACCGTCCACGGGTCTTTCGAAACCCACACCATGCTACCAGCCCAGTCCGTACTTTCCATCTCCCTCACCCTCACGTGCAAGCCCTCGGGATCAAGCGTCAAGCCAAGCGGGTTGACCATACTGCCCAAGATACTGGACTGGCTGGCGTAATCAAGCTCAAATGTCGTCCACAAGAACGATTCAGGCTTGAAACAAACCTTGACATCGATCTGGACCCAAGTCTCTGGCTCTTCGTCGCTGCACTCACTGATATCACAGCCCTCGTTGTCATCAAGGCAGCAAGCCGACGAAGTGGCAGGCATCGGGATGGCGAAGTACATACAGTCGGGCGTCAGAAAGCCCCGGCGTCCATGAGGCGTGTCCAAGGCATATTTGATGGCCTGGACGACGCGTTGGAACGGGAAGGTACTAAGCGTGAGATCTGCTTCTCCCAGGGGCGCAGAAACGAGGAAATCGATGTCGCCATAGTCGGGTTTACCTGGGATCTCGAAGGGCACCGTGACGTGGGAGAAAACTGTCCGTAGAGCTGCTGTAGTGATGGACTTGACTTCGGCATAGACGTTGGGTGGTATGCGAGGGCAGTACAGGTCTTTGAAAGCGTGGCCACCCATATCTGCGCCAGCAAGATATTAGAGATATTTTGTACCTAGGGTTGCGAAAGACGGAGGTTGTAAAATCGACACGAAGATCGGTAGCTGACGCTAAATAGCAGGTGAAGCCGAAAGCCAGTTGTCTATAGGACCAGGTGAGAGAGTGAGCAAGCCTAGGTGGATTAGTTTGGTAACAGAGTACGAGCTTAGCAAGTTTGTAACGCTCACAGCTGCAGAGCGCAAGAGTGACAATGATAAACAGAGTAATTGTACTAAAAGCTGTGGAACTGGGCGTTCATACACTCATACCAACTCCATATCGAGCCACACCGAGGAAGAGACCGTCTATAGCCCACTGGACTGTATGCCTCCGAGAGCAAGTCTAAAGCTTGTATCAGAACCCCTCCGACGCCACCGATCCTTTCCCTAATTTTCGTGATTCATATTGCGTCTAAAAAAAGAAAGTTGAATGTGCTGAGACAACTGTTCATATCGAGGCCACCTAGTAGTCGTTGTGGTTGTGCAAGCTGATGTCCTGGCTGCTACCGTTCGTTGCTGGTGCAGGCTCCGGACCGGCATTGTTGAGGCCAGCGATGTCATCGGCAGGAACCTTCTGAATCCCGCTGTCGCTCACCGGTTGCCACTCAGGGCTGTTCTCACTCTCACCTGATGGAATGACGTTGCCGTGATGGTCAACCTCGACACCCTTAGCAGCCATACGAACTTGCTGTGGGTTCGCTGTGCCGTGCAACACGGCGGCCCTGGCGCTGTCCAATACCTTGGCTTGGCGTCTCTCGCCACGAATGCGGTCGATATGCTCAAAGTAGCCAGCGTCGACGGGCGTGACGTACTTGCCGCAGAAAACACCAACCTCGAAATTCTGTGTCTTGGGGTCACGCGGTGACAACGAGGCACATGCTCTTGTAAGGTCCTCGAGCGTCTGGTAGATGACACCGTCTGCGCCAATGTGCTCTGCGATAGCGGCGGCGTCTCGCTGATGTGCAATAAGCTCGGACGATGACGCAAGATCGATTCCGTAGATGTGAGCGTTGGTAATGGGGGGTGCGCAGGAGGCGAAGTAAACCTTGGTTGCGCCAGCTTCACGCGCCATAAGGACAATCTCGCGCGAAGTCGTACCGCGAACGATAGAGTCGTCCACTAACAGCACGTTCTTGCCCTTGAACTTCTGCACCATGGGGTTGAGCTTCGCGCGAACACCCTTCTGCCGCATCTTCTGGTTCGGCATGATGAACGTGCGGAAGATGTACCTGTTCTTGACGAAGCCGGCTACGTAGGGCTTTCCTAGTGCCTCAGCAACGCACACAGTAGATGTGATGCTGGTTTCTGGGATAGGCATGACCACGTCGATCTCATCAAGAATCTTCTGGCCCAGCTGCTTCTTGATGGTCTCGGCGAGTGTGTATCCCATGTTGCGCCGACTCTCATCAACGTCGATGCCGTCAATGACCGAATCGGGACGAGCGAAGTAGACGTACTCGAAGATGTCGGGTGTGTAGGTCTCTTGCTTGGCAACCTGCTTGAAAACGGGCTCCTTACCCTTCTCGAGAATCACAGCCTGACCAGGCAGGATGTCCTGGAATGTCTTGTATCCGCACTGAACAAGGGCTACGCTCTCGGAGGCCATCATGTAGTCAAATCCATGACCAGTCTCGGAGGGTCGCGAGCCAAGCACCATAGGACGGATGCCGTAGGGGTCGCGGAAGCCAATCAAACCAAAACCTGGGAACTGTCAGGATGTGTTTTGACCGATCGAGTGAAAATCTGCTTACCAGCAAGCATAGCTGTGCACGCCCAACCGCCAACACACAGCGCGTACATGCGCTCCAAGGCTGCAAAGCAGTCGCTGGCGTTGATACGGGCTTTGCCAGTCTCGTTAAGCTCATCGGCGAAGATGTTCAGCATGAGCTCGCTGTCGCTCTCGGTGTTGATGTGTCGGTGTGCGACCTGGTCAAGGCGCTCGCGGAGGGCAGGAGCGTTGATGAGGTTGCCGTTGTGGGTCATGCAGATACCGTACGGGCTGTTAACGTAGAACGGCTGGGCTTCCGAGTTGGCACTGCTGCCGGCGGTGGGGTAGCGAAGGTGGCCAAGGCCCATGTATCCGGGCAAGTCGGCGACACGTGCTCCGTCAGCGAAGACCTTGGAGGCCATGCCGTTGCCCTTGCACTGGTGAAAGCGTCCACCAGAGCTGCAGCTCACGATACCAGCAGCATCCTGGCCACGGTGCTGCAGCAGATACAGCGCATCGTGGATCTCGACGGATGCCGACGACGACTTCGGATCGCCGTGGATGACGGCAATAATTCCACACATGGTGAAGGTTGTGAAATATTAGGTGTTGAGAATACACGAATCTGATCAATCGCGTCAGTTGCGGTTTCGCTGCGGAAAAGCGGATACAGTAGTGGGGGTGGTGGCTACGATCAGAAAGTCTTTGTGCGCTCATTCGAATGTCGCAAGTCTAACATCTAAAAAATGACAAATTCATCATATAACGTGGGAGCAGGGTCTTAAATATTGGGAAAAGCTACACACCTAGTAGATGTACGCGCCTCTGGATATGTGAACGCGTTCAGCTGGGATGGAAGTTGGATGTAGGTGTGGAAACGCGACCAGCGGCTGTTAATTCGCAACGGCCATAAACTTGTGTCGTGAGGGTCCTCGGACAGCGCTGAGGCGTTCTTGCGTGCGGAGACATTTTGTGAAAGAGGAGCTCGTGGGGAGCAGAAATTTTGGTTAAGAGGGAACGCGTCAAATCGGACCGCCGGCCAGTGGCGGGTCGGCGCTTGGCTCCGAGGGCCGGCACCTCCACAATACGGAAGCTTTCACGAACAACATCCGAGCATGAGGAATTGCTTTTGCTGAGACTGTATACTGCATCGACATCACACAAGGGAGAATAGTGGACTAATACTGTAGAACTGCACTCTCGCCCAAGATCCACATAGCTCCATCATCGCCATGTTGCATGAGGGATGCTGTGTCGCTGTGCCTCTCAGCTAGCGTCTTCGGGACCGGAAGCCCTAGGGACTCCGATTAGAGTGCATGGGTGTGTTACCCAAGCCACGACCGATACGAACTCACCTTTTGTCGAGGTAAGGAGTAAACACTCGAGGCTCTGTGGGAGGCCTTGTGAGGGTGCAACTTCACCACTAGCGGCGGTAGCGCTAGCGCGGATGTGGTATCATCACCTCGCTGCTGCCTCCTCTGAATTCCATCTTACTTCGTCCTTCCAGCACACCGCACAAACCCATCCGATATCGTACTGATCCAGGCCTAGTTCGCCCTTCCAAGAGTTTCACGCTCGAGCATGCACATGAACAATGAGTGGACCCGCAATGGTGTGTGCGCCACCGAGCTGCAGCGTTAGTTGCACGAATCCTCCACACGACGATGCTACATCATCAGGCTCTAGCAAAGACTATCCGACCACTGTATCGACACCTCACACCTCAATCTCGTCTTGCGCGGAAGAAGAGGTCTTTGATGAACTGAAGCACTACATCGCCCTGGGTTGTGTTCATCTGGAGCACCCTGTACCCCTGCAAGTCAATGTGACACCAAATCTTGACTCTGCATGGAGTGAGGTTCTTCGATCCCAGTTACCAGAGGAAATCAGATCCATCATTGGCATTCAAGCCTCTCAATTGCTAGATGCACGATGGATACGGCTGTTCCTATTTTGCTCTCCATCTCAGACATTACGCAGCATTGCTCGCGTTTATCTGCTCCCTGAAGATTGGAGCCGCCGCTCGATAAGCCGTAGCGGTAGTACGTTGAAGAAAGCACTCCGCCACCTACTCCACCAGATTGATACTTCGCCCAATGCATGGAACGCGGATCTCTCGGACGCACAGGTACAGCCATTCGATCTATGGGCCGGTGGGCTAGATACTTCGTTGTACTATCTGTTCAACAAACTACCTTCGCCGGCACCAGATCCAGCCAAAATAAAGAATCGTTACACCAGAAGAGCCGCCTACGATTTACTGGGGTCTGCACAAGCCTCGGAATGGGAAGATGATGGACAACAACCTCTAAAAGGGTTGAGGACTAGGCTATACCCCTACCAAGCTAGATCAGCTAGCTTGATGTTAGAACGGGAGGCTGCGCCTCAGTTGCAACTTGATCCCCGCTTGGAGACTCGCATATCACCCAATGGAGATAAGTACCTGTACTGTGCGCGAGATGGCTCCTTTCTGCAAGATCAGAGATTCTACGAGTCAAACCGTGGCGGTATTCTAGCAGAGACCATGGGTTTGGGCAAGACAATCATCTGCCTGGCGTTGATCCTTGCGAGCCAAGGCCACTATCCTCAAATACCTGAGATGTTTCGACAGCCCTTGCCCATGCGTGCCCGTGTAGGCACTTTGAAGGAGATGGCAGCTAATGTACCTGGTCGTTACGCGATTCCTGACAAGGTATGTCTGGAAGATATGGCTCAGCATGCCGATGTCAATGTACCTCGATTACAGGCGGTTCTGGATAGCAACGTGCCATTTTACGAGATACCGCCAGAGCTGCCACGTATGAACCGTGCAACTAAGATCCCACCTCCAAGGCAATACGCCATGTGCTCTGGTACTCTACTAGTTGTCCCCAAAAATCTGCTACATCAATGGCAATCAGAGATTCGAAAGCACCTCCTCCCGCAAGCTCTCAAAATCCTTGTCGTGGATACAGTATCTAAGCGCAATCAGACGAAGATCCCCTCGTCTGATTCTGCTGGCTTCGACTTTACAAGTGAGCTACCAGCGCCCACAGAGCTTATGAAATACGATGTGATCCTCTTCACGCGCACTCGCTTTGAGCAAGAGATTCAGGATGGGACCGATAAGCAGGGCCGCCGTTATGCGGCAGGCGTCTCCCGTTCTTGTATCTGTCCATATATTGGCGCAACCCGTATACCAGATTGCAACTGCTTTGGCAGCGGAACAGTATACGAGTCACCTCTCCTGAAACTTCACTGGCTTCGCATCATAATCGACGAGGGACACAACTTCTCGTCCGCGACCTCAAATGCAGTGCTGGTCGCTAAACAAATACTGGTCGAACGGCGATGGGTCGTGTCTGGTACGCCAGCAAAGGATTTAGTTGGCGTTGAAGTGGACATGTCAACAATGGACGTCAACGATGAACATCCAACTTTGCTTCGCGATTCAGTAATTGAGCAGCGCAAAACATTCAACATTACAGATGAATCAAAGGCAGTTAAGGCACTAGGATCACTTGCATCGAATTACCTCATGGTGCGCCCTTGGTGTGCTTCGAGTGCCGAAGGTGGAATTGAATGGGATGAATACGTGTATCGACATGAGCATTCACATCGGAAGACCTATTCAAGCTTTTCGTCGTGCTTTCAACGTGCCCTAGAAGGACTCGTTGTAAAGACCAGACCAGAAGATGTTGAGAAGGACATCGTGCTTCCTCCACTCAAGCACAACGTCGTATACCTCCAACCATGTTGGTTTGACAAGATGACGGCGAATTTGTTCATCCAGGTTCTGCGCGCGAACGCCATCACCTCTGAGCGATCCGACGTCGACTACCTCTTCCATCCGAACAGCATCAAGCCAAGGCACACACTCATCCGAAACTTGCGTCAGTCCAACTTCACATGGACTGGCTTCAGCGTCAAACATGTCGTGGATACATTGGAAACAACAACCAAATATCTCTCCAAAGACGACAGAAAGTGTTCTCTGGAAGATGCTAGGTCGCTTTTGGAAAGCAGTCAGGCAGTAGCAAGCCTTCCAGCAACGCCAGATTGGGTAGCCTTGAGTACAGCGCATGAGGTTGGTTTTGCAGTCGAGGCCTGGCCAGTAGAAAGCGAGAAGTATTTTGCATTTGCCTACCCTGAAAAACCTACGATGGTCGGCTTGACGCAACTACTTGAGGGCCAGTTGCACATCGATAGCAATGTCAGATCGGATGATCCTGCCAAAGACTTGGCCTTGATCGGCGGAGCAGGAAAAGCAAGGATTTCTGCCATGACTGAAGCGGAACAGCAATTCAAACTGCCCGACAACGATGCATCGAACGATGAATCAATGCTCACAAAGTCAGGAATACCCAGGGACCTCATTCAGCCTCTTAGCAGTCGACGTACATCGATACTTGCCAGCAAAGCACCGCCGGCAAAGACCATCGACAGCGAATCTACCGATGCTCCAGAGCCAATGACTCCTCTGCCTGCTCGTCTAAGGAAACGTAAGATAACTCCCGACGATGAATTAGCGATGCTGCCTCCATGTTCACCACTGCTTGATACACGCATTGTTGGTACCACTTCAGCGAAACTCACATACCTCATCGACAAGGTGGTAGAGCACCAAGCCACCAAGAAGATTATCATATTCTATGATGGTGACAATGCTGCTTTCTACATCGCACAAAGCCTGGAAGCGCTTTACGTAAATCACCGTATCTACGCTCGACAGCTGGACAACACGAAGCGCTCGGAGTACGTCAGGCTGTTTAACGAAGATGATTCTGTGAGAGTCCTGCTCATCGATGTTGCCTGCGGTGCTCTGGGTCTCAACCTAAATGCGGCAAGCATCATTCTCATTGTCAATCCGATCAATCGTCCGGGACTTGAGGCTCAAGCAATCAAGCGAGCTCACCGGATTGGCCAGACAAAGGAAGTACTAGTCGAGACGTTGGTCCTTGAACATACCATTGAGCACGCAATCTTTGAACGTGCAAAGAAGATGAGTCGCGCTCAGCATTCGGAAGCGAAAGAGTTGGAAGATGACGCTGGCATCACCGAGATCATCCAGAACGCACAGATATTGCCTGCCTCAAGCAATGAACAAGGACTATCGAAGTTTGCGTTGCTGACGGCCCCACAGCAGCTCTTCGGTCGGCCGAACCGAGACAAGTACCACCGATTCCAGGTAAGCACACCAGAGAAATCGAGAAAAAGGGTAAAGACATCTAAACGCACAACACCCTCGAAAGGAAGTGGAGCCAGTACGCCGATCGTTATTGGAGATGGGGACGGAGCAACGTACCGGCCGGCGATCGCACAACCAAGTTCCGGTCTGCTGGGAGAGCATGTTTGAGCATGTTTGACGTGGAGTGAGAATTGGAGTATATATCGCTCGCGTCCACTGCCAATTCTTAGAAGTTCTGCTCCATACACAACGAATCTCCCTCACTAATACAGTTCCATTATCTGACTATCTTCATCTGCTTCCCCCAGATGTGACCAAGAAACATGCTGCGAACCACACGGATACTCACCTGCCCAGTTTACACAAATCTGCCAGGCTATGCCGCTTTGCTTCGGAACGCCGACGGCTAACCTCTGCCAAGTTCATCACTATCACTGGGCATAAGAGCGAGCAAACGTACTGGGAATCCGGGTTGACGTTATCGCTAGTGCCATGCGAGCCAAGTGCCAGTGATCGGGACGCGCGGAGACGGCGATTCCACGGTGAAAAGGCGGGCCTTGGACAAGAGCTCTTGGGCAGCGCTGCCAATATCCTTACACAGCAACCGACAAAACAAGCCCAGGGAGCTTCGATTTCGACACCCGCAACTGACGGAAATCCGCACGTCGCAACAAAGCACTGTGCGTGTGGAGGCGGGGAAGCCAAGAAACCCTCCGCCCAAGCCACCACTGCCAAGTCCGCTATCGCCTCGTCATCGGCCAAGCATCCACCGTTGGCGCCAGCCCCCGGCTTACAGATTTCCGCTTCCATGCCTGCCACGAGAAATCCAAGACCGACATGACGGCACCAGGCCTAGCTGCAATGGGAAGGTGATGCTGGGTGATAGTCAGGCACTTGATGAGCGTCGAGTATTTATACCAGGCGGGCGCGAGGGGAATGGTCGATCACGCGCAATTGCATCTCTCCTCTTTCCCTCAGAGGTAGACAGTCATCATGGTGAACATGCTCGGTCTTGCTGCGCTTTGCTCGTCCTTTGTGGGCTTGAGCAGGGCGGCTGCTCTTGGCACTGCTGAGGAGTACGCTGATGGCAGCGTGCATGCTAAGATCATGGGCATGAAGATGGTGAGATTACATCCAATTGAGTACCCAACAAGTCTGACGTCCTGGATAGGCTGAGTGGGACGCGGAGATGGCGTCGGGTGCCATGGATAGCTCCAAGTACCCGGAACTGGGCTACACTGCGTGCAAGGATGGTTTCGCGGCTGGGGTTCCCGGAGACAAGAACAACACGTTCAAGTGCAACAATGTACGTATTCTCCTTCTCGAGGTTTGATACAGATCTGACATGCGCAGGTTGACTTGTACCACTTCCTGCCTCACGCACAGCTCGGCAGTGTTGGTCAGGGTTCGTCTTCCTGGGGTTGGACCTCTGAAGACGGCCGTGAATTCGTAGCCATTGGCCAATTTGACGGTACCGCTTTCGCCGAGATCACGCATGAGGGCAAACTTTCTTACCTTGGCCGTTTACCTCCGTACGACCCTGTGGGCTCCCGTTGGCGCGAAATCCGCATCCTGCGCGACTACGCCGTCATTGGATCTGAGGCCATCAACTCGGGTGTCCAGGTCTTCGACATGAAGAAGATCCTGACCCTCGATCCCGCGAACCCGCACAACTTCACCCAGGATGACCTCACCGGCTACTGGAACGAGCTGCCCGTCGGCCGCACGCACAACATCGTCGTCAACCAGGAGCTCAACTACGCCATGGCGGTGGGTTCGGTCGGCGGCAACGAGACGATCCGCGTCCGCGGTGATCTGCCCTGCCGCGGCGGTCTCATCTTCCTCAACATGACCGACCCCTCCAACGTCTTCTCGCCCGGCTGCGCCGCCGGCGACGGCTACGTCCACGACGCCGAGTGCCTGGTCTACCGTGGTCCCGACAAGCGCTACTACGGCCGCGACATCTGCTACGGCTACAACGAGGACACGCTCACCATCTACGACGTCACCAACAAGAACGGCAACACCACAAACATCATCTCCATCACGTCGTACCCCGGCGCCGAGTACGTGCACCAGGGCGTCGTCAACAACGAACAGTGGCAGGAGTACATCTTCCTGGACGACGAGTTCGACGAGCGCGACGCCAAAGTCGGGCCCATGACGCAGGGCCTGCCGACGACGCACATCTTCGACATCCGCGACCTCGAGAACCCGCACTACTCGGGCAACTTCGAGGGCAAGCGCCGCGCCATCGACCACAACCAGTACGTCGTCGACGGCTACCTGTACCAGAGCAACTACGGCGCGGGCCTGACCGTGTACGACATCTCGAGCATCACCAAGGATCCGTCGGGCGACTCGATCTGCGAGGCGGGCTTCTTCGACATCCACCCCGAGGACGACGAGCTGGAGGGCGGCGGCACCGTGGCGTTCCTGGGCTCGTGGAGCAGCTACGCCAACTTCGCCTCGGGCTTTATTTTCGTGCACACGATCGAGCGCGGCTCGTTCGTGGTCAAAATGACATCTAAGACGTGTCCGAAGCCCGCCGTGTGCAAGTCGGACAGCTGCCTGGTGAGCATGCGGGCGAGCAGCATCGAGGGCCGGCTGGAGGAGAGCATTGGCTTCTGCGACGGGTACTTGCGCCGCGAGAACGAGGGCTTGCAGGGGATTCCGGATTTCGCGCGCCAGGGGTGTGGTGGTAATAGGACGGAGCAGGTTGTGGCGCGGGTTAGTAGTGCGTGTGCGTGTGTGCCGACGGTGGCGGTGCCGGAGCTGCCGCGGACGACGAGCAGGCCGCCGGTGCCGACTGTGCTGCCGCCCAGGAGGGTGTGATGGTTGATGTAATGATCAGTGATGACGGTCTATGAATGTAAATAGTAATGAACGCATCACACTATACCGACCTTTGCGCAATTCATGTCCACGGTCTTGTTTCGCACGCATCTAGCATAGCGTTGTTCGAAACATCTGGTGTTAGTTGCAGTTCGTTAGTCGCCCATGATTGTAGGAAGACTCTGCTGCCTATGCTGTGTCCGAGTGTTGTATGCAACTTACCAAGGACTAATCAGATACCTTCCACCAACGAGCTCGGGAGTCTCTCAGGAGTGTCAAAGAACAAGAACCAACACACAAGAACCATATTGACTTCACTCGCTAAATTCTTCTTTTTACCTTGTCTACTCCTGGATATACTTCTTCAGCCCCCTCAGCCTCTCCATGGCCGTCTCCAGCACATCGTCATTCTTGCACACCGCAAACCGCAGCCAATCCTCCACAATATGCGCGTTCTCGGGGGTGAAGAACTCGGTCGGCGGAATCGCCGCCACGCCCACCTCCTTGATCAGGAACCACGAGAGCTTGAAGTCGCGCGGGCGCTCGGCCACATGGGGCGGGAACTCGTAGCCCTCTGGCAGCTTGACCTTGCTCATGTTGACGAGGACAAAGTAGCCGCCCTCGGGGTCCGAGTAAGGGAGATCCAGCTCCTTGAAGACGGCGGTGAACTTGTCGATCTTGGCTTTCATCTCGGCCTTGCTCTCGTCCCAGAAATTGTGCGCGTCGGCCTGCTCAAAGCCGATGGCGGTGGCTTCCTGCAAGGGCGAGACGCTGCTGTAGCAGATGCGCGTGTGCGCTGCCGACACGTACTTGATCAGGTGCTCCGGCCCGATCAGCCAGCCGACGCGCCAGCCGGTCGCGTAGAAGTTCTTGCCGCCGGAGCCGACGGTCAGGGTCAGGCGGGCGATCTCGGGCGAGAGCGTGGCGACGCGCGTGAAGGGTACGTAGTACAGGCGGTCGTAGACCTCGTCGCTGAGGATGATGATGTTGTGTTTTACACACAGGTCGCCGATGGCAGTGAGTTCCTCCTTTGAGAAGACCTTGCCGATGGGGTTGTGCGGCGAGTTGAGGACGATCATGCGCGTCTTGGGGGTGATGGCGGCTTCCAGTTCCTTAATGTCGAGGCTCCACTCGGCGGCGGAGGTCGTCTTTGTGGCGCCGTCCTTGGGCGGGTGCATGGGCACGTACACGACCTTGCCGCCGGGCATCTCGATGTTGGAGATGTACTGGTCGAAGAACGGCTCGAAGACGATGACCTCGTCGTCCTTCTCCAGGAAGCCCATGAAGGCGCTCAGCATGCCCTCGTTCGCGCCCGTTGTGATGGTCACCTCGGTCTCGGGGTTGATCTCGCGGCCGAAGAAGGGCGAGTAGGCGTCCGCAATGGCCTTCTTTAGCCGCGGGCGCCCCTTGGTGGGCGAGTACTGGTTGCAGTCGACCTGGTCGAGGGCGGATTTGGCGGCATCGAGCACGAACTGCGGCGGGTTGTAGCCGAAGAAGCCCTGGCCCATGTTCACGATGGGCTTGATGGGCGAGGCCGCGGCCGCCTCGTTGACAATGGTCCACACATCCTGCTTCTGGCCGGCGACGCGGGCGGCGGGCTTGAAGGGGTCTTCGCGGCGCGTGGTTGCGGACATGGTGCGGAGGCAGAGGCGGGGGACGGTGGTGGGGCAGGTGGGAGCTCGGAGGAGCGCGGGGCTGGATGTCGTGAGTCTTGAAGCTGCAGTTGCGATGCCCCTCATGTCAGTCTACACGCTCGTCCAGGACTTGCTCGGAGTCAGACCGCAGACCGCTGCTTAGATTCATTGCGTGCTCGTCGTGCATGCAGCCAATGCCGTCATTTGCCGCAGCCGACGTTGTGGCCGAAGCTATGGCCGACACCGGCGGCGCGACGGGCGGCGCGTGGAATGTTACGCGACGGGCCTCAACATTCGCCATTGACCATGTTGGACTGCCCCATCTGCCAGAAATCCGTCCTCGACAGCAAAATCAACGAGCACCTCGACAGCAACTGCAAGGACCACCTCGCCGAGAATGAACACGTGAAAGCACAGCCGCACAGCTTCTTCACGGCCACCCAGCGCCAGCGACCGCCATCGCCGTCACCGCCGCCAGCTGCTGCACCGCGCGTCGACCGAGCGAAGACACCACCCAAGAGGTCACATGACGACGCGAACGAGGATGGAAAGAATGGCGAGTCACTGGCCGCGGTGAAGCGACAGCGCCGCCTGAAAGCTGTCGAAGATGCCATGCCGCTGGCTGAGCGCATGCGCCCGACCTCCCTTGATGATGTGTGCGGGCAGGATCTGGTCGGGCCCGGGGGTATCCTGCGGGGCATGGTCGAAGAGGGACGGCTGCCATCGATGGTGCTCTGGGGACGGCCGGGCACGGGAAAGACAACCATCGCCCGTCTCATCGCCAACACAGCCAACGCACGCTTCGTCGAAATCAACAGCACAAGCACGAAGCTGGAAGAAGTCCGCAAGATCTTCAACGAGGCTGCCAGAGACTTGCAGTTGACTGGCCGCAAGACCATTGTCTTCTGCGACGAGCTGCACCGCTTTTCGAAGACCCAGCAAGACGCCTTCCTCGGTCCTGTCGAGTCTGGGACCATCACCTTGATAGCGGCGACCACCGAGAACCCGTCCTTCAAGGTCATCTCCGCGCTCCTCAGCAGATGCAGAACATTCACCCTCGACGACCTGCGCGAGGAAGACCTCCTGCGCATCCTGCAGCGCGCAGTGGCCACGACGTCCACCACCTCGCCCCTCCTCGACGACGCCATGCTGACCTACTTCGCCCGCTTCTCCGACGGTGACGCCCGCACCGCGCTCAATCTGCTCGATCTAGCCATCAACCTGTCCAAGAACCCCGGCATGACCAAGGAGAAGATCCAGCAATCCCTCACCAAAACCTTAGTCTATGACAGAGCAGGCGACCAGCACTACGACACCATCTCGGCCCTGCACAAATCCATCCGCGGCTCCGACGCCGACGCCGCCCTCTACTATCTCGCGCGCATGCTGCAGTCGGGCGAGGACCCGCGCTACATCGCACGCCGCCTGCTGGTCGTCGCCAGCGAAGACGTCGGGATAGCCGACAACACCATGCTGGGCCTCGCGACCGCCACCTACGACGCGTGCGAGAAGATCGGCATGCCCGAGTGCCGCATCAACCTCGCGCACTGCGTTGTCGCGCTGAGCTTCGCGAAGAAGAGCACGCGCGTCTACCGCGGCTTGCACGCGGCCCTGGATAGTCTGGCCGAGCCGGGCGTCGCTGCGCTGCCCATCCCGAAGCACATCCGTAATGCGCCCACGCGCCTCATGAAGGACATGGGCTACGGCGACGGGTACAAGTACAACCCGGACTATCTGCACGGGAGGGTCAAGCAGGAGTATCTGCCCGAGGCGCTGCGCGGGCGGACGTTCCTGGACACGAGCGATTTCGGGAGCAAGCGCGATCCGGATCTCGAGGCGGAAGTGACGGCGGACGAGGACGAGGACGACGGGGAGTTGAGGCCCGAGGTGGATGATAGGATACCTACTAGTCCTGTGCTGGAATGAACGGGTCTTCACAGTACACAGCGTCTGTGTCAATTTTGATCTGTGAATCTTGATCTGTGAAACCACGAGTTGCTAGCCATCACAGCCCGCACACCTCCCCACCCCGCTTTCCTACCCCAGCCTAGAGCTGACACCCACCCCCCAACCCCTAGCAACGAGGCGCCCCGTCTGACACCCCCAACCCACCCCTGCCCATCGTCTCCAACCCCTACGCCCGACCCAGCACCAAACACCTGCACAAGCACCAAACACCCACCCAAGCACCCACCACCACCACCACCCCTCAACCACAGCATATTCTTGTCCCCAGATCCCACCGCCATGTTCGACACGCAAACGCTCGCCGTCGTGGCCTTCTTCCTCGTCAGCTCGGTGCTGGGACACGTGCTGCTGCATCGCGTTATTAGGACGCCGGCGCGGTATTATCGGCCTGGTTTGGATGAACAGGGGGGTGGGCTGTGAGGGACGGGCGGGGTTGTTTGTGATCTAGGACCTTGATTGCGGGGGGTGTTGAGTGAGGAGTGGGAGATTGTCTGCGGCGAGGTCGTGGCTGATGGGTGTGGTTTGGTTTGGTTTGGTTTGGTGACTGTGGCTTCTGGGGTGGAGCGGTGGATGGAGGTGGGTGGATGCTACTTGGGTGATTAAGAGAAGAAAGGGATGTGAACGGGTGGTAGACGGTGGAAGGTAGTTGTTGCTATCAAGTCTGGGTGGTTACATTGAGTGCACGCTGTCGTGAACCTGCGTCCCGATCTCGACCCCCGGACTTCCTCTCCCATCCCACCTGCTCCATCTCCGCCTCAGCATCCCCATCCCGACCCTTCACACACCACTCCACCCTCCACCCTCCACCCTCTTCCTCCCCACCACCACTCACTCCCCACCCTTCCTCCTCTTCACCCCCTTCCCCCCACTCCCCTTCCCACCACCCTCCCCCCTCTCCCCCCGATGCAACCCACAAACCCACTCCCCCTTCACCTTTCCCCTCCCCCTCCCCCTCCCCCCCCTCAACCCCACACACCCAAAATGAAACCACTCAACCCGGCACCCCGGCGCATCACACGCGATCATGCGCCCCCGCGCCGGCTGCCGGCATACGCACCACAATTTCGCGGGGTCCGAGTCGGGGAGCGCGTCGTTGGAGGGCGTCGGGGAGGGGAGCGGGGGAGGGGGGTTTCGCGGTTGTTTCTTTGCGGCGGGGGCGCGGGGGCGGGTGCGCGGGCGGGTTTTTATGGGGGCGTAGGAGGGGGGGGCGTTGGACATTGGTGGTGGGGCTGGGGCGGATGGAGGCGGGAGGGCTTGGTGCTGGGGTGATGGGGGAGGGGGTAGGGGTGCGGCTTGGGTGGTGTTGGTGTTGGCGGAGTGAGGGAGGTCGGTAGTGTCGTCGTCTTCGTGCTTCCGCTTGGTGCCTGTCGTGTTCGGTGGTGCGTTGATGGGTGGGACTGCGTCGATGCTGTTCACCTGAGATGTTGGTGTATCGCCTCCCGGCTCGTGACCTTGGTGCTGCTCTTCGTCTGGATCGTTAAAAAGGTAGTCGAACTCGTCGTCTTGTTCGAGCGTCTCTGGCGTGTGAACCGGTGTAAGTAGCCCATCCATGCTGTCTGGGTCGAACATATCATCGGCTATGGCCTGTCGGTGGCTTTCCAGTATCTGCTCTGGAGTTGACTGTGCTGACATGTAGAGCTAGGTCACAGGTGATCGAGGTCCCGCTTATATATTGGTTGGGGACCGCAGTAGCAAACACGCCGTTTCACTGTTCTTTGTGTCGCGGCGTGAAAGTGAGTGAGCTGCTCAGGATGTGTCGGTCTTTGTCAATGTCAGTGAATGCTCGACGAGCGCAAAGGAGCAGCATACAAGCCATGGTATAGTGAAGAACGCTGGCGGGAGACCACGAACATAAGTATGTGCATATTTGTGAGGCTGGGGCCAAACCATGCAAGATTTTGAACCGCTGTCAAACAATAACGGCTTTTCCTTTGCTCGATTTCGTTCTCATTTGGTAACCTTACAACTAAATAGCGTAGCGAGGACAAATTCAAGCGAATTTCCACTTTCGATGATAGCCCAACGTTCAAATCCAGTCTGCGATAGACTTGTAACAGTCAGTCAAGAAACTTTGTGACTGACTTGACCGTAGAGAGCAACGACAATAACTGATTCTGCATGAAGGAATATTTGAATGTAACCAGATCCAAAGAGATCCAACTTGGTTCGCTCTAAGCAGCATCTGATGCCAGTTATCATCGGTGTGCTCGTGGAAATAACCTGTGTCCGCTCTCATTTCCCTCCGCCGTTGTCAGTTCGCAAAGTGCTGCTCAGATGACCTTTATCAAGTACTTTCCGTCCTTGTATTCTTCGCATGGAAACAGGGACCCGTCGTCTTCGCGACACTGTTGTAGCTCCCATACCTCCTCTTTCTGAATACGGGCGACACCGGCGCGCCGATAGACTCCTTTCTCTCTATCCACCACCTCAAAGAGCAACGTGTTGAAGTTTAAGTCCGTCTCACGACTTGCGCGAACACAGTACAGTGTCGTTGGTGGAGTATCCTGCCACTCAGAATCTCTCTGTGGAGGGTCGAGCAATACACGGGACGCTTCCGACAAGATTTCGCTTTGACCTCCTCGAATACACAGCTCCCTGTTTTTGTAGCTGCTTTGAACTGATTCGTCATGCTTACACACAAGCATAACTTTCCTCAATGCACCAAGTAGACGCATCGAGCCACTTCGTACGGGGCCAGTATTATCATCTGTCACGTATTGTATCTCCAGATCCATGATGTTGAATGGCGACGTTATGGGGGGAGGATTAGGTACCCATCCTGGGTATACAAAGCCATCCAGAGACGTCCATGACCAGCTTGGAGCTCGATATTCGTCGGGTCTTGTGTTAACATATTCTGAGGGGAGAGTCTTCCAAAGTAGCTCATATCCCAGAGTCCGACGCCACATTCCCACAACGTACTCATCTCGGCGTCTGAGTCTCATGTGTTTTGCAACAGCGGATAGAGCAGTGAACTTATCATGGGGAAACGAAAGCTGGCACCTCGAGTAGGCAAAAACTATCGAATCCCAGGCTGCTACCTCTGAGTCCGAGGTTGGCAGGGATTTTGGAGATGCAGTATCAATATCATCGGTGAAAGGTAGTTTTTCGGGGTATATCTCTGCAGCAGCTTTCTCGTTACACTCCCAGAGAACCTGGCTGTCGCCGAAGTACAAGACCCGTGGAGAGAGGAGTCGTTCTTGGAGTACCCAGCCTCTTGTGTTAATCAACGCTTGAGAAACTTGTGTATGCCATATAGTGTTTGCCTCAATGAGGTAGGAGCCCACAACACCATCTACGTTTAGGATACTGGTAGGCGGGCAGACGAGTTCCGGACGCCGTGAAGAGAACATGGTACAATGGCCATTCGGTGCGTTTGCTGCGGATATGTTGCACAAGGAGTTTAGATAGATCTGATCCATAATTTTGACCTGCTGGAACCAGTCTTTGAGCTGATCTCCCTCCTGTACAATGCATAAGGAGTCTATCCACAAATATCGGACGCCAAAAGTTCGTGTGACCAGGACTGCGTCTTGATATAGTTGAGGCAAGTTTGGCAGCGGCATGAATCTCTTCATTTGGGCATGATTCTCAGTGGTCAACTTTAGGCAATCCGCATCTCCCCAACAGTGACTGAGAGTCATGTAGGGCCCTTGTATATCAGCATCGAGAGTTTCGATTAATCGACAGTATGCTTCAGGGCCATCGCTGGTACTGCAGTCAAGAAGACGACTTGGGTACCAACTCTTGGCCCCGCCGGCTTTCTTGCATGCGCTATGGTTAGTCATACAATCTCGCACCCAACCTCTCGCAAGAGACAACGTCGCCGTTGACCTAGTGTTGTCGGACAACTCTGGCGTAACATTGGCCGGCGAGATCTCTGCCACTATCAGCCTCAGATAAACAGCGTTTCTAACAAAGTTTTGGAGCTACCTTCAACTGGGCGAACGGCGAGTACGCACTCTGTTTCCTCGAAATCAGAAACACGACAAATACGCACGTGCAGTTCAAGATGCCGCGAATCCGAATAAAAGAACCAGAGAGCATAGGTCACATCGCTCTGATCGTGATCAGAGTAAGTTCCATGGCTGATCAGATCTGTTGGCGGACTGTCTCCGTTGCAAGTCCATTCAGCCGAGTTAGAAATGCATTGCTGTTTGTCGATATCGAGAGACTCCCAGACCTGATTACAAACATAACAGCCAAGAAAATTAGATCGCCGTAGGGTGCTCCACGTCAGATGATGAGGCATCATTTCGCAATTTGTGATGGGCTCAGCCTTCCCGTCAACAGCCAAGCCGATTTTCCTGCACACATCACAGAGCATGGCGAAATGAACTCAAGAGGAGTGAAGCGAACCACGATATGAGAACGAAGCGTTCTATAGGCGGGCAGTTATAGAAGTGGACAGTGAAATAAGCGGAGAGTGGTAGGTGTCGAGGTGAGGAAGTCGGTTGAGAAGAAAGATTGAAGTGCCCCGCTATCAAGGACTCACCGTGGTTGCCTCAGCCTGATGCCCAAAGCAGGCATGACTGCGTGCCCCAATATCATTTTGAAATCGGCTGGCAACGGGTGAATGTACTGCATTCTTTGTAGCTGTGTTGGCAGAGGCGGAATATATACACACTAGTACATACGTCTAGTCAGGTCCTACAGGTAGGCCTTTGTTCGTGCTGCGACAGTACACAACATATTTAAAGTGCAGAATCTCAGCCTCTTCCGGTGGTATGCCACTAGAATATGAGGAACAACTTCCTTGTACTGCACTAGTATGTACTTGCGCTCACTTGTAACAGCGTTGTATTTTTCGAGCCAATAGCTTTGATTGAAAGCCGCTCTACGAAGTACTACAAGACTGCAAGACTACCCAATTGGGCCAGATTGGCACATCCTGCAGCGCTGCTCACAGAAATGGCAACACCCATGCAGCTTTCAAGCATCATCTCGCACATTATAAGCTCACGCCCGGATGCTCGTGAGGTCTTGCCGTAAAAGCGCCGATGCTTGCGCCATGATTATCGTCAGATCGATTAACCAGTAACTGCAACTGACCATGAACGAATTATGCAAGATCTGTCAAATCAACACAAAAGCCACCTGAATGTGTAGACCCCGACGTAGTCGACATCAAGTGACGTCCCCCCTCATTACTAACGATAGCCTCATCTCGCATACTAAGACCGGGCGCGACAAGCTAGAACGCTTGACCTCGGGAGCAACCAACAGCCCGCCCATATCTAAGCCAGTGCAGAGCGCGTCATCTATCGCATTCTCATCCATTGCGACCACAGCGAGATCCCAACCCCGCATCACCACGCGTCGCCGCGGGAAGCGTGGGTTATCTCGTATGAGCGGAAGTAACAGCCAATAGCCAGGTGACTTGCAAAGCTCCGTTTGGTGGTTAGCGGAGGGCACTTGCGGTGGAGATACGGGGCAGTTGTGCGACCAGCAGGCAAGGGCGGGGAAGATCGGGAATGCAGCTGGGGCCATGCAGACGCGGGCTCCCGTTCCTCGCAGCACAACCGACCGACGAGTCACCACTCTCGGGCTGCACATGCCGATCGGTCAAGGGCACTCGCGCGGCCGCCAGACCTCGATGATATCAAGATGGTGGTGGGAATCAAGGCGTTGCGTCAGCCCATGCGGGCCAGGTTGCAAGCTTGGTGATGGTCGCGACGGAGCGACTTGCTCTCGTCATGCGCGACCTGTCAGCCAACGGTGCCTCTGGCGGTCTCCACGCGGGGCCCGATCGGCCGCAGTAGCAGGCTGCAGGCGGGCTCGGAAATGTCGCGGATAGGGAGCCTCGACACAGAGCTGCAGACGAAACGGTCACTGCATATAATGTAGGCGAAAATGGCCGTCCCCGGAGCACGACGTATCGCTAGGCGGGTCAGCACAAGCATTGGGATGCTGTGTCACTGCAGGTGTCCTGATATAGGTATATGCAATCAATGCGACGTGCGTGTGTGGTTAAACACAAGCAGTCGTTGACCGGCGTGCATGTGTACTGGTGCTCCGATCTTGCAACAAAAGTACTGGCGCCGCTGCAATCGCCCAGGCCTTCTAAGCCCAGGCAATGTGTTTGAGCCTTTGTGGAAAAGGCTGCGGAACACGATGTGGCGGCGCCAAATCTTAAAACTGGGTGGGTGCGGACATGCCAAGAGTTCCAGCCGGCTGCTCGTCAGCCACTGCCCGACTTGAAATGCGCCAAGACGAGGCTGAACGTCGGGCATGTCTGATCTGGCATGTGTTGTGTCGCGGGACATTTGTTTCCTGCAACACGCGGCAGGAACTTGCTCATGGGGATGGAATGCATCGGTCGTGGTGCATCACAAAGCCTTGCATGGGCCGATCTGCCATGAGACAATCCAGGGTCCAGACATTCTGCGCAGCCCAGGGGAGACTCATTTATTTGAAGACCGGCAGCATCACGGTGTCAACCACTGTAGACTAGGTTCGGTCCTTGAAAGAAGCCTTGATGCCCAGTACTGTGGCATTGTTGTGGTTGCCTTGATGCGAAAGCGACGATGGTGTGTTTCGGCCTAATGCACGCTGCCGTCTATTGACGGAGACGTGCTCCATGGCATCATGCCTGAGTCGAGCATGTCAACCAGAACGATCACCCTGAATCAGCGCAGTCACTGAGCGTCACGGATCGCTGGCAGATCTAACAGACGGTTCGATGGGTTTGATCGTTACTACTTCACGACCGCCTCTCAAACATATCAATGCGACCCTTTCCGGTTACTTTGCCGATGACGCGCAGACCCCTGCCCCCACCGGTGATGTGGCGGAAGGCCACTCACGTGGCTGCGGTTCCAAAAGGGACCCTAACGCCCAGATTCTTTGTGGCAGCGGCGGCGGTGTGGGCGGGACGTGTTTTCGGTAAAACGCCGCCTCCTCAAGCCATTGCCCAATGCGGCATCGACAGATGTGTGTCGCTCACAAAGCCGGTCACGGTGAGGCACCAGAGGGGCAGGGGGGCTTGGTGTAGCCGTGGCCGACCATGGTTCAGACTTGGAGTGGACGAATGCAACCGCCAGAAGCCAGGTACGTAGCTGCAAGCGTGGGTAGCACACAGTCGCGGCTGCACGCTCATGCAGCAAATGACGGGCTGTTTAGCAGGGTTGGAATGGGGTGGTGACACGAGTCTCTGCCGCGGGACGACTGCGTCACAGTGCTCGCACATCCTGGACGGCGCCAAGCCGACGCTAAATAGACGACCGAGAGCTTTGCTGGGCTGTGTGGAGAAGATCAGCCATCGCCCATCACGTCCCGGCGCTCCTCGTGCGCTCAGCCGGTGCAACCTGCCTGGGTGGGCTGCGGCGAGCCGTCTGCTGCACAGCGTCAGCACCGCAGCGCCGTAAGATCAGAGCATGCAGTGCAGCATCCATAGTACAGTCTCTGTCATGTTCCTGCGACACGTCGGGCAGGCTCGAGGCCGGCGCGCAGCTGCAGTGAAGCCTGGCAGCGCTGGCAGCGTGCTGCGTCTCCGTTTCTGTGCAGGGCAGAGTTCAGAAGCAGAACTCTGATTTCAGGTGGCTGGGACCGCGCCCGTCAGAAGCGCCTCCACCTTTGGGGTCCAGGCAGGATCAACGACGGCTGCGCCACGGAGAAATGTCGCTGGCGGCGCGATGATCTCACAGGAAAACTCGGGTCGTGGTGGCCGACCTGTTGTGGTGAGGGCGCCTCCCTGACTCTGGCCCAGCGGTAACATCGATGGTCGCACTGCCGGCTGATTCAGCGCGCGAACTTTGCAAACCGCGCTGTCAGTCCAGGAACACTGTTTCATCCATGGCGCATGGCTGGTGGGTGCGGAGCTTAAATTTAAAGGCGAATGTGTCCTTTCTGGACAAGGCGGCAGGGCCAGGCGTGGGTGGAGCCGACACGAACATGGGACGAACGGTGCCGAATCGCCATGTTCGTTCCGATGACAGACCCGCGCCAAACACGATAGAGTTTGGAGCCCATCAGGGCGTCGGCGTCAACAGAGCACGCCGGCTGCGGGCGCTGGTTGGCCGGCGCGGGCGAGCAGGCAATCAGACACGGTCGACGTCGAGCAGGCCGGCGGCGGCGCAGACACATACACGTCCACATGCCACGGTCCCGCAGGCATGGTTTCCAGGCGCGCAGCGGGAGAGTGCTCGCGGGCCAGCGCGCCAGGAGGTGCAATTTGCTGTCAAACGGGTCGCACCAAACTGGCATGCACCCGGTGTGGCTTGCTTTTGGCGTTAGCTCCACGAGCAGGGGTGCTTTCCGCGTTGACCCATGGCGCTGCACGGTGCTTTAGTGCTCTAGCGCGGTGTGGGACTTTGCTTCTGGATACCTCTTGGCCTGGGTTAGGGTTATGCTGCGAGCAAAGACGTTGTTCGAGCTCTCCCGCCCTTCTTGCCCTCCTCCGCGCTTCCAGCTTCCTCACGCTCCCTCGGCCCCAGCGAGCATCCGGCGCGCGCCATCCATCGCAACGCCGCCCACGCCCATCACCACTGCCCTGCCGCCCCGTCTCGCGTGCATCCACACTGCCCGTCGCTGCTGTGTCTGATTGGCCTGCCCGCCGCGCACCCTCCTGTCGTTCTCCGCGACGCCTGTGCCAGACGCGACTCGTCGACGCGGTCCCCTGGGAAGAAGCAACCACAGTACGCACCGCCGCCCGCGCCATGCCCACGCCTGATGCTCTGAATGCTAACACGCACAGCCCGGCCTGTTCTGCTGGCGCATTGCTGCCATTGCTGCCGCTGCTGCCGTTGCTGCCCCCTCGCTGTCGTGTAGCGCGTTGACTCCGCTGCCTCTGCCGGCCCCAGCTGTCCCCGCCCCCCATGGCGAGCCACCAGCAGCCCTCGCCCACTGCAGGCCTACCGCCGCACCATGGCGGCCCGCACCCCGCGCACGCCCAGGTCAACGGCCACCCGCCGCACGTCACGCAGCCCAAGACGCCGTCGCAGTACTTGAGCCAATTGACCGAGGCCGTCTGGACGCAGATGGGTATGTAGCATGCACTGCCGCGCCGACGTGACTGACCGCCCCAGGCTCGCTGTCGGAGCAGATGCAGGACTTCGAGAGCGCCATGGAGTGCTACCAGCTGGCGCTCAAGTATAACCAGTGGTCTGTGCCCGCCATGCAAGGCATAGCGTGCATTCTGCGCACCAAGGACCTGTTCCCGCAGGCCGTCGAGTATCTGCGTACTATTCTTAAGGTCGACCCTGCCAACGGCGACGTGTGGGGCAGCCTCGGCCACTGCTACCTGATGATGGACGACCTCCAGCAGGCGTACTCGGCGTACCAGCAGGCGCTCTACCATCTGTCCGACCCCAAGGTATGCCCCTCACCAAGGGACCACGTCACAGCCCACTAACAGCTGCGCAGGAACCCAAGCTCTGGTACGGCATCGGCATCCTGTACGACCGCTATGGCTCCCTCGAGCACGCCGAAGAAGCCTTCTCGCAGGTCATGCGTATGGAGCCTAACTTCGAGAAGGCCAACGAGATCTACTTCCGCCTGGGCATAATCTACAAGCAGCAGCAGAAGTTCAATCAGAGTTTGGACGTAAGTGCGCGCAGCCACCTCTCCAGACCAGACCCTAACACAGCAACAGTGCTTCAAGTACATCGTCACCAATCCGCCTCGCCCGCTTACAGAGGAGGACATCTGGTTCCAGATCGGTCACGTCTACGAGCAGCAGAAGGAATTCGAAGCCGCCAAGGGCGCCTATCGTCGCGTCCTGGAACGCGACCCCAACCACGCCAAGGTCCTGCAGCAGCTAGGATGGCTGCACCACCAGCAGAGCACCAACTACACCAGCCAAGAGCAGGCTATCGAGTATCTGGAGAAATCAGTCGCTTCAGATCAAACTGATGCACAGAGTTGGTACCTCCTTGGTCGATGCTATATGTCCCAGCAGAAGTACCCCAAGGCTTACGAGGCCTACCAGCAGGCTGTCTACCGCGATGGGCGTAATCCCACGTTCTGGTGCAGCATCGGTGTGTTGTACTACCAGATTAACCAGTACCGTGATGCACTGGATGCCTACTCGCGTGCCATTCGGCTCAACCCGAACATTTCCGAGGTCTGGTACGACCTTGGAACCCTGTACGAGTCTTGTAACAACCAGACTGCTGATGCGCTTGATGCGTACCAGCGTGCGGCCGACCTCGACCCATCCAATGTTCACATCAAGGCTCGTCTGCAACTGCTCCAGAACGGTCAAGGCTCAGCCGGCGCGCCCAACCAGGGCAATGCCCCCGTGCCTCAAGATGTTCATCCTCAAGCTTATCAGCCTGCCTCTGTTCACGGTCCTGCTGCTCCTCAGTGGGGCTCTCAACCTGCGCAGCCGCCTCAGGGACCTGCGCCACCAGCTCTTGGAACTGCTGGCTGGGATCGTCCTTTGGCTCAGATTAGGGATCCGGGCCTGCCGCCTCAGTCTCTCAATCCATATGAGCAGCGCGAGGGCATTCGCCCACCAACCCAGCATACCGCTCAGCGTCCAGTGAGCCCGCGTCAAGAGGCTCCGAGGACCTACGGTGAGCCTCCACGACCTCCCACCAATGGTCCTGGCCCATCTGGTCCAGCCGGTCCTCCCCCACCAGGCCCAGGATCTCTGCGCCGCGGCATGTCGCCGTCGCCAAAGACACACCATGCTGCCCCCAGCCCATACCACCCTCAGCCGCCGCAGCTCACACCTCAGCCAAACCAGGCACAGCAGCCGCCGCCTCCTCACCAATCGCAGCAAGCTCAACAGCCTCCCCAGCCAACTCGTATTTCTAACCCGAACTACGGTCCACACGCTGGTGCTGGCAGCGTCCCGCCACCTCCACCTCCACCACCGGCTGCACTGGCTGGACCACCAGGTCAGACGACCCCTGGGCCTCTCCCACCCTACGGACGTCCCGGTAGCCCACTACCGGAGGTGCGACCTATTGTTGAGAACCGTGCTGGTTCTCCACGTAACGGATACCAGGGGCCATATCAGGCTCAACATCACGCTGACCCATCTGCCAGCGGTGGCATTGCTAGCGGTGCGCCACCGCCAGCTGCTGCTCTTGCCGCCGCTGAAGCAGCCGCACGCGATCGTGAAGAGCGCCCACCGACTGCTCCGCCAAAACGACACAGGGAGTGGGAAGAGAGTCCGAAGCCACAGAGCAATGAGGAGAAGCGCCAGAAGATCGAAGAGTCTCACAGCCGCCGGCCATCTCCTCCTCACCACGTCTCTTCGCCACAAATTCCGCGACAGAGCCCTCAGGTCGCGTCTGATGCTCGGCGTATCAACGACGGGTATCATCCCTCAGAAGCTGCTCATCACCCGCCATCGCTGGCACCGATTGGGGCTCCTCAACCGCCGACGCCGCTGCCTCGGATGTCAGAGACGCCGGCGCCTGCAAAAGAGACACCTCGACCCGAACACCACGAGCCAGCTGCTCGCCATGTAGACGTTGACGAGAACTACGATGATGAGGCCGATGAGCCAAAGACCAACGGCACAAAGTCTGAGCGCAATAGCCCACGTACCGCGCCCACAAATGGGGTCCCACACCCTGCCACTCCCGCTGAACAGAAGGCTTGAGAAGGGCCACTGGTGGATCCCAATAAGTTTTTGGACGTCTGTCAACACACGAGGCATATATCATCCCTTGTCTAAGTCTCCAGCGACTAGAAGTCTTAGAGGCATAATGTTTGCGTCTGACCAGGATCTTGCGAGGTCATATTTTCGTATATAGTTCCTATCACTCGCTTTATCTTCATTTGTAGATCCTCAAGATCTGGAACGGAGGCTTTGTAGATGGTGTTCAGGTGGGGATACCCTCGACTCGCTGTATGCTTGTATGATCAACAAAAGCAAAACTGCGACTTAGGCTTTGTATTTATTATTATTCAGAATAGTATTCAGAATGACCCACACAAAGTAAAGACTATACTCTTATCTTCAATGGGCGCTGTTGTTGTCTGGGTGCTAGCAGAGTGGCCTTCGCGATCATGGTGGGGCAATCGCCCGTGTGCCGCCTCGCACATGCAGCTCCTCTGCGTTGCGTCATCGGCTGTCGCGAAACCATGAACAAGCTCCAACGTGTCGCACGCGCTCTCCCACTATCCAAACCGCACCGTCACCTTCCTCAACCCAACGTCTTACCTACCACGCGTCTTACAAACAGCCTTCTCTCCTCGACCGCCCCAAATCGCGCACGCGCACACCCCTCACACACCACGCGCAACATGTCGTCCGACGCCGCCTACGCCGCCTTCCTCGACAAGGCAAACCAGGACTCCGCGCCCGCCGAGCAGCAGAGTGCAGACACGAAATCATACGGCTCGAAGAGCGTGAACACGGCGGTCCCGAAGGCGCTCGAGGCCGTGGAGGAGTACTACGTCAGCGACGCGGACGAGCCGTTTGAGCCCGTGGCGCTGGAATACAAGGGCGACTCTTTGTCTGCAGGTATGTTTACGGAGTCCATGGGTCTGGTGTAGGTGGGCTTGGCTGATCTGATGCGCGATAGGGGATTTGGGCAAGTTGCTGGGGAAAGACGGGGTGCAGGATGTTGGGGCCGAGGGGTTCGAGAAGCAGTATAAGAGTGTTGTTGATGCGGTTAAGAAGGCGGGGAATGGGGAGGTGAAGGCTTTTAAGGTGGATTTGGAGGGGGCTAGGGCCGAGTATTTTGTTCTGTCGGTTGATCGCGAGGGGGGGAGGGTGGTGGGGTTGAAGGCGTTGAGTGTTGAGTCGTAGATATCTGCAGGTGAACTGCGATGGTTCGCGGCGAATTAAAAGCCCTGGGACGGAGAACTGTGTCCTGCACGTGTGAACGAATAGTTCGGCATTTGCCTCAGGTTTCGAGAAAACCGTTTCAAGTCAATCATTGCCTTCATGGAGGCATCACACAAGGCCGTTCCACAGCGCTTTTGGGCGGGGATTTAGAAGCGCCGCCGGTTAACTCCGAAATGGCTCGTTGTTAATCCACAGCTGTCCGTTTCTCCATGGCACAACAGTGGACCTTCTTAGACCACCAGAGCACACGAGCTTCAAACAACCGACGTCACCTCATGTGTGTGTGCCTGGCTTCAGGTACGCCCCACTCTCATTCCTTTCTCAAACATGTCTATCGAAATCTCCCTCAGCTTCATTGCTCGCACCAAACTCCGGTACGCAACGCTCATTTGCTGCAGCGATCTGTCGACGTAGCCAATCATGCACTAGCCGCGGCTGAGCGCTCTTCCAGAACAGCGCCATGGGCAATTCCCTCCTTCTTCCCGCAGCCTTTCCCGTGCCATGCAGCTACGGCTGTCAATGAAGTTTTCACGCCCCTTTCTTTGGCAAAACCTGGGCATTCTTCGCCTACTGCATATGTGAAGTATTGACGTATCGTTAAAGGTAGGGATTACTACAGCCTCGACCACAGGATTCAGCCTCGCAATCTTACCAATGCCACGAAGGATCAGTAGAGTGCTTGGTATGAGCGTTGATCCCCGTTTAATAGCCGCTCCCGCGCACCGATACGCATGTCGAGCGTGAACGTGAGATTGGGATCGCGCTGCAGTCGCAACCTCTGAGCTAAAATCGGGGCTGTGTTGCGCAGATTCACCGGCACGTTTGGTTGGCTTTGCGCGGGGGGGAACATTATATGTGGTGCGACGCGTCACCTCGGCATCGTAGATCGCAGCGCTAGAGAACCAGCACGCACCTCTTTCTCCAGCATCGCAGCGTGAGCAGTCGGCAGTGAGCAGTGAGCAATGAGCAGCCTGCGATGCTGTTCTCTGTCTTGTGCAACGGGTTCGAGGACAAAAGCACGGCGAGGATGCGCCATAGGCCGATGTTTCAGCACAGCAGGGACTGCGGACGCATGACGACTCAACGAGAACAGGGCGCTGATCACCTGGATAGGGGCAGGGGAGGCTGGGACTGGACAGCGCATGACAGTAATATCAGCCTCGCCGGGCATAATGTTTGCAATTCCTACTATCGATTGGCAGGCGGCGATGGGGGTCGCACAGGGTAAGGCTATTGAAGGTTGAAACATGTTGTTGAATCGACTGCTGTGGTTGAGATTCTAGGCCGAGTAAATTTAGCCTGGGCGTAGTTGGTGGGTGCAAGCGGCTGCGCAAAGAGTCGCCGCCATGCAAGCGCCTTGTCAAGTTGCTTGGAGGCTGTCAAGGGTGATTGGTCGCTCCTTGATCGGTTCCTTGTTCGAGCTTCGAGATCTTCGTCCCTGAGCTTCAGGCCGTGCTCGCCACCGCGTGAATCTTGGTTATCTTGTTTCTGCATGCCAACTCGACCATTTCCTGAACCTCTGCATTAGTGTTCCTGCGCAGCGTCTACCTGCGTCGACTCGAGGTCGCTTACCACACTCCATTCAACGTCGACGTTGCTCTCGTGCTCGCTACCTTCAGCCCCACGAGTAGGTACCTGGACTGACATAGTGTGCCAAGTCGTACCTGCCTAACCTGCCCACCCTGGACGCCTCCGTCGTTTAGACCAGGAGCAAGATACCACCCCCGTGCGCCTGCACTCCATTTTCGCTCCTCGCGGCGTCCCTTCTTCTGCTCTTCACCAACAGCGATACCGAGCAGTCTTCCGCCCTTTGCCTGTTTTCGGACCGCCTACCACGAGGCTTCGATTGCGCAGTTAGGTGTTGCTGTTGCCCTGGCATCCACCTGCAGGGCGCTACGCACTTCGTTCCCTTCCCCGGCATTCCAATTGCATGCCGCGCACATAGCCAACAACAACACTCGTTTGTCGCCGACCGCCGCCCTTTCTAGGACCACTATAGCAACTACAGGACACGATCATTAACACCTTTGCCGCATACGCTCTTTAACCATGTCGGCGCCACTGTCCCCTCGAGGGGAGAATCCGCCTCACCTGCGCCTCAACTCAGGCTCGCATGACATAATAACTGACGATAACTCGGCGCGACCTACCACCGCACGAACCACCTCGGCGCGATCACTGACGACATCCCGACCCGGCACGGCATCAAACCCTGGCCTGCGATCAGCGACAAATGTGCCGAACATCTATTCCAATGTCGGCTTGGCCGACTCTGGGGACTTGTTGCTCCCACCGCAAAAGTCCAAGCTGAAGGCTTTCCGAGACGAGTCGCCGCTGGGCTCACCGTCAGGCATGTCCTCGCGGCGCACAAGTTGGGACTCTGACATGTCGTCGAGAGGGCCCTTTGCCTCGCCATTCGATGATTCGAGAGCACCATCGCGGGCGGGCAGTGAGGAGGACCTCAACACACAGACCGTATCAGAGAAGTTCAACATCCACCCTTCGGCAGGGTTGCTGCTGTTCCCAGAAGACGTCGAGGCGGACGATGCGCTGCACAACCCTGAGCCGGGCGAGAAGGAAACGCGCGACTGCGACATCTTCACAAAAAGAGGAATGATGAATCTGGGAGGTCTTGGAATCATGATGCTTGGCCTGCTCTTCCTGTTCATTGGCTACCCCATCCTGTACGTTCGCATTCAGCGCCGGCGCGTGATTTACGACTACTGACAGAGCTGCAGTACTTTCGTTGATAAGTTGACGCAGAAGGAAGTAGGTCCTTGCACGAACAACCCGCTGTGTATCAAGGGCAAAGAGAGCGAACCGCTACTAACAAACCTGCGACACGGCCTAATCGATCCAGATACGCCGCAATCCGCCATGACACGCAAGTCGTACGATGGCTCAACGCAGAACCTAGTTTTCTCCGACGAATTCAACACCGATGGACGTACTTTCTACGATGGCGATGACCCGTATTTCCAGGCTGTCGACATCTGGTATGGCGCGACGCAGGATTTGGAGGTATGCGACACACGAGAAGATTTGTGATTTAGTGCTGACTTGTAGTAGTGGTATGACCCCGATGCGGCTTACACGGAAAACGGCACACTCAACTTGAAGTTCGATCTTTTCAAGAACCACGGTCTTAACTACCGATCAGGCATGATTCAATCTTGGAACAAGCTGTGCTACAAGGGTGGTCATCTGGAGGCCAGTATTTCGTTGCCTGGAAAGGGCGACGTCAGTGGTTTCTGGCCCGGTTTCTGGACCATGGGCAACTTGGCTCGCCCTGGTTACCTGGGTTCGACTGAAGGATTATGGCCATACAGCTACCATGACGAGTGCGATATCGGTATCACTCCAAACCAGAGTTCGTATGATGGTCTCAGCTACCTGCCGGGTATGAGGCTCCCAGCCTGCACTTGCAAGGGCGAAGACCACCCCACTCCTGGCAAATCTCGCAGCGCCCCTGAGATCGATGCTCTGGAAGGCTCAGTGCACTTCCTAGGACCCGGCGAGAGCAACGCTGTAGGCGTGGTATCTCAGTCTTTCCAAGCCGCGCCTTTCGACACCTGGTATATGCCAGACTATGGTAAGCATCAGGCAATTAAGCTACTGGAGTCGACTAACACCGAACAGAGCAGATGGAGGTCTACGACAACACAATCACCATGATGAACGCATACAAGGGTGGACCCTATCAGCAGGCCATCTCAGGTCTAACCAACTTGAATACCGACTGGTACGACGGCAAGCAATACCAGAAGTACGCCTTTGAGTACAAGACAGGTGGCAAGGGTTTCATCACCTGGTACGTGGGTGATGACAAGACCTGGACCATGAAAGCACCGGCTACACGCCCCACCGGCAACATTGGTACTCGAGTCATTCCAGAGGAACCGTTGACTATCATTGCCAACTTTGGCATGTCCAACAGTTTCGCAGCTATCGATTTCGCCCAAATCGCGGCCATGCTCCCCGCCGTCATGCGCATCGACTACATCCGCATTTACCAGGCAGAGGGTGAAGAGAACATCACTTGTGATCCTGAAGGATACGAGACCACCGACTACATCAGGAAGCACCCCGATGCTTACCAGAACCCCAATCACACAGACTGGTATGTATCTCTACTATTAAATCCACACTGTGCTTGTGCTAATGAATGAGCAGGAAATCGACTGGTTATTCTTGGCCAGAGAACTCTTTCATGTCCGACTGCAAGGCATAAGCCATTCGGACGCTTTTCGACGCCTTTCTTTCTTTCTAGATCACAGAGGACTGCCGGATGGTCCTTTAGTGCGATCCATCTTCGTGGGCGGTCACATTTGCTTACGATGAACGACAATACCCCATACCGACCCCCGCAACGCACGTAATTATAGACGTTTCCTTCTTCGACTTGTACGGCATTTTCCTGGCGGCATTTCTCGCAAGACGCATTTGCATTCGGATCCGACAGCTAGCTTATTGCGACTTCGGATCTTGCGGCTGGCCACCCGGCCTAAGAATCCGCAGGTGTCGAGCTCCAAAATGCAACATTTCGACTGTCCGTTGAGGCTGGAGTTCTCAACACTTCACCTCAAGCCGCGCCGCCGGCGCCGCTTACTGTTAATCTGAATCTTCGCTTGAGCATCAACATCTTTGCATTTTGCAGCCTCGGCTCGTACAAATCATGGCATATATGGCGCTTTTGTATAGCATGGCAGCCCTTACTTGATTGCATTTGCATCACTGTACAAACCCTTGGGCATTTACCGCATCTGGCCTCTGGGGCTGGACACCCCGGTTTACCTCAGCATTTCCTGTGCGCTCGTTGTTTTCTTTCCCACTCGTTTCTTGGTGTTTGTCTAGACAAAACGCTGTCTTGGAGTTTGCGCCGGGGTAAATCACGAAGATCCGAATTACTACCACATTGACGGGCGTTTTTTGTAATATTGAGCGGCGACAGAAGGAGATCGCAGCTCGGGGACGAGAGATTGAATAGGGAAGAGTGGTTAAACCCCAATATCTGAAAACATGTTCAAACAGAGTACTTCAATGTCTTGCTCCATGTGATTTTCGCATCCTCAAAGTGCAAAGTATCCTGCCTTGGGTTACGTCTACAGGTCGAGCATGGACAAACTCACTTCATGAGCATGTCCTCCAGCATAAGACGCCTCGTCCTGCTCGCAGCGATGCAAGTGCAGCCGCAGACGTCGAGCCAAGCCATCAAAGTGGACTCAGTGGCTCCACACGACCGCACTGCCGTCCTCGACGTCGATGTTGTAAACCACATGACTCGGCCGCAGGATTGCAATGTGGCAGCTGTCGAGTTCGCAACGTTCGCTCTCCGCGTCTCTGCATCCGGGTGGCGAAGTGCAGTCCTTTGATAGACATACATCTTAAAAACACGTTCTTCTGGTGTAGACCTCGTTCTTGCATACGATAGCGTTCGTTCTCGTATAGACGTCGTTCTGATACGGATCTGCGCGCTGCGCTCGTGCCGCTTGCTGTCTTGAACGTACGTGTATACGCAATCCCGGCTGCGGAACGGCTTGCTCACTCCCCGCCGTGCTTTGTCAGTGGGGACGACACGGATTCTGGGCTGATGTCTAAGGTGAATTATTTATTCATGCTATGTGGCTCTGCAGGGGGTACAGTGCTAGATAGTGTAGGATTCACTACAACTAAATAGTAAACCTGAACGTCGGATCATCATTGATAACCCTCTCGCCACGGTCTGCCTGCGCATTGCACCTCCTAAAGTACAGCGTCAGCACGCCCGTAGTCAGAATAACGAGCACATTGCACGCCATACACGCCGCGAAACCGGGGACGTAGGACGGCGCATCCGCGGTCCTGAAAATCAGCGCGCCAGCCACGCCGCCAATGCCGCCCAGGCCCGTCAGCGTCGCAGAGCAGAACGCGCGCCGCCACTGGCCGCGGATGTTGTTGGCCTGGTACGCCATGATGGCCGGGATCGCGCTGTTGGTGCCGCTGACTGTGATGAAGACGCCGACGTACTGGCCCCACGGGTTCTCGACGAAGCCCATGATGGGCAGCCCGATTAATGAGATCAGGCACAGGAAGCAGACGACGGGGCCCCGGGTCTTGTATTTGTCGCTGAACCACGCCGCGCCGTACATCATGAAGCCGCTGGCTGCGTAGGGGGGCGCGCCCATACATTGCGCCATGGCAACGCTGAATTTGAGCTTTGTGCTGAGGATGATTGGGAGGAAAAATGCGAAACCATATGCGATGGTGGTTACACAGAAAAATATGAAGGCGAAGCCGTAAATGTACCATTGTGTGGCTGGTGCGAGGAACCTCTTCCAGGAGAACGCCTCAGGTGTGGCGTCGCCGCGGTCGGCGTTGAGTTTGTCGATGACAAGGTCGATGTCGCCCGGTTTCTTCAGGAAGCCCCACGAGGGCTTGATTCTCTCCTGGTCGGGGAATTTGACAATGAAGACGAAGGCAAAGAGGGCGACACCACACGTGATCACGCCTTCCATGATGAAGATCCTGGACAAGGTCAGTGTCGGTATGAAGTTTGAAGGGTTGGGGCAAAGCGTACCACCGCCATCCACGGATACCGTTCACGCCTTCCATCTGCTGTAGTCCATAGGCTAGAATGCCGGAGAGGGCTGATGCAATGCTACCGATGAAGTAGAAAACGCTGTACCGCTTCCCGATCTCGACTGTTCGATGTTATCATCTGATCTCTGATGGAATGGAACAACCTACACTTTGTATACCAGCAGCTAAGCAAAAAAACACATCCTGGGAAGTATCCGCTCTCAAGTAGGCCTAGCACTAGGCGTAAGGGAACCAAGCTTGGCCAGTTGTTCGTGAAGCCGAAGCCAACTATAACAGCTCCCCAGGCAAGACAGATACCTATAGAATGTCAGACAAGCTTCATTCACGTGCGGGTCGATACGTGCCTGGCAAAAAGAAACGCGGCCCGAGTTTCCTACATAGGATGACCATGAAGGGCTGGCAAAGGACGTAGGTGATGAAGAAGCACAGGTTGACCAGATTGTACCCCATGCCTCTGTTCATCTTCAGGTCCACCAGCATACCGGCAATGGCAGCGTTAGAGACGTTCTTGCGGTCCATCAAAGAGATGCCATACATGGCGCCCAGGGCGGGGATGAGTCTCCAGTCGATGGCATGCCGCAGACGAGCCGAGACCTTTGGGTCGATGGTAAATGGTGCGTCACTCTGGGACGACGACGATGGTGTTGCGAACCCCTTCTCGTTCTCAACGTTCTCGAGATGTGTGCCCCCCTGGTTCTTGAAAGCGATCTCCTTCACCATGATGTTGGCTGAGGTCACAAGCTAGATTGGGTGTTCAGATACAAGGAGTGGTAGCGGATAACCCTGGGGACGATCAGTTATACATGCATTGCTCCTGATTCTGGAGAAGGAATTCCGCCCATTTACCGACATCTGCCATGAAATACAAGACCCACGCTTGGCTCAGCCCATCGCGAGGGAGGCGAGGCATCAGTGGTAGTTCATACGGGCTTGCGCTGCAGTGAAACGCCACGTAGTCATATTTCCACGATACAGAATCAACCAAACACAGTAATGCTCGGCTACATGTACGTGGGGTGCATGTCATACCCACAATGTTGAACGTTGGAAGTCGATGTCATGGGTAAACTTTGCGGGGAAGTGGTCTTGGAGTCTTGGACGTTGTCTTGGGCCGCGGCAATTGCAAGCGAGCATCGTTACTTTAAATCGATGAGGAAGGTGCAATCATTCGAAGGCGGCGGTAGTCGCGGTACCAAGAACTCTAGTCGAACTTGGCTGCTTGTCATTGATATTTACTAGAGTTGCCGCTGCGGAAAAGTAAGAGGAAAGGCTGCGGCCGACTGCCGTGCTGTAGCCGATCGACGCCCCGCCACCCGACTATCGGATCTGACAGCAGCTCACTTTTGCCTGACGTTTGACTTCGCCTCCTTGATCAAAGTTGGTTCCAGTACAGAAGCATTCCCGAGGCAGACCGAGGAGCGCACATCGGCGTAGACGCCGTGTTGTCAAGGTCATCTCTCCTGGAAAGCGTCTGACCAAACCAGCATATCATTTGTTGAACCTACGAGTTAGGCATTGGCAAGATGATGGTCTACTGATTTGAGTTCAATGATGAACACTTTCATGCACACTCAGTGACCCGCTTCTGGTTCCCCAGTCTCATTTTTCCCGCCATATACACCACCGTCTAGAATCCACTGCTCGTTGTCATCATTGTCGTCTTGAACCCTTCTCCAGGTTTGTTTCTTCTCGGCTTGTTTGTCTTTGCCTTTGTTTTCGATCGTAATTGTGGGGCGGATCAGGGCGCCGAGAAGTGGGTTCCTGCTGAAAGCACCGCTTCCCTTCGATATAGCACCAGTCTCGTAATGCTGTGTAGGCCCAGATGGCTCATCTTCGCTCTCGGGTGTCTTTGGTCGCTCTGCGGCAGCCATGCGCTTCACGATCCTCCCCCCTGCTAGATCAATACTTGCAACAACCTTCCGCTTCTCGTATTCGGGCTGTGCATTCCATTCTTGTTCTCTCAGGGCTTTTTGTTGACGCTTGAGTTGCATCGCACGTTCCTGTGGAGATGCCCACATGCTCAGGCCAGCAGTGGTTGTTTCGAAATCAGCTGCTTCGTCATGAACTTGTGTTCGCTTCGCGTTCTGTGCTTGAAAAGCCAAGAGCTTGTCGCGGTGCTGCTTAGCCTTCGCCAGCTTCTCGTTCTCGGAGTCGATGTCGGAGTTCGGCGCAGACGATTTCGGTGTTGAGAACGGCCGAGGGGCATGTGCAACCTCTGCGCGCTTTTGACCTGCATTGTTCGCAGCCATCTTTTCCTTTCCTCGCTCTTCACGTAGAATACGAATCATTGATTGAGTCTCGTCGGCGCTGAGCAGCGGCGTGTTGCAGAATGTGCATGGTCCGATACCCTCTTTCACGCAGATGACTTTGCCACAGTTTAGACAATTTGGTGCTGCCCCAAGAAGCGGATGTCGCGTAGCCATGCAGTTGCACTTCCGTTTACTGCTGTCTTGGGCAGATAATGAAGGATTTGTCTGGATCTCAAGGGTTCTGATCGCACTCTCAAGGTCACTCAGTGCTGTAGATGCGCCATGCATGGGAGTACCTCCAGCCACGGTGATCTTTGCTTTCGGTTTCGGCGATGAGTTTCGAGTAGATTTGACCTCAGAGATAAGCTGGCCTGCGGCTGATGGTGGGAGTCTATTTGCCTGAGGTGCCGGTGAGACTCCGCGTGATTTTGGCGTCGCCGTTCCAGACGATGTAGCCGTTGGCAACTGCAGAGCGTCCGGCTTTTGTGACAACCCGAAGGCATTTGACTTTGGAGCTTTTTGTCTCGAAGCCCCAGCCATGTAGTCGTCCTCATCTTTCTTCATGTATGCACCCGCTAGATTGCCTGCATCGTCAACCCGTCGCGCCGGTAACGGCTTGCCCAGGCCAGCCTGTTTCTTCTTTCGCGGCTTGGGCTTAGGCACTTCAGAGGAATTTGAAGACGCAGGCTGTGCTGTCGCAGCCGGCCCGTTCGGTCTCCTCCTGTTGTTAAAGGATGTGATAAATTCCAGCGCCTGAGGGCTGTCACCTAGCATGTTCTGCAGGTGATCCGCCGCTTCTCTGTTTGGTAACGATTCGGTGTAGGAGATGATCTGCCCCAAGGAATCGTTGTCCAGAGGAAGCAGCTTCGAGAGCTGCGGAAGCGCCCATTCTGCGAGACTCATCTTTGCAACCGCGTGGTGATGTTGTTTGTGAGAAAAGGCGAGTCAAACGGTAGTGACGATGTCATCACGCGCTAGTGACGCCACAGCTGTGGCTGCCTCATCTGTGCGCAACTTTTGAAGGGCAGCGAGCCGGCCAACATTGTACTCCACCCGCATATTCTCTTGCCCCCCAGACGCCATGGCTACTGAAGTCGCACTCGAAACCACTGTCGTATGTCTCGAAATTGTACAAAAACAACGATCGCTGACGTTTCTAGGGCCTCATCACCGTCGAACTCTACAATGACCATGCGCCCAAGACGTGCAAGAACTTCGCTACACTTGCCCAGCGCAACTACTTCAACGACTTAATATTCCATCGTATCATACCAAACTTCATGATTCAGGGTGGTGACCCTACCGGTACTGGTCGCGGCGGCGAGTCGATCTACGGCGAGAAGTTCGAGGACGAGATTTCCTCGGCTCTGAAGCACACTGGCGCTGGCATTCTCAGTATGGCCAACTCCGGCCCCAACACCAACGGATCGCAATTCTTCATTACGCTGGCGCCGACGCCTTGGTTGGACGGCAAGCACACGATCTTTGGGCGCGTCAAGAGTGGCATGCAGGCGGTCAAGAAGCTCGGGCTTGTTAGAACAGACCGCGAAGACAAGCCGGTGGAGGAAGTTAAGATATTGAAGGCATACATCATCAAGGAGTAGAGTTGAAGAGACGGCTACATGCTATTTGCAATATATTGCAAGAATAGAACGATACCCAACGGTGAGAACATGTTCCAAATTGACACACTTGAAGTGAGTTTTCAAGCTGCTTGCTATATACAATTGCTAAAGCTAATCAGTTCAGTGGCCCATTGGGGTGTATTAGCACCTTCGTGTACCCGTCGATCCGTTGGTCAAACTTCTGGTACGCTTCCGGCGCGTTATCGATCTCGATCTCATGTGAAACGACGAAGCTTGGCTTTGCCTTGCCAGAGATGATCATGTCACGTAAATACCTGTTGTAAGCCTTGACGTTGCACTGTCCCGTGCCTAGCGAAAGTCCCTAGCAACGTCAGCACCTAGGCATTGGACTACGCTTTCGACCTTGCCTTCTCGAAAAGCTTTCCGAACGAAATCAGAATCTGTCCCTTCTTGCTCTGCTCGTCTGGCGCACCTGGGTCCGCTGGCACGTACAGCCCTGGAATGCCCAGACCTCCTGTTGGTCTTCGAACTGCGTCAGTCTGGATCGGTCATTGTGAGGCCAGGGCTTACCTAGTTACCATGATCAACTGATCAAGAACGATGTTCGGCTTCTCTTTTGATCCGGAGGAGTCGACAGCCTGGTAGCCCACAGCATCAACTGCCCTGTCAACCATACCTCCGTTGGCTTTTGTGATCTGCTCAACGGGATCGCTTTTCCTGAAGTCGATGGGTATACAGCCGATCTTTTCTGCGGCCTTCAGTCGCTCGGGCACGGTATCGACAACAAATACCCTGCTGGCCCCACGCAAGACGCCGCTATATGCTGCCATGAGACCGACAGGACCAGCTCCGAACACCGCAACGCTTTCGCCACTCTTGAACCCAGAGAGGACCAAGCCATGCCAGCCTGTGGGAAAGATGTCTGCCAACAAGATGAAGTCGGCCTCGTGCTCTGTACCCTTCGGCAACTTGAGCGCATTGAAATCTGCGAATGGTACCCGGACATACTGCGCTTGACCGCCCTGATAAGGTCCCATAGCGACGTACCCGTATGCTGCGCCGGCGAATCCAGGGTTGACTCTGTGCAATCGTCAGCTTCTACCACAAACATATCCTCTCACATCCTGTGCTCACCCTGTGCAGAAAGCCGTCTTCCCCTCCTCGCAGTTCTGGCACCTTCCATCTGCAACGTTGAACGGCATGACTATGCGGTCGCCTTTCTCTAGTAGAGTCACGCCTGCTCCAGCTTCGACTACGACTCCCATGTTCTCGTGGCCGAAAACTAGCCCAGACTCCGCCGCAGTCCGACCTTGGTACATGTGCAAGTCTGATCCGCAGATAGCCGCAGTTGTCACCTTAACAATCACGTCATCCGGATGCTCGATCTTTGGTATTCCAACTTCCTTAACAGAGACCTTGAATGGCCCCTCGTAATGTACTGCCTTCATTTTGTCGCCAGCCATATTCGTTGAGTTCTCCGATGTACCTTCCGCCGGTACCTGCCCTGGGTCGTGATCGGGATCTAGGAGGGGAATGATATTTCCGGTGTCTTGCGGAGCGCGCGCCATGAGGGGTACTGGTCTGTTATATCCCGTGTCTAACAGGGTCGAACTGGTGGTGCAATGCAAAGGTCTTGTGGAATGCAAGTCCTGGATGGAGACAAAAAGTCCCTACTTCGGATTTTATACATGCTCCAAGCTCCACAAGTGAACGTCATTGTTGTGAGGGGTGCTGGAGGGGCACTTGCGGATGCTGGCGATCCACTGTGGGGTAGTCTGTTTCCAAGCCGCAGCCGGAGCTAGGAACCGCTCGACCGTCGCTCCGCAGACCTCCCTTTGGCTGGACGAGCATTCAAGAGCCTTGCACTGCGCGGAAATGTGTATGATTTCAAGATGCTCGCCTATCTTGTATGTAGCCGTGAGCCATCATACTAATACCCACCAACGCGATTTGTATTATCAGAGGCCACCCCGCACAACAGCTAGGAGGTCTTCAGCCAATCTTGAGGCACATCTCGGTTGAGGTAAATTGTAACATAACCTTCAACTGTGGTTCTTCAAGTCCGCAACCATGGGTTCTCTCACTCGAAGCTGTCTATGGGGCCGGACTGAAATCTCCTAAGACGGTCTATGCCACCATTCCCCGCTCTCAGAGGTTGTCCCGCCATTCGTCATGGATGTCTTTGAGGATGAGACTATGCCACAGGAATGGCAAGCAGCAAGAGTAGAGCGAACAAAGATAGGCAAAGAAAATAAATGCATTCGAAAAGCGACGGTCGAGGCTGGAGAGACGAGGGCGAAGTATGCATTGACAGACAAGGGTAAAGAGGTGCGCAGAGGGGCAGTGAAGAAATGCAAGGGTTCAGATAAGGAAAAGAGCGAATGAAGGCACGGGGAAAGACAGATATAGGTAAAGCGCATCATCAGAGGGCGGTGGCAGCAGCTTATGAGGAGTATGGGGTGGGTGGTTCAGCGCGGGACCAATACTGCGAAGAATTTCCAACGAACTTCACGACCAAGCGGACATACAGCTTGAACCGCCACAAAAAGATATGCCCAGCCCACATGTAAGGGCAGAGGAGTACGGAGGAAAAGCTAACTGGGACAACTAAGAAATAACATTGCCACGACACAAAATCGTACATACCACCGCAACTCTAACCGCTGACTCTAACACATATATGTAAACCAGCGCTTTTACCTTTCCGCAGCCCAAGGAACCCCTCACGCAACCTCGCACTCAACTAACACATCACAGAGTCCCGCCCGACAGTCGAAATCTCGGCTTAGAATTGGCCCTAAGCATTCGATAGCTATCCTGTCACCAAAGCATTCTTTGCGGAGCCTGAATTCAGAATGAAGGCCAAAGCTCTACGTGCTGCTGTTGTGGCAGCGACACTCACCCACATAACCTCGGCGGCACCCCAGGCCAGTGAATCGAAGCTGCAGGCTCGCCAAAGCATCAAATTCGATCTTGTCGACTCCACTACAGACCCGACTGTGCAGCCTGAAGACACCTCGTACTTCGACCCTGCAGCTCAACAAGAAAGCAGGATGTTTGTTGGTAGACAGTCAGGGAGTGTCTTTAATTCAATGACAATGACATATTCAGATCTCATCTAAGTTACATTCATGACTGGCACTGTCACTACCCCATTCTTCCATAATGTGCCACAAAAGACCAAGGTCTGCATAAACAGACCATACCTTACTCTGCGCCTGCATGAGCTTCTAGAATCTGCACAGTATGTTTCCAGATCGCCTCCTGCGCACCCGACCCCTGCAGTTCATTGAGTAGCGTATCCGGCTGAAGAAACACCAGCTTATCGTCGACACAGAAAAGCGCGCCTTTGCTCCCATGTTCTACAGTCTCAGCACTCTGCCTTCCGTTCTGCACCGCAACACCCTCGCCACCGTACTCTGCGCTCGTGGCCAGATACAGACTGCGCTCACCCGCTTCCTCAGGCGTATACTTCGCGAAGTTCCTCGCAGGCATCGGGGAGGGAGAAGCAGGGTCGAATTTGCCGGCCCAGCTCTTCATGAACAGATCGGTGCTGACTACGCCCGGATGTGCGTGGATGAAGACAATCCCGCTGTTGTCCTTGTCCTCGGCGATGCGCTTCAGCGTCACGGTCACAAAAGTGGCGGCATGTCTGGCGTAGGCAGGCACACTGAAGTTTCCGGGATCGTTGAGGCCCAGGTCGTTGAGAAGCAGATCGGTCGACTCCTGTCCGGCAGCCAGAATGTTCACAACGCGCGCAGGCTTTGTTGCGCTGGCTCGGCGCAGCTGGGGAAGGAGCCGCAGGGTGAAGGCTATGTGGCTGTAGTACGATACTACGAGGGAGGTCTCGAGGCCTTCAGATGTCGCTGTGATAATCTTCAGCTTGCTGGGCTTGTAGTTACCAAGACGCGGCACTCACCTTGAGGTCCCGTGAACGGCAGATAGCCAGATGACATGAAGAGCAGATCCACGCTGTCTTCCTGGGCGGCAATCAGGCTAGCAAGGCGCTGTGCTTCAGCCACTAGCGATATCTGACCTTCGAGGAAGACGATTGTTGCGAAGGGGTTGGATTTGGTGAGATCTTCCAGCATGGGTCGGTGTGAGGCTTCGTTGCGGCCCACCACGTAGATCTTGATTGGAGACCTCTTGAGAACAAGAGCTTTCAGCGTAGCTTTGCCAATACCATCGGTAGCTCCCACGAATACAGCTATCTTTGGCACATCTTTCGACTCGATAAGTGCGTTTGAGGCAAGAATTGGCTGGAGGAATGCCATGATGGTGATTTAGCTAGTGCAATGTGTAAGAAGCGTAGAACTGTCTGTTGTAGATTGCCTGTGGCCAACGCGGTCCAAGCCCATATTATCTTCACACATGGACGCACTTCGCGTTTACTTGTCGGAGATACCAACGAGGGATTATAAAGCTCCCCGAGCTAGCGATGGCTGAGGACCGGTGGCATGGTGTCACGGACGAAAGTTGCGACCGCTCCAAGAAGCACACAGATATTAACATCGGTGTACTTGACAAATGTAGACTCGAGCTGAATGACAAAGCATGAGAGATTTGCAATCATCCGGATCTTCTCCAGTGCTCCAGCATCGTGGGCAGAGCGCACTTTGGGCGTCTGGAACCTGTTATGCAGGTCCTAGCCCTAGACGCCGACAAGAAGACTCTCAGCCGACATGCGATTGTAACAGACAGTGACAAATCACCAAGCAAAAGCTGGATCAAGAAATGGCGGTGTCAGAGCCTGGACTCAAGCTTCATGTAACCCTGAGGTACTGAGTTTCTATTCCGTTTCCATAAAGCTGCCGTCTGGTAAGTACGATTCTGATCAGACACGATCAACCGTTCTTCTAAGCCTACAAATACGCTACAAAATCCGTTCACCCAGTCAACATGTCCTCTGAAGTCGATCTGGTCCACTACATCACCGTGACGCGCGAAATCGACGCTCCCATCGGCGAAGTCTGGGGCCTGGTAGCCGGCTTCGGAGCAGAGAAAGCATGGTATCCGGACGCAAAATCCGTGTCTCTGACAGGATTCGGCGTGGGCAGCATCCGCACTTTCCACTTTGCATATCCCGCCGGCCCGAACAAGGGCGAAGAGTACATCTTCTCGGAAGATCAAGAGCTTACAGAGTGCGACGCGCCAAACTACTCCTTGACCTTCCGCGTCCGTCGCCCGGACTACCCCGACATGGTCGCTTTCGGGACCACCGCCCTGACCTCGCTCGCGCCTGGCAAGACCCGCTTCGATTGGCATGCTAAAGGTTCGCGTCTGCCCGATGAGTACGCCGACGTCCTGAAGACGGACCTGCATGGGCGTTTCAATGGCCTCATCACCGCTATGGCCAAGCAGCTCGTCTAGAACAAGGAAGAGCATAGTTTGGAAAGCTTGTGGTCGTTGGACGGGTTACGGGGAGAAGAAGATGGAAAGGGGGAGACGAAGACGGTTGTAAATGCAATACCAGCATTACCAATCCTAGACCTATCTCTATTGCTAAGCGTCTCGTCATTCATGTCATTCATGTAAAAGAGGACGTGTATATTGGACTAGATTGACACCTGAAGCACCAATGGGAAGGCTTCATTGAACGATGGTGGACACTCCGGAACGCTAGCCCTCTCCAGCTAGCGTTCCGTCGGCATTATATCAACACCGAGACACTCACAATGCTTTCGACATCCCTCAGAGAGAGCTTAGCAATCGTACTCATGGACTGATCGAGCCAGTAGGGCCGATGTGTGACACTTGCAAAATCGAGCTCCGGCGATCGTCCTTTCAACAGCATAACAGTCTGAGACATTTATACATTTGCCGCACTCTGGACAAAGACAAGCCTCTATGCCGTGATTCCGCAGCTGCCCACCGTCGAAAACACAGCCCAATAGTCTGTTTCGGGAGAATGTATCAGAGTATTGCGGACATATCGAGCCATTTGAATTCCGCTGTCGATCATGTACGCGAGGATCTGCAGGATCCATTCTCGCACACGGGCATCCGTTGTAGTTTGCGCCGCGACGTAGAGCGGTGTGAGAACACCATGACATTGCAGTCTCTGTAGCGGAGATGGAGGGACCGTATTTCCTGGGTTTGTTGTCTGCAGCAGGAACTGCGGCACGGACGCGCAGATGTCCCGTGCGAGTCGTGCAACCTCTTGTGGGGTGTAGTTGGGCACGCTTGTCTCTCGAATGATAGCGCTCATGACCAGACGTTGGATGCGGAAGGCGTTGAAGACCTGGGTCGAGTAGTGATCGGGATAGCGGTCGTAGTAGCCGCCAAGCACCAACGGGCTGTCACTCTTCACCACTTGCGGCCTCCAGGAGCCAGGTATGCTGCTCTCAACAAGTGCAAGTTGCATATCCAACTCTTCCGCTCGCAGCACGATAGCTTCTGGGCTAAGCATTGCCTCTCTTATGTCGGCATGCAGGTTGATGCTTGCCGATAGCAGGCCCATGTACGTCAACTTTGGACTCTGCACATGAGAGGCCAAGTCACTATGAAGCTCCGTCAACGCTTCAGGCACACGAATGCCAGCAGCCCCGCAGCTTATTGTCAGCGCGATCACAATTCTACTTGCTAGGTGACGGGTGCTAGGGTCAGAAAACTGGGTTTGTGGGCGGGCCTTGACCATGGCCAAGGCACCGGAAGCGTGGCTCAGCCATGAGCTCGAAGACCTAGGCGCAGTGTTGCGGTGATGATGTCTGTCAAGCTTCTCGTAGAGATCGAGAAGGAGCACGGACTGGAGGAATGCATTACTAATGGGGGACATGTTGCAATCTGTGTTGTGCAGCCGCAGTATCTCTGTCCGGAGGCTTCGAATAGCCACCAGGTATCGACGGTTTGCTTGAACGGCCAGTTCTGGACGACCTTCTTGGTACGCCATGAAAGCCAGGCTCACGGCATCAACACTGGCGCGCAGGTATCCAGAGGTGGGGGAGGTAGCCAAAAGAGGTGCCAGAGCGTCGAACCCATGCGAGTAGCGATCGATATACAGAGACAAGAAGGCATCTCGAGACAACGCATCACAGTCAGAATGCGGATTGGATAGCAACGTGACCGAGCTCTGGCGCGCCAAGACTTTATTAGCCACACTCCACGTTTCGTCGCGGAAGGCCAATTCATTCAGGTTGCGGTAGCCATGGCAGGCCAGCTTCGCTCTGCGACATTGTGAGCAGCCCAGGGGATCGAGATTGCACTGCATAACGCTCAAAATGTTAATTGTTTTCCGCTGGAGACTCAGCTGCTCGTACGGGAAGCCTTACCCTGAGTTTCCTTTTTCTGCATGGCAAACAGTCTTTCGAGGGACGGCCGTAATTGACCATTGCCTTTATTAGCTAGCGACCGTATCATCTGATCGAAACGTGAGGTTCTCGACCCTGATCATGTGAAGTCGTGAAAGAACCAGGTTGGCCCAAAAGACGCGATGCCAGTCTGCATCGGCAGGAAAGGACCGAGTACCTACAGGCGTTGATGTAGGTTTTGTGCTAAAAGCAACCTGTGAAATTACCAAAGATGTGGTGGTTTGGAAGTGGCTTGCGTTAGAAAGGGGAAGCGCGGGAGATGTGGATCATTTCCTAACTCGGACTGACTCGATTGGATCACACGGTCGCTACTTCTTTCCTTTTTCGTCACTAACCAGACGACCGCCCAGCACTGGGACCATCAAGTGCACCCTGTGTTCAATACTCTATACCTTCGCGTAAGTCGATTTCAGCCTCGTGCTAGAAAGATCGGTCGTGGCGCATCTTGAGTGAGCTGCACCTCGCGTGCTCCGAGAAGCTTTACGAAGCGTCGCGCCGCAGTACAGTATGGTAGGGGTAAGTATTCAACGCTCCACAGCCTGTGCTTAGCGACAGTACCTGAATTGCACATTTGTATGTATCTTACAGATATCATTGGCCGAGATCTGATTTGTTACAGGTTCAAGTCTCCTCGTTGAATTGTGACAACAGCACAGACTGTGGAGCGTTGAATACTTACCCCTACCATACTGTACTGCGGCGCGAAGCCTCGTAAAGCTTCTCGGAGTACAGAGCCACGCTGCTCCGCAACAATGGAGTACATAAGTGAGGCCCTTCCCTCTTGATGATCGACACAGCAACCTTGCCTGAGCATCACGCACCTTTGAGCTCGCTTGAGTCTCGTCCTTTCTTTACATCGTTCTGCATTTAGTCACTCATTAGCAAGATCATCTCGATCAGCATGGTCACTTTCTCTTTCGCCGCGTCTGCGTTGGCTGTTGCAGTCACTGTGCGTGGAGCTGCTCTGCCGCAAACCGCCCCACTAGGCGATGCTCCATCCTGCCTTGACAAAGCTCAAGGCACGACTTTCCAATGGCCGACGAACACTGAAGATGCGTCCAGTATCTTCCAGATCACGTGTGGCACGGATTACTGGGGCGGTGATCTTCGCTCGCTCCAGAGCGACACTTTCCAAGGCTGCTTGGCTGCCTGCAAGAGTGATGCCGAGTGTGTTTCGGTCGCGTATGGGGGCACTTCGTGCTATCTCAAGAACAAGTTGACTACTGGGCAATCCAATAGCGGCGTTTGGTCGGCGAAGAAGATGGTCATAAACAAGGGCCTCACATGTGACGCAGACGGTTCCAGCGATGGCAAGACGTACACTTCGTCCAAGGGCGACTTCAAGATAGTCTGCGGCAAGGACTACGTCGGCAACGACCTGCCCTCAACCAGCACCAAGACCTTCGAAGCTTGCATCGAGACCTGTGCTACGACTGATCGATGCGTCGACGTCTCGTAAGTGACCACATCTGTTCGCACCAATGACACTAACTCAAGCGCGCAGCTATGTTGGAAACACCTGCTATCTCAAACATACAGTCGTCACCGCCAGTGATTCTGCGCAAGTCTGGACTGCTGTCCGCGTTAACGCCCAGCCCTTCGTCTACGGTCTTACCTGCGATAACAACAAGGATGACAAGAAAACCTACAGCGCCAAGACCGGGGGATCATACACCATCCAGTGCGGCGTTGACTACTGGGGCGGCGACCTCTCGTCAGTGCAAACCGCCACATTCGAGGCCTGCATGGACACTTGCGATGCCACGACTGGCTGCCTCGACGTCTCCTACTCCTCCGGCACTTGCTACATGAAAAGCGTACTCAACACCGCAATGACCGCGTCCTGGGTCTGGACCGGCCGCAAGGTCGTCAAGCCGGCCGAGATCCCCCTCGACCTCACCAACACACAAATCTTCAGCAACAGCCGCCCAGCCGACACCCACATCACCAAGGAAACCAACCTGTTCTCGCAAACCATGACCGGCAACGACAACAGCTTCGCCATCTCCACCATGCTCTGGTTCCCGACAGTCCCGTACACCGTGTACGAGATCTCCTTCGAATACTACCAAGAAGCCGGGCGCGCGCAGGTCTCTTTCATCGAAGTCGGCGACTCCCTGGGCTACCTCGCCACGCTGGCATGGTACCAGACGGCGCAGGGCACAAAAGTGCTGGGCGGCCCCGAGTACGGAAACGCCATCTCGCGGCGCCCGGCTGGGAGCCAAGTCAACACGTGCTGGAACAACAAGATCGAGCCCAAGGTAGCTCCTGCGAGCGGCACCTGGCAGACGGGCACAGTGCTCTTGTATTCGAGGACTGCGCAGGGGTATTTCCGCCGCGATCAGGGTGGTCTGGGTACCCAGTCGTGGCGGAACGTGTACGTGCGACAGAAGACTGACGATTACTGCGGCATTACGCAGTAGGCATCGCGCTTGGAGAGGTTGGACGCGTTGACGGGCAGGGTGGAGTGTTGTGGGTAGAAATTATAATCTAATAACTTTTATAACGTAAATATAATAGGTGTCTATCAGCTTACTGCTGCTGTAGCTGTAAAGATTAATACAAAGATGTAAAAGCCTTGTATCAGTGCTTGTTATAATATGTGCTGCCCACCCCCTATCTTGGTACAGTATACCGTCACACTCACAGTCACAGGTCAGGTACCCACGCGTCCTAATTCGCTGAACAGCTATAGAATGTGTGTGTAGGATGCAAGAGAGGACTAGACTCTCCATATAATAGTAGTGCGGGCACCTGTAAGGGGTGAGAGAGACCAGACTTCTCTATACAGTACACCCACGGTACTACTCTAAGCCATACAGTCTCTACCTAGGTACTAGCTACCTACCTAGACAGCCACTCACAGAGGTGACAGAAGTCCTAACACTGTAAACCAATACTCCTAAAAGTAAATAGTCGTTACAACGTCGCAGACCTAGGCTAGGCAAAAATACGTAGAAGCACGCCCGCCTATAGGTAGTCTACCCAGGTAGCACTTTTACGTACAGTATGCACAAGACCTTCTAGCAGCGGGGCTTCCCGCATTGTGTATAGTGTACTCAAACAGGAGTAGTCTTTACATTTCGGCCAGTGTTATATAATATACTAACCAAGTCTCCCAAGACGCATACCACTCTTCCCCCCGTCCATCCCTACTTCCTCGCGCCCTAATTCTCCACACCTCCACGACATTACAATACCCAGAGACTACGACCAACTGACCCGACTATCGTAAACCAACCAGCCAAAAAAAAGGGAACACAGTACCCGCGTGAATTACTCAAATCCCCAGCCTTCTCCAAGCCGCTGCTACTCCTCAAACACCCCAGTCCCTTGACTTTGTTCCGGAACAGCGTCGGGCGAGACACCCGAGTCGAGCGGAGATTAACCTCCTGCAGGTGTGCGAGTGCAGGTGTGCTCGCGCAGGTTAACAAGCAACAGCACGATCCCGTGGAGTCGCTCGTTCTCTGCGACCATGGTAGTGTCGTAGGGGTTGGGGAGGGTTGGGGAGGGAGTTGCTGCAGCAAGATGTACGAGAGGCCGTGGTAGACGGGCCTAGGGGGTCTAAGAGTATATAAAGACGGACACTAGCACTTGTTGTTCATCATATCACACCTATCCCGTATTCCGTCCCTCCGTTTCTCGAGCCACGCTCCTCTCTACCTAAGCCACCTTACCTTAGGTATCGATATACGACCCGATGTCTGCATTACAGTTTTACGACAAACGCAACGCAGGCACCAAAGGCCGCCAACAAAGCCCTCCTACAGTACCTACGGTTCCGAGTTCCCAACCCCACAGCATCCTTGCGTGTACACAGTACACGCGCACCAGCAACCCACACCCCCAGCCCGCGTCGCCACCCCCCTATAGCTAGGTCGTGCGCGTACGGAGAATACTCAATCCTGCCTGTGCTGGACATGTAGACCTGCCACCGCGCTCTACACCCAGACGCTTCGGTTGGCCACAGAGGAGGTATCGTAGCTACGGGGTACCAACGGGGCCGCGTCAGAACCGAGTCAGAGCCGCGTGTGAAGCAGTCATGATCAGCGACAGACCGGCGTGAGTTCGTGCGAGCTCATCTCAGCTCAGCTCCGAGTCGGATGCGGAGTCGGCGTCAGAACCGAGTCCGAGGGTATACAATCTATCTAATTAGGTACGTATACACTTGCAAGATCCGAGCCTCCATGCTCGATTCGCACAGCATCTACTACATACCTAAGCTTAATGCTACTGTAGCCGTAACGATACAGATTGATATGAAGACGTAGAGATGTGGAAGCCTTGCACTAACGAAGTTTCCAAAGACGAATGCTACTCTCCCACCTCGTTTATTTCTTCTTCCACGAGCGGTGGTTCGCGGTGGGCATAGGTATACTACCCCGTAGCCGATTTATCGTATAAGTTATACCCAGTATACAAACATCTCTTACAAACTCTCTGAGTATACAACACAGCCGAGGACTGCGACATGTAGATTTGCCTTTGTATTTGCCTTTGACTTTGAATTTGAATTTGAATTTGGATGTAGATGTAAACGGAGACGTAAGAGTAGACGTAGCTACAGACCACGGGTATTCCAAGCGAAACTGTAGACAGATACAAGGCGCGCGATCGTATCGTATCGTATCGTATCGTACACACGGGCGGCGGTGCTTTGACCGCGCCGCACAAACACCCACAAACACCCCCGCACCCCCAAGCTTTTAAATCACCCCGTCATAAACAGTACCTCTAAGCAACCCCCCCCTCAACCAAAACATCCCCCAACCCCAGCCCCGCCAGCCCGCCCACCGGCAGTCCGCCTCCGCGCCTGGGCCCCACAAACCCCTGCCGCTGCCGCCCCGTGCGCCCGCGCCCGAGCCAATTGTACTTCAACTCCTTCCCGAGCCTGACACTGCGCTCCTGGCGCTCATCCCCGCTCTGCAGCGACACGAGGACGCTGACGCACTGCAGCATTCTGCCGACTGTTTCTGTGACTTTCGCGGAGTCCATGGCAGCGGGGGCGGACGCGTGGGCGTGTGCGGGGGCGGAGGCGGAGGAGGGCGTGAAGGAGCCCGCGCTCGCGGCGGAGGTAGCGCGGGAGCGCGCGGGCAGGGCGTCGTGCGCGGGGGGGTCCGGGCCGGGATTCAGCGTGTCGAGTGCGAGGCGGGAGAAGACCGCCATCAGCGCGTCGTAGCGGGGCAGAATCACCGCGTCGCGGAACGCAAGCAGCGTGATACGTCTTACATCCAATTCGCCGAGCAACGGGACGTTCTTGTGTGTGGGTGACCGGCTGGACATTTCGTCGGGCAGCACGACGCCCCAGAACTCGCTGGCCTGGGTGCTGGACATGATTCCCGTGCCGCGGAACTCGAGGTCGAGCGGTAAGAAGACGGCTTGCAGGAAGGGCAGGATGGAGGTGAAGACGACGAGCCAGATCTCGACGAGCGGCGGGATCAGGCGCTCGTCTGGGATGTGGCGCAGGGTCTGGTCGAGCGAGGAGAAGCCGGTGGCGAGCAGCTCGTTGAGGTCCTCGATGAGCAGGATGGGCGAGCGCTTCTGGATGCAGCGCTTGACGTGGACGGAGACGAGGGCGTTGAAGTCCTCGACGGGGGGCCGGGGGTCCTCGCCCTCGAAGATCTGGAGCACGCGGGCTTTGAGCAGCGGCCAGGCGTCGTCGGGCGAGAGCCCGTTGATGCCGAACGACGAGCCCAGGTTCAGCATCTCGGCGGTGTGCGGGATCGAGGTGCCCGAGGCCGAGGCGCCGGGGGTGTTGCTCAGACTGCTGGCGAGGGATGGCCACTCGGAGCGGTCGGTGCTGAACGAGGGGCGCTGGGTGTAGCTGGGGTCGAGGTTGTCGCCGAGGTATGCCGCGGCTTTGGCGTTCTTCTTGGCCTCGCGCAGCCCACGGCCGGCGTGGCGCAGGTCGAGCCCGGTCACGGAGCTCGGGAACGAGCTGCCCGGCAGCGGCGACGACGGGGCGAAGTTGTACAGCGACTCGGGGGCGTTGGGATTCGTCGGCCGCGAGGTGCTGTTCACCGACGACAACGGCAGTGCATGGTCGTCCTTGTCTTTCAGCTTCGCCTTTGTCCGCGACAGGAAGTGGTGCTTGTGCTTCTCCTTCTCGCTCTTGGGGACCAGGGTCGAGGTGGAGACGTTGGCCGACGAGTACAGCGACGCGGCGCTGCTGGTGGCGGGCGACTCCAGCAAACTAGTCGTCGACGGGTTCATGACGCGGTTGAGGGCGTGCGAGCTGTGGATGCCGATGCCGATCTTGCCGGGCGACGGCAGCGGCTGGTGCTTCTTGTCGAGCGGCTTCTCGTCCGTCTTGGGCTTGGACGAGAACAGCTTCATCTTGCTCTTCTCCTTGGGGGCCTTCTGCAGCACCAGCTCGGGGGTGGCGGCGGCCAGGCGCGGCGAGGCCTGGACGGAGGCGGGCGGCGGGTCCGCGTAGCCCGGCGACATCAGCGGGCTGGTGGGGAAGGCCTGGGTGGCGGCCGAGGCGGCGGCGCGCGGCAGCCCCTGGGTGTAGGTCATGCCGTTGGTGCGGAAGGTCATGGGCAGCGGCGGCGGGCTCTGCGGGGTTGCGCGGGCGGGGGCCGGGTCGGCGGGGGCGGGGATGGTGGTGGAGCGCTTGCGCATGTGGGCGCTCTGCTGGTAGGCGGCCTGGGCGGCCAGCTGGCTCGCGCTCAGCAGCGGCGGCGGCGAGGCGAGGGCGTCGGGGCGCATGGACGACAGGCTGGGCTCGAAGTAGCCCTGCGAGCGCTGGCGCGGGCGGTGGCCCAGGTGGCGGTCGATCAGCGACGTCTGGCTCTGGGCGTGGGCCATGGCCGGGCGCGAGTAGTTGGGCGCGGGCTCGCCGGGCGACTGCAGCGCGCGCGGGTGGCGCGGCGAGCGGCGCGGCGGCTGCGACTGCGAGTCCGAGTCGTACTCGTCGAGCGACGGGCGCTGGCCGGGCGTCTGCGGGGGGGGCGACGTGGGCTGCATGGTGTCGTTACCACGGGGCGGCGCTCACGTTGGGGTGGTATTCGGGTGGTCGGGGTGGTTGACGCGCTCACGTCGTTGCAGTCATGGCCAGCACGACAAATCAGCAGTGGGCAGTCTCGCAGCCTCACACCATGGCTGCCGTGGAGTCGGAGTCGGAGTCGTGTCGTCGTGAGGCGCGGGCGACGTCCGAGGGCGATCCATGCATGCGGCTGAAAGCCGCTGAACTAAGCCCTGCGACCCCACCAAACCAGCGCCAGCGCCAGCACCAACACCACCAGCACCATCATCCCCCACCGTCACCGTCACCCTCCCTCCACCATCTTCCCCACCACCATGACATCCCTCACCGCCACCGCCACCTACGCCTCCCCCCACACGACCCACACCCTCTCCGCCCCCCTCCCGCCCACCCCCTCCTCAACCGCGTCCCGCGTCGCCTACCTCGGCGCCATGCACACCGCGCTCAAGACGCTGCAGGCCGACACCAACGCCCTGCTGACGCAGAAGATGGCCGACGACGCAGCGGGTGCGAGGGACGACAAGGAGGAGGCCAACTATGGGGAGGAGGTTGTGGAGGAGGATTGAGTGCGAGGAGTGAAGGCGGGGTTAGAGGGGCGCGTGGGCGAGGAGCTTGGGGGGGGCTTTGGGCGAGGCGCTGGGCGAGGCACTGTGCAGATGATTGAGTTTGCGGAGTTTAATGTGTGGAGGGGCGAGTGGGAGATAGGATAGGACAGGACAGGAGAGCTCAGTACGCCAGCCCCACCACCGCCGTGTTCCCCCAGCACCTCCTGCCCGTCACGAGCAAAGAAGCTTAGAACCGCATCGGATATCACGTCCACCTAGAACGCCCCTCCACACGCCAGCACTGCACACGGCGAAACCCCATGACTGGAAGAGAGTCATAACGTCATATCGGTCTATCCACCGCCTGCACTACAATACACGCACCACTACACGCTCCAGCACGCCGGGTATATACACTCCCCCCCTCACAAACCTAAAAATCTACAAAAAGCGAAAAAAAAAACCCCCCCCCCAACGCTTCCGTCCTATCTACACCGCATAATTCTCCGCATGCAAAAACACCTCCCCGACCCCCCCACCCCTCCAAACGCCCCTCTGCAACCCGACCACGGCCCGCGCAACACCCTCCCGCATCCCCGGCGGCCCGCACACGAACACACACGCGCGGTTCCCGAACCCCTTGCCCAACCCCTTCAGTAGGAAAGCGATGTCGGGGCGTCCGTACTCGGTGCTCCAGCCGTCCTTTTTTTTCGCCGCGGGGAGGAAGGCGAAGCGCATTAGGTTCTTTTGGAATTCGGTGGGCGTCGAGGGGAAGCCGAAGTCGAAGCCGGAGACGGGGGCGGAGGGGTCGGTGGACAGGTCGGGGGCGAGGGCGGAGGGGTGGGCGCGTAGGGCCGTGGTGATGTCGAGGGAGAGGTTGCGCTGCGGGCGGCGCGGGGCGGGGGCGATGTCGTCTGGGTCTGCGGCGCTGTGGGCGCTGTGGTACGAGGCGCGTGGCGGCGCGAGGTGGCGCAGGTGCGCCTGCGGGAGCGCGGAGACGTGGTCTTCGTTCTCGGCGCGCAGGGCGAATTCCTTCTCGGGGTCGCCCTGGGCCTCGTCGCGGATGAGCGCGGAGTGGCGCTTGGACGAGATGGCGCTTATCCCGGACAGGCGGTGGTCGGCGATGTTCTGGAACGCGTCGTTGACTTTATCGTGGAAGAACATGGAGACCGGGCGCGTGGGCGTTTTGGCGCTGACCAGGCCGCCGCCGACGACGCGCTTGGCCGCGGTGATGTAGAACTGGCACTCGACTGTCTCCGGGGGCGCGAATTCGCGGCAGATGCGCAGTTCTTCTTTGAACCACTCCATGGTTTCCGGGCGCTTCATGGCCCAGATGACGTGGATTTTGCGCGTGGCGGCTTTGCCGTCGCGCATCTTCTTGACTAGCAGGAGCAGCTGCGAGATGATGGCCGTGATGCCACTGCCTCCAGCAATGAGAACAACGTCGTCGAACGCCTCGATGCGGCGCTGCATGCCGCCGTACGGGCCGTCCACGAATGCGCGGTATGTGTGCCACGGACCGTGGGTCAGCGCGCTCTCGACAACCTTCTTCGTGAAGCCGCCGAATGGCCTAAACACAAGAACCATGTCCCTGTACCCCTCGCCGTACTCGGACGGGAAGTCGTCGTCGCACAGCGACGCGATGGTGAAGGGGTGGTTCTCGAACACGGAAATCCCCGGCATGCGGAGGTACACATATTGCCCGGGCCTCCACTTGGTCTGCGTGGGGATCGTGATCTTGACCGCGTTCTCTGGCATGAGCGTCACGGCAGCCTCGTCGCCGATCAGCCACGACATGCGGAACGGGTTGGTCCAGTTCAGGTAGAACAGCCGCATGGCGTACGACAGCAGCCAGATGGCGAGCGTCGAGAAGAGGTAGTTCCAGGAGGTGAGGTAGTTGTTGCAGTGCCAGAACATCATGCCCAGGAAGACCATAGACACAGGCACGTGGAGCGTGACAAACAGCTCGTACATGCGGTGTCGGAGAGGAGCGATGGAGTGTGTGCACAGAAAGCAGAGCGGTGCGAGAGCAGCGATACCTTAAAAATTAGCTTGCATCTCGTGCATGATAGACCGACTCACCAGTTCCGTAGGCGTAGAAGCCCTCCTGCGCAAAGAAGCTCTCGAACACCTTCCGGGCCCCCTTCTCCCAGATCGGAGTGACGTAAAACGGCACCGTGTGCAGGATGCTCAACACAAGACACAAGTACGCGGCCCACCTGTGCAGCACATTCAACCGCTCGTGGCTGATGCCCGTCAACATGGTGATCAGGTTCGCCTTCATCGCCAGCGCCACGATCCACGGCATCAGGGCCACCGCCATCATGCCCGAGCGAATCGCAAGCGGCGGCGACCCGTACGCAATGCTGCTCCAGAACAGCGGCTGGGGGACACAACTATACAATATCCCCACCGCAAACGCGAGAAACACGACAACAATAACGCTCAGCGAGGGAAACACCAACGGCCTCCAGCCCTTGCGGATGGTAAACTGCGGCACGGGGCGGTAGAAGACGAAACGGAACAGGGCCACCAGGTTGTTGATCGGCCCTACAGACGACACGCTCGACTGGGTCTTGGGCCCACTCGGCAACGGGCCTTCGCGAGGGAAGAACTTCATAGTAGACTTGTCAGTATAGAGCACCGACATTTCGTAGTCTGTGTCGGGGGAGGACGTCGCGGAGGACTGCAGTACCTCTTCTTGGTGGAGTGCGGTCCGGATCTTGTCCGTGAACAGGTGGTAGTAGCGCATCAGCGCCGTGATGACCAGCAGCGGGATGCAGAAGTAGACGTATGCGAGCGCGTATTTGCCGCTCTTCTTCCAGGGGTCCACCGTGTTGGCTTCGATCAGCCCCGGCGGGCTGGTGCTGTTGAAGGGAATGTTTATCCGTCGCACGAGCGAGGCGACCATGTCGGCCACCTGGTGGGTTCCAAACTGTGCCAGCCCGTGGCCCAGCACGGCCTCTGATATCGCGGGCATGTTGGCGTGGTGCGTGGTAAAAGCTCGTGGAACCTGCTGCCAGCAAAGCTGGGTCACAGAAGAATTTGGCCAGATCCAGTGGAGAGTCCAGCAGACGGCGGTCGGGACAGCGAGTGCTTATGAGAAACCGACGACTCGTTTCTACATGGGTACGGGTGTGGAGTAGCGTCCGTTGTGTTCATGCGGTGCTGGGGCACGGCAGCGCGAACCAGACTCGTCGTCTGTGCTACCGGTTGATACGTGCGTGGCGTCCGTGGTGCAGTGCGGCCTTCATCTGTGACCGTGTACCGACGAGAGATGGTTACCAGATTGAGCAGCACGACGCAGAAACCGAAAACCGTTTTCTGACAACAGCGATCAGACGCGTGCGTCAGCCGGCCTTATGTGACCGTGGGTTCGTGCTGAGTGGAGAAAGCGTCACACGCCGAGTTCAGACGTCCGTATCGTGGCAGCAAATAGCGGATCTTACTCAACCGCTCGCGAGCCCGCGCTATTGGGCCAAGGTGTGATAGCGATATCTAACAGGGGTACCAAAGAGAGACGGACGTAGTGAGGCACTATCACGCTCGCGGACCGCACTGGCGATTCATACCTCAAATGCCCGTCGAGCGTATGCATCATGCGTGATGGCCGCTGTGACTGGCTGGAGGGCCGTGGATCCGGCCAATGGGGCTAGAACGGACGCCAGGGCAGTGCGACGAGAGGTAGACTCCTAAGCGGTGGCGTTCGGCTGCAGCGGGACGACAACCTCGATCCGTGCCCGCTCTCTGCTGCGCTGTCCACGCAAGGGGCGGCGATTGAGACAGCACACTGCGAGCTTGTTCGTTGCGCATCCGTCGCACGCCACGATCAATCGCTCAGCAATCACATTCTACGCAGAGTCTTCAAGCCGTCGCAGCGATGGCGGTCTGGGCGAGAAGGCGACTCAGACGGATCAGCCACCTCGTGGGCGCGCAGTCGAATCACAGCCGTTAGATGCACGTTGCCTTGGGCTCAGGGCCGCGCTGCGGAGCCCCCAAATGGGCCGCCTCCGGTTCGCATGACTTGACGGCAGGCGAATTGGAGAATTGGGATCGCAGGCACTGGCTGGAGTGCAGATGCATGCATGGGAGCAGACATGTGGAGCGGGGTGCTGGCCGTTCGAGTGGCTGACAATGGCCGTGTAAGCGCCCACTATCCGACTCGAGACTAGCCTGCAATCAAGCTTTGGCTGGCCCGCTGATGTGCGCTCGTAGGCTGAGAGCTTCCATCAATCTCCTGTCGCTGCGATTCGGATCCGGGAGCCGACGCTCGTCGATTCCAACTGGAGATCACAACTTGGTCGACGGCTCACCCGTCCCGTGCACGGAAAGGCACGAAGCGACGGCGCAGCAATGCACTTGCGAAGAGTGGACAGCAGGTGCAGATGGAGCTGTCCGTCGACTGCTGTCACTTGCATTCGTCCGCTATGAATGGTCCCGCACCGCACGACGCTCCCCATCGGCCCACCAGCGTGCGCTCGATGCCATCACACCGCATTGCCCCACCACAACGCCGCTTTTGACATGTTTCTTCACATTAGCACCTAGAATTCCCCTTCTGGGCCATATCTCAGGCGCCCAGCGACCGCTTTCGAGACCGCAGTCCTGTAAGCGCCAGCCCTACATATGTAGTACATCACGTGCGCCCCACGACACCCACATGGCTCCAGGACCCTGGATCAGGCACGGTCTGGCTGCTGGACTGTACGCGCTCGACGGCCTGGTGGCTGCTACTCTGATTGCATGTGCCGACGAGCTGAGTGCCGGACTACATCCTTGTGGACGGGCACGTCGCAATAGGTAAGTCGAGCGGTTGGGTAATGTGTACCTGCAGGAGACGGCGTTGCGGTGGAGATGTATTGGAGACATGGTTGTCGTCGAGTATTTGGATACAGACAACAGCGAATATGATTCGCCAAGTTCAGCTTTGAGCTTGATGATTCTTTCCTTCACCATTGCCAGGATATCCGGCTTGCACTTAGTAGCTGCGATCGACGTCCTCACCAAATAAGATCTCGTTGGCCTCTTCTGTGTCGAACCATTCCTCTCCAAGACCGAGGGCATCCACCACTTTCATTGGCAATGCGAGTCCCTTTGGCTCACCAAGGAACCCGATTCGCGACGCCATCTGCACTCCTGGAGGGCCCGCTGTGGCCAAGAGTAGGATCAGCTCTTTGAGTATGCTTTTTTTCTCACGCTCCTCACCATAGCCTGTTCACATGTCAGTGGATAACCTCTGGGTTCCGTGGCGCCCGTTCACTTACCAAGGGCACCATAGGCGAGGTGAATCTCGTAGACGAAGTTGCGGCCAAGCTTCTGAAAGGCATTTTGGACTCGCCAAAGGTGCAGGGACGAAACCTCGTGGACAGGCACGCCAGTCCAATCGAAGTCGATGCTTTCCAGTAGAAGCACGTCGTCTTCCGTTTTCTCTGCGGGCAGCGTACCGCACAAGGCTTTCTCGACACCGTCGTAGCTAGACATACTTTTGCTGCTCATGCTGATGGTCAGATGAACAATATTTTAGGGCAATATGCTGCGCATTGCAGAGTATTGCCAATCACCTGCAGGTTCCCAGTCGCCCTCGCTCGTTTGTAAGCTTGCTCGAGACCCCATCAGAACATGCCAAGGGACGTGGAGGGATTTCAGAGCGACGAGTGTTTGGAATCCTTCAACACGTTCATACTCCCAGGCCCGCTGTGTCAGAAATCTGCTCAGAGGATTGAGGTTTAGATATATCAGTGTTTCCCCGTGTTGCGGTAAACCGTCCAAGATAGCACTATACAATGTTCTCTCCTGCCCGTTATGTATAAGCTCTTCACTGTATGAGTGGGTACAAGTGAAGGATTCGAGGGCTTTGCAACAGTCGATCATCTTGCGAACGATATGGGCAGGAACATTGAGGAACGGAAGGCGGAGTTGCCGTACACCAGACGTCGCTTTCGCTTCTGGCCAGATCAAAGTACGCGTCCAATCTTGACGCGAATGTCTTCCCACGCCCCACAGGCACACGGAGCGAAGGCCTGGTAGGGAGAAGAGGTGGATCAGGTATGGACCCCACCGACCAGTCAGAGCGAGGTCCAAAGAACGCAGTTGCCGAAACCAGCCGTTGTAATGTGGGCTGGTCGGGACGTTTTGAGCTGCCACGACAATGGGAACCAGCCATAAAGGTGGACCGCCGTCCCAGCGACGATTCCGAAGTTCCTCCATGGTCAGATTCGCCCTCAGCGATTCCAAGTTCGGTGCTCGAGAAAGCAATCGCCAGAGCTCAACTTCTCCTGCATACATCTCTCTACTTCTTAATTGCTCAAAAAAGCTCGATGCATTGGCCTCACTCCAGGCACGGTACTCTTCTAGTCGCTCTTTTGTAGGGAGATACTTGGTTTCGTCGCGAGTGATGTCTGTTGCGTAGATGACAACATGCTTCAAGCGTTGGAGAGCATGATCGGCGTTTACAGGATCGATGAGAGGGATGATTGGACGGTGGATTGAAGCTTCATACCCATGGTACAGTAGCGGCACAGCGATATCATGTAGAAAGCGGCATGTTCGTGCGACAAAGGCAATGGTGCGAAGCCAGTGTCGGAAGTCCCATCTATGCTTCTTATGCTCCTCGTACTCCTCATCCTCATCATCTTCATCATCTTCATCATCTTCATCATCTTCATCATCTTCATCATCTTCATCATCTTCATCATCTTCATCATCTTCATCATCTTCATCATCTTCATCATCTTCATCATCCTCCTCATCCTCATCCTCCTCACTCTCCTCATCCTCCTCACTCTCCTCATCCTCCTCATCCTCCTCATCCTCCTCATCCTCCTCAAGGAGAGTGCCTTCGTCAAGTCGGTGGATGGGCTCGAGGTGATGTAGGATCTGACAAACGAGCTCGACTGGGATCGAAGTGAGGGATGGCATTGCAGCGGTGTCTGTTCAGTGCTGGTGAGAGCAGCTGACAGCACCACGGTCTCGAGGTAAGTACTTATTCTTGTTGAGTTGTGTAACCCCAAGGAAGGCACGCTATGTCTAACAGGTGATGGTGGGCTGTAGGTTCATCAAAATAAGGCAGCTACGTCTCTGCTTGACAGGCTCTCAAGTTTCACAAAAGCAATGGCGGACAAGCGACCTTCAAGCTGGCCAACTTCGATACAGAAATCGTAGCTATCGTAATACCTAAAGCTAAGATTTAGTTAAGCATCGTCTATGTTGTAGGCAAGAAAGTACTCTATAGGGTTTTTGTGTGTTCTCTCTACGTTACCTACTGTCGCGTAGTAGAATATCTGGCTCATGTCCTTATGTAGTCCGCCATTTATCTTGCAATCTGAGAGACAGGCACTTGTGGCGTGTTGATGGTAGCACAACATGCACACGAAATGAGGCGGTTCAGTGGATTCTTCTACGCTATGCCGCGCCTACAGATACGGGCTCCTTAAACGAGCCAACAATGGGCCAACGACGGGCCAACAATGGGCCAACAATGGGACAACAGTGGGCCAACAATGGGCCTAACAAAAAGCAAGTGCAAAAATGGGCGTCTCTCCAGAAATGTGTCTTCGTTGATTAAAATGATACGGCGTCCGGTCAGACTGGCTCTCTTTGCCGCTGCGCGCGTCTGGGGTATGTCGGACTACACTACAAGGCGGCGGCCGTCTAGGCGGTGACGCTGGCGCGCGAGTGGGCCGAGTGCGGTCGCTCTGCAGCAGTTAGCGTGACAGCGGGGGGGGGGGGGGGGGGGGTGTCACGGGTAGCATACCCGGGATGTCCATGGTCTGCGGGTGTCTGGCGGCCAGCGGGCTGTTTGCAGCAGCCGTGGCAGGCTGCGAGTCTTTTGGCTTGAGCGGCGAGCCGGTTGCTTGGCTGAGGCGCTCCTCGGCCTCGCGCAGCCGCCTCTGCAGGGCCTCGAGCTCCTGTGCTTGTGTGTTGACGGCCTGCTTCCTGCGACGGTTAGCGGGGCGTTGGGCGGCAGGGGCGGCAACATGCTTCTCGTGGATGGTCTTGTCCAGGGTGTCGAGGCTGTTGTCGAGGTTGAACAGCGTGTCGAGCTCGTCCATGAAGTTGAGGGCCACGGTGCTGCAGGTGTCAGAACGGGCGGGGGCAGCGCTAGCGGGGGATCCTACGACTGAGGGCGGTTGCTGGGCTTCCAGCCGGCGTCAGGGTCCTGCGCGGTCTGGCGCTGCACGGAGGCCTGGTTCTGCATGGTGAGACGTGGAGCGGGCTTGGGCGGATTGGGAAGTGAGGCGGCGCGGGCGATGGCGGAGGCACGGATGAGAGACAAACAGGACGGCGTCGAGCAGCGGGTTATATGTTTGCAAGCGGGCTGAGGGCTGTGGGATGTTTCAAAGGGTGGGACAGCAGCAGGGCATGAAGAGGCGTCCTGTCATGGAACGGAAACGGGCTGGTGATTACGAAGTAACGTGCGAAAGGGGGCGGCCAAAGCGCGCTGCTCCGCACTGATCGCCGCAGTGGAGCTGGGGAGCAACCACCGGGAGATGGCAGGAGCATGGCGTCGGCGCGCGACACGGTGAGAGCATTATTGCGCTTGTGATGCGGAGGGATGGGGCTTGCAGCGGTCCGCAACGGCAATGCGTTGTGCTAGCACCCATTCCGCTTAATCGAGCGCTTCTCAGTCCCGCCTCACGCTCGACGCGTCTGCACGCCGATTGGCAGACCCGCTAGCGGCCACTGCACGCACAGCCAACACCACGCAAAGCCAACACCTCACAGTCGCCGCCGCACCGCCATCGCCGTCGCCCTCACCACCACCCATCGCGCACGTGACGCCTCTTCCGCCCCGCCGCCGCGCTGGCTCCCATTCCGCCCGCCCGCTCGCCGCGCGCCCCCGCCGTGCACCAGTCGCGGGGCATGCCGGCCAGCGTCTCGGCCTACACCACGCTCGAGTCGCTGCTCGTGTTCCAGTGCCTCAAGAACTATGGCGTGACCCCGGCCGCCTTCAGCCGCACGTCGGAGCTGCTGCAGGCCAACCCGGACGTCACCGCCCACAAGTTCTTCCAGCGCGGCCGCCTGAGCCCCGACGCCCTGCGCAGCTTCTACCTGGAGCGCCTGCGCCGCGAGATCGAGCTCGAGCTGGAGCCGCCGCCCGACAGTCCGCATGGCGACAACCCGCGCAAGCGCAAGGCCGCCGCGCCCGTGCTGCCCAGCGTGCAGGAGTCGCTGCAGTACAAGCACCTGATGCCGCGCCTGGTCGAGAAGCTGTACGCCACCTACCGCCGCGAGCTCGTCGACCAGATCCGCGCCGAGGAGGCCCGCTTCGAGCGTCTGCAGCGCGAGGTCGGGGACATTGAGCGCGGCGACTGGGACGAGCAGCTGCGCGACCGCGCCCGCGCACAGCCGTCGGAGCGCAGCCCCAGCGTGCCCAAGAAGTCGCCCCGCGTCGCCCAGAGCCCGTTGCCCGCGTCCGCGCCCGCGAAGGGTCCTGACGGCCAGGACGCCCCGTCGCCAGCCGTGCCCAAGACGTCGCCCCGGAAGAAGAAGGACCGCCCGACGCCGCGTGCAGCCCAGCCCATTGCTGCGTCGCCCGGTCCGCCGAGCCAGGCCCCGCCGCCCTTCCAGCCGCCCCCGCCAAACGCCGCGTACAACGGCCCGCCGTACCCTGCGCTCTCGCCCTTCCCGCCCGGCCAGCAGCCGCTGCAGCCCAGCCCGCAGCAGACCCATGCGCGTCCACACCCCCAGTCGCCCGTAGGCCCGCAGTACCAGCCCCAGATACAGCCCTATGGAGCCAACGGCGTGCCCCCGTATGGCCCGCCAGGTCCCCCGCCGTTCTCTCCCAGCCAGCGCTTTGCCCAGCCAGTGCCAGGGCCGCATTCGCCGAGCGTGCACCCGCCGCAGCAGAAGGGCTTCTTCCCACATCCTGCCCCTCCACAGCACGCAAGCCAGCCACCCCCGCCCCAGGCCGGCTTCATGCTGCCACCGTTCCAGGTCTCGCCTCAGGATCCCTCCCGCGTCCACCACCCTCCCCCGTCGACGCCGCAGTATCCACAGGTCTCCACGCCCATCAACAAGCGGTCGGCCTCTCAGCATCAGCACACCCCTGGCGCCAAACCTGGTGCGCCCACGCATCCGCTCGTCACTCAAGCTCGACAGCCGCTCTCAACTCCTCTCAGCAACCGATCGCCGCAGAGCGCCTTGAGCACGCCGCAGTCAGCGAAGAGTCTTTGGAAGCCACGCCTTCTCGCCACTCCTGCGGTCGCAGCCGGAACACCACGTCCTGTGCCGGAGCCTCTTGACGACGTTCCGCCGATGCCCGCCTCGAAACCAAGCCCGACCAAGACCAAAGTGCAACGGAAACCGCGAGGAAGAGGCAAGGCGAAGGAGAAGGAGACAGAAAAGACAGAGGAGAAGACCGCGCTGGACGTGGACGTGCAACCAGAAACACCACTACCGACTGGTTCATTGGAAGTACCGGCGCCTGACTCTGCAACGCGGCAAGGCCGGTCACGACGCACAGCAACTGCAAAGCGCGGGAGACCCGGCAGCGTCGCTTCTTCGCGAGCAGGCGGCTCGGTTCGAGGTCGCAGCAGGAGTCGATCCGTCCTATCTCACACAGAGACAATAGCCGACACCGACTCCCAAGCCGGCCACAAAATCAAGACCGAGCGCCGAGGCTCCCTGACCGACGGCATGGACGAGGAGCCCATCAACACGCCCTCGCAAATGACCACACGGCGCCGCGGCGCCGCCCCTGCAACCACCCACTCCGCACGTCGCAAACGCACCGCCCGCGAAGCCTCCCTCGCCGAGTCCGACGACCCCGGCACCCCCAGCCCGAACCGTACCGTCGTCGCCTACCGCAACTTCCACCGCATCTGCCAGACCATCCTCGACGAGATCACCTCGCACAAACACGCCTCCATCTTCGCCCACGCCGTCAAGCTCAAAGACGCAGAGGGCTACTACGACCTGATCAAGCGCCCCACCGACCTCTCCACAATCAAAAAAGCCCTCTCCACAGGCGCCAAACACGTCACCGCCAGCGCCTCCGACACCCCGCTCGGCAGCCCCGGCGGGCCCGGCGCCACCGTCGAGCTCCCCCTCGCCCCGGACCTCGTCCCGCCCCGCGCCATTGTCAACCCCGCTCAGCTCGAGAAAGAACTCATGCGCATGTTTGTGAACGCGATGATGTTCAACCCGGGCGATGCAGGTGTCGTCGAGGACGCGAGCGAGATGTTCGAGTCCGTGCAGCGCAGCGTGAGTACCTGGCGCAACGTGCATGGGCGCGGGGGCGGGCGCGATGGCGGGGAGGGGACGCCGGTGGACGGCGAGGAGGAGGTGGGGAGTAAGCGGCGGAAGGTGTAGGGTTTTGTGGTCTGCCGGAGACGGGAAGGGAGGCGGTTAGCGGGTTAATGAGATGACGATTCACGGATTTGCTGCGAGTGAGTGTGGGTGCTCACTGGCATGCTGCTTTGGCTATCTTCGCTGCATAGTCGCTCATCGCCATGCCCGCGCCAGAGCTTGTGCAAATGCGGAGTTGGCTTGCGTCTCGAGTATAGACACGACAGTAATCAAAACCACTTCACACCCCCACCGCACCCGGGCATTTCCCACATACCACCCACAGTGCTCACCCAAGCCAGTGATCGATATCGCACGCCACTCATCACACGGCACCTCACTCCCCGTCTCGCGCCTGACAAGCTGCCACAACGGAGAAAAGGCCCAGGTTTGATGTCTACGGTGTGTAGCTAGTAAGTACGTGTTTCCATTGACGCGGGTATCCAACCCCCAGAGCATACGTCTGGATTACTACAGCACGCGTCCGTGTTATTACAGCACCGAGCCCAAGCCCAAGACCATCCTGCGCCGTGTATGGCCCATGTACACCGGGTATACCGCTCCCTCCTGCGCTCCCTCTCTCCCTCTCTTCTTCTCGCTTACATCACCCTGCAGCTCCGTTCCGCCCTGCAGTTCGCTTCCGCCCTGCAGTTCGCTTCCGCCCTGCAGTTCGCTTCCGCTCACATCACACTACAGTTCTCCTCCTGCTGCTTCTGGTTACTGCGACTGTGCCTTTCGCGCTTCATCTGGGCCTTTGACCCGCCGCGCTTGAGTTCCTCGAGGCGCTCCTGCGCTTTGGGGAACTTGTATGCTGGGGACACGGGTTAGCAGGTACTACACACAAGAGTGGGATAGTTAATTGGGACTCACCAGCAGCGCGCCCGTACCAGCGCTTCGCCTCCTCCAAACTCTTCGGACACCCGATGCCAACCTCGGTGAAGTAGCCCATGGCGAACAGCGCCTTGGGCAGCGGCGGCTCGGCGCACGCGGCCTTGCGCGCCCACAGATACGCCTCTGTGTCGGACTGCTGCAGCACGGCGTCGATACCCGTGAGGTACCAACCCGACAGGGCGAGCTCGGACTGGTGCTCCTCCTGCGCGGCGGCCTTGGTGTACCAGGCGATGCTCTTGCGCGGGTCGACGGGGCAGCCGAGCAGCCCGTACTCGAACGCCTGGCCGAGGCGGAACTGGGAGAATTTGTAGCCGAGGTCGGCGGCCTGCATGAAGAGCTGCAGCGCGTAGGCTTCGTCGGGGATCAGGCGCTCGTTGCCGGACGCGGGCTGTTCGTAGATGAGGGCGAGTTCGTGGAGGGCGTGCGGGTTGTCGCGGTCGGCTTGGTTGGCGGCGCGCTGGAGCATGTTGATGGCTTCGCCTTGGTTTTTGGGCTGCCCGAGCAGGCCCTTGAGCAGGATCATGCCCATTTTGTAGAGCGCGGGGGTGTCGCCCAGGGCCGCGGAGCGCCGGTACCATTGCACGGCTTTCAGCGGGTCGCGCTTTGTGCCGCCGCCTTCTTCGTGGCCCATTTCGCAGCAGACGGCTGTGCGGTACGCGCTTGCAGCGTGGCCTGCTTTTGCAGCGCCCTGGTACAGCGTGAAGGCTTCTTTGGTGTCGACCTGCAGCCCAAGTTGCCCCTGGCCGTAGCAGTCCGCAAGGTAGAACATAGCATCGCCGTACTGATGTTGAGCAAGCTTCTTGACGATCTTGTGGGCCTCGAGCACGAACTTCTCCTTGTTCTTGTCGCGTGTACGCTTGTCTGCGGTGCCATTCTCGTCTGCTAGCACGCTTGCAGCCTCCACCAGCTTTTTCGCGAGTAACAGACCTGTAGCATCATCTGTGGGTTTGTCTTTCCAAGTTCTGCGGAGGCGGTTGAGTTCGTCAAATGTGACAGGATGCGGTACCGAGCTACGTCGTTGACCCGCAGATTGCTGTGCAATAGAGTGCTGACTTTCGAGGCTGATGCGCGACTGGTCGCTGTTGTACTGTCGAACGGGAGGCGGTCTCTGCGCATTGGTTGGCTGACGCTGCGGCTGCTGCTGCTGTACGAGCCCAGCCCTGACAGGGACTGGGTGTGCAGGCAGAGCATCTGGATTCGTCTGTGGCTGGGTTGTTCCTGGCCGTCGGCCAAGAGGGTCGCTCGGTGTACGCCCAGGTGCAGGTGCAGCTGTCCCAGGTCGCACCATAGGCGGTCCTGGCATCGGTGAGGAGACGTTCCTCATCGTATTCGGTGGTGGCTCTGAATAGGCGGAGTCGTCTGAGTAACCTCGTTGAACAGGCGGTGGATTCCTCCCGTATCGCGGATCGAAGTTCGGTTGTTGCCCTCCACCATAGCCCAGGCCAGGCGGTCCTCGTTGCATGCCGGGGTCAGTGGTCATGCTGCGTGGAGGCGGCCCTCGTCCTCGGGGTCCATTCGGCAGTCCGGTAGGCTCTGCAAAGCCAGTATTCGCCCTCACGGGCAGTGGCATAGGAGGCGCGTCTGCAGCCATCTCGTATGCGCCATTGTATTGCGCATTCAGGTCAGGTTGCGATCTACTGCGCAGTGAATGTTGCTGGAAGTTACTCGGCTGGGGAACACCATTCACTGGGCGGACTGCCTGTCGCTGGCCACCCAAGTTGTTTGGCGCTAGGTGGTTGTCTATCGAGTCACCTCGCCGGTGTCCACGACTTGTCTCTGGTATTGCATCGAAGTCCGGCATATCTATTGTTTCAGCTATGCTTGTCCGGCCGTTGCCCTGTTGATAGTAGTCGTCATAGAAATTGCCAAGGGTAGGGTTGTGATCGTCTGGTGACGGCAATAGCTGATTCGGTGTGACACGCTGCGGCTGCTGAGTAGTCTGCACCCGCGGCATCGGCGGCTGCTGTTGTGGTAGTCGAGGAGGTCCGTTGTGCCTGTTGCCACCAGGCTGTGGCCCAGGGGGGATGTACGATGGTGATTCAGGGCCGTGGTAGCTGTCAAGGGCACCGGGGTCAGCCCACTGCTGCTGGTTCATGTCTGTGCGATGGGGCATGGTCGCTGCCCGCTGCGTGCCAGGCCCGAACATCTGCTGCGAAGGTGACATTGGATCTTGTTGCCGCTGAGGTGGACCTCTCCCACCCCCCATTTCTATGGGCGGCGGTCGCTGTCCAGGAGGCATGTTGTTAGGCGGTGGCCGACGCTGTCCTTGCGCATTCCCTTCGAACTGGCCCGAGTCTGCTCTGACATTCGGCGCACTTCTTCCCGGACCGCGGCCATCTGGGTGCATGCCTCGCGCCGAGGGTCGCCGCTGCCTCTCAGCCGGCCGGCCACCACTGATGTCCATATTGGACATGGCCTGGTCCAGGCTGTCTTTCTTGGGCGCCTGCCCTGGGTGTTGCACGGGAAAGGTGGGGAATGGGTTATCCTGTGGAATGGCTTTGGGAGACTTCTGCTGTAGGAGCGAGCGATCCAAGCCTACATGCAGCGGTTAGCCTGCTGGTAGTGTCCACAAGGCTCGAGGCAGCTTACCTGGTGGCCTCAGTGCTCCGCGACCCTGCAGCGGAGCTGGCGGAGGCGCATTGCCGCGACCCGTTGGCCGCCGCGGGTCCTGCCCCTGCTCTTGCCGTGGTCGACGGGACTGCTGCGCGCCGCGACCGGCGTCCGGCGCATATTGCGCCTGCTGTGGTGGTGGACGGCGTCCCTGTGGCTGTGGCTGCTGCTGCTGCTGCGGCCTCCCGTATGCGCCGCCGTCGTTGTACCGTTGCTGCTGCTGCTGTACATTACCGTAGCCGGCCTGCGGGTCGTTGTAGTAGCCGTCGTCCCAGCCGTGCTGCTCGTGTCCGTGCTGCTCGTATCCGTGCGGGTCGTATCCGTGCTGATCGTAGCCATAGTCGTAGTGTTGCTGGTCGTACTGATTGTCGTAGCCGGCATATTGCGGCTGTCCCTGCGGCTGTCCCTGCGGCGCATATCCCCGGTCGTAAGATTGCGGTTGCTGCTGTCGCGGCTGCGCGCGGCTGTCGTACTGGTGCTGGTAGGCCATGGCAACGCAGGTGCTTATCGTAGATCGGGTTCAGCAAAGCGCGCGCACCGGGCGCGTTCTATCGTGGAGTAGTGCGGATCGCGCCCCTCAGCGGCGGGACTCGCAGCCTTTAAATCAGAGCTTGGACGTGTCTCTCGTCGAGACCGAAACAACAGACTGCGGAGCTCTGGGCCGGGTGTCGGCGTTGCCAGCAAGGTTGCGCGGTACTGGACAGGGGTCTTCAATTTAAAGTCGCTGGAGAACGGCAGCCGGAAGCTTTCTGCTGGGTGGATTCTGCAGGTCAAATTGCATGTGTTTGCTGACAGCGAACAGCGTGGCAAGGCCTCAATGCTGTGCTCTCCGGCGCAGTTTCAGACCACGGCTGTGCTTGAGACGCGAGGTGGATGCGTCCGCGCCTTGAAGCAAGTGGAAGGACAGTCAATCTCGCTACCGTGGGTGCCCTGGGACCAAAAACCCCACAATCATCAAGCCCGGTGCAACCTCAGCGCTGGCAGGCGAGGAGAATATAAATGAGGAATGTGGACCGCCTTAAAGGAATACGTTGTTTATACGATCCAATGTTCAAGTGACCTCCTGGCTATGCCTCGTCTTCCCCATGCACGCGTTACACTATGACGCTCGCCTGGCGGCTGCAAACACAGACCATGAGAGATGTGCCAATGATATGGTGCGAGGCCCTGAGACCGCGAATGCTGATCCGCTTCGGATCCATCCTCAGGCCCCGTAACGCTCATGGTCTCATGCAGCAGGGGTACAAGCGTGCGGGTGGGGCGGGCAGCACGCTCCAACGGCAATGCTTCTGATAAGCGTGGCGGTGCTGCGCCACAGTGCCACAGCTAACTCTTCCAAGCCGATGAAATGGATCATCGAGTTCTCGAAGGCTAGGGCATCAACAACGATAACCTTGACATCGAGCCCTCGCAAGCTACCATTCCTCTGACGCATCAATATTGAACACGCTCTTAAACCGGCTGTGCTGATAATAGCTCGCAATAACCGCAACCATGGCTGCTATGAGGACATACATCAAGGCCATCTCGGCGTGCGTACCTGTTTCCTCTCGGTCACCCCGATTCGCTCGCTGACATGTCATAGAGGCGCAGTGCTTTGCATCGGCGGTCCAGCTTTGGTCATGTGGGTGACGCCGACCGAGGAAGAGATATTCAAGGTAAGCAGGTCGCCACGTGCATTACGACGCTTCTAACGCCCTCAGGCCTACAGCCCTGAGCTCCAGAAGAAGGCGCTTGCAAACAGGGAACAGCGCCAGAAGGACTTTGATGGGTTTGTGACCCAGCTCAAGGACCTATCCAAGTCAGACAAGCCAAGTAAGTGCCGGATACCAGGTTATCCATCGATGAGCGTGTGAACTGACGCCATCAGTCTGGATTGCACAGAAGGAGAGCGATGCAAAGAAATCAGCCGCAGAGCAGCAGCGCTTGAGGGAAGAGCGCGATGCGTATGCTGCCGACAGCAGGAAACTCCAGCAGGATATCAGGAATGCTTCGCAATAAGCACGTTTCTGATCTTGCTATTGCCGACGTTTCTTTCTTCATGTGTATATTGCATCTGTATGACTATGAGAATAACCAAATCTTCGCTTTGCTTTGAAATGGATCAAGAGCATTTACATGGCATCGTTCCCTACTGAATAGCTGGAAGGTCTGCCGTCTCCAGTCTGTGAACTCTACTCCAAAGACATTCTCAGAGCAGCTTGTAGCAGTTCTATACGAATGTCCGTTTTGATCTACTCGTCGCTTTGCTCCTGACTGATGCTCAAGCGACAGGCGTGGAGGTGGTGATAACCTCGTGACCACGCGATCAAGCGCAATTCGGCCTTCGACGCGCTCTCGGTCCCGCATTCATACTCTCCACCCCACTACCGCCCTCACAGCTGCACCCAATGCCCAGCGATGCACAAGCCCCCGTGAAGCTCTCGTTGCCTCTTGTACATGACCCTCGCCCTCCTCGGTCGAATATGACTAATGACATCATAGGAATTCCAGCAAGACATCTTCAAGGAGCTACGCGAAGAGGATGAGCTCGTCATCCTTGCGCGCGGCCTCGGCTTGCTGCGCATAGTCACGAATCTCCTTCATTCCTACGATGCGGCCGGCAATAACCTCATCCTGCTTGTGGGCGCAGATGAGCGCGAGAATGTATGGATCGGCGAGGCGCTCGCTGAGCACGCGGCTGTCAGCCAGGCGCCGAAGTGCAGGGGATTGAGTTTGGTTAATACGGACTTGATGACCGTGGGTACACGCGAGAAGATGTACGCGCAGGGCGGCCTCTTCAGCATCACATCGCGCATTCTCATCGTAGACTTCTTGTCAGGGCTGCTGAACCCAGAGACGGTGACCGGCATGGTAGTCCTGCATGCCGAAAAGGTGGTCGCAACGTCGCTGGAGGCCTTCATATTGAGGATCTACCGGCAGAAGAACAAGTCGGGCTTTCTGAAGGCTTTCTCAGACACACCGGAGCCGTTTACGATGGGCTACTCGCCGCTTACGAACATGATGAAGAACCTCTTCCTGCAGAAGCCAGCTCTGTACCCGCGCTTCCATGTCTCGGTCGCCAACTCTCTAGAAGGGCGTAAGAAGGCGGAAGTCATCGAGCTGGAAGTGCCCATGACCGACGCCATGCAGGATATACAGAATGCGGTGCTCGAATGTGTGGAAGCTAGCATCAGTGAGCTCAAGAAGGCGAACCCAGGCCTCGAGGTAGAAGACTGGACGCTGGACAGTGCGCTGCATAAAAACTTTGACCAGATCATCAGGCGTCAGCTTGATCCTGTCTGGCATCGCACCACGTTCAAGACGCGACAAGTCGTTCGCGATCTGTCGCTGCTACGCACGATTTTACATGCTCTGCTCACCTACGATGCCGTGAGCTTTAACAAGTATCTCGATACTGTCTTAGCGGCTTCACAACCACCGCCAGGTTCTACCAGGCAAAATCAGTCGCCGTGGCTGTTTCTCGACGCCGCCGACACGATATTCAGCACCGCGAAACGGAGGGTATACACGGGCAAGGTTACTAACGCAGAACTCGCAGGAGACGCCAACATCGCTCCAGAAGCCCTGGAGCCTGTGCTAGAAGAATTCCCAAAGTGGACGCAGCTTGCAGAGATACTTCAGGAGATCGAGCAAGATGCGTACTTCAACCCTACGCCACAAGACAGTTCCAACAGCTCTATCTTGATCATGTGCGGCGATCATGGTACTTGTTCACAGCTGAGAGAGTATCTACAGACCATGTATATCAAGCCTGAGGAAAGCACAGGTGAGGACGAGGATGAAGACGAGCCTTCTGCAAAGCTCATGATGAGACGAAAGCTTCGCAACTACCTATCCTGGAAGCGCGATTTCAGTAAAGTCAGCTCCACTCTTTTCCAGGAGAACCAGAAAGCCATCAACGGCAGCACCGACCAGAAGGTTCAAAGTAGCAAGTCCTCAGGCAGACCACCACCTAATAAGCGGCGGCGCATCCGGGGAGGCGGTAACGCTGGAAACTCCACACGAAACGACTTCGGCGCTGTGCGCACAGCAGGTGACAAAGATGCACATATTGCAAGCCTCATGGCCGAACTCCAGCCGACCGAGCTGGAAGCCGCTCAGAAGCCAGGCGATGTAGGCTTTGATCCTCTTGACAACATGGAGAATTACTATGAACTGTTCTCGATGGACTCAACCGTCATCATCCACCCCTACTCCGGTGACCTTGACGAGCACATTCTCGAGGAGACCAAGCCACGCTACGTTATTATGTACGAGCCTGACGCTGCGTTCATTCGGCGCATCGAAGTCTATCGCTCCTCTCACACGGATCGTACGGTCAAAGTGTTCTTCATGTACTATGGCGGCAGCGTAGAGGAACAACGCTACCTGTCCGCCGTACGCCGCGAAAAAGATGCATTCACACGTCTGATCAAAGAGCGTGCAAACATGGCTCTGACTCTGAACACAAACGCCAACCTCGCCCCCGAAGAGAGCTTCCTCCGCACAATCAACAGCCGCATCGCAGGCGGCGGCCGACTGACCGCAACCGCCGAGCCCCCCCGCGTCGTCGTCGACGTCCGCGAGTTCCGCTCCTCGCTCCCCTCGCTACTCCACGGCCGCGCCATGGTCATTGTCCCCTGCATGCTAACCGTCGGCGACTACGTCCTGTCGCCCCAGATCTGCATTGAGCGCAAGTCCGTCCGCGATCTCATCGGCTCCTTCGCCAATGGCCGCCTGTACAATCAAGTCGAGTCCATGACCGAGCACTACAAGCACCCGATGCTGCTGATCGAGTTCGACGCCAACAAGTCGTTTACGCTCGAGCCATTCGCCGACTTTAGCACTGCCAGCAACGCGTCAGGCCTCGCTGCGACCCCGGATCTGCAGAGCAAGTTGGTCATGCTGACGATTGCTTTTCCAAGACTGCGCATCGTGTGGTCGAGTAGCCCGTATCAGACGGCGGAGATCTTTGCCGAGCTGAAGAAGCAGCAGGACGAGCCGGATCCGATGAAGGCGGTTTCGCTGGGACTGGATCCGAGTATGGGTGGCGACGAGATGCGTTCGTTCAATCAGACGACGCAGGATATGCTCAGGACGCTGCCGGGTGTGAATGAGAGCATTGTCACGACGCTGATGCTGAGGGTGGAGAATCTGGAGGAGCTGGCGAATATGCTGGAGAGGGAGATCTGCTGGCTGATTGGAACAGATGTGGGACGGAGGGTGTATCGGTTCTTCAATCGGAGCGTGTATGAGGACGTGCAGGTGCCGACGTTCAGCTAGCGTCAGTAACGAGTAATACGAGGATAATAAGTGCATGTAGGAAGGGTATGTCTGTATTCGTCTATCCCACATAATCTCATCCCCTCGTCAGTGACTTTTCCACCATCCATCCGCCCGCTCGCAAGAAGCAGCATTTGAGCAGCTCAGCCCCGTGTACTCGCACAGCAGCCGAGACAGCATGGCGGAACGCGACGTCCTCCATCCGCACACTGCCAACCGTTTAGATGTCGTCAATGTCAATCTCCTTCTTGCCCGTGCCGTCGACGTCCTCCTCGTCCTCGGAGTCGCGGTCCTCGTCGAACTCGAAGCCGATGCCCTCGTCGCCCTGGTCGCCGTACGTGTCGGTCTCGTTGATCTTTGCGTTCTCGGGCAGCTCGCCGTAGGCCTTTAATGAACGGGCTTCGTCGGCTAGGAGCGGCAGCGTCAGCACACCGGCACGCATACACGTTGCTAATACTCGGTACTTACCAGAGTACTTCATGATGACGTCGCCCTTCTCGTCCTGGTAGTCTCGCAGCGACAGCAGGATGATGTCGCCCTGGTTGATCCAGACCTTCTTCCTCAGCTTGCCGCGGATATGCGCGAGGCGGCGCGCGCCGTCGAAGCACTGCGCCTCCAGGCGGCCGTTGCCCAGCATCTTGACGACCTGTGCGTACTCCTGGCCCTCCTCCTTGAACACGAGCTCGCGCTTCTCGTTGTCGTTCTCGTTCTTTCCACGTCTCCTGTTCTTACCACCCTGCGGCGCGTTAGTTGCGGGCTGCTTGGAGGCGGCCGGGCGAGCGCGTCTGCACGCACGCAGGCGAGCGCTGGGCGGTCCCGCCACGCAGGACTTGCAGCGTCATCGCATGTGCGCGCGGCTCAGCGGGGCAAGGCTGCCCCTCGACGGCGGGCGCAGCAAAAAGAAGAGAGCACGCACCTTTCCCTTGTTCTTAGGCATGTTGGCGACTGTTCGGGGGGCTTGGCGAAGAAGTCGGGTGTTTGTTGTCGAAGCCTGCGGGGCGGCAGCGGGTTTGGTATTATTATACTAATGTTGGGTGTCATTCTTGGTCCATCGATGTGTGCCCTAGCGCGCGCTTCGGGCTAGCGCGCCTCCCGACAAATAATCCAGCAGCCAGCGTCATTGCACACCGCACGCCCGAGCATTCACCGCCGACCGCCGACCGCACGCGCTCTTTCCGCCCGATACTATCTGGAGAACGGATGGCGGTATGAAGGCTGCAGTCCTCGGCCTCTCGAAGCTGCACTTGACCACGTTCAAAGTCAGCTACTCGCCTGCATATACCAACTTCATTCTGAATCACATCGCAATAAACCCGTCGCACCCACTGTACATTTCGCAGGCGCGCCGCCAGGGGGAGCACAAGAAGGAGGGGCTGTGGTGGCATGCGACAAACGGCACGGACATCTCCAAGTCGGGATGCGTACGGACGTGGGCGCGACGCAGGCTGCGCAGGGCGTTTGTGGAAGCGCTGAAGGCGCGGGGGTACGATGAGACGGGCAAACTGGTCGACGCAACCGCTATGCAGCACAGAAGGGACGTGATGAATGTGGTGCGGCTAGGCCGCAGTGTCGACCTGACCGGCAGTCTAAGAATGCACGGCGTAGGGCCTTTGATCGCTGCGAAGTTTGAGACGGTAAAGGAAGAGATGAGTAGCGTTATCGAGACAATACTACGGTCCATGGTCAACACTGCCCTGGGTGTTCCAGGCGGAGACAGAAGGAGGAGCGGAGTCGATCAACCTTCTGCGCGTAACGGCGCGCTACCTCGACCTCGCAATACACAAAGGGGCAGACCGGTGGCGGCACCAGCAACGCGATCTGCATACAAGGCGAACCCAAACTCTGCGGTAGTCGAAGCTGCGAAATCTCTATTCCAGGCAGAAGTGCAGGCAGCTCCTCAACCTCCACCTGCTATCAAAGCCACGCCGGCTGGGCCCAAGAATACTGGAGCGACATACGTACCGCCGCCGATGGAACCACGGTCGGAAGGCCGGAAGCCTGCATTTCGCATCCGACGCTTTGTTGTGGACACCAGCTGAACGGCGTCATGTTGTTACATCATATAATTCGAAGTGGATTTGTAGGATGAAGAGTCTACAACTTCATGCGGAGGACAAGAAGTGTGACAGCAGAGGTTCCCTTTCATATCCTGTCACGGGAGAAGCACTATGGCAGGCCAGTCATCGTCAACTCTAGAACTTCTCCGCCGCCGGCCGCATATCGAGCTCATGCGTCCACAAACACGGCTTCTGATTATGCAGCCACAGATACGTCTCGCCGACCGCATCAGCGCTCATCTTCTTCCCGATCTTCTGGTCCTCGCCGTCCTTGTCCTCGATCGCGCCATTCGCAATCGTATGCACGACGTGCACGCCCTTCTCGCTGAGCTCCCGCGCCAGCGTCTGCGCCAGCTGTCGGACCGAAGCGCGCCCCGCACCGTACGCAGCGAACTGCGCGCTGCATCGCAGCGCACCAAGCGTGCCGGTGAAGATGAGAGTCTTTGGGATGTTAGCCACTATCCACTCGCACGCACACGCCCACTTACGCCCTTCTTCTCCCCGCCCTCCGCCAGCGCCTCCTCGCCGTGATCAGCGTAGAACCGCTTCACGCTCTCCTGCGCAAACGTAAAAGCCCCGCCCACATACTCCTCCAGACTGCCTTCAAACTCCTCTCTCGTCTCCTCCAAGAACGGCTTCTTGGACGAGTGCTTCACGCTGTACACCGCGATCCTGGCCTTCAGCCCCGCGAAGCTCGCGTGCGCTTTGATATCCCGGAACGCTTTTTCGATCGCCGCTTTCGACGTGTCGGAGGGGAAGGCTTCGAGAACGGCGTCGGGCGCCGTCTGTCGGATCGTGGCGATCACAGACTGCAAGCTCTCGGGGCGGCGCGCGAGGAGCGCGACGGCGAGGTTACCGTGCGACGGCGAAGAGAGTATGCGTGCGATTCCTGTGCCCTGCAGGACGGTTGGTCGTCAACTACATCATAGAATTTGCTGCTGCGCCGCATACCGTGTTCGGCCCCGCGCCGATGAGAATCGCAAGTCCGTTTGGTGCCATTGCTATACCTATTGTGGGTTCTTCTTGCTATGCCTGTATACCGTGACACCGAATACAACGTGTGATGCTGCAGAGGCGATCTCAAGCGTCGCACCGCGGGGGTATTTCAACACCGCCGTCGATCAATACACGGGCATTGCATCATCGACGCTGCACTGCAGTGCGCTGACCGCTAGCGGACATACCCTGCGTATCTCCGCACGCTGGGTCTCCAGACACCGCGTCATTCGAACAAGAACCCACTACACCCGCTCTCAACTCCTCACGCGTGTTCTCGACTCGCGTCCGCGAGACCACGCGCTTCCGTTCCGTCTCGGGACGCAGTAGAGCTAGACACAGATGGGCAAGGTCCACGGACCGGGCCCTTGGGTCGCGCTTGGGGTCCTCGCGCAACGGCCCGTGGTCAAGGGGATTTGTGGGCGATGCGAGACGGCGGTCGGGGTTGGGGGGTTGTGTGAGATGCCGGGTGAGCGCGTTCGTGGTGCGCCGGCGACACGTCGTGGTACGCTATGCGGACAGCTTGGGTGCTGCCACACGTGTCCTAGACGCTGGCTCGGCTGGAGGTTTTGGCTTGTTGGCCTCGAGATGTTAGGGTCTGTGGTCTTGGGGTGTTGCTTCGGATTGGGTTAGCAGAGGAGCGGAATTGGCTGGTGGAGGTGAGTGTGTCGTCCTATATCCCCGTTTCCAATGTCTCATGCAAACGGTCTTAGAGTGCTGAAACAGTGATTACTTGTGCGTAGAATCCGCGTCAATTCTTCGTGGACCTGCCTGTGCAGATTTCATAAGCCTCTGGGTCTGTAGTAGCGGAATGCTGGAACCGGTCTCTGGCCAAGAAGGTTGACTGCAACTCTCGTTCGTCCAAAATGCCGTACATCAGTCATGTTGACTAGCCGCCGTACTCGATACGCAGGAGCGCTTCGGTTACTAGCATCTGTCTCTGAGGGGTACACGTTCCGAGATCAATCAATCGCTCAGGGGTGTAACTTGTAAGTACCATCGTGGAGTATAAAAGTATGTAAAGTTCTCTCAAAGGATTCGTCACGCACCAGCAAAGATGTGGTTCGTCTTTACTTGGCTAGTATTTGCTAGCACGGTCTTTGCTCTCCCTCTACTGGAATACGAACGAGAACTCCTATACGAACTCTTCAGAAGGTAGGGGTGATAGCTCATCCGGATCATGTCTACGGATGCTGCTTCTGTTACTACAGCACCGAGGGCCAACATATGGGCCCAGATATCAGTCGAGGACAACTTAGCTGTGTAGAACCTTCTACGTGGTCCTACAAGTGATTTGAATTTCACTCGTGCAGGCAGTGCCTGGGCTGGTGACGACTACGCGTGCATCTCTCGTTCACGATGTCAAGACGAGAATTATTCAATCGCAATAAGTAACAGTTCTTAGATTCTGCTCTACCCCCTGCAGCTGATAAGGCGGATGTAACGCCCTGCCTGGAGGGAAACGCCACAGCACCCGCTTGATAGGCTTGTGCGGTTCTCTTCGGAGGCGGTTAAGAGTTTTCTAGTCGAAGGCTACGATGGTCCGTGGGGTCCGACCTGTTAGAATCTGTACGACCAGTCGGATACGAAACTCCCACTCTCCCGTCACCGCTCTGTAAGGTGGAACGACTGCAGCTTCGACACTCTCAGAACAGTGAAGGGAACCCGGCTGATCATTCGTGCAGTTGCAACTGTCGGTAACTACGACTACATGTTTGACTGCAGGTTTCCATTTGGATGGGTCACTGGAAATGAGCGTACGAGCTTTTGGTCGGCCCCAAACCTTCTTCTATCGTCCAAACAAGGCACATGGAGTCCACGGATCCAGTACGCAACCCACGATTCACTCCACGGCCACATCGTCACCTTCAAAGCTGGCTTCAAAATCGTGGGAACCAGCAACTCAATTCAAGGCTCGGAGCTGAAAGTAGTGGAGCAGTCACAAATCTGATACGCAGAGCTGGGTGTTTTCGAGCGAATGGAAATGGATGTGTCCATCATGCAGACCAGGCAGCAGTTCAACTGAGCGGTCAACATCCAAGTCATGTATGTCATGGTGGATCAGAGCGAGACAAACGCGTGGGGCGAGCCTCGAGGCTATCGAATCGTGCTAGGAGGTCGAATATCTACCTCATATCACTGAGGTTACCGTTCTCCTGGAGAACTTCCGAGTTTGCCAAGACACATCCTGCTGTTTCACGGCAGCACGACACAGAGGTCCATGCAAACAGAGTCCAGAACACGAATCTCCCGGTAAGCCTCCAACAGGACTTCAGCAAGTTTACGTCTGTGAAAGTATCGGAAACGAAGATCTGGTCGTGTGGTTCAATCTGGGCATCCAATGTTCCCCTCGCAGTGGAGACGTACCGACAAGTCACTCGGCTCCCCATATACTACGATATCCACTGAAGTTGTTCTAGGTGGCGTTGTACTCAGAAGCGTATGACAGCATAATGCCAGCGCTTCAGAATTTCTTTGACCAAGCTCAAGACGGCAACTTGTTGAACAGAGGATATTAGGTATGGAGGTCAATGACACCAGTGGGCAGCTTTCTTGGAAAGACTACGGTGTCACTGTAGACACATGCCCGATAGTTCTGGAGGATCCTGCGACGAGTATAACAGGCGTCATATGGTAAGATCATCACCTCTTACTACCTAGTGGTTGGCCTCCCAAGAGGAATGTAAGAACTAGTATATAATGGCGGAAACCGCGTCTAAGTAGCGAAGCTACTCGTCCGCCAATGCTGTCCAAAATCTGTTCAGATGGTGTGATTCAGGTCACGAGCTCTGGCGTCCCACATCCAAGCCACTTCCTAATCACTGTTCTATTTTAAGTGAAGATAGGCGACATATGCCGAATTAACGTATCGATCGACCCACCACGTCATGGTTTCGCACTCGCTCTCTCATACTATTATATGACGTTGTTCAAAAACGGGAATTTGAATCGAGATCTCAGACATGTAGTGCAGGGGGCCGGTGGTGGGACCTGACTAAAGTTGAAGCCGACCGTGTCTTGGTAACCTTCGGTCCTACTTTATGTGGGATATAGGCTATTAATGTTATACGATTCAGCCACATGCAATTCGAGACTAGATCAAGGCGTCCATTTGTTGGTGGTGTTGGATCACCTCGAGAGGATTCTGGAGACGCAACTACCGAGGCACTTCCATGTGATTCCATCTTGATGTAAGAACAGAGCTGACGGGTAAGAACTATGTTGTCTCCAGATTGCGAAACGGACTTCGGCGATCGGTAGGGCTGATCTAGTCTGCTTGTGGGAAAGTGCGAGGTACCTTTGTATCTTTCCTGCCAGCTAACTTTCTACACTGTAGTCTTCACTTCTTCAACGACTACATGCTCACGAACCATCAAATGAACGACTACCTTTCACGGATCTTGGCCGGCTCTTTTGGGCGGAACGCGAGGCTGTGTTAAAGGAGTCCTTCTTACCCTGGTCTGCGGGCTTCGCTTGCGCTTACTGATGACAGAATGCGTGCTTTAAACGGCATCAGAACTGGGCAGAGAGCACGCTTCGCATGTAAGTTGCCGATTCCGTAAAAGGCATACCGCCTCTTATCTGACACTAACCCAATATAGAGCTTCTTCGTCGAGAGTGCGTTCATAGCATCAAGGTTTCCATCGATGTTGGTGACATGCCACAATACAGCGTTTTAATGCCATGAAGACTGCGACGTATCTCATTCGTGGATTCACAGAAGAGGGTGCGACTTTCGGCTCGCATACCCGGACAAATAAGACATTAAAGCAGCCAAGATCATCAACATCAAAAAGCATCATGCAGCCAGTCGGATCCGGTACCAACTCAGCTTCGAGCCTTGATGGGGGCGGTGGTACAGGGAAGTTCACGAAAGATTCACTCCGTTTCATGATCGGCCAGCTTTGGGCCAACCCTTGCAATCGATCGAAGCCTGCAGTTCACGTGGCCATCCTTCATCCTTCGTGAACGGAGCTCGACCAAGTCCATCCGACTACATGTTACCAAGACTACTACGCCGTATTTATACAGCTGGGCCTTCCTTTATACCAATTCAGGACGAGTGAGAGACGGCTCTCTCGGCAATTGCGCCGCCCGCACCCCGATGAGGGCTCGAAGGCCTCTAAACTAGCAATTTACGCGATGCTGATCCTACATGAAGGTTCTGGAAGACTGCGCCGGGCCACAGAGACTCACACCGCATCGCTATTCTGAGACTCAGATGGAGACTTACGACATACGAAGCGGGCCTGCAGGCTGCAATACGGTCTGCATCGATCCTCCAGAGCGCCGTCCTCCTACTGGCTGCCAGGCGAAAGCAACGTACGCGCAATCAAGTTGTTAATCGACGATGCCAGTTGGTGGGCGAGTCCTGTGGCAAGAGAGCATGTGAGCGTGACACGTAAGGTGTGGGTTCGAGGGAAAGGCGAGGAAAGAGAAAACAAGAAACCGTCCAGGGTCGACACCGCCTCGACGTGCAAATAGACAGGTTCGGTTGAGATGCGATGCTGCAGATATGCATGAGTCGGTAGGCCCGCCGAAGTGGGGTGACGACGTTCCGGTTCCCTCGATCAGACCTGAGACACAAAACATGATCACCCACCAGAAGGGCCTGGCTACAAGCACAGACTCAATTTCTGGCCATTGCAACAATGAGCGAAGCTCTGATCTTGGCACACTGAATGCAATCGGCATCACAGAGGAGATCCTTTCCACCCAGGATTATTACGGAACTTTCCAGCCAGGGCAGAGTCGTGTCGTTCCGCTGTGGGTGGGGTTCTCACTTGCTTGACCTCCGCTAGGTGATAGCGTGGCTTAATGCAATATACATACCATTATGCCTTAGGCTTCCCATGCGGTTCGCTCGATATGGACGACTCCTTTGGTGAACGCGCCACGTCTCTACTACGTTGAGGCAGTTCCTTGAACAGGACCCTGCCAGGATACCAGAATCCCTCAGTGGACTGCAAGACTGTAGTTGCCCAGTTCGATGATCCGCTGACCCGAATCTTCCACGCGAAGCCTTCGTCATGGGTTTGGCTCTTACCAGCACAACGGGCCATTCTGTACCGTACCGTACCGTCATCACCAGCCTTCTTACAAAGCTAACAAGCCACCTGAAACGCTCAGCTGCAACGCCTCAATTCCGCAATGGGTGAACGCTTAAACGAAGGCAAGCCACATATATATTGTACTAGGTGCTGGCCCACAGCAGTGGCGCCAGTAGCGATAGCATTTGCGCCAACAGTGATAGCACTCGCGCCATGCGGCAGGTTCGCTCCAACCGTTACTGAACGCCATCCGATTCATGGCATGCTGTCCCGCCTCGTGGGCCTCCAAGCCGTTCCACACTAACACACATAAGGCTTCGCCAATGACAGACAAAGAAACAGGCGAGCTAAGAAATCGGCCGCTACTCCTCATAGTCTGACCAATCAAACAGAGGCATGTTCTACACCCTGTTGTTGTTAGCTAAACGCGGCTGTATATCCTCGCAATCGAGTGGTAGGAATTCATATGCGCAGAGTCATTTCGATCACTGTCACAGTTACTATACTTGTCACCTTGCCTTATCGCGTGCATACCGGTGAACTGTGGCTAGACCAAAGCAATGCCCATCGCGGCGTTTTCCGCTACACATGGTGGCCAATGCGGTAAGCTGCTCGTCACAGGAAGGCTATGGCCACGGCGTCGCTCCGCATGAGAAGCGTGCCGCGTGATTATACGATTCGCGACGTTACTTGAGCATAAGCCAGATACTTAGAAATCCCTTTCACCGCCTGTCTGCGCCCTGACCATGCTGACTGTACGGGCACCGGAAATCCTTCCTGTCGTTATATCCCTAAGGCTGAAGGCTCTAGTGCATGGCATATGCAGGGCCATCGACCCATATGACTGCGGTGGCCTGCTCAAGAGCACGAGTAGGAAGCAGTGGAAGGAATTAGCTCTCCGTCGAGCGTAGGGCTGACGCGTGCTTCTGATCGTCGTCATGTACGATCGCATGCACCGAGGAGTCAGAACAAAGAAACCCCTGCAATACTCAAACGCCCGGCAAGAGTTTCGTAGGCACCCATGCCGGCACTCTCAACAGTGTTTCGCGAGATATGCGATGGGATTCTGCTCCGATTCCGCGGGTGAAGTGGGCACGGCAGATCCAAGGGCCCACATAACCCTTCGCGCCTGGCTGGCCGTGTGGAGACACCGAGAGATCGGATGAGGGACTAGCCATAGCGATTCGAAAGAGGGGAAGGCTAGTCTGGCACGTGTGGCGAAGCTTTGAAGGCGTTCTGCGCGCTGACCCGCATAGCGGTTTCTGGGCTTGCGATGGGATTCAGGATGCGTTCACACTGGAGCTGTTTAGCATGCTGACCGGCAGGCATTAGCGTGCGGTGGGCATCAGGTGACGACGTGAGGCGAAGACTGGGACTTGGCTAGAATACGAGGGGATGCTGCAGCCAGTAAGTGCGGCTCGTTTGTTGAGTGGGTTGAGTGGCCCTCCAACGGCGGGCTGAGACAGGTGACAAGGGGCCAAGTGATATCTGCGGCTCTGTCAGCTCCAGTTCGGCTGAGCACTGAAGGCTTCCTTTCACATACCATCGCGTCACTCATTTTCACAGCCCGGAACATCGTGGATGAGCAGAGCTCAAGCTTATAAGACCTCGCTGGATCAGCTTTCCATCTCATCATCCACAGCTCAACAGCTTTTCTCTTCATCCTCGACTTCAAACGGCATTCAATCACATTTGCCGCAACGAACTGAGTCGACAGCTCTACCAATTACACATCGGCAACCATGTCAATGCATTCGTTGAGTCCCAGGTCATCCTCGGAGAGCCTGCATAGCACACACAGTAGCTCTTCCACGGCCTCCGCTCCCGACCAATACACTCCAGCTCTTACCGGCCGCATGGTGTGGGAAGGCGCCGAACTGCGCCCTGCCGAGTACATCGTGAAGCTGTCTAGTTCCGAGGTCGAAAGCATCCGGGCCGCTGTAGTTGGCTTCAAGCTCCAGGGGCTCCCACGTAGCGCGATATCCAAGAGCACGTTCTCGTTGCCAGCGGATCTAGCGCGCAAGCTCGCGGCCGCCAGTAGGGAGATCCATGAAGGGCTCGGTGTGGTAGTGCTACGTGGCTTGGATGCGGCCAGGCTCAATGACGAGGAGGCTGTGATCGCATTCGCGGGTGTATGCTCATACGTTGCAGCACAGCGTGCGACAGACTCGTACGCCAATCAGACTTTGAGTCACATCCGTGATGCGACCAAGGAGGCCGTTCCAGAGTGGGCGAAGGATATCGGACTTGCCGGTTCGAAGATTACGGCCGCGATGGACTTCCACAGCGATCGATTTTCGGGAGACATCCTCGCTCTTCATGTGAGGAACGATGGTGGCGCAGGTTTGGGTGGTGGCCAGTATTTTGCAAGCTTCTGGAGAATCTATAATGAGCTGTTGCAGACTGAGCCTGAGGTCTTGGACACCATGGCGGAGGCTGACTGGCCATTCGAGCTGAAGCAGAAGTAAGTGTCGTGTGCCATGCATGTGATTTCGAGATAGACTGACCAAAGAGCAGAGACCAAGCGCCATACCTTGAACCTGGTCCAACCCTTTTCTTCTCGAGGGGCAGACCCATATGTCAGCTCGTTAAGGCACCGCTCCTCGGAAGTCCTCGTATTCAGCGGCATCCGAGCATGCCGAAGGTGTCAGACAAGCAGATGTATGCCATGCATGTTGTCCAGACTCTAGCGACACGATTCAGTACGAAGCTCGATCGTAAGCAGGGCGACATACAGTTCATCAACAACTTGAGCATCATGCATGCTCGCGAAGCGTACAAGGGAACCAATGGGAAGGCGAGCACTCGCCACTTGCTGCGCATGTTCCTTCGGGATCCCGAGAATTCCTGGGACAAGCCGGCCCGCTCCCGCAGCAACTTTGACGATCCATTCATGCCCGGTAGGCCACAAGAGCTGCCCATTATTGATATGGACCCATGGCGTGCTATTAGTGGCCGTGAGAGCCACGGTTGATTGCATTTTCTGCGACATGGGTGGTAATTCTGACAGCATGGGAGCACGCGTTCGTTTCGGGCATTTACCACGTTTCATGGGCAAGTAAGGAGTATAGTTTGTGCACTTGGGAGGCAGTCCTGACTTTTATCATTCAATCGCTCATGGTCTCTGGCTGCATATACAGGTTAATTACATGATACTTCATCGTACAGGAGTCTGATTCTTGACATACTGAAATGGACCCGGCTTTTGACAGTCTTGCTCAACATATGGAAACCGAACTGAGAATCATTCCTTTCTTGTTTGCTGAGATGCGGTCTTTGTGGCATGGTTCAGATGATGCTAGGCCCCAGCTTCCTTGAACAACTGAGTGATCCATTCGCTTGAGAACGAATGGTGGGTTGCAGAAAATCCAGTAAGCGGTGGCTGAAACCGATCTGCACCTGTTAGTGATCATCCGCATCCGAAGAGGAGCAAGCTTACCAGGGCTCTGTCTATCGAAGATCCTTGCGATTTCCGTGACATATGCAAACCCTTCTGCATCGATGTGTCCACGCTCGCGCAACTCTTCTGGGTTGTCACGTGCGAGTTTGAAGGGCGAGTAACCGCGAAGAGTACAACGCCAATGATACAGCAAGACTGGAAACGCAAACTCCCACTTCTTGACTTGGTTGCTGACGACGTTGTTGACTGAGTGTTCGATGAGCTGCAAAGGTCAGCTGTTGTAACTGTAATAGACACATGTGGACTCACGGTGCCATTCTTCGACTTCATGTAGCCTTTCGCTCCCTGGTTGATGTATTCGAGGTTCCAAAAGATGATGTAGAAAGTCAAAAAAAGCTCATACCACGGCTTGATCTTCGGTTTAAAGATAAGAGATGCCAACTCTTTGACAAACAACTTCTCCAGCTTGCGTAGGTACTTGACAGCAGCAACATCCATCTGGTGCGTGATTGCGCCAGGCAATGGTCTATCGCGGGAATCTCGGTCATACGCTTCGTAGCCGCTTCGTCCAAGACGACGGTAGTCATACTCGCGTATCCCCGGAATGTCGTTTGACCATACCGTTCCGTAGCCTTGAGACACGACCGATAGACATTGCAAGCGCATAGCAAGATCAAGAGCCCGGGAGCCATGCACACTCCGCATTCGAAACACTTCTCGGTACGTCTGGGTGGCGATCTTGTCGTTTTGAATACGATCAAAGATCCAGGCCTCGATGGCAGGTTGTAAACTTGAGAAGTATCGCTCGAATGCAGTGACCAAGCTCGCCGTGTCGTATATGGCGTATGCTGGCTGCTCGATGGCGTAAACATCGCCCTCTTTAGTAGTCCATACCGAGCTCGCCGTGTCAAGACGGCCTCGTCTTGGAGAGTAGGGCCGAAAGGCGACACGCATGGGCATAGCATTCGGTATACGGCCATAGCCTGGCAGATTCCACAGGATGTCCATATCCCAGAGCTGACTTCCCGGTTTCCAGTCGTAGCCTAGAAACTCGGCTTCTTCTTGCTGCTCGCGACCATTGCATCGACGGATGATACTCGTGTCTTCCAAGTGCTCCCTGTAGCACGGCTCACGGAAAGACCGGGCATGTCCTTCAATCTTGCTACACTTCTGACATGGGTCGCCCTCATCACAGCCTGATTTGTAGAATCTGCAACGGACGCATATCCTCTTTGTTTTACGCATCGTGTGGGTCTTCTCTCGCTGCTTCTCCGGTAGCGGGCCTTTGCGCTTTGACACCTTCATCTTTTCCTGTCTCTCGACATATGATGACGGCACCTTTGCAGGCTTCTTCTTGCTACCAGGCCGACGGTTAATGTGCGCATAGACCTCTGATGATGGGTCTGCTTGAGTGCTTTCGAGCTCGAAAGTCCTCTGTTCCGGGATTGCAGCTATCAGAGGCCATTCCTGCGCCTCGGCCTGGATGTGGCCGTAGAATGGAGGAGCAGGAGGCATGCCGCTGGTGTGCGCGGTCGTCCATTGCGTACTCTGGACATTGGCCGGCCTGCTGGTAATCACGGTCGATGATAGTGCACTGTTGGCATGGGAGGCGTAGTGTTGGTGTTCGGTGGGCGCTAATGTGGTCGCGGTTCCCCACGGCGTTGAGGCCTGCAACACAGCGTGAGTCTGCTCTGCGCTCGGTTCTGACACGGCATGGTGTGCTGGATGCGGGATCGAATGCACCCTCCGCCCATGGGTCGCAAAAGGTGGATCGATGGGCGTGGCAGGTGATTCCTGGGCTGGTTAGTCACGGCTTAAGTAACGTGCGCCACTTCGCACTCACAGAGGTGATGCGCAACGCGGTGAAGCGCTCTGTGTCCCTGAACGCATCGTCGGGCGAGGTCAGGGGCTGGTCGTGCTCCGCCGTCGACGCCTGCTGAGGGTGCTGATGTGGGTACGGCCGCGCAGCGTTAGAGGTGTGTTGCACAGAGGCGCCTCCCTCAGCGGTGTCATAGGAGCCACCTAAGCGCGGCTCGAAGCTCTGCTCGTTCACACGGTCGCTCACCGAAGCGTTCCACGGCTGCTCACTTGGTTGCGCATAGGCAGCATTCCACGTCTGTGGAGTGGGAGGCTGCGACGGCCTGGCAAAGTCGGAGCTCAGTCCGGCGTGCGGGTATTGCAGCAGCGGGACCGACGACGGGCCGGTGTACGAGCCGTGGTTGCTGTCCTGCCATGGCTCTGTATAATTAGTGTATGCTTGATCGTGGTTGCTGTGGTAGTGCTGGTAGTGCGAGTGAGGGTTGGCGCTTCTGTATTGCTGCGAACTGGTAGACATGGAGGCGGACAGAGGCTGACTGCGTGCGACTTCAGAACAGGCGTTAGGCGTCTGCGCGTGGCTCATCCAGAGAGTTGCGACAAGCGATCCAAAGAGCAGGAAGCGCGGTGGCCTCAGGCCTTAGAGCGGTGCTCCACGCGTTAAACCGTCGTTTGCTGGCTCCGAGGGGAGATGGCTCCACGACGCACAAAATGCGGGTCAGGAAACGAGCTGGTGGCTCGCAATGCAATGTCGGGTACGCTGCATGGGGTAGCTCCCGTGTGGCCTGAGCTGCATCGTCCCGTAAGCGCGCTGTCTGAGCAATGGACCGCGTCGATCATGATCGCTTCGGCGATTTGCACATTCACATGTCTTTTACGAGCGTGGCCCTGCTAAATGCATCCTTTGCAGTGCCATTCAGGGTCTTGCTCAGGGCTGTTGCAGCGCAGTACGGATTGCACCATCGATATCGAGCGTAGTACAGTCAATGCAGCCCCTGGCTACTTTTGAGGTCAGTGCCCCCGGCCCTTCGAGCCGCTGGCATGCTCGCGGAACGATGGATCCTGTTGAGGCTTCGCAAGCGTTGAGGAGCAAAGTCGTGGCGAAGCTCGTCTCTTTGTCTAAGCCAGGTTCTTTCGTCAGTAGTTGCTGCATCTGGTCCGGAAGCCGGCTTTGAGTCCGCGGCTCCACACATGCTGGATGTTGTGTGGGTCATTCGATGCCGTTCTGGTGACAAATGTCGGCATCAGGCCACCCGCGAGGCACGCATGTCAAGTGCGGGAGCGCCTCCAAAGTTCATGTCCACAAAGCTTGGGCGACGTGGTGGGCGGCAACGCTACTGAAGTACCTCTCACGGCAAAGTCGGCTAGCATTGGTGATCGGCCCACAGGGGAAGCCAGCAGTCCCTTGCTTTGAAGCTGTTGTGGATATGACCGCGCAATGACATGGAGCATTCAGAGGGCATTGCGTTTAATGGGTCGCACTGGCACGGCTCTCCAGCCGCGTTCTGCGAGTGACGCACCAGCAGGCAGTTGTAGTATAAGAATATCATTACGACTCAGCTAAATCACTATCAAAAACCGACCCGCTCTCCGCACTAGGACCTGTGGCGCTGGCACCGCGCCGCGCGAACGTAGGAGCTCGGTTGCGTTTGAGACCCAGCCTCTGGCTAACCAACCACCAATAAACCAATGAAGCAGCCGTCGTTGAGATACACTAGGATTTGGACTTCTTGGACTTCTTCTTCTTCGGTGCCTCATCCTCGTCATCATCGGCGTCAGTGTCGACCTCCTTGATTGGGGAGTTCCTCTTAGCCGCTGTTCGAGTGCTCCGCCTGGTGCCCTCCTGAGGTACTTTCTTCTCCTTCTTGGGCGCCGCTGCCTTCTTCGGTGCTGCCTTTTTCTTGGATTCGGCTTTCCCATCGCTCTCCTTCTCATCGCTCGCCTTCTCGTCGGCCTTCTTATCAGCCTTCTTTCCTACATTGGCTTTCGGCTTCTGTGCGCTTGCGGGAGCCTCTTGCTCCTCTTCACTGTCTTTCTTCGCGTCTGCTTTCTTTTCCTCGGCCTTTTTCTTGCTGTCGGACTTCGCCTCTGGTTCACCCTTCTTGGGCTCATTCTTGCTGCCAGCCTCGTTCTCGTAACCACCACCTTGCTTCTCATACTCCTTCGAGATTTCGGCAGCCTACGCGCGTCAATATGAGCTCTGAAGCAATAATCGCGTAAATAACGCGATTTCTCACCTTCCATGCCGCCATTTGGCCCTTGCCGCTGCCGTCCTTGTTGGGCTTCGCCTTCACGTCCTCCTTGACCTTCTCACGAAGCTTGGGGTCTGTTGGCTTTCCCTTGGATGAAGGCATCGTTGCGGTCTTAATGCGCACGCGACGAAGGTGGGTCTGGAAAATTGGCCGGAGTTCGAAGGTTGAGGTAAAGCGTTCGTCGCGTGGAGGGTGTACCTGCAGATCAGTTTGTTTTGATGTAATATCGGATGACATCATCACGTACTATTGGCGCGTAACATGTACCAGCCTCCTCATTTCCTTTACGCCAGTGCTGCAGTGGTGCACCCAAACTTTATCGACGAGCGCCATGATTGGAACCTCGTGATCTGGATGTCACCTCTGCTTTGCGCCAGACTGACTGCCGAACCCAATACGGTCGTATCTTCCATCTTATGGTAAGTCTCGGTAAGCTATAGATTGATCATACCACGTTGGACTTTTCTAAACGCATCGCTGGTCGCCAATTCGGAACGGACGTCGAGGCACTCTGAGACCAGACTCGCTTCAATATCAGCATTACGCGTCTGGCCCAAATTTACCACAACATTCAGCATTAAAGCTCATCGCGACATGGACAAAGATAATGTTCGCAAGGTAGGTGTCTTTCGTAAGGTAGGAATTTTTCGCAAGGTAAGAATCTTTCGCAGAGTAGGTATCTTCATCGAGGCATCTTTCGCAAGGCATCTTTCGCACGGCCGTATTCAGCTCGATGAAACCAACCAGAAGGAGCATGTCAGACCCATCTTCCCCCAATGCCTTCGTCTTCAACCACCGTCACAGCCACTTCTCAAACCACGCAACAACCTGGGCCAACGCCTCATCAGCCGCACTGGCCTCCTTCTCCTTCCCCGGCGTAGCCCTAACCGCAAACCCATGCGCACACCCCTCGTAAACCCTCACCTCCAGCGCCTCACTTCCCTCAAGCACCTTTCTCAGTTCCTCCACCTTCCCCCCGGGCAGCGACATATCGTCTCCCGCATGCGCGAACCCCACTTTCACCCCGTTCCCCACGGCACCCACCACCTGCTCGACCTCGAACCGCGCCGGATGCGCCACAAACACGGCGTCCACCAAGCCCCCCTGCCGCGCAACATGCAACGCCTCGTACCCGCCCCAGCAGTACCCCGCGACGCCCAGCTTCGCGCCCGCGCCCAGCGCGCCCCGCACCGCCCGCACATACGCCTCGCAGGCTGTCGTGCACGCGGTGCTCTGCGGACTCGCGCGCACGAAGAACGGGATCACGTGCCGCATGGCGCGCGCCAGGGCCCAGGATTTCGCGAGCGCGCTGGCGGACGCCGAGGCGAAGGTGTCCATTAGTGGTAGGATGGACGGGCTCATGCCGCCGCCGGGGATGATGTCGGGGACCAACACGGTGAGGTGGGTGCGTGCGGCGAGGGCGTCAGCGAGGAGGAGGTTGTTGGGCAGGAGGTGGCCGAAGGCGTCGGTGAAGAGGACGATGGTCGAGGCGGGGGTGGGATTGGCTGGGGATGCCGACGGGGGGTTTGCGATGTAGGTGGGTATGCCGTGTAGGGACTCCATAGTGCCGCTGGGCGTGCCGGTTGCAGCGCCGCCGCGGAAGCAGTCGGGGCAGGACATGATAGGGTGCGAGTGCGAGGGTGTGGTGTTGGCGGTGCTCGCTCGGACTTGTTGGGAAGCACAGCGCTCGAGATGGCGGACTCGAGCGTCAGCTCCGGAAATAAGTACCGATGCGGTTCTAGAGATGCTTACTGAGATGTGTCGCGCAGGCACGCTTTATGTGCGTGCTGCAGTGACATGCGCGTGCTACACAGCATACCCAGAGCACCACCCTCCGATCCTCCATCCGTACAGTATCTACGTTATCACACCCGAAAAGGTGCAGAATATCAGGCCTCGATTGAGAAAGAGTCACCGCGCGTATGACTCTTCTAGGCAGCAAGTAAGCTGCAGCGTAAGTATGGCGATTAACCGGGGTCGACGTTCTGCGGTCAGCCTCGTTACGCCATGGTACACCGAAAAGGGCGCCGCACGCCCTTCCCTTCGCACATTGAAATGCATGTAACAGAGAGATACAGATGGCGTGGAAGAATGACGTGCAACAGAGAACTATACGCGCAGCAGAGAGAAACGCGTGTGCAGCAGAGGAAATCACCTTCATTCCCACCCTCTAGACTCCACTTCCCACCCCCTCATCCTAACCTCCCCTTTCCCGTTCCCTATCTCTTGCAGGACTACTTGTGCACCCACCCCAAAGACACACAGCCCCCAAACCCACCAGCCACCAACAACCCCCCTCCAACGCTGCTACCGCGAACAAGCAAGATGCCAGCGCGAACACGGCTAAAAGCGGGCCTTCCCTCCCGAGCCCCGCCAACCCTTACTCGGAAAGCTCTAGGCGCCGTAGAGATTAGCGTGCGTAAGCAGCTCGATGTTGATTCGCTGGTGAGAGTGAGGCTAGCATTTTGCTGTGAGGTAGGTGTAGAGTGGAGGGGTGAGTGTGGGTGGTGTTAGTTGCGGGGGTAGATATATGTCCGTTGTCCCGCCTGTGCGACCGTGATCAGGTTCGTTTGGGTAGCCACGTGTAGACGTAGTGTTAGGCAACGACTCACGAGACCTTGGTCTCAACGGGGCAAGTGCGCTTGAACGGAGGTGCAATTGCAGATGTGCGGCGTAATGGCTACAGCAGAGAAGCTTTGGAGACTACAAAAGATCTCGGTGGGTGGGTGGACGTGCATGAGTATCATATTCGTCCATCATGCCGCCCTGAGCTACTGTTCAGCAACACAGGCAGGGTTTAGGGTATGCAAGTTACTATATACTATTACAACGCTCATATGTCACAACGCTAAGTTCCCTCAACTGCCCTCCCGCTACTGCACTCATTGACCGCCGCTCTCGCTCCCCCCTTGTTCCCCATTCTGTTCTCTCTTGCTGAATCCTTGATGATCTTCTCCGCCTCAGCGATGGCATCCGTCCCCACTCTCCAACTCCTCAGAACAACGCCCTGCTCGCTGAGAATCTGCTCCGCGCGCGCCCACCGCTGGCGCCACAGCTGCTCGCGCTTATTGACGTACTGGCCATCGGCGGTTTGGTTGACGCCGGCGCCGTTGAGGCCGAGCGTAGAGCCGGTGCCCGTGCGGTTCAGCTTCTCGCGTTGGGACGTGGTAGAGAAAGGCGCGGAGGTCTGCGCGGAGGTCACCTGCGGGCGGTGCGGGAGCGAGGGCGCGTGTTGCCACGCCGAGGACGCTTTGTTGCCGACGAAGGATGCGGCGACGCCGGCGGGGTTGCGGCGGGGTGGGGGAGGTGGGGGGGCGGTCTTGCGGGTGCTACTTTTGGAGGAGCCGGAGCGGATGCTGGCGGTGTCTGAGGTGTCTTGGTCTTCGGGCGACCAGGCGGGCAGACTGTTGTACACGGAGTAGAGCTTGTCGCGGGCCATTCCTGCGTAGCTTTGATTACTATTGTCGTACTGAGGTTTTGTGCTGTAGTTGGGCTGTGGTGGTGCAGGGCGATTTGAAGGTGGTGATGTGGGTGCGTTGCTCTGTTGTGATAATGGACTGGGTTGGCCAACCATGCGGATTGTAGACGAAGGCCGTCGGGGACTGGGCGGTGGCGGCGCCCTCGAGCCGGTCGTTGGCAAAGATGGCATCTGAGAGCTTTCCGTCGTTGAACTTCGAAGGGCAGTGGGCTTCTTCGGTGGTGGAGGTGCCGCTTTCCCAACGTTCAAACTCGTCGAGGTCCGTTGCGGTTCTCTGAAAACGTCCATGTCTGTCTTCATGCGTCGTAGTGGCCGGGCGCTCTCTGGTTCGTCGTCTGAAGAAAGGTCTATCAGATTTGCTACAGGCTCTTCTTGGGTTGTTTGGAACGACTTCCGTGTCGGCAGCCCAGGCCTGTTATTTGGGTGGTCTTGCGGCAGGTGCGGCATTGGGCGCTTCTGTTCCTCTTCCTCAAACTCGCGCAACGAGGCAGCTATCGCGGCCTTGAGCTCAGGATCATGCTCTTCAGAAAGAGCACGTGTCGCGCTCGCCGGACTAGGTCCTTCTGGGATATTGAAGCCACCGCCACGTCGAGGTGAAGATGATCCTGACGCTGGCCCAACCGAAGGGTCAAAGAAGCCACCAGTCTCAGTAGTCGTCACATCGCGGATAAAAACAGCTGCGACGCGTCCTGGATTCTCAAGGACAAAGTCAGTGTAGACTTCCAGGTCGGCCTCTCCACTGTCACCAATCAACATGAAGCGTCTCTCTGGAAAGTCTCGAGCAATCTTGTCCAAAGTAACCTTCTTTCGCTCTGCGACAGGCTCAAAGATACCTTGCATCATACCACTGTACTGCTTCAAATGGAATGAGCCGGGTGGCAATCCAGCCATGGAGAAGTACGCGGAAATGACCGGGTACAATTGCCAGGGTGAGTTCGAGACGTAGTGGAACTTGACACCCTGTTCAGACATCTTGTTATACCACTCCTTGACGCCATCAATAGTGAGATCGCTCAAGTCACGGATGAAGACATTACGGAAGATCTCTCGCGCACCACTGCTGATGGCTGAGTGTTTAATCGTGTCATCAATGTCGCTGATGACACTGATTCCCGTAGAATCAGTGACTAAGACCTCTTCCGTAGCCGACAGCTGCTCGGAGGCCAAGATTCGTACATGGGTTGGTACAAAGTCTAGTGCGGCCGTCATGCTGAAGTGGCCTGCCGTGTTGGTGTAAATAGTCCTCTGTTTTGAGATCTTGTCATTGTAGAAGAATACGCTGATCGGAGTATTCGCCATAGGCATGGCGAGGAAGTGCCGTAGTCGAGCCATCAGGCGCGCATTAGCCTCTGCAAGCTCAGCCGGGCTCATGTCTGCTGGCTGATTCCATGATGCTCGCCTCTGCAAAGGGGTGATGTACTCATCGTCGCTTCGTAGTGAACTCTTCGACTGACTGTGAGCCAGCTGATGTGGGACTTTGCTTCCTGTAGTGCGGACACTGTCGCTGCTCTGCGTGCGGTATACCTGTGTCTCATCCTGGTTGCTGCGATTGGGTCGCTCACTGTATGCGCCCTTTGCGGCCGCTGCAGCTTCGCGTTCGCCTTTCCTCAAGATCTCTTCTGCCTCTCTTGCCGCGATGTCCTCATCACGCTGTGATTGGAGCATCTGCGCTCGCTCGCGAAATCCGACGTGGTTCGGGCTCGGGTCGCGGCTGTTCGCGGTCGAGTTCGAGGTAGACGCTCCGGCAGGCGGTGCTGACACACCCACCAGCTGGCGTGCCAGGCCAATGAATAGTCGCTGCTTCCTGCTCATCGGTCCCTTGTGCGGCGAGTAAATCCACCCACGGACATCAACATCCACAACGGCGTTGTCGTCTTCGTAGTTGTCCCACTGCTGCTTCCAAAACTCGGCATCGCCGGCGCCTATCGAGTCCCGTACATCTCGACCATCACCAGATGTCTCCTGTATAGTGCCCGGCGCTGCCTCCGGCTTCCGCTTGATGTGCTTGCGGGCATAGCTAGGGAAGAGGATCATCTCCTCCTCACCGCTGCGGACGATGGCAGCGTCAGGGAAGCTGCCCGGGGTATCGTCCTCGTAGTCATAGTTGGCTTCACGGCTGCTCCAGCCAGGCGCATATTGCTGCGTGTACGTCTGCCGGATCTCGTTCGCGGCCTTCAGATAGCCCGCCAGCTTACGCCGGCGACTGCCTGACTCGGCGCCCTGGTAGCTGCTCATGCTACCGTCGGTGCTCTTTGCCAGGTTCCTGCGTCTCAGCCGCGCCTCATTTTCGAGGTAGCCGTTACCGAGGAGTTTGCGAGCGTGGCCGCGCAGGCGCTGGAGGAGCCCCGCCTTCTTGCCGAGTTTCTTCGCCTGGCGGTAGACGATGTACTTGTAGATGCGGGACTGCGCGCGGTGCTTGAGCGAGGGAAGCGTCTTCTGGCGTAGTTTCGAGAGCTCGGCGCGTGCGCGTGCGCGGGTGTGGGGGAAGAAGAGGCGCAGGAGGGAGGCAGCGCCTTGGACGGACGGGGCTTTGCGGCGGAAGGGTGATCGCATTCAGGCAGCTCGGGCGGCCGCAGCTTTCTGTGGAGAACCACGAAACACAGAGGCAAATGGGATGCGGTGCGCTGTTCCGACCTGATGCGAAAGCTTGAATGCCATCCCTCAGACGTCATGTCCCATGTCCGTGCCACTAGTGCTCGTGGTCCAGAACATCCACAGGGCTGCGCTTGTCCGTCACCCGAGTCTCAACTGTGCTTGCACTGAATACGACATGTGAATTCAAGTAAGATTAATTATTGTGACACTAAAAGAGTGCTGCATCAAGAGACTTGGAAAAGGTGGGCACATCCTTCTTCAGCGCCTCGACAATCTCGTCCCAGATCCTCGACCCCAGCTCCTTCATCTCTTCCCCTGCAAGCGCAGGTGGTATTGGCTGGATCTGATCACTCTTCCAAAACCTCCCGTGGACTGACTCGCCTTGCGTTGTTCCACTCAGAATAGGATTCGCTCCCTGTGACGGCGACATCATCAGCAGGAAGATCAAGGCAGCGGCCACAATGTAGATGCCGGGAAAGTAGTGATCTCGCCCGAGATCAGTCATGACAGCTCCAGGACAGATTGATGTGATGATGACATCCGCAGAAGATACCTCGCTGGCGAGCTTGTTGGCGGCATACATCAGGAAAACCTTGGTGAACTTGTACTGGCTGCCTTCCTTGAAGTTCTCGCGACTGTTGTAGTGCTCCAGCACACTTGGCTGCTTTCGCACTTCAGTGGGCACGACTGCGCTTCGGTGGAGACCAGAGTTGACGAACTCTAGCACGGGTATCTTGCCGGTATAATGCTTTGACTGCTTCAGTTTGGGCAAAAGAAGGACGCCCAGAAGTACACTGGAGAGCGTGTTGACTTGCAAGTCCTCTTCCCAGCCGTGCTCGCCCGTCTGGTAGGATGACCTGTGCAGGCCAGCGTTCAGAATAGCGATGTCGAGATGTTCGAGCATCTGTGCACGCTCTGCGAACGCAACGACACTATCGTAGGACATCATGTCCAGCTCCCATACTTCCAGCTGATCATCGCGACCGAGTCGTTTTGCTAACTCGTCTTTAGTCGACGCGCCCTTCTTCAAGTCACGCGCGGCGATGATGACCTTGGAAGCTCCCAACGTAGCAAACTTGTAGACAGCTTCTTTGCCAATGCCTGAAGTCGCTCCTGTGACAATGATGATTCGGCCGCTGTAGTCTTCAGTCGTGACCTTGGGCGGCGTGATCCATTTAGTCTTGAACATGCGAAAGAGACCTGCCATGGTGGAGATGTAGAATGTGGATCGTGAGGAGCCTGGGTGGAGAATGAGAAGAGATGATCAAGATGTGAGCTGCTGTTCCATTGCAAGAGTATATGGCCCTTGCGATACGTCACTTAAATAGTTTCAGCTCCCACAAAGCACTGGTCCGCCGTCGAACGTTCGTCCGTTCGCGGACCGCGCGTAACGTCGTTGATCGGGAAGCTGCACGGCAGGATGAAGCTCGACAATCGCTGCTAGCCCTGGCTCGTATACGAAGCAGGAAGCGAGGGTTGGAAACGGAAGTGACGAAGGCCTCCAGCATGCCAAGCAATTTTAGCTTCGAGGTGCGTCAACGACCAGCGAACAGCAGCGGCGGAGACGAACAACAACGCGCGCAAGCCTCGCCATGCTGGCAGCACCTCCACACACATTCCGAAGCCGCTGAAGATCCCCCACGTACACGCCCCAAACACTGCGACACGCCACTGCGCCATGTCTTTCCCCAACCAACCCCACGGTGGCCCCGCCGGTGCTCCCCCGAACATGGCTCAGAACTTCAACGCCATGCTTCAGCGCTCCGTAGACTCTCCGCAGCCCGAAAATGCAGTGGATATCCCGGGGCAAGCGTCCTCAGGTCCAGGTACGCCTCAATGCCTGCAGGCGCACACACGAGCATGCGATTAACGAGCGCGAACAGGCTATGGAGGCGTATACAGCACCAGCGGGCCGCCGCCCTCAGGCCCCCCCGCCCTGGGCGGAGGAAGACCGTCGGGGCCGCCAGTGATTCTGCCCATCGATCTCCCACCACAGGCGTTCCTGACCTCGGCGATGCTGCTGGATATGGTTGACAGTAAGGGACTCCGCGCGGACACACTGGCCGCAACAACTGGCTGACACAGCTACAGAGAAAGTTGACGTCCTGCTCCGCGATGAGAAGGAGTACATTGGCATCCTCCGCTCCTACGACCAGTTCGGTATGCAACCGCCCGCCCGCACTTGTCCTACATGCACGCACTAACACCCCCCAGCAAACCTTGTTCTCACAGAATGCTACGAGCGGATAGCAGCGCGCAATCCCGACTTCGGTACCGATCCCACAGAACCGGCATGGCTAATACACGACGTCAAGCTTCCTGGCCTTATGACCGTACGCGGTGAGAACGTTACAATTTGCGCGACAGTAGACCTCGACCGCGAAGACACACCGCGCGGCGTCAAGTTCGCGCCCGTAGAGCAGGTTAGGACACTGGCCGCCCAGCAGAAGGCGGACAAGAAATCGGCGGATTCACGGAAAGCAAAGGCGCTGAAACAGGCAGGCATTGAGCCTGGGTTCGGCATGGCAGCATAGAGATGAGGGCACGAGGGTAGGGGCGAGCAATGGCAATGACGAGCAGAGCAGAGTTGAGGGACGAGCAAAAGCTCAGTAGCACGCGCGTAGCGCAGCTGTCTGGCACGAGTTATGAACTAAAAGCTTTGGTGTGGACCGCACAGCAAGGCCAGAGAAAAGGGAAAGAGCTTGGATAGCTACGCGGCTTGTCATATACATCAATGATACCAGGACCCAGATGTCCAACTGCGATGCAACTTCACCTCTCAACACCTGCCGTGCCGTTCTTCTTACCTTGCAGTAGCTACACATCACCATGCTGAATCTGTGCGTCTAGGCGAAATGTTCGCAAATCGCCAGTGGCCGGGGAACGGCTGTGCTCATAACAGGGCAGCAGAACTCAAACTCTCCGCAGAAACACCGACCATGCATCGACTTCCGTCTCTCTAGACCTCGCCACCCTGATACCGCATATCCCGCGGACCCCGACAACCCAGTCCTCTACCCCCCGACTGGCTCTAACCCTGGCTCTGGCCCTATCCCTGGCCCTGCTGCATCGGAGCCAGGCGTGCAGCTGTGCGTTCCTGCATGCATGGCATCCCGGAGGCTCGACCGGCGGGTGTGTAGCGAGCGGGCGGGAGCGTTGCGGCTCCTCAGTACCTTGCCGCAGCGGGCTGGCGGGGTGGCGCCGCCGGCGAGCATGGAGTCTGTCTGTGCGCTGCTGCGTGCCTGCGGGTGCTTGCTGCAATGAGTCGCGGCCGGGGGCGGCGCTGGGCCAATGGCGACAGGTATGGTGTGTCTGTGCCTGTGACTGCTGTGATGGTGTAGCAGTGTGCTGCAGGGCAGCTCTATGACATATGTGTACGGTGTGGAAGTAGCGGTAAGCTCGCGGCGCGGTGGCTTGTTGCGGAGATCGCTGCCCAGCGGTGTGGGTATGGCAGGTCGTATTCAGGGCGGAGGGGGTCCGGAGGTGTGGACCGGGTCGCTGGGTGGCCTGTCGTAGCGGGCGGATGGGGCCGCGTAGGGTCGTGCCGGGGCGCAGGTGAAGGACGAGGAATCTGGGGGGCTATATGAATCAGGCTGTTAGTGCTGCGGACTGGTATCTGTCTCGCTTGCTCTTGTTTTGTGTGCTGTCTGCAGAGCTTGCTGGGCGGCACACCCATGCCAACGACACAGAGCTCTGAAGCTGTGCGGGCCTCCTATACTGTATTTTCAAGCGTAGTGTTCTTTTGCTCTTCCATTTGACCGCGGTTTGGAAGCCTCGATGTAGTCCTGATTGTGTAGAGAGCTCACGGTCCAGGAGACTGGCGACTGCATTCGCTCCACCGATCAGGGCCCTTGCAGTGTCGATTCTAGCGCAAGCCTCCATGTGTCTTGACTAGCAGAACGCGTCGAGGCGGACGACAGCATTGAGGAGTAAGCGCACCAATGTACTGAGACTCCCAATAACTTCGGCTCAATGATCTTGTTCTTGGAAGGAGCGGCGCGCCCCTGGTGGCCGCTCGAGCGATCGAGCTGCCATGAGATCAAAGAAGCGCATCATCGATATAGCCTTTCGTTGGCTGGAGACGGCGCGCTGGATGCAAAAGCGCGTGAACAGGGTTCGAGCATCTACAATATAGGGAGGAGGTGCCGAGCAGATGGCGTGCGGGCTTGTCCTTTGCCGTTGCTGGACGAACACATAGTGGACTTCTCCATTGGCCTGCTAGAGATAGCAGAGGAATATAGGTACGAGTTACTATCCAGCACAGTAAGAGAAGGTCCGACGCGTCCCTGACTCCAGCGTGGCTGCTTTACTGGGATTAGGCCGTAACTAAACTCTAGGGTACCAGTGTTTGGTCGCGGTCTTGTCCCAGCAGCGAACGTCAGTCCATCACACTCCTTCATCGTGCTTCGGCCTTCCCTCATCTATCCGTCCTCACTGAGCCTATCTATGTACTTTGAAGGCCATCCACTGCACCAACGTATTCGAAGTCACGGCATATGGCATGTGTAGGCCTCTGCCACTGAGCACAGCCACCGCTACAGATTGCCTCGGAGCGAGGATTCAGGCGGCCAAATCCTTCTGGCAGACTCTGTCCGGCCCTACGACTTCGTTGCCGATGGCCTCAGATGCCAACATAATACCTTCGAGACTTGATCGACACACTACGAGGGGACACCAGGAACTAGGCCAAGAAGAGGCAGGAGCCGCTCAAGATCGCTCTTGTCTGCAAAGCAGGGATCACATGCATCGGTCCCTAGGCGTTCAAGACATATACTGGTCATCTGGAACACCCATATCACGGACCGCCACCGTAGTTGTGAGAGTGGCTGAGAGCTCAACGAGTAGTTGTAAGTTCGGACAAGTGCTGACAGGGTTCAAGTGAGAACAACAGTATCTTCAACCGGGAGGTGGCGCTGATTGCAGACTGGATCGCCAGCGATTAAACGATGAAAGTAATGGAACGACGACGATCGATAAATGATGCTCGGTTTCCCGAAGGGAAGACATTTGAAAGATGCTATGCAGCACAGGAATATTGCTACCTTACACGCGTTATGTATGGAGACCGAGGTCACACCCAGCTACGTACCATATGTTCCGAAAGAGGACGAATCTTGGGCCACCCTGTGTAACCGAAAACCTTCGCTTCCGCGTCACTGTGGGTTTGCTCCACCAGCTTCCCGCGATACGTGCAATCTGCCGCCGAACTATCGATCTTAATTCATATCCCTTTCTCAAGACGCAGACATCTTTAGCGATATTGTCTCCATCCTGATGGGCTCAAAAACGCCCTTCAGCATACACCCACAACATAGTATGTTCTCTGCTTACTGTCGCTCTAGGGTATCTCTTTCGAACGCCATGGAATCCTTTCACTCGCTGTCTCGTTTCGTAACCATACGGACACTATTGCGCAATCATGCGACACAACGTGCTGTCGTGGCTTTTACACATCCCGGATCGGATCATACGGGCGGGTCTCGCTTGGCGAATATTCCGAACGCTGAGGGCTGGACGACTGCTGCGTGCTGCTTTCCGGTGACTGTGTTTGAACTTGCATCGGCGACCCGGACGACGAGCCCTGCATTCCCTTTGTCATACTTCCTTCAGCTAAGCGTCCATCATTAGCCAGCGTTCCACGTGCAACCACCATGTCTCCCGGTACACCATGGCATGCATATACAAAGCAGGGTGTTCGCACGTACTGTATTTGCGTTGGATGTCGCGTAAGAGCTGCGAGACTCGCCACTTAAGAATGATCATCTCGACTGGCGGTATGCCCTCAGCTTGCAACCTTCTGTTGATCCTCTCCAGCAATCGGTGCTTCTCATCTGAGGGTATCAGGATCCATCTTGTCCACTCTTCGTGAGCGTCGGCGAGCTGCTTCGCTTCGTCCTTCGTTATGAACTATTCTCGTCAACCCCACGCGTTGGTCCGGAACGACACCCTGCAACTCACGTAGAACCGGTCCCATTGCTCTCTATTGTGCCCTGCGGCAGCCCTGGCCTCATTTACAGTTGCATTAATCCGAATACTCATGTTGGGTTGGGTACCCTAGGTCGGCAGTACCGATTGAGGGGAGGCCGTAAGATTCTGGAACCACGAGAAGCCTGAGGAGCAAGAGATTTTAGGGCACAGCGGTCGACTCCCCGCTTCCGCCTAGTCTTGGCGGGATTTGTTTTTAGGGAAAGCCGATGTAAGTGACAATGACGGTCTTCGCAGTGTTTGGGCCTGAGGTGGTGGCAATCGGCGGTGGCTGAAATGCTTGTGCGTTGTGTCCGAGTGGTTGTTATTGGCAGGTCCATTGGTGGTAAGAACGGCAATTCCACGACTACATTGTTTTTCTACGTTTCTTATGCGAGACGTTGCATCTCGTGTCATATTGCTCCGGTCATGAGCACGCATCTAGGCTCGATATAGCTTCCAGATTCGACGGTCAAGCAATGCCGCCTGTAGAATCGCCTCGGCACGGACGCAGCCTCTTCGGCTTTGCTCCTTCCTTCCTGCTTAGAAGACGATCAAGCTTGCTTTTCAGCTAGCGTCTGCCCTGGAACCGACAGGCGTGGCACAAATACATAACACTTGGGGTCCTGTCCACGCCTTTGCGACATTGCCTGATCTCGCTTGTCCGCCAAATACCGATCGTTCGCGGCAGCCAGGAAGATGATTCGTATGGTCACCATTGATGCCCAAGGACGGGGAATTCAGTAGGCGCATCCGGTTACGGTCAGGTAGATCAGCCGCCTCATCGGGGCTCGGACGAACACGCATTGCACCCCGGCCCGATCCTTTAACGTGCGGCAACTTCAAGGGCCATCCTTGGGCGTAAGTCGTAACACCAAACACCAAAAGCCTTTGACGAGGGCCGATGCGCATCAATCTCTTTTCTTTCAACCAATGTCTCACTTTCTTTTTATGAATATCAGACGTCCGAGTGTACAGCGCGAAACAAGTTACGTTCCTTGCTTCGTTTGGTGGAACATCATGCATGAATTGTAGCCAAATTCTGTATACGACACATGCGGCCTCATTCACTCGGTCTCATTATCCGGTTTGCATACGATGAAATTATCACGGAGTCAATATTGACATTACTCACAGCCACTGTCCCAACATTGGTGCTAACTAACTTAGTCCATTGCCTCAGGGGAACGCAAGGCCCGTGAGCCTCAGATTACCTACCGCTTACAACAGCCACCCGCAACGGGCTTTCTGATGTAGCACGCGCGAGCCAGATCCCACGTCTGATGACATACAGTTTTGATCCCATGGCGTGCATACGTGAGATCCCGTAACACTGCATGAGAAAGGCTGAGAGGATTTTTCTTGTGACCAGATCATCGACGCAGCAGCAGCACATGGTACCAGAAATGGCAAAGCGCCGGCTTCGAACTCCAGGGACTTTACTTTTGGAATATTGATCGAACCATCAAGAGTCCTGGAAGCCATATACGGGAGTCGGGGCCGCTCGACTAGCGCTATTGAGGTTTCGCAGCATGGTAGCACACCCGGTTCTGCGGTTCAGCTGGCTGCATTCCATGCGCATACGATCCTGTGATAGCCCAACATGACCAGGTTACGGGGTCGTGGAGCATCAAAGACTCTTCCACAAACAGCATAAAGTTCGCTCCGCAATTGCTCCAGCGTGTGGAGCAACTCCGTTGGGTGGGATTCACTGTACATCATATCCCCATGTGGCAATTGCTCGTCAGACCCACGTTCGCACCTAATTCTGGCTGTGTGATCCTCACCGGATCACTGCAATTAATCGCATCTTTGCGAGCCTTCCTGCCTGCGAGCCGCTCGTTCGAAACATACTACAGCCGTCAAGCGCGGTAGGCGTCAACGCCTCCGGTAAAAGAAACACACATCCGCCCTCTCATCAACGAACCTGCGCACATAATCTCTTCAGTCTGCTGTGGACATTAGGGCGCGCCTTATTCCATCACTGCTTCGCCGTTGTAGTCGTTGTGCATGCTCCCACCGGCCGGCCTAGAATCGCATCCCTTTGTAATCCCCTCGACATGGACTCCTCCGCAGACCCGCGAGATCGGAAATACTGCCGTCGAAGGAGCATGTTGATTCTATAATCGGCGGCCGCAGATTATTCGGGAGCGATCCCTCGTCGATACAAATCTCCGAAGCGCCGTCAGCCTTGCATTGCTGCCTTACCTGCGTGCTCTTCTCCGCAGCCTCGCATCTCGATCACGATAGTTCCAGGGGCTGGGTTGTGCAGATGGCCGTACATTTGGCGATGTATCGGGAAAGCAGTGACGCTCTGCACAGGCATGTTCGACCGGCTCCTTGGCAGCGCACGGGTCTGCCGGTAAATGGAAACGATCGAAACCGCATCGGTACTGCGTATGATTTGCCAATCACACGCATTTAGGCCGAGTTGTGCCCTGATTGGCCGTGTTAGTAGGAAGGAGATCCCTCAGATGTGTGCCAAGGGGAAGTGTCTGGGTGCAGTACACGGTAGGGCCTGAGTCGCGTATCCGGCTGCCGACCACCCGTCCTCTTTTCGGCATCCCGGAAGCATCGTCAACTCCCTATGCACGGCCGTGGAAGATTACAGTGGCACGCAAAAGTCGCCGCCCATGGGCAAATTGAGCACGTTGTAGCAAGGGTTAAATATCAGGGCCATGGGCGATGCGATTTGTGAACTGCCGTGGTTTGATTCAAGGTATATGTACATGAACTACAATGTCTTCGTCCGCCAATCCTCCCCCTCCACTGTCTGGTTCCAAGCGAATGTAACGAATGGTCTGCACAGGCGCCATTCAAGTCTAAGATCATGATCTAACATCTCACCATCGTTCCTGCGTTCTCCCAACACAAAGCATCTAGAACTTGTACCCGCTGGCGCTGGCCTTGACGGTCTGCACCACGGTGACGGTGCTGGTTAGAGTGAGGACCGAGGTGCTGTTGACGGCCGCAGTCTGCGCAGTCACCGTGATGGTGGGCGTGAAGGTCACAGTAACGGGAGCCTGAGTCGAGCAGCTCGGCTTCTCCGCCTCGGCATCGACATCGTCGCCAGAGTTGCTGGGGGCGGTGGGGTAGCCGGTGTTGCCAGCAGGCACAGCAGTGGTCTTGGAAGAGTGGTGGAACTTGCTGTGGTTGTGGCCGTGGGGCTTCCTGCTTGCCGAGCCGGTAGGGTAGGAGGAGTAGGAGCCAGTGGCAGTGGCAGCAACGGTGGAGTTGCCGCTGGGGAAGGGGAAGGGGGCAGAGATGGACTCGACGGCTGCGGGGGTGCTGCTGGCGTCGCTGCCAGTGGGGTAGGCATCCTCGGCGCCGACGACGCCCTTGTTGACGAAGCTGATGCTGGCGGCCGCGGCACTGGTGCTGCTGCGGACACGACGAGTGCGGCTGGAGGAGGGAGTGACTACCGAGCTAGCAGGGGCAGAGGTAGAGACAGCGTCAGGCTTGACGGAAGAGACGGCAGATGCGACGTCCGAGGCAGCAGAGGAGGCAGCAGATGCAACAGAGGAGGCTGCGGAGGCGGGAGCGCTGGTAGCGCCGGCGACGGGAGCAGCGTTGCAGCCCGCACCAGAAATAGCGGTAGCACGAGCAGGGCCAGACTGGATGGGGTTGCATCCAGGGAGCTTGTCGACCTTGGTAGTGGCAGAGTTGTCAGTGCCAGCAGAGCACTCGGCGAAGCCAGCGTCCTTCTCATCGTTGACCTTGTCATCGCCGAAGCACTGCTTCATCTGATCGTTGCCGCAGCCGCAACCGCAGTTGCAGCCACCGGTCTCCTGAGTAGCCTTGCCAAGAACACCCTTCTCCCAACCGTTGAGGAAGTCAGCGTGCATGGCGTAACCGGTGGGGTCACCGTTGGACAGGACCCAAGGAGAGGAGCTGGAGCTGTACTGGCCGTTGAACGAAGAGATGTCGTACCAGAACTCGATAAAGATGGTAGGGAAGCGAGCAGCACGGTGAGTGGTAGGGCAGTTCTCGATACCGACGCCCTGGCCGTTGGTAGGGTAAGCCATGTGAGCACTGGGGCTGCTGGGGTTCAGCTTCTGGCCGTTCCAGCACGAAGGGAAGGTGACCTCGGAAGCGAAGCCGTAGTTGCAGGACTGGAAGCCAGTAGGGAAACCGTTGGTGAAGATCTTGTCATCGCGGCCGTCAGGCTGGTGGCACGCCCAGCGGACGCCAGCCGGGTTGTCACCGTCAGAGCGCTTGAATGGGTCACCAGCGATCATGTTGAAGTCCTCTGGGAACTCAGTGACGTTGGCCCAAGCACCCGACTCGCCGAACTTGTAGTAAATCTTCGCGGCCTGCTCAGGAACACGGTAGAAACCAGTGTTGTTACCGTTCCAGAAAAGGGTAGGGCGCCAGTAGAGGGACTTGTCGGGCTTTATGCGGGCAGTGGTGCAGGTGGATCCCATCTGGCCATCGAAGTTCGAGGACGCAGCGAGCGCGTTACCGCCATCGAAGGAGTGAAGATGAGGACTCTCGGTTCCGGGGAAGAGAGCAGGGTCAAGACGCTGGTAGGACATAGGTCCAGCGCGGTTAAAGAAGCTGAAGTAGTGGCCACTGCAGTCAAAGGCAGAGGCGGTGGCGGCCATGGCCGCCGTAACAGCAAAGATGTTGGTGAGCATAATGTCGTTATTTGAAGGGGTATCAGGATATCAGATCGTTGGAATGAACCGGTAAAGGATTGCTTTTTGGTGTTTGAAATGAGGGTTATCGAGTCTCGGACTCTAGATCAATGAGTGTGGGTGAAAGAAAGAATGAGTGGAAGGTATTCCTGTACCGGAGGCCGAAGAGTGTGCAGAACAGCGACAAAGATCTCTTATCTGAAGGGGCGCATTGTGTAGATATATGTGAGCGCGCTGTCTCAGCACACTGCAGGTTGCCTAGGCGTGGTAGCCACCTCGATAAAGGGCCAGCCAGTTTTGGGTTTAGTTTGGGTGACAGAGTTTCCTAGATCCGCCTAGGTGCATCTCTACGGATGTGGATCACAGCCCCGGCGAGCCGCGCGCTGATAGAGACGGAGTCCATGTCTTGTCAGGGGCTGGGCGCTGAGATCCGATGACTCGTGAAGATCTCAGTGCCTCATCAGCCGCCAATGTCTACAGCGACGTCCATCACCGCAGACTTCGGATTGGCTTGCAGACTCGGCGCATGCGTGTTTGCAAACAACGGCACTGTAAGGTATCGACAAGAACGAAACGTCGACATGTGTTGGTCCCTGACTAGAAGCGCCTAGTGGCACCTCCGTCGCACGCGAGAACCGACAAGTGGCTGATCTTCAAACATTGCTGCATGCCCCTGCCTAAAATTGCAGCCAGCGGATCTTCGTTGCGCGCTCTTATTTGTCGAAGATTTACTTAAAGCTGCATTTCTTTTGTAATGTGGAAATTAACTGAACAAACATGTGGATGTTTCGCACACTCCAGCACAGACGAGAACGGATCTTCGCAAGGTGTCCCCGCTGCCGGCAGTCAAGGAAGAAGAAAATCATGACGCTGACAGCGATCGTAGGTGCGGCTCTCAAACCCTGCAACTTGCAACCGGTTCGGCGACGGCTTTGGCGTTGATAATCGGGGTTGACCAGGACTTGAAAGGTACATAAACGCCTCCCCTGAGAGCTGCGTTATGACGCGCGAACAACGCCTCTCGGTCACAGTCAGTGCCTGCAAGTCAGAAACGAGACACCATCATTTACCAGTCTTTGTTAGCTTGCAGGCGCAAAACCTCCGCTGCTCAGCTTTCGCGACTCAGATGCTCGGTCGAGCACGGCCAGCGACCACCGGGTACCTGACGTCGGCCCGCTTCCAGCGTCGATGACCTTCTGTACCTGACTGATTGCCCAATAGCTGCAAGTTGACAGGTCAGTATCGATAAGGAGGTCGTTGACCCACATCGGGTTCGAAACTTAGCTTGGGGTTGCGACAACGTGCAGGTGTCTAGAACCCGCAGATCAGAACTTGGACAGCGCCGTTGGGAGCATGTGGCGCTCGTCAGCGAGCTGGCGAAATCCCACTTGCAGACTCTGAGCCTAAACATGTCAACAGCATGTGAAGGCTTGCTTATCGTGCATATACTTTTCGGGGCGCTCCTTTCAGGGCTAATCGTCCACTGGCAAGCGACCCGAACCGCCCGTATGCCCGGTTTTGCCAGCACAGTCACTTCGAGGTCTAACGCAGTCAGAGTCCATCTCCGATACCTGTACTTTGGCATCGTCGAGTATACATCAGCCATGTCACCATTTGCCGATTCGCTATGAAGGAATACCATGATGAGAAAACAGCACAGTGGTCTCGATCGAGGACTTACGCTTACAGCTTCTCCACACCACCTCTACGACACAGGAAGCCGGTTGGAGGGCCCGGCATTAGTCGCTGCACTGTCGGGCCTTCGATCAAAACCGATTCGTCAACAGCACTTCTCACCGGACGTCCGTGGAGTCGCTTTGCGCGCGAGTAGCCGAGATGTTGACGCGCGGTTGCTCGTCAACGATCGTCTAAAGCTCAAAACTCTGCGCTTCCAGGTCATCCGTTTCTGCAGTCGAACGGGGCGGCACAGTCTGGCGCACTCTGGGCCACTGCATGACCCATTGCGATCGCTAACCGCAAACCATGCGTCACTGGAGTCGGAGCCTAGCACACTCATGCCGTCTTTACGCCAGGCTCTGGCCGAGGTTGACTTGACGATTCATGACTACCGCCACCTCACGTGCACCAGGAAGATTGTCCCATCTTCGACGTCATTTTATCGCCGCTCAAGTGAACTTAGACAAGAAGGGACTGAAGGGTGTATGGCTTCGACTCCGGCCGAGGCGAAGCAAGCTGCGCCGTAGAAGAGTCACCTCAGGCCATCGTAAGTACAATCATCGTAAGTACAGCGCTCGACAAAAGAGTGTCATTGCGGAACGAACGTTGGCAGGAGCTACACACGATGCCAATCAAAGCAAGTATCGTTTAGAAAGTACGATACTTATCAGGCAACTCCAAGACGCCGAATTAACTGAACGACAAGATTGACACCTTCGTATTGATGCAGGTACGACAGCGGCAGCTATCGAATGTGGGCCACGCTAGTAACAACACTTGACCACTCACAAGACATCCAGCCCGGACTTGGGATGATAGAATGCTGTATGGATCTATTTTTTCTATCTTAATGTGTAGCTCTTTGATTTTGATTCTTGCGATACCTTTCCCTCAACGCACCTCGGCCTCCACTGTGCAACATCTTACACTTCATCCAGGCACATCTTGTTATACCTACTCATTACATACATTTCAACGGAGTCATTCAGCTACATCTAGGTGACTTATTGGCTGTCAAGTGGCTGGCCAGACGTGCCTGCGGGCAGAGTGGCTACAAGTTCGCTCTGTTGACCTTGTTGTCTGAATAAACAATATTAGCAGACCTGTATTATGTTCATACAACATGCAACGCAATAATGAGGTAAGACTTCGACTTCATTGTAGTCTACAAGTCACGCTTTCTCACCTAACAACACACCCTGAAGCTCGCTAGCAGACGACAGAGTCCTAGATTAATGTCTCTCTATTCTGCTTGTAGGCCATGTCCAATCTAGCTTCAAACATTCCCTTAATTACTTAAAAGGTTTGACAGAGTAAACAAAGTAGCTCTACGACTCTCTCTAGGATCTAGCTAATACCGTGATCCGCGTTCTTGCCTCGGTTTGGGAGGCGAAACGGTCTTCATCATGTGCCATTTACCCAATCAGCGTTCTGCTATCCGGTTCTATTACCATTATCTACATACATGTTAGTATCTAGAGTGTTTCTAGAGCAAGTAGGACACCTAGTATTACTATTTACAAAACGTATATGCACCCTCTCTTCTAGCATACAGCGTAGGAAGAAGTGATGTTAGGGACTTCCTATGTAGGTTGAAGTGTTAGATTACACGGAGTCATCTAGGTATAGACAGATGGCTTCATGGCCGTGATAGGTATATTTTGTATCCTACAAAAATGTCAAGTAGCTAGTTAGGCTTGCTTAGGTGCATATATAGTGGCTACAACCTCTCCACCTTGAGCTATATTATCTTAGCACGATGTACGACGACTCTTTGCTGAACATACTCCGAAAAGTATGTCACACCCTGAGATCGAAAAAATCGAGAACACTTCTCAATTACCGCTGTAAGGACCGGCAGTCTCGTATGTCTTGCGTGTCGCGTTCTTGACAACATTAGCTGGTGCCAAATGGATCGCATTTCTGTTGCCAACACAGCCGAAAGTCCTCCACGAGAGGTATCTGACCAACCGCATCATGCTTGTGGTTGGTACCTTTGAGTTCATGGGGAGGTTCTGTTACGCAGGATCTACTGGAGTAAAGCTAAACCAGCCAGGGGGGTCGGGGATTGCATCAAGTGCTTCTCTCGGGAGCGACGACTCATCCATCTGAACCTTCAGCCAAAGCTGAGCGTCTCTGTCCACGCAGTCTAATACGAATTCTGGTAGCTTTACAGCCCATTTTGTACCACCGCGCATGTCATGGCTAAGACCAGGCGTTGGTGACAGACAGTAAAAGCCGTATGTCATGTCATTGTGTTGGAAGACGTGACGTAGAGTGCGAAAGTCAAAATTAGGTATCGCTCGGGTAAGAGCTAGCATCTCCAACAGTGTGCGAAAGCCGGAGAAGGGGCTTCTGTACACTACCGGGTCGGGGAATTCAGTTTCGCTGATAGGCAGTAGGTACTTGTTGAGGAGCCGACAAGCTGCAGTGCCAACTCTATCTGCATCCATCTGAGTTGGACAGACGTCATCGGTGGTTGTGAAATTGTGCGGACCACCCCAAGCCTGGCACAGGGGTATATATACTGGTAGTCTGTTAGTCCATATATAATGGACAGTATTTTAAGTGGTTCCTGCTTATAGTTGCAGCCTGCATGCTATCAAACCAGTATTAAATAGCTAGGGTGGTCCGCACATTTTTACAACGACTGTAATGTGGAGAGGTCCACCAACGACAATCTCCTGACCTTATGGATGGGGCGGGGCTGGTGGCCTTTGCTGGGTAACACGTTTTCGTAGATAACCTCGGTGAGCCTTTGAGTTGGTGGGCGACACTTTGGGGAAGGAGAAGGATGACGCGATTATTGCCAGGTAGGACGGTATTCCATATGAATAGTCTCCACGTCTTGATGGTCTTACGGTAAGCCTGAAACTTCGGTGTCTGTCGGTTTGGTGTTTTCGATAAACTTGGTGTCATCACATCCCCCGGCTGTGGGTCCCAGTTGATGTCTACTGAGGCTAACACTGCCACGTGCCTGAAGTCTCTTCCAGGAACATCGGCAAGGTCAGCCAATGGTTGGATATTTGTGTGTGTGAAGCCCATGCGAAAAGGTTTGACAACATTGTCCTCGTCGATTGACAGGCCGGCAACAGATTCGAGCCACACGTTGATGTTAAACATTTCCGCAGACGAAACTAGCCGGAGTGAGTGACCTGTAGGAGCTGAACGTGCTTTTGCTGTCGACGAGACTGTGTGCGGTTGTGCTGTTGACGGAGCTGCGTGTGGCTGCTTTGTTGGCGCGTCGAATTTCCGGGCGGTCCTACGCTTCTTGAACCCTCTCTTGTATGTGGTTCGTCGCGCAAATGGTGAGAGTTTGGATCCTGTTTCAGCGTCATCTGTGGAGAGCTCATCCCTGGTAGGCGAGTTGATGTGCGGGTGCGATTGGTTTCCTGTATCGGAATCCTCCTCGCTTCTTATTTATAATTTATAGTCCTCGTCCAACATACTTGCATTGGCTCGGAGCTTGCAAATGCTACGCAGGCTTTCTTGTAGCTTGTCGTGCAACGTCAGTGGGACTGTGGTGGTAGGCAATGAGGCTGACATGAGCAAGAAAGCGGCGAAATCGGTGAGGAGAAGGTGAGAGACAGCCGTATCAAGACAGATAGAAACCCGGACAGAAAAGTTTTCAAGCAAACGGGGTGGAAGTCACGCTGAACAGGCAACAAACGGTCTTAGCGCGGCGCGCGCCCTCGAGACCTTCGCAACTTCACTACACCAACTACAACGACATTCGCAAAAGGTTTATACAAGATGGCAGACAACCCGTACGAGGAGAAGCTTCAAGCTGCAGAGCTGATGTTCGATGACGATTCAGAGGAGTGTGTTCGACTGGCCAAGCTTAATCTGATGTCAGTAACTAAGCAGGCAGCGTGAAATGATTCTCACATGTTACAGCGAACCCGGCCTCCCTGCCTACTACGACATCCAGAACCGCATTCTCATCTCGACTGCGTCTGAGTACTGGAATGAGGCCCACGAGTGGAGGCAAGATGCTCATCGAGCATATCAGAAATTTCATACGAGGGCTTTACGTGCGCAAGATATAGCCACGCTGGAGGTAGTCATGGCATCGAGCCATCGCGGGTATTTTGGCTAACACCCTACAGTCACTGAAGCACCTCCCAGAGGAGTTGGAGGAGTTGGAAGAGATAGTCGAGGGATACCTCACTGAGATCATAGACAAGGAGTATGAGGGCATGCCGCAAACGCCTCCAGAGGAGAGGTTGAGGATTTTCTACGACGGTGAAGCATCCGATGTATCCAACGACGAAGCAGAAGACGAACCTGTTGTCGAGACCGAACAGAAGGAATTCATCCTCTCGTTTCGCGGAGGCTAATCTCGCGGAGGCCTGTCTCGTGCATCTCCATCTCGCGCAGCCCCATCTCGCGCGGCCACCGCCGCCCTGGACGTCACTGCAACATCCACTCCAGGTTTCTTACGAGGCACGGCTTCTTCTGTGGCAAAGAAGCGTGGTACTCCGACCGAATTTGACACACGAGTTCAGAAGAAACAGGGCAAGAAGGAGGATGGTGGAAAGTAACGTATCATGGACGTCTAGATTCTTGGAGGCGACTTACCCACAGTGGGGGTAACCATTGAGACTTTGATCAATGAAGAACAGCTACACTACTCTCCTGGAGCTTCAAACTTGCTGAATGCATGCCGCGTCAGCACCATGTATCAGCCCAACACGTCTACCCATGGCCACTGTAGTTAAGTCCTGCTCGTGCACATGAGTTAGTCCATAGTTCTGGGTCGTCAAATCAACGTAAGCTCAATCTAAAGCGTAAGACTTGCCAACCCCATATCCTTCTGATTTCCTCATCTTTAACCACTGTCGACATGCCTTGCTAGAAAATTTTGAATGATGTATTCACTGTATCGGTGCTTGTCGACATGTGCTGACCACCCCCTAGCTTGGTACAGTATACTGTCACAGTCACAGGACAGATAACTACGCATCCCAATTAGCTGAACAGCTATAGAATGCGTGTGTAGGATGTAAGGGAGGACTAGACTCTATATACAATAGTAGTATAGGGCACCTGTAGGGGGTAAGAGAGACTAGACTTCTCTATACCTATAGTACTACCCTATAGATAGTCTACCTAGGTAGTAGCACTTTTACTCATGCACGAGACCTTCTGGCAAGGCTTCCCACTTTGTATACCAAAACAGGGGTGGTCTGCACATTTCGGCCAGCAGTATACTAAACATTTGACACAAGTTACTCTAATATCAAGCCAGTAATAAGACTACCAAGTCTTCAAAGCAAGTCATCCGTGAACAATGCAAGAGCACTCTAGTAGTAACTTAGCGAGTCATCGTTCATGAGCACAAAGACTGAAATCAAGGAAGAAGCAAGCCAAAGTATCAAGATCTGAACACATCATCCTTTCTTTGCTCTGTAAGTTGTTCTTGTACCTTCTTTCCTGCCACCATTCTCATACCCCAAGTTTGACCTCGTTCATACTGACCACATCCAGGTAAAGAAACACCCAGAATACTTACAAGACAGCAATGATAGGCGCCGGCACAGTGTTAGGCAGTAATATATATCAGAGATAGTCCAGGGTGTGTAACATAATCTACGAAGCTTCCACGAGAGTCCCATGTTTCCAAAGGATGTTTCAGATGATGCATTTGAGCACAAACTCGGAAGGAGGAGAGGGACCTCGCTGGTTCGATAAAGCTACTTGTGATATCATAAGCCGCTATAATTTGAAGCTCGTCACTGATAATATTTGCAACGGTACGTACGTAGCATGTGGGATCGAGATTCATTTGCAGCGGCCATTTGTTACTAATGCGCGTGGGTGACACTTTGGCTCCATACTGTCATAGCCCGTGCAAGAGACGACTTATCTGGATACCCAAAGGCACCAACTGCATGGGGTGTTCTTGCAGTGGCAGCTGAGTGTTAGTGCTTTTCCAAAGCTAAGCCCGTTTACGAGGGCAGTTTTTGTTCGCAACGCCGACCTGCAGCAATGCATGCCACGCTAGCGTATTGATAAAGCCAATGTACCGGGATAGCATAACTTATATGATGATCGGAGGCCGAGCCGTGGTCGGTCAGTGACGCTGTCGGAGATTTGGCTGACACTACTCAGCCCATGTGATCGGAGGTCCAACTATCCAACCTCCAATCAGAACTAGTCAAGACCTGAGCATTGGGGGTCTGGATGTCGGAGTTTCATTGATTTGTATGCATGCATACACTATCGTCACTTCTCAGTGCAGAACGGGCTGTGATCCAAGAACAATGATTCGACATAGCCAACGTATCTGCTGTCGTAAAGCCAGCCGTTCCCTTGTCTAGAGTGAATCAGCGGGATTTTCAGTAAGCACGCCTGCCTTATCGAGGACATCGTCAGATAGTATAGTACAAGCTGAAGCGAAGTATACGCAAGGTTGCGTTTTCAAGCCCCCGAGCACTCGACTCATGTGATCGGAGTTTCGCTAACCCTTGCCTGGCCTCAAGCTTGAGGTCCGACTCCCAATTGTGCTGCTATCGTTCGCCGGTACGAGCCTGAATACGATATTCTAGCGGCCTTCTCGCTGTTCTAGTGTACTTCACGCTCAGGCCACCAGTGAATGTCGGAGCTCCTTTCTCGCCTATCATTGGCCGATATAGTGCCGCCTGCTCAGTCAGCTTCCCCGCGCCTTCCATGCGTTTTCTAGCGTATTTCCTGGTTTGACGCCTCCGGCCGAGAGGCACCAAGCTACCCCAAGTTTTGCCCAGAAGCCACTTTCATGGCGGGGTCAAAGTGTGGAGGCTTGGGTTGCATATGTGTTCGTGATGCACGCGGGCTGATCGCGCCGCTGACGCTTGGACCAGCATTGAGGATGCGAGTGAGGCATCTCGAATGCTGATCGGTGACGCGCTGTGATGTGTGGAAACGTTGTGAGTGAGACGGATGAAGGGCGACGCAAGGGACCCAAGGTGCGGGGCTGAGCAATGGCGTGATCGATACTCTCGATGGCATCGATGGAAGCCGCGACAAGCATCGTGACTTGCCTGAGAGTGTGCTGACGTTGTTACTGTAGAGTGCGTGACGCTGTGACCGCGTATGCAGAAGTGTTAGATGAGATTAGGATGAACTATTTACCGAGAGAAAGAAAGAATGGCTTGCAGCTTGTCGAACACCAATCTCACTGTACTGCATGCACCCACTTGGCAAACTGCAGCATCAGGCATCACGGATCAATGATCTTATCAGAATCTTTTTTTCTTAGGGCATGTGCGTTTGACCGGAGTTGCTTGGTGATGGTTCTGCAGCTCATCAGTGTCAAGTGTTTGGTCAGACTTGCCTAGATGCAGCAGGTGTTTTGACGAGATAACATTAGCATGCGCATACAAGAAGTGGCACGGTTTTTTGAGTATTAACAGATATCATATCGGCATTGCTCTTAAAGTAGAAGCGTTCTAATAAAGAACCAGCGCTCTAATTCGCTTTCTCATAAATCGTAAATCAATCGTAGCCGACCAAATCCAGCGCCACCAACTTGCAAAGTGCTCGCGCATGTAGTGAACAGATCTTGCACACATTTAGTAGACGAAGAAGGTCTGTACCTCCTCGCCCGACTCGCGCATCGCCTTGTTGCGGCGCATGAAGATGATCTTGGCGACCCACGCAGTGAGGAATGTGGCGATGGAGAAGGCAGCGGACGACGAGAGCGCAATAACGTAGCGGGGAGCATCGGATGTGGGCCACAAGTATGGGGTCCAGATGAAGGAGGCGTTCATGACAGTCGTGACAATGCCAATTGCGACAGCCTTCTTCTCAGGAGTCTGACCGCAGGTGGAACCGCACCAACCCAGGATAAGAGAGTTGACACCGTAGGTACCAATGGTAAAGATAATCATGGCAACATAGCGGCCTGCAACACCGAGGGGCGCGCATGCGACGAGGAAACCGACAGTGGCAACGATCTTGGAGATGGTGATATGCCATGTGCGCTCGTTGAACTTTCCAGACGACCAAGAGACGGCGATCGTAACGGCACCAGCGATGAGGTAAGGAGGGCAGGTGAGGACAAGAGTGATGGTTCGGTTGAATCCAAGGGTCTTGACTACAGTGGGGAACTAATATCGTTGTTAGCGTTGCTTTCACCACCACCACGACCACCACCATGACCAGGGCATTGCCCCAACCACCAACACAACCAGAGGAGACTTACGAAGTTCTTGAAGCCGTTGGCAGCTAAATGCATATGAGCCATGAAAGCGAAGATCCAGACCATGGGATCCTTTGCAGCCTGGCGGAAACCAGTCCAGACGGATGTGTCCTCGCTCTTGCCAACAGTATCGATGGCCATGCGAGATACAGCGAGGTCGCGCTCAGCCTGAGTAAGCCACCAAGTGTTGTGAGGGAAGTCGGGAAGAAGGAAAAATCCGACGATGGCGATCAAGAAGGTGACGATACCCTGGAGGATGAAGAGCCATTGCCATCCAGAGATACCAGCGACACCACCAAGACCCTCAAAGATACCAGCAGCGATCAGACCAGCGAAGGCAGTGGCAAGGATGTTTCCAGTGTAGAGGATAGCAATGCGAGTGGCGACCTCCTTACGGTTGTAGAACATGGAGAGGAGGTAGACAGCACCAGGGTAGTAAGGAGCCTCAGTGACACCCAAGAAGAAGCGGGTGAGCAGAAGGCCCTTGAAGTCCTTGGACAGAGCAGTGACAGCGGAGACGACAGCCCAGAGCATCATGCAGATACCCATGTAGCGGGAGGGACGAGTTCGGTTCAAGAACATGTTGCTGGGAATTTGGCCAAGCAGGTAACCGACAAACAGAATAGACACACAGGTCTGGTACTGTGTGCTGGTGAGGTTGAGATCCGCCTCAAGGTCGTCCAGACGAGCGAGAGCGATAGCGTTGCGGTCAAGGTAGTTGAGCCAGTACATGGACCACAACATGGGCATGATCCATCGGTCCAGCTTCTTCACAAGGGCAATTTCCCTAGGGTCGGTTTTCTGGACAATGTCAGTAGGAGTTGGTCAATAGCGAAAGTGTAGACATACCTCGTAGGCACCTGAGTAATCGACCTTTGCGATGGCCGGAATGGACTTCTCTGGGTAATCATTGGTTCTCTGCTGCTCGAGCATGACAACCTCGTTGTCCTTCTTATCGGAGGAAACCATATTGAGTGTTGTTTCAGTGGAGAGTGATGAAGAGAAACAAGTCGATCTCGAGATACTAGATCTTGAGTGTGAAGTGGAGTGATGGAGAGGACCAGTCAATCTGCAGAGAGCACTGATGATCTGGGGAAGCAAAACCTGGGGATGCGGAGTAGATCTTTATACAACCACGATACCCAGGGCACCCTTCGTGATACATACACATCAGTTCCCGTATCGGGTTGGCGACAGCCCGAAGGATCTCGACGACTCCAGGGATCCGTTTCAACGCATACCAAGACACTTGTTGGCGCTTCTCCCGGCCGCCTTGGAGTTTGAGGCCGCTGCTGCATGGCTCCTAGGTTTTAGCGGAAGCTCCGATGGCAATTGCCCGACTCAGCCTCAGGCTTAAACACGGAATACTCTAAGAGGCGTTTGGATCGGAGGGATGGGCCACTCAGACAGTTTCTGGGCATTACTAGCGGTCTGCGCCAATAGCTCGTGATGTTTACTGGTCCCTACCCAGCGAAGGTCCGATGTTTCGCTTAACCTCTTTTGCTACCACCGATCGAACGCACTTTTCTAGAGCTCGGTGGTCACCACGATACGGGAGCCACGCATGCAGCCAGTGGCAAGCGTCTCGTTTTCATTCCTGCGCATTTGACATCATTCGTGACTACCTATTGTCATACCCCAGTCTCTTGACTTTTGATCTCTTTGCGCCGATCTCAGTAGCCAAACAGTGATTTGACCGCGAGCGACCAGCGGAATACTTCTCTGGGAAGGACGAGCGCATACCAAGGCCTTTGCCACCCCATCAAACATCAAAATTTCGCGTTTGGAGACACGTTCACCGGCAGATGCATTACTCGTTACAAGGTCCGGTGACGAGCCCAGAGACCAGCCTGACGCTTTGCGCTCTTGTCGCCATCGAAGAGACACCAACTGGCCATGGCAAGCCACAAGTTTCTTGGAGGTGGACAGGGTGATGGTTTTGAGTGCAGAGGTTGGCACAGAGGCGTCCCACTACGTGCTAGGCCAAGCAGGGCCCAGACTTCCCCAAGATTTATCTGGGGCTTTAATGCGGGGAAGCAACCGGGCGCTCTCAGCACGCTGCATGCGGGACGCGCTCGTGTGAAGCGGGCATGGTCCATGTGCGGCTTAAACTATTAGGCTTAGAACTTCTAGCGTGTCGCCTTCGTCTCGAGTCCGTTGTTGAGGACTGAACGGAACCAGGGACATTCACACCTTGTGCAGCCTATCACAGCGTCGCCAAGTCGAGTCTCTCTCTTGGCCAGCAGCGGAATGCAACACCAAAGGCCTGCCCCACGGGGGGTTTCGGAACGTGACTGAATACTTGCGGTAAATATACCTTGTCTTGGTGCCTTAAGTCCACGGAGATGTTTTGCCCGTGCGCTTCCCAAACAGCTGGTAGCCATCATGACTGGAGCGCGCGTCGATAATCACCCAGTAGTGGTCGAATAGCGCAACCTCAGGCCGCCCGTCTACTCAAAATACCGGCGATAGAGACTTTTACGGCTCACGTGTGTCGAAAAAGAGTCGGAGGCGGAGACAGGACCGTGGCGATTGTTGTGGATTTGTTGGCTTGTGTGCGCTTGGCACCCTCGTGGAGTCGTGGAGTCGTGGAGTCGTGGGGACCCGACCCATCAACAAATTGCAAATTGTCAACCACACGGACAGTGCTCATTGACAGCAGCGCACGGGCATCCCCATGGGGTAGATGGACTACGCCAACGTCAACGGTCGACGTCGACCAGGACTCCGGGTGGACTCGCGTGCTCTGCCGATCGGTGCTGTTCAAGGAGTGACAGTTCCTGCAACATGGTCGAAGACAGAGTGTCGGAAATCGATCGATACGGTACATACACGAAACGTAGGAGTCGAATGCAACGAAACAATGACAGGAATTGACAAGAGGCGGCTGCCTCCATATGTCCACAACGCGAAACATATGTAGTACGGAAAAGTACCCGGACGGCTGCAGATTCGCTTCATCCGCGTGGACCAGCCGGGCATCTCAAACGGAAGGTACCACGGAGGCAACAATAATCCTTTCTCCAATTATCACTGGGTGGAATCGCTGTGCGTGCGGCAGCCCATCTGCCATGCCGAACGAGGTCTTGGAGCATGACCTCCCGCTATGTTACAATGAAGACGGGACAGCGCATATCCATCGAGATTTGCGACACCCATGACCCACTTGGGTAGTAAATAATCTGGACGGTGCATCAAATCCAAATGATAGTGTGCGTCGTCAAAGTAGACGATCGTGCATGGCCTACTGACGAGTAACTCTGACGAGTAACTATATTTCCTTTGCCTTGGTGACAGTACTAGGTACATATCCGTGGTGGTGCAGATCTCCTTATCCGAGATAAGTCAACCGCAAACATTTCCGGAGCTTCATGTACACCAACGACAGCAATGAATAAGGAAAGACCTAAGACTAGCCTTGACTACCTTTAAGTAGACGTTAGAGGTTTGTAGACTAATGTCCAAAAAACTTACAGTACATCAGCACAACCGAGCTTCTTCACGTATGCAAACGGGTTCGACACAACATCAATACTGTATTACTCGCTTGTGCACAGAAGTGTAGGGGTTTGGAATGGAAAACCCTGAAGGTTTTCAGGGAGTTCGAACTGGAAAGAGCAGGCTGTTTGTGTCGTCTTCGTCCTCCTCCCAAAGCCTATCCGATGGATCTCTGAATGGATCTTGCAGGCTCTGGATCGTCATCTGGTGCGACTGCTGATAGAATGTGGCAGACTCTGCCTGTGTAGGTACAAGGATTTACTATAACAGCTGCTGGGCACCCTTTTGTATGTGAATACCCCTGTTCACACTGTCTATATTCATACCCTTCTTACAGTGCTTCTTGCTGAAGTCTGTAATGATCCGTCCAGGCAGAGCTTCCAGTTGTTCACTCGAGGCGTTTTCTATGAGAACGCAATCGTTCAAAAGATGACATTTCGCAAGGTGCATCAGAGCTTCTTTGCTCTCTCACTTGCGGGTTGAATCCATTCCCTTTTAAGCATGTGTTGTATCACCCCTCCACTTGGAACTCATGTTCAGTGCAACACATGAGTTGATCGCAGATGTACTCAGAGTTGAATGGAGATGCTTCGCTGGCAGAAGGATATCTCCAAGGATTCTTGTGCGATGGCTTACCGCGCAGACAGGAAGCTGCCGTGCGGAATGGCACGGTCAAATTTGACACGAACGCAGCAGCAGCTATGACAGGCTTTGTGACTGGAAGGTTCGACGTAGACGGGGGTACTTTAGAGAGGGTGAACATGGATGAATCATATCGGGACTGGCGGCGTGAATCTCGATGTGATGGCGACCGCATAGGTGTTCCCCTGAAACGCAATTTATTCATGACTGGGTTCGGAGAAGCTCATAAGCTCGAAGCCGAAGACGAACATGCGCAAGGCGTTTCAAAACACTTTTTCAAAATAGGCACTCATGGAGAGTGGGGGCCAGACGAGGTAGGAGAAAGTCGTTGAAGGATGTAACAGCTGAAACGGACATTGAGAAGGGGACGATGGACGACTGCGTACGCAGATACACCGATTCGATATAGAATCACGAGTTGGAAAGCTGACGCTTACGTTGTACCTTAATACCAGCGAATCACTCGCGCAAAAGTGGTTGAAAGCTTACTGTAAGTTTAAGACTTCTCTGAAGTGGTTGCTGAGCGACACTGCGTAAAACATTTGCTCCTTTGAGTGACGAGCCAGCTCATGCAGGGTGACTGTCTGGTATTGATAATGCACACACATCACAAGGTCAACGAATACTAAATCCTGGGAATGATTGGAAACCTTTTGTCACATGCAAGTGACAATGATGGAAGTCGATGAAACTGGATGATCGCTGTGGTGTTCTACCCAAGTGCCAAGAGTGCGTGACTGACCGCCCGGCAGAAATTAATTTGTAGGTATGAAGTTGCGGCAAAGACGAGCACATTTGCGCAACACTGTTGTCGAGCCTCAACAAACCTTCCGCAACCTAATTTCTCGTTCGTCGGCCAAGATTTTAGATCATAGGACTGGTCGTATTGCGCAACCGCCAGAATGGCCGCCGACCGAGGCTCGAAGCCTACATCCACCGAAGTTCAGCGCAAATCGCAAAAAAGCGCACCTGTAAACGATGAAGACGCACGAGCAATGGCACGATTCGCTGAAGAGGCAACAAAGCAATATGGGCGCGGCGACAGAATTAGGCCAAAATCCGTGAAGGACAAAAAGCTCAGGTCGAATTTGCGGTTACTGGAAAATAAGACAAAACAGGCAGTGTTGGAAGCAAAAAACGTTGAAATCCTGCTAGAGAACAACGAAGGACTGCTGGAAACCGAACACGAGCTTGAAAGGACATATAAGGTTCGACAAGACGAGATCAAGGCTGCAGTCGCGACAGAGACTGCGAAGAAAGGGTTCGAGCTGCGCCTTGACGGACTGGGACCATACGATGTATGCGAGTACAGCAGGAACGGGCGCGACCTACTGATTGCAGGGAGGAAAGGTCACGTCGCCACATTCGACTGGAGGGACGGCAAGCTGGGGTGCGAGCTGCAACTGAACGAGACAGTACGAGACGCAAGATGGCTGCACGTCAGCAACCAGAAAAACTTCGCGGTTGCGCAGAAGAAGTGCGTGTATATCTACGGCAACGACGGCGTGGAATTGCATCAGCTCAAAAACCATTCGGAAGCGACACATCTCGAATACCTCCCCTACCATTTCCTCCTCTCCTCGATATCGACAGCCGGTATTATCAGATACACAGACGTTTCGACAGGACAGTCACTAGGAGAAATGTACACAAAGCTCGGTCCGCCAACCGCGTTCGTACAGAATCCACATAACGCCATCCTGCACGTCGGACACCAGAAGGGTCTTGTCACATTATGGTCGCCCAACAGTGCAACACCACTCGTCAAACTGCTCCCCCACCACGGACCCGTCCGCAGTCTTGCAGTTGACAAGTCCGGCACGTACATGGTCAGCACGTCGCAAGATCGCCGCATGTCCGTCTGGGACATCCGCATGTTCAAGGAGATCCATACGCACCACCTGCGCGTCCCCGGCACCTCACTCTCCATCTCCGACCGCAACCTGACAGCCGTCGGCTACGGCACTCAGGTCAACATTTACAAGCCCGAAATCTTCACCCACAACCCCGACCTTGTCCTGCCCACACCATACATGGCCTGGGGCGGCGAGGGCAACAGCACCGGCCGCGTGCGCTTCTGCCCCTTCGAGGACGTCCTCGGCATCGGGCACGCGAACGGCTTCACCTCGATCATCGTGCCCGGCGCCGGCGAAGCCAACCCAGACACCCTCGAGCAAGGCACCAACCCCTTCGAGACGTCGAAGCAGCGCCGCGAGACCGAAGTCCACGCCCTGCTCGAAAAGATCCAGCCCGAGATGATCGCCATCGACCCCAACTTCGTCGGCAACCTCGACTTGACCAGCCACGACCAGCGCGTCAAGGAGCGCGATCTCGACCGCAAGGACGAGGACAAGATCGCGAAGCTGAAGAAGAGGGGCCGTGGACGCAACAGTGCGCTGAGGAGGTACCTGCGCAAGAGCGGCAGCAAGAACGTTATCGACGAGGAGAAGGAGCGCGCCAGGGAGATTGTGGAGAGGCGCAAGGAGCGCAACATCGAGAAGCAGAAGCAGCTCAAGCAGGCGTACGGCCCGGCGCTGGAGCGCTTCGCCAAGAAGGGCGTGTAGGTGTGCGAGGGGCGGCAATTCAAAAGCACGATATATCACAGCATTTACGGCGTTTTTTGCAGAGGGTGGTTCGGTAGCATATACCCTCGGACTGGCAGATTAGACCTCCTGAGCCAATGGAATCATGTCTTGAAAGCCGTTTGACAGCACTGTGAACGCGTGTGAAGAGAACAAGAACGCCGTGCCCATTTTGTCTACCTAGGTATCTACCATCATGCAAGTCATATCATCGCGGCCCTTAGTTCTCCACCAGCATGGGCGCCGCTCCCTCGGCCGCCGCGTCATCCGCCGCGCTCCACGCCCGCGCCGTGCGCGGCCACACGCGCTTGTACAGACTAACCGCGACGGCATCCATGGGGTTGATCTTGCCGTCAAAGGTCGCCTTGAAATATCCATGCGTACCCAGGCTCTCCTTGACGAAGCCGCTCCTGCCCCTGCGCGTCCACAGCGGCAGGCTCTTGAACCACCTGACGTCGCCGTCGTTGAAGAACATGTAGCGCACGGTGACGACGCGCTTGTTGATCTTGTAGGGGTGGCCGGTGAGGATGACGCGTTTAGCGATGATGCGGTTCATGGAAGGCGGGAGCGAGGTGCCGGTGCCGATGAGCTGCAGACCAGAGGAGGACACGGCGTCGGGAGAGGTGCTGCGCTGGAAGTAGAGCAGCGGCACGTTGCCCCAGGTCAGCGGGCCCATGAAGGAGGCGATTGCGTTCTGGCCGGGGTGCAGGAAGCGGTCGAACTTGTGGACATTATTGGGCGTGTTGCCTGCTGCTGAGAAGAGCTGAATTCATGTTAGTATATTTGTGTTTGCTGGGTCGAGTGCAACTTACAGGGTTGATGACCATGCGGCGGGCACCGCACTGGACAATCATCTCGGTCTTGGACTTGATGGTGTTGCCGTAGTCAGAGCTTAGCAGGATGCTGTAGTTACAAGCTGTGCGCTTGTGTTCGTGCCTGAGTAACGAGAACATAGCCACTGGGCTTGATTGTGACTGCTGGAAGTGTAGGGGAACGCCACGGATGTGGACGTTGACCCGTGTGCCAGGCTTGACGCCGCCAGCCCAGGCTTCGCGCATGAACTTTGTTGCTGTGCGCTTGTAATCGGAGATCTCGAGCAGGCGCTGCCACTCCTCGGGCTCGTATGGTCGGTCCTCATCAGTCTCCCAGACACTCTGCCTCAAGCTCTTCAATCCACGGTACTTCATGAGACGCTCCCGTGCGTTCATGTTCGGGTGCAGTTCAATCTCATCCGGGAACTCGAGATCCTGTTCAGCGTCCGTTTTTCTCGATTTCCGGTAGGCTTCGATTTGTTCGGCCTCGTCTTCTGGCGAGGGATCCAGGAACATCTCAGACTGCGGGTATTCTGAAGGACCACCCTCAGTCATCGCCTTTCCGTCGATATCCATGCCCTCCTCGCCGTCCGCCGGGTGAGCAACAGCACTCTGAGGCTCATCGGCGTCCTCCATGTCGAAATCCTCGAGGTCAGAGTCTGAGTCGGAGAAGTCCTCCAGGTACCACGCAGCCTGGTATTTGCTGGTACCCCGTGGCATCCTCTTGGGTTGTGGGCGGGCCTCCTCGTCTTCCTCGTCTGAGAAGTAGTGGTGGTCGTCAAGCAGTACTCCCTTGCGCTCAGTAGGCGCAATAGAAGCAGCGTATTGTGTGACGTCGTCCATGAGCGTCTCCTCAGGCGCGAGAGCAGCAAGCTCATCCTGGTCCTCTGTCGGGCGCTCCAGCACGACCTCTTCTTCCGCATCAACCATCATGTCGCCGTCCTTCTTCTTTCGTGTCTCCAAAGGAGCGGCTACAATCTGATCAACCTGGAAGTCGCCCCAGTCGCCGACCTGAACCAGCCTGTCGGCCTTCAATCCTAACCCACGGACTACACCAGTCAAGACAACGTCTCCAGTGCCATCTTCGTTGACTGCGGACTTGCCAGAGGGCCACGCAACGTCCTCAATGAACATATAGCTCCTTTGGTCCCTCCATCTTATGCCCTTTGTGTGGGTTGTGCATATCGATCGTACAAGGTTCGAGGCTTCCTGTCGGTTGTCGAGCGAGTATACGCGCTCGATGGTCGGCAGCCAATGTGTAATGTACGACTTCAGCGACCCAACGACCTGCGGCTTGCGCTTTGCGGGTTCGACTTTGTCCAGCGCCTGTACAACCGTGAAGGTATTCGTGAGACCCTGGCTCTCGACAGCCTTTAGGATCAGCTCGCCCTCCTCGTCAACCTCCTCCTCAGCGGACAGCACAAAGACGACAAAGTCCGCTACTCTGCAAGCATCGAGTGCTGCCAGGAGGTCTCTTTGCATAGTCACATACTGGATCTTCTGCTTGAAGCGGTCCACGTTTGTGCGCACCCATCCCGCCTCAGGAACGTCCTGCTCAATATCCAGCGCCGCATTCAAGCTTCGCACTGCCGAGGCAGAAGAAATGTCGGCGCACAGTGGCACAATGGCAACAACGCGCGGTGCGCTGTCTCGCCCGGCAAAGACATTCGTGGCTTTGGCGTGCTCGTGGTCTTTGTTGACGCGGATCTGCTTCGCGCGGTTGCGACGGTCGAATTTCGACATGACCTGCTGGTGGGGCGTCTTGCGGCTGCCGCGTTCGAATCCCACGGCCTCGACTTTGCCTATGCGGTTGTCAGCGCGCTGGCCTGGCACATATGCAGACACCCGTACCCTTGCTGACCTCCTTCAGCGCACTTTTGGTGGCATGGCGAGACTTGAAGCCCTTCTTGTGCTGCTTCGTCGTGCTGCGGTGGTGGTGACCGTCTGCGACTGAGGGAGCCATGTTGCCGCTGCTGCCCGCCTTGAATCTGAAGGGAATCGACGACGCCACTTTGAATGCGATGCGTCAGAAATGTTGCGCCTCTGCTCCAAGTGCGGGACAAATTCGTGGATCCACTTATCCACTTCACATTTTTGGTGGCTACGAGTGGCCCGCTAACTTTATCTGCTATCGATAGCCGCTATCAACGACGTCGGTACTCGGTACTGTATTAACCCTCCTGCACTTGAATAGGCCAATACAATTCTACGTTCGAGCCAGCTCCTGGAGATCTTGAATGCATCCAGAGTAGACGAATCCATCTCGCCAGTCCGTTCTTTACTGCGGCTCGCTTAATTGTCTCCAGGTACCGTCACGTCACCAGCACCAAAAAAGGAGAACTTGTAGTCAATTGCATCTATGTGAAATCCACAATGTGCTCAGCCGGAGCAAGTGCATACTCTGAATTGTATATTAGGAGTAGCAAAGGCAAGTAAACTAGCACCTGATAACAGTTGGTCCAAAAGACATCACACACGTTCAACTCGAGCGGAACCAAAGTTGCCTGAGGTAAACGTCTGCTTCACTCCAGGACGTACACTGGCAGCAACGGGATGGCAGCATCACAAAGCAATGCATGCCTAGTCACTAGGCGGCATCGCAAGCTCACCGGAGCCGCTCACCAGTATGATCTAGGTGAGCCTGGGCTTCACGTCGTTCAATGTGCACTTGTATCTTTAAACTCGCTTCGATAGTAGGTCTGTGACAGATGAGCGTACGTCTTTCTGCAGGCTTCTGCATCTTGCCACTATTTGCACTAGATGCCGACCGTTCCTGCCCTCCCAAGACAAACCACAAACGCCAGCTGGGACTCCCGCTCTCTCACCGCTGGAGCCTCGCTCTCACCGTCTCATTCACCTCATCTTTGCTGTCAGCATATAAACCCGTCTTCTCGCTCACTCTCGCTTTTCACTCGCACACCCCACAACCCACAATCCACACCACGCACACCATACGCCAGAGCCGCGAACAATGGCCAACAAGAACCGGAAGCAGGTGCATGCATACAACCCCGATGAGATTGAGCGGTATGACTGCCCGCATCTAGCGCAATGTTAGCTACTGATCAACCGTAGGCTGCGCCAGGTGCCTCTGCCTGCGAAGCTCAAATGCGCCATGTGTTTGAGGAACTACAACCAAGCCAACTTCAGCCAGAAGCAGCTCACCGACGTCCGCTACCAGGTCTCCAAGGCAGGAAGGATCAACACTAATCCAAAGTGTTTCAAGTGCACCGGTGGCCAGCTGGTCGAGCTCGATTGCGTCATGTGCCATAAGACGAAGGGCCTGGAGGAGTTCGCAAAGACCCAGCGCAAGAACACAGATAGTGCTGTACGTACCCAAGCTGATTGTAGTAAACAATGCTAACGCCGATGAAGAGGTGCTACGACTGCACCAGTATCCAACTTGAGCGCGAGCCAGTCGAGGAGCAAACCTACGATGATCCCAGGAAGGCTTTCACCAGGCAGGAGAGCTCGAGTGGCAACTACCCAGACTACTTCAACTCGTCTGCATCATCTCGCGACACTGACTCCAATGCTGTAAGTGCCATCCGGCCCTCTTCCGCGTATGGCACTGACTTCAAAGGGTGAATGGCAGGATCTCGCATCTACTGACGGAAGCCGCCATAGACACGAAGGGGGCGGTATTAACCTATCTGAGCAGTTCCAGCGGTCTATGTCTTTCAGTGGTCAAGTGACTGACACACTGATCGATTCCGAGTTCTCTCTTGGACCCGCCGAGACAGCAACGTGGAGCGATGTCGCACGTACTCAGTCATGGCACACTGACACCGCGCGCTCTTCCAGTGCTCGCACGGGGTTTGATCCGAACCGCTACGGTAGGCCAGGCACTCAGTCCGGCTCTGGGTCTATGCACTCGTTCGACTCCAGCATTGCTGAGCGGTCCCAATCCTGCAGCGACCGCGTTGAGATGAGGAACGGATTCGCGAAGATCAAGGCTTATGTAAGTGCACCTTGTCACCAATGCATCCGTTGTCGTAGCAGAATTGAGCTAACTTTGAATAGAAACCTCCTCCAAAAGAGGAGGATAATCCCTGGCGCAAGGACGAGGAGGAGAAGGTAGAGTCTTCATCCTCCGACGATGACACCGATGACGAATTGGTGATTTGAAGGGCAGCTGAGCCGGATCTGGAGACATGTTATGTCCTGATGCGAGGGCAGCGGGTTCACAGCCATGCATGGAATCTGGATATGGAGGTTTTGATACTGCACTTCAGTCGATTTCGGAGTGCTGGTATCAAAACCGGGTCTATTCGGGACGGTAGTTTGGGTCTTTCTTCTATTTTCAAGGATTTTAATTGCAATGGAGCTACTGATTGGTCAATACTTTCAACTGAGAATGAAAAAGGAGCATCAAAATTGCGTTAGGTGCTTCTCGCCACACACGTGATGGCGCGATGGCGCTAGTGACCCTAGACGCGCCTCCCCCGGTCCCACTCACCGACCACTGTATGACTTCCGGGGTTCCACCACCCGTTCCTTCACACTAACCATTCGTCTTTCTCTTTCGCAAGCTTGGAGACAGTTTGCAGGCAGAAAACGCAATGTGAGTCCCTGTTGAAAGTTGTGTGGCAAACAAAGCTGATGTGTGGCAATAGGGCAGGACGACGACCAAGAGGGACCGGAATTCGCGGACCACACTCAGCGTTGACAGATTTCCTAGCTGTAAGCAGACTGCCCAGGCTTTCAACGATTTTGCGCTGCAGTCACTCAAATCTCGACTCTGTCAGCTCGGATATCGTCCGTGAGCTGATAGCTGACGCATCCTCAGGCCAACAACATCTCTGCCCAAGAAATCCGCGATTCTTACCGTGACCGAGTGCAACGAGCCGAGCAAGATGCTGCTGCTGCAGATGATAACGGTGAAGGGCCCTCGAACGCTGGCGACGATGTAGAGGCAGACTTGCAGGCTGAGTCGTCTGCCATGGCTGCCGAGCGATCTCGCAAGCGCAAGCGCAATCAAGACGATGCCATCGCAAAGATCAAGAAAGGAAAAGAAGCGAAGAAGAAGTCTAAGAAGAAGAAGAAGGGGCCAAACGATGAGTCAGACGAAGATTTCATGGACATGTACCAGAAGGTGAAGAAGCTGCCGGGACAGCTGGAGCGCTGCGAGACCTGCGACAAACAGTTCACAGTCACGCCCTACAGCCAGGCAGGTGCTCAAGGCGGCCTATTGTGCACACCCTGTGGAAAGGAGCTGAAGAAAGAGGCGAAGGCTCAAGAAAAGGCGAAGCAGAAGCCTGTGGTTCGCAAGGGCCGCAGAAAGCTCGAGAGCAACCGTTTGGACGGACTGACAGTGCGAGGCCCCAAGTCACTTCAACAGTTGTGCATTGAGAAGCTTGCTATGCACTCTGAAGATATCGATGAACTTGGGGAGATGCCTGAGAGCATCATGAACAGGATCAGCGAGATCTTCTCAAAGAAGCGCGCGATGACCTCGTCAACCATGAAGCTATTTCTTCAGCCGGACATGGACACCGTAGCCATTCACGAGGCAGCCTATCTCGAGACAGAAGATTACAACCAGATCTTCGCCATCTGTCCTACCGTCAAGAAGCTGAGTCTCCGAAATAGTTGTCAGTTCAAGGACGCCAACATCGATTACTTGATTGAGAAGGCAAAATCACTGGTGGATATACAGCTACTAGGCGCCAACCTCGTTTCGAACGATAAATGGATCGAGCTGTTCATCGCACGCGGTCAGGATCTCAAGTCTTTGAAAGTCGAGTGGCTAGATGCTGCCTTTGACGATCAGGCTGTCGAAGCACTGACAACCTTCTGCCCGAATATCGAGCGCCTTAAGCTTGAGCGATGCAAGAAACTCGGCGCTGACAGCATTGATGCAATCGCTCGGTTGCAACAGCTCGAGCACCTCACCCTGCGCTTCTACGAGCAGGTTCCCCACGAGAAGCTCATCCACATGATCACATCCGTCGGCGCCCACCTACGCACGCTATGTCTGGAGCACTTCCTCGACAACGACAGCGAGCCCACTGACGCCGTCCTCGAAGCCATCCACAACACCTGCCGTCACATCAGCAAATTCCGCTTCAGCGAGAACACCGAGTGCACCGACGCCGGCTACGTCCACCTCTTCACTGACTGGCCCAACCCGCCCCTCCGCTACATCGACGTGAACAGTCTGCGCGACATGGACAACACCAACCCGGACGGCCCCACAGATTACCCCGTCGGCCTCGCCTCCGGCGGCTTCCAGGCCCTCATGGCGCACTCCGGCCAGCGACTCGAGTACCTCGACATCTCGTCCTGCCGCCACATCACCCACGCAACGTTCACCGACCTCTTCGACGGCGTGAAGCAGTACCCGCACCTGCGCGAGATCAACCTATCGTTCTGCCCCGTCGTCGACACCGCGGTCGTGGCGGGCATCTTCCGCTCGTGCCCGCGGCTACTCAAGCTGGTCACATTCGGCTGCTTCGAGGTCGCGGATGTGGCGGTGCCGAAGGGGATTGTGCTCATTGGGGCGCCGCGCGCGCAGGATCAGATCGAGCAGTTTGGCGACACGGTGATGCAGTTCCAGCAGGAGATGTGGGATGAGATGGAGGGCATGCGGGCGGCGGGGCGGCTGGTGCCGATGGTGGCTTAGTCGAAGCCGGGCAAGGAGTTTACGGTGTTTGGTCAGATACCACGGTCACGGTCCGGGTCTGCGGGTTATGCGAGGCGCTTCGATGGCGGTAGAAATGACTTATTTACAGTACATGTACAACGCGAAGTGACCGTCGTGCTTCCCCAAAGCTCCCCGCGCATTAAACATTCAGCCCTCCCCTACGACATCAGCAACCGCGTGATAACCCCGACATTCAAGTTCCGCAAATCGCTATAGTGCTGCCCCGTCCCCAGAAACACCACCGGGATCCCCGTCGCATGCACCATACTCACCAGCGTGCCCACCATATCCCCCACGGTATCCGTCTTGCTGATAATAAACCCATCCAGATTCCTCCCGGGCCCAAACGACGCATTAAAGTTCCTCGCCTGCGCGACGCTATCGGTACCCACCAGCGCCTCCCCGACCATGAGAATCTTATCCGGCGCCGCCATCTGCCCGAACTTCTCCAGCGAGCTCATCAGCCGCGCGTCGTTGTGCCGCCGCCCCGCGGTGTCGATCAGCACGACGCCGTAGCCCTCGCGCTGCGCGTGCGCGACCGCGTCGGCCGCGATGTGCGCCGCATCTTTGCCATACCCTTTCTCGAAAAGCGCGACGCTGCCGCCCTCGCGGCGGCTCAGCTCGTGCAGGTTGCGCACGTGGACGCGCAGTTGCTCGACGGCGCCCGAGCGGAAGGTGTCGGCGGCGGCGATGAGCACCTTGTGGTGGTTTTGCAGCAGGAAAAAAGCGATTTTCGACAGGTTTGTGGATTTGCCGACGCCGTTTACGCCGACGATGGAGAGTACGTAGGGTCGGGCGCGGGATTTTTGGACGCTGGCGATTTCGCGGAGGAGGTCGAGCGAGGAGGTGGGGGTGAGGATGCGGGTTAGTGCTTTTTCCATGGAGGTGCGGAGGGTGGATTCGATGGCTGGGGGTTGTGTTAGTACGGGGGCTTGAGAGGGAGGTGACGGGACGTACTTGTGAAGGAGGGCGTCTTCATGCCGACGAGGTCGCGCTCGACGGATTCGCACAGCCGGACGGCGGCTTCGCGGGCGACGTTTTTCTTGAGGAGGTGCTCCTCCATGGCCTTGAGGGACTTGGCGAGGTCCTCCTTTGTAAGCGTCTTGCCGCCCACGACACTCCGGAAGTATCCTCCGATCGCGCCCAGACTTGACCCGACAATGCCGCCTGCTGCTGCGGTCGCGGCCTTGTCCTTCTTCGCGTTCTGCTCCTGGATGATGGCGTCCATCTCCTCGTCGAGGTCCTTGAGCACGAACTCGCCCTTGGTGGTCTTGCGGCCCCATGTGTCCTGGTGGATCTCGTCCAGCTCGGCGTCGGCGGCGCTGTCGCGGATGTCTGACTGCGAGTAGTCGAGCACCATGTCGCCGTCCTCCTCTTCCGCGCCTAGCTCGCCCCACGTGCGGTTCTTCTTGGTGCTCTTGCCCTTGCGCTTCGCCGAGGCTTCGTCACCTGACGAGACTGGCGCCGGGCTGCCGGACGCCTTCTTGCGGTCTCTGCGCGACATCTTTGCGCCGGCGGGCCGCCCCTTCGCGGCGAGGAGGTGGCTTGCGGGGGTGCCGGGCCGCGAGGTGTCGGGGGTCTGCACGGGGGTCGAGTCGGCGCTCGTGTCGAACAGGGCGCGCTGCGGGGTCTTGTGCAGATTGACGGGCGGCGCGCTCTCCTCGGCGCTGTCGTTGTCGATGCTGGAGTCGGGGGTGGTGATCTTGATGCCCGGGGCGCTCGAGTCGCTCTGACCCTCAAGCTCCTGCATCTGGCGGTCGAAGTAGGGCCCGAACTTGTCGCAATTGACGACGCTGCTCAGCTCCGTCTGCAGCTGCTCGCCGTACAGGCCGACGAACAGCGCGCGCACATTGTCGAGCAGCTTGTCGATCCAGGTCAGGTGCACCAGGCTCTGGTAGACGGCGACGAATATGAGCCCCAGATCTTTCGCCTGCGTCCATTTGACCGTGTAGCCCTCCTTCTTGTACGTCGGCTTCGACCCGCTGTCCTCGGACTGCGGCAGTGTGCGCTCCTCGATGAAGACCTCGCGAATTAAACTGTTGATGACGTTGGCGCCGACGGGGACGTATGTGCGCGACCACAGCACGACGCCGGACGTGGTGACGATCTCGAAGGTGTCGAGCATGGCTGCGTCTAGGGCGTGGTGGGGTGAGGCGTGCGGTGGTCAAGGTGGCGGCCGTCTTTGACGGGGCACCAATGACGAAGTTGGCGCGGCTGTGGCCAGATGGTCGGAGAGCTGCACTTATGCGCGCAGGCAGACGGCCGTGAATTAATATCACCACCACCCCCTGGCCGACTCAATCCTGCCCCCGCCGCCTCCAGCTCGCCGGCGCAGTCACCCGTTCCTCACTCCACCCGCAAGCCACGGCCGCCAGCATGCAGCGCTCCAGCTACCCGCAGCAGCCGCCGGCGCATTCACCACCGCGTACGTGCCCGAGTCCCAGCGCCGTCATGGCAGCGCCGTCGAGTCGCAGCCACGCGAGGAGCTCTGTATAACTGGGCACAATACTGACTCGCCCAGTGCACCACCCGATCCCCCAGCACGTCTCGACGGTCCCACAGCTGCGCTCCCCGCCGCCGCCCCCCTCACAACCCCAGAGCGGCTATGGCTACGGCTCGCAGGGCGGCGGCATGCCCCAGCAGCAGGGCAGCGGCTTCGGCCAGCACCCGGCCTTTGGCGGCTTCATCAACGACCCCAGCGCCCAGCTGGGGCTGCAGATGGGCCAGACGGCCTTCAACGCCGGCCAGCAGTACATTGACCAGAACGTGCGTCTACCCGCTACGAGCAGAGCACACAACCCCCGTGGCTAGCAGTATAGGAGACCTTCTTTGCTGACATGCCCAGATCGGCAAATACGTCTCCGTCGGCGCCCTCAAACACTACTTCAACGTCTCCAACTCGTACGTCCTCGCCAAGCTGCGCATCATCCTGTTCCCCTGGTGGCACAAGCCGTGGTCGCGCCAGCAGCAGCACACCACCGACCCGACCGCCGCGGGCGCCACTCTGTACCTGCCGCCGCGCGAGGACCCAAACTCGCCCGACATGTACATCCCCACCATGGCGCTCGTAACGTACATCCTGCTGTCGACGCTCCTCGCGGGGCTGCGCGGCGCCTTCCACCCAGAGCTGCTGGGCTACACGGCCTCGGTCGCAGTCGCCGTCATGGGCGCCGAGGTGCTGGTCCTCAAGACGGGGACGTACCTGCTCGCCATCACCTCGTCGTCGCAGCTGCTCGACCTGGTGGCCTACAGCGGCTACAAGTTCGTCCACGTCATCGTGTCGCTGCTGCTGTCGCACACCTGCGCGTCGCTCGGCATCGGCGGCTCCTGGCTCGCATGGGCCATCTTCGCGTATTTCTTCAGCGCGAACGCGTTTTTCCTGCTGCGCAGTCTGAGGTACGTCCTGCTGCCGGACCAGAGCGCGCAGGCGGGCTTCGGCGCCGCGCCGGGCGGGTTCACGGGCGCAAAGGCGCAGCGGAATCGCCGCACGCAGTTCTTGTTCGTGTATAGCTATTTGGTGCAGGCTGGGTTTATGCTGTGGTTGAGCAAGGTGTGAGGGGGGGCGTGACAGGGGCTTCAGCGGCGACAGGAGTCCCAGCGACAGGAGAGTCTCAGCAACGATGACAAAAGCGCAGAGATACCAGAAGCGCAGGAGAAGCATTGGGAGCGCAGGCGAAGACACCGCGGGAGACTCGTGGAGAGCGTAGGACTCCATGACAAGTGCATACGCATCCACGCCAGCGCGCATCTTCTTTCACGCATACAAGCGCGGCGCACAAGCATGCAGATTACAATACAATACAAATACAACCACAAATTCTACGATAAACACACTCGTTCAAAAACCACACTCATCCACCCCTCTGCCCGCCCTGAGCAGTGGACTGCCTGCACCACGTGTCCTACTTCCACTCCCCCTGCCATGCCATGCCACGCCACATTGTACCAACCCCCCAAAAAAGCAGACAAACACCGCACACTCTCAAGTCAAGTCAAGAGAACCCCGTCAAGACGCATGTGAGCTGGATGCGCTGTACGTACTGAACTCGCTGGCGTGCGATGGACTTCCAGAGCTACAGGACAGTGGTGCCTCGAGACAACACCGTGGAGGAACCGTGGGAGCCGTGGCCGCGTGGCTAGCTGTACGTCACGGCCTGCAGGACCCTCCAGGCAGCAAGTGTGCTCGCGGGGCTAAAAGAACGGGCGCAGCGGTACTTATCACCAGGGCGCAGAAACGCGAACAAAGAAGACGGTGGGAACGGAAAAGACTAGAATCGTGATAAAAGGTGGAATGGGTATAAATTTCCTCATCAACCACTACTACTATCTGCACTACCGCTACGACTACCACTACGTCCCGTCCTGTCGCGCACACGACTAAACATACACGCTCGCAACTAACTCCCAGCAGGCTCCTTGTGCCGTGCCATGCCTATGCCGATGCAGCCAGGCGCGCACGCCAATCCGATCCATACCACACGCGCCGCTGTGCCAGAAGCCTTGCTACTCCGAGCAGTCATTACCCTGAAGCAGAAGGCCCGCCCACCAAAAGCCCTGTCGAGCCGTGCACAATAACGCCAAACAGAGAACGCCAGGAAAAGACTCGCTTGCCGGAATATAGATGTTGAATATCTCGTACAGAGGTAGAGACATAGGGAGATGTATACACATGCGGGTGTAAGAGATTGCAAAAGGGGATGGGTGCCAAGGCAATGTAGGCCGGCTCTTTCTTCGATGCCCTCTTTGGGGCTCTGCTTTGTCGGTGAAAGCCGATCTTGTCGACTTTACAAGAGAACGCCGTCCCACATACCAGGTCCTGATCGGTGGTATGCATGCGCGGCCTCGGTGGAGCAGCAAGTCCGCTTCTTCCCAAAATCCTTCTGCACTGGCAGACGGGAGCAATCGGGAGCGAAGGTCTTGGGCGGCTGCAGCCCCTTCAACTCGCTCTCAAATGTTGAGAACGATGGCTGGGCGATGGATCGATCAGGCAGGACGGTGGGTTGACTGTGGAGTTGGAAGCTGGGGCGCGAGCTGGTCAACAAGTGACGCACGCTGTGCTGGAGGTCGATCGTAGACGAACGGCCACGCTTGCGCGAGGGGCTGATAGACTTGGTAGACGCAGGGCTGTCAACGCGCATAGGGGTCGCGTCCGCATCATCGATCTGGTAGCGGTCCATAGACTCAGGCGAGGAGGTGGGGTCGCTGGGGGCATACTCGTTGCACTTCGAGAGCACTGGGTAAGGCAGCTTCGCATTGCGGCAGGTCGCCAGCCGGGCCAAACTGGCCTGGCTTGGAGGCGCCCATGACACAGACGAGACTGAGGAGATTGACGAAGCGCGCGAAGAGCGTGAGTTGTCTGTAATCATCGATTCGGGTGACGAGGAGATCGAGGACACAGATGAAACAGACGGTGCCAGCGAAGGCCTGCGGCTCGGGAAGTGATAAGCCTCAAGTCCGTTCCTGACGCTTGGGTTGAACTGGTCAACACAGGAGCGCGCCAAAGACGAGCACTGTGCTTGCTGCATTGCGGTGCACATCGAAGAACGACGAGAGTTCATAGCCAAGACACTCGCTGCAGGAGTAGAGCTGGCAATGGACTGGGGTGTCAACGAAGGCGTAGGCAGAGGACCCAAGCGCATGGGCGTAGGAGGAAGCAGATCAGGCTTCGGCTCGAGGAAGCGAGGAGCCTGGTAGAGAGCGGGAGTTGGGGTGCTCTCTTGCGAGCCGTAGCCAGCCGAGGTAGGCAGACGAGACGCGCTGAGACTGAGTGCCGACGTGAAGACAGGACGCACAGGTGTGGCTGGTGCCTTTGGCTTGATGGTGATGATCTCCAACTCGGGGGTCAACATAGGGATGACATCCTTCCAGGTGTTTGGAAGGCTGGCTCCCGGTGATGCCGGGGGGTTGGTAGGAGTGTGTCGCAGAACAACTTCCTGCCACTTCTCCCAAATGGGGTCGGTGATGTGGAGTTTCCAGTTAACAGCCTCCAAAAAGGCCATCTCGTTGGTGTTGATCTCGAAAACCTTCAAACCAGAGATCTTGCTCCATGCGCGAGCGGAGTAGTTGCGGTCCTGCAGATACTTTGAGGCAAGAATGAGTGCCGCAAGAAACATGCGACGTCCGCACTGCAAAGCACGCATGGAAGCCTCTTCAGATTGCTGCTGCATAGTGAAGTCATGCTGGGGCAGGTGCGACTTGATGAGGATCAAGTAGTACAAAGCAACCTGCAAAGTGGAGTAGCTGGTGCGAGATCGGCGAAGAGTCTCTTGGATGAAGGTGCGCAGAGGAAGCACACCACGTCCAGCAGCGGTCTCACAACGGCTCTTGGGCTCAGAAAGCTGCCAGATAACCTCAACCATTTGGGTGGCGGAATCTTCGGTGACAAGTCAGTGGAGGAACGGAATTCGAGTATCGATGGAACTAACCGACGAGGCAGTCGACGAAGTTGACCTTGCGGTCGCTTTGTCGAACCAACTGAGGAGGAGCGCGCTGATTGATCGTGGTTGATGATCGTCGCGGGTTTTGTCGCTGATCCACCGGGGCAATAAGCTCAGCCTGGCGCAGCGATGGCAGCCTCTCCTGGGCAGTCTCCCGGCAAGCTGAGGCCTGGTACTGAGGGAAGGTGCTCACGCGGCTGATGGGCTGAAGGGCAGCTATGTTTGAAAAGTTAACGGCAGTTGCCGTGGCAATCTGTCCATTGCTGGAGCTCCATTCGTCCGACTCCCAGTTGGAGGGACACGATGTTGAGCTTGTGCTGGATGCTTGTGACGCGGCATCCGAGAACACGGAGGAGGTAGAGGAAGAAGCTGATGAAGAAAGAGCAGAAGCGTAGGGGAGACTCCCTGGCGAGATGCCAGAGATACGAGAGTAGAAGTCGAGGCTCATGTTGACTAAAAGGAAACAGAAGCAACGCTCTTATAACAAATGAACTAGTAGGGAGTGAGGTGTGACTCGGCGTTGACGTTACGTCTCGAAGTGCTGACCGTAAAGTAGACCTCGGGGTGTGGCGCAAGGCGTGATCGGGTGGTCGTGGGGTGACCGAGAAGTTACCGATTAGACAAACCGTACGGAATAACCTTAGATTCCGTCGTGTGATTTCGAAGCGTCTTGAGCACTTTCGAGTTCTTGATATCTTTCCGGGTCGCAAATTCAAACGTATAGGACTAAGAAAAGTCGTGATATAGTCGAAGTGATGTGACGGTCTTCAAGAGCTGGAAATAGAGGAGAGCGAAGTCGAGATTTTACACGTCGAAGGTCGAGGTTGATATCGAGTTTGCAGTTGAGGATGGCCTCGAACAGGTGTTACGTGATCGAAGATGCCCAGTTGCAGAACCGGAGGGTACTCCAGTCACTGTCAGCTGCAGAAGTTACCGTAAACAAGACCTGCGAGAGAGACCGGCGGCAGAACACTCCGAGTGGATAGCTTCTGTAACAGCTGGTGCTGTCGCAAAGGCTAAGGATCGAGGTGGTGCGGGGGCTCTAGCAGGCGAAACCTCCGGTGAAGAAGGCCTTGTTTTGAAAAGTGGTAGATTCTGAGCGACGAGTGACTGGAGTAATAGTGTGGACCGTGATAAGCATTGCAATGTTCTGGTTGTCGATGCAAGAGTATTCGAGTTGGCGACGACCGTGTAGAGGTTATCACCGAGCTAGAACTTCGAGAATCGGCGGTATAGAACCGGGAATGCGTGTGCTATGTTGAGATATTATTATTGGCGGGGGTGCATAGATGGGTCGAGATGCTGTCCGATGTTGATGTTGGGTGACGTGGACAGGGAAGTAGCGGTGGGCGAGTGGAGAGTGGCAGGTACTATGCGCGGAGTCGGGTGGATATGTGGCGGGTGTGAGGTTTATGAGGCAGCCTCGTCGTCAGGCGAGCGACGATAGGTTGCGAAGAGAGTCCTTGCGGTAGGCGGCAGCGTGGCGGCGACGGGGTCGATGCTGGCTGTTACCTGGACAAAGGCGGAATGGAGGATAGTCGGTGGGCGAATAGTCAGCGATGGATTTGACGATAGCAGAGACGGCAACAGGGTGTTGCTTTCTCTATTGGGGGCCCGAGGGCTCGCTGTAAGGTATCGTGAAGTCCATTGCTGCTGTTCTGATGAGGGAGAGCGGAAGCGCGGCGACAGCCAGTTAATAGGCAGCCCCCGACTCACAGCCTTCCCAGTCATCGCGGCAGCCGCGCACGGGCCATCTTGCCACCACTCTCAGACTCATCGCGCCTCTTGGGCTACATTGGGTGAGAATTTGCCATCTTCCACACATGGCCTCGGGTCGCGTTGCCATGATTTGAGGCAGCCATGTCACCGAAGTTGCCGCTGTGTTGATCGCATTTGCCTTCACGATGAAGCGCTGTCGCTGCGTCTACGGCGAGCCGTCCAAGCGTTGGGTGAGACGCTCGATGCTCGATGCACTTCCATCACCGCCGCTTCAGGCTGCCCTGCCAGCGTGCAGCGGACACTGCCCGCGCCTGCGCCTGCGCCTGCGAGTGACCGCGTCCAAGCCTGCCAGCAAGCAGGGCTGGTCTGGCCGGTGCGCGTCCAAGCCTCGCTGCAACACACGGCGACTCCTGTTTCCATGCCCTGAATACACCAAACGTCTGGAACACGCGTTCGCATCATCGCACAGCCAGGCTGTCCTCTCCCTTTCGTCGATACCCGTGGACCAACATTCAGCAGCAGCTGAGCCCTCGGCTGCTTCGAGTCCAAGGGCATGGATCGCCAAGTGATGCACTCCTCACTACACGCCGATCCTCATTGGCCCGCGGTCTGCGTTAGCTGAGCCTGGCGAATTAACGCACAATGCCTCATCCTGGGGCGGCGTCAACATGCCTAATGTGGCGTAATTAGGGGCTAAGACCCAGACAACCCCTCGTTCACAGCTGGGTCGCGCCAGGCAGATGCGACATTCTTCATTTGCATCTCCGTTTGCTGTGTGGCCGCTGCGCGAATGCCTTCATCTCGCATGTCACCGTGCGGTCGGTGATGACGCAAACGGCCTCGAAAATGACCTGTTTGCTGCCACCTCACTGTTCTGCTCGGCGCGCCCGGCAAACATGTTCCGTCGAACGACAGGCTGTTGGTGCCGGACATGAACCTCAAAAACAAGCCATGCATGGCCCTGTCCCTCACCGATACACTGTGCCTCCTCGAAGGGTGGGTGATTGGATGCCGACCCCGGGGATCGAGGGTTAGCCCGAAAATTCTCCAGCGAGCAGTCGTTTGCGCCTCTTGCGTGCACAAGTGCAGACTTTGCGCTTGTTGGAGGGCCGCAAATGGCCTTGAGTCGTCACACGCTCGGCCTCGCGTTTCTGGAATGATCGCGGAAGCCGACTTGTTCCGGTTTACGGGGGCTTGGCCCAGGCTGAGTCACCTCCACACCATCGCGCTGCGAAGACGGCAGTTCCGTTAGCTAGCCAGCCAAGGATCGCCAGTCAAGGCAGGCGACACATCACGCCGCCACACATTCAGCTTTCAGCCCCCGATACAACGTAAATCCTGCGTCACCCGCGTGACTTGCTCCACCCAAGGCAGCGCGAAGTCTGCTGACACCGTGACCAAAGTTGCAACGTGTTGTGAGCGGCGGCGCGATGCGATGAGCTAGAGTGATTCGAGTTTGATCACGTTGAAGGGGTCGAGGAGCCATGACTCACTGCTGCCTGGACAGCTTCCAAATAAACGCATGGTCGCCGCCAACGTGAAGCGGCGTCACAGAGGCAAGATGAGGATGGATGGTGAGGTGGGTCGTTGATACAGCGTGACCATTGCGCTCCACGAGGCGGGTGGCGGGTTCGCCATCCGCATTACCGACCATCGTCAGTCCTTAGGCCCATCTGACCCTCACCCACGGTACGCTCTCGTTCATGTGGAATAGCAGCAGCCAACCTCATCGTTCTCGACCCATTTAGAACTCAGGCAACCGTCAACAGTTTGTGAGCGATACGCCGTAATTGTTCGTCAGCCTACTACCTGCAATCTTCGTCAGAAAAAGGATCGATATGAATGTATCTGACCCACTCAACCATACGTATTAGAGGAGCATATCACTCATCAGTTATGACACATGAGAAGGGGGGTGTCTAGATCCAACAAAGACCTTACTGTACCTTGTTACGTTAGGTTATAGTCAGTTACCATCGTGTAATCGCTCCGCGGTCGAAATGCTTGTGTGTAATCCTTCGTAGGCAACAGCGATAAGTGACGCTCTAGGAGCCCGATCGATGATGGCAACGTTACGCGACTCGTTCCGTTGGTCAATTTGAAAGCAGTCTGCAGCAGTGTTTTGGCTGTCTGGTGCATCAAGGCACCGTGTTGAATGCTCGTGACAGTGGATATCTAGAGGATTGGATGGGGGAGGCGCGACGATATTGTGTCTTCAGTGTCGGAGCAGTGGGTTAAGGCCAGCGACCGGTGTCTCCTCAGTATTGCTGGAAGTGAAATTAGCCATAAGCCAGGTAACATTCAAGTGAGCCGGGCTGGCCGAGATGAGCTTCCTTTCCAATACTTATGCCACTTTCTCAATTATTCTAGTGACAAGCTTCCATCGCTGTCAGTTCTATCCCCACAGGTGCGAAAGCATTGCATACTCTGCTCAAGCCGCTCGATTTGTGGACAACATAGTCATTGAAAGTAGACGTTTGACTTGACTGTAAGTGCTGCAGAGCCATATCAGAACTTGCCACTACCTGCGAGGCGTGAACACACTGCTTGAAACGATTCTCTCCAGTGCGCACCCTCGCACGTCCACCAGCCTGACATCCACTTACCACGTGCCTAGGCTAGGTAAGAGGCGCCACAGTGCTATCCCCTGCAACTGGCGTGGTGCTGCAACTTTTGCACCGACACTACGTACCTGCACATCGCACTTCTCCAAATCGTCTTCCCAATCGAAATATACCGTCGTTTCATGATGGACGAGTAGGTACACGGCCTGGTGGAGACAACACTGCAAGAGCCGTCGCCACACTGAATATGGCAGGTGAGTGGTCGGTATGAGTGCCCGTACAGCACAACACAAACACAAATCTTGGTACTGCGGCGAGTGAAGCGATGATCCTAGGTTGGTATTTCCTCTTGTTGTGCGCCACCATGTCCTATGGAGCTGTTGTGATACACACTAGACTGGCCGTGTAATGGCCATATATGGACTCGCAACGATGGCTTGAGGAGCGTGTTGCACTCGAGATGCATCTGGTGAGATCGAGCGCTTACACATGGAAGAAAGGTTTGGCGAGAGCGCTGGGCCGGGGAGTTGCGACTGAGCGGTTGTTGCATAGTGTGTATTGAACGGAATAGTCCTGGAGTAGTGCTGGGCTGCATGTGTTTTCTGGCGTAACCAAGTGGAACGATGAGAGGCTGTGCGCCTGCATCTTTTAGGATGGTGTTGTGTCTGTTGTTCGGCAGTGAATCCTAGCCATGATCGCCTGAAGTGTACTCGATCAGCGGCGATTGTACGCACGCTCGCAGGTCTTTCAGTCCAGCCTCCGTCGTTCTCCCAGTAAGGCACGGTCTTCGTGCAGCAGCGTCTGCTGGAGACAACTTCTTGCACCGCTCGTGGTACGCCTTGTCCCAGTTTGCTCGCAGCCACCGGGTTTACAGACGACGCATCTTCTAAGAGAACAGGCTCAGTTTGAAGCGCAAACTAGAGGTGTTGGAGTCGACTATAGAAGAAGCGGGCGATAATTGATGGACACTCCTGTCAGTGTTGCTAGAGTAGAATCCGCGACGGGGGTGAGCTTGGAGTACCTCTTGAAGGAATCTCAGAGACTGCATATGTGGGCAGGAGCCGAAGGTATTCGAAAGTACTCATATCCAATCAAGCTATTGACCCAAGAAAATTAATCAATCGCCAGGCAAGCAGACCTGATTAAAACGAGAAATCGCCACGAATAGGCCTAGGGTAGCCCGTACTATTACGATAGCAGACGACGCTGTAAACGCAGCTACCAGAGCTGGGCAACTTGGGTGTCACGTGATGTCCGTCTTGCCTTGTTCTGCGTTTACGATGAATAAGTGTGAATGGAGGACGAACAGATCTAGAATGGGTTGAGTGAATAGTCTTGGTGAATCTGAGGGTGGCTGTTTCCCTGCTGCTCAGCGTGGCGATTGATGTCTTGTTGACGAATGCAAGACAGTTTCATATCCGTGGGTGATGACGCAGTGTAGGTTGAAGAAAGTAGAATAGAGCCCGAATTGGATTGGCTGCTGTTTTGATCATCCTGTTGATCTGGTGCCGAGGTCATGTACTTAGCATGCAAACTGCGGATTGTGAGACTATACTGCGTCCCTTCTGGCTTTTAGTGAATATTTGTTAGATCAAAGGTCATGTTCAATGCGGAAGGGTGTGAATCAAAGCTGCATTGTGTCGATCGATATGGTACAAGTACTGAGGTGCATGTGCCAGACTGTGATCCACTCTTCCCCAACTCTTTACATGTTTGCGCGCAGGCTTCGGCGCAGCGAGCAATTTACTGGTTGAGGTTGACGGGGAAGTTGCCAGCATCACGCTGGTCGTCCCATCGCGAGGTCCAGCCGCTGGGGCAGAGCGACTTGTAGGCCAGCATGAACTGCAGTGGATTAGCAGCCGTCTCCTGTGGCAATGGGTCCAGTGGAAGCGCACCTGGCGGCAGGGGGCAAAGTCCTCGCCCTTGGCGATGATGCACTTGTGGTAGTCGACGTAGTTCTGCCAGCAGTGCTTGGTCTGGTTCTGGTTGGGGAAACGGGCGTCGAAGCCTGTGGCGCGCAAAGCTAGTCAGCATACCGTGTGGCCTAGCGCGGGCAGGGAGCTTGTGTGCAGTGCGATTGTGCACGTGCGGGGCGCCGCGGGAGCTCGGGGGTTGTCCTACCAGCTGTGGAGTGAGGTTAGCTGGGGGTGTCATAGACGCTGTGCGGGCGGGCGGGTGGCGTACCAGTTACGAACTTGAAGGGCTTCGTGACCATCTCATCGCCATTCTCGTTGTCGGACATGATTGCGGTGGTTGCGGTGGAGTGGAGAGTGCGGGGCGGCGGCAATGGCTGGTGAAAGACGTCAGGTCGTCTGTGAAGTTGTGAGGATGGCGATGGGCTGACTGCGCTTGGGCTCCACACAGCCAATTAGCGACTCGGCGATTGCCGGGCATGGAACGCCGACTTGACGGCTGCCAGGCGTGAAGCTCCTGTGACGGCGAACCAGCAACACCACGACTCTCCACTCTCCACTCCACCGCCCACGATGTTTAAAGCTACCCGCGCCATGGCCATGCGCCCGTCGGCCATGATGATGATGCGCCAGACTCCCCGCATGACGATGCGTCAGAGCCCCCAGCTCTTCGTGCGCCAGACACTGCAGATGCGCAGTCCCGTTCCCGTACGGCCTCCATACCTCTCCACACGCCTGTAGAACACGTGCTAATGATTTCAATAGAAGCAGGAGCAGGGCGGTAAGCCATTGGCCCGGCCACGACACTACTGAACCCGAATTGACCATGCACCAGCCCACACTGCCTCGCAGCGCCTGCGCCAGCTCAAGAACATCCCCACTGAGATTTGGCCCTTGAGTACGTCACGCCGCTCCCCAAAATACAATTGAGTGTCTGCTAACATGATCTGCAGTTGTGGTCCTCGGGTAAGTCACCTTTCCGCGATATGCGGGGTGTGGAGTTAGTGGTCTGACCCATTTCACAGCGTTGCCGTCTTGATGGCCATCTTCTCCCTCGGCAGGAAACTCTGGGTCGACAAGACCCTCCGCCTCAAGAGGCAGGGTAAGGAGCAGTAGACTCCTGGAATCCCGAACTGGTTACCTCTGGGCGAAAGAGCTCTGTGTATACAACAGCTGGACATGTAGACTGACCGAAAACCAAAATCAAACACGGAGTTCCCTTTGTGCTGCATACAATGATATACATCCATTGGCTTGTAGGAGCCGTCGCAATATTGTCGAGACGTCTCTTAGTCCCAAATGTGTGCATCTGATGCGGTACGTCATACGGCTTGCACGGGCACAGTAATCCCAGAACCCTAGCCTAGAATAGCCAAGAAATACCCAGCCGTGAACAGTGAAATGACAGTCCTGCGCGTTCTCGTTATACGCCCAAACGCCGTGCCTGCAATGACCGAGTAAAATCCAAAACCTCCTCGACGTACTCTTAGGCGGCTTTTGGGCCTGCTTCGTCGAGTCCCTCTAACCCTTGCATGGGATCTACCGGGCCGTTCTCTTCCTCCTTTTGTTGCTCCATAGCTTGACGGTCCTCTTCGCTCACAGCATGTTTGGCCAACCAGCCCTCCTATGTACTGTCAGCAAGATAATCACAAAAGATATGGGTACACAATCCTACCTGCTCCCAAACGGCTGTCTTGCTCCCCAACCCTTCCGTGTGATCCTTCTGCGGTTTGGCAGCTGCAACTTTGATGACCTGCCCGAACAACTCGCTGCGGTCCATGTTGTCGATGGCATCTACAGCGTCCGACGCTGTCTCAAACTCAACATAACCGAAGCCTCGATGTGTTTCGTTCGAATTTGGCAGATCTGGTTTCGGCAAGTTGACTTCGACGATGTCTCCAAATGGTAGAAAGGCCTGGAAAAGTATTTGCTGGGTGACCGCCTGATCGAGACCACCGACGAACACTGTGGCCTTTAGGCGCGACGCGTCTGCTAGATTCGACATGTTGGCTGTATTTTGTAACTATGGTACGGGCGCGAAGTCGAATGCTTGTTCGTGCTCGTTGTAAGAAAATCGATATCACGTGGATACTTCAAGGGTCGGTGGCCCATGCGCACTAGCCCCCGATGATGGAAGGGACAGGTGGTGGATGCTCGAAGGGCAATATGCCGTTGCCTTGCTAACAGCTTCGCTTGCACACAGTTCGAGACGTTTCCTCCACGTGTACCTCTCTGCATAGCGTCTTATCAAGTCTCACTTTCCGATTGATTCGTTTTTCCTTTTCCAGTTCGCTGTTCAGCCGCCTCGGTGCGACCACAGCCCACCATGGTCCGCCTTCGAGAAATACCCCGGACGGCAACATTTGCTTGGTCGCCAGGACCAACTCAGCCTTTAATCGCTACCGGCACCAAGTCTGGAGCCGTCGATGCCGATTTCTCAGGCGACACACAATTGGAGCTCTGGGAGCTCAAGCTCGATGATACCGAGCACGGCGCGGAGCTCGAGCCTGTTGCTACGGTCAATGTGGATTCGAGGTATATTTCAGGACTGTCTGCGCGAGCCAATCAGAAACTGAGTGTGTTGTAGATTCAACGACATTGCCTGGAGCCAGCCGAGCGAACAATACCCCAGAGGGATAATAGCGGGGGCTCTCGACAGCGGCGCATTGGTTCTTTGGGACGCGGAGAAGCTGCGGACAGGTGCAAGGTGAGAGAATCTAGTATTTGACAGCTAGCATCGTCGCTGACATCCTATAGCGACGCCCAGATCGAGCAGATCGACAAGCACACCGGTCCCATCCAGGCCCTCCAATTCAATCCCTACCGACCGAACATTCTCGCCACCGCAGGCGCGAAGGGCGAGCTTTACATCCACGATCTCGATGACCAATCGAAGACTTTTCGCTTGGGCAAGCCTGGAGCGAACCCCGATGAATACACAACATTAGATTGGAACAAGAAGGTTGCCCACATTTTGGCAACCGGAAGCAGCGGAGGCTTTGTCACTGTTTGGGATGTCCGAGCGAAGAAGGAGACGCTCACATTGAATCATTTCGGCAGGAAGAGCGTCAGTGCTGTGTCATGGGATCCCGAAGTCCCCACAAGGCTGGTCACTGCCATTCCCAACGACCAGAATCCCCTTGTTCTGGTCTGGGACCTCCGCAACACGAATGCGCCCGAAAAGACACTCGAAGCGCACGATCAGGGTGTACTCTCCCTCTCGTGGTGTACACAAGACAGCGACATCCTACTGTCTTGCGGCAAGGACAACCGCACAATTGCATGGAACCCACACAGTGGCGAACAACTCGGCGAGTTCCCAGTTGTCACAAACTGGACGTTCCAGACTCGATTCAACCCTTCGAACCCCAATCTGCTCGCTACAGCATCGTTTGACGGCAAGATTGCTGTTCAGACCCTCCAAAACACTGGTGCTGCGACGGAGCAAACCAAGGCAGCTGCGCAGGTCCCTGAAGGCGAGGACTTCTTCTCGCAACCACGAGTGGAACCTCAGGGCGCATCGTTCTCGCTCAAAACACCCCCGAAGTGGCTGAAGAGGAGGGCTGGTGTGGCTTTTGGTTTCGGCGGAAAGCTTGTACAATTTGGTATTCATGATTCCAAGTCGAAGGTCACTATTTCTACATTTGCTGTAGACTCGCAGATCGGCGTCGCCAGCCAGGAATTTGACAAGGCCCTGGAGCAAGGAGACCTCTCAGCCATCTGCGAGAACAAGATTTCCAAAGCAGCTACCGAGGAGGAGAAGGCCGACTGGACAGTCATTAAGACCTTGACATCAGACAGCCCCCGGTCTAAGCTTGTTGAGTACCTTGGGTTTGCGGACGTGAAAGAGGAAGAACCCGTCGAGGAGAGAAAAGAGGCCGAGACGAATGGTGTTGATGACGGCGCGTCGTTCTTCGACCAATCTGGCTCAGACGAGGGCAACTTCTTATCTGACCTTGCAGCATCGAAGGGTGCAAAGACAAACAACCCCTTCCAAGTCTACACGGGCGAGGAGTCTGACGCTGATAAAAAGATTACCCGGGCTCTTATGCTTGGTAACTTTGAAGCCGCTCTTGACGTCTGCCTAAAGGAGAACCGTCTTTCAGATGCTTTCATGATTGCGATCTGCGGTGGAGAAAAATGTGTCGCAAAGACTCAAGCAGCGTACTTCAAGAAGCAGTCTGACGCTCCAAACTACCTCAGGCTGCTTGCCTCAGTAGTTGGCAAGAACCTCTGGGATCTTGTATACAATGCCGATCTTAAAGATTGGAAAGAGGTCATGGCTACTCTTGCGACTTTCGCGGACCAGTCCGAGTTCCCCGATCTCTGTGAAGCGCTGGGTGATCGTCTGGAGGAAGCCATTTCGGACGATGGTTCTTATCGCAAGGACGCATCCTTCTGTTACTTGGCTGGCTCCAAGCTCGAGAAGGTCGTTGTTAACTGGGCGCAAGAGCTTAAAGAGAATGAAGCAGCTGGTCTGGAGAAATCTGACGAGGACAACAGCTTCTCGATTCACGCCAGATCGCTGCAAGACTTTATCGAGAAGGTCACAGTTTTCCGCAAGGTGACTAACTTTAAGGATGCTGAGCAGCAGAAGGACACGGATTGGAAGCTTGAGCCCCTGTACGCGAAGTATGTCGAGTATGCGGACATCGCCTCCTCTCATGGACAGCTTGCTATCGCAGAGAAGTACCTCGACTTGTTACCCGCGAAGTACCCTGAAGCAGATGTTGCCAAAGACCGGGTCAAGCGCGCTACACAGAAGGCTACATCACAGCCGTCTGCTCAGCGCCAAGCTCAGCCTGCCGTGGGTGGTCGCAATACACGCGTAGTCCCTACACCAACACCAGCTCAAACAACCGCCTCACCGTACGCGCCATCTAACCCACTGTCGGCACCCGCACCAGCTGCGTCGCCTTACGCGCCTGTCAATCCGCTTGGAGCGCAAGCTCAAGCTCATGTACAGTCGCAAGGGCCAGCGCGCAACCCCTACCTTCCCACACCCCAGCCTTTCGCTCAACAGCAACCTTCTCAGCCTGCTACCCCGTATGGCGGTTATGGTCAGCCTCAGCAAACCTCGCTGCCCCCTCCTCCAAAGAGTTTCGGCCAGATGCCTGCCACTTCCACCGTTCCCGCTGCCATTCGTGGGCATATTCCTGCCTGGAATGATACCCCGGACTTTGGGATGCCAAAGCCAGCGTCTCGCCGTAGCACACCTCTCAATACCGTAGGCTCACCCTTCCCTAACCAGCAGGCAGCGTATGGCGCGCCTCAGCAAGGCCCGCCGCAGGGACGACCGACGCCTCCTCCCCCACCGAAAGGTCCTCCTCAGGGCCCTCCTAGGATGATGTCGCCACTCCAGTCGGGCAGTTCTCCATCTGCACCGAACCCTTACGCCCCAGTGCAACCTGCAGGCTTTGCATCCCCTCCGCAACCGCCAGTACCACGTGGGACTTCACCGTACGTCCCACCTAGCTCGGCAGCACCGGCTTCGAACCGCTATGCCCCTGCACCAGGTTCTCAGCCATCTCCTGTGCCAGCATATGGAGGAATGCCACCACCTCGGAATATTGCACCTCCACCTTCCCAGTTTACTCCTGCAGCTTCACCGTACGCTCCTGCTGCTTCGCCCTACGCTCCACCGATGGCTCACCAAGCACCTCCGACAGCTACACCACCGCCACCCAGAGGTCCTCCCCAAGGTCCCCCCCAAGGTCCCCCTCAAGGCCCCCCCCGTCAAGGCCCCCCACCAGGCGGCCCGCCCCAGGCCGGACCACCGAGGCCGGATTCCCGCTCTAGTCCCGCTCCGCCGCCAGCCGCTGCACCTGCAGCGGCCAAGCACCGTAAGCTACTTCCTATTATGCAATGTATTCCCTCTGCTAACTCAGAACAGCTCGTGGTGACCGATCGCACATTCCCGCAAGTTCGCAGCCCGTTTTCGATATTTTGAATGCGGACATGCAGCGTGTCAAGGCGAAGGCCCCTGAGAAGTTTAAGGCGCATGTGATTGATACAGAGAAGCGCCTGAACATTCTGTTCGACCACCTCAACAACGATGATGTTAAGCCTGATACCATCCAACAGCTGACCGAGTTGGCAAACAACATTCAAGCACGCCAATATGATCAAGCTGGTGTGATCTTCTCAGACATCATGACAAATAAGACAGATGAGGGCAGCGACTGGATTGTAAGCACACGCATTTGGATCGACTCACGCATTCGCTAACCGTACTCCAGGTCGGTATCAAGAGGCTGTTGCAATTCAGCAAGTCTACACCGCAGTAGAAGTCGAAGATAGATACACGAGTTACGGCCTGCGCCTAACGAAGTTTACATGCTGGCACAGTGTATGACGTAGACAGTATCGAAATATATTATGAGTGTCCTTTCCACCAAATCGCGAGTTATTTCGCAGAATGGCTTGCCGCAAGCGCTGGATTCTCTCGGTAGCGGCGAGTTACGCATGTTTGAAGGTTTGATGCCGCTTTGCAAACTCCTCAGTAAGGAAGGTGGGACTGGTCGGCTGCAGAGTCGGGCAGACGGCCAAAGTCCCGTGGCCGCAGCAATGGCACAGACTGCTGCCCAACTTAAATCTAAACATATCGAGCTTTCAGCGAGCAAGCTCGAGTCACTTGCCAGAAATATGCCGACTCTTTCGAGACTTTCGCACCTGAGCTAATACTTTTGATGTGACTCAATGAGAAGAGAATGAGACTTGTCGTGTCGTGTGCCAGAAACCCAGGTATCTGGTAAGCTAGCGGCTGTTAGAGCAGGATCGCCGCTCCTCCACCGGCTAAGTGAGGCTGTCAACACCAATTGCCAATACCACAAACCACCTACCTGGCGGAGATTCGACTATTGAATCCAGACGACAAGTCTGCCTGGCTGTGCAAGGCAACCATGGTGTCAGTGAGTGCACATTGTGGCCGTAAAATGTCCGACTGGAGCGGCACAGCCGTTGATGGCGCTGCAGCCTGGGCAATGACACCGCGGACAGCAGCACAAGCGAGATGCAGTGTACAACGCTTGTATACAAGTACAACCTGCGACGCATGGAGATACATCATGCAATTACCATCGATACTACCCTGAGCGATCCAAGAATGAACACATTGAAGCGCCGGCGAACCAACCTTGAGCATGATGGTCGCGGACAGAAGAGAGCCTGCGGCAGCCAGTTCCCCGCGAACCTTGATGGATTTGGCAATGCAACCCGGTTTAGAAGCCCGAGAGTCAGTTCTTCTATGCAAGCGCCGTTTGTTGCGTCAAAGCGTTGCATCCACAAGATTGTGACGGCATGTAGTCTGACACAGGCCACATGCTGTGCTTGCCTTGACGCGCGCCCTTAAGGCGAAACACCATCATATTATCGCTGGCAGTACTACTGTCACGACTGTCAAAGTAATTCTCTGGATTTCTCTTGTTTGAGTCTGGACTAATATTAGCCCAGACCACTGGATAACACACGATATTCACTACCAGCACCGACTGGGTGTGCCCAAATCTGTGGAAAATATCCCAGACACAATCAGAATTAGCTGTGCCGGTGGAGCTGTTGATATCACCCGCTCTGTGGACTTGACATTAGATGTTGTGAGGGTTGAAGTTGCACGACTGATGCAGTGCCATCCGACACAGCTCCTGGCAAGCGACATCGCTATGTGGAATGGAGGAGCTGTACCTGAAATGTCGGATGACAAGTCCCTGGGATTGTGCGCTACACACATAAAATTTGAGTGTGTCACCAATGCAGTGTCCGAAGACGACGACATGGAGGACGTCTGAGCGCACTATCGCGAACCGGAGATGTTTGTTTTGCGTTCGTCGCTTCGGCTTGTCTGTATATTCTTCACACGAATCACACCTATCCTGATCTGCAGGTTGAATGATAAGACTATTGCTCGAAACGCAACAAATCGCCTAGAAAGCCTGATTCGTGCCCAAGCGGCACGGAATCGCGTGCACGAGGCATACATGTCATATATGCCAGGATTCGATAACAGCCACCCAGCATGCGAACCTGCCGAAGTCGCACACTACGACAGGTCGATTGAAACAGCCCAGCCACGAACGAACCTCCACACTGCTGGCCCTGCAAGGGTGTGAAGGTTTAATCACATTATACCAGATTCCATTAAGGAGTCTGTAGAGGTCAAGTTCTCCGTGCAAAGCTGTATGCCAATATTGACGTAGGGATCGGAGACCGTACTGGGCTTGACCGTCCACCCACATCATCGGCTGACGACCATTGGAGTCTTGGCCACTCAAGGAGCTTCAAGAAACAACCGTGCTTGATTCAGCGGACTGATCGTCCGATAATAGAGATGTTTCGCCGCTTGACATGACCGTGGGGCTCTCGGCAGGCCCGCTCACTGTTTTCAAGCTCACCTTCGGATATGACCGCAGGTCCCGGTGGCGACGAGTGAGAAAGCAAAGTTGCATTGGTCAACGACCCTCAAGCCGGCGGGTACATCTGGCGTCCGCTTTGACCTCTCCAATCTGTCGGGTTTAGTGCTGTGATTCGCGGAGGATCAGCCTCGAGTTGATCATAGCTTCGTCTATGCGCATCACGAGCGCATCAGCCATGGAATGTTCATGTACCGGTAACTCCCTTGAGACGCTGCCCGAATAGTCGTGACCTAGTCACACGTCGATCGACTAGGCGTTTCGCACCCTGCACCGGCGTCCGTTGTACCATCATGTCGGACCATGCATGCATCAGTAAAAGCTTCTTTCCATGTGCTTGCGGCTGTTACATGTCGAACGTTATTAGATTGGCTGTTTCTTGATCGTACAAGGAAATGTGGGCTCGGCTTTGTTACTTTCGTATCTAGACTTCGTCCTCGTCTGCGTCGTGGTAGCAATCGCCGTGCCACCAAAGTTATTCTGTTTCGTTTGAATACGACCATGAGCCCTCGTGAACATACTCGCCTCCAACATCAGAAGCCCCCGGATTCATAAAACGACAATTACGTAGACGTCGATGCATTGACGTGAGCTCATGGCAAAGAGTGGATCGTGTGCAAACCAGCTGAGTCTTGACATCCGAGCTTCGTCACCGTCTTATGTCTTCAGCTGCTAGGGTGCAGTTCAGGCCTCCGCCAATCGTTGAGTGTATCTCCCAAGGCAACTGTCTCGGCATCGGGCGGAAAGTCTTCAATCCCCAGCAGGTTTGCACCAACTGTCTTACTCGACACGACCCTCAACAGCTACGGATCTGGGCCAGCAACAGTCGTACAGCCTTAACTCTCATCGACGAGGAGGTCCGCCGCAAACACATTGTTAAACGAAATATCGAGACGCACAGCCGCTTCCTTTGCGCGTTTGAAGATCCGGATTTCCAGTACTGCAGGTGGCGACGGAGCGATCTGAACCTTCGAGGGACCCGTCTAACGTGCAAGGTCGTGCGCAAAAAAGGAGCAGCTTGTGCAAGGTGTTGGAGGAGGCATCTGCAGAAGATTGGGATCGTCCAGTACTTCACGCCGAGCGGGTTATGTCATGAAGAGGCGGACAAAACTGTGTTGTCGAGGTCGGTAGGATTGGAGGAAGAAGAGGACGACGATGTAGAAGGCTACAACGAGATCCTACATTGAAGCAAAATATCTGTCGCTAGATGGTTAGTACTACCCCCTCTTCTTGCACCGTGCCCTGCTGACAAATATCTACAGTCAGACTCCGACACAGTGCTAGATATGCTTGCACCGCCAAAGCCTCATTGTGCTTTTGGTGTTGCATGCAACTCCCGTCCAGAAGGACAGGAAAGGGGCCCGGACATCTGCACCTGGTGCAAGAACATGAGCTTCGATGCTCTCTACGAGCAAGCCGCATCTCACCCTTACAAGCGCCATCTGAACCGTCTCATTGACACTTACATGCGCCAACTCGAGCAAGACAGCAACGAACGCAACAGCAAAGGTTGGTCACCACTGTGCGCCTGCAAGGACCCGGAGTACCGTCTGGACGTATGGCGGCGCGGCTTCAACCCCCAGGACGGGCGACTGTGTGGAACAGTGCGGCACCGGGGCCAGCTGTGCGTGCGCTGCTACCAGAAAGGCCGCGAGCAAGACTGCGCCTGGCTTTCAGAGTTCGATGGCGACAGACTGGGGTTCCCGTGCGTGTTCGATGATCCTCGGCTGAACCAACCAGTCGATCGGAACTGGAGGTTGGGCCCGGTGGACGAGCAGGGGAAGCCGGATCCGCACTGGGAGAAAGATCCTACGAGACATGGCCGGTGTGGGAGGAGACGAGAGAAAAACAGCCTGTGCCAGCGATGCTACAATCGCATGTGTGAGATCAGGGGGTTTGGGAGATACTTCGAACCCGAATGGGGTACGCTGCGTCAGAGCCGCGGCCTGTGACGGCGTGTGGTACAAAGAGGTCCTTTCTATTCAGTGCTTGAAGCAAGCCAGGGTTCGCAGGTCGGAAGGTCTCCAGTTTTTCCTTACTTGGTTTATAATTTTCTAGACAAATACCCAACAGACTTCAATGTCGATACTCAAGCAGTTTCTAGAAGTCCATGATCGCGGGAAGCGAGTGACGTCAGACATCAATTCTGAATGAAGTGCCTCTCGCTGCGAATCGGAAAATCAAATCACATATCGTGTGTATGTTGTAGAATTGATCATGCGGCAACACGGTCAGCCATACTTCAATGTGGTTGACTGATGAGGCTGCCCTTTGAAAGGGGACAGTTGACGCCTGACAGAACAAGGCTAGTGCGGGGCTTGATTGGAACGCCTCCGTCTCTCCGCCTTCGGCATCAATAAATATGAATGGACGACTCATCACAACCCTGCACCACCAATTACTTCACCAGTCCTTATTATCCGAACGTGACTCACGTTTGTCTTTCCCTTAAAGAGGTCAATTCGCCTTTACGGCTTACGAGACAAGGTTTTCTCCTACACCACTCACCCAAAGTCCACAATGGAGCACATTAAGAAGACGTTTGCGCAGTGCAAGAAGGAGGGCAGGGTAAGCTGAGTGGGCAATTGCTGGAAAATTGCGTGTTGACATCGACCTAGTCTGCCCTCGTCACCTATGTGACAGCGGGTTACCCCACTGCTCAGGAGACGCCCGACATTATGCTGGGCATGGAGGCCGGTGGCGCAGGTACGCATGAATCCTACGAGCAGCAACTGCTTTGGAAAGAGCTAATTGATACATATAGACATCATTGAGCTCGGTATGCCATTCACCGACCCCATCGCCGACGGCCCTACGATCCAGACCGCGAACACCCAGGCGCTGAAGAACGGAGTCAACACCGGCGATGTTCTCCAGATGATCCGCGATGCACGTAAGCGTGGGCTTAAGGCCCCCGTTATGCTCATGGGATACTACAACCCTCTACTCAGCTATGGCGAGGAGAAGATGCTCCAGGACGCAAAAGAGGCCGGCGCCAACGGTTTCATCATGGTCGATCTGCCGCCGGAGGAGGCTCTGCGCTTCAGGAACTTCTGCCGCAGCTACGGCCTTTCCTACGTTCCTTTGATCGCCCCGGCTACTTCGGAACACCGCATGCGCGTTCTCTGCCAAATTGCTGACTCATTCATCTACGTTGTTTCCCGCATGGGTGTCACGGGCGCTTCCGGATCCATGAACGCAGCCCTGCCCCAGCTACTGGAACGTGTCCACAAGTACTCTGGCAACAAACCGGCTGCCGTTGGTTTCGGTGTCAGCACGAGGGACCACTTCCTGAGCGTTGGCCAGATCGCCGAGGGTGTCGTCATTGGCAGTCAAATTATCAATGAGATTGCCAAGTCTGAACCCGGAACTGGCGCTAAGGCTGTTGAGAAATACTGCGACGCAATCTGCGGCAAGAGCAGCCGTGAGACCACCCGCGAAGTGGGCATTGTGGAGGCTCTCGCCGGTGCCAAGGAGCCCACCGGTGTGCATGTTGATAAGGTTATTACCGACGCGGATACCCCTGACGGTCCCGGACTGGTGGATCAGCTGGAGGCGTTGAACGCCAATAGCGATGGCTTCAACGAGGAGCATGCACTGCCTCCCCGCTTCGGCGAATTCGGCGGTCAATACGTGCCCGAATCGCTGATGGACTGTTTGTCGGAGCTTGAGAAAGGCTTCAATGCAGCGATTGAGGACCCTAAGTTCTGGGAGGAGTACAGATCCTACTACGATTACATGGGCCGTCCTGGACACCTGCACCTTGCGGAACGTCTGACAGAGCATGCCGGCGGAGCAAACATCTGGTTGAAGCGCGAGGATCTGAATCATACCGGAAGTCACAAAATCAACAATGCACTCGGTCAGGTTCTAGTTGCCCGAAGGCTTGGAAAGACCGAGATCATCGCCGAAACTGGAGCTGGCCAGCACGGTGTTGCTACCGCTACGGTCTGCGCCAAGTTCAACATGAAGTGCACCATCTACATGGGCGCCGAGGACGTCAGGCGTCAGGCCCTGAACGTCTTCCGCATCAAGCTGCTCGGTGCCTCGGTTGTTGCTGTCGAAGCAGGCTCTCAGACCCTCCGTGATGCGGTCAACGAGGCCATGCGTGCCTGGGTCGTTCACCTTGACACCACTCACTACATCATTGGATCTGCTATTGGGCCTCACCCGTTCCCAACCATTGTCCGTACCTTCCAGTCGATCATCGGCAATGAGACCAAGGCGCAGATGCAGGAGAAGCGCGGCAAGCTTCCCGATGCCGTTGTAGCCTGTGTTGGTGGCGGCTCTAACGCTGTCGGCATGTTCTACCCCTTCGCTAACGACCCTTCGGTTAAGCTGCTTGGTGTTGAGGCTGGTGGTGACGGTGTCGACACCGACCGCCACAGCGCTACGCTGACTGGTGGTACCAAGGGTGTCCTCCACGGTGTCCGCACCTACATTCTTCAGGACAAGCACGGACAGGTCAGCGAGACTCACTCTGTCTCCGCCGGTCTTGACTACCCCGGTGTTGGACCTGAGCTTGCCAGCTGGAAGGACAGCGAACGTGCCAAGTACATTGCTGCCACTGATGCCGAGGCCTTCATTGGCTTCCGTCTTGCATCTCAATTGGAGGGTATCATCCCTGCGCTTGAGACTGCTCACGCAATCTTCGGTGCTGTTGAGCTGGCGAAGACCATGTCAAAGGATCAGGACATCGTCATCTGTGTGTCTGGCCGTGGTGATAAGGACGTGCAGAGTGTCGCCGAAGAGCTTCCCAAGCTGGGTCCCAAGATCGGCTGGGACCTGAGGTGTAAGTGATAAACATCTTTAAGTTCTCTATACGAAATGCTAACAACGCCCAGTCTAAATGCTTTTTCGCATGAACTCCACAGCACATTGAGCAAGCCCGCATATGGACAGCCGTCGATCTAGTAGCAATCTCGAAATCTAGACAGCAATGAAAATCAAACCTGTTCTTGCCATGCTCTTTTTCTTTTTCTGCGGTGTTCGCAACTTAAAACAGCTACTGTAACCTGATCACCACCTAACCCATGGAGGGAGCAAATAGCCGACGACCAGGCTGCTCGGTTATGTCCCTTCAAACACTTGACTGGTGATTGGCTGCGCTGCGGGACGCCCTCGGCAGTGCCCGAATCGTGAGCTTTGACGTCTTCTACCCCAGATCTCCAACAGTCAAGTCCGGCGCGCAAATGATGCAGACAATATGTTTGTAAACATCGGGAATGTTTCAACATAAAGCCTACATGCTTACGAGATCTTTCACCACCGACTTTGTCACCAGGCGATTGGCAATGCTGGCACACGAACAGTGCGGACAGAATTACCCCGGACCTTGGATGCACTTCGATGCAACCGAGGGTTATCTCCATCGTTAGGAGGGGCGCCGGGTAGTCAAGCTAGCGCCACTGACACGCATACCGGGCTGTCGATGTCGTCTTTGACACTTCCGTGCGATTTGTTCCTCCAGATGTGCTGCCTTCTTTCCCTAGATCCTTCATAATGCGGGCGTTTGCGCGTGCTGTACAGCGGCAGAAACTCAATGCTCGCACTCTAGCATTCCAGCAGTCACGACAACGACGCGGCTTTGCCACTGGAAATCCTCAGGACGTGAAGGGGTTGACTGTCATCGACCATCACTATGAGTAAGATCTAAAGAAAACCGAGTATACGCCCTAGACGTTGCTGACTTGACCAGCGCTCTGGTCGTGGGAGCAGGAGGCGCTGGCCTCCGCGCCGCTGTGGGCCTCACAGAAGCCGGCTTGAAGACAGCATGCGTATCGAAGCTCTTTCCGACACGCTCTCACACCGTCGCCGCGCAAGGCGGCATCAACGCCGCGCTCGGTAACATGACAGAGGACGATTGGCGCTGGCACATGTACGACACCGTCAAGGGCTCCGACTGGCTCGGCGACCAGGATGCGATCCACTACATGACGAAGGAAGCCATCCCGGCCGTCGTCGAGCTCGAGAACTACGGCATGCCGTTTTCGAGGACGAACGAGGGCACGATATATCAAAGAGCGCTGGGCGGGCAGAGCTTGAAGTACGGCAAGGGCGGGCAGGCGTATCGGACGGCGTGTGCGAGTGATCGCACGGGGCATGCTATGTTACACACGCTGTATGGGCAGAGTCTGAAGGCCGGGGTGCAGTTCTTCATCGAGTGGTTCGCGTTGGATCTCATGATGAGTGACGGGAAGTGTGTGGGTGTTACGGCAATGAATATGGAAGACGGGACGTGCCATCGCATGTTTGCCAAGAACACAGTTTTGGCTACAGGAGGTGAGTGTGAACAACTTCCGTTTGGCGTGACGAGAAAGAAGCATACTGATCTTGCTAGGCTACGGGCGTGCATACTTCAGTGCAACGAGCGCGCATACGAGTACAGGCGACGGGAGTGCCATGGCTTCGCGAGCAGGACTTCCGCTCCAAGATATGGAGTTTGTCCAATTCCATCCTTCTGGCATTTACGGCGCAGGCGTTCTCATTACAGAAGGCGCACGCGGCGAAGGCGGATATCTCCTCAACGCTGAAGGCGAGCGCTTTATGGAACGCTACGCCCCAACGGCAAAGGACCTTGCATCGCGAGATGTTGTCTCGCGATCCATGAATCTCGAGATTATAGAAGGTCGTGGCTGCGGTGAGGGGAAGGATCATATTCACTTGCAACTTTCGCATCTACCCAAGGAGATTATCCATGAACGGTTACCGGGTATTGCTGAGACAGCTGCGATCTTCGCGGGCATTGACATCACAAAAGAGCCTATCCCGGTGCTACCGACTGTACATTACTGCATGGGCGGTATTCCAACAAACTACCACGGCCAAGTCTTGGACGTCAAGGACGGAAAGGATCACATTGTAGATGGCCTCTATGCCGCAGGCGAAGCAGCATGCGTAAGTGTACATGGTGCAAATCGACTCGGCGCCAACTCGCTGCTCGATATCGTAGTATTCGTAAGTCTCTAACTCCAACCAATTCCCATCACAGCACTGACAAGCCCCCAGGGTCGAGCAACCGCTCTCCACATCGCCGACAATCATGCCCCGGGCGCCACCCACAACCAATCGGAGAAGAACATCGGTCTCGACTCCATCAGCGAAATCCCCTCCTTCCTCGCCTCCGCCGGCTCGCTCCCGACCTCCTCCCTGCGCGCCGACATGCAAAACACGATGCAAAAAACCACCGCCGTCTTCCGCGCCCACGACTCTCTCGCCGACGGCAACTCGAAACTCTCTAGCATCGAGTCCTCGTTCACGCGCGACCTGCGCGTCACAGACAAGAGCCTGATATGGAACTCCGACCTCATCGAGACGCTGGAGCTAAGGAACTTGCTGACGAATGCGGTGCAGACGAGCAAGGCGGCGTTGACGCGGACGGAGAGTCGGGGGGCACATGCAAGAGACGATTTCAAGGAGCGGGATGATGCGGAGTGGATGGTGCATAGTCTGACGTGGCAGGGGGCGGTGGGTGAGGAAGTCAAGTACGGGACAAGGGCGGTGACGATGGGGACGATGGACGAGGGGGAGTGTAAAAGCGTGCCGCCGATGAAGAGAAGTTATTAGCGACAGGCTCGTCATCAAGATACTCTATCCATCTTGCCTCTGTCTCCACAGAAGCGACCGAGTCTTCGAAACCCCGGCACAGAAAACGCTAAGTTCGCTGACACAAATACCCATATTCTACAGGCCACGCTCACTCCCGGCATCACCGCCACTCCACAGACCTCCCCTCGACAATCTCGCACCACCGCCGAAACTGCATCCACTCTTCCGCCCTCTGCAGTAAGTCTCTTGTCGCCGAATCTGGTGCCCGTCGCCGCAGCATTCGCCGCTCAGCGCGGACCCCCCAACCTAGCACACCCGAATCAGCTCATCTCACCCAGCAGATAGAACGCAACATACTGGTACATCTAAAGACACCAGCAATCCACCGACGCACTCTACTGGACGCAAGTGGTAAGGCCAGTACGGCAATTACGACTGCGACAAGGCCGATGATGGCTTCTTTGGACCAGGCTGGGTCGGTTTCTGGGGGAGTGTCGGGTTTGTTGGTGCCTGTGGGGAGACTGTAGATTAGGTGCGGGAAGAAGATGAGGATAAGGCTGAGTGAAGGTAACGCCGTCATGCTGGAACATTGACCAATGGGATCAAGTATGGGCTTGGGGTATGTTTGGGGATGCTTCAGCGTTCGTCGCGGTTCGGGAGAAGGAGGAGCAGAGTGTTTGATTCACGGCTGTTGCGAGCATTATTCAGACCAAGGGATGTGCGTGTTTTATGTTCATTCGAAAGTCGTCGTATCTCGTGCGATTGAATTTCATTACAAAAGCTGGCTAGCCTTACCTGGGAATTGGGGCTGCGCAGCAGGTACAAGTGAACCAATCAGCACAGGCTGGGATTCTGTAAGGCTTGGATGCCTAGATTCCAAATTCTTCCAATCGGGCAACCAGATGTCCGCGTTTCGTGCTGCATGGGAGACATCATTCTGGCGGCCCACTGGCACGTTGTTGCTGCGAGTTTGTTGTTGCACCCACAAGCAGAGGTATCCAATCTGGTGAAGCCGCGACTGCTGTTCGTGAGCGCCACTGCTTTTCTGAGTGCGGTCACTATTCAAGAGCTAGTACTCTCATTGAATGCTATTGCTCGTTTTGAATATCGCTGCTCTTTTAAGTACTACCATTTCCTCGAGCGCTACCCCTCTTTCGAGTGCTGCTGCTCTTCTGAACTGCTACTGCCCGACCACACAGCCACCGCACTTGTAAACTATAGCCACTGTTCTTTGACTGCGAACAGTCCTTACCACTACCGCCCCATAGACGATATTACTACTATTTGTGGCCTTCTTCATTTTGCAGTTCTTTGCCGAGCCTTGATGATGTGCTGGTACCGAGAGACGAGGCTGAGAAACTCCAGCCTCGACTTCAGGCCTTTTGGTTCCATGGTATATTTGCTGAATAGAAATATCGTGATCGATTCTGATGGTCGATTCTTACAATACGCACACGAGCAGAAAAGGGTAAGCAAGCAAGTTCTGGTCAATAAGACCGTCTGATTGTGGTAGGAGCACGCTTGAATTGCGAGACAGGTAAATAACAACAGCAAGACTGATCATGTTACACAAATCTCATATACGCTACGAAGACACTTTGACAAGAAGGGTACAAGCAACCTAGAAGGATCCGAAACAACGCGAGAAATCGCTCCAAGCTACAAAACATCCCAGTCAATCATACAAAGGCCGCCGCGCCGCGTCAGTCCTCCATCACTCATCGTCCCAGTTAACCTTGAGTGCTACAAAGTCGTCAGCTTCGTTGTAATGTTGCATCGAGGAGTCAAACTTACCACAAGGGAACGGGAAGTACATATCCCAGTTCTCCGTCAAGTACGCATGGTACGGGTGCTTCTCGCCCGGGAACATCTTCTTCTCCACCTTGGCAACCTTGCCCTGGTCGCCCAGTGCAGGCCGCAAGTTCTTCAGCTTCGCGACCTCCTTCAGCATGCACGTCAGCGTGACCTTGGCCATCGGCAGCCCCAGGCACTGGTGCGGTCCGTAGCCGAGGTGGATGTAGCTGTCCATCGGCCTGTTGAGGTCGACTTCGTCTGGGTTGGGGAAGATGGCGGGATCGTGCGACGCGGCGCGCAGGTTGACGAAGACCTTGTCGCCGGTCTTGAGGTTCAGGGTGCGGCCGGAGTCGGTGACGGTCGTGTCTTTGGCGGTCTGGCGGATCACTGCGGTCTCGCCGGCGAGACGCGAGCCTTCGAGCACGTAGCGCTGCAGCTTCTCGAACGCGGCTTCGCTGTCGTCGTGCGCGAGCTTTTGGATATCGGCCCAGTGTTTCTGGCCGGCGCCCAGGAGATAGTACTCGAATGTCTGTGCGAAGAGTTGGCCTTGGTTCGACACCATGCCGCCCGCAGTGCCGAGAATGTGGCCCCAGACGAGCTTCTCAGGCTCAATGCCAGACTTCAACAAGCGCTCAATGAAGTGGATACCGTAGCTCTTGAGCGCGGATTCGTTGGGCCAGATGGCTTCTGTGATTTTCGAGAGAATGCCAGAGTGTGCGATAGCCTCGACGTTCTTAGCAACAACGTTACCAAGAACCTCTGTGGCCTTATGCGCCTTGAGGTGCAGGGGGAATGAGCCAGCAGGATCGACGTCGAAGAAGATGAGCGCGAAAACGCCCGACATCATGAGATAGAGCTCGGCCTCTGTGAATATTCCGTGTGGTCGCTCCTCGGTCTTTAGTGGCAGCATGAAGAGCTCGGCGCAGAAGTGCACATGTGCGAGATTGCCAACATCGCGAATGATGTCGACCTGGTTGAAGTCGGCAATCTTTGCGCTCTTCTCAGCAAGGAGCTCGCGCGTCTTGGCTGTGTAGTAGTCGCGGATCTCCTTGTCCCAGTCGTTGATGTACAGGGCTTTCTTGACCATCGCACGAGACTCGGCGTTCTTCTTGCCATCGCCTGCGAGCATGAAGTCCCTCGAGCTAGTGCCCATGATGTACTCCATTGCTGCACCCCATGTGACCTTGAAGGTTTCCTGATCCTTCATGATATCGGTGGCGATCTTGTACTCCTTCACCAGCTGAGGATGGAAGCTTGTGCTTGGCTTTGAGAAGTCGTAGAGCTTAGCCTTACCCAGGTCCTTGAGCGCCTCTTCCATGGCTGACGGAACTGTAAGCGGGTAGTGCACGTAGACACTGTTCTGCTTGAAGTGGTTGGGGAACGCGCGAAGGAAGAGCTTGTAGAACACGCAACCATTATCAACGCCAGTGTCGAAGTTGACGAGCGAGTAGCCCCAGTTGGTCAGTGTCCGTGGGTTGTAGTCGTGTGTGTAGAATCGGTCACCGCGGACAAGAGCCACGGCATCAGACAACACAGCACGCGAGACCGTGTATGGAGGTGTCAGACCGGAGCCAGGAGCCATAGCTTGCTTCGCATCCTCGACCACGATACCGGGATAGATTTCGACCTTGTCTGGATGGCCGTACAGATGCTTGAGCTGCTCCTGCACGTACTTGTCGCTGGAAATGTCCTCGAATGTTCGGTGCGGCTCCAGTTTGAAGTACTTCCTGAACTCATTTAGTGAACCCAGGTTCCATTTCCGCGCCTGTTCGATGCCCATAACCTCGATGGCACGGAAGACTGCCGGGACTCTGTTTGGTCCAAAGGAGTTGGCACAATCTTCGATACTGGAAGTGAGAATCTTGACGAGTTCATCATCGGGGAGGGTGCCGTCAGCGTTGCGCTTCAGGTTGGCGAAGTTGCGATCCGATGGGTTCGCTTTGTAGTCTGTCTTATAGTACCCGTGGAGCTTGTCGAGAAAGTCCTGCTTTGTCAACTTCTTGGGGTCAAAGTCCTCGCCAAACACCTCCTCCATGATTTCCCTTGTCCACTTCTCGTCACGGTCGGAGACAGTTGAGTGCCATCTGTAGACAAGGTTGAACTCGGCGGACACCTGGTTGCCGACACCCAAGGGCAGATCTTTGACTTCAGCGCGAGGATTGAGCTGCCAGTTGCTATCTGTGCGGTTCAAATCCAAGATCGTGCGAACGTAGTCGATGAGAATGATGTTGACATACAGACCGCATGTGATGAGGCGGCCAGTCTGGAACAGATCATTGTCATACTTGGCCCAAGACGCGTTCCACTTTGAAGTAGCTTTGTCGTCCTTCTCCTGTTCTCCTGTGGGTTTAGGAGCCTCGGAAGATGGCTTTGTGAAACGCCCCAGCTCGTTGATGGTTGCCAGGTTGTCCACGACGTGATTGTGGAAGCGGTTGAACATGATCAGTATCGCGCCAACGCCAGGGGGAAAGAACAACAGCCTATTTTCAGAGAAACAATCGGGCTTGATCTTTCCATCCTTGAACGTCCTCATCCTGTCTTGTTCTGTCTGATTGCTTCCGTACAGAGGGGCCAGATCCAGATACGAACTGGTCAGCGAGTTGGAATCAAGGCCATCTTCGGTGTGCTCTGTTCGGAAGCAGTCGTGAATGATGATCGATGCGATGTAGAACAGCATACTCGAAATCCTGTTCGGATGCAGCTCGGCGTGTTTCCTGGTCATGATGCTGTCAAATACGACGCCAGCGTCTGGTCTTGCCGGTGTCTGCATCATAGAGGGTTTAACTGTCCGGGCATAAGGAGTTCCTGCGGCACCGAGCTGAGGGTGAATCAGGCTGTTATTGGAGCCATCGGCGGATCTGTACTGATACTTTGCTCCAAGGTACGATTGTGGTGGATGCTCCAGATCATTCCAGAGCTGTGTGACAAATGTGGTGGTCAGAGTGTCTCGCATCTTTGAACCGTCTGGAAGCGCTGCTGCTGTCCGAATGAGACCCTCCATTAGGTAGGTCTTGTCGTCTGTGTATCCACCCATCATCTTCTCCTTCTGAATTTCGAGTAACGTCTTGGCGTTGTTCGCATCCAGATAGGTCAGATCACCCAATCCATCGGCGATTTTCTTGAGAATAGAAGGGTCGTCTTCAGGAGCAATCTTTGATCCATCGCCTGTATTTGGAACGGGCGCTGCTGCTGCGCCTACGATGCCGGCCATCTTCTTGAAAGGCCCCCCAAGTGCATTCCTCAGCTTGGTCAACTCAGACGGCTCTGCCGCCTTTGGCAAGGGTTTGCCGGTCCTGGTATCGACGTGTTCGTCCCAGGCGGCCTTGGCTTCTGCGACCATGATGTGTGATTGACGATACTGTTGGGATGTTATCAGCGGTTCTTCTTTCAAAAGCGCAGCGCGTGTGTGTAACCAAATCGAGCGAACATGGCCTGTATAGTGATGTAGAAAGAGAATACAACTTACATCTACTTAAAGACACGAACAACTTCAGTCTGACAGCCTGGCGTGCAAGATGCTCCTTGCTTTCTGCTGTTCTAGTGATGGAGAGGGATTAGAATTCAGTATATACAGCTTTTATGTGGGAAGTACAAAGTAAGACAATGTTTAGCACACGAGCGGCGAGGCTGGAATATAAATATTTGTCTCTGAGTCGGGAGCGGGGGGGTTACCGCTTGGCTTGCAGGTGCAGTAGTGTGCTCAATTACGAATGGGTCTCGCACAAGATCCGAGGAGGCAACCTCTTAGATGGCTTTGCCATCCTCCAGCAAGGCCAGAGGCCGACGATAGTGTCCTTCGCAACCTCACAGGCTGACGGTTTCGTCGGCCGTGGGGCCAAAAAGAGAAGTCTCTAGTCTCAGCCGCAGTTGACCAGCTCAGCCCTCGTGGACCGCGGCGGTCCGCCAAACGTCTGAGTGCGCCAATCAAATCAATGGGATTATCAGGATTATAGCTCTAATCAGTGTAGGATCATCTGGCCCGCGCCAGTTGTGGGGTCGAGACATGCTGGGAACGGCGTTCTGTTCACTAAGAGCACATTGGCGCGCAGATGCACCAGAAAGCAGTCCGTCGGTGTGAGCTGAGGATGCCTAATAAAAGGTAGTCCATGATGTCAATCGCAAGGATTATAATGACTGCGAGCTGTTGGTTGTGCCTGGATGGTGGGAACGGCAATGAGGGGCTACCAGCTAGTGACGCTAGATGCAGGGACCGCGGCCCCGAAAGGCGCAGGCCGGGAGGAAGGCGCCGCAGGCCTGTAACAAGATCGATGGATCGATCATATTTCCCGCCCAAAAGAAATGTGTGTACGGACACACTCGTGAGTGATGGTGTACGCAGGTCTCATTGAGGTCACGAGAGGGCGGGAGCTACTACGAGAACGCACGAGTGGTTGGTCAGGAAATTTCTTGAATAATGCCGAAGCTGACATCTCGTACATCTACTGCAATAGTGTTCCGAGTAAGCCTTGCGCATAAGCTGGTCTGACCGAGAGCAGTTGCCTTGTTGCCCTCCCTGTACATCATTTCTGTCCTGGCTGCGGGACTCGATTCGCTATGCGACATGACTTCAGCCTCGCGGCGGCCGCCCTGCTCCCCTGCATGCTGCTCCAAGCCACGTTTTCGGCCGAACATGGGTATGCTCACCAAATGCCAGGCAGCATGGCATACCTCTTACGCTTGTACTTGTCACCGAACTCCTTGCGGTACCTCTTTTCTTTCTTCCATGCCCAGACACCCATCTGGCCGACCGCAATAACGATGAACAGGACTGTGCTCAGACTTCGGTTGACGAGTGCCACACCAATCCATGCGATCGCCTCAAACAAGTAGTTGGGGCATGTCACAAGATTGAAGCCAAGACCGTGCGGGATGCCTCGTTCGGTACTGCCTGGACGGCGCAGGTTTTTGAGTGTCAAATGCGCATTAAAGTTGCAAATCTCCCCAATTGCGAACAGAGCGACGCCGAGGTATGTGATGAGAGGGTTCCAGGCTTTAGCGGCAGGACTGTTGGGTCCGTATGACCAATATGCCAAGTTGAACCCCGAAAAGACCCAATAGTGGCCGCTGTTCTTCACAATGTTGAATGCTGGCATTGTCGCTGAGGAGAAGCGGTGGACGAAGAGTGTCTCGTACTCTCGCTTCGCAAAGTGCAATACACACATGATGAGCGTGAGTGTCTGCAGTTGCGTGGCTGGAGCATCAGTGCCATAGATCCAAGACCGAGCAAAGTATACGAGAGGGTGGATGAGGAGAGGGCCGAGATATTCTACGATGAAAACGGTTCGCCAGGATATCTGGGGACCTATATGATCTGGTCAGATTTACTCTCTGTGAAGCATGAGGAGGTTGTGACATACCGAGATCCTTCACATCTACAGCGCTCTTGTTCCTGAGACCAGTCTGGTGAATGCTGACACCTCCGGCGTTCGGAATCGCTGATCCATCGCTACCCTTTGTGACTCTTAATCGGTGGATGGAGAACTTCGAGACACTCGCGATCTTGCGGAAGATCTCCGACGCAGGCGCATCAGAATCAACGGTTATGGATTCCGGTAGGCCCTTGATCGGGCGGCCTGGCGGGGTTGTCAGCTTTGCGATGATAGACGGCGCAATCTCAATTGAGCCGTGGCACAGAAACACATACCACGCGGGCGTATCACAAGAGTGAGGGGTGATGAAGACATTGTGGCTTGTTCCTGCAATGTGTCGGTGTGTATTCCTGCGACTTTTTGAGGTGTAATGATTTCTTGGCAATGAGCCTCGGGACGTCATCAAGAACGGCTAGTCTGCACGATGTTCATTGGCTACACTCAGCGCATAAGGGATTCTTGAGTGGTTGTACGAGTGTGATTGGCTTGGATACCCACCTAGTCACAGATACATCTGACTTGCCTTCACGAGTGCTACTTGTTTCACTCAGCCAAGATCGACCACGACCTGGGATGCAGTTTCCGGTCCCATACCGGCAATCAGCTCGCCAATTAAGCCCTTGATCGAATGAGGCTGGCGAACATCTCCGTCGTCCCATGATATGAGTTGCTACAGTATGTCAGTACTGTGGTGTTATAAAGAGCACTCCATGAGCACTTACTTGAGCCTCAGCAAGCCGGCCTCTAACTCGAATCGGTGTTGCTCCAAGATCCAGTCTACTGTCCAGTTCTTCTATGGTCATAAATCCAGGGACCTTCAAATCGAAGAGGGACATTCCGTTCTTCACTGCGACCCCGGATTCAGCTGCCGTAGGCAGTGGATATTCGAGTTCGTCAAGCTCACTGGACTCTGTAGCTGTATTGCTCACAGAAGCTGCCGAGTCCTGCCGTGCACGCTCTCTCGACAGTGAGACGTACGTCTTCTTATCCAGCAAGCCTTTGAGCTCGCCATCCAAGGGGTTCCAACCATAGGACTCCGGATCTAGAACGTGCTGAGGTTTGTAGTCACCCTTGTAACGCATCTTTGTGCAACTGTGAATGTAGTAGCCCATGTAATAGTACTGGTAGCCACCTTCAAGGGCGAGAACAGTCTCTCTCAGGGCACTCAGCTTACCGAACTGCCACTTCTCATAATCTGAATGATACAGCATGTACACACCACTAACGCAGTGAGGGAGCAGGTCTAGTACACCCATTGCAACCAGTCTACCGTCCAATCGGTAGCACTGGTGGTAGGAACCAAGTTGCTGAGACCTGCCATTCACTTGTCGGACGGTACGCTGCAGCGGAGACGTGCACAAAAAGCGCTTGAATCCACCCTGTGAGATCTCGTGGGGCTTCTCTTTGTGAACGTGCGACTGGTAGTTGCGAAAGAGCTCAAACTTCTCGACTGTATACTCTGCAGGTTCGAGCGTCACCTCGAAACGGTGTGCAGGCTCTGGCGGCTGCTTGACATGTTCGAGCTCAGCTCGATGAATTTCCTGCAGGAGGTCGAACCCATTCTTGAGGCGTGCTTTCTCTCTGATGGAGGTCAGCTTGGCGCTGGTGTCACGAATAGGCATGCACTGACTCCTTCGGCACTGGGTGCAGCTTGGCGGCGGCTTTTTTATATTCCTCACCTAGAACGAAGTCATTCCATTTGTTGACTGTTCGCCGCTGGTCTTTCGACGGCTTCAACTCGGCTGCAGGAAGTCTTCTTATGCATCAGTCGTTGTGGATACTATCTTGCATATGCAGCTTACCGGATCGTGTAGTGCGGACAACAATGCCGCAGAACATCAGGCTTGTAGAAGATGGTGCCTGACCTTCTCCACCCTCGATCTACCAAGCTTTGGTAGACATCTACCGACAAGCTTTTTGACGAAAAATAATAGCTGGCTCCTGATTATGTAAAGCTAGTCAGTATTCGAAGCGCACTGGTCGTCTCCTCCGCACACAGGTGGTCAGGAGCAAACGGCGTGACGTGGCAGCCGGAAAGGGCAGGTACGCATATGACTCGCCCGATGTTGTTTGATCATCAGCGTGCGCATTACAGTCATCTAGGCGGATGGAAAGACGAAGATGAGGCTTGGCAGCAATACATGCTCTGTGCAGGTGGACCCTGCGCCAGAGTGGACTCTGCGCCAGAGTGGACTCGTGTCAAGCAGCGCGGGGATGTAATGTGCACACGTGAAGAGAGCAACCTTAACGGAACATCAATTGAAGACGCAGCTGGTGCGCGCCTGCGATTGCGCGCCATTGTCGATAATCTGGGCGGTCTGACCGCTCCGAAAGCTTCATGCACGCATGACTCTGGGTGACAGAACGGGGAGATGAACGGAACATCCACGTACGAGAATTGAGCGTCCTCTGGCCACTCGATGCGTCTTTGCAGTATCCGCAGGACTCGCTACTGTAGCCTAGGAAGGAGCATCAGCAGCTGTGTCGCGGGGCCAGGGATAGAGGCCGTGAAGTATGCAGCGTGCGAGGCGTGGAGGACGACGCTGTGTGCTGCCGTATCCAGCCAGACAAGCACGGGCGGAATCCAGGAGAATGGTTGGAGCAGAACCTACCCAAGGGCTGCACGTAGGAGAGGGCCATCCGAGAACTGGCCTACGACGGGCTGCAGGAAGGGGCGTAAGCGTGGGATTTGGTCAAGCGTTCAGTGGGGGCAGGCCAGAGCGGAAATGGCGTGCGGGCGTAACGAGGGCTTCGAGCGGTGGAGAGCAACGGCAGCCGTTATATGTAGAGGTGAATAATAGCTCCCCTGACGGCCGGCCTGTCAGAACTGCGGCGTGGTTGCCTCACTGGCACTGCGCCTTGTGCCTGCTGAGCTGCGCTCGCCGCTGGCTCGCTCGTACACGGACGGAGCACGGCGGTCGCAGGGAGTGCTGCAGCCTGTGTGGACGATGAAAGTGCTGTATCACAGCACGCGCGATTCCGCGCCCACTGAAAAGCATGCAACTGCCCCCGTGATTCTGCCTCGCCCGACGTCATAGGCAGGCGCGCTGCTGCACAATTGCCTGCGCAGTCCCGAGACAGTGAGTCGCAAGGTTTTGCGTGCGCCCGCTGCGTCCCGCAGGTCTCCTGGTTCGCGTGCTTGGCGGAAAGGCTCGAATTTCTATGCGGTCGAGCACCTAGCCTCCCACTCCACCTGTCTAATAAAACATCACCATGGCCTCGTTTACTGCTCCCAGGGTTCTTCAACATCCTCCGCCCCGTTCCCCCCGGGACTGAGCAACTACCGCCCCACCACGCTGTCACTACATCTCACCCCATTCACACTTGCCTAGCACCTCGCTACCGCTACGCACGCCCTCGCCGCTGCTCGGCTTCTTTTCACCGCCATAGTGCGCCCTTGCCCCTCGGCCACGCCCCTCCTGCGAGCTTGCACTGGTGCTGTGAGCCCACCTGCCCGTCTGCAGTGCCGCTACTTGCTCTCGCAGCCACTCTTCACGGCCTAACATGGCTGCCACCCAGCAGCTGCCCATGCAGTCGCGCACTGGTCGCGTGAACCAACGTAAGTGTGCTCACGAGACCCCCTCGCCTTGTTCAAAAGATCGCCATTGCGCCGCCACTGTGTGCAGCGCCGCCGTTTGCAGCGACACGCTGCTAATTTCCCTGCAGGCTACGGTTCTCAGGGCGAGCGCCTAGTCGCGGGTGTTGTTCCGCTCTCCGCCGACAAATACTACGTGCTCCTAATCCAGTCCACACGGCGTGGCGGCTGGGTCCTGCCCAAGGGCGGCTGGGAGTTGGACGAAGCAACTGCCCAAGACGCCGCCAAACGTGAGGCATGGGAGGAGGCCGGCATTATCTGCAAAATCAGCTACGACCTCGGCATGATCCCCGAGAAACGGAGAGCCGACCAGCTCACAGCCACCGCGCCCAAGGCCTCATACCACTTCTTCGAGGCCCTCGTCGAGAAGCAGGAGGCGCAATGGCCTGAAATGCACAAACGGTCGCGACAATGGTTTACATACAGCCAGGCACGCGAGGCGTTGGCGCCAAGGCCTGAGCTGCTCGATGCCCTCGACAGGTGCACCATGAACCGGTAGAAGGTGCTCGGGTGCCTGCAGGCGCAGCAGTGCACTCTGCGCGCAGGCACCACATGTGGCGTGACGGAGCATACCCCATTCGGACATTTGAGTCCTCCTTGTCTTTTAATACCACACCGCGGGTGTCAAAAAAGCTACGGCACGTAGCACTATAGACTTTGGTCTGGTCCCGTTCGGCAACTGGCGTTGTGGTTGCTCTTCTATTGGTAGAAAGATGCATATGCGGCTCTCGTGTTCTGGGCCATTGCGGCTCGCATCAATGCAATTTGGCCAATGCCGATCGCCGTCTTCTTGTTTTCTTTACCGACTAGGTCTTCACTGTATCTCATGATTGTGCGCTGATCGAAGTAGTTGAAGCAACTGTCGCTTCAATACCTGTCGCTGGTCTCTTCCTGCGCGCAGCTCTTCGCCGCACGTATAAATGAGGAGCAAAGGTCACATAGCTGGTCATCCGCACGCCTGGTCCAATTGCCATCGTGCTTGAACTGCGCAGCATTCTACTAATGACCCAGAGAGCAGAGTATGATTTCGTGGTCGTTTTGCGTGGAGCGACCCACCAGCTGTGTTGCTATCCGGACTCATTTCTCGTATATGCAGGGCACGCCCAAACCCTCGGGCACAACGACCCGCATGACGTCGACATCGACGAGCTCGCATGAAGTATGCGTTGGCTATATTGAAATACCCAGAGAGACTCGCACATCACCTTATGACAGTCTAGGCCAGAGCCGGGCTCAAGAAAGAGACACGTTCTTCGCGTGACAAATGCTCCGAAGGCTTTGCTAAGAGCTCGAAGCAACCAAGGCCATGATCTTGCGCGCAAGGTCTTGCGTTTCATGGCTGAACGTTGATATGTTGCTCGAGTGCAATTGCATTCTCCCCTCTTGAGTATGGAGAAGAGCATGCCACTCTAATCAATGTTAGCATATTGGAGTTTAGACATGCTCCCACTAATGCTCGCATGCTACTTGGTCTCTGCAAATTTGTCTTTCAGTTGCAGTAGTATTAGGCCTATTTGTAGTACATAGTTAGGGGTACAGGTACACGTGGATTCCGCCGCTCTTTTGGTCTCCACAGCAAGTTGTCTGGCTCTTTGTTGAGGCTGATTGCACAACTGTTCAACACCAGGCCACAACACCTGCAAAAACGGTCACCATACCCGATCACCAATGTCGCACCCAGAGAGCATTTGACCACGTGCTGTCCACTTGATGCGGGTGTGCAAACTTGACCTCAGGCTCGGCCGCACCCCCATAAGATGTGTCACTACCGTATTTGATGCACGTGTTGTCAAGCGTCAGCTTCGGCGTATTCGGGTTCGTCGTGTCAAAGATATCGATGAGTTGGTGGTATTGCTCGTATTCGTAGTCACCGTCCAAGTATAGATACTCCAGTGACTCTGGAAGATTGTCCCGGGGATCCGTCATCTGTTCGACCTCCTCCTCTACTGTGTAGAAGCCCTGTGACAGCGCTTCGTCGTCGCCCACATCGTCGTTTGGCATGGGCAGTAGCCACTTCGCCTCACAACGCAGAGCTTTGAGCTTTGTGAACTCTCGAGCTGAGACGAAAGGGATATCGTTGACGCTCTCCTGTAGTTGACTGTCAGTAGGCTTGAGCGAATGACGATGAACATCAACAGACATACCAGAAGATGGTCAAACTCTGCGAGCTGTATCTCCTCCAGAGAGTGGCTAGCATGGTTTGAGAGAGCCTTGATGACCTTTCTCGGCTCATACGGTACATCTAAGTTCATATACCCTAAAGACGTATAATGAAACGTTTTCAAATTTTTGATCATGGGCAACAGCGTGTTGAAACTCTGCGGGTCAAATTGGCACCCATGCAGCAGAAGCTCTTCCACGTTAGACACTGGCGCGCCTACAGTATTGCGTAGATGAGCCTCATTGCCAGCTTCGTCCTCGTCACCCTCACCCATGTGGAACCTCGCTCCGGGTTCGCTGCCCATCATGTACGCAGCAAACACACGCAGCGATGGGACGCACAGGAAATAGACCGCCCAGTCCAATAAGCAGCCGCTCTCTGCCATTTGGGTCTGGATGACCCCAACGGTCTCTAGGTGCTGCAATGGCATCTGAGCAGCTAATGAGGGGTTCTGATAGCCCGTAGCGACTCGCCGCATGAACGATAGCATACAGACATCGCCATGTTTATCGGTGTACCGGAAGGCGCGTAGTTGAGGGAGGTGATGGAGCAAGACTATGACAATGACGCCTTCGAAGCCACGACTAGCATACCGGTTCATGGCCTCCTCGAAAGCAGCCAAGCCGGCGTCCTCGCTCACGAAGAAGCCACGCACGTCGGGGTACAGAGGCAACAACTTCTCTACTGCTGTTTTTAAGATGGCTTTGTCCTCTGGCGTCATGTCTTCGAATTGTTCGGGGCGGTCATCGATGAGATTCAATTCCCTCACATACCGCCCCTTTCGCGGGTCCTGTAATATTTCTTTGGTGATGTCCCAAATGGAATACCCGTTGCAGACTGGTGTAATCGTCGAGTATTTTGCGAACATTTCGTGTTCTTTCAATCGGTTTTTGCTCAATTTCGAATGCTCTCTGCTGGTGAGAGCGAACTGGAGGGTTGGTACAGGCTCAAGACTCTCAATGATGCTGAGCTTCAGCTCAACGGGTAGAGAGACAAAATCCATGGCGTGCCTTGGTGAGATGTATTGCGGAGTGCGTTGTGACTCTGTGGCAAACCTTTCGAGGTATGTTTGGTTTTAAGATTACTTCTTGTTGTACGGTTAGGCAGCCGTCGCTGAAACGGGAGTTGACGGCAGCTAGCGCAAGGCTGCTCAGTCGAGCAGCTTTCTGCGAGACTTTTTGGATCACCAAGACAGATCACGCAATGTCGTGAAGTGCGCTTCGCAGACTGAATGTCACAAAGGAGTTGCTGGCGTTCGCATTCTCTGCATTGGCACAAAGTCACGATGCGGGAGAGTTGGAACACCGCTGAGATATGACGATAATACTTATGAGCAGGAACAAAACACAGAACGAGATAGTGACTAATGGAGTATGGTTTTGTGTAGAGAGTGATGAGGGAGGTTCTGGCGTGCTGGTGGTGCCAGTGTTGGCCGCCGCACACCCCGCACACTCACAGCGCTGCATGGGTCGTACTGCAGAACCTGGGCATCAAGAACCCATCGCAACCTCAATTCTAAGGATTTCATGGGAAATTACAAGCAGCAGTAATAATAGTGCTAATCTGTACACCCACACTTCATTCCTCAGTACCTGGGTAGACGCCCGTGCAACTCTGACCATCAAATCGACTGCCGGCATACCTACATCTGTAGGCTCCTCAATCACGTCCGTCCAGCTTGGTTCCGTCCTCTACATCTAGATCGTTTATCGACCTGCTTGTCGTTTTCTTGCGAAGGCAAAGCAGGCAGGCTCTTGTTCAAGTCAATCGCTGAAGCTGCCTTGGTTTTGTACCGCCTCAGCAGTTCCTCTGTTACCCTTTTCGTCGACTCAACTGGCTCCCCCATCTGACAATCGACGCTAGCTTTCTGCGCTGCCGGCAATGCGCCTTCTGAATGCCTGCCTGTGGCGAACGGGTCTACGCTGTACTTGCTGGAAGTCGACGGGTGGACTTCGCGCTTCTCCCCGGATCCGATATTTTGCCTTCTCTTGTCTGGGAACATGGAGTCAATGGGATCGATCATTGCCTCGGCGATATGTCTCGGTGATTCCGAATCTTGGCTCTGCTCGCTGCTCATGGAATTTCTACCGGCCTCAATGTCTAGAGATGTTTTGCATGCCCAATCCGGACTCTCGCTTTTCCGTGCTTTCTTTCTGATAGACTTGGCTGACCGGATAATATCGAGGCTCAGTCTCTGGAAACTTCTTGAAGACGACTCAGACTGTGTCGATGCTCTCGTTAAGGTACTGCTCCGTCGCTTCCTGAAGCTAAATGTACCTCTTCTCTGCCTGGCAGGTCCATATTGTAAGACTTCGTTCCTGTCTACAGAAGAACGGTCAAACGAATTGTTGGAACCTCGATCGACAGATTCCTCCGAGAGAGCAGATTCCCCTCTGGACGAAGTAGCTCTCTTGGCGATTTGCAGACGATCTATGTCTGCAGTGACGCTCTTTTTCATTGCCTCACTATATTTCGCAATGGGCGAATCATCTTCTGAGTACTTTCGGTGTTTGTTGAGTCTTGATCCGAATACAAAGCTTGGGTTCCTCGCAGCAAGATAATGTCTTTCTTCTTCCTTCCGCGACTTGTTCTCAGGTGAGAGAAGCCCGACATCAGTTCCAAGATCTGGTTCCATGTTTACTACGGACACGTCTCTAGAACTCTTGTCATGACTGGTATCAGTCTCGAGCGACAGACCAGACGACCTGCTACTTTTCTGACTCCCTCGAAGCACTTCAACTAGAGCATGACCCTCATTTTCCTTGATGACAGGCTGAGGTAGGGCTTTGTTCGTTTCCTTTAGGGAGCGGGACAAGTCTCGCTTGCGGTTTGTGACTTGAAGGCGACCTGAAGTTTGAATTGGCGCGTTTGTTACACGTCTTGCTGGAACCGATATATACTTGCCAGGGTGGTCAACTGCTTCTGATAAGACCTTGAGGCGGTGAGCTTGGTGCTCCTCCTCTGAGACGCGTGGATGGGGTCTTCGATTTTGATCCTGGCCACTTGAATCTCTATACCTTTCCAGAGCCCCTAAGAACCCATCTTGAGAAATTTTTGTTCTGGAGGTGGATGAGGTTCCAGCACGGTATGCGCTCAACGCTCTCTTGGGTCGTAGGCTTGCATCTCTGTCGTCCTCATCTTTTGCTCTCTGTGCGCATCCCAAGCATCGAGATTCGACAAATACAGGTCGACTCTCACCTCGGTTCTGTTGCTTGAACACCTCAAATGTGACGATGTTGTGCATATGTTCCCCATCATCGAGGAGCTGGACTTCGATGAATTCATCTGGATGCCCGCAAGCAAAGGCACGACGGAAAATCTGCGGATGGATTGAGCGACTGCTGAGGTGCACTCCAGCGCTCAAAGCTGGTGGAGCTGTCATTACGGATGCGGTGAAATGTTTTGGAGGTCGTGGGTTGGCAAGAACGGTAGCAACACTGAAGGAAGGTGCTCACGAGGGTGAGAGCGAAAGAACAACGAGCGTTTTTCACAGTGGCTGCGTTTGCCATACCCGTTGCTGTAAAAAACTCCACAAGATCAAACGGACGTTCGATGTGACAAACGATAACACAATGTGCTCTTCTACCTAGGTAGGTAGCTATAAACTACGATGTGCTGCGGTACAAAGCATCTCTCCCTTCCAGCAACCCAAGACATCCTTTCTGTGAGGTACAATCTTTCCGGCTATGCATTGAAGACAGAAATGAATCGTCGTCATAACGAGTAATTGAATACGTGTTTTGGCCTACATCCTCGCCAGGGTATAGGATGTGTCAGCATCCACACGGTTTTACCAGATACCTTTGACCATCCATTTGTATCCGTGGCGTGACATACAGATATGGGCGGATTGTTGAGTGACTGTGGGCATAATCCTGTCAGCTAAGGTAACGTCGATTCTCGCTGCATGCAAAATTCTCGTGGGCAGATGTTGTACTCGGTCAGCGGAGCACTCAACAACATAATCCGGAGAAATGATGGTACAAATTTGGCAACGAGTTCAAACAAGCAATCCGCGCATGAGGTTTTCACGTAGGCAATGGCACTGAGTGTGACTGAAAATGATTGCTACATTCAAAGACCAATTATCCAAGCACTACTCCGATCACAAAGGAAATATTCGCCCGCTGCTATGCATTACCATCGTGACATAACAGATGATTTTCAACCAGATGTATAGATGCAAGTGAAAAAATGCTTGAGAGGAGAATTTGGCGTCCTGTCCGGCTCCGGATGGCTCCCACGTAAGCCTAGTGATGGCTTGCATGGCTTTGTTGACCTGCGGTGTCGTTTATCAATCGAGTCGGCCGATAAGGTATCTTTGCTGCGGAAGATGGATCTTGTTGAATAGCCAGACTGCCGAAGCTATGCTTACTCGCACTACGGAATCAACGAGTATTGTATGTGCTTCGTCATAGATGACTGGATCTCCGCGATGTAGGTGTTAAGGAGAGGTAAGTGCCCAGTCGTTCCCGTTCGCTGATGCTCGGAGGCCTCCTAGTTCAGAAGGTTCTCGAATTCGCAAGTCCTGCAGTATCCTTGACTCCTGTCAACAACGGTGTGGTCTCGTTGCGTATCAGGGCAGGGGAATCCAAGGCGTTCTTCTTCGGCTTGCCTGCAGATTCGAACGATTTCTCCGTTCAGTCCTTGAGGCTGCGCGACCCAGTGTTCGCATCGGTTGTAGATGATGTACTGAATTGTGCACATTGTGGCGGAAGGATCTCTTGGTCAGTTCGATTATGGTACTTGTGTTCGAAGAAGAATGAGATGGAACTAGGAACAGTACTGATTGATTCGAGTGATGAACAGTGATGATGAGTGATGTTATAGTGACGAGGTGAGTAGTAGACTCAAGTAGCTGATGAGATGTAGACTGGAATTTTACGATAGTCGGGTCATACGGTCTTAAATATGAAGGCATGCAGAAAGTTATGACAGAAAAAAGCAACCTTGGAACGCTCCGATGTGTAACACAGTGTACTTCCACATTCGGCACCCTGCCAACCCAACCCTTACCGCTGACCTCGCATCTCCCTTTTCTTGCAAAGCCATTCACGAGACGACCATACTTACGGGTGGTGTTGTAGAAAGAGGGGCTTGCTCAGACAGGGGTCCTGCCTAGTAGAGGGACGACCCGATGTAGTGGTAGTTCCTGCCTGATGATCAGCCGTGGCAAAGACAGCACCACAGACGATCGCAGAGCTCACCGCCACCACTTTCAGCATGGCATATGTGGGAATTCTTCTTGGGGTCGACCAGCAGGCATGTCACACGAGAAGGATTTTGTGGATTCTAGTGACGCAGGCACAGGGCGAATTCGAACTGTCCGATCAGTCTGCGCTAGCCGTGTTCGTCCAGCCTGCAGCCAACACCAACGCCAGATCACTGCAATCACCCGCACCCACGAGCCTTGCCGCATCCGCGCATGCGGCCGGCATCGGACCAAAACTTGACCTGCTACAGCTGACCAGAAAGTACACATCGAGCCGCAAGGAGAGCTGGGATCGCCCCATTCTCTACGCGTCACCGGGCTGGCTGTTCAATGTCGAACGGCAGGCTGGTTATACCACCGTTACACCCCCGGTAGCATTCCTGCGCATCTCGACGTACCATGGGACTGGAACAGCCAGATGTGAGAGGAGGTGCATTAACAAAGCGATCCTGAACCGATGTAAGGCCGCAATGATACTCGACCAATCCATTTGCTCTTGCTACATTCAAAAAGCGGTCAAGATCCGAGATAATGGTTCGTGATATTGACGTGCCTGTATAGTACTGATCTGGCTCGGATCGAGTGGGCCGAAATGCCATCTGCGAGGGGTGCTCGATTAGTATGGTGCCGGTACACAGTTGCACTTGACAGGTCCGCTGCGAGGCGCGTATCATCTCTCACTGCAATACAACGTACCATTCGACCACGCGATGATGTCGCAACGCACACCGCTACAAACTCTCTATTCAAAACAATGCAGATTACGCAAATCTTCAGCAAGTACAGCTTGTTGCCCGAGATTTTCATCAGCATCGGGTGTCTTGTGATCAGAGTGGGTGTGACCACCCCAAAAGAAGCTTTCGTATCTTACGATCGAAACCTTCTAGCGCCACATCCAGGAACGGTGGAACACCCGTATCTTCTTGGAACAACTGCTTCTTCTTGGAAGATACGCCAATCTCAACGGAGACAATGTAGCAAACACTCATGGCAAACACTTGCTACAAGTCGCCCTTTGCGGTGGGTGGACTTACACTTGCAGGGATCGGACGTTGTGATCCTCGAGATATGCTGTGTAGGTATGTGCTACGTGAACTGACAGTATGCACCTCGTCTCTATGAGGAAGCCTGAAATCTGCAACCAACATTGTACTTCCTTTTCGTCATGGGCCCAGATCCTCATTCGCAAATTCTCAGGCGCCCCCACGACTGACGTGTGGATACAGATCCAGTGTATGTACGTCAAGGCGGTGGTGCCCCAGTCTCGCGGCCAAACCCACACTCCCGCCGCCCTTTCCAAACCACCGTAGCACTTCCCAGCTGACAGCTCCTCACAGCTGACATCCACGCCCGGCCCCCTCAGCACCCAACCTCAACCCCCGACCCCGTATCCTGTCCAAGGCCTAACGAGACCTGACGAGGTGTGAAGAGACGTTATTTCCGGCCGGATGGCCACATTAGCGACGCATGTAGTACACCGTCCCAGAAGCTTACACCACATAACTCCCGGCCCACTCTCGCAGCCGCTGGTCGGAAGAGCAACGAGTAACAGCCCGTTTCACATCGCCCAGTAGCCCCGCTACCGCCCAACACACGCCCTAACAGCCGCTCGTCTTGATGCTGCGCTCCACAGCTGCCTCCCTGCGAGCGTCCTTCCGGGTGGGGACTTGTTGCACTGCGGCTGCGGCGGAGAGACGGGTCCGCGCTGGGCGCAGACGCGTAGCATCCGGTGCCGGTGGGGCCTGCAGCGGTGAGATGGTGAGGGAGCGACGCTGGCCTGATGATTGAGGATGTGGCGCGCGGATAATGCGGGCTGCGCGTTAATGCGAGTGCGCTGGCCTGTGGTGCTGATGCAGCAGAGTACGGGCGTGCCGACTTACACGCAGTCAGTGCAACAGACAAGGGTGCTTACTTGATTCTGCGTGGACAAATCAAGGTACGGTATGTATGCCTGAATGTCCTGGGCGGATACATGTAATGGTGGCTTGCAGTTACCTATACTTGATGTGGTCCACATCAGGAAACCCGAAAATCGTTGCGTTCTTATCAACGCAGAACTGCCAAGAGCTGCAAGCTCCTTATAGAGAGTCACCTTGATGTGTAACAAGTGAGCTTTTGCATCTGATGTCTGTCGTTGTTTGCGGCGAGGTCCTTACTATTCTGCCCTAGGTGGGTGCAGTAAGTCTTGCCCCTCAGTAGATGGAGGTGTTGAGTATGAACGAATTGCAACAGCGGTGTGGTGTTTCAGGAGCCGCTGTTCGGAGTGATGTTTCAGGAACCGCTGTTCGGAGTGATGTTTCAGGAACCGCTGTACGAAGTGGGTGGCGTTTGCCGTTTATCGTGTCTTACGGTGCTCAAGGTACGAATGTACGAATGGTGGGATTGCACAGCATCTGGGAAATGTCATTGTTAGGTTGGAGGGACAGCAAGTCAACGTGATACTACAAGTGCACTGCGTGCACTATCTTCATTGTCTCTCGGTCACTGCTCTGACGGTATTTGGGCCATTGTTCGTGAGGACGTGGTATTGCATTTGCCCTATGGCGACGCCGGAGTTTGTATCCGGCACGAAGAGTGTAAATCATCCCATCCCATTCATTGAGTCCGTCCGTAACGGAGGAGAGTCAAGGAACACCGAGTCACCCCGAAAAATCCGCTGAACCCAGTCATGCACACAAGTTTTCCATCTTCAACCCATCACGAGCTGCTTAGCGGGTCCTGGCCTGGACCTTGGGGGCGGCGCCCTTGGAGCCCTGCTTCGACTGGATCTTGCTGGCCTGGCCACGGGCACCGGCGGCGGCGCTCTTAGCCTTCTCAGCCTTCTTGGCCGACTCGGAAGCAGCCTTCTTCTCCTTGCCCTCCTTGACGGCGGCAGCGCGGGCGGCGGTGCGGGCCTCGGGGCGCTGGGAGCGGCGCTCCTTGATCACATCGAGCGAGGCACCAACGATAGCACGCTGGTGCTTGACGGTGCGGCGGGTGCGCTTCTTGGCAACCTCCTGGAGGGGGGTCAGTGACCTGACACCATGTCGAAAAGCACGTCGCGGGAAGTTCTCGTGCGACGGAGCGAGCATTTTCATGTCATCGCTGCGATCGCACGAGCGATCCTCCCGGACAGATAGCGTACCTCAGAGATACCCTTCTTGTGCATCCTCCTGTAGAGGGTGGTCCATGAGATCTTGCGAGGGTTCTTGCGCTGGAGGAACAGAGACTCGGTCTTGCCATTCTGGAAGCGGAAGATCTTGCTGTCACCACGGATGTAGAGCTTGCCCTGTACACAGTCAGCACTGCGCGTCTATTATGCCCGCGGGCGCTACATGGCCCAGCTGCTCCCTTGCCCATGTCCTGTTTGTGCGGTGCGTGCGGGCGCGCGGCGGTTCGACATGGGCGCGGGCGGCAGCTGGGCGCGGCGGGACGCACCTTGCCAGGGTAGATCTTCTGGCCGGAGAAGGAGTCGTCGTAAGTACGCATATTGGCGGTGTTGGCGGTGACCTGTGGTTAGTTGTTCGGGACGTCTCGATGTTCGCGGCCACAATTTGCGTCGCTGCCCGTGTGGGAGGTGCGGACGCACTATTAGCCGAGCTTGGCACTGACGCATCACGAACACCGACACAGTCAGTGACCAACACCAACACCACCGCACTCGCCTGACGTGATTCAAATGTTCTCGATTTTGTATTAATCTATGCTATCAAGGCACACAACCTCTACAAATCTTTCAGTATCTCGGTGCTAGCCTGTCACGATGCCAGCGGCCACCCAGTCCTCATTCTCCACATACTCGCGCAAACTTGTAGTCGGCACATGTATGCCCATCTGCGAGGCCTCGTCAGCTTTGTCAAACGAATGTGCTCAAACCTATCACTTACTTTCTCCAAATCCCATATTTTCAGTGCATCCTCCTGGAACGCATTGTACGCATAGTCGGAGCTGAACTGGTACATCTCGCCAATTTCCTTTCCTGCTGGCCCTGGGATGTGTTTCTCTAGATCCTCGACGGTTGTTTGTTTGTAACTTGTCTTCACGCCAGTCAACTCGCCCCACTGTTTGATCCAATCAGGCCAGGTCAGCCACTCGCTGGTAGCCATGAGGCTTGAGTTGGGGGGCAGCTGCAGCAGTGCATTGGCCCATGCACCTGTGTCCTTTCGTGGGTCGAGGTGTGGGATCAGCATCTCCGGTGATGTTGGGAATTGCATCTGAATTGAGCCATCGGATTGCTTGTGATGTTAGCGAGCCATTTCTCTGAGATCTGATGCTATGTACACATCATCTCACCTTTGCGAACCACCGTCCTGGTAAGAATTGCCAGCTCGTGAAGAAGTATCCCGTGTGCAAGTAGCTCGTCTTCTTCGCTAACGCAGGATAATTCTCCTGTAGGTATTTCGGGAACACATCTGCTTTACTGTCGAAATGCCACAGCTCTTTGTATTTTCCTTTACTGCTCTCCCTCGCGCTGCACAGCGTGCTTGCAATAAGGCCCACGTTATCCAAGCTATCTAATTCGCGCGCAACAGCATCGACAATGTTCTTTCCTTGCTCGAACTCGAGCTCGTATGCGTACTGGCCGATGGATTTTCCCTGCGCTGCTGCTTGGGCGACATTGCTAGGATCGAAGAACGGTTTCCAGAAATCGGTCACGCTGAAGACCAAATTCGCGCCTTGGAACGCACCCTTGAGCGACTCTGGGTTATGGAGATTGGCTTGAATCATCTCAACCCCCTGCGCCGACAGTTCTTTTGATGCTGATGATCCTGCGTCGCGAGTAAGACCGCGAACGCGCCATTCTGGGTTTGTGAGGAAGGTACGGGCCACTGAACCACCTTGGTTGCCAGTGATGCCAACGACGACTATTAGTTTGGTCATGTCGAATTTTTCCCGAGTATGTCAGTACACTGTGTATGAGTTGATGGTCATGCAAGGCTAAAAAAAGAGGGATATACCGGTTCGTGGTTTTTATGCACAACCTCGACCTCGGGATCTCGGGCGATCCTTCGGAACAGGCCCCCCATGCGTGTCAGACGCGGGGACTCCCAACCAAGCTCGCGGACAGGACTATCTCGACCATGGCAAAAGCCAACCCTTTGAGAACTTTAGCATCCGTCACAATCAGAGAGACATTGGACCTATGCTGCCTTTGCAGTCCTCCAGTAGTTAGCCCTTCGGCGCGATCATTCACGAAGTCGAGAAATACTTCTTGTAATTGGTGAAGTGAAAGGTATCCCGAGACGACACCATTCACCGTCAACCCAAGATGACCTTTCACTCACAATATGTGGGTCATTGTATATCTATCGAGCTCTCAGACTTGATTCTAGCTCCAGCATCACCCGACTGATCTACTAAAACTCAAACTCCATAAGATCTGGATATCAGTATTCTGCCAGTCCTCGCGATGGCGGATCTTCTGCGGCTTCACACCCAAGACTTGACCGACATGATGGCTGAGCTAGAACGCAACGACAGTCAAGACTTTCAAACAGTGTATAATCTGGCAGCAGCTGGGAATGTCTACTCACTCAACGAGCAGGAGCTGGGTCCACTTCGCCGCAAGGGCACAGTCTTCTCCCGCAACAAATGGGCTTCACCAGTCCTCACCAATGACATCCCATTGGCAACCTTGCTGCATCCAAATCAGATCAGGCGCATCCTGATCAACGAAATTGGAACCGAGAACCCGTCTCACTTCTTTCCTTCTCGTGGCCACCCAGAGGACGACGGTAGGGCTATTGTGGAGTTACTCAACAACGTCGCCAATCCGCATTATAGCAAGCCAGGTTCGATCCTTCACATGCACTCTCCATCCTTTGAGCGGCTCTGCCAATACAAGACGGAGTGGCCGTCCGACGGCATGCTCGATGTGTCGGACGTTGCTATGGCTGTGACGCCAGCTACTGATGCTCAGGATATGGAGTACTGTGACAGGTATATCCTTTCCACACTGCTCTCCGGGAGCAAAGTCTGGCTCACGTATCCTCCTCTTGATGCCAATCTTGCAGCCTTGCAGGCAGAGTTCGAGGCTACCGTTGACAATGCCGCACGCCACACTCTCGATAATCTGAGCAGATTCCAGCATGGCATTGCTTTCACTCAGCGAGCAGGTCAGATTTTGGTACTGCCCCCATTTTGGATAGCCGTAAATCTGACCACTCAGACATCTGTTTCATGCGCATACCATATCGCAACAGCAGCGCTCTTCCCAGAGCGCATCAAAAACATCAACAGCTTCCTCGTGACTACTCAACTCTCGCCACAGGAAGCAGACTATGGACAGCAGCGTCTCGTCACGTTTGCCATCGAGTTCATCGAGCATCTCCGACTGGTGTTGGCGGACGACTTCCCACACTACAACAACAGCAAGGTTATCTTGGCCGTTTGTCGAGCGTACGACCAGCTTCGAGCTGGTCTTCGCCGCGTTCTTGATGCGATCGACGACAAGGCGGTCATGCGAGGCCTCGAGAACACATATCGAGTAGCGTGGCTCAGTTTCTTAGAGCAGAAGCGCAAGAAGATGTCTACTTGTCGACTGTGCAATCTCCGCACCCAGGACATGCCTGTCGGAGAGTTCCCGATGGATCGTCTCCGACAGCACTTCATTGACGTCCACTGTCTTCGTGGAGCGCCTCCTGTGCAGTCCAATGCGCACATGTAGCTTGTGCTTGGTGAACGGCTTGTGCCAGCTGACACTCAGCAAATTGGTTGAAACTTGCAAGGGTAACAACAGCAGTTTGGATATCACCACCATCACTCATCATGCTGGTGACGTATCGGAGGTTCTAGATGTCGGATCACCGTCCCAGGTAATGCAACGTGTACTTCGGGATCGCCCGTTGATGTGTGATGATCCGCAGCGATCCTTATCTGTCTAGTATTAAAAATGAAACTTACAAACTGCTCCGTTCCCCCTCCTCCAATCAACAGTAGAAATGTGATGCACGCGCTTGCTCAGACTCATGTTGCGAAAGTACACAGCTTCGGCGTTGCGCTTCCAATTAGGCAGGTATCAAATGCACGTGGGGAGGCGCTATGACATCACCCCTCATATGCCACGACCATACCGTGTCTTCCTACAACAACCACTTTTGTCAGGATCACTGCAATCACGATATTCGAATTTAATCATGGCTGAACCAGTAGTAAGATGATCCTATACATTTTATTCCAACCACTAGCTAACGTGATTCGCAGCAACAGAGGAAGAAGATTGAAGATATTCTTTCGAGCAATGAACATGAAGCTGTCAAGATAGATCAGATTGCCAAAGTACGAGGCTGGTTCCGCCCAGAGGAAAACAGCCCATTTTATCCGACGGTACTGAAGTACCTTGAAGGCGACATCGACATCGACACAGCAGCGTCTCAACTTTTTGAACAAATAGATCAGAAGATCATCGCTCGACAGCTTGATGATGTCAACTTCGTCGACTTCTGGTACTCTATCATTCATGCTGCAAAGCGGAAATCTTTCAATGGAGTTGACAATGTCGGCGAGCGCAAACCAAGTTTCCACGATAGAGTTACAGACCTGGTCACCGCTTTCCGCGACCACAAGATCAAGGACCATGAGGAGTACAACTACATCTACAGTTCACTCACCGATCTCAGCATGGCCTGTCGCGAGGTATTCAACGACACACCGCGACCATATGCCTCAGACCTCGAGATTGATGCTTGGGCAAACGTCAATTTGTTCTTCGCGCGTCTTACCGAGAAAGGCATTCAAGACTTGAGCCTCTTCGCCATCTGGAGCATGCGTGACGCACTTGAATACGAATGGGAAGATGATGTCGAAGGTACTGCGGCCCAGAAGTATAATGTCAACGTCCCTGCTGCCACGGCATGGATCTTCGGCATGGGCCGTGCTCTGTACACCAAAGAAGAGGACCTCACGCCCACAAACCAGGACGGGGGAAACCCTGCAGCGGGAGGCGCACTATGGAGGGGGAAGGCAGAGTTTAGCAAAGAGCGATGGGCCCTGTGGAAGGAGAGGCTGGCGGCTGTGAGCAAGCTCGAGGAAGTGTCAGAAAAAACGAAGAACATTACGAAAGATGCGCTCGAAGCCATGGAGAGGGCGGAGACTTTCAGTGCCAATGAGCACAGTGCTAATGCTGGATCGTAAGACGAGACAATGTATCCAACCTCGTCGAGATTGGAAATCGGTCGATAAGGCTGACGGCGTTTAGAAGCCGGTATGAATAACGATGTGGGACGAATCGCGTACGGAAGCCATTGAGGGGGTAGATGAAAGGTAAAATAGTGCACATATACTACGGAACCAGATCCCAGAAATCCACTCAAATGCTGTGCTGCAGGTATCAAACAACATATTACACGACTCAGTTTCGCGCTCCACCATACCCCGACTGCCCGTCCACAAATCCGTACAGTCTTCACCCCTCACGCACTCTTCCTCCCCGCAGCATACGTCCCCATCATAAACAACACCCCACTCCCCAACCCCAACCCGGCGCCCCCCAGTGCCGCTCTTGTAACACTCAGTGGTACGACACCCCTTCTTGCCGCCACCACGCCTCCCAGCGCACCCACACCCGTCGCTCCAATCGTCTCCCAGTCCGTCTGCACTTCCCCCTTGTTCCCCAACAGCCTCCAACTGCGATCCTGCCACTCGACCTCCCCGCGGCCCCTCATCTGCGCCCACGTCATCGCCACGCCCGCAACGACGCCGACGACCGCGCCGCGCCCGGAGTTTAGCAGCGTGCGCGCGAGAATGCTACTGCTTGGGGGTTGCGCGCGCAGGCGCGAGACGAGGAGCGAGGCGCCGGTGTAGGGGACGGAGAGGAAGGAGAAGGCCATTGCTGAGGCGCGGATCACGTGCAGGTACAGGATGGCGTGGGCGTTGGGTTGGTCTTCGGCGTATTGGGGGTGCGGGAAGAGGGATGTCATCGTGGGCGATTGTAGGTGGTTTCCTCGATTGAGTCTTTTATTATTGCGTGGTGTGTGAAGACTCTACTCCGGACGTTTTGGTGCTGGGTCGTACGGCACGAAGTAAGCAGTGGTCTGCGAATTGATGTAGGCAGAAGTGTGAGTTTTGAGCCGCGTGTGAGATAGGTGAGTGATTGTGTAGTCTACGAGTCTATGGCTTTTGTATGTACAGGCGCGCAACGAGCTGAGCGCTGAGCTGAGAGAACGAGACGCCGCCGGTGAAGCAGTTCGCCCGAATCAGTCAGCTATCGGAGTGGTATGAGCGAAGCTCGCGAAGGCTCATTGCAGCCTGGCGATACATTTCGGGCGGCCTTGCCAATCAAACGGCGAGGATTCTTCAGCACGGCGCCTCAACGGCGCGTTAGGTCCGGTGCCTGGGCCACCGACAGCCGACTGCTCTCAGGTTTCGGGCTAGCAGCGGACTTCGTGCCCTACGGCCTTCCGCACTTACGCACGAAAGCATGTCGGCCCATCTCATATGTTTGCGTCTGGATGTGCTGCTGTCATTGGACAGCTCTTGCAGAAGGATGGACTTCTTAAATGCTAAACTGCGCTCCCTCGCGTTGATGGAGATGCGATCCATAAACCCAGAAAATGGCTCATGTATGACAGACATGCATAGCCCGAAGGCAAGCAAGAAAATCCTGTACTGTGCAGATGGTCGCACCTTCCCCATTGAACCGGCCGGTTCGTAAGACTCTCGCAGAACCCGCACCGCTGCCTTTTTGGAGATCCAAGCCCAGTAGATACTGTGATCTCCCAGCTTCTGATACCTGATCTTGATCTTGCAGATCTCCCACTAGCCATCCACAGCTCGACGCGTGTCACGCAGCCATCCGCGCGCAGGGCTGGCAAGGCTCAAGAGCTCAGAGGAGCCTCCCCACCGCTCCGCCACCCATGAATGGTTCTCCCAGCCCGGGGTGCGCGCGCCCAGCGCAAACCACAAACTGGGACGCAAGACATCTTGCCCTCTCACAGCCCCATGACGTCACACGTCCCGGCTCACTATAACAGCGACCAGAACTCACCCTAACACGCGCCAAAAATCACACTACCACTCCATACCAAAATAGCACGACCCGAGAACCAAATCATACACGCCGAAGTCGTCCTAGCTCCGCATCTCAACCCAGCTCAACACCCTACTCTTCGCCCGAAACCGCGGTCAAAGCACCGACTCCAGCCACCACGATGCCCATCGGCCAGCAAGAATCCGGCGTGACGTCCGGCGTCAAGTTCGTCACATCAACCATCGGCAACACAGTCGGCGGTGTCACAAACACCGTTGGAGGTGTTGTGGGCGCGCTGGGACGCGGTGTTGGCGAGACACTCGAGGGCGCGACGGGCAGTGCGGGAAGGCCTGTTGCGCGCGGGTTGGCAGATGCATCGACCAGTGTTGAGGATGGTGCGGCCAAGATCGCTGGAGGTGTGAAGAGGGCTGGTGAGGGCAAGTGAGGGGTGCCGGGAAGGGGGTTGGGATGGCATGTTTGTTTTGAGATACCAGATACCACTAAATTGATCGTTGTTGTACAAACATGTCAGGACTTGGTGTTACGTGTGTGCTCAACTCTTGGCTGGCTACCTTGTAGCTAGTAAGGAATCTGTGCGTTTGTGAGAAGATGATTGTCGAACATGGAGTCTTGCCTTGAAGTGGCATAACGTCAATTTGGAAACTGGTGTTGTCTATCCTGCACCCAAAAGCGTCAAAACGTATGCTGACCGGTTCCCAAGCCAACGGACTATGGGTCTCCCAGAGCAGAAACTCCATAGCAGCAGTCGCGGTCGTGGTAGTTCTGGCATTTCCATTCAGCATCAACGTCGGCGTGATGAAGATGAAACTTGCGCCATTCTTCCAATCCGCCTGAATACATACCAGTAGCCTAGTGCAAGTACACAACATTAATCGTTTCTCTTGAAGATGCTAGTCATCGTGGTCTTGATATTGCCGGCGACGTAGCTTGTGTCCAAGATTTCCGTTTCGAACGTGACGATAGCACAGTCTAGAGCATTTTCAACTATGTGTAGAATGGCTTGTTCACAGGGTCGAGTCTACTGGTGGTGCAGGAGCGTGGGTTGGTGCAGGTGTCATGTGCAATGGGTGAGGCACTCGTCAAGCCCGTGAAAGCGATGAATGAGAGGCCGAAGAACATCGTGGTTTGGATAGCGATCATCTGTGGCTTCAGCTGCTGGTTTTGAGGTCTTTCTGTTGTTGATTATCTGTGTTACTCTTCGATTCTTAATTCGGCCGACTAGATCGTAAGAGATTGTCTTGCTCATGAAACCCATCGCTTGTCGACTTCAGTCGGCAAATTGTTCAATTCATTTCGAAGAACTGATTTCGAAAGAAAGCCATTCAGAGAGGTAAAAGATTGGTGAAAAGTGTGGTCGATCCCTCGTCAACTGCAAAGAAAGTAAGTTCTCTATGTCGTGCAGACGGACACTGCGATTTGAGGTTGTTCCTACATAAACAAACCGTACTTCAAACAGTCTATTCATCTCGGAATTAATGTACGACAACAACGAAACACTGTAGCAGATGGCCTCTACTTTGGTGGTACAATGAAGACGTTCGCATTACCTGATTCAGCCGAACGCATCTGGCACGGAGATGCGCATTCTGCAGAGCACCCAGATGAAACAGGTCCGATCTTCGAAATGCAAAATTTCGCTCAGCGGCCCCAGCAATTCCGTGTCCTCGGGTTGTTTGCGGTCGCCATGTGTCTGCCCAAATTTGGTCGCGGGTACCTGGTACTCAGGAACAGACCAGTCCGTTTAGACAGCGATGGCATTGTCTTGACGTTGTTGTTGAGCGTTTTGTTGACGGGTCGAACCGACTTTTGCCTAACAACGGCAACCCGGCATTCCTTGATAGAAGCCAATGCCTGTTGAAAGCTTAGCCGTTGATCGACTCAAGATCTTGAAAGCTGGATATTGGTTGTGCCGCTGCAATCGGATTGATGGGATTGGTACAAATATCAAAAAAGCACACCGACCACTACCCTCGCAACACCCAGGCCAGAGAATTGACATTATCGGGTACTGAGATACCGTTTGCCAATGCTGGAGACGGCTGATAGTCTGGGGAAGGAGCATTCGATGAAGCCTAGACCCAATGAAACCAGAAGTAAGCGCAGTGGCGGGAAAGCGGTACGAGCGGATAAGCTCACAGACGAAGCTTGCACGTCATCGCCTATCACAAGTGCTCGGCGTGCAGGACAAAGATCTGCCCTTGCTTCTGCCATCGCGACGAAGCAGATGTGGTGTTTCAGCGCGCAATTCAGGGTGCACTGTCTGCAGTAGGGATCTACCTTGTCATCTCCCTTCAGCATTACCCTTTCCGGTCAACCACGAGACCCATCGCCGTATCGATAGCGACAGGCCGCGCCAGCACTCAAGCGTCGACAAGCGTCTCCGAAGCGTCTCAACGAGTGCAAGTGAAAGCGGGCGAGAGCGAGATGGCTGAGCGACAGCCACATCTTACCCCACACATTTCAGCGCCAGTCGGGTTAGTGCGCCCAGCGTCGCGGCTAATCGACGTCCCACTCGAGTCCCGATAGTCCTGACATCACTTCAGTCCACACAGAGTGCGCGTCCTTCGGGATTTCCGTCAGGACAACTTTTCTTTGTCATTAACTGTCACCCAACGAATTTCCAGGCGAATTGTCTTGCTCCAATAATCTGGGCAGGCATGCTAGGGTTTCACAATATACAGATGCCAAACCATCTTCCAGCGAATTGCTGCAGGAAGGGTCTGCTGAGGACTGCAGATATGCAAGCGAGACAAACAGATCCAGCGCCAACATGCCGGGAAGGGCGCATTAGCGGACGGTCTTTTACTGTTCACGGTTGTCCACCATGGACGCCTTAGCCACTCGTGCATTTGACTGCTGACAGTCTGCCCGCGGCTTGTCCATGACACCATGATAGCACAATGATATTCACAAGGCTGGCAACCGGCGAGGTTGGAACAAGCACCTTACCTCAAATATGCGAACGCTGGGACACAGCTCGGCTAGTATGCCCACGGCCAAGCAAAGTCAAGAGGCGGGATATGGCCTTTTCGCATGCATTTCTGCCACAGCCGAGAGGTGGTGGGCTGGAAGGAGGGGTTCTGTTCATCCGATCCAATGGTGCCGAGGCGGCTCCACTATAGCTGTCTGTCCAAAGTTTGGTTTGCGGCGAACCACCTCCAGCCTTCCTGCGCGAGCGTCAGGCTAGCGATTTGCATTGACGCGTTCAGTAGATCCAGTGGCTGACTCTGACAACGCCGATCCACAGTAAAATGCTGAATTGAGTAGGTCGTACACTAACTCTGTCCGCTGGATGTTGGTATTTAGTTGTCTTACCTCCCAGTCGGTTGCGTCTCTTCACTCTCGTTGTCACGGTTACTGCTCAATTGTCGTTTGATTGATACCTCGTTCATCAATCTACTCTCGCTCTACTTAAAGTCGCTGTCGATCATCACTGTCGCTCAGTATCAAGTACCAAGTACACATTAATACCTCATCCATAATGAAGTCCTACATCGCTCTCGCTCTTGCGTCCACCGCATTGGCGCTTCCCCAGACATCTGGCTCCTCTGGGTGCGCTTCTTCAGCTTCTGGAACTTTCCAGATTCAGACTGTCATGAAGCCCAGCTCCAAGCGCGGCCTTGTGGAGCGCCAACTTGCTGGTGCCCTCACTCTGACCCTTGAGAATGGTATCTTGAAGGACCAGGCTGGCCGTCAGGGATACGTCGCTGCCAACGACCAGTAAGTTCGCTTCAGGCTATCGGAATAGAGGGGATACTGATCCAAGATAGGTTCCAGTTCGACGCCCCTGTTCAGGCCGGTGCTCTCGAGACTGAGGGTTTCGCTCTCTGCAGCAACAACTCTCTTGCTTTGACCTCTGGTCAACGTCCCTTCGGTGCTACCACCTTCTGGCAGTGCCTGTCTGGTGACTTCTACAACTTGTACGCCGACTCCCAAGGCATGCAGTGCCAGCAGATCTTCATCCAGGCCGTCAACCAGGGTTCCGGCTCTGCCTCCCAGATTAGCGATGGCCAGCCTCAGGCCACCACGCCTGCTGCGTCAGCTACCAACGCTGTCTCTCAGATTTCCGACGGTCAGCCGCAAGCAACCACCCCCGCTGCCTCCGTCTCCATGATCGTTTCTCAGATCTCCGACGGCCAGCCCCAGGCTACTACACCTGCCGCTTCGGCCCCAGCTGTCGTCTCTCAGATTTCTGATGGGCAGCCCCAAGCTGGCACACCGGCTCCCTCGGTCCCTGCCGTTGTCTCTCAGATCTCTGACGGTCAGCCCCAGGCCGGTACCCCTGCGCCCGCGGTCTCCAACGTCGTCTCCCAGATCTCCGATGGCCAGCCCCAGGCCGGTACCCCTGCGCCCTCGGTCTCCAACATCGTCTCCCAAATCTCCGATGGCCAGCCTCAGGCAGGTACCCCGGCACCATCTGTGTCCAACATTGTCTCCCAGATCTCCGATGGTCAGCCCCAGGCTCCCGTCGCCACTGCCAACACCACCGTCCCGCGTCCCAGCGCGAGCCAGCCCGCAGAGTTCACCGGCGCTGCCAACCTTGCCACCTTCGGCTCTGGCGCCGTTGCTGCCGGTCTGTTCGCTCTGTTCGCTCTTTTGTAAACACGTTATCCGTCTGTTGCGTCAGCATAGCGCGTCACTTCATGTGTTTGCGGTTTCCAGTTAGCATTTGATGAAAGTGGTTAATGTTCCCACTGACGACCTTCCTTAAGAATCATGTCGGCGCACGGTCATCGGTGTGATGAAACACTCCTTGGACTTGTACATATTCATTCATAGCATTGGTGTTTTGGTACCAATTGGAGGATTGAAAAGTGGATATGTAGCTTAGCTAGGCAGGGTTGGACTCGACGTTAATGGAAATCGATCGCATTGTTGTCGTCAACATCATCTCCCATAATTCTCACTGTGCTCAAAGCTTGTGGCTACATGCTTTTCATATCTGTTGTAAGTCCAACCCGTGGTTTGTCATTCGAGACGCTCCTGGTCCTTGACGAGTCTTGGCGCAAAAGAGGCCTGCTTGTTCCAGTCAATTTCTGGTCTACCCTCAGCACCTCGCCATCCTGTAGCGCACCTGAGCCTCAGATCTTTCTGCCTTAGCTCCCGTTGCACGAGCTAGTGCAATCACACCGGGAGTTTCCACCACAGGGTTCACACTGATGCAGGTACTAACAACCGCGTCTCCCCACCCACGCCCCGACTACACGTTCAGACAAACTTTACGCTTGGATTTCAGAGCCTTCCACAGGCCGCGGTATTTGTGTCGGAATAGACAGTCATGTCCTGCGATATGTGTTGCTCGCAGAAGACGCGCTCTGCAGTGACCACGATCATGCCAGTCAAAGACACCGCGACCTGTCACTTGACTCGATCAGTGTCCGCTGTAGACATAGGAACAGTGATACCAGCAGGTCTTGCACGATCCCCAGGCATCTCAACTGGGCCATCACACTCCACGATTCGGCGTTCATCAACAACCTGACTGTTCACGACTCGCCGGGCCCCATGCGGATCTCGGCTCGATCAACACGCACGTAGTAGTGGTGATGCGCGGCCACGGGGCGCTGCCGCCAGGGCTGCTCGTCGAATGGGTTTAGACGAGCCGGCAGGTATGCAGCGTGTGGTAGTAGTGAGCGGGCTGTTGTTGGGTTAGCTACTTCATGCTGGTATTGACGAAATATGGGAACGTACAAGCGCGGCGCCATCTGGATCGGCGGTAGATGGTGGGCCAGGCGAGGCTGACGGCGCAGCATATGACTGCTACGACGATGGCCGTTAGGCCTAGGATGGCTTCTGTGGACCAGGAGGTATTTGAGGGGTTGCTGTCTCGGGATTGAGGTGGAGTTGTTGTTGTTGGGAGGGCGTGGACAGGCGTGGAGAGGAGCATGAGGAGTATGGCGTGCTGGATGCTGGATGTTGAAAGCATGATGACTAGTGAGGCGAATGCTCGTAAGGTAGAAATAGACTGTAGAATCAACAACTAAGGCGACTTAGTCAAGGACAGTAGAGATGATTAGAATTAAAGAGACAGTGGCCGTGAGGGTCTTGAAGTCGCAATTATCTTGAGCTGTAGAGCATTATTGCAGCAGTCAGACGTATTTAAGTATCTCTCTTGAGGCACTGTCTGAATTCGTCGTCTGCTTTTTAAAATTACGTGTCGCCATTGTAGCATGTCAGGCGCGCTGCCGACTCGCAGCTGTATGAACCGACAAATCAGAATGCCAGCTCTCCGCCACATGAGGCGAAGCTGCGTGTTTCCCGCTGCGCTAATGATCTCCCGAAGTCGCGCTACGAATCTCACAGGAAATCAAAGCAGAAGGCAATGCTCACTTATGGCGATGCATCGAGCCAATAGATTTTGTTTGCAACAGGGATACCATTCATCTTGAGCTTGGATGTGATGCCTTCTCGCACGACCTTCCAATCCATGATTGCATCACAACGAGCTCCGACCCCATACTCGCCGGTCGCAGGCTTGAATGTGTATGCGAGGTCTAGCATGGTTCGCGCCAGCGTAGTCCAGGCCAGTAAGAAACGGCGCTAGCCAGCAGTACAATGCCAATCACGGACCGTCCCACGGCCCATGAATCGCGCAAAATCTTAGAGACGGGCAGTACTCGACTCAACGGCCAGCCGCTGCGGTGCACCGAATAGCGAGCGCCAGATGGTGTGGACGAGCGCCAGATGGTGCGGACGAGCAGCCTGATGTACCGGTGAAGATTGGCCTGATTCGTGTTCTTCTCATGCGCCTGCAACGAGTGAGCGCGGCGTTCCAGAACGCCAGCACGGCTCCAGCCTGATCGTCAAATCATTCGCCTCGGTGCGGCAAGAAAGTCAGAGAGACGCGGACGGAGGCAAGAGTTCGGTACAGTCGTTCATCCTGTATTGCTACTTAACGGTCATGTGAACCTCTCGGTCTGGTTCTGATGCCTATCTCGTCTCTTATGCCTGAGCATTCGTCTCTGTACGTCTAGGGCTCGTCTCTGTGTGTGCCAATGCACTGGTTCTCTCCATGCCAAAGCAGACGCCAGAAATGCGGTCCCATCCCGCTCCACCTCCAACCACAATCCAATCCATATATCTATATCCTGGGTATCAATACGAATAGTAGTCCACCACGCACCAGATGCAACACTGCATCCTCCTCTGCACACGGGCGCTCAGCGCTCGTTCAGGCGTTCACTGGACCCGCCTGCGCCGCCCCTCATAAACACCCTCCTGGTGCTGCCGGTCTTGCCTAGGTCGACGAAATCCTGGACCGGCCTCTTCGCCGCCGCCCGACTGGTGGAGCGGCTCGCGGAGCGACTTTCGCTTCTGCTCTTGCTCCTGCCTTCGCCTCTCTCGTCTTCTTTCATGGCTACGCCGAGGTTGCTGTTGCTGACTGTGCGTGCCTGCTTCATCATGCCTTCGATCCATTCCAGCTTGTCGCCGGTAAGTTCCACTTTCTTAGTCTTGGGGCCGGCGAGCCCGACTTCTGTCCCTTGCCAGGTCTTCTGGGAGTTGTTTGAAGGAGGGCTGGATTCTTCCTCTGCGATGGCGGGTGTCGAGTCGCGTTCGAACCTAGGCATGGGGGGAGGCGGCGACTCGGTCGAGATACCGAGTCCTGCGAGCTTGCTATCTGGTGTAGTGTTTGGTGTCTTACGGCCGCCTCCGCTGAAGCGGCGCGTTGTGCTCGTGGCACTTCCAGGTCTTGTGGGTGCAATGTCCGAGCTTTGTACCTCAAGACCGAGGACTTCGAATTTGCCTTCGCTTGCTGTGCGACGACCGTGGTGCTCAGCATACTGGCGCAGGTACTCGCCCAGATCAGACCAGCCGCCACCAACTCGGACCATAACGCGTTCGCCGTTCTCACCGACCCTGCGGATGAATAGCTTGATGGGCTGGTCTTTGCCAGGCTGTGTGAGGTGGTACAGCTTGATATCGTTGTCAGGTCTTGCGTTTGCAGATTTGCGTCCTGCTCCGGGATTAGCACTCTCAAACTCATTCTTGACGGGCGACAAAGTAAGTTGGGGAGTTCTCAGGCCACTCGCTGAGCGAGCAGCACGTAGATATCCCCTACTACCTTTGTGGCCAACGCCGCGAGATGATTTGATTTCGGGTGCATCTGCCCCTGGTCCAGAGGTGAGGCGGATGTGCGCCGGAATTGTTGTTAGTATGTCCGATATCTTACGTTCGAGATCATCGACTGTGGCAGGCTTCTTGTCACTGAACTGTGTTGGTGGCCATGGCGCGCTCTCGACTTTGGGAAAAGCCGCGCCCTTTGCTGGTCGACGTTTCGACATGGCCGCGTTGAGTTCGGGCCGGGGAGCTCGGATAGCACGGTTCCCAGCAGTGCGAGCAGTGGGTGATTCCTCGACAGCACTTACGGGACTCGAGTCGAAAGAGGTGCTGGACGAGACAGAGCTCGTGCTTAGGCGGCGCGAACGGGGGGTCTGCGGTGCTTCGCCATCCGTGCCGTCTGTAGAGTTGAGGACCGGAGATTGTTCGAACGATTTAGGGTCAAACTTTTGCACGAAATCTGTAGGACTGCCATCCTCGTAAATTGGAATGTGGGACAGGCTTTCGTAGCTGGCGACCACGCGCACGGCGCCTGGGCTCTCTTCTTCTTGGTTGTGTACGACAGTATCACCTTCATCAAACTCGTAGTCGCCATCAGTGGATGGTGATGCGGTCTCAAAGCTGATCTTCTGAAGAGGTGTGCCTGTGAATGGTTGTGCATGGTCGCCTGGACCCTCAGGGCTGACAGGGTTGACGACAATAGTCGGGTGTGCATACGAAGAGCTCTCTTCGAGCGGCGGGCTCGTTGCGATAGGTGAATCCTGCGGCACACCTTCGAGAGCCGGCTCGTCTGATGCTGCAATTGGCGTGGGGCTTGCGGTGTCGTCAAGTGTATCGACTGAATCGATAGCTGCTGAGTGCGATTGCAAGTTGCCCTCGACGATCTTGAGCTGAGGCAATTGAGGCTCTGTCGAGAGTTGAATTACGCGTTTATCGATAGGCAAGAGTGACGTTCGTGGGGAGGTGAGTGTTTCGGAATGCACTTCTGGTTTCTGCTTGATCTGCGACTCCCCTTGCTTCTCATGACTCGATTGCCGACGCACGTCAAACTCGATCACTCTTCGTGTAGACTCCGGCATCCATCGACCATAATCAACCTCCAAAGTCTCAAACACATCGATCCAGCGGTCGGGCAGGCAGTCGTCGCGACCTTCCAAAGTATCCAACATTCTATCGAGACGTTGTCCCAGGTCACTGACTTTGGTCCGCAGTACGCCCGATATGGTGTCAACAGCCTCCTTCCATTGACTGAAGGCGACATCTGATGTGTCTTTCGGTGGCTCAAGGGCGTCCCAGCCGAGGCTCATAGCCTTCTGGGCCTGTTTGAGATCATCGAGGTAGCGAGGAGCGGAACGGAGAACGGAGACTCGTGCAGTCCACGTGTTGAGGCGGTCCTTGAGCTGGGCGTGGTGGGGAAGGGCGGAGAGCAGCGTTTGCGTAATCAGAAAGGAGAAGTCGTCCATTGGCCGATAGCTGGAGCGATTGGTGCCAAAGGCGGAGCCGGGACGCGACCTGCCCTGAGGGTGCATGTCCAGCACATACTCCTTGAGCTCGTCCACGTCCAGCGTCAACAGCTCCTCGCTCATGTCGTCCAACCGTGCCTCATGTTGGTCCAGCTCGGCCGATAGGAGCGAGCCGAGGTACTGCAGCGGTGCCAACGCATCTGCACCCACAACGTGCTCCGCAATATGGCCTTCTAGACTGCGGCGACGCTTCTCCTGATCCTCCTCGCTCGGCTGCTCGAAGCCGCCGGTCCAGCCCCATTGCTCGATTTCAGCGCACCAGCTCTTCAGGCGCTGTGCAGCCTTGGCGACACGTGTGCCGAGATCGCGCTCGGCGGCGGTGAGGCTGTCGATGCACGCAAAGATCTTGTATTCGTCGCGTGTCGTGTCGAACGGCACAGGCTCTTCGGCGAAGGCGCGCAGGGTGGTTTCGGGGGAGAGGTCGCGGAGGTAGCTCTCTTCAGAGCTACCGAGCATGCGTCCTCTGCGGGTTCCGGGCGACATCATTGGCGATGGGACGCGTCGCGGCGTCAGGGGCGGTGCCAGTCGCATCGGCGACGCAAAGGCAGCCATGGTAAGGAGCGTGGGTGGGAAGGAGCGGCGCGGACATGTATAAGGAGCGGAAATGCCGGGACAGCGACAAAGGAGTACTTAAAAACTGCGACGTCGCAAAGCCGTGGTGTGCTGGCGCTGTCTGTGCAATGCTGGTGTTTGATGACGCCCTCTGTTCCTTGTCCTTAGCAACGGCGCTGCATCTGCAGCTTGGGGTTGTTTGTTACGCAGCAGCCCAGCCCGCGACCACTCTGAGCGCTTGACGAACGCCTTATGCAGCTATGGGCACCTTCTCCATACGTCTAGGCCCAAAAGGTCCTGGCGCCGGTCTAATCCTCCGTGCCTGACATTGGCGGCTGAACTTTGCTCCTCTTCAACTCCACTGCAAGGCGATAACAGCCTCACCAACAGCTGCATCGCAGAATTGCTCCATGTCTCTGGTTGCGTCTGGTCTCAGTCGGAGAAAAAAGTTGAAACGGGACCCCTGCACCGCTCTGCCGATCACCTCCCCGCACTGGAAGCCTTAGCCGTTACTGTTACCGCTAGATTCTGCTATCCCCTCGCGTCACGTTATGAGAGCCAAGGTCGCACTCGCAACAGTGGGGGACGTGGAAGGGCACGGAAGCAGGCGGTTGACCCTCCTCGGCTTACCGAAAAGCTCCTTGCTCCTTGTGCCCCACTGCACGACACCGTCATCGTCCATCGCCAAGCAGCTATCAAGCTCACCCCGCGCTGGTATCTCTCCTACCTTCCTTAAGCAGCTTGAAGCTTACCCAAGCTATTCTACGATTGCGCAGAAGCTCTGCGGCTTCATGCTTGGAAATGCCGCCATGACATCTATCCCGTCGGTCTTGCCATGGTAGAACCGGCTCCGATGTCGTCGACGTTATCAGAGCCCTAAAATCAGGTTGCGATTGACTATTGTTGGCTCTATAAAAGCGGAATGACCGGCTATGTTGTGCAGCCCGCCATCGTGAGATCCTTTCAGGTTCAACATGCGTGCATCACTCTTCTTGCTCGCCGCCATTGGTGCAGAAGCCTGTCAGCGTGAGCGTGTACTCAAGCGCCATGCTCATAGCCATGTCAAGAGACAAACATCCTTTCCTCCAGTCTTAGACGCCAATGAGCAGATTCTACTCAATTCATTTGATAATACCTCTATATCCACATGGTCGTATTACTACACCCATGGCGACCATATCGCTGGAAGAAATGAGTCAATGGCACAGTGGACTGCCGACAAGTGGAGCGAGTATGGCTTTACATCCAGGCTGGATGAGTACTGTGAGTCTTCATCTTTATATCCGCGTCTGCTTTCCCTTGACTTGATATGAACGCGCGTTCTGAACCCCATCGTAACGACTGAGACACTGACTTTGCTTAGACGTCTTTCTCAACTACCCGGTCTCGCATTCGCTTGTCTTGACCTACCCCAATGGTAGTACCTACACTCCCACGCTCGAGGAAGCAGTGCTTGAAGAAGACCCAACCACAAGCTATCCAGACAGCATCTCTACCTTCCACGGCTACTCTTTCACCGGAAACGCGTCTGCAGAATACGTTTATGTTGGAAGAGGCCAGCAGGTCGATTTCGACCGCCTACAGGCACTCGGTGTTGAACTGGAGGGCAAGATTGCACTTGCCAAGTATGGTGGCCCTTTCCGAGGTCTCAAGGTCAAGAATGCGCAAGACCATGGCATGATTGGTGCTGTCATCTTCACCGATCCAGGTGACGATGGCAACATGACTGAGGCCAAGGGACAGATAGCATACCCAAATGGACCAGCAAGACATCCCAGCACAGTTCAAAGAGGTAGCGTTCAATTTCTGAGCACGTATCCTGGCGACCCCACGACCCCTGGTTATGTATCAAAGGAAGATTCTCCAAGAACTGATCGTAGCCTCATTACGCCTCAGATTCCATCCTTGCCAATCTCATGGGCGGAGGCACAGCCACTGCTACAAGCATTGAATGGCTTCGGCCCATTGAGTGCCGAAATCAACCGCACTGGGTGGGTAGGCGCCATCCCTGGCGTCAACTACAGCTCTGGGGCTGGCTCAGGTGCTACTCTTGACATGAGCAATGTTATGAATGACACATACGGATCCATCTGGAATGCCATCGGAGTCATCAACGGCACACTCGAGGATGAAGTAGTCATCGTAGGCAACCATCGCGATGCGTGGATTATTGGAGGCGCAGCTGATCCCAACTCCGGATCTGCTGTTCTGATCGAACTTGCCAAGGCCTTCGGTGAGCTTGCAAAGACAGGCTGGAAACCAGCTCGCACCATTGTACTGTGCAGCTGGGACGCCGAAGAGTACGGACTCGTTGGAAGGTACGCATCACCTATACTTGAGCGCAGGGGTCTTTGCTAACACTCTAGCAGTACTGAATGGATGGAGGAGTATATTCCGTGGCTGAAAGGTGCTGCAGTTTCTTACCTGAACATCGATGTTGCAGTTTCTGGCCCCAACCCAGACATCTCGGCAACACCAGATCTGCACGCTATCGGCACCGATCTCATGAAGAAGGTTATATATCCCTACCGCGGCAGCAGCAACCAGACGTTGTATGATGTTTGGTCGCAAGTTGACGGAACCATTGGTGTACTTGGCAGCGGCAGTGACTACACTGCTTTCCTCCACCGAGGTATCGCGGCAATTGATATGGGCGCTGGCGGCGGACCGAACGACCCCGTATATCCATACCACTCCAACTACGACTCGTACCACTGGATGGCAACCTTCGGAGACCCAGGCTTCCACACTCACAAGGCCATGGGCCAGTACCTGACACTTCTTCTGTACCACATGGTCAACGACCCTGTGGTCCCTCTGCAGCCTGCTGATTATGTTGAGGAGCTCAACACTTACCTCGAAGCACTGGAAACCACCATTGCCTCTGCCAATGCAACGCTCGATCTCTCAGCTCTTGTCGACGCCATCTCGACTTTTGGAACGTCCGCACAGCAATTCAACGACCTCCGTGACCAAGCCGTCGCAGCCAACGACACCGCTCTGATCACCGTCCAGAACCACAAGGCACGCGACTTCTCTCGTGGCTTCACTTCCCAAGGTGGCTTGCCCACCAGGGAGTTTTACCAGCACACGATCTTCGCGCCTGGCCGTGATACTGGATATGCTCCTGTTACCTTCCCAGGTATCACTGAAAGTATCACGTTTGACGACGATATTGAATTGGCGCAGGAGTGGGTCGAGAAGACCAGCGCTGCAATCCTGGTCGCTGCTGCAATCCTGAAGACCTAAAGGGTCAGTTTTTGTAGGGGCGGCGTACGTGTAGAGGTTCGACGAAGGTATTCCACGTCGAGACTTGACGCGCGTAATGCAGACGCAACAGTAATCGTAGTCTATATAATGAGAACATGAGTCAATGAAGTAACGGTGGTTTGACATGAATCGCCACACACCAACGTCCTGCACCCAGGCTCGTCCTGTAGAGTCTAACCCATTCTCTTTGCAGCTAGTAAGCTGCAAAACTACTACTGAATGACTCCGTTCGAGCGCATGCCATCCAACGAGAAAGAGTCCAGATGAGATTATCAATCCTCCTTGCCTGACACTGCATCTTGCGCGATAGCTGGTCGGACGTGTCTGGGTACAGTATGACATGCGCAATACAGACGCGACAGTCATCTCAATCTATACAGTGAGACTACGAATCAATGTGTTTTGATATGAACCGCATGGATCTACGTAATCTTCACATGACGCCATTCCCAACCCAGCTAGAGCACCTGCCGAAATCCCTCCGGAAGTTGCGGGCCACGTCCTCACTCTCAGTACCGTCGTCAACAATGCAGCAAGGCCTCATCGCGCCTTTGTGCCAGCCTCAGGCGTCAATGTATCAGGGTGTTGTCTGAGTGTGTCAGAGTCAGCGGGATGGACCCACGGCTATGATGACAACCGACCCGCTCCCCTGCCGAGGACCCGAATACCTGTGAAATAATAGGCATCAAATGCCATTATTGGGACCGCGTTGCCGCGCAATTACACGCACGCGACATGTTCCCACTTCCGGACGTATCAGCTTGCAAGCGGCCCTGGCATCCCGGGGAAAGGCGAGGCGACGCAGTGCTTGTTTTGCCAGGCGTCGTCATGCTCCTTGCGCCTTAACCCGACTGAGACTGGGTTCGACGTGCGATATGTGAACAAACATGTCTCGAATTCCGTCCGGTTTTGCTGACAACCGGTTGTGTATTCTGACGCTGCTGTCTCGGACGATTCGTTGGTTCTTTACTGCCTTGTTGCTGCCTTTCGCTTTCGTCTGCATTTTCATCCCGTCCTACTCTGCGCCTCCACAAACATGAGGTTCTTGCCGAGACTCCTGCATACGGGTGCTGCGGCCACCATTCTCATCTTCCTGTACCTAGTATGGGTTCAGCACGATCATCTCGGGCACAGCATACATGAGGCATGGGAAGGCTCGGCGCACAGGGTCGTTGTCTTTGGCGACGACTGGTCTGACACTGGCAAATATCGAGTTTCTACACCATCGAGAGCCAATGTGCCTGTCCGAGATGCCGATCGTGGCGACATGTGGACAGAGACGCTGTGTAAAGAAGTGAGTCCGCGTACCGCACCCAGGTCCCATGGCCAGCCCGGCCACTTGGCAAGACGCAAGAACCTCTTCTTATGAGAGTGTATGCTCATAAGTGGAGTAACTCGGTCGTAGTTCTGCAGTTTGTAGGCTGCAATAGATATGAGTTGGATCCTACGAAGTGCCAAACGACCAGTCGGACGTGCCTGGGTGTAGGAGATGTCCATGATTTGCATTTACTGACACCATGCAGCTCGCTTGCGACTTCATCGACAACTTCGCTCGTTCCATGCCGCCACAGGAGGATGCTACGACGATAGGCTCACTCGTTGATTCAGACATCCGCGCCCAGGCTGTGCCTGTGACAGACAACAACAACAACACCCAGACCATGTTTGACTTCAAGACACAGATACAGCAATTTCTTGAGTATGAGAAGATAAAACATCGTCTGGGTGTCCCGGAGCGTTTGCGCAAAGTCGACGAGTGGACTGTTTTTACCGTTTCCTTCGGCCTCTGGGATTTGTTGGAGTATTCTTCTCTCGAGACGGAGTATGCGCTCAAGGCAATTGACAACAGCATGGAAGGACTGTTCGAGAATCTTGACCTGCTCGCGAAACATGTGGCGGCACCGATCAAGGTCGTCGTTCCCAAATTAGTGGATGTTACGTTTCTACCACGCGTCCAGTCGATGAAAGACATCAACAAAGAGCACTTCGCGGAGTACCAACACCAATTGGTGTTTCTCTGGACCTACTGGAACACTGTTTTATCACGAGCAGCAGCAAAGTGGGAGCACGGCGCGATCTTTATGCCTAACCCCAACAATCTGATCTTAGATCAAGTCCGCGCTAAACAGCTGTATTCCAAAAACCTATCTGATGCATCCGGCACGGGCAAACAAGCACCTCTCTTTGATTACGTAGAAGAGCCGTGCATAAAGTCGATAACGGATGACAATGCAAGGATACTGCAAGCAGCTGGAGTCCAGAAGTGTTCCAAGCACCTGTTCTGGTAAGTCTTTAGCGCGCACAAAAGCTTTGTCTCGGTCTGACGGTGACACAGGGACGACATACATCTTAGCGGGCCAGCGCATCGACTAATCGGAAAGGCAGCCGCAAGCCTGCTCCGCGGAAACCACACTGTCAACATTGGGGCAGTGCAGGGTTCTCATGGTGACAAGAAGGCTGCAGCAAAGGACATGCCGAGTTTCGCACTGAAATTCCCTCCGGGGTACTAGCGATTCGGCTGAACACAGCATCTTACTACCCAGCCAATCAGGGTTCAGTTGGAGGGGACGGTGTCCCACGAGGAAAGGATTACATCTCAGCCACAACAGTACCATGCAGGTTCCGAGACCAGGTTTGTGATGACTCGCGTAAGGTTGCGGCATTGTTGCCTCCTTGCATGGCTGGCTGCAGGAATGCACGAATGTCTGAGCAGCCAGCAGATCCTGTCTTGGCCGCTTCGGGTCGGGATGAGAACAAAGAACTCTCCCGTCGAAGGCGACACCCAATTTACCGTTTCGGGCTGGGACAATCAAATTACGGAGTCTACTGCGGATGACACTGAAAGGTTCAGTGCTCGCGACAGCGCCGCATAATGCTTCCATTCAGCATCACATACTTCGGTGTTTTCACGGACAATCTCTCCCTTCCTGTCAACCGGTACAATGAACTATTTTCTCAAAGAGTTCCATTAGTTCAGCCGCTTCGTCGTCTTCTGCAAAATGGCCAGCTGCGTGTTACCGCCAATCCGAACTTTATCCCCTCCTCCGCCTCCTGTTGCGACGTTCTTCAGCGTACCCAGGAGATACGTCAAGTCAAACATGCAAGTTGGCGAAGACAACCTGCACCCTTCGACGGAAGCCAGCAAGATCAGCCGAAATTTAAGGAAGAGCACTAGGGTTCAGATACCGAGGTCTGCACCTACCATTCAGCGCAACAAGGAAGAAGAGCAGCCGCCAACATCACCACGAGGTGCCAGGAAGGGGTTCTCATCTCTCGTAACCGATGACAATGCAGACAAATTGATGAGCGAGAGTCCGACGGACGTAAAGACTCCGGCGAGCACGGGGTCTACAGGATCCGGAGATCTCTCACCTCACGTCTGCCTGTGCCAGCCTGAACCGAAAATTCCCCGCCCAAGGAACGGTGAGTCTGTCGTTCTTTGTTCGCTGTCTCGGCCAATAGATCAGGGTGGTTGGTGGCACTGCCCATTTTGGACGCCCCCATTCGAGGACAAAGAAGTCGACTTCTTTGTTTGCGGCGCAATTTTGATCAGCCGCTGACTGCTTTCTAGCTTTTATCCTTTACCGACAACACCATCAGCAGAATATCATACGCCGCAACCCCGGATTGAACAATCCTGACATTTCCAAAATCATTGGTGAGCAGTGGAAAGCGGAGAGTGACGAGGAAAAAAAAGTTTGGCAGGACCTCGCTCAGGTTAGTCTCGAGTCTCCCTTGCTACATGTGTAGACTAACACGACACCTAGGAAGAAAAAGCCAGACATCACGAGCAGTATCCTGACTATCGATACCAACCTCGACGAATAAGTAAGCCTGGAGCGAGTGCCTCGAACCCCACCGGCCAACATACGACTGTGGATAAGTATCGCTGCCCAAGGTGTGGTGGTCGTAGTATCAAGACACCCACTAGCCCCTACCCTCCTGAAACTCAAGGCACACCCACTTTGCCGCCACCAAACACCTCAGAAGGTCTCACACCAACCACCCGCTATCTGCCCATGATGAGTAGCCTGTCGCTAGAATCACCAGTTGTTGCGCGTCGCGGCCCGGGCCCGTCAAGGCTCAGTAACATTCAAGTCCCGCCGTCTATCCGTGAGCATGAGATGTACAGCCCTCTCACACCAGGACAGAAGAGACGTCGATATGATTATGGACCTCCTCCGTCTGCCCGTAGGCCTGAAGGTCCTTACTATCCTCAGAGTGCAGCCCGTCGCGAGTCACTGCCGCCCATCCACGTGCGTGTGTCACCTCCGAATACTGCTGGCATGCATCCTCCCTCGGCTCGCACTCCTCGGGATGTACGCATGCCTCAGCACGAGCTGCCGCGTAAAGGGTCGTCGGCCTCTGACATGAACATTGTTGTTCCCCAACAGCACGATCAGAGCAGGAGCGTCGAAGCAATGGTTCTCAGCGTTCCCTACCAAGCCAGGATCAAACTGCTTGGCCGCATCTGTGGTCCGCTGAAAGAGCCGGGCCCAACCAGTCCCGCTGCACAGACTCGCGGCGCCATCATCGCCGTCGAGGGCGACGACCTGAAAGCCGTCCAAGACCTTGCCGAATGGCTGAATGACTTCCTTGCAAAGGACGATGAGTACACTTCGCGTCTTGCCGAGCCGCCGCGAAGCCCCGCCGACACCAAGCAAGAAGTCACGTTCGAAGAGTACCTCGACCTGATCAAAGAGTGGCACGGCAAGTCCAAGGAGATAACCCGCTACATCACCACCCCGTCCACCCCCTCCGACGCCCTCACCCCCCGAGACGACGTCTCGGACACCCCCTCGCGCAAAGAATCCGCCACTCCCCCGGACACCCCCCGCCCCTCCGCCTCCCCCAGCCTGACCCCCTCAACCCTGACCTCCGCCTCCGCGCCCGCCGCCCCCGCGCCCAAGAAACCTATCGTCGTACTCCCCACCTTCCAGCTCCACGCCTCCGTCGCCTACGCCTCCCGCATCCCCATCCAGGACGCGTACAGCCCCACGGACCACTGGCAGTGGATGGCGACGCTGTGGCGCGGCATCGTCGGCCCCGATCTCACGCTGTACGTCAAGTCGTACGAGCCCAAGGAGGCGCCGCCGGGGAAGATGGTGGAGCTGGATGATCAGGTGCGGTGCTTGACGGTGCTGAAGGCGCAGGGGAAGCCGTTTGCGGATGCGAGTTTACGGCGCGTGGGGTTTGAGGTGGGGGAGTGGGTGCGAGGGGTTGGGGCGAGGAAGGAGGGCTGAATGAGAGGAGAGGGGTGTAATGTGACGCAATGATGTGCGGTGTGGAGTGGAGTGGTACTGTGCAGTGTACTTGCGGCGTTCATGGCGGCGATATGGCAAGGGGGTCTCGGAGTTCGCTTCATGTGTCGATTTCGCAGCCGTCGAAACAAGGCTTGCGCGCATACATACACGGGCGGGCGTAGCGCTGTACTATACCAATGGCATTGCTGTCTCGCCCTATTCTATCCCCTCTCGTTTCCCATCTCCCCCCGACGGTCCAAGAAGACGCATCCCTCCCCCCGGCATCCGGCACGCCAGCAATCCCCCATCCACCCACAACACTCCACCGGCACGACAGCGCCTCCGCACCGTCCCGATCGCACCCCATCCGGCCCTTCTCGTCGCCCCATTCCCTCACGATCCCCCGATATCGACGGCGGTGGCGGTGGCGACCGCGACTGACCCACCACTCTCGGTGCCACGCCGGAGCTTTGTATTCTGTACTCGCCGCGCCCTGGCTCACCTTGACGGGCCCCGATAAGGCTATAGTGAGGGATTGGATGTCTGCTTCCGCGTTCCGTGCTCGCATGCACGCTTCCGCACTCTGCGATGCGCGATGTCGCCATATAGCGCGATGCGAGATGCTCTGCGATACGGCTTCACACAATGCACTGCACTGCACTGCACTGCACTGCGGTGTCGGGACACGGCGGCTCGCTGGGTCCGGCCGGTGGGTAAACAGCGCGGCGATCTCAGCACAGCCTGGGGGAGTTGCGCCGTTGGAGCGCCGTTAGGCGGCTGTTGGGGAGTGTGGAATTCTGACGGCGGGGCGAGGGGAGGTGTGCAGCGTTGTAGCGGTGGGTTGCTGGGGCGCTGGATTGTGAGGACGTGATGGGTGTTAGTTAGCACGTAGTGAGTATTGGGACGCGGGATGGGGAGAATGGGGCGCTGCGCGATGAATGTGGGGTGGGTGCGTGGGCGGGTGTCGTGGAGTTGGATATGCATTTGGATATGCATTTTGCGTGCGGGCTACGGTGCGTTTGCGGGCTGGGGCTGCATTTTGCGGCTACATTGCGTGCCTGCGCGCTCAGTCACGGACGGGCGGGTGGAGCGGCGGCGAGCTTCCTGCTGCGTCGAGAGTCCTGCTGCGTCGAGCTTCCTGCTGCTTCGAGCTTCTTGCTGCGTCGAGCTTCTACTCCGTCGAGGGAGGACAATCAAGGCGCCATTGTGTCTGTACAGTACGCGAGGCTGCTGTCGAGCCCAGGCGGCGCCAAGTCAAGGTCGAGGTCGAGGGCGAGGTCGAGCACAAAGGTACATAACACCGCAGTCTCGGCCGGTGGTGCGCGCATCTGCGCCGCGTGCGACGGCGGGAGGGCGCGTGTGTGGGTAGGCGGGTATGTGAGCCGCGGTGAGTGATGCAAAGGAGGCTCCTTGCGTCGCCCTTACTGTAGGACGTTGGGCCGGCGGGGAGAGGGGCTCGAAATAGATTTAGGTAGGGCAAGGGTCTCGTGGCTGCTGTGGCTGGGCCAGTCTGTGGCGGTGCAACAGCCTCGCTTACATCATCCGTCTGCCCCGGAAGGTTTACGCGGCGCGGCGCTGTCACATGCATCCGGCGAGGCGCGTTCACTTTCGTTGTCACATGCGCGGCGGCGGCCAACCACGGCGCGCGCAGGCTGAGACGATGCGCTTGTCGTGGGTAATGCACGACGCTTGAGACGACCATGGAAGACCACGGCTGACCTGCTGGGTATACCTTCCCCGGATCCTGCACTGCGCAGCCAGATCCTGCTCCTCCGCGTTCCCCAGATTCTGCACACCGGGCCACTGTGACGACCGGGTGCTTCGCTGCAGCTGCATTCATGACGCCCGGACGCGATTCTTTGTGTAGATATCCAGCAGAGAAGGGTCCGACGAGTCTTGTATAGACACCACGCACAGAGAGCACACCCACCGAACACGTCGCCATGATCGACCACGTCCTGGGCCGGCCGTCGGTGCAGTTCCGCAAGATCCAGGTGCTGGCCGTGGTGTCGTTCTGGTCCTTCTACCTCTACAGGTGCGTCCCCCTCCTACACTACGGCACCCGCTGACTAACCCGCGCAGAGGTGACCGCCACGGCCCGCCGCTGCTCCGGCGGCTCTCGTCGCTGCTCTCGGCCAAGCTCACCGTGTGGCAGTCGGTGCTCGTCACGCTGCTGTACCTATATGTCGCCCGCAACTTCGGCAAGCTGGTGGGCCTCGAGTGCCCGGAGCCCCTGGCGTCGCTGTACTCGCGCTCATACTTCCGCGCCACATGGGTGACGACGGCGCTCGACGCCGGCTTTTGGTCGGCCATGAAGATCCGCCGCAAGGGCCTGCGTGACGTGCTGTCCATCATCTTCAGCCTCTACTACATGGTGTGCGCCGAGCAGGCCGACGAGAAGGTGCGCAAGATCCGCGCCACGCTGACCGTCGACCACCTGCGCGTTTCGTGGAACAAGGGCACCACGCCGTACCTGGCTGCGCTGACCAACCTGATGCGCCCGCGTCTGATGTGGTACCCGCCGCGCAAGATCCGCATACCGCGCCCGAAGGGCAGCAGCTATACAGAGCCGGTCGTGGCCTGGCTGTACTTCAATGGCCCCATCAGCGCGCTGAAGAAGCACGACAAGATCGTGCTGGACGTGCCTGGCGGCGGCTTTGTGGCCATGGACCCCCGTAACCACGACGACAAGCTGATGGGCTGGGCTGGCAAGACGGGGCTGCCGGTGCTGAGCCTGGACTACCGCAAGGCCCCTGAATGGCCGTACCCGTATGCGCTGAACGAGTGCTATGATGTATATCACACACTGGTCGCCACGCGCGGCCGCTGCATGGGACTGTCAGGCGAGCTGGAGCCAAAGATCGTTGTGTCTGGAGACTCGGCCGGCGGCAACCTGGCCGTAGCCATGGTGCTCATGGTTCTGCAGAGTGGCTCGACCGAGACACGGCGCTGGCAGGGCGAGCGTGCACTGCCGCCGCCGGTCGCGTGCGTGCTGATATACCCAGCACTCGACATGAACATCGGCAACTGGATGACGGACGAGCAGATGGCCCTCATCCGTGACCGCAGAGTGCGCAAGACGAATAGGCCTATCCTGCGACACAAAAGCGAGGACTACCGCCAGCTCGCGCCCAATACGCCCTACGGCTCTGACGACTCTGGCAGCGACGACGAGAGACCGAGCCGTGACACCAACAGGCCGATGACCGAGCGCGTTCTCACCTCCCCACAAACTATGATCAAGCTCAACACAAACCTCACCAACGGCCATACCGTTGCAACCCCCGACCAGATGTCCCCGGTAGCAACTCGCGCCCCAGAAACACCCATACAGCCAGCCGCCACTGACCCGCCGCCCGTGACAGCCATCAAAACCCGCCTTGCCACGTCTTCGATGATCTCCTACTTCAACGACCGTATCCTCACGCCAGAAATGATGCGTGCCATGATCATCCTCTACATCGGGCCCCATCACCGCCCCGACTTCAGCACCGACTTCCTGCTCTCCCCCTGCCTAGCCCCCGACTCGCTCCTCGCCAAATTTCCACGCACCTGGATGCTAACTGGCGAACGCGACCCCCTCGTCGACGACACCGTAATCTTCGCCGGCCGCCTCCGCCACGCAAAACGCGCCGAATTCACCACGGGCAAGGAACTCGGCCTGGACTGGGCGCGCGGCACCTTCCGCGAAGAAGACTGGGTCAACGTCGACCTCGTCCCGGGCATCTCGCACGGCTTCCTGCAGTTCGTCGGCGTCTTCCCAGACGGCTGGAAGTACATCTTCCGCTGCGCGACGTGGATCGACGACGCGTTCGCCGCCGCCGAGGGCCGCTTCCCGGACAGCGCCGCCCCCAGCGCGCCCGTGACGCCGTGGTTCCGCGCCCCGCGCGACGACTACTTCGGCGGCACGCCCGGGCTCGCGGCCGCCGTCGACGGCCTGCGCAGTCCCACCGCCCGCCGCCACCACTACCGCTCCGGCACCGCGTCGTCCGCCGACGACGACCGGCCCCTCGAAATGAGCGTGCTGCCCAAGAACGCGCCCAAGTCCTCGCCCGCGAAAGATGCCGGCAAGGTGCCGCTCACGCCGCCGCAGGAACGTCCTGCGTCGAAGGCGGTCGGGTCCGCGGAGCGCACGGCGCGCGGGAGGGGAAGGGTCAGGAAGAGCGATCGCGGGCGCAGGAAGTCGCTGGTTAGTCTGGCGAGTGAGGATGATTTGCTCGGGAGGCGGATGAAGGGGCTTACGGGGGGGTTGGGGGGGTTGGCTGGGGTTGGGTTGGATGGGTGATGTTGATAGGTGTGGTATATAAGCATTTCGTGTACACAATTATAGAGCATGTTCGATACGATACTTGAATTCTGAGCTGGATGGAATGGCAGCAGAGGGTGCTGTGGCTCTGGGTGTAAATGTGGTATGGTGGGTGTGGATGGCGTGAGCAGACAGACGTGCTCGTCAAGGCGATATCAGGCATGCAACTTTGGGAGCTGTCCCGCTAGCACCGCGACTCTTGAAACACAACAATCTGATAGTTCTTGTTACCGTGCTTGGTCATGAGCCGATCGTTCCTTCCGCAAACATATACGCCTGTTTACTCTTATATCTAGCAGGTAGAGTATGATTGTCCAGTGGCTGAGGACATAGAGCTCCACCGCGAGCACCACCAGACCAGGATTCTCAGCAAGTCGGTACAAATCGTTCATCCTGGATCGCTCCTGAACGGTCGTTGAAGACCTTTAATATGCTCCTATACCCAGTCTCCCCTCTGCATACCCGGGCACCAAACAGGGGCGCTGGCCGACATGGCCGTACGTCGTCGACGACCGTACCCGTGGAAACCGCCAGTCGACTTTACTCCCGGGCAGGAGAGCGGTCCAAGTGTCCGCGGTGTTCGAGCCGAAGTGTTCCAGGTGTACTCAGGGGCAGGTCTATACCAGATATACGTTGTAGATGGTGAGTATTTGGAACACGTGCAATATCGTGCCGCCGCGAAAGAAGCTCAACGGAGCGTGTGCCCCGTGCGTGATATATAGTAGGCGGCAGCTGCCACAAAGAGATACCAATCGTAGCATCATGAATCAACGTGTCAAGAAATTCTTGCCTCATGCTTCCTCGTCGTCGCTCTCGTCCTCGTGCGCCGTGGCCCATGGGCTGCGTTTGCGGAGTGATACTCCGTACCTCTCCAGTACAAAAGGTATTGGTGCCAAAACAACGGCCAGGCCAGTCAGAACAAGGCAAGCGTTCCTTGTGCCAACGCCCAGAAACAAGCTCCTTCCCAGAAGCGGGAATGCAGCGCCAGCCAGGTTACGTACCAATCCCACACCTGCGAGACCTGATGCCGAGAAAGTCTTGTAGGCGTCTTCCGTGTATGTCAAAGTCATCAGGATGAGGCAGTAGAACGACCAGCCCCAAAAGGCGGATGCAAGGACCGGAAAGAACGGGTGGACATCTGGAGTGGCTGTGAAGGCGAATGCAAGCAACGAGATGGGCAACACCAGAGCAGCCAGCTTGGCATGGTACACTCGTGCTTCTGGAACATCGCGTTGACCAGACTTTGCTACCTGCCGTTGGTAGTACCGCTCTTGGAATATGTTCGTGAAGAGGCCAAAACAGATGCCGAACACGATGCCCAGAAAGCAGATGCCAATCCCGATAGTATCGTAGCCGTAGCCGCTGGGCCCGAAGATCATGTGGAATGCTCCGTTGAATAGGAAGGAGAGACCATAAAGAAAACCGTTATACAACGCACCGAATTGCACGATAGCTTCCGTCCCCAGGAAGCGGAAAGGTCGAGCAAGTGCTGTGCCGAATAGCTGCTTGGGTCCCCGCTGCTTCAGTTCGTCTGGAACTTCGATCGCATCATTTCCAGTGCTTTGTCTTAATTTCTTCGCCTTCTTCAGTATAAGAACACTGTGCCGAGTCTCGCCAAGAGAATATAATGCGATGACCAGGATGATCCAGAATGAGAGGCAAATGAAGAACATGACTCGGAACACTTCATGCCACGTCCTTCCATGCGCGATGAATGAGAAAAGCACGAAGCCCGTGGGCGAGCCGCCTGTGGCAGCCCACAAGAACCACGACATTGCAGGCCCGGTGTCATTGTGGTGCCAAAGATCAGCGATGGTGCCGCCGAAATTCGAGATGGTGGTAGACGAGAAGTATCCAGAAAGCAGTCTCAGCACGAGGAAAGGCACAAGGCTCTCGACGTAGGTAGTTGCCAGTAGTAGCAGCAAGAAAGTGCCGTAAGAAAAGATGTACACCGGTCGTCGTCCGTAGTATTCAGATAGTGGCGCCAGCGTCATTGGTCCAAAAGCCAGACCTAGAATGTACATGCTCAATCCTAAGGTGGCGACGTGAGCTGGAACATCCATGTCCTTTGCGAAATCGCCAGCGACTGGGGAGAACCTATGCGTACCTAGGTATCAGTAAACCGATAGTACACACCAAATCTCAATCCACCTACCCTGAAGCACCCCAACTGACGCTGAGATCAATGGGTATAATGGCTGCTACCATCAGCCATTTGCGCAGCGAAGGCCAGTTGCGTGGGTCTTCTTGGTCGTCATGGCCGAAGGTAACGACATTAGACCCCTCATCAACCCGCAGGAGCGGCGAGTCCTCCCTCACGATCTCGGTGGAGGCCGTCATCACTGCAACAAGATGTTTACGAAGCTGCTGCTGGAAGTGCTGCGTGTAGACGCCTCGTTGCGCATCGATGGGGTATCACGACATGGATGACGTAACCCTGTCACGCGCTTGCGCGTGGTGTTTGTGGGTCTTCTTATCTTCATCTCCACAACCACCTGACTATCTACATAGAGATGCCAAAATCACCGACTTCTTCATCAGGCTAACACGCTCCGCTGGGATGCGCTCTCGGAGGCTGAGGCCGTGCGACAGACGTGCGCTCCTCGGCTCGGTCGCATCCACACCGAATCCCCGATATGAAATTGCCATCCCCTCATTTACCCCGGATGTCATGGGATACAAGGCCAATTTGCCCCTGAATCCCCATGAAGTTCTCCCGTCTACCGGATAAAATTCTGGGGTTGGGGATATAAACATGGGGCATATGCGCCATGGGGGCCTGCTATCCGCACTGTCTACGGTTCAGCCGCTGTTTCAACCATGCGTTCCACTCTTGCAACCACAGCCTTGCTGTCGTTGACATCGTCAACATGGGCTGCGCTCAAGGTCTCGGAGAACAACAGCAGTCTGACCATCTCCAACGACCGCCTCGTTGCGGGAGTCAGCAAGTCTCGTGGCTACGTTAACCTGCTCACGCTCGACGGCCAGAACCTCCTGGGTAAGGAGAATGGCAACACCGGCGTGGGACCGTATCTGGATTGCTACTGCACCCCGTCTGGATTCTGGACACCCGGCCGCGGTAGCAAGGTCGACTACCAGCTGTTCAACGGCACGGACGCGACTGGTGTGAGATACGGCGGCATCAGCATGGGCGAGACGTACGCTCCAACTGGTCAGCGTCTCGAGCAGTACTGGTTCCTGAGGGACGGCGAGACAGGTCTGCACACGTTCAGTCGTGTTGCGTACTACAACGAGACTGCGCCGGTTCTGCGCAACCTGCAGGAGCTCAGGACCATGTTCAGGCCCAACCACGACCCGCCGCTGTTCACTCACTTCGTGACCAACGAGAACTTCGATGCCCCGAGGCCGGATACCGACGGTCAGGTGGTCGTGCAGGATGCTACATGGTATCTTCCCAACAAAGAAGACCCTTACGTGAAGGGCGTCGGTGACTACTTCACCAAGTACACGTAAGTTGCCGAAACATCAGATCACATCTCTGTACTAATTCAAAATAGGTTCCAGGACACTTGGAGGAAGCACAAGTCTCACGGCATGTGGGCAGACGGATCCGGCAGCAACAACGGAACAACCTATGGTGCATGGATGGTGCACAACACAGTTGAGACCTACTTCGGTGGCCCGTTGCACTCGGACCTCGTCGTCGATGGAATCGTCTACAACTACATCAGCAGCAACCATCACGGCGACCAGACCCCCAACATCACTCACGGCTTCGACCGGACTTTCGGGCCGCAATACTACCACTTCAACTCAGGCGGCTCTCTCGATGAGCTGCGTGCCGACGCCGACCAGTACGGTCTCCAGCCGAACTGGAACGCGAAGTTCTACGACTCCATTGCCAAGCACGTCCCCAATTTGATCACTGCAGCTGGTCGCGGCACGTTCAAGGCCGACATCGACCTCCCCAAGGGCGCGAAGAACGCGATCGCTGTTCTCGCGCAGAGCGGCGTCGACTTCCAGGACAACGTCTTCGACACCAAGGCCTACCAATACTGGGCCGAAGTCCCGTCGAACGGCAAAGTCAGCATCGACCGCGTCAAGGCCGGCAACTACCGCCTCACCGTCTACGCCGACGGCATCTTCGGCGACTACACCAAAGACAACGTCAAAGTCACCGCCGGCAAACCGACCTCCGTCAAGGCGAAGTGGTCCCCCGAAAGCGCCGGCACAGAACTCTGGCGCATCGGCACCCCGGACAAATCCTCAGGCGAGTACCGCCACGGCACAGCCCAGTCCCCCACACACCCCCTCCTCACCGAGGAATACCGCCTGTACTGGGCAGCCTACGACTTCCCGACCGAGTTCCCCTCAGGCGTAACCTACAAGATCGGCCGCGACGACCCCGCCACCGCGCTCAACTACGTGCACTGGAGCTTCGTGGGCGGGAAGGGCAACTACGTGCGCCCGGTCCCGGAGTACGAGAACATCAACAACTGGACGCTCCTGTTCGACACCAGCGCCGCGGCCCTCAAGCACAAGAAAACCGCGACGCTGACCGTGCAGCTCGCGGGCGCCAAATCCGCCGCAGGCAACACCGATGTCTTCAACGCGAGCGAGCCGTACGCAAACCTGCCCTACACCGTCAACGTCAACGGGAAGGACCTGCAGCCCTGGATCATCCCGTACCACCACTCGAGCTCGTGCGCCGTGCGGTCTGCGGTCGTGTGCTACAATATCGCGCACAAGTTTGTGTTTGAGGCGGGGTTGTTGAAGGAGGGTGAGAACGAGGTGGTGCTGAGTCTGCCGTACAAGGGGGGCAACTACGAGAGTGCGGTGTTGCCTGAGGCGTTGTATGTGCAGTACGATGCGCTGCGGTTGGAGGTTAAGTAGCGGATTGGGGCGCGGCCCTGCGGGTAGACTGGTTATTCATTGTATATGTTTTGTGTGAATGTTGATTTCCGCTTGCGTGATGCGTGATGCGTGATGCTCGTTGGGGAGTGCCAGTGATTTTGTGTTGTTTAACTTTGTAGCGGAACTTGGTTGCGGGAGGTGACGTTCAGGGCAAGGGGGTGTTGAATGTCTTGCTGAGAGCTCAAGACTTATTACTCTTGCGCACTAAGGCAAGTAACCAGATCGTTCATCGCGCAAACCATTGTTCCGAGCCAACTGTGCTTCGCATTCCACCCTTGGTACCGGGGATGAACGCTTCACGGCTGTGACTCAGTGTCGTCGTTTCTGGCGACGCCGTTATGCTTATGTCTCAATAGCTCACTTAGCATTTATATCAACTCTTAGATCCTAGTTAATGAAGGGAAGCTTTTAACTGCACTCTCCTGACAACCCGGCTGGTACAGATATCGAGGCTCTATGGGCGCAGCAGAGATAAGTTTCCGACATAGAGAGGTGAGTGCTCATGCATGAGAGACGAGACTAGAGACTAGGACCAGATTGAATGGTTTGCATGACTGTCAAGTAGCAATACAGTATGAACAATTCGTACTAAACCTTTGTCCGCGCTCGCAACCTAGCTACCTTGCACATACATATCCACCAGGCTGGCGATCAGACTGGATGCAGTGCTGACGTTCTGGGAGAAGCAAGCGAGACATTTGGCCGACTTTGGCTCATGACGATGGTATAGGTACTATACGCCAAGGACGCCATTTATGTGCGTTCCGCTCCACATTGGTCCATTGCACTCCATGCTGACACGCAGTCCAGCGCCCGGGACCAGTAAGAAATAGCGCTAGCGAGACCAACACAGCTCAAGGCCCAATCACGGACCGTGGCGCAGTCGTGCATACACGGCAGTGGAATCCCTGTCAATGTGAGTGCCCTACGAAGTAATTAAACGGACATTAAAACAACCTAGTCCAAGACAGCTATAAGTTCGAGACGCTTAACCAACACTGCTTATTCAATCCAAATCATCTTTGCTGTCCTCATCATTCCACTAATCTACATTCGCCTTACAAGCATTCGCCTTGCTATACACTATGCCCTTAATGGCTAGCATCCAGCATTCTATACTCCTCATACTCTTCTCCACGCACACTTACGCCCTCGTAACAACAACCCCACTACAATCCCAAGACAATTCAGACAATCCATGGTCTACTGAAGCCATCCTAGGCCTAGCAGCTATTGTAGTAGCAGTCATATGCTGCATAGTTAGTCTTGCCTGTCCTACAGTCTTCCAACGATATAGATGGCGTCGTGCTTGTGCGTCCCCTACACAAAGCTCTCCAGTGTTGGCACGAGATAGCTGACCCTAGCAGCAGCCCAATCACTGCTTCCACAGTCGGCATATGTGCCTGGTTCTTTCGGCCAGCAGCCCTGGCTGCAGCACCCCGTGATCGCGCACCACCACTACTACGTCCGTGTTGACCGGGCGGATATCCTGATGGGGGGGGATTCGTGGAGCATCATCTCACTGATACTGAATTCTAATACTGATCACCACTGTCAGCCGCTACTGCTACTCGCTACTTCCCCCACTCTACTATTCGTGATAAGCTACGCTGAGCGCAAGGAGCAAAGCACACCATCACTACCTAGACCCGCGTCGCAAGCCGGAAGCCACCACGATGAACCGGTTCCATCTAACAGTGTAACAAGCCTGTCGGCAGCAGGAGTGAGGAAGTCGAGTCGTGCTTAATCTGCAGGTAAACCTTGCGTCAAGCTCTTTGAAAGTGCTTGCGCAAGACGCTGCTGGATCCCAGCATACGACCAGTACCACCCGCACCCCAACTCGCACTCAAACACTCGAGTCCCACACACGAAGCGGTAGATAGCACCGTGACACCCCCATCTGTTGACGCTCCCCCTGTCTCCTCCCCCTACCTCTTAGTCCAACAAACCACCTGTCCAACCTCAGTCCACCAGAACCAGACAACTACCACCCCCTGCACGCGCGTAACCTCTCTTTGGTATCATCATAGCAGTCCACAAATACTACCTATCAAGAGACCAAACCACGTTTGAGTATGACACATGCAAGTGCCTAGGCTGCACTGAGGGACGGAGAAGCACGATGTTTTAGCAGGCCAGCATCCTGATGTACAAACCAGCAACATCACGCTCTCATACACCCACCCACACCCACCTTCATCCACATTGACTCACCTGCATTCGCACACTGAGTCGTAAACGCCACCGAAGCCGCGATCCCCATCACGACATGCTCATAGCAGAAGGCAAGACAACACTGTTTCAAGGTTGATGAAAAGGATAGAAGGAGGTATATGTTTGACCAGACTTGACTACTGAGGCTTTACCATTGCTGAGACTTCACTCTAAGCGACGCCGTCGGTGCTGATGGCGCAGCCGGATTGCACTTTGCATTCGCCAGGTCACTCGTTACGCGCTCACATGGGCGCTGCATTTCAAGCCAGTCGCCCGGTACGCAGGTTGTCTGGGTCTGAGAATGGGGTATTGCAGTATTCACAGTAGCCTCCTTCTTTACGTAGTCATAGCCTTCCACGATGCACCTAGAGAGGCCTCACGCAAAACGTGAGCGGATTAGCATACAGGCATGAGATGCAGGCATGGAGAGGTGTGCTCTGGCATAGAAGACGAGGCTACGGTTCAAGACTAAATTGCACGGGTTGCATGACCATTAAGTAGCAATACAGGATAAATTATTCATACCGAGCTCGACTGCGTGCTTTATGCTCACGCCTTTTCGATTCTCTGTTGATGCATCGGAGCACGGATCGAGGTTGACGTTTCGCAGAGGCTGGTGGGTCGCATGTGCGATACAAGCAAATAGAACCAAACCTATGTCAGTATGTTACTCTGAGGTTTGAGAGGGGTTTTCCTATGGCTCTCGTGTTGTTGCGCTGGAGATGCAGACAATAGAACGACCAAGCGTCGAAGCCGCACATTGGACTTTGAACTAGTGACTGGCGCTGCATTGATAATTGGGACCAAGCTGCAAGCGTCAAAGTACTGGACTACCAATTTTAGGATAGCGCTAGTCATCATACTTGAGTTCAGCCAATCCAGAGGAGTTACACCAGTACGCTAGCGCAAGCCACGAACAACCTGTCACACAATTACAACAAGATACTTAAGTATGCCTTACCGTGCTGGAATAATGTTCTCCAGCTCAAGTCGTTCACTGCTACTACTCCTCTGGTCTGATCTTCTCCACCGTCCTTAGAACGTCTTGTTTGTCAATTCAATAACATATATCCACCTTAGGAGCATTCACCCTGCTAGATATTAAGCTCTTGATGGCTAGCATTCAGCACTTTACATTTCTTATACTCCTCTCCACGTCTATTCACGCTCTCCCAACAACAAACCCACCACAATCTCAGGATAACTTCTTAAACAATCCATGGTCTACAGAAGCTATTCTAGGCCTAACAGCTATTGTTGTAGCAGTTATATGCTGCGTAGTTAGTCTTGCCTGGCCTACTATCTGCCGCCGATTCAGATGGCGAGGCACCTGTACGGCCCCTAACCATATCTTGTCGATACTAGTATTAGGCTAATTCTAACAGCAGCCCACTCGCTGATTCCACTCGGTCCACATCCTCCTACTCGTCCAGACCCATTCGTCCAGGAGCCATGGCAGCGGCCCCCGGTCACTACATATCACCATTACAACTTCCACATTGATCGAGCCGTTATCCAAACGGGACGGGAACCATAAGGCTTTGTCTCTCTGAAATCAATCACTGCTGTCAATTGCTACTTCCTCTTTCTACTGCCAATCGTCACTGCCAATCACTCTATTGATCGCCATTGGCCGGATCAAGCGAAAGCAGTGACATGTACCTCCACTGGAACCCACCCGCATCGCAGATCGCAAGCGACTATCCGTCCAGGGGGATACCAAACCGTCGCCCAACAGTGAAACAGCGCGTCTGCAACAAGAACCGCGGAACTCAACCTTGAAACTGGTGCCCCCCGCCCCCTCCACACAAACACTATCTCTCTCTCCCGTGCACACCTCCATCTCCATCTCAGACCGCAAACAACAACCGGAAGCTGCATGCGCCACCGCAGACCACAACTTCCCTTCTCTTCTCTTATTCCAACAGTTCCGCAGCCTGCCAATCCACCGTCTACCCGAGCCTAATCAGACAACCCGCCCCCCCCTAAGCAAACCCCGGTTCGCTACTGCTATCACTATTGCAGCCTATAAACACCATGTGTATACTGCATTGTACATAGGTACGAGGAAGACATGCTCAGGCGCTTAGGCGCTTAGGCTGCGCAAGAGGAGTTGGGGGAGAAGTATAGAGTTCTGGCAGACAGGCAGGCTTTGTAGTGTATGAATAGGAGTATCGCTTACACTTGTCTTACACTTGCCTTACACTTGCCTTGCACTTGCCTTACACTCGTCTTGTCTTGCACCTCCTCCTCCACCTCCACCTCCTCCTCCTCCACCTCCGCCAATTCCTCTACCTCCTCCTCCTCCTCCTCCTCCTCCTCCTCCTCCTCCTCCTCTACCTCCTCCTCCTCCACCTCCTCCACGTCCTCCACCTCCACCAATTCCTCTACCTCCTCCTCCTCCACCTCCTCCAATTCCTCCTCTACCTCCTCCAATTCCTCCTCTACCTCCTCCAATTCCTCCTCTACCTCCTCCTCCTCCTCCTCCTCCACCACCACCTCCTCCACCAAACAAACCACCAAACAAACCACCACCACCCCTCTCGATCGGCGGTGTGTCGACGGTGTATCACAGCCCACCAGCAACTAGATCACAGCGCAGAGCTACCCAGTTCCGCAGGCTGTGTGTGTGGATGCGGTACGAGGCTCTGCGCGTGTTTGCGCGTGGATGTGCGTGGCGGGGCGCGGGATGAGGGACCTGGGTCGTGTAAGCTCCCCCCCCCCCCCCCCCCCCCCGGGGATTAAGAGACGGAGAGAGGAGAGAGTGGGATAGGTTGTCTGATTCACAGTTCGCGGGCTGTGAAACGGGTCTGTGGGGGAGTCCTGGATATCAGGGGTCCGTCTGTATTCGTGACGGGACGGAAATGGTATTACACTGCTTCTTACACGCCCTCCTTATACTCCGCCTTTCCTTTCCTTGTCATCCCAACTTCATACACCCCTAAACGACCTCCTCAACCATCCGCCCTCCCCACGTCCCTCCCCCTCCCCCTTCCCCTCCTACACCCTTCACCACATCCCCCGCAAACACCCTCCCCACCGGCGCGCCCAGCCACTCCTCGGGCACGCCCACGCACACGCCTTTCGCGTTCTGCACGTAGCGCACAAACAGCGGATTGGCACGGTCAGCATCGCTCTCGATTTCCTGGCCCGACTCGTCGAGCTCGGCGGCGGTGGATTTGCGGCCGCGCTTCGGGGGCTGTTTCTTGAGGAGGCGGTTTATGGTGTCGAGCTGGTGGGTGGGTTAGTGTGGGATAAATATAAATGCTAGATATGGTGGGGTGTGGGTAGTAGGGTCTGGAAATGACAGGGTGAGAGACGGACCTTCTCCTCCTCGTTCCGCTTCTCGCTCAGATTCTTGCGGCGGCGGGCCATTTCGGCGCGGCGCATGGCGTGTTCCTCGGCGGTGAGGTGTTTCTTCTTCTGCGCCTCGTTGCTGAGGGCCAGCAGCGAGCCGTCCTCCTCCTGCTCGAGGACGGCGCGCTGGCGGCGGGTCAGCTTGGTCAGGTCGGGGGGCTGGCCGCTGAGGTCGTCGTCCGAGTCCATTTCGACGTCGGGCTCCGGGCCGGCGAGGTCGTCGTCGTCTTCGCCCTCGGCGTCGTCGTCGTCGCCCTCGGCGTCGTCGAGCTCGTCGAGCGAGGAGTCGGGGTCGCTGAGCTCGTCGTCGTCGTCGGACAGGGCGAGCTCCTTGGCTTCGACGGCGTCCTGGGCTTTGGTGAGGCTGATCTTGGGCTTGGGGGCGACGGGGACGGGCTTGTGGACGGGCACGGCGATGGGCTCGTCGTCGTCTTCGTCGCCCTCGGCGTCCATGTCGTCGTCGTCGCTGCCGTCGGCGTCCTCCTCGTCGTCGTCGTCATCGAGGTCCATGGCATCGGCGTCGTCGACGTCGTCCTCGTTCGCGTCGTCCTCGCTGTCGACCTCGTGCACGACGCGGCTGCTCCGCGAGGCGCGCTTGCCCGAGACGATGTTGGTGCGGCTCAGGTTGCCCTTGCTCACGGCGGGGGCGCCCGTGGCCTGGCGCAGCTTGGTGGGCGACGACTTGACCGTCAGCGACAGCGTCTGGCGCGTCTCCTCGGGCGACGAGCGCTGGATGGTGGCGGGCGCATCGCCGCGGCCGGCGGTGCCACGGCGCGGGCGGGTGGACGAGGCGGTCGGGGCACTGGGGGGCGGGTTAGGCGCAGCGCGGGTGCGGAGGCGGGGCATGGTGGTAGGCGGAGGGTAGTGGAGGCAGGCGGCGCAGAGGCAGTGGAGGCGGCGAGCAGGCGGCGCAGGAGCAGGCAATGGCGTCAGACGCGCTGCTGGATGCGCGCAGGGGTTCACGGGTGGCACAGAGCTGGCGCGCTGCATTGGCTGGTGGGCTTGCGGGCTGCGGGCGCTGCGGCTGCTGACTCTCCGCCGGCCGCCTGTCTCTGCGCGGCGCGTAGCGACACGGCGCGCTGCTGCTGGGGATCAGCCACATACCTGCTGGTGTTCCACTCGTGGTTATCCTCCGACGTCTCGTACTCGGTGCTGAGCCGCCGCAGGCGCTTGGCTGCGCGGTCCGTCATGGCAGGCGGCCGCGGGATCCAGCGAGAGCCGTGGTGGGATGCGACGGAGCCCGGCCTGGCCAGGTGGAGTTGCTGCGATATCTGAAGCTCGTCGTCTTGTAATGAGTGTCGAATGCGGCAAGGCGCGTCCGTGCCTCGGCACTCACCTCAACTACACCTGTAGCTGACTACCCTTGCATGTCCTTCATCACCTTTGCACATCATCTTCAATCGCCTTTGCATGTCACCTTTCATCGCCATTGCATTGTGTCGGCATTGGATACAGCACTCATTCGATCTGACTACTTATTGAACCAACACCACAGTGTAAACATCACAGCACACACCACTTGAACTGATAGAACCCAATAGTAGTCTGACAACTCCATTGAAACTAAACACCGTAAAACAGGATAACTACAGTACTTGATACAATGTAACCCGCCAGCACCTTTCCAACATGAATCAAAACACCACACCACTTACCCAAACGGACCCAATGAAGTGAGTCCAACGAAGTAGATCCAACGAAGCAGATCCAGCAGATCCAGCAAATCCAGAAGTAGACCTCACGAAGCACATCTAACGAAGCACACCCAACCCCCCACCTAAACATCCTCAACCCCCCCAATCAACCCCGTAGCATCATAAAACCCCCGCATCCGCTCATCCACCAACACATCCCGCGCCTGATTAATCCGCGCCATCCGCTCCGTCGCCGCCCGCTTCGCCGCCTCGCCTTGCACCCGGTCCGGGTGGTGTTTCAGCGACAGCGCGCGGTGCGCTTGGGTTATCTGCGCGGTAGTTGCGGTGCGCGGGATGTTGAGGAGGGTGTAGAGGGGCGTGGGGGGGAGGGTGCCTGTTGGTTGGGGGGGTGGGGGTGGGGGGCGGGAGGAGTGGGTGTTGCGGGGGTCAGAGGAGGAGGAGGAGGAGTGGGAGTGGGAGTGTGAGCGGTCGTATGTACCCGAGCGACTGCTAGAAGAGCCCGTATGCCCGCTAGAGCCCGTATGCCCACCAGAGCTAGAGCCTGAACCCGAGCCTGAACGCGACCCAGCGCGCTCATACCAGTCCGGCCGCGCACCATACGCCCCCGCCGCGCCCCGCGGCCGCCGCTCCTCAGTGCGGTACCCCCGCGACGAAGACGACGAGTAGTCTGCAGACCCACCAGCAAAGAAGCCCTCCCGCGAGGACCCCGACCGCCGAGTCTCCTCATCAAGCGCGTCGCGCACACCGGCCCAGTCGAACGCCGAAGCCCCCGAACGATGTGAGGAACCCGAACCACGTGAGCCACCCGAAGCCTGCGTGCTCGACCGAGATGAAGAACCACACGCCTCCTCACCCCGCCCCGCCCCATCGTGCCTAAAAAACCACGCCTCAGCCGCGCGCCGCGCCTCGCCCCGCGACACCCCCTGCGCGATCCAGTCTCTGTACACCTCGCCCGCGAGATCCAGGAGTTCGCTTGTGGAGTGGGATGGGTGGGGTGCGTGGGCGTCTGGGTAGGGGTCACGGTCGCGGTTAGGGTCGCGGTTGGGGTCACGGTCGCGGTTGCGGTCGCGGTCGCGGGTGGTGCATGAGGGGGCGGAGTGGGTGGAGGTGTGGGCGGTGGAGGCGTAGCCTGTAGACCCGTGGCCAGTGGAAGCGTAGCCGGTGGAAGATGCGTACGAAGAAGTGTAGCCAGAAGGAGAAGCCCCGTACGAAGAAGCGTACTCAGAGGGCGACTCGCACCGCTCCCCCGAACCCGAACCCGCGTACCCAGACCCGTACGCGTCCCCGCAGTCGGCGCAGAACGCACAACCCCCGGCGTCTGCCTGTGCGTGTGTCTCACGCGCGCGCTCGCGCTCGCGCTCTGAATGGCCTGGACGGTGCGGACGGTGCGGATACTCTGGATAGTCTGGGTACTCAGCATACCCCTCACGCCCCTCGCGGCTCTCGCGGTACCGCCGCCTGTCCTCTCGATACGCCTCCTCACACCGCATGTCCCCCAGCGCGTCGACGGCCCGGCGGTGCGCGGTGCGCGGCGAGTAGCCGAGGGCGAGGTAGTGGGCTGTTAGGTCTGCGAGGAGAGATTGCTGAGATGGAGACATTGTGCTTTATTTCCTGCGTTTCTTTTCGTTTCGTTTGGGTGAGTTGAGTTAAGTTGAGTTGAGTTGAGTTGAGTTGAGTTGGTTAGTTGGTTGGCTGGTTGCTTGGATGATTTGATGACTTGATAGAATAGTGCTGCGTGGTTGGATCGAGTTGCTTCACTGCTTCCTGTACTAGTTGAGAGTTCTACTCGAGCCTGCTTGTTTGAGATGGGCTGGATTTTAAGGGAGGGGGGTGAGTGCGAGGGGGAGGGTTGTGGGTGCACAGTGTCGAGGGGTATGGGCGGACGGTGCTTGTGGGAGGGAGTGCACGGCACTGTGGAATTACGGTGGTGGGCTCTCGAGGGCACAGTGTGCACCAGGTGTGTTCGATTTTGAAGCATTGATTAATTATTAACAAAGTGATGGTGTCGACAGTCACCCACGGCCGGAGCTTCACACTCCCCCGCTCACGCCTTCACGCTCACACCTCCCGCTCATACCTTCACGCTCACAAACCCCAGCTTATCAACCTCGTCGCCCGCCCGCCCGACAAACCCAACAAACGCGTACCCGCTCGCCGCAGTCCGCTCAACGCACGTGCTCGTCTTCGTTCCCGCGGCCACACTCCTGCCCGCGCTCGTCCGCAGCTGCGCATAGAAGATCCTTGTCTTGCCGTCGCGCTCGCCCTGGCACAACGTCGCCGCAGTCAATGTCTCGCCAGCATTCAGCGTGAGCGACGACGCGGCGCCGCCCGTACCGCCGTGCGTCAGCGTCTGTCCGGACGCTAGCCCGATCGACACGCCGTCGAGGCGGTTCTGCCCGCGCAGCGAGACGCTCGCGACCTTGGGCGAGCCCGCGGCCTTCAGCGTGTCCAGATCGTTGAACCACGTGCCGAACTCGCCGCCGTACGCGTCGCCGATGCGCAGCGCGCCCTGCAGTGTCCACGCGAAGTCGACGAGCACCGGGTTGTGGTCGCTCAGGATGCTGCCGTTGGCCTGCAGGAACATGTCGCCTGCGTAGTCGAAGGTGGTGGCCTGGAGCGAGAGCGCAGCGGAGCCGCGGTACCACACCTTGTCGACGGTTTCGCAGGCGGTGGTTGGCGAGGGGTTGGTGCAGAGCAGGGCCTCGCTGCCGCCGACGGGGGCGACACCGTTCTTGACCAGTTCGAGCCAGACGTCTTTCATGCCATTCTCGGTGGCGAAGATGGCGGGGATGTCGTCCTTGCGGGTGTAGCGGGTGTTGGAGTCGCCGAAGACGACGACGGGGTTGCCGATGGAGTTAGTCTTGATGTGGTCTGAGACCTGGCGGAGGTTGGACGCTCTGGCTGCCAGGTCTGCGGCTGTGGTACTGATGTTGTTAGTCACGTTCACGATCAGGTGACTGGACTTACCCAGCGTCAGCATGCAGATTGTATGCGTCCACCCAGACACCCTCTGCAAACTTCACTCTCATGAAGGTAAAGCCCTTCGGCGTCAGGCAGTCCGCGCTACTACATGGTTGTCAGTTTGGGTCCACCCCTATCCACTAGGCGACTTACTCAAAGGTGCTGCATGTGTTCCACTTGACTCTTTCAAAGTCTGTGAAAGGGAAGTTGCTCAGCGAGTTCAATCCACTGCCAAAGGGAACTCCTCCACTAGTCGCAGTCCTGTACGGGTGCTTGTCGTTCGCATACAGCGTAGCGTGGTAGTTGAAGTCTTCCTGGACATGAATGAGGTCGATATCATGCTCGGTGAGGAGCTGGCCAATGCGCGCTGTGTTGACCGTCTTGTCGCCGGGCACATCGTTGCCATTCAGAAGATCAGGCAGACCGGCGACATTGAACGTAATGGTGTTGAAGGTCCCTGTTTGGGCAACAGCAGGCTGGAGGACCAACAGCAGCGAAACGAGTGTGGACAATGCGGACGGCATGTTGGCGGCAGACTGTGTCTGTACTTTCTCACGAGCAGCGCTACACTCGACTATATACCACCCGCAATGTATGTGCTTTCAAGCATCGTTAACGCGTCAGGAGCACATACTACGGGACCCTTGAGTACTGAAGCCGAGGTGTTTTGCGGGCCATACTGAGATCGGCGAATTGTAGAGGCAGGTCGACGCACGCTCGGTGGAATACAGCAACAGCATTGATTGCTGCAGGATCCCGTACGGCGCAATGCCTTGAATGAAGAGCCAAGACACCGAGATAGTCGTTGTGAGCTAGCGTCTCCGCAGTAGTGGACCAATTGGCAAGGGGCAGAGGCGCATGTGCCAAACGGCGATCGCAATACGATAGGTCCGGCACCTTGCCGGGGGTTTATAGGCAGGAGATTGTATGAGAGCAAAAGGCAGGTAGCAGTGACATGCAGGCTGCTGACATCTGGCATGGAGGAGTTAGTATGACGTCACCGTGTTATGGGAAGGAAGCAACGAGGAGCTCAAGTACTCGTTGCACAAACATATGATTATTGCGTAGGGAAAAAGGCGGACACAATGCATCTACGTGCGACAATGCGCCATTACTTTCTATGGTGGACATGTAAACGAAGGTAGATTACGGCACCCAAGCGTCCCTATAGTTGACTCGATTCAGTATCCGTGTATGTCTTTTTAGGTAATACGTCTAAGCCTCCCGGAGGCATTGTTATACTATGGGGACCGTGGTAGCGTCCAGTCTTCGCTCGAACACTGCTTATAGTAGTTGGAGATCCACAGCCCCTGCGTCTTTTCGTATGAAGAAACATCCACCGCCGAGTCCAGTTTTGTGTAGACATTTCCGGTGCCGGGCATTGCTAAAACAGCGCCGAATGAGCGTCGCCGACACGATGTTATGCCAAACACAGAAATGACTGGGGAGTGTAACAGCAGCGGTCAAATGATCGATACATATTGCGTTGGTGGAGTGAGTGTTATGCATGTAGCTCTTTGAACCACTGCGAATCCTCCAGGTTTGCCAAAACGCTCGTTGGAGAAGCTCAGGCGACATGGCAAGGGTCGAAAGTCAGGACGTTGATACCATGCGGTTTGTAACCCTCCGCTCCTCGCCTCGCCTCGCATACGCAGAAGCAAACATGGCCTCCTCTTCTTGATATTCTCTATTACAGTGTTTCTCGTATCCCCTAACGTCTCCAGAATCTGAGCTCATTAGGCTGCTTGCCTTCTCGTTCTCCTGGTGGAAGAGGACACCAAGCCGCTGCGTAGTCTTCGTTGGGGCTGGGCTTGATGAATCTCACACAAGGCCGTCTTCCCTTGATACACAAATCGCAAGCCCATTGTTGGTCCCCAGCAGCTTGTACCCAGGTGCATGCTCGACGGCTACCCGAAAAGTGAGCATTTATGCACATCTTTTTGAGGTCGAACCTGTACGAGCTCCGATTCCTTGTGAATTTTGCCCATCGTAGTCGTTTCGGAATAGTTCTGTTAACCATCTTTGTGAAACATTCGCTGAGTGCAGTCTCCCCTGAGGGGGGACTGTTGAAGTTGACCCAGCTCCATTGATTGTTATCTTGGACCCAGAGAACATGTGGGATGTCTACCTCACGCCCATAACTTGGGTTGACCCGTTTGTGTGGTAGACGAAGTAGTGGTCGTCCTGGCCCTGTAATGACGCTGTGTAGATCTTGGCGTTTGGAATCCTGGGGGCTATCAGATTCGATGAGGCGCTCACTACCCTTGGTCGGCAATGGCGTGGTAAAGTCGCGATCTCCGACGGATGATAGGCGAGTGCGTTTGCTTCGTCTTAGTGGCATCTGATCAGTGACGCTGAGTTGTGGCATTGTCGCGTCTACAGGGTCAAGTTTGAACAACCGCTCCTCGCTCCCCTCCTGTTGTTCTATAGCCACCGCTTGTCGCGTGTCGTGGTTTTGGTAGCGAGATATCTCTAGGTCTCTCTCGAGGCGCGCATTCTGCAAAGACAAGTTACTGATCTCGCATTGCTTGCTTCGAAGTGAAGATCGAGTAGCATTAAGGTCATATTGGGTGGCTCTGAGCTCTGTGGTGGCGCGATCAGTTTGCGTTAGAGCGCTTGCGAGCTCATCTCTGAGTGCTTCAACGATCTCCTGTTGCGATTGCTTGAGCTGCTCGTATTGTATGAGTAGGTTCTCAACGCGAGCGTTGCGAAAGCTTGATGCCATCGTGCGGCTTGTTGTCGTTGGTGGGGGTGAGGAGAGGCCAGACAAGGTTGCGAGTTTGACTGTGGGAAGCTAAGTGAGAGTGGAATCCGAGCGCAAAACAAACGAGTCTCTTTCACTCGCGTCAGAACCTTCCAGAACCTACTCAGCGCCACATTAGAATGCCTTAAATTCTTAGAATCGTCTTAAGGCTTTGTTCTGAGATACTGTACGAAAAGAGTATGTGCCTCCGGGCAACGCAGAGGATATCCAATTGCCATGCTGAGACGTGTGCCTGAATTGACATCGCCTTTGATGGCCGCATTGGGCCGCATTGGGATATTCTACCAACTAAGTAGATTAGATCATCTGAACAGAACAGTCTAATGCCATGTTCTGATTAAGCCCAGTGATGAAGGTGCCTCTCAGTCAAAACCTAAGATGGATGCCGCTAGGAAGACTCTATCAGATCCATGCAAATAGGATGGATCGTGGCCCGACTCTGCCAGATGATTCTATTTGGAGTCATACTCACAATACTTCCAAATGACCGAAAAAGTTCAGACAAGGTTCCGGTTTTTAGGTGAACATATATCGGATCGAATTGGCAAGACCAAGAAGGCTGTGGGCTGCATCCACAACGCCGAAGACGAGATTGTTAGAGCTCTTCATCCTGAAAATAACCAGCTATTGGCATATCAGAGATTGCCACGATTAAGACTCCTACCACTCAATTGTTGATTGTAGTACCTGCATGAGGCTGGTTAGGCTGCCCATCAATGAAGAAAGTTTATGACTGCCCAGTCAGGTCCAGCTGTTGAGATGTCGTTTAGGCTGAGATTTTCCATCAAAATCAGGATGGCTGTCATGGAACATGTTATACGTACCGGTGCGGAATGATACGGATGTCGTTACGCAGAGCGCAAAAAAGAGGGGCCATTTGCCGAGCGATCATCACCCAAACAAGTGCGTCATATCCTACCTAGGTATGTTCACGCAACAACAATCGCAGTCGGGCTTCATGAGATCCACGCCATTTCGACCGAAAATTCGAAATCCATGGGTGCGACTTGGGATTACGCAACGGCATCTACAAGCTAGCAGATGAGTGATGAGATCGAAGAGGCAGAGAAACGCTCGCTGTAGCGGACGATGTCGAACAAGTACGCAAGTTACCAGATTTGATGATCGACTTTAGAAAGAGCAATGGAAACGCAAGGCCAAACGATGTCGAGAGAGGGCAGAATGACAGCCGTTGCTCGTACGTAACGAGAGGACGCTCTTGGTAAGGGCTGGAAAAAACGTCATGAGCCAAGAACCTCCTTCATCGAACCTCAACGGCAAACCGCCGTTACGTCTTTGTATCGAACGTAAACAAAACCTACATCGGCGCTCGATAATAATGTCTTCAGCTACGCGCACCGTCCTAGTCACAGGCTGTTCTGATGACTCTCTCGGCTCTGCTCTCGCGCTCGCCCTACACAAACACAGCGACCTGCAGGTCTTCGCAGCAGCACGCGACACATCAAAGATGGCTGCGCTGTCTTCCGCTGGCATCAAGACACTAGCATTAGATGTCACGTCCTCGGACTCAATCAAGTCTCTCGTTGAAGAGATCACACAATTGACCAAGGGCAAACTCGACATCTTGATAAACTCCGTCGGCGGCGGCCACTACCAGCCATTCCTGCATCTGGACATCGATAAAGCGAAGCAGCTATTTGACGTAAACGTATGGGGCTTCGTGGCAACAACGCAAGCCTTTCTCCCGCTCCTGCTAGCCAACGCCGAACCCGGAAAGAAAGGCCGCAAGAGCATTGTCGTCAACAACACTTCGATCTCGTCGGTGTTGCGCACACCCTACCACTCCGCCTACTCGGCGTCAAAAGCCGCAATGGCCATGTTCAACGACATTCAGCGCATCGAGCTGGAGCCCCTCGGCATCAAAGTCGTGGACCTCAAGACCGGCTCTCTGGAATCGAACTTTGGCGAGAACAAGACCAATCCGTACGAACTTCCAGCGGACTCACCATACCAGCCGATCAAGGAGGAAGTCGTGAAGATCATCAGCGGTGAGACGACAGAAGCATACGCGGAGGATAGGAAGGCGTGGGCGAAGAACGTGGTCAAGGACTTGATGAAGAACCCGGACAGTCCGCCGCCACAGATCTGGAGAGGTGGTGCTGCAGGCACTATTCAAGTGAGCAGTAAGATGGACAGCATTTTGCCGGACTACTTGACAGATGGGAGCTTCCAAGGACTGGGAGGGCTGGATAAGCTAGGGAAGATGTTAGAAAAGCAGGGAAAGGGGGCTTGAGGATATTCGTGCTCGTGACAGACTTGCAACTTCCCGGATTGCAAATGAATACTATGATCTACAAAGTCATTGTGTGCAGATTGTCCCAGATGTTGGTGCATGGTGCTCCTATACATATCTCGCAAGGTACAAGTTCTGGCTACTCATTTGTATCATTCAGCAGGTCCACAACACCTTGATTCGAGGCAATCAAGGCGGTTGTTATTGTGTAAAAACACGTGAATGTCAGCTTAGAAGTACTTGTATCCATCACATCTGCTTGGCCATACAGAGCCAGATAGAGGTGTGTTGAAAAGTCCTAGACCTCAACAGCGTTTCGACCACATTTACACGGTTTTCACGAGACGGTCAAAGCTATTTAGCATTGCACTTCCGTAAGATGCTTCAGTCACAACTCAAGAAATCGTATCGCCCCTATAGCGGCTGAGATACTCAGTCTCAAGTCAAATGCAGACGACAATCGCCGCCCCTTAATGAAGCAAAAGATGCTACAAGGATGTAGCCAAAGATAGACATAACACGACAGAGACTCGGAACCCATTAGTATCGGGTACTGCACCCAAAGCCGACCAGCTCAGCCGTACTGGTTGCATCGTCCAGCGCTCCCTAGTACGGAGATACTTCGTACTTCGCGACAACCCAATCTACCCAGTACCGGCGACAGTCACTCGGCCGGATGAGAGCAGGCAGAACCCATCTGCATAGAGGAGCACCCAGGATGCATAGCATCAACCATCTCCGCGGTCACACCCCACGCGCAACACCAACGCTAAGCATCCGCAGGACACCGCCCGTCAGAGCCACCAATCTAGGTAGCAGATATGAATACCACACCGCGAGCGCATGCGGTGAGAGAGCTCCAGCAGTGCCCCACAAATGGCGTGATCGTACGATGTCAGTTGAGTCTCCGAGACGCGACCGGGAGCTCAGGGACACGTCGGTATGCGTGGGCTTGGGTTGGCGGTCAATCCTACTCGACAACTGTACTGCCGTTTTGCCGCCGTTGTTCCCCTTCCAGCCCTATGCAGCTCGGGCGAGCACGGCCTCTGCTTGAGGTGTCTTGCGGCTCCGGCGGAGTGAACTCTATGTCGGCTTCCGTCGTCAGGGTCTCGGGGCCGGGGTTGCGAAGTTGTCAGGTACCTTGACTGATGTCCTCCAATAGATTGTAATTGGGCACCATGAGCTTTGTTGCTGCACAGGGTGAGGGATGGCATGCAGCAATCCTGCGCATCAATATAATGCTACTCAGAGGTGGGGGTAAACGCAGCCTGTGACCGCTACAGATATTGGTCATAATATCGTAAGCAACTGTGCTCCAACCTCACATGAAACTGGCTGTGAGCTGCTCGCTTCGAGTGCGTTACTTTGCAAGACTGCCTTGTGGGAAACGGGCTTGAGGGCTTAAAGTGTTAGGGGGCCAATTCTTAGGTGTATGTGAGGAAGATGTTTGAGCAGAAGGAAAGAAATTGTCAATGAGCAACAGCATCTGGTGGTGTTGGCTGGCTAAGGTGATGATTGTGATGCGCACGCTGAGGACTTGCTTTCCCAACGGACTTCAGCAGCACCTCTTGCTTTTTTGGCATGGCACGCAATCCTTCACCTGGATCGGCTGCTGCCGTCGCTGATCTGTCTACTGACTCAAGGCTAAGACGGTGTCTTGAAGTTATGCCCTACAACTCAACGAAGGTGATCCACGTGCTATCTCACAATAGGTATTTTATACCTACCATTGACACCAACAAGAACGCAACGCAAATGTTTTCTCGGTCTTGACCAACATTTATCAGCGCTTGACGGTGATTGAAACGTTTCCATAACCCAGCATATAACCCACATCACCCTGACGTAGTGACAAACTGATCCTCCGGCGATCAGGCCGAGCATTTCTCGCAACTGGACGACTGGACGCGGATCTGAGCGCTGTGAGGCTGCAGCAACATCGTGATTACTGCATGTAGCAATATGCGCGACGAGACAACAATCAGCCGACTTGACAGTTATGTAGCAGGTTGATCCATGCTTGCCATTCCGTTCGTTACCGCCCAATCTCTGCGCGGGTACCTGAACATCTCCATCAATTGCGACGACTCGTGACAGGCATTCCCAAACGTGTCGAAATTGCACCGACCAGTCCACCTCGGAGTAGGACCCACCCAATCTCGTGTCAGCGGTGACTCTAAGGGTCAATTACGCCTTCCCTTCCCCTCGTGGTCTGTGGGAGGCTGGTGACCTTCCATGTTGGTCGTTTCAAGGATCATGCTGGAGCAGACGTCCGCAAAGCCAGACAAAACGCGCCGACATTGAGCCAGTTTGGTTTCCGTTAAGCGACCCAAACTTTAGATTCGAGCCAATCCACCAACGTAGACTGGTGAGACGCGATAGTTGTGCGCAAAAACATATTGCAGTCAAAAGATAAGGCTGGCGTAGCTAGTAAGCCGTCAAGACGACATAGCGCACGCACAGCGCCGGAGCGGGCCTCGGGAGGCAATTACGTGCCAATCAATACACCGCCGAAACGTCGTGACTCGCCCAATTCCGCGCAGGCAAAATGTGATGTTGCCAGCCTGGGACGTGCAGGGCAGGCCTGAACTTACCAGATCCCAGGTCTCTTTTGTCGTCGTTGAAGCTAGTGTCGGAGCAAAGTAACCGGGGCCCGCTTGTTCGCACGAAATGATGGTCTGAGGGCACAAGGGCATCCAAAGTTAATAGGGCGATCACAGCTGTCGTGCCTAGGTATCGCAACAGTGCGACAGCGCGACAGCGCGGCTGAAGCAGGTGCCATACATTGACGTGTCGCGCAGGCTTCTAGAAGACCCTCACAGCCTAAAGCGCCTGGATCAATCCTGAAGATGAGACTCACCGCTTTGGTACCCATAACAACGGCGGTGGAGCGGCGATGCAGGTCGGGGAATGGTTGTCTATATGGTCGATCATAAAGAGCCGGAGATACATTGCAGAGTCAAGCGTTCGGCGCAACATGTTCGCGGCAGGTGACTGATTCTGAGGCTGCGAGTGCGACAACACGAGCATGCGCAAAAGATGCACATTGCAAAGGGTTTCCCTGCGCACCAGAGCCCTGGCAGCAGTGGGCATAAAAAGTGGGTGCAAGCGCCCACGTTGCTGCTGTGCTCGTGCATTGTGTGTTCCGGAGGGCAAGCGATTCGGCGTCTGTGTAGGTAATTACGAAAGCCGTCTTCTCGAAGTCCATCGTTCAGGGATGATCGCTGTAACGTTAGCAGTGATGTGTGCGACGATCGCGTACGGCGGGAATCGTCGAATCTTCCTTCGACAGCGGCCACAATCGAGGCTAGTGTAGACTGCAAGCACCACAGCAGACCTTCCCCGAAAGCTTGCCGTGAGGTGGAAGGGGCCGGCGTGAATCGTTGCGCAACGTGCATACGAGAATCGATCAACCTTGTCACTATTTTGAGCCCACGACTGATGTGAGGAGATACAGCGCGGTTCGGTGACTCGACCATGTTTGTCGCTGGACAGCCGCGCTAGCTGTTGACGTAACGGACGTACCTGCTTGCCGGGTCAGACTTATCGATCTAGACGTCGTATGATTCTGCCGTCACTGAAGGAAGCACATCCAGCTGGCGATAATCGTTTTCTTGTTTTGCGGAAACAGAGATCTGCATGGTGACGGTGTCACGATCTCACGGATGTGCTTGTCTGTAGAGATGGGAGGCTGGGTATGGAAGCAGGTCGTGCCGAAGGACGAAAAAGCAATAAAGACGTGTATACACATCAAGCATAGGCTCCGAAGCCGCTGCTGTGGCGCTCTGCAGCTCACCAGGGTGAGTGATGCGGATCGTTCCACAGGTCGCCTCGGGTCAACGACAGTGATACACATGATTTGAAGTCATTCTCCTTCAGCGCAGTTTGCTTTTTCGCGCCTCTGGCTGAACGATCAAGAGCAGTAATTCCAGCGGGCGCGTGTCCCAACAGGTGGCTTGCATAAATCGTTTGGGTTCCGGGAAGAATGCTTTTTGCTATTCCCCGGTCGTGCAACCGCATCCTTCGCTCGCTGGTCGAACGATGTGTATTGCTTTTTAACGGTTCGGGTGGTTCAAGCCATTAACGAGCATGCTAATCTGAACGTCTTTGTTGAACCACATTTCTTATTGTGATACCCATGACTGTAGCATGAATCGCACTCTGTATTGGGTCACTTCGAAGCTTATTGGGACAAGCGATAGGGACACCTACAGCCTTCCACCGCACGGATTCGGCGCCGCAGCTGCTCTCTCGGCGTTGAAGCGTCGAGCTTGGTCGGTCTCGCACACAGTTTACTTCGCTAGGCTGCGCTGAAGAAGAGACTTGTCGCACTCAGCAGGCTGCCGGACGCCACATGCGGTTCCATCACAATGTCTCATCCATGTAAGAAGATAGTGATGGTGTATGCAAGGTGTCTTTGTGGCCAAGAAACGAAATTGCTGGTGAGAATTGCCAGGAAGAGGCAGTGGCAACCAGGCCGCACCATGGCGACGAAGCCCACAGAGGGCTTTCGCCGACTGTCATTGCCAGAGTGGCCCCTCTATTCTCGAAAAGAACGCACGACCAGTGTGGAGTATCATTCGGGCGAAGGTAACAGTTTATGTAATGCAGCCTCATAATCAGGGCGGGATGTAGCCCACTGTCGCTGCTCCACTGAAGGAACTTGTGTTGCTGACCTGAAAATTGCGAAGATCAAGGAAGGCCGTCGATCATCCCAGTCCTTTGATGCGCTTCAGCAAAGTGGATCTCATTCGAAGATTCGGCTTCTGATTGCGCGACAACTGCCGGTGGCTGCTGTGTGTACCTATTGATGACTCTGATAATGGATGCGAGCAGCCGCACTGCTCTCCAGGTTACCACAGCACCCAGAGATTACAGCGACTTGTTCGGTCGAATTGATCAGACCACAAAGGACGATAGGACAATTGCATCCTTGCCATGGAGCCTCGCAAGGACATCGGGCACTGATGTTGCGTACTGTGTTCCCACCCTGGTGCAATGGAGGCGGTGAAGTCTAAGATCATTACCTAGGCAACTGGTGACAGGAGAACTCCATCTCCACATCAAGGGTCGTATCGTCCAGCATTGCGTGTCCGTGAGATGGGTAGGGCGACGGGAGATGCGCATAACCATAGTGATTTCCATAGAGACGGGCGTCGTGTCAGCATTATCAGGCATGAACCAGGCACCTCTACTGACGTGGAGACAGGATACATGCGCAGCCGACCGTTAACGCTGCGTGGGCAAGCAGGTTGAAAACACCAAGGACCTAAGGTAACGGGCCCTAGGCGGTGACAGCATGCTATATAACGGGGTCAGCATGGGTGATCCCCAATGATATTTAATTGCATTAAATATGCGAAGCTGCGACAGTGCTGAATCTGGCGGTGAAGGTTATGCATCCAGCTCATGAGATGCGTGGTTCACCCACTAAATCAAAACACGCAATTGCCGGGATATACCCAGGAGGAAAATCAAGAACATTGATCAATTGTTTTGACATTTGTCGAAGCATCAGGTGCTATGCAGTATTCCTACTATAATACAGAAGAGAAAATACGCTGGGCCAAAAAGCTGGTGGCTGCGCTAAACAAAAGTAGTAAATGTGGCCACATTAAGTAGCGAAAGCCGGATGATGTCGCGACGCCGGTGTAAATGCTAGCAAACAATGACTACGTCTCCAAGAACGCCGATTTAAAGGCCGTGATGATAGTGTCGGTGGCAACGCACGCCATCCAAACAAGTGCCGCCTTGCTGATTCCAAGTATACATTATTGGCAACTGAGGCTTAGCCCAACAACGCCGGTAAAGATTTGACAGTCGAGATTAGCTTTTGAGTCGTTATGTCGTGATGGTTGTGCTGGTGGAAGCGTGACACCCCCGCTCGTGGCGCTTCATGTTACTTCGTACGCTGAAGGCCTTGCCACAGCCTGACTGCGGGCACTTGTACGGCTTCTCGCCAGTGTGGCTGTGGCTGTGGATGCGCAGACTGCTCGGCCGCGAGAAGGCCTTGTTGCAGGTGGAGCAGATGTAGCGGTCCTGGGATTGGGGGAAAGCTGACTGGCTGGATGTGCTGATGTAGTGGTGGTGCTGCCAGGGATTTGCGTTGGCGGTCGCACTGTTGGGCTGGGGCATCGGCAGCGGCATCGTGGGCTGGTAGTTTGAAGGCAGGGGTCGCTGAGCATACATGCTGGCGTTGTTGTATGAGTGCTGCTCAGGCGAGTAGAACGAGCTCGCTGATGCGTTACCTGGAGATGACTGGTAAGGCGACTGGGCGTACATTGAGCCGCTGTACGGGGACATGGAATGCGAGGGAATAGAGTCCCGCTTCATTGTTGGCATTGATGACAAAACTTGACGCTGCTGGTGGGGCTCCATGTTGTTGAGCGATGCACCCATGAAGTAGGCTGCCGAAGCGGCAGAGTGAGTCGATGCGGACGAGGGAGACCGTTGGCCGTCGCCGGCGGCGTCGGGGTGCATTGGTGGGGTGGGAGGTAGTGTCATGCGGGTGTTGTTGGTCACTGTTGGCGCTGCGACGTAGGTGGAAGGTTGCTGTGGTCTTTGCATTGTGCCAATGCTTTGTTGTGATTGTCCCAGTTGTGGCGAGGATGATTGTCTGTGTTGTGACTGTGGGCTCGCGGCGGCTGCTGCGGTTAGAACCAATCATAGAGAAGCTGCCATGGGCCACTTACCAGCGTCCGAGGCAGGCTTCTCGCCGCCAGCAAACTCAAGCAGACTCGAAATTGACGGCAGGGACGGCTTTTGCTCTTCCGCAGGCGGCGACGGGGGTGACTGCGGGCGCTGTCGCTGGTACTGGTACTCGACCTGTTGTGGGTGCTGTGGTTGTGCGGTGTAGAGTGAAGGCGCAACGCTGGCCGACACGGGATACGCACGCGGCTGCGTTTGCTGATAGTAGGCCGACTGCGGTGGTTGCTGGAACGCTTCGCGCTCCCTTACGCTGCCGTGTACCATGCTGGCGAGATGCATTGCCATGGAGGAGTACGCTCAGGTCACGGGGTACAGCAGAGGCTGCGTAACGGTAATGTACCTGTTGTGGTGGTGTTGGGGCTGAGTGGGAGGGCTGAGGTGAAGAGTGAGCAAGTGATGACGAGATAGAGAGGCTGGGTGTAGTCCACGGTAGAGGAACGGGTAGTGGCAGATGTGATATGCGCCAGGACTCCGGGCGGCCTGCAGTGCCTATGTAAGAGTAGCGAGCGGTTGGCGAGATTCAGCACGACGCCCGTTCACGCTGTAGCGTCGTCAGTGGAGAGGCCCGTGGTAACCAAACCGTTGCCAACGAGGTGGGTCAGACAGCGGTCGACCCCAGTCCTGTCAAGTCCCTGTCGAAATTACAAGAGCGGTCGACGAGGCGGCGGACCGTTGTGACAAGCAGCCAGCGTCCCAGCACGGCTAGACGAACGCTGCCAGCCCTGCAACGGCAATGCAGATGACGGGTAAATTGGGACTAGTGCAGCGATGCGCACGCCTCCGTAACAATGCCTTGGCCGAGCGATCCGCCCACACATCCCAGACCAGCCAATCTGCGCAACGCCGGCGAAGAGTCGCTTTTGGGCACCTGGCACGGAGGGCGTGCAATGCTAGTGAATGGCGGTGCAGGGGGCCCTGGCTACTGTTCCAGGACAGGCCGTGATGCACCGCAGATCGACCCTCCAGGAGAGCTCAGGTCTTGTCTGATGGGCGCTGACGATGGTCGTCGGCTGCAAGTACCCCGAATGCTGCACGCCTGGCAAGCGCCGGTCACTGATGCTGGTGCTCGCTCTGGCAGTCGGCGGTGCTGATGCTGGCAGGTTGCGCCTTCCTGGCGGAGCGGATCAACCTGTTCCGGAAGCAGTCACGCACGCCCGCGCCTGCAGTCAGTCGATAGTCACACAGCCCTCTCGAAGCTGTGGTGCGTCGGCCACTGCTGCTGGCAGCCTCTTCGAGCACTGCGCGAGACGCCGTGGTGCCGGCGTGGGTGCCGCGGTAGGGGTGGGTGGGAGCGGGCCTGCACAGTCCGTTCGGACAGAGATCGATCGACAGCAGGCCTGCAAGCACCTGCTGCACGCTGGGCCGTGGAAATGTCGAAGCAGACGTGGGCGTCAGCCCAGGCACCAGAGTCAGTCGTGAAGGCCCGGTCCCAGATTCGGGGTTGAGTCGCCGGAGGTGTGAGGTGCCCCCCAGAAGACGGCCGGCCAGCTACTAAGCAGTGCTTGTGGGTGCCAGCAGCGCGAGAACGACGGCGCCGCGAACAGGGCGGCGAGACAAGAACGAATGGGCTGACGAAGGATCACGCAGGGGGCGGAACGGCAGATGCTGGCCATCACAAAGGGACAAACATGAGACGAAAGACGATTCTTCACGCTTAATCCACCCCAGCCGCGTACCCTCTCATATCGCCTACGCGCACGCGGGCAAGCGATTCGCACGGTTGAGAGGTCGCGACGTTCGCTAGCTGTCGTAGGCGCATATCGTCCCGCGAAGGTTTGGGTGCGTACTTGGGAAGCGACCATGGCGTCTGCCAAAGCGGTCTACTGTCGTTCCCGCCGGCAGCCTCACCGACCAAAGACGGGCGCTGCAGCTCGCCCGAAGCAGCCTCTGAGCCACTCAGGCGCCGCCCATTCATAAAACCCTCTGCAAGCGATTAGAGCGCTCCCGCACTGATGATGCACACACATCACGCCTGCTGGCGAAGCGAGCACGGGTGATGTGACGACTAAGTTGGGAGGCAGCACCGGCCGTCATCGTGTGCGCTCACGTCAACCGTCGTATCGCGCTGCAGAGCGCTCCCGGGCAGTGTCACAGAGACGCAGCCTCTTGACTCGCACTCCGCACATTGCCCTGCCCGTCGCCGTCGGGTGCTACGAGCGGAGTGGAGGCGCGCTCCAACCAGCATCTCACCGCACCTTTGCTCGACGGCAAGCTCCTTTGGCCTAGCCGTTTCGGCCGCGTGGTCTGCAGCAGTTTCAGAGCAGAGGCAAGCGCGGGAGAGAAGACGGCGACGGCTGCTCGGACGTCGTCCTGTTCCAGCAACCATGTCCGCCCCTCGTACGCGAGCCTCTCGCGACGCCGCGAGGGCGGATGGCGGCGTAATCCCACGTCTTGGCCTCGTTCGTCTGTGGAGGATCTTGCAAAAGAGGCGGGTCGATCAGTACAAGCGCATGCAGCTAAACCCTGGAGCCACGTTGGCTGCTGTCACCATCTGCTCGCTGTAGCCGACCTCCCGCGAGCCAACCACGACCCTCCTTGGTCTCTCCCATTCGTGCCTTCGAGAAGCCTACCACGTGAGTTGCATGCCACCACAGCCTTCTGCCTCAATCTGCACCGATTTGCGCAACATGCCGGGCGGGGCAGCCATCACCCGCGTGCCTTGTCCATCAGGGGCAGCCTGTGCATCTACCGAAGGCCTGACTGCGGCGACGGCACGCAGCAGCCATCGCACCCACTGCTGGACTGGACTGAGACTTGCCGAAGACGGCGAGGCAGTCGTCTCACGCCAGGCCATGACTCTGCCCTGTACCATTTTCTACCACGCATCCACAGCTTTCCAGAAACCCCAGAAAGCTGCGTGCGCTGTGCAGTGCGACCTGGTTACACGTCGCCAACAGCGTTGTTCTGTCGTGCGGGCACGACATCACGAACATGAGAGCGCACGGACGTTATGGGAGATGAACGGCCAGGGTCTTCATCGAGGGAAAATCTCCCATTTTGGACATGATCTTTCGTGCGATTCGCGGAGCGCCTGACACCACCATCCTGGATCCTACGCCCGATGTGGATATCGTATTTACCCGGCCTTTGGAAAGCATTGCTCCTGCAGTGAATGTGCGACATGCAGCAGCTTGCACTATGCCTTGATACGTCCATTGGTATCCAGCTGCATCTCACTGCTGGTAGTCATTGGGGAGGGCAAGGCACCTGTGCCATCTGCTGGATTCTCGCGGGATCTGCCAGATTAACACTAAAGGACACTTTCTATCTTTCTAAGCGAATACGCCAAGCAGGGGTATCGCTGCTTCGGCCGCTGCCTGATCCATCACCCACGGGACCATTTTGTTCCACGACACCGTCGTGTTTGTGCCATCCTAGTGATCATCTCGGCCAATTACTGATACGATTCGGCATGGCAGCGGCATCCCCACCAACAGTGCCACCGAGGCTGTCGTTCCTCAAGCACGTGTTGATGTGTCAAGTTGCAGAGCGATTGCAAATGAATCATTCCCACGTGGAGCAATCTCAAACAGAGGCAGGAATAATTGGGCACGGGCTTGAGCAATCAGTCGCTGTGTATCGGTTTATTGCGATCCGCGCTCAAAGTCGTGGTCAGAAATCACAGGAGCTAGAATGCTCGCTTGCATGAAGTAGGGACGGGACGGAACAACAGTCTCAGACCAACCTTATTCTTACAAGCCTTGGTAGTGCATGTCGTCTTGCTTTGTATTGCGCCATCTAGAAGCATGTTCTCCAACATACGCAACATCAATCGAGCCGGTGATCGGGTAATTCGACAACGTCATGATTGCAGACGATGGCTGGATGGCACTATTGACAATCAAATAACCATGTCTTTATCGGTGATGGAACGCGACGCGAACAAGCTATGCGAATCTGGAGTCACCGGAACAGTCGTTTCGGTACATATCTGAAACACATTACAGGAATGATTCAGACAGTTTGACACGAGTCGATTGTTCGCTGTAATAACATCAGACTCCACGGCGCTGACTAGCAGTCATCTTTCGAGATAACAAGCACGTTGGGCTCCCGGTGTTTGTGAGGCGGAACGGGCCAAATGGAATTGCACACAGAGATACAAGCACTACCTTGCTAAAACGCCGTTTCTTCCATCAGAGCTCAAAGCTAGCCGGTGCGTGCAGCGACTGGGGTATCCATTTCAACGACGGCGCTACCTTACCGCCTCGAGCAACAGTCGATTTTCCGATACGCAACATACCGAATTGCTTCCCTGAGAGCAATAACCCAGTTCAAATCAGCTTTTCACGCTGTCACTCGGAACTCGGCATCATCAGATCCTTACAGCACAAACTTGCCGCCATTTGGCCGATACCCTACAGCAAGGCTGTGACGCATCATGACCCTGTCTGTGCCATCAAAACCTCCGCGTCGTGCGCGACTCTCCCTTGTAAGCCGCTGTGAAGCTATGAAGACCATGTGGCTGCTAGGATGGCTTGTAATCAAGCCAGGCTGTACAACGGTTCGCGAATCTTCTGGAGCAAATTCGCATAGGCATGCGGCAAAGTCAGCCACCAATGTATCACGATGCCCCATGGCCACAAATGCCCGCCATTTCATCTGACTACACGAGGATTTGGGGCCTGAAAGTGAAGGTTTGGACGAGCTGCATTCTGTTCCGAGCATGCTCGGTCAGTACGCATCGCGAAAATGAGATGGGCTGTAGGATCGCCAGACCCTGGTCCATGTAGACCGATTCGAGGTTATCCTCCGGAACCACTCCGCCACGACAAGGTCTTGAACGGCTGACGCAGATCCATCGCAGAACCTGCCCACCATTAACACCGAGACGTACTCGGCTGACCACTGACATATCTTGTAAGTAGCGAGCCAAGTCTCAGATCGACCGAAAGACACGCCTTGGTCGTCTGTCTTGCTTCGATTGCAGAACAATGTCATCAGCAGCTGATCCACTGATATGGAACGATCTGCCGGCCGTACGGGTAAACCCCGTTCGCCACGACACCCATGCTCTGGGGACGCGCCATGCTGCCAGCTCCAAGGCCGATACGGAACTGACCAAACATGCCGACAGAGCGGCTCGTCAGTGTGTTCTGTTTCAGTCCTCTCAAAACGCTCAAGATCCACTCATGTGGCAGAAGTCAATAGTTCGCTGACCCGTGACGACGTCAAGGCGTCTGAAAAGCATTTACAATGGCCAGCTCAGGCAAACCTTGGATGTGTGATTTTCCACCCCTGATGTGCTATCCCTTGCAATCTTTGCTCAGGTGCATCTCGGTCGCGAGAGCTTACCGAGCCAAAAGTAGAAACGGTTCGACGGTCTCGGCAGAAGCTACCGGTGCATAGCCACGCTTTTACTCTAGCCTTCTCAAGACGTTCGGACGTCCCCACTCTCCACCAACATCCGCGTTGGCCAACTTGTCTCCCCTGTCACTGCTAAAGAGGTCAAGCGCCGTCTCCACTTTGTGGATGAACGCAACAACGCTCTCTCACAGACATTGGTGCAGGGCCGTTAGCACGCTATCGACATACCTGCCGAAACGTTCAGGGTCGTCTTGACAGACAGCCTCGATCGAGACCCAATACTCGTAGACGCAAATCGTCATGTATTCCGCCCGGAGTACCTACGAAATGCGTACACTTGAAACAATAACCCGACTCATTGGTTGTGTCTCGAGCACAAGCGTATGGTCCAGTGCTGTACCCGGTATGATAGCCAATCCGCTCTACGCGGCAACACTGGCTTATGGTAGCCCTGTTCTCTCGTACGACTCCTGCAGGAGGCTTAATTCTCCCGGGACATTTCCACCACTGAGTTTGAGTGAGTGATCTGACGCTGCTGCTGCACCAAGGGGTACGATCGCCGCCGATCATTGCTGGACGGAGATTTACCGTTGCACAGTGCGATATGTACTGGTTCCAATCTCTTCTGCGCCAGACGCTTTCAGTCATAGCACGCGCAGGAAGGATCTAGTGCCTACGTACCTCAAGACGCAAATCCAGCAGGCCATCCGACAGAAACGTTGGACTAGCTCCAGTTCTTCGGTCAACGGCGCGGTCGATTCGGCTTTAAACGGCGTGAAAACCACGCACGTTGCAAGATTCTTGCCAGGCTGTACGAGACTTCTGAGCGTACAGGTGGAATGCAGAAGGCAAGAATCCGCATATCGTGTGGTCTGGGTACAAAAGAAATCACCAATGTCCCAGTGCTACTCATTGGTACCATCGGAGTCAGTGTTGCCGCCATCATCTGCACATCCGTCACAAATAGCGGCAAATCCACGGAAGTGCTTCGCAATTTGGCGTGCATCCATTCTACGCATACCCTTGCCAACGAATGGCCAAGAGTGGGAGCTTACTCTCTGTGGACTCGACAGATTTGCACCCGCTAGCTATCCTTCCGAGACTGCTGATGCGTTGGATATTGATTGCCAAAACTCTGTAGTGCAAGACGATCAAATGAAGGAGCCCAGGGTACGGTGGGGCGCCGGACATCCTACTGACTATCACCATGGTCACGACCGGGCTTAAAGCATTACCTGGATCTCGGGTCAATCTGTCCTTTAATTCTGAAGGGCTCGTGACCATGTTGTACACCTCAGTGTATACAGACTATAGCCCTCCTTGAAGTGTACTTTATGCAAAATTGCCAGCCTGTCGACATAAATCTCACATTGGGGAGTCGTGCTGAACACGCAAAACGGGTATGTGGGGTATTCAGATACCATGCCGCGAATCCGTAACAGGTACGATCGATATTAAACAAGGATCCTCGCACATGACGACATACAACCCGAGGTCAAACGACTGGATGCTGTTCGTCAAGAATGATTCTCGCCCACATGACGCTGCTTCCGGTGCACCGAAACCTCCGGCCTTGCTTATGGTCTGTGTCCGAAAGATCGTGATGACGGCATGCTTCATAAAGGCGCCGCCTTGGAGCCTGCTCAACCTTGGTAAAGCTACGCCGGCCTATGGAGATGGAAAGAAGCTCGGGCAAGCTACTTCGCCGGACCGATGTCGTACACATCAACATGTCCGTGTATAGGATGCATTTTGATTCCACACTTAGCATTGATTGCGTCCTGGATCTTACGTGGTCATTTTTCCAAACACTGTTTGGAAAAATGACCACAAAAGCGTTCGGGATGGTGTACGAATTTTCGCTTCCATACTTCCGTGGTCCCGACAATGGATATCAGAAATCGAAATGCATTACACCAATACCATGCTGCGAAGCGAACAGCGTAGCGGAATTATATATGCAAGTATCAGCATATGATCGCTGTCTGGCGAACACCCTAGGCGTAGATCGCGTGTGCCAGCCTCCGCTCTCGCAGATGCAGTAACCGATGGCTGACACTCTTGTACGGTGTTAGTCTATACCTGCTCATGCCTAAACGGATCCCGGGCCGGCTGCGCATCGAGCGATTAGCTCACGTAAGACGTCAAATTCGACTATCGAATGCACTCATGCAGACGTTCCATGCATGCAGCTGAGTTGCAACGGGGCTGTACGGTCGAAAGCGATCCTGACGTTATGCCGCTACGTGGGAGCAGCTTACTGATGCCCACTGGACGGAAGATCTGCGTAAGACGGCGCGGGTGCGCATCAGGCGCGGTGTATGCTCACCGTTACATGCGCGGCGATGCATGCACGTGAAAGACACCACGTGGAGGACGAACTCAGCCCAGGCACCATGTCGGCCTTATGCTATGCGATCATCGAACTCTGCATGCTGGTAGTCGGCGTGCCGTAGCATGTGTTACACCGCGCTTCGACGGCATTTCTTCCAAGCGCCTGATAGGCACCCGCGTGACGGCAATGCATCGGCATGTGCGGACATAAGCCTTATCTTTATGTGATGAACTGACGTCTGCGGCATGGGCGGTTGTTGTCTCCACGTCAGTGTAGGGTACACTTACATTTGTACATCACTTGAGCATGATCGGCTGCACCCCTGCTAAAGCTGACTAAGCGGGTATAGTCACTGGCCTCAGTCTTGCCTTGACCAGCGACAAGTGACTCTTGGACAGGGTAGGATGCTTGCACAACGTTCGACCACTAGCAGATAACTGGGTGGTTATTAGCAGTGCCACATGGAATCAATGTCAAGATCAGGAGGTCGCACAAGTCCAGTAACGCTTAACTCAAGTATTGAACAGGGATCTCAGATATCTAGTGGGTAAAGACAAACTTCGAGCTAAATTCTCTGCTTCCTAGCGATCAGGACTATAGAGGCGCTCTTAACCATCGTCAAAACCAACCATCTCACTGCTAATCTTCCGCAAGGCCTTCTCCCTAGCCCCATCGAACATCCAAGCCGCGTACCCAGATGCACCCATGTCCGCCATAGCATAACCAGTCGGAGCAGCCGCCGGCTCAAGAATCAAACAATTCTCGAAGTACTGCGACCCGCCCATCTCTTAAGCCTTGTTCAGTATTCTCGAACGCCTCTACAAAATCCCGCGTCTTTCTTCCACGTCGACTTGACCGCGTCTAGCATTTTGCTTGCAGGCCGTCCCAGATCCCGCCGGGAGTAGGCATGCAGATCAGCGGAACCTAGCGCCATTCGATTCCGTTCGCCTTGTACATACCCGCGAGCTTGGATTACGCTTACGCAGCTACGGGGTCGTAAAGCCTGCTGGCGAAGTTAGTATCGTCCGAGACGGAGTAGCAAAACTGGTCGCATGTGATGATGGTGATAGGGCGATGACGCGCAAAGCGCATTTGGGAGTTGCTGGTACGAAGAAAGTAAGTTTGAAGAGTAGGGACGCAGGGAAACGTGAGAGGTAGTTGATTCCGGATCGGAGGGATGAAGCCGACTTTTGACATGCTTTCTAGGATCACCATGCCAGCGTTGGGGATTAAGATGTCGGGCTGGTTGCTCCTTTGGTAATACCTCTTTTTGCATATGCTCATACGCTGGCTAACAAGTTGAAGCCAAACTCTAGGAGTTCGAGTCGACTAGATTCAAGATTGTCTGCCCACGCCGCATCGGCCTGCATCAGGTTTCGAACTGCTCCGAAGTTGTGCATGCTAGTCGCTTTGCGTGCCTTTGTGGTATAAAAGCCGATAAAGGGGATGATATGTTGGTCAAAGCGGACTTGCCGTCAAGCGTGCCGATCATATTGCCGCTCTTCATGATCTACTGCGGGATCAGGCCACCTGAGTACCTGCAATATCCCGAAGGATCTTGATGTAGGATGGCATTGTGAATCATATTCGATGATGAAGGGGAAGCGTCAGTCATACCACCATCATACGAGGAGCAATACTGTTGGATTCATTGGTCGACAGGTTGAAAACAAGGCCGTTGATTGACTGAGCTCAGTTCAGGGTGATATCTCATGTGCTGGATCCTGTCAGACTACTTGCTACCCTGAAGCCGCTGTGGAACCCCTATCCAAGATATCCTGGTGAACATAGATGCCAAATTCCGCAGAAGTTGATACCGTCAACGCGAGTAAAGCCCGTAATGTGTACAGCGTAAGTAAGCGAATAGCTGTATAAAGTGACTAGAAATATCGTAATGTCGAGGGATGTAGGCGAGATGATGTATCTGCCCACTAGCCGGAAGAACGACGATTGCGTCCACTAGCATGTAGAGCGGGAGAGAGTCCATGATCAGATTGAAAGTGATTAGCAGTCTTCGACGATGTGGATCTACACCCGACATAGCTCCACTTTCACGCCTAAGCCCTTAGAGTAGTTCTTTGACCAACCATACGAAGTTTGGAGTTTGACAAACATTGAGAGAAAGAAGAGCTCCATAGAAGGAGGTCCGTTTTTCGGCTAAGCGAAATCAGTCTTCTAAATTCGAACGACGATGAACTCAACAGCTTCCACTGTCAGATATCTCAGAGATCAATATATGGCCTCGTCCCTAGTCGTATAGTCTCTGTGTTCCTTGATAGTTTGACCTAAGTCAGATGGAAATGATGGTTTCTGAACCTGGCATCTATCGTTCGCCTTCCGTGATGATAAGGGCAGCAAAGAAGAACAAAGATCCGACAGATGTTGAGATATGTGCCGGTTCTCAGACATCCTTTGCTTGAGCCTCTTGATATCTCTCAGCCGGAATCAGAGAGAAGAGCAATGAAGAACCTAGAGTTATTGATGTGGTCTCCAGAAAGAAACAGGTGTGAAGGTCAGTTGCTAGACCGTACAGCTGCGTAAAAGGTGCGTTTGCTCTGACTTCGACGTCAATTCTGGCATGACCTTACTTGAGACAATGGTGCCATTAACAATCATTTATGTTAGAGCAACTGATCGACTCCTGCGAGTGACAGAGTTGTGAACGACCGCGCCTAAGTATGTAAGATGATCGCATACCTTTACCTGAACTTGCATGTAAACATAACGCTGACACTGACAGTGATTGAAACTGGGATCCAACGGCCTGCATCTCATACGCTCTGCCTGGCTGAATCACCGCAAAGCCTTGGCAATCACCTTCATCTTCACGAGGAATCTATCTCAAGGAGTCTTGTTCAAGAGTGACGCAAGCCTTCACCGGCATTAGTCCGTGCGCGGCTCGCGCCTTCCCAGCTGTATACAAACAAACGCGTTGTCACCACCAACTTCAGATCACTCCACCGCCGAAACAAGCAGGCTCACTAAGAACTCTCGTAACAACTCTCGTTACCTACGCTGACTTGTTGCAACGTGCTTGACCATGGGTAAGAAGACTAGGCATATCTGTGGTCGCTGCCTTGAGTCCTTCAAGAGCAGGAGTGAGCTTGACGAGCACATGCGAGACCACGCAGACAGCGAGCCGCTCGAGCACAGGTGTCCTGGCTGTCCGTTCTTCTTCCCCGACTCACTTGCACTCGAGCAGCACCAGATTCTAAACAATCACGGCGGTGTTCGGATCAAATGTGACAGGTGCACGCAAGCGTTTGACACACAAACAAGCTACGACAATCACCGCAAGCACGGCCAGCCCTGCTGCGACGCCATTCACTCTCGGGATTGGAAACACAGTCCTCGCTCGGGATACATCGATCCAGATAAGCCCAAGCCAGTCTCTAGGGAAGCATTGCAGCTGGAGTACGGGGCCACCTCAGCAGGTACGCGAAGCGATATGAGTGAAGTCGGGATGTTCTGCCACTGTTGCAAGAAGACGTTTGCGTCTCACTTCAGATACGATTCCCACCTTCTCGGCTGTACCGCAGCCAACAAAGAGCTATCCTTGGATACACCTCCCAAGAGTCCAAATCTTAGACCCTTGCAGACAACGACTCAGCGCGCAAAGACTCCAGTCCCTCAACAGCCGCTTTCAACATCCGTGGTATCTGAAAACGCACCTCCAGGCCAAGAACCTGGCAGGTCTGCGCCCGCTCAAGCCCAGGCCCCAGCTGTCTTACAAGCACCCCGCCCCCAGCACGCTGGTGCCGGCACCTTCGTCTGCAATAAGAAAGGATGCCAGCGAAGCTACAACTCCGAGCCAGGTCTCAAAATGCACATGGCCGACGCACATGGGGCTGGAGGTAGCGGTCTTGATCTGTACGGCAGTGACTCTTGGATGCTTACGCAGCGGGAACGTGAGCGACTGAAAGCTGAAGGTCTCCTCAAAAACTCGACAAATGGTTCTCGTGGTGGTAAGAACGGCTATGGCAGGATTCGGGGAGGTTTTGATGCCCCGCCTCCAGCTGCAAGTCGTACGCTGCCTAGAGCCGCACCAGCACCACGTATGCCCTTGCCAGCGACTCATCGTCCCCATCAAGCAGCTCCTCGTTTTCCTCCTCCACCAGCTCCTCTACCGACGAGTCAGGACATTGGTGGTCCCCTAGAGATGGAGCAGGCCAAGTCTGTCTGTGGGAAGACGTTGCGCCTACTGCTCCAGACTGATGTCTTCATCCGTCACGACGGTAAGGTGAGTGTCAGTGGCATCGACTGGACACGTATTGGCGTCGAGCGACAGTCTGCCGTTGTCGGCATATTCGAAGGGTTGTGCCACCTGCCTCGCAGCCTCCAGGCTGTTGAATACCTACCAGCACCAAAGACGTTCTTGACCGAGTATACCGCGCATTATCCAACGACAGAGTTCGAAAGTGCTCCGGCCCGGAACCAGGCAAAGCCTGCTCTAGGCATTATCGCCATGGCTTGCAGCAAGATCGTCCTCGGCAGCGGATGCCACGAGGTCGTGAAGATCGCCGCTGTCGATGTGCTTACTTGCCGTGTGCTCATGAGCCACTTGGTCTGCACCGATCCAGATGCGCAAGTTGCCAACTGGAACTCATCCAACACAGGCCTGAACAGCTTTAGTGATCTGGAGAATGCTCGTCAGGTCGGTTACAGGGTCCTCAAGGGCTGGGCTGCAGCTCGCGCAGCTCTGTTCAAGTTCGTTGACCAGGAGACCATTATTGTTGGCCACAACCTCAGGTCTGAGTTAGATGCGCTGCGTGTCATCCATGGCCGTGCAGTTGACATCGTCAAGGTGGTCGAGAAGGCAGCAAAGGGTCCACTATCGAAGGCACAAGTCAGCCTTGACAGCTGGTGCCGTGACGTTGCAAATGTTGCCAACTTGAAGACGGACCCTGTGTTTGGACGAGACTGTGTTATGAATGCGTTTGCGGTACGTGAGATTGGCCTGTGGTCTATCAAGAACCGGGAGACGTTCGAGAAGGTGGCGAAGAAGAAGACGACGGAGTACCAGTCGGTGATGAAGATGTGAGAGCAGCGCAGAAAAGGTTGGTGGGAAGCGACAAGGAGGAAAGGCTCAGAGATGTGTGGCGATATGGAAAAGACAAAAAGATACTACACGCGCAGACCAAGCAATGCGAAAGATACTCAGACTGACCTGCTTTTGCAGAACGCGACTTGTTGAAGCTCCTCTTCTTGAGTCTGGTGGTCAAGGACCTGCAGAGCTCCACGCTGATTCAATGCATATAACTCACTGCTGCTATACATCACATGCCTCCTACTTTCCTTGCCACTGCACACCACTGAGCTCTGGTTCCTACTTCTCCTCCTTCTCGACCACAAACGCACCCCCCAGCAAGATCGCCGGCTCATCAATACTATGATGCTCATAGCTCAACGTCCCCACACCCCCCGCCTCAAGGATCAAACTCGGATTATCCTTCAACGGCTTCCCAATCCACCGCGCCGCAAACGCCCTGAGAATATGCCCATGCGCCACAATCAGCACATCATTCGGCCCCTCGCCGCCCTCGCCCACAAACCGCCCGCGGTGGTACTTCTCCCTGAGCTCTGCAATCAGCGCGTCCAGGCGCGCACTCACGTCCTCCGGGCTCTCACCCCCCTCGCACCCGTCGCGCCAAATGTCCCAGTCGGCGTTCAGCCCGCGCGAGGCCCGCAGCGCGCGCACCTCCGCGCTCTTGATGCCCTCGTAGTCGCCGTAGTCCCACTCGCGCACGCTGGGCGTGATCTCGACGCGCGCGTTGGTGCGGATGTCGAGCGAGGCGCCCGGCTCTGGGGTGTGCGAGGCGTCGTGCCATGGGTACCGGTCGCGGCAGCCGAGGTGCAGGAGTTCGAGGGTGCGCTGGGCGCGGGTGCGCGGGGAGACGTAGCTAGGGGTGGGTCAGGCGGGGGTGAAGGTGTATGGCGGGGGAAGGGGGGGGGGGTACATGTGAGCGAGGTTGCCGGGGACGATGAGGCGGTCGGCGCCGACGAGGGCTTTGCCCGTTGCGCGCACACGCTTCTCGCCGTTGGCTGTGAGCGGGATGTCTGAGACGCCTGTGTGGCGGCCGTCGAGGGACCATTCGGTTTCGCCGTGGCGGACGATGAAGACGCGGGGGTCGGGCATGGTGGGGGGATTGGAGGGGCAATTGAGCTGCAGCAAGGAAGGTATGTGACTGTCGAGCTCTGGCTGAAGAGTCAAGAGCACACCGTCTGTATTTACATTTTGGTCTTGGTACTGGAAGCGGTCTACCGAAGGTTCCGCTAAATGCCGGTATATATGACGTTTTCCTGGTTTGGGGAAACAGCGCGCAGTGGGGCAGGTTAGTGCTACCCCTCGATGCCTAGTCAGCTTTGGTCAGCCTTCTATTTAACACTCACTATGATTGACAGAGCAGATTGATAACCGAGAACAAATGCCTGTCAATTTACTTTTCATTTTGGCCCAGCCCTAGCTAAAGTACAAGATCATAAGAAGCTAAAGCCACCTGCGCCATGCTCACTAGTTTTGGAGTAAGACGAGTCGAACCTCCTCCCCAAAGTCATAGTCTGAAATTTGACTTTTGTACGGGTATTCACGACAGTCCACAGCAAAAGCTTAGTTATCCATGTAGGTGCTAGCATCAACGCCCTTCTCGGGGAACTCAGGAAGAGAGACCTCGAAGCGTTCCTCAATCGACTTCAAGACAGCCTCGTCTTCAGGGCTGCTGATGAAGGAGATACTGAGACCCTTGGTTCCGAAACGACCGGCACGACCGACACGGTGGAGGTAGGAGTCGGCCTTGTCGGGCATGTCGTAGTTGATGGCGACGTTGATACGCTCAACATCGATACCACGTCCGAAGATATCAGTAGACACGCAAATACGGGTCTTGAAGTCCTTGAACTCCTTGTAGCGCTTGATACTGCATAGCGGTCAGCATGGGACAGTGAATGTTGGTGTTGAGGCACATACCGCTCAGCCTGGTCAATACCGGAATGGACCGCAGTGCTGGGGAAATTGCACTCGCGCAGGAGCTTGTCCAGCTCTGTGCATCGCAGAGTAGAGCGAACGAAGATGATGACCTGGTTGAACTCCAGCTCGTCGAGGAGATCGTTGAGCTTCCTGTTCTTCTCGCGCTCATCGAGCTTCATGAAGTACTGCTGCAGACCGTGAAGTGTCAATTTCTTCTCGTCGTCAACGTAGATTTCAAGAGGGTTCTGCATGAACTTCTTGCAAGTCTCACGAATCTCCTTCGCCAGTGTGGCCGAAAACATCATTACCTGCTTGTGGGCGGGAGTTGCGCGGAAGATGGCCTGCACATCGTTGCGCATATCTGCATATTGTTAGCCGTGATTCGCGTCGTGTTCTTGTGGTACTGACCAGGCTGATCCAGCATCTTGTCACACTCATCGAGGACGAAGTGCTTCAAGTTGGAGAGACGGAGGTGCCTATCGCGGACGAGAGCGTTGATACGACCGGGTGTACCGACGATGATGTGGGGGTGAGTGTCCTTGTTGCTGAGGAGCTCGATGTCCTTCTGAACGGGAGTTCCACCGTAGAAGACACCGACCTTGACATCGGGCAGGAACTTGGCGAAACGGTTGTACTCATTCCTGATCTGGTAAGCCAGCTCACGAGTGTGACACATGACAAGGATTGTGGCAACGCCAGGCTCGGGCTTCTCATCCATCTGCTGCAGGGTAGCAAGGACGAAGACGGCTGTCTTACCGAGACCGGATTTGGCTTGGCAAAGCACGTCGTTACCAAGAATGGCCTGGGGAATGGTGACTTGCTGGACTGTAGAGCACAAGGACATGTTAGAACGGATCTAAAAGCGGTCGCGACGAAGTATGCAAAGGGAAGCGTCCGTCCATCCTGCGCAATCGAAGTCCTCCACACGAGATAGTCTGTGGCCTTACTACGCGCAAGACCACACAAACTCTACGCCATCTCTTTCGTGCCCGTCTGGAACACATTGCCTGCCACAACCAGTTCTCTCGTTCCAAAACGATGTACTGGCGAAAAGCCCTAGGCTTTTTTGTGTAATGGACCGATCTAATCGCGTCCAGATACAACAGTCCACTGGTGGCTCGTGTGTAGTGGAAGGAACTGGGTCCCTCGCTACTTCGCTCGTGTGTAGACAAAACCATGGCCGCAGAAATAAAGGCGCTTCGATGCGCAAGTGGACGGACGCTTTTGGAACAAGGCTGAGGGGAATAATTAGACTAACCCTCGGAAGGATGTTCGAAGCCACAGTCCGTGATTGCTCGCACGAGCTCGTCCTTCAGGAGAAAGTCGCGGAAACCGGTCGAGTGGATGCCGACATAGCTGCCCTTCTTGTCGCCGGCAGCCTCGCCAGCTGTCAGGCCACCCTTAGCTGCGGCGGCGGCGCCATTGGCGGGCGCCTCGGTTGGCTGGATCTCCTCGTCGGAGTAGTCGATGAGATCCTCCTCGTGAGACATGGTGATTAGAGATTGGTGGTCGTGCGGTGTGGCTGGGTTGCGCGCGTCGCAAACTAGGCTGCCGAACAATGAAGTGGCAGCTGTGCGGTGGGAAGGGCTTCGCGAAGCGGTAGCTACAGGAGGAGAAGGATCAGCGGGCGATTCGCTGATGCAGGACGTAACGCGACGGTGAGGTTGAGGATGCTGTCGCAGGTGTTGATGGGAAAGAGCGAGACGCAAGCGGTGGGACCAAAAGCTCGGCGTGTCAAATGCGCTAGCTGAGTAAGGCAGGAGCGTCCGTGCACAGGCGTCAAGCACAAAGCCGTCGCGACGTCAATAATAACAATGTCATGACTCTTACAATAACGGCGAGAGACTGACTATTGTTGACCAGAGGTAGAAGGCTTAGTGCAAGTGCTATTCCTCAGGATCACCCTCGCTGCGCCGCCAAATTTCTGCGACATGGCGAAGGTCAAGCTTCCAAAGCCAAAGGGCATCCCGAATAAGCACTTGCATGCGCGGACCACGTTCCTCTACCAGGCTGCCACCTACTTGACTTTACACTCTACTGCCAGCAAAGAGAGTAGTCAAGGAGCTGTGAACACCTCAGGAACAGACCAAACTCTACCACCATCACCTCTTGCCCTCCAGCTCGGCTCCGACCTCCACACGGTCTCAAGGAAGGCTCAGCTCCGCCTATCTATTGACTTGAAGCGCTCCATGTGCAAGAGTTGCAACGCGATATTGATACCTGGACACACCGCAACGCAGACGATTGTGAATGAGAGCAAGGGTGAGCGCAAACCATGGGCCGATGTTCTGGTCATCAATTGCAAGCGCTGCGGTAGCAAGAGAAGGATGCCTGTTGGCGCGAAAAGACAGACAAAGAAAAGGGACCGGCTCGCGGTTCTGGATACTGCGGCGACGAGCGACATGGAAGGTGTCGAATCGACAACGTCGGTGCCAACTGCCGCAGAGAATACTCCTAGTTCAGGATGAGTCAATGCTTGCATATTCGCCGTTGTCCGTTTTGGAGATCTTTCTGCGTTCGATCTCACGAAGCCAAACAGCTTACCAGACGTGAGCTCTTTTCAGTTCATGTCCGATATTAAGCGTGGACTCCTATTGAACACGAACTTTCAACTGTGGCCACCCAGCACCTGTGGTTCGCTGGAAAATGGATCGAACTTCTCCGAAGTCATGAGTAGCTACTACCAGCTTTTAGCTTGAGAAGGATGCATCACAGGTCGCCTAACTGGATCCATAATGAGAACAGCCTCGACTTGTCAGGTCCAGCGTGGACTACACAAGCTTTCGCCCACCGAACAACGATCTCCAGGTGTGGTGGCTCGCTCTTCGACAGATATTAGGCATACGACGAGCGCTCCACGGGAGGAAGAGATGCACTCGAGAATGCACTTAGACTGCGAGAATGCGAATCTCAAGGTAGTTGGTGGGTAATTACTCAGTTTCATTGACACTCGTCGAGTGACATGAATCTCAAGATCCCAGAATGCTTGACCATTACATCTGTGAATGGGTGCCAAGTCCTGTGTGATCTGGTACAAGAACCGGTAGCCGAAGGAACACCACATCGGTCGAGTCCGTGTGATATGATGTGATGGTTGCAAGGCTGCCAGAGCTGAGCCTGGAACATATCTTTCGTGCAGTGACGTTGTGGGGTTCCACGCTTGCAGGGATGACGCGCTACGGCGCCCCGGAGCAGGGGTTTGATGGAACACTCCCGCGCTGGAGTGTTCCATCGACGGAGCTTCACGCCCTGACTGCCTGCTGCCCTGCCAACATCGCCATTGCGACCCAGCAGCATGTCTGAGGACGCAGCCGGAGACTCTGCGTCGGGCCTGCCCCCGGACACATTGCCAGCGCTGGTAGGCTGAGAGACTATCAGGATGAGCTCCTTGCTAAGCTGCCCACCGCAGATTCAAGACATCCTCGAGGACACGCTGTCGAACATTGTCCTGCAGACTGCGCTATCATGCCACCGCGCCGAGAAGCTGCTTCGCATGCAGTCGGCCGCCACACAAGCCGAGTCCATCGCCCTCGCAGCCCTCGAGCCCGCGTCGCTGAAAGCCGGCGCGACCAGCCAGCCCTCGATACCGATCGCTGAGACGTCCGCCGCGAAGTACGAGAACGGCCGCGTCCTGCTCAAAGGCAACCCGCTCAAGACGACCCCGGAGATCATATGTCCGCACTGCAAGCTGCCGCGCCTGATGCACCCGATCATGGGCAAGGGCATGCAGACGCCCGACCTGACCAAGGAGTACTGCATGCTGTATCCGTGGGTGCAGCGCTCAGGCCATGATGTCTACGGCAATCCGTTCCCCACCGACATGGCCAAGTCGAAGAAGGAGCGCGAGCTCATCAAGCAGCAGCAGAAGAACGCCGACAAGGAGAGTGTCGGCACTCCGGGCTCGCAAGACACAGAGATGGCCGGCGACGCCAAAGAGATCAAGCTCAACACAGGCGGCAAGCCCGCTTCCTACATCCCCTGGCACACCTGCCCGAACTGCAAGCGCTCGCTGCTCATCACACGATTCGCACAGCATCTCGAGAAGTGCCTTGGCATATCAGGGCGCCAATCAAGCCGCAACGCCATGGCCAAACTCGTCGGTCAAAACGGCACTGGCTCAGGACTCGGCAACACGCCCCTCGGCAGCCGCATGGGCACGCCCAACCCCGGCTCCCAGGGCGACGGAGTTGCTCTCAAAACCAAGGGCAAAGGCATCAGCCCGATGAAGAAATTTGCCCAAGCCGATGACGACGCCGATGACCTCGCCGACGACACTCCTGAGCGCAAAAAGAAGAAGAAATCCTCCTACATCAAGAAAGCCGACCGCGAAAAGGGCTCCGGCTCCGCCAGCCTCAAAGTCAAGCTCAAAACCAGCCGGCCCGAGGCCGAGCGCAAGGCCAGCGAGACGAGCGAGCGCAGCGAGGGCAAGCGCGAGCGCGACGCCGACGAGGCCGAGGAGCCGCGCAAGAAGAAGATCAAGCTCAGTCTGGGCGGCAAGGACCGCGCGAGCGCGAGTGTCGAGCCCGCAGACTAGGCTCCGGCGGTGTATATTACGGGCATTTCAGGGCGTTTGGCATTTTGCGGGTGATACCATTACGGCAGGGCGGGCATATGACCTGCGGCGTTTGGACGTTTCCTTGTTTCGCTTCACGACGCACTCTGGGAGTGCGATAGAGGGACATGATAGTGTAATGACAGCACGTTGAACTGGATACGATGCGTAGCCCTACTATTGCACATCACCGCGCCGCAAAAATTTGGCGAATGCGCACCCAGACTGTTGACTTGATGCGCAACGTCCCACAAAAATAGCCCCCGTGCGAGACTAAGGGAGTGTGGCTCGAGACTGACACACGCGCAAAAAAGATGATTCGACCCAGACTTGAACTGGAGACCTTCAGTGGACCTAACAGGTGAATGTTAGACTGACGTGATAACCAACTACACCATCGAACCCAATTTGATGAAGTTTCGTGATTTCAGTATATCTATATATCACTATAGTGTGTTTAGTGTGTGTAAGACTCGCTTCCGCTAGCCTCGTTCCACGACGTCCAGCCTCAACATCACCGACCACACTCCGCCAGGCCAGGGTTTCGTGAGCGCGAAAACCTCCTTTCAGTGCCCTGGTCTGCAGTCATCGGTTCCATGGGGTGTTCTGGATTTCGTTCAGCCTGGTGAGCCCGCCCACAACCTCCTCGAAGCTGCTTTTGCCCGTGCGTGTCCAGCCAAACCTCGTCTTCGCCTTCTTCACCGTACATGCAGAGTCTCGCACCGATGTCGTATTTCTGTACCGACTTCTCGGCTTCTATATCCAGACGCTCGAACTCGTTGACATGCTGTATGGCGAGCGCGTTGATCTGGGGCTTGTCGTGCAGTGTGCTTTGCTCATGAGCGGCTCGTGGTCGACATTGAAGAACTCGCCCCGTTGCCGCAACTGCGTCTGCTCGACGTGGTGGCAGAGAGCGACATAGCCACAGTCTAGATTGCGAGGATCGGTAAATGATTTAATGAATGCTGCTGTGTCGATTGCGCGCTTGAATGCAGTCGCGACACCAAGCAGACTAATGGCAGCTCTACACTGCCGTGTTGCAAGGGGTGAGCTTCTCAGACACAAGTGTGTGGGAAGTTGAGGTGTTCGTGAGACGTTTTAATGTCCATGGGTTCTCGACAATCGGTTTCCAACTCCTGCTGTTGAGGCGGGGCTCTGCATGTAATCCTGTTCAGTGCCACTTTCTCCGTCGACACCGGCTACTTGGTGTTGATCTCTCGTCTATTATGGGTGTGACAACTTTCACGAGTATTTGCAACCACCGACTTAGTCTCATCGTGCACGTCAAGCCAGCTGCTAACTCACTTTACTTCGATCTACATTTACATCATTGGGAGCTACAGACTGGAGTGATGACACTCCAGTCTGTAGCTCCCAATGAACACAACCCCAGCCCACATTTCACCTAGCCTACGTGGCCTCGGTTTCAACGTATTGGATCATTCGTGGTCAGACATACAGACATCTGAGCGGCCTTCCACTAGAAAGAAAGAGCCTTTGCCACTGTCGTCACTAGCATCAGAACCCAGCGAGAAATTCCTCAAGCGTACGGGCTCCTGGAGCTTCCTACGGGCCTCCGGGAGATACAATGTACCTAACACCCACATCTCGAAGATCGGAGTCGTCAGTCGAGGGGGTACCCGCGAGGTGTCCGCACTGGGTAGCGGCCTTCCGTTCGAAGTCGTCAAGCACACTACAGACGAGTCCACCGAAAAATCCCCCCACGCAACAGTACCACAGCGGTCAAACTCTACTAAGAGAAGCGTGACTCAAATCGAGAGACCGGGAGAGCCCTCTTCGCCACCATCCCCCGCGATCGCAGCCTTCACACACCCGGCACTTCGAAACATGAGAATCCGGTGAAACTCCTGTTCAGCGGGTGGAGACCTGGTTCCAGCATCCCGGCTCTGACAGTAGAGTTGGGCTCACACGCGTCCTCGGGCCATGGTCCACAAAACCCGGAGTACGAGTTCAGTTCCGTGGACAAGCGGCACTTAACGATTGACATTGCCTTTGGGTTGCATGCTATCCACCAAGCAGAGCAGGGTTTATACACGGCGACATATCGATAAAACCCGAAAACACCATACTAACCGGCCTTGATACGTCTGGCCGCGATGCAGTCGCGAAGCAGACCGGTGTTGGGCGTACCGCTCACACAGACGAGGATGTTGGGGCTCCGCTCCATTCACGCCCCGGTGGTCTGCACCCGAGATCGAGACCAGGGCGCGGATACCAACGGGCGCGCAGATAGCTACTCGCGCGGTCTCATTACAGCCAGCACCTGGTCTCCATCCGCCGACGCACACAGCACCGAGAACGACGCCGAGACTTCCTTTCAGCAGAGACCCGATGGGCTAGACGATGGAGAGCGCAGGGGTTTGCTCGGGTATTGGAAGAGCAGCGACGGTATTCTCGTTCCTCGTCTGTGTTATCTCGCGATTGCTGACGATAGTTTGGGAGAGCTTTGCAGGGTGCTGCGGTTTGTACTGCAGACATCGCAACTGGATCGAGCCACAGCTGTGTTTTGCGGGCGCGGAGTCGGGGAGCCCTACCGTCGAGCGGCTGTCAAGGCTTCTGTGGTGGATCAGGTGGTGGCGCTGGCGCTGGTGCGCGGCGCGTCCGCTGTTTGAGCTGCTGCGGGATGCGCTGGAGGGTATGCAGAAGGTGTTTGCGGGCGCGGGGGGTGGTGTGATTAGCCCATGGCAGAGGGGGGAGGGGGGGGGGGGGGTAAATGAGATTAGGTAGGTCAGCGAGATTGGTGAGGCCATTTCTTCAGAGGTTGGTTGTTTGGATTTGTCTGGAGCTGGGGGAGGAGCTGGGGGTGTGCTGGAGGATGTTGTAAGAACGCTGGAAGAACGCTAGGGGGATGCTGTAGATTTGTTAGAAGTACACTATGTGTTAGAAACATGCTGTAATTGTTAGAGAAATGCAATGCTTGGATGCATGTGGAAATGTTAGCAGCACGCCAGAAACACGGTTCGCAGAAGCTCAGCAGCCCACGCACAGCACGCACCCCACACGCCGCACGCCCGGGTCCCGCACAATCCAGAGGAAAACACCACTACATTTCTCTCTCGTCATCGTCTAGAATACACAATCCTACCACGCCGCTTCTCGGTGAGCGTCGCCGGCTGGGTATACCAGAACCGCGCTATTTACAAAGTATCCTTGAGCAGCTTGTTCATCTTGGCCATCTTCGAGGACACGGACAGGTCGATGGTGCGGTCGCCAATCTCGACAATCAGGCCGCCGCGGATCTCGGGGTTGACCTTGGACACGACCTTGAGCTTCTGGCCCTGGGCGACGTACTGCGACTTGGAGATGGCGGCCTCGAGGCGGGAGAGCGTCTTGTTGTCGAGCGCCTGCAGATGGTGTCAGCGAGGGGAGTTCTGCGTCTGGGGCTTTGGGGGGGCTGTTCAACGTACCGCCGCGCTGGTGACTACGAGCTCGATCTCGCCGCGGTGCGCGCCCATCAGGACGCTGAAGTTCTCGACCACGCCCTCGAGCACGCCCAGCCTGTTGTTTTGGGCGAGTGTGTCGAGCAGGTTCTTGACGATGCCGTCCTTGTCCGCACCGACGTGCTTCTGCAGCTCGGCCACGATCTGCTGCTTGTCGGACACGGACAGAGTGGGAGCGCGCAGGATCTCGGCGAGCTTGGCGTCCTTCTGGAAGATGGTGGCGAGCTGCTCGAGCGACTTGGCGGTGCCGTCGAGCGCGTTGGTCTTCGCGGCCGCGGTGTACTGGAGCGGAGCTGTTAGCCGGGGTCGAGGGTGTGCTGCGAGCCATTGCGGCGCCGTGGCATCGCGGGGTCATCGGCGGGCGGCCAATTGGGGGCACGGGAGGCGTACCAAAGCGCTGGCGTATGTTCCATCGACGCCGAAGAGCGCAACGGGGGGCTTGGTTGCGGCGCTGGAGGGAGCGGCGGCGGCGTAGCCGCGGGCGAAGCGGGCGGCAATGGGGGCGCGGGGGGCACCAGCCCGGAGAGCGGTGCTGAAGGCTCGTGCGGCAGACATGGCGGTTGGAGGGGAGATGGGTTGCGGGATGGGCGAGCTTCGGAGGCTTTGGCGTTGCGGTTGCGATGTCGACCTGAGATTCTGCTCTGCCAGCCGGCCTAAACCGAATCCAGTGGCCGAGCATCCTGGCCCGAGCTCATGACCATCATCACGCCGCGATTGAGAGTTGCGCAATATTATAAGAAATAGTAAATAAAGGCATCACCTGGTTTCAAGTTTGGTGTTTTTCGTTGATCGAGTCTTACTATGTCTGCGTAATTCGCCGTCGTTGCGGCACAAGCTGCCAAGAACAGAGCTGGTCAAGATAGTTGAGATGAAATAGCTCGAATTGTCTGTTAAGACGGCTATCCGCCTTCTACGTCAACTTGCAATAGTTCCTGCCCTGGCCGACCTGCCACTTGCACAGCCCAACCTCAACGCCCATGCTCACGAACCCGGCTATGCAGATGCCCGCAGAGTCGCTCACGCTGGTGGCTCCGAGACTGAACTCTCTGTCCTCCTTCTTGACGTTGTCTGTGATCTCGGCAAACGTGCTCACATACACAAGCCCGCCGAGCAGGCCTTCCCAGAAGATCACCACACAAACAACGTAGTAGCTCGGGATGAAGTCGAACATGGCGTGGAGAGTCAGGAGAATCAGGTTGGCGATTTGCAGAAATGAAGGCAGATACAGGTGGTGGACACGTATGAATGGCGTCGACGACCGCGAGATGAAGACGCCAACCTGGTAGATGACGGCGTAGGTGCTGTAGAAGGAGCGGTACTCGGTGAAGGGAGAGTCGGCAAGCGGGAACAACAGGGTCGGCGCTACACCCTGGTTGATGGTGTACTCAGCGATGTAGACGAGGAGAAGAGGTAGCATGCTAGCGGTGTCAGTAGTCAATACATGTCTGTACTCGACGGTCATACTTACTATGGAAAGAACAGGCCCCGAGCGCGGTTTAGGTTGGCCTGGAAGCTCTTCAGAGCTCCAGCGATGCCATCCTCTTTGACCGGGGCGAAGCTTCGCCCGGATGCAGAGTGGACGGATGACGCCAATAGCCCGTCATGCTCCCTTTCGCGGTCCAGTGGCTCGTCTGCGTCTGGCTGATCGTCGCTGTCGATGGCTTCGTAGTCGTGGCTCTTGTTCGATCCAGCTTTCAACGGCCCGTGGGGGAGCACAAAGTAGAAGCTAGCAAGCATGATCAAAGGCAGGAAGGAGAAGAACAGCAAGCTCGTGCGGGGGCTAATGCGCAGCGTGTTCGTCGCCAGGGCGTACGCGCCGGCTCCAACCAGGCCTGCACCGCCTGTTCCAGAGCCCCAGGCTGCGAGGGCAAAGTGGCCGTAGTAGTGTGTCAGGCCCAGGAAGCTGAGCTCGCCACCACCACTACTCAAACTCGCCAGCATGACACCACACATCTTGATGGCGATCGTCCTCGAGTCTTGCAGCGCGGGAGTGACGGCGATGATGAGCATGCCGCTCGCAGACAAGGCTACAAAGACCCATATCCGCACGTTGTAGGGTATCTTGTGGATGAAGTAGGGGGCGCAGAGCTTGGTGAGGAACGAGGGAATCACGTCGCAGAGGAGGACGACGCCTTTGGGAACGTCGGCGCCGACGAGATCGAGGGCGGCGGAGAGGATGATGACGTAGAGCACATTGTTGATGAGTCCTGGTGCGGTTAGTGATGCACGGCAGCTGTGTGCGTGAAGCTGCGTCGGTGGTGCTGGACGCGAGCCTCACGAGACGGTCGAGCATGCACATCAAGCAGACCAGACCTACCGACCAACTGATTACCCGGGCTTACTCACCAAACAGCCAGAAGGCAGCACACACTCTAGGGTCGGCGCCGTCGAAGACAGCCCTCAGACGCGCGCGGTAGACGGCCCACGAAGCGGCTGGGGAGCCGGGCATGGGGAGCGGCATGGAGGTCTACAGCTCGCGCGGACATGTCATGACGGCGTTGAGTGGTGGTGGTGGGCACGTGCGCTGAGACACAGCAAGCGGCGCCTCGAACCGATCGGCGCTCGAATGGCGGTGGGCGGTGGTCGGGGCCAGTGGGGCTCAGGCACTGTGCGCGTCGCCCAAGACGGCACTCAGCGCTCCTGGTCGGCGTCGGCGTCAAGGCTCTGCTCGGCTGGCTGGGACTCGGCGCACTGCTGCAGGCCCATCACGTAAACGCGCTGCAAGGCCGTCTCCAAAACTGCGTGTTGCGGGGCGACAGGGATCACTAGCGGATCGCGGCGTTGGCTTACCTTCCGCGCCATGGTATGCTTTGCTTCTTGCATCCTGTGCGCTGTGGCTCACCGTCTCCTCGGGCGTGTCTGCACCGCACCCACACTCGCGCCCGGCTGCTGCCCTCTGCCGCCCTGAGGCTGTCCGCGTCTGCGTTTGAGTCTGCGTCTGCGTCCGCGCTCCTTGTTGCGTGCTTCTGCGTGCTTGACTGCTGGATGCGCCCGGCTGGCTGCCAGCACCATGGACACCCGCCCGCCTGCGCCGCCGTTCACGCGTCCGCCCGAACGCCCCCAGACGCACACGGCGACCGCGTACGCCAGCTACCCGCCGTCGACCCGCCCGCAGCAGGCCCAGCAGGCCCAGCAGGCCCAGCAGCCGCTGCACGTTCCGTTCGCGACCTCGACCGACCCGTACGCCGCCGCGAGACGCGACCCGTTCCTCCCGCACGCCTCGCACCACGCACGCCAGCGCAGCCACGGCGCGCTGGAGGGATCGTCTGCCGAGCGGAGCGGCGACTGGGCACACACAGGTACGCATCACACCGGGCTGCAAGGGCAGCTGGCGCCTCGCCGCTGGGACAGTCGCTCGCTGCTGGGTGCTGTCGGACGCCGTGGCACAGCTCGCATGGCTGGGGGCGCGCAGAGACATGGCAGAGACATGGCAGAGATGCGCTGCCCTTGCACGCGTTGGCTGTCGCGGCCGGCATTTCGACGCTGCGACGGTTGCGCAGTCCTGAGGCCTCTCCGCACTGTTGGCTCGCCAAAGCTGCCCTATGCACCTGCTAGCCTCTTCTGGGAATTGACGGGCTGATCATGTCTAGTGCGCAATCACGGGAGCTTGTCCTATGGAGCTCAGAACAATCCTCAGTCTGCTCCGGCACAACAGCCGTCCATGAGTGCCTCCAGCACGCCCTCAGGCCCGTCGCCCTACGCCTTTGATGGGTCGCGCCGCCGCTCGTTAAACGGTACGCCCCCACTCGCCGCTCAAACTAACGCCCCGCGTTTGCACCAAAGTTCGTTTCATGCTGATCTCCGCCCAGCACCTTCCCACGATCCGCCATCCTTCCCACGACAGATGCCGCCGCCCGCATCGCCCCCACAGCAGCAGACGCAACCGCAGCGGCCTGCCTACGCGTCCAACTTCGGCCCCGCCAGAGAGCTTCCTGGTCTCGGCCAGGCGCACCGCCCGGGCAGCAGCATGTCCATCTCGTCCATCATCGGTGGAGCTGATGCAGGTGCTTCTGCCCAGGCCTCGCACTCGCAGCCATCGCCATCCGCCCATGCATCGCAGCCCAACACCCACAGCATGCAGCCGCCCTCGCCCCGACGAGCTTTTCCATCTGGAATGCGCTCAGACTTTGCGCCCTTCCGTCGTCAGCCATCCCCAGATAGGTCAACGCCGGGCACCAGCACACCGAGAGCATCCGAGGGCCACAGCTACTCTGCCGGCTCGCCACCGACTCGACCGTACAGCACCCACAGCTCGCCCAACCTAGGCCGGCAGTCTCTCCCGCCTTCGCATCAAGGCTACAAGTCTTCGGCGTTTCCATCACAGCGTCTCTTCGGGCCCTTGCCAAACGACCTGCTCGCTCGCGATAGCCGACAGCCCCCAGGAAACATACCGCCGCGTCCGAACAGCCAGCCCAGTGCACCCGCCGGCCCAGGCGAACGAGAACGAGTGTCGTCGAACGAGACACTACCAGGCCGCCGTGGTGCTTACGGGCAGCCAGAAGAGCGACGCCGGACGCTGGGAGAGCAATCGAGACCTGATCCCGCCGAGCTTTTGCGAGGTATTGGTCACGCTGCGGCAGACAGGAACCGACCCGTCACCGTGCATCCTGTCTCTCACTCAGCCTTCAATCCCCCGCAGGAACAACATGGCACTGCTGGATCGAACGAGCCATCGCGCTCTCTCTGGCGGTCGCCAGCGACTTCCGAGCCTCCACGCGAACCTGCGGAGCCTCACCGAGAAGCACCTCCCGCGCTGTATCGCAACTACGGTTCCTATCCGCCTTCTGTGCCAGGTCCTCCACGGTACGGCCCTTCGACGCTGAGCGAGATGGCACCAAGACGAAGCATCGATCAGTTGAACAATCGCGTAGTTGAGCAGTACCACGCGCCACCTACCTCTGATCCAAATTCCAAGGAGCGGTACCAAACAGAGCCACTCACTCGTTCCTTCTCTGGGGGAAGTGCATACCCAGGCCGATCCATGTACGGAGAGCCAATGCAGCACTCCAAGTCGCACATCGGTCTGGGTCTGGAAGAGAGCAGGAGAACAGGCCGCGCTTCTCCCCTGCCTCAAGCTGTGCAGGGTGCTCAAGCACCGCCCTTCATGACGGGCAAAGACCCTGGCATCAAGAGCGAGTTTGGACGCATGTTCTCGGGTCTCGGTGGATTGGGATCATCCACTCCGCTGCGTGGAAGCCCGTTGCCCCAGCTTGGACAAGATGGACAGGAGCCTGGCGAGATGATGAGGAGGATCAGTTCGCAGCAGGGAAGGAAGCCGAAGAGGGTGAAAGACGAAAGCAACGTCTTCGACGATGATAGCAATGATGGGAGAGGAACGCCGACAGGTGTGCGAGGTGCCAAACGCAACAAGCACGCGCATCCTCCCAATCACCATCACCATCACGCGCAACATCATCAGTAAGTTTTCACCCGCCATATTTATTCCAGCACTAACCAATCCAGTCACCACCACCACCATCACCACCATGACGATCCAACATCAGCACCTCCGACTGCTATAAACGGACGACAATCGAGCGTGCCTCGCAGCGGTCCCTCGCAGCCTGTGCATCACCATCACCACATACAGGGCACACCCCATCACCACCACCACCATCACACCCCCCGTGCAATGCCTCTGGCTACGAAGTTGTCTCCCAAGGTCCACGATGTCCAAGCCGTGCTTGAGGAAGCTGCCAAGCTCCCCCGCAGGCATCTTGGATCACAGGTCTACGAAGCCACCACGGAGCTGCCCAGGCCGAATTCATCATTGGATGATCAATTTGGATATGCCTCCAAGCCCAACCGCCTGCCTCGCTTCGAGGTGAATCCTATCAACTGCACCTTCACCATCAGGGTGCCGCGGTTCTATCTAAAACCCCGACAGAGGCAGCATGTTGTCCTCGAGCGGCATCTGTGGGGCGCGCGTGTCTATCGCGACGACTCAGATCCCATCGCTGCCGCCATACACTCCGGTTGGATTCGCGGAGAATGGGACGATACTGTCGACGTTGGCATGCTCGACCCACGCATCACAGCGGCCAACGACCCAAGCGATGCCGAGGACACGCTCAACAAGATCCCAACGGCTCCTGTGACGCCCCCTGCAGATATGGATCTCCAGATCGAGATCCTGATCCTGCCGCAGCTGCAGGAGTACACTGGCTCCGTCGAATACGGCATCGCGAGCCGGCACAGCAAAACACACGACGGCTTGAGCTTCATGATTAACAAAATCAGATGGGTCGAGGAGGGCATTGGCAGCCGCGGACAGGAGCGAACAGCAGCGGCTCTGAGGCGCCGACTCGACGCAAGCGCGACTCTTCTCGCCCTCATGAACGGCGGGGAAAAGCTACACACGGCGAACGGCATGGCGAAGCTGCATGCCTGATGTACTGTTTCCACAATTTGCAACGGCCGTTTGGATACATTGCATGAGCGTCTGTTTTCGTGCATCGTCGAATTGTACCACCAGGACGCGTTTGAGCATTGCTATATACCCGTAGTTTTAGGGCCTGCAAGGCTTCGCATGTATGGATATCTGGTAGAGCTATACGAGCAATCTAATGTTTGACATGAGAAATTCAATGACGGGAACACACCATATCCGCGGACATGCCACGCACGTGGCAGCGATTGTCACAGCGATTGCATCAGAGATAGCGGTGTGTTGGGCTTCTGCCGCGTCGTGATAAGGTAGCTGGATATCCCAGGACAGCAGGCGCGTCCGAGAGCGGAAAGAGTGTCTTGTCTGTCCGATTCCCTGTCCTTCAATCGCAGACTTTCACCTGTCGGAAGAACTTTCTACAATCTGCTCGTCACCACAAGGCTCGCGCTGCCCCACCAACAACCACCAGCAGCAGCGCCACTTGCACAGTGCTTTACGACAATGGGTCACGCTAGGACCTATTCTATCTCGACGGTGAGTTGGTTCATTTTTCTCTGCAGCGGTCATGATGCTCGTGGCCTTTTCGCCGAGTCTGGACGACAACACACGGAGGTCGACTTTGTTCCGGCATTCGGCGGCTTAAAATGGCTCCGCTCCCAGCACCAAGTGTCGTCATACTGGACAGAGTGCAGCACGCACACGACCAGCTGAAGCACCAAACTGCACTGTAGCTGCGCAGGTTGAAGGCAGTGTTTGGGGCACGGATGAGGACTGCGTTGTCGTCGGCCAGGGGAGCGGCGTGCTGGCCAACGCTTGTCGTCGAATGAGGATCGCGTGTCGCGACTGCTCCACCGAGCTTTTAGCACGGAGCCGCAGGCCGAACGCTTGACGCTTGTGAAAAGAGAAGATGGCCGTTCTAAATGCGGGGAACTGTCGGCCATCAAGCTTCCTCTCCTTCGCTACTCGAGTGCCGAGCCGACTTCGCGCCTCTGCAACGACCCCCACAACTGCCGCTTCCACAATCGCCTCTGCTCGTACCCCGGACACCCTGACCGCCTGCACCTGCATTGTTTTCGAACTTGGTTAATACCGCATTTCACGCCGCACCTCGGAAGTCCGCCGGCGAGATTCCGACCATTTTTAATATTCACACTTCAGCACTGCTTAGTCTGTCCGGTCACTCAGGAGCTGGTCTCACTGCACATTATGACGGGATCCAATGGCTACTATGCGCCAAATATGCGCGCCGTGCCTGCAGGCGAACTCATAAAACCGCTCAGAAGAACTAACGGTACCGGTGTGCAGGCCGAGGACACGCGGATATGCGTCGTCATGGTGGGCTTGCCCGCGCGCGGCAAGAGTCTGATTGCACAAAAGGGTGAGTGCTGCGCCGCTCCGCTTGGCCTGGCTAACTAGGCAGTTGTTCGATATCTGCACTGGCTGTCTATCAAATCGAAAACCTTCAACGTGGGGCAGTACCGTCGGACGGCGACGCCGAACCCCTCCGCCGAGTTCTTCGACCAGTCGAACCCCGAGGGCGAGCGGCTGCGGAAGGCTGCGGCCGAGGCCGCCGTCAACGACATGTGCAAGTGGTTCGCGGAGGGCAGGGGCCTGATTGCGATTCTGGATGCGACCAACTCGACCAAGAGCCGCCGCCGGTGGATACAGGAGCGCTGCCAGGCCGAGAACATCGAGACGCTGTTTGTCGAGTCGAAATGCGACGACGAGGACCTCATCATGAGCAACATCCTCGAAGTCAAGACCACGTCGCCCGACTACGTCGGCCAGGACCCCGAGGTTGCTGCAGCCGACTTCCGCAACCGCATCCGCAACTACGAGAAGGTGTACGAGACGATTGACGAGGACGAGCGCGATCTCACCTACGTCAAGCTGATCGATGTGGGCAAGCAGGTCATCATCAACCAGATCCAGGACTACCTCCAGAGCCGCGTCGTCTACTACCTGATGAACCTGCACATCAAGCCGCGGTCGATCTGGTTATCACGTGTAAGTTGGTTGATGTGATTCAAGGCAGGCGCTAACTGTCGCAGCACGGCGAGTCCGAGTTCAACCTGACGGGCCAGATTGGCGGCGACGCAGACATCTCGGAGCGCGGCGACGCATATGCGCACGCGCTGCCCGGGCTGGTCGCGCAGTCGGTCGGCGACGGGCGCAAGCTGACAGTCTGGACGTCGACATTAAAACGCACGATCCAAACGGCGCGATTCCTGCCGTTCGAGAAGCTCGAGTGGAAAGCGCTCGACGAGCTCGACTCGGGCGTGTGCGACGGCCTCACGTACGCGCAGATTGAGCAGAAATACCCCGAGGACTTTGCCTCGCGCGACGAGGACAAGTACAACTACCGCTACCTCGGCGGCGAGTCGTATCGAGACGTGGTGATCCGCCTCGAGCCCATCATCATGGAGCTGGAGCGCAGCGAGAACATCTTGATCGTCACACACCAGGCGATCCTGCGATGCATATACGCGTACTTCATGAACGTGCCGCAGGAGCAGAGCCCGTGGATGGAGGTGCCGCTGCACACGCTCATCAAGCTCACGCCCAAGGCATACTCGACGCAGGAGGAGAGGCTGAAGGCCGACATCCCCGCGGTCAGCACGTGGAGGGGAAAGGGCAGTAAGGCTGAGCACCAGCAGGCAGCGGAACACGCATGATGACGCTCCCTAGGCACAGTTTGACCGGGCCCGACGATGGAGGTATGGCAGGATAGAGGCCGATAGTCTAGCGTTCTGGCATCCATACACTTCCCAATGCATTGACCTGTCTTGTGTGACACGACGTGACGCGTCCACTTCCCCGCCGAGCATGTCCGCACCACCATCACCGCTCGACCACGCTGCACCTCACCTCATAATGCCGCCCTACCCCGCGGCCCCGTTCCCCTCGCAAGCAGACACCTCGTCCGTGAACACCGCGCCGCCCGTCCCCGCGCAGCAGGGCCACGCGCCGAGCACCGCGCATCCTCCCAGTCCAGGCACAGCTTCGAATACAAACGCGTCTGCAAACGCAAACACGAATACACCCGCAAACGCGAATGCACATCTAGCCTCGCATTCAAGCATAAACGCGAATTCGAATACACACACGCATTCAAGCACAAACACGCCCCCGCGCCCGCGCCCCCAGCCCGCGGCAACCGCATCCACTTCCGCGTCCGCGTCCGCGTCTGCGTCTGCGACCGCGTCTTTCACACCAGCCCAGCGCAGTGCGCAGGCGAGGGGCAAGCCGTTCCAGAACACCCCCCACAACAGCCCATCAAGCGCCACAGCACCCACCACCCACCTCCCCTTGCCGCACGCGCAGCAAGCGCAGCAGCAGGCAGCGCAGCACGCCCAACGCACCGCCCTCCTGCACACGCACGCGCGCTCCACCGCCGAAAAAGCCGCCACAGACTTCCAAACACGCCAGAACAGGCATGAAGCAGCCGCGATCCTGGACTCCACGGAGATGCTGATTTGGTACGCGGCGGCGCGGGGCGAGAGCGTCGCGCAGACGCGCAGGTGGTGTGAGGGGGTTGTGCTGGGGTGTGATGGCGGGGGATGGGGGAGGGAGCGGGTGTGGGGGGAGGAGTGGGATGTTGATTTGGATAGGCGGCGGGGGAAGGGGAAGGGGAGGGGGAAGGGGAGGGGGGCTACCAGGGGGATGGATGGAGGGGGGGAGGAGGGGGATGGCGGGGAGTGAGGGACTTGGACGTGGGGATGGGATGGTGCGATGGCGCGGGTCGATGTGGTGAGGTGTGGTTTGATACGATATAATGATGTACAGCAGTATACCCCGGCATAGTAATTGCATTTGGTTTCTATAATAAGGCGCGGTGCTATGGTGCGCTGCGGCGTAGTAGTAGTATGTCATGGCATGGCATAGAAGGTACGATGCAGTGTAGTGCACTATGGTGTATAAGAGCAGTTTAAGGAGCAATGGACTGAGAAGAAGAAGAAGAGGAGGAGGAGGAAGAAGAGAATGCCTGGCACTCACAAGCGTATAAAGCTTTCTGAAGCACAGCTCACAGCACAGCACACAACACCCCACACCGCGAGCCAGACACTCTACTCCCGGGACTGCAGCCTAGGTGGTACGAGATAAATACAAAAGGCAAATGAAAGGCAACCAGGAGGCAGTCTAGGTGCTGCACACTAGGTATCATGCTCTAGTTACCGTAGCTAGGTACCACAATCTAGCTACACAGACGCACAAAACAAGTCCAACCCAGACACAGACACCCAGACCCCCAGCCCGCAAGCTCGTCGTCGAAACCCGTCTGTCGTGTTGCTTCTTCAAGAAGAGGAACGCGCTGACAGCGATGCGTGATACAGACTTATATCATATTATGCATGTACACCGTGTATACACTCTGTACACTCCATGAACTCTATACACTCCATCTCCATACACTCCACACACTCTATCTCTATACACTCCATCTCCATACAGTACACTCTTTTCCCCCCACACCCTGCGTACCCTCTACAGCCCCCCCCCCCCCCCCCCCCGATCCACGGGCCCAGGGCCAAGCACATATCCCGCATCATTCCCATCACGTAGCCACTCCAGCGACGTGAGAGTGTGAAGCACGCGTGCTCGGCTCTCTGGGGGCGCTGGTTGCGTGGTGTGCTGTTGCAGAGAATACCTGCGCAGTCTCAAAAGCCAGAGTCTGGGTTTGTAGAGCAAGAGGGGTTGTGAGAACGCGAACGCGAATACCACACATGTCGGGGATGAACACAGCACGCCGCACGCCGCACACCGCACAAGGCATAGGAGAAAAGTGAAGTGGAAAACGAGCGTAGCTCCGTCGGTGCTGCTATCTCTCTATCGTATTCAAACACGGCGAACGCCTGCGCGCGGCCCGGAACCGGAGCCTGGCGCTTTCTTGTACACTTGCACCTGCACCTGCACCTGCGATGCGCGGGTCTGGGGGCCTCGAGGATGTGTGCTCGAGGCTACCTTTGCCCCCCCCCCCCCCCCTCCTTTGCCCCCTCCATTGCCCCCTTATTCTCTTGCCCCCCAACTCTCCAACACCACCCCGCCTGCGCTCCAACAGTCTCCATCCCCGCGCCCAATCGTACACGCTACACGCCCTCCTCCATGCCGACATCTCTCCACCACCGCCCGCGCCCGCCCGCGCCGTCGAACATCTCCTCCGCGTCGCCGACCTGCCGCCGCTCCGAGACCTCCCTGCTGACGACGCCGCTGAGCTTGAGCCGCATGGCCTTGAGGGCGAGGAAGCTGTTGGCGCCGGCTTTTCCCCGCGACGCCGAAGCCGAGGTGTTACCAGAGCGGATCATTTCGCTGGTGGTCCAGCGGTCGCGGGGCGGGGGTCGTTGCTATTGGAGCGGCTCCGAGGACGAGGAGAGCCGGTTGAGGTGCAGGTAGACGTCTGTGCCGTAGCTGGCGGGGTGTTAGTATGTCTCAAACGAAAAAAGAATGGTGATTAAGGATCAGACGCACCCTTCCATGCTGATGAGCTTCAGGTCGCCGCCAAAGTAGCGCGCGTAGAGGCGCGAAATGGGGAGGCCGTAGCCGAAACCCGCCATCGGGGCCTTGAAGTCTGATTTGTTAAAGTCCGGGTCCAGGCTCGGCGTCTGGTCGACGGTGGTGTACATGTACGTCCAGACGAGGGGGATCGCAGAGCGGGGGATGCCGCCGCCCTCGTCGGAGATCTTGATCGTGATGTCCTCCTTGCCCTCAGCCACAATAACCTTTGTGACGGGGAAGTCGTCCTTGTCCTGGCCGTGGCGCTCGACAACCGCGCGCAGCGAGTTCTTCAGCGTCTCGAACAGCATGTGCGACAGGTGCCCTGGCACGTACATGAAGCTGATGTCGTTGTTGCACACGAGCTGGACCTTGGGGGCGTCGAACAGGCCGTAGTGGTCCTCGCACACGAAGCGGGCGTTCTCGATGGCTTCCTGGGCGAGCTCGCGCACGTTGGTCTTGGTGCAGATGATGCCGACGTAGCTGGGGTCGGAGCGGGCGCGCTGGTCGGTCAGGGCGATGTGCTGGCCGATCAGCATGCGGATGCCGATGCGCGACATGTAGAAGCGGTCCAGGAAGGCCTGGATGTTGTGGTCGATCTGCATGCGCTGCCGCTTGCGCTTCCACTCGAGGATGCCCTGCGCGACGGTGGTCACGACGCTGTCGTGCCGCCGCTTGATCTTCTCCAGCGTGTCGGCGAACTTGGTGTTGTACGCGCTCAGCTCGGGCGGCCACTCCTGGCCATCATCTGCCGCGGCAAAGTAGCGGCGGCTGGAGGTGGCGCCCTTGTGGTCCTTTGCGCTGCCGTTGCCGTTGTCCGGGGCCGAGCGGTACTGGCCCTTCTGCACGCTGGGGTTCTGCGTGGCCTTGAGCAGCGGCGGCGTGCGCTTGGCGGGCTTGAGCAGGCGGTCCTTGACGTCTGCGGACAGGTTCGGGCGGGCGAGCTGCACGAGTTCCTGGGCGGGTCAGTCGGCGCGGCACACACACACGGCGCACGTACCTCAAACGACTGCGCGTACCAGTCGCGCACGCGGCATATCGACGGCATCTCGTTGAGCCCGTCCGGCAGGTCGTTCAGCTCCTGCACGCGGTGGGCCAGGCGGATGGGCAGCTCCTCGGACAGGAACTGCGACGCGCGGAACAGCGTCCCGGTCGACGGCTTCTCGCCAAACTGCACCATCTGCCGCAGCGACACACCTGCACTCATCAGCCGGGGCCTATGGGGGAACTGGGGGACGCACCCGTCGCCGGGAAGTTGCTGTAGTGCTGCGCCGGTTAGCCGCGAAGCATGGGCGACGCACTCCACGCACCTTGATCGTCTCCATCAGCTTCTCTGACCGTCTCCACGACATGGCGGCGTGCGAGGCCTTCCGGGCCCGTCGGTTGTGGTGTCGCCCAAGTCTCCGCTCGACGTGTGTCGATCAGTCTCCCCGCAATGGCCTCAACAGCGCTGAGACAAGCCGGAGCAGTGCACGCGAGCAATGGATAGCGGTAGCAATAGCAATGCCGCAGAGCGAGCGTCGTGTATGAGCGCACGAGACAATTGGCGTGGGTGGATATCGCGATGGGGCCAGTGACTTGACTAGGATCGAGTCCGGGCACCCCACAGATCACCTTTACATGTGACCACAGCTGGACCCCACGATGACAGGCGACTGATGTCAATCGCTGTCAGTGTCGAGCAGCACGCGTCTGCTCAATGGCGAGCGCCTGCATGCATTGCCCGCGCACCACCCGCTCGAGCGCCTGCATGCAATGCTGCGCTCCAGCCACAGACGCGCCCGAGGTCGAGCTCCAGTCCTCCGCTCGGCACGCTTCCACAACACCGAGGTCGCGTGAGGCAGGAGCCGGCGGGCCCCGAGCGCTGTGATTGGCGCGCCGGTGCAGCATCGCGACGTCAATAGTCAGGACTGTGATGTCTGATGTCCGATCTCTACGTCTGCAGGTAGTGATTGCGTTTCGTGGTTTCATGGTTTCAAAGTTTCAAACAGCGCAGCCATTGCAAAGTATCACGGGCACCCATCAGCTCAACAGCTTCCAGACGATTGTCGCTATCTCCAAATGCTCACGACTTATCGTTCCTGGCTGTTTGCAACCCAAATATACCGCAGCTATAAAGAAAACGCGCATTACAGACCCCCCAACCCCCAAGCAGCCATCTGACCAAACCCCATCTCAACGCCCCCACACCGCCGAATCCATATTGCTTTTCCACTGCCCTCCCTTAGTGAAGAGAGACTGTACTTCAGTTCTACAGATGTTCATTCTCGTTACTGCCGCTGCTCTGATACATGCCACAACCGAACAGCGTGAACGCGAGAACAAAGTGAGTGTGTACCATAACCGTCTGTATATGTAGACACAGATATAGACACAGACGTAAGCATACACAAGCATATATGTAGACACAGCACCGTCTGCATGGGTACACACATGCATCCACCAAGCTACCTGCCGACTGGGTGCTTGGTAGCAGAGCCGCACGCCCGAAGCCAGGAATTGTGGGTCCCCGCCGCGCCGAGGCTGCGAGCCAGGCGGCGTGTCAGAGACTTCGCCGGACCGCTGATTGGTGGAAACGCGCTGGTGAGGAAACGGGAGGAAGGAGGCGCGAGGCGCTGGATCGCGATGCCGTGGAAGAACACGGTGGCAGATGCAGACACGCACGTCGTGTGCTCGTGCAGGCTCGTACCTGTCTTGTTGCTGCTGTACTATGGAGGTTCACGGTCTCGGCACGGTTCACGGTCATGGTCATGTTCTGGTAGTCAAGTTGAAGAGGAGAAGATCTTGATTCGATTGTGCCGCTAATTCCAAACCGAACATGCAGCACCAGAATTCGAAAAGCGCCATTGGTATTCCAAACATAATCTACACAGGGCGCGGGCGCGCCGGAAGCGCGCGGCCATCGCCGCAATCGTACGTCTATCGTGGGTGTTGTACAATCGGAAGAAGGTTTGGTCGAAAGGGATTAGAGAAGGTCATGACGGTCGGTAGGGAGAGCGCGAGGGTATGCAGCGCTTATTTGGTCTCCTCCTGGAGGAAGGTGATGAGGTCGTTGCGGTCCTTGGGCTTCTTGAGACCACCGAAGGCCATCTTGGTGCCGGGAATGTACTTCTTGGGGTTCTCGAGGTACTCGAAGAGTGTGTTCTCGTCCCAGGTAATGCCCTTCTGCTTGTTGGCGTCGGTGTACGAGTAGCCGTCGACCTGGCCGGTCTTGCGGCCGAAGAGGCCGTGAAGCATGGGGCCGATCTTGTTGCCCTCACCCTCCTTCAGGGTGTGGCACTGGGCGCAGCGGGTCTTGAAGAGGTTGGCACCCTTCTTAGCATCGCCTGTGATGAACTGTTAGCTAGAGTTGCGTTGTAGGAAGGCCAGCGCCACCGCCATCGCCATCGCGCCCAGGTCTCAGCCGCTCGACTCCCTTGATCGCAAAGTTTGCACCTTGCTGACCATGCTCGTTGAGGCGCTCGGATCTCGTCGACGGGACTGCCAGGATCGGCCGGCAGCCTGTCGGTGACGAGGATCGTGATGCGCGTGCTCAATGAGCGTCGGGAGTTCGTGGCGTGAGAGAAAAAGTTGCGATGACGTCCAGGGCTGCTGAGAACATGAAAACGTACCCTTCTCGTAACCCATTATGAATGAAGTTGGTGGTGGATGGGATTGGTGGTGGAGATGAGTGTGAGTGATGAAGCAGAGGCTGAGGATGAGCTTGGAGACGATAGTAGGAGAAAAGGATGCTGTGGGAAAATTGAGGCGCTTTTCATTCAACCAAGGACGAAGCGTGCACGGACGGCGCGCTTTGGATGACGCACTGGCCACGCTCGCGACTGCCTCCGATTCACAGCCAATCAGATGAACTTGGATGACACAGGTTGAGCATCACCTCCAGATGTCCAGTCGTTCGCTCTCTATCAAATCATCATGAAGTTGGTATCGGTATTTCGCAATGCGCGATGGCTTCTGCGATCTTCGTAGGTATCGCCATCAAACCTACGTTCGCCTTCAAAATGGTCGACGCAATCACTTTTTGCCTTCGTGAGCTCGATGGGACACCTCGGAATATCTCGCCGCCTGTCTCCGAGTTGGCTTGCATGTTGCCGCGGGATACCGCATTCTCTGCCGATGACATAGCGCGACAGCAGCGCGATTGGATTCATCCCCATCACGTGCCGAGCGTTCCATCTAGGCCCTTTCAGGCTCTGAACACCTGCAGGCCGTCCGTTGAGTGCTGCAGACGCATGTCGCGGTACGGACAGCCGTAGCAGTTGCACGCGAGGCCGTAGTCAGCAGCACCCCTGTCATGGTACGCAGGGTGGTTCGCATATCCGTGTACGATCAAGCGTTGGAACCTGTTTGCGAGCGTGTGCATACCTCGCCCACTGCCCGCTTTCCTGCTCAGTTCCTGTCGCCGTGACCAGTCCAGGGCCAGTGCTGCCAGTGTCTTTACCTGCGACGCTTGTCTCTTTTCTCCAGGCGCTTGTCGCGCGGTCCGCTATACGTCAATGTACCATATCTGACCTCATTGTCATCCTGCACCCCGCTGCGCAGCTCGAATGGACCAGATCCCCGGCATCCTATATGCCGACGAGGACTACACGACATGGTTGATCCTCGGTGCTAGCAGAGGCATTGGGCTGGAATTTGTGCGGCAGCTTTTGTCAAAGAACGAGCGTATCATTGCTACCGTGCGGGAGCCGTTTGCTGCACATGCCTCAGCCTTGTGGGGTCAGGCTGGTGGGGACCATGGGAGATGTCGGATGGAGATCTGTGACATTCTGTCCGAGGAGAGCATCGTAGTATGTTCTGCCTGAACAGCCTGCTCTGAATTTTGAACATTTGATGTTTGCTGTGGTAACATGGCTGACTAGCGGCAGCGATTCGTTCTGGCCCTCACCACCATACCAAACTTGAAGATCGACTATGTAGTTATAAACGCTGGAGTACTGAGGTACCCGAATGTAAGACGCCACCATCATATATATTTGAGCCGCACTAATTTCTCCAGAGAGCCACTGAGCTGTACGTATTCCTTCACCATACCACTTCCGGCTTAAAGCATGCATCACATCGGGCCTCAGCTGGGAAGCCAGCCACCTGATACGTATTTCCAACATGATCGTCGTGTCCTGTACCCAAAGTGCTGGGGAGCCGTTGCCAAGGTTGCCGTTTGGCACCACCTGTGGATACAAACAGTTACTTCGAGTTTCGCTCTGTACTGATGGTATTGCAGCTCGTTCGATGAATTCGCGTTCCACCTCCACACCAACACGATCGGGCCCATAATCACCGCCCAGAAGCTGCTGCAAACCAACATCCCCATTGGCACCATCGTCTTCATGTCGTCGGACTCCGGCTCAGCAGGCCAGTTTCGGGAGATGGAGGACGGGTTCGCAGCGTATGCGGCGTCGAAGGCAGCTCTGAACATGTCAGTGCGTCACATGGCTGCTGAGCTGAAGCGGAAAGACGACGATACGATTCTGCTATGTATGCATCCTGGGGAGGTGGCGACGGAGATGGCTAACATCCAGCTGCCGTGGGATGTGCAGGGGATCATTACGCCGGAAGAGAGTGTGAGCAAGATGATAGAGGTTATCAAGAGCAAGGGGATCCAGCATAGTGGGACCTTTTGGACTTACGAGAACAAGGTAAGTCGCGATCGCACACGTTTAAGCACTGCTAACATTGTACAGCCGTATTCGTGGTAGTAGACCTTTGCATTGCATCTCCTCTTCTTACATATCCCGGGCATGTCTCTTTTAGGACGCCCCTACTAGCGTATGAGTCATCAAATTCTGAATATAAGCCATGTCGAGAAGCTGGTTGAGCACTATTAGCCGCCTGGCCCTCGAAAGTAAGTATGGCGTGCTACTCGATCTCTCCAAACAGACCTCTCACAAAATCCGTGTCCCAGTCAAGACGCTCGTCGCCTTCAGGCAACTGATGCACAAGTGAAACAGCAGTGGTTGAGGTAGTCGTGTCTTGCTCCACGTTGCTGCTGCACTCGAGCTGACTCACGCGTGGCTTGCAGCGATTGCATAGCCTGCTACGACGGCAGTCTCTTCTGCCGTAACGGCACGTATGAAGGCGCGACCTATGCACAAGGTGCTGGTTCCCAGCTTCGCGTCGAAACCTCGGTGCTACATCCTGAGCTGTCAGATGTGCACTTTTTGCTAGCGCTGCAGACTGCTGCTCGCTGTCTGCCGACAAGGGGCGTTGGTGGATTCCAATCCTTGCGATTTGCCCCTTGGAGGCTTCCGCCCGCCTTTGTTCCGTTGTCAAGCCCAAGGACTGATGTGAAAACTCGTATGGCACGATCGCCGCTGACTTCGGACGCCGTTCAAGACTCTGAGGCGTCGAAAACAACGATTCACGCGCTCTTTCCGTGTATGCCTGATGCTTTACTGGGTATGGCGTACCAGGACCAAGACTCTCTTTCGCTATGACATCTTGAAGGGAGACCCGTTCAGCCCTGGGACTGTGCAGATGTCTACCCACTTCCTTCTTGGACATATCTTCCAACGGCGGTGAAGCTGCAGCAATATTTATCCCCTCGTTTGAGAGCAAGGACGGCAGTTGTCTCTGTGTGACCGGTGGAACGTTCAGGCCCTGCTGTGCTGTCTTCTGCTGTTCAATCTGCACTCGCAATCTCTCCGCAGCATTCGCTCTTTGCCGTCTCTTTTTTCCTGATCTCTTCCTCTTAGTCTGCATACGTTCTTGATTCTGTACATCGGACTCAAAACCAGAGGCAGCCATATGGTTGATATCTTCGGTCGTCAGTGTGCCGTTCACCAAGTGTTTCTGTTTGTTAGAGCGCTGCCTCGCCATACCTTTGAGTCGAGGAAGCGGCTGCGCCAGCTTTCCCTTAGGTGGTCTACCTTGCACAGCCATGAGCTCATCGCGCGGGTGTGAGCTGCGCTTATTAAACAATGGCGCCGTTGCTATCCCATGGTTGATCTTGGGGCCTACGAATGACTTCGGCTCTTGACTCATTTGGTCAGAAACGCGTAAGCGTAAGGGACACAAAGACAAAGAGCATGTGGGATCGTGTTCTGATTTGCCATACGGGAGGCCTACAGTCTGCTGGGGTGTGTTTACGTTGTGAAGGTAGTCGCACTTTTGCCTAGGACTCGGCCTGCAGTAGCCTTTGTGGTAAAAGTAAAAGCAGATTGGCGGAAGCTCACTCATACTGCGCGGTCCTTTTGGCGGATTGAATGGTCGTGGTAGGTCTACAGGGATATCGTTGCTTACGAGGCCGGGAAGTGACGGCGGGAAGCTTTGTTTGGTCTTGAGATGCGAAGCTCCTGCATCAGTGTGTTGCCCATCTAGGCCGAAGCTGCGCGGCTTGTTGTCCCGATGTGACATCGTCAGTGGGTGCTCAAATATTGTGGCGACGTGTCGCAGGTCTGATGGGCTTTCTCGGGGTTTGATTTGCCTGTTGCTGTTGGTGGTTGCAGGCAGGTGACGGCGTTTGCTCAGCGTGCCAAAATGACTGATGGACAACAAGCATTCGCTTTTCACTAGCGGGGTGCAAGGAGGGGACATCAAATATGATAGGTCGATGTAATCAGATTCATCAAATTGGTTCCTTCCCTGCACCTTCACTTCACCTGCCTCATCGGCTCCTTCCACATCAGAAGAGCCACGAGAGACAATACCATGAAGCAGCAGTGGTTCCTCCGTCTCAGGCCCCAAGGTCAGACATATGTCTTCATCGACCTCTTGTGTGTCAGTATCAGTGCCGTTGTCGCTGGTGTCGTCGCTTGAACTCTCACCCGTTGTCGTTTCGCGGCTGGTTGCATCGCCGTCTACTTGTCCGCCCATTCTGCGGCGGAGATGTTGATTTTCTTGAGCCTTGTTGGCAGCCTCGAGATCTTCTCGAAGAGGACAGAGCGGGAGCTTGCAAGGTTGGAAGTGACGAAAGCCTGGAGGCGGTGGGATAGGCCAAGTTGGGTGAAGTTGATGCGGTCGATCGCAAGCCTCACCTCGCCGGCATGTACCATGATACCAGAAGAAGCACGTCTCTTTAGGAGGACCAGGTGGTGCAGGACTTCCGAACTGATTCTTCGTAGCGTTGGTAGGCGGCATCGAGTTCACGTTTGAGCTGAGTCCGCCATGGCGGGTGTTAGCCACTTCCTGAAGTGACGGCGCTGGTTCGGTTTGCGACTGCCTCATAGTCTTCCAGAATTCGGGGCATCCACACACTCCGTCATGAGTGTCGAAGAGGGGACAGGAGCGGCTGTGTCTGCCCACCATGTTCTTTGCAGATGGCAGTGATGTTGTAGGAGGAATGGCGAAGATCTGTACACAGTTGGTTGAAGAAGTACTGAATCGTAGAGATTGGTTCAGAGTCGGGGAGATTTGGCGTTTGAGGAGTTTATAAGCATGACGGGATCCCCACGTGGCCATGTGCAGGCAGACCATCAACCCGCCGAGTGAGGCGACAATGAACTTACTAGTGAAGGAGTAGGCCACAGAACCTATATTCTATCGAAAATTCTGGGTGAGTGAGATCACGGGTGTAGCAGAAGAATAGCAGATCGACAGCGAGAGGAACAGGTGAAGTATCAGAACTGGAATATGTTTAAGGCAGTACAGCCGAGAAGTTCTCCGAAGAGCAATGTAGCGATACTACCACAGAGTACCCAGGATGCGCGACGCTACCTTAACCGTAGCATATGTACCAGCGCTCAACGCGATCAAAGAGATACCCGCGAAGATAGCGAACGTCCTTAGATTCCTGGACTCGATGGCAGATCTCTTGACCTTTCGCTCTTCATGTTTCCCTAGCTCTGTTAGTGTATCGTACTCCGGTACATATTTGAAGTCGAACGTGGTTTCCTCATTGGCAAGTCCCCATTTCGCTTTGACTATGACATCCCAGAACACCAACTTTGCCCGCCTGACATGATCGCGGTCCCAGGCAGGGACCAAGCGATTCATATAGCAGTAGACTGCAAAGAAGAGGCACTGGCCGGCCATCAGTGCCCAATAGTATAGAGACACTTGCTTGAGGCCGAGAGCATCAGACAAGGCGTTTCCATTCAGCCATCGTGCACTCGCAGTGAGCATGTCGGCAGACACAAACGTTGGCGGCGTCTCCTTGAGTGACAGAATGATGTTGTTTGCCATCGTCTGCGACATCTCCGAAGGATGGACTTCGTTGTAGAAGAGGGACTCCATGATAGCCTTTGCCTTTGCCGTCGAAGTGAAGAAAGTGTCCGGTGTGCCGAGGATATATGCGATGTAGCGCCACAGGGCAAGGTAGTCCTCGATTTCCTGGTTGCTGAGAAATATACCCTGGCGCGGGAAGCTCAGCCAGATCAACGATGACGAGAAAGTACCGATAGTCGCGATCTGGTCCAGGTCATTCACTGGTATCCCCCACTCTTCGACGTTGAAGTAGCTCGGCTTTGTCTCTGCGAGTTTCAAAATGCGTTGGCGCACCGCTGCATGGAGCAAGCGAACTCTGACAGATGACGCGTGACCTTCCCCACCCGGTTTGATGCCATCCAGAGATCTTGTGCACTGGAGTATGTGTTGCGTGGTTTCGAAGAGTCGTCTTCTTGCCACCTTTGTGTTGAAGCCTCCGGTGCGAGCTAGGGTCTCGACAACTCGGGCAGCGCCCATACCACCGAGCAAGGACTGGAACGTAAGTCCTGTCAGTGCTGGACCCCCGTACCGATAGAACACATCTTGACCTCTTTCGATCTGTTCCCAATCTACCCAGTCCGGCACGGTGTTGATCTGTTGCCACAACTCATCGAGCTTGGGATCTGATGCATGGTGTTCCTTGAGAAGTGCGTACAAGTCTCGCTGTGGTATTGGATAGACTTCTTTCTTCTCTTCATCAGTTCCCTCAGTCCGAACGGGAACTGGCTGCGTGTTGCTATTCCTGGGCAACACTCCGTTCTGAGGTGGCGAAATAGCATTGAGTCGACTCAAGCATTCCTCAGCTAGCACATCGTACGAGTGCTTCAGCGGCTCAGCTTGCGCAGGTGTGAGGTGGTCATCTGTCCACTCGAATGTATACGCCCAAGAACTTCATTTGGTCAGTCGAGATAAATGTCATAGTCTTCCTAATCGGGACATACCTTCTAGTGTTCTCAGTGCGCCTACGGAATAGACTCGACCAGGCCATGTTTACGTCGAACAGGAGGGATGTCAGTGTGCGATCAGTTTCACGGTGATCAACAGTGAAGGTGCTTCGAATCTTTAGCTATGGTACCGTCATGTGCAACCGAGGCGGCTAGCGCGCTGGCCGTTTGCCGCCAAACGCAGGACCTAGCACGTGGTGCATTGTATTGACCGATCAGGTTCTGGTAGGGCTCGCTTCCGCGGTCGCAGTTGAAACTCGAAATCTTGGTACTAAAAGTGTGTTGCGTCACCACTCAAGGGTATCGCGGAGCGTCTGCGGCGGAACGATCAAACCACCGATTGGTTGATCTTTCCCAAAGTTCGAGTCCGTGCACGATGCCAAACTTCGAGACGAGATTGTCTCTGAACCCCAAACAATCGTTCTCGCGATGAACTGCCAATTTTGCGCCCGACGAGCACTCAGCCTCTTCTCAAGACCCTCTACATATGTAAATCCATCGGTCTCTGCGCGGCAAGCCCACTACAAACCAAAACGACAGTCGGATTCCTTCCCCGACGCTCGCCCATCGCGTAACTATCCTACGAGATCGCCAAAGGCAGTCGCAACTACAACCTTCGACGAGGCTACAGCAGAATGGAAAGAGGAGAAATCGGATCGCCCTGCGTGGCAAGCTGAGAAGGAGGCTATGAAGAAAAAGCTAAACGGTGAAGCCTGGAATCCGCGCAAGAAGCTGTCGCCCGACACCATGGAAGGCATCCGGCATTTAAATCAATCCCAACCCGAGAAGTTCACCACACCAGTACTTGCCGACCACTTCAAAGTCTCGTCCGAAGCCATACGGCGCATACTGAAGAGTAAATGGCGGCCGTCCGACGAAGAGCACGACGAGCGCATGCGGAGATGGGACAGCCGAGGCGAAAGAATTTGGTCGAACCTAGTTGAAATGGGTATCAAGCCGCCGAAGAAGTGGAGAGAGATGGGTGTTGGCCGCGCAGACAACAGCGACAGACGTCCCATATGGAAGGCACGTAGGAGGAACCAGGTTGAGGTCAGGGACAGTGCTCCTGAATCATTCCTGCCCGAGGAAGACATCATACCGACTGTGGATGCGCCTGGCAGGCGAAAACCGATATCAACCACACCGCTGACGGACAGGCTGTAAGGCTTCGGTGAAGTCGTCATACGGGCGACTGCATGCCATACATACTTCTACAGGGGCCAGGCCATTGACTGCCCCTGCGGCGCCTGTTATACAGGCTGTCCGTACAATGCCGATCAATGGCGTTATCAATCAAGTGAACAGAGGCGAATGCATCTGCGTCATAAACGGGTTGACACGACTATCGAACACCTGTGGGCTTGTGTTGATAATTCAATTCAAAAGACCATAGAGGGACAGACGCTGCAGATGCAGCGGAACACAGTGTGTGGGCGAATGCGAAATGCAATGAGCCACCCCTGAGCTTGGGCATCGTATCTGCCATCAACTTGAAGTACGAGTGGGATTGGCTTCTAGCAAAGACTCGTGAGGTTCGAGTATCCAGCGAGTGTCATCCCTCAGATTACAAACTCGATAATCCATCGCGGAATCAGATAGCAAATCAATAAAGCTAACTGACCCTGAATACCATTCTCTGAAAATAGCACGCCACTAAGAGCTCACCCGTTGCGTGCTTGACAGGTGAGTCTTACGGTTGGCTTGGCATAATTACCAAGCACTTGTCTGTGATTGGTCTGGCCGGGAACCTGTGCTCGGCAGTGTCGCGCCTCCATGACATAGCGAAACTTTGGGTGACAAACAACGATGGCTTGTCCACCTCAACCGCACTACCACGCATCCTATCCATACTCGACGCAGTCGTAGAAACCGGCTAAGCCCACCTCTACAATATGTCGCTTCCACGCACAACCCGCGCACTGGCGCGCTCCTCGGCATTCACATCGTCACGATTCGCCGCATCATCCTTCGCTCCCCGCACGTGTCCCCAATGCTCGCGAGCGTTTGCTTCATCAACCTCGCACCGGCAGTCGTCTAAGCGACAGATGCAGACTGCGACAGCCTACCAACCTTCGACACTACAGCCTCCACCGCCCCCACCACGAAACTTTGGTGTTCCGGACACTTCGATAGCCGGTGGCGCATCCGAGGTAAAATCCTGGACGCCGTCAGGGTTTGTACCACAGCAGCGAAGCCAGGTACCGCAGCAAGAGCAGCCAAACGTTAGTTTGCCGGAGGGCGAGGCGCAGAAGACAACGGTAGCGCCGATCAAGTCTGCGCGGCCAAGGAGATACAACTTTGGGCCCAGAAAGGCGACAATCAAAATCTCACAGTCGGCTGTCGAACATCTGCGCGATCTGCTCGACCAGCCAGAGCCAAAGCTCATTCGAATCGGAACAAAGGCTAAGGGTTGCTCCGGACTTGCGTACCACCTGGAGTACACTGATAAGCCGTCGATGCTGGATGAAGTTGTTGAGCAGGACGGCGTCAAGGTTCTGATTGACAACAAGGCTTTGTTGAACATCATTGGGAGCGAAATGGACTGGCTGGATGATAAGCTGAATCAACGCTTCATATTCAAGAACCCTAACATAAGTAAGTGTCTTCCAGTCAACGTACTTGGAACAAAGCTAACCCACGGCAGCTGAGGAGTGTGGTTGTGGCGAGTCTTTTAGTGTATCATGATACCCCTTTCATTGTCTTATGTATAGTATTCAGCATTGGGTGGTATGGCACGGCTTTGCATATGGCGTTCAAATTGGTAGAATATGGTCTACTTTACGGTTGCATTAGACAGTACATATGCATATCACCAAACTACAGCTTCCCAGGCTGGTAGTCAAATACCTTCACGTTTTGTATGTGCTCTCCGGCAAATTTGACGAAGTCCTGGTGGGCAGGGTCCTTTTCCACGTAGTAGTCTCGGTCTTCTTCGCTTTCAAACTCTACCACGAAGCCATGGGTGAAGGGGCCCTGGTAGATTAATCAGCTTTTGCACATCAATGGCTCTTCGGAAACTGACTGCATGACCCTCTGTGCTGTTATTTCTCCCGCCAGAGAATGACTTGATGTACGGTTTTTGGGAGTTCGTGCTCAAGCATTTGTCTTTCAAAGAAAGCATACGGCTGCATGCCTGTTGAAGTGGAGTCAGTAGCATAGTGACGCTGTAGAAGGGACGCCCACCTCTTCCACTTGAGCATGAGTCGTCGTCGGCTTCCACTCGAACAACACAATATGTACGATAGTCATGACCAGCTGAATTGATTCACTCAGGAAGACGATGGATTTCAAATAAGGAGGAGGATGTTGTGCAATCCGACAAAGATGGGGTATGTACATGGGGCGGCGAGGCTAGTATGACCTCAGTGTGGAGCGTTCCGAGCTCCGCTGCGCTGCCACGAGATAGCACGCGGCAGCACCGCAGCGATCACGGAACCCTCCACCATGATCTCCCGGAAGCCATAGCGCGTTGCTTTTGACCACCAACCATGCGTGTTTACACGATCGACATACTCGAACAGCAGCACAGCGTATACGCTGCAACTTTCTCTTGCACAGTACCCAACGCACCCCTGCGAGCTCCAACATGACGACCGTACCGCTGCTCCCAGAGCAGCTTGTGTACCTGATCATACGATTCTCTGCATCAATACCGGATCTGTCACTATCGATACCTTCACCACGGCTCACATCGACGCTCTCCTTGAAGCAACTGATTCGATCGCACCTGTCGCCTGATCAGGCGACTGCACGTCTACGCCTCATCTACGCTGGCAAAGTGCTCACAGATACCGCGCCATTGTCATCATCACTACGACTACCGCCTCCTCCATCGCTGCGCACCGATAAATACAAAGAAGATGGATCAGGCAGCAAGGGCAAGGGCAAACAGCCTGTCAGAGACGCGCCTGCTGTGGAGTATGGCGCGACAGCACCACCGGAGGCGAAGAAGTACTACATACATTGCTCGCTGGGCGATGCGCTCACTGCTGCCGAGCTGAACAGCGAAGCTACTCTGGCGCAAAACATCGAGACCTCTCTCAAGTCGCAGTATGAAGCATCACAAGACTCAGCCAGTCGTCGCCGCTCCAGCAGCAGCGCGCAGAGCAGTGCCACGCAATGGCGAGGCTCCTCCACAACCACACCGGCACCACAAGGCTTTGATCGCCTTTTGACGTCCGGCTTCACTGCCCAGGAAGTAGCAAGCCTACGGTCGCACTTCCAGACCAACCTCTCCTTCACACATACGCCTGACACCATGCCCTCGCCCGCTGAGATGCGCGTCCTAGAGGACCGATGGCTAGATAGCACAGGCACAGACCCATCCCCAGCACTGACGGGAGAAGCGGATGCGGGATGGGGTGCGGGATTTGCCGTTGAGGAGGGCGGTCTGGATGACATGCTGTGGGGTTACATAACGGGGTTCTTTTGGCCGCTGGGCGCACTGATCTGGGGCTTTAGAGAAGACGGTGTGTGGTCGAGGAGGAGACAGTTGGCTGTTGTGATGGGTGTGCTGATCAATGCGATCTTTGGTTTCATGAGATGGAGTGCCTAGGAGTACTCGAGGGTAGAAAGACAAGCCTGGAGCTTGTGCTGGGCTGTACCTACCTACAACTAGCACAAGTATACGCACAGCAAAAGTAACCTAAAATATGATCGAAGCTGAGCAAAGATGATGTCGTCAGCACCAGTGATTTGTCAGAAGCAACCTGCAACTTTGTAGTAAACACTCATGAGTAGATGTAGGTGCTGATTTCAGCTGTAGTGGCAAGTAGGTACCCATCAAAGGATGCAAATCGAAGCTACACCAGAAATCCGGGGGTGACCTAGTACCGGAAAGAACCTCACGATACCACCGCAAGACCATGTGGTGACCAAATTTTCCCCTGAGAGGCGCGATCTCACGATGCCACCGCTCCTTGCGATCCTCCCCCAACAATCATGCACCCACACACCGCGTCTGCGACGGTGAGACAGCAAATTTTCCCGCCTTTACCTCCAAAGGCACCCTCTATACCTCCAAAGGCAGGCTGCCCTCCTTCTCACGCGGGGCTTTACGTACAAAACCCACATTCAATGGGACAACGAGTCTGCACCAATTTTGCAACGAGTTTGCGCAACAAGGCGTGTCGGCGATGTGCAGTCTAGACGCCCGGCACACGGGGCCGCATGCAAGCGACGGGAAACTGTGACGCCGCCAGGGGTACAAGTGGAGGGCGTGCGCGCGAAGAGTTTTGTAACGCGATGCCGTTAAGTGAAGTCGTTAAGCCTCTAAAGGACGACGTTGCAAGGCTCTGACTGGCCTTTACGTACACGAAGCTATTTTCACAGCAAGGCGGCAGATCGCCGTCGGAGAAGCGAGCGCGGGAAAGGGCACGGACGTCATGTTGCCAGGCTTTGCCGTTGGTTTTGCGACGTCCGCGCCCTGTGGGCTGTCGTTGCACCGGATTCGTCGCGAGCATGACACCTGATGAGGCTCTTTCGCTGTCGCACGGGCCCCAGCGCGCCTTGTTGCTGAACAGTAAAGTGGATTTCAAAGCTCGTGTGTCGCATGATTGGTCAACAGGTGATGACGGTGTCACAATGCGATCGGTTTTCGATGGATGGCAACATAGCAGGGCGTGCTGAGTAAAATTCTGTTGCAAGATGAGGTGCAACGGCGTGTGACTGACGATACTTGGCGGGTGTCATAGTTTTGGATGCTGATGTGTGCGTGCGGTATATAAGAGGGTGGTCAGTCTGAGGGTAGGTATCATCCAACACAAGCATCACTTCAAAGCATCGACTTCGATCTACTACACTCAAATACAAGCAATCGCACTTGCTATACTCGACTACAACACAACCAAGTCAACTCATCCATCCACTACAATGTCTTCCACCGCAAACACCCAGAAGAGGCAGAGCATCCTCTCCTCCTTCGTCGCTCAGGCCAAGGCACACCACGAGGGTATGAACCAGGCCTACTCCGCCTACTACGGCTCTGGTACCAGCACCCCCGCGGCATCCACTCCCGCCTCTCTGGAGTCTTCCCGCAACAACTCCGTTGTCGCCGGCATGGTCGAAGCCCCCAAGGGCAAGACCAACGCCTCCAAGCTGTGGACCGCCATCAAGACCCACCACGACGAGATGAACGCCGCCTACTCCGCTTACTACTCCCCCGGCAACTCTCGCGCCGCCTCGCCCCGCGCCTCCGCCTCCTCCACCCCCCGCGCCTCTATTGAGGAGCCCCGCGAAGTCGCCCCCAGGAACCCAACCAACCTCTCCAAGCACTGGAAGCAGCTCAAGACCAAGGTCGTCGAGCACCACCGCGGCGTCAACGCGGCCTACAGGGCCGCCTACGGCCTTGGCTACTAAGCGACGAGAACTGAAATGAGAAGAAAAGTGATTTATGCAAGCGTTGGATTTGGACTGCGGTTCCGCAATATACCATTTGACTTTGTCTGGTTGGGCGTTTTGAATGGCAGAGAAAGAGAGAGAGGGAGAGAAGCATGGGATGGAGGATGGAAACGGAATACCCAAACACTACTTAATAATATAATTCGAGATTGATACTATCAAGCCTACTTGCCTCACACTCTATCGTTCTCTGCGTGACTTGATTCTTACCTTGAGACACGCACTACACTATATGGTTGCTGATCACCGTCGCGGTCGATCGACATACCCCTGCGCTACAAATCAGCCTAGGACACAGAGTTCTATACCTAAGAAGGGAGGGGGAAGGGGTCAGCTTGCCTAGTTGGGTCTCAGTCTTGATACTGAACAGCTACTGTGCTCTGCTTAGAGCTCCTCGATGGCCTCCTGCTTGCCCATGTAGCTCAACGGGCCCTTCTTGACCATCAGGGTCATGACCTCGTAGAGGGTATCGGCGGCGGCCATGGTAGTCAGCTCGGCGTTGGTGTCGTACGCGGGAGCGACTTCCACGATATCGGCGGCGATAAGGTTGATGCCCTCGAGGCCGCGGATGATGGTGCGCAGCTCGCGAGTGGTCCAGCCGCCGGTCTCGGGTGTGCCGGTTGCAGGGGCGACTACACGCGTTGATTAGTATCTGATGAGCACGTGTGTCGGTGAGTCGACTCACAAGCAGGGTCGAGAGTGTCGATGTCGATGCTGAGATAGACGGGCTTCTCAGTGCCAACTCGGTCCTTGATCCTCTTGATGATGCCATCAGTACCGATCTTATCAATCTCACGTGCCTCGACAATCTGGAAGCCGCAGTAGCCATCGTTCTCGTAGTCAGAGGGTCCAGATAGAGTCGTGCGGATCCCAGCATGGATGTTGGTGTCGTTAGCAAGGAGACCTTCCTGAGCAGCGTGGAAGAAGTAAGTGCCGTGGTTGATGGCGGCTTGCTCACTGGGCGAACCACCAAAGACCTTCGGCTTCCATGTGTCAAGATGGCTGTCAAAGTGGATGACACTGACGGGGCCATAGTTACGGTTGATCGAGCGAAGGAGAGGAAGTGTGATGGTGTGGTCACCTCCGAGAGTGATCAAACGAGGAAGGGTAGTTCCCTTCTTGGATGGTCCAGGCTTGTCAGCGTGCGTGTGGGGTGCACGGCTCAAGAGGAGGTTATGGCCTTCCTCGATCTGCTTGAGCGCAAAAGCATTGTCGTAGCTGGAGTTGGTCAGTAGTCTTATTCAAGTCACAATGTTTTCATAGTGCTTACGAAGTGACTGGAATGTCTCCGCAGTCGAGGACCTTTGCCCACGAATTAAACGGGTTTGCCTTCAATGGGACATTGTATCCGCCACTAAATCCAATTCTGCGTGAGCCTTTATGCCCAAGCGGACGAAAAGTAAGCCTTTGATGCTTTGAAGAGACATACTAGAGATTGAGACGGCGAGAACCTTGTCTGATACCGCTGGGCCCAAAGCGAGCACCCGGGCGGTACGATGTGCCAGTGTCAAAGGGAGCACCTTGAAATCGTGAGAAACTTAATATTGAAGATTGACACGTATTTCATACCAATGAACGCGATGTCGAAGTCGACGTTGCTCTTGAGGCATGGGTGGTACGGAAGGCGACCAAATGTGGAGATGCCACTGAAGATGGAGTCGGCCTGCCCAGAGGTCAATGGCTGCAAATCGGGTCGGCAATACTACAGAGTAACCAACCTGTGTACCACCATCTCCAGGAAGAGTGTTGTACCACAGACCCTCATGGGGACCGGCCAATGGCTCCTGGTCGTGATCGTGATCACCATGTGCGGCCACAGCAGCCGCAAAGCTTAGAAGAGTCGACGAAAGCTTCATCTTGCAGAATTTGAATCAGATGAGTATTGAGGAAATGGAGGTGAGTAAGGATAGGAATAAGGAGCGCGGGGCCTGAAGTAAATAGCTGGGAACAGCTCAGACCCCTCCATATCGATAGCTCTTGACGAGGTCCTGTTAGGTAAATAGCTCGAAGCTACCCTGGTCACTTGTGTATGCAAGTTCAGTAACGTTGTGCCTGCAAGTGGTTAGAAAATACGGAAGCGACTCAGGTATCGTCATCATAGGGCGGCAGATGAATGGATCTATTCATCTTGATGCTCGACAGGTGAAGAAGACGGCACTGCCTCGAGATATGGGCTGGAACTATTCAGGGACGTCAACAGTAGAAACCAAAGACATTTTCGTAGATATATGTCTCTTCAGACCATCTAGGTACTGAGCATTGCCTTCAGGATCGAGCTCATGGTCAGATCCAAAAGCTGGCAGCAGTGGGGTAGCTTCAACCCCACCATGTGTAATGACGCCGGATATTGTGTGATGCGCCAATGGACATTCAGAACGTGTCGGAAACAATCAACTCAGTGCCTTGTACCTATCTCGGAGGATGGCCTTATCTCAAGCTATACAAGGTACGTATGCATGTCGTTTTCAAGGGACGCTCGCGGTAGGCTGGCAGCATCCGAGACACATACAGCCAATAGTGCTACTGTTCGTCATACAGCTTCGTAAATGTCGAACACACATCATAGGCCGGCGTAAGCTGGGTTCGGATAAACTCCTTGCAACGCGGTTCGTTGATGCATCTTAGTAGCGGGCGGTGGAATTCCGCCCAGAATGAAAACGTGCTAAACCTGTTCGACACTCGATAGACTTGCGGAGAAGACTGTGCATTTGGCAGATTCAGAAGATGTCATCGATCGCTCACTCAGCGACAGCACCGAAGCGTGGGGAAATTGTGGAGCTTGCGGAGGTGGATGAAGTGTCGTTCGTGCGGGACGTGACAAGGGTCAAGATACAAGATTCGCTTAGCTATCTACTTTGGGCTGTAACTTTGCATTGGCTGCATGCTGGTCCCGATTTTCCTATCTTACTCTAATGTCTAAGAAGCGTTGCTAATGCCAGGAACCCTTCTGATTCGCCAATTGCTCACGAAACACCAGCGATCTATCTACAATCTTCAGTTATGCGCTGGGCTCGCCACGATATCCTCCGATACCCCCAGTTCGGCTCGATCGTCGGAGTCCATCCTGTCAAATGCCTTCTTGACTTGATAGTCCCAGTCGCTCCAAGCTACAATGACCCACTCTCCGAAGCCAACGAGATAGAGTGCAATGCATTGGCCGATCCAAAGGCCAGCCAAACCCCAGCCGTTGAAGGCAAGCCAGATACCCAACGGCAAAGCTCCGCAATAGTAACTGACCATGTTCACAGTCGCTCCGATATGCTGCCTGCCCATGCCTCTTAAAGCGCCGCCACAGCTTCCATTGAGCCCATCTGCAATCTGGAAGAGAGCAACATACGGCATGACCTTCGCAGTGAGCTTGATGACCTCGATATCGTCGTTGAAGATCTTTGCATAAAAGTCCTTGACTCCCATGAGAATAGCCAAGACGAGTGCGCCGAGAACCATGCTGAGGACTGCGGCTGCATTTGCGGCTCTTGCAGCGCCTTTGGCATTGCGGGCACCCAACAGGTTACCGACTCGTGAAGAAGTGGCGACACCAACTCCAAACGGGATAGTGTTCATGACTTGATCGGTAGTCATGATTACACTTTGCGCAGCCAGGGGTATGGTACCCAGCTTTCCTGCAACGAGAGCGACAATTTCGAACGCCCACCATTCGGTCCCAACATGGATGACACCGAGGAAGGCTAACCGTGCAAAGACTCCAGTATTTTGAAGACACTTGCGACTCCATCCTCCCCAGCACTCCCAGCCTTCAACAAAGCGCGCGTACGCGAGAAGGAGCAGGAAAGAGGCCCAGTATGCAATTCCAGTTGCGAGCGGGGCTCCTAAGAGGCCCATCTTGAAAGTGTACACGAAAAGGTAGTTGAGCCCTGCACTTAGCGGAGACGTGATGAGCAGAACGTATGTGCCTGGACGCATGATTTCTACACCATTTAGTACACGAAGCGTGATACGCGAGAGAACAGCGTACCTTGAGCTTGCATATACTTCTTCAAAGCTTCGAAATAGATATAGCCGATCCCACCAGGGGCAAGAACCGTGAGGAACTTAGCCGAGTCTCGTGCAATATACTCTTCTTGTCCTAGGGCCCTGAATAATGGTGCGGAGCATATCCAAAGGACAGCGATCGGCAGATAGAACAGCAGCAGTACCAGGAATGCACGCTGCAGAATGATACCTAGATCATGGCGGTTTTTACTCCCAGTGAAGCTTGCAGATGCAAGGGTGTCGATTGCTGTTGTGCCACCGAGAGCGACAAGCCAGCCTGTGGCCATAGCGAACATGTAGGAAAATGCCGCTGTTGCGAGTGCTTCAGGAGACAAGCGCCCAACAATTAGTACTGAAAATGTCTGGAGGGAGTTCTGAAGGGCATATGCTAGAACTACGGGTACAGAGCCTTTGAACAGCACCCAAAACTCCTGCAGTATAAGCTGGAACTTAGTGTTTGATCCATCTTCAAGTTCGTAGCTCTCGCCCGTCGACCACTCCTCGTGCTGCGGTGGAGGCAAGAGAGAGGATCGCTCGTTGGGTTCTGTCTCCATCTTTGCAGTGGAAGTCGTTCTGAACAGTTTTGGAATCCAGGATCGGTTTCCGCCTTCGTTCTCCATGGTGGGGTTGCGTTAGCAGAGACTCGAATTGGTACGCTCGCTCTGCAGTAGGACAAGCAATATCTATATGTGTAGGAAGATCTCGAGAGTGTTGCAGTCGCTGTCTACAGTGACGATATGGCCCACCCGAGCGTTATGCAGTTCATGCAGCCGACCTTCCTAGTCGTGATGAAGTGGATGCTGATGCAACGGCTTGACAATGCGAATGACATTTCACGTCAACGGCCCATTACCGGTGTAATCGCGCAAACATAACCCACTGAATAATACAGGCGGGTTCGCCTAAACTCGATTGATAGAAAAGGGTTAGAAGCCTGTGGCTGGAAGTGAGGTTACTGCGTTGGTCTTATCACCATGCGTCCATAACGTGTTGACTAAGACCCTTCAGTAAGCCCTACGTGTCTCGAGCGATTTCACACGATCCTGATAAGACCAATCAGATTGTTGGGAGATGGCGTAGGTTGAAGATACTGGTGGAGCCGGGATCGACCGCCCTACGCAGTAAGCCAACGCCCGTTCTTTCTCCAGGGCCTGTACACCTTAACGCCGGCTGGCGAGTACAGGGACCCGAAAAGCTGGCTTGATTGCAGGGGAAACGGTCTGGGACGGGCGCTCGTGCGAGGTTTTCGGAGTTGCGGTGAACTTTAGGCGAGTGTGCCGCTTTGAATTGTGAACATTTACCCCTACCAGGGCTGAGATGTTGCCGACTCATAGTGAGCTTTACGAACGGTGATAACAAGTCAATAACAGTGCCAGGAACGCAACCATGTACTAAACAGGTGCTTGTGGGGACGCAGTGGACATGAAAATGCCACTTGCGCAAACGGCCGCTGGGGCGGAGACCGAAAGCGCCTCTTGGTCCAAGTGTCTCCCCCGCCTTACCGCTAACTACGCTAGTGCACGACGTACACAGTATCTATCAATCTGTTAATATGGTGCTTGTACGAGCTTGTAAATAATCATTCAGCATGTACACAGGTAGCCTTTAAGTGTGACGCTCCGTGCTGCCAATGATACCGCGACGACTCGCATGCACACCACCGTCGAAGATCGAACCTGCCAGCACTTGACAGAAGGAAATAACTGTGTGAGTACAAACTGCTCACTAATGTGGATTCCTGTTGAAACGTTCCTGATTACTTGTTTGAGAGGCCCTGGTATACGCCTTCCGTCATCCCCAGCCCAGTACCATGCTCAAGACAGCATGTTTCGCCACGCGCGAGCCTCTCTACCTCTGTCGACAATAGAATAGATGTGAGCGCAATATACGCTGTAGCCAATTTGGCTAGATACATCATCTTATGTTGCGAATGCCTCCGTACAACGAGCAGGGTTGTCGATACATGGACTGCCCTTCGCGCAGTAATAGTGAGTAGCGCAGAAGCCATACACGCACTTCAGAACACTGGCGCGATCTTTAGAGCACATGTAGGAGCTCTGATTCCTTGTGCCGAGCTTGAGAGCGGTATCCTTGATTCCTTCGACCACGGTACGAATGACCGACTTGCTGCCAGGCGCGCCGGAGATCAATGTGCTCCTGCAAGAGACAGAATCGTCACTGCACTTCTCATTGCTTTTGCAGTAGTAATCCGAGGAACAGAAGCCGTACCTGCAGACAAGAATACTCCTTCGATCCTTGGAACAAATATAGTGCTCGTTCTCTTGAGGTGAAGTATCTCGCGCAGCAAAGTCATCTTCGGGTGTAGAATCTAGGACTTCCGATGCAAGATAGTCGATGTTATCAGAAGTATACGCGGTCGCGCCCATGTCGACGCATGCGGCGCCATTGTCGTGCTTGAAGCAGTACTCCTCGCAGGTATCGACAGTGAAACAGGTACCTCCGACAGTCGTCTCGCAATGGATGACATCCCTTCCCTCACAGTGGTACTTCTGCGTCGGTGTGTCTATCCAGAAGGCAGTCGAGCTGATCGAGGAGGACTGCGTGTCCGTGTCGGCACGTGCACCCAAGGCAAGCGCGATCATGCCAATACGGACCAGAAGAGTTGTAGTGAGCTGCATCACTTCTGTCGCAATGCTTTTGGCCGATCTGTGTTGAGTGGGATGGAGTCGCAATTTCGGGTTTGTGTGAGTAGGCGAAAGGGCTCGATGAGGGCGGTTGATGTATCGACGAGAGCGTTTGCTAACCCCACTTTCCAAGCAAGCAGGTGAAGGCAGCAAATAGAAGCTGCCACTGAGACAAGGTGAGCAGGCGGCAAGGGCGATGCGCTATTCATCTAAAATAAAGACAAGCCAGCCAGGCATCGCTGCAGTTAACACCAAACGAAACACTATCAGTTCTTGCGGTTCAGCAAGAAACAGTTAAGTAGTACCTGAGACACAACGTCGTTGCACGGTTTTATTCCTTCAATAGCGCAAGCGCAGTACCCACGTATCATATTTACTCCTGTACCTGTACTACACCAAAACCAAGAACAGAACGATGTGTTTGGATGATCTGCTCGCCACCCTGGAGCGATGCCTACTAGGATCGCAGGGAATCAGACTTGTTACACCGCCAGAACTCTCATCTGATCTGAATTAAGGTCCCGCGTATTCATGGGCTCATGCGCAGAAGAATATAGATCATGCCAAGTCGAATTGAAGTGTCTCATATTCACCGATAGCTGGTCAGTGAGTTTGTCTGACATATGCGACATGCGCTAATTGAAATTGTTCGATCCGAAGTAGTCTCGGACATCTCAGCAAAACAAACAGTGCCCTGTAATTGTGCAATCAGTTCCTACTCAAGGGTGTCTAAGACTTGCGATCATAAATTGACTCACTGTGGCCCAAACGTACATCGCATCATGGGTTGTATGTTGACAATTGTGCACAATGCCCCGTACTCAATTGAGTGTGCAGCACTTCATCACTGAACTATGTTACTGAGGTTAACATAATCTCACAATGTTGGAGTGTACTTAATTCGACTTGAATTTTCTTGCATTGATCCAAGAAACAAGGCTGTTAGTCTTTGTTATCAACCGCTTGTTCACTCGATGTTACTCAACGCCATTCTAGTCGTCAGAGAATTCTTCAGAGTCGGTTCCAAACCAACGCATCGCCGGCCGATCGAAGGTGGAAGCAATTTGCAGCAAGAAAGAGACATCGAAGCGCCTGCCGAGTTCCAGCAGAACCCTCCTCAGCCACCTATGCATGCAGCCATGGAGCCACTACAAGACGCCATGCTCAATGGTCACCGAACAGACACGCACGTAGGATTTGCAAAAACACCTTACTCGCCAAATCATTTTCTCGAACAAACCAATATCCGGAGCCTACTCCAGGAGCCAACGTCCCAGGGACAGTTTTACAATTATTGGCGCCACCAAAAGGTCCTTGGAGAGGGTGGGGACGGGATAGTGCATCTATATCGGCAGCCGAAGCAACGGGATATGTATATTGCTGTGAAACTACCTCGAAGTCACGCAGGACGCAAAGCATTGGAGCAAGAGATCACAAACATGCGCATCATTGGCCGACACGAGCACATCTTGGAGCTCTGCTTTGCCATCGAGGATTGGCATCCATATGGGCCGGCAATGTTCCTCCCATACTGTGAGCTAGGCGATCTGATCAGCTATCGAGACTCATGGTGTGCAAAGCAAGAGAGTGACGGTCAACCCCAGCGTGTGTCAGAGATCACAATGTGGAAACTGTTCCGTGATATGGTGCTTGCTCTTAACTACTTACACAGCGAGCTTGGAACTCGTTATGTTCATAACGACTTCAAACCAACAAACATCTTAGCGGTAGTACCGTCAGACCAGACTGGATTTCAAGCGATACCTGAGGAGCCAGTTTTTAAGCTCTCGGACTTTGCTCGCCTCACGCCTTGGCCAACACCGAAAGGTATTCATGATGAGCCCTTTGGCGGTACTCCTGAGTTTGCACCACCTAGATCAGAACAAGCCTCCCCTATACATCCCTCAGCAGATATTTGGGGTCTCGGCGCCACTCTGCAATACATGGCTCTAGGTATTGTACCGATACAGTCACAAGAGGTGTTCATTCGAAGTCGCAAAGCAAAAGGTGAGACGCATCCCCGACTCGGAAATCATGCCGAATGGATGTCCCGATACTGGCGTATTCGGATTCCCACTATCTTCAGGCCAATCAGCGTGCCATCAGAAGTGCTGCAAAAGCACTATGACTTACCTTACGAGCTACCAGACTATCAGCAGTACAGTGCGCTCTTGGGCTTCTGGTATGCACAGCTATGGAAGCCTGTGCAGACTCGTCCTAAGGCCTCGATGTTAGTACAGGCAATTCCACACATGGATAACACTGTCACCCGCCTCAAGCTTGAGCGCACACAGCAAATATGTCATGATGAGGACTGAGATGTAGTCAGTGGATGGCCTGTTTCGATCGTTAGTGCCAGATCAATATAGAATGTATTAAGTACGAACAAACAATGAACAGAACTTCCATGTTTGATCTAGCTTGACCTTGTTCCAAAATTATGATTGTGTCTCTGATTGTGAGGAATGATTCGCGGTCTAGCCGTCCATCCCTGCCGTACTACTGCGCCTGCCCCACTGACGTCACCTCAATCGGGCGAACTACATATCGTTAAACCAAGACGCGAACAACACACCGTTTCCCTTACCAGTCAGTCCTTTTAGTCAACCCATCGAACATGGATTGGGCATCGAAATTGCCCTTTGGGCATTCGAAACATGCAGAGCCGCACGAGGAAGACCAGTCGCTCAACACCCTGCTGAACCCAGACCAGTGCGCAGACCTGACATTCCTGATCGCGACTATCACAGCAATTATGCGACAGTCAGTACTAGATACCTTCGTTGCCGAGGAGATACCACTGGATGCCGAAACTGTGAAGTCGGAGGAGGATACTTTGAAGGACGCACCAGATGTACCGAAGGAAGACAAGCTGAAGCAAAAACGGCAAAAGCGAGAACAGAATGCAAATGAGGAGCTGGCGCAACCAGAAGTACAAGAGTTGAAGAAGGCCATGTTGCAATACTTCGACGAATGGAGGGGCAAGGTCATCGGCCGCATCGGAGAGGTAGTCAACTCGCGACAGCAAGCAAAAGACCAGGCCAAACAGGTCGAAAGACGTAAAGTCGAGGAACTTGCAAGGATGTCTGGGACAGAAACAACGAATCTTGGAGATCTTTCGCAAAAGACCACAGACGAGGAAACGGCCTTTACAGAGCGTTACCCCGCCGTAGATTCACAACTCGCGCGTCTCGACGAAGCGAAGCGGACCCTGATTCTGCACTCTCTAGTTCTCATCCTTCTCAGTCTAGAGCACTATTCGGCACATTCTCGAGTGCTCTTGCTATACCTCACCAGCTCACTCCACCTGAATCTGTCGATTCTCAAGAAGGACGAAGAAAAGGTCGCACAAGGTCTCCTTGAAGCTGCATCGCAACAGCTAAATGCTGATGCCGAGACAAAGAAGGCAGCAGACGCCTCTAAGACCGCACGCAGATGGAAGGTAGGACTTGCCAGCGTTGCGGGTGCAGCGCTCATCGGCGTAACTGGCGGCCTCGCCGCGCCTCTTCTTGCAGCGGGTGTTGGGTCCGTGATGGGTGGTCTGGGCCTTGGAGCCACAGCTGCAGCAGGTTACCTAGGTACATTGGCAGGATCCTCGGTCCTCGTCGGTGGTCTTTTCGGCGCGTACGGTGCCCGCATGACTGGCGATGCGATGGACGCATATGCTCGACAAGTCGAGGATTTCGCCTTCTTGAACATCCACCGCAGCCAAGACCCCTCGAAGCAGGATAACGAGACCCGCCGCCTCCGCGTTGCCATCGCAGTGAGCGGCTGGCTGCGTGAGCCAGAAGAAGTCGTAGCCCCGTGGCGATATGTCGGCAAGGGTACCGAAGGCTTTGCTCTACGTTGGGAGCTCGAGGCTTTGCTAAAGCTCGGACACAGCCTCGAAACATTCATCACAAGTGCAGCATGGGGCTACGCAAAGAAAAAGATCATCGAGCAAACCGTCTTCGCCGCTATGGCCGCAGCAATGTGGCCCCTCGGCCTACTGAAGATTGCTACCCTACTCGACAACCCGTTCAGTGTTGCGAAGTACCGTGCTGATAAAGCCGGAGAAGTGCTTGCAGACGCGCTGATTAACAAAGTACAAGGCGAGCGACCAGTAACACTGGTGGGGTACTCCCTTGGCGCAAGACTAATATTCTCGTGTCTCCAGCGCCTCGCGGACCGCAAAGCTTTCGGCCTAATCGAGAACGTCGTGCTACTTGGTGCTCCGTGCCCTTCAGACACCGCTGACTGGCGCAAGATGCGCTCTGTGGTCAGTGGCCGTGTCGTTAACGTGTTTAGCACGAAGGATTACATCCTGGGATTCTTGTACCGCACATCTTCTGTCCAACTCGGCGTTGCCGGCCTACAGCCTGTTATGGGAGTACGCGGCGTTCAAAATGTAGACGTCACAGAGCTGGTGGACGGGCATCTGCAGTATCGCTTCATCACCGGATCTATCTTGCGCAAGATCGGGTTCGAGGACGTTGATGTCGCGGAAGTTGAGAAGGCGGAGCGCGAAATGGCGAAACAGAAGGAGAAGGAGGATGCTGAGAGGAGGAAGAATGAGGGCGAGGCGACTGGAGACGAGGAGAATGATAGTGAGAAGGAGAAGCAGAAGTTGGAGGGTGAGGTGCAGAAAAAGAGTGAACAGAGTATGTGGAAAGTCATGCAGGACAAGACGAAGAACTTGGACATTGGAGGGTTTTTCGGAGCAAAGGACGATACCAAGAAACCATCGCCACCGGAATCCGCAGCTGTTGGTGAGAGGAAGGAGCTAAAGAAGGCGTAGGGCTTTCAATACACGACTAGGGTTGAAGAAACCTTTGACAGAACATACGTCTAGTAACAGCAATGATATCTGATAAGTATTTGAGAACCTCCCATTTGTTCAGCTCTAGGTCATGCACACTATAGTCACACCAAAACACCGCAAATGCAGTAATCTACGAGAAATCTTCACCAGTTTCCTCAATAGTCCCCTTGATCCTCAACAACAATGTCGTCTTCCACTTGTCCAGCTTGCTCATCTGATCATACTGGAACAGCTTATCAGCGAAGACTTCCTGGTCGCCATCCTGAACCGCCGCTGCCAAGTCACACAGAAGCTGGTGCTCCCTCTGCTGGCTGAAGCTGGGGTCCAACTCCCTGTACCTGTCGAGCGCAGCGTTGACGCCGACCTGGTCGCCGGTGCACAGCTGACAGATGCCGGCCTTGAGCAGATACTCTTTAACGGACCAGCGCATGAGGTTGTTCGAAATGGACGTCTTGGCAACCTTCTCGTACAGCGAGATGGCCTTGTAGTAGTCCTTGCCTTCTAGCGCAACAAGGTCTGCGGTCTTCAACCAGAGCTTGTTTGCGAGTGCCTGTTTTGATGAGTCAGTTTTTGCCGAGAAGTGAGGACTAGAATCTCTGTATACCTCTGCGTTGTCCTATTATAAGTTAGACTTGCACTTTAATTTTTGGAGTTTGAAGGGTACTAACGCTTTCATACCAGCCGGCAGCCTCCTCGTAAGCTGCACCTGCACGAGCGTTATCACCAAGCTCCACTTCATAAAGTTCGGCAAGGTTCTGCTTGTGAGTCGCTGCACGGCGGAAGTTGCCCTTGCTGCAGTAGTGTGCAATGGCCTTATCTAAGCACCTCGCTGCTGCTTCTGGGTCATCTTTGCGGTAAGCCTCTGTTCAGGTGTTAGAATTTCATCACCAGCTTGGGAAAAGATGGCTGTACTGAAGGCTTCTGTGAGTGTGTTGGCCTCGTCGTCGGGTTCGTTCAGCTGTTGGCGCTGGACCGATGCTGCCTTCTCAAATGCTTCGCCGGCCTCCTTGCCTGCAAGATGTCAGTCGACCGGCGCAACCCTCCTTGAACCACTTTTGGAAATTTCATACCCATTTTCTGCATGCGGAACGCATTCGCTGCGGCGATGAATTGCTCTGCTGCTGCCTCGTCTGTCACGTGCGTTAGTACGAACCGCCATCTTGGATTGAGATCGCAGAGCCAATCGCACATTTGTCTTGTCGTCCACCGAAGAAGCTGAAGCCGCCAGATGCCTTCTGCAGCGACGTCTCGGCCTATTGTCGCAACTCAATATCAGTTATCTGTCTTGTGGCTGAGCCCGAAAGGGTGCCCCACCTGACGAAGCAAAGCTCGTGGGTCGCCAGCCATATTTGCGTGTGTGTAGGTGCTTGAAGTCCGGAGGGGGTTCTGTGTGTGTTGGAAAGAAGGAAAGCCTTCGAAAATAACGCGTTTCTTGAGGTTCTGTCAAGACAGGTGGCTGCGTTAGCTGCTTCAAAGGCGATGACGACCCTGGGGCTTGGGCCTGTGCGCCTTCCGCTGACCTTGAGACCCTTGGCCGCAAGGAGTTAGCCTCTCCTGCAGCTTCGACGACTCGGGGTTCTGTTGCGGCAGCGATAGCTATCTCACCAACTTGTCGCGGCAGTGTTTCGACGTATGCAAGCGCGTCTGATAACTCTACTAAGTAAACGGTTGTTCACATTCGCTACTACTAGCCCCACTTGTCAAAGGACTTGCGCCGACTCACGATGACCTCGCGGCGCGCATTACTGAGCGCCAGATCGCTCTACCGGTTTTCGCATTGCCCTTACCGACCCTTACATGTGTCTTCCCGATGTTCAGAAGCCCGATCCCTCAACAGCTCCTCCCCGAACAGCCAGCGGAGACCCGGCATACACCCAGACGAGCTGGAGGAACTCTTCGCGAAGCCCACGTGGTCCGTCGAATCGCTACTACCACCCAAGGAACGAGCAATAGATGCACCTAAAATCTCCTCGAAGCAACTGCATCATCTTCTCCGACTGTCAGCTCTCCCGCTGCCCGAAACACACGAACAAGAGCAGAAGATGCTAGATACACTCGCAGCCCAGCTGCACTTCGTAGGGGAGATACAGCGGGTTGATACTACAGGTATTGAGCCACTGCGAGCGATTCGCGACGAGACGAAGGCAGCAGAGCAGGAGCAGACGATCGGATTGGACACACTAAAAGACGCACTGGCGAAAGAGAAGACGATTGGCAAGTGGCACCGGCGCATACAAAGGGACACTACGCCAGTGAATGCCAAAGAAGCAGAAGACTGGGATGTCATGGGATCAGCGGAGAGGAAGGTTGGCAAATACTTCGTCGTTGAGAGCGAACGGCCATTAGAATGAGGGATACGCCCTTGCATTCAATGTGAGTTACGGATTGCCTAATACATGCTTTTGAATTGAAGTACTGAAACTTCCCCAGTGGTAGTCCCGAATGTGCCCTAGGCCGCGATGGACGCTTTGGCGATGGTACGGTGCTGAAGACTATATAAGATGAAGAAGCACACCAAGCCGATAAAAGAAAGATGACGGAAACCTGAACGCCTTTGTGAAAGCTGCAAGCGAACGCTACATGAACCAAGTCTAGTGGCACCGAGGGTGTCAGAGCAAGGCTCGTCGACATGCACTAGTGCACTTTCCCTTCGCATCGCAGTAGCAGAATGGCCGGCCACTATCGATGTCCGGTAAGTCAGGCGACGGCAGTCGGCGTGGTCGTGGTGCCGGAGGTGCTGCTGACCTCATGGACTCGACAGTCACAGGCTTGGCGTTTGGCAGGTCCTGTGAACGATCACGTGACTGAACGATGACAATCTGTCTTTCTGGTGTTGTCTTGAGAGGGTGTAGAGCCGCTTTAGAACCGGATGTACACACGGAAGAGTACTCGGTTGATGGTAAAGGTCGCTTGTATGGTGATTGAAGCGGTGACCCGGGACACAATGCAGACCGAACTTCATACGACTGGGCCATATATCGATTTCGACCATCCAAATGGTACGCGACTTCCCGATACTTGCTGGAACTCGATGCGTGGCTGGTAGACATGACGGATGCTGGTATCGTCGACGACGACGGCAGCGACGGCATGGTGATGGCTATTGGTGGTGCGCTGGGGCATAAACTGCAGACAATGGAACGGATTGGGTATGCAAGTGGCTTTGTAGTCACTAAGAGTTGGGGTTTGATGGTTATGTGGCACTGGGTGGATGGAATGGTGTTGGGGTGGAAGAAGGAACTGAAGAGGAACTGGGTGTGGAGGTGGGCGGTGCCAGATATATGTGCAGGTCAGCCCGCCAAGCCCAGTGTGCCCCGACACCTCTGGCTGCCTTCCCCTACCACGCTACCCCTCCACGACTGCGCACGTCTATTATCTGCCAGCCCCGTGAACTTCCCATGTTTCCAGACACCCAAACGTCATGACTCGAGGGCTTGCACACAATTTGTGTAGTTCTAGCAGGACTTGGTAGGCCTCCAGGACCCAACACGAGCGGCCTCCAAAGCGAGACGCTTTGGTTCACCATCCACTTGCAAACGAACACACCAAATCTAACAGAGCATTGTTTGTAAAACCAGAAGTCGTTGCATCGATTTGCACTCGGTGTCTCTTCCTTCCCTCCCTGCCGCCAAGCATCATACTCTCGGCGTCGAGAACAAGTACCACATCAACCACATCAACAACATCTATTCAAGCTGCAGGTGGGTGTGCGCAGGATTTGAAATAATCGCCAGCACGATACTTTCGCTCATTGAGCACACATAGAACTGTAAGGCTTACACAAAATCAGACTCCACAACCTGTGGCACTTGAACCATGTCCAACGTCTAAGGGAGCCAGCCTTTAGCGGATTTGTCCGTGTGCATTGTTCACTATAGATCTGCACTTTTCTAAACCAAGAGGTTCCAAATGCTAGCGATTGTTGATTGCAAGGCTTCGTCCAAATGATACCAGAGTTTCGTGCCTGGACGCCTGATCTTGCAACTTGGCACGAGATGACTTCTTGAGTCTTACACGAATTTACAAGGCTGTATTTCGCACGAGCACAGTGGCTCCGTGTGTTGAAGGGAGATCATGACCACACAAGGTCTAAATTAACAGTATCTATGGATGTTCCAAGAGTACAGCTCAACCGCATTCAGCACTCAGCATTCATGCATCGCAAAGACATGCATGAGAAATGAAAATATGTTATTTTATATCCCGGTTATACATCATGTTCTCAAAATCAAGAAAAGAAGCGTTATTAGATCCCGAATTGTGCCTCTGTGTAAGGCATGTGGTGAACAGGGGAAAGATCTGATTGGGTCGTCACGTACTACGAGCATGCGGATGTCCCATTTGAGCTGACAGAATAGGCTTGTTCAGGGGTAAAAGACTGCTTACTTTCGATCGAAAAGGCGTCGAATATTTGTGGTTGACGAATAGGGCTCACTAAATCCTGGGAGCCTAAAAAGCGGGTCCCACGTGCCAGCGCACGCGTGACGCGTGAGGCTCTGCCCATGTGCAACCGTCGCGAGACGGCCCGCCATACTGGTTCCGATCTCAGATCTTTAACATCAACATCTCGCTGCCGTCACGCTGCGTGGCACATATCCCACATTGATCAACACTCTTGTGCATTGCACTGCGCCTCTGCAGAAGCACACAGCACTCACTGACTTGTTCGTGTTGCCGATTGTGCTTGTGAAAGAAGAGACGCTCGTACCGGGTCGTGCCGGAAACTTCATGAGGCTTGACGCAAAGCGGCCCGTTAAGCCCATAATTGTGGTGCCGATCTAATTACTTCCGAGCGTGCAACAACAAAGCTCGCACGCGACTGACGTCAACATCGTACGCTGAGGAGAATAGTCAGAATGCCTAAGCAGTCTTGGCTGCATGAGCGCGTCTGTCAACTATTCACTTTCACCTCACACTCTCACTAAGTTGAAGAACTATCTGTAGCGGCACCGATTAATAAAGACTGCAATCGACTTGCGATGGCGCACAAGCGACGCGAACATGACTACGATTTCGAAGTACCCTGGCGCCTTATCGATGGTGAGATAGCGCACGCGCTCGACGACGACGCGGATTCAGAGCAGCACAAGAGAAGGAGGAATCAAAAGCTGAGGAAGAGATCAATACGACATTATCGTCATGCGACGGGCAAATGGGGGGCTGCGCTGGAGAGCTTCAAGCCCATTTGGGTGTGTTCCTAGGTGTTACTCTTGTTGTTGCTCACTTGCTAATGCAGAGATGTCCAGTTTGCCAGCGCCATCTCAACGGGTGGACTCGCACTGATTCTCGCCGCGCCTTTCCCGTACTCCGCACCCTGGCAGCTGCGCCTCTCATCCGTCCTATTTGTCTTCGAAATCGTACTTTTCGCCCTCTTCTGCGTGCTCACGCTCGCTCGCTGGATCGTATTCCCCCACGTCGCCGTCCGCCGCGCGCTGTCCGATCCAGATGAACTGTGCTCCTACGCCATCCCGCCAATCGTGCTCATGACCATCTCTGCGCTCACGGCCACGCAGGTCTCGACGACAGAATGGGGTGGACATGCATTTACCCTGGTCGCGTATGTACTATGGTGGATAGGCATGTTTTGGATGTTCCTGACGGGCGTTGTGGTCATTGTGACTTGCATTTACACGGGGAACCAGATGGACCGCACGATGACGCCTGTGTTATTTATGGCACCTGTTGGTCTGGCGACTGCGGGCGTGGAAGCCGGTAACATAGTGAATAATGGCGCGGAGATGACCGCGAGACTTGCGATGCCCATGATTGTTGTCGGATACTTTGTCGTTGGAATCGCGCTATTTATGGGTCTAATCCTGTACACTCTGTTTTTCCACCGTCTGCTTGCTGCTGGTCTCAATCCACCGGCGCAAAGAGCTGGGTTGTTCATCCTTGTTGGCGCGGCAGGGCAGCTGAGCTCTGCGTTTCAGATCCTGGGGAAGGCGGCACGAACGTACTTTCAGCAATACAAGCCGCAAGCTACGGATGCCATCTTTTGGAATGAGCAGACTGGTGCTGGTATCGACTTTTCCAGCCTGTTGTTCGGCCTACTCTTTCTCGGCTTTGATTACTTCACGCTTTGCCTCGCAGTCGTGGGCGTCATTGACGTTTTCGTTAAGAAACAGTTCGCATATACATTGTCGTGGTGGAGTGCGGTGTTCCCGACGATAACGTTGGTAACTGCTTGGCTCCAGCTGGGCAATACGATGGATTCACCAGCTTTCAGAGGATTGACAGCTGCATCGTACATGTGTGTAGTCGTTCTATATGTCCTGAACTGGGTCGGAACGATCCGAGGGATTTATACTGGCGACTTGATCTGGGCTAAGAGCGAACTGCATAGGGAAGAGGGCATGATGAAGAAAGCGAAAGACATGCAGAACATGAAAGAAACCAAAGAGGTATGATTAGACCAAAAACGGTCGATAGGTCCTATATCCAGGGTCAACTCTCCTAGTCACTCAATCAGGCGCTCTGTCAAGCATTCTACCAATCCCTCTATCAGGTGCCGTCCTGGCGATGTCCAACCTGCACTGCGTTTACCACAGAGGTTCGTTCCCAGATTCTCTGTCGCGCTAACCACTGGCCTACTGCTCGTCCCTATCACCGAGCCTCTCATACCGAGTTGATGAATTTTTACTAGTAGATATGTTGGTGTGAATGACCGTAAGCTCACGTGGATGCAGTACCAGTCGTGGATGATCGCGATCACGAACATCCAGAACGGCAAGGGTATCACTTGAACGCGTAACCGGTACTAGATCCGTTGCTTTAGTCCAGGTGCCTGCGCCCACGCCCTCGTGCGCTAATCGCTGCAATTGCAGCGTGGACCCAACTTGCCACTCGGCGTATGCGTAGTCGAAGTCTTCATTGTTGCGGATGCGTCTGAACTTGAATAGAAGAGCCAAGATTTCGTCCAAGAAGAAGGCCAGGAACTGAATGATGCCACCAACAATGAGTATGATCGACATGCCTAGGACGCTGAAAGAGTAGTGTTTCGAGCTGCGAACTCTCTACTAATAATCAATGGCAATGTTCTCACAAACCATAAGCTGTAACGTACCTGGCTCCGGCATTGTCTTCTGCATATGCCCCGATCACATAGATCCCCACCGAGCCATGATCCCCTCGCGTAGTCCACCAAAGAATGTTGCATAGCTGCAAAATTGGCTTGGCTGAGGTACACCATCTCCTTTTGCCATTGGTCTGAAGGCAATGCTTTTGTCTGATTCGCATGAACGGGCGTGTAAGTTACTGGTGGAAGTCTTAGGGTTTGCCTTGCGAGCAGGTTCGGCACATTTCTAGCTCCGAAGAAAGCCCCTATACTTTCCGCGCCAAATTGATGCAAAGTCATCGCTATAGGACGCAGATGTTCGCGATCCTTTTCGTCGCTCCATGCCCGCTCGAACGCAGCTTCTTGTTTGTCGTACTTTTGATAGACTTGTACACAGTTTCCCGACTGCGGGTTGCAATACTCTCTCTTGGTTGTACATCCGATCACTGAGACGACTTGATCAGAGCTGTAAGTGCCATTGATCCCGAGCTTCGTGGCTGAAAACCAGGGATCGTCTGTCTTGTTCAAATAGTTGACGAATGACGAAACCAGGAAAAGCATGGTTGTACTCGTATCCTTGACATTGAACCCGTCGATGAACAGGATTCGGTCTCCATAGCGGGATTCCAGTTCGAGTGGGCTAACTGCGCTGCGCCATTTGTTAGTGAGGTAGTGCAAGGCTTTGAGAGGCAACGCACATCTGGCGTGCATTGCTACCAACAAATGGAAGAATCATAACTCACTAGACTACGTAGTTGCCTCTATGGCTCGAGGCTGATGTGCTTGTGTCTTCCTTACTTTCGAACGTCAGATTGTCTTTCCTGGCCCCGAGATAATACTTCCAGATACCGGGTGACGAAGTAGTATCGGCTGTAACGTTCAAAGGTGCGCAATGATGCTTCACCCTCATGGTCAAAGGTGGACCGCGGTTCAACCCAAGATGTTTGTAGCCGTCCAGCAGCTCTGTCTCGACTATAAGATTGCCGTATTGCAGCTTACATTGAGCCTTATCGGGAAAAGGGCAGGGAGCGTTGGTCTCTTTAGTGTAAGGCAGGGTTGGAGTTGGCAGGATATAGCACTCGTCGGGCAGTTGAGACTTGTCTTCCTCTTGATAGCAGCGTTGAGCATATTTCAGATAGTCACCCGACTTTTGGTTTAAGAATGGTGCAATGTATGCCTGCACATCCTGATTTTCGGATCTGATAAACCCGACGCCTGTTAGATTGACGCCACATTTGTCAGTGGGGCCAGAAATAAGGACATCTTTTGTGCCTTGGGATACGCGGGACGAAAAGATACCTAGTCAACAGTGAGTCTTTTGTGTTTAGGTATCTTGAGGCCAATATCCTCTCGAACGTACCAGCTAGAATGAAGCCGACGGCTACCAGCAGAGCAACGAAAGCTGCATCTAGAGTTTTCCGTTGGCTTTTCAGCACCCTCTGACGCCATGTTCGCCATATGTCCAGGAGCTCAACGACTGCATCAAGAGCCAAGTTTGAGTTTCGCAAGGTAGCTTGACGCTGTAGATAAGGACCGTCTGGACTTGCTTGTGAGGACCCTTTGAAGTACAAAATGCAACGAACGAGTTTCCAGAGGCCTCGACCGCTTGCATTGACGTACAGAGCCAAGAATGCAATCAGAAGTTCGCCGCTTCTGTGACCCAGTGTCAATGTTGCTCCTTCAATGAAATGAACGGAGCGGTTCATCCAAAAGCCACGATAAATCTCCGCATCGAGAGAGCTCGTGACGATGTTGACATTATCAGGTAGCCCCGCCATCCTGGGATAAGTAACGGTGGATACAGCAGGGGAATTTAAGTGAAAAGGAGTTAAGAGCGGTAGCAGAAGACCACATGGCGGAACCAGGCTGACAACCCTTTTTCTCATAGTTGCCAGCCTGATGCAGTCACTCAGCCTGATCTCGTTACTTGGCCAAGTTCGTCATTCCGGCCCCTCAGCTTCACAGTGCCAAGTCGGAAGATGTCCTATAGATAACTATGTGGCTGCATACGGTGTCCCTTCAGAAACGACACAACCTCTACTGTTAGGGTTTGACTTGTTTAAGGGGGCGCAGATAGGTAGGTGCGGAACAATTAGGTAGCATGACTGGATGGTCTTCACGCAACTGTCAGAGAATGAACGAGATTGTTCACTGTCAGAGATGTAGTTCGAGGTAGCGTGGAATAAATACTGCGCGACCATAACAGATTCAAGACGTGATGGTGTTGGTGGGAGGGATCACGGACTGGGGAAGAAGCCTTGACCTGTTCCGGATGCTAGCGTGTTGTGGGGAAAGCCGAGGCTGTCTCGTTCACATGCCGCGCGGAGCAGTTTCGTGGTCACGCATCACCGCGTCCTGCATGTCTGACAAGGTTCACATGTAAGGCGCATACACGAACTGGCTTTTTAGAGTCTCCATTCCCTCGCAAGAGCTCTATTCCGACCCAGTTCACAGCTCGGCGCAGCGCGCGTATGGTGACGTGATACACCTCCGCTGCGAATGCCTCACCTACAGTAGCCATGGCCGTCTTGTCGAAACCTTGGTCGAAGCAGGGGCTATCCAGCGCTTCGATCAAGTCGCTCGTTAACGAATTCACCTCGCTATACCTTCAAAATCGCACACGCATATCACGCGCAGTCTACATCACACTATTCGTGGCCCTCATAAACCGTGTGCGCAACGCCATCGCCGAACAGAAAGCCGCCTCGATACGACGCGAAGCCCAACGAAAGACCGGTACAGGACCTAGCGATGGCGAAGCGACAGGGCGAAAGAAGGTTGAATTGAACCGCGAATTCTTCAAGAATCTCTTACGGTTGCTCAAAATCTGTATACCGGGATGGAGGAGTAAGGAGTTCAGGCTGATCATCAGTCATAGCATCTTCCTGGTGCTTAGGACAATGATCAGTCTGTATGTCGCCGAGCTCGACGGAAGGCTAGTTAGCAGTCTTGTACGAGGCAAAGGCAGCGAATTCCTGAAAGGACTGGTATGGTGGATGGCTGTAGCCATCCCAGCAACCTTCACGAACTCAATGGTAAGTGTTGTTATACAAGTCACTATCATGATTGGAATCTGACACGCGCAGCTCTCCTACCATCAGTGCAAATTGTCACTGCAGTACCGCACGCGACTTACGAACTACGTCCACAACAAGTATCTCTCGCAGATGACCTTTTACACGCTTTCAGCTCTCGACGACCGAATCAAGAACGCCGATCAGCTCATCACAGTAGATGTAGCCAAGTTCGCGAACAGCCTCGCTGAGTTGTACTCGAACCTCGCGAAGCCGGTGCTTGATATAATTGTGTACAACTACTCGCTATCTCGCAGCGTGGGAGGAGAAGGTCTCTTCTTCATGAGCTTACTCGTTCAGCTTTCTGCGAACGTTATGCGCGCGCTCACTCCACCCTTTGGCAGATATGTTGCGGACGAGGCTCGCCTTGAAGGCGAGTTCAGATTCCAGCACTCGAGACTAATAGATTATAGCGAAGAAGTGGCACTGTACCATGGCCATGAGGCAGAGAAGGATACACTGGACAAGGGCTACTTCACATTGATCAAGCACGTCAACAGGATTCTCAGGAGACGTCTGTACCACGGTGTCATGGAAGACTTTGTCATCAAGTACTTCTGGGGTGCGCTTGGGCTCCTGCTCTGCAGTGTGCCCGTATTCTTCCAAGTTCCTGGACAAAACGCAAAGAACATGGGCGACCGGACGGAAAGCTTCGTGACAAATCGTCGCATGTTGCTCATGTCGTCTGATGCTTTTGGCCGAGTCATGTTCTCCTACAAGGAAATTACCGAGCTTGCTGGCTACACGTCTCGTGTGGCCACGCTACTGGACGTCATCGACGATATCCAAGCTGGCCATTTTGAGAAGAAGCTTGTGTCGTCCGCCGACACAGAAGAGAACGCGGCCGTCTTACGTGGCCGCGGTACGGTCACAGAGGGCGAAGACATCGAGTTCGTCGACGTGCCTATTGTGTCGCCTAATGGAGACGTTCTCGTACGTAAATTATCATTCGCGGTCAAGCCCGGGGATCATCTCCTCATTGTCGGGCCAAATGGCTGCGGCAAGTCCAGTTTGTTCCGTATCCTGGGTGGCCTGTGGCCTGTGTATGGTGGCACGGTGCGGAAACCACCCTTTGAGGATATCTTCTACATCCCTCAACGCCCATATCTCTCTCGTGGAACACTACGCCAGCAGATCATCTATCCTGACAACCTGCGCGAGATGCGCGACAAGGGCATCACAGACGACGATCTGTTTAATATTCTGAGCGTGGTAGAGATAGAATCCATTGTCGACCGTCCGGGTGGCTGGGATGCCGAGCAGGAGTGGACAGACGTGTTGTCCGGCGGCCTGCAACAGCGAGTGGCAATGGCGCGTCTGTTCTATCACCGACCCCGGTACGCAATTTTGGATGAGTGTACTAGCTCCGTAACGCTGGAGATCGAGAGGGTGATGTATGATGAGGCAAAGAGACTAGGCATCACGCTCATGACTGTTTCGCACAGGAGAAGTTTGTGGAAGTACCATGAAAAGATCCTGCAGTTTGACGGGCAAGGGAAGTACGTGTTTACAAAGTTGGATGCAGAGCGCAGACTTGAGCTTGAAGAGTGAGTTAACACACTATGTCTTTCGAACGTTCGCAAGCTAACTTTGCCCAGCGAGAAGGAAGACATCGAGTTGCAGCTGCGAGCTGTTCCAGATATTGAGCAGAGAATTGCGGAATTGGAGGCTTCTATGTAAGAAGCTAGTTGTTCAACGTTTGATAAGCTGTATACCTAGAAAATACCCACAACAACTATTGAAGAACGTGAATGACCGAAAGATGGTCTCCCTCATCAACTGCAATTCTGTCGAGTGGGTACGTGCGCCAATCGGCGGTTGCGAGCTCCGTGCCCTCGAAGCTCAGACGCGTCTCCACGCATCTCTCCACAACAAAGCTCGAAGCTGCCTCAACACGCAACTGCGCCCGGCAGCAGCCACCCGCCATGTCAGAATTCAAGGTCGGCCAGCGGATCGAGACTAACACCCATCGGACGGGTATCGTGAAATATGTCGGCCCTATCCACGTCGCAGAGGGCGCCTGGCTTGGTATCGACCTGCTGGAGCCCATGGGTAAGAACGACGGTTCGGTTCGCGGCGAGCGATACTTTGACTGTCCACCTCAGCATGGACTGTTTGTCAAAGAGACAGATATCCTCCAGATTCTCTCACAGCCAGTACCGAAGGCAGCAGCACCGAAAGCTGCAGCACCTAAACCGAAAGCCCCCACGCCTGCACCAAGATCACGGCCCTCGAGCACTGTTGCGCCCAAGTCTACTTCAAGTCGACCCTCTAGCGTCACCTCGCCTCCAGCTGTCTCGAGGGCACCCAGTCACACGAAACGTCAATCTGTAGCACCTGTTGCTCCTCGAACCCCACTACGAGCACCTACGCGCAAGCCCAGCGTTGCCAATGCTTCAACCGTAGCTCCTTCGCCGCCTCCCACGCGTCCTTCAGTCGTTTCGAAGCCGAGCACATCGTCAGTCTCGTCCGTGTCACAACCACAAAATCCACTGAGAACTTCAACAAGAGACAGCAATGTCGACGCGCTACAAACCAAGATCAAGCACATGGAAAAACAGCACTCGGAGGACCAAGCGCGGCTCAAGGAATTGTCGCAAGCCGAAAGTGAGCGCGACAAATACCAGGGGATCATGCAGAAGTTGCAAACCAAATTGCAAGCATACCACCAAGAATCCAAAGACGCCAAGGCGGAATTGGAGAAGCTCATGGAGGAGAACAAGCAGCTGTCTAAAGATGCGCAAGATCACGAGTTCGACCTCGAAGATGCATTGCTTGAGAGGGAGATGGCGCAAGAGCGAGCTGATCAGAACGAAGCCGAACTGGAGGGGCTTCGAGCGAAAGCTGAACAGCAGGATCTCGAGCTAGAGATTTTGAAAGACGAGGCAGAAGCATTCACTGCGCATATGTCCGAAGAAGATAAGGAACAAGCCGGCTACTACAGACTGCAGCACGAGAACGACCGTCTCCGCGAGGCGTTGATAACACTCAAGGAAATCACGGAGGATGAGGCACAGAACAGCAAAATCCGTATCGATGAGCTGGAGGAGGATTCCACTCAACTGGAAGCTTTGCGCAAGGAACACGACCTACTGCAACAGAGATTGGCCGAGTCGCAGGGCATCACAGAGCACCTAAAGGCTCAAGTCAACGACCGGAACGAGTTGGAGGACATCGTTGAGGAGATGTCAAGTAAGATTCAGGAACTAGAAAGTACGATGCGAGACCAGGAACAGGCGATAGAGGAACTGGAATCTCTCAAAGATCTGAACGAAGAGCTTCTGGATCAGCAAGATGAGGCAGCCAAAGATCTACGTGCCGAATATGAGGCCAAAGAAGCTGAACTTGAGCAGCTCGGTGAACGAGCGCTGGAGCAAGCGAGGACGATCTCGGATCTTGAGGAGACGAACACAAAGTTTAGGGATCTCGTTACAGAACTACTCACGCAGATCAAGGAGGCCGAGGCGACAAAGACGATGACGGAGGCCCAAGTCAAAGACACGACAGGCCGGATCAATGAGATCATGGATGTCAACAGACGTCTACGGGCTGCAGAAGTCAACGCTACAAGCAAGGAGATTACCTCAGAGCTCCGCCAGCTCAAGGCTGATCAGACGACTGAGATGCTAGAAATCTTGAGTGAAACACAGTCACAAGAATTCGGTCGAAGTGAGCCGATGCAGGCATACTTCACCGCGAAGCGCATCATGTTCAAATCAAATGTGCTCAGCGGCCTTTTGGCTAGTGCTGATAAGCATGCAGACCATAAGGGCAACGTGGAGGAGGCAGCTTCAAAGCTGCTTTCTATCGAAGCTGGCTACTATCTCGCGAATCTCAGCAGTGGAAGCAATCGCATTTCATCCGCGATGGCAGTCTCAACCCTGCAGCAATTCGCAACATTCAGCGCCGCTCACGCTGAGCTAGTCGCAGTCGAAAGGAACCTGGATCATGGACTCGAGGCTATCAAGGCCGACAGAGTCAATTTCTCTGAACTAGCCAAATCTTTCGGTGGCTCGATCGAAGTATACAAGGCTGTCCTCTCCAACCACCAGCCAGGTCTAGCAGAGCGACCTGAAGACGAAACCATGCTACGGATTTCCTCCATCGCGGCAAGCTTGTCATACCTGGACGCCACCTGCACAGCGACTATCACGATGCTGAAGTCGTTGGCAGAGACCAGCGAGGAGCTTGCGGAGGATGCAGAAGACGTTGTGGACCGGTTCGCAGCACCTTCTGCGGTCTGCAGTCAGAGCATGCTAGCGGCCACCAGGCTACTGAAGACATGTAACGATCGTAGAGGAGATGGGTTGTATCCTCAATTCAATGGCGATTTTGATTTGATCATCGAGGCAGAAGAGTATCTTACTAAAGTTACTCATGATGCAGCTGAATGGTCTCGTTCTGCCATAGACGAGCTGCGTCGATCGATTGATGCAGATGGTACACTCGTAGCACCTGTCAGCCTCAAGGATCTTTTGCTCCCATTCTGGAGCGGCCAATCAAGTAAGCTGGAGAATCTCATCGCCTCGCTGAACAGTTGGGTTGAGTACGCTTTGCTGCTGAAGGATTGTGTCGAGATCCAGCATGGTCCCGCGCCCTGGACGGAGAAAGCAAAGGAGATTGAGGCGACTAGGAGACAGGTCGACGAGGCAGCTGCTAAGCTCCAATCGATCACTGCCGAGCACCAAGCGACACTTCTCAGACTTCATGAGCGTGAACAGGTCATCGAAACCAAAGAGCTTGAAATCGAACACCTGGCAGCCAAGAACCGCGAAGCCACGAATAAGAGTGAAGACGTTCAGCGCCTGCAGGACGAGATCACAGCAGCACAGACGGAGATCAAACAACTACAAAAACAAGACAAGGCTCAGCAGCAAGAGATCAGCGATCTGAATACCAAGCTCGCACACGCCGCGCAGTACGAGCCTGCAGAGTCAGACAATGCGCCAGTCGTCGCTGCGCCTGGCCCCGAACCGGCAGACGCATCGTCCCGCAGCGCGCCTGCAAGTCTGATGTCCCTCCTCGACGCCCTGCAAATCGAGAACCACTGGCTGCGGCAGAAGAACCACAGCGCTGCCTTTGGCACAAAGCAGGTCGACCTGCTCAAGTTCATGCGGCCCATCGAGAAGCGCGAGCCGAGCAAGCTGTCTGCTGCTACCGAGAGCCTGCTCAGCCTGGCGTGGCTGACAGACGACGCCGCGCTGCCCGAGACCCTGAGCAGCATCTCGAGCCGCCACGGCGCGGAGACAGACGCTCCTCGACAGACGCGTCGCGCCAGGCACGCACCACTCGCCCTCGCGCCGCTGCAGACCCAGCTCGACTTCCTCAAGAACAAGGGCCGGCTCGACTTCCCAGGCCTCGACGATACAAGCTTCGCGGACCTGTCACCGACGCTGGAGAACTTCGATTCCGAGATCTTAAGTCTGCGCCCGCTGAGGAGCATTATGGTGTAAGGGGCTGTGGCTGCACTGGGAGCATGTATGGGATGGAGGGCACGCGTGATGGAATTGTTTTCAGCGATATACCCCCGCGGCACGGTGTGCTGCTTGCTTGAATACGAATGCGGATGTCTATCCTGTTATTCCAGGTGCTGTTGTGATGCGATTGCGATGCGAATACTGACATGTAAATGTCGTGACATACTGTCGGCAGCTGAACAGAAGAGGCAGCTGCGTCAGCGCCGCCGACACACCTCAATCTTGTTACCTTCCTGTCTAACATCACAACAGACTGTCCCACCCAACACGATGAACGCTTAGCATCATGTCAACAATTTTGAAAATCCCTTCGCCTCTCCGAACATAGCCCCTACACCCGCATCTTACGTATCCACCCCTCCGCTTCCTCTACTAGCCCATCCACTGCACCCTCACCCTCATTGCCCTCGACGCCCCGTCCCATTACTCCGCAGTCTCATTTGCTTGGGGCGATCCAGGTGAGACCCGCACGGTGTATGTGAACGGAGTCCCGCTCGCCGTGCGCTGCATTCGTGAGAATCTTTGCTGTAGATGCGGGGCGACGGGCACGCGGGACTGCTGTGGATCAACGCTATCGGTATTAACCAGGAAGATGAACACGAACGAAGTCGACAGATGACTACAAAGGCGGGATCTACACGAAGGCTGGGCTTGTGTATGTGTGGCTGGGCTCTGGCGAAGCGTGTGTGGAGACTTTGATCCGGGAATCGAATGAGATCGAGTTGCTAGCCAGCATACCTGTGGATCCATCACCTCGCTATGAGTGGCTAACTTCTATGCATCCGAATGCGCAGATGTGCGAGACCACATCTTCGCGCTGCCACCTTCGACGAAACCGGAACCAAGTAGCCTCTAATCTTAAGCGACTGTAGCAAGACCACGTCGACTCTGTTCGCTGAGGTCATGGCAGGGTTGCTGGTGGACTGCGTTCCAGGTGCAGACAGCTCTCGAACTCCCTAACTAGGATCCTGCGGTTTTTAAGGGTTTCATCGAGTTGAGCTACGGCAGGGTGTCTCGGTGCGCCAAGGACAGTGAAGCAATGCGCGAAGAGTTCGCGGAAAAGGCCTTGAGGCAACGATCTCGAAATCCCTCGTAGACGAGACATGCAAAAGCTCAATGGCACACCAAAAAGGGTGGTTTCGCAATAAGTCCGATTCATTTGTCTTTCAGGTCTCAGAGCCTGCTCCTCCGTTTCGACAATTTTGCATATTGTCGTTCTGTCCTCGTCTCGCCGTCCTCCATCTCATACTCCGAGGGCGCAAGTCTAGAGTGCACGCTCTCCACGGCACTCAGAGGCCGGAGTCGCTCAGTACCAGCAGGCTGGCTGACCTTTGTAGGAGCCTTGGTCTTAGAGCTGAAAGGTAACCGCATACCACCAAACGCGGCTGTGATCCCCGAGAAGAACCCGGTTCGTTGTGGGTCCGTTTGATGTGCAGTACCGTGACCATGATTGTGGGCGTGCGAGTGCGAGTGCTCGTGTCCTGCAAGAAGAGCCGTCTTTTCGCCTGGCTCCATATACAGGTGCTCGCCCTCGTGATTAACGAACCAGTTGACCATGTATTGTTTGCCCTCAGGCCCTCCGCCACAACTCCCTGCAAGAGCTTGACTGGGTGGACTGTTGACAGCCAACGCAAAGAGATTGGGTGGTTCGGAAAAGTCGGTAACGAGACCGCGATGCATCATGAAATAGACGAGAACGAATATGTTCATAATGAACACCAGAAAGAGAATGATCATCCAGGCTTTAGAAGGGTTGTCCACTCCACCAGAAGCGTACTGCTGTGCTCTAATCGTTGCATTGAAGTACTGCGTTTGCGGGTCACTAAGCATGGGCTTGGTGTAGTTCTAATAACGTCAGCAAGTAGTCATAGCTGAACGATATTTGTATGGTTGACGTACCCAGAAAGGGACGAAAGGCGCATCGATGAAGCTCTTAAGCAACGTGCACCCCGATAGAACTGCAAGAGCTTCGCTCATACTTGGAAGCAATGGATTGAGGTCGACGTTTAGGTTGTCCGGATCGGCATCCCTACCACCCTCCGGCACCAGCTGTAGCTGCATAAGTAGTCGTGAGTTGCTGGCTTCGCCGTCACTGAGGCCAGTACCGAGCGATAGACTGTTCGACCAATCGGTACCAACGTCTCGCCAGTTAGCGAGACCTCGCCTCACTGTAGCATTCGTCTGGCTGTTGATGTACGCCATTTTGCCAACGGTATCATCTATCGGATCTCCACAAATCGCTTTCAATTTTCCACCGGAACCACCTGCCTCGTACCGGGTGCTACAATATGGCGTGATGTCGACATCGATCTTGCAAACTGAATAGACGTCAGTCATGTTAGGGCCCGATATACCATCTCCTCCTTGGCCCATCACATAAATGGCAGATCGACCCCAAGCATAGCTTGTGTGGTTGAGAATAGTGTTAAAGTGTCTTGGGAATTTGGCGAAGACAGGAGGGTAATCGAGCATCGTCACATTGTCTAGTTTCGTCCAGCCAAAGATATCGTCCACGACTGTCTTGTTGGTAGTAGTTGCGTTGGCCATCAGATTTGTTTTCTGCCAACTTGTGGCATTGACGATCTCGTCGTTCGGCCATTCGGTGTAGACCAGAGGCGCAAGCTCAGCCTTGTTCATGTTTACACATAAGACTTTCATAACTGGTGACGGGACAGAAGCCTCAAGTGTGTAGGTGCCTTCCGAATCTAGCTCTTCTGGCTGGAGTATCCCATTCCCCTGGTCGCGTGCTGCTGCAAATACGCCAGCGTGAGGCATAGCAAGGGAAACGTTGTTAATGGCGCGCTTGTATTGTTTGGATACCTCGGTGGTGTTGATGATGTCGATCCAGTCTGCGGTGACTGTAGTATTCTCGTACAAAAGCCCAAATCCTAGCGGGCGTTTCTTCTGATCAGAGGAGCTATTACCGGTGTTGGCCTCGTGTGTCCAGTCAGCAAGGTACTTGTGATAATTATAGAACCCCTGGCCAGCATGTTCGATCTGTGTACAAGTTGTCCCTGAGTACTCTGGGTCCGTGGTGATCGGAGACTGACACATTTTCTGGATGTATAGAATGTTCGCAAAGTCAGTCTTGACGCTTCCAGCCAAAAGCCTTGTTTCTAGGTTTCCATCTCTCAGCATCGGCTGGACTAAAGCGGTTGCCGCAGGCGCATACAGCGTAGCCAGAATCGCGCTCAGCAGACTCAACATGCCCAGGAAGGACAGACCAGCGTACTTGGCAGTCTCCCAATGTGTGATAAGGGTGCCGGGTTGAACAACCCATCGCCACATACTCAGTTCCGAAAGGGTCACACCTCCACTCCGGCTGAATGCTCTCCTACTCAGCACTTGTCCAAGAAAGGACACGAATCCTGTGACAAAGGAGAGCTCGATCACCTTTGCAATAATCGAAGTCCAGAGGATTGCAGTGGCAGGTCGCATCTTGGCTCCAGCACTCGTGCTGATGTAGCGTCCATATCGAGGAGCACTTAACGCCAGACCCAGGTAAATCCCCGACAATACCGTGGAAAGTATGCATATGAATATGATCGTGCCATTCAGCCAAGAGAATCGGGAATGATAGAAATCTCTGCGTGTCTGACACTCGTGGCCTGGATGAAAAGCATTATTCTCGAATGCCGACTTAATGGAGGGCGCGCCGCGCAATGGTTGAGTGTCTGACGCGTGGAGATACTGCTGAAAATCGGCGGTGCTGGCACGGGCCCGCGTGTATTCTGGTACGGTGCGTTGAAACTCCTCGTAGGTTCCTGTATACGGACTGAAGCGCTCGCGAGCCAGATCAGGTGTAGCCTCTGCTGAGTCGTGAGGAAATCTACCCAGGAAAGGGTCACTCGTGTCTGGCGGAGACACTGTAACGCCCGGGCTCCATAGGGCAGCAGCGCTTCCTGATTTGCGGAGGTGGGGTGGTATTGCTGTTTTACTGCCCAGAGTGGGAGAGTCGCCAGGTGCTGCTATACCCAGTCCGCCGCTCGCTTGGCCCTGAAAGGTGCCGGCGATGTCTCCTTCAGCTTCCTCCGCAATTGTGGATGGGGCATGCCGGTCGGTCGCATCGTTGCCCACTCGTGAGTATCCGGTGCGCGCGTACGGTGAGGCAGAAGGCGAATGATCGTAGGAGATGCCGAATGAGGGAGAGCTGTTTTCGAAGCCCAGCGCGGGCAGTGCAGGTGTTGAGTCGGCGCTGTTGGGGTTGCTGGGAGCTTCGCGACGGCGTTCCGCCATGGCTGCCGCGGAACTTTACGAGCAGGGTTGTCGGGGTCCCGCTGCTGCCCTTGCAGTGGCCTGAGAGGTTTCAGCCGTCTTTTGTTTTGGTCGAATTGGAGTTGTCAGTTCGACAAGGTTAGGGTCGGTATCAAACCGGGGTAACCCGTACTGTGCGACAAACGGCCTGTATCTTACAGCGGAGCTGCAGCGTCATCAGAATCAGGACTGACGGAGACACAAGTGAGAGAGAAGCTGCAGTGAAGTATGCCCGACATGTCGTGCTGTGCGCGGTGGGCTGCCTCAGGCTATGCGCCCCATGGCTGGACCTCAGCCCTGTGCCGCATCGAGGAAGTGCTGGAGCTAGCTGCCACAGCGCTTGTCGGCTAAGGCGTGGCTGTTGTCAGCCCCCAATGACGCACTGAAGCACATGTTCGTGCGCTGAACTCAGCTGCCTGTCAGAGCACCTGTAGCACGGTGCGGAATTGCCAACAGGAGATGATCTCTTGTTTGCATCTCTGCGCACTGCTCTTCGCGAAATGGATGGAGAGCACCAGGAACAGCGCGACGCTCGTGCCACGGATTGCGGCGCATGCAGCCTTGGAGGTATTGGCAAACATTTGGTGGCCGTGTGAGACGGCGCGCATATGAGCGTCATTTGTCACATTGCTGTATGGACGCGTGGACATGGTGTTGGGGCGTGCATAGCTGAAACGGGCGCATTTTGAGGTGGGGTGACAGAATGCCAGTGTAGCCTTGTCACGCACTGTTGTGGAAGGGCAACGAGATGGATCCCGAGCAGCAGAGTCGCGGCAGCACTTTGTATAGCAGCCACGGACGCTGCGCTTGCTTCGTTGTGCAACGGACTTGCTGCCTTCGGCAGAATGAGACTCCTTGCTCTTCTTGGTAAGCACGCCTATGACACTGACACAGCATGGAATGCAGACTCGTTGTATGGAAAGATTGTACTATCTTTGAATATGACGAATACCAGCTGCGCTGACCTCTATTTTTGTTGAACTCCAGCACTACCGCCTCTCTCCTGATCACATGATCTGTCATTCACCACCTGCAAGCTGCGAAGAAAGCAAGACCTGTGTTCAACTGCCAATGGACGAACACAGGTTTTGGGGAAAGTTATCAGTGACTGGTCCTCCAGTCTTTTGTAAAAGCAGCGTCCTCAATCATGTCACGTGTGACGGACCGAGCACCACCTCCGTTCAGCTCGAGCCAAAGTGACAGGCACGACAATTGCAAGTATGAACAAGTGCGTCCGAGCGAAACGGGGAGAACGTCCGGGTCTCCTGTTTCGAACAAAAGTGTCCGACATTGTGCGATCCGCTGCACCCCGACTTTTGGCGCTTCGCTGATAAATAATCCTGGACACGACCACGCTTGTTTAATCTACTTAGAACCTCATGACATGATTGCAATTCGCCTTGCAATGGCCGCTTGGTCCATCTCAGCCCGGACGTCTCTCCTCCGTCAACAACAATACCCATTTAGGTAACTTGCTGAAAAGTCTATAGCGATTCTCTCAATTTGCTTTCTAGATGTGCTTGTTGTACAGTGCTGGAAGCTGTGATCGACAACACCAAAGTGCATGGACTATACTAACCCCACCATTGGAGTCCTGTCATCTGCCCACAGCCATGGTTAAATCTGTTTCGAAACGGAGGGCTTTCTCCGACAAGTTCATGTGCGACTTGGAGCTCATTACATTTAATTGTGTATAAAAGTCTTGCGAAACCCCTTTCTGGAGAAGCATCACTGCAACGACCGACTTCGCACAACTATGAAGCTTGCCACGATCCTCTCCTTCGTAGCTGCGGTGGCCGCGCTACCAGCTGCGAAGAATGATGTCTCTCCACGCGCGTCGTACTCGAAGACGAATGATCTCAAATTCAACATCGACGGTGTCACGAAGTGTAAGTTGAAGTGCAACGCTTACAGATTCGATAACTGATTATGATCAACTAGACTATGCTGGTTCAAACAGCTACTGGATCCCCTTCCTCACAAACGATAACGACGTCAACACTATCATGAGTAATTTTGCCTCATCCGGACTGAAGATTCTGCGTATCTGGGGTTTCAACGACGTCACATCTATCCCCGGCTCTGGTCAGGTCTATTTCCAGTCCTTCTCTGGTTCTACAGCTACCATTAACACTGGCGCCAATGGCCTGCAGCGCCTCGACGCCGTCGTCAAGGCTGCCGAGAAGAGCGGCGTGAAACTCATCATTAACTTCGTAAACAACTGGACCGACTACGGCGGCATGGCAGCCTACTTCTCTGCTTGCGGTGTCAGCAGCAACGCCCAATGGTACCAGTCTACCAAGTGTCAAACCATGTACCAAGCCTACGTCAAAGCCGTCGTATCCCGCTACCGCACCTCGACCGCCGTCTTCGCCTGGGAACTCGCTAACGAGCCGCGCTGCAACGGCTGTGCAACCTCCGTCCTCACAAACTGGATCCGTAGCTCGTCTAACTACGTCCGCTCGCTCGACACCGACCACATGATCGCCATCGGCGACGAGGGCTTTGGTCTTTCCGGCGACGGCTCGTACCCCTACCAGTTCGGCGAGGGCCTCGACTTCGCCGCCAACCTGGCCCTGCCTAACATCAGCTTCGGCACCATTCACCTGTACCCCGGATCCTGGGGCGTGACGAACGATTGGGGCAATGCGTGGATCACCGCGCACGCCGCCGCGTGCAAGAAGGCCAACAAGCCGTGCTTGCTCGAGGAGTACGGTGTGGACAAAGAGGCGGACCACTGCCCGGTTGAGAGCAAGTGGCAGAGCACGAGTCTGGGACTCAAGGATGCCGGGTCTGCGGGTGATCTGTTCTGGCAGCTGGGCGACAAGATTCCCAGCACGGGTGCGCTGACGCACAACGATGGGCATACCATCTACTACGGAAGTGCGGACTGGACATGTCTGGTCACGAACCATGTTAAGAACATCGGTTAGAATACCTTTCATTAGGAATCCAATACAAAGGGTCGCGATACGACCAAGAACAATTAACCTTCTGGTCACCAAGATGACTGTATGCTTGATCTACGAAGTGTTAAGTGTCACTGTGATATATATGTTATGTGCACACTACACTGAAGCAATAAGGACCCATACACCACGTAGTACTTCTCTGCATCCATCCATCCATACGAACTGCTGGCGTTTCACTTCGAAGGCTATCGTTCTCTTCGTGCTTGATTTGCAGCTTCTTGTTTCCTTCGCGCTCTCCACATGTACCACTGTGTCTTTGACCCCTAGTGAAATTAAGTCCACAGCGATAGCATAAACATTGTTCACAAACATCACGCCTGCAAAATGTTCAAAAGGAGAGTTGCAAAATCGTTTCAAATATTTCGTTGATCGTTATCTCACACTTACATATACCGCTGGATAGAGCCAACGTCCTTGGTGTTGAAAATCTTCATCTTCAACTAAGATGGACAATGCATGAGAAGAATCTCCGTCTCGTTTTGCCTCTGCGCACAGCTAACGTTGATCTTCGCATTCATTCTCATCAGAGCATTTATCTTCGTTACTTCATTCATTCTCGTGAAAACATTCATCCTCGTAAAAGCATCCATCCTCGTAAAAGCATCCATCCTCGTAAAAGCATCCATCCTCGTAAAATCATTCACCCCCATTGAAGCGTTCATCCTCGTTAGACATTTCAATCATAACGGCAACGAGCCGCAGTCTCTTCCTCAAGCAACTTCCCATACACCTCACTCAGATCCTCAAACTCCCAAGTCCGCGCTCCCGTGAAGAACTCATACACCGGCGCCGCCGGCTTCTGTTCTTCAAGCACCGGTATCTCTACTGGAGACTCTGCTATCTCAGCGGGGAGTTCGTACTGCTGGACGCCGTCGGCTCCGGCCTCTAGTTCGAGGGGCGGGATTCCGTCGGCGCCGGCTTCTAGCTCTAGGGGTCGCTCGACGACTGGAAGCTCGACTGGCGGAGGCGGGATCTGCGTGGTATAATGAGGGTCACGATGAGGCGTTGTGGTCTGGTGGTTGAGTTGCATGGCCCAGGGAGTTGCACCTGGGGCACTGTCAAGTGCATATGGCGGACCAGAAACAGGGTAGTAGTGCGACAAAGTGTTCGGTCGTGAGCGATCAGTGGGCTGGTATCGTCGTGGTGCGAGTGTAGGCGGTGAAACCTGAATCTGTGGACGCGCCGCAGATGAAGATTGCGGGTGCGATACGTTTGGTTGGCGAGGCAAATACTGGGAATCTGGGTTGATGGGCTCACAACCCAGAAGGGATGGGAGTCCATCATTAGCATCCCGGTCTCGTGTACTATCTCCAGAGGTGCTTTGGGACGAAGTGGTAATAGATGTCGGTGCAACCGAACCTGTGTACACTACACCATTCACGATTTGGCTTGTCCGCCTATTCGTCCTGGCATTTCGAGACTGCTGTGAGGTTGTCAGCTGTCGGCCTTGGGACTGCTGGACTGTATTAGTCAGATAGACATCATTGAGCGGTACTTTAAGCAGAGGTGCTGGTAGCTGCGCAGCTGCTGATGCGGACGCTTGATACGGAACTTGCGCCTGTAGGTCAGCCGAGTACTTACGATGTAGATCATGGTGATATCGGCCAAGAGCACCACGACGGGACTCTTTCCGAGGGACTGCCAGATGTCGTGTCAACGGCTGCTCGTTGGCTGATTCGCTACGAGGTCGCCGCGTCTCGCTAGGTGCAAACATCTCAGGACGCTCGTGCTCTTTGGGCATGTTGAACTTCAACTCCTGTATTGTGAGCGACCTTGCAGGTAGTTGACTGTGCGTTCTCATATAGGAGGTGCGCGGAATGGAGAAGTTTCTAGTAATGAATGTATTTTCTAGAGGGACAAACTATGCAGCCAACATTGTTCATCTTCAGTGTGGTAGCGGATTTGATCACTAGAGCGGATTCGTCAGTACTATCCTCACAATGCAGCTGTATCGATCAACTTTCCTCCTCAGCTCTCATTCAGATCGCGTACATGGGCATGTTGCAGGCCGCTCGGTACGGGCCGCTCTCACCTCATCGTGAGGCGTAGTCAAGCCACCGGCGCTTACCACACCCTTATCAGCACCTCATCTGCCTTGCGACAATAACGAATTCTCGTCCTTACTTCAAGATGGCTGCACGTGTTCAGGCTATTCTCGATCATATCAGCGGCGTGGCTTCAGATCGAGTCGTTGCAGACTCAATACTTGCGACTATATTGGTTCTTGGGCTCTCAAACGTTGCAGTATCGGCCACAGGACAGAAAGCTATCTTAGCCATAGCGACGACGGAATCTGCCAAGCTCCTGCTGGAGAAGTTGGCACCGATCCTTCACAATGTATACGAGAAGGCTGGCCCTTCATTTCGAGAAGCCTATGAGAAGGCTCTTGCCGCCGCGGAGGCCATTGAAGGTTTCACGAGCGATCACCCCGTATTTTGTACAATCATTGCGCTTGGCGTGTTGTACCTCTTGGCCCCGCAGCTTGCCCATCTGTTGGGCTTCATGCTAAAGGGTCCGGCACCAGGTGAGCAAACTTGAACCGTCTAGTTATAGATAGTTGCTAACTTTGAGGATACAGCTTCGTTTGCAGCAAAATGGCAATCGATGTACGGTGGTTCCGTGTCAGAAAAGTCGCTCTTTGCATACCTGCAGCGTCTGGGCATGACTTAAGTGACTTGGTGCCATATATCATTGTCTTTCAGGAAATGATTGATGATGCAGATACTTCTCAACAATTCCGTTGTGGGTAATATGATACGAGCGAACGGCAAGATGCGACGTGCAAGGAGGCGGGGAACTAGCAAGTCCATCCGTACACTTTGGGCAGAAGCATGGCGTGTGTGTATATGGTCGGGATGATCTGAATATAGACATGCGCGACGTAGGTACGGAATGGTCGGAAACCAAAAGCTGAGGCGGCAGAGCTGTAAAAGGTGAATTTAGGTTACTGCCTAGAACCCCCAAAATCCTGAGACTTCGTTAAGTGCAGCGTCTGAGAAATGATTCGTCGTGGGCGTTTGCTCTTGCTTGCCTTCACTCTACATTGCGGCGCAGTAAAGCCACGGCGCTAAGGTTGTGTCTTCTAGATATCTCGTTTCGCCTGCAGAGAGAGCACTACAATTTCTTTTAACCACTGCAAAATGTCATTCCTGATCACTGCACTTATCGACTGTATCACAGGCGTTGCGGCCGAGGACAAGCCCCGCCCAGACGAGAAGCAAGCGCTCGTGCGCAGTCTTCATATCCGCCCGCTCGACGAAGTCGCGAATAAAGTCGTCAACGCCCTGCTCCGCGCTGAAAAGGCAGGCGCTGCACTCAAGGACGAACTCAATTCTATAGTCGGTCCGTATGGGTGGAAAGAATACTTGGCGGAGAGGGTGTTGGAGATGTTGGGAATTGCGCTGCAAGGCGCGCACGACAAACTTGGGCCGGTGATTCGCGATGCCTACCAACAAGCATGGAACGTTGCAAACGAGATTGAGGGCTTCGTCATCCAGCATCCGGTCATGTGCACGATCATCGCGCTCGGCGTCCTCACCGTCATCGCACCTTGGGTAATTGAAGCGTTGGGCTTTGCGGAGCTCGGTCCTTTAGAGGGTACGTATACCGAGCCTGATAAGCCTGAGCGTGTACGAAGCTAACGACGTCGAAATAGGCTCCTTTGCATCCTGGTGGCAGTCATCTTATGGCGGATTGGTACCCAAGGGGTCTCTGTTTTCTTTTTTCCAGCGCTTGGGCATGGTGTGGCTGCGGCATTGACCGCCTCCCGGCGCTGCGTTTAGGGCTGCAATTACACAGTACATCGTGTGACGATGCGCGCGGAAGGCGAATCGGAGACACGGACAAACATCGAGTCAAGCTGAGAATCTGAAGCCGTGGTCAGATATCCTCGGAAGTTAGGAGCCGGTTGGGAATTTTACTCCAGGTTCTATTGTCACACAACCTGCCTTTTACACAATGTGCCGACAAATGGGGAGCTTTCCGAGCCGCCAATACTCTGCAACAATGCAAAAGATCTCGAAGGATTCATCGAATCAATAAGCGTCTACACAGTTTGTACAGATCTTTCGTGTTCCTTGTCAGTAACCCAGCTCCGATCATAGCAACCGGGATTTGGGATGGAGAAGCAAGACGAGATGCTATCGATATCATCCCTGTCTCGTATCGAAACCGTGACATCATAGTAATGCGCATGCGCGATCGACGAAAAGGCGGAGTGCACGCGTTTCCAGAAGTACTGGCCTTGTTTCAGAGGGATGGAGAATCCTTGCATTCCACGGCGGAACAAAGAAGTCGAGAGTGATGTTAAGAGATGTCAGAGTGTAGATCTTTGACGGTGTTGACGTGTCTGCGGAGATGGCTGAGCTACCTGAATCCTTGCCTAGCGCCGAGTCAGGCAGGCGCACGGGTTGCGCATCTTCACATCTAAGCGACATTACGCACCGCCACAGACGGACTGTCAGATTCTATTTTTGTGGCTGGAAGAGGAAGTTGGTGTTGTTTAGGTATCACGCTCGGCATCGTGAAGTTGAGGCCTAGGCTTGGTAGCATAAACTCAGTATGCCACAGACTCTCTACAGATTTGGCGTCGACCCAGCGGACCCAACGGTGAATGCCGCTGCGCCAGTGCCTGTCATTACAAACACCAAGATCAAGATCCTGTGGTCATCATGGTGCGACCTCATATATACGACACTCAACCGCGACAGAACGCGCTCAATAATCTATCTCGGAACAAGTCTGAACCCCGCCCAGCAGCTTGACCTCCAATCCAGGGCTTCTAGCCCTGCCGTTATGGGACAATATCCATCGAAACCAGGAGAGCATCTGCACTTCTTCGGCGCTGCAATGCACGACGGCGTGCGAGGCTATGTAGCCGATAGCATGGTTACTACCTATGGCACACCAGCCGAGAAAGCCAAGTTGGGGGGGAAATATCGTGATGTAAACACGTGGACAATGCTGCGTTGGCCGTTCCACTCGCTCGGCGAAATAAAGATGTGCAGCGACAGTTCGCTCCTTCTAGTCTGCAATCCAAAATTGGTCACAGAACCTGGTGAGGAGGAACCTGAGCCGGATGCCATCGTGTCCTCGGGGAAAGGAGGTCTTGAGTGTTGCAAGGTTTCGGCGTTAGCAATGCCCCGGACCCGAACGATAAGCTGTGTCCGAGACCTCCAAGGCCTCAGAGATTACTGCGCCGCAGAAACACCTATTGAGTGCGCTGCCCAATTCGCGCCGATTCAACTGGTCGTAAATGCAACGACCGCAACGGCTTTAGACCAAGGCGGCAGAGTGCATACACGTACTACAGACCCACGCTACCCTACCTGTCTGGGCCGCCCCTATACTGGAACATCAAATTTCGAGCCGGTGCCATATCTCTCCGAAACACGCATCATAAAGATAGCGTCAGGCGGCTACATCACGGCAGCTGTTAGTGAAGATGGCGAGCTGTTCCTGTGGGGCCAGGCAAGCCCTGGTACAGTAGGAGAACTGGGCGTGCTGCATAGATCGGACTACAGCACTGACATCAAAGACAACATGGGAAATGTGATCTGGGCTGACAGCGTGCAAGACGAAGACATCAAGTGTCTCAATATATATATTGATGGGAAGGCCGCATCTGCTTATGATGTTGCTGTAGGGTTTGGCCATGTCTTGGTTGCGGCGAGAAATGAGGTCGGAGAACATGCCGTCTTTGCTGCTGGATGTGGAGAGCAGGGTCAGCTGGGGTTGGGCAGGTCGTGTGACTTCCAGCAGGAATTTGAAGAAGTAGTGAGCTTGAGGGGCAAGCAGACATCAAGCTTAGTGGCAGCAGGCTGGTCGAGCCATGTGGTCGCCGAGGGGTGATAAAAAACGTGACTCCATGCTCGAATGAAACTATCGATACTAGAATGTCGAAAGCCATGTTGTTCTCGGCTCATCAGGACAAAAATGAATGTGGTTGGCCGAACCAGCAAAAAGCAAAAAAGCGTCATGCAAACAACCCCACAGATGTGTTGGCAGCGATAGCTCACCAGCCGGGGGGATCCTTTCTCGCCCAAGATCACACGCTGCTGAGGTACAGGCTACGGCTGCACCACTTCGGATTCGAGAGCCTAAGATCTTTGATGTCCCTCAAGTGAGGACGCCGAATGAGGTAGGAATGGTGGGACGACACCTACCTCGATCTCTGTCGTGACGGCAATTGAGGTGGGCATTGCTGTCTGCGATCTGCTACAGATCGTACTGTGATGTGTGTTGTTGTGAGTGTTGTTGCGAGTCATCATCTTCGACATGATCATGTCGAACATTGGACGGATGTAGGGCAGACAAGCAACAACGATACCTGTGCTCATATGTGCAAGAGACCAGAACATCGAAGTACCTACGCCATAGATCGGACCTCCATTTAAGGAAACGTCTGCAATGGCGGTGATCCGAAAAGCGCCTACAACGATCGTCATGCGAATTGTTGGTGAGAGACTAAAAGACCACTGAAGGAGGTACGGAACAGTATTCCAACGGCGAAGATGGCAGTGATACCGAGCTTGTCAGCCACAAACCCTAGTGAGGTGTGATCTAGGTGATGATGTCCAAGCCAACCCCGGTGGCAGACATTGTTATCAAGAGAGGCGCAACCTTGAGACAGTGATGCTGGTCTTGTACCGGCAGCGCCTAGTTGTGATGCAAGGGCCGGCAGCGATTACGATAGCCGATGTTGTTGAGAGCGTGATGCAGAGATATGCTGTGTAAGGTGTCAACAAAACGTCTTTGTAGTAGAATACATGTCATGTTTGGATAAGTACCAGTCCGTCTCAGCCATGGGAACATCTTGGTATACAGGTGCGGATGAAGAAAATCAAGACAGCAGATCTGTTCAGGGCAAGTTCGACAGCCCCTGAACTCCGAAAGAACCATGGGATCTGCGAGCGTCAGACACGCGACTTGAAAAATGATTGACCCCTTACGAAGAGAGTCCTTTGCGTTTCAACAAGAGTTGTCATTCGTGTCTGTGGACTAAGTTGTCCGGTTGCTACACCTTCGCAGTGTTAGGAGAGTTGGGTCCTGATAGTAGAACATGATTCACAGACACTGGACGTTATCACAACAATGTAGAGAAAGATCTAGCTTTCACATCGGAGTTCTCCCCACCACTGATAGTGTTCAGTACTTGCCAAAGCAAGAACCAATAGTGTGTCATCTAGTGACCACGATAAGCTTTTAATTTTCTTTGCTGCAAGTCGACTTACGAGAGATAAAGCTAGCACAACAGCAAGAAGCGTGATACCGGCGACGGTTTCTCCCCTGGACATTAACTCTATGGGTAGGTAGACTGCAGTTCCGATGGGATACCTAGGTACAATGAAACAGTTACTTGTGTGATGGAATGGACAACGAGGTAGATACAAACCCAAAATAGACTAAAGAAGTTAGGGGCGAGGTAGGTGAAGGGGGACTCGATTGAGGTTCCCCTTGAAGGCGGCCGTAAGTAGGGCCTACCTTTGAGCCTAGTGAAACACGTGGAGATGATTGTAACGCAAGAAGTCGCTGCCTGAACACGTACGATCTTCATCAGCGTTGCTGCGCCTTTGGGCAGATGATCGACAAGGTTTGACAGCCAGTACCTGTGTTTCGGTGAACATATATTGAGCTTGTCGACGGCCGAACCGCGCGTTGGCTGCGGTCGTTTGCGGGGTGTTTCGGGTTTGGCCTTATCTGCCGGTTTCGGTGATGTCACGCATGGAATTGTTCTGCGTCAGTTCGTCCGTCTGGCAGTTGCAGTCATGAGCCAGCTGTCATGCACATCCAGACACCCGAACGGTATCCAACTGCTCGGCTCGCTGCACGGCCGACCTTGAAACCGACCATTTTGGGCCGAGAAAGCCCGCAGCACAACCGGCGCCATGGAAACGAAAGTTTGTGTGGGCTTACGACAAGGTTGGAGGTCGGTCTCATTCTGAAGTACACGCAAGTGCTGAGCAAGTGCTGAGGCGAAGTTGTCTCAGAGTCTATTGCTCAAGAGACGACCAAGCCATGGTGTTGAGTCCGGCTCCCAGGTTTGCGGCAGCTAACGCATTCTGGTGCCAAGGCCACGCAGCGAGCTTTTAGAGTTCAGCTGGCGCTTGGTCGAATCGTAACGGTTTTTACTGGATCTGGCGTCGCTGTGCCTCAGTCTCGGTGCCGGTGCCATGCCGTCGGACCGATGCCTTTTTTTGAAGTGTGCATTGCGAGTACACAATTGTGTCACCTATTTGTATCAGTTTGGCAGGGCAACAAACACCAAAGCTCCCACAGCGGCTGCTGGTACTCAGTTGCCGCAGCGCGCTTTGCCTGTTGACAGTCCCACAATACGCTCATCGGCGCGCAATCGTAGGATCTTGTCGAGGGACGTGTCTTGTGCGGCCTTGCGCGTGCCCGCGGAGAGAAGCCCCGTCTACGTGGACAAGCGCTGATCGATTCATTTCAATCTTAGCTGTGACGGGAGACGGTCCAGTCAGGAAAGAGGGTTTTCAGGCGGACGACGGGCCTCAAGTTTGTGACAGGGCTGATCAGGCCCCAAAGAAACGCAGACACGCGAAGAAAGGCAAGGATAACGGCGATCGTGCTGATCACCTAACAGCAGAGGCCTCGCTTGCTGCGACAGTGCGACATTGAGAGAGATCGCAAACACGACTGGACACGAGTCTTGCTGCCACACTGACAGCAACCGGCGTTGTCTAGGGTCTCCGTGTTCTGCCATCAAGCGACCTGTTCAATAGCGCAGCACCGGCAGGGATCGATCAGGAATTGCCACAACGTTACTGCCTAGCGGGTACGGCGGACGAGAGTGGTATGTGGCTTGCTGCTGTTGATTGGTTGGCGGGCGAAACGCTGGGTGAAGACTAGCGGCTTCCAGCAAGGTGGGGCTCACGCTATTCAGGGGTGGATACGTTCGTTCCTGCTTTCGCGCCTTTCCAAGGCCGTGCAAGACTTGCCCATGCTTCTCGTAAACGTCATGTGCACAGCCAAAGGAACTTATCGGCTCGTGGTGCCGCTCTATTTTTCGCTTTGTAAAAGGGCAGGCCCACTCATATCAGCCTGATCCGCCTGCACCGACTGAATTTGTAGCCATAAGCAACTTGCTCTCCGCCTCCTCCGCTCACAGCCTCTACACCTTCTATCCTCTCATTCACTACCTGGAATACATCGACCTCCAGACGGTCAAGTCACTCTCTCGAAATCAGTAAGACTGTAGACGTGCATAAAACAGTCGCAGGTCCTGGAAGTGATGACGTTTGGCTTACACGCCTAACTCGGACCATTGCACAACACAAAAAACCCAGACGATGGAATATCGACACTCATCACCGTGCTCAAGGGACAGGAGCCCGAGACCCAGCACCAACAGACAAAGGAGCAATTCCGTCCCCTTCGTTGAGGCATTGGGGTGCTCGACCACAGAAGCAAGAATGATGATGGCCGAAGGCAAGGCTGCAGTTCGTAACCGGAAACGCGGCCGTCAAATCAGGCTGCTCAATGAACAGAACGCCACTACTTTCGACCCCCGGAACCATCTGAAATATCTCGATAGCTCGTACCAGGATCATGAATCATCAAAACCACAAACAACCATGGTCAATCATTCACGGTATCCCTCTGACTGCACTGACAAGAGCACATCCACAATAGTCGCACCGACTAGGGATGGCCTGGTGACCACTAACGGCCTTCCAAGCCCATTGGGAGACTACTCTGCGAATCTGGCAAACTTCATAAAGGCCCAGCTCAGATCAATTCCGACCTACACATCATCCCTTGATCAGACATCGCCTCGCTCTTGTCCGGACTTGACTTTTCAGTTGCGCACTCCCCCACAGTCGCCGAACAAAGGGGCACGGAAACCAACAGAAGCCCCAAGAGTCATCAGCATCCCGCCTGTCAGACCACCGTTGCAGAGTGCGTTCTCTGCATGGAGCTCTACAGACGACTCAGAGGATGACGAGGTGCCCGCACTACCTGATATTGACCTATACACTCAAAACGCCATCTCCAAGGTCACTAGCAATGGTAGTACAACTTCAATCCTGGGTTATTATGCCGGATCGAATGACTCCTTTCTGTTCTCGTCCACACCCTCCGAGGAGAGTCACACCGCAAGGGGATTTCAATTTCCCAATCCACCACTGTTAATGTGCTCACCGACTGAGCCTTATTCTCCACCTCACGATGACGACGCCGACTACTACCCATCATCACACTCGTCGCGGCCGCAGTTGACCTCTTCCTCGGAGCCATCGATCTCATCGTCCACCGCGTCGACAGCGTCCTACTTCGAATACAAGCGCCCTCGTTCCAACCTGTTTCCGCCTGATATGAAGGACAGGATTGTTGCGGCAGTCACACCACCAAAAGGGAAGAGAATGACTGCGATCTCACCTTTTGAAGGCGCCGCACTATCGAATGTTCACGATGTGTTCATTGAGTCACAACACAGAGTGCACGTCGATGGCATGTCATTTGACATGCTGCGTGACTTGGTCGTACCAGTCAGCCGAGTCTCTACACCGGTCTGACTCGCACTCCAGTAACGCTCCTTCAACTGCATTATATGGGATCTTTTCAACTGTGATTAGCATTTGCATCATGTTCTACAATATATCCAGGTCGACGTCGCGTGGTATAGCCGGTCTTGCCACTTGCGATCCTACGATCTTTTTCTTTGTCTCACTTAGCCGGCGCAACGGCTAAACTACGAACTTGTAATTACTTCCAGCCTGTGGTACATCTAGATTACTGTTGTAGGGCTTCGCTGTCCGTTTCTTCTTTCGTTGCCGTTCAGATATCCATACACAACGAGTGTACGACGCACACGTTTTTCTTCTCATCTGGGCAATAGCAGACTGCTCCCACCATCAGCAAAGGGAGGAAGCTGGCGATGCAGATAGCAAAGTTGGCTAGCAGCGCTAGGTTCCGGTAGCACACTCATGGCACACACATACATACCAACTATCTCTAAGCAATGCAAACATACACGCATGTCACCTTGCGTCTCCAACCACATCTTCTAACTCGGTGCTCATCGTCAAGAGAATTTTCGTGATTCCCCTGACACTCGCGTCTATGACGGATGGATAGACAAGGTCAAACGCTTCCGACATAACGATCGTCCTCGAGAAATGCAGAACAAAAAGCCACCTTAATTTTGGCCCGTGTTTTGTTGTGGCGATCACAGCCTTGCGTGCAGATCCTTTGACCCTGCAGCGCAGATCGTGAACGGTGCGGGAAGAAACCAACAATGCAAACAAGGGTACAGCTAAGCGAGGCTACGTCATGTTTGATCTGTTTGCAACCCCGCAACTCACATTTGTTTAGCAACCGCGTTTGCGAGATCCAACAGCATTGCAGGCGCACGCTTTTGCTCTTCCCCTCATGGTGCATTTGTTGTGTGGCAAAACTACCTTCGCTTTGTTTCCATCGAACTAAACGCGTGTGGATCGCAATACAGGACACCGTGTTCTCTGACAGCTGCTGAAGCACTGCTTTGCGCATCGCGAATCGCGACCTGACTTTCACTCCAAGTTTGTTCGCGAACCACTGCACCGCCACCATACAAAGGTCGAAGTCACCTTCATTAGCGTTTCACACGCTGTCTTCTACGAACAGTACTCTACCCCTCACAGATCTTTACACCAGGCCGCACCGCCTACTTCTGCCATCATGGCGGACGCTGAGCCAACACTCGTCGCCCAAATCTTCGAACGCCTTGCTTATGAGTTTGCAGAGGCGCGGCCCATGCTGCCAACCTATCTGCATCTGATCGCCTCCGCCCTCTTCCCTATCTATACCGGCGCGCACGCCTCGCTCTCCCGCCCATCCACCGCCGCGAAACCCTCGAAGAAGAAGGATCGTAAAGCCCTGCTTCGCAAGGGATCGGATACTGATGACGATGCCGAATCGAGCGATGATGACGAAGAGGAAGAGGAGCAGCATAACATGGAGGGGTTATCCCCCAAAGACGCCCTTCTCATGCCACTCTTCGCAGGCATCGCACTTTCGGGGCTGTACTTCCTCCTGAAATGGATGAACGATCCGAAGCTGTTGAACAGAATCCTCAATGCTTACTTCGCCATCTTCGGCGTCTTCTCCGTCTCAAAGCTCGTCACGGACGTTCTGGATATCGGCCACTCGATCATCTTCCCACGACGACATGTCATTAATGGCACATTGTACCATATCAACAGCAAAGAAGAGAAGGCTGTACCAGTTGCGGGCGATACCAAGGGCAAGAAGGTGCTCAGCACACCTCTACCCGGTTTCTTGGCAAGGACGCCTTTGAATGACAGTCTGCGAAAGGTTGTATGGAACGATCGGGCCATGCCAGCAAACAAGTGGTCATTGAAGCTGTATTTATACCGCGCACTCGCTGCCAAATTTAAAGTTGGAGCGCACGATATCGTGGGTGCACTGACCGGACTGTGTGTTGTGGCATACTTTAACTTTGTGGACAAGCCGTGGTACCTTACCAATCTCCTTGGATTTGGCTTCTCCTACGGCGCACTACAGCTCATGAGCCCAACTACGTTCGCCACAGGAAGTCTCATTCTCGGAGCGCTGTTCTTCTACGACATCTACTTCGTCTTTTACACGTACGTGTGCACCAAGACGTCCCGCGCCACTTTACTGACAAGGCTACAGACCTATGATGGTGACCGTAGCTAAGTCCCTTGACGTCCCCATCAAGCTCATGTTCCCTCGTCCTGGCGACCCGAACCATCCCAACTCAGCTCCGTCTCACGCCATGCTCGGCCTGGGTGATGTGGTCTTACCAGGTATCGTCATTGGCCTTGCACTTCGCTTCGATTTGTACCTATTTTATCTTCGACGCCAGAGACACACATCCGCAACGTTAGCAGCAGAATCTGAGATCACCCAAAAGGCAGAGTACTTTCCACTCGCCGGACGCTGGAGCGATCATTTCTGGACTCACTCCTTGATTGGACAACCGCTTTGGGTAAAAGATGACAAGAGGCCTGAAGCGCCTTTCACGTTCCCCAAAACTTACTTCAAGGCTGGTTTGGCAGGGTATGTGCTCGGTTTGCTTGCTACACTGGGCGTCATGATGATCTGGGACCACGCTCAGCCTGCGCTTCTTTATCTTGTTCCCGGCGTTCTGGGTAGCCTCTGGCTTACTGCAGTGGCTAGAGGCGAATTGAGCTTGATGTGGAACTACACAGAAGCTATTGACGAAGAAGAAAAGTCTGGCGAGTCTGGGAAGGATGACACTACCACCAACAATATCAGTACTGAGGAGAAGAAGCGTGTCACTCGGTCGGAAAGCAAAGCTGCGATGACTGCTTCTGGAGACAGTGAGGGTGATATCGAGGTCACCCATCGACGCCGAAGCAGGCGCAGCAGACCAGAGCGCGAGGTCTTTTCTTTCGTCATTGAGGCGCCATCGACAGTGGAAAAGAGCAAGGCAAACAAAAAGCATGCTCGTCCTTCTACAGCTGGCGGGGCCACCACGGAAGCAAAGGGCACCAAATTTGGTCAGAGTACAGCTGTGAATGTAAGTGCTGAGCCGGCAGGAAAGAGGCAGAAGTTGCGGTGAGCCCAGAACGGCGTGGAACTTGTTACTTTGCATGTGCTGCATAGCGACGGCGTTTAATGCATTTCTGGCGTACTTTCCGTCATAAATACTGGTACGTATGGTACCATTGAAGTTCCCATGCTCTCTGTAGTATGTACTGAAGTGCCATTCTTTGACATGCATGGATTTATGTACAAATGCTCGAGACGACCATCACATCCATGGCTCCTCATCAAACATTTGCCATATATTCGCTTCCCACATGATTCTAATCAGTCTCATCTCGCTGGGTCTGATTTGATCGCGCAGTCTTACGAATGAAATACGTCTCTCGTCAGCCACATGTATGATCTTGTAACACTCGCTTTAGCCTTTTAAGGCAAGGTGGGTTCAAACCGCGTGCCTGCCCTGTTTGCCCTCCCTTCTTACTTTCGACATTGCCCATGGCTGAACCAAATTGGCTAAACCTTCCGGATACAGCAAACAACTCGTCAACTCTGTAGCTGTAGCGCGCGTGCGGCACAGATCATCTAGGAGCAACGCAGATCCCCATCACGATGACGGAGTACAAGTGTTCCGCGCGTGCTGATCCCAGTCGTGAGATTCGGATTGCAGTTATACAGCCTGGCGAGTTCCATTACGATATTAATGTGGTGTTTGAGACGTGCTCGCTGGATGTTAGTAATCCATCTCTTAGCCATATGCTTTCGTACCCCTCTCGAACACGAGAGGCCACCAGGTTTTAACATTGTTATATGACCTACAGCTCGGATAAGAGGCGCTCCCGTATGTGTGTGGGGTTCAGAAGACTCGCACGCAAGGCATTGCTCAAGTTACACGTAACCTGAGTGTAGCGCTGAGGTGCTTGAGACAGACAAGTGTCTCGCGCAGGTTGTGGGTCGATGCTTTGCGTATTGACTAGGGCAAGAGCGTCGAGCGATCCTCGCAGGTCTCCATAATGCACAAGATATACATCTCTACCACTCGAGTTTTGGTCTGGTTAGAGGAAGAGAAAGACGATAGCGACGAGGCTTTGGATTTGCTAGAGAATATCTCTCAGCAGGTGCGGATCGTCGATTGGTACACCTTTGAAACGTAGCCTGTCGGTAACGATCCCGATGGCTGAGAATATCTTGCAAAGCTGATACCATAGCAGCGCGAACGAATTCGTATCGTTTACAATCTCTTGAACCGTCCCTACTTTGGGAGAGTTTGGATCCAGCAAGAAGTGCAACTGGCAAAAGATATTGTGTTACAGTACGGGCGATCGACCTACGCGGAGCGTGTTATCTGGTCAAGTGTGTCAAATCTTTCGTCTAAGCCGATAGACAATGAATCACTGGCACCTATCTTACGCAGTGACTGGACACGAGTTTTGGTTCGAGGTGTTAAGCTGAGAAACAGCAGGCTTACGCCTTGGAGGGCCAAGGTGTCTATTATCACCATTCGTCATCGCGTCCGCGAACTGAGTTGTCATGATCCACAAGATTGATCTATACTTATCTGGGACTTCTGAGTAGTCAGGACTTGAGTCTGCAGATGAAGTCGGACTACTAATGTGCAGTAGGGGAAATTTACAAAGACTAGGTTCGACGTAAGGCCATGAATCATCTAAGTCTTGACTTACTACGATGCTGTGAGCTCTCCAGCAGGTCTCTCGACATTCCATCCTGGTATCCCGACTGGTCAGCTCCTATCAATTCTCCCATGGGCCCGACCTATTCTTGGAGCGCTTGCGGGTTCATCTCAGCCTGTCCGATGTTCTGTAATGATCAATAATTTGCTCCCAATTTAGTTGTGGGCAAAGTCTCGACAGTCCGAGAATATTCAATGGATTCCCCGGTTCCCCAATGGGCGCAGCTTAGACAATTCTTGCTGTCTATCAGACCGTCCCAGGAGAAGTCTACCAACCTACCCAGAACTGGACAGAGCATAACTGAAGCTTACTGCCGGATGCTAGCGGAAATTTTCTATCAGACACGATGTTCACCACAACTGCCCAGCCGGATCTAAATTTGTGCAACAGATGGCTCGAAGCCATTTGGTGGGGAGACAAAGGCGAAGAAGGCGGGGAGGAACTGTTCAATTCAAGGCTAATGATACTCATGAGGTACGACACAATCATCGTGACCATGCTACACAGCGCGTACTTTGTCAAGACGAGCTGCGACTACATCGGCATTGCAACTGCCGGTACACAACCAGGGAATATTGTCAGCATTATCCTCGGCTGTCACAAACCGATAGTCTTGCGACCTGTCGAAGCTCTAGTGAATGTCGTTGTCCGGCTCAAGTATTTGGTAGTTGGCGCGTGCTACTTCCAAGGTATCTTGAACGGAGAGGCCGTCTATCAGCCTACTAACCCTCTCCGATACAAGGTCTTGGGTCAAGATACAAACTATGTTACATTGATTGACGGATTCACGGGGCTATTGCTCGATCGAACAACAGGTACTTCCATGAGAGGCAGGTATCAAAGTCGAAAGCTATGACAGGGCTCCACATAGACTTCTCGTTTTACCAGAATCACTGCAGGCTGCTGGTGTAGCTGTGGAAGCGATTGTACTAGTCTGAAATCGTAGACGTATGACGTCCGCCTAGTTCTCGACATGTCGTCATCTCAGCCTATCCGTTCATAGGGAAAAGGCCTCTCAATTATCTCAAATCTTGTCAAGACACCCCACTGAGACCATCTACTGACGCAGTTCACGGCCACAGTCTGGTATGGAAGCGACACAGCAGCAGACTAATATGACCGAACAGATCACGATTCTGAATTTGGAAGTCAAACACAACCTATCTTACTCATCTGATAGGGTCTTTGTGAACCGGGATGATGGTGAGGCTGAAACAAAACAACAAAAACGCCATCACCGAACGACTCCGGACAGCGCACATAGCCATTGTCCTCTGGATCTAAGACTCGTGGTCTTTAGAAAGTCCCAAGTCAGGCAGAATATGGTGCTGCTGACCATGAATTCTTTGTACAGTACCAATGCGATTCGAAATCGCGTTGTCGATGTCTTGACACGATGCGCCACCACGTCACATTTAAGAGACGCCAGTTAGAACAGATATGTTTTGTGTAGGTATATCGAAATTCTACATAAGAGCTTTGCTCTTCCCACATGAGTAAATCATACAATCAGATCCATCGCAACCATCTACCTAATCATTCCCGAAAGACACTCCAGTTGATAGCACGAATCTTGCCATCATGAAGCCCTCGAAGAAGGTTAGTTAGTACAAATAAGTCAAAAATCGTAGCGCTGACTCTAAGTAAGTTGATCTACCTACTGAGCTCTGTCTCGATGCTTCAATCTACGCTCGGCGCTGCCACCGGTCCTGTCAACGCAGCGTTCGATATTATCTCGCGTGACATCGACGAAGCGCGAATTTCGACCCGCCAGGATACCCCTCCGTCAGTTGAGATTACATACCGCAAGAAACTGTTGTGTCTAGTCCCTTTCGATAAGACCGTAGCCAATATATACCCAAATCAATGTCTCGACTCCCCGGGTTGGAGCTATCTATCTGAAGTTAGGCCCGGCTCTTTTCCTCCAGGCCAAACCTGCAAGTTGATTGCATACACGCAACAGGGCTGCGTGAACGAGAACCCACGCGGCACCACCATCGGCTGTTTAGAAAATCTCCTTTCCCCTAGCAGGAGCTACAAATGGGATTGTCAGGAGGATCCTGAGACGCCTGAACCGAGCCTGTACCCGTCCGCCACCGCCACTTTATTCGAACGTAGCGAATGTAGCGAGGCCACAGGAGAAGAGGGGGAAGTCATAGTAAACGGCAAGTTTGACGCTGGAACAATTCCTGCAAACACATGCCAAGACTTTGACGGTGAAAAGGCTGGATTTGGAACGTTCAACAGCTCTCTCATGACACCCAATGAAGCAATCCCCGAAAACGTCGTCTGCTATTGGGAAGTGTATGAAAATCCTGGCTGTGAAAAAGAAAGCAAGTATGATGTCAAGGGAACAAAATCCTGCCTGACCAATCTCGGCGGTAGAGGTCCATCTGCTCAGAAACAAGGACGCAGCTACCAGTGGGTCTGCTACACTCCTCCATCGGCTAGAGTTACACTGTACTCCGACGAAGTGTGCGGTGAAGTAAACCAGACTTTCAGCAACGTATCTCCCAACAACTGCCGAAGTTTCGCCCCACCGTCTACTGATCAGAGTACACCAAAGCCTCAATTTCGGAGTGGCAATGTGGCTGCTGAAAGAACAATTCCTGATGGTCTTTACTGCCGCCTTGTTGTATCCAGTGGCGAGGTTTGTTCACTGGAAATAGACTCTAAACCACCCGGAACTTGTGTCGTCGCGTACTTTAAACAAGGGGAAGATATCTACGCTGGAGAAAGCTACAAATGGTTCTGCACGCCAAGACATCCGTTTGATCCGCTTTCAGGTTAGACTTGCTCTGTGAGGGAGCAGTCGTGAGAGGAATTCTAGTGTGAGAAAAGTTGAGAAAACTTGTAATCAGCTCTTTGCCTCACGAGTCTTAGTGTACTTTCGACAGGTAGCTTACAATGACTACAAGATGCTCACTCAGTATAGCTAGAATGATAACTGACAGTATCACTACCTCCCCAGATTGAATATGTAGCTATGGATAGGGAACGTGTACTAAGTAGTCATTGTACACAGTGTTATACGTGTTGTAAATGTACACAGCCTGATTTACAATCTACTAAGATCCTGAAAGCAACAGGCACAGCGCACATAATCTATGACTGGAGATGGACTGCGAGAGGAGAGAGTAGTTTGACTGGTATATTCTCGAGCGATTGGGTATTTCTCACAAAGCAAGCGGAGCACTCGCCACTATGCACCTGCTCAAAATAAAGATCTCCCTGGTTTGTGCCGCTTGGATTGGCGTCATTCAATTCCTACTTTTTCAACAGTTCTAGCAAAGAGCATATCCAGGACCTCTTAGCGGTTCTGAGTAGAACTACTGCTCTGTACTATTGGTGTTTAATGACCCAAGAACTACAATAGTCACGTGCGCAAGCATTCCAGCATTCTCAGAGGCTCAAATCCTTACGTAGAAGAATCCCATATGAAGGGGAGGACTGGAGCCACAACAACCCAAGAAAGGAGAATGATAGGTCCCATCTCTATCTTGGTAACATTTAACGTGAACTCTGTTAGCCACTTCAAAAGCCAAAGTCACGTCAGCATCAACTCTAATATTGACGTTAGTACTGAAACGAAGTATCATTTCAAATACCAGATTGATAGGTCGTGCATCAATTGCAGGGACATAGTCAGACTCCAGCGCTACCCAGTACGGTATCTTCACTTGTATCTCTGAATCTTCACGTGAGGACAAAGCACCTGAATTTCTAAATTTAGGGGAAGGTCCGCGCGTGTTGTCGGTGGCATATTTCACCGCCTGCCCTGCAGCACCGCTCTTGGTACCCGGATTCCTCTCCGACATCGTATACGCTTCTCTTCTCCCTGTCCCTGCATTCCCAGCGCCGAAGAATCGGGCATCACGTTCCGAATCATCCACATCTAGCTCATGCGGCCGGACACCTATCATGCTAAAGCTCGTTATTTCATTTTCTCCCTACCACTGCTGTTCTGCATCAGCAGCACGAAGATGAGCAGCGCCTTGTACGTCCTGCATACACTCAACCCGACGCGTAACTCTGTGTCCTCCTTTTGCTACACTCGTCCACATGCGAGCGTGCTGAGGCTCCACCAGACCAAGAGCAGGGCTGAGACCGCCCAGGATGCAGTTACGGCTAAGCTGCTGTGATGCCGGCTTGGCTTGCTTGAATGTGACCGGTGTTATTACCAAAGCCCATAAATTGTTGATCGGTTGATCCCCCAGCGGTTGCAGCACACCAGGCTAGTCTACTCAATGCCAAGTTCAGAGCTGGTGATACGCCCAAGCCGAGCGTATGAGTATACGGTATGAATGAACGGACCACACCGGAGGTCCTGTGTACAGGTTTGCTTCGCAGTCAGGGAGGATTGGATACCGGATGTTTGACAGATATGGAGCCGATGAACCCTGTGACAACATGCTCTAGATGCTGTCTACGAGCAAAGTACGAGCAAAGTACGAGACAATATCGAGCTTGACAAATAAATCGAGGGAGAGTACCGCCGGGAATGTGGTGGCTGCATTGGCAGGCGTAGTTCTCACGTTCCCCAGCGCCGAAGAAAGAGCGGTATTGCCTGAGAGAAGACACAAGCCTTCAAGACATATGTCTTCGTCGGGATAATACATTTCCGAAATGCTTCGGCCCCTTACAATCAGTCGGTCTGCATGTTAAGAACATTCGATGAGATGGGTATAGCCGTTGGATGGATTGGGATGACCTGCCCTACGGGGCTCCCGGTACGAGGACGGGGTACTGCGTTGTTCAACAGTAGGGCCGATGTAGGAGAATTGTGGTGTTACGGTCTCGTGGGTCTGTGGGATATCTGCGACTGGATGTCACGGGCCCCGCAAGCAGCAGTGCAATCGTCAATTGCTTGAGTGATTCAAAGTATTCGACTCACATGTTTCCTTGGTTAACATGAATTGAGGTTCAGGTAGAGCATGCCTTCCTAGTTGTTTCAGACAGGCTGCAAGGAATTGAATGCTGCGCCGGGAGCGATCGAGATGGCCGAAGTCGGATCGTTGCGGCCTCTCCTACCTCCTATGCCTAGGTAGGCGAGGAGGTGAGGCTGGCCCTGAGAGGCGGCTCAACTCCAAGGAGACCAAGACCGCGTCAGAGATGTAAAGAGGTACTTGGCGCCTTGGAAAGCTTGGTGCTGTACCCTTCCTATACGTCGGCATAGGGCTCATTACCGGTGACTCGCCGTAGGATCTGACTCTCGTGACGCAAGACATGCGAAACACTCCGAATATCTTGGCATTAATCTTTCCGCTGTTGTTTGATTTGCTCCAAGGAGAGAGCACGGGCAGTGCCCTGACGCGATGTGGCTAGATTCGTGGCTAGACCCTGTGCACAGACGTCGCGCTCAAGGCGAAAGCTGAACCGGGCACCGTACACTGCACCAGCCAACTCTCACGATGTCTGTTCATCGTCTACCATACCCGTCCAATGGTAGCTAGGTCTTCGGCTGTGCACTAATGAAACATCACCACCACTGGTGCTATTGAGGACTGCCCACAATGCGCACGTGTTCCAAATAGGGCAATTAGATTGGTTTCGGCCAATTGTCGATGATCTGATTGCGCCTGGATAGTGTTCAGCACAGTCGACTACAGCTGTGGCTGTCTTGGCTTTGGTGGCTACCGCAAGAAGACCACTACAGTGGCAGTCCACCAGGAAATTGATCTGCCGCATCATTGTATAAGAAGGGGGAACAGCCGCCGTGAATAGTTTTCTCACCACAACACAGCTTCTCTCTTCCTTCACACTCACTTCTATACCTTCAAACGCTTTCAGCAACAGTCCTTCTTTTCATCAAGATGCAGTACCTCACTCTCGCTCTCTTCGCTGGCCTCGCCACTGCCCAGCTCGCTATTCCTGCTCGCAATGGCAATGTCCAGGTCCTCAAGGCGCCCAGGACCATCGCCGCTGGCAAGACTCAGAACTTCGCTTACCAGGAGTTTGACCGTGGCATGAAGTGCGCTGACGGCGATACCGGCTCCGCCAACGCCGTCTTCATCCTTGAGGAGGGTGCGACTCTCGAGAACGTCATCATTGGTGCCAACGCTCTTGAGGGTGTCCACTGCAAGGGAGCTTGCACTGTCCGCAACGTCTGGTTCCGTGACGTCTGCGAGGACGCTGTCTCCGCGCTCGGCAAGGGCGATGTCCTGATCGTCGGCGGTGGCGCTCAGAACGCTGAAGACAAGGTCGTCCAGCACAACGGCAGTGGCCGCGTTACCATCCGCGACTACCAGGTCGCCAATGTCGGAAAGGTCTACCGCTCCTGCGGTGACTGTAAGCTCCCCTTTTCCTTTACCTCTTCGCACCTCCATACTGACAACCATAACAGGCACCGGCAACTCTGGCAAGGGAGCCCGCCACGTCATCATTGAGCGTCTCCGTGCCACCAACGTCAAGACCAACCTTGCCGGTATCAACTCCAACTTTGGCGACTCTGCTACCATCAGCGGCTCCTGCGGTACCGTTTCTGGCGAGATCTGCCAGCAGTTCCAGGGTGTCAACAAGGGCTCCGGCAGCAGCAAGGAGATCTCTGGCAAGGACAAGTGCCTCGGCGCTCAGGGCAAGCTTGCCCGCGGTACTCTCAGCAGGTGCTAAGCTTCTCGCTCCGAGAAGTACACAGTGACGGCGAGCCGCATCACGAACCATGGTCGATGAGGGATGGTTGAAATGGGGATTCGGTCTTTAACCTTGTAAATATTACGTTCTTGTATTTAGTTGACCTTTGTAAATATTGTATTTTGATCTTGACGGACATCATTGCCCATGCTTGCAAAGTTGCCAGTCAGTGAGAACAAGTAACCCTCCCAGAACAGACTGCTTGGAACTAGCAATAATTGCTTCAGACTTGGATATCCTTACAGCAAGACGTCTACGACAGTCCCTACAAGCACGAAAAGCAACCGCAGGGACCTCGGACCTCACGCGTTGCGTTCATTATGGAATACATGCACCTATCAAGATATCAAAAGCTAATGTACCTGTCTAATTGGTTGTGTGGCTACCAAATGCGCAAGTCCAACCCACAATCAAAGACTGCACAGAGCACTGGTGCGTGCCAGAGCCTACAAGCCCCTTTCAGTAGACTAAAGACCCATCATCCCCCCACCCAGCCACACAACCCCAATCCAACAAGCAGCGCAAACAGCGCAAGCAGCGCAAGAAACCAAGATGAAATTACCACAAACCTACATCTGTCGTCAAACCATCCCGTTCTATAGTCCGGGATCCACACATATAACCCATGCCACGAACCACGCTTCCCCCACAAACGACTCATGCGCGCCCCACGGGCCCGCCTAGGCACGGTTATGGGACCGTGCGACGGGACATTCGAGACTCATGTTGGAGGAGATTATCGGCGAGGAGAAATTATCGCAGATCATGAAGTACTTGTGGAGATAGTGGAGATTTACAGACATTTCCCTGATACAGGGGAAGACGGGTCGAGGCGCTCACGAGAATGCGTCGGAGATGTGCTGTGTCCGTTGCTGGTATTGTGAATCGCCGCTGTAGATCCAGTGCACGTTCGGTGGTAAATATTCCGAAATTGAGTCAGTAAGTTTGGTGGGTCGTGGTTCGAATCGATTTACAGAACTAATCTCCGAATTCTTAGCCTTACATTACTTCAAGCAGTGATAAAGTGCGACGACACTGCCCTAGGGAGAAGCATTACCAAGTACTGTTGTACCGTGCAAGATGAGTTTGGTGATGTAGTGACGGAGTATCTTCATGTTCAATCGCTGTGTGAGCCATGTTAACAATTACTGATTTGTTTCGCAGCTTTCCACGGCTTTAAGCAACCCCGTCGTGGTTAACAATTATCAGCAACAAAGGTCTGATTGTATATGCTGTCAGCTGCGCTACAGACAAGGCTGAAAAGATCTTATGGTTGCACGCTTGGACACAGCTCTACTACCTCACCCTCACCCCTGTTAGGCTGCACGCACTACTGACGTGTGTGCAGCGCATGATACGTAAGCTGTAAATATCACAAACATGCGTTCAGGCGCGCTCCACAATCCTTTCTACTTGGTATTTTCAATGGAGTTCTCAGAGAATGACGATGTTCAGTGACAATTGACATTGTAATTGTGCCTCTACCTCCGTCGCGCGTAGACTGCCACTTCTAGTTCTTGTGTGCATGACACATATTAATGAATGATTCGAACATATCGAGTACTTACATAGCTCCAATATCCATGTCCGTTGAAGCGTCATTTCATTGCAAATACTTTTTCAAATAGCCCGTTCTCAATTTCTGACTGAACCATACTACATCCCTATTTTCCAAGGCTCAACCAGGCACCACAGTAATATTCCCAATATCTTGATACACTACATACAATTAAAAACTTTGAAACCAAGACCACACGAATTCGTGACAACATGGCTGTGTGTGCTTGAGTTCGTTGGGGTAAAGACTCGACCGGATTGGGGCATTGGTACATGGGCGAGGGGAGGGGAGGAAGAAAGGTATCAGGGATAGGATACGACAGGAGAGAACGGGAGCGAGAGGCATCGGGGAAGTGCTGCGGTAGAGTGCGGATGAAGGCGTGAGTACCATGAACGATGGAGACGATGGGTGAATTTTCGCGTGTTCCAAAATGCAATGTGCGCTAAGTTCATATCACACTACGGGCGTCTATACCCCGTCTGCGCAACCGGCAAACTCAATTCTGACGCAGATACTTCACTGCGCCGCCGACATCCTTGTCTCCCGCGCCGAGCCTCACATCCGCCGCCGACCTGGGCGACCTCAACTCCCGCTCATCCAGAAATTGTATGCGCGGGCCCTCCTTCTCGTCCTCGTCCTTTAGTGTGTTCTCGCTGTCCCCCGTCAGCCGCCACGTCGGCGTGTCGGGCATGCGGCGACCGCGCGACACATTCCGCGACACGGGGCGCGACCAGGTCTCTGTTCTGCTGCCCAGTGTCTCCTCGTCGGTGAGCCCTTCGCGGCTGATGACGCGCGAGAAGCGGTTGTGCCTTACGACGCTGCCACAGCGCGGGTCGACGTGGGAGTTTGGCGGGAGGGCCTCGCTGACGCTGCGGCGGCGCTCGACGCTCGGGTCAAGTTCGATGATGGGTTCGATTTTGCGCCAGCGGTAGATTATCTCGAGGGCGGGGATGCTGAGGCCGTGGACTACGATGCTGAAGAGCACGAGGAAGTAGACGACGGGGCCCATGGCGCGGAGGAGGTCTTCTTCCTCGTGTGTCTCGGCGGCGTCGAGCTTGGGGTAGAGGTGGCGTGCGTGCTCGACGTAGAAGACAGCGCCGATGCCGATGGGGCCGAAGTAGCCCATGAATAGTGCTTCCTGCCAGGTCTTGACGGTATTAGGCATGAGTCTGTACATGACCATCATAGCTGGGATGCGACGTAGTAGCAGTACCAACAAGCCTAGCGCGAGCAGGCGCCCGTACGTTATTCCTGTAATCTCGGAATTGAATTCGGACCATGGGAGGATGGCGCCAATGTACATGAAGCCGCCGAAGTTGAGGAGCACATCGATAGAACTGTTCACCTCGTCGTGCCGCGAGAGAGCCTCGCGCAAGAATGTGCCGTTCCAGTTCAGGGCGCTGCCGGCGCAGAAACAGGCTAGCAGGTCGTCCAGGCCAGCAAGGCCAGTGACACCAATGGTGAAGAGGCCGAGCGCGGTGGGATACAGGAGTAGAGATTCTGTGTCAATCCATTTCCTGCATCCTGTAAGTGTGTGCAAGGGTGTGGGTAGGGATGTATACGGACTTCTTCAATGTGAATGTCACGGCGTACATACTTGCGACGCCGAGTACAGCGCCAACTACCGCGCCCAATAGGATGAAGTATAGCCAACCCTCTACGATCCAGATCTCGACTGCTTGACCTGCGCCACCACCCAAGCGGCCTACGTCTGCTGCTCTGGCAAACATGCGATGGGCTGCGTTCGATGCTATGCGGACAACACCGGGCTTGAAGTTGACATCCTCTTCTGGTGCATGGCGGATGAGATACGTTGCGAGTAGCAGAAATGGGAAGCCAAAGCCATCGTTACTCCCCGCCTCAGCTGAGATGATCTCTCGTAACGCTCTTGGTACGTATTTGTCCGCGAAGGGGCCTTTGGCGATGGCCTGCGATAGCACAGGGTCCGTCGATGTAACCAGCGAAGCAATGACCATGGCGGTGAGAGTGGTCAACTTGGGTATCATTAGCTTGATACACCCAGTAGTGCAAAGCCACATGATGGTCATCACTGGAATGAGGAGGAGAGCCATGTCTTTCCAGCGGTGCCAAGGGTATTTAGCTGGCAGTTGGTAGCCAGCCATAACAAGCTGGATACCAATGACGACCCGGGTGATACCCTATGATGAATCAGCGCTGTCGCGAAGGAGCGGCGAGACACCTACCAACGTGATCTCTTCTGTCTGACCCTGAACAGAAGAACCCCATCGTTCAGAGTCAATGAACTTTGCGGCTATTGGCCCAAGGATGATGCCAACAAGCAACGCTGGGAGAGCCTCGCCAAGATACCATATTTGCTTGATCTTTACTGATCCAAGACCGTAAAGGATGGTGAAGGCACCTACCAATAGTCAGCGTTATGCATAGAGAGACACGAGGTTCATGTACCAAGCACGGCGATGATGATGTTCAGCTCGCTCACATCTAAGGTCGGCATGATGCTTGTTGAACGTGAGAAACTACAAAACGGCTGCCGGAAGGCGTGGCACTCAAGTTGAGAGAACTCTTGGTGTGAAGAATTTAACGAGCGCTCAAAAGGATGACTTGAGCTGGCTTAAAAATATCTCAAGGGGCAACAACGCAAAGACGGACCGGCCGATCAACAACGGGACATAGTGCAAGGGTGGGAAATCAGCTTGAGGTTTGTGGTGGGTGATCTCTGGTGACGCTGGGGACGCAAACAGTCTGCGGGGTGAGTTGTCAAGCAGGATGCCTAGTTATGTACACAATAGAAGAACGGGCTGAAACGGCAGATAGAAAAGCCTGTTACAGTGATTGTCGCCTAGCCATTTCTGAACAGTGGATGTGAGGGATAGTCTAAGTCATTGGCCATTCTCCACACTTCTGGCATTGAAGCTGTGACAAAAGGGTGGCACTCTAAGCCCCAATCTGATTGTCAGGGAGGGCAAAGATGTGACAAGAGCGATGTGCTACCGTGGCGCTTAGGTAGTCGATCAATAGGTTGAGCCTCATTGAGCTTCGCTGAGCCTCGTTCTTGGTGCAAGGCCGCGCAAGAGCGCGGGCATAATGCGTGAGCCGTCATCATGTTGTGCAACTGAACTGGAGACATCGGTGGATATCGGAATGGAGGTGAGCCTTGGGGTACAGGGAATGTCTCTTGGGCTGTACTTGGCATATCGATACCTGTATAATCTTGTGGTGACGTATGAAGTTGAACTGCTTCATTTCTTGTACAAGCCAGCCGATGGATCAGTGTAAGGAAAGTGTGCCTCACTTCATCTGTAGAACAACAGTGCTACTTCTTGAATATAGCACCAACCTTGACACGCTCAGTAGCTGGAGAATTACGAAAGAGTCAGATGGTGGTGTTATTGCAGTCAGGAGTGAGGTTGATGCTTGGCGTATAGCCAAGTCGCTCCGCCGCTGGGATCTCCGCCGACCAAGGAGAAGAAAGTGCGTCAGGTTGCCGACATCCGGATATCTCGTTCCTGTGCGCCAAGTTGATGATTGTGAATGGTTGATAGTGAATGTGGCTGGTGGGTCCGTACGTGGCTCAGGCCGGAATATCCGTCTCGTCGGTGCTTGGAAGCTGGGCAGCGGAGGGCGGAATCTTGGCACTAGCGAGTCAGTATCTATGTTATTCAGCTAGTCAAGCTCGTCACAAAAAGCGATTGCAAAAGATGAAGGCAGTGTATCGTGTCTCGTTATTCTTTCGATTTTATTCGTCGTCGTCATAGGTCTCTCGATCCTGGAAGACAAGGAACTCGCCGCCTTCTTCCCCCACAATCTGTCGCCAGACACTCTTAACGTTGTCAAGTATCGCATCGTCAAACGCGAGATCCATCGACGGAGGCGGGAAGCTGAGAACGTGCTCATGATCAGCGGGCAACGTGTCTGTGCTTGAGGATGCACGTTGCCGATATTCCGTGGACCAGAGCACATTGGGTTTAGGTGTTACCTCGACAGCCACTAGCAGCGCATCGACGGCCTTTTTGAGGAGTTCAAATCCCTTGTCAGAACTGAGTGAGGTCGAAGCGTAGAGTATGCCTTGTAGATGTTAGCCATGTGCACGATGCGAATGTGTGTGCTAACAAGTGTGAAGTGGAGCCGTTATATCAGGTTGTCAGAGAATTGTCTTCAAGTATTTCAGACAATGTAGATAAGTATTCGTAAGGTTGTTCATCATAACAGCAGTGAGTGAGATGGATGTTGTAGACTTACTTTGACCAGATGGGCACTCCCCAGTATCACTGGAGTGGACGAAGATGTGAACTGGTGGCAGTTCATCGTCTATACCGTCGATTGAGAGAGACCCAGATGGGAAGACGGCAACAGCAGAAGCTGGAGCGGGTGCTTCCTCTGCGATCGGGGGGAACAATGGTGTGAGCGGTGAAGCAACGATGGTTGTCGACCTGCAATAAGAATCCTTGTTGTCGGTCGAAACGCTCCCGCCGACCACCCACTTGGCAGTGACAGCTTCACCATCTTTCAGATGAAGCTTGACGTCGCCGTCAGAGTTTGTCGCAGCGTTGGTACTAGATGTTAAGCCTTTTCCAAGGACATAGACACCCCCGCCAACGGCACATGCTCGACAGGAGACCTGACTGATCTCCGCGAGCCCACCCCATTTCGGTATGACTGCACCAAAGCCGGCTCCAAAGACTCCGATGGACCGCAGATGTGTTGCAATGCGTGGGAGTGCGTACTCTGTAGTTGTCTGCGTGGAGCACGATGGCGACAAGGCAAGGGCCAGAAGCGGGCCCTGCAGCGCAACAGGGATCTTGAACTGTGTCGACAGGAACTCCGGGAACGACTGCAGACGATGGTCATTCCAGACCTCCGTCTGTTCCTCGTAGTCCGTAATGAAGCGCAGGAACTTCATCAACGCCCGCTTGGCCTTGAAATCGAGCTGATCGTCCTGGAAAACATCCTCGCGTCCGTTAGGGACCTTGAGAAGTTTCTGAGAGACGACTGCACCATCCGAAGGTTTTCCACCATTGTCCTGCGTGTATACCCACCAGCTCCCGACGGCCAGGAACTCGAGCTGGCGGTAGACTCGGGACGACACGAGGTGCTGGAGCAGTGTCGACTTTGCGTAGATGATCTGCGGACTGAGCGCCAAGCTGTACGCTCTGGAGAAGCCGAGCTTACCCTGGGCATTCTCAGCACCAGGAAGCTCAGGCTTCGTGATCGTGACCTTATCAAAGGCAGCAGAAGCTTCTTCTAAAGCACGTTAGTACACCCTTCGACGCGTTGAGAGAGCAGCGCATACCTTTGCTCATTTGCTTCGCCCACTCTTCAGCTTCCTGCAAGCTGAACGCCGCCTCGGCGCCGCCATAGTAGTCGTTCTCATCGATGTGGAGGATCTTCTTGTCCGACCTGGACAGAGCTCTTCAGGTGCCGCATCAGTCAGGCCGCACCGCACCCGCCGTGCATCGAGAAGACATACAAAGCGAGCAGAGACTGCTGCAGGCCCGTGCCTACAATCAGGACATCCCAGGCGGTATTGTCGAGGGTTTCCATCGCTGTGCGCGGAAGAAAGCGAGGCAGGACCGCGTGAAGCGAAGTCTTAGCGCGTCTGCTGACGTAATTCGATTTCGATCTTGAACAAAATCTGCGGGTCCACACCTGGCCATTCCTCTTCATCGCGCACGCAAAGGACTTGGGGCTATCTACGCCATGTCCGCAATGCATCCGCCCCTTCATTGGGACGGAGAGGTGCGCGAAAGAGGGATTCCGCCCAGTATCTACCGCTTTGGATTTGACCTGAATCTGCGGCTCGAAGTTGGCGGTACATATCATAGTTTTCAGACTGCGATCGTGAAGTTGAGCAGTACGATTTGCGCAAAGCGCTGCGTTTACAATATGGCGACAGTGCCTTTATTACACTTGCCATCTGTTTATGACGATGCATGTGAGCCGAGGCACTGGCTATCAAGGCCACGTCAAGTCAGGACGGTACCGCTTGTTCTGCGAGTGAGTCGAGTCATCTCAAGACTGTATCGGCCAAACATGCTTTTCCACACCTACAATGAAAGACTGGATTGGTCAGGAGGTGAGGGGTATCTATGCATTTGCTTTTATGGCCGAACTTTCTACCAATCGCTCTATCGCTGCGGCAATCTACGTGAGCTCATCATCTCAAGCTGTATATTTGCCAATCCTCCTACAACGCCTTCTTCATGATGGCGATCTGCTCGAGACACGCGCTCTTGCTTGTACCTCCTGTAGCGTTCTTCAGTTCCACCGCACGCTCGTAGTCGAGACACTCGACAACGTCGTCGCCTAACCTCGAGTCAATAGCCTTCAGCTGTTCCAGACTCAGCTTGTCCATTGGGATGTCATTATCCTCGGCAGCCGCGACTACGCGACCGGAGATGTGGTGACCCTCACGGAAAGGCACACCCTTCCTGACAAGGTAGTCTGCGAATTCTGTGGCGAGCATTTCCGGTGCAAGCGCAGCGTACATCTTCTCCTTGTTAACTTTCAAGGTGGAGATCACACCGGTAGCGATCTGGAGCGAGTCGCCGACAGTCTTGATGTGGTCGATCAGCGGCTCGACGGACTCTTGCAGGTCCTTGTTATATGTAGTGGGAAGACCCTTGATTGTCACGTAGAGACCAGCCATGTGTCCGAAGGCGCGACCGCTCTTGCCACGGATCAGCTCGAGAGAGTCTGCGTTCTTCTTCTGCGGCATGAGGGAGCTTCCAGTCGAGTAAGCGTCTGCGAGGCGCACGAAGCCAAATTCCAAGCTGGAGTAAATGATGAGGTCCTCGGCCCATCGAGACATCTTGAGCATCAGACTAGAGCCCCACTGCAGAGTCTCAAAGACGAAGTCTCGGTCGCCAACGGCATTCAGCGAGTTAGGAAGAATCCCCTCGAAGCCAAGCTCCTTAGCCATGGCGTCGCGATCGATGTTGAAGGGATTGCCAGCAAGGGCACCGCAGCCCAGGGGAGAGCGGTTGACACGCTTGATGACCTCTTGGAGGCGCTCGAGTTCCTGCGAGAACGCGGTGGTATGCCCAAGAAGGAAGTGAGACCATCGAATGGGCTGTGCCTTCTGCAGATGTGTGTAGCCGGGCATCAGGATATCGATCTCAGCCTCGGCACGCTGCACCGAAGTCTTGATCAACTGCTTCAAGTAACCCTCCAATATGTGCAGTTGGTCCCTCAACCACAACCGCATGTCGGTCGCGACTTGCTCGTTCCTGCTTCGCCCTGTGTGAAGCTTGCCGCCAATGTCCTTGCCGATGATCTCGCTCAGCCTGCGCTCGTTCGCTGTGTGAATGTCCTCGTCGTTGGGCTTGACCTCGAAGGTGTTGTTTGCCCATTCCTCCTTGATCTGGACGAAGCCCTTCTCGATAGCAGCGAACTCGTCGGCAGTCAGGATGCCATTGTTCTTGTTGGCGCGGGCAAACGCAATGGACCCAGCGATATCCTGTGCATAGAACAGGCGATCGTAGGGCAGGGACGCATTGTATTGCTCCATCACAGGGTCGAGGCCCTCTGTATGATAGTCAGCACGCAGCACGCAGCGGTCAGGATGAAGCTTGGAACAGCTCAATGATCTATCAATTGCAGCACCTACCCGTGAAACGACCTCCCCAAAGCATGTTCTCAGCGACCTTCTTTTCTGAAGCCATTGTGTGTGTGAAAGTACGATTGAAAGGGGAAAAAGTGTTGTGTAACTGATGTGACTGTTTCTCCCCAGAAAGTTTGGACGATAGTATGACGAGCTCCGATTCGGCGTCAGGGTGGGGTCTGCGCTAAAAAGTCGCTAGCAGCCGCCTCGCTTTCCTTGCTTGTCGCCCACCCCGCCATCACCACGATATTGGCACTTTCCATGCTTGAGATTCAATGCAAATTAAATTCAATACATCAGACTCAGAACAGACCAAAGGGTATCTATACACAAATGTGCCGCTCATGCATAATGCAGCAATTGCTCCTGCCAAAACATTCTGGGTACTTTCCCTTCTGATCAATCACCAGAAGCCGGGGTCCTCCATCTCAGCATCTGGGTTTAGCAGCTTCACCGGTTCTTCCATGTCATCACCAACCCAGCCCATGTACGGCTTGCTGGAACCGAACCCAGCGAACCTTTGGATATGAAGCGGCAGCTTGGCGATCTTGCTCAGGTCGTTGGCCAAGTACTGGTTCTCCTCTTGTCTGAGATACCCTCGTGTTGCAAATGCAGCATACACAAGCCGCTCCTCTTTTGTCGTGGTATTTGAGCCTGCACCATGGTAGACGCCTCCTAACATGAAGAATGCATCGCCAGGCATCATCTCAGCATGGGCGAACATCTCTGAGGACTTGGTGTAACTGGGCGGAGGGGTTGTGAAATCCCACAGATGACTTCCAGGCACGATACGAGTGGCGCCGTTCTGCTTTGTGCATTTCTTACCGGCAACGAAGAGACACAACGTATTATCTCGACCTTCCTGGTGTGTCGATGTCGCTGGGTGCTGAGTGTGATAGATGTCATCGTCTCGATGTAGACCTTGCGCCTTGGTCCCAGGACCGACCGAAAAGGTCACAGTAGTGCTGAGTTGTGGCAGACTCACACTACTTCGAGCTTCATCACCGTGCTGGGTATGTCAGTGATGAAGTCACTACCCATGGGACGAATGACTTACCCAAGAATTTGTCAGCTTACTTGTCAAGAAATGCTCGCACACCCGGTGCCAGAGATCGTTACCCGCTACTGACGAGGCATAGGTGTGCGACTTGCTCAGTAGACCAGTAACTATCCGTGTTGATGATGGCACGAAGTTCTCTCGCTGCTGGTCTGCCTTCTTGGTGGCTTCGATGTGTGGGCGAAGCTCCACTTCTAACGCCTTCAAAGTGCCTTGCCGGTACATGCCCCTAACGATGCAACCACCCGATGTCTTCAGACTCTTGACAATGTCAGAAATCAGTATTGTTTCATCCTTATAGGCCTGGAAGTCGAGTTTGGCTATCGTTGGTGCGACCGATGATTCGGCCGAGCATATACCATGTGTTGACGGCCTACACACTTCGCTGTCGTCATTGTATAAAAGAGCTGGAGCCATGATCAGAAGCAACGATCTTGCTTCAAGGCTGACGATTGTAATATAATGGGGTCTTGAAGAGAGAAGGTGGGCGTGTGATGGCTGGTAAGGCCGTGAGTACGACGTAGTTCCTCATATAAACACCGCTCATTGACTGTTCAATTGTGATAGGGGCAATACGGCTGGGTGTCGCTGCCAATTGTGTCGCTACACCGTCTCAAAACCTAATGAGCAATCAGCCGCATTCTATCAGCGTGCACATGGCCATACCGATCATACGACACCAATATAGCGAGAACTAAATATGCACACTACTCTATCCACATCGATGATCCTCGAGGGAGCTGGTCATGGGCATGGTCGCAGCTAATTATGCACGCCACAACATGAATGAGCTGAACAGCCTCGCCTTGGCATCCACGTTGTTCAGCTTCGACACCATGAGAACAACAGTGAAGCGCCTATCATTTACATCATGCTCGACTAAAAGTGGACACCGCTGATCTTCGATCACTAAATCTCAGGTTGTCACATCGTCACGTCTCAGAAACTTCATGCGGATACCAATGTTTTCGACTCCCCAGATCTGGGCGATCAATCTAGACCCCGCGGGAGCGGTCGGCCGTCCCGCAACCACTAGATTGATCGCATGTGCCAGAAGTCGGTCAGAAGCATCAACCTGAGGGGACTTTTTCGTACATGGGGGTTGTGGCTAGCGACGACGTTAACTCGTACGTGGCTGCCCAATGCGGCCACGCTTTGCCAAATTGGGCATCGTGAGGTTTCTGGCGTAGCTGAACGCGGTCAGTCCACAGCCGAGCCCCTCGATGCTCTGGACCGGAATGGCCGCCAAAAAACAACCAGCGGCTGCTACGAAACGTACTCGATAATAATTTGCGAGATGATCGAGGGCCCGGTGCACGTTCAGCCATGGTCTGCTGGCAATAGGGAGGCAGTAGTGTCTGACGAAGTCCCTATATGAGTCGTTGGAAGCAGTCTCCGTCGTGATCGGAACATTCCAAAGTCTAGTGTAGCTGCAAGGATGACTTTCTCGTCACAATTCTCAGCAATCAGAAGCTCGAAAGCGTTCATTCTCTTTACTGTCTGTACAGCATGTTTGACGGATGGCTTCACATATGGGCTCGTCGCGCCAGTCATTCCGTTCCTCTTGCAGGATGAGAACTTAGTTGCTGAGAAGAATGGTAAGCCAAGTCAACTACTTACACATGATCCATCTGACAATTCGAAGTCCAGATCTCCACGTCGCTACTCATAGCAGCCTTCTCAATTGCAGACTTCTTCGGGGCACGTAAGTATATGTCCCTATTTCGGTAGCTTATATGCTCACAATACATAGCTTGCTGCGCATGGTATGTTGACAGAGCGAAGTCTCGCCGTGTCCCATGGTATCTCGGCATTGTTCTCATTACAATGGGGAGTTTCTTGTTCGGCTTCTCCAACAACATCGCCATGCTAGTCTGCAGTCGCGTCCTTCACGGGCTTTCGTCATCCATCCTGTACACCGTGGGTCTAGCCGTACTTGTGGACACTGTTGGCAAGGATGAAGTTGGCCAATGGATGGGCACCGCCATGAGCTGCAACAACATCGGCATGATCATAAGCCCTATGCTAGGCGGCATTGTGTATGATAAGTCAGGCAAGCTCGCCGTGTTCGCCATCATGATCAGTCTCGGTGCCTTCGACATCATACTGCGTCTGCTGATGAACGAACCGCCGAAGAAGCTGCCATCAGTGACCGTCATCAGGGAACTGGAAAGCGCTCACAGCGATGAGAAGTCGAAATCCAATGCCAGCCCTGTCATTGTCTCAACTTCGTCCATCTCCGACAGCGACACAGCCAGCACCTCCCAGCCCTCCATAAAGCAAATCCCCACCGGCCGCCTTCCAGGCATCTTCACGTTAATACGCTCGCCCCGCCTCCTCGCCGCCATGTACGGCATCTTCATCAACGAATGTCTCGTCGCCTCCCTGTGCGCCATCCTACCGCTCTTCGTCCACTCAACATTCTCCTGGACTGCGCTCCCCGCCGGTCTGCTCTTCCTCACCATCGCGATCCCCGCGTTCGCAGGTCCACTCGCAGGCTGGCTCAGCGACCGCTTCGGCGCTCGCTGGGTCGCAGTCCCCGGGTTCTGCGCCGCGACTCCGCTGCTGGTGCTGCTGCGTCTGGCAGACCACGACACATTGCAGCAGAAGATCCTGCTGTGCGCGTTACTCACGTGTGTGGGCGGCAGTTTGATTTTCTTCCTCGCGCCGCTGGGCGCGGAGTGCTCGTTTGTTGCGGAGGATGTGAGTGCGCTGTCAGGGCTGGATTTGTACGCGAGTAGTTTCAGTTTGATGAACTGTGCGCTTGCGGCGGCGGGGTTACTGGGGCCGTTGGCGGCGGGCGGGTTGATGGATGGCGCGGGGTGGGAGTGGACGACGGTGGCGATGGGGGTGTTTTGTGCGACTGGGGTGGTGCCTTGTGTGCTTGCTAGTGGAGGGAGGAGGAGGAATGTGGTAGATGATGATCAAATTGCGTAGATTCAAGGCCATTCAACTATATTTGATATTATTCCACGTTATAGCAAGGCCTTTGGGGCCTTTCACCTCACTTCGATGTTGGAATCGGCATCACTGTGTCTGAGGGCTGTTGCCCAACAAATTGACATCTCCAGTCATCAAGTCAACAAGTTCTGCGACCTTCTTCCAGGAAATCTGCTATCGATGGCTTGGGACCGAAATTTCTTGTGACATCGGTACTCCCAGACATACTGAGAAACACGACCAGCCGCTTTACGCTCTCTACTTCCTTGCGTCACTCCCATCAGTACCAACGAGCAATCGTGACAGACGTCACAGGTACCAGTAACCCTGTCTGCACAGCCCCCGTAACCCGGCGACCTGGTCTGCGGGGTTTCATTTGGCATGCTAACAGAAAACGGCCGTCTTCCTCGTGCCAGCGCGGCTATGGGTCCCATCAGTCTGGTCGACCTAGTTTTCGAGGACCCGGGATTTAGCTTCGGCGATGTCAAGAACTCATTGGCGCTGTTTTCCGCCATGGGAACTGAGCATCTGTCGCAGTAGAGAAGATCCCCATGTTCACATGCCACCTAAGCTAGCGGCGCTTGTGTATTTTGCCTTTCTTCTGGCTGTCACAGCATCTGAAAGCCGCTGAAGGCTGTTGTGGTTCACGAAAAAATGACAAATCAGAGCTTCTTTTGGCCCGATATTGCCGATTCAGATTGCTGCTGTGGAAATGTAGCTGGCAGGTTGAGGGATCTCTTCTGTTGCCTCTCTCAAAAGTGCACTTGGCTGATTGTCAGTCATCTCGGGTCCTTCTCGGTCCACGGACAAGAGGCCAATTGAAGATTCAAATCCCCGAAGCCGAAGTCGTCACGACTGCTCAAAAGTCCGGTACATGGCACCGGAAAATATGTCCTGGGAAGGGTCGATTGCGGAGAGCGGGTAGGTTTTGAGGGTGCCCCGCCTTACCTAAGCCGGCCTAGTGGCAGTTGGCCCTGCATTTGCGGAGAGGGCATCTCCCACGCCAGCGACCAGCACCCCAATCGTCATTTACAATCCACGCTAGTCCCCCGTCAAGCGAGCCAAAAAATGTGCGATTCGTATGAGGCCAAGATCGGCGTGCTTTTCGATCAGCTAGTCTCCGAAGGCGTCCTTGTGTATGGGCCCCATGAATCGGTTGTGCGCGAGGCTGAGGGTTTTCCCGTGAGTACATCCACCCGAATAATGACCGCACGTATCTGAGCTTTTGTACGTGTAGATTCAATTCAAAGTCTGCGAGCACCTATCCAAAAAGCCTCACACCGTGGGTGCTGAACTAAGTCCCACCTTCAACAAAGGCCGCAAATGGGGTCCAGGAAGCGACATGTTCTGTCCCGACGAGCGCTTGATACTTGAACAGCTGAATGGCACACACGACTTGGCGTTGAACTTGTTCTGTGTTGATAGGCCGCAGTTGATGATGTTGACGATGGACTCGTACAAGCGCCAACACCAACCGTTGGATCGCGATGACTTCCAGACAGCCCTTGAAGTAATCAGGCGTTGCCCAAGTATGTACGTCATATACAACTGCAGTGAGGCTGGAGGTTGCAGCCGGACACACAAACATTTGCAGGGCTTGCGTGGCCCGCCTTTTGCGTTTGAACACGTAATACAAGCGAGCGAAGGCAAGGCAACAGTCCCGTTTCGGTTTTTCTTGCACCATCTCAGCGCAGGTTTTGCAACAACTTCAGCAGAGGAGGCGCTGGATGTGTACTCGAAGTTGTTAGATCAAACGAGGGATCTTTTGAACGTCGGCCCAGCGGATGTTTGCCCCCACAATATCGTCATGTGGAAGGACTGGCTCATCGTCATCCCTCGTCAAGCAGGATTTACTGAGGGTGCGAGTGCAAATGCTGGAGGCATGATGGGATGTGTATGGATCCCCGAATACAAGAGCATTGATGAATGGGAGAGGATAGGGTATGCTAATGTGCTGCGAAAGTTGGGTGTCCCATCACGCTCAACATCGGGCTCGGAGGATTCTGGTCGACACACAACGACAACACCATAGTAGCAGAGCTTACGACCTTGAACCGCAGAATTTTGACAGCATTACGGATGTGTTTAGAGGCGACCTCGGGTGCGAAGCCCTAAGCAGAATAGACGGCCCTTTTGATTTATTCATCTTACGATCCAGAGCAAGGCATCATGTTGTGTAGCATGCACAAGCTTTACTTTGGGCCAAAGCGAATACGACCACAGAAGGAAAGAAGCGAAGGAAGCAAATGAGGGCAAACGAAGTAAACTAAGTGAACAGCAGTGTTATTGTTCTCGAACTTCTAATCAAGAGTCATTCTTATTGCAGTGTTGGGTTACTTTTACCCTGTGCCAAAGATCCGACCCTGTGTTACTTACTTGGAACAATAAACTAACGTACCACGGTATGGTCAGATAATATCTGCGCAGCTTGCTGAAAAACGGTGCTCGAAGTTTCCAGTGAAAAATAGAGAGCCGCAGCGGTGAAAGCTGGAGATTCCAGTCGACCATTCCCTGTCATGATATTTCCTGTCTATAGAATCGATCTTCGTTCGCGGTAACACCGAGTCTCAGACTACAGACACCCACGATGGCACCTGGAAGCTTTGCAAGCACAGCACTCGCGCGCTCGCTTTCCACCGAACGGATCGAGACACGCGCCGCGCATATTAGACACACCGTCGTCTCAACCTCAACAACCACCATCATCGACATCCTGAAACCCCCAGAGGCTATCCCAACGGTAGTCAAGAAAGTTCACGCCACTGCTTCCGATCAGGATCGACCATTCATGGACTATCTCGAGGTGCCTTCGGCTGCTTCAACAACGCCGCCATCTGTTTCACGCCGGACGGCTATATCGGAGCGCCGGATTACCAAGAAGAAATCGCTCACACCTAGTGAGCAACTAGAAGCTATGCTCACTAACGAGCTGAGGGAGAAAAGAAGGCGAGAGATAGAGCGCGCGACGAAAGTGGTGTGGTGGTAGTTAAATCTCGGAAGACGGAACCTCTGCGCAGAGATGTCGTATCCGCAGCTATGTTTGCAACACATTCGCACTTACCCCTGCCCTTCAAACCCGGACACCTTGACATTCATCTTGTCGCTTTCGTGTAGAATCTTGCGGACCATCATACTTCCGGAATTGGTCCCAGGCTCAATATAAAAGTCATCTCAAGAAATCTGGACTGGCGAACGAAAAGGAAACAACAAGCAAGAAAAAAATTCTGTCAAAGACCTGCCAACCATGTATCAGCTACGTGAAGATTCGAGACTGTTTTTGCGATGCTCGATACCACTCGACACTGGTACAGATACACCCCATGATTTGAGTTCACGATCTACCTCATTCAAACAGCTGGATCGGTGCCGTTCATGCCGTCATACTGATACAGCTATACTCTGTCCTTGGTGAGAGGAAAATCAGGCGTGGACATGTCCTTTACAGGGCCCTTCAAGGCCGTTTTTGTAATGAGTGACGAAGTTAATTTATCTTTCGGGCTATCTGGACAACACAATTTTGGTAAAGAAATGAATAATGACGCAGCACAATCCTAACATCTCCGATTTGGGTGAGTTGAATCCCCAAATTTGACATCGACGGCCTTTGTTTTGCCGACAGTCTTGCTCACACCTTCTCTTTCGTCGACTCTTGCGACATAATGGTCTCGCTAGTGTAGTAACGACCGAACACGCGATCTTCGATCTCCAAGTTCTTGTGATCAGCACCAAGCGATCCACGTGCCTGGCGGCGGAAGTATACACGCTTACACCACTTCCAGCTCTCGACACCTGCGAAAAACAGACCAGCCTCAACAAACACCACTCCCCACTCCCAGTCGATGGGAGCATGTTTGAACACAACAGTGTTGAGAACAGGAATGTAGATTAGCGGGAACAGTGTCGCAAAGCCAGCAACAATAGCCCAAAAAAGGAACTGGTTCCGCCAAACGTCGATCATCCACTGTGTGAAGTAACGTTTGGATCCTGGCTGCATGCGGAAAAACGAACGTCTCATGTCAACCATTTCCCACGCTAGAAACAGGGCAAACCACGTTAAGCATGCGAATGTCGTAGCGCGTGCACGGAAAACCAGTTCACACGATTCATTGTAGCCTTCGTTACAACCAACGCCAAGGTTGCCGTCGCCGAATCCAAAGACAACAAGCGTGAAGCTGGCAAGGCAGAGCGCAGTGATCCACAGCCCGTAAACGACCATATCGACCAGGAATTCCATGGTGAAGATACCGGTCTTCAGAGACTGCGGTGGACGCTGAAGGATGTCGGGCACGGCGCGCTCGAATCCCAGACCCATATCTGGCATGCCAGATGTGGCCATAATGATCCAAACCACCTGGACCGGGGCAAGTGGGAACACGGATAAGCCGGTGCTGTCTTTGAACGCCAAACCGACAAGGAGGGTTCCGGCTTGCGCGACATTCTCGGCCAGGACGTGGAGAACAAACTTTTGGATATTGTCAAAGATTCGGCGACCTTCCTCGATAGCGGCAAGAATTGAGGCAAAGTTGTCATCTGTAAGTACGATGTCAGATGCTTCCTGTGAGGGAGTTAGTGAATCGGTAACAGAAGACAGGAGATTGAGCATGGAACATACCTTAGCTACATCAGATCCGGCTTGGCCCATAGCGATGCCAACATCAGCGCGCTTGAGGGAAGGTGAGTCGTTGACACCGTCACCAGTCATCGCGCAGAAACGACCTCGACGATGGAGAGCTTCAATCATACGAACCTTGGTCGATGGCGCACATCGAGCGACCACCAACGGTAGGACCGGGAGCTCATCCACTTGCTCATCGCTCAGGCTGTCAAAGGCAGAAGCTGTCATAACCAGACACTGCGCAACATCTTCAGAGATGCGCTTCATACGATCCACGGACGGCAAAATGCCAACCTCGATTGCGATAGCCTTTGCCGTTTCGGGATGGTCACCAGTGAGCATATGCACTTCGATACCTGCTTCGTGACATTGGCGCACGGCCGGGGCAGACTCGGGCCGTGGAGGATCGTATAGTCCGATAAGGCCACGGAAGACGAGTTCGCTTTCAACAGACGCACGTTTCACCTCGGCGCCCTTCTGGACTTCTTCTTCGAAAGGTTTGCTGGCTAGCGCCAAGACACGCAGTCCAAGACTGGCGAGCGCTTCCATGTTGTGTAATATTTCTTCACGGAACTCCTCAGTGATACTTCCCAGCTCATCAGGGCCAGTTGCCACTGAAGTGCAGCTCTGTATGACTCGCTCGACGGCTCCTTTGGTGAAAGCATGGGATTTGCCGCTGACATGTCGCATGATGACCGACATACGTTTGACATCTGAGTCGAATGGAAGCTCGACTAGATCCTCCCACATCGCCGTGTCGCCCTTGGTCATTCGTGAGCGGTCAAGGCCAAACCGGGCGGCGAAAACCTGAATGGCGATTTCGGTAGGGTCGCCATGGGCTTCCCAGTTGCCATCGTCCTTCTTCTTCACAGCAGCTAAGTTGGCTAGCGAAGCAACGTTGAGAAACTCTTCGAGACCCTTGGACGCGGATGGTCGGAGATCCTCGGAAGCGACGAGCTCACCACATTCGTCTCCACCAGCCTTTAGATTGAACTTGCTTGGCGATTCTGTGTGAAATCGGACGTCACCGATAGTAGGGTCTTGTGGCGCAGTGGAGTTTTCGATGGTGTAGGTTCCCACGGCAGGTATCCAGGCACCACGAGCAATCATTTTGCCCTGCGTCAGCGTACCAGTCTTATCAGAACAAATGTCTGTGACGCCTCCCAGGGCTTCCAATGACTTGAGGTTTCTCACCACAACGTTGCGCTTGACCATGCTTTTAGTTCCTGCTGCCATTGTAATTGTAAGTACAACGACTAAGCTGGCTGGTATCATGGACAAGCCAGTTGCAACCGCATAGATGATGACCTCTTGCTTGGCATCGAACTTGTTAGCCGCAAGTACGATGATAGCGCAAACCACTGCTATACCAAACAGCAACATGGCCAATTTGGACAGCTTCTTTTGCAGTGGCGTTCCAACATTGAGACCCAGAAAGCGGCCAATAGCATCGGTGGTCGTAAGGGTATAAGCTTCGAGGTATCGGTGAGGTTTAGCGCGTCCATTTGGCCCACGCTTCTTCACGGGTCGAACCTTCGACTCTGACTCCCGCAGTTGAGATGCGATGGCGCCAATTTCTGTGTAGACACCGGTTGCGAAAACGACACCTTTGGCACGACCTTTCGTGACATTGGATGAACTATATGCGACGTTGAGACGATCTCCCGGACCAGTCTTCTCCTCGAAGGTGGCTTCTTCAGTCTTACGGACGGGCAAGGATTCACCCGTGAGCAACGCTTCATCTGTTTCGAAATTGACTGCTTCAAAGACTCTGATGTCAGCTGGCAGAGTGTCACCAGTCTTGATCTCGATGACGTCTCCGGGCACGATATCAGCAGAAGGTATCGTAGACTGCTGTCCACCACGAATTACTCGTGCGGTGGGTGAGCTCAATGACCGGAGAGAATCCATTGTCTTCTCAGCAGACCATTCCTGGAAGAAGCCAACTACAATGTTTAGCAGAATGACGAATGTGACAACACCGCCTTCGATCCAAGATTGAATACCGAAGCTGACAGCCATAGCCAGGATCAAGACCATAGTCATGGCGTTCGCGACTTGAGCGATCAAGATCTGAACTGGGGATGCTGCGGCACTCTCTCCGAGTTCGTTCGCCCCATATTTCTCAAGGCGACGTTTTGCTTCGGCATCGTCGAGTCCAGACCAGGTATCGGTGCTCAATTCGTCCACAACTTGGGCGAGAGTAAGGCTATGAGGTGGCAGCGACAGTGGAACGTTTGACTGTCCACTGACGTGACCCTCGTCAGGCGATTTGGCTTTGTTGCCCATGGTGCTAATTTCTTATGCTTATCCGTTTGATGCACTACGACGTATGCGATGTTCTTTCTTTACGTGATTCTTCTTCTTATTCTCGTCCCAGTGTGGACGAATTGAGCAATGTTGTTAATTGTAAAATCCATAGAAGACTTCAGCACGGGTTCTGGGACAGACTCCTCCGTGTTTACGCCGTGATTGGCGACGGTAAAAATAATGAGGTTGTAAAAGCGATCTGTAGGGAGCTTGGGGGATTCGATGTGTTCTGATCAGTAGCAACTTTGGTACGAGATGGCGAGAATGGTGAGAGACGATTCTTATCTGGTAGCGAGCAAGGTATGATACCTTATATTCGCGGCAAGAATCATGACAGATACCACACGTGTGGTTCAAGCGGATATTCGGCATCTTGCCAAGCCCCGTTGCAGACTTTTTCGACAGTTATCGAATTAGTGAGCGTTCGTTACTTGGCTTTGGAGGTGATACACTTGGCGTCGTGCTACCAGAGATGGTGGCACTGTGCAGCAACGACAGGTCACCTCGAATCTCAACGCGCCTATGGTGTTGCACAGAACGTGCCACACAACGGGATCTCTCAGAACGACTCCTTTCTCTATCTGCCATCAGGATGTCGTCAAGAAGATCCTCGTCCGCCACAAAGTGGCCAAGACGCCAAGAGATCGTTGTTGAGCCCAAGTGTGGAATGTCCCTTGTACTGATTTAACCAATCAAAGTGTCGCAGCGACGTCACAGACCTCCTCATGCGTGCACAATTGAACGAATCAAGGAACAGGCATTGTGTTGCCGGTTGCAAATTGTCCTAACGAATAGACTGCAGTCTTGTTAACGAAGATTTACGAAGAGGCTCCCAAAGTCGGTTCTGCGAGGCCTGCGGTACGCGCTACTGCACTTGCACACTTCTACAACTGTCATTGTTCTACACTATTAGATACAACATTATCTACGCTTGACATCTATGTTAGCACGAAGAATATATCTTGTGATGGTGATGAGTAATAGCAAGTGGAAGCTGCAAGGATATTTTGGTGTTCCTGCTAGCGATGCCTAGAATCAACGACCCTCTTCATAGCACAATAGGCGGTGAACCAGTAGTGCGGGTTGGCAGTCCGGTGAGCTTGACATTGTATTCTCATCTTCATAAACATTATCCCTATTGATCTTAGGTAGCAACTTCACGAGACAAGGACAAAGAACGGCGTAGAATGCTTTCACATTAGAGTACGTGAGCGCTTGAATTGCAGCTCGTTGGAAGTGCTTCCGAAACTTTGGATTCCTCCAGTGTGTCAATGAACAGTCGGGCACCTTGACTCAGCTTTCTTGCTGCGATCTCGTTGTAACTATCTCTTTTCTACTCTATTGTCTGAGAGCGCTTTCCATATCACTACTCTAAGTTCGTTACGTCTTGCGCTTGTCCACTTCAAGCAGGTCGGAAGAGAAAATCGTAATCACACGCACTAGTCTACTTACAGCAGTGCGGGAGAGAAATGTATTGGGCTGACCATGGAGTCATGTTTTGTGCTAATCTGTATAGAGCAGTCCGGGAGAGAAACGCATTGAGCTTGATTTATGCTCTGTGCTAATCTGTGTAGAGCAGTCCGGGAGAGAAAACGTTGTGCTATTTGCTGTATCAAGCAATCACTGACGAGCTTCGCGGGTTCAACTTTTGAAGACAGAGACAATTACGTGTAGAAGGCATAACGTCTGCCACTGATTCATTTATCTATAAGTAGCATGCTGTTTTCATCGATTTGATACAAGAGGTCTATCGTTCAGTAGGGCATTCAAGATGACAGTTTCAAGTCCTCAAAATCCTACTTTCGCTCGTGTCGATGCCTCAAGTGCTTCAACCACTGCACAGCATTTGATCGATATCATCAATCGGGATGGTGGAGTTATCGTTGAAAAACTCGTCGCGCCTTCCCTTGTTGAAAGAATTCGGGAAGACCTCAAGCCTCATTTCGACGGGGATAAGCCCGATCAGTACGGCTTCTTTCCAAGCACGACTCAACGTGCATCCGGACTGTTCGCTCATTCGGACGCTTGTGTTGACCTCGCATGTGCGCCGCTGTTCATCGAAGTAGCGAATGCGTTGGTATCTTCCACGTTCTCCTTCTGGCGAGGTGACAAGAAGAAAACTGTTACAGGAAAGCCAATCATATCCTCCACAGTAGGCTTTCGCATCAATCCCGGTGGAAAGCAGCAGGTTTTGCATCGGGACGATAAGTATGCTATTGCTATCTCAAAGAGTCGCAACTCACTGACAATGGAAACAAGTGATTATCATCCTCAAGATGCGCAACTGCCGGTCATGATTGGCTGTGTTACCGCCATAACGAAGACCACCAAGGAGAATGGGGCGACAGTCGCCGTTCCTGGGTCGCACCTGTGGGACCAAGACAGACGACCTATGGAGGAAGAAGTGGTTCCTGCGGAGTTGGAGCCTGGCGATGCCTTCATCTTCCTAGGCAATCTGTACCACGGAGGTGGAGCAAACGTAACTAAGTATGTCGTCACAACCCTCGGCCTCTGTGGCTTCATCGTACTGACAATATCGTTTTATCAGGGACGATTACCGAGAGACTGTTGGTATGTTTCTTTGCAAACCAACATTGCGGCCGGCCGAGAACCAGTTTTTGATGGTGCCGCTCGAGAGAGCAAGGAAACTCAAGCCACAGGCTCAAAGATTGCTAGGTTATGGCCTTTGCGAGCCAGGAGTAGGGTTCATGAACTACTCAGACCCAATGAGAGTCCTCTTTGGTGTAGAGGATGAGGAAACCGTGAACTTTTGATTTACTTGAAAACAACAGCCACTTTCAGATATCAGAAAACGATGAAGGTTCCGAGTTTTGTCTTTGCATTGCGTGCGTACTGTATCCAACTTATGTGTGCTTCTTCATGTGACCTTCGCCAATAGCTCCGCAAAAATTGTAGCGAAGTGTAATTACACCAGGACCCGGAGATGGATAATGCTGTAAGGAAGAATTGATCAATCGTATGCTGCAAGCTCTCATCAGCAGAAGATAGGGTGCCAGCGATCAGTAAAGGGAAGAACAGGTTGTGCCAGAAAGCTTTCATGACATTGCTGTCTGTGACGCATACGTCTTTGAGGACTGAAATCAGAGTCTCCGATATTGTCGTCGCTCTATCGATATCTCCGGGTGCAAGGGCTTGGTGACTATAGATAATCGTGGCGTAGTGATGTGCGCGCACGATATCTTTGAGGCACCTCATATCACGCTGCGAGCCGCACATGTAGCCGATGTTGATGATGATTCCGCGAAAGCACTCGTCGGCTCGGGCATGCCATATAGACATGTCGACTGCAGATACGCGAGGGTCATGTCGTGCATGCCAGCGCGTCCTCTCAGCATGTGTAATCTCCCTGATCAGACCAGTGTACCCCCAAAACGTGTTACTGCGGGTCAAGAAAGAGTCTGTCGTGACCGCTTGCGATGACATGAGACTGTGAGCCGAGAAATCACTGAGCGCCTCAAGGTCTGCGACCTCCTTGATTAAGAATGTCTCGACCGGCCGCTTAGACGATTTGGTGTGGTGCAAAGAAAGGCGGTCGACGACCATCTGACACCCCTGGAGATGTAAGTTCCATCTACTTGGGATGGACACAAAAACCTCAGAATAACAGAGGGCAACCATGGAGGCAAGAGCTTCGGTAAGCAACATGCGGACGCTTTGTTCGCCCAGCTCACCAGGTCTCGCTGTGACAAGTCTTGTGACTCGACTGTTTACTGACCGGAGGCTCAATTCACGTAGTTGATCATGTAGCTGGGCGAAAGGTGAGCGATCGCTGGTCGCGCTGACTCGAGTTGCGGACAGATGTGCAGCAGCAACGCAACCGAGTGATAAGTGAAGACATCCGGAGCTCTGTGCAAGGTTCTGTAAAGTAGTTGGCCAGAGATTTCCAGGAAGCTCGATCCAAGTCAATCGAGGGACGACCTCGACGCTAAAGTGATGGAGGAGCTTGTCTAGCAGCATCACTTGCGAGTGTCGATTGACGAGAGACAGATCTTGGCTCGCGCAAACAACTGCGTTGACGGTAATTTCTGGTGACTTCTGGTTGTCCTTCAAGAGAGACCCAGAGGTGTCAGCTGGTACCGGAAAAGACTGGGAGTCGCAACTTGGAGACCCTTGAGTGCGAGGTCTTCGCACCAGTCCCTTCAACACTGGCGCCTTCCCCCGGTGTACCGGTACCTGACTTCCCGCCAATTTGCCACGGCTCGCGACACCCTGATCCCATCTCAAGTTTATTAGCTGGAAGCCTGGACATACGAGGTTCCGGCTGGTGCATTTCAGGCACGAGGGAGTGCTTCGGTCACACTTTATCCGCCGCCGTGTGCACAGTGCACAGTCTAGAAGAACGCATGTCAGTGATATTCTAGCTAAGAGGTTGATAGCTGGCTAGATACCCCGAGACGCAGTAGGCCTGTCGATTGGCAACGAGTCAAGTCGGATATTCCTCATGCCTGACAAGTCAGTAACAGAGGGGGGCGAAAGATAAGCCCGCCAATGGGATGCCAAGTAGGGCAGTAGTACCTGGCATGTCAAGTCTGTACTGTATGCACAACCTGATCGTCGTTGGAGACATCAGTTGTTCACCCCTCTCGTTGCCAAGCAAGAGCCTCGTCACTAGTTATTTAGCCTACCCGGCATCCTGGTGGGCGGGGCATTAGATCTCCGATAGATCCGAGAGAGCCCCGGGATGCCTTTTCTCTGCGATGGAATACTAACACATATATATTGGAACAACGTTAAGCTAGTATCGTGATCTAGATGTAGCACTATGATGAAACGATTATATGTTAATTCTAAACCCTGTAAAGCTTTTCACTTTGCGTTTGTCACACCCAGATCTGAGCTCTCGGATTTCCCATTGGTCGCTGCCAAATACGGTTGTAGTGTAAAAGACTCCGCAAGCATCATACTTCTCCAAGATACTTGGCAGTCGAGAGTACTGTTCATCGTAAAAGTCCTCTTTTCAGTTGAGCTCATCGACTGCCGCTTCATCAAGGTAGCATCCACCCCCTTTGCTTCATCGAGGGCGTAAGATCTCTCCACGGTTGCAGTACAAACCTTACTTTGGTGCTCGGGGTTTGTTTTAGCGTATTCCAAAGACACTTTGCCAGTGGTACAACGCTCAGCAAAAATTCCAGTATGGCCGATGAACATACCGGACTGCACCCTCTCAATTTGTTCATGACCTCGTTCTCTTTTTTCACTCCATTTGCGGTAGTTGGAGCCAGAGTTTGGAAAAAGACGCGTGAATAGAAATTCTGTGCAGGTTTGTACAACTATATACTACATACGAGTTGAAACCAGTCTTGAAACCGCACGCAGATGATCTCCTTATCGTATTCACGCAAATATGCGCTTTAGGTGTGACAATAACAACATATATACACATGTAGGCTTTATAATTAGGGCTAAGAATGATACAAAGGAGGGGGTGATTGGGCTTACGAACACTCCAGAGTAGTTAATCGTTGATAATCAGTCGCATGAGGCTGTGAGAGAAGACAATGGAAGTATCTGGGTCTCTGCAGTGGCTGACAAAAACGGCAAACTCTCCCACGAAAGTCCCAGAATCACTGGTATAGCCGAAAATACAGTAGCTTTCACCAAATCTGTAGCCGTAAAAGAAATCTTTAGGTTTTCAGAGTAATTTGATCATATGAGCAGTAGCATCTACGAATTGCTACACAATCGCTAAGTCGTTCAAAGTCCCCAAATGAAACTTGCATTCACTCATTCACCACGCCAGGATCTCTTTCTGTGGACCGCACGCCAGACCAGCACATATATCTTCATCCTCATCCACTTGATCAGCAGCGTTTCCTGTCTGTACGGGCTTGGAAGGCCAGATTTCGTGACCCGTTGTCTTTTCCTGCTTGTAGTGCTCTGTAACAGCATCTCGAATGGTATTCTCGAAGAACACAGGTATAGTTCTGTCCGTTTTCTCTGTATTCAATGCCAGCGAGTAAGCACTACTAACATCATTCCACTCGATGTCTGAGCAGTCTTTGTGACGATATATCTCAGTCTGTTTAATGGTCTTGTTTGGGCCTTGGGGTAGATCCTTTTTAATCACCATGAACTTGGCGGATATCGTGGACAAGGCATTTGGGAAGTAGCAGGTACTTGTGGTGTTGAAGTCCTGCCTAATCTGCTCCAATGACGATCCGACCGATCCATGCTTCCAGTTGAGCTCGAGGTCCCCCTTCAGTTCGCAGCCGAATGAATAGTCGTCAAAGTCGATATGCGATGTTTCATTTTGGACATCAACGTTGTCAAAGTGGTCTTCGAACGAGATCTCAGGAGTCTGTTTAGCGTCCAAGTTGATCCAAATGAAGCCGTTTCTGTCAATTTTGGTGTGACAGCGGAAAAGACTATTCTGATCTTTGTCGAGATTCAGCTCTTGATAACCGGGAGCCTTTGCAAGCTTGCCGTTGAGTCCATAAGACCATCCGTGGTATCTGCACGCAAGTATCTTGTTGTTACCAGCGCCTTCCTTCTCAATGACTGGATACGCGCGATGTCTGCACACATTATGGAACGAGTTGATGGCTCCCGTCCTATCGCGTGTGATAATGATGTCGTAACTTGCAAAGCTATAACGAATCCAATCTCCAGTCTGACTGAGACGCGACTTGTGCGAGATGAACAGCCACCTCTTGGAGAAGATTGCACGGCGTTCAAATTCGTACATTTCCTGTGACGAATACCATGATGCCGGCAGTGTGTTTCCTGAACTTTTGGTGAACCCTGTGGTACCGTTGGTAGTGTCGCTGAAGTAATGCAGGGTGTTGTCCATTGTGGCTTCGAAGATTTGCGCGTTTTGAAATGAACCGTGTAGGTTGTTGGTCGATTAATGTTTAATCAATAGACCTGATGTAGTGGCGTCCCAGAACACTTTATATCACACCCATCTCTCTTCGTGAATCTCGTCTGGCGCGATCATGCCGACCATGATAAAGATCTGTAGATAGCCGCATAGGGTAGTCGGGAACGAGAGACCCGCTACTGAGAAGTCCAACTCCACCAGTTGTTTAGAGCTCCCTGAGTACATCTGCGGCCATGAGCACAAGCCTACGTGCAGGACAAGTAAATGTAAGCTATGTGAAATAGCCTTACACGACGTCTTCCTATTCTTCGAAATTGTATGGAGATGTGGTAAATGTCATCGCACATGTTTCAGTTTGACCAATCGCGTGGCTCGACGAAACGACCAATCGCGTTGACGCAATAACTCACCGTCTCAACCAATCGCATCCACAGGCAGACGCATCTTCAACGTCGGGGCATCGATCTTACATTGCGTAGATAAGTGAAGCGAGTCGGTGGAAATGGAGCGAAAAGGTAAGTTGAGCTGCACAGCCCGAGTGTGCCAATCCTCCTCCTTCCACCTCCCGCCATCACATGGTCACAGCGTCGACTGTGAAGCGCATGATGCGGTCAGCAATCTCCTATACGTTCCCCGGTATCATAACACAAGCGTTCAGTCATCTCCACTCCATGCAGCGACAGCATCGCATCGCATGATACCTGCTCATGGACGACCCCATACATGCCGCTCGCTAATTCTCCTAACAGACAAAACCTTCCGTTACAGTGAACACGATTCACGTCGTAACTCTCTAATCGAGCGCAATTGCTGCGCAAATATGAAAGTGTCGCACGCAGTATCTGGCACTATATACTGCCTAGCCACAGAGCAGGGCAGATTGGTCTATTTGGCTCTGCGACAAAAAGAGATCTGGTGCGCGAGCTCTTTAAGACTTCTTTCCAGCAACCGCGCCGTTATGAAAGAGATCAAAGAATCCTTCGGTGGACGATTCATATATTACACTGCAGCATACCCTGTAAACTCACGGAATTCTACACCAATTGACTTCGTAGGAGCCACGGCCTGGGTCATTCATTAGGCGTAACAAGGGCTATGTTCTTGGCGTCAGAACAACAAAGGGTTAGATCTTGTTCGGCACGCCATGTCCGACTATGGATGGTGCGTCAGAAATACTGCAGTCCCACATCTACCGCGTAGAATCCTCCGAGCGGCTCGCGTCTAGATACGAGATATCCCTTGGTACATACTCCAGACTGTCGCTCATGGGACGTGATTGGAGGCTCCTTCATGTTCCACAATTGTGATATCTTGTGTAATGTCCCTAAGACATGAGCCTGTCAGCGGCGGCACATATACCCGCAACGGACCATATAAAGCACTGTGGCCTTGTGTCTGAGAATGTGAGGAATCATTTACTGACCATTCTGCGAGCGTGTCGAGATACGCGTCCAGATCGACGACTATGCAGATCTTAGCGCTTACGTTTGCTGGGTTGCTCGTTGGCACGAATGCCATCTTTCTTGAGACCGATAGATTGGCCGCAGAAGGAGTTGGGAAGTTGGGCCTCCACGTCGCCAAAAACGGGTATCCAAATGGCGAGCGATGCACGCTGAAGAATGTAGCTGTTCGAAGAGAGTGGTACATTAGAAGAGACCAGATATTATGGCCTCACCGTGCTCACACATGCTAGGTCCACGCTACGTAAAGCTGAGAAAACCGAATACATCCGAGCTGTAAAATGCCTTGGGTCGAAGCCTGCCAAAACCCCAGCAGCCGTTGCCTCTGGTGCCAAGAGCCGTTACGATGACTTTGTAAGGGTTTCGCGACAGAAGCTGTGCATTTGCTAAATTAATCAAGGTCGTCACGCATATTCTCCAAGCACAGTACATACACGGGAACGGCAATTTTTTGTCGTGGCATCGCTACTTTACCTGGGCATATGAACAGGCCCTTCGAGACGAATGTGGCTATAAGGGATACCAACCCTACTATAACTGGCCACTGTGGGCGAAGGACCCGCTCAAATCACCACTCTTCGATGACAGTGAGACTAGTATGTCTGGAGACGGTGCTTTTGTTCCTAACCGAACGGCTGCATGCCATCCCAATCCCGACCGTTGTCTTGTGCTGCTTCAGCCAGGAACAGGTGGTGGGTGTGTTTCCGGGCCATTCAAAAAGTAAGCGTCCTGTTCGCCCCAAGAAGAGTATTCGATCTATTCGTACTAACATAAGGACAGCTGGAAAGTAAGCCTGGGCCCTGTTCGAACGAGATCAGAGAACGTTCCTCCAAACCCGCAAGCCGATGGACTTGGATACAATCCTCGTTGCATCAAGCGTGATTTTAACAAGCAAGCTGCGAACGAGACCAATGATGTGAACACTAGCAACCTGATCAAGAACAACAACGACATCGCAAGTTTCCAGGACAACATGCAGAATTTCTTTCCAGGTTCAATGGGTGGTAAGTGACTAAACGCCCCTACAAATCAGCATGTTGATAACTCGCAGTCCACAATGGCGGACATTACACCTGGGGTGGCGACGCGGGCGGTGACTTTTATAATTCTCCGTCGGACCCCGCTTTCTGGTTCCACCATGCCATGATCGACCGCACGTGGTGGGTGTGGCAGAACCATGACCTGAAGGCGAGAACAAACGTGATTGCTGGAACTCTGACTTTCTTAAACCAGCCGCCAACATGTAATGCAACTCTCGACGACGGCATGTCCTTAGGCTATGCTAGACCGTCGAACATTACCATCAGAGATGCGCAAAGTACTCTTGGCGGACCGTTCTGCTACATTTATGTGTGATCAAAACACGGATGTCGGCTGCTTGAAGCAAGCCGGCCGGAGTCGATCGCGAGGTCGATACGTTTTACAATAGATGAAGTAATCTTCTCACTATCTCGCAGAAGAATGGCTACGCCTGTGTCTAAGGATTATCTGATAACGTTATAGTTTCCAAAAAGACTAAATTGCGAGACATAGATGCGTGAAATGTGCGTCCACGTACCTGGCGTCCCAACTTCCATGTCTCCGGCTTGTCTCGACAAAACGATCAATCCAGGCCACGGGATTGCAAGGGACGAACGTTAGTACGACAATCATATCTCTGAACTGGAATCGGCATGAGACTCTTCTTGTTGACACATGTAACAAAATATATCTAACACGATGAGGCACGTCTGTAAACCAGGTTTTGAAATTTTGCAACCAATCCCCTAACTGATATGAACATCTTTTGTCACCAGAATGGCGTTTGGTGTGCTGTTCAAGTCATGATGGATTAGAATGCTGTCCTCACTGCTGCTCGCTCCTTCCATTCTCCAGACCACTTTCTCTGCAGAGGTTGGCGCATGTGCTGATATCCTAACAGATGGACTTGGAGCATTCCTGTAGTCCACCAAAGCGATATCGCGATCGGACTGCTGAGCATGCTTCTGGTATCCCGACACATTCCGACCACCTGACACTGACGACTTCTCGCGGCCACTTGTTAAACCTCGAGCTGCATCTAGGAATCTGTTGAACAGTGGTTTTATTGCAGGCAGCGAACCTGCTATTATTCCCACATCTAGTTCAATAAAGTTCCACATAGAGTATCCGTCGTAGATGAATCGGTTTGGATCAGACAGGATAGTCTTGTTGAGGCGAACTTTCATGATACCGGCGACGCAGGCGAACAGACCGAGCGAGAGAACAAGAATGAGCGAAATTTTGGTCCTCAGGTTCAATTGTAGCTGCCATATGAGAGGTACTGGTAACAAGGCGAGGAGGAAATCAGTTAAGATGTTGATAACTATCATGAGTCAGTCTCTGGAAATCCAACCCATAGCAATACTGACTTGAATTGAACATCCCGATTTGAGCAAAAGTCTGCATAGAGAAGCATTTCGCATTCCCTTGGCCGATGGGCGGAGGGCGTAATCGCATGTCCCACGCAGCTGCTATTGGGATACATTGGAATATCTGCGAAAGCAGTAAGCAAGACTGTCTAATGAAACATAGCGTCTCTCTGGTCGTGGTCGCAAAGGTCAAACCCAAAAAGGGGGGCGAGAGATTTGATGGAGCTTACTGTTACCTGTTAGTAAATGAGTAGGGCTCTGATTCGACTGAAGAAACCATACCCAGTGTGCAGAACGAGACAACGGTGAAAGCCATCAGGAATACGATCACGCTGTATAAGAACCAGGTATGCAGTCGCCGTACGACAAGCCGCAGGAGAAAAAGGCCGACCGAGATCTTGACGATGCACTGCCCGACTGTGACGCATATCATGTGTACCAGCCGTACTTTCAGTAACTCCCGGTACCGATCCATGTCCATCCGTATAACTGCTATGTGCTTGCCCAGACCAAGAGGTACTTCAAGCACGTAGCATACAAATGTACCCGTTGCAAGTAACTTTTTGGTTTAGTATATAATGAAAGCAAGATTACTAGGTAAACTCACCATGGCTAGGACCATCGTCCAGTCATCATTTCCAAAGGACCTGACCATGCGTAGCCGGACATAAATCCTCAAGATGACGACTAATGCTGCGATGGCGAAAACCGACCCGGCTTGCGCCAACAGAACATGAGCGTTAGTGAAGGCGATGTACTCAGGTGTTAGGTTTGGTGAACTCGAAGGACTAGCCGGAGCAGACATGACTGAGCGCCAAAGGATAACGAGTGCTTACGCCCGACAAAGTATCGGCACAGCAACTCCAGTAATGAGGAAAATTTTGGGTACAAGGCACTGCCCGTGATAGCGGGACGATGAGAGCCCCATCTGCAGCTTGATCACAATCCGATCTGGGAACCTCAAACGCGGGTCGCCAGCGACGGCCAGGGTGAAGAGCCAATGACCGGATCAAATGGATATGTTGGAAGAGTCCCGATCAAGGGTGAATCTTGCACATCACATGTTGGTGATTTACTCGGATTCCTGCGAACCTGATATGTATGAGCACCGATTTTGCCACCCAATCGGTAAATAGGACCATGTTAGTCACCTTAAGTCTAATCCTAGAGTCGGACAAAGTTTTATCGGCCACCAGTTGTCATCTCAGGCTGCAGACGTCGCGAAGGGAATTCACCTATTGGCTGGTGTTGTCGAGATGCAAGCACCACTAAGAGAATTGTGCAGTGTCCACCCACCATGGAATCAACAATTAAGTACACGGGTCGGTCTGCGTTCTCGGGCCTGTGACACTGAGAGTATGTCTTGGTCGATTGTTGGACAGCACGAGCCGTGACCGGAAAGGCAGGAAGAGGAACTAGCGCGCTCCTTTGCCAAGGAGAATCGCGGCTGACCCCGCCGCCTGGGTCGCCGGATGAAGAACCCGCCCGTCTTCGCCCCATCTTCACCACGACTCAAGTTCACGCGATGCTGAGAATGCTTCTCTTTTGGTCTCATTGAAGCACGAAATAGACACTGCAAGAGAGACTGCGTGGTCTCTCAATTGAGCCTACAGTCTCATACGGTTGTACGGCAAATCCAGTGAGCGACTTGCGTCTGCCGTCCGTTACCCACAATAGGGTCTCATTTCCATCCTATGTCCGCTCCTGCAGCGGAGACTGGTCGCAGGATTCCCGGTGGAAGCGCTACTGTGGCTTTTGTCTCGCGAAAGACCAGTTTCGAGCCTGCGCGAACTATTACAGCACCCGGATTTATGCTTCCGCGATGACAGGCATAGAATTGCAACTTTGAAGGCCCCCAGCAGACGCCGAAAGACCATCAGTACCCACCTACCGAGGGTTCTGAGATACTGACTTCAAGTGCGTGGAGCGGCCCGATGGTCTTGGCCCACATCGCAAGATCAATCCTGCAACGGAGGAATCCTTAGGCTGCACTCTTACAAGCCTCATACCAGACTTTGCCACGTACCGGGTACCGCGCCGCTTCTGCTGTATTCTGTCCGAACGTCCCCTGCATACGAGGGACCAACAAAAAGTTCCTTCGATAAAACCTCCAGGTGACTTATTTCCAGAGGGACGCTGTCCATACTTTGTTAAGCCGGTGAGTTGAACTCAACTCATTGATGAATGGAATACGTTGTCGTGATTTTATGGCTTTGAAGAGCTCAAAATTTTAAAACTCGAGTCAGTTTAGTATTGTTGTGGCACAGCATGCCTGTCTTGGAGTTAGACGCTTGGTAACGTAACTAGGTGACAGGAATCCGCTCCTCCAGCTAACCGTATTCCAAGACATGGACAGTAGTCCTGACGCTATGATAGGGGCATGGTGGTTGAGTAGACGCTGGTATTTATATTTCCGCACGCCTCACATTAATTTGTTAAGGCACCCCGACAATTTTGTATCTGCATCTCACTTCGTTCGAACGTAGCCGTGTTCAGCATGCGATACATCACAGCAGCCGTAGTTGCCTCGGCGCTCTTCTCTAATGTGGAAGCTACTTTCATGGAGACTGACATCCTTGCCGCGACTGGTCTTGCCAAGCTGGGTCTTCATGTGGCCCTGAATGGTTATCCTAACCCGGAAAAGTGCACACTCGAGAACGTTGCAGTACGACGAGAATGGTGCGTATACTTGGATATCATTAAAGTCAGCACTGACACAGTCTTAGGTCATTTCTGACAAGGGCGGAAAAGCTGAACTACATCGATGCTGTCAACTGCTTGGCAACAAAGCCCGCTAAGACGCCCGCAGCAATTGCTGCTGGTGCAAAGACTAGGTACGACGACTTCGTCGTCACACACATCCAACAAACCATGAGCATCCACGGCACCGGAAACTTCCTTGCATGGCATCGTTACTACACATGGGCTTATGAGCAAGTGCTTCGCAATGAATGTGGGTACAAGGGCTACCAGCCGTACTACAACTGGCCATGGTGGGCCGAGGATCCTACCAAATCGCCAATGTTTGACGGTAGTGCAACAAGCCTCTCGGGTGACGGGGCATACGTCTCTGGGCGCAACGGGTCCTGCCTACCCAGTGATGAGCGCTGTTTCGTAGTTCTAGAGCCAGCGAATGGAGGTGGTTGCGTCAAATCAGGCCCCTTTAAGAAGTATGTGCCGCGCACAATCTACAAACGCTTGATTTTACTGACAAATCCACAGCTGGAAGGTTAACATGGGCCCTCTCCAAAACCACCTTGCTGGCGTCAAGCCGAACCCACAGGCTGACGGTCTCGGCTACAACCCACGTTGTCTGAGCCGCGATATTAGCAAGCAGGCTGCAGCCGAGACGACTGATGCCAAAGTCTCTTTCCTAATCAAGAACAGCACAGACATTCAGAGCTTCCAAGATCTGTTGCAAAACTTTGTGCCTGGCTCCGTCGGTATTCACAGTGGCGGCCACTATACGATTGGCGGCGACGCTGGCTCGGATCTGTACAACTCACCAGCTGATCCAGTCTTCTTCCTGCACCACGTAAGTGCTTCACCATCTCATCTTGACAAGTATACATGTTGACATTCGCAGGGTATGATCGATCGGGTCTGGTGGGCGTGGCAAAACCAAAATGTGAAGAAGAGAACGCATGTCATTGCCGGCACATTGTCGTTTCTGAACCGACCGCCCACTCGCGATGCCACACTGCAAGACGAGATCACACTCGGACATGTTGGGTTCCCTAATATCACGATAGACGATGCGACGAGTACATTGGGCGGGCCGTTCTGCTACATCTACGCCTAGGCAGACACAGCATTATTCATGAGAAAGCTTAATGTCCAATACCAATCAGTTTACAATGCTTCATGCAGTACCCCACCTCTCCAAAGCTATGTAGGCTACAATCACGAGTGTATTCAGACTGCGAGTCAGGTTGGGTCGGACCGAGACGCGGGCACGCCCGGCGCTTTACCTTAATCTCGACCTCAATTGCTCCACGTCTTCGTCGTCTTGTATGTCTCGAGCTGGACATACCCAATGGACGCATCCATGCCTTCGAATTTGTATTTAAAAGCAAGACTTGACATGATTGATCAGCAGCCTTGTCTCCGATATCGCCGATTGTGACCGCCATGACCTCATCCAAGATTAATAATTGATCGCGACCAACAGAAACGCGACGCGCGCGCGTTGCTTTACTTGACCCTCGACAACATTGCAGACTCACAGTATGACGATCGCCCTTACAAGTGCTACTGGCAAGCTCGGCGGCGCTGTGCTCAACGCCATCCTCGAGAACAAGCTCATCGATCCTAAGGAGCTTGTCGTCTGCGTGCGTCTAACCTTGGAACTTTACGTCTACCCAATGCACCATACACTGACATCTCTTCCAGACATCTTCCGACCCCAAAAGCTCGCGATTCGATAGCCTTCGCACCCGAAATATTACCCTACGTCAAGCCAACTTCGATGATTACTCCTCGCTCACGCGTGCCTACCAGGGCTGCGACAAGCTTTTTCTCTCATCCACGCCCAGGGTCGAGATGGATTACAATAACGCACCACTATGGCAAGGCCGCGAGAAACATCATCGCGCTGCCATTGACGCCGCTCTTGAGGCAGGCGTGAAGCATATCTACTACACATCACTCGGCTTCGGGAACCCAAGTAAAGCAGCCGTCATGCGCGCGCACACTCGGACGGAAGCATATCTGCGCGACCTGGAGAGGGAAGGCAAGGTGCAGATAACAATCATCCGAGAAGGGTTATACAACGAGAGCTGGCCGCTTTACTTTGGCTACTACTTTGGCTTGAAGGAGGAGACGAGGAAGGAAGTCGTGGTTGCGGGTGACGGTCCAGTTAGCTGGACGAGCATCGCTGACATGGGATTCGGGACGGCAAAAGTACTTGCTGCGCCAAGCGAGGAGTGGAGCAGGAAGATGTTCTATTTGAGTCAAAAGAAGACTTGCACACTCCAAGACATCGCGGGGATTGTAAGCAAAATAAGAGGTGAGCCTGTTCAGCTCAAGATTGTAAGCAGGAAGGAGTACGAGGACTTCTATGCGGAAAAGGGAACGGAGAGGGCAAGTGTCGAGTGGTGGAGCAGCTCCTACGATGCGCTTAAGGACGGTGAATGCGCCATCGACGACCCCACGCTCGAGACACTGCTGAAAGAGGCAGGGAAGAGTCCAGAGCCGCTCGAGGCGACGATTGAATACATGCTGAAGTAGAAAACACTATTGATTACTCACAAACTTATACCAAACACCTTAAACTTCGGTACTACAACATCTGCATCTCGGCCTGTCAACTCGTCATTCACACATAAGATATCAGACCAAGCACCGACTGATTCAAACCTCAGCATGCCTTCCAGCTCAAGCCCATCCTCGGAAATGGCTCCTTCCCCAGCCGCCCCTCCCGCACCCCATCCATCTCCGCCAACAAGTCCGCCCTCGTCGCGCTTTGAACCGGCTTGCCGTCCCTCTCCACATCGTCCGCGCCATCCTCGTCCTCCTCGATGACCGTCGGCAAACTCGGCACCCACTCTGAACTGAAGGAGGAGGTTCTCAGCAACTTGGCAGCTGCCGAGGCGGAGGAGTCGGCCAGTGCTGGGACATATAGTGCGGTGGCTGCAGCAGTCTTTAGTTCAAGGTTGTTGGCCGAAGTTTGCGGGCTTGACGCCGAGTTTGCGGTTGAAGCTGAGGTTGTACCTGGGGCTTCTTCCATGTCATCCTCGCCAGAGAAAAGCGAGTCAACGGGAGTTGATGAGCCGTTGCGTTGAAAGCCGGCGTAGGGTGGATCACGCGGACGGTAGGGCAGCAGTTCGATGACGACTGTGCCGGTGGCCCTTCGCCTGGTTTTGAGGATGGCCGTGGTGAAGGGTATGCGTGGAGTGGCCATTTTGTTTGTATTGATACCCACAAGTTGTGGTTTGTGGGCGAAGAATATTCTGGAGTGAGCTTTACTGAAAATGTAACGGACTGGAGGTTGGTCATCTTAGTGATGGCAATATATTAGACTGCTATACTATCTTTGCAAACGTCCCGTGGAATACTGGTTCGTTTAGTGCGGAGCTGTTCTCAGGGTCTTAACGCAGATGTAGTGCGGTACAGAGGATAGAGATGTGAGTGGATGGTGAGGTTTGGTACAGTCGACCAGAAGTATGGGCAAGCGCAATGCAGCGCCACGCACATTCTTTCTTGCACATTACCACCCACACGAAAACAAATTTGAGGCTCGCGTTGTGTAGTCAAGATATAATAAGGACTTAACGCTCAATTCACACTTGCTACTCATGATCTCCGGCAAGACGTCTACTATTGGCAGACGCCCTCTGCCTTCGAATCCCATTGGCAATTTTGCTCTAGGGATCCGTTCAGCAAACTTGAGAGCTGATGTCGGGTTAATGAGAGACTTCGGGAAGAACACTAAATATCGATGTTACTTCGAGTGTGTGAGGACGGAGAAGATGCATTCAGTCCTATCAAGGAGGGCTTCTCGTCCAAGCGTATACTGGTTCGCGATCCCTGAGGCCCGAACATTGTATTGTCCTGAAGGATTTTGAATCATTCGGTTTTGACTTCCATGTATTATTGGTTCACACAGCCCCGAAAATCTAAACCATATTAAAAACATAAGCCATCACCGAAAACTTTCAATCTACAAATGTTCAACACAATGGCCCCAGGAGGATTCGCCAGCATCACCCTCGCGCAAGAATTCTCCGCTTCCCGCACCAATCGCCTCACAAAGAGCGGCAATTACAAAATGACGAAACAAGTCAGCTTCCCGCAAAGCCCACCAAAGACCTCGCTCCCTGAGGGGTTCGGAACAGCACCACCACAGATCTTCAGTCCAACAGCAGCGGCCGTGCGGGATATCTTCCCGGCGAAAATCAAGGACAGTACGGAACCGGGAGTCGCCAAATCCGATACCCGTGCTGATCGAAGATGAAGGATGAAGGTATGTGCGAGGAAATGAACCCCTTCTTATGGACATTTTGCTAACAGGCTTCCTCAGACTACCGAGAGATCTACGTCTCATTATTCAAGCTGGATTCTGTTCTGTGGGCCCAAATCTACCTCGGGGTGTCGGGGGAGGAGAGATATAACATCCCTGGAAGCTATCGAAGATTGTCGGGGCTTGAGGCGGCAGGGATTGTGTAGATAGAGGAAGCATGATTAACACTTCTGGTGAAATCATCATCAACTACATCGAAATTGCACAATAATCGATTCTCCGTTCAAGATCCCCCCGCAAGTTTCTTAGCTTTGCTCTACCGCGGCACGATCTAACCCAGCTCTTATGTCTGATTTGGACTGTATTGGCACGATCACTTGCCAGTCAGCCGTAGTCATTGCGCCTAGTTTTGGTATCAAAGAACTTATTTGATACCAAGCTTAGTGAACTTTACAATCAACTCCTCAAGCTCTCACACTACGTTAGTGTAAACCGCTGACTGTAGACCCGTTTCACTGAGCTGATCACCGAAGCCGAAATCGCACCAAAGACATTTCTTAGCGATACTCTGATACTCAATACCAAGCGGTGGTGCTCGATCTTTTTGGAGTCGACGGGCAGTGAGAACTGGGTTGCTCTCATCATCTTCCGTCATCTTTCCTTCAATCGGCGACCAGTATGCAATCTCAAGCAGAGCTACCCCGAGGCAGAAGAGTGTCGAATTCGTGATCCCTTGTTTGATCTGACTAGTGGTTGCATCCTTTGCAAGCCGCACACCTTGCATGCGTGCTGCATCGGGTTGCTTCATAATTTCGGAACTTAGATGCAGTGTCTTCAACGCAACAGAGTCCATAGTGACCTCTGTTCCAAGATATTTCACATCAAGGAGACGCCAGTGAGATGGAAGCCAGGGCGTTTCGTTGTATTGTAGGACTGCGCGGGCCACCTTGTGAGCCATCCGGAGCTGATCCACGATTCCGATGGCATCGTAAACATCCTGCTTCAGCGCATCCTCGACAGAATACGCTTTTGATCCAATAGGTTCTTGTAGTTCCGGTCTCGTCGCTGCGTCCCGGAAGTAAAACGAATGCTTGTACAAGCACGAATCGTGAAGATAGCCCACGCAGTGGGGTCCGTGTGAGGAATCTCGGCTAGAATGGCTTCTTTTTAAGAATTCACACATGTTTCTAGTCTGACTCAGATCCGTAATAGTCTCTATCACATTGCGAGAGGTTATTGGATCGGCCGATATTGCATTCGGAAGTGTGGCCCATTGGACATGTTTAGCTTTCTTTCTTCGAACCCACGGATCTGAAGAAGCCTTCTTCTTCAAATGTTTCGTTCTGTCATTCAAAGGGTCACAGATCGTAAGTGGTGATTGACTACCTGCCTGGGTTGCCTCGACAATCGTATGCTTCGGGGTTGAAACAGCCGAAGTTTGTACGTACAACCATATGTGGGCCTGTGTGTCCAAGCTACTAAACAAGTGTTAATCCCGTTCTGTTTCCAGATTGCATACCTGACATACCATGACTCTTCTCCGCTTTGGAGCTCTTGACATGAGATCGCAATATCGAGTTGGACCTCGTTAGCCACCTCGGCATCAATGCAGAGTTTTGCGTGATGGCCCCGTTGTGCAACACTATCACAGTACCAAGTCTCGCTCAAGGCAGCATGTAGCTGACGGGATGCATGCTGTACTGTGCAAAACTCGGTTGGGAGAGGTTTGTGCTGAATAAAGATGCCTCCTGCTTGAAGGCCTGGCTGTTTGAGAGCTTCTATTTGCAAACGGAAAGCGCTCAGCTCATTGTTTCTCTCTCGTAGCCTGCTGAGCAACTTCTCATATTTGGACTCGTTGAAGGTTATCTTGATGATCGTGCGCAATCTTTTGACAGAGCTCCCCTATGTTGATGTGTCAGAACTACTGTCGGCGGCACGGCCATTTGGCGCTAGTTAGGTGAGTTGATTGGCACGAACCTGTGACTTCTTCATCAACAGTTCATCAAACACCGCCATCTCAGTCTTCATCTTGTCAAGAATCCTTTTCGTTCTATCTATCGTCTTGATGCAGGACTTGTAGCTCTCCTCAAGTGCCGCAGTCACGTCGTCATCGAGTCCTCCAGTCTGCTCCTTCCCTTTCAGGCATTGGCGAAGAAGCTGAACCTCGTTGTTGAAGTTTGTTCGAGAGCTGCCTAGTCGTGCAGAAACCTCCTCAACCTCGTCGGAGTAATGTCGACATGTATGTAGCTTATCCTTGATGAAAGAGTATGATCTCAAGGTCTCCACAACGATCGGAACGATGCCGAACACAAGGCCAGCGATCTCGACCCCAGACATGATGATGCAACGAGGATTAGAGTACAGCACATTAATTTCAATGCGAGGAGAGCGGGGCGGTAAATGAGGAACAGCCGTCGAGGCTGAGCAAAGGCTCAGCCTTTGGCGTTGCCCCACCCCGGTCGCATTTATGTAACCCAGGCGCCTGCATGTACGACCAACTCACATAACCCACAAAACGACGTTGGCGTACTCGTGGAGTCTCTATGATTCTGACACTACCTGTTTTCTACGACAATTCTACGCTTTGAAGCGATCACACGTAATTGTTGCAACGCATTGAATCAAGACGGCCACCTCGTACATTGCTCGCACAAGGCTGAACATCTTAGATTGAGAGCCGACCTCGATTCCAGGGCTGTGTAGCTTGCCAAAAGTGCCGTCGGAATACCTTCAGACCAGCGAGAGTGTGGAAAACACTATGGAGCTGCACAACCTACGTGCGGTCCCCGAATACGAAGATCGTATTGACTGCTGGAGAAAGGAGGCTATCCCGGAGGCTGAAGAGAGTGATGGAACCATCTCCGAATTGTTCATCTGTTGTCTGGATCTACTGCAAAGCCTCGCCGAGCGATCAAACACTTCTAAGCGCGACTTGAACACTTTACGACGATGTCACGGCATGCTACAGCTCTGGTCACACCGACACGGCGTACACGATGGGACTTTAGAAACAGCTCTTGAGATCTCTGACCACATACGTCAAGCCACTCTGGAATTAGCAATCCCGCTGTGCGAGATTCTTCTACGCGGTGAGTGCCCCTTACGGTTCTTAAAGTATAATTCTTATTCGACGCAGGCGTCTCCAGCTACGTTGTGCCACACATAAACGATGAAAAAATTATGATCCAGTACCAGAACGCCACCCATGTATACCAGCAGACCAGATGGCGAATCGATGACGACCAGTCATCAAGCGAGGGCGACGTCACCCTCGACGGTTCCGAAGAGCCGGTGCGAGTTGGAGTCCTAATCCGAAAGACCAAGATATACATAGAATGCCTTGGAGATATTGGCGCTTCGCTGAGCTGCCCTGCTCCCGATGATCTGGGAGACGAAGAGACGAACAGCTTGGGCCTTGAACAACGCTCCGCTGCAGACTACCACACAGACCGCCTGAGAGCTAAATTCCCTTCAGCTGAGATTGACTTACTCGAATGTCTTGGTAGATCGAGCTGGGACAGATATCAACGAATGCAACATGAGCGTGAGCTTAATACACAACGCCAAGATATCACGATACCTGGCAGCAAGTCCCGTGCTGTGTATTCAGAGTTCCAGGATTCGGGACTAGGTACATCGATTCCAGCCGGTGCTTCTTCTTACGCAGCGACCGTGGTGTCACTCATGTCGAGCGTGGCAGGAGGTAAACGGGTCGAAATCCCACCTTTGTCGGCTGAGGCTAAGTTAGGAGAGCCGTTTGAATGCATTGCTTGTGGTAAGCTTATTCGGTTGACAAATGATCGTCACTGGAGGTCAGTCGTACTTACTTTCGATCCCTGATGACACAATTAATCCAACCTAGGAAGCATTTTTATGCTGATCTTCAACCCTACACGTGTTTTTTTGTAGACTGTGGCTTCGGTTCAAAGTCATTTGGAACCATCAAGCTCTGGTCGATACACTTAGAGCTTGAGCACGGGTATGGCCCAGAGTGGACTTCCACACCGTGTCCTTTCTGCCTCAATCCTACTGGTAATGGCAAAAAGATGATCCTTGGTCATTTCGCCCAGCACATGGAAGACATAGCTATGACAGCTGTTCCTCTGGATGTTCATTCCGATGACGAGTCTAGCACAGAGTTGGAAGCTGAAATGGTCGTTCTAGAATCTGAGGACGGGCGTCGTTCCCCGCGAACGATCACGGAACCAGAAAGCGAAAGCGACTGCAAAAAAGATTGCCTAGAACTCCTGCGCAATATGCGGAAGTCTGCGCGAACATTATCTGTCAAAGGAAAACATGAAGAAGCAGAACAGTCATTCAAGGACATTGTTGAATTTTCAGTGGCAAAGCTCGGTACCGATCACCCAGGTACACTGGAACATATGTCTGATTTTGCAATGTCATTTGGGAATCGGAAGCAATACAAGATATCCGAGCTGTTATACCAGGACGTTGTGGAGCGATCGAAGAGGATACTCGGCCTGTGTCACCCAGATACTCTGAAGTATATGGGGAACTTGGCCTGGTCACTTAAAGCTCAGGGCAAAGACACTGAAGCAGAGCCTATATACCAGAACACCGTGAAGATGTCAAGGACGATACACGGCAAGGAACACCCAGAAACAATGCTGTACAGCGAGAGTTGGGCAAGTTTACTCACAGGCCTAGGCAAACACGACGGGGCAGAGAGAGAATACCGGTACGCGATGGAGGTGTCAGAGAAGAGACTCGGCCGGGACCACTCGACAACGCTGAAATACATGAAAGAATTAGCAGAGTCACTTTCAGCTCAGGGGAAAGATCAAGAAGCAAGGTCCCTGCAAACCAGACTCGTTGAATCGAGTGACAAGCGTCTTGGGGAAAGACATCCAGATACGCTGATGAGGATGCAGTCGTTAGCGGTGACAGAAGACAAATTAGGAAATCACTTGGAAGCAGCGGCAATGTATCGCAAGATCTTGACCGTTCGTAAGGAGGTGCTAGGCCCAGACCATCCTGAAACCATCAAGGTATTCGACAGTCTAAACTTAATCCTCAATCACCAACACTCGATACTGGACGCCTCAGACACCACCTCTCCCGCGCTCCACTCAAACGCCATCCCAGCCTCTAGTTCTATGCTTCCGCGTCCCAGAGATCCATGTCTCGGTACAGACCTTGTCGACGATGGCCCCGAGCAAGAAAGCCGCAGGAGGCTCAAACTGACTGCTGAGGAGCACCGCAAGAAGACAAAGCGGAGGCTGGTGGATTACATCGAGGAACTCAAGCAGCGGCGGCCGGGAACCAGTCCCGACCTCCCGTCTGCGTCACTGTCTGCGTCTGGCGACAATCTTGGCTCCCAAGAAGCAGAAGTCATCGACCGTGACAAACGGCTCAATTTGCTGTATGGGTCCGATGTTCCCTAGAACCTTTACCAGATGCGAGAATCAGTCAAGAAAGCGGAATGAAGGAGCATGATACGACAACCCAGCGTGCGCGCGCGGCATCGCGACTACACACGCGCAACCCCGTGTCGCGCTCCGCTGTACACGGGACCGGGGCTTTCACACGGCTTCACAGTGCAGTCCGGCGATTTGTTTGGAGTATGGAGCACGGTTGTTGAAATGCGTGCACATTGAGATCGCTCTACCACATACATACTATACTGTATCCCTTCCCAGCGTCAACGCACTCCATATGCACATCTCCCTCGCTCCCACACTGCAAGTTGCTAATCGTACACGCGCCTCTCCACGTCTCCCATCCCCCTCCAAAACCAATATCCTACTTCCAACTCCACCCCGCATCTCCCACTCTACCGCCTAACCCTCGCCCCATCCCCCTTCTCGACCTTCTCGCCGAACCCAAACCCGCCCCGCCCCCGCTTCCCCTTCTTATCGCCAAACTGCTCGTCGAACTTCTTGATCGCGGAGAGACTGCTCATGTCCTCGCTAATACTGGCGCTGATGTCCTGCAGCGCGGCGTCGAAGTGGCGCGGCAGGAGGGTGCGGACGGGGGGGAAGGTGTATGCGGTGTTTGGGAGGAGGATGGCGGAGCTGGAGGGGGGTGTGGTGTCGGAGGGTGCTGGGGGGTCTGTGTGGTGGGCGAACGCGGGCGCGTCGGCGTCGGATGCGGGCGCGGCGTCCGCTTTGGACGGGTCGGCGGCGGCCTTCGCGGCGACTTCGTTCTCCTCCTTGACGCACGCGAGCGCGGCCGAGACGGCGACGTTCTTCAGGTCGCTGCCGCTGTAGAACGGCGTGCGTTTGGCAAGGTCCTCGAGGTCGACGGCCGGGTCGAGTTGCTCGCCCTTGAGGTGGATGCGCAGGATCTCCTTGCGGTCGGCCTGGGTGGGCAGATCGACGAGCAGGCGGCGCGGGAGGCGGCGGATGACCGCGTCGTCGAGATCAAAGGGCCGGTTTGTGGCCACCATGACGAAGACGCTGAGGTCGTTGAGGCCGTCCCATTCCTTGAGGAACTGGTTGAGGATGTCGCGGTGGCTGGTGCGCTCACGCATGGCGTCGCGCGAGGCGAAGACGGCATCCGCTTCGTCGAGGAAGACGATACAAGGAGAGAGTTTTCGCGCCAGGGAGAAGATGGCGGCGACGTTCTTTTCGCCCTCGCCGACGTACTTGTCCATGATTTGGGAGCCGGAGACTTCGAGAACGGTGCTGCCGGACTCTTTGGCTACTGCTTTGGCGAGGAGTGTCTTTCCTGTGCCGGGGGGTCCGTAAAGAAGCGCACCGGATATCTTCTCAGTGGCTAGGATACCATAGTTGAAGGCGTCGGGGCGAAGGAGCGAAAGAGATGTGATTGTGCGGATCGAGTCGACGGTCTCCTTTGGCACATGGACCTGGTCGAACGTCGTCTTGATCTGGTCCGGGTTTGCGATACCAGATATCAGTCGCTTTTCGTGCTTGGTGGCGCTCGCAGTGATGCGTTGTAGCTCGCGCTGACGCTGCAGATCAACCTCGCTGTGCCTCTTCTTCGCCTTGACTTGAGCCTCGGCTTCAGGACCCAGGTCTTGTCGGGGCTGTTGCTTTTGCAGTGTCTTGTCGAAGGACAGGAATTTGACCGTGTCACTAGTCCTCAGCAGCCCCATAGCCAATGCGACATGTGCCCAATTCACTTGGCCTCGTTCGATTTCTTCTTGTGTTGTTCCAGTGGGATTTGTAATGTGTAACCCGAGAGCTGTAAGAGCTATCCTGTGTACTTCATCATACGTTAACACACGGCTGAGATAAGCCTCTGGTATTATGGCAGCAAAGTTCCGGTGATGTTGAATCGTAAGTTCCATATCCGAGATGCGCGCAGCTGCCACAGGATCCAGCGAACGTAGCATGTCCTGAGTGTGAAGCATGTTGATGCCGCAAAACTTGCCTCGTTCCTTTGGCGACAGGATTGCTGACCCAACTTCACCCTTAGCCATAGCATTTGACTCTTCCAGGAGTGACGTCTTGTCTGAATCCGCTGCTACGACGATAGTCCTATAGAAGCTGCTCTCGCCTTCTGACTGCAGACCGTGGACGCCACCTGCCGAAAGGTCAGGCGTAAGCTCGAGCGAGCAAGTGCTGCCGACCATGACAACGCTTTCACCGGCGCTTCGTCTCTTCCGAATCACTTCTTCGAGCTTTTGGATGATGCGACCGCCGTAATGTGTGGCATTAAGCTCCTTGAAGTCCCGGACGTAGATGATCTTCGATCTCTTTGGCACCTGAGTCACGGACGGGACAGACCCAACGTTCACAGCCATAGTCATGTCAGGTCTTGCGGCTGCTGGGAGGGCAGAGTTGAGTTCAAGCGGCACCCCCGCTGAGCTTACAGAGTAGTCGAAAAAGGCGGGATCGCTTCCTCTTCGCTTCTTGGAGCCTGCTTCTGGCGACGTTCGCAACTCGAGCCCCTCGTGACCAACGATATTGCGGCTCTGCTTCAGCTCACTCGCATCGATCAAAGCCTCAAGAAGTGTTGCGAGCTTCAGATCCTCCAGCTGAATCTCGCTCTGGCTTTGCACGCGGTTCGGCTCTTCACCGAGTGTGTTGACTGACGTCTCGAATGGATTGGATGAGAGTGGCTGTCCAGCTTTGAACTTGTTCGAGAGCTCCTTGATGGAAGCTAGCGCCGACAATGGCAAGATCAAAGGAAATGCGCCGATCTTCGATTTATCCGAGGGGTCATTTGATGGCGACTGTTGGGATTCCAGGTCTTCTTCAGCCCCATCTTCCTTCTCCAAATTCTCAAAAGCATTGGCGAGCTCGGAACTCAGGCGATAGGTTTCGTAGCCGAGCGATCGTATCGACCGCGGTGATGGCTCGGCGCCTTCGCCGAGGTAATCGCCTGCTAGCTGTGCAAGGTCGTTGGCACGCAGCACTACAAGTTCAGAGTCCAATTCCAACGCTATCGCCTCCACAGCTCTGTCTATCAGGAGTTCGTGGTCGGGCACGGGCGAGTGTAGGATCAGGTTTGTTTTGGCAGCAGGAAAGGTGTTACCAATCGATGGACGCAATGAAGAAAGGGCTGCTGCGATGTTGGCACGGACTTCGGCGAGTACGACGGGCGAGAGACGTTTCGAGCCTCGTGACGATCTCGACTTGGCGTGTTCTCTCTTCATCATGTATCGCTGGGTTTTGCTGTTCAGCTCGTTCACTCGTTCGGCGAGCGGTTTGCTGGGATCAGAAACAAGCTCTTGCTGTGCAGTGAAAAGCTGCTCGCGCAGCTCCAACCTAATTCGAAGCTCCTCCTCGCCCATGGAATGTGCCTTGTTGTCGATGGGGCCCAACGACCCGGCGTCAGGAGTCGCCTCGGTTTCGGATGCAATTCTCTCGTCCAGGTACTGTTCGATCTTGCGCTTTTCCTGGTCGTCCAGACGCCGCCCCCATAAGCCGCGCACCAGCCGCGCCAACACCTTGACAGCATCCAGGTCCTTGGAAGCCGGTATTGAGCAGGTCGCGCTCTCTCCCGCCTCTGTATGGGTAATAGACACGGAAAGCGCTTTCGGCGCCATGTACTGCTGCAGCTCCTTGGGAACGTCTTCGCGACGTAGCACACGTCTCTTGAGGAACCAGTCCGGCACGTTCACGGGAGGCAGCCCCTGCGTCTTCCTCCCGCGCTGCTGACGGCGCTGGACCGCCAAGTATCGCCTCGTGGTCTCGCGTGACCGCTGGACTTTTTGCGCCAGAAGTTCCGGGTCGTCGTTTGCTATCTCGGCTTCGGTCTGGTGTTCCTCGGCGGCTGCCGCCTTCTCGCGGTCGGCCTTGTCGACGCCATTGCCGCCAAGTGGTGTGCTATCTGGCGCTGATGGCGGTGTCGGTGCAGATGCGAGCGCGTGTGTAGTGTGTAATGAACGTATGCGCGGTATCGATGGGTAGCGGCGGCCTCGGATAAAGCGTGCTGGAGCTCGTCCCGTCGATGCTCGCAGTGCGGACCGTATCACATACATACGGGCGTCGAGGGCGTCCCTTTGCGCGGAAAGGAATGCACCTATAGAGAGGGTGGGAATGAGGCAGATTGGCGAGTAAGTGTCGCGGCGCGTCGCCTTGTCACGTCCACACAACTTTTCTGACGTTCCAAGGGTTCTCAGCGGCAAACGGCGCGCTTGTCGCGGCTGCACAGCAAATCACAGGACAGCAACGCCGCTGAAGTCGACGGTGAACTGCGGCAGGGTGGAAATGGCAGGCCATGGAAGCCAGTCGCTGCTTCTTGATTCTTTGGCGCTGGTGTTCGTATTCCAAGTGTTTAAACTGGGATCGAGTTCCGAGGAGCGTCTTCCCGTGACTGCCTCTCCAAACATCTATCTCGACAATCTTTGCTTCGCGACTTGAGATCTGGGATGGACAAACCCTGTAGCTTGCCATACCAGCACCACTTTGTTTCCATCAAGTCGCGTGACAGTGCCGTCAAACCGATCGGTGAATCAGGGCGGATCGTTTGTGAAGATTACCCCGGATAGCTAACAGCAAGATTCTCAGCACAAGTCGTGCACAAATGCACAACCACTGGGGCTCGTCGTCGGCGCGTGCTGGTGTCGAGCATGCTCGTGCTGTGGCTCGCACGGCAGACGGCAGACGGGTACCTGCATGATCGTTGCTGGGATTTTCTTGCTCATCCTCACAGTGTTTTCAGAATTTGCCAGAATCGTATCGGCAATGCAACACGAGTCAATCAATCTCCAGTCGTCATCTCACGATGCCCCACAGGAGTAGCTGCGAAGCCCCAACAGGAGTAGCTGCAAAGCTTGGAATGTGATTGATTTGACAAGGCTTACCGAGCGCTCCTGACTGGACGGTACCTGAGGCTGAAGGCACGGTCTTGGATGATCCCTCGTCCGTGTTGGCCGCCCACAAACCTAGCGGCTTTCACGCCCGGGGCCAGTTTGCGGACCGCACATGGATCCCTGGAGCTGTGGCAGTCGCGAGCTTTTACCTTCACCCTTCAACCGGTGCTCAGCTGGGCGCGCACCACGTCTGAACCCTCACCGACTCGCAGTGAGTGCTGACGCACCTCGAGCTCCGCGTGCCTGCATCCCCACACCAACGCCCCACGGCCAAACAACACATTGCTGCAGAGCAAAGGCCAAATTGGACCCTCGACCGTGCAGGCAGACCCCAGACCGTGACATGACGTGTATTTGAGATGTCTGCTATTAGCCATCGCTCTGCTCCTCCTCGATTGACCTGGAGAAAGCGATGTCGCTGACGCCGTCCAACTCCCGCATGAGGGATGCCACGCTCGGCGCGGGCATCAAGCTCACGCCCACGCCCTCGCCCTTCACGGCCCTCAAGAGCCAGGCCCGCTCGCCTCTCAAGCCGGCCCGGGCCGAGGCATCTCTGGCGCTGCGCACCGTGATAGGAACCACAACCAGCACCGCCAATGCCTTCGACAGCCTGCCCACCGCGCGCCTCTTTGCGTACACCGCAGGCACCGCAGCCGTCGTGGCCACCATCGACGCGCAGCACAACGTCTCCCAGCGCTTCTACCGCGCGCGGCCCACTACCAATCCCATCAATTCCTCCTCATCCATATACGGCGGGCCTGTCACGCCCACACAAAATGAGAGCCGCAACAGAGCAGCGGCCTCAATACGAGACGCCAGCCTTGGCGCATCGCCGCTTGCATCGCCAGCAGCGAACGATTGGAGCGACTCACAGAACAATAGAGCGTGGACCGCGCGCGAGAAGATCAAGGCAGCGACGTGTGTGAGCTTCAGTCCGGATGGCAAGTTCCTGGCCGTTGGCGAGGTGAGTTTAGTCGGCTGTCGGTTGTCGCACTGCATGTGCTAATATGATGCACAGACGGGATACAGGCCGCGCGTGCTCATCTTCTCGAACGCACCAGACGCACCCTCAGACACGCCCCTCACGGCCCTGACAGAGCACTCCTTCGGCGTCAATTGCGTAGCCTTCAGCCCGGACTCGCGCTACCTCGCGAGCATCGGCACGTCCCAAGATGGCTTCCTCTACGTCTGGAGCATCAACCCTCGCACTGGAGCTGCCACCCTGCACTCCAGCAACAAATGCGTCAGCAACATCAACCGAATGACGTGGATGGGCAACAGGCTCATCACAGTGGGCACGCGACACGTCAAGGTCTGGTCTCTCGAGGAGCGTAGTCCTGTCCAAAGAGTATCCAAATCTCGCCAGAGCGACATGTTCGTGGGCAGCACCAACAAGCCGCTGTCCGGCCGCAATTGTTTACTGGTAGACCTGCAAGACACCACATTCTCGAGTGTCTGTCAAGTCGCAGCAAACAAAGCAATCGTTGCATCGGAGCGTGGTGATTTGTGCCTCATCGACGAGACAGACCGAGAGCAGAGCTTCACACGCATAGCGCATGCTGGTTTTGCCGTCACCGCCATGGCTGCCGACGACAAGGGGCGGCTGCATCTTGCGGGATCTCATGGAGGGCTGAAAACCCTCACGGTGGCTAGTCTCACCAGCAAGTTGACCCCACCACCATCGCCTTCCACACAGAGCTCACGAGGCGACTCGCCCGCTATTTCTATCACGGACTGCAGCAATCAGATCAGTGCAATTGTGTGTCTGGCGGACCACATCGTGACAGTAGATTCTCAGCGCGCGATCCGGCTGGCACATCTCTGCGCAACGCCCCAGGACTGCGAACCCAGTGTGAACGATGAGCCAAGTATCGGCGACGTTATCCACACGCTGCCTGCTCAAGGCGATTCTGTACTTGGGGTGCGAGTCTTGTCTCAACCGAACGACCTCGAGGCTTCATACTATACATGGGCAGCCGGCGGCAGCATCAAATTCTGGACCCAGAACGGTAGTATCCAAAGAGCTCTCCAGGTGTCGCTTGACTACCCTGCTGAGCTTGATACGCTGTCAAATGAGCTCCGCACAGTCCGCGCCTCCTACGATGCCAGCTTCATCGTAACTGGGGACAAATTGGGTGTGTTGAGGATCATTGACTGCAAGTTTGAGGCTGTGATTTTCGAGTCGAGGGCGCACTCGAACGAAGTCACGAGCATTGCCATCTACGAGGACAAGGGTACTACTCTCGTCGCCTCCGCTAGTAGAGATCGCACCGTGCAAGTCTTCAGTCGCGAGAGAGGCAGGTGGTCGCTGCTACAGACCATGGACGAGCATGCCGGAGCTGTTCTAGGCGTGCAGTTCTCACAAAGCGGCACATGTCTGGTCTCATCGTCCAGCGACCGCAGCATTGTCGTGCGCGATATATTGACTCGAGAAGAGGACGGTAAGACCATCCGCGGGTTTGTCTTCGTCCGCTGCATAGCATTCAAGTCAACACCGGTATCAATGACATGGGACGTTGATCAGGATGATGTGCTGATTGCGTCGACTGTCGACCGACAAGTTCACAAATACGATCTACAGAGCGGGCAGTGCCTCAGTGTCTTCAAAGCATCCGACAATGATGGCGGCGATGCTGTTGTTCTGCACTCGTTAGCTCACATTCCACGCGAATGGGGCTCACCACTCATCGCCGGTGTATCGAGCACCGACAAGTCCATACGAGTCTACGACGAGAGCGGCACACTTCTTGCCCGAGACTGGGGCCACACCGAAGGCGTCACCGATATTGCGTTTATACAACCTTCGTCTTCACAGGAGGAAGACTCACGGGAGAAGTCTCTCGTCACGGTCGCCGTCGACGGAACGATCTTCGTCTGGAACCTCGCCCTGCAGTCCCCCTATCGCCAAGAGATGTCAAAATCAGTGGACATAATCGAAACATCCGCCCAGCTAACACCGAACCTCCTCACAACTAAGCCCCCTATCCGCCGCGTACTGTCCCAATCCGAGCTCGCCAAATTCCAGCGCTCTCCAGACTCTACCGGCAGCGCAACCCCCACCGGCAACCGCTCCCCCACGCTCAAAAAGAAACTCTCCAAACTTTCTTTCCACAAAACCCAACCCCCAAAACTCGACCCCTCGCCCCTCCCCAGCGCACGCGAGAAGAAAACCGCGCCGGCAAGCCACAACCCCTTCCGCCGCAAAAACACATCCCCCTCGCCCCCCGCGTCGCCGAAGAACCGCAACGGCCGCCGGCCCTCGCGCGCAAATCTCAAAGCAGCGGCCCCTGCTGCGCCGGCTGAGGCGTCGCTCGCGGCGGCAACAGACACGCTCACGCGTGCGCTGCGCGCGTATCGCAAGCAGCTTGCGTCGAGCAGCGAGGCGCTAGACGACGGTGCAAGGGGCGAGTTGCAGAGGGATCTTGCAGCCACGGCGCGGGCGGTGGGGGAGTGTGCCATCGCGAAGGACGGCGACGGGGAGAGCAAGGACGCGCAGGAGGCGCTCATGGCGCGCCTGCTCGACTCGTACTCCGAGCGCCTCGTCAACATCCTGGATGAGCGGATTGCGGCCAGCGCGGCGCGGCGCGCGGATGTCCTGGTCGCGACGCCGGGGCAGTCGCCTGCGGAGTATCGGCGGTCGCCGAGTCCGCTGGGCAAGACGGGGGACGGGGAGGCGTGTTCGCCCACGAGTGAGGTGTGAGAGGGGGGGGGGGGGGGGGGGTAGACGGATGGCATGGCACAGCATGGCATGCTGATGCCGATGAGACGAAAAGTTACGACGGCGTTGGCTTGCAAGGCGCCCTTTTTGGATTACAGGCGTTGAGACCTGCTGGGCTTCTTTGCGCTCGGGCATTTTACACTGTACATAGCTGTAATCGTAGTTTCTAGTCTATTCTTGAGTGTTTATCATCCTCGAGGTCTGACCTCCATCGCAGAGATCTACTCGCACTTCGCGTCTCCTCCGTCTCCACGCCCCCAGATCTAGCGTCTAATCTACAGCGCTCACGCCAGGGACTCGATGCAAGTGCTTCCACAATACCAGGCCCACTGCCATGCAACAAACACAGCGCTCGTGCGTCCCCGTCCGCGTCACATACCATACCAATCTCTAGCGCAAACCCGCCGTTCTGAATCCACGCGCAACACCCCATGGTCCACACGACATCAAGTGAAGTGTCTGGACTACCACGCACGTCTACATCCTACATCCTACATCCTACATCCTACGTCCTACGTCCTACGTCGTGCTAACCCGCCAAGTGGATATGACATACGCCTCGGTCCTCCCGCGCGTCTGATTGGGTACCGAGAAGCGTGGTCTGGGTATGTCTGGGTAAGTCGGGGGAAGGCGCGGTAGGCGGGGTGGGCAGACGTCGGTATGACGCTCTGGCGGGCTGGGCGGTTGGCATTCAACACCTGAGGTACATGTCGACGAGGGGCGGCGTTGTTTGCGGGTATGTGCAGTGCGAGGGAGCTATGGGTATGACTATGCGGACTACTCACTCCTGCGGACCACTCACTCCGGTGGCTGGCTGCTTGGTTTTCATGGTATGCAGGAGTGGGAGCCGTACTACCGCGTCTACTGGTTCAGGTTCTGGTGCTGGTGCTGGCGCACCTGGGTATTTGACACGGCGCTGCAAACAGCGCAAGAAGCTCGAATGCGGCGCGGGGTGTGGTCGTTGCAGCAACACCTCGCTGCTGCTGCGCTGGGCCGGCGGATTATTAGGTAGCTGGTAGCTGGCAAGACGAAATGCACCGGTACCGGCGCCACCGCGCCCACCATTGGCTGGCGCGCACCCAGGTACCCAGTACCTCTCACCTCCCGCGCACCCAGCACCGAGTCCGGTACACACAAAGCGCTCACACACTGCATTGCATTGCAAACACTCAGACGCCACTCCAGTATCGCGCGCCCAGCCGAGGTCCTTCCAGAACCCTCCTGCGCCTCCACACACAATTGTTGTACTGTACCTATCCCCATCCACCCTGCAGCATGCCTGCGGCTCTGTGGAGCGTAACCGCGGCCGGAGCCTCGGGCTATTCTGCAGCGGTTCCCCAGGCCCGGGGCAGGTAGGGTGGGGCAGGGTTGTTCGCGTGCGTGCTTGGTGCTGCAGTGCGGTCTGGGCGTGGCAGAGGTAGGTATGTTACATGTACTACGGTGCATACTCAGGCAATACCTACAACAATTGTAGGTACGTGCGCAACTGCGGGTTGGTCGCTGCGGGTGTGCGATTGCTCCGCTGTTGGAGAGAGCGTTGGGGTGCTGCACAGGAGGGTGTGGGGCGGGGGAAAGTGTGCAGGCGGAGATGTTTCGTGGGAGCTTCGCCGCTGGAGGATGCTGTTGGGGATGTGTGGTGGGTGAGGATGTTGCGGTGCTGTGTCACGTTTAGAGCTCCGCGGCCTCAGGGCTCAGCAGCTTCAGGCGTCCCAGCAGCTTCAAACCTCTGCACACTCAGGGCTCGATCTGAATCGAGCTTGGCTTGCGAAACCCTAGACCCGCGATATTTTTGTCAGGGCGACGAACGTGCTGCGACCCACCCACTCGCGTGCGCATGATTTGAAGGCCACCGCACCCCACCGCAGACATCTGAAATCCCACCGGACGCAAGCCTCCTAGCGCACTTCCTGTTCCCTCGGGGCGCAGAAGTCGCGCCGGCGCAAACAAGGTCGCGGTCAGGGTCAGCCCACTGCGGCCGCGGCTATGGCAGGCAGCTGCAGCGTGTATGTAATCCGGAGAAACGGAGCTCGCCCGGGCTATCCGCGCTGGTAGGTCGACGGGTCGAGACAAGCATGGGCCGAGCCCGCTCGTCATATTCCACGTCCCCGCGCTCGCGCGCACGAGGGGTAGTGCGAATTAGGCGGCGCTGGAAGGGTGCGATCGCCAGCGTGAGGGCTTAAGAAGCCGCTCGCCCTGGGAGCGAGGAGGGGGAGGTTATTGTTGTTCATTGACTGCTCGACTGCTCACTGCTGACTGCTCGACTGTCCATTGACTGCGCGTTGACTACTCATTGACTACTCATTGACTGACCCACCGCCCGCTCCATCGCCGGCTCGCCTCGCCGCCGTACCTACATATACACTGCGCGCAACCGCACGCCTGCTAGCGAGCTCCACTTTGGCAGTCTTCTCCGAGTTGTCCCCAGAGCTTCACGGCCCCTGCGGCCTCACGCGTCCCACCGAGCCCTTTACCCGGCAGCAGGACTGGTAAGGCGAGAGACCCGCCCTCTACCCGGCACAAAGACTGGTAAGGCCAGCGACCCGCCCACAGGACTTATAAGGCGAGAGACCGCCCTCTGGTGCCCGCCGCGTCCCTCCCGTCCCTGCGCGCTCCCTGAATCCGCCCACCATGTCTGAAGGCAATGTCAAGCCGCAGAACCCGGTCGTGGCTGAGGCCCACGAGGTCGACACGTTCCACGTCCCCAAGGCGTTTTTCGAGTGAGTGCCCTGGTGGTCCGCGGGCAATGGCTGCGTCAGTGTCGCGCGGGGTCACCCCGCCGTGCAGCCCGCCGCTCAGCCGTCGCCGTCACAGCGCTAACACCGGGCAGCAAGCACCCGCACAACGGGCCGCACCTCGCGGGCCTCGAGGAGTACCAGAAGCTGTACAAGGAGTCCATCACCGAGCCCAAGCAGTTCTGGGGCCGGCTGGCGCGCGAGCTGCTCACGTGGGAGCGCGACTTCCAGACGGTGCACGCCGGCAGCCTCGAGCACGGCGACAGCGCGTGGTTCGTCGAGGGCAAGCTGAACGCGTCGTACAACTGCGTCGACCGCCACGCGTTCAAGGACCCCAACAAGCCGGCCATCATCTACGAGGCCGACGACGCCGGCGACGGCCGCATCATTACATATGGCGAGCTGCTGCGCGAGGTGTCCAAGCTGGCCTACACGCTCAAGGAGATGGGCGTCAAGAAGGGCGACGCCGTCGCGCTGTACCTGCCCATGATCCCGGAGGCCGTCATCTCGTTCCTGGCCTGCACGCGCATCGGCGCCGTGCACTCGGTCATCTTCGCCGGCTTCTCGTCCGACTCGCTGCGCGACCGCATCATCGATGCCGAGTGCAAGGTGGTCATCACCACCGACGAGGGCAAGCGCGGCGGCAAGGTGATTGCGACCAAGAAGATTGTCGACGAGGCGCTCAAGCAGTGCCCCGGCATCAGCCACTGCCTCGTCTACAAGCGCACCGGCGCCGACATCCCCTGGACCAAGGGCCGCGACTGGTGGTGGCACGAGGAGGTCGACAAGTACCCCCAACTACATCGCCCCCGAGTCCATGAGCTCCGAGGACCCGCTGTTCCTGCTGTACACGTCGGGCTCGACCGGCAAGCCCAAGGGCGTGATGCACTCGACGGCGGGCTATCTGCTCGGCGCGGCCGCTACAGGTAAATACGTCTTCGACATCCACGACGGCGACACGTTCTTCTGCGGCGGCGACGTGGGCTGGATCACCGGCCACACGTATGTCGTGTATGCGCCGCTGCTGCTGGGTGTCGCGACCGTCGTGTTCGAGGGCACCCCCGCGTACCCCGACTTCTCGCGCTACTGGGACATTGTCAACAAGTACAAGGTCAGCCAGTTCTACGTGGCGCCCACGGCGCTGCGGCTGCTGAAGCGCGCGGGCGACGAGCACGTCAAGCACGAGATGAAGCACCTGCGCGTGCTGGGGTCCGTGGGCGAGCCCATCGCCGCCGAGGTGTGGAAGTGGTACTTTGAGACGGTCGGCAAGGAGGATGCTCACGTTGTCGACGTACGTATGCCCCAGCAGTGCAAGAGCTATATTAACAGCATCAGACTTACTGGCAGACGGAGACCGGCTCTCACGTCATCACGCCGCTGGCGGGTGTCACGCCCACGAAGCCCGGCTCTGCCTCGCTGCCTTTCTTCGGCATCGAGCCGGCCATCATCGACCCCGTCTCCGGCGAGGAGATCCACGGCAACGATGTCGAGGGCGTCTTGGCGTTCAAGCAGCCGTGGCCCAGCATGGCGCGCACGGTCTGGGGAGCCCACAAGCGCTACATGGACACATATCTGAACGTCTACAAGGGCTACTACGTAAGTGTTGAGGCTGAGCTGTGCTGTGGGGTTTGCTGACATATCCAGTTCACTGGCGACGGCGCAGGCCGTGACCACGAGGGGTACTACTGGATCCGCGGTCGCGTTGATGATGTCGTCAACGTGTCTGGCCACCGGCTGTCGACTGCTGAGATCGAGGCTGCGCTCATCGAGCACCGTACGTGCCTGCAGCGCTACCGGGTGATACTAAGTTGCTAACGCGCGCAGACTCTGTCGCCGAGGCGGCCGTGGTCGGCATCAACGACGAGCTCACCGGGCAGGCGGTCAACGCGTTTGTGGCGCTCAAGGACGGCACCGAGTCCAGCGACCAGGTCAAGAAGGACCTGATCCTGCAGGTGCGCAAGTCCATCGGCCCCTTTGCTGCGCCCAAGGCGATATACGTCGTCCCCGACCTGCCCAAGACGCGCTCTGGCAAGATCATGCGACGCATCATGCGCAAGATCTTGGCAGGCGAGGAGGACCAGCTGGGCGACATAACCACGGTGAGTGCTCCCTATCTCCGAGTCTGCGTCTGGCGGACTTTACGTCTTGTGTTCGAGATGGGTTCCCCCAAGGCGCGAGCCGCGAGGATGACGCGTTCGTGCAAGTGTATGACAGGTGCTAACGGCTTTGGGCAGCTTTCGGATCCGTCGGTAGTTGAGAAGATCATCGACATTGTGCACCAGTCCAAGAAGAAATAGAGGCTTGGCGCGGGGGAGGGTGATTGGACGGCAGGCGGGTAATGGGCGGGACCGCAGTTGGACGTGTTTGGATGTGAGACGCTGCGCTTATGCAGTTGTGCTGTTGTTACCACGCCGACAGATACCAGATGAAAGAATATTTCCTCACAACACAGCGCCCGTGGGCTGCCGACTTCCGTGCAGCGGGCGCAAACGAGATATAGCTCGTATTGCCCCGTATGCAGGCCGATGACAGCCCTCTGTGCGCCGAAACTGTTAGTGTCTTAACTCGGCCATGGAGGCATCGCCAAGCATGCAGCACTGCACCGCCCCTTCGAGCGCTGACGACGGCGCCATCGCTCGCTGCTTAGTTTGCTTCTCTCTTCTTGTTTATACCCCACCAATGTCGTTCTCTTTGACGTTCTAAGCACTGTCGTCGTATCTGTTGTCTTGCATTTGTCTTGTCGACCCCTGTAGCCGGGATGCACATCCTCTCCGCGCTCTCGTCGGTCCTCGCCCTCGCCACAGCTGCCGCCGCCTCATCCTCGCACCGCGCTCCGCTGCGCACCATCCAGTACGCCACCGACGCGGATATCCTGACCCCCAACCACCGCGTGACCGCCGTCTCGTCGTTCGACCTCGCCTTCACCGTCGGCAGCCAGCGCTTCCGCCTCAGCCTCGAGCCCAACCACGACCTCTTCGTCGATGGCGGCCGCGTGACCCACCTCGCCGCCGACGGCAGCGTGCACGCCCAGGTCCCGATCGACCGCCACCAGCACCGCGTGTTCAAGGGGACGGCGTCGCTGCTGCGCGGCAGCCGCTGGCATGAAGTCGGCTGGGCGCGCATCGGGATGCGGCAGGACGGGCTGCAGCCGCTGTTCGAGGGCTCGTTTGTGCTGAACCACGACCACCACCACATCAAGCTGGCCAGCAGCTATGCCGCGACGCGGGTCGCGGGGGACCCGGAGGCGGAGACTAGCGACGCGGAGACGATGGTGGTGTTCCGCGACAGCGACATGGGCATGGCGCCGCACGCCGACCACGACGAGCTGCGGAAGCGCGCGGGCGTGCACGGCCAGGCGTGTGGCAGCGACCAGCTGGGCTTCAACACGCAGGAAGACCACCCGGTGTTTGCGGGCATGCGCGCGCGCGACATGAGCCGGGCGTCGATGCCGATTGAGCGGCTGTTTGGGCGGCAGCTCGACAACCAGCCGGGGTCGGGCGGCGCGGGCGTGAATCTGGTCAGCACCATTGGCAGCACGCAGGGCTGTCCGACCACGCGCAAGGTGGCGCTGGTGGGCGTGGCCGCCGACTGCACGTATATCCAGTCGTTCAACCGCGACCGCAACCAGACGCAGCAGAACATCATCGAGCAGATTAATCTTGCGTCGGAGCTGTTTGAGAGCACCTTCCAGATCTCGCTGGGTCTGGCCAATGTCGTTATTACGGACCCGGACTGCCCGGCGACGGCCCAGCAGTCGACGCCCTGGAACCAGGCCTGCAGCGACAGCGTTAATATTCAGGCCCGTCTGAATCTGTTCTCCAGCTGGCGCGGCCAGCAGCAAGATACCTACTCGCACTGGACCCTGCTCTCGACCTGCAATACTGATACTGCCGTCGGCCTCGCCTGGCTTGGACAGGCCTGCGTGCAGGGCTCGCAGCAGAACGGCGGCAGCAGCAGCGAAACCGTCGCCGGCGCCAACGTCGTCATCCGCACCGCCACCGAATGGCAGGTCATCGCGCACGAGACCGGCCACACCTACGGCGCCGTCCACGACTGCACCTCGCAGTCCTGCGCCGACTCCAACACCGTCAACTCCCAGCAGTGCTGCCCCCTGTCCTCCTCGCAGTGCAACGCCGGCGCGCAGTTCATCATGAACCCGTCGACCGCGCAGGGCATCACGCGCTTCTCGCCGTGCTCCATCGGCAACATCTGCTCCGCGCTGCAGCGCAACAGCGTCGAATCCTCCTGCCTGACCAACAACCGCGGCATCACCACCATCGGCGAGCCCGTGTGCGGCAACGGCATCGTCGAGGAGGGCGAGGACTGCGACTGCGGCGGCACCAGCCAGTGCGGCGATAATAGCTGCTGCAACCCAAACACCTGCCGCTTCATCAACAACGCCGTCTGCGACGACTCCAACGAAGACTGCTGCCGCAACTGCCAGTACGCAAACAGCACCGTCGTGTGCCGCGCCTCCCAGGGCCCCTGCGATCCCCAGGAGACCTGCAACGGCACGAGCCCGTACTGCCCCGCGGACACGTGGGAAGCCGCGGGCACCTCGTGTGGCGAGAATCTGCAGTGCGCGTCCGGCCAGTGCACGAGTCGCGACCAGCAGTGCAAGACGCTCATGGGGTCGTACACCCAGGGCAACGAGACGTATGCGTGCGACACGCGCAGCTGCACGCTGTCGTGCCAGAGCCCCAGGTTCGGCGATACGTGTTACGGGCTGCAGCAGAATTTCCTGGATGGCACGGTGTGCGCCGGCGGGCATTGCACGAATGTACGTCCACTCTATTTCCTACATCCACAGCCCTTGTTTTTCACACCCATTCCCTTCCCCTTCCCCTTCACCCCCGCCCCGTTATCTCAGTCCCTAATACTTCATACTAATACCCCCCCAGGGCCGCTGCGACGGCAACGTCGGCACCGAAATAAAATCCTGGATCGACGAACACCTCTCCCTCGTCATCGGGCTCGCCGCCGGTCTCGGCGGCGCCCTGGTTCTGTGCATCCTATGCTGCTGCTGGCGCTCGTACCGCCGCCGCCGGAGCCGCGCCAAGTACGCGGCGGCGGCTGCGGCGGCGGGTGCGGGGAGGGGCAGGAGGGGGCCGCCGCCACCGATGGGCGGGTATCCGCAGGGGGGGTACGGGCAGGTCGGGCAGCAGGGGAGCTATCCCCAAGGGGCGTTTCCGCAAGGGCAGGGGCAGCAGTGGCAGGGTAATCCGGTGCCGATGCCGCCGCCGCTGCAGGCGAGGAATAGTATGCGGTATGCGTAGATGTAGTCGTGGTCGTACGCATCGCATTGGGCTGGTTGTTTTCTTGTTTTTCTTTTGTACAGACGCCGTTTGGCTACACGGGTTGGAATTGGATATGGGTGGGATAGACGCAGCTCAGCGCTCGCGCACGGTCGCTTCGATGGCATTTCCTTGCATTTCCTGGCGTCTTCTTTGCTTTTCGATCGTTCGTTTGTTTGTTTGTTTGTTGTTTAGCGGGTGTTGTAGAGAGAGGATAGTGTGTGGTGTGTAGCGTGCACAGCGAGGAGAAAGTAGAGGGTAAAAGGACGTATATAGCTCAGCGTGTGTGTATACAGACACTTTACTTCATTTCACTGCACTGCACTTCACTTCCCCTCCGCTCCTTGCTCCCTGCATCGATTGCGCCTTGCTAGTTGCCGCGTGCCTGGACTGTTGAGCGCGTGGACTGTGAGCCCGTGATTTATGAGCCCGTAAACCGTGAACCGTGAACCGTGAACCGTGAACCGTGAGCCCGTGAGCCCGTGAGCCCGTGAGCCCGTGAGCCCGTGAGCCCGTGAGCCTGTGAATTGTGAGCCTGTGAATTGTGAGCCCATGGTCCACGACTTAGTGGTACACGACTTAGTGGTACACGACTTAGTCAACGGGAGCGGTGCCCCAACGCACCCCAACACACCCCAACGCACCCCAATGCCCCTGATATCTCCAGACTTCAGACTCCAGACTTCAGACTCCCCGTCTCATCCCCTAAGCCTAAGCCTAAGGCTTGGAACTCGGACTCGGACTCGGAGCGCTACGGCACTGAGACATATCCGCGCCATCTCCCCAGCACACACAACCCCAGCGCTCCCGCAGCTTAGCCCGAGTCCAACAAGAGCGCTAGTGTAAACCCTCCTGTTCCCAGGCCTCAAGAGAGAGCAGGAAAGGGGGGGGGGGGGGGGGGATACAACGTCAGGGCGGTCTGGGCGAGAAACGGAAATGCAAGAAGGGGATAGCATAGAGGCCAAGGTTGAGTATGGCTCGGGCTGGGGCTGGGGCGGGGTGAGGACTGGTTGATTGCGGGGTGTCCTGATGCCCCATAACAAGGGTGAATGGAGAGGTGCGAGTGTCGCAGACATGACAGGTCGTCTTGGGGCGCTGTCCGGTGTTTTTTGTGCAGTACTCTGGTTGTTAGATGGGGAGCTGGCTGGGGCGAGACTGGGTTGATGTGGTGACGTGCATGGGTGTTGTCGGGCTGGTGTGGGGCGCGAGGAAGGCGGCAGATGCATATTAGCTACACTCTTTAATGGAAATTCGGTTGTTTTGATCGAGATGGCACTCGATTGCAGTAGGGGCGGAACGTGAACGAAGATAGTGCGTCTTACTACTTATGTAGGGAGGGATGTGGATATGAGGTTTGTGTAAAACAACCTGTCCGCTGATATCTGCATACCGGGATCGAGTCAAGCGTTTAGAGGATATTTCCATGTAGACCAAACGCTTTTAAGGCGAGAGCGTGGGCTGGAGCAGAGAGATACGAGAGTATGTTCATCGGCCTGGTGCAGTCTGCGTGAGTGATGTATTTGCTACGTCGGCCTCGTCAACGGAAGCTGGGTGCTCAGCATTGGATCACTGGATCTTTTCGACTGTTTCCACGGCTTGTCTGGGGTACCCGATTCTGCAGTGCTGGACGGAGTATGATATCATCTTGTTGTGACAGTTCTGTATGGATGAAGCTCGTGTGGTGTTATTCAAAGCTCTGTTGTAGCAGAGCTATGGATTTCTGTGATCGTGCAATCGATGCAGCTTCCCACCTTCGTCTTGGTCATATGCTCACGAGAGGGTTCTCTCGGCCTTGTCTTCTATTTGCTTTTACACACGTTTCGCAAACCAATGTGAGACCTCTGATGGCATCGTTGTTGACGGGGAATGCAGAGCCGTTATGAGTGTCTAGTTTGTCATATTTGTGTTGTTTACAAAGTATTCTAGACAACTTGATGAGGATCACAAAGTACTCGGCAGCCTTCTCGCAAAACAAGCACTGTTGAAATCTCCGGCAAATTCTCGCGGAGTGTCGATGTTCCACCAGGTTGTACGACCATGAGCATGCGGTTACTGGCTAAACATCCTCTTTTGGTCATGCAGAATCCTTGGATCCGTGTCGCGGAGTGATTGGCCCAATCGACTTGCATGAACTTGCAAACGCAGCCTCGTCGACGCGCATATCCAACACACTATTTAAATCTCGTTCACCCAGCCTAGTCGTGCGCAGAGACGCACATCTATCAACTATGGCTTCGGAGGCGTATATCCGAAATCAGTCAGAGTAAGCCGATTCGACGCAAGACTGTCTGCGTGATAGCCACTGTTAGTCAGTCCAGCTACTGACAGCAGAGATAGGTATCTGAAAGCCGGTAATTTGTCAGATCTCACGCTGAATTTCGGCGACCGCAGCTGGAAAGCTCACAAAGCTATTGCATGCTCGCACTCGCAATGGTTCCGGCGAGCGGTCACCGGCGCGTTTGAAGTGAGCTCACAAACATGGGACGTGGACTCATCATGCTAACCATGTCCACAAAGGAGAGCTCCAGTGGTATCGTCACTCTCCAAGACGAGCCTGAGTTTGCCGACGCCATCGACTGTATGGTGTCGTACTTCTACAGCGCTGGCTACACTATCTCTGTGTATGAGTCCTCGGCTGCGCTGCTGCATGCCAGAGTCGCTATTATCGCAGACAAGTATGACTGCGCAGCACTGTTCGAGGTGGCTAAGGCTAAGCTCGCGGACTGCATCGGGACGGCCGATATCGACGACTGGGTCGCCATTGCCGATCTAATATACAACTACACCGCATCAGAGCTTGAGTCTCACGCGCAGCTGCGAAAATCGGTTGTTGGGGCTGCCACCGCCCTTAACAACGCCACAGAGGCCTTCCTGCGAAACGAACACGTCAAGGAGCTGCTCCGCTCCAACGCGGATTTGGCAACAGATCTTCTGATTTCCAACGATCAAGGTAGGCAAAGAGGCCAGGAAATGCACATCTTCGTGTGCAATAATTGTCGATTTGCCCACTTTGGGTCTCTCGATTGTGCCACATTTACGGCTGAAATCCCGGGTCTGGGACCTTGTCCGCAATGCGGGAAGGGTTATGAGAAAGTGAGCAAGAGGTCCTCTCATAGTATTGGGATGTTGACGGGGATTTCTTGTTCCTATTGTTACGGGTGGCGTACTGCGAACCGCAGTCCAGATTGGTAGATCTTTCTGCTGTGCGCGACATGGGTCTTTGGTTTGATTCCCCTAATTAATCGAATTGATGAGTAACGTGGCGGGAAGACATTGTGTTGGCCTGGGTACAAGTGAAGCTTCAGACAAGTGATGCATGATTGGACAGATGTTTTGAATCTCTGAAGGTTTGGGATCCTCTCTTCTTCCGTGGTAGTTTAATGCTTGGATAGTGCGATTGAGACGTCCCTATTGCGATTGATTTCACCGCAGCATGATGATTTAGCAACTGGGGAAGATGGCTCCTCCGCGAACACGTAGTCAATGACTCGATGTTCTCGGCGGTTTCGCTCGAACGTCGGTTCCAATTATATCTGGCACCGGTTGCCATCGTCAGCGAAGAAAGGGACCAAGGCTGCGACACAAGGCTCACAATGGGAAAGCCGTTGGCACTAAAGATGGGCGGGGTACTTACGACGAACATAGCCATGACGTTACTTGATTCGCAGCGTTTGCTGTGATTTGCGCATCAGCTGCATCTTGCCGTAAAGATGGGGTTGTGAGACAGAAATAGAAATGGCGCCAGCGTAAACGAGGCTGTGAACGCTAGCACCGCCACGCTAGCCCCCAACGCACTAGTTCCACCTTATCGTCTACAGACACGACCTGAACACGAACGCTACCCTTCCCCTCTCCACCACATAAGCACTTTAACGTCAAGGCGACCCGTGCTTAGACATGTCGTCGCAAGTGCATGAGCTGGGCGCCTTAGGATAGGACGAATTGTGCGAGTGTGTGAGATGGCTGCGGTAAGGCTTACCGTGCATCCTGCGGCTGAGCGTGTGCGGAGTGAGATCTGACCTGGCCCACATAAGGTATGCGTGGCTCCTCCCGAACTCTGTTCTTCTCTTCTCTTCTCTTCCTGCTTGTCACGTGCGCTGTTGTGTTTGTCCAACAATGGCGATTCGGGTTCCGAGAAGTCCCCAGGAGTGTCTAATCAACCCAGAGTCGCCTGGGTGCCAAAATGCATCCAATGAAGGGGGGACTGAACCTACTGTCGCTGCGACGACTGTTCTAGATGGAGCCACGGAAGCAACACAGCCGACGACAGCTTTCTTTTCGGCCGCCACTGGTGCTGTAATGGTGGTCACCACAATCGGCACAAACAATGATGGAAAAGTGTGGACAAGGGTCGACACAGTCTCTGCAACCGAAGTAGCTATAACCACATCTTCAACAACATCTCCAGTGTTCACGGAGCCGCCCGAGGCCATACCCGTGAGCAGCGGAAGCAGCAATGACGGACTCAGTACAGGCGCGATCGCCGGTGTTGCAATTGGGACATTCCTCGCTGGTGCAATTATCGCCCTAGTCGTCGCCTGGCTCTTGTACAAGAGGAGAGACAGGAAGTTCGTGCAAAAGACCTGCCCCTCAGGATACCCCATCTACGCCGATTCCTCGCCTGAGCTCGTCATGGTGCAGAAGAACGCTGCATTGGGTGGCCCGTACGTTCAGATTTCGCAGACGCAGATGCGCGCCCCGGTCCCGGTACCATCTCGTGCGATTGCGACAGGCGATCCGCTTGCTGGTGTTCTCCCTCCTGCGGCCAGCGAGGTCGAGGTGCAAAATCGCGTGGCTGTGCTGTTCGAGCAGATACATCAGCATGTCGATAGGTTCTACCGCGATGTCCACGCTAGCATCACTCCTAGTATGGACTTGGATCTAGCGTCATTTGGAAAGGACGTCAACATGCTCGAGCTGTTGCAGAGCTGTTCCCAGCCAACAGTGGCACTGAAACACGCCCTCGTCGTCTTCATCCTGAAAGTCACTAGCTTGAAGGAAAATGGGAATGAACAGTCGCTCTGGCCTGAGTATCTTACACACATGCTTCACGCCAACGACTCTGGTACGCCCTTCGTTAGCTTCTCGTACGTTCCAGCTAATAAATCATCAGACTCTGCCCACCTTACAACAGCGCAAACCCTCCACCGCCGTCTCTCAGTCTACCTCTACACCCAGCAAAACACACCTGCTCCCACGACCCGTTCGCAGTCTCGCCTCTCCAACCTCTCCGCCCTCTCACTCACCCGAAAGACCTCCTCCGCCATCCGCGAAGCCGCAGAGCACTTCTCGCTGACCTTCTTTCCCTGGGCAAACCCCTCATTCGGGGACCAGGAGCGGGAGGGCGATCTCGCGGGGATAATTGCCGAGGCGCTGGAGAGCAGGATATGGTTGGTGGGGCAGAGTGCGGAGTGGAGTTTTGAGTGGGAGGAGCCGGGCAGAGGTACAGTGGTGCTGAAGCCTGCGGTTGTGGTTAGGGAGGGAGGTGGGCCGAGGAGGGTCGTTATGGGCCAGAGCGTTGGCGTTATCTAGACATCGGGCCTGATGTTGACCTGCGCCTGTCGTCGGACTGTCTATACTTGTAACTGGAAACCGAGTATGCTGGGCGTGATGATAATTAGATTTGAAGTAATAAACAAATCTCGGGCATGCCTAATCTCCCAACACCGTTGTCTGTCGCTTAGAGTTACACTATAAACATGAGGCAGGCACAGGGACTGTGCGTCATGGAACCTGATGTGGGAGGGGAGTTGTCGTGGAGAATCAGGATGGGTTAGGGGGGGTGGAGGGAGTGTAGGAGAGTGTAGGAGAGTGTGGGAAAGTGTGGGAAAGTGTGGGAGGGTGTGGGAGGGTGTGGAAGAGTGGGCATAGAGGGAGAGGCGAGTGTACGACTAGCAACCTGAGACGTAGGAGATGGAGAAATTTTTGTGTATGTACGTCAAAGTAGGAATGTAGTTGTGATAAACCGACCTCAATGTGCACGAACTACAACCCACGTCTCCCAAACTCCAAACATATCGTAGTGTGTAGCCGCGTGGAAGTTTCGATCCCGTGAACAGCAGAGCGCGACGCGTGATTGCGCGTGTATAGGCGTGACGCCGCATGCTAAGCTCGCTTGTCGTACCGCGGTATGGGACAGCGTTTGATGTGTAGTCTGTGGCAGAGAGTAAGAGTTATACTACAGTCTAGTTCCTACGTATCTTCAAAACTTTAATTTGAGTAAAACAGCTGTCTCTACCAATGGTTCGGGGAGAAGTTTCCAGATGGAGCAAAACAGACCTCCCTTCTCTGGTCAAGGAGCAGCTGCAGACTCTTGAACACTATCGCTGTTGTACTCTTTTGAGACTCGACGGATGATCATAACTTGTAATCGCTACTCTTTGGCGCAGCCGAGCTGGTCGTGTAGCCCATAAAACCTGTTTGAAGCTTAAACTTGCTACTGTGTCCTCATTTCTTTCCTCTACTAAACTCGGATAGAAGGTCAGTTCTCTATCAATGTACCATTCTTCATGCTCTGTCTCACAGTCTAGGTTGAGTTGCGAGTCTTTTCCAGATTTGCTCGTTGGTTGAGAGCTGTTCTCTGATGCATTTGTTGCGAAAGGAGTTAGTTGGTTCACGCGTAGGAATGTTATTGGCCGTGAAGGGATGGGACCCGATGTGCTCGTTGACTGGCGTCTGACTTATGCCGTCTACCGTACTGCCGGTGAGTCAGTGTTGGTAACACGTTTAATCTGCTCATTACGGTCACTCACCCTCGTTCCTCATACCTTTGAACCAGATCTGATCGATACAAAAGGTGCATCTCACTAGGGCACAAAATCGTGTAAATAACACTGCCTCTCAGGTAGTGTTAAAAACACCGCATTTTGCACCTAAAAAAACACCGTAACTAGAGGGTATTTTACACTGGATAGATAGGTAGGGTATTTTACACGTATGTATATATAGAAGCCTATTATTTTATCTACTCTATCTATTCTATCTAAAGTAAAGAGAAGAAAAGGAGTAAAAAGAAATAAGAAAGAAGAAGGTTAAAGGGGGTAAATAAAAGAGGGGGGAAGAGGGGGCATGGGGGGGGGGGGGGGGGGGGGGAAGAGAGCAGAGAGAGAGGAGAGTAGAGAGAGAGTAGAGAGAGAGTAGAGAGAGAGTAGAGGGGGAGAGGAGAGTAGAGGAGATGTAGCTCGAGAGCTGAGAGAGAGAGAGAGGGGGAGGAGAGGAGGGGGGGCGTATGGGGGGGGGGGGGGAGAAAGGAGGTGGGAGTTGGGAGGGGGAAGATAGGGGTGGAAGAGGGGGTAGGAAGAGAGGAGAGAGAGCAGAGGAGGAAAGGGGAGGGGGGGGAGAGAAGAGGAGAAGGGCCCGGGAGGGAAGAGAGGAAGGGAGGGAGCGAGAGAAGAGAGAAAGGAGGGGAGGAAGAGAGAGAAAGGGGAGGGAGAGGAGCGAAGCGAGAGAGAGAAAGGGGGGGAGAGGAAGAGAGAGAAAAGGGAGAGATAAGATAGATATTATAATAAAGGAGAAGAGGGGTAAATTACTAATCCCTATCCTAATTAGCTACTACATAAAAATACTACTCTTTTATATAAAAAAACATAGGAAGGGCCTAATATACCCTATTTACCTAAGAGTGCAGTATAAAAAAACACAGGGCAGTGTTATCTATACAGCGTTGGTATCTCAGTGAGATATCTGGGATGCTGCTTTCGATAATGTTTTAGGCGGGCGTTTTGGCGATTAAATCTCTTATTGCAATCACCCACGCCACAAATATATGTAATCATACCATGCACAAGGCGTTCGTGGCGTCGTAAATTTCTTTTTCGATATCGACCAGTGAAATAGGTCTTGCAAGAATCATCCGCCGTGCAAAAGAGTCTACCATCGCCTTCCGAGGTGTTGCAGATGCGTGTGGTATCGTCTACATCATTCTCGGTGGAGCGTGATGCTTTGGCTTCTTCTCCTGTGCCCATTGCTTCTAAATCGGGTCCGATGTTGTCTGTCCAATTTCCATCTTCTGGTTCAGACTGTGCATCAAGAATCCTTGAGGGTGGTAAGCGTAGACTGTTGTCTCCACCTAGAAGCTCCTTCGCTTCTTCGTGGATTCGGACATGAGGGTCGCCTTTTAGGTTGCTTTTGGGCGAGGCCTCATGTGAGAAGTCAGAACTGGCACGTGTCGCTGTGGTCCTTTCTGATTCGGTATCCGACTCAACATCGCGAGGCAGAGATGTTAGAGCGATCTCCTCCAGATGTCGTGCGAAATGGACCAAGATGGCGTTCTTGCCACTCTTTGTGGTATCAAGACAAAGTGGGCAATGCACAGCTTCCCATGTAGGGCCGTACCCGTGTCCAAGCTCGAGATGATCAACCCATAGCTGTCGATTGGCGAACGGCTCATGCGTAAAACTACAGCTGACGAACAGGCAGTTGTAAGGACGAAGATCCATGTAGAGATGTTTTCTGTGTGGCTAAGATCAGTTCAAGAACTGGAGAGTTGGGGTCCGTTTCGAAACTGACCTCCAATCACGGTTGTTGGTTATCTGAACACGTCGAGCACATGCGGTGCATTCGAACGGCAGACCCTCTTTTGCCTCTGCAGGCAAAGAAGGGATATTGACCCGTTTGCCTTCTGATACGCTTGTCATGAACGATATGATGGTCTCTGCATATGTAGAATTGTCTCGAGGCAAAGATGTTCCGATGCCTGAGTCCTGAAATTCTGATCCAGCGACCTGTGATTTGCTGCATGAACTCTGTGCGAGCATACTTGCTTCCCTCTCTTGCTGCATTCTCTGATACCGGCTCCAGCTAGTCCGACCTAGACTTTGTAGCAAGTGCTTTTCAGCTTGTGGAAACTTGCATTTGATCAGATCGGTGTGGTAGTCTTGTGCGGAGCGCTGCTCCAGTGTCACTAGATTAGGCCTGTCTTTGGGCTCGGGTTCCAGAGCAGGACAATCCAATGCGGTACTCAAGTCTATCAGGCTATCCGTATACGTTCTGACCCTCTTGACGAGATCGCGTATGTTGTTCTTCGCATCATCATCACTGTTGCTGGACTCGTTGTCACTGTCACTTATGTCATCCTTATGATCTACCAAAAGCCATTCTGTTTGACTGCAGAGTTCGCTAGCAGCACTGCAGATCGATACAGCCGTTTCTTTATACTTCGTGGAGAGCACATGAGTTCTTAGGCCTCAACTGGTCAGTGATAGCGCACGTACCCCGAGTAGATGCTCACCTTGTGAAAGAGCCTTACACATGGGGTTGAGGATCGATAGAGTCGTAAGTCGAAGGCTTTTTGAACGGTCAAGGATGTTATCGAGAACACCAGTGGTTACCCCATATCCATCTGACCACAGTTGCAACGAGGCAAGACAGCGACGAAGAGTGTTGTGTTCTCTGGTAGAAACCAAGTCGGTATCTAGATGTCGTATAAGACACTGTAGCGCATCTTGACAGTTCTGAATTAACCTTGAGTTGACGCCTTGCTCTTGTTGCTCGATCTCGTGACTCGTTCGTTCTTGCCAATGTTGAATTTGCATCTGACGGTTACGATGCAGAAGGGCACCGTCTCGTGCCGGCGTCTCCATTGCTGTAGGGGAATGATGTCTCTATTGTACACTAATTTTTGGTTCCATGAGGTTAATGAACTTTGGGATCCGAACGACGCCGGAGGTGGTGGCACCAGTGGTGGTTCCAGCCTTGCCGCAACCCTATCAGATCGCACTCGGGGGAGACGCCTTTGTTGCAAAGGATTATGCACTGAGATTTAAAATATGAGAAAAGAATAGCAAAGAGAAAACATGAGCGTACAGATATACGACTCGGTGGAAGGCAAGGTTAAGATGCGAGTAAGACGGGGCTGAATTGCAGCTGCGGGGCTGTGCATGCAGGAGGGGCTGGGCGAGGGGCTGAGCGAGGCGCTTCCAGGCATGATATACCTGATATACGCTCATCCTCCCGCACCAAGAAGTTGCTTCAGGCTCATACAACATTCTTCCCAATGTCCGGTATTGAAGTTGCTGGGCTGGCTTTCGGCATCTTGCCCATACTTGTTGAGGTTGTTAAGTCTTATTCAAATATTTCGAGGAAAGTACACACGCTACGTCATTATTCTCGAGAAGTAAAATCCATCTCAGAGCGACTCAAAGTCTACAAAGGCATCTTCCTCAATGAAGTTCGTCTCCTCCTGCGATCGATCGAAGAGGAAGAGGAGGTCGAAAGCATGTTGGAAGATGCGGCTGATCAGCGTTGGGTGTGCGAGCATCTCAACGACAAACTGAGAGCAGTATTACAAGACAGCTTCGATGCGTGCCGTAGCATCATTGAGGAGACGAGAGACACGATCGAAAGAATGACGGAAGAGATGACAGCGTTTGACGACCTACTCTCCCAGAAAGCAAAGGTGCGTGGTCCGTGGAAGGCGCTATACCAAAGAAGATCCTGACAACTGAACACAGGGCGAATCCATCAAGTCAGCGCTCAAACGCTTAGGAGTGGCGATCAAGATTACGTTCGAGAAGTCTCGACACGATAGCTGTTTGGCCAATCTTCGGGATATGAATGGGGACTTGAGTGCGCTTCGGTCTCAAGTCGGGGCTTTCCAGCGCCCAAACATTCAGCAGACAGGTAGTTTTGTCCAGCATAAAGCTTTGCCAAGAGGAATTGGCTCCATACAAGATGCATCGCAAAAGCTCCATGAAGCTCTCTGCGGTGCCTGGTGCTGCGATGATGCTGCTCATAGAGGGCACTACGCAAAGCTGTGCATTGACGCTCAAGTCCAGGCGGAGGTGCGACTCGATCTTGCCATATCATGTCACGAGCCAAGTCCCAGCGGGCAAATGAGGTGGGATCTAATATCATTACGCCGTGGTCGCATGCTGAACATTGATAGCTTGTTGGCGAACCCCCCGATCTGGCTTTATGTGCAATCAATGAGTACATCGCAAGACGTCTGTGGACAGCAGGGTGATGCCATCCTCTCAAATACCTCGAATCCTTTAGCACAGATGAGATCCTGTGCGGTCAATATGTTGAAGAAGAAGGCCTCTGCTGAACTTCAACAGCAAGCATCGTGTCGGAAGCGGCCTAAGCGCGTACATTTCGTTGATCCACCCCCAATTGTGTCCAAACCACCTATTCAGATGCTTGCACCTGACTTTGATCTTTGCAAAGAGAAGAGCATTTGCAAATACTTACAACAGCACTACCAAATACCCAGGACTACAGCCACTCAGCGCTGCATTGGCTACTTGGAGACTCCGCAAATGTACAAACATTTGTTCTACCTTCGAGACGAAGACCGTCGCAGACCGATCAGAGCCCCGCCTGAAAGTGTGTATTCCATCTTTGATGTTATGCGACATGACGTGGACGAAGCTCTAGAAGTTGCAGATCAACTGAGGTTAGCCCACAAGACAGCGCTTGCGCTTCTTCAATTCAACAACACTCCCTGGCTTCCAGATCGTTGGCGACTCCAAGACCTCAACTATTTCGGGACAGGACGTACGCTTGACAACACAACACTCGGAACACTGCATCTTAGTTCGCAGATTTCAACGCCTGCGCTTACTCCAGCAGCCAACAATACGATGGACGGCATTCAACAGACCCCGGATACCGTCAGCGACCAGATCCGGTACGGTATAAACAATACCACTTTGTTCTTTCTTGGTGTTGCCCTCCTCGAGATTGCGCATTGGCAACCCATCGAGGAAAAGATGACCGCTCGTGATCAGAACAATGAAGTCTTCGCTGCGCGCCGACTGGCAGCTGGCCGTGCGCCATTGGGTCCACAGTACCAGAAGATTGCCGAGAAGTGCCTTCAATGTAACTTTGGATTTGGAACGAAGCTGAGCAACAAGGGCTTGCAGACAGCAGTGTACAACAATGTCGTATGCGAACTCGAGACCATGATTGAGAAGCTGAGCATCTGAGATATTTGTCAATGAAGCTCTGAGGTTTTCACATCCCACCAGGCAGCAGGAGAGGCGTGTGTGGCACCCTTCTCGCTCACCCTTTGTTTTGGCAGGCCGATTGCAGGGTGCTTTCGCTCGTGTTCTTTTTTGCAAGCTCCTATTGTGCCCGATTCCTGTAGTTCGCTCAGCAGTAAGATACAGCTTTGCCCATGCGCTGCCTTCACCGTGAGGACGGTTTGCCGTCGCAACGCCCATCTTGGCTAGCCCGGTTCGACACACCTAGGCGTAATTTCACTCGCCATCAAAACCAAACTTCACCTCAATACACTCAAATCGCAGATTCTGACTTCCAACAACATCGTGTTTTGCTCGAACTTCGCCCTCGCTCAGGTATCCAGTACGGATACCAACTGCGCCGCAATGGTGTCCATCAAGTTCTTCCTCGCTTGTAAGTCTTTTGGCACATTGTTCGGTGACCCATATCAATGCGTGGAAGTTATAGCGGTCATTCTCTTCAATTTCGCTCTTGCCTCTCCCACGCAGGGCACTTCCAAGAACACACTTGGCAGCCTCCTCCTTCAACACCTGCCCACCTCCGATTTCCCATCAATGGAGATTACCGAACAACTCCCAGGCGAAAGCTATATCCACGGCCAAGTCATCAACAAATGTTCATATCCCATATACGTCCGTCAGGCCGTCGCCGAGTATTCTGGCGTCAGTCATGAGAAGTGTAAATACTTCGGCGAGACCAAGGATGTGAAGCTCAACCCGGGCTACACCTGGGTCACCGACTACCCTACGTACTTCGATGGCTGCGGCGTCTCTCGTGCGTCATCTTCCTCTGAGCCAGTACATCCATACTAATAAGGTCGCAGTCAAGATCTCTCACAGCATCGGCGACCTTCAGGTCTACCAGGTCGAGTACGCGGTCGATCGCACCAACGTAAAGATGATGTGGTACAATCTCTCTGCTGAAGACGGCGCGCCCTTCCAGGATGTTGATCGCAAGCTATATGTCTTTTCGGAGGCGTGCATGGCTGTTCACTGTGCTCCAGGCCAGTGGGGCAAGGATCCCGTACATGGGTGCGATTGGCCAATACAGCCAAGTTGCCTGCAGGTTGGACAGGTCATCGCTACACTTTGCTGAAGTGGAAGGTGCGTGCGAAGTGACGCGACGGTATGCAGTAAACACAGATTGGGATCTGTGTTCGAAACCCCATAGTCTTTTTCAGTGACTAGATCAGTGGGTCCTTTGTGGCTACGAAGAACAATACAAACTTCCCGGCCTCCCTCAATTTTTGAATGATTGATATCACTTACACGAGCCTCTCGGTTACACCAGCCGTTGCATCTATGCTCACGTGGATTTCTGCTTGCCCATAAACTGAGACCACGACCCGTGCTTCTCGCGGAAGTACATGACGAAAAATGATGTACCAACTGCAATGCAGTACAGGTTATAGGAGATGACACTGCCATAGGTGGCAGAGTTTTGCCAGCCAAAGATCGAGTTGAAGACACCCCACCAGCCGCCTCCGTCAATTTCAGGACTGCAGCACTGTTGCAATCATCGCCGTTAGTGGAGGGACATAGTCGTCAGGCGCTTCCATTTTCACTTACGTTCACATGCCAAACGCTCTGGCGGATGTCATACGACCCAGGTCCGACGCCTGTCTCTGCTGCGTCACCACCAATTGCGACGTTCCACTATGTTTGGTAAGTATAGTCACATACGAACAGTCGATCTGAGCTTACCATGTAGTTCTCGAAGAACCAGACAGACCTGCTCAGCAGCCCAGCAGCAATCAGATACAAGAAGCAGGTCGATGCAACCAGAAACACTTGCAGAGAGCCTGCATTACCGCCTCTGTACCGCGTCAGTCATGTGGTAGGTCTTGAAGGTAGTGGTCCTACCTGTACAACATGTACCCAATCAACGCGCCGACACCCAGTCCGCATGCCACCGCTAGGGGGAACGAAGATGCTGGCAGTCCAAGACCCGCACCGATGATAAAGACAACGCCCTCGATACCCTCGCGAAGCACAGTGACAAACGGGAGAAGGAACATGGCATATTTCTCCCCAAGAAATCGGAGGCCTTTCGGGCTCGATGCGTCGTCGGCATTATTCGCCTCAAGAGCAGCAGCAATCTTAACGCGCCACTTGTCGCGCATCTTGGAGATCCTGAGCAGCGCTGCACCAACGACAGTGATGATGACAGATGCGATGATGCCGAATACACCCTCCCAGATGTACTCGTACTGCGAGAAAAGGTCGGACTCGAAGTGGTAGAACAGGGCCACCATCGTGCCTCCTATCAAAAGACATATTGCGACTCCAAGAATGACTCCGAGCCAGACCTGTCTGACTAGCTTTTGGTAGACAGGCTTGTCATTCTCAGAGGTCAGGGTCTGCTTCAGGAAGGACAGCAGTACCGAGACGATGATGCTGGTCTCCAAGGACTCGCGGAGACAGATGAAGAACACTTTGTCGAATCAGCATACCGTATTAATTGTCCGGTCAAAGTACAGACCTTGCGCAGCGAAAATCTGTGACATGGCGGTTGTGTGTGCGTGAAGCTCACCGGGCTTCTGCGGATCTGCACTGAAGTCGTGCTGAATCACTGTCCAAAGGCCCGCTAAGGCACCCTGTTTCTAAGAATCCTACAGGCCTTGGCTGCGAATTCGGTGCACCTGAGCCGCAGAGGTTTGATGGAACGAGTTGGCATGTTTGTGAAACGTTCCTTCCGCCACTACGGCCCAGGTCATCAGATTAGATTAGCGTGGCAAAATCGGACGGAGTGTGGCCGAAAAAGGGCAAGCTCGATCAGATTAGACAAGTGAAACGTAATCTCGCACCGCGCAACGTCGACACTCACAGCCTTACTGGCCACGCGCTCAGACCACGAGTCAAGGATCTTTGGGGCTCGGTCTTCTGCGGGTCGGCATCTTAGGGCATTGTTAATGACCCACAGTTGGATGCCGCCGTCTTCATTTTCGCTGCAGCCGCGGTCGGCACATCATCGAGTCCAGCATTCACGGATGTGACAGCTGGGCCCTTCGACCGTCTCTACAACCGCGTTCTTCCTGCGGTACATCCAGCGCAATGCTCGCCGTATTGTGGTCCCTGCCGCTGTTTGTCCTCGGTGCCGCCTGCACGAAGGTCACACATCACGAATTCAATGTCACGTGGGTGAACCGCAACCCCGATGGCCGTCGCGACAGGCCTGTGATGGGGATTAACGGGCAATGGCCCATACCTGCTCTGCGCGTTACCAAGGGCGAGCGCGTTGTTATCACGGTGCGCAACCAGCTCGGCAACGAGACGACCAGCTTGCATTGGCATGGTCTGTACATGAATGGCACAGCGTACATGGACGGCCCGCCAGGCGTGACGCAATGCGAGATCCCTCATGGAGACAGCTTCATTTATGATTTTACAGTATGTTGTAGGACCTCACTTGAGGCTAGTCTTCATCGTCTAATGGCAAATGCAGGTCGATCAGCCAGGGACGTACTGGTTTCATTCGCACACCCGTGGACAGTATCCTGATGGACTTCGCGCCCCACTTATCGTACATGATCCGGAGAACCCCTTTCAGAAAGAGTTCAACGAAGAGATCGTGCTTTCATTTTCCGACTGGTACCATGATTTGATGAGACCTCTTCTCTCGTCTTTCGTCAGCGTCACAAATCCGACGGGCGCTGAGCCAGTGCCCAGCTCGGCGTTGATCAACGATTCGCAAAACATCACAGTCTCTGTGCAGCCGGGGAAGACCTATCTGATACGCATGGTGAGTGACAGTTGAAGAGGATGGGTGAGCGCACGAGCTGACTGTTGTAGGTGAACATGGCCGCTTTTGCAGGCATGTATGTATGGTTCCAGGAATGCACGGTGAAGGTGGTGGAAGTGGATGGCATATACACTGGGCCTGTCGAGACGAGCATGCTTTACCTTACGGCTGGCCAGAGGTATTCCGTCCTCCTTACCGTAGACAGCGGCAGGTTGACCAACATCCCCTTTGTGGCTAGTATGGACGAGGTAAGAGCAAAGCTTGGCAGTTGTGGCATATCTAACAAGTCAACAGGAGCTGTTCGATGCTCTTCCGGCTGATTTGAACTCTAACGTGACTGGATGGCTTGTTGTAGACGAGACAAAAGAGCTTTCGCCGCCGTTGGAGCTTGATGCTTTCGAGCCTCTGGACGACATCTTACTCCAGCCTCTGGACAACCTAGTCGCGCTCAACACTGTCGACAGGAGCATTACGCTTGACATCAAGATGGACAACCTGGGCGATGGTGCTAACTAGTACGTTCGCGTTGCGCTACCCTGTGACTAAACTTACAACTCTCAGCGCCTTCTTCAACGACGTCACTTACGCAGAACCCCGAGTCCCCGCCTTGTACACCGTCATGTCGTCAGGCGAACACGCCAACAACCCTCTCATTTACGGAAGCCACACAAACTCCTTCGTGCTGAACGCAAATGAAACTGTCGAGATCATCCTAAACAACAACGATGACGGAGTATGTCCCTTCCCTTCTCCTCACCACCTCGTCTGACCCTCCCAGAAACATCCCTTTCACCTCCACGGCCACGCGTTCCAAGTGATCCAGCGCTCCGCCGAAGACTCGGGCAACTACTCCCCCAGCACCGCCCCCAAAAGCCCCTCCGCCCCACTCCGTCGCGACACCGTCCTCGTCCAGCCCAACGGCCACGCCGTCCTGCGTTTTCGCAGCGACAACCCCGGCATCTGGCTGTTCCACTGCCACATTGAATGGCACGTCGCGTCCGGGCTGATCGCGACCTTCATCGAGGCCCCGCGCGCGCTGCAGGCCCAGCGCGTGCCCCCCGCCCACCTCGCGCTGTGTGAGCGGAATCACCCACCTGTACTGACTGCTGGTAACGCGGCGGGGAATGCACGCGACTGGGAGGACTTGAGCGGCGAGCCGGCGCCGCCCGGGCCGCTGCCGGAAGGGTTCACGGCGAAGGGTATTTTTGCGATTTTGATTAGCGCGTTGAATGCGTGTGCTATGGTTGGTATGATTGCGTGGTATGGAATGTTGGGTGGGCCGCGGAAGGAGGAGGGTGTTGATGCTCACGATGAGCAAAGGGGCGAGAGCCGGCCGTTGTTGGCGGAGGGGGAGGCGAGGTAGTGGGGCGCGAGGTAGGCTGGATTTAGACAGAACGACAACTTGGATGAGGAGTATCGGATGGAAGTAGATTACAATGTGACCAAGGTGGTATCAAACTAGTAACCCTTTTTCTGCTTGTCCTACCAAGCACCTTCCCGGAACAAACCCCGCGCCGACTCGCGCATACAACACGTGACCCCAAACTCCTTTCGGAATCACAACTAGGACGTAGTGTTTCTTGTCTTGCAGTGCAGTGCTTCCCTTCTCTATGCCCAGGACCACTGCCATGATCTTCTTCCCGTCGACCTGAGCAGGAACGTCGTAGACGATGGTGGCTCCAAACGCATTTGCAGCCGAAAGATCGATTCCCCTTATTTCGGCGCTAAGACTTGTCTTTGAGCCTGTCTCTTTAGTGTCTGACCACGTCGAATCCAGAGCTTGCCATTCAAATCCATCGAAGGTTAGTGGGAAGTAATCGATAGGTCCCGAGCACGACATCCACGACCAGGAGGGTACTTCTTGACTCTTCGGATAGTTGATTGTGGCCAAGCTTTTAACGTCCAAGGGACGATACCAGAGGAGACTGCGGCGAAGTAGACCTGGGTTGTCGTTACTCTCAAATATCCCGTAATCCCCTTGTAGGTTCATGACGGTTATCAGGCGTTTTTGGAGGCTAGCTATTGCTGTGGAACGGTCGTAGTCCCTCGATAAACCGAGTCTTGAGTACTGTTTCAGCAGCTCTTGGAGTCGCATGACAACCTCGCCATGTTCCGCCGGTTCCAAAAGTTTGGGGAAATTGGGATCGCCCAACAGAGAGGCATGCTCACTTGAGCGGGAATCAGTATAAGGCGTCGTGTAGTGAAGACATCGTAACAACTCACTTAGTCAATGTTGACATGGTCTCACAGCGTATGCCGTGACCGCACTCCCAATATGTTTGGTATTCTGTGAAGAATATCGTCCGCCGAGCAAGCGCATGCTCCTGAAGAACCCATCCACGTCTGGCTAGACCTCCTTTGAGAACGTGATGCTCGAAGTTGTCGATTGTTTCACACACATGGATGGCACCGTAGTCCAAGTGCTGCGAATCTAGCGTAACCTGGCGTCGGGCCCATCGAGGCGACAGAAAACCTGACCTTTGGTCAGTAGCGCAGCAAGCAGCAAGCACGCAGTATGCCCCGTTATACACGTCCTTCATCTTGGTGGCCTCATTCTTAAAGTCCCCATCATGATCTTGTATAATGCAAATTGAGTCAATCCATAGGTAAGGTATTCCTAATGCGCGGGTGATTGCAATCGCGTCTATGAAGGTCTTTGGAAGTTTGCCGACATCTATGCCATCATACATCTCGTTCAGATTTCGTTGGGTTGTGGAGAAGTGCGGTGGCGGACCCCAGCGATAAGATAAGGCCACCCAGTCTCCTACATCCAGACCTTCCATTTCTTGTAACTTCACTGTGTTTTCGGTATTTGTACCTACAGCAATAAGTCGAGTTGGAAGCTGAAGGACTGAGCCAGCTGCGGATCTCTTGAATCTGGAAGGTTTGCATCTGGGGTTTTTCCAGTGCTCACTATCACAATGATCGAGCCAGCTTTTTAAGAGCTCAAGGTGAAGTAGTGTTCCGGGATTCGGAAGCTCACTAAACCCCGTCTGGATATCAGGGACTGCACTGCGAGCATCTGTGATCGATAAATCAGAGACGCCCAAATTATGTGACAAAGGTAGACGTACTGTATTGACGGAATAGTGACAGGGCGGGAAGTGTCCTATCGTTAATCTTGATTGCAGATCCGCGCCGTTCAAACCTTACTTTTGAGTGTCTTGCGCTTGCGTCATCCTGACAAACATGCCACAACAGGGCACACAAGTCGCAACTGCGTACATTCTGCGATAGCAACCGTGTCTCGTAGGTCTTACTGAAGAAAGGACTCCATATTTCTTTCCGGAAGTCTTGACATTCATCGCAAAGACGTTGAGTAACTTCAGACGAATGTGGAGGCGATGATTGCACAACATTTGCGAGCCTTTCGAAAGTAGTCGCAGCGAATTTGTTGTCAAGACCCGTTCGCCAATCCTCTGGGTCAAGATCAGGACACTGATAATTGCCCCTCATGTGGATCGGTATCCTAAGTGATGCATGGGCGGCCCTATCCCTGAAACTTGGGGGTATTGAACAGCGTGGGAGATCTTGGAACCAGTAGCTGTCTGACTCTCCAATCTCAGCTATCCGGTTCAGATTTTCAACTAGCTCAACGGCGCGAAATCGCTCTATTTCGACTACTGGTGGGGCAGAGTTGGCATTCTCCGATCGCATGGTTCCATCGCCACACTCGTATTCGGCGAGCAGGCCCTCCTTGTTGAGATCAAGATTTTCGATGTCATTTGACAGATGAATATCAAGGACCTTATCCTCTCCATCGGTTGACAGATGATATGTGGTGTCTGGAACGTCCGATCCGATGTCACTCTTTGTTTCGTTCTGCTTCTGATCGTTTTGTCGCAAGAATCTTGAATAGGTTTTGACACGGGTATTGGCATTGCCACCCCCCTGAGGAAGCTTGACGACTAGAAGGCCATTCCGAACAATGTCAAGGAGATCTCCAAGTGCGCTCGTCTCTTTTTGGCAAATTGCGTTTTTCTCAAGGTGATCCATCCAGTGACTGACAACGCCATGTACTTTGACGATTCTGCCGTGGCTTATATCGTAGAATGAATCTGACAACCCATAATCTCCAATGTTGTTGCGACGAAAACGCTCGAGTCCATTCGTTCCGTGGAGTAGCCAAATGATAAATTCAAGGCTGAAACATCCGAAAGACCAAACATCGTACAGTCGAGACCGAACGCGTTTGGTACTTCCAAAAGCATCAATCGGGATTCCTGTCTCGATCTCCGGTGGCTCATATCGACGAGTCCCATATCTACCGGTGGTATTATGACGTGTTGCGGTGTTGGCACCATCATACTCTCCTGCTTGTCCCCAATCAGCGAGCTTCAAAGTCCCAATTGCTCCACCTTTTTTGAACCAAAGTATGTTCTTCGGCTTGATGTCGCCATGGATGAAAGACTCCTCGGAACTTTCGCCGTCAGACACCTTAAGTAATGGATTGCCTTCAACGCTTGTCCAAGACCACATAATTGCTGTATGACAGCTTGAATGACAGATGCTGACAATAGGGGCTGTGGATCTTCGCTCCACATGTCAGCCAAATTGCCGCCATCTGCCCATTCGAAGCAAATGAAATGATCTAGATCCGGTCCTTCGCCATATCGAAAAGCAGTCACAAAGCGAGCAATATGATTGTGACGAAGAGTGTTCATCTTTTCCAACACTCTGACTTCATTTTCCCATTGTTTTACAATGGTTTTTCGATCTTTCTTGAACTCTTTCACCGCGATGATACAGCCAGAGGGTGACTTCTACGACACATCTTGTTAGAGTCCTATCAAGTGATGAAGTTTGTTTGAGATTACCTGTTCTCCACTGTCTCTGAGATGATCGCGGTGCACTTCGAAACACGTGACAGATCCAAATGTGCCTTCGCTTGCACGGGTGCTGTTCGGGCCTCGGACAAACGGTAGTATGTGCCTACCAACGTCATGGACCAGAACGGATTGTGAAAGAATAGGGGCCAGGAACTTCCACTGAGATTCAGTGAATGAATGGATACGGTACGATGTCCAAAAGCGTCTGCGGTGTTTAACTTGTGTGATCTTGGGGTTTGGTTCCATGATGTGGAATGGATGTCTGCCATCCTTTATCCGTGATACAGTCTCCGCTGGTGTGATATCCTCTGAAGTGATCGGTAGACTGTTGTCGTCAAAGGCAAAGTCCATGAACATGGACATTGCTTGAATGAGCTCCTTTGCAGACAGGCGGCAATAAATGCAGATGAGAAATATTCTTCGCGCCTGTCTCACGATGAATTCCGCTAACGCAATTTCTCGATCACCCTTGGTCTGAGTTTCTAGGATCCACAGAACGCGCTCCTGTGCGTTCTGGGTGCTTTTGGCACCAGGAAGATCCAGGGAGAATATGTCCTCGATGAGCCTTTCAGGGAGAAACTTACTCCGTGTCTTCGGGAAAACACTGGCCTCCATATTGAGAGCGATGTAATCCATCATGGTCTCAGAGGGGTCGCATCCGTATTCATCGGAAAAATCATCAGATGAAGTTTCCATTGCTGAATCAGCACGTGACGTTAATTTTCAGCTCAGTGATAATATTCGTTTGTAAAAAGCCGCAATGGATTCGTTGAGTTGGTAGGCTTTTTACTCGCTGCTTTAGGTGTCAAGAGAAAGCGGAGCAGCAGTGTTAAATACTACCTGGGTACTGCACAAGGCTGAGGCGCAGCGCTCGCAAACGCACACATACTGCGGTCGAGACTCAGCTGTGATTACATGCATTGCATGCCGTGCTTGGCTTAAAGAGTGTACTTAACAAGCCCATTTTACATGAGCGTAGCAGCAGCGGCGACGTACGCGTTGGTACGAATCATCGACGAGGGAATTCCAGTGCACTATAAAAGTATTCGGGGGCAGCTGAAATGATACTCGTATATCTGGATAGGCGCTAGGCTTGTGTTGCTGACATGCGCCAGGAACCGGCTGCAGGTTGTCTCGTTGTTGGCAACAAAGGCTGGTTTAATTTCCTTGCCGCATATGCACCTCACCTATCAGAATGATCTTCGTAAGCGCCGAAAATTGATCGCAATGTCTAAGAAGTTGAATGGACGAAAATTTCAAGCCCCGCTGAGATCAAATGTCAGCCTGGCGGCAATGGAAGCGGGGTGATAACGTGACTTGAGACCGAAGGCGTAACCAGCCAATCTGAACGCCCTGCAAGTTAACATCTCACTTTTCTAGATAAGGATGAATCCAATCGAATACAAGAGTGAGTACAGATCAGGCCGTGGTTGCAGAGGCTAAGTCCAGGCTGCAGTGACGGCGAGATTCGCGCCCACCAAGGCTGTCACGACAAGCGAACGTGGAACCCAGCGATCGCGGACTTTCCAGCCAATCCGATATCATAATTGTTGGATAGGGTGCAAAAGTGTGGAAGTGTTGTGATGGACTCGGTCACGTGACTCTCTATTCCAAAGGTACCTAGTATCAAGAACGGAAATAAGGTGTGTTCACGTTGCCAACTCAAATGCCAGAGAAGTAACATCGTCTGAGTTCAAACTCCAACAGAAGAAGGAGAGATCGCCAAGATCATCCGCGAAGAGACCCAGCAGCTGCTAAACAAGATCAGTTTGCAATTGACTTCAACACAGCTGACACGTTTTTCCGTTATGAGAAATGCACTTATTGTCTGCAGATGATGAAGGTATTAGATGCATGATCTGCGTTGCTGTTTGAACAGGGCACCAAGCATATTGAGAGCGAGGATATGGGGGACCAGCCTACGCCAACCAGCTCAACCAGAACGACTCAACCCAGACAATAACCAGAACAATAAGAAATGAGAGTATAAGCAGCCGCACATGAAGTAGTTACTCCAACGAATGGATGGATTCAGCCCCTTATTTACGCACTTACGCAACTACTTATATCTTCTAGCCTTCCATAGGAAGGCGTGATGGTAAGTATCTAGACATGTACACGAACACAAGTATAGCAGTTGCTTGACTTAGTCTAGGTCTTCTGCGCAACGTCTATGAATCAGAATCAGACAATAATAAAAGCTCAAAACAAACAGATAGCCTGGAGATACAAGTACATTCAACTGTCGATATCCCCACCTGTGCACCAAGCCCCGAAGCCCGAAGCAGCAAAAAAACACAAAAATCCCACCAAGGCGTTTACATTAGAAACAAACGCACGACTACATACCGCCACCTCGCCTGCTTACTATTACACCATTCCAATACAGCTCTTAGAACACCAGAAAGACAAAAACCTCCACCTGGACACATCCAACACAGCCAGCCACAAAACCCATATCAACGCCCCACCTCGCGAACACACAACCCCACACACCCAACCCCAGGACCCAAGTAACCGGTTTCAACCCTCCAAGTCCTCACACAGCTCACCTCGCAAACCCTGACGCCGCATCCCAGTACACGACATCACCCGCGAGCTGGCGCGGTATCCACAGATTCACCGATCAGATGAAGTGACTCACTGACGACTCGCCACCGACTCCGTATAGTAATGCTGGTGTCAATGCCGATGTGCGGATGTGCGGTGGAATATATCTGTGGTTTTGAGGGATCCTGGTGATCGACGGAGCGAGGCGATAGAAGTGAAAGGGGGGGCGGGCAGAGTACTAAGCCAGTCAAGAAAAGGCAGGAAAAGGCAGGAAAAGGCAGAAAAAGGCAGAAAAAGGCAGGGAAGAACGGAGAGCGAGGGGATGTGCGCAACGTCATGGTATATCAACACCTCTCATCTCGAAATCTGCGAATCTCTACACCCTCGACACGACGCGACAAGTCCGGTATCTAGACCACCTTTACGTCCAGGCATCCACCGCCCTACACACTAAATGTGCTAAATTTGCTATATAACCCAAATATCCCGTAAATCAGAGATACCCCACAGCGCCCAAAAAACGCCTGCCGCCAAACCCCACCACACCTCACCACACCTCGCCTCAGCCCAACCACGCTCCTAGCACCGCAATTCTACACGTCCCGCGCACTCCCCTCCACAGGCCGTCTCTGCACGCCCGAGTACCCCCCCTGTCCCGTCCCCTGCGGCGTAAACGCCTGATACACGTTCTGCCCCGGATACGCCGCGGGCGAGGTAGTCTGTGCGCGCGGCGGGGGATCATACGCGTTGCCTGCGGCGTAGCTGGGCGCGGGCGAATCATACGGCTGCGCGGGCGAGCGCGCGGGGGCGGGGGCGTAGGCGTAGGGGTTTGGGTTGGCGGTGGTGTGGTAGCTGGGGGGCGCGGGGGAGTTGTAGCGCTCGTGTGGCGCGGGGGAGGCGTATCTATCCTGCGGCGTGGGAGAATTGTAGCGGTCCTGCGGCGCGGCGTACTGCGCGTACCCATCCGCCTGGCTGTACTGCGACTGCGACTGCGCGGGCGACGGCCCGCGGTTGTACGTCGCCGCGTAGCCGTCTGCGGTGCTGTGCGCAGGCGACGTGTTCGCGTACTGGTTGCGCGGTGCGTATGCATCGGGGGATCCACGCATCGCACCGGCACCAAGTCCGCCCGCGGCGCCGGCTGCAAACGCACCGCCCACCGCCGACCCCGGCACACTCCCATTGTGGTTCAACCGATCCAACTCCACCCCGCCCTTCTCGCCCACCGGCTCCTCGACCTCGACGCGCACACTCCTCGCCGTATCCCAGCTCGGCATCGCGGGCAGCGCGTCCTCGTTGGCGGGCTTGTGCGCGTCGAAGGTCGCGAACTGCGGTCTCTCGGGCGACGGCGCGCGCGCGAACAGCGGATTGACTTGCGGGTTGAAGCTCGGGTTCGAGGGGGCGCGGGCCAGCGACGGCGCGGGGTGCGACTGGTACTGCGTACTAATCTGCGGTGGCGGGGGCGGGGGCGCGAACGAGCGCGCCTCGGCGTAGGGGTTGTTTTGGGCGTAGGCGGCCTGGGGGTAGGGCTGCTGCGGGTAGGGCTGTTGGGGATACGGCTGTGGGTAGCCCTGGGCGTCGCTTTTCATGCGGCGGTGCCCCGAGGAGCTGGGGCCACAGCAGCAGGTGCAGCATTTGCAGCAGCAGAGGGCGCACTCGGCGCCGCAGCAGATGCAGCGCGCGATGCAGGTGACGATGCTGATGGCGATGAGGCCACCGAGGATGATGGCGACGATGACGGGCCATCTGTGAGGCGTGAGCGGTGCGGTGAGGGGCGGGTGGCTATACAGACTTGCAGTAGTCCTTTGCCATGCAGTTATCCCATGACGAGAGGGTGAGTTTGGCGTCCGCGAAGGGATCGCGCGGCGCGAGCGTGAAGCCGGGCTGCATCGTGCAGGCGACCCGTCGTCGTGCGGTGTCGTGCTACGTGTGGCGGCCGGCGGATCGAGATGGCCGTTGTTGTGCGACGAGCGAGTCCAGAGTAATCGAGTCCAGGGCAATCGAATCCAGAGTTCCACCAAACCGTTCACCGTAAGTGTTCACGCATCACCCAAGCCCAGCGGACGGCGTAGCAGACAGCGTAGCGGCAGCAAGAAGCGAGCGACAGTCATGCACCGTCACGCCTCGCAGATGACGGCCGCGCAGGGATGCCGGTGATCAAGATCAAACGCGTGCCGCACCACCGAAGCACGGGCGGCCGCTCGCCAGTCCATTGCCAGGGGCACGCCTGCCAGGGGCTCGCGGTTGGTCGTTCCGTTAAGGTTGCCGCGAGCGTTGCGTGGCCGGGGGGCGCAGCACTAGCGCGGCGAGGGATACGAGGGCACCGCGGATACGATCGTGTACATACAATTCGCGTATCCTGCTCCAAGATGCACTTTGACGTCGTGAGGTACGTATGCCCGCATGCACTATCGCGAGCGCAAGGCAGACTTGGGGCTTCACGAGTCGCTGTGACGGTGTTCGCGTGCGGATTGCTGGTGCGCAAGAGTTTTATTCGGGGTTTTGGTAAGGACTGAGCACCGCATTCGTCTGATCAAAGCAGATGCACGGTAGCAACCGTCCGAGATGAGGACGCTGAGCAATCGCATTTGCGCTGGTGTTGCGTGGACAGTTATGCAGGCCCACGTTGGCAGGTCCACCGCACTGCAGATAGCTCGGCCTTGGTAAACATGCCAAACTGTGCGAAACGTAAACAGTCCTGCACGTTCCTTGGAATATTTACAGTAAATTTCCTCATCCCAAGACCTGCACACGCCACCTAGTACACCCAATACCGATTTCTCCACATCACACTGTGCAATTCCCATCCCAGCACCTACCTAGATAGTCGACGGCATCCCGTCTTCTGCCCATGGAAAAGACCTGATCGTGGAGTCGACTGTGAACCTGTGACATGCATCCCATCCAGTGGCCATCACCTGGTTCATCTTGTGATTGATGTCGGCGTTTGCTTGTCTCTTGGATTCATGGTAGTTCAGCAGACCTCTTGGTGTTTTGAGAATGAGGAGATGAGGTTGTTGGATATCTGTATTCCAGAGTTGTACTGGATATCTGCACTGCGGTTTTGAATTGGAAAGTAGTGTTCGATATTCGTGTGCCGATTCGAGTTGGTGGTTTGGGTTGGTGGTTTGTGTGGTTGTGGTGTTGATGCACACTTCTCCCCCAGAATTGTTAGTTGCGACTCTTGTGCCTAGTCTCGGCTGCTGGAGTCCATTCATCTTATTGTTTGCCCACAATGATAGATTCTTTGCCAAACATACGACGCTTCCTTCTTGAAATACGTGTTGGACTGCCCAATTTCTCTGGTCTTGCTGTCTTTGGTGTGGCTGTGAACGCGTGCCGGGTTTCTGAAGCCAGCAACAAGCCTTGGGCACGTCTTGATTGCCGATGTTTCCCAATGTTGTCGTATGTCGTGTTAGGGGTTTATGTGGTGTCCAAGGTGTTGCCAGTCATGTATCGGTACCTAGGTACCTAAGTTTTGATGATTTCCTAGGTGTGTTGAAGGGTTGTGTGGTCGTTGCGAATCATGCTCCCGGGGTTTTCTCCATCAACATACCGGTATGTCAAGAGTAACACTGGCTAATTGGTCCTTTTCCGTTGGTTTGGGGTGACATTGGGCTACGGCCGATGTGTGTGTGCACGGTCTCTACATGCTTCTACTGCATTTGTCGTCAGACATTACGACTTAGATAAAGAGCACCCGATTCTGGTTGTACATGGCAAGGTATTGCTGTATGCCCCGGAAGAGCCCAATCGCTATAAAGTAGATCAAGTCCCATTTCAGTCGTCGCATGCCAGATTTCCAAAGTCCGTCTCCAAATCGGAGAAATCCCCATCTTCGATATTGCAACATGCCCCGCAAAATACGAGCGCTTCCTCATCACCCACATGCTCCCCGGCGGCGTGAATCCACGCCACCAATGCCTCCGCCGTCGGTCGCGCTTGCGGCTCCAACACTAGCATCTTCAGCACCCACACCAGCACTGCATTGTCCACAAGCGCTCCTCTGATCCTCAACTCCTCCACAAACTCCGCGAGCGCTCCAAAATTCGTCCGCACAAATTTCTGCTGTGTCCCGTGTGTCTCAAAGAATTCGTCCACGGCGCCCAAACTCATACCTTTCAACACCGCCAGCATTTCCAGAAAGACGACGCCAAGACTCCAGATATCGGATCCGGTGTTACGCGGCTCATGCTGCGCGACTTCTGGCGCACAGTAGCGGGCCGTGAGCCCGTTCAGCGCGCCGTCTGTAGTGCTGCCACTTGCGTCGCTGAAGTCTAGTGACAGACCAAAGTCGGCGAACAGCACAGTGCCGTAATCGATGAGAATATTGGTGGGCTTGATATCTTTGTGGCGAATTTTGTGCTCGTGCAGGTAGGCGAGGGCGGAGACGAGGCAGCCGAAGAAGGAGCGCAATTCTGTGTAGTACGAGGTGGTGGCTTTGAGGAGATAGGTGCCTAGATGCATCTCCGCGACTGGGAGCATCAGAAAGCCGATGTACTTTGGGTCTGTATAGCTGCCGATTAGTCCGACAATATGGTGGTGGTGCTGGAGGCGCTTTAGGATTTCGATTTCATCGATCAATTGACGCATGTGCTCTTTTCTGGGTCCGCGGAAAATAGCGCTCCTGAGGACACGTTTGCGCGCGTATTCCTTATGGCTGATTGTGCTGGTAATTCTGTCTACCAACCCAAACGCTCCGTTGCCTAGAATGTTGGTAGATTTGAAGGGAAGAGGCTCGCCCTGATCGAAGTGACAGTGTTGTCCTTTCTCTACGCAGGCTGACTTTGACAGCACCAGGTGTTGGACACTAACGAAAGCTAATCGAGAGCTTTGAGGAAGGACTCCTGGGAGACTGCGTTCTGTAGCCGGTAGCCAGTAATCAGAAAACCCTACATGGAGGAGATCATTGAAGCTGCATAGTTGGTCAATGATTCGAAGTACTGTATATGTCCTTGGGGATTTGCTCCATTGTGGATAAACTCCTTTTAACAGATTCGATATCTGACCGATATCTTGATCAGAATAAGCATCACTGTCGGCATCTCGGTTGAGAAAGAATTTGCCCAATTGCTCGCCTGACGAGCCATGGGTCGGGGCCAACGGTGCAGAATCCTCAATCTTGGATAGATCAACACCGTCCGTGTACGGGACGTCTTGCTGCAGTTGCGCGGATGTATCAAGAGGAGTTCCATTGTTGTTGGCGTCCTCCAGTTGAGTGACAGCGTGACGCAGCCAGTCAAAACTGAGAATAGTCTGTTCGTGATTTTCTCCAAAAGTCTTCTTGTATCCTTCAGCAGCTTTCCTGAACATTGATTCAGCCTGACTGTACATCTTCAGTTCGAAAAGCGTGCGACCCAGCCAAAACTCATCGGAGAGTTTGCCTTCGACATGCTCTCTCTGACTTGATTCGAGCGCTTTACTTGTCTGGTGCAACACCTCTTCAGCCTCAATGTACCTTCCTTGTTCAAACAGTGCGCATCCTAGCCAGCGCAAGGTGTTGAGTGTATACTCATGTTTGTTACCAAACATTGCTTCCCAGGTTCCCGATGTTTGTTGAAATAACTCCCCAGCCTCATTGTAACATTTCAGTTTAATCAGTGTGCGTCCTAGCCAGTGCAAGTTGTCGAGTGTAGACTTATGTTTGACCCCAAACAATTCTTGATATCCCTCGGCTGCGTGTTGAAACACCTCCTTGGCCTCAGTGTAACTTTTCAGTTCAAACAGTGTGCATCCTAAAAGGTTCAAATTCTTGACTGTGCACTTGTGCTTGATCCCAAGCAATCTTTCAAATCCTTTGGCCGTCTGTTGAAACACTTTCCTAGCCTTGTCGTATTCTCGTTGATCGTAAAAAATCTCCGCTTGGAGCTGCTTGCTATCGAGCGTGGTTCGGTGGTTATTTCCTAGTGTCTTTCCGCGATACGTGACTACTTCTTGCAGTAGCTGGGATGCCTCATCATTCTTGGATTGCTTGTGGAGCGCTGCTCCCAACAAGCTTTTGGTGGTAAACATGAGCGATAAATTGTATCCATGAGGTTCCCTTCGTAAGCAAACAATAGCTTGTCGAAACCGTTTTTCAGCCTTGACGTAATTACCCTCTTGATGAAGCTGCCTCCCTTCACGGCGGAGATCGCGATAGACTATTTCCCCTCTTGACCACGGCCTCATGTTCTCGCTGTGAAGTCGTATCTGGATTTACGGACAAAACGCCAGGGTGCAGACGGCATGAGAAAGTGAAGCAGTGCAGGCTGATGCTGAGCGCCGAGGACAGAAGCGAGGCTCGCCCGATCGGGCAGCGACAACTCAGCTTGCAGGCTGGTGCGGGGTAGTCCTGCGCAGGCAAGGCTGAGCAACAGATACTAGGTAGCGCAGTAACGATATGCTACAAACAGAGAGAGACGTTTAGCCTGCGATGTAGCCACAGTGTTTCTAGTTAACGGCATACACAGTGTGATGATGCGAGATAATTTACCACCCGAACATCGGAAAAATTAAGTAGAAGCAGTGCATGTCAAGTACTCCTTGTTCGAGATCTTCGGCTGAAAAGTTAGGCCACAAGGCTGAGGCTTAGCCGCACCTTGAGGGCTGCACAGGCTGACATGGTGTGGGTCTGAAGTGAAGCATAGATGGGTAGCAACAAGGTTTGCGCAATCACAACTTATATGTCATTGTATATGATGCAGTATCTCAGGACTCATTCTCTAGAAATTGTAGTCACCGCCAGAATGTTGAGCCAAGACGTCGAGCTCTATCCGCACGCCACTGCGACACCACCCGTCCCACGCGCGACTTGCACGCCAAGAGCCTGCACAGCCTTGATAAGATGCGCAGTCATGTTTCCTAAGCTTAGAACACTATTAAATGCATTGCCAAGCTGCAAAACCTCCACAATGCGTAGCCGCCCAAGTGCCTACCAACCGCCCAACCATTCCACCACCACACGCCCACACCAGATCTACAGCCACAGCCACTAACCCACAACCACAGACTCAGACTCCACTTAGACCGTTCATAACTCCTCTCGCGCACCGCCACTAGCCTAGATTTCGTAACCGCCCATATCAGTCATATGAGTCCCCCCCCCCGAAACGTCCCACAGCACCCAGATACCCAACTTCAGAGCAAACCGTCAACCAAGAACCCTGATCCACAACAGACAGCAACGCGCATGATGACACCGCCGCGATCTAAAAAAACCAGCACTGCGATCTTAATAGCTCCAGCACAGCAGAACGCTAGACTCACCACCATGACTCGAGACCTAATACTACCTAGAAGACGCAAGACATAACATCACACAATGCATAAAAGCACTCAAACCATACCTCCCGTCTCCAAGCCATCCACCCTCAAGCCCTCAATCCCGCAATCCTCAAACCTCAAACCCTAAGCCTCAAGTTCTGGCTCCCATCCCTGATCTCGGACCCTTCACCCCTCGATCCCAGACCCCAGTACCGCTCAAGTCCACACTGGCAGACCGCAAAACCCCAGGACCTTGAAATCCGCAGGACCGCAAACCCGCGAAAGCGTGATAACCAAAAACTCAAATTCCAGACTGCCCGGAACCCAAGCGCCGCCACACATCCCACACGCGGATTCCTCGACCGCACTACTTCCACCGCGCACGTAATGCACTCTCCGCACCCTCCCCCCTGAACCGCAGAAACGCAGAAACGCAGAAACAATGCAAAATCAGTGTTGGCACGCCTGGAGAACTCCCAACGACTTGACTGCCTCCCAACGACTCGACTACATCCCAACGACTTGACGCGAGCGAGGAGACTTAGGTAGAGGGGGGAGACCAAGGGTTAGACCGATGGGGGAGACTAGCTCGCGGCCAACCTATTTTCAATGCGCACACGCTAGACGCCAGACACCAGATGCCAGATACCAGACGCCAGAAACCAGATGCCAAATACCAGACGCCAGACGTCAGACCAGACGCTAAACACTAGACGCCAGACTCCATACCAGACGCGGAACATACACCCCCCTCCCCCCTCCTCCTCCTCCTCACACGACAACAGGAAAGAGAGAAATGAATGAGAGAGAGAGAGCGAGAGCGAGAGCGAGGCAAGAGAGAGGAAAGGAAGAGAACAAAGAGAGAGAGGGGCTGGATCCTGGTGGCGCGTCTGGTGGAAGACTAGTCCCGCTGTGCTACGCCACGCGGAGGGCTGGGAGGCGGGATGGGTGGGTGGGAGGATGCGGTGGAAGGATGCGGTTGCGACGTGTGGTTGAGAGGTGTGGTCCAGAGAAAAGGAGCGAAGGGACGGGGGGCGAGGGGAGGCAGGAAGGGAAGAAGGAGTGAAAAAGAAGGAGGGATGGCAAGAAGACCCTCGAGGTTCGAAAAGCCTCCCCGAAAAAACATCTCCAAAGCACAAAACACCAGGCCCGAGAAAACCCACACAACGACCCACGAACCGCACCGCAGCTAGCGCAAGAAACCAGTGGACAATGCAAGAGAAGTCGATAATATTACAAACCCACCCCGCTCAGCTCTTAGTCCTGCTATAAACACCACCGCCACCAAGACGACCCGCCCCAGACTACTTGGAGTCGTGTCTCGACCAGTCCTCTCAAGTAGAGACAAGCGTGAATACAATCCCCTTTCAAACCCCCCTTTCAAACCCCGCAAAAGTCCCCCGTATTCCCTCCTCGCTCCCCCTGTCCACCCCCGGACCCAACCACCCAACCGCCCAACCGCCCAGACAAAGGAAACAACCCCCCTCAGCTCAACGACAAGTAACGCAACGCAACCCCCCCTCGCAACGCCGGCGATGCAGGAAACAGGATAAATGTGGTATCGTGCAATATCTAAGGGAACAGAAGAGATGGAAGGGCAGAACGAACGGGGGAGTGTGTGTGTAGTGCGCCCGCTCGTGGAGTATGTCGAATGTGGAATGTGGAATGTGGAATGTAGATGGAGTGGTAGATGTATGTAATCTGTAATGGAAGGTAGTGTGAAATGTGGGGGTATGTATGAGATGGTGTGGAAGTATGTGAGGTACCGGTGGTATGTGATATGGTTGTCGGTGTGTGTGATGATTCGGTTGTAGTATGTGATGGTGGGTAAGTATGTGTGTGATAGTATGCACAAAACAGCGTTGTGCGCGTGTGCAATGGTAAGCGTGGGTGTTTGTGATAGCGGCTGTTGATGTGGGTATGCGTGATGTGTTGTGAGTATCCGAGAGTGTGTGTGACATCACCGCTTCTCAAGCCACTTCGCAAAGCGGCCCTTGTCGCCCGCGCCCGTGGCCTCGAGATGCGTGCTCCTCTCATAGAGCTCCTATTCAGCGTCAGCGTACCATCTCCACTCACACCACTCAAAATTACTTACATCATCGTCCTTGGAGATCTTGACATCCAGAATCAGATTCCGCACCTCCTCGCACTTGTGCCACGCGGGATACGGCGTCCCCTGCGCGCGCTGAATGCCCACCACCACATCGCCCATGATATCGAACTTGCGCCAGTTGATCCTCTCCTTACCCACCACGCCCCCGGGCGGCGCCTCCTTGGCATCGCGCGCGCCAGCCGCAGCGCCGAACACACTCGTGCCGGGGTGTGGGGTGAAGCTGGGGGCGGCGGGGCGCGTGCCGACAAAGGTCGCGGAGCCCTCGGACGCGGAGACCAGGTCGCGGCGGTACAGCGGGATGTAGGGGATGCGCTCGGCGGAGGAGTTGTCCCAGGCGAGGCGGTAGGCCCAGTGGGACTTGAGCGGGCCCATAAGAATATCAAGTTTGAGGAAGTCGTGGTTGACGGCCTGGGGGACGAGGTCGCGGGTGGCGATGAGGCGGTGGACGGCGGTGCCCTTGACGCCGGCGATGACGGCGCCGAGGCAGTTGTAGTTGTTGAGTTTGCGGACTTGGCGCGCGATGCGCATCCACTTCTCCAGCATCAGGGCGCGGTGCTTGGGCTTGTCGCGCAGCAGGATGTAGTTGGTGACGAGGAAGGCGATGTGGTTGAAGTGCGCGGTCATGCGCGTGACGTTTTCGAGCTGGCGGCATTGCTTGCGGGCTTCGGTGGAGAGCGAGACGTGGCGCACGAGGTCGCGCGGCCGCACTGACGAGAACATGATCCAGTCCATGCGGGTCAGCTCTTTGGCGATGACCTGGTCGTCACAGGCCATCAGCTGGTGCCAGTGGGCTTTGCTCAGGGGTTTGAGAGGGCTGGGCTCGAGCTGGCGGGCAAGCCGCTCGTTTCGCTCGACCTGTGTCACGAGCGTGAGGGAGGACCCGAGCGACCCGTTCATCGACTTGGAGCGGGTTGTCGTGCTGCTGCGGGCGACGGACAGACTGTCAGAGCCCATCGACATGTGGCCGATGGCGCGTGTGAAGGCGTCGTCTTCAGACTCCTCATCCAAGACTGTGTTGTAGAAGGCGGGCAGCTGCTCGCTCTGAGCGCGCAGGCGGTCACTACACGCCCAATCGGTGTCGTCGTCCTCGGCCACCATCTCAAGATCGCGGGTGATCTCCATGGCCGCGACGGAAAACTCGCGGTTGGCGGATATGGTGGAGGCGAACTTGCGCATCAGCTTGCGGGTTGTGGGGTATGCAAAGTCGCCCGGGTAGTAGGCGACCCACTGGTGCAGCACGGCGAGGTAGCGCAGCTGTGCAATGACGCGGATCATGGGCATGTCCTTGTTCTTGGCCAGCTGCTCGAAGCGGCGCAGGATGCCCTCGAGCAGCTGGCCCGGGGTCCCGAAGCGGCGGTACAGGGCGAGGAAGACGGCGACGAACTTGGTGTCGTTCTTGGACATGGGCTGGGCCAGGAGGCGGTCGACCAGCTGGTCAAAGGTGTAGCCGTTCTCGTCCGACGGCTGCATGGTCATGATGCTGCGTGCCGTGTCGGAGCCGTCGGCCGAGTCATCCGAGTCGTAGGCCGGGGACTCCTCGTTGAAGAAGGTTTTGTTGACATGGCTCGGCTTGTAGCGATGGCCACGGGCGCCAAGCGAGCCCTTGCGGGAGTACTGGGAGGAAATTTCTGAGGTGGCCCGCTCGTGCTTCTTCGCCCACAGTTCCTTCTGGGTCATGGACAGGACAGCCGAGGAGTTTGCGCGGCGGCGGGACGAGGCCTGCGACCGGGGACGTCGGGCCGAGATGGCGGCCCTGATGATGACGGACAGACACAGACGGTGGGTTTCGGGCGAGGCCTCGGCGGTGGAGAAGACGCTGACGTCGCCAAGGAACGACTTGGCCTTTTGCTCGACCACGGCCGGGTCGACTTCGCGGTGGGCAGGGTGCTGGTCGCACTTGCAGGCGGCCAGCACGAACGGCAGGTGCGAGCGGGCCAGGATGTTGAGCATCTCGGGCACTCGGGCCAGGCTGCCCTCGCTGGTGACGTCGTACAGGGTCACAGCGCCGTCGATGCGCGGGGTGGCCATGTCGTGGATGGTCTCGGGCCACTTGACGTGGTGGCGGTCGCCAATCTGCACGTCGTTGAAGGACATTTCGAGGAAGCGCACGAGGTAGGGGGCGCCGTCGATGGTCCACTTGCGGGTGCAGGCGGCGGCGGCGGTCGCGTCGGGCAGGCCGAGGGCGCGGCGGATAAAGGTCGACTTGCCGGCGCCGCGCGCGCCCAGCACGGCGAAGGTCAGGTCCTGCAGGACGGGCGCGTCATCGCTCTCGGGCGACTGGTCGGGCGGGCCGTCGCCGTCGCGCGGCTGGCGGTGGGCGGCGTGGGTGGGGCTCAGCGGGCCCTCGGTGTCGGACGAGCTGTCGACATCGACATCGCTGTCGGCGGGCTCCTCGGCGGTGCTACCGACGGCCTGCGGGAAGTGGTAGCGCTGGAAGAAGGCGTCGTCGGCAATCTCGTCGCCGTCCTGGGCCTCGTACGCGCGCTCGGGCGGCACCATGGGGGCCGAGTGCGCGCGCGACTTCAGCCCTGGACGCGGGGGGGCTCCTGGAATCGCCGCCTGCAGCGACTGCGTCTTCTCTCCGCGGCGGGTGGCCGGCGCCATGGCGCGCACTGGATTGCGATGGCGGGGCACGCCCTGGGTCGCGATGGCGGTGGGCGATGGCGGGCGCGCGAGGTTCGCAGCGGTTCGCGACAGTTCGCAGTGGTTCGCAGGACTCGCAGGGTTCGCAGGGTTCGCAATGGTTCGCAGCACACGCGGGTCGCAGCAGTGCGCGGGCAGTGGGTCGCGGGCGCGGCCTCAGCGGGCAATGAGGCGGGCGACGAGGCGGACGAGGGCGTGAGACGGCCGCCCAGGCAGAGTTGCAGGCGCGCAGCTGCGGGACATTGGCGTGGGCGGGCTCTGGCGCGGATCGTTCGCGGCCGTTGCGGCGTTCACGGGCGGGGCGCGGGGCTGCACGGCGTCGGGGGCACGCAGCGAGGATGCGCCTGTCGTCACTCGGGGGCGCGTCGCTCGGGGTCGCGGTCGCAGGAGTGAAGCGGCTCGCCCAGCTGTCGCGCCCACGTCGAGCTGCTCTCCCGCGGGGCGAGCGCTAACGCACGCTTGAACCTTCGCAGCGCCGCCGCGCGTCTGTGCGCCGTGGGGCGTTGCTTCACCTCCGCCATGGGCCCAGCAGGGATGCGACGAGGTGATTCGGTGCATTGGGACGCGAGCAGCACAAACACAGATGGACACTCCCAGTCGGTCCGATCCCCTGAGACGAACCACGCTCGCATTGAGCCGACGCTGGTCAAGCAGCCTGCGCGCTTCGATCAGCGCCTCGATCGGCATCTACACTGCTACAGCTTCGCGCCGTGCGCCCTGAGATCGCCGCGTGTGATCTCGCTGAGCCTCCTGCGCCCGAGATTGGCAAGGCTCGAGTCGGTGTCCGCCAGCAGACACTGCAGCACGTGCCGCACGCCCTCCTCCCCGCCCATCGCCAGCCCGTACACATACGGCCGTCCCACCAGCACCGCCTTCGCCCCCAGCGCAATCGCCTTCAGCACGTCAGACCCCGTCCGGATCCCGCTGTCGAACAGCACCGTCAGCCCAGACCCCGTGACCTTCTCGTCGGCCCCGATCTCCGCCAGCGCGTCCAGCGACGCAATCGCCCCGTCCAGCTGCCGCCCCCCGTGGTTCGACACGATGATGCCGTCCATGCCGTGCTCGATGGCCCGGTGCGCGTCCTCGACCGTCTGAATCCCCTGTCCAAGTCAGTAAATGTAATATCGATGGTCAATCTGCGCCCACCTTCAGCACAATCGGCCCACTCCACAGCCGCCTGAGCGTCTGCAGATCGCTCCAGTCGCGATAATTGCCCGAGGCCACCAGACTCGTGAAGAACAGCGCCTTGGGAATCACACGCGCGTGGCTCAGCACCTTGGCCGCGCCAAACACGCTGCCCGGCCGCCGCACCACGCCCCACAGCTCCGCCAGCTTCTGCCCCGCCGTCCGCGTGTCCGCCGCCTGCTGCGCCGCCCACAGCCGCTGGAACTCCGGGTCTGAGAACCCCACCGCGCACCCCTGGCCCCAGATGAACGGCAGATACGCCTCGTCCAGGTCCTGCGGCCGCCACCCGATCTGGAACGTGTCCAGCGTGACCACCAGCACGCTGAACCCGTTATCCTTCGCGCGCTGCAGCAGCGACGCCGTGAACGACTCCGCCGCCGGCTTCGGCCAGTACAGCTGGAACCAGCGGTCGCCATCCCCGTTCGCCGCGGCGACTTGCTCGATACTGCGCGTCGCCGCCGTCGATAGAATCATCGGCACCCCCACCGCCCGCGCCGCCCGCGCCGTCGCCTCCTCCGCCTCCGCGTGCACAATCTCCTGCACCCCGATCGGCGCCACCAGCAGCGGACTATTATACGTCTTCCCGAACAACTCGACCGCCATGCTGCGCCGCGTCGCCTGCACCAGCATGCTGGGCCGCAGCCGGAAGCGGTCGAACGCGGCGCGGTTGGCCGCGTGCGTGGCCTCGCTGCTGGCGGCGCCGAACACGTAGAGGAAGTTGGCCAGCGGGATCGCGGCGCGCGCCGCGTTCTCCCATTCCTGCGGCTTGGTGGAGTATTGAGGTTTGCGCAGCCCCGCGTAGATGGCGCGCTGGAATTGCACGTACGCGTCGGGGTCGGGCTCGTAGTGCTGCGCCGCCGTGACAGATTTATCGGCCATAGCTAGCTAGTCTGTGTGATCCGGAACCTCGTGCTTCAAAGCCGTGCGCTGGTGCGGTAGTCCTGTGATACAGTAGTCTTGCGGATCGCCAGGTAAGTGGTGTTTGTCGCCAGCACCTGTCAGAAGGCGAGGCGTGTAGTCGCCCGCCGATCCTGATCCCGAAAGGCGGGGACGCGAGCCGAGGCTCACTGCGTCGGAACTGCGTTCCGCTGCCGCCAGCCGGAAACGTGTTTAGTCGGCGCCCTAACGTCGACGTCGTGGCTTGTGGATTGTGACGTCTGATGGTGTACTGGCCTTAAAATTGTAGTTTTTGTGTGAGTGTGTGATGATTTTGCTGTCGGTGGCTTGAGGAGAGTAGTCGTAATTCGTCACTCTTGTATAGGTCAAGTAGCATGCTACTGTAAAGGGTACGAGTGTCTTGCGCCCCAAGGACCGAGAAACCCATACGCGACGCAGACGCTGCCTGTGCCGCCGCCAGCATCGCCTGCACGGCGAGTAACACATTCCGTGGCAATCTAGCGCTGGGGCAGAGCCCGAATGTAGGATACTGCGTGTGCGAACTCTGTGCTTGGAGTACAGAGACGCACACAACCAAGTGCTGATGCTTGTAAGGGGCGGTGCTGGTGCAATGCTGTGCAGCGCTGGTGGAGATATCCGTGGCGTTGAGCCAACCCCAAACCCGCGTCCCCCGGCACTTCGAGGGAGATAAGACCGGTGGGTAGGCGATGCGAAGGGATGACCACGGTTGTTAACTGTGGAGTAGTCAAATCATATGTTCTCAAACTTCTTTCCCGAAACATCTAGGTTGTAGGGGTCCTAAAGCATTTGCTTGATTGTGCTGCTGGGGTGGATATTGGTAACTGGTTCTTGTGTGACGGCGATTGTGTCGTTGCTGTGCGTTCCAGTCGATGATCTGTTTGGAGGCACTTCGCATCTCGTTTCTCATGATCGGAGTGAGGGATTGCTGCATAGCCTTGAAGTGCTCGTCTGAGTGCTCGCGCAGGCTACGGATATGCATTGCCGATGCTTCGTGGTATAGAGTGGGCAGATGCTCGGTCCAGGCGAAAGTGCTCTGATGGTGCTTGCGTGCCTGCAAGACGGAGTCAGCGATGGCGGACATCGGTTCGTGCGTGTTGTCTACTTGGATTGCAGTTCGTGTGCCGACGCCACGTCGCACCAGCTCAGACAGTCGCCGAATCTCTCCAATTGGGATCTGGTATTGTTTGGACAGGCTTTCGTTGAACGAGGCTAGGGTCTCTTCCAGTGGTTCTGGGTATACCAGCGCAAGGGAAATCCCAGGGAGTCGATAGTCTTACAGCATAGTTCGATGGTTCAGCCCAGGAAGGCTACGTCTTGGGATAGCGTGAGCTCCTTCCGCACGGAGAAGAAGGTGTCGTCTATCTCCTTCAGGGCGGCGCCGAACTCTTCGCTAACGATTTCGCGGTTAGATGAAGCCTTCTTTTGTCAACAGCTAGATCCAGTGCACTTCAGAATGACGTACCTTCACGATGAGCTCCACAGCTCCGCATATAGGTGCAGTGTAGTACTCGCCCTGAGGCAGTATCTTCAGTATTGTCAGATGATCGTTGACCGTACCACAGATCTCGTGAAACCTCTTTTTGGTCTTGCCCAAGAACCTTTTGCCCGACTTGATCTCGTTCTGCTCTTTCAACCGCCGAATCGTAGCGTGGAGCGAAGCGAGCGAAGCCCAGCTCGTAGATTTCGAAGCGCCCATCTTTTGTTTAATTTCTGGAAACGCTTTGTGGCATTCTACGACTGTAGTTTTCAGCGCGTCTAACTTCTGTGTAAACGCTGCCACTGCTTCTGGTCTGTACAATATATATCAAGCACCGTGTACTGAGAAAGTACCTCTACATACAGCGAGGTCACTTTCAGGATCGAGGCTGCGAGCTCGCCTTGGTCTTCTACGGATCTCGTGAAAGCTTCTTGAAGCATCTGTCGGGTCTATCTGCGCTGGAGGTTCTGGAAGTTTTTTTATATGAGTTCGGTCGAAGAGTCGCGCACTACTTGGCGAACAAAGTCCGGGGGAGTATGGACTTGAAGCGTAGCAACCTTGTGGTATCGTTCTTGCGGGTAATCTAATACTGCGATGTCATCTTGTTTCGAACTACGAACCAAATTGGCACCTTGGACGAGGCAGTCTGGTCGCGCATACATGCCACCAATTACTACAACGACTTCACTGACAAGCAACGGCAACAGATCTGGAATACACATTTTGAAAAACTGGAGAAGAATCGCAAGGGAATTGTGAATCTCTGAGCCTCTTCGGTTAATTGTATGTAGAGTTGTTGAAAATGTTGACCTGGAATAGAACGGAAACTAGGAATGGTGAGCCACCATTCAAATCTAAATTGACATCAACAAAACTGTTAAAGCTTTCCAGATCGCCGTCAATCTCACCCAGACAGAGAAACGGGACGAAAGAGGATGACTTTCGGTGAAGAGAGAACACATCAAGGTAACAGTCGACTTACTCAACGATTTCAAGAAGTACATGCATGATCTACATGGAAGTACGCCTGAGAAACTCGCAAAGAGAAGGTGGATCGGATACGATGGACATCAGGCCAAACATATCTCACCCGAGGGTATAGTTTGATTTGCATTGAATGGCAACATACCCATTCATTGGTTTTCGGCGAACACAATCAATCTCTTTGGGGGTGCGAGAATGATGACAACGGGCTGCAGAACTGATCAAGCATTCTGTAGCAAATTTTAGCGATTCTTGAATTTAAGATTTGCTCGTAAAAGAAGTGATAAAGAAGTCCCACGACTATTAATCACCATTGCGAAAGAATAAAGTCGGCTAGTTTTCGCTGTAATCATTGCTTTTGCCAAATGTGTGGCGAGGGTGCTCAACATGGAAGGCACTATGCATGAGCTCAGCCAATCACGAGCGTCAAATTTGCTGTCTGCTTGAGGTGATATTTATGCTGCGCTCCCCAGTGTACTGGATAGTTTAGCATGTCAGAAAGACATCAAAATCTGACAGGACGTGAGATTCGGCTGAGTTGCGAGTGGGCATCGGCGATGATCGACACGAAGGAAGCCGAGGCTCAACTGCGTCATCGGCACCACTTTCCGACTGCGCCAACCACAAATCGGGCCCTAAACATCAACGTCGTGCGACATGTATCGTGAAGGGATCTGACGATAGATACTCGTCCGTATCTCATGTGAAGTGTAAGTTACCAACATTTGCTTGGCAAGTCCTGATGAAGCCGAGATGGAAGTGGCAGGCCTCACCGCCTTCTTGTTTTCGCCCAAACGTCCTTCGACCATGCACTTTGTAACATCTCAACTCTTCGACAGCGGCGCGAATCCAGCCCGTCTGCGCGAAAATGAGAGTAGCTGACCAGATATTATTCTTTCTTGGGACTGTAGCGACCGTACTGTCGCTCTACTACGGCTACACCAAGCAATGCACCGCGCCTAATGCCCAACAAGGTCACACCGGATACTTCGAATATGAATGTGCAGGCAAACCTCACCACTCGAGCTGGACCAGCTGGTGGCATCCTCAACGCAGCGAAGGTAGTATCTCCGAGCGAAACCAGGGCGCAGGCACTACAACCAAAGACTGGAACATCCTCTACCATCTCGGCGGCAACGGCCCCTGGGTAGAAAAGCTCATCGACCTCGCCGAACCTAGTATTGCAGTTCCTCCTGGCTGCCAAGTCTCGCAAGTCCACATGATGTCCCGCCACGCAGAACGCTACCCCACGAAGACCGCTGGACGCAACCAACGCGCCGTCGTCGACAAAATGAGAAACAGCAACATATCCTTCACCGGCGCTCTTGCCTTCTTCGACTCCTGGAAACTATTCTGGGCGAACGATACCAGCCTCGAGCACCTCACCACCACGGGCCCGTTCGCAGGCCGTCTCGGCGCGTTCACCACCGGCGTGCGCCTGCGCACGCGCTACTCCTCGCTCCTCTCGCGCGCGCTTGCCCAAAACGCAACGAACTACTGGGCCAGCGACTCACCCCGCGTTATCGACACCGCGCGCTACTTCGCTGCCGGCTTCTACGGGCTCGACGCGCGCCCGCACCTACACGTGATCCCAGAGACGCCGGATCGCGGCGCCGACACGCTGACGCCGGGCCGCACGTGCCCCCGGAATCTCGCTGATAAGCAGGAAGGGAAGGCGAAGGGGTACCGGCTCATGGCCGAGTACCAGCAGACCTACCTACCGCCCATTGCCGCGCGCCTGTCCTCCCAACACGGTCTGGATCTCTCAAGCAAGGATGTGTGGGCGATGCAAGAACTGTGCGGATTTGAGACGACGGTACGCGGGGGGAGCGAGTGGTGTGAGGTGTTTACGCAAGAAGAGTTCTTGGCGTTCGAGTATGCGAGAGACCTGCTGCATTTTTATCGTGCGGGGCCGGGACAGCGATACGCCGCATCCATGGGGTCGTTGTGGGTTGATGCTACGGCAGAGTTGATGCGGCGAGGGCAGGGAGCTGGGGCGCTGTTTTTCAGTTTGTGAGTCGTCTTTTCTTTGAAACTTGTCTGCGTTCTGGAGGGGAAAGGAGGGAAGGGGTGAGAAGTGAGAGTGGGATTGGCCCTAGTGCTGGACGTTAACTGACATAAACATAGTGTCCACGATGGCGACATAGCCCCCATGATCACCGCGCTCGACGTCATCAACGACGACGAACTTTTGCCCACGACACACATCAATCACAATCGCAAATGGCGCAAGTCACAGGTCTCGCCCATGGGCGGGCGGGTGATCTTAGAGGTTCTGGAGTGTGGGGATACTGCCATCAACCTAGACAACGGCGAGAGGCGAGATGCAGATTCAAGAGATGAACAGTCGACGCTAAACAAGTTTGTGCGTCTTAACATAAACGACGGCATAACGGCCTTCCCCGACTGCCGCTCAGGGCCGGGCTCATCCTGCCCGCTGGCGCAGTTCCTTGCACGCACGAATAGGAAGAGTAGGGAAGCGGGCAGGTTTGCGGAGATCTGCGAGATGGCTGAGGGGTCTGGGGAGGTGAATGGGGAGGGCGGCATCACATTTCTGCATCAGTAAGGGTATCAAGGCAGCGAGTAAGAAAAAGCAAAAGCGAAGAGGAGTTGTAGTGTAGTAGATTCGAGAAGTTCTTTGCTGGGGTGTTTAGGAATCAGTACATTAGCAAGTGCCCTCCAAAAAATCTACATCAGTACAAATCACTACACCAAAAGTCACCTGACAGCCTAGCATCTAAGCGAGCAACACCATTTCTCTCTACGTTCTTCATCTCCTCACTCCCTCTTGTTACTTGGCAACATCACTACCTGCCGCCCACACACGGCCCCAAAGATCATCTCCCGCCGTCACTGCTGTTCCTTAAGCAACATGCCAACAACCGTCCAAGACATCCTCAAGCGAACATGGCGCCCACCTCTCAACACCACGATCCTCCCAGCTGACCACGACAAACACTACAAACCATGGGGATTTGTACTCTACCGCACATGCTACAGCCCCGCGTCTGAGCCGCAGTGGCACGCACTCCTGGCCTCCATCTCCTCGGCCGTGCTCGCTGAACTCGGCAGGTGCAGACAGCGAGGCGAAGATCCTGACGCCGTTGCTAGAGTCGAAGGCGCGTTTACGCTGGACGTGCGCTCCGACCCCACCTTACTTGACAGCCTCGCCATGGATGAAGTGTGTGCGCTCTTCCGCGCCGAAACGGGAAACTCGGTGGCGGAGATGCGCGAGCGGCTTATCCCGCATACCCTTATCTTCCTGCTGGCTGATGGAGAGGTACTAGAGAACGTTGCGGAGGGCGTGGTGAAGGTGGTGCAGGCGGCGCCGGGTGAGAATGCGGACCCGGAGGATTACTGTCAGTGGATGAGAGTGCATGCATGGGGGCTGGTGGAGATGTGGGTTCTGCTGGGGGTGTTTGAGGGCCAGTTGTTTGATTTGATGGATGATGAGGGGCCGGGGGCCTTGTGGACTGTGTAGCTGTCGGGTTCCACTGTGAGGTTTGCAAACCCCCTGGCGACGATTTTTGGTGGCGTTGGTGGTGCGTCTCCGACCTGAGCGCACACAACCCAGACTCTGCTCTGGGCGTGCTATAGGTGTTGGTGTATCACGACTGCCTGCGTTCGTGTTTACGCACCGCACCTGCTTAGACGATATGAGCATGCACGCTAGAGCGCGAACAACTCACCTCACTTCGCCTGTTCGACCGCTACTCGACATCACATCTCTTACTCACCAGTCATTATTAACCCTCACTTTACCAAGCCTCTGCTGTCTCGACAAAGCGATCATGGCCCGCAAGCGGGCTCGGAAGTCGCGAGCTCTTCGTCCATCCGCAGTACAGGGTTCACATGAAGCTCCAGCATTGCAGCCCCCACGACCAGCTTCAGAATTACGGCCTCTGCGTCACTCTCTTACTGCTCTACAAGGGTCCGATCCTGGAGGAGAAATCGCATGTGTCATAGCGCGTGGTCGGATCTTGCGATTCTTCGACAGGCGATGCGAAGGCGCGCAGACTGACGAGCACGAGCCCCAGATCGATGGCAATCTCGAGACTGACCACAGCCTTCTTCCAGACAATGCAGTCGAGGCCAACGGGAATTTACTCCGCGACGTCGCTTATTTGCACCTGTGGCTGAAAAAAAGAGCCACAATGCCTGGCTGGACAGAACGGAACCGCGAATTCTACGCCGACATCATCCAGAGAATCTACGGCGCCAGCAATTTGTTGACCGGGGGGTCTTATGATTTGGAAGCCCAATTGTGAGTTCGGCGATTGCCCATGATTGAGTGTGCTAACTCGGGCAGGCAGATGAGACATAGCCACGAGTTCCATGAACGCTTCGCCGCGTAGCTTGTTGGCGAAGGACTTCCTGCCAACGGGCCTCCCTTCGACGATACACTCGATAGCATTGTTGCGGCTCATGTTCAGGAGAACAAAGCCAGACAAGAGCAGGGTGTCATAGGTGCCGGCATGGCGTTGGTCCAGAACGCAGATATACTTGCGATCCTCAATGCGCGCGGCACGGTTCTTCTTAATGGAGCGTTTGCAGAGTACCGGGAGGCTTCCTATATCGTTCGGCTCGCAGAATTGGCCCTGGACGTCTATCACGGCCGCGTGATAGACAATGCACCTCAGTTAGTCCCCTTGATAAGAGATGACGTTCAGTCGCATATGCAGATGGTCATAACGAAGTGGGCAGAGTACATACGCCAGAGGCAGCAACACTACATCGATGTGCTCAACCACGACATCTCAGAGTGGCGGCGCTCCTGGAACAAAACCGCGATGCAGAGAGAATTAGCCCAGAACGACGAGCAACACACTAAGCTCAAGATAGAGCTGCAAGATGAGCGCGAGATGTACAACAAGCATCTCGAGACTTGGCGGCCGGAGATGTGTATGCTGATGAACAGCATCGAGAACCCAGTTGTGGAACAGTTCGCGTACCAAACAGAGTACCTGGGTAACCCGTTCCTGAGCACTTTCACCGCTGGCCGGAATACGTCGGTGTGGGAATTCCATTTCCCATGGCTTGAAAAACTTGAGAAGGATGACAAGAGGGCGTGGTTCAAGGTTTGGTAAGGTCACAGGAGACAGTGTGCGCAGACCGGGCGTTATACCCGCATGGATGCAAAATTTGTGGAATAAAATCGCATAGCACTCGGCAGCTCTCCATCACCATGACCACCGCCCAGCGCGTCGTTCCCCCAAGCCCCTGGGCACACTCAAGCTCTGTCCCGCCCCATACGTAAACACTACTAAGCGTCGTCCCGCCCAGACGACCACCCGCACCGCACTCTCCGATCTGTCGCAACATCCCGATGCGACGTTCCGGCTTACCGCACGTGGTCGCTCCGGCCGTCGATCTTCCCCAGATTCCCCGCATCTGGCGTGCACACTACGCCCCGCTAGGCCCCACTTCGTTTAGCGTCCCACGGCTGGCTGCAGATCGCGGCGCGAATGTTCTGCGGGCGATATGACCGCGTGGCGTTGGGGGAGATAGGCTGTCTGACGGGTAGATATGAATGAGGCGAGGCGGTCGGAAGAAGGCCCTTGCAGTCAAACACAGAATCACTGGGATTGTAACGCACGCAATGGCACATGCCTACGAACATAAAGATAGCAAGGCTGGCTTCAAGGGTGAGGAAGAGCGGGGTGTTGGGCATGTGGAGGATGTAAGGGCTGTGCCGCTGGGGAGAGAGGCGAAAGAGGAGGGTTCTGCGGGGGAGATTATCGAGGATCCGGCGTTAGAGAAGAGGGTGAATCGCAAGTTTGACCGACATATTCTGCCGTGGTTGTTTGGGATTTGGTGAGTTTTTTGCTGAGTTCCAGTGTGGTAATCGTGGACCACATGAGAGACATCTTCTAGCCTCGAGGGTGGAATCCGGACATCAAAGCGCCAGAGAGGAAGCTACTTCACGGTCCACTAACGCCCCCAGGCTTTTCTCCTTCATCGACCGCTCCAACATCGGCAACGCCAATATCGCTGGCCTGTCCACCGACCTCGCACTCCGCGGCACCCAGTACAACGTCGCCCTGCTCATCTTCTACATCCCCTACATCCTCGCCGACGTCCCCTCCAACTGGCTGGTCAAGCGTTTCCGCGCCGGCGTCTACTTGCCCGTCCTCATCACGCTGTGGGGCCTGGTATGCACGTTCATGGGCTTCACGACGAGCTTCGCGGGGCTGGTGGTGTGCCGTGCGCTGCTCGGGCTATTTGAGGGCGGGATTCTCGGGGGCGTGATTGTGTATCTGGCGTTTTTTTATCGCAGGGGGCAGATGTTGTTGCGCAGCGGGTTGTTCTACTGTGCGGCGCCGCTGAGTGGGGCGTTTGGGGGGTTGTTGGCGAGCGGGCTGAGCCAGATTCAGGTTGGTGATTATCGAAAGTGGCCGTGGATTTTTTTCAGTGAGTTCTTGAGTCTACTGTGTCTCGTTGATAGGAAGGGTGCTGACGAGGTGTAGTTGAGGGTGCAGTGACGGTTGTGTTTGGTATCACGTGTTTCTTCTTCATGCCGGACACGCCTTCCACGGCGAAATTTCTCAGTGCGGAAGAGAAGGATTGGGCGCTTATGCGCATGCGACTCGATGCCCACGGGGCCACTGACGTTGATGTTGACGACGAGAAGTTCGATTGGTATTGGGTGAAGATGGCACTCAAGGCACCGCAGACCTATTTCAACGGCTTCATCTGGTTCTTCCTCCTCGTGCGTCCCTCCACTTACCTTCCCGCTTACATCTATCTAACGGTTCCAGATTCCACTCTACAGCTTCTCTCTCTTCCTACCCAGCATCGTAGCAGGCATGGGTTACCACTCGACCACGGCTCAACTCCTCACCGTCCCTCCCAATATCGCTGCCTTCATCACCGTCCTCGGATGCGCATACGCCTCGGACCGGCTGCACACGCGCGGCGCCTTTATCGCCGTCGGGACGATCATCGCCGCCGCTGGCTACGCCATGCTCCTCGCCGCTCCCAACAATGGCACACGCTACGCCGGCACGTTTCTTGTCGCCATCGGCGTCTTTCAAGGCAGCCCGATGGTGATCGGCTGGACGAGCAACAATCTAGCACCGCACTACGTGCGCGCGACGGGCGTTGGGGTCGTGATCAGTATCGCAAACTGTTCGGCGTTTATCGGCACGTTTATCTATCTGAAGGATGACGCGCCCTTGTACACGCTGGGGCACAGTGTGTGTCTTGGTGCGATGGGAGCGTGCTTTGTGCTTACCCTGGCGCAGATGGCGTATCTCAGGTGGGAGAATCGGGAGAGGGAGAAGGGCGCGAGGGACGAGAGGTTGGGGGGCGAGGAGACGAGGCTGGGACATCGGCACCCTGCGTTTCGGTACACCCTATAAAAGAGGTTGAGTCACCAGCGGAAGCGAAATTACAGCGGAGATGTAGTGGTTCTGAGAGCCGGTCAGTGTTGATTAGATCTATGCAACATACGCGTGTGCGCTGGTAATCTAAGATGTGACTTCACTGAGACTGCAAGTCTGCATATTGGAGCCTATTCTGCAGAGCGAAGAGTTCTTGATGACCCACTTAGCAGAGGTAAGTGACAAGTCCCATCATTGAGATTCTGGTCGCTCACAGTCCCGCCGTGAAATCAACATGTCTTGACAGACAACTTCTGAGCGGCAGTAGTAGGTCTTACCTTTCCCCGTATGCTGCAGCAATTTACCGCAATCGGCGACTTCGGCTCCTACGCAGGCAGTAGCTCTCTCGTAAATCTTCATATTCATGCCCAAAACTGAGCAAAGATCGCCGGAAGAGCTGGATTACGTCTTCACTGTGCCAAATACAGTCCACGCAAAAGTTCAGTTGACCGAGACGCTTCCCTGGTGGGTCAACAAGTATATCTTTTGGAGGAAGAACACAGTTGAGCCGGAGTTGTATTACTTCGAAGGTCAGCAGGAGTGAACACACTATCAATGATCGAAGGAGAAGAGAAGCACTAGCATGATGTACATTGCAAAGACAGGCTTCTCATCACGAGGTTGGAGATGTATCAGTCCATACGAAGACAGCCAATTAAGAATTTGTAGCACATGTATATAACGCAACCTTTGAGCTGTAGAAAAACAATCAGTCCGTATATATTCTCGGTATTGCTATCAGAACATAGACATCACATGTACGTCGCCTGTCATAGCTAATTACGGACATAATCCAATCGCTGTATCAGTTGGTCAAGACAGTTCCTGAATCTCTCGAGCAACGCGTTCACCACTGCGGATGGCACCATCCATGTAACCTGTCCAGTACTCGCTTGTTTCAGTGCCTGCAAAGTGTAGTCCACCAACACTCTGACGTAGAGCGCTGCCATATTTTGACAAGACGTTCGGTGGGGCGATTGCAGTCGGACCACCCATAGACCATTCCTGCAGGTCCCAGCGGAATAAGACGAATTCTGTCACATTCTGTGCGTTACCGCCAAAGTACCGGACATAGTCAGATAAGATTCGTGCTCGCCCGACCTCCACAGGGAGTTTGTCTATTTCGCGCGTCTCGTCGCCGAGAATGAAGCCCAAGATCGCGCCGAAGGAAGCATCGTCTGGAGTGCTGTCGAAGGTGACTCGCACGGAACCGGTGTCTGAGGTGACCTGAGCGCTAACATTCTCTTGACTGCGCCAGAAAGGAGTATTGTACACCGCGATACCCTTTCCTATGGCCCCCATCTTGGTATTTTGGTTTAAGCGCTGTCGAGTAACTGGGAGCGGAGGCTCAAAAGCAATTTTGCGGAGCAGTGGAGGAGATATAGCCAGAACCACATTCTTGGCTAAGACAACTCCACTGCGAGAGACAACCTTGTAGCCCTTATTGTCCTTCGAAATCTTAACGACGGGAGAGTTGAGTATGATGTGTTCGAAGCCTACAGTCTCTGCGAGACGTTCGGGAATAAGCCCTGTCCCACCCACGACACGCGACTCTTGTGCACCACCTTCGACTGCGATTAATCTGCTCAAAGATCCAGGAGTTGTCTCATTCCCGGCTGCTGCAATGTACGCAATGACATATAAAAGCGATATCTCTCGGGGTTCGACGGAGAACAGAGCCTTACAAGCCGTGGTCAGCACGAACCTGGCATCCGAATGAGCGGCATAGTCGTCCAAGAATCTATCGAAGGTTTGGTTGTCCCAGTTCAATGCCTGAGGATGTGTCCATGGAGAGCTGGTGTTAACTTCTGCTGCCCAGGTATCCAGTCGTGCCTGCGCAGTTGCGATTTGTATGAGAGCCGACTCGTCGACTGGGGGCGCACCTCCAAGCGCGGGGTCCGGACTGAACAGGATACGAGTGTCGTTGCGCCAAACCACCGAAAGTCCCGCGTCGTAGGTGTCAAAGGTTTTGAGTCCCAACTCAGCGATCATGCTGAGCACTTTATCCTGAGTTGGTCCAACAAACTCGGCGCCTACTTCGGTGACACCGCCATTGGCAAGTGGTTGATTGTAGACCTTGCCACCCACGCGGTCTCTAGCTTCTAGCACTACTACAGACTTCCCGCTTCGAATGAGATTTCGAGCGGCTGTAAGACCAGCCAATCCTGCACCCACAACTGCTACATCGACAGAATCGGGTACAACTGTAGAGGTGACGAAAGATATCGCCTGAAATGGGGACATGAGCAGCAATGCTGCCGGTTTGAGGATGTACATGATAGCGAGCGTTGAGAGATTTCTGAAGAAAGATGTAGAATATGATTGTGGTCGTCAAAGGGTGGCGCATGACTTGAGTTTTATAGCTGACAGGCTGACGCTCCCACAGCAATTCCACACTCAAGGGTTGTCAGCCTCGGCGGCCTCACTGCGGGGCGAACAAAAGTACCGCACATATCAGTTGGAGAGGATCTGCAGTATACCTTCTACATCCGGTATTTCCTCTCAACATTGCATCGCAGTGTAGGTCAGTGTGAGGAGCGCATTGATCCACGGACTTCCGGAGACGAGTCACCTGGAAAGCCCGGTGGCTGTGACGAGAGATGGCAATGAGATCGGAACGCCAAGAGATCCGAACTTGCCCGACCCAGCCTATCAGGTGCCCACGCCTGATCAACGTCTCCGTACAACCGGGAAGGTTCCTAGAAATTAGTTTGAAAGGTTTAAGAGAGTACCTACGTATCGAGGACATTCGAAACCGCGCGTCGTTGTGAGGAAGCCACCAGCTAGGCATGCAACTACCTAGGTAGCCGGGAGGTACCCAGGTATTCGCACAATTCCAAGTCCACCCGAAGCTCGCTATCTGGTGAACAGCATGATCCCGCCTCTTTCATCTGCTTTTTTGCCTGCTTTTATGACAAAGCCGGCCTTGCCATCAAAGCCGCGATTTACTTCACCACATAGTACCCTAGCACAAGACCCAAAGCCCTGCGATTTGGCTTCTTTAGCCCCCTACAGTGCCAATCGCTTGCCTACACTTCTACTTTGATAATCAGGGCCAATTCCACAGACATGAAAATCCCAATACTCAGCGCGATCGCCAGTCTACTCCTTCTGGGTTGGTGACACGAAGTCGGTCTTGTTAACACCACTTGGTTCGCAACAAGTTCAGGTCTCTCTCAACACGACCGGATCGAAGGCTGGTGCCACCGGTTTGACTTGCATAACGCTGGTAATTGACGTCTCCGAGTGTATCGCATCATGGCGACCAACTTGCGGCAGCTGTTCGGCTGCGTTCGGGACCGTGGAATTCCTTTCTCGATCTCTTTGAGTCAGGTAAGATAAATCAAACCATGGTCGTGAGTATGATGGCTGACAACGCCAGGTTTCGCCACGATTGGTGTACCGCTCAACGTATCATACGTGACAATTTTTGCTTGTCCGAGCGCTGTCATTGATCACTCTACTGTAGGCTCTGCCGTGACGTTCCAGCAGGTCTGTGCTCTGTGCATTTCTGCAATGTTGACGACTTACATGGTATCGCCCTCTTGTGTCGCTCTGAAGAGGGTACGTGGGAAGCCGATGCTGCCCTCCAAGCTCAATTTGGGTAGATGGGGCTTGCCGATAAATGTCATGCGATCATCGCAGAACTGTCCATGCGGCTTTTATGGATCGTCGTCTTCTTTCCAACGGTCTCCAATCCATCACCCGCTGACATTAACTGGGCAGTATTAGGATACAGATTGGCTATCATCTTCGCTTTGGTTTACTGCGCACTGAGTGGCCGGCACACCTGTCCTGGACCAGTTGAATATGTCCGCAAGGACGCATAGATCTCAGATGACATATCGAGACTATCAAACCTTTTTTCTAGATAGTGTCAACAAAGAGCTGCTGACTGTCGGCAAACACCGGTTTTATAGAAATATGAACGACAGATCCATGAGCCATTTACCACGACTTGTATAATAAAGTGTGCTGTTCACAACGAGAAGTGAATGTACAACGCTTGCAATTTGAATCTTCTACAGCAACTTGAGCAAAGAGGGCTCAAAAAAGTAATATCTACACTGAAACGTCTGACAAGCCGACCATGCTACGCATATTCCCGTTTGCCATCAGTGACGACCTATTTCTTCAGCGTCAAGACACCAGGTCGGTAAGGAATCAAGTTGTAGTTGCTTGCGGTGACCTTAGGATCGTGGCCCTGGTAGAGCAGCTGCAGATTGCAAGCATCAACAGTGAACGTTTGATCCGGGTTAGCACGGTACAGATCGCCGTGGCTGATATCGTTGGTCCAGGTAGCACCGCTGTTCGCCTTGCCGGCAAATGGGTTGGACTCGGACGCTGCCTGAGGTGTCCACGCACCATCGAGCTTGGTCGCTGTGAAACTGCGGAAGTAGCGGCCGTTGGCGCCGATGGCTTCTACCAACATGAGGTATTTGGCGCCTGAGGTTGCTCCGGCCAGGGTGTAGACTTGAACGGCTTCGAACAGATTCTCTCGGCTGTCCGTCATGACGACAGTGCTGGCAGTGCCAAAGTCGCCGGGGAAATTGCCAATAGGCATGCTAGCGCGATAGATCTTGCCGTTGTCGCCAGCGAAGAAGAGATACATGTTGCTCGCATCACCGATGACAGTCTGATCGATAGCACCAGTGTCTGAACCGGTGATCTTGCCCGAGAACAGGGGCTGGGCGGTGCTCCAGCCGTTGCCGTTTGACGGATCGCTGTTGGTGCGGTAGGAGAAGGTGGTGGGACCCCACTGGTGGGCAAGGATCCAAACCTTCTTGGGGGCGAAATAGAAGAGCGTGGGCGCGACTGCTCCGATGTTTTGGGTGGTTTGGCTGGCAGAGGGCAGATCTGACAAGTTGTTGACGAGGCCGAAGTTCATGGAGCCATAATTCCCGGCTGTATCAACCCTCGAGCCGTACACAAGCTTCTTGCCGTTGTACTCGACAGTGGTGAAGTCCTTGACAGACACCCAGCCAGACTTGGGAGTGGCCAAAGGCCCAGTCGATGTCCACTTGTAGGAAGAAGGAAGGCTGCAGGCAGCCTGGCTGGTGGCAGCCGATGCCAGCAGTACTGACAGGACGCTGGTGAGATACATTGTGATCGAGGAGCTCTGAAAAGGATCGTGGGATCGTTTAAAGGAATTGTAGATGATGGTCGCAGCAATGATCAGCGCACGAGAACGAGGATATATGTTTGCGCCATCGTTCCGCTTCTCAAAGCTTAGACACCTCAAGCACTTGCCTTTTCCTCTACGAGGCACACATTTGGTGCTCCCACCGGCAAAAGGAGGTCGAGAGCACCGATAGACGAGCGATGCTAAACCTGAAACATTGCGCACAGACCGAAGCGGGGAAACAAATAGCTAATTGAGCAGCGGATGCACATAGCTGGGTATGAAGGGCGAGAGCTCATTGATGCGCAAGGCAGGCCGAGGTGGAGCTTCTGGCTGGACTCGTGTATCTCATCTCGTGTAGCCCCGTGGTGGGGAACTAGTCGCAGAACAAGCCACCACTTGACCCAATGTGTCATTGAAGCCCTCTATGCTAGGCCATGGCTTGGCATCATGAATTCCTTAAGTCGATGTGGCAGAGGCTGTTATTGGTGTAGGTGTGGCGCATTACTTACGAATCGGTAGAAGTCAATATGGCGTCTCTGCCGAACGATGTTCGGATATCTTGCCGACATGATACAATGAACGTTTGGCATGTCATATTTGCTTGGTTATTAACGGCTGCACGAGCCACTTCATTTAATTTGTCTATTTTACCGGCTATACGAAGTACGTTGTGGTGTTAGGTTTGTTTGTCCAAAAGAGGCCGTTGAGCCAACTCTATCGCTGGATCTTGACCAATTCGAGACTTTGCTGTAGTCACGTCAGCGCAAATTTAGATTTCGCTGATATTGCCCTTGGAAGGATGAGATGCACGTGTAGAAAGGCAAGGACATAGTTTGTTCTTCACGTGGTGTTCCTCCCGTCTCGTTTCAAGTATACGCGGAGCTGTCCGCATCATGCATGCATGTTCCTCGTTTCTAGGTAGTGAAGGCGCCCAAGCCATGATTTCGTCTCGCTACACGACCACCATAGTACTGCGCCAACCCCAAGCAGCGACTTGACGAGAGAATTAAGCAGCAACGAGCGCATGCGAATTTGTAATCTCATAATGACAACTTGGCTGCACGAAACTTGTCCAAGCTCATGCGGGACCCACAGAAGAAAAGCTTAGTACGACCAAGGACGCTAGTATGAACGCGCACGCGGAGGCTACCTAGGTGGTATCCTCAGAATGCTTAAAGAGAGGCTGTTTGCGCATTCCACTATGTCTGCGGTTCGAACAACATGCTCTCTGGCCTATAGCGGACGGTAGCGGGTGAAGAAGCGCTATACCGCACCAAGCGCGCCTTGAGGCGACTCGGTGTCCATGGTTCTGAGGGACGATAGCGAGATCTAGAGCGGTGCCCAACGGCCGATTGGCTGTAGATGATTGTTACAGAACCATCAGCGAAATCCGTATTGCGAGTGTTGCGAGTGTTGCGGTCCTGACTTCCGTAATCGAGAAAAGCTCGAATCTTTGGCGAATTCGACGGCAACCAAGGACCCTATGTCTTGCTCTCAATACAGGCACTCACCGTGTTTACATCAGACTCTATGGCGCCTCCTCACGACATCTTAATCTCATATCACCGCTTGACGCTCAGCTTAGTATCCATGCTTTTCAAATTCTGCCTCGGTCCACTCCCACAGCTTTTTCTGCAGACCCCGATCCTTCGCATTCGCGCTTCCCTTACTCTCCACACCGACTGGCTTATAGTATGCACCATTCACCAATTCACTCTTATCCGCAATCGCCGCCCACGTCTGATTCATAGCACCGCCTGCAGTACTTCGGTAATGTCCTGGAAGCAGGGGAAACAGTAGACCGTAGATCCAGAGGCCTGCCTTGAGAAAGACATTTGCGCGCACAGATGAGAACAAGTCGGTGAAAATCACGCCGGGGTGGATGCTGACAGACGTGATCTGGGGATGACGCTCCGCTAACTCGCGCGCGAAGAGCAGGTTGCTCAGTTTTGATTGTCCGTAGCGCTTCCAGGTGCCCTGTTGCTCCAGCTTCTGCTGGTCGAAGATCAAGCCACCGGGGACGTTGACAGCGTGGCCTGTACTGCTGAGTGTGACGACGCGGGCGTCCCCGTACTCTGATGCGGTGCGAAGTAGCGTTGGCAGAAGCAGCTTCGTCAGCAGCGCGTGGCCCATGTGATTTGTGCCGAATTGAACTTCATAATCTTCTTTTGTTGTGCTATAGGGACATGCCATGATGCCTGCGTTGTTGATGAGAATGTCCAGGCGGGTCTCCGCGCGCTGGAACGTGGCTGCTGCTTCGGTAATGTCTGAGAACGAGGTGAGGTCGAGAGGGAGGTGGACAATGTCACAACAGCCTGGAACAGAGCTCCGGATGTCTGATATAGCCGCGGCGGCTTTCGAGGCGCTGCGGGCAGCAAGATAGATTCGGTGAGGATTGTGGGCGCAGAGGTTAGTTATCGTTTGTTTGCCTAAGCCGGCATTGCCTAATATGGGTCAGCCGAAGGGTGTACAATTGGGTGGAGGCTGCATACCACCGGTCACAAGAATCACTTTGCCATCTAGGGGGCCAATGTCTTTGGCGGGATCGAATGCGACACCCATACCGACGCTTGTGAGTGTGTCTGTTATTTCTGGAACGATGAAGCCGAGCACAAGAAGAATGACAGTATGTATGAACTCGTGGACCTGGCGCAGCCGGTGCGACAACAAAGCAGACAGGGACTGGTAATGCGACGGGGCTGAAGATGTAGCCATAGTTGGAAGGACCTGTTCGGACCTAAAACAGCGCGAGTCGTGACGGTGTGTGCACAGCGCACAGACCAATTACGATGACGACCTCGGTACTTTGTACTTCACACTTTCTAAATCGCGTATGGTGATATGATATGGACGCGTTTTACCATATACCCTAGGTGAATATGCGTAAATCTTGGAACATCTTCGCTAATAATCACGCATGTTCGTGAAGCTCCAAACTTGATATGCGCCAAGGATCTGTTGTGATGGTTGGTGATGTGGGGGAAATTTCCACCGGAGTGGCACGTTTACCCCACACCATTCTGGAGTCGACAACAACGGTGGGGTAATTCTCGCCGCTAAACCCCCGTGCTCGTAGGCGAGGGAGTGATACATACCTACTTCGGAGGGAAGCAGAATTTCTGCAACCTCCAGCACATACCTTCCAAATCCAGAGTCTCACATCGACCTTTCTGTCCAGGAGCTTCTCTGCGATCTCAGCGTGATTCAGCGGGGTCGTCGATCTCCTCTCCATACTCAGGTTGAATCTTCACGTCATGCTCCCGACTACTTTCGTGTCAAATGCGCCGGCTGCCGGTGCTTTGGCGCTGGACAATGTACCCATTGTCATCGACCGCGAAGACTTTGAGGGCGTTCGTATTGCAGCCGCGACACTGGCTAAAGATATCGCGAGCGTGACTGGGGCGGAGGCGCCTACCGTCACCTCAGATCAATGCTCATCACCATGTGTCATCATCGTTGGCAGCATCCAGAGATCCAACCTAGTTCAAGATTTAGCGTCACATGGGAGTATAAACGTCGACAATGTTGCGGGTAATTGGGAAACTTGGTGTACGGCACTCGTGGATGCGCCATGGGACGGGTGTGCGAAGGCCTTGGTGATTTACGGAAGTGACAAGCGAGGCACTATCTTTGGAATTTATTCGTTGTCTGAGCAAATTGGTGTTTCTCCGTAAGTTTGGTCAGCGAAGTTGACATGCGCACTCAGTGCTAAGAGACCTGTAGTTGGTATTGGTGGGCAGATGTGCCAGTGAAGAAAAGCCGGTCTATCTATGCGCTAGACGTCAAAACGATGCAAGGTCCGCCGTCAGTCAAGTACCGCGGTATCTTCATCAATGATGAAGCACCCGCGCTATCAGCGTGGGTACACGAGAAGTACGGCCAAAAGTACAACTCAGAGTTCTACAAGCGCGTCTTCGAACTGCTGCTCCGGCTAAAAGCAAACTTTCTCTGGCCTGCGATGTGGTTTGGCTATCCACATCCGGGAAATTCTTTCTTCGTTGATGATCCCTTAAATCAGGAACTTGCTGACACGTACGGAATCGTAATGTCTACATCGCATCACGAGCCGATGCAGCGTGCGATGAATGAGTGGTTTGATGAGCCGTACAACGAGCCAGAGCAAAGTTGGAACTGGATAAAGAACAAGGAGAAGATTACCAAGTATTTTGCTGAAGGGGCGCAACGGGCCTCCAACTTCGAGAGTGTGATCACGATTGGTATGCGAGGTGATGGCGACCGCGAAATGGATGTCAAAAACCCACAAGAAGTATTGAGAGACGTCTTGTCGACGCAAAGGCGCATCCTTGGTGACGTGTACCAAAGAGAAGACGCAGTACCGCAATTGATCGCGTTATATAAGGAAGTGCAGGAATATTATGAGAATGGCCTCGAGATTCCGGAGGACGTAACACTACTTTTTGCAGATGACAACTTCGGCACGATTCGCCGGCTCCCGACCGAATCAGAGAGAATGCGAAAAGGCGGTGCAGGGGTATACTATCACCTCGAATACGTTGGAGAACCGCGAAGCTACAAATGGCTAAACAGCAACTCTCTTGCCAAAGTTTGGCAACAGCTAGACCAAGCAAAGCGCCGTGGTGCAGACCGCATTTGGATCTTCAATGTTGGGGACATCAAACCGCTCGAAGTGGCACTGAGCTTCGTCATGTCATTGGCGTGGGATACGCATGCTATGGCCCTTGGCGACCTACCAGCCTTCCTCGAACCATTCACCGCTCGTACCTTTGGGAGCGATCTAGCATTGCCCTGTACAGACCTCTTGCTCAAGTACGATAAATTGATTGCGCCCCGAAAACATGAACATGTTGAGCCAGAGACATTTTCGCTCATCAACTACTCGGAAGCGAATAACATCCTGTCAAGCTGGGAAGCACTGCTCAAGGACGCCGAATCCCTCTACACTCAGTTGTTGCCCGAGACCAGACCGTCATTCTTTCAACTCGTTCTACATCCCATCAAAGCAACGCATATCTACATGTCACTCCAAATCTGTCGCGGGAAGAATGCGCTCTACGCGAAACAACGACGCAATACGGCAAATACGTTTTTCGACAAGTCGGTCGCCCTCTTCAAAGCTGATTTCCAGCTATCACAGGAATACCATCAGTTGCTCGACGGGAAGTGGAACCACATCATGCGACAGCCTCATCTCGGATTCCGTGAGACATGGCATGCTCCTTCCCGAGATATGATAAGTGGCCTGTGTCTCGTCCAAGCGGGCCAAGAATCAAATCCCATTGTTGGAAATCTGGGTGTCGCTGTTGAAGGGTCTGAAGGCGTGAGACCTGGACTGTGCAACGAGGAGAGCGACCGCACGCATCCGTCACGAAAAGACTTGATATCTGGCGTTACATTGCCGACCATGGAGCCGTACGGAATGAATCCCAGGACGTTTGAGTTATATTTGCGTGGTCCCAAGCCACTAACGTGGAGTATTACGAGTCCAGTGGACTGGATGCCAGTAAATGCCAGCGGAACGCTGGAACCGTCTTTCGATGGCCAAGACCTACCGATCCTAGTGACGGTAGACTGGAAAGCTGTCCCTGAAGGTTTTGACGATGAGATCTTATTGTTCCTACAGAGCAACCTTGGGGATTACGAACACATTCACGTTCCGGTGAAACACCGTAGTCTACCGCCCGGATTTGTGGGTCATGTTGAGGCCGATCAAGTCATCTCCATGCCAGCTGTTCGCCACGAAAATAAGAACCCACCTGTGTATTGGAGGCACCCGTATCTCGGCCGAGAATCCCATGGAGCTGTGAGCTTCCGCTCACAGGCTGACTCAAGCCTGAGTCAGTGTGAACTCTTGTACCCGTTCTACACTTTCACGTCAACGGCCAAGGCTATTCTACACCTGTACTTCACGTTGACACTCGATGCAGACCCAGGGTCAGCAGCTACATACGGTATCGTAATCGATAACGAGGATATGGCAGTACACAGGCTGGTGCAAGAGCCTGAAAAGGCTGGTGAATTGCCACCTGGATGGTCGGAATCGGTCATGAACTGTGTCTGGATTAGACAACATCAGATTGATCTCGCTGATACTGGAGCGCACACCCTAAAGATCTCACTCCGACATGAAAATCTGGTTTTGGAGAAGATTGTCATCGATGTAGGAGGGATGCGGGAAAGCTATCTAGGGCCACCTGAAAGCTTCTATGTCACAAGCTAGTGACAGATCTAGCTAGAACTCCAAAATCAAAAGCAAGAGCGTTGGAAGCATAGCATATTTAGTCACTCCGTTTGGTACGTCGAATTTTTTTGATGGCTCCATCAACACGTGTCCGAAGAGCAATCTGAACCGTGACCTGGGTGAAACTGAAAAAAGGCGAGCAGCATATGGTCGTCTCGTTTATCAACCACGATTATTTTCGCCGCCCGCCAACACGCATTAGTCCTTCGCTCGTCCAATATTCCCACTTCTAAGAGAACGACTTGTCTTAGCCGTGTGTGCAATCTTGCAATTGTCGGTTGTACATGTGTTGTACTGTGTGCTGATCAAAATTTTCAGGCAGCTTTCACGTTCCCCAAACCCATTCCACAGATGTCGCAAAAGAGCACGTGGAGGTATTATGGAGCCACTCAGAGGAACTCTGAGTAGTAGGAGCGCCCCCATCAGCACGGTAGCGCCCGGCAGAGCAGCTCAAGTCATCAAGCACGTGACACATAACTGAGCCACTCTAGGAGCTAGAGGAATGTTTCTCTAAACGCTCCCTATATTAACTTGTCCCATTCAATGTTACAGCCGATCAGTAGTCCAATATATCAATAGCCCGTACACGCTCTTGGCTTCCCAACACCCCCACAACAGGTCAATTTAATTCGTGGATAAGTTGATCGCAAAATTCGACGGTTAGGACCATCTGAAGACCGCTGAACTGCTCTATTCTTGTCAATGCAACTAGATCGAATGTAATTTCTACTTAGATACCTAGGTGGCAAGACAGGTTTGCCGGGCCATCTGCGCCGCTCGTGCCGCTCGCGCCGGAGAAGAATACCAAGGCACGAGAAGCTGGTTATGTCGCTGCATCACAACTGATCCTGCGTGTATTGCGCATGGGACAAATAAAATATCCACACTTTGATAGTTGCTAACTACATAAAGCAGGTTGTACTAATTCCAAGGCTAGGTCTGCAGGGGTTCTGCTGTCTGCGCCGCAAAATTATACGAGAAACTAGCTTTTTATCTACCTAGGTATGCTTGGTACTTCCATTACTACACCACAACCAATTCTGCGCGTATTGCGCACAGGTTAAATAGACGATGCCCGCTCTGATAGATACTAACTACATAAAGCAGGTTGTACCAGTTCCAAGGCTCTGCTGGGGTTGTGCTGTTTTCGCCACACGAAGATACGAGAAGCTAGCTTACTTTGTCACTGTGATAATTCTCTTTGCATCATGTGCATTGTAGTAGCCCTCACACGCTACTCGATGGCCGATCAGTGACCTCGGTGGTGTTTTAGCTACTGCACATGCGGTACCAGCCACAGGCTGCTACCTAGATACCATCTATGCAGCATACACTGAGGACCAACTAGTCACTGTACGGTTTATTTGGCCCTCCAATAGCACATAGCGTTGTAGCTGCAGTTTATTACATCTGGTACCACATTTCCGGGCGCTGCAATACTTTGATGGCATCATCAGTCGTTTTGTGAGCTACTACATCAAGATAGGCTTAGATTGTGTAGAGAAGCACTGCAAGAATCTTACACGATTCTAATACTACGGAGGCTTGTAGCCTTTATGCGAAAGGGCGCGTTAGTTTCGAGCAAAGTAGTTGGAAGGTCGAGCTCACAATCTTACTGTTATGATCTGTCAGCATCGTCGTACCATCACTAGAAATGAGTTCTTATGGATGCTTTGTCTAGGGACTGTTCTAGTGTGTGGATAGAGACGATTCCGTTTCTGCCAAAGAAAGACCTCTGTATGTATCGAATGACAATAACTGGATCACAGGAAAGACATGTGCTTCACAGAGGCCATGCACTTGGTCTATAAAGTCCCAGGAGCAAAACGTGCGATTCTTGACAGCATTCTTTTCGGACGGCGGGTGGCCTGGCAGAACGACTAGGCAACCGTGCCACACAAGAATAGAAATGAACATGGTAAAATCATGGCCAAGATCACGGAAGATCTTTTGAGGGGCAAGATATGAATCTATAAGTGTCCACATAGCCCAAGCCATTGCCTAGTCCGTGGACGGAAAACCAAGGATTCAGGAACGACCGCGCCGCAGAACTTCGTGTATTTTGGCTTGAGCTACTGCAGCACCTGCGGGCAAATTCACATTTCGGCCGCTGTGGTTTATCTTTTCGTCATTCAACAAGCTAGGTCGGTTTCAAAGTGTCTATTACCTAGTTTGTGTCTACTAGTGCTTCTCAACTGTATATAAATCGCTCAGTCGACCATAAAACACAATCAGGGCCTTCCAAATCATCTTCTGGACTCAAAGACTCACCACTTCCTGCCCGAGACATGTACCCATCCCTTTCTATCCTCGCCATCGTTGGCTTGTCAATCTTTGATATAATTCCTGCAGCGACTTTGCCTGAAAGGTCAGCCGGGAATTTTGAAGGGAATCTTGCACTTGAAGCCCGTCAGGGACAGCAAGGCTGGATTGGCGTATGATTCCTGCATGAAATATCCAAAACACGTTCACTGATAATGTTTGTACTGCACAGGCTTGCACTGAAGGCACTCAAACATGCTATTGCACGATCTCTGGTCAGCGAATCGGTTTCCCCTGTCTAGCAAGTACTCGGGTTTGTCTTCATATCGACTATCACGTCAATACTCAGCTTACTAGATTATATTGTACTGGCAACTACGTAGCCGGCTCATGCAGATGTTGGTCATCTGGCGGCTTGGCCTACGCCACGTGTAACTAAGAGCGTTCAGCACAAAAGCACACAGGATCAACACGAAAGCAACAAGAGTCGGTGCGGGATGGGTATGAAATACTCTTGTGAGAATTAGAAAATGGCCTGATGTACCCTGTGCGTGATAGACAATTTTGGAAGAAGGTGGTTGTTTGCGCAGATGAAAATTATGCATTACCTACCTTTCAGCACGCCATAGCAGCATGTGCTTGTCCACACTGAGGTGTTCAGTAGTATATAGCGATCAAATATCCTGCATACACCTATTTGAACTCTTACCGAGCAGGTGTGTTGCTATTCGATTTTGTGAAGAGGTAGCATTCACCCACAGACTCTGGAACTATATCATTGGTTAGTGCCCGAAGCGAGAAATCCAGATGATGTAAATATGACGTGTAAGCCCGTATCTGCAAGTTGAAATCCTGGCGTTGCGGTGATCCATGGAAATACGACGTTATTATATAGACCCAGATCAGCCGCGGCGAAATTTCCTTCACTACCTCAGACTCGACCTCAACACTCCTGTTCGTTTCTAATTTGAATCACGATGAACCAGAAGTTTTATATCGATTCCGGTCCTCTGGCCTTCCCCACCGAGAGCATATGTGAAATGACTGTGTTGCGTGGGTATACTCGATTTTCAGTCACGGTCGAGATTGCGAATGTGCAACGCACCAGGCTTGGGAAGCAGCTTCTGCAACAGATAGAGACATGGAAAACACTTCCATGGAACAAATCGAGATATGAACCATTCCTTGGCCTAATATATCAACACTGCCTACCTCTCTTTGAAAGACTGGCGCCACAGACATTGCTCCGAGACCTCAGCCTTAAGGAATTCCTCCATTTACCTACATATAACTTGGAGCTTTACGAAGGGGACAACAACGTCGCATGTATCAAGGGAGAGAACTTGTGTTCGTATACACCAGCTTTTTTTATATCGCCTGTACGCACCGACAATTTGCCTGAGATCTGCCAGGCAGCCCCCCGATTCCAAGCATGCACCATTCGCGTAGCGCCAGCTGTACGCCAGGAAAGCATCTATCTGGATTCAATACAAGGAAGAGTTGAGACAGATGATGGGTCTCCATACTACTTCAAGCCGCGGCTTGAGATGCGTGAACCAGATTTCGAGCGCGAGCTCCATATCCTTTCACGTATCAAAGAAGCTGGTCTGACAGACTGGCTACGGATCCCTAAGCTAGAAGGCATTGTGGTCTCGGGCGAAGAGACTATCGGCATGCTGATAACTTTCATCGATGGAAATCATTTGCGAAATCCTGAACTCCAGGGCATGCACGAAATGCACGGAACATGGGAGGACCAGCTTAGAGCCATCATAAGGGAGCTTCATGCTCACGATATCGTTTGGGGAGATGTTCATCCGATGAATATCATGATTGATAAAGCGATGAATGCTTGGGCCATTGACTTCGGCGGAATGAATAATGTGGAGTTCGTGGATGATAAGAATCGCGAGACGGTTGAGGGTGACTGGCAAGGCATAACGAGGGTATTCCAGGACTGGTTGCCAAATTTGTAGTGACACGACGGTGTATTGCAATTGATCCAATTTTCAAAGCAGAAGTAGCTCACGCCGCCACTTGAATCTAAGTTAGCGGCTATCGAAGTGCTCTTTGACAGCGCTAGCCTCGGGACATTTCCCTCGGGACATTTCTTTACGTCGCGCTAAAGTTTGCAACTAGGTATCGGAGCATTCTTTGACAGCGGTATAAAAAACAAAATACAGAATCTAGGAAGGGTGTGTTACTAACAAAATTGCTAGTAGATATCTATCGCATAATATGGGTAAAGATAAATTGCACTTTTGCTGATTACTATCTACATAACTCCGGACGACGAAAAATCCAGATTTTAGTAATATTGCATACTAAAACACCATCTAGTAAGAAGAAGGGAACTAATGTTGCCTCCACAAGACGAGATTACCGACCGGTGTCTTGAAGGGATATGGTCCTGGAACTCCACAGTTCCGGAGGCCATTGAAAAGTGCGTTCACGACCTATTCGCTGAGCAGGCAAAGGCGCGGCCCGATGCGCCTGCCGTATGCGCTTGGGATGGCGAGCTGACATATGGTGAGCTGGATGCGCTGTCGGACAAGCTGGCAGGTCACCTCATCCGGCTCGGCGTTCATCGTGAAGACGTTGTCCCGTTGTGCTTCGAGAAGTCGATGTGGACGGTGGTGGCCATGCTAGCCGTGCTCAAGATCGGCGGCGCGTTCCTCCTTGTTGATCAATATCTGCCTGCCGAGCGGCTCGCAGCGATGTGCCGCAAAGTAGGCAGCGTGCATGCTTTAGCATCCAAGACATGTCTACGAGCTGTAAAGGATCTGGTGCGAGAGGTTATTTTAGTGGACGAGAGGTCACTGCTTCAGATGCCTAAGTACGACGGGCCGCTTCCTTCCGTGCTACCCACAGACGCAGCATACATTTTATTCACCTCGGGAAGCACAGGCGAGCCTAAGGGGTGCAAGATCGAGCATCGGTCTTCTTGTACCGCAAGTATACAGCATGGTCCTTCTCTGCGAATTGGCACCAGCACCCGCGCGCTTCAGTTCTGCTCGTACAGCTTCGTAGGATGCTTGTTCGAGATGCTCCCCTCCTTGGCACATGGTGGTTGCATATGTATCCCTTCTGAAGAACAACGGGGAGTCGAACTTGCGTCAGCGATGACGAGGATGGCCGTCAACTGGACCTTTCTTACGCCCACTGTTCTGGATACCATTAGTGACCTGGAGTCAGTTTCATCCTTAAGGACTCTCTGCATTGGTGGCGAGTCAATTCGCGCTTCCCAAATCCAGCATTGGGAAGGACGTGTGCATCTGCGGCAGGCTTATGGATGCAGCGAAGTCTCTGGGGCTGTTTCGTCCGCAAGACTGACCCGTGCCTCTACCACCAGGGACATAGGCAAGGGTATCACGGCCGTCTATTGGATCGTGGATGCCGACGACCACAACCGCCTCGTACCGCTAGGCGCTACTGGCGAGCTGCTTGTCGAAGGTGCTGTGGTGGGTCGAGGATACACGGATGAGGCTGAGAAGACAGCTGTAAGCTTCATCGAAGCCCCGGCATGGAGAGGATATTTTGGTGAGAGTCAGTCCCGCCTATACAAGACTGGCGACCTTGCAAGATATAAAGAAGATGGATCTGTCGAGCTGCTGGGGCGGAAGGATACCCAGGTCAAGCTGCGAGGTCAGCGGATCGAGCTCGGAGAGATTGAGCACCAGGCCCAGCTTTCGGGAGCAGCTGGGGTAAGCGGCTTGGCAGTGGAAATCATCAGACCCAAAGACAACGGCGACATGCTGGCATGTTTCGTTGCTGTTGAGAGTGGAAATGAAGGCCAGGAAGGGACAGACGATGAGTCACGGTCGATAGCACTCGTACAGACCGCAGCGCAAGCAATCCGCGACCGGCTTGAGCGGTTTCTGCCACAGTATATGGTACCTGCACTGTTCATTCCCTTGGCGCGGCTGCCGACGACAGTGACCGGCAAGAAAGACCGCAAGCGACTACAGGAGATTGGAGCCTCTCTCACAGCCCAGCAGCTGGCCGAGATGCGGACGTCTGGCCAAGGCCCTAAGCGACAGCCGACGACAGAGGCGGAACAGGCGATGCAGCAGTTGTGGGCGCTGGTGCTGAACATTGAGGCAGACAGAATTGGGCTGGATGACAGCTTCTTTCGTCTAGGTGGCGACTCGATCGCGGCAATGAAGCTGGTGGGCGAGGCGCGCAGGCACGGCGTGCAGCTGTCCGTTGCAGATCTCTTCCGCCATCCCCGTCTGGACCAGTGTACTTCTGTGACCATCTCAACAACTCACGATTCACCTGTCACCATCCCTCATGCCGATCACGAGGGACCGGTCGAGCAATCATTTGCGCAGGGGCGACTGTGGTTCGTGGAACAACTGTACCCTGGCCTGACCTGGTACCTCATGCCTCTCGCAGTACGCATCAAAGGCCCACTTCAGCTTGCAGCTCTCAAGTCTGCGCTTCTAGCAGTTGAGTACCGTCACGAAACGCTTCGCTCTACCTTCGCTACTGTTGATGGAAAGAGTGTGCAGAATGTCAAGCCTTTCAAATCAAAAGAGGTGAATGTCGTCGATGTCCAAGGCGGCCAGCAGGACATCGCGAACACTGTACAGAAAGACCAAGCAGCTCCCTTCGACCTGGCTACGGAGCCTGGGTGCAGAGTTTCTATCTATAGGGTCGACCAACACGACTACGTGCTGTCTATTGTCATGCACCACATTATCTCTGACGGCTGGTCTGTTGACGTGCTTATGCGTGAGCTAGGTGCATGCTACTCTGCCGCAATCCGCGGTCAGGACCCACTGTCGCAGTTGCAGCCTCTGCAAATACAGTATCGCGACTTCTCTGTATGGCAGAGACAGCAGGCCCAGGTCGATGAGCACAACAAACAGCTCGAGTACTGGATTGCGCAGCTGCAAACAAGCCGGCCGGCTGAGCTGCTCTGCGACAAGCCGCGACCTGCTGCCTTATCTGGCCATGCTGATGTGCGCATATTGGAGGTGGATGGCTCATTGTTCGCTAGATTGCAAGAGTTCTGCAAAGCACGTGGGGTGACCGTGTTTATAGTCCTCCTTGCTGCCTTCCGGGCTACGCACTTCCGTCTTACTGGGCAACAAGATGCAACCATTGGGGCAGCGAACGCCAATCGGGATCGATCGGAGCTAAGAGATATGATCGGCTTCTTTGTTAACATACAGTGCCTGCGAATCACTGTTGGAGATGAGACATTCGAAGAGCTGGTCCAGCAGGTGCAAGGGGTAGCGGTGGCGTCGCTGGCCAACCAAGACGTCCCTTTCGACAGGATCGTGTCGAAGCTCAAGAAAGACAGAGATCTGTCCCGCCACCCGCTGGTGCAGCTCATCTTCGCCATGCACTCCCAGCAAGACCTGGGCAAGCTCATACTGGAGGGCTTGGAGACGGAAAGCATGACCAACACAGTGACGTCGAGATTTGACCTGGAGATCCATTTCTTCCAGCACCAGAACGGGCTACGAGGCGAATTCATATTCTCAACCGACCTGTATGCTACAGAGACAATCGAGAACATGCTATCACTTTTCCGACACATCCTTGACGCCTGCCTGAAGGAGCCAAAGATGGTGGTGTCGTCTATGGCGTTATTGACCGAAGCTGACCACGCTCGGCTCGATGGGATGGGACTTGTCCCGGCTAAACAGACCGCATATCCACGTGACTCCAGTATCGTGGACCTCTTTCGCCAGCAAGTCTCTGCCCATCCGTCCCAGATCGCCGTCAAAGATGCGTCGGCAGAGATGAGCTACGCCCAGCTGGACGCAGCATCTGACGTTCTGGCAGAGTGGTTAGCCAAACTGGCGTTTGCCCCTGAGACGCTCGTTGGCGTGTTTGCAGCCCGAAGCTGCGAGACGATCGTTGCGTTTCTGGGCATTCTCAAAGCCAACTTGGCTTATCTACCATTCGATGTGAAGATACCAGCGGGGCGGATGGAAGCTGTCTTGTCTTCTCTTCCGAGTGGTCAGAGAGTGATACTCGTCGGGGCTGACGTCCAGCCTCCCGACATCAAGCTGAACACCGTCAAATTTGTCCGCATTGCAGAAGGCTTGGACGAACAGGCAAGTGGAATGTCCGCTCCTCAAGGACCTGCAGCAGTTGCTGCCGGGCCTTCAGCGACGAGTCTCGCGTATGTCATGTTCACGTCCGGGTCGACAGGCCAGCCAAAGGGAGTCATGGTAGAGCACCGTGGTATCGTGCGCTTGGTTCGAGACAACAACCTCGTGCAGCACCTACCGGTCCTACCGGAGACGCGAGTCATTGCTCACGTAGCGACTCTCGCTTTTGACGCTTCCACATGGGAGATATACGCCTGTCTGCTGAACGGCGGGACGCTGGTTTGCGTGGACGCGATGACTATCCTTGATCCAGTGGCTGTGTCTCGGGTCTTTCATCAAACGAACATCAGTATGGCTTTACTTACGCCAGCGCTCTTTCGACAGTATGCGCAAGAGGCGCCTACAGTGCTGGCGAATCTTGATATGCTTTGCTTGGGGGGAGAAGCACTGCACCCGCGCGATGCTTCTGAAGCACTGCAGCTCCTTCCGGGCAAGGTAATCAATTGTTATGGTCCTACTGAGAACACTTGCATTAGCACAATCTTTATCCTCACTCAGGAAGAGCATTGCGTTAATGGCGTCCCCATTGGCTGCGCACTCAGCAACTCTGGCGCCTACGTGATGGACCCGAATCTTCAACTTGTTCCTATTGGTGTGATTGGAGAGATTGTGGTCACAGGCGACGGTCTAGCGCGGGGCTACACGTCTCCTGAGAGGAATATTGACTGCTTTGTATCGGTCACGGTTGCTGGTCAGGTAGTCAAGGCCTACCGGACAGGCGACTACGCCCGACATCGGCCTACGGATGGCCAGCTAGAGTACTTCGGCCGGATGGACAGACAAGTCAAGATCCGGGGGCAGCGTATTGAGCTGGGCGAGATCGAGCATGTCCTCCGCAGTCACAAGCGCGTCAGCGACGCAGTGGCTGTGCTACAACAATGCGACGGCGATGCAGTCCAACTCGCTGGCTTTGTTATAGTCGACGAGGGCGCTGCAATGGTCGACGAGCAGGTCGATGATGAGGATGGTGACGGTGGCGACGAGGATGAATCGCAGCATGTGGGAACTTGGGAACAGAAATTTGACAACGAAAGCTACACACCTATCAACAACATCCAGTCCGAACGCATTGGGCGAGACTTCATCGGGTGGACGTCTATGTACGACGGCAGCGCGATAAACGAAGTAGAGATGAACGAGTGGCTAGATGATACGATACACACGATGCTCAACGGTAGCAAGCCCAGCAGCCTGCTCGAGATCGGATCGGGGACTGGCATGGTCCTCTTCAACTTGGGCGACGGCCTTCAAAGCTACGTCGGACTCGACCCGTCCAGAAAGGCAATCGAGTTTGTCGCGAAGATGGCAGAGTCTGTCCCTGCGTTAGCGGGCAAAGTCCGTTTGCACAAGGCCACAGCAATGGAAATCGGTAGTTTGGAGCCGTCAGTCACAGCCAACCTTGCATGTCTGAACTCAGTCGTTCAGTACTTCCCTAGCCAAGAGTACCTGTTCAAGGTCGTCCAAGAGCTACTCCAGGTCAAGGGCATCCAGACTATCTTCTTTGGCGACGTTCGATCTTATGCGTTGCATAGAGAGTTTCTGGCAGCTCGGGCGCTACGCATGGCTGGCGATAAGGTAACTATGGCAGACATTCGACGCATAATGACTGACATGCACCGAGCGGAAGTAGAGCTGCTTGTTGACCCAGCATTCTTTACTGCCCTACAAAGCCGCCTCCCAGAGCTCGTGGAGCATGTTGAGATACTGCCGAAGAGGATGAAAGCAACGAACGAGTTGAGCTGTTATCGCTACGCTGCGGTTGTTCACGTCAGGTCTCAATCTGGGCCAAAGCGGGAGATTCAAGTCGTGAACGCAGACGAATGGATTGACTTTTCGGAGCGCAAGCTAGACCGCCAGTCTCTTCAACAACAACTGAGAAGTCTCTCTGGCTTGTCTACAGTAGCTGTAAGCGACATTCCTTACAGCAAGACCATGGTCAGTCGGTGCCTTGTTGAGGCGCTTGACGGTATAGACGCAAATAAGCGCGATGACCCATGCTGGCTAGCATCAGTCTATCAGCAAGCGCAGCACAAGCCATCCCTGTCCGCCACTGATCTGGTAGAGCTGGCGCAGGAATCGGGCTGTCGTGTCGAGATTAGTTGGAACAGGCAGTACTCACAGCGTGGTGGTCTCGACGCTATCTTTCATCGGTCTCCGCCGAGAAACGGCGAGAACAGGAGATTGTTCCGGTTCCCTACTGAGCACACAGATCGGCCACCGCACTCTCTCAGCAGCTGGCCGTTGCGGCAGCGGATAATGAAGAAGACCCAACAGCAGCTGCTGGCGATGCTACAAGCCCAGCTGCCCGCATACATGGTTCCTCAGGCGATCACGGTGCTGGACGCGATGCCTGTAACACAAAATGGTAAGGTGGATCGCAAGGCTCTAGAGCAGCGGGTTCAAACAGAGCGTAGCAGCAAAGCCCCAGTACAGCAGTCCATTTCGGACGAGGAGCTACAGATGCAGAAGCTGTGGGCGCGCGTGCTAGACATCAAGGTAGACAGTATTGGGCGAGACAACAGCTTCTTCCAACTAGGCGGCGACTCGATCACAGCAATGAAGCTGGTGGCTGAGGCGCGCAAACTAAGCGTTTACCTTACAGTTGCAAACATCTTCCAGCATCCCCGTCTCTGCGACTTGGCCTTGAAGCTCCAAACATCCGAGATAGAGTCAGGTGCTATCTCGACATCACTGAACGCATTAGCCGTCTCTCCAGGTCTCGAGTCAACTCTAGAGTCAGAAGTGCTTCCAAAACTGTCCATCACTCGATCACAGGTCCAAGATCTTCTCCCAATCACGGACTTTCAAAGACTCTGTCTGGAGGGCCATTCTAAAAGCCCCCCTATGTGGATGGCTTATTTCTCCTTCTTGATTCCAAATGGGTACTCTGACCAGCGAATCCGCAATCTGATTCATCTGATATGGCAGCATTACGATGCTCTTCGACTGCTTTTCACGCCATTGTCTGATCATTCATGGCAGGTATCAACAAGAGGCACCGCGCCTCCCATCCTAGAACGATTCATTGGGCCCAATGAAAACCATGAGGACATTTACAAGGAAGAATCGTCTTATCCTTTTGGATCAGGTGAACAGCTTACCAAATTCTTCATTATTACAAATTCCGAGGAGGTTCGACTGACCCTCCGCGTCTCGCACGCTCAGTATGATGGGTTAAGCATAGCCCGCCTTTGCAATGACTTCGAGAATTTGACCGAAGGAAGGATCAGATCACACACATTGCAATACGCAGATTTTATCAATCGTACTCTGCAGGTCAAACAAGACGGTCATGCATATTGGAAATCGTTGTTGCGTGGTTCGACAATGACATTCATCGAGCCTGAGCAGGACTCTTCCAGGGATACTCAAGTAAACATGACCCGCGATACCAAACTGCCCGTACCACGGGGCGACTCCACCTTGGCTTCGATCTTCACCGCCGCATGTGCGTGTGCCTTGGCCAAGGTGGCAAGGCAGTCCGAGGTTGTATTCGCTCGTGTAGTGAACGGCCGCTCCAGTTTGCAAGGGAGCTCCGATGTTTTTGGCTGTTGCCTTAATTTCAACCCAACGAGGATCCATTTCGACGGGCACCCACCTTTCGATAAGACAGTCAAGCAACTGTCGGACCAGTATCGCGAAAGTCTCCCGTACGAGTCGGTGGGTTTCCGGGACATCGTAGAGAACTGCACAGACTGGCCAAGTGGGACCGGATTTGGTTGTTTCGTCCGATTCCAGAATCAGAGTATGGGGTCGCAGATCGAATCCACATCTCATGCTTGGCCGTTGCAGGCATGGGCGGGGAGGATTAATCGACTCAATGACGGCTGCATCCAGATCACGGGCACACCGCACAATGGACGCATTGCAGTGATGATTACTTGCGGTCGTAACAAATCCACGTCGATAGAATCTATTCTAAGTGAGATCTGCACACTGCTAGATAACTATTAGACTCTTTATTTGTATATAGATAATCAAATATATCTACTATATATTTAGTAGCTAAAATAAAGTATTTGACACTATATTATAATAGAGAAAGACATATTTTATAGTTATATACTAGTGTATCTAATTATACATAACCTTAATAAAGTAGAAATTTACTAGCTAATAATACTTTAATCTTAACAATTTAAATAAGAATATACTATTACCTTAGTTCTATCTTTTAAAGTAATCTTTATATATATCTTTTTAATACTTTTATATTTACTATATCTACTACTTATATTATAAATTAAGTAATATAGTAGTTTTAAGTTATAAAAGTTTATATTTATTTATATATTTAGGCAGCGTATATAACTACTATATATATGTAACTAGTAAGTGGACACTGACGTGTCTTGATAGAATCCTGTTAGCTGTAAGACAAAGCGGCATAACCTAATACCTTTAGTGTTTCTAGGCCACAACCACCTCCCTATCTCCTTGCGCCGACGCAGTGACAACACTCAAGACCAATGACTGTTTCTAGACTTATTGTTTTTTTTTGGAACAGCTGCATGAGACCAACGTCGCGCGGAGAGTGGCGCATGCACTGCGAAGCTGTAAATATGTCAGATGCCCGACTCTTTGCCTTATAAAGAGAACTGCCGCCCTTTGTCAGTCAACTCGTAAATACGATTCCAAGCTTCCGACTCTGTGGCGTACGATTGTAGATGACTAGAATTGACCAGACTCAAATGTATAGTCGCAATTGGCACTATGCTATACAGCTCACACTTAAATGTCTTGCAACATGAACGGAGCCTACTCAAGTCCGGTCTGTCAGTCCATGAAGCTAATACAACTACGCTGATGAATAACGCGAATGATTCGGCGGGGACAGTCCATTGCGCTGATGGGTAGTGATCCCTACCGACAGCACTCCTCGGACTGAAGCTGCAACAAGAAGAGAAGAGAGGACGTTCTATTACTTATTGTTCTTCTCTGCTAAATCACACATATCCATTAGGCCAATGTTTCCTCCTGTCAAAACCACACCAATCTTCAACGGTTCACCCTCATACATCGTTTTAAGGGTATGATGAAGATCTGTGTTAAATAGTAAAGCAGCCAGCGGGACGGCCGAACTCGGCTCGACAACGGTTTTCATCTGTTCAGCGAACGATGTTAGGGTGCGTCGAATCTCCAGCTCTGTCACCTGCAAAACGTCCTTGACCAGGGTGGGGTTCTTTACATATTCCCAATTAGATTGTGCTGTAGGAGATCGCAGCCCATCGGCTATAGTCGTGCCATTGAGTACAGTGACGCGCTTTCCCTGTAATCGAGCCGTGGCCAAATTCGCACCACCCATCACAGGTTCGCTGCCGAACACAGTGATATGCGGATCCAGTGCGTGGCTGACGACAGCAGTCCCTGCCAGCAATGCCCCAGTAGCGCTGGGAACAATCACTGCGTCTAATCTCCCATAGCCGAGCTCTTGCATCTGTTCGTGAAACTCTAGCATGGCCGTACCTTGACCAAGTGCGATGAGTGGGTGCCCTTGAGGGACCAAGGTTGCGCCAGTCTCGAGTTGGATCTTGATCGCGAGCTCAATACATTCGACGAGTGTCGGACCATGGAGCAGAACTTTGCCGCCCAGTCGTTGGATGGTATCGATCTTGGCTGGGCTGGCATTCCATGTCATCAGCATTTGTACTGGAATGAGGAAGCCTCTCAGTTGTGATGCATGGTTGGCCGCTATAGTAAGAGCGATGGCGTGGTTCCCTTTATGCCAGATCAGTCCGTGCTGGAGAAACGATTTGGCTTGGCTTACCAGTGCTATACGAGATGATGCCAGCCCGTAGTTCTTTTTCGGTCAACTGAGATAAGAAGTGATAGGAACCTCTGAATTTGAAAGAGCCTGCCTTCTGCAAGTTCTCGCACTTGAAGTATAACTCAAGCTTGGGCACGCTTGCGTCGTGAGTATCGAAAACTGCGTCTTGCACTTCTTGAGACACTTCAGGACACTTATGGATTGGGGTTCTGTAGGTCTGTTCACGAATAACAGAATGAGCTTTACGAATGGCGCGAATCTCGATGATGGGATAGCTGTCCATGCTATTCATGCGACCGATGCAGCGGCAAGACTTCCGAAGATGAATAGTTTAGATCTTAGACAAGCTGGCATACACAGGATTTTAGATGGAAAGATACTCCGCAGTAATATTTTAACTTCAGGCCCTTGTCACAAAGTGACGGAATGAAGATTACTTTCAATTAATCGCAGATCCAATTTCGGAAATCTGACTGTACCATCCACGCTTGCATCCAATCACGTCAGGACAGGAATTTGTGGCTACGCCTGAAGCAACATCGCGCTGAGTGAGACATAACAGATGCAAATCTCTTTTGACATTCTGGAATTCGCTACAGCAATTTGTTACACAAAATGTTGACCAGATCGGCCTTCACGCCTCATCAGGCTAGTCGTTCTCAATTTGCAATGTCCCTTTAGCCCGAATTTGTCTAGCAAAGAGGTAGAGATGACATGCATCTATTACGCTATACAACTCACGATGGACCATTAAGAGTTGTTGTGTCTCAAAAGTGTCTTGAGTCAGCCTTCATTTCACTCTGATCGACATGACTTCTCTAAATTGTACCGTTCATCCCTTTCATAGTACAATCAAGATGAAGGCTGCGACAACAATCAACATGATCGGAGCAGGACACAATAAAAGCTGCAGAGAAGAACACTGCCATGGTCTCAGAGCCGAAGTTGATATAGACGACCTCGGTGTCACTATACTACCAAACGGATTGGTCACATGGAATAACAACAGCCCCGATCATCCACGAAACTGGACGCCTGTGCGCAAGGCCTACGACATCGGCGTAGTTGCCACGATGGAATTCTTTACGTAAGTGGTAGTTGAAAAACGAGCTCAAACATCTCCACTGACCTTCCATGATAGTACTGTAGTGAGCACCACGGGCGTAAGTTCTCTCGTGTCTGCTTTTGACCCGTGAGCTAATACTTGTATTCTAGCCATCTGCAGCGGCCCTGGCTCGTACTGAATACGAAACTCAGCCTATGGTCACCTTGATTGCCTTCACTTTGATGTACCAGCTAGGTCAAGCACTTGGGGGCCTAATTGTGCCACCATATTCCGAAGTCTTTGGCAGGAAAAAGCCGTACATACTAGCTGGTGGCATGTTTTGCCTCTTCTGTCTACTGATGGCGGTCGTTCCGTCAATCACGATGGTGTACATTGGTCGCTTCATAACCGGTTTTGCATCTGCTGTACCATCGGTTGTCCTTGCCGGGTCTGTTGAGGATCTTTTCAACAGTAGACAGAGGGTATGGTTTGTACTATTGTGGAATTCTCTTGCTACAGCAGGTTTAGTCTTTGGCCCAATTTTGGGTGTATACGTCAGCTTAAACCGAGGATGGTGAGTTCAACACCTTTCAGAGATTTCTCGTCTGATGACAGATGCAACGCTGATCCTTGCAGGAGATGGATTTACTACATCTCAGCAGTCGTTATGGCAGCTTTGACAGTTGCAACGCTCTTCATCCGAGAGAGCCGACCAAGTCTGTTGCTTTCGAAGAAAGTTGCGACGATCCGCAAGCGTACCGGGCAGGATCTCAAATTCGACAACCCAGACGCTGTGGCGAGCCATGCAAGATTGATCGACGTAGTACTGATCAGACCTGCCACACTCCTAGTATCAGAGCCACTTGTCATCCTGGTGAGCACATTATCTTCGGTATCTTGGGCGATCATATACCTCTTCACGGAAGCCCTGACCGGCATTTACGAATCCATGGGCTTCTACCGAGCTTCTGCGTCTCTCCCGTTCCTTGCGATAGGACTGGGTGTGCTCTTTAGTATCTTTCCAAGATATTTTGACGTCAGAGCAGCGCGAAAACGTAAGGAGCGTGGCGAGCCTTTGGAACCGGAGGATAAACTCACCGGGTTCTTATTGGCCGTTCCATCGCTTGCCATTGGTCTTTGGTGGTTTGCATGGTGCATCCCACCAGCCGTCACAACAATACATTGGATAGTGCCTACTTTCGGTCTCATCTTCGTCGGCTTCGCTGTCAACGAGATGGCGTACACTCTTAGTAGCTATCTGGCGGATTCGTACACGGTCTATGCAGCTTCGGCTTTTGCAGCCCTGGCCTTTGTCCGAGCCCTTATCTCTGGTCTTATGCCTCTTATTGCATATGCGATGTACAGCAATCTTTCAGCCAATGCTGCGACAACGATCATCGCTGTGCTTTCGACGCTGTTTGGAATTGCACCCTACATTATGGTGAGATACAGCAAGAAGCTTCGCGGCATGAGCAAGTTCGCAAAATATAGTCTGGATGTGCACGAAAGAACCCGGATAGAGGTTGATTAGAAGCTATTTGTATATCAACTCGCACATACCTAGCTGCATGCATTCAACATGCTTTGTAAGCAGCGAAATAAGGCCGATCAAGAAACTTAGCAGGTTCTAAGCTGAGGTAGACGAACAACAACAATTTCGCACATCGTCTCGTGATTTAATATCATAGTGCAGCCGCAATAAGCCACGAAAAAGAAATAGATACAACTCATATAATCAAAGAAGTGAAGTGACATCTCTATAAAACCTATACTAGAGACGATAGTGTGTCCTATTCAAGCTCCTCCTCTGTCCAATTCCAAAGCTTCTTAGCTAGCTCAGGGCTTTTGGTCCATTTGGATCCTTTGCCGTTCACACCGACAGGCTCATAGTATTCCCCAGATCTAACATCTGCGCTAGTCGATGCCCACAACTGGTTAAGCGCACCTTTTTCAACAGGCTGTCCAAGCGCGGCAACAAAAGCTGTGCTTATAACACGCATTGTAAAACTAGTTTCCTTCATCGCAGTAGTTAGGTTGGTGCTCACAATTCCGGGGTGAACAGACGCTATTTTAAGCTGGGGGTATCGTTTAGCAAGCTCTTGTCCGTAGAGAATGTTGGCGAGCTTGCTCTGGCCATATAAAGTGGTGGCAGCAATCTTCTCTGCCTTTGTTTTGAGTATTGTGAAGTCGATGCCCTCCTTGGTCGAGTTCGAATGGACTGACGAGGAAAGCAGGACCACTCGAACATCAGTTCCAGGTTGCTCAGCCGTATTCAGCAAAGTTGCGAGGACGAGTTTTACAAAAAGGGCATGTCCCACATGGTTGGTACCGAATTGGACTTCATAGCCGTCCTGGGTGAGACCATGGTCGACGGTCATGAGACCAGCGTTAAGAAGAAGAACATCAAGGCGTTGCGCTTGCTGGAGAAAACTCGTAGCCGCTTCGCGAATTGATTCAAGAGAAGATAGATCCATCTTGAGTATCTTGATAGGCGGAGCATTAGGCACCCGTTTCTTGATGTCGTTGATGGCTTCTTGAGCTTTGTTGGTACTGCGAGCCCCAAGCCATATCTCCGCTGGACCGTGTTTTGCGAACTCGAGGATGGAGTGCTTCCCTAGGCCACTGTTTCCTCCTGTAACAAGAATAGTCGTGCCCTGCAAGGAATGAATATCCGTGGCTGGGTTGAAATGGACGCCCTTCATTGTGGTAGGGGTAAATACGAACAACTGTCTGTTGTCTATAGCCCGGCGCGTAGGTGTAAAGATACCGCAAGCGACAGTTGTTGAAAAGCAAGCAGTAAGGAGTTTGAACTGTCCCAGAAAATCAAAATGACCAGAGAGAAGTGTGCTTTTAACTTTCGTGCAGGCTTAGCTTAAACGTTTGCAAATTTTAGCGGACAATGGACTTGCTTAACACCAGATCAGACCTTATCCATGTTCGAGACCATCGCTAACCTTATTCTGAAGCGACGAATGGGTTGAGATCCAGGTTAGAAACTCCTAGCCGTCGAGGCGGTGACCTGCTAAAGCCGGCCTCACGCAACGCAGCTCCGTGATGCCAAGCGTTTCGTCCGTAGATTCGATCCCGAACCAAATCAAGTGACACAGAATATCGCCACCTGCATGATCCTTGGTCCTTGTATCGAAGCTGGTTTCGAGAAGAGTTCCTCGCATCACTGTCCATTGGTAGCGCTTGATTGTTCTTCTGAAGATGTGGCCTAGACAGGGAAGGATTCGCATGGAGAAAGTTTCGTCCGTGAACGATACCGTCATTTTACCCTAGCCATGGACCAGAACAAATTGAACCCCGTTAAATCCGAGCGATAAAAGAGTGTGTTCGTCCTATCGCCGATGTGGATGAATCCAGATGCCAGCGTGGGCGTACAAGTCTACATATACCGGACCGTTTTCCAGGTAACAGTCTAGCCATCATCAACTTTCCAACCTTATCTGTTCCATTCTCACCAACTATGGCTTCTAGCAACAAGTACGCATCAGCCCATCAGCCTTCCCACGGTCCAGGTGACGCTCGTCCCACAGCGTTACAGATCATCCAGGATGAGGGTCTGGAAGGACAGTTCCCTGACAAAGTGATCCTTGTCACGGGTGCCTCTACCGGCTTAGGTATCGAGACATAGATAGTAGATATAGAACAGAATTCGTCTACTATATGTCTGGTAGGTTTGAAAAAAGTACGCAATATTGTATGTTATATGTAGAGACAGTTCATTGATTTGTTGCACTATGACTGTCACCAATCATATTCAGAGTAGAGATCTACTAGGTGATACGGTCTTTTTTTTAACGACTTGAAAAGTTGTAACACTACTACTACTTTAATTGTTCTAAGTGATCTTTGCGTGTAACTTTGTGGTGTATGAACGAATCCATGATCCAAACAGCAAAAGCGGAAGCGTTAACCCGATAAACACTGCCCACTGAATGACTGACATATCAATGAAAAGTTGCTTTACGCCTACACGTAAGAGCCACGCTGGTGCTGTCCTTGAAAGAGCAAATGACATAAGATGCGTAAGCAAATTGACAGATGCTACAGCTTCAGCTGCGTGGAATGGATAGCTGTCGATAGCATACGAGATAGCGGCAGAAGGTGCTAATGTGAGACCCGCAGCTTGCATGGCAAAGCCAACTGCAGGGCCAATGTATGATCCTTTGAGAAAAGTATAGCCAAAGAGCAATAGTCCGGGGGAGCAAACGACGAACGGTACAATCATACTGTACAAGCGGTATTCTGGTTGATGCCCGCCTCGCCTCTCGGAGAGCTTACGCGACAATAGGTCCACAACTGGACCAGCGATAGGAAAAGCGATGATGACTCCTATCATGCTTGTGCCGGTCCAATTACCGAGTTGAGCTGGCGTAAATAGGAATGGCGAAGGGGCGAACAGCTGTGAAGAACAGACAGAGATGACGATGACCCAGCTTTGAACAATGCCCCAAAGACCAGCGCAGCACAACGCAATGGGGTCGACGATGAATGGCAGGTGTCGCGAAAATGTGTTTACCCACTGCTTGATCCCTCCGCCTTGTATATGAGGATGTCTCAAATAGAGTATGCCTTCTCGGAGAGCTGTGGAGAAAGCCTTGCGGTGGTTCTGACTAGAAGCAGCCTCGGAAAGCTGCTCGTCCAAGACTCCAGCCGTCACCCCGGTGGAGCCACTTTGAGTAAATGATGTCTCCGGTAGTAGTAATATTGCAGTGAGGAGATTGAAGCCAACCAGAATCGCGATGATTCTGAAAATCCACCGCCAGCCCATGTGCAGCGCAATATGACCAGCAAATAACGGGCCCATTTGTGCACCTATCGTAAGGCACATGGTGTACACAGAAACCGTCTTGGAGTAATCGCGCTCGAAGTAGACATCTTTCCAAGAGTTAGAGAAGTTTTATCGCATACGTAACATCGATGATGTTATAACATACCTCCTATCACCGCAGGTCCAATGGCCTGCACAGCTCCCGCGCCAAAGCCTCCGAGGATTCTTGAACCGAGAAGACTGTTCAGAGATTTTGCATATATAGCCCAAATGCATCCAATGAGGAAGACAAAGTTTGAGACGATCAGTACGACACGCTTACCGAAGACGCTAGTGGTAGGAACCCAAATGAGGCTGCTGATGCCTATCATAAGTACAACATAGGATATCAGAGGTGCCACATCTGGGTAACCAACGCGGAATTCTTGGACCAGGTATACAAGGCTGGTGGCGGGACCGGCTGCAAAAAATTGCCCATTGAAGGTCATCATACAGATGTTGAACAGGATTACTGCTTTGAGCGAGCGTGGCCAGAGCTAATCAAATGAAGATCAGTGGTGTGATCACAATTCTGATTGAAATCAGCACTTACCTTTGGGTGATCTTGGATGTCAGTCAAACCGTTCTCGCTAGGTAGGTCGTCAACCTTTTCGACCATGGTGTTTTCGGCCTTCTCGGTATCATGTACTGATGGCATCATAACAGCACCTACAAGCTGTATTGAGTAGTGAGGAATGACTTTGTGATGTCTCTGATTCGATAGAGTGCTGATGAAAGCTCCGGTACAAAGCGTGCAGAAGGAATGCATTTAACATTTGTCTTTCGGAAACGTTCCGGTCGGTTCCATCTGCTGTATTACCGTGTTGCGGGACCTAGACTGGATTACTCCTTTCGCCCTTAAGTCGACACGGATTGTCTCACACCAACTATGAGCGTACCAATCATCCGGGTGGGGAAGCCTAGACCGTCACGTCCCCTACTATACCCCATACTTCCCCGCATCAATTGAACTAGGGGCTTGAAGGCGGTATCGAGCTTTTTTTTTTGGCTTTGGTACTTCTTCAGTATGCATTATTTGCAAAAAGCCAGTCATCTGCTATGCTGTTCTAGTCGTTTCTCCAAGAGTACTATAACTACAAAGGATAGGGTTACACATCTCAAATAAATGATCCAACAGGGCATGTTGCATAACTGGTATACCTGGTTGCTTTGAATTCAACGCGTATCGAGTAAGTGGCTTCAATATGAAAACGCTCATGATCATCGGATCGCTGTATGAGGGGTATGCACCAAGACTCCTGCTACAAATGCGGAAAGTCGTCTGGAATGCTGAGCAGCAGTTCCGCGCTTCTTAGCTTGTTGATTCTTCTTGTCGTACGTATCAGATTGAACCAAGCAGAGCACTTGTTCATCACTTTCTCTCAAGAGATGTCTCTACTCATATTGTTGCAGCGTCTAATTGGAATTTACTTTACTTACAAACTACGCAGATCCGGACCTTCGAAGCCCACCTGGTTGTCCCATCTTCGTTTGCTTCTCTCGAAGATCGACCGACAGGCTCCAGTTGTGAATTCTGAAGTCACTAGTCCTAGTCAAGGTCTATCTCTCGCACGATACCGTCCTCGTTCGGAATCGAATGCTCATTCCGCTTCGTCTGTTGGTAAGCGACACCTGGTCATGGAATGACTTCCGAGGGTGAGTGAGGGCAAACAGCAATGCCAATGTGTGGAGCCGATCCTTTGGCGCACCCTGCCTGGCCAGCTGTCCCTTCCCCACATGACCCTCGGAGAACTAACCGAAACGAGAAACTGAATTTTCTGGGGAACAGCACTAAATTAAATATGTCTTTTTCGCTACTGGTCGTGGATCGAAGGATGGGGCAACCCAAAGTCTTTCAACGAAAATGCAACCTATATTACTGCCATTGACGCTGTCAAGTCGATGCTGGTTTGTCAAAAGGTTAGATGTGTCGCTAAAAGTTTATCTAGCATAGTTTGCAAGCGAAAAATCTCCTAGTGTGAGAGAAATCGCTCCATTGATTGTTTGCGGGTTGATAACAATCTGCATATTTGTAACTTATTTGGCGCAGGTAGCAAGCGTCGTACATCAAACTACCGCACTGTCAACAGGACTTTGAACAGATTGACCAACGTATGTCAGTCAAGAACTGCAACTAATCGTGCTGAGCTTGACGTAAGGGACCTGTGATACGAGTGTCCCGTTTCGCGATCGTCATCGACACCACAAACCAGCATGTACAAAGAAAAGGTTTAAAGGTAGTCCCAAGAATGATTGATAGTTTGCTTTCCCCATATCAGAGATCAAGGCGATGATACCAGAGAAAGCTTACAAGAGTTCAGCGCTCGTTGTGGTGTGCTATTATAAAGATCCGGGTAACAGTTGCTCTTAGTGCGTTCCTTACTTCGCTGATGATGGGGCAGGCCATACACGCAATGCTGTGTACATTTCTTCCACCATCAACAACAGTACGTAGTATAGATGCACAGCAATGGAAAAAAATTATTCAACAAATGCCCAACTGTATTTGACCTTTAGGAGGTTGTAATTTTCTTCCAGGCGGGATCGTTGCTAATCTTTGCCCACCATGCTTTCACGTGTGGCCGTGACTCGATCTCTGGGGCATATCCAAGTCGTTCGCTCAAGAATTTGAAGCACGGAGCATTGAAAACCTCGATCAGGCTAAAACTCTTTATCATAGCGTAAGCTCATGTCGCTTGATAGAAAATTTGAGGGATATGCTTACCGCTCCAGCAAGCCACTCGTGTACCGCCAGTACCATCTCGTAATAATCCAGGACTTGTTTCAACTGACTTTCCAGTTGTGCCACAACCAAGAGATCACTATCTTGTCCTGTAAACATCTTCTTGAAAATTTTCTCCCAACCCAACTTGCTGACTACGGGATCAAAGTACGAATACTCGACGCTTGCAGCTTGTTCGAACTGGCCGAGTGCAACGCTATCAGTAGGCAGACTTAAGGAGCCAGGATGCCTCGAGATCAAGTAGCGAGCGATGGCACGAGATTCAAAAAGTTTGATCTCGTCGATTTGAATAGCTGGAAGCTTGCCGAACGGGTGATGCGAGGCGATGAAGTTAGCAGCCTTAAGTGGCACGCATTTGTCAGATTCTTTGCATAACCTTAATTGCGTCGTCGTTTGGTCACTTACGCGATGCTCATTCTTTTGCATGTCGACGTTCTGCAATTCATACGATATACCCAGTTTCTCAAGTACAAAAAGAACTCGTTGGGTGCAAGTGGAATAGCTAGCTCCGAAAACTGTAGTGGCCATGTCTTCTTGAATGTCGTGGTCTTAGGGCTCAAGAGAACACGGTCATCTCAGCTAGACAAACTAAAGTGCAACCAGGTCTTGTATGGTCTCGCCCCAACTCATGTGGTGATGACTGTGAATAGCGCGGAGCAGATCCATTGGCACCAGGCTCGGCTCCACAAATCGGCTGTCCCACCGGGACATACTGTAAAGTAGAGCATCGCCCGATCACGCTAAGCCTCGGATCGGGGGGAATAAACAACTCAATCGTCTAGACAATGACAACACTCGCGGAAGAACAAACAACTTTCTACGGATATCAACGAGTTGTCTGGTCAGTGCACAATGTTTGCGACTTAGTATGCACCAAGCATGCGGCCCAGGGAGAAGCAGGCCTGGAAACAAGAAGAGTTTAGATTCCGATTACTCAAATTACTTTGGCGCGGAGACGCTCTCGCTTGCTTCGAGACGCTTTAGGAGTTGCAAGTAGCCCCTGCTGATGCCCCAGCTTCTCAGAGAACCCATAGCGGCTATGGAGTGCTCGAGCAGCTTTCGTCTTCCCAGCCGGCACAGCAAGTTTGCGATACTTGGTAGCTTAATTCTTACGTGCCCCTGGTTTATCCAACTCCAAGCTCGATCATTGTCGGTACGCGCAGTTCCAAGGGTAATCGAACCCGAGTCTCCTGGTTCAATGGTGAAACCAGTGACTTCGGGCTTGTCGAAAAGTACAGAGTATAGCCAGAGCGTTAAGACTGCTCTGAGTAGATATGAAGGCATTGAGTAATGCATTGAGTGGCTGTTTCGGATGGTTTCGAAGAGATATCCCGCGTGAAAGACTGCCTCTCGACCCTGGTGAGGTGCTTCTCTCCAGGCCTGTGACATATGGGAGAGCTCTTCATCGGTCATCTGCCTATATATGCGGCTAAGAGCAACTTTTGTGACATCTACGCCTGGAGAGGAACCGATCATTAGCGCTGTGAGACAGATGGCCTTGTGCACCATTGAAGCCTTCAGATCGTCGACGGAGATGTCCTGCTGTTCATTCAAAGCCGAAAGAAAACTTTCCAGACATCTCTTTGCATGGGCACTGTCGGCAATGACCTGACCACTTGGTTGGAAGTTAGCATTTGACAGCCGCACTCTTTCCATAAGATCTTGCAGAATCACTTGTTTGCCCAGTGTACTCGTCTTCGACCAAGTGGACAACCAGCTGTCAGTGGATACAACCTCCGCCAATGATTTTGTGCGTCCTGAACCTGGAGTATAGTCAGACGAAGTGCCGAGTGGAGTCTTGTCTGGAAGACAGACCTAATCCTGGCGGATAACTCGCCCAGCTCTGAGCACTGTTTGCATTCCATCGTGCATCAGATTGAGGAAGGGAGTTTTTCAGCTCGTGGGAGTTCATGACTGTGGTCAGGTTGAAATCTGATTGGAACGCAAAGTCAACAAGCTATTGTTCGTGTAAGCAGACCAATTACGTCAGAAAGAGTCGCCGTGCCTACCCAGACGCCGAAACCTGTGCGCCTTCTCTCCTCATCCATGGCCCAGAGTCTCCAAGTCTGCTGCAGAGGTGCTTGCATCTGCAAGATCCGCTCGTGGGTCAAAACGTCTTCGAGAAGGCCTTTTCTCCTTGCGAGTGCCACAGGCACGGCTTGCAAGATTTCTGACACTTCAAGCGCTCGTCTTTCTCCAGAGTGTGACATGGCTAAGCTGTTCAGCATGACAACTTGCGTCATCCATACTGTCCGACCGTTCTTGTTCTGAAATTCGCACTAGAAAAAGACATGACGTTAGATTGACTGCTTCACAAAGACAAGAGACATAGCCTTACCTGGCGCGATGACAAGCGTCTTACGAGTTCATGAAGGCTCCTTGCACAGGCGAGAGAGTTGGGCAAATCAGAGAATTGTGCACCGATTGCTGCAACCACCAAAACAAGAAGAGGGGGTGTTTCAAGCGAAGAGAAAGTGGCCTTGTGTAGCACTGGGAATACTGGGTGAAAGTACTCAAAGTAGAGTTGGACCCAAGCGTTGATGATGGACCTTGCTGGGAGCTTTGGGCTGTTAAAGAGCGGATAATGTGGCTTGTTTTGCACGTCATCGATCAATCCGGCCACGGCGTCTACCTTTTCTTGTGATAGGCTTTCAACGTGTGCAAAATCTTCCAGATCCGCGTCAACAAGCGACTGTGGGTCGATTTCTGGCCAAGATAAGGGTGCATCTACTTCAATGGATGTGGGGTGGTATTGTCGAATGTCGACTGCATCCTTATCCATGACTGGTGTATGACTGCGGCTGTAAAGTTCGGCAAGGTCAGAAGCCGGAGTTGGAGGCAAATAAGGGCCTAAATTGTGTGACGGTGCCTTGTGTGTCATAGGCGGGACGACATCTATCCGATCGATATCCTGTAAGAGTTGAGCCTCGGCCTGGAGATCGAATGGTGCCGGCCAGAGAGCTACATCTAAGCCATCTGACAGCCAGTCCATGTTGCTCAGATCGTCGTGACATCCGAAAGTTTTCGGGGCAGCGAAGAAGTCAAGATGCATGAAGTCAGGGATTGTGGCATCGACGGTCCTTACGGGTGGTATGATACAGAGCTGGGGGTCGATGGCAGGCATGAACTCTGGTTGATCCTCCGCTGGGGAGGGCCCGGGCGCTGAAACGTTGCGGCCTGCGCAACTGGCTTGTGCCTCAGAAAAGTGGCGTTTTGGCTGTGGTTCTATTGTGGGACGCTGGGAGGCAGTTCTTCTTCTCTTGGGAGATTCGTAAAGGCATTCGGAGTCGGCGGAGGCACACTTCTCGCAGGGACGCTTACCATCACATTTGACTTTGGCGGTGCTACAGCGTTTACACGCGCGCGAGACTCGCTGCCGCTCACTATGCTCCGAAGACCCCATGGCGGTGGTTTGCAGGTGTGTCGAGGCGTGATGGCGGGCGAGAGAGTCGATGCGGCCAAAGTCGCTTCCGCACACGGAGCAGGCGAAGGGCTTCTCTTTAGTGTGGGTGCGCAGATGGCGCTGGTGGTGCTCGCGTCGATTGAATGTGTCGCCGCACTCATTACAGGTCCATTGATCAGGCATGGTGATGGGATGGTGGTGACGACATGGCAGGAGACGGTGTGGATGAAAACACGATCTAGTCTGGGCCAAGGACAGCAAGCATCTCAGATAGTGCACTAGGCCACGGCATTATGTATACGCTACGAAGTGGACCCCATAATTCCGTTTCCGCCGTTCCCGCAAACTAGGCAGGGATTACTGCGGGGATGCAGCACGCTAAGTGCGGCGACGATTCCGAGACACATGACCGAAACCCCACACACAATTTAGGGTTTTTTTTTGACCGTCAGCCATACCACCCACTCAGAGTGTGAAGCTATCACAATCTTGGGCTTCCGAGCAGTCTCTGCAGCACCGACTGCAATGCATCTTTATGGTTATCGACTGTGTTCGCCCTCCATGCGATGAAGCCGTCCGGACGTATTAACAGCGCCTCGCCCACCTGCAGCTTGCACCTTTTGCGCAGCTCACCCTCGACATCGCGCCAAGGAGTTGACGTCTCGTGCAGTTCGTATGCATCAATAGGTACCAACCCACTCGATGTAGCAGTCTGCGCCGCGGTGACCCACGGTGAGTCACGCTCGGCTGCAACCAGCACCATATTTTGCCGCACTAGGTCCAATGTTGACAGACGCTCGGCATCCTTGTTCTCACCCTGTAGCCATACATGTGGAAAGCGGGACCCAGCAGTAGCAGAGGGCGTGAGGGGGTTTTCGAATGGCTCTCCACGTTGTGCGACACGGTCATCTTCGTGTACCATAGCGCCGTCGGCATAACGATAGCCAATCTCCACCGTCAAGTTGGGTTCCTCGGCGATGGGGGGCTGTACATGATCAACCCGGTTGTAGAACCGCTTGGTGGCCTGATCGACTGCGAAAGCGTCGACCGGCTGTCGCTCTTTGGTATATGTTTCCAGCAGCTCGTGAGACGCAAGCCCCTTGAGTACGAACGCGAGCTTCCATGCAAGGTTGTGAGCATCGCCGATGCCAGTGTTGCCTCCAAGACCACCTGTCGGCGGGACAGTGTGCGCAGCATCACCAGCGATCAGTACGCGTCCGCCGTGCGACTGCAGTCTGTCTGCATTGTACGATGTCATCGTCCAGTACGAACACTTTTGAATTTCCAGGTCCATGTCTTCGGGCAGCCCAGACAGAGCGTAAACGAATCTGCGCGCCTCTTCCGGACTAACACTGCCCTCAGGAAAGTCGTCCCTGCCGCCTGCTCTATTGAGCATGACAATCGCTGCCTTGCCCTGGTTCTCCAGCCGGAATCCTCCGCTGACATCAGAGTTGAGCACGTAGACAACGCCATGTACAGAACGACTTCCGAGATGGGGTGTCAAATCTCCCACAATTCGCATCGAGAGACTATTCCGCAGGGTGCCAACGCCGCTCAGCTTGATGCCTTCCTTTATTCGGGTACTGCTTCGATTGCCGTCGCAGGCGACGAGGTACTGCGCTCTGTACTTCTTATATTTCTTGGTCTCCAAATCCTGCACCACCACCAGCACGCCAGTCGCATCTTCTTCGTAATGAACTACGAGCTTTCCATACAGCTGTGTGCAGCCAAATCTGAGTGCGTTGGATCGTAACAAAGGTTCGAACATCGCCTGAGTGATCCAGAGCCAGCTAGTGCAAGGTGTCACGTCCTGGACTTCAGCAGAGTCGTTCTCTTGCACTTGTGCAATCACCTTACCGCCAACTAGCCTCTCCACTACCAGCATACCTGCGTCGATGTCGAATTCCTTAGCGCTCTCAGCCTTAGCATCCGCTTCCAAGCCTAGTTGACGCAGGATTTCAACAGTCCGATAATTTAACCCAGCAGCCCGCGGGTGAGTACCGGAGGGTGGGTGTCTGTCGAAAGAAATACTTTTGATGCTAAAGCATAGTCAGAACTGCTTTCAGTAGGGCTTTGTTGAGGTCCGTACCCATGGTACCCGAGAAGCAAACCCGTCATCATGCCCACCATGCTTGATCCTATAATAAGCACTGGCCATTCCTCTTTTTCAAGTGGGATGCTGCTATGGTCAAAGGCTCCAAATTCGATCTCCTTGACGTCGCTGCCAAACGATTGTGGAGGACGGTCGACCTCGTGGTCGTGACCATCGTTGCTTGCTATGGTGTGATCGTCAATCGACATGTTGCTTACTCTTGTGATCTCAAGGAGACGAGGCTTTGGTTGAGGTCTCCCAAATATCGACTTCCGCGATTCCTCTATGTTGGACGTTTCGCCTTTCTACCACATATAGCACGAGTCCCTTTTAAGCCTGCGCCTCACGGTAGAGAGTGGGACCCGAAGTCTGTGTGCGCTAATGTCATTCGTGCGGTACCACGGCTATGCCCACAAGTTCCCGATCGAAACCCGGTAGAGGGCGGCAGCTTGAGTCGGGCGATCCCTGATCAGTGCCCAGCGACATGACTGCTTGTCACGACGTTCGGATTCTCGACGCGGTCTGTACGAAGGGTCCCAAGCTTGACGTAGTGTTATCAGAAGTGCTCACTGTGGTCTCAAACTAATGTGGTAACAATTCAATTTGAAGTCGGATTCAATTACAGCAGCAATCGCAGGTACTTCTAATCCAAAATCCTGTTACTATGTTATTAATTGCTTATGTGGTGTCCCTATATCTTAAGGGCATTTTGGGCCAATTGCACCGGAAAGGAATCCCACGCATACAACCACATGTTATCAGGCATTCTGGCGTCCGGAATGAATTGCTTCAAGTCTTTCATCACAGCCTCTCGATGCTCATCACCCACTCTAGACATGAAGAGGATCGTCACAGCCTGCTCGTAACGAATAGAGTTGTACGTCTTCAGTCTTTCGCCAATCTGTTCGGTACTGGTATCCGCTGGGAACAGCGTACCAAGAGTTGCCGCGTCCTCCAATGCTTGTGCGCCACCCTGACCTTGATCTGAAATTGCTGTGAGCGAGGTGGTCAAGACTACACACGTATGGTTGCATTGGACTTACGGGGAAGGGTTGGATGCGCCGCGTCACCAATAAGAGCAAGTCGTTCTTTGTAGAATATAGGGCTTGGGTCCCGGGAAGCCAGGCTCCACTGTTTGACGTCTTCAGCCATGCTGCACAGCTCGCGCAGTTCGGGACTGAAACTCTCAACCTCAGCCATCATATCGTCATGACTCCCCGCGTTTTGCCAGGATGACTCGACAACCTGGCCGTCCATGTTGTCGGGGTAAACCATGACAGCATTCATAAGTGTTCCCGTACGGCATGGATAAAGTATCAGCCGTCGATCTTGGGCACAGAAAGCATTGAGAGACCGAAGGCCTATCTGGTCAATCAGGTTCCTGGTCACTGGGTTGGCTCGTAACTTGTCGGTGGGCACAAGGAAGCGAAAACAGTTCTGTCCGGTGCTTCTCTTCTTCTGAGTCTCGCCAATGACACTGTTCACCGTTCGTGACTATTAGATTGTCAGCACGTGAAGTACAAACCCGGCAGCATTACATACGTGCAAACCATCTGCACCTATGATGAGATCTGCTTGCAATTCACGCCCATCTTCCAGTATAACCTTGCCAGTCAAGGGATCCTGAAGTGTGTGTTAATGTAACTGTTGTATTCGGGGAAACAAGGTCGAAAATGACATACCACGGAGTCCACAGCACAAGAAAGATACATCTTCGGCTTCTTTCCGGCAAATCCGTCTTCTGCTTTTTTCCTCAATGCGTTGTGCAAGTCCACACGATGGACTAGCAACCACGGATCCTCGATATTCAACTTTTTCTGTAGCTGATCGGTGATCTTTCTGGTCAGCTTGGCAGTGTTCCGCAATTTGTGTCCCGCAAACACCTACCGCAGGCGTCGCGATGAAATTTCCTTTGTGGTCCCACACACTCAGATGGTCGCACGGAGAAGGCTTCATGGCCTCTAGATTGAAGCCCCACGGTTCCAGGACTCGAGTGGCATTGGGGGCCAGGTGTATTGCAGCTCCAACTTCGTTGTGAAATGCAGATTTCTCATAGACCTGAGGCAGATACTGTGAGTAGATTGCTTGCATACGCATCTTCGATATGTTTTCAAACCATACCTCAACATCATGTCCCGCTCTGGTAAACGCAATAGCTGCCCCCAAACCACCTAGGCCCGCACCGACAATTATGACTTTCAAAGGCATGATCAACTTGAGAACTACCAAAGCACCAGGAAAAGCAAGTTTCAATATCGAGTGTCCGTGTCTTTCCTGACTGTATAGACCGTATGAAAGTTTAGTTCCCGCATTTACGACAAATCTATGACCACCACTATGTAAGGACGCTCTTGAATTAGTGTGGGGATGTACCGTAAGAACTCCTTTCTCTGGTAGAACGCTAGCAGGGTTTATTCAGCCGCAGTAACTTGATAAAGTAGACAGCGTGTCCCTTAAGGAACAGTCTTGATGCTGTGATTGATCCCCCGCATTTAAGTCCCCTGCTAGCGTTGTGCCAGAAAGATATGATTTTACGATACCCGCGATCTCGTGCCAGTTTGCCCCGCACTATGTTGGATCCCGGTCCGAATCACACCCACTTCTGACACGGATAGTGTCCACACAGTTGCGAGTTTCGGCACATCATTCGCGTGCCGTAACCGGCATTATGTTGAGAAGGATTGCACCGGAAACAAGGTGCGGTGAAGTTCCAAGGGGGCGTGTACACTTTGGACGATTCCCGGTGGGGAAGTTCCGAACGGCGATAAGCGGACATCAATGTCTACACCCATATCACTTTGTCTGTTCATAGCACCTAGATCAAAACAACGTCTCAGCTCCAGATCTTGGACTTGAACATAAATCTATAGACACGTGAGCTGCATTTCAAACCATCTCAAACATGCCTTCTTTGGAAAAGATTCGCGCTATATTCGACCTCATCAGCACAGGCCAAACGCAGGCCTTTTTCGAGAATATTGATGAGAATGTTGATTGGACCGTCAAAGGTAAGTCAGAAGTATTCCACTATCTGTCTGACGAGCGCGCGTTTTGCATCTGTACACATGAGTGCACCAGTCTTTCCACGTCTCACCAACGCACAGGAACATACTGCCCGATCTCCGGACATTATAAATCTAAACAAGCATTCCACGAAGGCACACGCGCTCTGTCGTCAACATGGGCTACACCACTCTGCCTCGTCGTGCAAGATATCATCCATGACGGGGCAAACAAAGCAGCCGTAGAGCTGAAGGCTGTCGGTGTGGAGTGCAAAGATGGACTGAAGTTCACAAACGAGTACGTATGGGTATGTCATTTCAATGACCAAGACAAGATCGTGAAGATCAATGCATTCATGGATACGTAAGATGAGTCCTAGCAGAGTTATGTGCAAAAGAAATACTGACATCAATCAGAGATTTGGTGACCAAGGCGATTGAGCGGAATCCATTATAACGCAAAAGCAGATACGGGTTTTGACTATATCGAGGATTAGATTGGCTGAATAATGTTCCTGCGCAGATTGCATTAGTTGTGAATAAATACAGGCAATGCTTACAAGTTCATTTGCAGTCTAGGACTGCGTGATGCGATGTGTCAAAACGTCTTGGAGAAAGGGTTGATCGTGATCCCACTCGCCCGACTTCCACAATCGACAACTGACACAGGAAGAACAGCACGCTGACGATTTACCTAGACGTTTATTAGAATTGCCGCAGTGACAGGTTGAGATGCAAGGTACAGCTGATGCCACCTTCAGTAGTCACTTCATCCTCAAAGTCATAAGATATCAGAGTAGCATCGTAAAAGTATCGCAAAACCCGCAGAAATATCCCAAAGCACATTCTAACATTTTATCTACTCATTGATCCGCTTGAAATACCTTGGGAACACCGAAGTCGCCTAGTTCTTCCCCATTAGGACCGGCTGCAGCTTCGGATAGAAGAAGAGCAAAGAGCATCCGGCATGGTCTGTCTGTATGATTATTCCACTGATGCATAGTCTACCCACAGTAAGCTATCAATCTGTAATTTTCAGAGTTCATACACGCACGGCTTGCTGCACGACCACGTCTCCCGCCCGTACAATTGTCTTGGATCCATCCTCCAGCACGAGTTCGATCTCTCCGTCCATTACGATACCGTAATCGAGCGATTTTGTGCGATGATTGTGACCTGTGGAATTGGCTGGAAAATCGACGACACGAATCAGGGAGCCTTTGGTGTATATCTGGGTACCACCTGCCGCAGCAGCATCATGATCGGCGAGCTCAGCTGGGTATCGGTGATTCTGCCAGATAGTTGCAGCATTTGCCGCGAAGCCTGGCAGGGGTTCGAGCTTGTCTTCAATCAGCACCATCGACTTCCCGTTCTTGTGGCCGGTTACGACCCGTCGCAGTGATTTGGACATGCTGTATGGTTGTGTCACAGGATGCGCGGTCAATGCGTTGAATATGATATTTGGCTGCGCGGACATTGGATTAGAAGAAGTATTGTCGGTATTGACATCAAAGCCGCCCTGAGTCTTCTCGTCTATCTTCCGACAGCTGCCGGTAGCAAGGTCACCATGAGTGTCTGCATGTGGAGAAGCGCGCTCCGGAAGCCCACACGGCCCCACACGCTAGTCTCCTTTCAGCTCGTCGTAGAGCTGTCAAACTTTCTCCACACGCAAGAACCTTTGTGACCACCCGCAATTCCCTAACGCCGTAACGTCCGTCTGCCCGTGAGAGAGGTACGACTCAATGGGAGATTACCTGGATCCCGCTTAAATGGTACTCATTAGGTACAATGGCAATCGATCCCTACCCAAGTCATAGAGCCTTTACTCCAACCACACCACACCGCTAATTCAGCAATGTCTCTCACAATTAACGGCATTGATGTCAAACTTGTAGATGCGAATCCTCCTGGCTCGCAGCAAGCTGGTCCCTATACCGGGTTCAACCCTTCGTCTACGATTCTGCACAAGGGTCATAAGAGACCTGGACGAGATGATGTAGCAGCATTTCGCTCCGATGCTGTTTGGGAGAAAGATGTTCCTGTACCCATGAGGGACGGCGTAACTCTTCGTGCGGATATCTTCAGACCAACAACTGGGCAGAAGGTTCCTGCAATTCTTCTCTGGAGCCCCTACGGCAAAGACAACAACGGTGGGGGAGCACTCAAGCTATTGTGTGTGTCTGGAACATTGCTGATATCAGAGTCATCCAGGTGTACACGGATTGCATTTGCAACCAGGCCGATTCGGTGTGCCTTACAATCGAACGAGCACCTATGAGAAGTTTGAGGGTCTTGATCCTGCCGAATGGGTTGCCAAGGGCTACGCTATCGTCAACTTTGACTTGAGAGGCACTTGGGACTCGGAAGGAACCATCCCGTAAGTTCTCCTTAGAAGCCTGCCACGATGCTTGTTAATGCAAATAGCTGGCTGGGTAAGCAAGACGGTCAAGATGGCTATGACGCTGTCGAGTATATTGCGACGCTCCCATGGTGCAGCGGAAAGGTTGCTACGGCTGGTAATAGCTGGCTAGCCATGGCCCAATGGTTCATCGCAGCAGAACAACCACCACATTTAGCTGCTATTGCACCTTGGGAGGGCGCATCTGACTTCTACCGTGATACTCTAGCCCGTGGCGGAATAGGATATCCGTACTATCTCCTATGGGGCATGCTTCAGGACACTATGGTGGGCCGTGGAAAAGCCGAGGCTGTTGTTGACATGCTAAAGCAATATCCTTTGTACAACGAGTACTGGGATGACAAACGTGCGAAGCTGGAGCAAATTCATACTCCGGCATACGTACTGGCAAGTTACTCCACGTCGCTTCACACCTCGGGATCAATTGCCGGGTTCAATGACATAAGCTCTAAGCACAAGTGGTACGTTTTTGAAACTTAGTCTTCGTACTTCTTCAGCTAAGATATCCTGCAGGCTCCGAATACATCCGAGACAAGAGTGGTACGACTTGTACTCTGAATACGCCTCCGATGACCTTCAGAAGTTCTTTGATCACTACCTCAAAGGTACTGAGAACGGTTGGGAGAAGACATCCAAAGTCCGATTCTCAGTTCTACCCTTTGATAGCTCGGTGAGTTAGCCTCGAACCCATGTTCTAAATTTGACTGATCCAAATTTTAGCCACCTGTCACAAACATTGAAACGACGCGATATCCCATTCCCGAAGCTAAGCAGACCAGGTTCTACCTTGCATCCCAGGGTAACCTCTCTGCTACTCCAAACAGCTTTCCAGCGGTGGAGTCCTATCAGTCCGACATAATTCCACAAGGCGTAGACAATGATCCTGAAGAGTTGATGTTTTCCATTAAGTTCGACAAGCCAACCTGGCTTGTCGGCTACTCAAAGGCTGTCTTGTATTTATCTGCTGACTCGGCTGACGACCTTGATGTATTCGTCCAGTTACGTAAGCTGAACAAAGCCGGTGGTAACACCCTGCAACTCAATGTACCCGCAGATGCACTCATTCCCCCGGCTAAGGATGCCTCGGAAGTCTCAAACAGTTGCTTTCTCAAGTACTATGGGCCCAACGGCAGCTTGAGAGCTAGCCACGCTGTGACCAAGGTCAACAGTACCAAGAACGATTCTTGGCCTACTTACACAAACGACCGACAGCAGAAGATTCAACCCGGCTCAGTTACTCGCCTGGAGATACCAATTTGGCCTGGTGGTATGGCGTTTGACGTTGGAGAGTCTCTTGCGATCAAAGTCTCGGGACACTACATGTCTCCGATGGAGGTTGAGCAGCTGAATGGGTTGACAGTCACCGAGAACAAGGGAAAACACAACTTGCACTATGGAGAACAGTACGAGAGCTATATCGAGGTACCTCTTGCTGCCCCTTTTGATCAGTAGTCTACATGAGGATGTAAATGGAAAAATGCATGTCTGCCTTGTCGAGCCTGCGGTCGATTTGTCCTAATTGTACGTTTAATGAGAGCCTTCGTATTGATTGCCGTGAACGACTGTCAACTGGTGTCTCTCTCGTGTCCCCACACCTACCATCTTAGACTTCTTGACTGATTCAAAGAGGGCTTCGCAGACTGATGTCTCCAATGTCTCCTATCTCATCAGTTCTCAGTACGACGATTTATGTCGAAGCATGATCGTCAAGACCCGATGCCTTGTACAAGTGATGTAGTGCCTACATGACTAAGCCGTTTAAGTGATACATACTACAATATCATGTAGAGTTCTGCATTCATAATCTCAACAAATGTAGAAACATTGTTCATGTGCGATGAGGTTGCTTCATCTGTGTAACCACATTCTACAACCACGATAAGAAAGATACCCCAGACTTGTTAGCGCCACGAGGCCCATTGCCGCTCCAAGTATCAGTCCTTGCTCAAAGTATGACATACGACCACCCTGAGGTTGCTTCACTATCTTTGTGTTCAACTTCGCTGGCTTCGTTCTGTGACCTTGGGAGCTAGATGTCGTCTTTCGGAGCATGGCCTTGCTTTCGGAAAAATCTTTGAGATGGTAACCATGCGTAATAGAACTGTTTGCCGAGCGACAGCTTGTGAGAACTGTTCCAGGTTAGCACTTAATATATTGATGTGTGATAAAATGTACCAAGAGAGCGATTTGGTATGTCGTTGATGTAGACGTGGGAAGCGGTGATGAAGTTTCCAAGGTAGAACGCTTCTTTGTCTCCAGCAAAAATATAGATAACCTGAGACCCCGTGCCGGTGTTTCTGGGCTAAGATCAGCACTGCTATCTAGGTCTAAAAAGATAACATACATCTTGTTCAACAGATCGATCGTGTGGTCGAGACTTCTTGTAGATACTAAAATGATCTCTGAGTTGTCTGACAGGCTCACTGTCACGGCTTTCCTACACCTTGATTTAGCCTTTCCGCTACGCTCATCACTTTCAAGAGACCTACTCTACTGTAGAAAAAATCGGGCTTTGCCCCTTCTGGCCTTGAATCTTCGAGTGACTGAGTGAGAGGCCACTGTAGTGCCTTTGAAGCCACTCAGTCAGGTTGTCGTTTTTCCAATCGTGTTGCACTGGCAGTTTCCCTTTGACTGAGGCGAATATAGATTCATCAACAAAGAACAACCGCGGGACTCGTAAATGATTGCCGCTTGGCCGATCTAAGTGTATTAGCAGAGTCACCTGTTTCGAGGAGGGCTTATCTCATACCCGGCACAGCTTGGAGAACTCGCTTCACAACCTCATCTATAGAGATGGTAACACTGCGGTCAATGATACCAGCTGGAACACCATAATATGGTTCGAGTAGCCGAATGGATGGGTTCGCGGCGTGAACAAGCGGGGAGACTGTGTTGCTTGTCTCAAGGCTGTGAAGAACAACTGTAGCGTACTCTGCCTGAGCGAAAGATCTGTAAGTCGACTCATTCGCTGATTTCTCAAAGTGAAATGCCTCGCAGTCTAAGGTTTCTAAGATTGTACGCTCAAGCAAGATGCCAGTCGCAGGGAGAGAGGGAGAACCAAGAACGATTGTCGGGCTGCCTGCAGCCAAAGCGGCAGCCAATGGGCCGATGATCGAGATGATGGGCGAAAAAGAGAGCTGCACAATCAATGTTTTCCCCAGGGGGACAAAAAAGCCTGCGGTTGTTCCGCCTTTCTTGATCTTTCTTTCATCGTTCAGCACGTGCTGGAAATCCAACTGTTCGTACAGGGTGTTGATGGCATCAAGGGCGGTGATGAGCTCTGACGTAGCAAGTTCGGGGGTATTATGAAGGTCTTCATGAGTCTTGTTACTATTCCGTAGATGCTACAATTCAAGTGATCAGGTGTGAATACATACCTTGTTCCAGTGCGCGAACAAAATCGTCGAACCGCTGTCGAATTGATTGATGCAAAGCTGCGAGCTGTTTTTGTCTTTCCAACACATTTTCTAATCGGCCTTCAATCCAGGCAATATCAAGTCTTTCCACAATCTCTTGAGCCGACATGGTAATCCTTGAGGTTATCAGTGTTTGTCAGACCTTTGGACTTACTATGATTTTAAAAAGTAAGACACAAACACACCTGCTGCGGAATGGCTGTCCAGCTCTCTGTACAAGAATGCTACGCACTATACGCAAGACAGAAATGGTGCACTTCGTCCACCGTAGTACCTCCGTTTACAGCCGGTTGGTGCGGGTCGGCTCCACATCAGCCCGCTCTTCCCCACCATTCCAGGAACAAAGTCGCGGCTAGAAAGGCCGAGAGATCGGAGCTAGATCCCTAAAGTGGAGTCTGTAAGATTAGTACATGTAGTAATTATTACCAACCTTCGGCAAAGATAAGTTCAGACAGCAGGGTACATATCTCTCAAAACCACAGCTCAACCTGAACAGGACAACGTCACATCGCTAGATCATGGCAACTCAACGTAATGGCGGTAAGAACTTGAATCAGAATTACGAGAGTCTAAAGCTGACCATGATAGGGATCGCTCCCGTGTTCTTGTTCGCTCATGGCTCAACCATGATGCTAGGCGAGGAATCCGAACCAGCCAAGGTTTGGGAGCAAGTTGGAAATGAAGCTCTGAGAAGGGGAATAAAGAGGATTGTGATGATGGTATGCCGTGTACCGCGATCATCGAGAATTTTAGCTAATCGAGTCCCACTAGGGTGCACACTGGGAGTCTCCAGGTGACACAATCGAGATCAGCATGAATCCAGGCCCCAAAATGCTTCCAGTTGGCTCAGTGAAAGACTCGCGCTACATGCCCTACAAGGTCCAACCAGATCTTGAAGGGGGTGAAAAGGTGATCAAACTACTAAAGTCCGCTGGCTTCAACGTTAAGGCGGCTCCAAAATTCGACTGGATTCACGACACGTTCTTGATAATTATCCGCATGTTTCCGCACTGCGTTCCGCTTCCTACAACTATCGTATCTATGAACGCAAGATATGAATCGCACTTCCATCTCAAGATTGGCGCCGCACTCCGCCCCCTACGATATGAAGATACCTTAATCATTGGGAGTGGAGGGTCTGTACATAATCTGTACCGTAATCATTGGTCAGATATGATGCTGTACCGTGACAACTTTTCTCAACCTGTGCCACCGGGAACATGGGCATTGGAGTTTCGACAGGCCGTGGAGGATAATATTACCAACAACACGGGCCCGGAGCTCCGACGCGCTATCACAAGGATGATGAAACACCCTAGATATAAGGAGGCACATGGTACTGATGATCACTGGATGGCTTCTCTCTTCGCAGTCGGTGCTGCTGGAGGTAAGGAGGATGAAGGCCCCAACACAATGATAGCTGAGTGTTGGGAGCTCGTGAATATGTGTAATACACAATATCAGCTTGGTAGTTGGGATGCGTATAGAACGATTCAATGACATCTTGAAATTTTTGTCAGGTTCGCAATTTGATTGACTCCTAGGTCCTTGAACTTAAGCGCAACTCGTATTCTACACCCACATTGACATTTGGTAGCTGAAATGTCTCGGAATCCTTCACAGCGTCCAAGTTGTCCTTGTATCTAATGACTTAGTGTTTTAAGCGCCGACCTTGTCAGATTACATCTGGCCAAGTATGAGACGAGTGTTTGCAAATGCCTCTAAATTTGATCCCCCATCACACGTTCATGAAATCCAATGCTTCACTCAAAAATTTGCTACATCTGTATGAATTCTGCAATTCTTTGAAATCTTTGGTACCTGTTCACCACTCGCCACCAACCTGGTTTAGTCCAATATCGGTCACTCTACCAATCGTGTTCCTCCAGGTCCAGCTGGCTGACTGCATCCGAGATTAATCGCATGTAAGAGTTGCACAATAACTTGACTTACAGCAATCGTCATGCAACCGAATACCATGACTGCCCCTACTGTTCTGAAAACCGCATTCTGTCGCCTCTCCTCTAAATCAAGCTCTCTGTTGACTGGACGAAACACTGGCACTCTCCTGTATGTATCTTCCCACCAATCTGGATTTGAAACGGGTCGTGCAACTGTCGGATGGGCTGCAAGAGTCGGATCGAAGTCGTCCGGTTGACGATGACGCCACTGACCAGCAATCTGCACATAGCCATCGTTTGGCTCTGGAGTCGATCGATGTATGTCATAGTCAGCAAGCAGAGTAAGAAGACCTGGATCAACTCTCTGGCGCCGGGTGCCGTCGCTGTCTATCACAGTTGTCGCGGAAACTGCAGCCATAGGGTCACTTTTGGGTTTGTGGACACAGAGCAGGTCAATTCGAGGGTGGACGACTTTTTTTGGTCTGATTTGTTTGAAACGGATACATATCAGGTACTGGCAGGATGGAACTGAATTGCCTGGCCACGGAAGGGCCAAGTCACCGATGCAGTATTAGTGTGACGGACAAGGTTGGGTAAGGAACCAATGACAGACGTTGTGGAGCCGAACCGAACTTGAACGATTACCCCACTCCGCCACCTCACGCCCGGCCTGACCACATCCACTTTGGAGTGGAGACGAGGTGGAAACAACATCGGCCGCTCCCACTGGCGTTCTCCAGGCGTCAATTTGTATTCTAAGCGCTTATCTCAGAGTGGAATTAGCTTCATTAATCTGTTTGAGAATGTACATGTACAAATGCATTCACCACCTTGACTGATTGTAGTGCAGACACAGCACAGCGACAATGGCTTCTGACAAATATCTTAAGATTGATCGTGACTCGTTCCCCTACATCTTTATACAACACAAGGAGATCCCGCTGAAAACATACGACACTGGCTTCCTGCGTTGCAACATCTATCTTCCCGCAGATGCAGCGCCTTTTGGCAGTCGACAGTACCCTGTCATTGCGACCTATGGCCCATGTGCGTATCTTTATTCACGCTCCTGTATCTCAGCCCTTAAAACTGACTTTCTTCACAGACGGGAAAGATGTTCCTTATAAGGTCTTCTTCCCCAAATCTTGGGATCAGCTCAACCCGGCAATGAAATCCGAGCACGCCGCCTGGGAAACCCCAGATCCGGGCTATTGGACATCAAAAGGCTATGTTGTCGTGCGGGTAGACGAGCGCGGCGCAGGTCAAAGTCCAGGAGAACTTGATACGATGTCACGGGGCACTAGTGAGGCCTTTTACGACGTGATAGAGTGGTGTTCAGAACAAGAGTGGTCATCCGGCAAAGTTGGACTACTTGGTATAAGCTATTATGCAGGCACCCAGTGGAGAGTGGCTGCGAGAAGACCAAAAGGCTTGGCAGCCATCATCCCATGGGAGGGTATGAGCGACTATTACCGCGATCGTGTGAGGCATGGCGGTATACTCTCCGATAGATTCATCAGTATGTACTCCTGGATTGGCAAATCAACACTGAAGCTAACCAACACATGAAGAATTTTGGTGGGAGAATGCTGTCAACAAGAATCAGTACGGCAAGCCCGGTCGTACGGCCGGAGGATGGGGTTCTGATACTCTGGATGGAGATCTCGACGAGGCATCCCTGGTCGCCAACCGACGAAACCAGATGGATGATACAGCGAACCACCGGTTTCTTGATGAGGAGTACTATTCCAGTCGCAACTTTGACGTTGAGAACATTGAGGTCCCACTCCTTAGTGTCGCGAATTGGGTAAGGGAGCTTTGCCTACACTAATTGCTCTGACTGACAATCACTGTTAGGGTGGAATTCTTCTTCACCTTCGTGGCAACGTTCTTGGTTGGATGCGCGCCTCTTCCAGATACAAATTTCTGCACTTCATCGTCGGTCGGCACGATTTGCCGTTCTATTACAACCACTCCGCCAAGTTGCAGCTGTCATTCTTCGATTCTTTTCTCAAGGACAACGACTATGACGGCTGGAAGACTGGTGAGCAACCACGCGTAAAGTTGACCTTACGAAAAGGTGATTGCGGCGTCGACGATCCGGTGCGTGAACTTGGGTTTCCAACACGCGGAGAGGCTGATTGGCCAATACCTGACACAAAGTATACAAAGTTCTTCTTGAACGCACAACACGAGTTGTCAGAAACTCAGAAAGATGAGAGGATAACAATCTCATACGAAGCATTGACCAATGAGCCAGTGCAGTTCAGGCACACTGCTGCCACAGCTCTAGAGGTGACTGGCCACATACTAGCACACTTGAGCGTCTCAACAAGTAGCAAGAACGGGACACACCCTACCGACATCGACCTATTTCTCACTCTACGAAAGTTGGCTAAAGATGGATCGGAGGTCTTCTACACAGGCACAATGGGTGACCCTGTTCCACTCGTTAAAGGCTGGCAGCGTGTGTCATTGCGTAAAACCGACCCCTCAAACTCCCTTCATCGTCCGTACTTGCCCTATCGAAACTACTACGCCTCGGACGTAGAGGAAGTGCAAGCTGGTGAGGTTTACAAAGTTGATGTCGAAGTTTGGCCAACAAATTTTGTATTAGAGGCTGGAGAGACATTGTTGTTTGAGCTTGCGGGACACGATACCCAAGGTGTAGGCAACTTTTCTCACGATCACCCCCAAGACCGGAAGACAGGTGTTCTGAGCGGGACAAACAATATCCACGTTGGAGGCGACGATAGCTGGTTATTGATCCCTATCATTCCAGAGAGGTAGTAGAAGAGCTACTAGATCCAAATGGCAAGCAAAGAATATAGACAATAAGTTTAGCAACCTATGAATAGCTGAAAGTCTCCATAAATTTTCAAGAATGCACCTATCGAGAGACCATTAATTTGCATCGTAGGTTGTATGCTAGCAGACTCTGGCTTGATGTCGTAACCCCATAGTCATGAGGCTCTATAAGGCGTGAAAGAGAAGATAATTACTGAAGATGTAGATAAATCTGATTGTTCATAAAGCCAATTGAAGATATTATAGCATCTACACAAGACTAGACAACGACAGACATAGTCACGTCATCAATAAACAAATCGTACATCTGGGGGTCCCCGCTAGGCAGACTGCATGCTCCATCTACTAGCAAAACCTGCTGGATAGCATCTCCTACAGGAATATCGACCTGTGTTGAGATAGATGTGTAAGAAGTGCCTGGACGAGCGAACTCGAGAAGAGCTAGATCGCCAAGGTATATACTCACCGAACAAAAACCGTTGGTAGTCTGCTTTGCAAAAACTTTCAATGTTATACGACGCTCCAGGTATAACTGTCACAGTCTGGCTCAAATAGACGTCGAATCCGCCGTTTGGTATGCCTCGACCGCGAATGGCATATGCTCCTGTGCGGGGTTCTATCTGGACGCGACCGCTGGCCCCGGCGTCGATGATGTAGAGACGTTCCACAGTCCAGTCAGTAGGATCTGATCCATCCCCGAACTCGAAGCTCGGATTCCTCACAACCTGGATTGGAAATATGACGGTTGGCGTCGGGCTCGTTTGTGTTGACATGACGGAAGTAGCTGTTTCGGCGACAGTCGTTGGTGTAGGATCATCTCTGGTCTGGGTCGAAACCGTAGTTGCGACAGAGGAGATGGACGAGGGCGACTCAGGAGCTAGTGAGGATGCAACCGGAATACTTGCAGATGATACATCTGATGAAATTGCAGTAGATGACGTGGCAGAGGGAGAAGGCGCAACACGAGTAAGAAGAGCAATTCCTGGATGACTTAGTACGCATCTACACGTCGGAAGACCTGGATTTTACCGTCAACATTATCATTAAATGTCTTGCCATTGTTCTTTGTCTTCAGATAGCAATGGCCAGCTCCGCTGCCACCAACAAAGGAGGCAGCAACACATCGCGCGTCCTCGTAACATGCTAGGGTGCAGCTTCCAAGACTCGCAGCGTATAGAGATGACAGATCTCCACCGTAGAAGTCGACTCCACAGGACAAGCTAAAGGTTCGGGTATCAGTTCCGGTGAACGTACAGCCGTCATTTTCCGGACAAGTGTAAGTGGTCGGGCAAGCTTGCTCAGTAGGTGGAGTGGGCTGTGGAACTGTAGGTTCGGTCTCGCGAGTGGTAACGTATGCGCCAATAACCCCGTCACTAATCGCGTTGTCAGCGCCCAGGTATAAGAGAACATCGGGGGTTGTACTTGGTTTGAGCGGAATTGAGGGTAGATTTCATATAGCAATTTCCGCTTACATAGCTTACAGCTACACATCCATTGGTGGAGGAGCAAGCCTTCATGCATCCTGCCAATGTTGACGTCTGCAATAGTCAGTCAGTGGAATTTAAATGAGAGTGAATCCCGCCTACCGGTGCCAACTGCAGATCTCCACCGTAATAATCCGTTGCGCAACTGACTTCCAACAAAACCCCGTTGGTAGAGAAAAGACATCCATCATTGAGCGGGCATTGAGGTGACGCAGGGCAAATGATCGTAGAAGCTCTCAGAGCAAGTGCTGCTGCTTGGACGAGTGCGGGCGCCATGCTTGTGTGCTGACACTGGAGCGACAGAAATTGAATTGCTGTACTGCACCCAGGTTCTCAGGAGTCGGTTGCATCTAGCATATATAGCTATATGCTAGTATCACAACGCCGTACTTGGCACAGTGAGGCTGAAGGATCGCCTTGCGGAGTAATCCTCCTTTTTGGATGCGATCATACCCAAACATCCACTTCAGGCCTGACGCTGCGATTATCAGCCGCAAGCCGCTCTGCTAGCAGATCTTAGCAGCTTCCTAAGTTTAATTATCGTTGACGCACGGCTGCAATTGAATCTTAAAGGGGAGATCTAGAAGGCCGCTCTCGCTTAACTAAGATCTAGACAGTGTTACGATCGCCCTTTTATAACCAACCAGATGCTAACACCCAGCAAATGCTAACACGCTTGGCATGATATTACACGGGCTATCCCGTGCAGCATAGTTTTATTATAAGTTACGTAACAAGCTTACCCCTTAGCAGTTAAGCTAAAGTAGGTCTCACATAGAGCTTACACAGCTTATATTAAGCTTAGTAAGCCTAGCTTACGCAGCTTATGTTAAGCCTAGTAAGCTACTATACTCTCTATAGTATATAGCAAGTAGGAACACAACCCTTATAGTTTATGTTTAACCTAAGTATTAATCTATAATATTAGATCTTAACCTAACCTTTAAGCTAGATAGTCTATGCTATACTACTTATTATTACCTCTTACCCTTAAGATAGATAGATTATATCTATACTTCTTAGTATAAGACCCTTTTAGTTTCCTTAATAGTATTTATCCCTAAGAACTAATTAAATAGTGCTTATAAGCTTTGCTTAAAATATAACCTTAATATTTTAAATACTCTTAAGATATCTACTACCTTAGAAAACTAAGCTACCCCTAGCTTAATATCTAATAATATAGATATAACTAATAATAGTGCTGCCTATATAGGTAATATTATAGTTAATAAACCTAATCTCTACTATAGCAAATATAATAAGCTTAATAATTAGTGTTAGGACTTAGGGCCTATATAGTTCTAAGTAGACCCTACTAGGCTAGAGTAGGCCTATATAGGGCGGGGTAACATATTATATAGCTAGCCTACCTACCTATTGCTATAAGGTAGCGATTAGTCTTACCTAGAGGTAGAATATATCCTAATACCTCTTCTTACCTACCTGTTACCTAGTGCCCCTAACTATAAGGTCTAACATTCTAATTACTTATATACTAGGGAATAAGAAACTAATTAACTACTATAAGCATATACACGCTATACTTAGACAAGGAGTTAACTCTAGGCTCTCTAGAACCTATATAGTCTAAAATACTTAGAGAATATACTATCCTATCTTATACTTAAGTAGGAGATCCTTATATTAAAGAGGTTATAGGCAATACTCTACCTTAATAACTAGTACTATTACTAATTAGGATAGTAAGAGTTATAACAACCCTAAATAACCTAGAAGGGGATAATATTAACTAATAATTAAAAGAGTTAGAAGCATAGCATAAGAAGGCATTAAAGCTATAGAAGCTAGCTATATTAAAGAAAGCAAGGGCTAAATACCTTGCAGGTAATAAGCACGCACTTTAGTTAGCTAATATAAGTATAAGCTAGCTAGCAATACCTTAAGTAGTGCTAATATTAGGGCTACTATGCCCTAAACCTCTGCAGATATTTATAAAGTATAACTATATAGAATATAACTATTAGAAGTAGGACTATAAGTAATACTTTAAAAGATTGCCTATAAACTTTCTAACTAAAGCCTATAAGGTTAACTTTAGAGCCTAATATCTCTTAGAATCTATAAAAAGTCTATAGAAGATATACTATTCTAATTAATCCTAGCTTAAGTTAGAATACTAACTAACCTAGGAAGCTATAAAAGTAGTAATGCTAGGCACTCTAGGCACGCTCTCTAAATAAAGGCAAAGAGCCTATAATATAGTTACTTAGGCAAGGATAAGACTAGATTCCTCCCTAACTAATCTATTAGACTATATATGCCTATTCTAGGAAGAACTAGAAAATACCTATAGACCTAAACTCTAAGTAATAGAGTATATATATATACTCCTTAAAGATATCTAAAAATAGCTCTTTATATACCCTAAGAGTTATAGATATATAATTACCTAGGTAGAGAAGGCTATAAATATAATATATTATTAAAGGCTATATTAAAGAGAGAACTATAATAAGAAACCTAGGAAAAGTAATAAGGGGAACAAAGAAACCCCTAAACAGGAGAAAAGGGATAGAAAATACTATAAGAAGCATAAATTAACTAGTTTAGGCTATAATACCTTAAAATAGCTAAGAGGTACTAATATTACCCTAGTAAACCCTATAGTTAGATGCTATAACTATAATAGTCCTAGATACTATACTAGTAGCTGCATAAAGCCTACTAAGGCTACTAATAGTAGCATAGGCTCTAAAGTAGGAAAAGAGGGGGTATAGAAGTAAATAGTTCTTTCCTTCTTGCCTATATAGCCTAAGTATAAGAAAGTAAGGACCTTAGCACCTTAAGAGATGCTATAAGGCCTTATCTATCTTATCTTACTACTATTAAGATAATAATAGGTAAGTCTAAAGTTATAGAGACTCTAGTAGATTCTAGCTCCTAGCTAAACCTACTATTAGTAGTAGTAGTAAATAAGCAGAATCTTAAAGTTATACTACTACTATACCTAGTAGCTAAGAGTATTACTAGAGACTTAACTATTTATAGTATAACTATAGTTAAAATAATAATTAAGAACTTAAGAGGCTAAATAAAGGTCTAACGTAAGTGCATAGCGAGTGGACCGGCTAGGCGAGTGGACCGCCCCAACAAGCCATTGGGCCCTCCAACCTTCAAACCTCAATGGATCAGCTACATAACCTCAAATCGCTCTTAAAAGAAGACAGGATTAAGCTTGCACTCTAAGCAATTAAGAAACCCCAAGAACTAAGCGTGCGACGCGCTGCTGTTGTCTACCAGGTGTCAAAAACAACCCTCCTTTGGCGACGCGCTGGGAGGCAGTCAACACGCGATACCCAGCCTAAATCATCAGCCCTTAATAAGATAGAAGAGAAGGCGCTTGTGCAGTATATAAGGAGGCTTGACGAGCAAGGACTTGCCTCAACGCTCCATTGCGTTGAAGATATGGCTAATTAATTGCGCGCTGCACGCGATGCAGAGCCTGTTGGCCCCTGATGGGCTTCAAACTTTGTCAAACGCGAGCCTGGACTCCAATCACGATTAACTCGACAGAGGGATCGCCAGAGAGTTCTCTGCAGCGACCTAGGGGTCATTGGGCCCTGGTTTGACCTAGTACGGAATGTTAAGGCCAAGTACGGCATCTAGGACGAAGATACCTACAACTTTGACGAGACTGGCTTTACTATGGGCGTTGGAAATTGCGTCAGAGTAGTTACTGCATCTGAGAGACGTACTTAACCTATTGGGGTCCAGCAGGGAGACCGTGAGTGGGTGACTTTGATTGCTGCAGTCAACGCGATGGGCTGGGCAATTGCGCCCTACCTTATCTTCAAAGCAAAGAACCACGACGCGTCCTGGTACCCTGATTTGAAGCCCTAATGGCGCATTGGGGTCAGTAACAACGGCTGGACTACTAACGATATTGGAGTAGCCTGGTTAAGGCACTTTGTTGAGCAGATTCGGGGCCAGAGGGTGGGTAGCCACGTGCTGCTAATAATCGACGGCTACGAGAGCTACAAGTTGCTTACTTTCCAAAATCTTTGCACAGAGAGCAAGATTATTACCCTATGTATGCCTCCACACTCATCTTACATCCTACAACCACTTGATGTGGGTTGTTTTGCCCCCCTAAAGCGGGCGTACAGCAAAGAGATTAGAGTCTTGGCGCTGGACCATATTGGCCGGATTGACAAAAAAGCCTTCATCGCGACCCTTAGGAAGGTGTTTGATAAGGCGTTTTTAAAGGCAAACATTATATCAAGCTTTAAAGCAACTGGCTTAGTGCCTAATGATCTATTGGTAGTGCTATTAAAGCTTGATGTGAAGCGTCGCACGCCAACACCGCCTCTCACAGGGGAGCCCCAATGGAACCCTAAGACACCTACCAACGCTAATGAGATAGAGGCTCAATTAATGTTGCTTCGCGATTGTATTTAGAGGCACCAAGGATCGTCACCTTCTCCTATAGTTGAGATGATGGATTAGCTGCAAAAAGGCACTGCAATGATACTGCATTCACAGACGTTACTAGCCGCCCGAGTGCTGCAGCTTGAAGCGTCAAACAGGGCTGCTTCTGAGCGCAAATCGCGCAAAAGAAAGTGGATTCAGAAGGGTGGAGACCTCTCAAAGGAACAGGCAGAGGATTTGATAGCCCAACGCGACGTTGGGGCGCAGCTTGAGGGGGAAACTCGTGAGGGTAGGGCTCGAACAGGTGCAGGCAAGCAGCACAAAAGGCACTGCAGGCGCTGCGGTGAGGCAGGGCACAACTCGCGCACGTGTGAGAAAGATGCAGTAGAAGTCAGCAATTAATATTTGCTACTGTTAGCTATAGTAAAGCATTGTGGTGTTGCGCAATTGCTTGCAGAGTGCCTAATGGCTTGTTGGGGCGGTCCACTCGCCTAGCCGGTCCACTCGCTATGCACTTACGTTATAAGGTTCTCTTTATAGTTACTAACCTCTAGAAGTATAAGATATACCTTAGGATACCTTAGATTAATTAGTATTAACTAAGGGTAAACATCTTAAGCAGAAAAGTACTACTATAGGGAATAAGAGATAAAGATATGCCTTATTTTAAGCAGGTTAGTATTAAAGATACTAAACAGTTTAAAAGCACTATAAGGCAGCCTAAAGTAGATATCTATATATATCTTATTAGCTTTATAGGCTAAGATATGCTAGAAGGACCTAAAGTAGCCTAGCTTCTGCTATAATACTTAGAATATGCTAATATAGTATTAGAATAAGATTCTATAGACCTTACTAAGCATAGCTTGCACAACCTAGTAATT